ACATCCGGACCTCAGTATAATCAACATCCGGACCTCAGTATAATCAACATCCGGACCTCAGTATAATCAACATCCGGACCTCAGTATAATCAACATCCGGACCTCAGTATAATCAACATCCGGACCTCAGTATAATCAACATCCGGACCTCAGTATAATCAACATCCGGACCTCAGTATAATCAACATCCGGACCTCAGTATAATCAACATCCGGACCTCAGTATAATCAACATCCGGACCTCAGTATAATCAACATCCGGACCTCAGTATAATCAACATCCGGACCTCAGTATAATCAACATCCGGACCTCAGTATAATCAACATCCGGACCTCAGTATAATCAACATCCGGACCTCAGTATAATCAACATCCGGACCTCAGTATAATCAACATCCGGACCTCAGTATAATCAACATCCGGACCTCAGTATAATCAAAGACATCCATAGAAGTCACCTTTACTTGGATATACAGGTTGAGAAGTGAAACACTACACATAGGTTGCTAAGCACTAAGATTCTAAAAGGTCTATCTCCGACACGCAAATACAATGCTTCTACACTTCAACTTTAGTTCCCCTGTAAAACATTAACTCACAGTTTTATTTGCTTTTGTTTCATGGAAAAAAATGGTTATACAACGCTATAGCTTATACGATTATGCACGTGCACAAAAGACGATATGAGACTTTAAAATTGCAACTGTGTTTTAAATCCGTAATTGTTCGGATAAACCAGTACATTCAATTAAGCCCGTAAACTTGACTAAACCCGTATATTATTTAGTTAATTCCGTATTTTCGATTAAACCCAGTTTAGGACACAATCTCTTTCGAACGTTTTGTAATCCTTTTCTTACTCAAAAAAGAATTTCCTGACAATAAAGACACAAAAGAAAAGTTTTTCTGTCATTTTTTTTTTTTCTCGGTTTGATACTAATGCTGCAAAAGACTAGGACTTAAACCAGGTAGAATTACGAGATAATTACGGTACTAGATTTCCGCAATGTCCTTCCCAATGCACAAAAACCCAAACATCCATTGCTAGTCTTCAATAGGTTTTTTTACATATCGCGCACACAGCTACGCACATCAGACCAAATTCACGCAAAACTCAGTTCTTTCTGGTGCTAAAAACGTTCCAGACTTGATTAGGCAAAAAACATGAGATTGTACAATTCTCCTCATACCTTTCGATAAGAAAAACCACAAAGCATGGCAAAATCTGTGACCAATAAAGCACACTTATTCGTCGATTACTAAGATTGCAATGGTCTGGATTTGCGGGCCTTTTAGGACGAAGTACGATTCAATAGCTTTGTCGTTATTCTTGTGTTGAAATGAGAGACTAAGCCTTGGTGCAAGTAGTTGTCTAAATTACGTCATTAACTTTGTGCCCCAAAAGAGATTGTTAAAAACGTTGTTCGTCATTCCCCATGTAATTTTTTCGAAAGTGGATTTATAATTCGGCGTTGTTCTTGCGATCACTTAGGTTCCGATTCCGTGATTTTATGATGAATTAGTTTTGTGTCACGGAACACTTTCTAGATTTACGAAATGATTCTTTTTTGCAGATTCTATTTTGCAGATTCTTTTCTGAGTTCTGTTGATGAAATGGTTACGTACAAGTGGTGCTTAGGGTTGATATAAAATGCACTAAAGTCCAACTTTTAATCATGAAACTTGTTCTCTTCTTTCTTCACTATTCAATTCAGAAACTCCACGAAACATGACTGAATTCGAGACTGAGCTTGAAGGTGACCCAAAAAGCAAGTTAGAGAAGCAAAAAACCCCTTCATCATCGTCAGGATCATCGATTCACGAATTTTCTGGCTTCGATGCTCTTGAAGTGCAGGAAATTGCGAGGACTTATACCAATGAGGATACTAGTTCAGCAACCAAATTGAGAAGATACTTGACGCATATGTCACAAGTACCTGGCGTGAATTCAGCTGAGGAAATTGAAGATGAAAGATTGGATCCAAACTCGGAATATTTCGAAGCTAAGTTTTGGGTCAAGAATCAAAAAAAATTGTTTGAGACTCACCCTGACTACTACAAGCCTTCGAGATTGGGTGTTGGTTACAGAAACTTGAGAGCTTATGGTACCGCCAATGATAACGATTATCAACCAACTGTGACCAATGGTCTTTGGAAATACGCTACAGAGGCACTATCAATGTTGAAGAAGGAAGACGAGTCAAAAATGTTCAACATACTTAAGCATATGGATGCTATTATGAGACCTGGCGAGCTTACTGTTGTGTTGGGTAGACCCGGTGCTGGTTGTTCCACCTTGTTGAAGACAATTGCTGTCAACACCTATGGTTTCCATCTTGGTAAGGAATCAAAGATCACCTACGATGGATTGACACCAAAAGAGATTGCCAAACACTATCGAGGCGATGTCATCTACTCTGCTGAAACTGATGTCCACTTCCCTCACTTGTCGGTTGGAGATACTTTGCAGTTTGCAGCCAGGATGAGAACTCCACAAAACAGAGGCGAGAATGTGGATAGAGAAAAATATGCAGAGCACATGGCTGATGTGTACATGGCCACCTATGGTTTGTTACACACAAAGAATACTAATGTTGGTAATGACTTTGTCAGAGGTGTTTCAGGTGGTGAAAGAAAAAGAGTGTCAATTGCAGAAGCATCATTGAATGGAGCTAATATCCAATGTTGGGATAATGCCACCAGAGGTTTGGATTCGGCTACCGCATTGGAGTTTATCAGAGCATTAAAGACGTCAGCAGCAGTCTTGGACACCACTCCGTTGATTGCCATCTACCAATGTTCACAAGATGCTTACGACTTGTTTGACAAGGTTGTTGTATTGTACGAAGGGTATCAAATCTTCTTTGGTCGCGCTGACAAAGCGAAGGAATTTTTCGTCAACATGGGGTGGGATTGTCCTCAAAGACAAACCACTGCCGATTTCTTGACATCATTATCCAACCCATCAGAAAGAAAACCACGCCCAGGGTTTGAAAATAAAGTTCCACGTACAGCTGAAGAGTTCGAAGCACGTTGGAAGAACTCACTTGAGTATGCTGCTTTGATAGAAGAAATCGACGAATACTTTGCCGAATGTGACAACCTCAACACTAAGCAATTATACCATGAATCACACACAGCAAGACAATCGGACCACATTCGCCCTGCTTCTCCATATACAGTGTCATTTGGGTTGCAAGTGAAGTATTTGATGTACAGAAATTGGTTGAGAACTAAGGGTGATCCATCCATCACATTATTTTCAATTTTTGGACAATTGGTAATGGGCCTCATCTTATCATCAATGTTTTACAATATGAAGTCAGATACCAAATCATTTTATTGGCGTGGAGCATCCTTATTCTTGGCTGTGTTGTTTAACGCGTTTTCGTCGCTTTTGGAGATTTTGGCCCTTTTCGATGCAAGACCAATTGTGGAAAAGCATAAGAAGTTTGCACTTTACCGACCATCTGCCGATGCTTTGGCCAGTGTTATAACCGAGTTGCCAACGAAATTCTTTATGTCCATGTCATTCAATATTGTTTTTTACTTTATGGTCAATTTTAGAAGGGATGCTGGAAGGTTTTTTTTTTACTGGCTTATGTGCATAATGTGTACGTTGGTCATGTCACATATGTTTAGATCTATTGGAGCTGTGTCCAATTCGATTGCAGAGGCCATGACTCCTGCCACTGTTATATTACTGGCAATGATTATTTTCACAGGTTTTGTTATTCCAACACCAAAAATGTTGGGATGGTCGAGATGGATCAATTACATTAACCCTGTTGGATACGTATTTGAATCATTAATGGTTAATGAATTTCATAATAGAGATTTTTCGTGTGCAGAGTTCGTACCTTCAGGTGCAAATTATCAGAATGCTAGAAACGCAAACCGTGTTTGTTCAGCTGTTGGATCAATACCGGGAAGTGATGTTGTCGATGGTACAGACTATCTCAAGTTGTCGTATGAATATTACAATGCGCACAAGTGGAGAAATTGGGGAATTACTGTTGGGTTTGTTGTGTTTTTCTTGTTTGTTTACATTGCCCTCACGGAATTCAACAAAGGAGCTATGCAAAAAGGTGAAATTGTGTTGTTTTTGAGAGGATCTTTGAAGAAGCGGAAACAAAAGAGGATGGAAGAGGCTCATGATTCTGAGTTTGGTGGTATGCCAAACGAAAAAGTGTCACGTGAAGCCGAAGGAGAAGCAGCCAGATTCGAAAAGACCGGTAACGCAGATGAAGGGTCCGTAGGATCAACTGAGATACCAAGCAATAGGGAGATTTTCTTTTGGAAGGATTTGACTTACCAGGTTAAGATCAAGAGTGAGGATAGGGTCATTTTGGATCATGTTGACGGATGGGTCAAGCCTGGGCAGATTACGGCATTGATGGGAGCATCTGGTGCTGGTAAGACCACATTGTTGAACTGTTTGTCGGAACGAGTTACTACAGGTGTGATTACTGATGGTACAAGATTGGTTAATGGACATTCTCTCGACTCGTCATTCCAAAGATCTATTGGATATGTCCAACAGCAAGATTTGCATTTGCCGACATCCACCGTTAGGGAAGCATTACAGTTTTCAGCATACTTGAGACAATCGAACAAGATTTCCAAGAAGGAGAAGGATGAATATGTTGACTACATTATTGACTTATTGGAAATGACGAGTTATGGTGATGCTTTGGTTGGTGTTGCCGGAGAAGGATTGAATGTTGAACAAAGAAAGCGTTTAACCATTGGTGTTGAGTTGGTTGCCAAGCCCAAGTTGTTGTTGTTCCTTGATGAGCCTACTTCAGGATTGGACTCGCAAACAGCATGGTCGATTTGTAAATTGATGAGAAAGTTGGCAGACCATGGACAAGCTATTTTGTGTACTATCCATCAACCTTCGGCATTATTGTTGCAGGAATTTGATCGTTTATTGTTCTTGCAGAGAGGTGGTAAAACAGTTTACTTTGGAGACTTGGGCAAGGATTTCAAAACTTTGATCAACTATTTCGAAAAGAATGGGGCAGACCCATGTCCACCAGAAGCGAACCCGGCTGAATGGATGTTGCAAGTTGTTGGAGCTGCACCGGGCTCCCATGCCAAACATGACTATTTTGAAGTATGGAGAAATTCACAGGAGTACCAAGACGTGAGAAAAGAGATTGCCACTATGGAAACCGAATTGTCTAAGTTACCAAGAGATGAGGACCCGGAAGCTAAATATACTTACGCTGCACCACTTTGGAAGCAATATTTAATCGTGACTTGGAGAACCATCGTTCAAGATTGGAGAACACCGGAGTACATATATGCAAAGGCTTTTTTAGTTATCTCATCAGCGCTTTTCAACGGATTTTCGTTCTTCAAGGCTGATAGAACACAACAAGGTTTACAGAATCAAATGTTTTCTGTATTTATGTTCTTTGTTCCGTTCAATACCATGGTACAACAATTGCTTCCTCAATTCGTGAAACAAAGAGATGTTTATGAAGTTCGAGAAGCTCCCTCTAGAACATTTAGCTGGTTTGCATTCATCACCTCCCAACTCACTGCCGAAATGCCGTACCAGATTTTAGTGGGAACAATTGCATACTTTTGTTGGTACTACCCTCTTGGATATTATGCAAATGCTGAACCTACCAACGCTGTTGATCAAAGGGGTGTTCTTATGTGGCTTTTCATCAATTGCTTCTACGTCTACACGAGCACAATGGCTCTTTTATGCATGTCATTCATGGAGCTTGCTGATAATGCCGCCAATCTTGCAACGCTTTTATTCACCATGTGTTTAAACTTTTGTGGTGTGCTTAAAACCGGTGAAGAAATGCCTAGATTCTGGATTTTCATGTACCGTTGCAACCCGTTTACTTATCTAGTGCAAGGTATGTTGGCTACAGGGTTGGCGAACACCTCAGCCAAATGCTCAAGCACAGAGTTGCTAACGGTTGATCCTCCAAATGGACAATCTTGTTCATCATACTTGAAATCCTATGCAGAGGAAGCGGGAGGTTATATTGTCGAAACCAATGGTTGTCAATATTGTACCATCAAGGATACGAACACGTTCTTGGCTTCAATAAATGCCAGGTATAGCGAGAGATGGAGAAATTTTGGACTTGTTATTTGTTTCATTGCAGTCAATATAGTTTTCACTGCATTATTGTACTGGATTGCCAGAGTTCCAAAGGGAAACAGGGAAAAGGAGGGCAAAAAGAAGCTGGAGAAGTGAGAGGAGACGGTGGATTTTTTATAGAGATTTTAGAAGTTAATAATATTTAATAAACTTGATTCTAGTACTCAATTATGGGTTACACTGCAAGTACAACACAGACTTAAATATTATACCCCTGCACTCCTCTTCTCACTTCCCATCTCATCGTTGACATAAGCAGTGATCCAGTTTCCCCACTCAGTAGCCAAATGCCAGCGATGCTGCTCCAAAAGGTAAGTTGGAACGCCACTCGGGAAAAACACTTTTGGTATGATCTCAAAACCTCCATTATTTGGAATCGAACGCATTAAGTGATTCGTGCCTCCAATCACTGTTTCGGTGCCATTTCTATAAGCTGGTCCATTGAACTGATGGGGAAAGTCTTTATCTTCAACAATAGGCAAGTCAGATTTGGCTAGGTAGTTGATAGCAAAATGGGATGGTAAAACAGATCCGCCCGTGGTTTCTACAACCTCCTGTCCCAAGCCAAAAGCGGTACCAAGAGCATAATGATCAGGGCATGCTTGAAGCATTACCTTTTCATCGGAAACCTTTGATTCAAACCATTTTGTGAAACCTTCGGCAGTTCCTTTATTGCTCTTCATGTGAATAGAGCTTGAGGAGAAGCCTGTCAGTGTTTTCAATATCAACAGGGAAACAGCTCCCGAAATGTTAGTTTCTCGTGCCACCAATCTCTTTCTACCATCATGGCTCATTCTTAATTTTGTCTGAACCAAAGCTTCCCGTTCAGCAGCAATATCATCAATGGAAACCTTGGGATTGAACAAAAAGTGTTTGACTTCTTGTTTCAACAGCGACAATAATCCATTTTCAAGTCGTTTTTTGACAACTTGTATGCGTCTCGCCTCCCATCGTAAAATGTCGTCGCGAGGAATTTCAATACCCTTTATGAATGTTTGAATATAAAGACCGGTGTCATTGTTGGATGGCGAGTAATGAGAATTGCTATGTTTCCCATTGCTGGCCACAGAAAAAGCATCATCCTTTGATTCGGGCGAGCGTGTTGTAAATATTGTAGGTAACTCATTTGAAATTGCAATAGTAAGCAATGTGAAAGGAATTGCTTTCCCAAAAATCATTTTGCACCTTGCATGAAAAGTTGCCAAAAATCGGTTAGCCGAAACAGCTGAATTTGCCGTCACCTTATATAGCGTCCTGCGAGGTGGTAATCAGCCCTTGCTTTACTTGATGGTGTCCGTGTTTTGACCCGCAGATTTCTCTTCATGACTAATGCTATATCCGTCCCCGCTTTAACATCAGCTGAAATTTCGTTACACAATTGAAAATGACGGTCATTGCAAATAACAACGTAAAAGCTTGGGGAATTTTTGAGCATCAGTATTTGGCAATAAACCATGTGCCTGTATCTTGCATTGCAGAGCTCGTTGAAGTGATGCACAGCACGTCTTTCAGGTTGTTTCGTATTTTAGTGTACTGTATCAAGTTGTTATCATCACGCCCCCATCCTAATTAAACAAACTCCGAAACAACACAAAAACTTATGGGACGGTTATGCAATGGAAATTAGCTCCGCTTTGGAGTCGTCTGAACTACGCGGACTTTCCATACAGCCATAACGGAGCTAAGCAAAAGAGTTGGTCCATTAGCATGAAACCGTTTTGCACAATGCATCTTCTTGACGAGTAAGAGTTTATCCAAGTCAAGATCGCATTTTGCTAAAATCTGGCTGACAAGTCTCATCAATCATTTGCTTGTAAAAAAAGGGTTAGAACCGCTCTAGATCACTCGTGTCAAGTCTCATGATTTGAATGCATTGAGTTAGAATTCAATATCGGCCATTTGCAGCATTGATACGTGGAAACTTTTCGAGGTAGTCTTATGCGGAAAAGAGACATGATCTGGGCCACTTAAAAGAAGAAGCCGGCATGATATACTTATAGACGTAGCTTTTATTTCGGATGAAACTGTGACGGTTTTTTTTTTTTGCTGGTGTCTTGCGTGGGTGGGTATTGGCTGGCTTTTCTGGGGTATGGTTAAGAAGAGAATTTTAAAAAGCGTTGGAGGGGTCTTTATTTATGCCAACGCACCTTTTGGTTAATGGTTAGGTGTGATTATACGGTCCCGAGCAAGCCACTTTTGCAACCATTGCTAATTTATATTGAATGAAAGCTGCTGCCTAATGATTTTTTGGTTCCTATTTTAGCGTTTCTGTCTCACTACCATAGGGAGTTGCAGCGCGGAGAGTGGTTGTAAAATTTATTTTACGTCAAATCTATTTGGGAACATTTTGGCACAAAATTTGAAGAGGACTGTTAACGAGAAAAAACGAGAATGTTTTTTTTATTAATCACCTTATTCTATTTAAAGAGGTGTGTTTTATTTAAAATTGTATACTTCACGGACTGGGCATGCTAGTTTTGGGGAGTTTTTCCTCCAACACATCGTTCTCAGATTTGTCTAAAACAATTGCCGGAACTCCCTCTTCGTTGTACAAAACCTCTTCTCTAACTTGATTTGAATCATCCTGATACTTTCTCACCATATTGTCACCTAGCCTTTCCCATAATAGGCTCGATAAATCTTCCGGTGAATATATTGCCTTTTCATTGGGCCCTTCTTCGAGTTTGTCCCAATGGTCCCAGTCATGGGGGCTCATAGGGGGGCTGATTAAAAATCGTTTCAGATTTAGGTCATGGGGGAGCTCCAAATAATTCATTTGTGAATAGTCTTCCCCAGCTGTAGCGTCAAGCAAGTCCTGTTTGTTTATCTCGAACCGGTTATCTTTGATGCTATATGACACTCGAAGGAAGTTCCACCTGGAGTCCCGCAATAACAAGTCTTTCATTGATTGAGCGACTCGACTCGATTCACAAATGAGAATGAATCGACCAAATTTAGGCAATATTATTAGCTGTACCAAATCATGTGTATTAGAAATAACATCAATCAAATCGTGGGGGTCTTGCAATAGCTCATCACTCAAGTTGGTTATTATAAGGGTGTTGGTTGGTGATCGTGGCATTGCTACTGAACATAGAGGGAATTTTTATCAGAGACTTTGCGCGCACTTCAAATATTTACAATATCTCATCTCAATTAAACGTCTACTAACGAAGGTTCATCATCTTTTTCATCTTTGGTTCGTCCTTGGAGTCATTTAATTCGTCTTCATGCAACCTCTTTGCCGACTTGTTCATGTCAAACAAAGACCAAAACTTTAAGTTTTCATCACCAGCGACAGTTGCGAGTGTGAGATTGTCCGGACTCAAACAGCCATTCAAAATCCTCGTGTCATGAGCATTGACAATTTCTCCAGTTTTTTGTAATGTAGGGTAACTAAACAATGAGATGCTATTTGTTGGGAACCCATGTGTGGCAACAATCTCCATTCCTGTGCCATGTGCGTACCCCCAGTTTAATGAGCTCACCTGTGATCCTGTTTCAATTGTGTTTACTCTAGCACCTGTAGTAGTATTCCAAAAATTGATTGTCTTGTCATTGGAACCACCTCCTGTGGCCAATAATGAGGGCTGGTAAGGGCACCATGACAATGCTTTAACCGCGGCTTTATGATTATTTTTAGTGAATAATGGAGTAGTGTTTCTGACATCCCAAATGTTGACGACATTATCATTCCCACCAGTGACAAATTGCTTACCATCGTGCTTGTATTCGATGCCACATATCTCTGAATCGTGACAGTTTTCAGCTTTTGCACTTAGATGTGATGACACTCTGACATCGGAATGGTACAAGCTTCCTATCCTGCTTCCACTGGTCAAGACATGTTGATTCCATGCTTGTGATGCAACTCTTGTCAAATGGTTATCACAATTTAGTGTCCGTAATTTCACATTCTTTTCAATATCCCAAATTTCAATAAGTCCATCATCTTTTCCTATTGAAACGTAGGAGCCATCCTGCGACCACTTCACCGAGGAAACTAGAGCTTTATCGGGGAGCTCACATAAAAGTCCGACTGATCCAGTGGAGGCGTTCCAAACATAAACAGCATCTTCAAGTCCAATTGCCAAAAGGTTATACAGTGACCATGCTAGTAAATTCAAATAAAAATCGTCAACCAATCCAGGTGCATCCAAGACTCTCTCTGGAGAAGAAGGGATCTTTTTCGCTCTCGCTGATGCAATTGATGGTGGAAGTGAGTGTTTCCCAATTTTAAGCTTGCTTGATTGTGATAGGTGAGTCGCAAGATTAACAGGCTTTTTTCTTTCAGGTGGTGGAGGTTGGTAAAGTAATATTCTTGAGTTTACTTCAAGACCACATGCTTCCGCCACATGATGTTGATATATCTTTGATGTTTGTGCTTTTATATGTGTTTCTGGAGACGCATTTGGTGCCGGTGATGCAGTAGACGAGTCGAGCTTGCCGCTTACAGAGTTATGTCGCGATGGAATAAACCTATCAGGCAAGTTGATCGAAGATTGTTGCGCATCAGCTAATGAGCTATTTGATCGATGGAGTAACGAGTTGGAGCGACGAAATGAAGGCGGCACATTTGTTGATGGAAGCGTCAATGAAGTTTTAGACCTTTGTTCCAATTTAGGCTTGAGTGAAGAGGGTAATTGTGGTCTTTGGAACTTGGATTCTGTAACATAATGCGGTGGTTTAATTATTGACTCCGACAATGGTTTAGACTTTTTCAAAACATTTGGACTCATTTGTTTGAGTAACTCCCTCTTTGAAGGTGAAAGTAATGATTCGGTCGCCGACATTGGCCCACTTACGTAACGTTTCTCATGTTTGACTTCTGACACATCGTCATTCTCTTTACTGGGCGAGTTGGGCATTGAGCGCTTAAGCTTAGTACTTGGTGACAATGCCAATGTCGACATATTTCAAACGAGGGTAAAAAATTCAATCCAAAGGGTCGCTTCAGGAATTAACCAGTGAGTTTGATACAACGAATAGTATGAGCTGATGCTGAATTCCGAATGAACTTTTTGATATTTTAAATTTTTTTACTATTTTTAAGCGATTTCACATTTATTACGTTTGTTTACTTTTTCCACTAATTCGGATAATTGAGTGCAATATTGGAAAAAGCAACATCAAAAATTTAAAGCTACAGGGAGGAACAAAAGCAATCGTTTCAAGTGGGCTTTAAAGGTAAAACGGCCTCATCGTAAAGTGTGAGCAAGGTGAATTGTGGACCAACAAAGCTGTGTGGTTACCAAAAAACGGTGATGTTTTGAGGAAAAGAAGCACTACACAAAGCTTCAGTTATGTGATGTGATCTAGCAAGTGGCTCTAGAGCGCACACTCTCGTCCCCTCTCCACTACTCGATTGACGTATGATGGCCGCTGTTGCGTTGTTGCGTTGTTGTGTACCCTTGTTGCAATGTTTGCCCAATCGGAGTTAAACGCTACCTTTTGAAAGAAAAAGAGCAAAATCGGTGAAAACTCGTTGACACCCAACACCACCACCACAGCCTTCTTACCGCCTCCCACGCCATGCCTGCATACCATTCCACATTCCTTGGAGAAGAATCTCAAGACGCTAGAACAATTGGTAATCTATCACTACTCCCCTTCAAAACCAAGTTTCGTGGTCCTGCTTTCGAAACGGATCAAGATTATGATATAGTGGAGGAGACATTAGACTTGTTTAGAGCTAATTCGTTTTTCAAAAACTTTGAAATCAAAGGCAATGCTGATAGGTTGTTGATTTATGGAATCTTGTTTATTAGCGATTGTTTGGGGAAGCTCAATAAAACGATGCCACACCGAGAAGCAACTAGAGTATTGAGTAATTTGAGTCTTGACAATTTCGCTTTACCCGGTGATATCTCGTTCCCATTGAATTCATTGTACTTGCCACCAAAGACTAGAGCTGATGCTGATTTATTGAGGGGTTACTTGACGCAGTTTAGACAAGAGTTGGCTGAAAGGTTATTAAATAGGATTTACGCAGACGGTGGAGACGTACCTAGTAAATTCTGGTTGGCATTTACAAAGAGAAAGTTTATGAACAAGAGCTTGTAGTTAGGGAATATATACACCTACTCGTTTTTGATACTCGACATAGTCTTGTCCGTAGAATTTATTCACCAACATCCACTCCTCATATGCAATACGCTTGGTAAAGAAATAATGGAGGATTAGAATATCCAAAACTAGGTTAGTATAAGTATTCAACAACAACTGCGTCCCTATTACATACAACCAGAAACCAAGATAGCTCGGATGCCGCAGGATTGCATATACTCCCGAGGTTACCAATTTGTGATGCGGCTTTCTCACAGTTGCAATATAATGGTTAAAGGAATCACTGCACTGCTTCATTGCCAAATGTCGCATATACAAGCCAACAATAGCAATAGCAGCACCAATTACAGCCGTTAATCTGTGCTCGCCCCATGGTTTGAACAACACTTCCACCACGGTTAGCATTTGCATCCACCAAAACTCCTGATTACCCCTGCTGCCGTATATCAAAAATGACTTTGAAGTGACTGAGCGGGGTTGATACGATGCTGTGTTGAAGAACTCTGTAACAAAGTACACTTTCAAGGTTAGAAAGAAAATCACCAAGAAAACATAGTTGGAGTGGAATAGTGCCCATAGATCAACCACCAATAATGACCCAAGGGCGAAGCAAACAAAGAATACTTCAATCAAGGATACTTTTGACGGTGAGTACAATGGTCTCACTGGATTCACACCACTGTTCATGGCAAAAGAAAAAGCGATTATTATTATTATTTTTTTTTTTTTTTTCAATTTTTTCATATCTTTGGCCATGAATCAACCACATAGAACCCTTGAGGCGATGCTAGATGATGATTCACCATATGCTAGATATGACCCAGCAAAAAACAGCTTGGTAAAAATTTCATCAAAGTCGTTTCTATTAGGCGTTGTGTTTACTGGTGCATTGATTGGCGAATTGACACACCCGAGGTTGATACCACTATGTTTATACCTACAGTTCCTTTGCATATTCCATAGCCTTGAGTTTGGAATGACATACTTGTATAACAATAGCCAGACCGATGACGATTCGTTTATTTTGGAGGATAGAGAGTTTCACTTGATTACGGTGATTTCAATTGTAGAGTACCTTGTTTCCCCATTCCATCTCCACGTTGTACCTATTGGATTGTTACTAGCTCTACTGGGTCAGTTGGTGAGGACCCTCAGTATGGGCACAGCACAGGAATCATTCAATCATTATATTCAAAAGTCGGGAAAGGAAACCCACACGCTTGTCACGCAAGGGGTGTACAAGTACATTCGTCACCCAAGTTATTTTGGCTTTTTCATTTGGTTTGTGGGGCTCGAGCTACTATTAGGAAATATCTTGATTCTTGTTGTAGGAGGTATCATCCTATGGAGATTCTTTCGTGATAGAATTCGTTACGAAGAAGAATACCTCATCAAGATGTTTGGTGCCGATTACCAGTCCTATAGAGCAAACACTAAAACCTGGTTGTATATATAAATTAATCGTTTATTACTAGCTCATTTATTTCTCTTTCTTTGGGTCGACGCCGAGCCCATTGATATTCCTGTACATCATGACCCCGTCTTTACCATCAACGTATTGACACCATCTAGCAGATTTCCATAAACTCTTCCACATGTTTTCATTTGAGTGTTGGTAGTGAATACCCATTACTTTCTTGATAGCTTCACTAGCCTCTCTAGCATTGTAGAATGGAATTCTAGAAACATAATGATGCAAAACGTGAGTTTCAATAATATCATGGAAAATGTGTTTACCAACAAAACCAAACTCACGATCAATTGTGGCGGCAGCACCACGAGCAAAAGTCCATTGATGGGCTTCATAGTGTGGCATTTGTGGGTCTGAATGTTGCAAATAAGTAATAAACACTAACCAGTGGTTGACAAAAAGATATGGAAGGAAATAATTGACCAAAAAGTTGAAACCACCAAAATTCTTGTACCAAGTGTAAAGAATAGTACATTGAATCAAAATACCAACATCTGACAACAAAATATAGTAGTAATCCTTTTTATCGAAAAGTAATGAGCTTGGGTTGAAATGGTTGACTTGCATCCATGAAGCACCTGGGAATTTTGGTCCACTAACATTGGCAAAAAGGTAGGCAATCCATCCAAAAGTTTGTTGGAAAACCATTTGCAACAAAGAAAACATTGGTGAATCACCCAATAAATCATCCAAATCTTCAACACCGCGACTTTGCAAAAATTGCTCCTTGGTCTTTGGAATAAAAACCATATCTCTAGTCAAATGACCAGTGGCTTTGTGATGCTTACTGTGACTAAACTTCCATGAGAAATAAGGAACTAACAAGTATGAATGCAATACCCAACCAGTCAAGTCATTAACCCAACCATAATCACTAAAGGCTTGATGACCACATTCATGGGCAAGAACCCAAATACCAGTGGCAATTAAACCTTGACACCAAACATAACCTGCCCAAGCGGCAAATCTAACAAATTGGTTAGGAAGCAATTCAATGTAGTTGTTGGCAATATAACCCAATGTTACCATCATGAAAATGTCTCTGAAGACGTAGTAAAAAGATTCTAATAATCTACGTTCATAACAATGGGATGGAATAGCTGACAAAATGTCCTTGATTGAGTAATCTGGGACTTTGAAAGTATTACCATAAGTATCAATGGCGGTCAAGTTGGTCTTATAACCATTGGGCGTTGTTTTGAAACTAGCGACATTGCCCTTTTTCTCAACTTTGGTGGTTGATGCGTCGTTGAAACTCGACGAGTATGATGAAGTTGTGGCTGAAGACATGACTTGGACTTGGTGGATCTATACGTCTATAAGGTATTCTATCCTGAGAAGTGATCTCTCTATAAGTAAAGGGGAAATTCAAATCAATGAGTTTAATGGAAAACGTGGCTTGATTTTAATTGCAAAAAAAAAAATCAACAACCTGGGAAATCTCAACAAATCAGGCAAAAAACGATGGTTTGATTAACAGAAAGAACGAGTAGCGGTAAACAACGAGTCGTCAAAATCTATAAAGAAGAGAAAAGACTGTATAAATATAAAAAAATGGGGAGATAATCGGGTTGTAAAAAAATTGGAAAGAAAAGAAAGAAAAAAATTTTCAATCACAAAAACAGCATCATATTAGACATCAACAACAAAAACTAAACCACAAAAACTCATCGCCCAATGTATAAAGGTTTTGTTGAGTTCTAATGTGTACACTATTCTGTAGAGACCCGTAGGACAAGAAAAAAATTAGGAACAGAGACAATACAAACAAAAGAAATACATGTAAAGGCAGAGAGACACATAATCAAACAATAAATCCAATAGAGTAGATCTTTATTGGGTAAAAAAATTTGTATGTTAACCGCTTATACATATCTTGCACATGAAACGTGGAGCAATAACAAAAAGGCGTAAACGATAACGTACAGGGGAGAGAGGTATACAGTCAAGGGGCGAAGAGGCGTCATGATGTTCATCTCATACCAAAATTTGTCAGATGCAAAACAGAAGAATTGACGCGGTTTGATGATCCTCATTGGCTGATAATCCCTCGGCTTACAAAAAAAAAATAAAACAAGCAAACATCAACCAGCCGAAGAAAGCATATGTTTAGCAAAAGTTAGACTCAATGGAAAAAGATCGTCTGTCATACGTTTGAACTTAGGGGGCTCTACCTGTCATCGCTCTTCCAATTTCTCATTGCCTCATTTAGTAAAATTGTTGAAAAAATTACGCCCCTCGACCAATTAACTGTAAACAATCCAATTTTTATTTTAATAAACAGTGCATTTTTTTTTTTTAAGAAAAAATAAGTATGAAAATTTAAGTGAGACAATTTAAGTGGTTGCACAGTTCCATAAAAGGCTATGGTCAGTTTGATTGAAAATGATAAGAGCAAAAGAAATCAATATCAACCACTCTCAGTTACATGCAATCTTGGCAATAAATCAAACTACCACTACCACAGTTGTTGCTCATATATATCATTGGTAAAACCTTTTCTTGCACACATACATATTCTCTAATTGACGACAAGCGGAAGAGACCCCCGAAACGAAAAACAAAAGAAATTTCTTTTTTGGCTCGCATCGAAACTGAAACACACACCTTTCAACTTTAGTTCTAGTTTGTTTAGCCGTTTCTCTCTCCTATTTTTTTTTTTTTTTTTTTTTCCTTCTTCACATTATTGTACGTAAATACACGACACTCCTTCCTCCTATATATCAATTGCCCCACTAAACAACAAAACATACACCGGACTTAAGAATAAAATCACTTCTACACTAACGCATCTTGACTGGTATGTAATCTATTTCACATCTCTATCTTTAGCGAATGTTACTCAATCTAGTACTATTCATATGAACATTGATATCCAACTTATCAGCATCTTCTTCAATCTTCCTTAATCTAACATTTTGACTATCCACTTCTTTACCCATGGTGTTGGCGATACCATGCAACTTCTTTGCATATGATCCAATTTGATCTAAATTACTAGCAATCTCCTTTTCAGCTTCATCATCTTCAGAATCGTTTTCAAATTGATATCTTTGTGCTTGTTGTAGATACTTTTCATTTTGATACTTGTGATGTACATCATTATCAGTAGCATTATTCATAATTCCTTGTTTCAATCGCTGCTCACTTTCATACATATTTTGACGATTAGTTTCACGAAGATACTTCTCTTGCATCTTACGATTCTTTATATTTTCCTCTTGTTGACGTAATCTTGACTTCTTGTTAAAAGGGTTACCATATGCTGGGATAAAAATAGAACGATTCAATCGTCTCAACTCTTTGACTTTTTCATCAGCAATTTGCGTTTGCGTATCAGCCAATAACAAGTTTTGTTCAGCATTGTATAATCTCTCCGATTGTGATCCCAACATACCCAATGTATTTGTACCTGACGCGTCAGCCTCCTGAGCCATTCGAAGCGTGTTTCTTGTCGATTGGACAGACTCTTGTTTGACAAATCTAATATCCTGTTTAATAGCTTCAACTTCTTCATCTTCTGAATTCACTTGCTCTTCCTCTGGTATATCCAAATTTAAATTTAAATCTTCTTCTTCGTTAAACTCTTCATTCAAATCCAACTCCTCTGAATCAAAAGCTTGTTTCCTAATAGGTTTGCTATTTTGAAACATTTGATGGGATGAAATAGCATTCAAGTCGAGTGACTCTGTATCAGCAGTAGATTGTCTAGTAGACATCCTACTCACTCTATTTGAAGCATCTCCGCCATTTGAATTTGCCTGTCCTCGCTGCGACGATGCCGCCACTGGTTGTCTTGACGTGGGTCGACTATATGGATCCTGTCCACGAGCTTGAACTGGTGCTTGTGCTTGTGCTTGTGATGACGGTGCTTGTCGTCTACTTGGTGCAGAATACGGATCTGATGCAACTTGTGAATGTTCCCCATAACGAGTTGAGTTTCCATATGGATTGGAACCTGAGCCACTGCGAGTTTGACTTTGATATGGTGACGACGAACGTCCGCCATTGCTTCCTTGTTTCAGATCAACGGATGCACCGGATGAGCTATTGCCGTTACTAGCATATGGATTCTGAGCTGGGTCTTTATTCTGCAACTGCGCATAGGGATTACTTGGTGCCATAGCAGGTCTCATTTGCGCCCTTTCTTGAGCATAGTTTTTGAATGCTCCAAATTTTTCTTCTCTTGTATTGCCAGATTTAGTAGTTATACCGACCCTGTTCAAATCCTCACGGATCTCCTGCTCCGTAGGATCTTTCTTCATAAACATTTTCTTGATACCCATCGTGTATGAAATTTGTTTGATATGCTTGTGGCCAAGAGGAAGGTTTATTCTTTTGTGAAAACAATTTAGAATTTTTTGTTGCGCTGGAGAATGATCAAAAATAAGCCACTGTCGTGAACACTGTCGCGACATTAGTTTTACGACACTGCCTTTTAAAAGCGGGGAGTCTTGGAGTTGCCTTCCACCATAAAATAGAGTGCTAACACAATCTTTGAAACTGTCAGTTCTTAGGAGTTGAGTCGAAAAGTCGGAAACCCTCGTGCAGAAAGGCCCTCTGCTAGTATTTGCAGGAATCTTCGAATATACTTTGAAATCTCACACATTTAGCCACTTCCATTCGATGTTAGTGACTTGACCAGACTTCTCACCAACATCAATGCTTCCGACATTACCCCTCTCCTTTAAATGCCTACTTTTGTCGCTCGCTCAATTCCGTTGCCTAATTTTTTGCAACCAAACTTGAATCCGGGTATTTCCGGATGGCCGGGTCAGATTTTTTTTTTTTTTATGCGATTACGGCTAGAGAACTAAAAACGTTGTAACTAATCTAACGCAAGAGAAATAGCTAGTCATCTCAGTTACTACAACTGCCTTTTAGCTGGATTTTGCCGCATATATGTACCCACTCAATCTATCCCACCACCATCGTAATTTGAACCAACTCTATTCTTTCTTCTGTGTCTCCCGATATCGCGATTCTTTTTTTTTTTTTTTCCCCACCCTCGCAAATATATATTGACTCTTAATTTTTTTTTTTATTTTTTTTTTTTTCACCAACGTTGATTTACTTCTTCCATCACCAACACGATTCTTTCACCAAATGGCTCCAACTAACACGATTGAAAAGAAACCAATCAGTTTCTCCAACATCCTCCTAGGTGCTGGGTTGAATATGGCAGAATGTACCACCTTGGGACAACCATTGGAAGTTATTAAAACCACCATGGCCGCTAACCGATCATTGACCATGGCCCAAGCCGCCAAACTCGTCTGGAGTCGTGGTGGTGTCTTGGGATTCTACCAAGGCTTGATTCCATGGGCATGGATTGAAGCCAGTACTAAAGGTGCCGTATTGTTGTTTGTTTCCGCTGAAGCTGAATATCGATTCAAGACATTGGGGCTCAGTTCATTTGTTAGTGGAATGGGTGGGGGTATTGCGGGTGGGTTGGCTCAAGCTTATTTGACAATGGGGTTCTGTACATGTATGAAGACTGTTGAAATCACCAGAGCTAAACAAGCAGCAGTTAGTGGTGCTCCACAACAAACCAGTTTTCAGGTGTTTAAAGATATTTACAAAAGGGAAGGTATCAGAGGTATCAACAAGGGTGTCAATGCTGTAGCAATTCGTCAAATGACCAATTGGGGTTCTCGTTTTGGTTTTTCAAGATTGGCTGAAGATGCAATTAGAAAATTATCAGGTAAAGGTGAAAATCAAAAATTGTCCAATGTTGAGAAAATCGCCAGTAGTGTTATTGGTGGTGGATTAAGTGCTTGGAATCAACCAATTGAAGTTATTAGAGTTGAAATGCAAAGTAAAACTAATGATCCAAATAGACCAAAGAATTTGAGTGTTTGGGGTGCTGCTAAATACATTTATCAAAATAATGGTATCAAGGGATTGTATAGGGGTGTTACACCAAGGATTGGGTTGGGAGTATGGCAAACGGTGTTTATGGTTGCCTTTGGTGATATTTTCAAAAAATTGTTAAACACTGAAGGTACAGGACATTAAAAAAGAAATAGAGTGTAATGAACTTTTTTCGTATATTTTCTAGATTTAGCGTTGTGTTCCCCACCTATCGTAACTATACAATCCAATCAAGGTTGTGAATAACCCTGCTGTTTGCAAAGGAGTGAAGTTCTTAGCTTCCCAAAGAAACGACATCAATATAATAAATATTCTTTTCAAAATATTTGCAATTGAATAATCAATGGGTGATAATAGTCCCAAAATTTGAAATGCAATAACGGTTTGAATGAAATGGCCCAACCCATTTATAACCACCAACGACAATATAGTCAAATCCAATTGCGCTAGGGAAAAAGTATTGTTGAAAAATTCCGAAGCAATGTGGATGGGACACGTGAATAAGAATCCCACTATAGAACAATAGAAAATGATTGTCAAGTTGTCCAATTTTTTACGTCCCTTTTCCGAAATGGGGATCGATTTCGATTCTTGTGGTGTTACAGTATTTGGTGTTAATTTGCTTTTGGCAAACATATTTTGACTAACAAAGATCAACATGGAAATAAATGCAAATATGAGCCCAGTCAGGTAGCTGCTGTTGTTTGTTGGGGCTACAACTTGACCCGATGTGCTTGGAATAGATTTTTTCTTCAGTTTGTAACAAGTCATCATAATCCCCACACTAAGTGGAATCAATGTAAGGTAGGTTCTTAGTTTGTAACGTTTGTTAAGGATAAATCGATACACTAACACAGTCACCAATGGACTCAATGCTTTGATGGTGTGCACGAGCGACACAGGTATATCAGATGTTGCCTTGTGACTAGTCAAATGACCGATAAATTGGAAGCACCCCATCGGCACAGTTGTAGAAAGGATAAATCTTGTCGGTATGACAAATTGTCTAATTGATTTATTCTGTGGGAGGATGCTGGATGGAATGATTCGTTCATTAGTGTAGTGGTTTGAGATAAACAACAAAAGCAAACTAGAACCGGCGTTCATGAGAAATTGTAGCTGAGTAACTGTGACAGGGTACTTGTATTTTGTTAAAATCAACTTGATTGAGTTTGACGAAATGATGGAGAAAAAATACCAAATAAAACATAATGAACAAATGGTGTAATTGACTGGTGGGACTAATGCCTTAATTTTCCCCAACCACAGACTAACATTCCTACCATTTGCTGCCAGTCGTTGTTTTATATCAAAATATTTTGGTTCTGGTGAGGTTGTTTCCGATGCTGGTGGTGTCATTGGTAGCATGCTTTTAAGTGAAGTGTAAGATGAAGCATGTGAACCTAATAATGGCGGTGTGCCCAACTGGTACTGGCCAGAATTGATGGAAGTGGTTGAATCGTTGAATCCAGAATAAAACGTGGGCGACCCAAGTTGATTATGATGCTGTATCTTGGACAAATTTGTTGATGAATAATTGGGATTAACCTGCGAGGATGAGTAGAAGTTATTGATTCTGTGATGTTTCAAATGCTGCTTAGATTTCTTCTTTGGTGATGATGGTGCCGTTTTGGTTTGATGATGATGATGTTGTTGTTGTTGTGGTGAGTTTGATTGAGGCGGTGTCGGTGCATAGTGTGAATGTGCTATGCTGTCAGTTGAGGACTGAACATCATCATTGAGGTAGATATTCAGTTTATACATCTGTGATGAGATAAAGTTAGATCTTGTGCTTGAGATCTATAAATAAAAGGATGAAGTAAATCTCAACAATGTTGTTTCTCGGAAAGAGAAAAGGATGAAATTTTTCCGTTGCGTGTGTGTGTGTGTGTTTATAGTTTTTCAAGGCTGAAAAGGCACAGACACAGACACAGACACAGACAAAAAGCACAACAGACAGACACTTTTTTTTACAACATATGAGTAGTATCCAACGAAAACCACATTCATTCAAAGTGAGTCATCTACACCATGTTTAACAAATTTATGGCTCTGCATTTGTGGTCAAATGCCAGCGCTATACCAAGATATCGCTTTTGCATAATTCTCGCCGTATTGAATGATCTTTTCGAAAAATCGTTGTGCAAAACAGCAGTGATAATAATTCAAATTAATGACAACTTTAGACATCGATGAAGCTTCTCTTTTGACAAGCAAAGTGGATGTATGTCAGTGAACGATTTAGAGTAAGCAAATTCTACAAATGAGTATCTCTCTTTCACATTTACACGATAAACAAGCTCATATATTTAACAATTAAATTAGGTATTATTGTCCCAACCTCCTTCGTATCAGCAAAATTGACCCCGTACAGGTCCCCTACACCACTCTCAAAAAAGAACTCCTTGGTATCGTAATGGGTAGAATAAATCCCAAGGCAATCCGCTAATTCCAATCATTTTGAGAAAAATTTGATGGACACAAGTATATACTCAACAGTTTCAGATTGACAGACTTGCCACTCAAAGACTTGGATAATTGAAATTTCAATCTCCATGTCAACAAGTTTATAGAAAATTGTGATTTACACAGATTAGTTACTGTAGAGACAAACATATATCGTTTACTTTCGACAGAACGATACAAATCGAATCAGATACCCCGCAAGATTTATGTAACTGGTTACAGATAAACCGAAATGATGATTTTGCATCTTGAAATACAGATTCCGCAAAGTTGAATTATTTGCTAAACCACGGTGTTGCAAAAAAAAAAAAAAAGGATAATAGCAAGAGATATCGAAAAAAAAAAAATAAGAAAACGAACATATTTTTTTTTGTGAAAAATTCGGGGTCTTAGGTATAATGTGTGTAGGTCTTAGGTACAATGTGTGTAGGCCTTAGGTACAATGTCTGTAGGCCTTTGCCACCATCCACCTTCAATAATGCGCATCACCTGTTTCAATCGTGTTCACTGCTGCCAATAAAATTTAATTTTGGCTCTTTCATAATCAACCATGTACAAACTCATTACTTATAATGATGAACGAGAGAAGATGAAATGGAAAACTCAATTCTAAACACCCATTTCAAACAAACTCTGATATAATGGAGCTGTACATGTCGTGTAGTATAGTACGCCAAATGGATGTAACGACAGCATTCCTAAACGGTGACATTGAGGAAGTGATGTCAACAATTCAAAAAATAAAGGAGCATTCAGTGAGGAGAATGAAACAAATATTTTGTATACTGTTGTTGCCAATGTACAAATACAATTGGGCAAATTTCCTTACTAGAATTTTGGCAGGCGCACTACCTTGATCCCATTAGAATAAGATATACCCCTTGTCACCACTGTAAACATATTGTTCTTCGGAAGCACCACAAAGGAGATCTACCCTATAGCTCTCCTGTGTAATGGTATCAATAGTGTACTTTTTTATGCTTCTCGACAGCAAAAAGGGCACTCCATCGATGTATACAACTTTGTGAATTTCACAAGAGTTTCACACTAGTAGAGAGAGATTTAACACACTTTTTTAGTCACCGGAAAGATAGAGAGAAAGATATCTATATATATCGGAAAAGCATCCATAACCGACCGAATCTTTCATCTACCCCATTATTGAATACACATGACACATGTCAAGTCTAGCTTTATACACTCTCAAACAATTAGTCAAACGAGCCGTATCAGATGATTTAGACGATTCACCAGATACTCCAGCAGTAGGAGATGACCCGTTGGAAGATTCCAACCCCGTTGAAAATGAAATCTTTTCTTCATGGGCATTATTCATTTTGTTATTGTTGTTGATGTTGGCTTTATGGTCGTCGTATTTCCTACAACAGAGGAGGATTAAAGCCATTCATGAAACTGTATTGTCAATCTTTTGTGGTATGATTGTCGGTTTGATTATTAGACTTAGTCCTGGCCATTATATACAAGATGCAGTCAAATTCAATCCGGGATACTTTTTCAATATATTGTTGCCTCCCATCATTTTGAATAGTGGGTACGAACTACATCAAGCAAATTTTTTCAGAAATATTGGTAGTATCTTGACATTTGCCATTCCAGGGACATTTATATCATCGTTAGTAGTGGGGATTATTGTGTACATATGGACATCAATTGGATTGGATAGTGTTAAGTTGGAGTTTGTTGATGCATTGGCAGTCGGAGCTACATTATCAGCCACTGACCCGGTAACAATTTTGTCCATATTCAATGCTTATAAGGTTGATCCAAAGTTGTATACAATTATCTTTGGGGAGTCCTTGTTGAATGATGCCATCTCCATTGTCATGTTTGAAACTTGTCAAAAATTTCATGGACAACCAGTCAAATTTTCATCATTGTTTGAAGGTATTGGCTTGTTTTTGATGACATTTACCATTTCAACAATCATCGGCATTGCCATTGGTATACTAGTGGCGTTAATTTTAAAACATTCACATGTGAGGAGGTACCCCCAGATTGAAACTTGTTTGGTTTTGCTTTTTGCCTACCAGTCATATTTCTTCTCCAATGGTGCTCATATGTCAGGTATTGTATCTTTGCTATTCTGTGGAATCACACTAAAACATTATGCCTACTACAACATGTCTAGACGTACTCAAATTGCTACAAAATACATTTTCCAATTACTAGCACAATTATCAGAGAATTTCATTTTTATTTACCTCGGCTTGTCATTATTCACCGAGGTTGAGCTTGTGTTTAAACCAATGTTGATTATTGTTGCATTTATTTCCATTTGTGTTGCTAGATGGTCAGCAGTTTTTCCATTATCAAGATTTCTCAACTTTTTGTACCGCGCTAGGCTTGAGAAATATAGTGGTATCTCAAGCATGAACTCCAATGGCAGCTTGTCGTTAAATGTACCTGATGAGATTAGCCATTCGTACCAAATGATGATTTTCTGGGCCGGTTTGAGAGGAGCAGTGGGTGTTGCGTTGGCTATGGGATTTGGTGGTGACGCCAAATGGACCTTGCTCGCAACAGTGTTGGTTGTTGTTGTGCTAACTGTCATTTTGTTTGGTGGTACAACAGCGTCGATGTTGGAGATTTTGGGTATAAAGACCGGATGCATTGACGAAACTGCAGATTCCGATGACGAGTTTGACATTGAAGCACCTAGATTCCCGCTTCAGGCAAACCTCACCTCACAACCAAACATTCTTGGAAGTAGGAGATTCATGAAATCACAACAAAAAGTTGCCCCGTTCAAAGATAGCACATCCAATAACTCATCAGCGGTTAATTTACTCGACAATGAAGCAAACCCAAATATTGACGATGGTGGAGACGACGAAGAGGAGTTGATTGGCAGCGATGTTGACGAATATAGATCAGGATCAATGTCATCACCAATTTACAACAATTCAACATCCAATGGTGATAGAGGAGTCCTAGGAGCTATTCTCAGTGCAGAGGAACACGCTAGATGGTTTACTAGATTCGACGAAGAGGTTTTGAAGCCAGTTTTATTAGACACGGTACCTGGTATCCAACCCAGTGCCAACAATAGTAGCAGTACAAACTTGAGTGGTAGCAGAAGGGATTAAATACACATATAGGTAGATTTTTGGACTCAATAAACACTACTATTTAACCGATGTTGCTCTCTATCGGCAATGGCAATGTCTATAACCCATTTGGCAAGCTCATACGCTTTAGCATTCAAATTGAGTTCATTCAATAGCCCATTAAACTGGATGCAGATATTGTAAAACTCATGGTACTCGAGATTATTCAAGTCTGATATCAAATGTGTTTTGGGCTTGTCTGATCCAACGTATACCGATGCCGGCAAGTAATCTCTGTAGTTTGTGGAAGCACGAATCGACTTTTCCAACAAATTGAGAACATTTGCTATATCTGCTGTGGTTACAACATTCAATGAGTCTTCCACAACTGACCGTTGAATGATATTAGACACTGCGATGATTGCGTTACCGAAATTGACCGGGTCTCTCACTCTCGACTCACAATCTCTTTTCAAGGTAACTCGGAAAAGAAGTCCAAAGTTTGACTCCAAGATATGCAGTCTGACATCAGAAGCAGCAGCATCAATCTTTTTGCTCTCGATTGATTTGATCAGTTTGATTTGAGATGTGATGTAGCTTGATAAATGTTGTGGCAAATACGGGGAGACCAATTTTAAGACAGGTGCACCGACTTCATTGCGTAAATAAGTGACCCATGTTCCCTCACTCCCTGGTTTCTCCTTATTTGCATCACCGCTCGTTTCATCCAAGGATGATGTAAACGAGTTGCCAAAAAGGTTTTCATCCCTTTTGCTTTTAAAACCCGTGTCAATTTCCTTTTCCATCGACTTTTGCCAATTCTTTAAAGCTCTCATATCGCGAGCACTCCTCTTGTTGATATGTAAACTAACTTCTCTTATCACCAATGAACATTCTTCAAAAAACGCTGGCCATAAATTTTCCTTCTTGGATCTTGCGCTGAAAATAGCCAACCTCAATTTCAAACCGTCTTTTTCACTGGTGGTTGCAATGTACGCCAATTCTTGGAATGCAGTTAATCTACTCAATTCGTGACTTGGTGCCACATCACGCAAGCCCTTCAACAAACAGTTCAAGGGGTCTTTACTATACGATGAGATGGGTTTTTTCCCGTCAAGACATCCAATCGTCGCATATACGTCAAATGTGTGATTTTCGAGTTCCCAATTAAGAACCAACATATATGTAAGAAACGCCAACTTGAGATAAGTGGAAAATGACGTGTTGCTGGTGGGTACCGAATTATCTATTCCAAACAACCTAAGCACAATTAATGACTTGTACAAGTATGACTTAGTTACCTTGTAGATTACCGGACTGGCAATGGTCAATATAATGGTCAACCCAAGTGCATTCCCTAAAGCTTGCGGGAGATGAGTGAATAACGTATTCTCGGGACTGTTTCTGTTATGTCCATACTCAAAGGGTAGCCTATTTCGTTGAAAAACGAGTTGGTTAGCTGAATATAATGCGCCAATGATTACCGGACATACCCAATAGAAAACCCACTCATCGTTCAACAAGGGATTCTTTCTATACTCCTTTGAGATTAAGTAGTAGTCAAACTTGAATGGCAAATTGAATATGAATACGCCATAGATGAGCAACGCTGACAATATGTGGAAAGATGACACTTGAATGTATTTGTTTGACACTAATGTATGGTAAATCTGCAACCCGAGTGTTTTTTGTTTTGAGTAATTGACTGTGGAAAACTTGATTCGAACTTGCCTGATCAAAGTCAATGCTAAAAAGTACACTGGTACTTTAAGAACAATCGATAAAACAAGCCCCGTAGATAACAAGTGGTTAGTGAGGAAAGGCACATCTAAAATCAATGTCATCAAAAATGATAAAATCACATTAATGTTGAGTACATATTTTAGTCGTTTGTTGAAAACTTTGGAAAATATACGATGGTACTCGTTTATATCTAGATCAGACGAATTTGCTACCATTGGGACCTCTTGTGCACTTTGCTGAGCTCCTGTTGATACTGTTGCTCTATCTACGATTTTTTTTTCATTTTCGTAAAATTTTCCCACCGCGTGAGCCATTAACCTATGTACAAAACTTTTACTCCTCAATATATCTCATTACTCAAATTCAATTGGGCTTGCCTTTTGGTTTGTTCTCTAGTTCCACTTAAAACGTCCTTGACTTGTTCCAAACCAGGCTTTCCATCGATTTGTCCCAAAACTGCATCAGTGATCTTCAACTCATTCACTTCACCAACCATATATCCAGCACTTCTAGAAAGCAACTTGGTTTCAATACTCGTTTGGGCACTTTCAAATTTACCTGCATCCACTTCAAAAGCTCTATAAATAGCTTCTTCTAGTTGTTCTTCAGTAGTGATGAATTTTGCCGCCGAGTGATACAATTCAAGCAATTTCTGTGCCTTCATTTCCTTTTCGTGTAGCTCCTTCGAGCGACGATTCAACTTTCTTTGCTCTTTCAACAATTCTTGTTCCTCCGGTGTTCTCTTTCTAATCAATCCTTGCTCCAAGATTTTCTGCATAGTGGGCAACGATGCAATCACTGAGGAGTCAGCTTTACGCTCTTCTTCAAATTGACGCTGCTTGGCCATCTCCTTCTCATGAACACTCTCTTTAAGCTCATCTATCCTCTTCAACCGTTTCTCTTCCTCCAAGTATGCTTCTTTTAAGAATTCCGCCCTATAATAGGCTCTTTTGTATGCATCTCTTTCCTCTGCAGGCAAATCATTCATTTCTCGTAATGACATTGGTGGGTACTTGATATGCTTGATTCTGTCCTCAACAGTTATGTACTTTCTTGGAGGTTGTTGACGTGGAAGATGTTTCCCATTGATCTTTGGAGTTGGTACACCCTCGGCATAACCACTTTCCTGAGCTTTCTCTTTTTGCAACTCGATCTCGTTCAATGGACGGATTGGTCGATGGAAAATGGCCTTGGTTTTAGGAAGAATACCAGACTTCCCACCGTACTTTAATACACCTTTACCCATTGTGTGATGTAGCCACTTTGACTTGTCTATAAAAAATTTATCAAGAAGATTTTTTTTTTTTTTTTCTTCATTCTGTTGCATAGAAAAGCCATTTCACACTACAGGACAGTGTAGATGAACACATCCAAATACTGATGTCAGCAACTCAGCTGTTTTATCCCAGGTGAACGTATTGATGGATACTCATTTGAATAGTATAATGGTCACTTTGACATAGTGTAGTTTGAACACTTCTCTCAAACAAGTGAATTCATGGGATTTCGCAATATTCATCAATTGCTTTCAATCAATACTTTCCTCCACTAATCGGAAAATTAAAATTAAGTCTCTTCCTTCATAGCTCTTATTTTCTTCTTATTTTCACTACATACTCTGTTTCTCTCGAAACGTATGCTAAATTAATCGAATTTTACACTAATCAGAATTAAATAAGGAGCTTTAGTCGTGTTAAGTACACTAACAAATTCGACTTCTGAGTTGAAAATATGTTTACTATTACGACAAGTCATCATTGGGTACCCATTACCACCTTAGGGGTTAGAACAGAAAGCAACTTACAGCCACAACAAATCGTATACTTTTTCCAAATTCACACAAAAGTTCCTTTTATGTCCCCCATATATCATAAATTTTCTCCAGCAACACTTTCCCAATTTTCTTGTTCCCCACTTGCGTTTTAAACTCCTCTACCATTAATTGTTTCTTTGCCTCCAACGGAGTATGAGCATTTTGCTGGTGGTAATAATCAAGCAATTTTTTTGGAGTGGAGAACCGATTTTGTACGACAATTGCCTTCTCCAAAGAACAGCCCTTGATCGTCATCAACATTAGTATGAAAAGTTCCTTCACAGTCATTTGTGTTGTCTTTCCCATCATTTCTTGAAAACTGGAAAATAAGTGACAACATTCGTAATTTGCTCTTGTTTCAAACTTTCCACGAAAATTCATCAACAATTCATTGTAGTGGTCCTGATTGCAAATGTCCCTAGGTCGAAGAACAACCAAATTTTTATGAGCATGAATGTCCTTGATGACACCCGTAAGAGACGCTAGGAACTCAGTTGTCTCGTCAATGTCTTTAAATCTTCGTAGATATATGCGAGCATTAGTAATGGTCTGAGCAATACCGGTTTGTATCGAATCCATAATGGCATAGGCACGCTCCTTCACCATGCTAACCTCTTCCACCAAGTAAAAACAATGCGTCATACCTGATCTCTTCATCCTATTTTTTTGTTCTTGAAATCTGCCATCCTTGATGGAGTCACTCAAATCATCAATTCTTTTCCTCTCGCAAAGGTAATTCAAAACTGCCTCCCTGCCAGTACGTAAATGCCTTGCAACCCAAGTAACGTCACCGCATGATAAAGCCTTGACATCACATTTAAGGCCAGCAAGCTCAAGCTGTCTTCGGAAGAAATCGCGCTCTTCTTTAGCTCTAATCTCCCGATTATCAATGTATATAAGCACTTCATATTCATCTTTGGTCCATATTTCATACGGGGTTCCATCATAAACTCTGTTTTGAGAATCGTGAATAAAATTTGTAGACGAAAACACTCCTGAGACCAGTCTTGAATTGTGAGCAGGATTATGTGTCCTGGACGATGATTGACGAGAAGGCTGTAGATTGACACTCCTATTCAAAATGGGGGATGATTTCTCGAAACTCGACTCAAACCTGACTCCATTGTCAAAGGAACTATTGGCGACAGCGGTGGTTTGTGTGGGCGGAGATTCAATATTCACAGCAGTTTTCAACTTTGACGCCAACTCCTTTCCCTCGTCAGTTAGATAGTACATCTTTGGCGATCGCCCTGTAACATAAACTAATTCTTTCTTTATCAACGTTTTCATAGAATCCCATGCTGAATATGTTGATGTCGCTGTTGTACTGAACGCTTTGTCACTATATTGCGCTGCATGTTGGGAAATCTGCTCTCTAGTCATACCTGTACCTTCACGATCCTTCAAGTGCAAAGTCACCATTATGGCAAATGCCCCCGATCTATGCTTCGGAACATAGCTACTGGCCGTGCGTGCTCTTTTAGCTGGTCGCGTCTCTCCTTCTTCTTCTTTTTCTTCCTCCAATTGATCCACCTTGTTCAAAGCTCGTTTATGAGCTTCAGCTTCATCCATGAATCCAACCGGTGGTTCCCAACCGTTAGCTTTGCAAAGCTGGATGACTCTGTTACTTAGAATCACGGCGGTTTTGACACCAATATATTTTGTCTGTTTGAGTGTCTTGGTATCTGTGATTGGCTCTTTTATGCGTCTGAGCTGGCCCAACATTTTGTTATACAACACAGCCATTTTCGAACCATTCCTGGTTGCTTCAATCGCATCAGCTTCTATCCATTGAATAATGCATTGCTTGAAATCCTCTGGTCTTTCGTCTGACATTGTAGGCTGGGGACAAAGCTATGCTTTAAAAATTTAGACTAAAGCGCGTTTGAAAGAAGAAAAACAAAACTTGGACACTAAGAATCCACTAAAGTCATCGTCATCACTATAAACGCTAACATCTATCCAATGTCATCACAATCCACCAGCAAAACAAACTTGCCCCCGATCAATCTAATATTCAAGTTTTTACAACAACAGTCGCTCGTCTCTGTATGGCTATATGAGAAATCAGACCTGCGAATCCAAGGTAAAATACAAGGGTTTGATGAGTACATGAACCTTGTGATTGACGAAGCCGAGGAAATTGTGAGTGGAAAAAGGACAAAACTCGGGAGATTGTTATTGAAAGGTGAAAACATCACCCTTATTTCAAGCTTAGATGTATAGATAATAATCAGCACCCTATTTTAATGAAAATCGAACTTTCTTTTCGGTGTCAAAGGTTAACTTCTTTGCGGCTGTGGATAATTCTGCTTGTCTTTGTCGGCTCAAGAACCGTCTGTTTCTGCCCTCTTGCGTGATATTCGCCTTGTAATGGCTCACTTGTTCGGCTCTTTTGCTCACGGCAAGTTGTTTCTTGGTAGGCGACTTGACTTTGATCCTGGATAGCTCTATCGCCGACAATGCGTCGCTTGACAAATGTAGCACCACTATGAACAGCTTCGGTCGAGCGTCAAACACTTCCAACTCATCACTCATATTAACATTTTTGTCACCACTGTTTGACTCTTGATGATTATACACACACGATAAGCTTTGAGAAAGAAAGTAGAGCAGAAGAAAAAAAATGTTACAATACGAATCCGCATATTTCTTTTAGCAACACGTCTTCAGGATTAGATTACGGACACGAATAACAACACTATTAAATATTCACTTGCATGAGCTCACTGACTGGTAACCAACAACCCAGAAGACCGACAAAGCCACCTTTGCAGCATTTAGGGCAACAGCGACAACCCCAGCTGTCAACTCAGTTCACTGAACCGGAGCGACGCGAAATTCAAACAAAGCTCAATAAAGCTTTGGGTCCAGAATACGTTAGTTATCGTCCTGGAGGAGGTGGAAGCTCAGTCCAGTACATAGAGGGTTGGAAGGCACTCAACTTGGCCAACGAAGTGTTTGGCTTCAACGGTTGGAATTCGGAAATAATGTCGTGTGAGATTGACTACTTAGACACGCATGGCAACACGGGTCGGTGCTCCTTAGGTCTCTCTATTGTGGTCAGGGTAACTCTTAAAGATGGCACGTATCATGAAGATATTGGATACGGATACATTGACAATGCCAAAAGCAAGTCGCAAGCGTTCGAAAAGTGCAAAAAAGAGGCGTACACCGATGGGATAAAGCGATGTCTAAGATGCTTTGGTAATGTTTTGGGTAACTGCTTATACGATAAGACAATCGTGAAACAGATGAGCAAGTTGGAAAAGAAAAGTATCGAATACGAGCCCGATGACTTTCATCGTGACCCTATATATGCGGAAAGAGAACGAAAGAAGCAAGTGATGGAAAAGAGAGCTCAAGAGGAAAAAGAGCGGGAGACAAGACGCGAACAGGAAAGGTTGAATGCCCCTGATGAAGCATTTATTACACCGAGACTGCCTTCGAAGGTAGTGCAACACGTGAACAAGAGAAAAGATGCTGACGAAATTGACGAATCGTTCAATTTCAGTGATGATGGTGCAGAGGACCACGAACTCGATCATGTGGAAACCAAATCAACTCAGATCGAGACGTCAGAGACCAAAGACCAAGAAGAAGATGGAGAAGTGGAAGGAGAAGGAGAAGGAGAAGATCTGAGTCATTTCCCTGCATTTGTGGCAGCAAAGAATGCAGCACTTTTACAATTGAAACAGGATCGTAATGGTGAGGAAATACCTCAGTTTAACACTACATTTGTGTCGCCCAATATTGAACGCACTGTTGACCCAACCAAATCAGTGCCTGTGAAACGAACTGATTTAAAGGGCAAGACGCCTCCACTCGGCGTGAATCATTTACAAAATAGAGTAAAGAAACCGGTCACCAACAATCATTTGAGTAACAACTTTGGTAAAAGAATTGGCGTCCCACCAATGAGACCAGTCAGACGACTACATGGAGAAGAGATATCTACAATAGAAAAATAGATAAAGAAAACCTTTTGTATATCGATATAGATTAGAAATATCTAGATTTTGCATTTTACATATGTATAGTGGAAGAGAAAAAAAAGCGTATGTCAAAGTATGTGCTGCTCTTTCCTCACCAAAGCAAAAAGCAGATAGCATAAACAAATGAGGGATGTGTCTTCAATCCACTCACTAGTGGCCAACATCGGTCCCTTCAACGAATACCTGGACATCTATTCTGCTCAAGACTCATTCGACGCCCTTCAATCAAGCAAAGTTTTAATCATTGGCGCTGGTGGACTTGGTTGTGAAATTCTCAAAAACTTATCCATGACTGGGTTCAAAGACATACACATTATCGATATGGATACTATTGATTTAAGTAATTTGAATCGTCAATTTTTATTTCGTCATGATGATATCGGCAAGAGTAAAGCTGAATGTGCAACACGTTTTATTCTTGAACGAATTGGTAATTCCGATTTGAAAATAACGCCCCATTTCACCAAGATTCAAGCCATGGGTCTTGATTTCTATCGAAGTTTCCAAGTTATTGTTAGCGGATTAGATTCGGTGGAGGCAAGACGATGGATCAACTCTACGCTATATCGATTGGCCCAAGATGAAAATATCATCATCCCCTTGGTGGATGGGGGCACCGAAGGGTTTCGTGGACAAAGCAGGGTGATTATACCGACATTGACATCATGTTTTGAATGCTCATTGGACTTGCTTAGTGCACAAACAACTTATCCGGTTTGTACAATAGCCAATACGCCTCGACTACCGGAACATTGTATCGAATGGGCTAGTCAACTTGAATGGAGTAGACAGTTCCCTGGCAAGAAATTTGATGCTGATGATCCTGATCAAGTTGAATGGATGTATCAGACTGCTAGCACACGAGCTGGTGAGTTTGGTATTGATGGAGTGACAAGAAGTTTGACCTTGGGGGTGGTTAAAAATATCATACCGGCAATTGCTTCAACCAATGCTATAATTGCTGCTAGTTGCTGTAACGAAGTGTTTAAAATCGTCACCAATGTAAATCCTATTTTGGATAATTATATGATGTATTCGGGAGATGATTCGATATTCACATACACGTATTCATATGCTAGGAAGCAAAATTGTGCCGTTTGTGGATCCACTGCGAAAACAGTTGCGGTGCAAAGATGGTGGACATTGCAGCAATTTATACATGAGATAAAGTCGAAGCAAGAAATTCAAATGACAAACCCCAGTTTGACTAGTGGCGACAAGTTACTATATATATCTAGTCCTCCAGAGTTGGAAGAAGCAACCAGGGGGAACTTGAGTAAGAAAATGAAGGATTTGATCCATCGTGGGGAAGAGATTGTCATTACTGATCCAAACTTGCCAATATCACTTCGAATAATTGCTCATTTGGAAGGAGATGACAAGGATCCCGAATTTAGTCTACAGTCATAGCTCTCCAAAATTCAATCAAACTTTTCTTTTCCTTTTCCTCTTTGCCTATTATTACTTATTAAAATTTATCCATTTCCTCTAAAACGGAGTTGTTGAATTGTGTAATGTTGTCAAGATACACATGGTGTCCACTGTTTTCGATAATCTTGACATCACTATGCTGGTGTCTGCCTGCAGAATCGGCTAAATTGTTTATAATATCACTGCACATTTGGCCTCCTGTTTTATCCATCCAATCACCATCGCCATACCACCATGTCATATCACATCTTAGCTTGTGTATTTCTCTCTCAATCAACGGAAACCTAGCATCAGCACCAGGGGCAAGCAAAAAGTTTAACATGTACTCACCTGATCCTCTAGCTTGAAATATTCCATAGGCATACTTGTGCAACAAATGAGCTTCTCGCGCGGGCAACTTAGCAAATCTTCTTGATGACCATCCACTAACTACTTTTGAACCCATGGGCCCAGCTTTTCGAACCAAGACAAAAGGCGAAATATTTCTTTCCCAAAGTCGTTTGAAATATCCTGGCACTGGTATTTGACGTTTATGTTTGATTATGGCCCCCGGTGAAGCCATGATGATTTTCTTGCAAAAATAAGGGTCACGTGCAATACCATAACATGCCATCAAGTAAGCACCCATTGAATGTGCCATTATCAACATTTTGGATTTATCGATATCCTTTTGAGCAAGCCAAGCTTCATAAGAGTCATAAAACCAATCTTCAACTTCCTTGAGATTTTGTGGGTGAAAATGTGGTCGAGAACTACAACCATACCCGAATAGATCAATGGCATGGATGCACCAGCCATCACGAGAGGATATGGCGTCAAAATTTTTGAGGTAAAAGCCAAGACCAGCCCCATATCCATGAATCATAACCAAATGCTTCAATGAAGCCAGATCAGCTTCTGTTTTGCCCGGCGGATAAATGACGAACTCATTGATATAGTTTCCCTTGTCGTCTATAAACACCTTCAACACTTTTGAAGTCCTACCTAGATGATCCATATTGGGATAAAATGGTAAAACTGACAACAATTCATGTTGAAATTGAAGTGGGTCATTGCGTAGTTTATAATGCTCTATAGACTCAGCAACACTTAATGGGAAGTTATTACTAAACAATTTGGAGATTGGAACCGATGTTGGGTGAGTAGACCTTTTATAATGTGAGTGTTGGTGGACTTCATTTGTTGTAGCATTCAGTACCTCTGCCACCACTCTTTTCCCACTTTGTGGCTTTGACAATGACTTTTTCTTTGTGGGTATTGCTCTAGGCACATAACTAAGCAAGTTATTGACTGAAAATGTTGATGAGTTAAGATTAAAGTTGGAAATACTAAACAAGCGTTTGCTCATTGTACCCCCACGTTTTATTGGTAAAAATTGAACAGTGTATATGAGCTTATTTCTAGACAAAAGCGATTGATTAGAACAGCTTGGTGGTGCTGGTGGTAGTGACTAAATCATGAATAAGAATGAATCAGTTGTATTAATGAGGCGGTGGGGTTCTTATATATGTTTGACAACCAAAATGCAAACACGAAACACTCAAACCCTGGTCAAACGCAAACAAAAAGAATCAAAAATTGAGAAACGTGTTTACAAGTCAAACGAAATGCAAAAAACTGTTTCCTCTAAGTAGATATTTGTTGAGTAAGTATCAAGTGATGATAATGAAATGTTGAGTAGTAGTGCTGCTATGTCTTTCAGTGTACTAAATTGCAATGTTTTCGGACGGAATTCAGTCCTACAGAAAAAATTTTTGGGTTGTTGTTGCAAAAGAGTTCTCGTTTTTTGGTCACGTCATGTGTTTCTTTTTTGTTTTGGTCCCCTCCACTACTTCAGCATAATCTACCAATTATACACGACCACACAACAAAATTGTTGGGTTTGAAACCAAAGACTTTGTATGGGGTAAGGAAAGGTCATGCACTTCCCGTCGGTTGGGAAACTCAAACTTGTTGGGGAGTCTTTGGGGGTTGGCTGGGAGTGACAGCAGGAGAGTATTTTTTGGAAATGTTTGGGGCTAACACATACAACCTAATGACAATGAAAACTTTTTGATGAGATTGATTGCAAAATTTCTAATATATTTTGCAACACTTTATACATAACATACGAACGTGCTAATACCTAAAAGAACAGGTGAGGCAACTTTGGCATTCTGACGGGGTTTCCTTGAACGTACCATTCTTGAGAGAATTAATCGATGAGAAGTCAAACAATGCCTTATGCATTACAATGTATGTCGTAGCAAATTAGCTGCATCAGCTTCAAAGCAATCGAGAAAAAACGCATCTGAGAGTCAACTAGTCCATTATGAAAAGTTGTGGATAGAAAAACTACTGTAGTCAAGGCACCAAAGATGTAAATGGCTCAATCACTTTCTACAACGGTGTTCCGTTGTCACAATTCTAACAATGACATTTGAAAACAATAAGTCAATTAGTGTGGTTGCTTTCAACTGATGACAATGAAGCGCCAGTTGTTTTCTAGAAATAATGTCATGACTGGAATACAATTGTTGTTTATAAAGAGAAGCGAAACATAGAAAAGCGCATTATTGAATAGGCTTTTACTGAACCGAGTACAAAAGGTAACAAGATGCGCTCTTCTATTGGAATTCCAACCAACAAGTGTGTTTGTAGTAAAGTTCATAAATGTTAATTCTGTCGGATTTGTATTTCAATAATTGATTTTTCTGGATTAAATTTGATTGGTCCAATGCCCCGAACAGAAAAATGCATCCCGCCTGAGACGCACCAAAAAAAAAAATAAAAAAATAAAAAATAAATGTGCACTAAAAAAATAAATAAATGTGCACTAAAAAAATTAAATTTTAAAGGTACACCCCAACCCCAAAGAGATTTTTACGAAAATATGTCAATCTAAAGACAAGAAAAATATAGTGAGGTTTTTACTATAATATTGAATGCCAAGGGGGTAAGGGTAGGGGGTTGTTGGATACTTAATAGACCTGACCCCTGAACCCTGAACGCAGTTCTTTTAAACCACCAATGAAGACTGGCTCTTCTCAATCAACCCCATTGCAGAAATGCAAACAACAACAAACTGAGAAGTATCAGAAATGCAGGAATGCGGCAAAAGCTAATTCTTCATGTATTTCCATTGTTTTTATGTATTCGGTTATTATTATTGTGCGCACGTGTTCCGTCCATTTTTATTACTACCCATATTTATTGAGAGTTATTACTTACTATATATTCTTCATTTCGTCATGACCTCCCATTCACTTCATCACAATACTGCCTATTGACACATTTGTCATAAGCTTCACTGTTCTCATACACGTATCCTGGCATTACACCATTCAAGTAATCACTCAACTCATCATTACTCTAAGTGATAGTTGCCGCAATTAAGACCCGTCTTCAACATAACATCGTTTAGGCATTGGTGTTACATCGTTTTAAGTACCACTTGCTACATCATCTGTCCTTATCAGCGTTACAACTATCAGACATATTAATATGCAAACGACCAAGTATGTGGCTGTATCGAATCTGGTTTTCATAATATTCATCTCTCAAAGCTTTGTCCGCGTAAGAATCAAATAACTTTCCTGTAAAGTATCCGTTAATATGCATCGTTACACTAGTTATAATTGTCAATATTGAGTATTTGAATAAACCTGTTCCCATAATTTAATATAGCTCAATAACGATATTTAATGTTCGACTTCATGTTCGACTTGATTTTCTTTGATAATTATTTAAATGTCTTTTCTTTAACTTTTTTGTATTTTTGTGTTATATTGGTCCAAGTTATAGGTATATTGTTTTTCTGTTGGGTGTGATTTAATTGGCTACTTTTTTAAAAAGTCCAAAAGCATGGGTTTTGACATACGAGGAACAGAAACGTATCATTCATTGGAGCCATACTTATTAGCCATTCAGCCGTAATCAACCTTTCGTTATGTACAATTTAAAGCAAATTTTTAGATTATTATTGGTCAGGTTCTACAATTTGTTTTTCGTGTAAGTTTGAAATGTAATAAAACAACGATGAGGTATAATGATTGGTTGAAAACATCGCATGTTTCATACAATAAGGTTTTAAAAACAATAAGAGTTTAGATGCACCTGTGGTTATTAAAAAAAAGCAGCCAATAACAATGTAATTGAACAAAGGGAAGAGAGACGAAAAAAGAAATGAGGGTGTGAACAGTGACACCAGTCGAAAGGAGCATCCGTTTTTTTGCCAGGTAATAAACCCGTTCCGTTCCTTGTACTGTACACACCTGTGAATGCACTGAAAACTGGAATTTATGTGTTGACAAAATTCCCATACGGCGGATGTAAAAACTAGTTCAATCAAAGAGAAAAAAAAAAAAAAAAAAATAAATTCATTGCAGTCTAAATCCCATAAGCGGAATTGGTATTTTAATTGCAAAAATACAACAACAGAATAACTCAATTCTCATTTGTTGGAAAAGAAGAAGCATTGAATACTATTGTTACATTTGACGTTATATATATATTGTTTTTGAGTTGTTTTCTTGCACAAACGGCATTAAAAGTTTGAAATTAAATTGAGTTACACAAAACTAAATACAGCCTAATTTTAGTGTCTGCATATTAATACAATTCGAAAAACCACACACTATTGTGTAGGTACTTCTTTTGTTATTGGCTTCTGATGAATTTTTTTGATGGAAAAGATAATACTACAGTACAAAACTAACTGGGGGATTCTCTTCCCTTTGACGGATATAACCTCTTGTTAGGAAACATATTAACCATCAGACACTGTTGCTTCTGTCTTTGTAGATTTTTTTTTTTTGGTAAAAAGTGCACATACACACTGTGGTGGCTTTCCATTTCTTCAACACTATCAAAACCTCCTCAAGAGTTAACATAGATGAAAACTCTATTTTGAGAAAAACTGGCCATTTTTTGTAGACGCATATGCTTTCCAATGTCGTAGTTTACCATATCTACTACTACAATCTACTTTACTTCCCATACCACTCTATACAGCTTATAGGATGATCTATTTTTTACGCTTCGCTGCAGAAAGCCAAGAAAATTTGTATCTCTTAAATAATCTGCAACACTAAAACCCAAACCAATCCTTTGCCCAGAAAAAAAAAATATCATTTATTTTGTAACTATTTGTTTAAACTGTATGATTTATTATCAATTTCATCAGTAGCGTCTAATACAACAGGAAGGATATGCATTCTTTTGATTGTTTTCTTACAAACAGGGCAGATTGGGCAGACGGCTGGCATTATAAATAATCAACAATGTCCCACTTGCCTTTTCTCAAACTACTCTAAAACCTTTTTCTTTTGGTTCAATTCATTTAGTCTTTTTGGGTCTTTGAACGAAGCAGTTGAAAAACAACCAATCACTGCTACTACTACTACCACAACCACAACCACAATAGATCTAGAGTAGTGTATCCAACAATGAAGTCATTCATTTCGCTAATATTCCTCACTATATTGGCACTCGTCACGGCCGAAACTCACACATGGTACTACACTGCCAACTGGGTCGATGGACTCAACCCCGATGGAGTTAAAGAAAGACGTATGATTGGGTGGAATGATACTTGGCCATTACCCACATTGAGAGTTAAAAAGGGCGATAGAGTCAATTTGTACTTGACCAATGGGTTCGATGACAGAAACACATCATTGCATTTCCATGGTATGTTTCAAAGAGGTACTAATCAAATGGATGGACCAGAAATGGTTACTCAATGTCCTATCCCTCCTGGAGAAACCATGTTGTATAATTTTACTGTTGATGAGCAAGTTGGATCTTATTGGTACCATTCACATACTTCAGGTCAATATGGGGATGGTATGAGAGGTGTATTCATTATTGAAGAACCAAGTAAGGATGATTATCCATATGATTACGACGAAGAAGTTGTCTTGACATTGAATGAACATTATCATGAAGAATCGGAAGACTTGATGCCTAAGTTCTTGAGTAGATTTAACCCAACTGGTGCTGAATTGATTCCACAAAACATCTTGTTTAATGAAACTAGAAATGAAACTTGGAAAGTTGAACCAAACAAGACATATTTGTTGAGAATTATCAATATGGGAAGATTCTTGTCCCACTATGTGTGGATGGAAGATCATGATATGACCATTGTTGAAGTTGATGGTGTATACGTTGAGAAAAACACCACCAATTTGATTTACATTACTGTTGCTCAAAGATATACCGTTTTGGTTACCACTAAAAACTCAACTGATAAAAATTATGCATTCATGCACAGACTTGATCCTGATATGTTGGATACTCAACCATCGGATTTGGAGTTGAATGGTACAAACACCATCATGTATAATGAAAAATTGGGTAAAGCTGAACCATATGATTTGACTCAGGATGAACTTGATGATTATTTCGATGATTTCTTCCTTGTACCATTGAACAAGGAGAAACTTTATGATGATGCTGATTACACCATTACTATCCAAGTGCAAATGGACAATTTGGGTGATGGTATCAACTATGCTTTTTTCAACAACATCACCTACACCAAGCCAAGAGTGCCCACTTTGCTTACTGTCTTGTCCGCTGGTGATGAGGCTACTAATGAATTGATTTATGGTACAAACACAAACACGTTTGTCTTGCAAAAGGATGATGTTGTTGATATTGTGCTCAACAACTTGGATACTGGTAAACATCCATTCCACTTGCACGGTCACATTTTCCAATTGATTGAAAGACACGAGGCTATTGATGATGATGATGATCCAGTTGCTTACAATGCCAGTGACCATGCCGAATGGCCAGAATATCCAATGATGAGGGACACGGTTTTCTTGCAACCACAATCATACATGGTTTTGCGTTTCAAAGCTGATAACCCCGGTGTTTGGTTCTTCCATTGTCACATTGAATGGCACTTGGATCAAGGTTTGGCAATTCAATTGATTGAAGACCCAATGGGAATCCAAAACAATTCAACTCAACAAATCACTGACAACCATAAGCAAATTTGTGAAAAAGTAGGTGTGCCATGGGAAGGTAATGCTGCTGGTAATAAAGAGAACGTATTGGACTTGAAAGGCGAGAATCTTCAACACAAGAGATTGCCCACTGGATTCACCGCTAGAGGTATTGTTGCTTTGGTGTTTTCATGTGTTGCAGGTGTTTTGGGTTTGGCTGCTATTGCCTTTTACGGTATGCAAGATATCAATAATGTCGAAGAAAGAGTTGCCAGAGACTTGGATGTTGATTTGGATGAAGAAGATGAAAGTGGTGCTGAAATTGTTAGACAAACTTCTTCAACTGAAGGCTCATCTACTCATAAACATTGAGGAGCTTACTTTTTGTTACGACATTGTTGGTTGCTTGATCGATATGGGTGAGAGAGAGCTGAGGTGGCTATACGGAGCCGGTTTCAGAAGTACTTGTCCTCCTTCCTGCCAGCAGGTACCAACTTGTCGAATAATAGAATGGCTTTGAAAGATATGCAGAAAAAAGAATAGATATTCTTTTCTTTCCTTGATTTGATGAAAACGCGATGTCCCCAAATTATCCCCTTCTTTGTTTTATTTTCATATATACTTGAGTTAACTTCCCACCTAAGAAGTGTCCTCTCAACTAATACGTTTCTTATATATATATAGGTTAATTATAATAGGCTACTTTACCCATGCTTCGACCCTGATTGAGATGTAGTTGACTACAATAGTGAGTCTTTTTCGAATTAGGAAGAAACTAATGGCACAAACTTGCACTAGATAATGGGAGTGCTATTTCGCTTATCACGAGCAAAGAGAAACATATTGATGGCTGCAAAAAGTCTGGTTTCGATGCCAATTGGTGTATATATGGCACTGTGTCAAAAACATCATCAGTCTTTGAAATACAGACGCAATAGAAAAAAGATGCTTCCTAGTTTTCCCACCCTAATGCATGTTCTCCCACCAATCAGATTAATGAAGTTTCGGATTATGTCAATATCCCGAGGCAATGGCTTCAATGCATTCGCTAAAGACTTTAAAACCACTCACGTTGTTTATAACCAAAGGATTAAAAATAAACTTGACAGGTTTTTTGTATGTGTGCAATCGGAAAAGTATTGTTTTCGATATCTACACAAAATGGTAACATCAGACAGACAAAATATATATATAGAAGTAGTACACAAACCCATTTAGTGTCCGTGTCTGATTAATGCAATACGCTATTCTATGATTGGCTACTAATAGAATGAATTTAATATTTTAGTAAGGAACGACAATAAGAAAAGCCTACGACAACATATGAAAGATGAATACGAATTTTTTTATTTTTTTTTTTATTCGAGCCGCCTCATTCCAATAAAATAAACATTTTTTTCACCTAAAAAATATAGTCAACTGATTCTTACAAGGATTATCGTAGCACCTACCAAAAAACCCTCCTTTGAAACGTTCTATCACGGTAACACTAACCACTTGATTCTAGATGTTTTGCTATTGTTCTACTAATGAGTTTCGTATTATTAATCTGTTACAACAATATTTTGTCCACCTTCTTCCCTTTTATTCTGTGATTAAATGATGTTATGTCCTAACCGTATGACCTGCAGATTATACCTCTGTTTGTTATGGTTACATTGTTTGTATGTTTTTGTTCAAAAAGCATCCAATTAAAAAGCTTCACAAAGGATAAGGTCGTGCAATAAGCACCAAACATGTTTAATTTAACACAAACACAGCAAAGAGACACCCGCTGTACATTATCAGATTGAATCAGTAGCTTTTCCTATTACTCAGTTTTATTACACATTATACATTTCAGCAAACAATAAAGAGCTGTTTGCATTGAACAAGACAAAAAGAAACATAGAAAAAAAAAAAAGAAAAAGGAAAATCAGCCAATGAGACAAAAGTGTCTGAAAATTGACAAGAGGCAGTTTCCCGTATATGGCTCGAAAATATAAACTATGGTGACTACCCAAAAGGATAAAACAAACTACCAGCACAAATAAGATTGCAACTACTGTTGGCTTGTACAGGGAGAACATAAGAGATGAGAATATCTTTGCAGTAAGGACACGATTGTTGACTCCTTTTGTCATGAATAATTATTCTTGAGGTATAGTGTCTTCTATTTTATATTGTATTGTTTTGTTTCTATTGTTTCAATTTTGTGTAACTGATGGATATAAATTATTTTCAGTGTTGTGTTCCTCCCAAAAATGTTAACGAAAAAAAAAAGCCCTTTCTTAGTGTATATTCCCATCTTCAACTTAGATTATTTATATATCTCAACTGATCTTTCCTTTTCTTCAATTTGGGCATTAAGAAATTTGCTCACTTATTCTTCTTTCTCGTTTAGAAACTAAATACAGTTACTAGCCCACTAAATCTTCCACCCATCAAAGCTTCCTTCTTTGTACCAAGGTTTTGCGCTTTGCCAAGAAAACGGATTAACAGAAAAACACTTCACATAAAGACTGCCAAGACTTTATTTCCCAAACAACGGCTTGATTTTTGTATTTTGTTCTTTTTTGACAGCATTGTCTAATTAACTACTTCGACTATTACTACTGCATCGTCTACAACCACCCCCCTGGAACTAAAGGAATAACAAGCTAGAAGATACACAAAGAGTCGGTTATCCCATCACCTAATTATTATTATTCTTGGCATTACCGACATTTCAATACATCTCATATTCAAAATATCCCATTTAGAAAATGAGATTGTGGAACTTTCTATCAGTATTGTTCTTATCAACACTAATAGCCGCCGAGACTCATGAATGGTGGTTCAAAACAGGTTGGGTTGATGGACTCAATCCCGATGGTGTTTACAATAGAAGTATGATTGGGTTCAATGGAAGCTGGCCATTACCTACATTGAGAGTTAAAAAATACGATCGTGTTGTCTTACACTTGATCAATGGGTTTGATACTGCCAATACTACTTTACATTTCCATGGTATGTTTCAAGCTGGTTCAACACAAATGGATGGTCCGCCATTTGTTACCCAATGCCCCATTCCTCACGGTGAAGTTTACACTTATAACTTCAGTGTTGATGGTCAAGTTGGATCTTATTGGTACCATTCACATACTTCAGGTCAATATGGGGATGGTATGAGAGGTGTATTCATTATTGAAGAACCAAGTAAGGATGATTATCCATATGATTACGACGAAGAAGTTGTCTTGACATTGAATGAACATTACCACAAGACTTCTGATGAATTGATGCCTGATTTCTTGAGTAGGTTCAACCCAACGGGTGCTGAACCCATCATTGACAATATCTTGTTTAATGAAACCCGGAATGCCACTTGGAAAGTTGAACCAAACAAGACGTATTTGTTGAGAATTATCAATACGGGTAGATTCATATCGCAGTACGTTTGGATTGAAGACCACAACATGACTGTTGTTGAGGTTGATGGTGTATACACCGAACCAAAGGAGGCTAGTATGCTCTATGTCACTATTGCTCAGAGATACACTGTACTAATCACCACTAAAAACTCCACTGACAAAAACTATGCCTTCATGAACAAAGCTGACGACACAATGTTAGATACTATTCCTGGTGATTTACAATTGAATGGAACAAACTACATGATGTACAATGATGGTGACAAACCGGGACAAAATTATGTTGACTCCATTGATGACTTTTTGGATGATTTTTACTTGGTTCCCTTGGATAAGCAAGAGATTTTAGATGATGCTGATTATACAGTCACTGTCCAAGTGCAAATGGACAATTTGGGTAATGGTATCAACTATGCCTTTTTCAACAATATCTCCTATACAGCTCCAAAAGTACCCACCATTCTTTCAGTGTTATCTGCTGGTGAGCATGCAACAAATGAATTGGTGTATGGATCAAATACAAATACATTTGTTTTGGAAGAAGATGAAGTTGTCGATATTGTGCTTAACAACTTGGATACTGGTACCCATCCTTTCCATTTACATGGACATGTTTTCCAAGTTTTGGAAAGAGGAGAAGCTAGGGATGACGATGAAGATCCAATTGCCTTCAATGCTAGCGATCATGCCGAATGGCCCAAATACCCAATGAAGAGAGATACATTGTACGTGCGTCCGCAATCGTACTTTGTCATTCGTTTCAAAGCTGACAACCCCGGTGTTTGGTTCTTCCATTGTCACATTGAATGGCACTTGGATCAAGGTTTGGCGGTGGTGTTTGTCGAAAACCCCAACGCTATTAGAAACAATGAAACTCAACAAATCACCGACAACCATAAGCAAATCTGTGAAAAAGTAGGTGTGCCATGGGAGGGTAATGCTGCTGGTAATAAAGAGAACGTATTGGACTTGAAAGGCGAGAATCTTCAACACAAGAGATTGCCCACTGGATTCACCGCTAGAGGTATTGTTGCTTTGGTGTTTTCGTGTGTTGCAGGTGTTTTGGGTTTGGCTGCTATTGCCTTTTACGGTATGCAAGATATCAATAATGTCGAAGAAAGAGTTGCCAGAGACTTGGATGTTGATTTGGATGAAGCAGATGAAAGTGGTAGTCATGATACTGTTGATGAAATCGTTGCTGAGGGAAACAGTTCCACTCATGAACGTTCTTCAACAGCCAAATACAGCAATTAAAAGAAAAAAGAGAGTCACATAGTTAGGTTGAGAACTAACTGACCACTTTGGAAACTCCTCTTGTCGCTCTCGTCTACTCCTTGTCATTGAATAGTATGGTTAAAAAAATTGTGTGTGTGTGGATATATTATTGGATGGTGTTATTTGAATTGCCTAATTTTATATCTCGTGAAGCGACTAGACAATGATATTAGGTAAAAGATAGAGAGCAGAAAGGAGTTTTTTCAATTCTCAAAATTGCAATAGGAAGCATTACCTTGTTTTGTGAAAGCTAGGTAAAATGCAATGAATTTTGAATGATTTCACATTTGTACAAGAAAATGTGCCCCCCCTCCTCCTTACCCCCCGATCCCCCGTCCTGCAACAATACAAGTCTTTTTTTTTTTTCAAATTGGAGTGTTTAATATTTTTGTCAGTTTTATCGTTTGTAGCTATAAGTAGCGTTTCGTTTTTTTAGTTTAATAGTTTAATCAATCCCGGAAGCTAAAATGAAGTTCGCAGATTTGATAAATCGAAGGTTGCTAATTTTAAACAGGCTCTGAGCTTGAAATATCGACTCCATACAAGAGTGACTTGATTGGACAAAACTTGTGGCTTTCGTGGTCTACCTTCCCAACTTTGCTGAACATGGTAGCACTTGTTAGTAAAATTGACCTCTTTGACAATCTCAAAGTAAACCACCCAGATCAATTCACAAATAATGATCGAGGCTGTGTACATCACAGATGTGTCAAATACATTGATATTTGAATACTGCAATGGTTTGTCACTACCTAAGTACAAAACAATTCTCCCGAAAATAACCGATATTGATAGTGATCAAATAGGTTTCGAGAACTCATCTACAAACACACCGATCAAAATCGTCATCAATTCAACGTACTATGTAGTTGGTCACAAACATCAGTCACTACTTATATACGTCTTGTGTTCTGAGGATAAAACCGTATCCAATCCACTCATTCCACACACATTCATTACACGATTCGTTGAAACTTTGCAAGACTACTTTGATGACTTGACTAGAAGCAAAGTTGAAGCCAACACCGATATAATTACCTTGATATTGTATCAAATGCTAGACGACGGAATGCCTTATATAACTGATTTCAACAAAATAAGAGATTCGGTTAGCCATACTTCGCTACTTTCGAAAATCATCAACGAAGCATCAAAAACGACTGGATTACAACCGGAAGTCAAGCAAAGTTTCACTACTGATATCCCATGGCGAAGAAATAATGCCCGACATACGAATAACGAAATGTACGTTGATGTGATTGAAAATGTCAATATGATTTTGAAGCCAATTGTAACAAAGCTGAAACGTGAGCAATACGATTCGGCGTTTTATTCAAGTAAAACAGATAACAAAGTCGACAATTACGTCTTGAGTGGATGCATCGATGGACAAATTGATTTTTTCAGTCAATTGTCCGGTACTCCCACATTAGAGTTAACTTTGAATAAAGTTGGTTCCAACTTAGAAATGCCCAGGTTTCATAGATGCATAAATTTGGATTTATTTAAGGAAAGACGCGGAGTGCTATCGTTCATTCCACCTGAAGGGAAAAGCACATTGATGAAGTATCAATTTGACTTGAACGAACTAAAAAGCAATAGAGAAAAGACAAGTTTGATCAAATTGAGTACGATTGATGTTCAATTTTCAATCGAGCCAAATTCATCCGAGTTTGAAATTAAATTGTTCCCAGCAAATATGATCACAAAAGTTGATTTCATTAAAGTTGAAATTGTTTGCGAAGACGTGGATGACCAGGTAAAAATTAATAGAATCAGTCATGGTGATTTTCAAACATGTGTATCGGGCAAACACGAATGGAGTAACAAAGATTTGAAAAAGGGCGTGGTTCCTACTCTCAATGGAACAATTATCGCAGAAGACAATGAGGAACAAGAACAGCCCAAAGGAGAGCAAAACACTCACAAGAGACCACTGTATATTAAGTTGAACTATTCACACAAAGGTCCAGTTCCCAGCGGGATGAAAATTGATAGTTTATTAGTGGTTAATGCTAAAGGTTTGGGTGAAAATATCAAACCTTACAAGGGAGTCAAGTATACTACAAAAAGCGGTGATTACATTGTGAGAGCTTAGACAGCAACTTGTGTAAATAGCGTGCCACTAAAACATGCGTTTTGCACCTTAATTGTGTATTATTATACAGTAAACTCCATTGACACCTTAATCCTGCTGTCTTCGCCCTAATTCACTAGTTAATAACCGCATACTCCATGGAAACTCAATCCATACTCACACTTTATTGTGCTTTTTTCTTACTCTTTTGCTTTTGTTGGTTCTTTATCAAGACTTTTCCAATAAATGTACCCACTCCTAAACCAGCAATAAGGAGCAACAACAATGGCAATTTGATAGCATAGTCTCTTGGTAAAAAGAACTTGTTTATGCATGAATCCTCATTGACAAATGGTATTACGAATACCCAAGCTGTATAGTAAGTGAAAACCGATGCTGCTACGAAAAGCATTGCAAATCCAAGTAGTTTATCTGCGGCCTATGTGTGTTATCATGTTAGTAAAAAAAAAAACAATTGTACCTGTACTAGTCCCTTTGATTGAACATACCATGGTTGTTTTTAATCCTTGTACAATGTAACCAATATCAAAAACATCAATGTATGAAAAATGAGAAATATTGATTACGTGTATCTTAATTTAGCACACATTACACGACATATGGTCACGTGAATCATTTTTTTACTCCTTATTTAACCTTTTTTTCATCTTATTGTCACGTTTGAGTCTGTCAAAAGCCCGAACAATCCAGATCAACTATTGTATACAGCCACTCCTCACAACCACCCACTCTCTCACAATGTTTTCAAAACTCAAATCAAGAAAAGCCCCACTATCGCTCAACTCTATATCAAATACCTTGAAAACCAAGGGGGCCAAGAACTTATCCCCGGAAGAAATCAATGCTAAAAAAATTGATATAGAAGTGATTAATCAACTTGGGGTACCCAAGGACTCCATTACTGCAATAGCATATGATCCAGTTCAATCCCTACTTGCAATTGCCACGAAAGACAATGATGTTCGAGTATTTGGTCAAATTAATGTTGAGGTTGTGTTTGAATTCAACATCAAGCATCCGATTGTATCACTTCGATTTGTCAAGGGCGTTTATTTACTTTGTACATCACCAGGTTCCGGGCTCACAATACTTTCCTTACACTCAAAACAGATCATTGGAACATTTTCCTTCCCGGGAACTGTAACAGCTGCTGAGACTGACCCATCATTGGACTGGGCTATATTCGGTCTTGCAAACGGAAGCTTGATATTTTACGATGTGGATAGATTAAACTTGACCCAATTCCGAATCGATAACCTACAAAAGAAAGTCATGCCAAAGGAAAAGATGTCGCCCGTTGTGTCTATTGAATGGCATCCGCGTGATATTGGAACTTTATTGGTTGCTTATAATCAATGCGCCGTAGTATATTCCTTGGTCACTGGACAAATCAAAAGTACTTTGACTTATACCTTGTTAAAAGAACACAAGGGTTTCCAATATTCGAACCACATCGCCACTGGAGGGAAAAAGAAGTTATTTGGATCGCTGAAATCGATTACACCGTTGATCAAAGAGGCTCATTTCCATCCTAATGGGCTTCACGCAGTAACGGTCCACAATGACAATACTATTGTATTTTGGGATATCGAAGGAGGAGTTCTATTGGAAGCAAGAACATTGTATGAAACACAGCTCCACAAGCCAGGAGCGTATTTGGAAGTTCCAGAACATTTTAACCCTATTGAACAGGTTAAATGGATTTGTGGAGAAGACCCCGAGGAAACTAGATTAATAGTCAGTGGAGGCGATCCAGATGCTACCAATACCATTACTGTGATGGACTTTGGATACACTTTGAAATATTCCATGACATCGCATGAAAAACAAGGAATATTCTACTCCAATCCTCAAGGTGGCCAACGCAAGATACCAATCAGCATTTATTTGAATGAGAATGATGTTGATGGAGCTGTAACCGAGGTAATAACCAAGATTCAACCAGTGACCCAAACTGGTTCTCCGTATTTCCATGATGGCCACAATCCTGCATTCTTGTTACTTGTGTCAAACTTGGGCAGGTTATACGTGGTGGCATTTTCAGATAAAGCAGGTGGCCAAGGTAGTGGTGATTTGGGTAATACAATACTTCCCACATCGCTATCATTGATTGTGCCACCGTTGTGTTATTGCGATGTGCAATCAATCGTTCGAATTGATTGGTATAGTATCATGTCAAGTCGTGCATCACAAGGTGTTAGCTCAAAAGTGAGGCCACTCCTTTATGGTGGAGCTCCTGTACCTTTAGCTAAAATGTACAAGCCTCTCGGGTTCAACGACGGACTTCGTAATATAATGATCACTGGACACGAAAATGGGTTGGTACGATTTATTGACATCACGAAAGGTGAGCAACTGGGTGGCGAAAGCATCGTTCAGGTTGCGTTGAAACCAACGTTGTATGATTACCATAACCCAGCAAATCTCAAAGTGATAAAAGTATCTTGCTCTTTCCAAACGCGTCAACTTTTAGTTGGCTTGGCTTCAGGTGAAGTGGTTATTTGCCGGTTTGGTAAAACCCCAAATGTCAAGAATGCTGGGATCAGCTCTTCCAAGGACTACAGTGATTGTCCTATCCATCACGGGAATGGCTGCGCGCTGCTTGTTGATATTAGCGGTAGGATTTCTGGATCCGTGGCTACCTCAGCTTCTTTTTTGCCGTTGTATTTGTTGAGGCTTGATCCATCAGAGCAAATTTCAGTACTTAAAATGAGTGATTCTGGATTTGCTGCTGTTGGTTATAAATCAGGACGGTTGGTTGTTTGTGATATATCAAGAGGACCCGCCGTGATTTTCAATCTTGCTAACGTAAAGGAAAACTTGGTTTCTGTTACTGGGAATTGCTATCCAACTGTACTCGAATTCTCCATTATGGAGTTTGGCATAGACGGATACTCATCGTTAGTTTTGAATGTGGGAACAAATTGTGGAGGTAACTTGTTGTTTTACAAAATAACCCCCATGGGCAACGGAGGGTATCAAGTTGAATTTGCTAATAAAACAGCGCATCTCAATTACAGAACAGCCGATGGAGGTGATGCAGAAGCTTCCAAACTTCTGCAGTTGATCCCCATTGATGCTCAATATGGATTATCAGCAGTTGCCGATGAAAAAAAGTTTAATCAGTTGGCAACCGGTGTTCCTATTCCTGGGTATATTATTACAGTATCAGATAGAGATATTAGAGTGATTACACCACCAAAAACAAAACTAGCACACAAGGTGGTCGAAGATGTGTGTTTGAAAGCAAGCGTGGTACATTACAAAGACAAAGGGGTGGTATTAGCTTTGCTTGTTAGAACTGGGTTTATCAAGTTGTTGTCGCTACCCTCATTGCACGACATTGCCAACATAAAACTACCAAAAGAGACATACCGCATGGTGCAAGAATCTCTCGAATCGGGAACTGCACTAGACTCTGATTTGTTATCCTCGGGAGAAATGTTTGTTCGAACATCAGCAACAGAGTCTGTTTACATTTCCCCATACGAAAAGACCAAATCAAGGGACGATAGTGAAACGGACAAGTTGTTCAATCCAAATGCTATTATTCCACCTAGACCATCAGCCAGCACATTGCTGTGGGCAAAAGGTCAAATCAGTTATGTTTCTGTTGAAGATTTGGCTATGCTTATTGCTGGTCCACACAGAAAAGCACCAAAAACTGAGGAGTCAAATTTGGCTCATAATATCAGCCCTGAAGCTAACCCACAAGCAAATTACGGTGGCTATAATGCCAGAGCACCCAGAGAAAAAGCGTATGAAGAACCAGTTAGAAAAGCTGGTCAAGGAGCAGGAGGATTTGGTGCCCCAGGGTTCATGAGGTCTTTGCAAAATGGATTACAAACAGCCGAAGAGACATTCAATGATTATGCAACAAGTGCCAGTCAAACATTCCAAGATGGATACGAAGATCAGAAAAAATCATTTTATAGTTCGGCATTGCAAAGTAAGTTTGGTTTCTAGATGTTTAAATAGAGAGAGAGCAGGATGTTTAAAAGTTACACAAAATTGTGAAAATGAAAATGTAAACAATTGTAGAAATATGAACTCTAAAACGTGTTTGATCGAATCGGTAGGCCACGATGAACAAAGAAAATCAACTTAGAGATGTTACAAATACCCCGGAATCAATTCAAAAGTCACATTTCAACCACGGAGCACTAAACTTGGACAAACATTTTGACTTGATTCACGAAACTCATAATGATTTACAACAACAATTACATCGAATAGAAACATCAACTAATCAAACTTATGTTGATTTGGAACAGCTCTACTCACGACTGAAAAGCAATAATGACAATTTGAACAAATTGTTGAAAAATGTAGTGGAGTATTCGAATGAGGTGATCACAGAAGGCAATGCAACGAAAGCTGATATGGGTCTGATTTTGAAGGCTTTGGAAGAATTGAAATTAAAAGAAGTTTCCTTGCGGGATGACGATATGGCCAAAATAAAGGGTGCCATAAGGCTGGTTTACTTAGAAAGGGAGGGAGAGGAAGGGGACTTGAAACAGTCTCATGAAACACTTGCCACATTTTTGAAAGATGACAGAATAAGCAAGCAAATTCTTCAAGAGCAATTCGAACAACTATCAAAATCAATTAATGCCGTGGACAATTCTGCAACTTTGAGTAGAATTGAGGGGCTATTGGGGAATCAACAGTGGAAAAACGATTTCAGAAAAGAGTTGAAAACGCATAAAGAGCATATGGAATCGATCAGTGATCAACTACTAGCTAAATTGTCAACCATTGACCAAAACTTACAAAAAAGTGGCAATAATGAACTCACGACACAACTGATTGCATCTAAAGAAGCAAAAGTCAGTGAATTGGAAATGAAGATTAAGATGCTTGAAGATAAGTATAATCTTCTTTCATCACAATATAGTGCAAAATATGATCAGTATAAAATCCTTCTGCAACAATTTCAAGAGCTATCAGGAAAAATGCATGACGACAATACCTCAAGCCTGTCCTCGTCGAGTATTCACAACTTGAAGAGGTTTTACCAGACCAGTTTGCAGATGATTGAAGAACATAACCTTGTTCAGACTGACAAGCGAATTGTTAGTATGCCAGCGGGGTTTTCCAATAATTCAGACGATGATTAAATTATATATACAGGTATTACATAGAACTATTGAGGTTTAGTAATGATGTCTCTACCATCCATAAATGGCACCAACACCTTCGGAACTCGTATAACATCATTCTCTTTGTCGTAATTTTGCTCAATTAGCGCAACAATAACTCTAGGAACAGCCATACAAGTTCCATTCAACGTTGCAACATGTGTCGCTTTATCACTTTTCCCAGTGAATCGAATTCCGAGTCTTCGTGCCTGGTAATCCCCACAATTTGAACTACTAGTCAATTCTCCCCATGAACCTCTACCAGGCATCCAAGCCTCAATGTCATACTTTTTCATAGCAGGGGACCCTAAATCTGAGGTCGGCATGTTTAACAAACGAGCCTTCAACCCCAACTCCTCAATAACTTTAACTTGAAAGTTTTTAATATCTTCAAGCTCATCCCTAGCTTTTTCCAAAGTTGTAAAATGGAAAAGCTCAACTTTAGTAAACTCATGGACTCTATACAACCCTTTAGTATCTTTGCCACTAGCACCTGCTTCAGCTCTATATGACCTCGATACCCCGGAATACTTGATTGGAAATTTTGTACTTGATGGAAAAATCGTGGATGAATGAAGTGCGCCTAATGGAATCTCAGCGGTTCCAGTCAATGATCTTGGTTCATCCTCAATTTGGTAAATTTGCTTTTCGTTATTCTGATCATTTGGTTTGAAACCGCATGCGCGTACAATTTCGGACTTTACGATTGATGGTGGAATAACCATTGTATAGCCATGTTGACGTGCTTTAGACAATGCATACTGTACCAACGCTTGCTCAAGTAGAGCACCATCGCCCAACAAATAATACCATGAAGGTCCTGAAATCTTTGATGCGGTTGCAAAATCAAATAAGTGAAATTGTTCACCTATAGTCTTGTGGTCTCTGGTTGAGTCAGAGTCAGCAAAGCCACTAACTTCATCCGATGTGGTGTTGATATATTGCACCAACTCTTCCTGAGTCTCACTCTTAGGAACAGTGGGATCAAGCAAATTAGGCAACGCCTCTGCTCTACTGTATATTTCCTCCTGTAGCTCCTTCACGAGTTTTTCCAATGGCTTGATTTCATTTTTAATTTCACCAAGTCTGCGTTTGATTTCGTCAACATTGGGCTCCTTCTTTTGGACCTTTTCCGCCAACTCTGCTCTTTCTCTCTTCAATGTATTAATCTTTGTGTATGTCAGTGATTGCATGGGACGAGTTTTGACAATGTAGTCCACATCATCGATCAAACTCTTCGGTAGTTGGCGTTTGGTGATTGACTCCTTATATTCATTAGATCGTTGTACGACATCGGCCAAATCCAATTGCGCTCGAAGGAGTATTGATGTGTTTTTGGCTGCGCTACTACCGAATCGAAGGGACGGCCTCTGTGGAGCTATCACGCGAAGCATCTGCAGAGTATAGCTAAATGCTTATCACCTCACAATTGCAAAAATTTTTTTGCGCGATCAATCACTGAAACACTAATAGGTTAATACAAGATCAGTCGAAACTAATTACAAATAACTCAACGTTCGCTTTAATAAAAACGCTTTTTACATGTCATAATCATAAACTATACATAAACCACATCCCCTTAATTCTCCACTTTCAAAGAAACAAAACTTGCACAATCTTTTTATAAAATGGTGCCTTTCTCCATTTTTCCCTTTCTTCTTCCTTTTCAATTGCCAACAACTCTTCATCAAAAAGAGTTCTATCCAAGTTAATATCGATATCTTTCAATGGGACGTACAAAGACCAATTACGAGTCCATAACTTGTGACAAACATAAAAGAAAAGCAACACAATTACACCAAGATAATTTTGGAAAAACGTAGTCACATTGGGTTTACCTTCGCCTTTGGGGTACAATGCAATCCAAAATTGTGCTATTAAAACGAGGCAATACCAGATGATGGCATAGTATGATCCATAGACACCAGTATTTGCCACATATCCCAATGAATCTGTTGAAATGTTATTGTATTTCAAAGCGGCTCTAAAACGAACATGTGAGATACAAATACCACCCCAAGTGAAAATTTGTGACAATCCGGAAATAGCAAGTAACCAGTTGAAAACAGTTTCTTGTTTCTTGTATGCTGCAATAAATGAAAATAATCCAAAGAATGCACAAACGAATAAAGCACGTAATGGCCTACCGGTTCTGTCAATATAGTTGAGCCAGCTTGGGGCAAAACCTTGTTCGGATAATGATTGCAACGTTCTCGAAGAAGAGTACAATGCGGACGATGCGACTGAAGTAACAGACATGAGAATAACGGCATTGATGATTGAAGGCACAGCTTTAACACCATGCAATGCAGCCGCTAACACAAATGGTGATGCATGTGATCCACCACCACTAGATCCCATCAATCTGTCTGAAGTGTAAGGGACAAGCAAACCAACAATTGTTAAACTTCCAAGCATAACAATGACAATACGATAAGCAACCAACTTGGTTGCAACAGGAATGGCTCTTCGTGGATTTGACTGTTCACTAGCGCTCAATGCAACAAACTCAGTTTGTCCGAAAGCAAAACTACCAGTGACAAAAACCGAACATAACCCTTTGAAGTTTGTATAGTATCCTGGATCCCTCCAATATCTACCTCCAATGAATTCGTGATTGGGTCCACCACCAACATTGACAACAATACCCATAATGATGAAACCAATAATCATCATAATCTTACAAGAACCTATAAAAAACTCTGCTTCACCATAACCTGATGCACCAATAAAGTTAATGCTAACAATAACGACATAGAAAATTGTCACCCAAACGTCGGCATTGACAGTTGTGTTCCAATACGAAATGGTAATTGCCGCGGTAACCAATTCAATAGATATAACAGACAACCATTGAATACAATAGTTCCAAGTAATTGCGAATGCAACCGATTCATCAATAAACCTCCTTGGATAGTTGTTATAACCACCAGACAAATCAGAATAATTAACCGCCATTTCCCCTGCTGCTTGTAAAGTTGGATACAAGAATGAACCAACGATGGCAAAACCAATAATAAGAAACAATGGTCCTGATTTATGCAACACCAGCCCAGTACCAACCAAAAGACCAGTACCAATACCAGTAACAAGGGCCATAAGAATCAAATGACGTAGACTAATAGCCTTGGACATCTGACGCCCAACTTCATGTTTCTGTGATTCATCAACCACTTTTCGCCTAAAAGAGTCTTTGAATCTGGTAAATCTCGAGGTGGTCTCATCTGCAACTTCAATCATATAAGGAGATTCCACCGAGTCATTGTAGTCCGTCTCCTTGGGCACTGACAGTGGCAGTGGTGTTAGTTTCTCAACAGGGGCCATTGTATGCGTGAATATAAAGTTATTTGTTTAAGGCGTATTATAACTAAACAACGGGGACCCCGAGGATGGATGAAAAACAGCAGAATAAAAATGATTTATATTAAAAGGAAGAACGATCAAGAAAAAGTTTAATTGTTTACAATCAGTCACAACTGCTGACTAAATGTACAAAAGTAAACACAATGTGATTCTTCCCGGTTTGCATTAAAAGCATTTGAACTGCAAAAAAAAAAAAGGAAAAAAAGAACAAAGCTAGGGATATAGATAGAGAGAGAAAGGCAATTGGGAAAGAGAAAGAGAAAAAATCATCATGATGCGGATGACACAAAACGGGAAAGAGGAACAGAAACAATAGCAGCAAAGAAAAAAAAAAAAGAAATGTTTAACCCATTGTGCATTGATTGTAGCGCTAAACCATTCATCCCCCTCCTTCTCAACTTCAAACACTATAAGGAGGTCCATTACTAACCGCATGGCTCAAAGCGGGGGGCCGATGGGAACATTACATAGACTCTTTGAGTACTACTCCGTGTGGGGTACTGTAGAGAGAGAATCTTTTTACCAGAGTCAAAGAAACATTTACTTATTCTATCGGCAAGGTTTTCCCAATTGGGAAGCATAGTGATGTCCTTCGAGGATGTTGAAGTTCAAGGAGTCAATTGAATAAGATTTGCGTCATTTGATGGTGAGGTGATTGCAGCTTATCAGTAAAACAAACACGAAGACTTTCGGCTTAACAGTACCCAAAGTAGGGTGAAGTAGTTACAACTCTCGTTGGTGGCTTTTATTTTGGATGGAAGAACTCCGTTTCCGAGGCATCATGGTGCACATAATGCAATCGCGACACAAGCATTGTTTATCAATGATCAACACCCGTAGTTATTGGCTGGATATCCCTTGATATTAGAGAAGTACTAGGTGACATTGTTGATTTTTATCAACTATCTTGATCCGCGGTCGTTACTAAGCCACCTTGTGAATACCAGCATTGAGGGTAACAGCCCTTATGCGAGTAGAGTTTAATTTTAGTTACCACTTGTGTGCGTCGTTTACGACTGAAGACATTCATCGTCACCTGCTAACCTCAACTATTCTTTTTGAAACACTTGACTAAATGTAGAACCCATCAGCAGAACTAATAAACCTTGTACTTACTCCCGACAATTCTTTGAAAGATAAGGTGTTTCCCCATAAAGTTTTATCTCCTCATTTACCTGCTTAATTTTCTACAATAGATTAACCTCTCTAATATGATTGGGGTAAGATAATAAGAAAACAATTTACATTTCAATCAAAAGGGCAATTTTGATCTTTTTTTTTGCGAAGGCATTTGGTTAGTTTCAAATTTCTTTTTTTTCTTCAGTAAGGCATTTTTGACAGAAAACGTGCGTTTTGTGTAACAACTATAAAATGTTTGATATGCCGTACTATTTAACTGAAACACTACCCTATCAAGAGTGAGTAGATTGCAAAAAGAAAAGAACTCGGAGCAAGAGTGTTAGCCCAAAAGTGTAAACCTTCTCCCGGGAGTCTGTTATATGGTGGTCTAGTTGCTATTGAATTCCGATATACAGAGTCGTGAAAAGAATACAACACTGGTCACGAGCATAATCAAGTAGTGGAAACGTTTGACGACGCTACGACAAGAAACGTATCAAGCTTCAAGTGCTTGGTTGCAATACTTCATATACATCACCTTGACGTCCCTTTCTCGGCAATGGGAGGACGCGGCATCAGAGGTGGGGTACTCTCGTGGTGTTTGTTATGCTAGTCTTTTTAAGCTCAATTTTCTTTTACTCTCTATTTACAAACTGGCATTCTTTCCAATTAATTCCATGGCTCTGGAATTACCCTTTTTCAATTCTTCGATTCCTAATGCATCAGCAAGACATAACCAAGGGTCTTTGGTCCCTCCCCACTTCAAAACACTCTCTTTGTATTTCGTTCCCGCTTCTTTGCTCCATGGATCTTTATCGAATAATCCGCGCCAAAGTTTCTCCGCAATGGCTCGATCAAGTAAATACAGGTAATACACAGCACCATAGGAGAATAAATGAGGGAACTTACCGTGCCAAGTTGACCACTTGTCAGCAAAGACCTTCAATTCCAGTTCAATGGCATGATAGAGCGCTGTTGAATCAGCTTCGCCCAATCCAAGAGCCAATTTATCAACCATTTCTGAACCATGCAATTTTTGATCCAACGTAGCCATTTTGCTTTGCATAAAAGTCTCACAAGCCAGAAGCGTGTTTTTGTCATGGTGTGCTTGTTGAAGTAAATCTTTAGGGATTGGCTCGCCTGTTTGATAATGCTTCCCGATTTTTGATAAAACCCGCAAATCTTTACTAAATGATTCCATCAAAACTGAAGGAATCTCAACAAAGTCAGTAGCGCATCTGGTCCCAGACAAATTGTGTAACTCTGTTCTTCCAATCATGGAGTGCATTGCATGTCCCATTTCGTGGAAAATGGTATCAACTTGATCTAGTGAAAGTAACGTAGGACCACTTCTGTGGCTCTGGTCTCTGAAGTTACAGACCAATGAAATTACTGGAAGTTGGTACTTTCCATCGAGCTGTACGTTTTGGCTATACTCTGCTTCATTCTCCCACGAATGGAGTCTTCGCAGGCACACAATGGTAAAATGCGATGGCATAACCTTTGGTGACCAAAAATCGAGGTACAAGTATCCTAAAAGCATATCACTTTTGTTGTCAATAACCTTCAACTTTCTCACTTGGTTATTCTCCCAAACTTCTCCCTTTAGTGTAGCTTCTGGAACAAAGGACACATTGTATAAACTTTCAAATAGTTTGTTTAAGCCAGCTATAACTGTTCCTACTGAAAAGTATTCGGAAATCTTCGACTGCGCCACCGCATTGTCCTGCTGTTTGTTCTTTTGCATTCTTGAAAGCAACAAGTCACGGTCCCAAGGTTTTATACTCTCAATCAAGGAATCGTTGTCTTGGTACTCTTTCTTCTCATCTTTAAACTCGTTTAAAAGTTTCAACTCATCCAAGACTGTGCTATTCTTTAATGATTGTTGAATGTTTCCCAAAAATGCCATGACATTCTCTGGTGACTTTGCCATTTTGTGTTCTAGTTGATAATGCGCATACGACTTGTACCCCAACATCTTTGACAACAATGCTCGGTACGACACGAACCGGTTGAGAATGTTAATCAGATCTGACGAAGCATTGTGCAACGAAACCCATATTTTTCGCCTCAACTCGCTTGATTTACATTTTGTTAATATCGAGTATGGAAGTCGTGCGACTAGTGGTACATAATACTCGTGGGCTACTTTTTCGCCATTATATCTTGATTGAACCAGAAGAAGATCTTTTTTTATTTGCGAATCCTCAATACTCTCAAAATCATTTGCCGTAATTGGGCACCAATGTGAGTCCAAGGTGTTGATCTCATTGTTGAAATGAGAGCCAAGTAATGAAATCTCCTGCGTAATGGCAACAAAATTGTTTCTAGTTTCAGGATCCATATGAATACCAGACCTCTCAAAATCTTGTTTCAAGTATTCCCCAACTTTAATTTCTTCCTCGGTCAACTCCGATGCAATTTGTGAATCATTGAGCACATCTATCAACGTCGTATATAACTCAACGTTTGTATTGAGTTGGTTCATATATTCAAAAAGGATCTCATGAGTTTGTTGTGCCGCGTCTATCCATTTGGAACTAGGATGCACTATTCTGATAAACTCTGCGACATCAATAACTCGACAAAGAGTATCTGACAATTGATCAAGTTTCTTTATATAATCGAGCTTACCCTGCCTTGACTTGTCACTTAACATTTCCTTGACCAACAGTTTCGCATCTTCCAACGACTGTTTGGAAAACTGTACCAATCCCAGTGGACTTGTCAACGACTCATTTTTGAACAACCCAGTCTCTTGCTTCGAAAACGAAAACGGTAGTTTGTATGAGGGGCTATTATGGCTGACAGCATTAAAGTAATTCTGATCATCAAACACCTTAGCCAAGTCCGCGTGTACTTGAGTTTGTTTAATGGGTGCAGTGCTGGTAAACGATCGCAGTGTTGATACAAGCGAACCTTTGTATCGCCTGCCATATCGTAGTATCCTGAATGTTGCTCGCATGTGTATTATCTTCTATCACTGATGATCAGTCACTGGGCTCGTTGTTATACCAAGACTCCCCAGTTTCAAATAGCTCTGTGATCTTGCAAACGCTTTCACCTAAGTAATAGCTCCTCTTAATTCAAATGCTTACCAATTATGCAAATCAAAAAAGAAAAAACGTATGAGAAAGAAAAGAAAAAAACTATCAATAGATGAACACAAATCAATCTTTTGTTAAACAGCCTGGCGTTTCCCACCACCTTCTTTTATCGATGAATGAACTATGTCCTACAGACCAAATGTACAATCTCGGACAAGTCTGTCATCTATGCAACCCAATCTCAACAACGAATTGCCAAATCATTTGGCAAAACAATTATCTCAATCACATATACTGAACTCAAATTCCGCGGCTATGAAACAACCACCTTCGACAATGCCTCTGTCACAAGTTCAAAATTCCAAAAAGAAGTCAGCTCATGACTACCAATTTGGTGCAATGATTGGAGAAGGGTCGTATTCAACAGTCTATTCTGCGATGGACAAACAACTGAAGAAAACTTATGCCATCAAGGTATTGTCCAAGAGACACATTGTCAAAGAAGGTAAGATCAAATATGTTAATATCGAGAAAACCACCCTTCACAGATTGGGCCAGCAACATCCCGGTATTGTTCAACTTTACTATACATTTCAAGATGAGTCAAGCTTGTTTTTCGTTTTGGACTTTGCGGAATATGGGGAGCTTTTGTCAATAATACGGAAACTTGGATCTTTGTCAGAGCCTGTATCGAAATTCTATATGTGTCAAATTATAGATGCCGTTAAATTTATTCACCTGAAAGGGGTCATACATAGGGATCTCAAACCAGAAAACATTTTAGTTGGACACGACTTTAATTTAAAGATTACTGATTTTGGAGCCGCCAAATTGTTGGGAGAGAACGAAGAAGATGGAGAAAAAATAGACTATAGATCATTCAATGCAGAAGCCGAGGTACGGGGTCAAGCACCTCGGGAAAGATTTGGTTCTTTTGTTGGAACGGCCGAGTACGTATCTCCTGAATTGTTGAAAGACAATATTTGTGTATTTGAATCTGATATTTGGGCCATGGGGTGCATTCTTTATCAATTTTTCAATGGTGTACCTCCATTCAAAGGTAGCACTGAGTACCTCACATTTCAATTGATCATCGATTTGGAATATACGTATAAGTCTCCGAAACCAATTCCTGTTGAGGTCAAAGAGATTATTGAAAAGATTCTTGTTCTGAATCCATCCGATCGACCAACTATACCTGAAATCATGTCGTTCTCTTGGTTCAATGACGTTGATTGGAGTGATCCGCGATACATATGGCATCGAAAGGTACCAAAGTTTGAAAGCTTCAGTGGAATGGAAACCATGTCTCAACCAATGGTGCCGAGGTTCAAAAATGGGGCAAATAGAGAAATAAATAAATCAAGCTCCTACCAGCAGTTGCAATCACAACTTAATAATTCTGATCTAGGGTTTTTACCGACCATTGGAGCCAAGAAAACTTTCAAGCCACCGACAGCTATAAGAAAAAACACATCATCGAATAACAATGGCGAACTAGCTCCGCAGTTTGTGCCGAATGTTCTGCCACCAAAAAGACGTGAAGCTCACCATGCAGCACCTCTCACGCAAGTGAGTCAACCTGTATTCACGGGTCCTACAGTTAATTTGCGGCCGCTGAATGTGACCCCACAACAACAACAACAACAACAACAACAACAACAACAACAGCAGCAGCAGCAGCAGCAGCAACAGCAACAAGGATCCAATCAATTTGTGTCTCGACCACCGCAGGGTCCCCCACCCCAAGCTAAGCATCCGCAAGCTATGCCGCTGCAAGCTCAGCCACAACAAACTAAAACCCAACTGCAGGCGAAACCGAACATTAGAGCAAATACAGCATTTCAAAATATGCCTTTTGTTGCGAAACCTGCAGCGGCTCTACCACAGTCACCTAAATCTAACCTAGATACTAAATCAAATACACCAAGTATGACAGAAGGGCTCACGCCGTATACTTCCGAGCCACCTAAAACATCTCCTAACGCAGCAGCTGCAGCCGCCGCATTTGCGAATAAACAAAAGAACGGTACCCAAACCAAACCAACCCCTATATCAAAGAATATTTCTCGTCCGGAAAAGCCCAAACCTTTCACTAAACCCTCGCAGAGGCAAACGGTACTCAAACTACATGAGGTATCTAGTTTGCTTGCGGCAAATGAGAAAATCCTCAAAATAGATCTTTTGAAAAGAATGCAACTTCGAAAATCGTCCTTATCGTTGAGCTATGATACTCTAGATGATACTGTTTTGGAGAAGATTGTGAATGAGCACTCGCATCATTTACAACAAGGGTCAAAACTTGTTCTCGCTTTTGTTACAAACATGGCTAGAATATTTTTGGTTGACTCAACTTTGGAGGTTATGTTGGTTGATTTGAAAGCCAATAATGGTGGTGATTACTTCATGTACGATTATGAATTCGAAACTGATGATGAGGAAGATCCAAATGATAATCAGCTTGGGTATTTGATTATCGAAGTTGTCAAGGAAAATGGAGACTTATATTTTCTTCAGCAGGTTGTCAATAGACATCAAGAGCCAGAAGTAATCAAGGTTTTGGACAAAGCTGGGAATGATGCCGCTATTGGAAAAGAACATGGCTGGATTGATTGTCTATTGATTGCGCGAGAAACTTCTACAGCATCCCCAGTGGATTTTCAACCCTCCAATGACGCATCGGCAGTGGGAACTACAGCTGCCAGTTCAGTTGCTGCATCAGCAGCAAAGACTACAAAAAGGGCATCTTCATCGTCAACTAAGACCACCAATGGTGGATCATCAAACCTGATAATAAAGACAAGCAGTAATATCAAGAGTGCATATGGTAGTGGCAAGAAGTCCAAAAAGGAAATAATACGTAAAACATCAAGCCTGTCATTGTTGCGTTCATCGTCATCATCCAACAATCAAGCAACAAACTTTGCTCGTGCCGCTGCTGCTGCTGCTCGTCCAAAGTGAACTCTTTGATAGATATTTTATAGATAAATAGGACTTGATGAGGTACATCAACAGCCCTTTTTTTGGTATTGAGTCACGTGCGTTAATTCATGGCTATAACCAAAGAGAGAAGAAAAAAAGTAAGATCACCATTCGCAGTTCACAGATCTGGTCGCCATAGTTCTTAGGCACGATGAAGGAGTTACATTTCGAGACCATAAACGAACATGCACTTGACTTCTATTTGGGGCAGGGGTTCAAAAAGCTATTTGAACGTATGTCCAAAGATATCAAAAGTGGAACCTTCACACTTGATGGTGGTGATGAAGAAGATAAACTGAATCTTGATCAAGCTTTCTACTTCTTGATTAAATTTTGCATACCCGAGCTACTCGTTGCCGATAGAGAAGAAGATGTGAAAGTGTCGAACATAGACGGGTTTCACAACAACTCGTCTATATCAACAATCGATCACGTATTTAGTAGTCAGCATGTTGGTGAATTCAGCTTTCCGCGATTGTCAACTATTGATTTGGTAGACTGGACGAGTTTGGGAGAGGACTTTCACACACTTCTGAGTACTACCAAGTATACTAATAACAGAATTTTTGAAATACTTTTACAAAGTATAGGCGAGATTTCAAACCAACAAATTCGTGTTGAAGGATTAACTAAGGAATTGCTCCTGTACGCTTTACAGTATGCCAAGCAATGTAAAACTCGCGTACAAGGCAAGGAATCTTTTTTTGATGCCAGTCTCCGGACTCTTGAAAAGGCTGGCGGTGGTCACGTTCCATACCAAGAATTTCTTGAAGTTTTCAAATCGAAACTAGTGTCAACTTTAAATATCCTAGCTCCCGGTTTCAATGACGCAAAGCAGTCAACTGAAAACTTGCTCAATGAGCTACGAGAAAGAGGTAACAATTTAATGTCATTTCAATGCTTTGCTCAAGCAATTAAAGTCTATACTGAAGCCTTGCTACTTGCTCCACCTTTTTCATACGTTGATGAGCCACAGATCTACACCAACCGAGCCATCGCGTTTATTGGTCTCAATTGTGTTCCTGAAGCTATAGATGATTTGAATACTGCGATTTATTTAGACCGCGCTTTTACTCCGGCCTGGACTCAATTGGGATACTGTCATTTATATATGGGTAACGGATTGCTTGCATTGGAATGTTACAATCTCGCCTTGAAGTCATCTGTCGGGGAGGTATTGCCACACAACTTCCCCGAAAATGGTTCACTTGTTGAAGAATACAAAAGTTTGAGAACGAAAACAGTATTGCCTCAATTTATCAAGAGGTTGAGCTCGGCCATTGCCTTGACCGAGAAAAGAGCGTACCAACAAAATGTTCCTGAAGCGAAGATCAAGCCCATAATCAGTGACGTGAGGAGGTTGCTTGCTCGGTTGAGAGCAGTTGGTCCTGAAGTCGATCGCGATTGTTTCACATACATACCTGTCTATCGTGATTCCTCTTTAAGAGATCTATCTCAAAGGATGAATGAAAGTCGTCCAAATATTTTGACACCCGAGGTAACACAAAATATGCTTGCGAGGGACGGGATGGAAACAGCCACGATAACTCAAGTTGAGAGACCACCTCACGTGACTTTGGAGCGTAATCCAGCAGCGGGTGGAGAAAACAATGGAGCAAGAAGTCCAGAGCCCTTAGTCTTGCGTCCCATGGATGACGATTTGCAGACTCGTAATCATCTTTCGGATATTCTTGGATATATGGGTGAAGGTGGTTCCAGAAGACAAGGTCGAGATGCGCAACAACCCCTGCAAGCTGGTGGAGTTTTGGGTGGAAACGGTACAGCCCGAGGTGCTGCTCAGGGCCCTATTTCAGATCCTGCTTCAGATCCTGCTTCAGATCCCGCTCCTCTGAATAACGCTGCAACTAACAGATCTAGTGAGAATAGAAATCCTTCGCCACCCAGGCCCCACGAAAGGCTTAACTTGTCAAGCATGTTACCCGAGGCTCTCCGTAATGTAATGGGTCCTGGTTTGTTGAACACGTTTGAGAGGTTTACACAAGGTGAAGGAAATGGAACTATATTCGTCAATGGTGTTGAAGTCTCAAACAGGAATGATGGTAGGTATGGAAATGGTAGCAATGCAACTAGCTCTGGATCAAGACAACAACAAGCTGATGGTCAAAGTCGAAACGAACTGCCAGCGGATACTAGAGGCTCAAATCGTGTAGACGATAGAACGGGGAACCAAAATACATCTAGAGATGTTCCCCTCGAGTATGACTTCAACGATGATCAGGAGTTGGACTAGATGCAGTATATAGCTACAGTAATGCTTTTTTTTTTAGCTTGATATTAATATACAGAACTTCATCTAAACAACTTAATCTTTCTTTGACTTCTTTGATTTCTTTTCCTTCTTCGACTGCTTCTCGTCACCATCTTCATCTCTTTTTCTCTTTTTATCCTTTTTATCCTTCTTGTCCTTCTTGTCCTTCTTGTCCTTCTTCTCCTTCTTGTCCTTCTTGTCCTTCTTGTCCTTCTTGTCTTTCTTCTCCTTCTTTTCCTTCAACTCCACTTTTTCATCAACTTCTTCAGTTTCTGATTCATCATCAGAATCTTGTGCAGCATTGACTGGTGCATCTGCATCTGCGTTGTAAGCTCTGGCCTCAGTGATGTCAATCTTTGGTTGTTGTCTGCTTGCCTTCGAAGTGGTTCTCATATCCCTTCCCTCCAATTGACTCAATCTTCCTTCAACTTTGGCCCTGTTTTCCAAACCAAAATTTTCCGAGTCGTCTCTTTCTTCATCAAAACAATCATATCTCAACGAAATTGCAGCTTTAGCAGCCAATACTCTGGCAATCCTTCCTTTGTTCTTACCACTGGCTTGACCAACCAACGAGGCATGATATATTATACCGTACTTTGGTGTATCATGTTTAGTCTTTAATGCTCTAAACAAAGCCTTTTCAGCTCCCAAGATTTGGACAGTCGAGGCTGGAGCTTTGGCCAAAGAGGTCAAGGATCCCGCATGTGCAATCAATCTGGCACCAACCAATTCTCCCACCATTGCCGTCAAGTTGGGAGCGATGGCTCTCATTCTCGAACTTAAATAATTTGACAATTGTTCTCTATATGCGGCAAAGTCAACAATTTGCTCAGCCAAGGCTTTGATGTTTTCTAAATCATTCTCAGTTATTTCAGTTCCCATGGACACTTCAGCAGCTGTCTTCACTTGCTCTTCAATCTCTTCCGGTAAAATCTCGGATAATTCTGTCTCAGCGGCATTTGATCTCACACCCATTGTTAAGATGATTCTGGCAAATGCAACTGAATCAGTGACAATCTTTGCCAATTCTGGAAAATGCCACCCGTACCATTCCTTACATCTCATGGCATAAGTGTTCAACTCCTTATCCAAATCATCTAATAATGCAATAGCTTGTATAATCATAGTGTCTACTTTGTCAGCAGAAAACTTAAGCTTATGACGACCAATAGAGTGTGCTAAACCCAATGACATTTGATTGAGGGCTGAGTTATCTAATCCTGGTAATAATTCTGGTAAAAATTCCTTAATGGCCCGGTGCAAATCCATTGAGGCTGCATCGGATACAACTTGAAAGTTCAAACCCAATTTATTAATGGAGTTACCCAATTTGGTTTCAGACACTATTAAAGTAGCCTTTTTGTCTGATTTGGCGTCTTCCAACAATTTCTTTAAACTATCGGATACTTTTCCTTCCATAATGGCGTTTGCTTCCTCCAAAGCATTGGCGGCACTTTGAAATTTCTCAAAACGATGAACTTTAAACTGATCTGCAACTTTTTCCAACGAATTCAAGTCTTCAATCAAAGAGGATGACTTGTGTATCTTCTTATCAGAAGCTTTCAAAAGAGCATAACCTGCTGCTGTTTCTGTTAAAACGTAAGCCATCGCCAAATATAATGTGATGTGTGTAAGTTTTTCGGGAAGTTTTTGATGATTACAGAAATCTGAGTCCTAATAATGTATATATGTATATACCGCAATGTGAGCTCTATGAGATCTGTGGTGTGAGTACTATTTGGTAAAGAACTTCCGATTATTGTTGGTAAACTTCAACTGAAGATTTGAAAAATTTTTGAGATGAGACTGAAAAGTTAGAAAGTAGAAATTTTTTTTTCTCATGTTTCCACCATTTAATGTAGGATACATAGTCAGAATACACAATTGAAGAAGTTGTAATTGATTGAGCACACATCTTTATACAGCTCCGGCAAATTGAGAGCCAAATTCACATATGTACCGGTCTCAAAGACTCATTTGCATCTTCAAGTGCGATTCATTCCTAGTGTGCATTTACATATATAGTGTTTCAAAGTGTAAAGGTTGAGCAAGCTTGATGTGCTTGAGGAAGGCTACAGATACTGCTTTTCATGAGTGAACTTGTGGATGGTCATCGAGGAGTCGAACAGAGTTCTGTATTCTTTGCGCCGTATGTTCTTGAATACAACTTCACTTCCAAAATTTCTGATGTACTTCCCCTCGAGAGGGAATCTGGACAACGCTATAAGCATACTCTCAGAATCCAAGAGCATATCTTTGGGCCATAGCGTTCTCCCTAACCCGACGATATCCGTTACTTCAAGCGAAGTGTGTCCCTCTTTTTAGTTTCTTCCTACAATGGGTGTAGACTTATCGTTCATGGCACGCGCTACTCGTCTGCAAAATCAAAACACCAACCCCATTCTCTACTACCCCTGTATGACGCCACGAAATACAAAGCATGAAGTACAACATCCGTCAAGCAATGCCAATATGAAATCTGATGATACAGAGTCTATAAAGCCACTCAAAAGGCCGAAGAAACAATCTTACTTCTTCAAACCTGTCAACAAACTAACATCAGAGCCAGAAGATTGTGGTCAAGTGATAAAGCCAATCGATACAAATACTCTAAGATCTCTGGTTCAACCAGTCAGAGAAGCCAACAGTCACATCATACCACAGCATAGTCCCAAACGTAAAGTTAAAAAGCACATTGAGGTTCAAGTCGCCACGGACAATTCCGATGATAGTTTTGATGGTGTTCGTTGGAGAGATAGTCCTGATTCAAAACAGCACCAGCACGATGAGAATAAGTTAAACACTTTAAAGCAAGGAATACAGTATTCGTCCTCCCCTTTGAAAAACATCAAGCAAGTAAAGTCAGAATCGGGCAGTACAACTGAAGTGCTATCGAAATATGGGGCAGATTTTTATAATGTCTCATCAATCTCACCAAAGTTGTCCAAGACGCGATCGGACTTGAGCAATAAGGCCAGCAAGTTCAAAACTGAGTCTACATTACAAAGAACAAAATCCACCGGTGTTGAAAGTGTCCAAAAACTCCTGTCATCGGGATTGGTACAAGGAACTTTGAGTGGCTGGATCAGTAAGCTAAATAGTGATGATGCCAAGAATGTGCCGCCCAAGGTTATTAATATCAAGCTGTCACCTACAGGAAAGACGCACAATGAAACACTACAGTCACAGGATCCATTTTCCGAAGATGAAGAGATATTGGAGTTGTTGTCACAAAACAAATCTCTTTTGAAGAATAAGAGCTTGAATCTTGACTCATCGCCTTTCCGGAGCCAGAAACTCATCAAATCAGAAAAACTGAACTCGTCGCCAGAAGCCGATGTATCAGAGGACCCATTTTCCGACGAAACCGATCCTGAGATTGTTAATCTTTTAAATGGATGTGATACAAAAGCTTCTGTTTTCACCAAATCTTTCAAAGAAGGTATGGAAAAGTTTGAAAAACTTTGGGTGCAAAAGGATGACCGAGTCGAAAAAGAGGAAGAGTTTTCAGAAATTGCGTATGGCAGGTCGATATTGCGAAGATTCAAAATTGTCAACTTCACCGAGCAGGTTTATGGCGCTAACAATAAGAAGCAGATTATATTGGAGGTCATTAATCCGGAAAAGCAAAAAAAGCACCTTGTACTTAGAGGAGAATATTGTGAACTCGATTTTCTGGTTAACGACATAATTCACATCATAAACACAGACGAGGGGAATCCAAACTTGATTGATGACACGCATAATTTACTTGTATTGAATCCTGATATTTTGGTTCCAGCTACAAAGATTGCTCAGCAAGTGAATTGCCCGAGGAAAACAGTTTTGGTGTCACGTTATAGGTTTCCAGGAACCACATCTGTTCCCATTATTGTTGGTGAAATTGTACATTTTATCTTTCAGGAATGCATGGTGACAGAAACGTGGGATCTTGATTTTATGCGAGAGGTTTTTGATAATCTCAAAGAGCAATATTTGCTAAATTTGTACAGTATTGACAAGGATATGGACGATGTTGACCAAGAAGTGGAAAAGCATTTTCCTTATTTACAAGAGTGGTTCGATAGTTACTATAAAAAGACCGCAAACACGAGATCAAAGATTGAGGATTGTCTGGAGCGAGATCTCATTTCGTTTGCTGTTGAGGATATTTTAGATATTGAAGAAGAGATTCGGTCTCCCGTTTTTGGATTGAAAGGTATGATAGATGCAACCATTATTGCCAGTCTACAAAACAAAAGCACCAACGGGAAATTTTTATTGCCAATGGAGATCAAAACTGGTCGAGAACATGTCAGTCATAGCGCTCAAGCATCTTTGTATGCTCTTCTTTTCAAAGATCGTTATGATATGGAAATCGATTCGTTTATCTTGGTGTATACCAAGGAAGGGGTCACAAAAAGGTGCAAAATACGTGTTTCTGATTTGCGCTCGTTGTTGAACTTGAGGAACCGAGTTTCGCAGCATTTTAAATCCGGTAACACATTACCTGATCTTTTAAGACGTTCGAGTTGTGAAAGATGCGAAGTCGTTTCTGGTTGCATGACAATAAACTACTTGTCCGAGAATGGTTGTAAAGAAAATTCTGGTATCGATGGGGACGATTATGAATTGATAACACATCATTTGGCAAATCCCAGATACAAGCAATATTTCAACACCTGGGATACGTTGATTTCGAAAGAAGAACGAGTCATGAGCAAATCTGCAAAAACTTTGTGGACTGTGCCGAGCCGGTTACGTGAAGAACAAGGTACAAGTTTAACCAATTTGAAGATTACTGATTCCAATGACGACGAAAGCCTGATATTCTACTTTGCCACTGTACATGGGGATAAATCGCAAGCGAGGCAATTTCTATATACGTTTGCCAAGGACGGCGCTGATTCATCTGTTAATATATTGTCGTCCAAACTTACAATCAATGACAGGGTGTTGATTAGTGATGAGGATGGCCATTTTGCGATTGCTACTGGGATAATAAAGGGGTTGTCTTCACAGAAAATAACCATAAGTACTCGCAGAAGAATAGTCACATATGACATGAAATTGAACAATTTTGATCAAAAAAACAACCAAGTTATGGAGAGTTTGATCCATGGACAGGCGAAATCACGTACATCCGGGAGCAAGAGGTTCATTATCGACAAGGATGAGATGTTTTACGGTATGGCTTTAGCACGCTTTAACGTCTTGAGATTATTCTTGCCCGATTCACTGGCGGAGCTTCGTGATCTTGTCGTTGATTTGAAAACTCCAAAATTTACAGAGAGCAAGGAACAGTACCCATTCGATTCCGGCTTCAACCGTTGTCAAACAATGGCTTTGAATAAGGCTTTTGCCGCTGAAAATTACGCACTTATTCTTGGTATGCCTGGAACTGGAAAAAGTACAATTATTGTGGAAATGGTACGAAAGATTGTTACTGAAGGGAAAACTGTTTTGCTCACGTCATATACAAATTCAGCTGTTGATAATATACTTTTGAAAATAGTTGACAAAATGGGTGGCGATAACAAGGATTTTCAGTTCTTGAGAATTGGGCACCCTGCTCGAGTTCACAAATCGCTTCACAAATACATCCCTGACTATCAAGAACCTATCAAGTCGCGGTCACAATATCGAGACACCTATGAATTGCCAAATATCGTGGCAACCACTTGCTTGGGAATCTCCGATTCTTGTTTCAACTTGAGGCAGGAATTCGATTACTGTATTGTGGATGAGGCTTCACAAATTACAGTTCCAGTCAATTTAGGGCCAATAAGTCTCGCCAAGAAGTTTATTTTAGTAGGAGACCATTACCAGTTGCCTCCTTTGGTACTACATCCTAGTTCGGAAGTAAAACATGGACTCTCGCAATCATTGTTTAAAATACTCGCTGAAGCGCATTCACAGGCAGTGAGCGAATTGACAGAGCAATATAGAATGTGTGAAGACATTATGCAAGTTTCCAACATCTTGGTTTACGAAAACAAATTGAAATGTGGATCACCAGAAGTTGCCAGCCAAAGTATGAGAATCCCTCATCCGCAAGCAATTTCCAACTTCATTCTGTCAGACGTACAGCAAAAAGATCAATGGATGGATCTCGTTTTTGACGAACATCGAAAGGTGCTATTTTTAGATCACGATTTGGTGCCTGCAAATGAAATAGTTTTTGGAGAAGCCATACGTAACCCAAGAGAAGCATCTTTGGTTCAACAAATTGTCAAATCGTTTGTCACAGCTGGTGTTGACGAGTCTCAGATAGGTGTAATGTCCTTTTATCGCTCACAGCTTGAACTATTGAAACGCAATTTGTCATCAAGAACAGACTTGGAAATTCTCACAGCAGATCAGTACCAGGGCAGGGACAAGCAATGCATTATTATCTCCTTAGTTCGATCGAATAAGGAAAACAATGCTGGTGATCTTTTGAAGGAGTGGCGACGATTGAATGTGGCAGTCACCAGAGCAAAATCCAAATTGGTAATTCTTGGCTCACGTTCCACTTTATCTACAAATGATACCACTAAAACATTTATTGACTTTTTGGATCTGAAGGGTTGGTATTACACTCTTCCTGCAAATGCTGATATGATTTACAATTTACCACAATCGGTGAATAACTCACCCACAAAAAATAAATCGCACAAGGCACACGTTAGCAAAAGCAATGTTGTTCTTAAAAATATTATTGATGGTATTACTAAATAGGACCCTATATTGCAAAGAAATGAAATTCAAAGTTTCCTCTTCTAAAATGGAACTGATTCCCATTCCAACGCGCTCCCTCTCTTACCTCCTCAGGCTCATTTCGTCTCTCTTGGTTTCCATTGCGCATTCGCCTCACTTGTCGAATGATATTCTGAACAAAAAAGAAGAGAAAAAACATGAATGTCAACGAGATCACCAAATAGTCTCCAATGTCGTAATTTTCGACAAACTCTGTCTCGTAAGAAGTGCCGTAATGATGCGCATCTGCCTTGTTTAGTGCTTCCGTTTCCAGTGCAGCCTGTTGTCCACTAGCTGTCTTTGTACCCAATGATTTCAAGACACTAAACCATCCCACCAGTTGCTCGTCCATGTGGGTACTGGCGCCACCGCTATTGAAAAGGAGCTTGAATCTCAAACGTAGAAGCGCCCAATTTATATGAGCGCTGCTGTATGCCAGTTTCAAATGTGATGAAAGCCGATCCAAATCCGATTTTTCTTTGTATTGCAAACTTTGGTCATAGTATTTTTTGGCCAAGAAATAGTCAACTGAATGATTTTCGGGGCCAAGACCATACTCGTACATCTCTGCTAGCTTGAATGCTCCATGCGATGAATGTAGGTCGGCTGCAATTCTATAGTAGTTGAACGCCCTTGCATAATCTGGCTCGATTTGTGCATGATTGTCCTGGCCCATGAACATGTCACCCAAGAGAATTGTAGCATCGATATTTTTCTGTTTTGATGCCCTTTCAAGATACTGCACTGCCAAGTTTACTCTGTCTAACGTGAACGTTTTAGTCTCTTCAGTGGAGTACAATGGCTGTAATTGGTATAATAAGTACGCTGTTGATACTTGTGCTTGCTCAAAACCTTGTTCAGCGGCAATCAGATACCCAACCAAAGCATTTTTAAAGTTTCCACTTGCAAGCTCTTCGAATGCATACTTCAAATGGGGTGCATAAAAGGATGTTAGTCTTTTCATATACTCTCTGTAATATAAAGTAGTCTTTGCACATGTGACTTTCTCGTTTGGCTCCACCAATTGTGACAATCCCGATTCAAAAAAAGTCCCCACATGGTACAACGCTTCGGTGCTTCCATGAAATGCTGCTTGTAGCATGTGTTTGTAAATTAATGCACTATTCTCGTTTGACTCAACAAAGTCGGTTGCATTTATTTTCATAAATAATTTTGCCAAATTTTTGGAGGCTATTCCCCCTTTTTTCTTTGCTGCTGCGGAATAGTACTCGATCGCTTTCGTTATATTTGCCCCACCAACTAGCCCGTGCTCTTCTATAAACCCAAGGTAATTGAGTGCTTCTGCTGTGACTTTCACTTTCAAGGATGTTTCAAAAAGATATCGTGCTCTAAGGGGATCTTCCTTCGCCGACAACCCTTCCAAATACATGCGGCCCAAATTCACTTGACAAGAGCTTAGAAAAAATCGATCTAGGCCGTCGGCATTTTGGTACTCCCTAGCCTCGTAAAGTTCCTCACCTAAAGATGCGCATTTTTGAAATTCTCTAAACGCTCTTGGCAAATCTTTCTCATTAAAGTAGTCACCTTTCAAATACTCAAGACCATTATAATAGTATGACACAAGCCCGCGATCATTGGCATTTATTTTGTGTTCTTCAATTTGTGCTCTAATATCAGCATACATCCTTGATGGTAGTTCCACGGATGACGAAGTTTCGCTCAATTTTTCTCCAAATAGACCACCGTTAAAGTCTGATATTCTGATATTGTAGTCAATCTTGGGCACCGAGTTCTGTACTTGATCGTATCCCATCTTCAGTAGTTTGGAATAATATGGTAATGCCAACTCACAATTGGACGGTACACCTACACCTTTCAAGTGTCGATATGCGACCACTTGTAATGCATTCATGTCTCCATTTTCCGCTGATACTTGATAAAACAAGCTTGCACGTTTCTGATCAATTGGAAACTCACCAAAAAGTCCCGTCGAGTGGATGAAACCCAACATAAAGTATGCGTGTGCGTCTGGCCAAACTTCCACTGCTCTTTCGTAATAGGCTTTAGCTCTTTGATAATCAGTAGGTAGTGAATAGTTTCCAAATAAATACAAGTCACCTAGTGTTATTAGAGCTTTGGAGTTGTTTTTCGAGGCGGCTGCCTCTAGTAGTGGTATCACCTCACCCGTGAGTTGCGGTGGTGGCTGCAATTGGTGGTGCCTCTTCTGCTTGAATTGTTTCTTCACTGGGTCGTATGCTGGTATTTTCAAATTGTTCTCTATGTCATCTGCAGAGTAAATGAACTTCTTTTCATAAGTGTCACTTATTTGATTTAGTTGTGATATAGCTTGTTCGTACTCATTTAAAGTGGTGCGATCATTTGCACTGGCTCCTTTCAAAAGATAGATACACAAGCACGAAAGTAGTGGCAATTTTCGCATGATTGTAGTCGCTGTCTAGTTGGTCTTGATTATCAATAAGTGAATTGCGACTGATGGTATGATCACCAGCGTGTGCACAATCTCCGCTTGCTTCTTGCTAATCCATGGAAAAAAAAAAGGACAGTTGTTATTATTGTGGATACGTAATCGAAAACGAAAAAGAGACAATCCCCGAGTTTTTGTTGGAAAATTTTTGGAAACAACCTTAAACGCAAATCAAAGGTTCTATACATTTTTTCCCAGTAACTAGAGTAAAAGGTCCCTACCTATAGAGTTACAGCATACATTCGACCATTATTTAAACTAATAGTTACACGTTTTGCATACTTTTATTCCAGATATGGCGCCAATAAGATTAACAGAATCAAAATCGGCAATGAATGCGTCTAACGAGGCGATATTCCGATCGGCGCCGATGACATTGGTTCAGTTTTATGTAACAATAGAATTGGCAAGGGAGATGGTGGGGATGTTGGGGAACTTGGGAGCAGTTCAATTTCGAGATTTGAACTCTAAACTCACCCCCTTCCAACGAACTTTTATCAGTGAATTGAAATCTATTGATGCAATGATTAGTCAGTTGACGTTCCTTCGCTCCACTATGGATAAGTTGGGTACTGTTACAGGTGACTTACATGTGAACTTGAGGGCCGATATGAGGCCCATGCCATCAACATCAGAAATGGACGAATTTAGAACAAAGTTAAATGACTACCACGAAAGGATCAGGCATTTAAATCATTCGTATGGAAACTTAGATAGCCAAAAACTCAAATACATTGAAAACCGATACGTCATCAACACATTAAACAATTTCCATCGATCTTCGTTGGTGGATAACGAGCATGATCATTTTGACGACCACCACGAAAATACTGAGCTCGATAGCGAAATTGCGCTTTTAGCCACGCGTCAGAATAACAGCTTGGAGTTGGGCTTGGAAGTTCATAATTGGGAAGAGTCAAACTTCAACTCCATAGCAGGAACAATTGCGAGAGACAAGGTGCCAGTATTGAGAAATATATTGTGGCGACTTTTACGAGGAAATTTGTATTTCCACGATATCCCCATCGATGAGGAATTCCCTGTTAATGACAAGTCAACGGAAATGGTGTACAAAAACGTTTTTATTATTTTCATTCATGGTGATATATTACGGTCAAGGGTGAGGAAAATCATACAATCGTTGGATGGAATTATATTCAACAATGCTTCCGGAAACGCAGACGCGAGAAGAGCGACTTTGGATGAAATAAATGATAGAATTGAAGAGTTAACAAATGTCGTTGATAACACCAAAGATCAACTAATCACGGAGTTGAAGGTGTTTCAAGAATTGTATCCTGACTATTCATATATTGTACAGCGAGAGAAGTTAGTGTATGAAACATTGGACAAATTTGATGAGGATAGTACAAGAAGATGTTTGGTTGGAGAAGGGTGGATTCCATCTGTTGATTTTGAAAAGATACGAGGTGCGTTGAGAAAATTGGTGAAGGAAAAAACCAGACGCGACCGCAGGTCTTCCAACCAATCTAGTGAGTCACTAGATATATCAGTAGATGCTGAAACCGATACATTTGTCATTGACGATAGTGATCATGATGTTTCCGGGTTCGAGTTTAATGGGGAAGAAGCTGGGTCATTGATTGCAGTAGTAAACAAGCTTAGTACCAACAGGACTCCTCCAACGTACCACAAGACAAATAAGTTTACAGCTGCATTCCAGCTGATTATTGATGCGTATGGTATTGCCACATATGAGGAAGTCAATCCAGGTTTGGCAACTATTATTACGTTTCCCTTTATGTTTGCCATTATGTTTGGTGATTTGGGTCATGGGTTTATTGTTTTGTTGATGGCATTGTACTTAATCGTTAATGAGGTTGCGTTTGGTGCCATGCGTAACAAGGACGAGATTTTTGAAATGGCCTTCAATGGAAGATATATTATTTTGTTGATGGGTATTTTTTCCATGTATACTGGGTTCATTTACAATGATATTTTCTCCAAATCAATGGCTATATTTGGATCTGGGTGGGAGTATGTGTTTCCCGATAATTATGACCCTCAAAAAGGTGGTACATTAACCGCCACCAAAATCAAAGGTAAAACGTACCCTATTGGTCTTGATTGGGCATGGCACGGGACTGAAAACAATCTTTTGTTCACAAACTCGTACAAGATGAAACTATCAGTCTTGATGGGATACGTACATATGAACTATTCATTGATGTTTAGTTTGGTCAATTACTTGTATTTTAAAAGAAGAGTTGATATCATTGGAAATTTCATTCCTGGATTTCTTTTCATGACTAGTATATTTGGTTACTTGGCGTTGACAATTGTGTACAAATGGTCAGTTGATTGGTTGGGCACTGGTAGACAACCACCAGGGTTGTTAAACATGTTAATAAATATGTTTTTGTCCCCAGGAACAGTTGAGGAGCAATTATATCCAGGTCAAAAGTTTATTCAAGTGGTTTTGGTTCTTATTGCCCTCATTTGTGTGCCATGGTTGTTGATTTATAAGCCGTTGACGTTAAAAAGACAAAATGACAAGGCCATCAAATTGGGATATACCGATTTACATTCTCAGAGAAACCACTCGATGATGTTGCATGAAGAAGAGGCGGCATTGGAGTTGGAACGCGAATTGAATAATGATCCAACCGATGAAGAAGTTGAAACGGATGACGAATTTAGATTCCCCAATGATATTGAACCAATGTTTCATTCGGCTGCAGCCCATGGAGATGATCACGGGGAATTCAACTTTGGCGACATTGTTATCCATCAAGTCATCCACACTATTGAGTTTTGTTTGAATTGCGTTAGTCATACAGCTTCTTATTTGAGATTGTGGGCTCTTTCATTGGCTCATGCTCAGTTGTCTACAGTGTTGTGGTCCATGACGATACAAAATGCATTTGGTAAAACTGGCGCAGTTGGAATCATCGCAACGGTGTGTTTATTTGCCATGTGGTTTCTGTTAACTGTATGTATCTTGGTTCTTATGGAAGGTACATCGGCCATGTTGCATTCCTTGAGACTACATTGGGTTGAAGCTATGTCCAAGTTTTTTGAGGGTGAAGGTTATGCGTATGAGCCATTTAATTTCAAGTCTATAGATGTTTAAATAGAGAGGATATTTGGATACTCCTTTTGGAAATTGTGTAGGATTTGTAGAGTTTTTGCGCGTCTCTCGGATAACGCTTTTGTGTAATGTCGTAAATCTCATGGATAGAAAGAGACTGTAAACGTAACATGTTATTCCCTTTGCAAATGTCAATGGGACACCCTAATGGGCTAAGCCACATGACTCGTAACCATGTTAACACTTTGAAGATTAAACATTGCACAAAAACATTCGTAATGGAATCCCAATCAAGTCATTATAGAAAGGAGGGTTTTAGCAATGTTCATTATAGCATTATGGCTTTGTTTTGGCTTATATCCTCCAAAGAAACAAAATTCACTCCCAAGATATTGCACTTGTGCGTGCTCGATCTAGCTGCTTCGAAAAAACTGGTTCCTGACGGTTAGTCAACTTTGGTTGTCCTCTTGTTGAATCCGGCACGGGGAAACAAGTTTTCTCTCAAAACAGGCGCTTATTTCTTGAAAAAGATGGTACACCATACAAATTGCATGTTCCTGATGTGGTGGTCTTCTAAAACCTCTTCCACATAGCTGCTTTGATATAAACCACAGCCACCGAATAATCCTCCACCCGTTGTTTCCTCAAGAAATCGTTGCCTTGTTTGTGTACATACACCCCCCCCTTCCCCCAAAATGATCCTCCAACTCTACCCCCAAAACCATTGTTTTCATCGGCCCCAACTACTTTTGTGGAAGAAATCAATTGCACCAACAACCCCTCGGATGCGTCACCTATTATGAGTTTCTGTGGTGTGTTGTTGCTTTGATACTACACAAGCTCAGAGATACCAGTTTAGTCAATGCTATAGAAAACGAGGAAGTAGTGTACTCTAGTTAAAGTGCGTTTTTTGACTTTGTGTAAGTATTTCATTTAAAACTTACAATATAATTTTTTCTCGCATGGTATGGTTGCTATGACAACGAAAAGTTTGAAATCTGAGAGAGAAGGAAAAAATGAGAAAGAAGAACGATTACCCGTGGAATGACACAAAACGAAAGCCAATACAAAAGCGAACAAAAAGGGAAGCCTGTTCAATCACTTATTAGTATTGGTTACTACTGTACGCACAGATGCTTATAGACAACTCTTATTAGAAAAAACAATCAATATTTAGATATTGTATTCGCATCAAACGTTTGTCTCCATTTGCTCCAGTTCCTAGTGTCGTGTCATTTTTTTGTCTTTAGTTATAGAAACCCATAGCGAAGTAAACCTCCAAAAAGATAATGACATAGAAAATGGAAATACTTATTACTATCCTAATTTCTTCTTCGTTCTTGCTGATTTTTTTTCTTTTTCGCAGCCAAACACAAAAAGATGACTCGATTGGATCGAATGGACTTCAAGTACTGGATTCACTAAATACTAATTTCAAGAGACAGCTTCCCCTAAACCCGAACGTGGTATTGACGTTGCTTGATAATCGGAATATTTTAATCCATGGTGTTCTCAAATGTTATACAAAAACCAGTCATATGCAGAGCTTCTCCCAACATTGTTCTTTTCTTTTTTAGTTTGTTATTGTTATCATTTGGCCCATTGTGTTTTATGGCTTAATCAAGACTGAGTACAACTGGATAGAAAGAAGAAAAGAAAAGTGAAAAAAAAAAAGACAATAGACACATATAAGCTGTACACTCTTTTAGTAACACACTTTAAAGAGGTCTAGTTTGTATTCTCTTTAATATGAGGTGCATCTAAAAAAGAGGCTATATGCTCATCGTCACCAAAAAGAAAGCACCAACTCTAGTTTTAATTCCTATTGTTTTTATAAAATGATATGAGATATTCCCTAAACTGGCTAATTAATGCATAGCGGCTGTAACCAATAATTTGGCAAAAACAGTACAAAAAAAAAAGAGCACGAGCAACACATTTTGGAAGAATAGCAGAAAATCGTACAGCTAAGCTGCAGTTTCGGAAGAATTATACAGATGCTTATTGTGTGGGAAAAATAGTGGTCGGGCATAAGCGAAACCGCAAGTAACCAGTTGCGTCATCTACAACACTACAATAAACAATAATGCATTTCTCCTACATAGTTTGTTGCGTGTGCAGGATTTACTAGAGGACAAAAATAAAAAGCAAAAAAACAAGCGCCATACCTCACTTGGGTTGGTCGTTTAAGATCAGCTTACAAACCACAGCCACCACTTACATACAAATCTCTCCACTTACGAGCCTAGGTACAACCAATTGGAAACTTGAATCCTAGACAGATCTGTCAATAACGGGGGCTCTCAGTGTTTTGATGTGGCGAAGGGTCTCTTTTGTTTAGGTTGTTATTGGGTGCAACTTAATGTAGGGAATTGATGGTCAACTCTTTATTAATAAGACGTATACAATCATACAAGTAGTAGTAACTTTTCATTAATACACAACACCAAATCTGTGAGTGCAACATATCTCACAGTCAAAATTAAACATGAACTCACAATCTAGGATCATCCAAGTCGATTCTTCTACCTGAAGTCAACATCCTTTGAACTTCATCTAACGTCCAAGGACGTACTCTATTCCTCATCTTATTATGTAACATCTCCTTAACAATCTCAACAGGAGTATTTCGTCTCATGGCTTCGTCTTCAACAAACTTAATAATTTTCAATCTAGTATGACGAAACTGACGCTCAGATGAACCATGAACTTTTAACCACTCGGTAACTGATATATTCTGTTGTTTCAATTCCTCTTCTAATCCTTTGAAATCGTCCCACATCTCATACAACGTGGATGCTTGACGCGACAATCGTCTTGCTAAAGTCAACTCTCTTGCAGTTCTGAGCTGCTCCGGTTGCGTGGGTTGTGCAATTGCAACTGAAGGTGTGGACGAGCTTCGAAATGGTTCATTTTGCTGAGACAATACTTGGTGAGGTTGGTGAGATGGTAATGGTTGTGGTAATCCAGGAGTATAACTAATTGGGGTTTGTGATAATGACAGCGAGGGTATTTGAAATTGAGGGGGTGGCTGATGTGGTGGTGGATGCTGTTGCTGTTGTTGCTGTTGTTGCTGTTGTTGCTGTTGATGCGTTTGTGTTGCAAAATGTGGTAACGACGACTGAAAGTGTGGACTATTGGTTGAAATCATTGAAGATCTGGTTGAGGCAGAAGCATCAGATGGTCGATGCGACGTCGAAGTTGGTGGTGCAACTGTTGCTGGTGTAGGCTGGTGGAGATGTGAAGCTTGATACGCAGATGGGATTTGTGTCGCGTAAGCGTATCTGTATGGTTGCGAAAATTGTGTCTGTTGTTGTTGTTGTTGTTGTTGTTGTTGTTGTTGCCGTTGTTGGGTGTTTGCTCCACCACCACTTCCTTCACCTTGTTGATATTGTTGCTGTTGTCCTCTCATACGTGATAACAACTCTAAAGTATTATCAATTCCAGCACGTATATGTTCATTCTCCCCACTGTTTATGTATCTAGCTGTATCTTGCAAACTTTGTTGTGCCAAATACTCTGAACTTTTATTTTTGGAAGAACTTAAAATAATCAACCCATTGATGGAGTTTTGAATATTACGCAAAAAATCGCTTTGCTTATTCATTACCTCTGTTTGCTTGGCAATGAAGTCATACAAGTAGTTTGATGTTTCAGCTTGTCGTTGTAAATTCTTTGCAACATCCATCTCCAAATTTTTAAGTTTATTGTTTTGAAATTCCACTAATCGTTGTAAATCATCTTTTGAGTCAAAATCAATCAGCGACGGCCAAAGGTCGTCTGAATCACTCTCAGTTTCATCATCTTGAGGATTGAAACAAGATTCTCTCATCAAGCGATCATAATCTCCATCCTTTTCAACCTCCTTGACAAATTCCTCAAATTCAGTAGAGTTGAAAATCTCGCTTGTCAGAAGGGGGTTATGGGGGTATCGTTTTTTTATGACAAGCATGTCTTGGCATAAATTTCTTCGTAGCATACTAAGCAACTCTCGAATTTGAATAAACTTGCTGTCATCACCTGCGCATGTATCCGAAACGACTACCTCATCATCAACCATATCATCACTTTGTGGCTCTGCTTTTTCACATTCCCCCCCTAATGGTGTGTCAATAAAAGGAAATATTTTGCTCAAGAGAGCTTGTGGTGGGTTGATTGAATTTCGCAAAATGGAATAGTCACTCACATCTTCAAACCCCGCTAGCTGGACCATTGCATGAAACGGTAGATCATCAATAGATTTGGCTGACAATTCGTTCGGTAGCTCAAAAGTGTGAGCCAATAACAATTTTCTCAAGTTTGTCTCCTCATGGTTGAAGCCAGCAATTTCCAAGGCTTTTAATCTCGTCTTTATTTGATGTGATGATGACATTGGAGCGCCTTTATGGCTTCCCTTGAGAAGCTTGGCCATGCTTATTGTATCTGCACTCAAAGTATCCTCCAACAGAAACTCGATTAGGCCGTTGTGGTCAGGTATATGAAATCGACTAAATAAATAGGTACTGATAGCAGTATGGGGACAAAACTCAATATACTTTGATCTCAAACATGATCTGTACTGCGTAGTCTGTATAACTGACGACCTCGGACTTGTACCTTTACTACCCTCTTTGTCGGTATGAATAATGTTGGCAATGGATGAGCGAATGTCTGAGCTATTATCGTTGATTTGAACCACTATACTATCAATGTTTTTAATCTTGATAGCTGACAAGTCACCTAAACCAATACTTCTCTTTTGTGAGTCTGACATCAACATGGTTCGTGTTAAACTAAAGTCGACTAACGTGCGGAACGCTTTGTGGTGGTTGATTTTTGGGTTAAATTTAACGTTCTTGTGCGACCATAAGGGTTTAACTAATTTGTAGTAGTCGTCTAAGGTATACTCATGATTATCAGAGGTCGACGATCCATCCGAATCTGATAGCATATTCACCCTGGTCTTTGAAATTCAGCACCTTTTTGAAAAATGTTGTATTTCCATTCTCGATTCTGGTCAGAATGTACTAGGTTTTAAATGTTTTTTTTTTTTTTTTATTTTCGTTTTTTCCATACAGTTAATTAAAACAAATCTGCAACTTCGTAGAACAATAGCGAGGAAGCAAAAAATAAAATAAAAATAAAATAAACCATAAAAATGGAGCATAGAATCATTTTGTTGAACAAAACTGAAAAGTCAAAAGGTTGTTTTTTTTGTTTTTGCACCGTCAAACTAAAAGTTAAATTTAGTCTTTGCTTTTCTCTGGATTACAAAAACACAACAAACGAAAATTCCACATATGTTGTGTGGTGTTCAGTATTTCGGTTTTGTCCTTCCTTTTTCATTTGTTCTCTTCATTTTGACTCTTGTGATCTTCGCTCGGGTTATTTCCGATCTTCATCTCTCTATTGTGTTTGCTTTCTTACCGACATCACGGAAAAATATTACTCCATTTTGTGGAAGACTTTCCCATGGAAAGTGTTGAAAAGTGGTGAAAAGAGCTACCTGCGACTTTGTAAAGTTTGATTTTTTTTTTTTTTGCAAAGGCTTCTCTTATAGTATTATCAACTCTTACTATATGTTGGCCATTGTATTGTTTAGTCACCTGTATATGTAGCTTTGTCATATTTTTGTGCGCATAAACATATGCATATGCATAAAATGGAAAGTACAGTCGGCATCCAAAAAAATGATTGTCGGTTCGTGTATTTTGGCGACAAATGACTTTTTTTTTTTTTATTTGCGTCACTCTGTGTCTAAAAATGAGAATTCAAAAAGCGACACAAATTGAATAATCTTTTTAGATGACGACACGTACATTCTATATCCATGCACGACACGACACAACACACTCACACTGTAACACAAATGGAACATTAATCACCAGTTTCAACTAGATGACCTACCCAAACCACTATAATATGAATAATCATGAACTTTTGTATCAAGGTGACTGAAGAGCCAAACACAATAGGGATCGGTACAAAATGAGAAGTTTATAAGCATTTGGAAAGTTGTCACATTTATACATAAAAGCCGAAAGCTCATAGCCTCAAATTACTAACTGTTACTTTGGTGTTCGCTTTGTTTATAGACTTTTGTATAATGCAAGATGATGCCTCGAAGTTGTAGCGCTATTTGCTTCGAGGTCAACTGTGCCACATCTTTGCTGGAATCCAAAGCAGTTCTCTTCGAGCGTTTGAAAGAGGACTGTTTGATGAATTCAAAGGTTTGGGGAACACTTTTAAAGATTGTTGCAATCGTTAGCCTCTATACCTTCATGTGAATGACGCTTCTCTTGAATCATGAATGTTATCCATACGTCAAAGATACATGCCTCTCAAATTTGTGCACGTACACTCGTTAGGAAAAATCAGTGTCCAGCTATCTTATAGGTCCTACGAATTGTCTTGGTTGCTCTTGTGTGTATAGGAAATAGTGGCCTTATTTCAAGGATCTTTACGTGTGTGACTGACCCTTTCGATTATTTGTGTTGCAAACAAGAAAAGAGTGTCCAAAATCTATTGTTTAACATGCAATTAACACAAACAAGGCAACAACACGGACACAGCACATATAATTTTTTCGGTTCATTTTTTCTCCTGTTTGTTTATCTGAACATACCACAAAAGTTACCTCTGTTGACCACGAGTTGTTCGTAGACAGAGATTAAAGCACAATCGGAGACGAGTTCTCAGTAACAATGGTTCTAGACAAGTGATGTTTTGACATGAAACTTTGAATTTTCTCCGCTTCCTTTTTAGTGTTATCTGCATTGACTAAACCTTTTTGTCTTCACTGTATTTACGAACTAAGTAATTAGTAGCCTAAGTAGCAAGAAAGTATGTGCATGGCGTTTAAAGAAAGTTTGGTTCGTACTTTGAACCTGGGCTGGTATTCTGTATACTGTACAATCTAATTACAGAACTTTTTACACTCATAGCCAGCCCTTTTTTTCTGTTGACGTTTGATAGCGGCATGTCGTGAACCCAACAAGCTGTGAAGACTGAAGTTACGTGCATTAATCAAATATCAATAGTCTGGTACTCTACAATGAACAGAGTTTGAGCAGATGATAACTATGCATTACTCTTTCAAAGAGTTTGGTCATTCAGTACATTTTGAATTTCATATGTTTTTCTCCACCATGACACAAACTGCAAACTTTTTGTGCACCACAAAAAACATCACGAGTTTAAAGAATTTTAAATTGCCACAAGAATGTCGAAAAAAGAGGAGAAGGCAATTTTTTCTTAACACATCACGCATTTTTACCAACAAAACGTCATCATCTCGCCTAGCGGGAGCTAGCGACTATGGTCGAGGTGAGAGGGGGGGGGTGAAAGAAACTTGATGATAGCTCGTCAGAACAATCAACAAGAATGGAGAGAATAGAAACAAGCCCCACTCTCTCTTTCTGATTGGTATCGGCGCTGCAGTGGTCCTATCGAGGCGAGTTTTTCATGACCCAAGAACTGCCCGATATGAATTACATATGTCGGTAATCCCATGAATTTATAATCATAATTACACTATCCCGTATCGAAAAAAAAAAAAATACTCAACTGGGGTCAATTCTCTATTACAATACAAGTGGGCCTTAGTAACAAAGTTTTTAAAGCATGCGTCTATGTATTACTTGCAGATTTAAGTTTGCTATCTTTGACAAAAGACAAGTAAAGCGAATATGGAGCCATTACAGGTAAACAAAGTCCTATCATATTGATTTTTGCGTATGCTTCTTTTGAGTGAAAAAGCTCTTTACCAGATATAGCGTCAACTACTAACTTCGCGCATCTTGCATTCGTATGAAACTTTTGTGGAACTACGTCTATTTGCATCTTGTGACAACTTTAAAGTATAACAACATAAAAACAAATCTACACATGCGTATACAATAGCTGCCTTGTGTTTCCCAACATTCTTATTACTTGTATCGAGTCGCCCTATTGCAATCTTTATCACATACTTGTTGGTTCTTCGTGGCACTAAAAGTGATGCAATTTTTTTTTTCACGGAATCGCAAAGTTCTAAATTACCGAGACACATTCGATATCCGAATTTGTATAAATTTCACATACTTACTTTACACAAATGAAGAATATTTCTTGTCAGTAAATCAATTACGGATATGTAATGCTGCAAACGTCATCGTTTCAGCTGTTGAGATGCCTGTTGTACTTTCACCTAAAGTCGGCACTTTGAACGCATCGTCGCTAGCATTCTGAAACAGCTCACTCGATGTTGACAAGACATAATAAACTCTATACATTGGAGAGCCCAGACACGACTATGTAGGGCATATTATGCGTAATACTGACATCAAGCTCCTAAAGCTACTCTAGAAATCCATCAGAAACCATTTGTTCCAATGAAGATTGGAACCTCGAAGCTGCTACGTTTCATAATTGGAATTATTGTTTTAGAATGTTCCCATGCAGCTACTAGAAAGTAATAAAATTTTATCTATATTGCCCCATTATTGCATAGCTTGTATCTTTCAAGAACTCTATTTATTTTGCATGGCACTTAAACGATGCATGCGCCATAAACTAAAGCACGATTATAATCAAACGTCACAAACAAATGCTTTTGCTCGTCATCAATATTATAATTCAATGTAAAGTTTTGCGAAAGGATCAATTACAATAGATCTTTCTCTTATTTCATAACCTTTTGAATGCGAGCGATATGTCCGGTATGAGGTTATTCCGTTGCAATATGCATGGGATTTTTCTGCAATACCGACAACACCACTGGACTGGTATTCTACCCTAATTCAATGAGGAGCTTATTCAGAAACGTCCAAACGCTTCATCTATTTCGTATCTTGCGAGAAAAGATCTAAAAGCATCTTAACGTGGCGTTATTTTAAAATATACTTTACAGTTGCACTGCTGGCATTTACATATGCACAATTTCACAGAAGCATAACACAACTTTTCTAGCATTGGAAACTGAAAAAAAAAAATAAAAATAAAAAGATAAATCAGTATGATGAAATTAAAGTGCTCCATCCGTTTTCTCCCCATGTAATTACAAAATCACTCGATTTTTGTTAAACTTTATAATGGACAAATATTTCGAAAATCTTTTAGTGGATTGGTTTTTGTGTGATGATGAGCATTAAAGTGTGCATAAACAATGCAAGCGAAGGTTTTTGGAGGAATGACTTTGTCGGCGGTAACATGTTACTTAGTTCTTTTACACAAAATAACGGCGATTGATGCAATTACAAAAGATGTGTATGTGGTACAGTCTGTTGCTTATTGTACAAAAATCTTCATTTGTAGGTAAACTTGGTAGCATAACTGTGAACTATAGTAGTTTCATGCCAATGAGTAGGTCCCTAGAAACTTCTTAAAAGCCTTCAGCTAAAAGAGCAAGTGTTTCTTTAAAACTCCACATGATAATTCCCTCAAAACGTCGGCAGTTAAATCCGCCCCACTTGTCTTGGATTACCAAAACTACAAGCGACTCTAATAATAGATTCAACATAAACAAAATAACAAACTTATTATCACAACTCAACAAATCCTGCATTCTTAAGCCCAATCCAATACAGCACAAACACATTTTGCATTGTTTTCTCACTGTACGGCATCAAAAAAAAAAATAAAAAATAAAAAATAAAAAAGACACTAATTGCAAGACATATTTCAGACGTAACTAAACTTATATTGGCATTGTATGAGAAAACAAGCAAAAATGCACCATTGCCTATCCAAGAAATCTCATCGTCCTAACTTTCAATATTTGTCCGCGATTCCACCACAATTCCTCTTTGACATTGTAAAATGGGAATGTGCGTGTCACCTACATGAAAGGCAATTGCTCTTCCCGCATTGTGTAATATGCTCGGGGAGTTCCGGTGCAATCCGAGTTTTCATTGGGGGACGCCATTTTTTGCATTGGGCCTATTTGGCCGAGGATACATTTTAGGTGTATGAGCAACTAATTGTCCCCAAAGGTATACTGCATGGAAATTCGTGACAGTTCTCCGGAACAATTGTACTTCACATATGCGACACCAAACTTCAGCTCAATTCGGCATTCTAAATTGCTCCAACTATCAATTAGTAAAATTTCAGTCATGGAAGACAACAATAGCTATTGTTTTGTCTCAGTTGTGTTGCCTCTTCGAAGTACGCAAAGGATGAAAACCCATAAGAAATTGATAAATTCATTGTTCAATGACTTTACTCAGTTGTGTACATCTTACAAAGATAAAGCACTTTAATAACTTGACATTCAATCTCAAACTATACGATCTCATTAAATTAAACACAAATATCACACTGAAAAAACAACAATGAAACGAAGAAAAAAAAAAGGAACCTAAAACAACTCAAACCAAACGTGTTGTCTCCCCCCCCCACTACTCTTCATCTTCTTCAACATCTATGCCATTTATTATCTTTCCCTTGTAAAGCAACAAATCCAACAATTTAGGGTCGAGGTCAACAGATTGTGTGTCCAACTTATTCCTCTCCAAATAACCCTCTTTTATCCAATTGCGAACCAGAATCAATATTTCTGAAGTACCATCAAAGTCATCAACAGGACCAGGAATTATTGCAGTAAGCATACTGATCAATGCTGTAAATGTCAACAAACTGAATTTCTTATTGGGTATTCTCAAACATCTTAAAAATTCGGCCTCTTTATCGCTATCGTCAAGATTGTGATAGTACGTGACTAATGACGATAATAGTATGATCAATTCTTCTTGTGACACCAAGTTCAAGCTTTTGACAAGAGATTCAAAATCAAGATCTGACGATAAATATTCTGAATCTTCTGAATCTTCTTCTTCCAAGTCTTTACAATCGGATTTGAATTTATTGACCTGGTACTCAACTTTGTTTTTCAACTCTTGAATCAATGTCAATGTTTGATTTGGATCCACTATAGTCATAAACAATTGAAATTGGGGCCAAATTGGAGATTTTTTGTCAATGATTGATTCAACAATTTTCAAATCAGTAAACACTTGTGTAGTATCCTCTTCGTTCAATTTCTCCAAATAGGATAAGTTTAATGCATGAATAATGTCAATAATTCTCCATTGAATAATCAAATTATAGTAATCGCCAATAGTGTACTGATAAGCTTCAACGTATTTTGAATCTTGTCCGTCTTCGACACCAGCGTTCATATATTGACCAGTTGCCACATTGCTCAATCTCGTCATCAATGGTTCACTAGAAAACATCGAAAGGCCATCTACTTTACCAATCAACTGACTCAATCTGATCAATGTCTTGTTGCTACCACGGTAATCAAGGTTTACAATCAATCCACCTTTCATGGTTAAGAAGTGATTAATCATTGGCGAAAATCTTTCAAATTTGTTTTTCAACAAAGTGCCAATCAACAACATCAAAAATGTGTTTTCGAAATTGGATTCACATGATGACAATTCAATGTAGTCCCAAGCCATTTGCTTCCAGTTGTTGCCTCCTCTCAAGTTGGCAATGATTCTTTCACGACGCTGCTCGGACAACTTGTTGGGCACTTTTATGTATAATGAAACCAAAATACAATCCATCAAGGTACTAGACTCGGTGGCTACCTTTAACCCTTTATCACCGGGTTTGCTAACAAAACTTTGAACCATTGGGTAAAAAACGGTGAACAAACTTCCCAAAACCAACAATAACTTGCTCAATGTCCACAAGTGGATCACAGCAGGTGTTGGATTCAAAAATGCACTTGGGAACAAGTATGAGGCAAAAGGCAATGCACTCAAACTTCTGAAATCATTCTCACCTGAACCACCAAACAAGGAAGTAGCCATGACAGTTGCCATGCCTCCTAACAAGTATCTGTTGGGCCCATTCGAATTCTCTTGTTGTTGCTGTTGTTGTTGCTGTTGCTGTTGTTGTTGTTGTGATGATGGTGGTGGTGGTACTGGTAATGGAGCTACCTGGCCTGCTGCCACTTGTTGGTTATGCATGTAAGCCTGGTGATCATAACTCTGCAGACTGTTTGGTCTCATGTCTCCATATATTTGTTGACTCCCATCCATGGGGGAGCTTGGTATTGGACGTTGTGCTAAGGGCATTTGTATTTGTGAGCTCAAGTTAGCCTCTTGAAGAACTTTTTGCAAGTACTCATTCTGGTCTTTCAACATTGCATTCTTCTGCTCCAAGTGCTTGATGTATTCAGTAGCCTTGGTCAAAACACTGGCTTTATTCAATTTCGAAGCAGGGGTAATACCCTCCAAATCAGCCAAGGAGACGTCTTCGGCACCAGCGGCAATTCTCAAAGCAGGTACAGCATCTCTCAAGATCAAAATCTTTGAGTTAATGTTGGTTCTGTACTTCTTTTCAATCATATTGTGTGAGCTTTTATCCTTGGGATTCTTAGGCTTTGTCACTTTGGAAGCTGAGCCTCTTTTGGTTTGCTTCACCGGTGGTTTTTCAATTACGTGATTTTGAACTGATTCTGGCGAAGTGTAGTCAGATGTATCATTGGTGTTATTGGACAAAGGTGATATATTTTCACCATTATAAGTAGCAATTGATGACGAATGTGACCTTATCCTTGTGGCATACAACGGTTGTTCAAGCAGACCACTTTGAAAAGTAGCCTGAGGTTGATCAGGATAAGCTCCCAAGTATTCTGGGAAACCAACCTCTTCTCCGTTAATCGAGGAAGGTGATAATGTCGAGTTGTTGTAGTTGACGTTATTGAGGTTAATATTCGCCAAGTCAGGCTTATTGTTACCCAACACACCTGAAATGGACTTGAGAAAATCGTCAGTCTCATCAAAATTGAACCCTGATTGGGCATTCATGGTATCAAGGCCATTTCCATAAACGTCGCCCAAAATATTGTTACTTCCGTCGTCAAGGATGTTCATGTCATTGCTTTGGTCAAAGATCTTATTTTCATTGTCCGGCCTTCCGGGCCCATCAAAACTAGCCTCCAACTGTGACATTATCTGGATTTGCGTTCGATTTGTTGTAAGTGGTGAATCTCTTTATAGCTCAAGTGCAAATCAGCTAGTTCACTTCAAAAATAAAGAAAAAGGGGTGTCAATGATGAAATATTTTCAATGAAATAAAACCGAAAAAGAAAAATGGTCAAAGTCCTCCAATCAAATGTTATATGTAGTAGAATAATTTTTTTGTTTATTCTTGCTTGTGAATATCTTTTGATGTAAATGTTTTGCCAATAGGAAATGACTTTGTTGTTACATTGAAGTATGTGAGTAAACTGATTGGGTTTTCTATACATATGTCAGTTTCTAGCGCTTATTAGAAAATAATACCAACACCAAAAAAAAAAAAAAAAGATCATCCGATTTTTGTCGTTTTGTGTGACATCTTTAATTTCTTATATATGAAGTTACGTAAAGCGTACAAACAATGTTATCTAATAATTATGTAATAAGCTCATTAAATTATATCCTTAAAGAGCAATTGGTGAGGCTTTTCATCATAAAGGGGGCTCTAAAATTTCCAAAGTTTTTGATTTGCATGCGGAAACATGAAACTCCCATTATAGGTAAAGATTATATTCCGAAATTACCCTTGCAATCATTACTTTTTGGCCACATCCGTGGGATATAGACATCTTAGGGCACTTAGTTTATTTGTTTTTTTGGCCCATACGCGTATGGCGCACTAACCATCACTTTGGGTTCCGATTCAACAAAATGTTTAGCCGTTATGTTTTCGGAATGACCATGGAAATAGTTTTATGAGTCACTCTTGACTTTCCTTTAGTGATTTCAGTGTCACCACTGGTGTACGTTTCGGGACAAAAAGATGTCACAGGCAATGGACCCAGTGGTTGTGCTCTTGAGAGCACCTTTCTCGTCTTCACTCCCTTCTTTGAAAATACACGAGCAATTTCGCCGAAACCATCAACAACAGCTTACATAAGAATTAAAACCACGTATCACATGAACATTAGTTACTTTCCGCTGTTCTATACGATGTGCATATGTTAGTCAAATACCCGAAATAAGAAATGTAAGTCCTACACATATAGTACAAGTAAATTTTCTCCTCATTTCATTGCGTTTATTGAAAACCCGCCCCCTTCTGAACCGTGGATGGAAAACTTTGAAAAATTCTGACGACGCAGCTACACGGGGATAACAATTCATGCTTTCACCCTTTTTCAATTCATCATTTATCCATTAGTTTAAATTGGCGGTAAACTAGTTCGACAGACTGGACATTGTAACTTATACTTCATCCAACTCTCTAGGCAGTCAGCATGGAAAATGTGTTGACATGGAGTAATCATGTACTCCTTTTGTGCAGCTCCTGAATGTTGATGAAGATTCTTTTTCTTTGCCTCGCTTAAATCTTTATCCTTCACCAATATTGGTATCGTAACATCGGTCATACAAATTGGACATGTACATTCACAATCAACAAACTCCTCAGCGCGTCGGTCATTGTTAGTCTCAGTAGTTGTTGTTGACGACGACGACGACGACGAGGTCTTTTGTTTGAAACTTGCTAATAAGTCACTGGATATTCCTCCTTCCTCTAATTCCTTCAACGACAACACACGATGATAATCATAAGCTTGTGGTAACCATTTTTCATTAATCCAAAATCTTGCACCGAGTCTATTCTGTAGCAACAATAACCCTAATTGTATCAAAACCCAGCTAGTGACAACAACGCACAAATATGGATCGTATCTGTGTCTCAATGGGTTCTCCTTATATAATGCAAAATAGTAAATGGGTACAACTCTGACAATGCTGCTCCCAATAATATATTGCCATGAAAACGAGTTCCTTCTGTTCTTCAAAGTGTTTCGCAAAAACTGTGGCACCCAGTACGAATTGATAAAGATCAAGCTGATGTATTCAAATATAATTCTGTACTTGCGTCTCCAATCAAAAGACGAAAATATGAGAAACATGGCAACAATGGACAACGTAAATCCGGAAGCAAATATCGAATTGCTATAGGAGGTCTCTTGCCACGCGGTATTGGGTTCAGTTTGCATTTGCTGCTCTGGTGTTTGATCTTGGGACTGTTGCTGCTGCTGCTGCTGAGTGGGTGTATTGGCCAATGGTAAAAGGGGGCCTTCGGCAGGCTCCTCCACGGAAGTAGGAGTTGTTGCTGGTGACGATTCTTGTCGTGATCCTCTCATAATTTCCCACCAGGTAGTCCCACGCTCATTCGCTTGTGTCGTCAATACACTAACCAAAAACCGCATTTCAAACACACCACACAGGATAAATGCAATAGTTGCGACACATGCAAGAAGTAGATATAAATCGGTTGCGATGGTTGACAATAACAACGAAATGATAGCCAATAGTGAGTCCTCGAATCCAAAAAAATATAGCGTCTTGCTTGAAATAACTGACAATTGTCCCGGTGTTCTTGCAGCATTTACTTGATTGAATGTGAGATACAATTGGATTGAAACCAATACCAAAAGTCCAGTTAGCAAATGCCTAATTTGTTTGTACCAGACTTCAACTCTTTCCCCGGAAAACGAAGAATTCGGTTTGTTAGTCAAGATGATCCCACAGTTAGGCGAATAAATGAGAAATTCTTTGACCGACAATTTTGGCAAAGTGTCAGGCAATGGTTTCCCACTCGGATGTTTCAATTCCGCATCGATATACCGTAACTCATCATGAGTGAAACCAGTCTTGTTGAATTGCATAAATGTGATCATTTCACATTGATCAAACGCCTTCAATATTGCTCCATTCATGTCATCCAAAGATAATGACTTACCGTCTCGCATATTGTTATACTGGGTCATAAGTTTCTTTGCTGTTGCAAAATTACCCTCATTCATTGTCAAATGGCTCAATCCATATGATCCATAAAACTTGGCCGAGTTTGATGTGGCAACCAACGCACCAGTACTCTGATAATATACCGCATCCATTTCGATCGTATAGTCATTGATTTCCGAGTAATCTTTCAAGTTCAAATCAATCCTAGCCACAACTGCATCATTAACGTGGTCGCTCGTGTTTGTCACATGAAATTTAGGTTCATTAAAATTGTATTGAAACGCTGTGATACCTACTGAAATCAAACCTGGTGTAGTTATATTTCCAACTTTCGATAGCCCACTCTCCGTCTTCTTTGTGTCCTTGTCTGAGTTTGACTCATCCAAACCCATATCGTCATTGGTTGTCCTCTCTTTGTAATACTTTTTCAAGTATTTTGGGATTTTCTGATTAACTGGATGTACATGAGATTCAGCGGGTATAAATTCCCCATGAGCAGTGCCAGATATGTTCAACATATAAGCTCTGCCATCATTCATCTCTACTTTATCGTTCCCCCAGAACTGCTTCACGATATCAGTCACCTCATTGGGCAATATCGAGTATTTTTGATCTTCAATCCAGGGATGCTCCTTGCTGTACTTGTGGATGGGCCAATCGGCCGCGGATTTATGACTGAGATAATCGTCATATGAAAGCTGATACCCAGTGATATTCCCATAGCCCAGATAATATTCCGAACTATTTAACATGCGCAGTGCCTGACTTGCTTGTGATTGAAATGTTGCTAACGTTTCTCTTTCAATATCCGACCGCGGTTCCTCATTACCCGACGGTAGAGAAAGGAAGATGAACATCACTATGAAAAATAGTAAAGTGCCCCTGTCGACAGCCATCTTTTATACTATTCACTGTTGCTTCCGTGATGATGGGGAAGTTAGGGAACAACTGAATCCACTTTTTTCTTTTGTTTTCTTGTGGATCTTTTGCCCTTCGATTGCGCTACCGTGACAATATCGCAACTTGCCATACTGTATCCACTAAATTTTAAGCACTATGGATCGTAAAATCCTCCTAGACAAGCTCGATTTGAATATAAAACTAATGATATAAAATTGCTATAAAAAGATTAAATAAAATTAATAAACGTGAAGAAAAGTATTTTGGTTTTTTTTTTAAAAAAGGTATCAGCTAGCCAAAGTCTAACAAAAATCTCGAAACATCTATCCAGAGACGCTAGCCACTTCGAACCGATTACGAAAATAAGCAAGGTATTTGGAATTGTAGTTGAAAGCTGAACGATGTTGTTCGCTGGCATTGTGTTTTTGATAAGGTTGCGATCATGAGTAGTTTGAATGCCTGCAATTTACAAGCTCATGATCATAACAACAAGTAACCAGCAACAGCGATAAATGTGAATAAGCCAGCATTCATTTCCTTAGCACCCAATCTGTTGGCAGCGTTTGCAACTTGTGATACCTCGGCTTCTTCAGTAGAAGCGGCATCAGAAGCAGTGACTACTGTATTTTGAGTAGTGGTAACAGCAACAGTTTCAGCATTCTTCAAAAATCCGTAAGTACCATTCAAAGCCGTGGATGGTGATTGGACGGTTGAGTTTCTGGTGGCTGGAGCTGTGCTATTTTGGTAACCAGTTGATGAAGTTACTTCTTCGCAATCTTCTTCGTCGTCGTCGTCGTCATCACCCTCTTCATCATCACAGTCTTCAGTTGGAGTTGACGTTGAAGTAGAATCGTTGTAATCATCATCATCACTGTCGTAGCCATCTTCTCCTGGACAAACAATATCAGTTGGATGCAAACCACCAAGGTCGGTTGTGACAGAACTTGATCCTGATCCTGATCCTGATCCTGAAGAGCCCGAGCCTGAACCTGAACCTGAACCTGAACCTGAACCCGAACCTGAACCTGAAGAGCCGGAGCCGGAGCCGGAACCTGAACCTGAAGAGCCGGAGCCGGAACCGGATCCAGACGAACCAGATCCAGACGAGCCTGATCCAGATGAACCGGAACCAGATGATCCAGAACCGGATGATCCAGAGCCAGAAGAGCCGGATCCACTTGTTGGAACAGATGCGACAGTGGTTGAAGTGCAATCATCGTCACCTTCTTCAAGCCATTCCCATTCATCATCATCATTTCCTGATGAGCCACTTGATCCTCCTGATCCTCCTGATCCTGAGCCACTAGATCCACTTGAACCACTGGATCCACCTGATCCCCAACCATAATCGTCATCATTTTCATCTTGTGGGTAAACAGTCTGAGTAACAACAACGGTGACTGTTGTGGTTGTGATACCTCCACCCGGAGCAACAGTAGTGCATGGAACGACAGTGGTAACAGTGTAGTAAACTGTCTCTTCACATTCTTCTGGTTGTTGAGTTACATGAGTTGTAAATGTTTGTCCAGCTCCAGTGTATGTGAGTGTAACTGTGTGGGCTTCGGTGACTGTACCACCACCGGCAGCAGTAGTAGTAGTAGGATTCTTTGTTGGTTGTTCGTGGGTGGTGATGGTATTGGTTTCGACTCCACCTCCAGCATTGGTCGTGGTAACAGTAGTAGTCTTAGACTCACCAGCGATACTGGTCGACTCGGTAGTAGTGACGCCACCAGTAGGTACCTCATCAGTGGTGGTTTCGCAATCAGTTTCGTCATCGTCATCATCATCACCACCGGATCCAGAAGTGGTAGTTCCATTAGTAGGATCAGATGTCACAGTTGGGTCTTTAGTGCCACCGTTTCCACCAGTGGTAGTAGTTGGATCATCAGTGGTGGTTTCGCAATCAGTTTCGTCATCGTCATCATCATCACCACCGGATCCAGAAGTGGTAGTTCCATTAGTAGGATCAGATGTCACAGTTGGGTCTTTAGTGCCACCGTTTCCACCATTAGTTGTAGTTGGGTCTGACGTGTTACCGTTCGTAGTTGGATCATCGGTAGCGGTTTCACAATCAGTTTCGTCGTCATCTTCTTCGCTTGCTGTAGTAGCACCACCTGCAAGGGAAGAACTTGAATCCAACAATGAGCTCAGCGAGTTGCTAAATCCTGTAGTGGTTGAAACACCTGCGATGGAAGAGCTTGGGTTCAACAATGAGCTCAACCAATTACCTGATTCAGTGGTGGTATCAGGATCGGAATTACTTCCGGCGTTGGTAGTTGGGTCAGTGTTGCCTCCGGTGGTGGTTGTTGGGTTGGTGCTACCTCCGTTTGTAATAGTGGGATTGGTGTTACCTCCAGTTGTGGTGGGGACGATGTTGGTATTTGAGGCTACAGGACTAGATGATTCGTCTTCACACTCTTCATCGTCGTCATCTGGCTCTGAGCTTGAGGAACTTTGGGAGCCACTCTCTGATGGCAGCAAATCACTGACAATACCAGAAAGGATATTTCCACCAGTGGGTGTTGTTGAAGTTGAGTTGGATGACACCGGTGTGCTACTCACTGTTGATGCAGTGGGATCCAAGCTTTGTGACAATGATGAAGACTCTCCGGCAATAGTTTGTGAGTCACTTGGTGTTGACGATGAGCTCGAGCCTGGAAAGATGTTTGATAAAATTGAATCAAGACCCCCTTGAGACGAAGTTGCAGCTGTGTTTGATGAAGCTGTGTTTGATGAAGCTGGGTCGGATGAAGCTGGGTCGGATGAAGCTGGGTCGGATGAAGCTGGGTCTGATGAAGTAGGGTCGGATGAAGTAGGGTTACTGCTGACTGTATTAGATGCAGTTGGGCTGGTTGATGATGGTGTTGTAGATCCATCTTCTTCCTCACAATCCTCTTCGTCGTCCTCTTCAGGTACTGCTGATGAAGAGCCTCCTGTGGCAGCAACAGGTGATGCACTACCTGCTGCTGCTGTTGCTGTTGTAGTTGGGGATGCAGCTGCTGCTGGTGAATTGGCTGCAGCTGTAGCTGTATTGCCCGTAATTCCATTTATTATATCATCAAAAAAGCCTCTCTTTTGTTGGTGTACTCCTTCCGCATTGGCAAAAGCCATCAAAGCCAAGCAGATTGAAGTTAACGTTGACACTTTCATTTTCTTTTCAACCTTTCCAATTTCTGACCTATGGTTCTAACGTTAACGAAAGTATGAAAAAGTTGGAGTCAATTGCTGATGGACAAACAAAAGGCGTAATTGGTTCTGAAAGATATCAAAATAATAGAAATGTTGAAACAAATTATACTTTTTAACTAGTTATAAATGAAAGCTCTTGGGCCCTGGATGTCTTGTGTATTGAAAACACATTATTAACTTGTTTTGGTTGTGAAGAATATTTGGGGTACATACTCTTTTCTCAATTTGGTAAATTTTGCAACCTCTGCTTTTGTGTCTGTCCTGTATATAAGTAAACATCAAATTTGTTTTTGTTAGTGTGTATTGATGTGTGGGTGTAAAATAATTTCCTATTTGGGAAGTAAGATTAGTCGATACTTTGTGCCTAACATGAAAATGTAAAGAAATGGAATACAAGTCAAGGGTTGGAGTAGTACAAGCGAGGGATCTGTTATTGTTTCATCAAACTTTCCTAACTTGGGACTTAAACAACAAAATTAATCTTTTCGAAGTCGTCTAATCCACAATGTATGTTCAAAAGTAAGCTGGATAAATGCGAGACCCGTAAATTCCTCTTTGTCAGTAACAATAACGAGTTCCAATAGATGTAGGGACAGTTGCTTCAAAGTCAAGCACTTGTAATCGATTTGTAGTTGGGTTGCCGTACAGAATGCATGTGTCGGCTCCTGCAAACTTCCATTTGCTCTACCAATAACAGTCCTTCCATGTTGTAACTATCATCATAAAGGACGAACCCACTTTTAACGGAGAACCCTCAGTCTGCCTCAATATGTTCCTTTGTGAATCGGGAATAGACTATGATACGGTGTACAATGTACAGCGTATAAAAATGAATTAAAAATTTACTAATTCGGTAAAGAATTCTTTTTTTTTATTGAATCTTAAAGGGACTCGCTTTTGTGGTGAACAAAGGAGTTCTAGATCTCCCTGTCAATAAGAATGCTTTTACCCCAACTCGTCTCGTACAATGGTTATGAGATTCTAATAATAGATGCACATGTGTGTCAATTGGATTAAAAATGCAACCAATAAAGACGGGGGTGGAGAGCGGTTCTTAAATGGAATGCACGGGTATATATTCTGTAAACACTGGGTGAATCGTTGCATGCCGCTGGTTTGTGAAGAGTGATTTACTGCCAACAAGGGTAACTTTTCAACTGGTACCCCTATCTACATCATTCAACTAGCATCGAATGATTCTAAAGAGTTTGACTAACACTTTTACGAAAGCGGAAATAAAGCCATCTTCTGTGACATATTACGAAACAATCAAATCATGAAATCGGCTAATCTCAAGCCTCTTTGGAACTAAAAACATCGGGTATAAAATAACTGGTTTCACCTCTTTCCCACCTTACGTGAGGTTAACATAAGGCAAGTCAGATAAAGTCTCTGCTCTCTTTGCCTTTTGTGCAAATTCAGCTTTTCTTCTTGCAATGACTCTATTGACACTCTTTCTCACAAGTTTCTTGATCTCTTTTTGTTCAGACAAACTTCTTTTTAAGGATCTCTTTACCGTACATTGATCTTTACTTGCTCCATTTGAACCACCAAAGATTGAACTGAATAACGTAGTAAAAACGTCGGAAACAAGATCTGAAAAACTAAAGGATGAGCCAGTACTGCTGGATGAACTTGATGAACCGCCAAATAATGAACTCAACAAGGTGCTGAAGAATGAACCTGATGATCCACTTGATGAAGATGAGGAATTGCTGTCAAATAAATCATCAAAGATTTCACCGGCAAAACCCAACAATGAGCCAATAATACTCTCTCCCGAAAACAATGTGGAGTTCCCATCAAATAAGTCGTCAAAGATTTCTTCTCCAAGTCCTAAAAGATCTGTAATCAAGTCTCCACTTCCTGAGGTAGATCCTGTAGATGATGATGATCTTGATGAGCTTGTAGAGTTGGAATCACCAAAGAGGGCGTCAAGTATATCATCGATAAATGAGCCAGTGCTGGTAGTTGATGATGTTGCTGATGATGATGATGTGCCAGTTGAGTTGGAATCTGAACTACCACCAAATAAATCATCGAATATATCACCGAGTAGAGATCCTCCGGTTGATGTTGAGGTCTGTGATGTAGTGGTTGTGTTTCCAGAGCTTGAGCCAAAGAAATCATCAAACAAGTCATCTAATGAATCGCTCCCTGTTGAATTAGACTCACCGCTTGTAGTACTTGTAATGGTAGTGCCAGTAGTGGCCGAATCTCCTCCAAAGAGTCCACCCAACAACCCATCAAGAAAACCTTCTGTTGATGCTGTAGATGAACCAGTGGGTGTAGCATTGGTAAGAGCTTGACTAGAACCTCTACCAGTAGTTGATCCTGAACCGAAAAGATCTCCGAGCAAATCATTACCAGTTGCGGTAGAAGTTTGACCAGTTGATGATCCAGAGGCTAACAAAGTTAGTTGAGAATTGATAGCTTGAGTTTGGCTCGTTCCACTTGACTGACTACCGAATAACCCATCAACCAATCCACCGAGTAAACCTGCTGTTGTTGATGTACCTGCTGCAGTAGCTGTTCCTGTAGCAGCTCCTGTAGCTATCTCAGTTGCTGTATTTGTATTTTGTAAGGCAGCTGTGTTCACACCATCACCCAAAGCAGTATTCGATGCAGTGGTAGTTTGGGCTGACTCAATAACAGCAGATAATTCAGAATCTTCAATTGAAGCTGGTGCTGCGGCAGCCAAAGCAGCAGATAGTATAAGGGTATTGATTCTCATGATATTTAGGTTGTGCGTAACTTTCAATCTAGCGAGTGGGATTTGGTAGGGTAGAAAGGAATGAATGAATGTGAGTTGACTATCTTCTTTCTTTTTCAAAAAGTTTCCTAACCCAAGGGCGGATCAACTCGTAATATATAAACCATCAGGTTTATCATCATCGTCATTGTCACTTTATTAAGGTTTGTGTTCTGTTGTGTACTTTGTTGTGTACTCTGTTGTGGATCTGCTTATGGTAGTATTACAATGATAAACCGATTTTTTGATCCTCATTTGGCTTTAAGATCAAAAGAAATTATCCTAATTAGGAAATTGCGAAAATCTGACAAAACTCAAAACTCGAAACTCGAAAATAAAAAGAACAACCAAATTTCAAGCTACCAATTCCCAATTGGGAATATCCCACCATAAACATAAACATAAACACATGATAATGAGAATCCACATCGCTTTTCTCATTGTGTTGAGCTATTGTACAATGCAAGGGGGTTAGTGTCCTTGCCGTATACGTTATGTAGATATGCTCTCCTACCCAATTAGGTTATTGAATTCCCAACAATGAGGTCCATGGCGTCCAAGTATAAGAGTGAGGCTATGACAACTACAAAAGTCACATTTACACCTGTTATTTGTATCAGAATTGAATGTGGTAAAATGAAATCGATCAACAGGCGGAATTTTTCGAGTTGAATGTCTTGGGGTATCCTCTTGGTTTATTAAAACGGCAATCTTTTATTTGACAAATTAGTTGGCTGGGCAGTGCAACCTTTTTATCGAAATTCAAGCCCACCTCGTAGACCCCAATCTAAAGCCTTCCAAGACTTTACAACCTGTGACAGGTGGTTTGTAACGGTCCATCTCTTGGCAGGCTTTGCTATGTTACCTACCCATCCAGTAAAAGCCTTCTCTATGCAGGATTGTTCTTTTACTGTTCTAGAAAAAAGTTCAATCTGCCCTGCAGTGATGGTCTTCAATAACACTTCGTCCCTCCCTTAGTCCAGCTGTTGCTTTATATACACACTCCACATCCACTGACTTTATATCCACTGACCCCACATTGAGACATGAGACCAACATTAGCACTTCGAGTTAGACCACGTCGTCCAGAAAGGCCAAACCAAACTCCATTACTCCCACCATTGAAATTGTACCGAGCCATACTACGAGCTCATGTACATAAATTACCTCAAGAATTGCGTTATTTGGGTGACGAATACGTAAAAAAGGAATTCAAAGATCACAAGAAAATCGATAATCCGTTACATATAGTGGGATTCTTGACTGAATGGCAAGATTATTTGAAACAAGTTGATGGTGGAAAATGGCTTGATGGGAAATTGAGCAAGACGGAGTTGGATAAAATGACGCCGGAGCAAGTAGGTCAGTTGTATGAATTGATGAAGGCTACAAAAAAGATTGGTGAGGATGAAGTACTGGAATAGAAGGTTATAGAGCAAAGGGGGCAAGCGTTTGTTAAACTTTGAATAGTCACTTTGAATCAATAGAGTCTAAGTATTGTTTATTCTTTTACATATTTTTCAATCGTATTTTATCATCATAGTTACTGTCTCCTCACAATCCCTTGCCATAATTACCCGAGACAAAGAAGTCGAAGATAATCTTGACAATGTTCTCCAAAGCTTCCAACCAGACTTTCAATTGTTCAGCAACTTTGGCTTGATCAGCACCCAATTTGGCAAAGAAATCTTTTCTGTAAGGACACGCTTGCATGGCTAATTTGAAAACTGGTTTAACAAACATACCATGATATTTCGACAATGTTTTACCATAAGCATCAGTAAAAGTAGTAGTCAACTCCTTAGTTGGTTGATCAACGGTTTCTCTCATTGCTTGAGCTGTAAATTGTAAACCTCGTGATAACCATAATAAACCTTGAGTCGCAGTTTTGGTTTTGGTTTTTGACTCAGTAAGGATCAAATCTTGCAAAGTGGATGCATTGGCCGGGTCATCTAATAACTTTTTACGAATCTTGGCAATATTACCATTCATATCATTTTGGACAACAACGAAAGCAGTCGATCCTAGCAAATCAAACAATTTGACAAGTGATTCTGACGCTTGCAAGAAATCTGAGGTGTCGATCTTGGTGCCATCGGTGATTTTCACGTCGGCAAATGACATTTGCATTTCATCAAAGAACGTGGACATTGTTGGATATATGTTGTGAAGTAGTCGTTGTTGTAGTATTGGTAGGGATAGCTATGGAGTTGCTCCTTGTATGAGAGTGTGTGAAAATTATTGTTGGTGGAAATTTTGTCAACAGAAAAATGACAACACTACGCGTTATACGACATTAACGAGGCTGTAACAGGGTCTAGACCCAAAATTGAAATACATTAAAATAGGGTTATCTATGTACGACATCACTGAAGCAGAACAGAAGACAGATGTCACCATTCTAGGCTATCAGGCCATTGAACTCTTTTCTCCTTCTTTTTGGAGACGTTTTTATCTTCTGCATTGGATTCTGAAGATTGAGATACAACCTCAATTCCAGTATCTTTCATCACATTCATGGCTTCTTGTGGCTTGAGTCTGGCCTGATACTCTTTAAACTCCTTTTCTGAATAAAACCCCGTTCGTATCCCCTTTCTTGCTCTATCCATTTTGATATTAAACATTCGTATTATTGCCATTTGTTGAGCATCACTAGAGTTTGTTGGTATCTGCACCACTTCATTTTCGTGTTCTGGAAACGGTAGCGACTCATTGGTACACCCATTAAGTTCAGTGGCAAAATCAGTGGCTTGGTTGATTAGTCCTGACAGTGATTCAATTAGGTATATTTTGGCATCATCGATCGAAAGACACGACTTCGAAGGTGTTAGGGTTTGATGTTTTGGCTGGCATACACCTTCTGGGACTGTCTTAGTAACAGCTTCCGGTGATAGTTTCTTGAATGGCAGGACGGTCCTTTTCTGGATATTGTTGGTTTCAACTAAGGGTAAGCTCTTACGTTTGCTCGATGCTGGCGGTTTTTTTGTCACTTTATACGGTTTGGACAAGTTCTCTTTGTTTTCATTACGACGTATTCTGAAATACTCGCTTAGCTCAGGGTTGATCTCATCAATAGGTCTCTTGAATCGATTATTAAACACTCTAGTTCTTGTCACGTCATCCAACTCAAAATCAATTTCCTCCATTTGATTCCATTCAACACATCCAAGAAACTTTTGGTCAGGTGGCATCACTTTACAATCTTGTAAATTTTGCAAATTTCGCGCATTGGTTGACAGTCGCCTCTGTTTGGCAGTAAAATTGTTTGTAGCGTCAAATAGCTCATTCGTATATCGATTAGTGTTGTTCTTATTAGGAGGAAGACATATTCGCGTATTGCCTAAATGTGGTGGTGTTGATCTAGGTCTAGTTGGAACAAACGTTGCATGATCAAGTTGCTGCTGCTGCTGCTGTTGCTGCTGTTGCTGTTGTTGTTGTTGTTGTTGTTGTTGTTGTTGCTGTTTGCGCACAGAATCCTCAAACGGTAGAAGATCGTAATCAATTTCTTCAATTTCATCAATCAATTCATCATCTTCCAGCAGTGACAATAGTGATCTAGTCATTTTTGTGGGGTAGCTGTTGTTACTAAAGCCTGTTGAAGTATACGTGGATATGTTATTTACTTAATGGTGGTTTTGTTATGGAAAGTTGGTTTTTTGGGTGATGGTGTTTTTTCTATCAGAAGACGTTTGTGGTTTAGTACTGGTTGTTTATGTTTTGTCTTAAATAGGAAATTATGTCACGTGAATAGGGACAGTTTCATTGTTTATTAAGGTAATACTCACCATCTGTGCTCTAACCAGATAAAGTTGTTATCGTTAGCCCAAGAACATATCAAACACTCAACTAACCACTGTTTGCAAAAAGTCATGGATATTGTAATGTGTAAGACTCGTGCTCTAACTCTACCCAGTTTGCTCCAATAACAGAGAAAAAAAAAAAAAGACAAAAATTGCCTTCATTTTGCAATGCTTTAAACCCATCAATAATAAAGCCCCCGTCGTACTCCCAAATGCCTCCTTGAAGAGAGAAAAGTCCCCCTTCCTCTTCATAACTATTATCTCACGCCCACGACATTTTTTGAAGAAAAAAAATGAGACCACCACCAAACTCAATCCATGAATATTTGTATCGGCTACTAATTGACTCTCCCGGTTTCAATCGATGGGTGCGTAAAATCCACGCTAGGATAAATCGTATACCATATGACCATTATCCAGATCTATCGCAGCTTAAAAACATCGATGTGCACGATTTTAAGCCAACGAAGTTGCAGAAATTGAATGCATTTAGACGGCTTTGGGTCCAAGAGATGAAAGATTCATTTAAATTCTGGTAGAGGTATTGACAAATTACCAACATTGATTATGAAGAGTTTAATTGATATTATGTATTAAGGGGGTATCACAAACAAGAATTTGAAAACTATAAACTCCCGAGCAGTCAAGCTACTTTTGAAACACATCTTTGGGATTTGCCAAAGCTTTTCGACTCACCATTGAGACATCATCCTGCAACGCCATAATCAATTGATTATTCGATCCGTATTTGAAATTATCAGCAACAACATTTTGTTTATACCTTTTAACGACATAAGGCACAGGATCATTTTTCAAAACCTTCAATAGTGACCATGTAATTATATAATTATCAGTAGATGAAACAATTGCCGTTTCCTTTTTGTCTATTCCTGTATTGAAATATGCTCGAGTAAAATGTAATTCATTCTTGTGGTTGGCATTGTTTATAAAAGCCTCATGTTCCGGCAAGAGATGTAATCGCCTTGGCGTTGGTTTCTTGTCCTTATCAAAGTGTGCTGTGAAACCGGACTTGCCAGCATTTTTCTGACCACTAGAAATCTTGGTGTCAATTAACAAGATGTATGTCTTGCAAGTGGCCAAGATCCATCTGCCATCTTTTGATACATCAATTCCAACAATCGGATCACCCAAGGTTGGCAATGCTGTTTTGGCATTGACACCTAATCGATCGAATAATTGAATATCACCTTTACCTGAGCCCAAAGCAATGTGACCACTTTCAGTCGTAGCCAATGTTTGGAATTGATTGTTTATGGTTTTGTATTGTTTATAAGTTTGGTCGTTGACTAACTTATTGCCTTTTAATCTAGGATCAATTTCAAAAAGTCCGTTGGAAGAAATACCAGTCAATGTTTGCTGATTTGTCAATTGAGCAAACTTGGAGCTAGGTGCGTATGACTTAATCGGTACAAAATCGGAAACTTTCCACTCCTCGACAATTTTACCACGATTAAGATCCATTTTGTAAAGAGCTTTATCATTCACATCAGGATTGGATAAAATCAAAAATTGATCTTCTTGGTGAAGCAACATCTTTTGTGGATTGAAATTGTGTCCCTTCAAGTCAGTGACATTATTGATTGTTGTTTGGAAATTTAGTGACTTGTCGTCTTGGCTAAATACACCAATCTTGTCACCACGAGCCACATAGGCACGATCCTTGTATCCGACACTCAAGTATGTGTTTTTGTCCTTTTTGCCAAAAGTTTGCAACTCCTCATTGAATTCTTTTGCCGACTCATCAACCTCTGGTTCAACCGTTGACTCATCTTCTGACTCATCTTCTGACTCATCTTCCGACTCGTCTTCTGACTCGTCTTCTGATTCATCCTCTTCTTCTTCACTCACCGAGTCATTCTTGTTCCTTAAATCCAAATTTGAAAATGCATCAACAAAGTACTCGTCCTCTCCTTTATCAGCACCAAATTTTTTCTTATTCAAGGTCTCATACATTGCAACAACAAATTTGTTTTGAAATTGAACCAAATCATTAAACTCAAGAAACTTTAACAGCCATGAGTTTGCCACAATTTCGTTATCTTTGAATGTGTAGTGGTTGAAAATAAAAGAAGAATGTTCATAATTGAATGTAGGATTCATATACTTGCTCACTGTTGCATTGACTATCAATCCATCTGTGGAAGTAATATACAATGTATGTTCCCATTTGCTCAAATCAATCAATTTTAAATCAACTGAGCTACTTTTCAACACAAACGTACCACTTATTGAATCATACAAGTGCAAGGCAAATTTCTTTGTTGAATAAACAACGTCACCTTTGGGTTCAGCTTGTCTTTCATTTTCATTGGTTTCCGAGTTGGAGCTATTTATATCTTCATTATCAACAAACAAAGACTGGCCTTCATTTTCTTTCGGTTGTTTAGCATCCTTGAACTCTGATGCAGCCTCCTCGCTATGATCTGAATAGGAGTCTTCCTCTTCCTCCTCCTCCTCCTCCTCCTCCTCCTCCTCCTCCTCCTCCTCCTCTTCGAATTCTAAATCATCGAAATTCAACAACTCCAGTTTAGGATTGTGAATAAATTCCTTCAACAAATTTGAATCATTAATCTTGATGGAACTTTCATGATACTTTTGTTCATATAAACATTTGTAAATGGTCATCATAAACGATTCAAAATCACTATTTCTTACATCATCGCCAACAATAAATTCAAACTTGTCACCTAAATCACCATTTAAATCCTTCCAAGCAATAGCTTTTGAACTACCATCAGACGCCACATCTTTGCGAAAAAATCTTAAATCCTCAGTTATGGGAAACACCCATTCATCTTTTGATGAATGTCTTGAATCATATTTAGCATTTGGCAGAACAATTGATGCATTTGCTTCGATTTCATCATCTTCATCTTCATCGTATTCATCGTCAGAGTAATTGGAATTACTGCTAAACTCACGTTCGCCCTCCTGATACACTTTTGTAACACATAACTGATAAAAAAAGGGTGTTGTAGTTTGTTTAATTGCAGCATAAGCATCATTGTATAAACATTCAATTTCCCCTTTAGGTGATTGTTTTGATCGCGTTAGGAATAATTTTCCTGAAGGTATTGAAGCAACTTCATCGGTAGATGTAGTCCCTATAAACTTTTTGATAAAATTCATGATCAACTGTAGAAGGAGGAGAGAGCGATTGGTTATGGGAGCAGCTCTTCTAGTGGGTTGCACTTGAATGATAATCAATTTCAGGGCGTAAACAAAACAAAAAAAAAGACAGCAAGATCAGAAAAACAATCACAAAAACGGGGGAGTTAGACGTCGTGTACATTGGCTGAATTATTAGACGAGGGTTTATCAGATCTACTTCTTGAGAGTAGGGTACTCAAGGGTGTACTTGTAGTGTACTCTGATGAAGTGGGGGGAAGAGAGCGGACAGTTTGCCCTAAAAGCAATATTGTGTGGGCTTTCCAGTACCCTGATAACCGCTTCAATGGCATCTACGATTCAACTATCATAATCACATACATAACCAAAGCATAGACTCTATCTGCAACGAGACGATAGCTTCTAAAGTTCCTCCCACAATCAATCAGCCAGGTTTGGACGACGATAAAGTAAAAATCCAGATTTCACACCCACTTTAGTATACAATAATTGAGCCCGATGATTTTCAAATTGTGTCGACCAATAACACTTGTCGCATTTCAAACGATCAGCTTCATCATAAATTGCTTCAATTAATTTCCTACCAACTCCATGTAATCGATTATTTTCACAAACAAATAAATCATTCAAATACAATGCATCATCGATAGTCCATGTGTTTCGATGAGTTAAATAATTAGCAAATCCGATAATTTCGTCAGGTGAATTGGCATCGATGGCAACTAATGAGTACACGGGTTCATTTGCATCAAGGAAACGAGCAAATGTAGTTTCGGAAATTTCTGGGGTGATTTTATCCATTGATTTATAAAATTCAATATATCCTCCTGGTCCAGTCCAGAGATTCAACCATTGTTGTTTATCTTTGGCTTCGATTGGTCTGATAATGACGGACATGTTTTGGGAAGGCACTATGTAGGTAAAGTTTTCTATTTTCAAAAGTGGCCAAGTAGTCAAAGGGTGTTTTGGACTTGCATATGGGGTATTTATATACGCGAGGCTGAGGCAATGATTCAAAATGAGTCGTCGTCTTTTCGATTCCCCACTCTAAATTTCGTAGATTTTTGGCGCTAAGCATTACCTAATCGAGCAGTGACGAGCGAAAATATCGACCAGGAAGAAAAAACGTTTCCTGAAATAGGGCACTCCAATCCGGTTCGCGCTTAGAGATAAGAGAAAGAAATGAGGAGTGTCTGGGTTTCTTTATGCACCAGGATAAGCTAGCGCAATCGCCTGTAATTCGAGAAAGTGAATGTCTTTTGCAGCTTTGTGTTCTTTTTGGTGGTGGATGTGAAGTCCCATACCGGTGGTTGCGAAAACACTTCTTTGATTCAATACCTTCCACTTGTTTCCCCTATTCATTCCTTCCCAAACTAGAATGTACTGCACTAGGTTTGTATTCATCGATGTCAACACCATCAACGGTGCACCTATGGGTACAATGGAATCCAACTACGCCAATTAGCAAATTATGACTCAACAAATCAATCATATTCATTGAAGCATGATGCTCATGTTTATTCCTTCCCTCCCCCTCCCCCATCCACACGTTGATAACGCTTGCATTGGGGGTAATCGTCTAATATCAAACGCATCTGTCGTGACGATTCTTTGGTCACTTGGGCAAACTTTGAGTGTAATGGAACCAAAGTTGAGTGAGTTTATTCTGAATCTCTGTTTGCTGGTAAATTTACAATTGTAACATCGACTTCCTAGTTCACGATGATACGCCATTGCTAAGCACTACTAATAGAGAAGAGATGCCGGTGAAAAGTTTTATTCGGATCTACATTCATATACAAATCTTTTACCAACGCAATTTAGGAGACTAATGCTTTAGTAAACACTGTATCGAGATTTGAAAGTGTTGAGCTCAAGTAGAGTAACTTGGTTTGCAAGAGTTTCAAATTACGAGTCAATCGAGACACGATATTGTGTAACATAGAGAAGAGAACTCTATTGTTTGTCGTATGCACAATGATATCATAATATGTTTTTATCAATGGTTATCTCATCTCAAACAGAATAAGAAAAAGAAAAAGAAATCAATAAGAAGGTAGTAACACAAAGATTGTTGTATACAGAACAATAGTAGTAGAGTGGATTAAGCTAGAAGCTGTTGAAATTGACACGAAACGACCGTCCAGTTCTCATCGGGTTTGTGATAGTACTGGTATAGGAGGGTCCTGTGTGTAAGCTGTTGTTCATACCAAATTGAGTAACATGTACTGCATAATAGTATGGGACAATACAAGTAGATGAAGTGGAAATGCCATAATATAGCACTACTGTTGAGTCCATTACGAGCATACAACGTCATAAGCGACATCTGCGATAGCTTTGCTTTACAACACTGACAAAAACTGACTAAAACCGAGGTATGTGAGTGGGTTGGGTCATTTGTCGCGCAGATGACACTTTTCATGCAACACTAGCCATGAATTTACACCCCCTGCCCCTACTCCCCTCCTTCTCAGCATCGCCTATGATCCTACATCTTACGCCACTGTATCGCAACCAGAGAGGGGGGGTGCGGTGATGAATGTTACTCTGTGGCTTGTATACACAAGAGAGTTGGCTTCCTAACAGGACCTAGCAGGATGTATCGGCGCTAATTCTATGTTCGGCGATAATATACACCCGTTATCAATTGTAAAACCGCAATGCTCTTGGATAAACTGTGGCTGTAAACGACAACATTCAGGGGGTTGGGGGATAGAGCACAAGGGACGTTGTTGCCATCCGCCTCTACAACCACTATGGTTTTTAACTCTTGGATATCGGAGGAATTGATTTTTAATTTCCTGCATATAATCAACTCTTTTCATATAATTCTTCCGATAAAGTAAACAACAATTTTTTGGTTTTTCTCATAGCCCATCGAAATGTCAGTTTCGGAGTGATTCTTTATTTTTGACAGGTTGGCATGAAAAGTACAATCTCTCCGAGATCATACTAAACCAGCAGGTTAGCATATAAACCTATTGGGATATAATTCTTATCATACACATTCCACACTTAAACTGTAATAATATTCTTAATCTATGACCTTCTTTTTACAGCAGCAGCAACAGAAGTGTGACCCACGACCCACCAAAAAAAAAAAAAGGCGGGGATGGTTAGGTTATAGCAGCAAAACCCATACACAACAAGATTTTTTTGTAGCTACTTCTATTAATAGACTGTGGTGAACAGCACTTCTTTCTTATCCCCTTTCACTGGTATATTCTTCTTTGTTCCCAGTGCGTATGTAGTTAAGAGGGGGGTGTATATCAACGTGGTTGGTTGGTTCTTGTTATATACAGTAAAAGCTCCACTACTACACCGTTGATAAACAATTTACACCCCCTTCAAATCCTAGCTTTCTTTTGTGTATCGGCTGCACTGACTGTTTCAGAATTAACAAAGAAGAAAAAGAAATTTAAGGTTTTAGTTCTTTATTGTTTATTTAATATTATTATCAATGAGTACCAAAAAAAAAAAGGAAAGGGAAAGGGGATGATTGGAAAATCATATAAATACCTAACCATTTATCCCATACAAAGAAATAGACACATTTTTGTTGTATACTAAAACTACACACAACAATCGTTTAAGACTATTAATATCATGGATTTATCATCATACTACTCATACGACAATATTGTCCCATCATTTAGACTAGATGGAAGACTAGCCATCTTGACTGGTGGTTCAGGTGGATTGGCAGCTATTGTTGCTAGAGCTTTACTCGCACAAGGTGCCGATATCGCTCTTATTGATGTCAATTTAGAAAGAACACAACAAGCAGCCAAGGATGTCTTGCTTTGGGGTGAAGAACAAATGAAGGGTAAACATGAATCGCCCATTGGTCAAGTTTCTGCTTGGTCTTGTAATATTGGTGATGCTGAATCAGTTGAATTGACTTTTAAAGCCATTAATGAACATCATGGCAAGATTTCTGATTTGTTGATCAATTCTGCTGGGTATGCTGAAAACTTCCCTGCTGAAGAGTATCCAGCAAAGAATGCTGAATCGATAATGAAGGTTAATGGATTGGGGGCATTTTACGTTTCACAATCATTCGCTAGACCTTTGATTGCCGCAAACAAGAAGGGTTCCATCATTTTGATTGGATCGATGTCGGGTACTATTGTCAATGATCCACAACCACAATGTATGTACAATATGTCCAAAGCTGGTGTTATACATTTGGTTCGTTCTTTGGCTTGTGAATGGGCCAAGTATAATATCAGAGTTAACACTTTGAGTCCTGGTTATATTTTGACTCCATTGACGAGAAATGTTATTGCCGGTCATGCTGATATGAAGGCTGAATGGGAAAGCAAGATTCCAATGAAGCGTATGGCTGAACCAAAGGAGTTTGTTGGATCCATTTTATACTTGGCTTCTGATTCTGCTTCTTCTTATACTACTGGGCACAATTTGGTTGTCGATGGTGGTTACGAATGTTGGTAAAAGGGAGGTTCGAGGCAGAAGCAGAAGTAGTTGAAGAGGAGAGATCATGACCATTATACAAAGGGAAGAAAGTCACCTCACTGCGTGGAGTGCACAACATTTGTCCCCTTATATGAAATAATATCTGTACACTAGTTGAAAAGCATTAGCTTTATTTTTTGATTTATCGTTTCATTTTTTTTTTTTATTTTACTTTGATAGATTATAACCATTCTTTGATAATTCAAATTTTATATAAATAATATAATAAAAAAAAAACAAGGGTTATTTAGGTAATAAGAGATACTTGGTTGATGTAGTGAAGTTTATTGCGTGTTTAGTAGTATTCAATTGTCTCTTACTTTGAGCCTGTGTCGCATCAATTAAGACGACACTATTTTTGAGAAAAAACAAAAAAAAAATACGACACACCTTATAATGTCTTGTCAACCAATCAAAGCAATGTATAATTAAATTGCATTCATGACCGAATTAGTGATTTTTTCTAGTAAAACAAATATCATGATGATGTTGTTCATACCGTGAATATCCAGAATACCTGCTTTGTTGAACTGTATCAATTTATTTCTGTATTTAAAGTAAATCAGTCTCATTACTGAAGTTCAATTACAAATGTTATGGTTGCAAAATCCTCCTTGATCTTTTTCATCAAATTGAACGCAAAAAAAAACAAAAAAAAAATTTGTAGCTATCTAATCACGTAGAAGAAGATATCTTTTCTACCCGTAAAGTGTTTACGTATATACTTGAGGTAGAGACCAGTAAAGAGACATCAAGCGTATCGAGCTACTTAGTTATATGGATCAATCTATTGGTAGTCCACAGAATGGTGAGTACGGTCATTGCCAACTCTTGGTTGCGAAAAAAAAATGGGATCACTGCTATCTAGCACTGTACACTACCCACTGTTGGGTCTAAACTGAACTATGCATAACAATTATTATTACATTGTTGTTTTACGAGGAAAGAAAATCCACGTAATACGACATCATTCTAGACTCCTTGGATGAATTGCAATAGCAACACAGAAAGAAGCGGAATAAACATACTATGGCAACCACGCGATTGGATGTACATCATCATTAGCAAGACACAATAAACACGATAGCATGCTCCATAGAGAGCACATCTCGCTTATGCTGAGCAAAAAAAAAGTCTTTGATGAAATGTGCCACAAATGAAGGTGCAATTTGTATCCCCCCATCGCGCCACCACCTTCCACCTTCCTCCTCCTTCTCTATCTTTTCAGTTGTATCGCGCGTGGCTCAATGGTGTTTGTACCACCATCATCATTATCACCTCGATTTGATCTCAAAAAGAGTTTGACTTTGAGGCATTTTACAACGCGCTTTCTGCAATATACACTTCTATTTCGCATTCCCAAAGAAAATGAAAAATGCATTTCGTGGAATCCACCAACCCACGTGGGGTGAAAATACGACCCTATCAGAATCGTTTCATCAACTCTCAGCATGCTAGTTGGAATTTCAGTTTGAGCTGTGACAAATTACCGGATTAGGTTTTCTAGTTTGTTTACCTTTTGAATAAATTGGGTATCATAGAATATTTGACAACAATAACGCGCTATTTTTATTTTTTATTTTTTGTTTTTATTAAGTTTGTGTTCTAAGTGACAACAACATATTGAAGTTATCCCTAACCGTCTACTTCTCTTTCCTCACATCTTGGCAACAGAATCAAGAGTAAACGCGGTTTCACTTTTTGGCTACTTTACATTACAGTGATTGTAGGAAGTAGCCTTGGTGCAAGGGGCAAAGAAGAAACGGAAAAAAGATTGAGAGGTGCAAACGATAAAAAACATTTTCGTGTCTGTGTTGTATGTATGTACATTGCAATTGCAACTGCAATCTTAGCAAAAATCATATCATATTGATGTAGATGATCGTACAAAAGAACACAGCTGATGTTGATGGACTGGCAATTGTCTCTTTGAACATTTGCCAGTCCTTGCTCTATAGCTAATCCCTCCTCCCCATCTTGTCTTTTTTGTAACCACAACAATCAGAGGATTATTCAAACAAAGATCCATTTCTAAGCCAGCTTTTTCTTTATGTAACCAGGGAATACGCCTATTGTCTTTTGAAGAATAAAGTTGTTTTGAATTACTTCTTTGAGATAACCGATATGCCACATGGGCATCGTGGTAGAGCCACCACGAGGAAAAAAGTGTTACGAGAAACTACCGATGTCGCTGGTTGCATAGAATGCAATCGTCTCTTTACTCAATAAAGTAATAACATTGGAGGTTGTTATTTGCCGATTTCGTTTTTATCTCCTATTTTCTACTTCCAACGATGACCAAAGCCCACCCAGCAAAAGCGAATATTATCTTATCGGAAAAATTTGTATAGAGCAATGGATCAATAGGGTTGCCAAGAGCTCCCTACATGCCAAGGAAAGACCAACCAAGACATCTGCCTTCCTCTTCCTCCCCTTGCTTAAGTCCTCTGGCGATGACCTATACTTTTTTCGTCAATTTCAATATCTGTATAGTCTTATTGCAAGTATAGTCAGAGTCAATATTTGTCTTTCTGCTGGTTTTTAGTAGTTTCTATGCAGGACAAGAAAAAAAAGTAGTGGCAGATACACAAAAAGAGAAATACCCTAAACCCGGGTATAATACGAATTCTTCACTCTTTATCCAATTTATTCGCAATCACATGCCAGTAAGGGGACAACAGAGGAGTCGTAATACGGAATGAGGAGAAACCTGGTTCATAGTTTCATGGTCTATGCTGAACTAGTTTTTTGTTTCAATGTAGAGGAATGTTCGTTAAAGCAGCATGGAAGGCAAAATTGTGTTTAGTAGAAGTGTCTAAAACAGGTAAAGACCATTACTAATACGGAAAGACAGTTGTAACCATTACCACAACTACGTCTCCCCCTGCTGTTGCTGTTGTTATTTGCCTGTCAAAAGAGTAATATCTATTTGGACTTCTCTCATTGTTAACTATTGCTACTACTACTATTGTTGTTGTTTTTCTTTACTTGCTATGGTGGGGGTAGAGGGGGGCCGGTTCGTTTCTTTTTTTTTTTTTTGCCTTTTCTATCGTCCGCTTTTTTGTATGACTTCACACGACTTGCATGCAATATTTGCAGTAGTGTGGTAGTAGAGTATTCATGCAACAAATGAAATTCTTGCAATTAGTAAAAGAACGGAACATTATAGAGAAGGACAAGACTTTTTTTGGTATTTTTCCCTGTCACAGCAAGCAAGCAAGTAATGGATATCGAAGATTGTAGTAGAATAGATTAGGGAAGTAAGTACTAAGTAAACAAAGATAGCTGGTTTTTTTTTTTGTTACCTTTCGACTCGCGGGTGGGGCGGCAAAAGGACCGAAGGACAAACAATAACAAACAAACAAATCAACTCAGTACCTCCGCGGTGGTAGGTTAGACACGAGAAAGACGTACAGAGAGAGAATAGGAGTGAGGAACAGCAAAACAAACAAAAGCAAGATGATTACGATGGCACGAGATTGTTAAAAAAACAATTTGAATTTCTTTTTATTAGAGGAGAAAAAAGCTTTTTTTTGTGTAAGTGTTATTCTTTTTATCTTTGTTGAGTTGAGTTGCTATTTTTAAAATTTAAATTGTGCAAATACTTCCCAATCGGGCTACGAGATTTCCCAAAGCAGAAATATTTGTGCACTGCGCACTACTTATTTTAGATTGTACTGCACACGCCCCAGCTCTAAAACAATAAAATAGAGTAAGTAGTGCACTTACCAAATACAGAACAATGCAAAACCTCGAAGTTTTAAGACACAAAGAGCCAAAAAACCCATGAAAAAAAATCAGGCGGCAAAACAAACATACCTTCAAAACTCATATCGATTCTGTGACATATTATTATTACTACTACTACTATTATTATTATTATGTATATGACTAAAAGAGGCTCAGTACTAAGTGAGCTTGACGGGAAAATTTTTCTTTCCATTATAAATTAAGCTCAAGATCCCCCCTGCTAAGAACTTTTTTCTCTTCTTTTCTTTTTCTTCTTCTCTTCATTAAACCTTACACTCGCTTAATCTACTACTAATCAATAATATCCGAAATGCAATACTCAAAAGTCGCTATCTTGTCTGCCGTTGCTGGTTCAGCCGTTGCTTCATACAACTCAACTGTCACTGACATTGCCACCACCGTTGTTACCATCACTTCATGTGAAGAAAACAAATGTACTGAAGTTCCAGTCACCACCGGTTTGACCACTGTCACTGAAGTTGACACCATCTACACCACCTACTGCCCATTGCCATCAACTGAAGCTCCAGAATCATCTGCTCCAGAAACCAAGGCTCCAGAAACTTCTGCTCCAGCTTCTAAAGCTCCAGAATCATCTGCTGCTGAATCTAAATCTACCGTTGCTGCTGAATCTTCAGAAGCTCCATCAGTCTCTTCATTCGAAGCTGGTGCCGGTAAATTGCAAGTTGGTGCTGCTTTGGTTGGTGCTGCTGCTTTGTTGTTGTAAGTTTATTAAATAAAAACACAACTTTTAGAGATAATACGTGTATTTTTTCAATGTATAGTTCTTACTTAATATAATCTTATAACAGTTAGCAGAATTGAAGAAGTGTAATTTCTATTAATCTTGTTTGAGATAAACTTGCTGGTTGGGATATTGATATTCTAGGGGTCCAACCTCTTAAGAAAATAATTAATTAATTTGACATAACGTTTGCCTAGAAAAATAAAGATCTACTAAATTGGATTTAACGAAAGGGATGAAACCAAAAAATAAAATTGTTATTATAATTAGAAGAAAACGTTCGATTTCCAAAATAGTCAAGATAATATCTTAATTGGGGAGAATTCTACATATAAGTAAGAAAGATGTTGGATCACAGAGGTATGCACTTAGGAAACACATCAACTAATCTCTGCTACTGAGAATAAAACTTGGTCAAATAAGCAGATGTTGGTACAACCATACAACAGTCTCAATTAGTCTTGGCTCTGCAGATGTAGCTCAAACCAATTATTCTATCTCTCAACTAAAAAATATAACTCAAACTAATGCAATCCACCATGTAGCACATATAATCAGAGAACAAAGAGAAAAGACCAACACAAACTATTAAAACCTTCTAAAATGAAATACATACATACACATCATCATCCCCGTAAACTTACTCCCTTCGATTAATCAATCATCATCATCATCTTCCAAATCAGTTTCCAAATCGCACATTGTTCGACAATTGGGACAATAAAACTGAGGATAACTCTTGATGATAATCGGCCTAATGCACTTGTAATGCCATGCATGTGAACAAGGACTAATGAACAATGCTTGACATGGCTCAACCTTCATTAGACAAATTGCACATTCACTATTATCACCAGAACCACCAACACCATTAACTCCTCCTTCACCGTTTGCCAATATATTTGCATCACTAATACTCAAATTTCTAAACTTTTTATGAATTTCCAAATTAAATTGATTCACTTTCCGTTGCCAGCTCTTGTTAAACTCGCATCTCATTTTAACACATCGATAAACTTCCTCTGTTCCACCACGATAATCCATTCCCAATTGTATAACATCGCCATCAATCACAGGCATTAAGGAACTTTCCTGTGATGCAGGTGATAATCGAATATGGTTTAGAAAAGTACCCGATGATGATTTACAATCTTTTAAAAACCATTGTCCATCTTCATTACACTCCAATAATGCATGAGTACGTGAAACAACTTTTGATTTGAAAACAATGGGGGCTGATGACCCTTGAGCTGCATGCGCAGCTGCTTTATTCTTTTCGGTATACCTGCCAATACTCACTCTGGTACCTGGCTTGATCTTACGTATAACGGGGGAGAAATATAACCCAGTGGAAGACGACGAATGATCAATCAAGGGAGTTAAACGGACTGAAAATGTGCCATCTTTATCCTTACCTTCGTCCGATCCTGGCTTTGTGTCTTGTGTAGAAGAAGAAGGTTGGGGCCCGCTGGAGACAAGACCTATAGATGACGAAGACACAGCTATTGCAGTTGGTTGTGGTTGTGGTTGTGGTCTGGTATTGTCACCACCATCGTCATCTTCACCAGCATTTTCAAGTTGTTCTTCTAGTGTGTCATGAAATGCAGTCACATTGGCATCATTTATATCCTCATCAACATAACTATTCAAATTGCCCAATGTGGGACTATTCGACATTAGTTGAAGGGATGAGTGTTGTGCCAGTAGAGTCCGAACCGGTGGTTGTTGTGGGTGTTGCAGTGGCTGTTGTTGTTGTGAAGGCTGTTGTGAAGGCTGTTGTGAAGGCTGTGGCTGCGGTTGTTGTTGTTGTGCCGCCGACAATGGTGCATAAGCTACCGCAGCTTGCTGTTGCTGGGGTTGCTGTGCAGGTGACACAGGAGTTGAAGCTGTTCTTGCCAGTTGTGGTTGCTGTGGCTGTGATTGTTGTTGCTGTGGCTGTGATTGTTGTTGCTGTTGCTGCTGTTGTTGCTGTTGCTGTTGCGGGTTTGGCCCATCCGAGTGTGCTTGTGACCTCATGCTAAAACTACTCAAAAAATGCAACCCAAACGAAGGTCTCCTCGACACCAGAGGTTGTTGATGCAGTCGTGCTCGTTGTCGTTGAGTTGGCTGAGCCAGTTGCATCGACTGTGAAGGCTGAGCCAGTTGCAGCCGCACTTGTGGTTGCTGTTGCTGTTGTTGGGGATGCTCAAGTTGATGAGTCTGCTGCGGAGTCGGACGGTGCAAATGTTGCGACACAAAGCTTGGATTGGGATCGGTTGACACTAATGCTGGTGATGGTGGGCTACTTGACCCAGATGACGAGTTTAAGTTATGCGATGAATCCGATTTACTAGTAGACAATAATCTAAGTGGTTGCGTGATGTGTTCTCTAGTTAAAATTGATGAGCTTTCGGGCATTGTAGTAGCAAAAAAAGCAGTATGAACTTTTCGAATACGTCTGGATTGTATGGTACCGATGTTCTCAATCAAGTGATGAAACTTTGCTCCTTCTTTTGGTGTGATGGGTGATGCTGCTTCACACTTTTTGCCCTGGATTTGGTGTTACAAATTCAGGGAAATAATTTTTAGTTAGAAACGGTATGGGTGAGCTTATTGTTGAACAACAGAATTTCCTGAAACGACAAGAAGAAAAAGAAAAAGAAAAAACAATTTTTGTTTCAATTTACACGAACAGGAGGAACAACCCCTATTAAACAAAAGACCTAGACAAGTGTACACCCTACAGTATCCAATTACCTCATTCACTCAAAAAAGAAGACGCTCATATATATCAAACTGTACTTAATACTCTTGCTCACCAATCAAACGCAACAACAACTGTTGCAATTCTTTTCTCCCCTTTGAACTTCTCCATATAAAATGATCACTATTTTCAGCAATCACCCATTCAGCCGTTCTTGAACTCAACTTGGTCAACTCTCGTTGCCATTTACCCCAATTCAACGATTTCTTAATCATGAAATCTGAGGAAATGACCCCGACTTGTAACTCATTTATATCAGCTTCTCTAATTTCATTATACGACAAGATTCCCGATACTAGCTGTTCCTGACATCTAGCACGAATGTACTTTGATTGATAATACATATCTCTTCCAAACACTCGACTTTTGCTGGAAAACTTCATTGGATGGAAAAACCAATGAAAACTGGGGATAATACCCAACGGCGAAATGAAACCTTTGAGCCACAATTTGATGCCGGTTATATTGTCCATCACTTCCAACGAGTGTTTAAACACTTTGGTTGACTCATTCTTTTTACCTGATCCACTGAATGGCCATTTCTTCAACAAATCAGCTGGCCATGCGTCAACAAAAAGGATCGACTGGATTTTGGCTCGATGTCTACTGGCAAACATTCTTGCATATAATCCACCAATATCGAATCCAACAACAGCAAATGGACCCTCGATACCCTGGGATTCCAATGCTTCTGATAGGTAGTCAACAACTATGCCAATACTTTGTGGGGGTGGTGCAGAATCGGAAAACGCATACCCAGGTCTATCCCAAATACAATACCTCTCAACTTTATCTAAATGGTGCAACTCCTCGATCCATTCTTGAAACACTTCACTCGAAGTCATTTGACCTCCCTCAACCAAAACTATTGGTTGATCGGATTTCTTGTCATACACATCACCAAAGCAAGCCAAATGTACTCTGAATTGATTGTTATTCACTGGTATCAATTGACCCCATGGCTTCTCATGAGTGTCGAAGCAATGTAACCAAATAGTTAAACTAACACACCAAATCACCCACAATATGAACAACTCAAATATAGTCTTGATGAAAATAACAAACAACTCTCGAACGGTTTTACGTTTTTCAATCCTTCCAGTATATCTAATCTCTTGATAATGCTTAGCATCTTCAACCCAGTAATCAATAAGTGAATTGAGCAATGAAGTGATGGCAGCCCACAAGATTAAGAAACTTCCTAAAAAGCCTTGCTCTTGTCTTGTTTCAGGAATAGCAACAACCAAAATCAAATCAATGAGCAACAAACCCAGGACAATATACCCACCAATACGTTCATAGTAGGCAGGAACAACAAATGACGCTTGATTCAATCCGTTGATTAATAAACAAATCAACACCAAGTCAATCTGCAAGAACGATTTTCCTCGGTTATTGAAACCGGGTATGGGGAAAAAGTCACTGAATAGCAAGACAAAGAATAGTATGAGATTGACAAATATCAAAATCAATTGGATATATTTGAGCAACTTTATCCTATCCAAATTCAAAGGTGATACAATTGGGTCGTCGGGGTCCAACAATGCTTGTGACTCCATGTCTGATGAGGAAAGTCGATCGTCAGCTGGCACACGGCTTTGTCTGACGGGCTCTGGATTGTCTCGATGCAAGCGTTCACGTTCGCCTTCACGTTCATGTTCGTACTCTCCATGTTCCTCGAATCTGCCAGTGCGAACTGGCTCACTGTTCGAGTCGGACTGATCTGTTGACTGGTACTTTGACATGGTCGATGGTGTGGTGATGAGAAAGGTGCAGGTAAAAGAAGGTTTTCAAACTCGATTCGCAGCAATTTAAGGAAAATTCGATGACTGAAATTTCAATTTTGTCTAACGCAAAGAACTTCAGGCAAGATGTTGTAAAACGTAGGAGATTACCACGATGTATAGAAATGCGGGACAAACGCAATGGAACCTACGGGCTACAACGCAATGTTTTTGTATTCTGGAAGCCTGTCCACGGAGAACGCAACTGTGGTGTGTCTAACTGCCGAAATAGCTGTTGTGTATGCAAAGTCATCCAGCAGTCTTCCAAAAGAGAGTATACTCTTAGACTCTTTTACTCTGTTAAGTTCCCAGCATTCACTTTGTTGTACTCAAATTACAGCTCTGTTTCCCTCCCCCGCCGTCACCAAAAATATATCGCGCCAAGCGAAAGACGGAAAAACATCCACACAGTTGAACCATCACATAACTTACCTAAAGCTTCCCCTCCCCCATGTCAATAACGATACCCACAGAAACTGATATAGAAGGCTCTACATACTACCAGATTGACATAAAACTACCACTTCGCTCATACTCCATCAAAAAGCGATACTCAGATTTTGAACAGCTAGTTGACACATTATGTCATGAATTGGGCATTGATCACAAGGACTTTCCATATGCATTACCCGGGAAAAGGATCAACTGGTTAAACAAATACAATGTGATTGAGGAACGGAAGCGAGGTCTCACTGAGTTTCTTAATGGCATGATCAATGACCGTTCGTTACAGAATGAGCGTGAGTTTATAAGTTTCTTACAATTGCCCAAGAATTTCAAGTTTCAAGACCGACCTCAAGTGAATGATAAAAATTGGCATGAGTTGTATCGTAAAGTTAAAACTGAGCTTTTTGAGGTATCAACAACTTATGGTTCAAATATCATCAAATTGAAAGAGCAGATTAGGAAAAACATTCAACCATCAATAACCGGTTTAATTACATCTAGTGCTATTGAAGATAAAGCCGAATCGCAAAGACGTCGAGATTTGATTAGTCAACTACAATCGAAAATTGATGAAATGTTGATTCAGCCACAACAACTGAATGGCAAGGGTTTTTCGCGAGTATTGGGTGGTAGTGGTCAAGCCGCTAAGGAGACGGAGGATACACTTGCATTGAACAACAAGGAGCTTTTACAACATCAAGTACAAATACACCAAACGCAAGATCAAGAATTGGATCAATTGAGAAAAATTATTGCTCGGCAGAGACAGATTGGGGAAACCATTAGTGCTGAAGTTGAAGAACAAAATGCCATGTTGGACAAATTCAACGAAGAGGTGGAACAAACCACAGATAAAATCAAGCAGGCACGGAGAAGGACAAGAAAGATTTTGTAGAGAGGGCTTCAACGGTATTTCTACATTTCTGGTTCTAACATATTTACAAACTTGATGTTATCGGCCAATGTCTTCACTTTTACATTTTCACCCTGACCCATTTCCTGCATTCGTCTTTCAACATCAACATTTTCAATTGTACGAATCTCTGCATCTTCTTCCGGTAACCCACTATCTTCCACTCGCCAGAATCCACCAACATTTCTGAAAAATTTTGAGATGCCAAATCTTCTCGGTGGGAATGCTCTTCCTCTACTTGTCAATTGGAAAATACTTGGATGGTACTGATGATAAAATGATGCACCGACAAAAGTCCCCAAAATAGACCCGGCAATGACATCCCTTAGAAAATGTCGATTATCGCTGACTCTGGTTCCAGCCACAAATGCAGCACCCAACAATGGTGCAATTGTTAAAAACACCTTGAATGAGTTATTTCTTTTGTCAAATGTTTGCAATTTTGCCGCCATGTTCAATGAAGTGATTACCATTCCACAAAATACCGTTGATGCATGGCCACTGGGAAACGATCTGAAACCTTCCATAACCACATTCCAATTTGATTGTGTACATATAGCAACATTTGATAATTGTGTTATGGGGATAGTTTGCACCATTGGCTCACATCTTTCAATCATATCGGGACGGGGAAGCCCAGTAATGTTTTTCAATAACGATACAGCCCAGATTTGAGTTGCTTGTGCGCCAAGAAGACACAAACAACCAGCGAAAAAATCCCACAAGCGACGCTTTATTGATAATGACTTGAAAAAGATGGCAAATAAAAGGAATTGGAGTATGGGAATACCAGCTGAAATAAGAACTAATAACCAAACGGGGACAGTTGCTTGTGGTAGGAATGTGTAACGTAAGCTAATGTCAAATAACAGAAACTCGTGATACATTGGTGGAAGAAGTCTCCCCAAAGCTGTAGAAACAATCAAAATTGTTGAATAGAATGTGAAATCAAAGATGTATGAAAGTGTAGAAAGTCCTGAAAGCTGCAAGCTTTTGTATGTAATTGCCCAATCACGAATCATGGTCGTTGTTGATGATGATGATGTTGATGATGATGATGATGTTAATGATGATGATGATGTTGTTGTTGTTAATTGTGTAGATTTAGTTGCAAAAAAAAAAAAAGACAAAATTGAAAGTTTGATATGGACGAATTTGAGATTGCAAAACAAATTGTGGACTTCTATAAGTTTCAAAGCTGTCACATATTGCTTAAGGATATATATATTTTACTATCGTAAATTTCTGATAACTGATCCAGGAACGACAACGAGACAGAAGTTTTTTCATCGTTTGATTATTTAGGTTGAGATATAAGTTTAATCCAACTCAACCCCACTAGAGCGCCTTTCAATCATTAAGTCATAATTATTCCACCTCCTCGTACTTTACTTCATTACTGCTCCCCGACTTTTTTCCAACACATCATCTCAAATATTATCAGTCTCCAATTAATTCAAGTCGCAACTTTGATAATTGTCGCAAAAAATTGTATTTTGCGATTTTGCAGAAAAACAAAAGAAAGGACGTTACCTCAAAGAAGCGAAAATTTTTCTTTAAACTTTTACATCTTCACTTCTTTCTTTCCAATGACCAAATAAATAATAGCCAAATGGTATGTTTTACATCAATACCCATATATGACTTCCTCCTTTTTTTACTTTCGGAAATACGCTGATGATAAAGTTTTCGCCTAAACCTCGATTTACCCATGAGATAACAACAAACAATATACACCAAGATCTACGCTGATGTTTTTCCCTAAAGAAGGAGTTGACGTTTATGATGAAAGTTTTTTTGTTGCTAACTAATTGACTAAAGAGAATTTTCTTCTGTGATGATAGGAAGTGAAGCGGCGCGCGCCCCACAGGTGGTGCTTTGCCAAAGTTTATTCATTCTAGTCTATAAATTTGAGAAAGTGGCAACGACTACGGCTTCTCTCGTCTCTGCCCTTCTCCAATTGGTTCCCTACTTGCTGCTCAATTCTGCAATTGTCTCTCCCCAAATTTTGACCCCTTTTTCAATCTCCTCTGAGGTCAAGTAACTAATACTCAATCTAACACAATGATCTCCCCAACCTTGTCTATTCTCTGACCCAAGCACTTCAAACCCTTCACCACTAGGGATTATGACATCTTTTTCTGCCAAGTGTTGAATCACAGCACGATTATTAATCTCTTTGGGTAACTCGACCCAAAGGAAATATCCACCATCGCCTCCATAAACTTTGGTTCCAGAAGGTAAATACTTTTGTATACTTTGCTTTAAAATCTCTGCTCTCTCGGCGTAAATTGATTTGAAATTGAGAATGATTGTATCCAACTGACCCGATTCTATCAAATTGGCAACGACAAACGTTGACAATTGTGAAGGCGTACCACCTGATTTATTGGCACCAGTGATACTCAATTGTTGGACTAATGCGGGGGTTGCCGACTCTTGCCAACCAACTCTTAGGCCAGGGGCAATGATTTTTGAAAAAGTTGCGTTGGAAATTGAGTTCCCGTACTTGTTTGACACCGTCTTTTGATCAAGATGGTTTATCTTCAGTACTGGTGGAGGAATCAGCGTGGTTGAAGAATAGTCCAAAAACTCATAAACGTCATCGCTGATGAGCAACATGTCGTATTCTCTTGCCAATTGCAATAATTTTTCTCTAGTCTTGAGAGAGTATGTCACACCACCGGGGTTGGAAAATGCTGGAACAAGATACATGACAAATTGATAGATTTTGCGTTCACCCCTGGGGTCTTTCAATACGTTATTGACCCCAGTTTTGCCATGTGTTTGCAATTCAGACTCAAGTTTCTCCAAATCGAGTTCATACTCGCCAGATGATGTTTCGTTGATAGCTATCAAATCGTCGCCCAAACCAGCATCAACAAATACGTTATTGATTAAGAAATATGTTGGTGTAACGACAAATGCCTTTTTCGTGAGTTGAGGTGACGTTGTTGATGCCAAGATATTGGCCACTCCATACGATGCCCCGGCAGTTAAATTTATTAAGTCAGCAGTGGTTGACTTGATTTTGTACTTGTTATTTAACCAATTGGCAACGGTGGTTCTGACATCCAAGTTACCAGGATCAGTTCCGTAAGCTAATGGATGCTGATTATTTGGATCAGTGTCGTATGAAAGGTAGTCACTATCGAGTAGTACTCTATTATAGGCATTGGCAATCTCCTTAACCGGAACAATGGCTCTAGTGGGGTGCCCTTTAAGGAAATTTATCATGGCAAGATGAGTAGTAGAGTTCAAGTTGTTGTTGTTGAAATAATGGAGGAACATACACACTTTTTTGTCCAAAAGATAGGGTAGCGCTAAATCCTCACCCGCTAACGATTGCAAATTACCAACTCATCCCCCCCACTTGAAGTTTTGTCTTTGAGGGATTGGAAATGTCCTAATCATATACATGATATTCTGTTTAGCTGAGTGGGAATGAGGACTTTTCTGACAGGAGGAGTTGTGGGAGACAGATTCCTATTTAGGCAAGCAAACCCCACAACCAAAGTCATCACGGTGTCCCTGTAGGTCCCGGTTGATAGGAGTCAATTACCATTGTACAGATAATGACAATTGAGAGCATTATTCTTGATTACTCTATAACCTAATCGATGGATTTGCCACTGATTAGTTGCGATTACACTTTGAACGACTACAACTCTGTTTTCAAATCACACTTTCTTCCATTAGTTACACTACAGAGTCTCTGCATCTAGTATTGATGTCCAGTAGACGCAATGTCGTTTGATCGTATTTAATAACCACTGCAAGCTTTATCCTTTAATTTAGTTTTATTTCTTTCCTTTCCCAACTGTTGATTGAGATCCACTGGTGGAGGAAAAAAGAAAAAAAAAAGATTCAGACCAATGATATTTGAAGCAGAAAAAATTACTAAAAACTTCAATATCACCAGCACTCACTTTCACCTCAACGGAAACCCTTACACAAATCATGCCAACACCAGGAGGATTTGCATTCAGTTTAGCGTCAGGAGCAGCCATAAGGCTTTTCCAAACCGGTCTTAGTGGCTCACCACCAAAATTATCGCAAAAATTGATTGGTTATGCTTCAATTATGACCTTGACTGGATCATTTTACTATTTCATATTGGACCCTTCAATCAATGCCAATAGGGAACTATTGAGTAGAAGATTGGCGGCATTGAGAGAACAAAGAGAAAGAAAGCTGGATTTGGTTACTTTTGAAGAACAAGAACATAGATTGTTTACTGCCAAGGACAAGGGAAGATTCTTTAGATTGTTTGATAAGTATAGCCAGCCTTACAAGTAGTTTGCAGTGACACTGAATATATATTTGTACAATAATGGGAGTTATTTATCAACGATTGATTGGAGTAGTAGATTTTACAAAACTTATTCCTCTTTGGATTGCGTGAATACATCATCACCGCCACCGTCACCCTCGGGTTCTGATGCATCTTCGCCTGCACTTTCTGCTGCACTATCGTACTCTTCAGCAACATCACTATTTTCTTCATTACCTTCAAAATCAGCATCTTCATCGTCATCATCATCATCATCAACATTATTGCCAGCACCACCAGCTGGACCACCACTTGCATTTGTGTCACCAGCACCATTCTCCGCCGCACCTGATTTGCCGGCTTCTTTCTCTCGGTTGTCATCATTAAACGAGTCGTCACTAATTCCATGAAGTCTTATGAAATTATCAATGATTTGGAAATAAGCTTGATCAATCATACTAAATTCCAAGAGTCTTTCCTCGTCTCTATCATTGAGAACAACAACGTTTAAAGTAAAAGTGTGCTTGGTGATACTTGTGTAGCTAGCACGCAACACTTTTGACAATCTAAACACCAATATTGGCTTTTTAAAGGCAAAGATCAAGTAAGCGGGGTTATGTTCATTTTGTTCCAAAAAGATCAAATTTCCATCTCTTGCTCCCTTGTGACATTCAACCATGATGATTTTGGGGTTGATATTGTTATCATTGGTTAAAGCCACGGCAGTATCTTCATTAACAATGTATTTGCTCTTAAATACAGTTGAGCACGGTAAATAGTTGACCAAATTGATTCCAATTAATTGAAATTGTCGTTTGAAATAATCAATAATCCGTTCTTGTATAGGATTCAAAGCTACGTCATTTTTGTGTGTCGATAAATCAAATTGTGATTCAATATCGGGTGGTAATTTCCCATTTTTGATCATTTGTTTCTTGATCATATCCAAGTTCAATTGGCAAATGATTGGATCTTTGGATACGTTGGAATCGGTATAATACTGATCATGAATCCAAAAACATAGTAAAGCAACACCTTTCTTTTTTGAGTTTGTTGTGTTACCCAAGATTGGTAAAATGAGACACAATTTGATAGCGTGTTTGAGATTAATAAATGATATCTCTGGTGAATTGTTGGTTGGGTTAACTATGGACAATACCGGCAATGCTTGACCATTTTGTTCAATCAAATGAAAAGTGAGATTCATTCGTTTACGTATGGGGGAGGAGAATGACACTTGTTGTATTTCAAAAATGATTGATTCAGGATGAATCGATGATGACGGAGCCAATTCCTCGTATCCACCATTCCCATTGCTATTTTCAGCAGTACCAACAGCACCAGCAGCACCAGCAGCACCAGCAGCACCAGCAGCACCAGCAGCACCAGTTGCACCAGTTTTCCTCCTCTTGGTATCAGTGAGAAAAGTGTACAACTCAGTGAAAACCAGTTGCGATTGGGGGTTTTGTCGTGTGATGGAAGTGATTTTGTTTTGTAAATCGTCGGGTAGTTCCAGTATCCAATCCATGGTGTTGTGGTTATGAAATTTGGTATCTTGCTTGGTTTGTTTATCTTTGTTGCAGTTTTTGGTTTTCGATTTTTTTGCGACGGGATTTTCAGCGATGCGGAAGACGGCAGGAGAGTGAGAGTATATACGTCTAATTGTGTTTTGTTCATTTTAGAATAGTACGACAAGTGAGAGAGAGAGAGAGAGAGAGAGAGAGAGGGAGAGAGAGAGGCTTGAGAAATGCGCGATATGAGGATATAGAGCAGAATGCTAATGCTTTTCACTCTTTGCACAAGAGAGAAGAATAGGTCAACACGAGGCAACTTTGGTGGATTAGTGGATTAGTGGATTAGTGGATTAGTGGATCAAGTGGGGTGCAAACTTTCCAAGATGCTCAATATTGATTAGGTTTGTAACCCACGTTTTCTTCGTAGTAACCGGTGTGTGATAATTACACCACCGTGAAGCTCATATGTTTATTTTATGAGGTAGTTTACTTTAGCTCCTTATATATAAAGTGTAAAATTCGTGTCATTTACTACCTTCGGCTAGTGTTGTAACTATTTCCCTCGGGCCCGTCCTTCCCTTGTGTGAGGTGAGACTTGTAATCGTCGATGTCTCGCTCTGCTCTCCTGCTCTTCTGCTCTTCTGTGTGTGTTGTGTCTCAACAGAAAAAAAAAAAAAAAAAAAAAGAAAAAAGAAAAAATTTAAATCACTCACCAATCTAATCCGAAAAATAGTACAGTAAGAGTCACAAGAGTACACTACAGTTACGATGGTAGAGAGTAGAGTAAAGTAGAGTAAAGTAGAGTAGAGTAGAGTAGAATAGAGTAGAGTAGAGTAGAGTAGAATAGAGTAGAGTAGTGTAGAGGAGGAAGTGAAAAAGAAAAAAAAAAAAAAATTTCTGATTTTTCGAATCCAACCAAAAAAAAAAAAAAATTTAACATTCTGAGAGAGAAAGAGAGAGAGAGAGATACAACAAACTTCACAGCATAACCACAGTCATTACTAAAAGGCTATTGATACACACTACACTGGATCTATATACCCTTCTTCTCAACTACAGTAGCAACAGCAGCAGCAACAACAGCAACAGCAACAACAACAACAACAACCGTCAATTTAATTCACTTTATCAATCTTCTTCTATTTTTGCCTTTTGCCTTTTGGTTTTTTACGTTTTTGCTTTGTATAAAATTTTCCATCTTTATTGGACCATTCAGACAAAATCCACAACAGAATTTTCATGTACTAATTTATCCCCAACGAGTCCATCCCCCACCCTCCACCCACGTCACTGTTTTTTTATTTAAATTTAATGTCAGCACCATCGTCGTCTTCTACACAATCGTCTACTACTTCGAATACTACGTCAAATGGAGGAGGAGGAGCAAGTCGTCTGCGGTTTCGTGGTGACGCAGCAAGCTTTTCACCTCGGAATTACCCGGCTTATCACTATGTTCAACAGCCTTATTCACCACATATGCCGAATAAGCTGTATATACCACCTCCAATGCAACACCAACTTACGCCACAGCAACAACAGCAATTTTATATGCAATATGGTCAGTTTGGTTACCCCATGATAGCCAATCCAATGTACATGTATATGCCATACCCTCAAGAATTATATCAACAACAGCAGCATCAGCAGCAACAACAGCAACAACACCAGCAACAACACCAGCAACAACATCAGCAACAACACCAGCAACAACAGCTACCACCGCAGCATCAACAGGGTTATATGGTTCCGCCTGTTTTCACACCACAACCACCAACTCCACTACAGCCACATCACCAACCTCCACAGATACCCATCTCAGCTCCGCCGCCAACCTCACATCTGCATCCACATACTCCTGCACATCAACATCCACATGCACAGGGTCTGGGGCATCAACAACAACAACAACAACAACAATCGCAGTCACAAATGCAAGGTCGGCTGCTGCCACATCCTCCGCAAATGCAGCATCAATCACAAAAATCACCTTCTATACTGCAGCAGCAGCAACAGCAGGAATTAGAAACCCCAAACTCATCCGGAGCAATTGATCATCATGCCTTAAACATAAGTAGTGATACACATTCTGACACACCAAAAACGCTATCAAAACCCACGCTTCTTTTTTCACCATCGCCTCAACAACAGAGGCAAGATACCCCACCCGCAAGCACAAAGACGCTAAAGCAGAAAACAGAGCCAAGCATTAAAGAGAAAGAAATACCAACACAAACGGAACCAGACACGATAGAACAAGTGGTTGTTGCTCCTACACTCAATGGCCACAAAGAAACGAAAACGGAAACGGAAACGGAGACGGAAACGGAGACGGAAAAGGTTGAAACAGTGGAGACCGAAACCGAATTTCCCTTGTACATAAATGAAACACAGCTAAACTTTTTAAACATTTTTCCATTAACGGAGGAGAATAGAAAAATTGATGATATCGATAGAGTGAACAACTTGAATGAGAATGCACCAAAAGAAAACAAGGTTGTTCTTTGTCCAAAATACACAAAAATTTTTGACATCAATACATCAGAAACATACTTTACCAATGGTAAAGACGTTAAACACGAACAAATCAAAGATAATGAATCACAGTCTCAACCAACAAATTCAACAAGTCAACCACCAAGCACCAACTGGGCTTCAATTTTACAATCAAGTGCACCACAAGCACCAGCAAAAAGGGTTACCAAACCTAGAGCCACCACATCAAAACCAGCAACCACCGGCCAAATCGATACTGCGACCCCCTCGATAAAATCCAAACCATCCACGCCTGAGTTTGATCTTGATTCAGAATCTGCACACCCATTGGGAATGTTGCTACTCAAAGTCATGTTTGATAGTAACTACTCCCTTTCCAATGATTTCCCAGTGTTTGACATAAAACCAAAAGGATTAACAAACACGGGAAACATTTGTTTTATGAATTCCATATTACAATCATTGCTTTATTGCAAACCATTTAACAAATTACTCAAACTTATTGAGACGAAATCAATTGGCGATTTAGTTGAATCATCACAACCATTAATCGATGCCACCATCAAACTTTTCAATGAGTTTAAACCTAGTGATAACAAATTACCAGTTTCAATTGAACCATTTTACTCTGCCTTATCCAAACACAAGAAATTCCAGCACTTGAAATGGGGACAACAAGAAGATGCCGAAGAGTTTTTGGGGTATTATCTCGATGCATTGAATGAAGAGATGATTTTAGCTCTAAAGAAGTTAAACACCCCACAAGTGGATCAATTGATTCAATCATATACTCAAGATGATGTTGCCAAGTTTAAATATAATGTTAAAACATGCATAAGAAAGATTAAGAAGGATGATGATCAAGAAGATGAAGAAAATGAATGGAATGAAGTCGGACCCAAGAAAAACATCACCAAAATTGAAGTTGACCCCACACCATTGAATATGATTTTCAGTGGAGAGTTTAAATCAGTGATAACCATCCCCAAACCATCTTCTAATTTTCAAAAATCAATTACATTGGATCCTTTCCAACATGTCCAACTCGATATATCAAACTCAAATTCAATAGAAGAGGCATTTTTGCATTTGAATGAATTGGAAACTATTTCATACAAGGGAAACAATAATAAGGAAGTTGAAGTTAAAAAGCAAACATTTATTGAGAGATTACCTCAAGTTTTAATTATCCATTTGAAGAGATTTAGTTATTCCAAGGATCAAGAAAATGCAATTGAAAAATTGGCTAAAAATATTTCCTATGATCATACATTGACAATACCGAATGAAATATTATCACAACAACAACAACAACAACAACAACCAGCACCATTGACTTCTTTCAAGTATCAATTGACCTCAGTCGTTTATCATCATGGATCAAGTGCTGATGCTGGTCACTATACCAGTGATACGTTTGATTTTGAGAATAATCAATGGTGGGAAATTGATGATACTATAGTCAAACCAATCAAAGATGATGAAGTGTTGAGTTCTGGTATAAACAATGCATATATATTGTTGTATAGCAAGATTCAATGAAGAAAGAAGAAAGAATGAAGAATGAATAAGATTATACAATAGTACCAACAACGTAGTGTAGTAAGATGTGTGAGGATTGGACGATTTTGGCAAGTGTGGTATCCTTGATCAGATTTTGCCGTTTTCAAGAATCTAAAAACTTGATTTTTGGATCGACCAAGGACAATAGGACACAGGCAAGGTTTTATGAGACGCCATCATCTATAATACACAACTTGTCCAACAAGAGCTTATCAGTATTTATTAATGATGGGTTCTATTGACATCAAAGCGTGCCCGAACCTAAAAACTCCTCAACACTCATCCTCAATGATTATAAAGAGTTTTTTACAACGTAACCTTTTAGTAAAACTTCTCTCCAACCTTTGTTGAAGTATTCACCTTACATATACTGAGGTCCGCGAATTGCCTTGTCACCACGACCGATGAATCACAAGCTGTGCATCAGCCTCGTTTTCGTTTACAGTGAACGTGCTGGGCTCTTATATCGTCGTTAAAAAACAAAAAAAAAAATGCATTTGGAACCAGTTTGGGTATTCATTTTCACCTGAGGTTGCTAATCAAAACTGAATAAAGATGAAGAAACCTTCCAGGCCAACTTTCAAAAGAGTTTGTTTCCTCTTTCCACAATCATTTTCCAAGATTCAGTCGAGTGATGCAGATTTGCAACCCACAATGTCTCAAAGAGGTAGTTAAAAGAAAAGGAGTTTGTTGATAAAAATCATAAATTTGCATTTGATGGATAGGCAGGGAATAATTTGTTGATAAATAATGAACTTCACTTCTTACGTCCAATATGGGATTGAATCACCGGCACTATTACCTAGTACCTGAACCAAGCTTGATTTTTCTATTTTAAAACAGCTTTCCTCACATGGAATGGTATCGTTTAGGCGGTTTTTGGAGTTTCCCTGAATTAAAATACTTTCTCACTTTGATGACACAAAGATGGAAACACTTTCAGAACGGACAATTCAAGTGGAAAGCTCTAAAGAATAAAGACTCTACACCACCAAATAATGAGATGAAGCTCACTTGTCCAGACTAGATCCTTGGTTTTTTTTATTTTTTTTTTCATTTCTTTTTCATTTTTAATGATGAGGTTCACCGACTTGCCCATAGAAGTAATCGATGATATCTTTAGCGACATTGTTTCACTCGCGCATGTGCCGCGAGATATTAGATTACACTGGTATAGGCACTTAAAAGGGTTTACGATATTGAGGCTACTCCAGCTGACCGAGTTACAAAGAATCCAAAACAACGAGCTAAGCTTTTATATCGATTTTGGATTGGACAATGCCCGAACGAAAAGTACCAAGTCTCTTGTCATTCATTACAAAGAAGTGTTGCCATTTGTGAATCACAAAACATTTTTGGTGTTGCCGTTTGCTCAAGTATGGCCAGGATCTGAAATGTATATTGGTTTTTGGAGACTATACTTGTTTACGTACCCGTTTTGTCTCGATGCTTGGAACCATTGGAACGGTAATGAGTTACGTTTATCGGACATTGCGACATTGAAGCCAATATGGTCGCATTTTCCAGATTCGTATCATACAAATGTTCAGTCTCTTATTGAAGATAATCCTGACCTTAAAGCTCAAATCCACTTGACCAGAAGGAGCATTTTCGCGAAAATGCACATGATGTATTTGCACTTGTGTCCTAGCTCCTTGAGTGAATTTTCACGAATTGACCACGATCTTGATCCAAGTACCTTGAGTATCAAGATTGTACCAGACGGATCGCAAACAATAGTTCGTGAATTGAGCGGTCACAAATTTCGAAACTTGGAAGCATTTTCACTTGAATATGTGGGTCCTGAAAGTCATGTTGACGTTGAAGCTGTATTATATCTCATTGATCTTGACAAGATAAAGCGATTGGCATTGCACGTCTCCCTTCTCAACGTTACTGAACTTCTCTGGAGATTGAAGCATCGCCGACACGATTCATTTACATTGACCACATCCGTTTTGACATATGGTAGAATTGGACTGTGTACGTCATCAAACATTGCCAAGCTGTTGAAAATGAAGTTTAATCGGTACACAATCTACACCACCGACGAACAAGTTTGTGTATCACAGCCGCGACTTTCACAAACCGACAACGTACTTACACCATTACAACAAAGAAGCTTCTATGGAAGTTACCACTAGGATGTAGCACACGTATTACTTCAAGAACATTATTGAGGTCATTCATATCCTTGTTATGATCAGAATTGAGACACAAGTATTTCCAAAACTAAAGTTTCTCAAAATTGGATGTTTTTATTGTTCAACTGTATTATCCATTGTGTTCACCTCATCTCAGGTCGTACAAAACTGTCCAAGTACAAGGAAACGATAGCGACTTTGTAGCTCCATCCTCTTTTGTCAATATGCATTTTTTTAAGCTTACCCGCCAAAGTTTATAAAGAAGGATTAATGTCCTTATACATTCTCTCTATATGCAGGTTCTCTAATTCTCATACATTTTTTTTTTTTTTTCTGCCATGAGATGAGAGACTTGAAAAATCAAAATCACATCTCATCGGATCCAACAGATACAAATAAATCGACAAAAATATGGCTAGAACTAGATCCAAAGGTCCTGCTTCACCCGTGGTAAACAAGGTAAAAGGCCCAAGTAAAATTACCAAACCAGAAAAGTCAACAAAGGTAGTTACAAAGAAGGGTGCAAAGACAGATGTAGAAGAGGCACATGCATCAAAACAGGACAAATTATCATCAATAATAAGTAACAAGATCACTGATAAAGCAATATCCGAGATCAAGGGCTTTATTGAGAGGGAAAAGACCAGAAAAGAAGAAGAAGAATCTCAAAACGCTTCCTCCAAATCTCAATTGTTCGATGATGATGACCCGGATGATTCAACATTGACACTTATTGTTGAGTCAAAAAAGTTCTTCAGTTCAAAACCTCAATTCAAACCAAAAACCATCAAGTTATTCAAATCTATCAATGACAAATCATTAAAATCCTGCTTGATAATTCGTGATCAACTTGTCAAGTCCGACCAAGAGATTGAAAAGATTGAAGAAGCAAACTTGCCCACAATTTCACAGATTATACCTTTACAATCAATCAAAACTGAATATAAACCATTTGAAAAGAGACGCGAGTTGCAATCCACCTATGATCTGTTTTTTGTAGACGATGCCGTGCTTAACACCATGCCAAACTCGTTGGGTAAGATTTTCTACGAATCAAGCAAATACCCACTTCCTTTGAGAGTCACCACCTCAACAAATAATAAGGAATTGTCGTTGACGACATTATCAAACCAATTGGAAAAGTTGTTGTCGAGCACGAGTTATTTGCCACCACAAGGAACAACTGTATCTATCAAGATTGGGTACATTAATGACGATTTCACACTCGATGATTTGAACAAGAATATAAATGCTGTCGCATCGAGCTTTGATCTCAATACCATCAAGTCAATTATGTTAAAGACACCGAATTCTCCTGCATTGCCATTATATTACACAGATAAGTTGTACGATGAAGGTGATATACTAGTTGAGACTAAGAAAGAGGAGACATCTAATGGAGATGAGCTTTCAGCTTTTGAAAAGGGATTGTTAGAATTGGGAGATGCAGAGACTGTTGCCAAAATCATTGGTAAAAAGCTAGGAGAGAAAAAGAGAAAGATTGTAGCTAAAGGAAAAGTAAGTAAATCTAGAAAGTAGATGAAATGTATGGAGCTATTGCCAGCTGAGTGTATTAGAAGCTTTGTAGGTTTCCTATTATGAGACCCTGAAAAATTATGAAAGAAAAAAAGGAATTGTACTTTCATATAAACACCTATCTATACAATGTGGATTGTGCACCACAAGGGAGACCCCCATGGTGGTAAGTACCAGCTCAGAAGGGAAGGCCATTTGGGAACATATATTAACAATTGAATCAAAGATTACCGCATCCTATTCCCCGAAAAGAATTACAAAGTAGGTCGAAATGATCAATTAGATTTCGTGTTTAATTCGCGTAAATCTGCAAGAGAGTTGTTGGAACTTGTGGTGGGACCAGCATCACTAAAGACACCATTGAGCCTATGCATTCTATCCCGGGCAAAGACCAATGTAAGTGGGGCCATATTACGGCTAAGCAAAGGAGAACGACCGAAGGAGATCGATTATACAAACAGCTCAAAAATCACCATACAAGTGGAGCCTGATTCGGACACGCAATTGAATGATTCCCCAATTACTATTGAATGGGTGCATGTTAAGGTATTCATTGACACTGAGGATGATACTATCAAAGACTTGAAACGATCCGGTGTAGATTTTACATATGTTGACAATTTACATGATGCTACTCATTTCTACACAACTCAAGCAATGCCCAACCTGGCTCATTTCAAAAACGCTGTAGTCAAAGGGATACCTATAGTCAATGACTATTGGGCCAAAACGGTGCTTAGAAAGCCCAATAATGTGGACAAGTGGTTGCTCAATTGTGATTATTCTTTATATCTTCCCAATGAAAACAGTGCATACTTGCCCGAGCCTAGAAGGAAACTTCTCGATACAAAATTGATATCATTTGAGCCCATTGAATGGTTGGATGCAACCGTAGTGGAAAAGACAGAAGAGGAAATACAATCACACGTGGGTACAGACCGGTTCATTTTGATTAATTCATTCGATGTGTTTGGATTCCAAGCAGTGCATCAAGCAGATCTTTGGAATAGAGTTGTATCGAAAACTTTGGACTCGCTACCTACAAACAGAGTGATGGAGCAGTCACAAAAGAGAGCATTGTCGACAGAAACACAACTGAGTCCCCGAAAACGACGGAGGTACGAAAAAGTTGACAAGCTTCATTTCTTTTCACCAAGTGCCACATCAATTCCAGCAGTTGAGAGACAAGAAGATTCGCCCAAGAATGAAGATACCAAACCCAGTATTGGCAAATTAGTTCCAAAACTCGCTGCACCTAAACTCATTGAGACGGAAAAAACCAATTGTAAACCTCCATCACCAGAGTTAACACCTGCATCTCCAGAACCTATCGATGATGCTCCCACAAATTCTAGGAAAAGGCGAAGCGAGTCCTTTACGTCTCACAAGGCTCCAAAAATCCCCAAATTTGCTCCCAAAGTGTCATTTGCTGACGCAGTGATGCAAACCAAAGAAAAAACAAAGGAATTATGGGAAAAGGAATTGGGAATACTGGAGGATTCTGAAGGAATTGCTGAAAATTTGACAAATTTGGCCATTGTTGAAGTTGTTGATGTGCCGATCAGAAGAAGGCGAAGGGAAAACAATACCGTTGCTACGACTAAAGGCAAGAATTTCAAAAAGTTTGTCAAAAGTGTGCCGATGAAGAGACAGAAATCACGCCCACACATTGATATGGTTATTGAAGAAACTACCAACATGCTACTACCAAAACTGAAACAAAAATCGAAACAAAAACAAAAACACACTGCCATGGATGAAGATTTCAATGGTGTAATGAGCGATGTACGTGGGTACGAGCCTAACTTGTTTGTTTCTGAAGAGGAATCCGAAGGTGGTAACGAGGAATCCACCACCCAATCGTTTTCCACCAGCCAAGCAAACTTAAGTGCTGATAGGGCAAGAAGACGCCGAAATCAACCCATTAACAAGGATGACCTAGATGACGACGACGACGACGACGATGATGATGATGATGATGATGATGATGACGATGACGAGGACCAGCCACGATTTGGATTTAGCCGGTAGCTACTTCATCACCCCACAAAGCCCCATCCTTCTAAAGTATGTGATATGAGCCTGTAAATAGTCTCGTCTGTCGAATGCAAAATAAAAGAAATCATTTGCAATACAATTTTGATTGGCACCATCAACACAATCAAACACTTGACTCAATTGTGGTCTCGCATTTGAAGTTGAGCAATTCAAGTAGATTTGATTCTTAAATTGTTGGTATTGAATAAACGGATTTCGACTTCTAGGTATCGTAGTGATCACATCATTCTTATGAATTATTCGTAAAAACTTTCTATCGAAACTGTCATGCTTAAGACCATTGTGACTACCTAATGCTTTATCTGCCCAATTCACAAAGTCAAAGTTGCCTGTAAGTGGCTGTCCCATGGTGACCAAAGTCATCTTGTCGTACCCTACATCGAGATAGTGCAAGCCCAATAATAATGCAACACTTCCACCCAAAGAATGACCTAAAATAATCAACTCGTAATCGTCTTCGTCAATTTCATCAACCACGTATTGATTGATATTGTTCAATGCTGTTGCAAAGTAATTGTAGAACCCATTGTGGACTTTGCATCCACTTCCACACGATGGCAAGTTTATTCCGAGATTTGAATAGTGTATCATATCCACTTTCATATCCGCGTAGGTATCAAAAATTGATCTTGTACCTCTAAGTGATATGATTATGGTCTTCTTGGGCTTGGCAATATTGTAATTGAAGATGTTGTCGTACGTGGTTGCTATATACCCAGTTACAGATTCAGGAAAGTACCATTGATAAACCAATGTCATGTTGGGAAAACGTTTTTCACAGTTCAAGTCACACTTGAATGGCGGATCTATTCCATGGACTTCAGATATGCAATACGAGATGTCGATCAAGTGGGCATAGGTATACAAGTTGGAGTATATTTCTGGGTCGATGGGGTACACATTTCTCTCTTGCAAACCAAAATACATCTCATTCTCTAGGGGATGAGTATAAACTAGTTTGACTAGAGTGAATGTGACTAAGAGGAGGACACTGTATAGGTATGGATACAACATGTTGTGAGCATGGCTGGGGAATGCATGACTGAAGATGTAAATTATTATAAGGAATTGGCAAAAGTTGATTCTGTGGTAATCGAGTGTTCTTTTACACAGGAGCAGACGAGGCTACGAAAATGATTACTCAGTGCGAAGGATGTTCATTGTACGAGAAACAAAAGCATTCAGTTCGAAGCATCAAACATTGCTCAATACCCGTATAAGCTCCACAGTAAAGATCGCTGCAACCACTCCTAATATCAAGGGAAAGAGCACGGTGAATGATTTCCCCAACAATTTCCATATGAAATGAATCATAGGTTTTGTGACCAAAAAGACAACAACAACCACCAAGAACATCATAATCGCGTAAGCTCGAGAAAACACCATCTTCATTGAAAGGTACTTATCCGATGCGTAGCTCATCACCCCATAAGCAAAATTCGGGATCACATTCATAATGTATTCCGTGGCATTATTGGCTTTACTTATAAAGTTTCCCACTCGACTTTCGAATAGTTCAATAGATACCACAGATTGCTCTAGTCTCTTTTCTATAGCAACCAATGAGTCATTCAATGATGACTCAAATGAGACTACTACTTTTTGTCCCGATGCGTTCAAGTACAGAACAAACGCTTCTGAAATTTGGTTTAGTATTGTTTCAGTCTGTTGATTTATAGCCCGTCTTTGTACCTGCAAATCGTCAACATTGTGGTTTATTAATGCATTGATTGACTGAATCTTGAAAGCAGAAAATTGCAACTCTCTCTCCATGGATTCAAACTGGCCTCTTGTAGACTCCCGCAACTCCATAGCGTATTCGTTAATTCCCTTCATCCTTTCAAGCGCAAGATTTTGCTGGTTTAAAAGAATGTTATTACCCTTTTGCAAGTCGTCCTGCTGTTGTTTCAACTGTATTTGATTCTCTCGAATCAACTCATTTATATTGTGCAATTCTTTTGTGAAATACTTGATATGACGCTCAATTTCATTTAAATTAGTGTTTACACCATGGTACGATTCTCTTATGATAATGAGCGCATTGTTCAATGACAATTCAAAATTCTCGTAAAAGACATTGAACGTTTGATTCACGGAATTTGCAGCCTCTTTCCTCTCTTCCATTATTTCGTCAATCAAATTGAGCATTGCTTCAAACCTTTTCTTCAACTGCGTTTGAACCTCTTTTTCGTCGGCTTGGGACTCCAACAAATCATTCAAAACAGACTGAAATAGATTCGTCACGTTGTTGTAAATTTCAACAATTTGCTCCTTTTTCAACGGCAAGCTGACTTGATGACATACCTCTTTTACACTCCTATAATTACCACTATAACTAGTCCAGAACTGGGGTGACTTCTCCAAAAATTGAATGCACTTGTCAATGTTTCTATGCCGAATTTGGTGATTGCAATCGAGTGGATATTCAATTCCGGCATTTTCCAACTCACATATTGACAACTCCAAAGCCACCTCTTTTTGCTGAGAGGAGGTTATTGTTTCTATTCCATCTAAACATTGCGGTAGTATCGACAGAAGAGCCTGTCTACTGCAATCATCTTTCCAAATCTCTAAAGCAGGGAGAGCATTTAAGTAGTTAAATCTCCCGCTCAATGAAAGCCCTTTTGCAATAGCTTGACCCCAAAGAAATACACTTGTAGATGTCTTCATTACCTGCCTCCCCGACCAACTGAGCAACTTTGACTTATATGGACACCACTTTTGTTTTATAATATCTATTTCAACACCTGAAACAGATTTGAAACATCAATACTCATCCCATCCAGGACTTACACAACGAAATCAAGAATTACCAAAGCCAAAACAAGGAGCTGTCACCGAAGTGACGGAAATGTGAACAAGATTATTCGAGCAAGCAATGGTAAGACACCCTTGACCATTGGTGTGTCTGAAGATTGACTCATGATCTCGCTCAATAGCTACCCAGCTGATAACATTGCGCAGCTAGGTGTAGGAGCATCTATATCGACAGCTCATGATTGAGACTCTCCTCTTCTATGTTACATTAAACATCAATGATAATTTAGATAGCCTTGTGTGTGGTGTATTCTACAACATTTGTGTGAGTTTCAAACTCGATTTCAAAAATATCGCTTCTGCCAAAAATTTTCAACTTTTCAAGAACCCATCCACTAATGCTTACAAGAAGACTAATACGACAACTACCTAGAAGGTACACTACGATCCTGTTTACTCCCAACGAGAACAAACATGTCTTTGAATCAGAAAAATTGAGTCCCAAGGAGAACTTTGACGCCATTCCAAATCAACCAGATGTTTCCAACATTGATAAAGTTCATCATGAAATTATAAACCCTGAGGAGGTTGCCGATTTAGTAACTAAATTGAATACAAATGATGTATTGATATCCATTCTCTCAAGGAATAAGCATTTATATGGTGACGAGGACTATGCCATTCAAAGTGTCAAGGATCAGGAGGTACCTCCTGTTGTATTTCCATACTCGAGCATACTTCTTAGTTGGAAAGAAATATATAACAAGCAAATCAAAGATTTAAAAGATATCGAGCCTGTCAATGAAGGCTATCCCAAAGTAGATGCCAAGTATTTGGGCCTTTGGAAGCGTACATCGTTGGACGAATTTTTCAACAAATCAAGAGCCATTAAGAATTCTACATCAATCAAGAAGGGAACAGTGCAACCATCAGAAATCAAGGGTTTATTTACAGTTGAATCAGCTTCGAACGTGGTTTTGAGTACAATCGATAATCTCGAGTCTCTCGAAGAGTATTTATCGTTCATCATCTCGAAGGTTCCATTGTTCACATTTCAAGGTGCAAAGGAGTTGTTGACCCGCGTGACTTTGTTATCTAGCGAAGTTGGTGTTAGTGGGTCCTCGTTGAACCAATTGGCTTGTACAGTTATTGATTTGCATCCGAGAGTGTTGCGAACATTGCAGCATGACATTAAAGATCGATTAGCTTTCGCAATTATTGCCAATAATAGAGAGCTTGCCACAAGATTAATCCAGGAACTTATAGATGGGTCAGCCTGCCCATCGCAAAAGACAGTCGACAGTTTTCTTGAAACCTACAAATTTCAAGATCCAGTAACTACTTTACGAGAATTGACGTTTTTAAAATCCGTAATACATCACCGTGAGTTGAGCGAACATGCTTTCAAACTACTCATTCAAACAGTAAGGGATGTCAATGAATTGATAAAGCTAGTGTCGCTACTAAAGAAAACCCCCAACCTACTTCAAGAGAAGCAATATGAACTATATGCCAAATTGCGCCAGTTAACGACATCAGAACTAGTCACCACCCAGTTTATACGTTTCTTGACAAAAAACGGTATCAAATTGAACCCGCTTTTAAAAGAGAGGGTCATCAAAGATTACAACAGAGATCCGGAGGTCATAACTGCGCTTAACAAAGGTATTTAATAAGTAATGTATATATGTTAGCTCAATCGTAGATTGTCAAGTTCAATAGAACCCCTGCTAGAATTTACTGAATAATCCTCGCTTGGCCGTTGATTGCTGCGTCGTATGCCACTTCTAAATGAGCTAGTTGAATGGTTTCGATCCCTGGTCTCATCACCTTCTCCTTCATTCCTTGTGTAAAACCCATCAGTGTACACAACAAACCCATCATCACTCGAAGTGTCATTCCATGAGTGCTCCATAGCTCTGTTTCGTAATATCTTCATCTCGTCATTAGCATATGGGTGGTCGTAGTTTTCAAAAAATTTCCTACTCGATATCGACCTCTTAATAAAGCACAACATCGAAGTGATCAATGCCATTGAAACAATGGGCAATAACTGCATCCACCCTAGGTAACTCAATCTAGGAACAAATAACAAAATGTCAGCCAAAAACGCTAGCAATGTCGTTAACACGGAAAATATAGTAAGGATTAACATTATATTCAAATAAGGGCTCAAATCTCGTTCCTCTTTACGATTTTCAACTGTATTTATATGGGCTTCATCTTCATCATCATCAAACTCAACATGTCCATGATTTTCCTCTTCTCTTTCGTTTCTTAATGGATTCACTTCACTCTTTCGTTTTCCCAGTTCCATTCGATCTTTCATTCTGTCCCAGCTTTCCAAAGCATACAACATAAAGATGACAATCAACAATAAACTTGAAAAGCAAAACGCAACAACATGGACCACCAATAGTTTTGATATTGTGTATCTAACATAAGACGGTAGGACAACCCCACTGAAACTTCTACTGACATCGTTTGCCAAGTCATAGAAGGAGCTATTTGACGACGGGTAGCCTATTTTGGGGCTACTACATCTCCCAGCTTGGGTATCACATATGCCAAACACTCCAAATTTTACATTCTCGAAATGTGAAAGATAGATGTTACCTCCAGGGGAAGTAAGTGGAACTGAAATGACCGGTAGTAGCTGAATGACCCAACAAACGGTGCACAATATGAGCAAAGCAAGGAGAGCCTTGTACATTATTGGAGTGGAAAAACGGGAGTGGTCAAATAAAGAGTGGTTGTTGGCATGTACCGAATGGAAGTGTGATCAAGTTGGCGCGCGAGGTGTTAGTTTGGTTCTAGTTGTGTTGAAAGAAGTGGTTGATTCGAGCTCAGGCACTTTTTTTGTGTCATCTGTATGATTTTCATTTTTTTGATTGTCAATTTTTTCAACAAACGATAAATGCATAGAAGCAAGTACCTTATCTACATCACAGTCATAGTGATAGCTCTACTATCTTTCAAGAAGTTCAATTTCATCCGCTGTTTCACCATGTCATCAAAAACCCCGCCTTATTACAAGGAACTCCAAGTTGCCACACTTGCTGTCAAGCGAGCATCGATATTGACCAAACAATTAAGTGATTCAATCCTGCAGGCTAAATCAGGAACAATTACTAAAGAGGACAAATCACCAGTTACAATTGGAGACTTTGCAAGCCAGGCGATTATCAATAACGCTATAAAGTTGAATTTCCCCGATGACGAGATTGTCGGTGAGGAAGACTCGCAGGATTTGCAAGACAATGCCAAGCTCTCTTCTGAAGTGTTGAATTTGATCACCAAAGTGCAACAAGAGACTAGTGAGTACGACGATGTGATTGGGGATATATCTAGTGAGGAATTAGTTTTTAAAAGTATTGATTATGGAAACTCCGAAGGTGGTGCAAAGGGCAGATTTTGGGCATTGGACCCTATTGATGGTACAAAGGGGTTTCTTAGAGGTGACCAATTCGCAGTCTGTTTGGCATTGATTGATCAAGGTAAAGTTGTTCTTGGAGTCATTGGATGCCCCAACTTGGCTCAATACGTGGAATCAAATGAGAATCACCACGGAACTGTTGGCGGATTGTACCTGGCCATAGCAGGTCAAGGCTCGTACTATTCCGATTTGTTCATAACTGGATTCAAACCATTAGATCAACAACAACGTATACATATGTCAGAACGTGAGTCTCCCAATGTTTTAAAAGTCGTGGAAGGTGTTGAAAAGGGCCACTCTTCTCACTCAACACAAGCCCAAATCAAGGACAAGATTGGATTTGATCAAAGCACAGTTTCTAAACAAACGATTAATTTGGATTCACAAGTGAAATATTGTCTATTAGCCAGCGGTCAAGCTGACATCTATTTACGTTTACCTATAGATGATACATATAGAGAAAAGATCTGGGATCATGCAGCTGGAAATGTGTTGGTGTACGAAGCAGGTGGTAAAGTGGGTGACATTCACGGTACTACATTGGATTTCAGTAAGGGTAGATACTTGAACTCCAAGGGTGTTATTGCTGCCAACAGCAAGGTTTTCAACACCGTTATTGACGCGGTTAAGGATGTTTTGAAACTTTAATTGATGTTCACTTTGTTGCCACCAATAACGTGTGGGGCTACTTCTTGCAACCATGATAATTCAATCGCTGAACAGTTTCTTGCATACCCCTTTGTAGTAAAGACGTATTCAATATACATGATTGCATCTAGATTTGATTTCCCAAACAATACAGATGATGGATGTATGCTAATCAACTGACCGCTGTTGAACGTTCTGAACGATCTATCTGGCATTCCGACAGCTGTGTTTGTAATGAATCCTTTCAAAAAAGATTTTAAAATGGCAGGAATGTCTAAAACTTCATCTCCATCTTCAAACTGCGAGCGAAGTTTTGCCATTTGTTTATCTTTTTCATTCTCCAGGATGCTGTCATCTTGTTTGACAGTAGCCAACATATACTCTTTCAACTGATTCTTTATTTTCAGCACATTTTTAAACCCCTTGTAACTAAACATCATTTCTTGACACCATTCTTTACCCAAGGATTGAAACGATTGATAAAACTCATACAATGCAATCAAATCACCGTTAGTGTTTCCCTTTGGGCAATAAGATCTTCGTTTAAAATTTATTTCATCTCGTTGCTCCCCAGATACATTCAAGATCAAATTATCAACTGACAAACAAGAGACTATGTCAATCACTGGAGCTAAGCAACCCAACTCAGTAGCACTTATTAAAACTACTGACAATTGTGGCGGTAAAGGCAACACACTCATTTTGTACCCGAGATTAGTAATCTTTCCGGCGTCATTCAACGCACCTAACGTATACAATGTGTTTAAAGCACTCAAAATCAGTTCTTGTCCTGGGTCTTCGAGCCACGTCCAGTTCAACAAATCATCTATACCTAGCTTCTTCAACGTCAATATCGGCAAGATGATATCATTTCTTTTGATTTCAGATTCTTGCTGTTTAGGTAAACTCAAATATTCACTTTCCTGGTACAATCGAAATACCTTTCCTGCACATTCTCTTCCAGCCCTACCAGCTCGTTGCCTAGCGGAAGCTTGTGAGATTGGAGTTGTGAGTAAAGTGGATAATCCCAAATTGTGTTTCCAAATTTTGACTTTCCTCAACCCCGAATCAATGACATACTTGACACCGGGGACGGTGATTGACGTTTCAGCAATGTTTGTCGCCAAAATTACTTTTCTACGTCCCTTGGGTAATTTTTCAAAAATTTTCAGCTGCTGATGGGGACTCAAGGCAGCATACAAGGGTAATGGGACAATCAATGGTGCTTCTCGGGGTAATTGAGGCGCCAACTGTTCCAATGATTTGACACAGTTGTCGATTTCTTCCTGTCCTGCTAGAAAGCACAAAACATCACCTTCAGGCTCAGTTATATTCACTTTAATAATTGAACGAATAACACAATCAACAATGTCCTCATTACTTTCGCCAGTAACGTACATTTGCGTCACTGGGTACATCTTTCCTTCGACGTACAAAATAGGAGCATTATTGAAAAAACGGCTAAATAGCTCTGCATTCAATGTTGCTGACATTACAATAACTTTGAGGTCTTTACGAGCACCAGAAACAATCAACGATTTCAAAAACCCCATAATTAAATCAGTTAAAATCGTCCTTTCATGCGCTTCATCCAAAATGACTGTGGTGTATTTTTTCAACTCCCTGTCCAACATAATTTCTCTCAAGAGCATACCATCGGTGAGGTATTTCAATTTGGTTCTGTGGTTGCTCATATTGGTGAATCGGACTTGGTATCCAACGTCTGTGCCCAATTTGCATCCATACTCTTCACTAACTCTAGCAGCTAACGACGCTGCCGCAACCCTTCTTGGCTGGGTGACAGCAATCGCTTTGCTGTTCTCAGGAATGAGAAACTGCGGTATCTGTGTTGATTTTCCGGAACCAGTTTCACCAATGATTATTGTCACTTGATTTTCCGATACAAATTGAGTGATCTTTTCTTTGTGATGGTATATAGGCAAATTTCGCCGTACGTTTAGTAGCTCCCTTGCTCTATCTGATAGTTGTAGCGAGGATCGCAGGATATTGAAATTGTTTGCATCATCAGAGTCTGAATCTTCCTCATCAACGTATTTGACAACTGTAGACTTACCTTTAGGAGTAATTTTTGGCGCAGCTCCATCCGCCTTTAATGTGGAAGACTCTTCATAGACAGGTTCCTCAATAGTCTCAACCTTGGGTCCTGGGGCAATGCTATTGGTAGTTGCAACCTCATCGAGATCATTGAATTTGATCTTCTTGTTCTGAGAGGAGTTGGCGGGTAGTACCTCAACTTCTGGCGAAACACTCTCATTCCCCTTTGCTTTCGATCCCTTACTTCTCTTTCTCTTCCTCTTTTTGACAAGATCCTGGCTTGAGCCATTGGCTTGGTTGTCCATGTTACAGGTGTACCTCTTGCAGATAAAAAGAGATGCGAAAATGAAAAATGAAAAATAAAAAGAAAACAAAAATTGATAGATTTCTAGACATTTCGAAACACCAAAGTGATATGTTGAGAACTACACTAAGACAACAATTACGCCGACAAATTAGACTCAACTCATCGTCAACTTTACCCAGAGATACGGTGACTGTAATTCCTACAGTATATGAATTAACAGAGGGAAAGGACATAACTCCCGAGACTAGCCCGGATACATCGTTGATCAGCTACTTACAATCAAGACATTTAATTGAATCATTGACCGATGACAAACTATTTACTATAACCACACGGAACAATATCTCAAAGTTCAAACTTTATTGTGGTGCTGATCCAACCGCACCAAGTTTACATTTGGGAAATTTATTACCATTGATGGTGCTACTACATTTCAAAATCAATGGCAGTGATGTATATGGTTTAGTAGGTGGTGCAACTGGTCAAGTAGGGGACCCCAGTGGAAGATCTACCGAAAGAACTGCGTTAAACGTAAGTGAAGTTGAGAACAACGTTGGTAAAATCCAGAAACAAATCACTACATTTTTATCCAATGGTATTGAATATGCCAAATCAAGACAATTCCCCATGAATAAAGCCATTGGTAAAAGCAACAGTGTCAATAATGAAACGTGGTGGAAGGATGTTAAGATGTTGGATTTTTTGGCAACTTATGGTCGTCACATTAGAGTCAGTGCAATGTTGGCTCGAGATTCAATTCTGTCACGATTAGAAGGTGGCGGAATAGGATTTAATGAGTTTACTTATCAAATTCTACAAGCATATGACTTTTACCATTTGTACAAAGATGAAAAGGTCAACATGCAAGTTGGCGGAAACGATCAATGGGGCAACATCACTGCAGGTATTGACCTCATTTCACGATTGAAAAAGCAAGACGAAAAGACTCGTGAAGCATTTGGTGTAACTGTTCCATTATTGACAACACCGTCAGGGGAAAAATTTGGCAAGTCTGCTGGAAATGCCGTCTTTATCGACCCACACTTGACCACGCCATATCAGTTGTACCAATTCTTTATCAACGTACCGGATGACATGGTTAGCAAATTACTCAAGGTGTTTACGTTATTACCGTTGAATGTTATCGAAGGCGAACTACTCCCCAAACATCAAAATGATCCAGGATTGCGTATAGCCCAAAGGGTGTTGGCAAGAGAAGTGGTGGATTTAGTGCATGGCGTAGGTGTTGGTGACGAAATGGCATACATTACAGGATTCTTGTTCCCAACTCCAGACCAACCTTTTAATGATCATGTAAATGCAGACAAGTTGATTGAAAATTTCAAAAGGTCAGGCATATTGTACAAGTTTCCGTTAAGTAAATGTCATGACATAAAGTTGAGTACATTGATTGCTGATATCACTGGTAAGTCTAAGAGTGAAACGAGAAGATTGATAAAGTCAGGAGGTGTATACTTGGGCTTGGACAGAAATCAAGTGGAAGACCCCGAAGATGTGGTATTATTTGATAAAGATCATCACTTGGTGGATGGTAAGTTGATGTTATTGAGGATTGGAAAACAAAACTACTACGTTGTTGAATTTGTATAGGTCGGATACTCATACTCTTGTATATAGAATTGGATCGAAATTTACATTGAAATTTGAAAAGAGAATTGGTGTAATGAAACTGGTTTGAATTAGGCCGAGGTTAGAGAGGAGCATCACACAAAAATGATAATAAACCTGTTTTTCTCTCTTCGGGGTTAACTTTTTCAGGAATGACCGTGAGTATTATCACCCAAAAAGGGAGTAATAAAGAGACAACCCCCCGCGCACATAGGCACAGCCTCAGCGTTTACGAAAGAGAGTATGACAAATAGTAAGACATATTCTAGATCCTCTACTTCATGACTAATCGTATTAGTACCTCTATAAGGTATTGCTTCTAGGGGGATGTATCACCGTATCATTCCTCGCCCCCCCCCTGGTAGCAACTATACTTTAAAGACTCAAAATTATTCCGCTTCTTTTTTTTTTTTTTTATCTCGTATATATAAAGAAGTTTACAATCCCACCCACACCCCCTTTTCACTTACACATTGAGTTACCGTTCAAGTATTAAACGCATTATGTCCAAGTTCTACGACTTAACCCCACTCGATAGCAAAGGAAACCCATACCCGTTTTCAGAATTGAAGGGTAAAGTTGTCCTTATTGTCAATGTTGCTTCAAAATGTGGCTTTACTCCTCAATACGAAGGGCTCGAGAAGTTGAACAAAGAGTTTGAAGGTAAACCAGTTCAAATTTTGGGCTTTCCATGCAACCAATTTGGAAACCAAGAACCGGGTTCAAATGAGGAGATTGGATCTTTTTGCAAGTTGAATTATGGTGTTACATTCCCCGTTTTAGCCAAGGTTGATGTCAATGGTAACAATGCCTCACCAGTTTATCAATACTTGAAGAGCCAGAAGTCAGGTTTATTAGGATTGACCAGAATCAAATGGAATTTTGAAAAATTTTTGATTGATCAGAACGGAAATGTTGTTGAGAGATTTAGTTCATTGGCCAAGCCAGCGGATATTGCACCAAAGATTGAAAACTTGTTGAAGAATAACAAGTGATTTGTTGAATGTTGATTTGATTAATTATATAGCCTTAATAGTTTAATTTGTAATTGAGTTTATTAGTAAGTACTTTATGTCTTCAGCAGTAATCACAGCTAGTTAATAGTGTGTATTGGTTTTAGAAGAGAAGCAGATATGTGAGATGGATGTTGTTGCCTGTTTCGCAAGCGCAACTACGCCGTGCGAATGAATCAACTAGCAACTCATAACTCAATCAAGATCAATCAACTATCCACAATTTTCTTACAATGGAAGAGCAGAAATCTGATCGAGCAAAGCTATTTTCTGGCACGAGAAGCCGAATCTATTCGTGTTGCCCGTTGTCGCTACTATCACAACTGGCCGTTTATAGCCCATCTGATAGCTGTACTCCTACACAGGCGTTGCACAAGATTACACTTTTGTGGAATGATACTGACATGTTCAAGAACTGAGTCCAGTACTTTTGAGTCATTACCTATTCCGGTGATCCTATTTGATTCGTGTTGAGGTTTTTGTATAGTGGATCGGTTCTCTCCGGTACAGGGCCTGAACTAATTAAACACAACTATATGCAGGATGGATAATGAATCATAAATTTTTCAACAAAGGAGAGAGAAAAATTTTCGTTATAAAAACCCCTATATAAGTATCCGACAGTTCTCCCTTTCAAATCTTTTATTCAGACTTTCTTCTATTGGATATACTTTTAACAGACAACAATCTATTTATTATTTTAACAATGTCTTTCAGAACCAATTCCATTCGTATGGCTAAATTAGCCACCTCGAAAGCTACTTTGTCAAAGAGAACTTTTTCATTGTTGGCTAATGCTACTAGAACTTCCACCATTGCCAAGGCTTCCATGCCAATGATGGCTATACGTGGTGTCAAAACCATCAATTTCGGTGGTACTGAAGAAGTTGTCCACGAAAGAGCTGATTGGCCAAAGGAGAAATTATTGGACTATTTCAAAAATGATACTTTAGCTTTGATTGGTTACGGTTCTCAAGGTTATGGTCAAGGTTTGAACTTGAGAGACAATGGATTAAACGTTATTCTTGGTGTCCGTAAGAATGGTGCTTCTTGGAAGGCTGCTGTTGAAGATGGTTGGGTTCCAGGTGAAAACTTGTTTGACGTTAATGAAGCTGTTGAAAAAGGTACCATCATTATGAACTTGTTGTCAGATGCTGCTCAATCTGAAACTTGGGAATCCATCAAGCCTTTATTGACTGAGGGCAAAACCTTGTACTTTTCACACGGGTTTTCACCTGTTTTCAAGGATTTGACTCACGTTGAACCACCAAAGAACATTGATGTTATCTTGGCTGCTCCAAAGGGATCAGGTAGAACCGTTAGATCCTTGTTCAAGGAAGGTAGAGGTATTAACTCGTCATATGCCGTTTGGAATGATGTGACTGGAAAAGCTGAAGAAAAAGCTATTGCCATGGCCATTGCTGTTGGTTCCGGTTACGTTTACCAAACCACCTTTGAAAGAGAAGTCAACTCAGACTTGTATGGTGAAAGAGGATGTCTTATGGGTGGTATTCACGGTATGTTTTTGGCTCAATACGAAGTCTTGAGAGAAAATGGTCACACTCCATCTGAAGCTTTTAATGAAACCGTTGAAGAAGCTACTCAATCATTGTACCCATTGATTGGTAAATACGGTATGGACTATATGTACGATGCTTGTTCAACCACTGCTAGAAGAGGTGCTTTGGACTGGTACCCAAGATTCAAGGATGCATTGAAACCAGTCTTTGAAGACTTGTACGAATCTGTTAGAAACGGTACTGAAACCAAGAGATCTCTTGATTTCAACTCACAACCAGACTACAGAGAAAGATTGGAAGAAGAATTGCAAACTATCAGAAACATGGAAATCTGGAAAGTTGGTAAGGAAGTTAGAAAATTGCGTCCAGAAAACCAATAAGGATAAAAGCAGCTTTGCCTCCCCTCACATGTTCACATACATGTACCCCCCCCCCCTCCACACACACTTTAATGGTCAATGAATGACTTGCATTTTATTCAATTCTAAGCAACTATTTTTATTTTTTTATTGTATAATCATTTCAAAGTAATTTATTATGGGTTTATCAAAAAATAACACACAAACAAAGAAAACAATTGTATAGGAACATTGCATATAGGTTTGTCGAATAAACACTGTGTTCCGTTAATATTATAGGAGCTTGCGTAGAGCTGTAAAAAAGCTAGTTAGTGCTGTTGTTTTTAGTTTGGTATGTCTCTCGTTTCGCAATCGTACAGGACCATTTTTCGTTTACATACGGGAAGCCTCACATTTTTAAACGGTCCACTTGTTGAATTCCACGAATCACACCATACGTTAAATTGCAATACTACTACTGCTATGCCTGAGATCGATCCAGTAGATGATGTAGAGGATGCTTGGGATTACTCATTCCCACCATCAACGGATTCGCTTCCATTAGAGCAATCTTCGACTTTGCAGCAACCACAAGCTACAAATCCAAGACCAACAAGACTAAACAGGGCCAATTCAGATGAGCAACAGCTGCGACAGCTTGCTCAACAGATTGAGATAATTAGCAAACTAAAACAAGCTGAAAACTCAGACGCGGGTTCAACTGGTGTTAGATCATCAATATCATTGACATCCACATTTAACAAAACGCCGTTGAATCCGTTGACAACAAAGGAAGATGCCAGTTCAGTGATTTCAAAAGACTCAAGTACACAACAGTCCACCAGTGATCAGGATAGTAAAGACAAACCCCGATTCCTCAAAAATCTTCAAAATATTGATGCTAATAATCAAGCAACGTCGCCAACGTCAAACAATTCGAATGATCTTGATCGGAAACTAGGATCACCCAAAATTATCGCATATCGTAAATCAAAGAGAACGGTTAGTGAGAGCACATTTGATTCATTTGATCCTGCAACACTGTTATCAACACCCCCTCCCACAAGTAAATATGACACTCGATTGTACGTTGATGAATTTTACAAAGATTCGAAATATAGATACGCCACTATCAAAAGGAACGTTGAGTTTCATCAGCTTTTCAATTCCCTAGACTTGACAGACCGTTTATTGGATGATTTTTCTTGTGCATTGAGTCGAGAAATCTTACTTCAAGGAAGAGCATATGTTAGTGAAAGCTATCTTTGCTTCAACTCAAATTTGTTAGGGTGGGTTACAAATTTAGCACTCAAATTTGAAGATATAGTTAAGTTTGAAAAACGATCAACCGCGGGATTGTTCCCCAATGGTATCAGCATCGAAACGGAAGACGGAACTGTTCACACGTTTGCCAGCTTCTTATCACGAGATCAGACTTACGATTTGATGACTACTGTGTGGAAGGGGAAAACGGGAAGAACAAATCAGGAGCAACTGTTTGACTCTCCCCAGATGAGCCACAATGATACAGCATCAATAACTAATATGACGTCACCCAGGGTTCAGTCTTACATTATGTCGCTCGATGGCGATGACGAGCCTACACCCGGAGGAGCCCAAAGTAATTATGATCAAGAGGATTCAGGTGACGATGATACCTCTGATGAAAATCCAAGAAATGGTGAACTATTACCAGCTTTTGGATCGAGCACCAAACGTACGAAAGTTGCAAAGCTCAAACCGGAATCCAAATATCAAAATCTTGGTCCCGATGCTCATAGACCAACAACTGCCAGATACACCAAGTTTCCCCAAGAGGTAGATTTAATTGAAACCAATATTGACGCACCTCTTGGTGTAGTGTTTTCCATATTATTTGGATCCAATACAGAATTCCAAATTGATTTTTTAAAACGTCATGATGGACTGGAAATTTCAGAGATTCCACAATTCAAATCCTCATTTGAAGACCCAACATTATTGAAAAGAGAATATAGTTATCGACGTCAATTGGGCTACTCAATTGGTCCCAAATCTACAAGATGCGAAGTGACGGAAACTATAGAGCACATGAATCTCGCTGATTATGTTGTTGTCACCACCACAACCCAGACTCCTGATGTACCCCTGGGCAATGCATTTGCAGTAAAGACACGTTACGTTTTCAGTTGGGGTGAACTGAACAGTACCGATTTATTAATCAGTCTATATATTGAATGGAAGGGCAAGTCATGGATGAAATCAGTGATTGAAAAACTGTCAGTTAGCGGTTCCACAACCACTTTAAATGAGTTGGTCAAAGAGGTCAAAGAGGAGGTTGAAAACCATGTCGACTATGCCGAGGGGCCAAGTGAAGCTGTGCCAAAAAAGAAAAAGAAAAAGGATCTTGATGAGACAAAAGCGGAGGTGAAGAAAGCGGTGGCAACAACCACAGCAACCACCACAACTGCAACAACTGAAGCTTTGATTTCAAGGATCTTGCACCCTGGTTACCTTCTCGCTTTGATTGTGATATTGCTACAATTGGTTATCTTGTATAAATTGATTGTTTTACAAGCTGCATTGGAGATGCATTTTCAGGGTCACATCACAAGATGAGAGAGACACCTTCTTAGTGGATCCGCTCCTAATAATGAGTTATGAGAAACTACACCTCGCTAAATTACTATATCGTAAATTCCTATTCACATGCGACGATATAGGCTCTATATACAATGCTTTGACTTTGGCTTCTGCTCTCCACACCACACCCGTCTCAACATACTCTCAATGCATTCGCAGGTTCCTCCTCGAATCTTTCAATGATGTTCATGTTTTCAATCGTATGCACCACAATCTGATTACAATCCTCATTCAATTCGAATATAAATACCCCACAAATGACCCTCTCCAAATCCTTTTGTTTCTCTTTTGATACACCCATCACTGCTCCTGTCAATTTCCCAATCAATCCCGATAACGACACATTTGTACCCATTAGTTTCTTGGTGTCTTCATGTGACCATTTATGCGAACCAAAATGGGCATTTGATGTAGATTGAACTCCCAAATGCTCACAATTGGGCATGCATGTGCTCCATCGAACATACACTTTTGTAGTTGTATCAAACATGCATTGAGGGTCGGGCTTTTTGGATGTTTTGATGCTCGATATATGGAGCTTGACTTGGGGGCTGAGTATTATTGATGTGATGAATAATGTAATTGCCTTACATGCACTATTATACGTTATAGTTCCGTGTAATTTTGGTAAATAATTTTCATCAAATTGAGACGGACATATTCGGAGATAGATATTATTGGAGATCAAGTCTTTTGATAAGTTGTGTTCTAGTATATTGGGGATTTGAGTTTTCAATTTGTCAATCAAGTTCAGAAGATTCATCTTTTGTTCAAGTTCATGTTTTTCCTCTGGAGTGATATCGTCGCCACCTTTGTTACCAAGTGGTGGAATTATACTAAATCGAGTACATGAATTGGTACGTGTCAGTGGAAACGGTGGAAGGAGGTGCCTAGGAGGTGTCAATGATTTTTGCTGTTGTTGAAATTGATGAAATTGCTGGCGTTTGTCAGATTGTAACTGCAGCCTAAACGACGGCGACTCTCTTGCTAAAAGTGCCAACCTCTGTTGTTTGTATAGCACCTGTCGTATAGGTGCAGTTTGTGGTATTCTCGACATTCAATTTTTGGTGTGACAGCGGCTCCGATGATCTAAGCAGGCTTTAGGGGTTCTTTGTAAACTGAGAAGTTATTTTTTGGGGTAAAAAAGTAAAGTAGAGAAAGTGAATCGCTTTACGATCCAGCTCCAAACTCACAAACAAAACTAACACAGAAACTACGAATTAGAGTATTTTCTCTATAAAACCATAAATAGTAATATGTAGAAGCGTTCAATTGTATCTCTCAAAATTGTTCTCTCAGGGCCTTTGCATCGACATAAACACATCTCTGTACTTCATTTTGGGTCAAGACATGCTCACTCAACCAATCACTAGCAACGTACCTTGCGCCACAAGCCATACAGGTACCACTCATTGGTAACTTATCTCCCAAAGTATGAGCCGTTTTGCCTCTTGCATCGTCAAACTTGAAATGCAGATGCAACAAGTGCTTCTTGTAATCATATGGCCGGTTGAAGTTTTGTGTCTTGTGATTACACATCTCCCTTGGGTAAACACATTGAAACCTACCAATTTCGTTATGTATTCGCATGTGACGAGTTAAATCACGACTAATAAACTTGTCGCATACAGGACATACAGCTCCTTTGCTTGCCTTCTTTTTGGGGGCTGGTTGCGCATTGTTTGGGGAATCTTTGACATCAGATCCTACTGACGCTACACTATGGGGAGAACTATGGTCCGATAGCGTCTGATTTACCGTTGGGTGTACTTCGTGATCTTCATCAGAATTTATGTACTGGTCAATGTTGAACAGTGGAATGTCTGCCGAGTATGTCGATTGTGAGTAGTCGTCAACATCAGCACCTGAAGCTTTTCCAGAGGATGATTCATTTTGAGACACATATGGATCAATTGGTAAACCCAAGGGAGTGAATTCCTCCTTCATAGGTTCTTGGTGCAATTCCCTCGTTTCCTCTTCTTGAAACTGGGGCATTGAGAAGCCCATAACGTTTGAATCGACCAAGTCTTGATCCTGCGCACCCGATACCGAGAACTCATCCGTCTTGTTCAAGTACACCTCAAATGACTGATTGAAATTATCCATTCCACCATCATGACCAATAGCAGGGGAAAAGTAGCTTCCGTTTGCAACAGGTTCAATCCCAGGTGTATGGTCTATTTCAAAGTAGCTTTTCGTAGGAGGATCCACGGACGGAGTCAAATTGATCCCCGGAACAGAACCATACAAGTTACCTTCATTCAATTCCATGTCTTTCTTCATCTCAAATTCTTCACGCGTTAGTGTCATGGAAAGTCTCAGTGGACCATGATTGACACCACCACTTGGAGCTCTGTTCCAGTAATCTGTTCCTGAATCTGATTGGGATGAAGAAACAAGCCTGTTTGGTAAATTGGCTCTTTTGTTGATTCCATCCAACTTTAAATGAAATCCCGGTTTTTTCCTTGGTCTTCCTCGCTTTGCTTTTACCTTGGGTCCAAACGTCGACTCTTTTGTAGCATATATTGGTTGTGGGTAGCTGGATGGTTCATAATCATTAGGCACATTCAGTGAGGTATTGGAATAAGTTGGCAAGTTTTGTGTTTCATGTCTTTCAACATCAGCTGGGTATTGATAATTTGCTTGTTTGTGAGGAATGTTTAATTGTGGTGTTCGCGTAGGTGCATGGTGAGGATTGAAAGGTTGATTGTATGTCGGAGGATATGAAGACTGAACACTTCCACTCTGTTGTGAGTAAACTTGTCTTGGGTAGGGGTACAGCTGGGGTACAGTTTGTTGTTGATGTTGATTATAGTTGGGTAGATGTTCATGAAACTGTTGTGGTTGTGATTGTGGTTGTGGTTGTGGTTGTGGTTGTGGTTGTGGTTGTGGTTGTTGCTGTTGCTGTTGCTGCTGCTGGTGTGAATGCTGTAGCTGCTGGTGTGGAGGTTGATAATGCGGTTGGTTGAATTGTGGTTCTTGCAGGCCATTATTGTATCCCTGATACTGCTGTGGCTGAGTAGTTACATTCTGATAATCACGATGTAGCTGTTGTTCTTGATAGACAGGTTGTGCACTCTGATCATAGTGAGGGTTCGAGGACAAACGATATTCATCATTTCCATGTTGCAGTGCAGTCACATCAACCGGTTGCTCATAATTATGCAAAACCTCATAGTCATGCATAATATTATGGACCTCTTCTTCTATCGACTTGTCAGTGTAAAAAGTCTCAATTCTTGATGATGGCACTGAAATGGCGCCTCTATCCACAAAATAGTCATTACCATTCCTGTGGTAATCAGGAACTTGACGATAATCGACTTCTTCCGGTTGATTCAATGCCTTGGGCTCTTGAAAAACGAAATCTGGCGTTTGATTACCGCTCTTTTGCAAAGCTTGTGCCGACTTATTGTAATGTCGAAACAATGACTTGGACAACTGTGAGTGATAATTTGATTTGCTAAACTGTGGATTAGGTGACGAATTATGGTCAACTTCGTTTAAAGTCATTTTTGCTTCAGCGCATATGGGGGTGTAGATGAAACAATCTCTTTTGTGTAAATGAATTGATGATAATATTTGATAAATAGAAAGTTCAAGTCTGGGTGAAGTGTGCTTTAGTCGTTCAATATGTTTGGTTTGGTGATGATTACTGTTATTTATGGTCTAGGTTGGAGTGATCATATAAATTTCTTGTGGTTCTAATAATTTACAAAAAGATTTACGAAATCCGTCTTGGTTCTTTTGTTCTTAAACCAATTTTCTTTTTCATTTTTTTTCTTTTTTTCCTTCATTTCCCTCTTTCTGTTGGAATTTCTTTGCTCTTTATGACGATGCATGTACCAAGGCTTAAAAGAGAACATTATAGTGGGAACGGAAGCATGGAAAAAAAAAAAGGGAAGGCTCGAAACGATGCAGTGGGTGTAATTGTAGCTGGATCTCCTTCGTAATTAAGGATCTAATTTTCAGATCGATATCGAAAGAGAAACAGATACTTTCTTATCAACTATAAGGATCTACTTAGAGGGATTAGTATGCCATAAGATGCAGATCATCCGCAATTTTTTTTTAAAAACTATAAGTTAGGCTCCCATTTCTCTCCTTAATTTTTGCAATTCATTGCATGCGTATGTAACATGTCAAACTGAAAAATTTTGAACTATTCTGTAAATCTTTGTAATATCGCATAATCTTGCTTCATCGTACACCTACTTAAAAAAAAAAAAAACGTCAAAAGATTCAACTAGAGACCACAACGACAGCTTGGTTGTGCTCTTTCGAAGTGAAGCCTCTTGATAGAATGCGCCATTTCAATAGAATCTGCAAGCTTCTCAAATATGGGGTTTGAATAAAGCTAAGCAAATTTGCCTTCTTTTGAACACAGGAAATTCTCGGCGAAATATTACCGAGGTAAACTCTTTTAACCGAGCAATGACGTAAGTCTCATACGCCACAATTTAATCATACCACACAATTGAAGTGTTGTTTACAGTTGAGAAATAATATCTTGGAAATCATATACAAAGTCTCCCAGTAATGGCAATCTGCATTGGCATACAAAACGCGGCTTCCCCGCAAGTATCTTGTGATTGGCGTGCACTTTGATCACAAATTTTTCTACACTTGCATCGAGTTGCAGAAACATCAAATGAATTGAAAAAAGATTGCTTCTATGCTGGAGTGGCCCACCCCGCAGTGTCAGTAGACATTCACCTTCCTCCCGGAGTTCTGTAGTAAGCCAATTTCACATTCTATGGATAGGCGTGTAGATAACGGCGAATTGCTATGCCTTACCCCTTACTACCTCATATTGATTTGGTTAGTTACATAGGTCGTGGCTAGAGCATACATTCTTACATGCACGAGCAGTGGTACTCTGTTTCTAGCGTCACTAGTCAATTGAACTCGGTCAAGTACAAAATTTTAACTTTATCACGTGCTTGTATTACGTAATTGGAATGGAAAAAAACGGAAAAAGATAACCTCAGTAGCAAGTATTGAGCTTGGGAATTGACCGAAAAATTTTCAACAGCACTTTGCCACAACTTTACGAATAGGATTGGCGGTGCTTTTGTGGTAGTTACATCTCGATGACCTTCTATATCTTTGCAAAAGATTATTGGTCGTTTGTAATTGTGGTAAGCTTTCCTGCGACAAGTTCAGCGTGCCTTTGTGATATCTCAAGATTCGCAGGATCTTGAAAGGTATTCTTGCTGCCGTTTTTGGTAGTTGACGGACTGCTTACGGTGGATTTTGTCTTGCGATCCGACCTTGTCTGAGAGATTCCAAAAATGTCTTAAAACTATCTCCAAGTTTGGTTGCAAAACTGGGAAGATCTTGTCATTTATTGAGATAATACCTGCATTCTCATAAAGCCGTGTTTGAGAAAAGACAACTACTTCAATTTCTCAGCTCTAGGGCGTTGGCGCAGTTGCCAAGGTGGATGATCATAGTGAAGCATACTCGAGCACACTATATTGCGAAGTTTGTGTAGCACTGTATTAAAAATCGAGTTAGGGAGACATACAGATGCCAAGTTTAAATAAACTGCTGCAATTGTATACTGTTGTAATGTAGTATCGGTTGTATAACCTGCCTTTTCCGCGTTTGTCATGGAAAGCGCAAATTCGATCGCAATGTATTGGCTGCAAAATGAAAGGCAACTTCGATTTTACCAAAGCTGAGTAAGATTTTATTCACCACCCATTTGGACATGAGTGACCACCCCTCCACTCACTACTACTTTTCCTTCTCATTAACCTTTGTAACCGTACTCGCTAAACTTTAAGGAACACTACTAAAAAAGTTTATCACATGCAAAGTTCACAAAAACATACTTGGCAAAGCACTACCGAAAAGTAAAAAAAAAAGAATTTGGATCGGATCTGTTGTCGTCTAGCACAAATTTTACGCACTTGACCGTTAACGACAGATTTCCAAACTACAGTTGCATCTCACACCATTTCTCGTAAATGGAGGTTAAAATTATTGCAAAATGAAAAAGCGCTGCACAAAAGATTTTTGGTGATGGGTGTGGCCCAATATTGTTTGTTTCAGTTTATCATTTTTTGCCAGATGTAGTTTCTGTACTCTTTTGTCACAGCATGAAGATGCCTCAAGGCAAGGGGATTCAACAATGGACCTGGCTTTTTCAAAATTGAGGCTCAAGTATGCATGCATAGACACGGTTATGATTCTTTTTCTTTTTCTTTTTTGTTTCAAAAGGATATGCGCTTGGTTAAGTGAGGGAAATTTAAACTTTGAACTAAAAAAGGGTCTCTTTATTTTTTTTAGTACATACATACATACATAAAATGCACTTTGTAACTTCTATTTTAACTCCTGAAGTATCTCGATTGGCTTGGCCTTGATTTGCTGTTAACTTTCAACTGTTCGATTAGTCACACATCAAGAGGGACAGACGGATGAGCTCGCTAGTTCTCATAGTAGATCAAATATCCCTCGGTTTACCATACACGTCCACTGAATAATCACCTGCAACTGGTTCTATCTTGGATCAAGTATGGGACATCTCTTGGTTAAATCAGATGTAAGAATATGCTCCTCCAACCAATCCTCTCCGGTAAATCGTAACCCACAAGGACATGTTCCCCAATGAGGCAATTTATCACTCAAATTATGCAATTTCTTCACTTCGGGATCATCGAAGTTATAATGTCGATTGAGTAAATGTTTCTTGTAATCATAAGGACGATTGAATTTACCCAGTTTATGACGACATTGTTGCTTGGGGAACTCACAAGTGAATCGAGATTCAGATTGATGCGTACGCATGTGACGTGACATATCTCTAGTTATTCTCTTGCCGCAAATTTCACATACACGATGATCAACAAATCGTGCTTCGACTAATGGGATGGGGATGGAGTTGATGTTTGAATTGACAAATGATGTCATGTCGGGGTACTTTGCCACATCCATGGGCTGTTGTAGTTGGTGTGGGTGGTACTGATGGTGAGGTTTCAAAGTTGGTAAGCTTGTGGGTGCAAATGACCCTACGGTTGCCGATTGGTATGGTAATGGAGGGCGAGTGTATATCGGTTGTGCTTGTTGTGGGTATTGTGTCAACAGTGGCAGCAGTTGCAGATGTAATATTTGAAATTGAGCTGGAGGCTGTATTGGTAATGAATGAGACGAAACTTGCAGCAAGTGTTGGCTCTCATCATGATGTAAAGAAATTGGTTGCGATTGAATGTACATATTATCTATTGATTGTGGCGGTCGATGTGAAGCAGTAGTGGATGATAAGTTTGGGTTTGATGTCGACGATACTGACGTAGGCTCAGTTGTGGTATAATTAGCAGTTTGTCTACTGTGATCTGTGTGTGCTGTTGATGTTGGTATTGATGAAGACGAAGCTTCCTGACTACTACCCAGAACCAGATACTGTTGTTGTTGTTGTTGTTGTTGTTGTACTGGCACAGACCCAGTACTGGCTGGATCAATTTGATTCAATGTTTCATTGGGATGCAAGTGTGATTGAAATGGAGGTTGTAATTGTTGACCCACAGAATCAACATTGGTATTTACACTTGAAGTAGATGCATTTGTAGATGTGGTCATTGCGTCTTGCACTAAGGTGTCCTGTCCCACTGACTGTTGCCGTTGTTGTTGCTGCTGCTGCTGCTGCTGCTGCTGCTGTTCCATTGCAGCAAATGGTATTTGCGACAGCAGTATAAGCTGATAAGATGCTAATTGCTGGTGTGGCATCACTGGTGAATGTGGATGTGGTAACCCAGAAGTATATCGTTGTTGCATTTGCGATTGCTGCGCTTGTAGTTGTTGCTGCAACTGTGGTGGCAATGTATGTTGCGGCTGCAATTGTTGTATGTATTGTGGATAAAGCAGTGGTGGAAATGGTTGTTGTTGCTGTTGTTGCTGTTGCTGTATCGTATTCATATTGCCAGCTGGCTGAAATTGTGGTTCGTATATCTGATTCTGCACAAATGCTGGTTCCGCAATCGGCGCCCCGTCTTGTACGCCTGATTGCGGTAGTTGACCATGACCATAATTTTCGTTCTTTGACATGTCTTCTTGTTTTTATTTATTGTTCCCTTTAGGACCTTTTCCTTTCCATCAAGTTCCCAGTGAGTTAATGCAAACTTTAGTTTCATTTACAAATTTTTGTAAAGCATATATTTTGAATTGGGCAAAATTGTAACGTATTGAACTGGAAGGTTGTCTGATTTTGAAGTACAGTGAGATTTCAGCTGTACTTGTACACACGTTTTAATAATGTTATACCGTTGTTGATACTTTAATTATGCCCGGGTTTCGTATATTTTACTTTTTTTTTTTTTTGCAACGAGGGGTGAGTTTAAGTTTTATGTAATAAACTTGCTTCGATGCACCTTTTATTGATGGATATTTCAACCTGAATGACGTAGTAAACTGCTTTTGCTATCCTATATTGAGGTTTGGTTCCCCTTATTTTTGCAAATTTTACTGGGGGTTGTTGCAGGAGAAGAAAATAAACTTAGGGTTAAGCGCCCAAAAAAAATTAACAGGGAAAAATTATATTGGGTTTTCCTTGTGTATTGTGATCTCCTTGAATCAAAGGTAGTAATTGAGAGCTTGTGGGGTAAAAAGTGAAGTTGTAGGTCGAGTGTGTTTGCTTATTCAAGTGATGGTGAATGAGTACGTTTTTACGAAAATTTGAAGAATGCGTTTTATTTATATATAAAATGTATGCCATACTTGAGTATAGGAGGAACAAGAGCAATGCCTCTGCTTAATACTTAGTGAGGAAATATTTCAATATTGTGTTCACTTCTTTTCATCATCATTATTATTATTATTTTATCAGTACCCATGAATAACGTACACAAAATATAGTGGTTTAGTTTAGTTTCGTTCACTCAGATATGATTGCGTAATTTTCTTTGTTATTTTTTTTTTAGTTTAATTTTTTTTTTTTTGAGTTTTTTTTTTTTTTTTAATTTTTAATTTTTGTTCTTTTCTCTGTTCGTACTTTTTTTTCAACTTCTTATTGTTCAACTTTAAAGATCTTTAGAAAGAGAATGTTTTTATTTTAATCTTTGTGGACTTTGCATTGCAGAAAGTGAAAAATAAAATTGAGATTACCCATGACTCTTTTGTACCACTTCTTGGATATTGCAGACTCACTTCCAACTTCGCATAACGTTCTACAAACACGACATACGAAAAAAAAAAAGCCGACCTCACTTGAGAATGTACATCGTACATGTAGGATGACACCACTTTTCTTCTTCTCTCTCTTCTAAATGCATATAGAGAAAGGGTTGTGCTCCAATTTATGAGAACACTCGTAATTTCTTTGGTGGTAATTCTTATTCGTGTACCATCGATTTTTCTTTTCCGTTATGCTTAGTCATCTCTTTTTTTTAAATTTTTTTTTCTATTTTCCACCGATTGTCTTCCCACTTTAGTTGTTAAATCATGCGTTAGCAAATCTTTTCATCAATCTCTCACCAAGTAGAAATTGACGAAGAAAAGACAAGAGACGAGTAAGAGGATCGTCCCTGCAGTTTAAAGATCGTTAGTTGTGGCGGATGATCAAGTGCTAGAGAATCTTGAGAAGTTCAATAAGGCGTTTGAAGTTTGACATTTGATGCATCAGCTAACACGCATGTACCCATTAACTCCGTCTTTTTCTTTTTCTAGTCTCCAAATGCAAGGGTTAACCAGTTGGCATTAATAGTTTGTTTCGCCGGTAGCCAGTACGTATTGCCCCATTTTTTTTTGAGGTTTTTGGTTCGTACGTGTTTGTTGCCATTTTTAGCGTGCGTTGGAAACGGGTCTTTTGGATCCTGCGACTAAAGGGGGCCGGTAACGGCAGTAGGTAACTAGAAGCGAGATAGTGGCTTTGTACACGACAAATTAGATATCAGCACATAACTTTCCGGTGTGTGACCCTTCGCCAGGTTACATCATATGTTTGCAAAATTGCCAAATGAATCTCACACTTTTAATGCAAATTGCCTTTAGACGTTCTTCCAGTTCCCTTCAGTATCCGAATAACATCATTGGATACTGGACTTTACACAAAAATATATGGTTGCGTTATTGCTCGATTTAGAAACTCACAGAACAAAGAGAAGAAGAAAAAAAGATATTTGAGAAAAACCATTACATACTGCGTGAAATTTCGTAAAGTAAAGAAGTGGTGCATATCACGCAAAAATGTTCATCAAAAGGCGAAGGAGTTTTGCAATAAAGTCTAGTGATAGTGGTTATATTTTATAGAGAATGACTGACCGCTTCGATTGCATCCAAATTGCTTCTTTGTCTAAGCCAACTCCATCACTTTTACAAAAGCTTCCCATTTATACCGCTTATCTTGTAACACACGAATCAACAGATTTTCAAAGAAATGGAACCTGTCACGCGAAATAATAGGGGAAGAGCTTTTAAAGGCGCCTATCCAATACGTATTTTTGCTCTCATTTAGGCGAACCCAAATATGCTCGTCGTATTGGTCGCTTTATTTCTCGGGGTAATTGGGATCAGAGGAAAGGGATTGCAACACAATACTAATTGAGGTCCCCCTTGATTTTTTAATGCGTTGTATGAGGAGCGCAGAGACATTACCAGTCGATCTTGCTTTTAGTTTAGAAAAAGAAGTCATTTTCGCCGTATGGGCGTCCAAGTTGCAGGAAACGCTGAGAAAAAAAATAACAAAGGGTCTTTTTTTTTAATAATTGCAGGTTGTTGCTGTAGTCAAAGCATAGCGTTTGTAATAAGACCTAGATTGAAATGTAGAAGTAATGGTTATGAGAGAATTGTTGAGTGAAAACGCGTTGCCTATTGTGCATTAGCGATATAGAATAAAAAAAAAAAAAAATGTTCGGTGGAGCATGAATTCACCTCGACTAAACTCAAAGCGAGCGAGTATTATGTGTTTGCCTTGTTCTTTTCGCTCTTTGAAACCTTCTCTGTCGTATTTTTTTGAATGAGCCAATTCTATATTTAACCATAAAAAAGTGTGTGAATATATTGCGCAAAGTTTGTTTTTTCGGAAAATAATAATCTGCAAATGGGTTACAAAAGAAGAGATGAAATTTTGTATTTCATTTTTTTTTTTTCCATTCTCTTTACCAATATCACTCCTTTTAATCTTGTGGAACAATACTTGATTTATTAGATGTTTTTAGTCCAGGTAATTGTTTTCGTTATGTGACGTTATCAACTTTGTTTTTTAATCAGCTCATAGAAAGCATTAGCCAGAGTGCGTCAAATGATTGACGACCATTTACTCTATCGGAGATCAGCAATGCAAAGACTCGGAAACGGTTTCGTTTTGTCAACATTTTAGTAATGGGCATCTTGTAGGAGAGCTGCCTCAGATTAGGGGTGCAAATGAGCACGCCATATAGTATATGCAAACCACACCCTCTTCATTTTCGATGACAAAGGCTCCCCACTATTGTGTCCATGGTTTCAGCAATTCCTTCTATACTTGATTAAGCCTCCCCTTCCAACCTTTCTAGAAGTCGAAGGCGGGCAAACTATTGTGTTAATAGCATCTTCATGTTACGTAGTCCATTTTTTTAACACAGTATGCATTTACGAGGTACTATATGTATCCTATTGTTTTCGTGAAAACAATGGGCATCGAACATCCGGAAATGGAAAGAAATAGAAAGTATTTTAGAGTTTATGCCAAGACAAGAAAAAAAAAATATTTTTTATTTAGTCTAGGAACCCAAGATTTCAAAATTTCCTTCTCTGAGGTTACAAAATTGAAAAAAAAAAAAAAAATTGAATACCCAAGTAATCAACAATACTATACATACGCTCAAAAAGAAAAGAGTAGTTCATGACGTAAGATTTCATGTCACCAACAAATAATAGCGCACCATGGAGCGCCTTAAACAATAAATGACTTCCCTTCAAACAACAATGATACCGGGCTTTACAATGTCCTTGGCTGTGTTGACTGAAATTGGCAAAAAATCAAATACGAAAAACACATCAAAGATTTTACATGGGATACCTTGGCTGGACTTTTTTTACAATAAACACGAAAGGAAGAGGTCGTGCAGGTATAATACATCATAATTGCATCCTGCAGATGCCAAAGAGGAACCATACAATTCCCTTGAAAGCGACTTTGATAGAACTGTGGCGTCAGGCCATTACTTCGCCCAATTACGATAGAATGAAAAAAAGCGGATCACAATAGCTTTGAACTCATGCAAGGAGAAAATACCCAAATACCCAAATACCCATTCCAACCGCAAGTTATCTCCTGCTTAATTTGTAAAAATTTCAGTTCAGTTTTTTTTTTTTATTATTGTACTAACTTTTTCTTATTGTTGTTAAACTTACTTCTCGCTTAATTTTGCCCAAAACTCTTTCAAATGCATTTTTCCATTTCCTTATCATGTGCCTCCTTCAATGTTTGATTTATAGTAACTACAAATGAGAGGGTTATGAGTTTAGTTTGGTATTTTCCTTCGCTAACCATTGCTGATTTTTTTTTTCCTTTCGACACTACCTAATTAAGCAATATTTTGTGTTTGAGAGAAAAAGAGAGAGCTATGGGGGTGGGTATCTAACGTATTTCCATTTGCCTTATTGGATACATCATAGCTTTCTCCTTGTATTTGTATATCTTTTCCATTAATAGCACAAGCTTAATGTTTTTATTGTCGTTGTCTTGTATAAAGTGCTAGCAACTGACTTGTTAGACCCATGTGTGAGTAACAACTCTATCAAAACTTTCTTCCATTTGTTATTTGTTATAGACAATGCTGATAAACATGCACTAGTTATAGGGCTCCCTAGTAGCCGTTGTATTCTTCACTTGATCTATGCAAACTGAATTGTGTTGGGATATACATTCGCCTTTAATAATTGGGTTCTATCCATCACCTCTGTATGCAAGTTTACTTTCTCTATAAAATACTGATTCATTTTATGCTTTTTGCGTGGGAAAAGTGACGAAACGGTTTTTTTCGGTTAATGAATATTTAGTGGACCTGCATATTATCGGACTTTCATTTCCTGTTTTTTACGATAGAGCCAGCAATACAATACAATAAGCACACAAGAGCAATAAAACTTACTCACGATATATATATATATATATATATATATAAACAGCATGATACTAGATAGGCAAAAAGCACCAGCATTGGTGAAACGATGGAAAGAAAAGGTGAACAATAGTGAGGCTTAAAACGCTTTACAACAATGGTTATTGCTTTTTTTTCGCTTTGGTTTTACTTGCCTGTTCTAACCAATTGAGTAATACCTTCAATCACATCTCTCAACTTTCAGAACATGTATAAGTATATCGCCATTTCTAGATCTTCACAAATCGTAAGAGTTTGGAATTTTTTTCTGCTTTTTCCCTTTTTTGCAGATTCATACAGTATAAGAGATTCAGGTTTGAAACAACACCACCACACCACACCATACCACACAAGCAATTAATAGACAACTCACCACTAGTCAATCTTTTACAACTTACATATACACGTTTAACAAACTTTTAAGGTATGTACTAAGCAAATTTTTTTTTAGCAAAAAAGATTGGGATGTGTTTTAAAAAGTTATGTGATCTTCCAATAGGAGTTTCAGAGACGAGGACCAAAATTAATGCAAGGGAAAATTCACTATAGAGTTACAAGAATGTTTCAACAATACATCTAAAAATAGAAAGACTAGCCAGCATCAGACAGACACACGAGAAACAATAGATGACACGACCCACGAGTAATCAACCACAGAAGAAGAAAGGAGTAGCAACGACACACACAAGACTCCCTTTTGTTTTATGAGAAGAATGTGGCTTTTGAAGAGAAGCGATTAATTAACCAATCACCACCACCACCACCACCACCACCAGCATAGACTAAAAAATAGTAATAATTTATTATCTTACTAGACAAGATTTTTGCAAATATACACGACTTTGCGTCAACAACTAAAAAATTACAAGAACACCCACAACAATGGAAAGGAAAGAGGCATAGGAAAGACATACATGAGCAAGGGTAATAGTGTGATATGATGTTACCGAAGTGCCCAGTGGAAAGAGAAAGGTGGTATTCTCGTCGCATAGAAAACGGGTTGTGTTTCAACAACGGACAAGACAAAAAGAGTTAACAACCAGCAGAAACAACGAATTTCACAACACAAAGACGCGAACAAAACAAAACCAAACGAAAAAGACCCAAAAAAAAATGACACGATAATTTTTACAATTGCAATACAAAATTCAATACACTCACTGGACACGCCAACAATATGCATTGCATTACCTTACATTACATTACATTACATCACCATACACTACAAACACACGACACAAATGCCATACACTTCAGATACATGAAACGACTTTTTTTGAAATGTTTATTGTTCTTATTGTTATTATTTTCTACGACACTGAGAGTATGATGCCATTACAGCCCATAATAACTATGACCATTTTTTAAAACACAATGTCGTAAATGCATATATGTGTGTGTTAGTGTGTGTTAGTGTGTGTCGTGAAATAATAGTGTTGTTGTTGTTGTTTATTGTTGTTGTTTATTGTTTATTATAGTTTTGTGTGAGACGCATAGAATTTTGCATAAAACAACACCACACTATAACACTGCACTCCTTTCAACGCATTAATAATAACAACAGCAATAACCTCAAATCACACAACAAAATATTCTAAAGTGGGCTTTGAACAAAGGAAAGAGAAAAGTTTTTAACAACCAACCTTCAATCCAAAACAACTTATTTCATTTATTCACTTTCCTTCCTTTTGGCAACCAACTAGCTAACTAACTACCACTACCACAACCTCGCAAAAACACATTCCAATCTGTTATCCTCAAGCTAACATCTTATACTAACTTATAATCTAACCTCAAGTCATTCCTTAAATTATCTTCAGAGATTACATTCATTTTCGTTAGTATAAACAACAACAACAACAACAACAACAACAACATTCTTTCGTTAATATCCCTACTACTACTACTACTACTATCAGTCACTCATTTCGAAAGTCAATAGTAATACCCACAAAACACATATACCTCCCCGAGTACAACTAACTTATACGTTCCTTTCAAACAACCACAATGAAGTTTTCCGACACTTTTGTTTTAGCTTTTGCCGCTTGCGCAATTGCTGCACCAGCACCAGCACCAGGTGCCAACGCTAACGCAGCCTACAAGAACCACGCTGTTGTTCCAAAAGCTGCAAAGAGAGATGCAGCTCAAGAAGACTGTCAAGAACCAGTTTTCCATGGTCATCACAAACACAAGAGAGCTGTCGTTTACGAATACGCTTATGTTACTGTTACTGTTGATGCCAAAGGTAACCCAGTTACTACTACCGCCACTACTTTAACTGAATCAACTGGTGATGCTCAAGAAACTGGCAATACTTCACTGGAAATTTCATCAACCACCACCATTGTTCAAGATCATTCATTAACCTCAAATGAACCATCGACATTGTCTTTACCTAGTGGAACAATCACCCCATCCACTTCATCTTCTGAAGCTTCCTCAACTGGTGGTTCTTCTTCTCCCCCATCTTCATCCAATGGTATTAATGGAGATTTATCAGCTTTTGAAAACCCATCGGAAGAGTTCCCTGATGGTGTATACTCATGCGATTACTTCCCATCCGGACAAGGTGTTATTGCCTTAGACCACTTGGGATTCGGTGGTTGGTCAGGTATTTACAACAGTGACACATCCACTGGTGGATCATGCAAAGAGGGTTCTTATTGTTCATATGCATGTCAAAGTGGTATGTCCAAGACTCAATGGCCAGATAATCAACCATCCAATGGTGTTTCTGTTGGTGGATTATTGTGCAAAAATGGTAAATTATACAAGACCAATTCAAGATCCAACTACTTGTGTGAATGGGGTGCCGATAAAGCCAATGTTGTTTCCAAAATTGACAAATCAGTTGCCATTTGTAGAACTGATTACCCTGGTACTGAAAATATGGTTATCCCCACTGTTGTTGATGCTGGTTCTACTTCAGTCATCACTGTTGTTGATCAAGATACTTACTACAGATGGAGAGGTGGAGCTACTTCTGCTCAATTTTACGTAAACAATGCTGGTGTTTCCTATCAAGATGGATGTCTTTGGGGATCTGCTGGTTCGGGTGTTGGTAATTGGGCTCCATTGAACTTTGGTACTGGCTACGCTGGTGGAGTTGCTTATTTATCCTTGATTCCAAACCCAAACAATTACGACTCATTGAACTTCAATGTCAAGATTGTTGCCGCTGATGATTCCTCAAATGTCAGTGGCCAATGTGTTTATGAGAATGGGAAATATAATGGAAATGGTAAAGATGGATGTACCGTTGGTGTAACCAAGGGTAAAGGAAACTATGTCTTATACAACTAGGCATAGTACGACACTAGTCTACTGGTTTCCATTCCATTTTTCGTTATTTTTGATTTCCCCCTTGTTCTCCTTTAGATGTGTGTTTGTTTTTTAAACGCTATCACATGATGATTAGTAGTTTTAAATACATATCGAACTTACACTTCTTCTTTTTTTTTTTATATATATATATTATTGTTTTAATAAATGGATTTGATTATTGAAATAGAGGCAAAAAGGGGGAGATCGAGGTAAACAATTTATTGCTTTATCTCTAAATTAAAATATAATATACATGTTGTATCAACGAATGAAATAAACAATGTCTTTTCTCTTTTTATGCAACAACATCCCAAAATTTTTCCCACAAGTTTCTCGGTTCAGTATTTTCCCATTCCATTTCATCAACTTCACGAACACCAGAATCAATATCACAATCTTCCAAGGGTACAAAATAATCTTTCCAAGAAGTACTAAACCCATGGAAGAAAATTTGGAATCCAATCCACAACACAACAAAGAAAATCACCGAGATATAAGCAGTGAAGAAATCAGTTACACTGAACCCATTGAAGAAAGCTTGGAAACCTTGAATCAAGGTGATTAAAAAGATGAAAAAACAAGCATAGTATGCGGCCACGGGCATAAACATTGCCTTGTAAGGTAATGAATCACGAGAAATGCCTCTTCTTTTAAGAACCTTTATGAATCTGATATGACTTGCGGAAATGAATCCCCAACAGATTAAACCTGCTGTTGATGAAATGTTTAATAACCATGTAAATGCATTTTCACCACTTTCCGATACTGCCAAGTATCCCAATGCACCAAAAGACGCAGTTAGTGCTACTGCAAAATAAGGGACACCACCACGATTAGTCTTGAGAAAAAATTTGGGAGCAACTCCAGCTTCGGCTAATCCATAAACAATACGTGATCCACAATACACATTGGAATTAGCTGCCGATATGATTGTCGAAACAATAACAGCATTGAAAATGTGAGGCAAAACTTTAGTTCCCGAGTTATTCATAGCGACAATGAATGGTGAATTTGAAGTGTAACTACCACCAGTCAATTTTGGATCATTATATGGCACCAATAACCCAATGAAAAACATGCATAAGACGTAAAAAATCAAAATACGAAACAAAACCTTCTTGATAGCTCTAGGTACAGTACGACGTGGGTTTGCTGACTCACCAGCAGATATTCCTGTCAATTCAGTACCTTGAAAAGTGAAGGCAGCATTGATCAATGACGATAACCAACCAAGAAATCTCTTTGTTCCCGTATCAGAAACCAAAATCCCATCACCCCAAGCATAACCATTTCTCCAGTACCTAAACCCTACGGGTCCAGTTTTACCAGCTCCACAAACCATACATAATGCATAAATGATCCATCCGAAAACGGCAATCACTTTGATTGATGCAACCCAGAATTCAACTTCACCATAAAACTTGACGGGGAAGAAGTTGAAGATGGTGATGATGACAAAGAAAATACTAATCCAAGCTGCCAAGGGCACGGCATCAGTCCAGTATTCAATCACTTGTCCAACAACGGATAATTCCAAAGCAAAAGTAATGGCCCAACTAAACCAATACAACCAACCATTAGCAGCACCAGCTGATTTCGAAATCCATCGAGTAACAAATTGAGCAAAGGACCCCGAAACTGGGATCAAAGTTGCCATTTCTCCCAATGATTGCGTTACTGAAAATGCAATTGTTGTCATAAACAAGAATGATATAAGTGCCAATACTGGACCGGCATCAGCAAGGGTGCTCCCCGTAGAGATGAAAAGACCGGTACCAATGGTACCACCAAGAGCGATCATGGAAACATGACGAGCTTTTAAACCACGCTTGATTTCATTGACTGATCCATCTACGTCGGATTCTTCATCTTCTTCACGAAGGAATAATTCATCGTCATCTTGTATGAAATTGGTATCTTGATGCTTTTCTTTGATGCTGAATGGCGTTGAATCTGAGGGGGTGATATGGTTGTTGTTGTTGTTGTTGTTGCGGTGGTATATAGAGTTGGATGTTGATGATGAAGAACCACCCTTTTCTAGATCGTAGTGATTCATTATAAAGAGTTTCTCAAGGGTATATGATGATGTGTGAAACTTCTTTCAACTGTGTGCTATTCTGCAAAAGAGTCAAGGGTGAATATCCAACAATATATATAAAATTTGACGAAAAGGAAATCTGAAACAATAAAAAAGAAAAGACTTAGGGGAGAGAGGGTTATGATAAATTTTCTTTTATTACACTTCGTTATTGTCATTGATTGTTGTAACTGTAGTATTTCTATTGTTGTGCTTTGGGCGGTTAAATTTCTTAATTACAAATTTGTATGATAAATTTCTTTTTTTTTTTTTTTTTCTCATTTTCGCAATTTAGGGCTAATAAATGCACCCTGATAAGGAATATCAAATTGGTTCAACCGCCGTAAGAAAAAGAAACAGTATCAAGGGGGAAGGGGGAAACTATAGCCTTATCTTCTCAAATGCCTTGCTTAACATCGTACGACTTCCTGTCTTATCTAGGTACTCTGTAGATCAATTGTGTTGAGGAATAAATGGTGGTGTGGAATGAGACAGAGAGAGAGAGAGAGAGAGAGGGGGGGTGTAATTATCTACCATAAGGAATGATTAATAATAGTCACCCATCCCTCGACTTTTGAATCTATTCCCCACAAAATCAAGACCATCTCCTCTCCTCAGCGCAATCGGGTTCAGATAGGAAAAGGATCTGAAAGAGATAAGCGCGATTGAAGAGATGCAGCCAACATTTATCCCCATAAGGAAACACCACCCTAAAAGAAGAGGGAAACTAAACATACCTAATGGAAGGCGATGGAGAAGCTAGGGCAAAAATTTGATTTCTCAAAACAGCCTAAAAATAGAAGAAATTTAAAAAAATGCATGGCGTTCTTGCTGAACCGTAAGGCGTTTTGCATCCCAGTGGAAAATATTATTATTTCTTGAATACCCACTTTTGTGGATACACGGCATTGAAATGATAAAAAAATTTCTTTCTACAAAATACAAAAGAATAAATGCCACAACTTACTAAAAGAAAAATAGTTTGTAAGTTCCTTATTGTCTGCGATTTTTGACAGCTTTCGCTTTCAATTGAACTTAGAGGAAATCATATGCATCTACCCACCCCCGTATGTGTGTGATTTGTAGCGGTGAGCTGAGTTCGGTCAAGTCCATCAGAGTGGGAACGGCCCAATTGCTCTGTAATTGGACCGAGGAAGTGGGCCTGAGCAGATCATACAGAAAAAAAAAAATAGAAACAGAGAAATGCCGTATTGAGTGAAACCACAAAATCAAAAAAGTATTATTTAACCACGTTGCACGTGCTTCGGTACTATAAGTTCGTTGAAATACCCCCCCTTATTGTTAGCAATGTATGAGCAACTAAATAAAGCAAGGATTGAGAGAAGTTGCGTGCTCCTTCATCACTTGTACCAATAATGGACCAATCTCGTGAGATTATGGTATTGCTCTAATACTGAAACTTGTACACGACCCATAGCAATTCGTGGAAAGATATACTTCCCACTCTCTCATCTACCGTGTTGTAGAATATGCGAAGGATCGAACACGATGCCAATGATGTTCGGTGAAACCGCTGCTCAGGCAAAAGGAAATACAAGTTTCTCGGCTGGAATTGTGAGTGTATGAAATGCATTGTATCGAAGAGCAAGAGCTGTATTATGAAAATACTCACAGAATAGTAGTCCGCTTCGGTTGAAGTTCAGTTTCTGGCTCTATACTACAAGCGGCTCTTCTTCCAAGGTCACTACTCCGATGCTTTGTAGTGCCACACGAAGATGAAATAATATGTTTGGTTGCAAAATGTGAGCAAAAAAAGGATCACTTCAAGTATGAAAAGTGAGATTTTTGAACATTGAATCAGTTCATCTCTTGTAAACACTCACGGGCTCTGTACATTATTCCTCCATTTTACTGAAAACACTAAGATTGATGCGATGACTTTGTCTCCTTTGTTTGTCGTTGCATGTCTCAATTTATCTATATTGATACTTATTATCAATGATAGTAACAACACGTCAATACAATTCTTTGTTTTTTTTTTTTTTCTGCTGCTTTCTTTCCATCAAATCCAATCTTTTTGGAAATTTCTAAGAGCAAGAGCAAAAACCAATCAAACAAGCTCATCAAAGCTATTGACAACTCCTACTACACTTATCCTAATTCTAGACGTATTTCATTACTACTTCTCAATTCCCCATCAAAGACAAGCAATACCCGCCGTACTACTGCTCCAATAATGAGCTCTTCTGATGATGTGACTGCCCTTAGTCAACTACCTATTGATTCACAATCAGTATCCACATCTCCAACGTCAGATGACATAGACCATGATGAAGAGGAAGACGATGTTCCATTGACCAAGAGAAGCAGGAAAAGAGTAGCTGTGGAATCAGACAATACCGATAATGACGAGGACAACGACAGCGACGATAATGATGACGATTACGATTACGATGATGATGTGCCATTGTCCAAGAAGGCAAAGACGAATAATGGAACAGCTAAGGCCAAACCCACTGTCAAGAAGGAGACAAAAACAACGAGGAAAACTGATTCAAAGAAAAAGGCCACACCGAAGGTGAAAGCTGAGCCCAGAGCTAAGACAACAACAACAACAAAGGTCAAGAGTGAGCCCAGAGCTAAGGCAACAACAACAAAGGTCAAGGGTGAGCCCAAATCGACTTTGAAAAGAGTCAAGAAAGAGCCATCAATTAAGAGTGAAGCTAAAGCCAAAAAGGAAACTTCAGTCAAGAGCGAAACTCCTGGTACTGAAGATGAAGACACTTACAAATGGTGGGAACAACAATCTGGTGACAATGACGGAGAAATCAAATGGCAATCATTGGAACATAATGGAGTTATGTTTCCACCACCGTATGAACCTTTGCCATCACATGTCAAGCTCTACTACGACGGCAAACCTGTCAATTTACCCATTGAAGCAGAAGAAGTAGCCGGGTTCTTTGGAGCAATGGTTGAGACTGATCATGCCAAAAATCCAGTTTTTCAAAGTAACTTTTTCCAAGATTTTCAACAAGTTTTGAAGGAATGTGGTGGATGTGGTGTTGAGATTAGTGATTTCAACAAATTGGATTTCAGCAAGATGCATGCATATTTCGAAAAAAAGAGGGAGGAAAAGAAAGCAATGAGCAAAGATGAGAAAAGGAGACTAAAGGAAGAGAAAGAAAAAATTGAAGAACCGTACAAGACATGTCTACTCAATGGAAGAAAAGAATTGGTTGGTAATTTCCGGATTGAACCTCCAGGTTTATTTAGAGGTCGTGGTGCTCACCCTAAAACTGGTAAATTAAAAAGAAGAGTGTATCCAGAGCAAGTGACTTTAAATTTGAGTGCTCATGCCAAAGTACCTGATCCACCACCAGGACACCAATGGGCAGAAGTCAGACACGATAATGAAGTAACATGGTTAGCCATGTGGAAGGAAAACATTGCCGACTCATTCAAGTATGTTCGATTTGCAGCCAACTCATCGGTCAAGGGACAATCAGATTTCAAGAAATTTGAAACAGCGCGAGAATTGCGTAAATATGTTGATGCCATAAGAAAAGATTATACCAAGATGTTGAAACTGGAAAAGATGCAAGACCGACAAATGGCAACAGCAATGTACCTCATTGATGTATATGCTTTGAGAGCTGGTGGTGAAAAAGGTGAAGACGAAGCTGATACAGTTGGATGTTGTTCACTTCGATTCGAACATATTACTTTGAAACCACCAAACACCGTCATTTTTGATTTCCTTGGTAAAGATTCCATTCGATTTTATCAAGAAGTTGAAGTCTCCAAACAAGTTTTCAAAAACTTGCGTATATTCAAAAAGGAACCGAAACAACCGGGTGATAATTTATTTGATCGAATTAACCCTAGTATGGTGAATAAGCAATTGCAAAATTACATGAAGGGTTTAACAGCAAAAGTGTTTCGTACCTACAATGCATCTAAAACCATGCAAGACCAATTAGACTTGATCCCTAATGAAGGTACCGCTGCTGAAAAAGTTGTCAAGTTTAATGCTGCCAATAGAACCGTGGCTATCTTGTGTAACCATCAACGTACAGTGAGCAAAAACCATGGCAATTCAGTCCAGAAAATTAGTGACAAGTTGAAAGAATTAACATGGCAAAAAATTCGTACTAAAAAAATGCTTCTTCAACTAGATCCTAAATTGAAAAAGAAAGATCCCAAGTATTTTGAAGAATTGGATGATTTAGTCAAAGAGGATATCGAACATATTCATCATTCAATAATTGAACGACAAAAACAACAGGTGATGAAGAAATTGGAACGTGATAACGAGAAATTGAAAATTGAAAAGAAACCATTATTAACCAAGAAGGACATCAAGGAAAAACTAGACAAGATTCATGAGTTGGAAAAACAATACAAGAAAGAATTAAAGACCGGCAAACCTGAGTTACCCGCCAAAATGACCGTGGAAAAATGCTATCAACAAATTGAAACTTTTGAAAATCGAATAGTTGCCACGTCTTTACAATTGAAGGATAAAGAAGATAACTCTGAAGTGTCATTAGGAACATCAAAGATGAATTATATTGATCCTCGATTGACAGTAATGTTTTCCAAAAAGTATGATGTACCGATTGAGAAATTGTTTACCAAGACTTTGAGAGAAAAGTTTAAGTGGGCCATTGAATCAGCCGATGAGAATTGGAGGTTCTGAAAAGAACCCCATTGTATGTAAAGTTTATTAATGTGATACTTGTACCGAAATGAGATTAAAAAAAGCTCAACTTTCTTACAGCCTAGTGCAAGGCTGATGGGTTCTTTCTTGCAAAGGCTATAACTCTAATATCACAAAAGTGTTGCAGTTTCTACAGCCTTTTCCTGAAAGGGTTGTTTTATGAAGAATTAAAAAGCCTCTCTTTGAACACAGAACGCGTATGGATATCAAATTTTGTTTTATTCTTCGTAAATGACACAAAAGTAGAGTGAGACGCCAGCCTTTCACGTTCGATCATCTCGAAATAAAGTTATGTAGTGGCCAATGAAGTCAAGGAAAACCAGCTCCAACGGTTGCTGTGAAATATCCAAAAGCAACTTAATTGCGGATAAACCTAAGTGGCCATGTGATGGTGAAGATTTATTCGGCTTCATTTTGCAATCCATTATTATCTTGGTTGAATTTTTTTGACGCGCAATGTCTTAAAAAGAAAATTTCAACTTTAAGTGTGTGTGTGCGTTGCACATGCACCTGCACTTGTAAACATAATAACACCACGACCCACGTTGACAATAGGAGATGAGAAGATAGGTCACAAAGAGAAAGGAGTTGATATACGAAAGTAAATACACCAAGATCGATGAGCGTGTGTGAGTGTGTGAGTGTGCTTATTGTTGTTGTATCGCTGTTTTTGTACATCTTTCATATAACCCTTTCCCAATAAAGTCTATTAATTAAACTTTCGGAAATTCTTACGTCTTCGACATTTGATATTCAATTACATTTAAGACCTTCTTCTTCATCACTGGTTGTTTTTTTCTTGTCCTCAATTTGAAATCAAAGTTGATATCGGAGACCCTACAAACTAGACTGCATGTATAGACTCGAGACATGGATACGTCTTCAAATATACACAATACGCGTCATATGCATCATTTCCATCATGGCCTAGCACCCAGTCAGAGCCATTATATCACGCCGCTGCCCACGAGTCAAACGTTCCTACCATCGGCATCATCCTGGGCTGAAGAACTTGTTGCTCGTCAGACATTTGTTCAATCAACTCACTCGACTATCGTCACTGTCATGCCCTCGCTCGTTGTTCGTGAAGAGGAAACTGACAGTGGTGGTGGAGAAACAGACTCCGGAGCATCAATGCCTACACTAGTAGATACCAGCTCATCATCACTGTCATCAATTTCAACTACAATCACAGCCATACCAAGTCCGAACAATCCATACATCCATGTACCAACACTACCTACAAGTTTAGTTTTTATCATCGTTGGCTCCATACTTGGAGCTCTCCTACTAGCATTGACTTTATATCGCATCATTAGCCACTACATTTACTCATCAAAAGCCCAATTGGAAAAAGAGATTTATTATTCGGGACCAAATCTAAGTGAAATGTCTCAACATTACTCATTTCCTCATAAACGAATGGCATCTTCATCATCATTCCTTGACTTGTCATCAAATTCATCCACTTTATCTCAAGGGAAATCACTACAAAACCATATTCACAGCGATAAGCAACAATTTCGTAAATCAATGTTTAATAACCCTAGTTTGGAATACGATAGCTTATCGGTGCCCTTGTATCAAGATAAACGAAATTCTTCGTCAGCATTGTATTTGCAAAAATACAACAATTCATCCACTGCATCACTAATGAAGCCATTGGGACCATATTTGGATTCCACTACAGTGGCATCATCTTCATATCTTGATGATGGTAGCAATACCAACAAGGAAACTGATAGTGAAAAATTGGGGACAACAGGTACGTTCGCAGGCAGTGTTCAAACCACATTGCGTCCTCCTAGCATGTATCTTGAAGATCTTTTGAATGGGAATGTTGAGAAAGAAGGAGAAGATAAAGGTGGCAGTGTGGAGAATGTGGAGAAAGAAGAGAGGTGACGTTTCCTTTTGCAAGGGGCTATACCTTTGTATCATAGATATTTGTATTATTCTATTTTTAGTTGATAGACTCAATGATTTTACTGCATAGAATTAGACTAATTTGTATCTCCCTCCTTTTACTACCAATAAGGAACATCATTCGACCAGTCGACTGCCTTTAGACTATGCTCAATAAAGCTTGGCAAGAGCCGTTTATACTTGACTACAGTACTAAACCACAACATTAAACTATAGAACCAACCGCAGCAACATAAATTTCACCGACATCCATTCAAAGGTTGTTATTGAGCTCTTCTTCTCTTTTCTGTTTCGTGTAACGGAACTGGCATCCCTTTCGGGTAATACATCACACGACAATAAAAAATGAAGCGCATTACAATATTCTTAGTAATAGCGGCTTTACCCGAGTTCCTCCACACAAAAAGTGGTATGCACATCAGGGTTATACCGATTTTGTGTAATATGGAAGACTACATATCCGTGCGCAAAGCATAAACCAAATTTCAAAAAATTTTCAAAGTCATTCACCAATTGCCACGCCTCAAGTGAAAACGTTCCAAATGAAATTCTAGACGAAGCGATGGTTGTTTGTAACTATTTTTGGCCAATGCTGGCGAGACTTCCTGCTACACTCATGTACTGATTGTTGGATTTGACTGCAAAAAGGCGGCAAATATGTGCGGAGTCTCTTAAAAAGACCCTCGAGTGTACAGCTCCAATTGCTCTGCAAAGGTAATAATTCGAAGTGGTGAGATGTTTTATTTTTCACACAGCACAAAGCCTTACGTCAATTGTACTACATACTGCATCCACATATGTTACTCCATACCTCCCCCAAACATTTCGATGCAGCAAAGGTTACATGCAAGATCTAAACGAGATTCGAAAGTTTCTATATTTAACCACTTTGAAACAATAGGTGACATAGAAAAAACTTCTAGTTCTAGGCTTAATCCATTTTTTTATTCAATTTTGTATTGTACGTTTGTGAAGATCACAAACCCCCCTTTACTGCAGCCGTCATTACTGAATTCCCGCCTCCGCCTATCCAATGCCTACCAAATACGGTCATGATAACTCAAGGAGGAGGTGCTGATGAAAAAAAAAGAAAAACATGGGATTGTCGTCTATAAATATGGGTACAAGTCGCTTCGTTTTCAATTCAACATTTCTTATATCTCTATCCTTTAAAAAACTTTAACAATGATTCAAGATTACGTCATTAAAGCAAAAGAGGATATTGTTCCTCAAACTACTCAGTTCAAGATGGTGATGAATGACGTTGGGTACAAGAGAGATCACGACGATAATACTGATACTTCTGATGATGATGATGATCACAAGAAGCATTCAAGATCAACTAGAACCAGAAAGACCCACAGTCAAAGAACCAGGACTCATTCCAACCACTCAAGAACCACCAGAGTCCATAACCACGATTCTGATGACAGTGACGATTCTGACGATGACGACCATCATAAGAAACATTCAACTAGAACCAGAAAGACCCACAGTCAAAGAACTAGAACTCACTCCAACCACTCAAGAACAACAAGAGTTCATGGCCATGAGTCTGACGATAGTGACGATTCCGATGACGATGATCATCACAAGAAGCACCCAAAGTCATCCAAGACTAAGAAGAGTGGCACCACTAAGACTCACTCCAACCACTCAAGAACAACAAGAGTTCGTGGCCATGAGTCAGATGACAGTGACACCGATGATGACGACGACCATCACCACAAGAAGCACTCAAAGTCCACCAAGTCCAAAAAGACACAAAGCAAGAAAACTCGTTCCCACCAGTCAAGAACAACCAGGGTTCATAGTCATGAATCTGATGATAGCGATGACTCCGATGACGAACATCAACACAACAACAGACAACACACTCGTACCAGAACAGATGAGCATCACAAAGATCAATTGAAACCTACAATTGCACCTACATTGATTACAAAAACTTTAGCTGCAAGAGATTTAGGTGGGATGGGTATCCCAGAAATGACATCTGCTCCTGAGACTGACCAAATTAATGGAGCCACCGTCGGTAAACCATGTATTGGCGAAGGTAAAGGTGCTGTTGGAACTACATCGTCTGATGCCACGACTTGTATGACTGGTGGTGTATTGGGTTTAGTGGCTGTCCTTGCCATTATCTACAAGTTGGTTTCTCATTATCGCTCACGTAGACAAGATAGGATTGAGTCGTCCGTTTATTACTCTGGATTGTCTAACGTTGATGCGAGAGAAATGGAGGAGTCTAGAGGGACAGAGTTGAACTCCAATGTTGAAAAGAGATAACTGAGTCGTTTTTCGGTTTTTTTTATATTGTACTTCAAATTTTAGTTTGAATCTGTGTATAGTTTGTTAAACATGCTTGATTTCCCCCAATATTGAACCATTGTAGGGTGAGTATTATAGAGCTTTTATTTGCCAGCTATCCCTCTTCAAATATCTGCTGATTTAACACAACTTAAGCTTGGTGTGAAGGAGGCAGTGAAAGATGTTTTTTTTAAGTACACTAAACCGCCAAAGGTCGCAGTTACATTGCCATCTCAGGATATACATCTAGTTCAATATGCCAATACATGACGTGAAGAGTATTCATCAAATGTGCTTTTCCTGATCAAGACGTTGCAAAAATATAAGCCAAGCCTCGAAAATAAATTACGAAAGCGCAAAAGCTTATTTTTTTCTTCCTTGCCAAGCCACCATTTTGAAATAATAAAGCCGATGCATGATAACCACTTGCTTAAGGATCGGCTTTAATATACATTATCTTTTAGCTCAGCCTTCCTTAGCATTCAATCCATCATCAATATACCCAACGATGCAGATGTCTGGAAACAGTCAGGCTGTGCAAAGAATAGGATTATTTCCAATCACAAGATATTGTTTTGTCGATCATCGAGGCGCGGCAAATTTACCGATGATGAAAACGATGATTCCAATTTTCAAAACAACATTGAAAATCAAAACATATATATATATATATATAAATATACCACAAGGCATTTTTTATTTTGCAAACTGTTTCCGATATCCTACATTACCTTACAGGTTTACACCAAAAGCTATTTCAACCTTTACAACCCACACAAGTAAACAATGCCAGTCGATTTAAAGCCACGTCGTGGAGGACACTCAAGCGGGGGCCATTCAAGTGGAGGACACTCTAGTGGTGGGCACTCCAGCGGCAGCCATTCAGGTGGAAAACACTCTGGCTCAGGATCGAAACCAAAGAAACCCAAGGGAAGCCGACCAATTGCTGGCGGTGGCCATCGTGGTCATCATAATACCAGTAGTAGTAGCAGTATCAGCTCCACTGAGAAAAAGAAGCATAAGAAAACATCAACTAAAGAATCACACAAGAAGACTAAAACTAAAGATGACAATAAGTCCAAGACTAAGAAACACAAGAAGTCAAAGACAGATGCACCAAGTAGTACGACAAAGACAGCACATGATAAGCATAAAGATCAAGTTACGAGTTACCATTCCGTTCCTACTACTTTAACACTGAGAACTATGGCACAGAGAGATCTTTCAATGGGCATCCCCACAATGACGTCCACTCCTGAAAATTACTCTTCAGACGGACCAACTTCAGTTTCAACCATTTCTTGTGCTGATGACTTTACCGGTGTCTCCCTTAACATGTTGTTTTGTGTGGCTGGTGGTATAATGGGATTATTCGTTGTGTTTTTCGCCGTTTACCGTATTTTTAGTAGAACGAATCGAGATCAAAAGGATTACTTGGAAAAGGACGTTTATTTTACACAATTACCAATATCAAAAGGTTCTGAAGAAAATATGGATGAGAAGCAAGAGGAACATTTTGGGTTGATGGAGCAGAAGAACGAAGGGCTGTAAGGTGAAAGAAGGTATCTGCTGGACACGCCGACGTTGGGACTACGGCAAAGCCCTCGGGAGCTGAGTTTGTAACCTAATGCAGTCAATTCATTATTAGCATATCATTGCAATTACGCGTCTCCTACAATTTCGTAGATTCATTCATTATCTCTTGCAAACTCCATTTTTCAACGTTTAAGTAATAGATATATTACCTACTTATACCTCAAACACTGCGTAGCAAGTGCGATATTCTAATTCAACAACTTGAGATGAACATTGCACCATTTCATCAAGGGAGTCAGGTTGATAATGTGTGTATAAGCATTCCACCTTAGCTTGTTTGCTTGGCTTGAACACAGCCATTCATGAGCAACAGCAACAATTACGACATGTGCATTTATAAGTTGAGTCATAACACTTCGAATACCCTTGGAGTGGATATCTCATCCATCGCATCTCCGTCATATAATTCTTTCTGCCCCAGTTCTCCCCCCACACACATCGGCTCGGTTCTAGATGGTTCACGCTACCAATATCCCGGTGAGCTTTTGGCTTTTGTGTCATTCGTTGAAAGGAATTAATTGAATATATGACGTTCAGCAAAAGAAAAAATGAAAGTGAGGATCCAATTCATATTTTTACACCACTCCGAATATCGCTCTTGCGGAAAAACGCTTAACTATTCAACATCACCCCCTCCGCTTTGCTCGTAAATCGTTATGCTTAGACAGTCAATTAGAAGTGCTTATAATGGAAACATTGTTGCCAAAAGGTTTATCCAACAATCATCAATTAACTTTGCTAAAGGTGATTCTTCCACTATTGATTCATACAGATTACCTTCACAATCATCAATAAACGAATGGGAATTCAAATACGATTTCATCCCAAAGACTACTCAGCCCAAAGTACCACCAGTTACTAAAGAGGCTGTCAAGCAAGATATTGCTCAGGAGAAAGCTAAAGCTGTCGAATGTGAATTATTTGCAAAGGAGTCCAATTCATCAGTCAAGGTTGAAGCCAATGATGCTAAGGTATTGCACGGTGGTGAATCAGTAGGCGCAGAGCATGTTCTTCGAGAGGATAGAGGTAGCAACCCAATTGATTCATCCAAACCAAATGTGTCCAACGCCTCCAAACCAAAGAAGGCAGCTAATCACGATCAATATGTGCAATCATCAGTGAATCCAGACATTAATCAAGCTGATATTGTCAATTTGGGTGAGAATGAAATTGACCACAAGACTGAAGACGTTGGCAAGCAAGCACGTGTTGTTGATGATATTGAACATGATAACTTGCATCACCAAGGACAACAAGAATCATCATCTTCATCATCATCATCAACTTCTTCTTCCTCAGGAAGCTCAAGCGTCGCTGGTGTGTTGGCTCTTTTAGGTGTAGGTGGAGCAGGATACTGGTATTACACTTCATCCTCCAAGCCAGCTAAGAAGTAGAGCCTTTTCAAGAAACTGATATCTTCAATAAATAAATATTATTTCAAAGTCAATTTTTTATATATATTCTATATACATGTAGTGTCTTCTCTCTGTTCCTAATATTGTCTAGCAGCCTCTTGACATGCTTTTAATTGTTGCAAGTAGTACCCACATGTTTGCATATTTCCATCATTCTCTTCCAAACATCTAGTAAAATTTCTAGCATCGGCATCACAATGTCTTACTTGTTCCTGAGTGGCGTAAGAGTTTTGTTGTTGATATGGAGCAAGATCTTGTTGTTGTTGTTGTTGTTGCTCAACTGGCGGAGCCTCTGATCTTCCGCCAAACATTCCGGTGATACCAGCACCCAAGGTATGGCCAATGGTTGAACCAACTGCAACACCAGCAGCGGTGGAGGCCATTTGTCCAAACAAACCTGGTTGCCTTTGTGTTTGCGGTTGAGCTGGATGAGCAGCGGGGTATTGGCTATGTTGTGGGTGTTGCTGATAAGCCGGAGGAGCAGCAGCAGTGTGAGCTGATCTAGTTTGTTGTCTTGGAGCTGGAGCTGACCTTCTTTGTCTAGGCATTGTTGATTGATTTGGAGGTTTCAGTAAGAGATGTAGAATTGGTAAAGTTTTTCTGTTCTGTTTTATAGGAGAGAAGCTTAGTAAATTTTTTCGTTTTGGTGGCGAGGAAAACGTGATCAGGTAGTGCACTTTGAATAAAGTTGGGGCACAACTCCGGGTAAGCACATACATAAGCGAATAAATGAGAGATGAAGGAAGAAGCTTAAAGTATTAAGGGAAGAGCTAGACTGAGAGGTTTATCCACCTGCTTTCCAGCGTAACCACTATCGACGATGTATTCGTTGGCTGATACATGGCGGTTCTACAAAATTCCATCACGTTCTATGCATTACGCATGCTTATCTGTGTCAGACTTTTGATTTGCATCTGAGTAATTCCTAGATCCAATGGATCGTCGCAGATCTGTTTTGAGTTTCCGAGGTGATGCAGGGTTATTGACGTATAGGACGAAACTTTCAATCGATCAAAAAAACACAGTTCATCATACTTGAGAATATTATGCACAATGTTCGGATAAATGATCTATCTGTATAAGGTAAAGTAAGTAAAATTAAAATAGCTCCAGAGTAGAGTGTTGCGTTTAATCGTTCAAGGCTTGGGCAGTTCGAACCCATGGCAACAAGACTTATCATTCTAAAGTATAAGCAGCGGTTTGACATTTATTTGGGACCCCTCTAGACTGGCAGCGCTCCTAATTGAACACATACATTGATTCATAGGTCATTAAATTACTTGCAACTTTACAAAAAATGTACCTGGTATTTGACTATTCATCCGAACTTTCAAAGCCCCATCTTATAGACCAGGCCGACGTATTGAATGCACTTGTGTTCCTTTCGAACTGCTATCTCTCCTTACAGCGGGGATATTGATACAAACAAAACAAACCCATAGGTTGAAAGGGCAAGTGTCATATACATTAGATGTAGTTCACAAAAGATGGTACATCTAAAATCCCCAATCATTATGAGATTCACCTAAGCTGATTGTGATATGCTTCTTTTCAGTCGAGCCGAGGTCTATCTGAGAAACTTCAACATTGTGTAACCACTTTAACAATCTCACATTGCATTCTCCTCCTCAACCAAATCGCGATTGGTTTATCTTGGTAAATAGGTCTGTACAATGGAAATTCGCAAACAACTACCATGGTATCCATCTTGATTTGTAATGCACTATCGCGGGGCCTGGAATGCCAACCGCGTTGCTTAAATTTTCGGTTGCGAGGATTAGCGTATTCTCATGTTGTTACATCCGCAATTAAACTCCGTATGTACCGCATATTATTTTCAGCCGTTTCACATGTACATATAAATTACTGCATATACACATGCGCAAGATCTAAAATTCGGATTTTTCTATTGTCGTCTATTTTACGGCCGAACTACACAAAGTTTCGATATTTGATTAGTCAAGTAAACCATGAGCACAACAAACAAATTCAGAACTGAAAGAACAATACGGTCATAAATTGTGGCATAAATCATTTTACAGAAAGCAATAGAAAACTCGGGTATTTCCCAAAGGGGCAAGATTTTTTTTTTGTGTGAAATGGTTCTTTGTATATCGTACATTTTGAGACATGTGAAAGGGGATTAAAAGTCATCGGATTCGGTATCACAAATAGAGTGGACCTTACTCAATAACGTGTAACTGACAATAATAAGGCTTCGGTACACGCGCTTAAGAAGGAGTTAAACTGGTTTCAGAGCAACCGCCGTTCTTTCTTTGATATAAATATCACTGGAATCCACCCTTTTGATTAAGTTTGTTGTTTATACATACAATTCCAATTACCATTCAATTACACATACTAATATAACAAAAGGTACAAATTCCAAGATGAAGCAATTTATAACCGAATCATTTGTTGGTCTGATCTTGTATCGAATTTCAGGTCGCAAGCTATTTTTACACCGTGATGAGTTACCTGGTTATGTCATTCCTGAAAAGTACTTGGTTAACAACGATAAGCGTCCAGAGTATGAGTTCCCCGAGAGAGAAGGTGATGAAGCAGGAGAACAACCAAATAACAATGAAAACCACAACTCTAGGAGCAATGACAACATTGATGCTGCTAATGAATTACCAAATGACGATATAGATGAAAATGAGAAGCAAAAGAAGGATCTCAACACCGACAGCGCTTCAGAATCAACTAAAACAACCACAGAATTAAATGCCAAAGATGACTCAAATTCAGATTACATAATAGTCACATGGGATGGAGATGATGATCCAGATAATCCATACAACTGGCCATTTTATCTCAAGGCAATCATGGCTTTTCAAATTGCTTTCTTAACTGTGTCAGTGTACATGGGATCAGCAATCTATACCCCCGGTGTCCAAGATATTATGGAGAAATTCAACATTAATGAAACTAAAGCAGTGTTGCCATTGACGATGTTTGTTATTGGATACGGTATTGGACCCATCTTTTTCAGTCCATTGAGCGAGGATTCTCGAATTGGTAGAACTCCACTATACATTGTTACGTTGTTCATTTTTTGTATGATGCAAATCCCAACTGCTTTGTCAACAAGTCTTGCTGGAATGGCTGTGTTGAGGTTGATTGCCGGGTTTTTTGCTAGTCCTGCTTTGAGCACAGGTGGCGCTTCATTTGGTGATTTTATTACATTGCCTTACTTTGTTGTTGGATTGGCTACTTGGTCTTTGGGCGCTGTTTGTGGTCCCAGTATCGGACCATTGATTGGTGCAGTTTTGGTGCAAAGAGGTGGTCATAATGGATACGAAAGTTGGAGATGGACATTTTGGTTTATGGCTTTAATTTCGTCATGCTTTTTGATCCTAGGTTGGACATTACCGGAAACTTATGCCCCTAAATTGTTACGCCAAAAGGCAGAAAGATTGAGGAAATTAACTGGAAACAACAAGATTGTATCTCAAGCTGAGTTGGATCATGGTGCATCTTCAACAGGTGAAGTTGTTAGGAAGTTGTTTTGGCGCCCTTTTGAAATCACAATCACAGAACCAGTGGTGCTATTGATTGGTATTTATATTGCTTTGGTTTACAGTATTCTTTACTTGTTTTTCGAAGCTGTCCCCATTGTGTTTCAAGAAACCAAACATTTCACTTTGGTTGAAATGGGCGTAACTTATCTTTCGGTTGTCATTGGTATCTTTATTGGTGGTGCCATCTACATTCCATACGTTTACAAGGTGTTTACCAAACCATTGCTTGCTGGAGATTACGGTAAAGTGACTCCAGAGATTTTTTTACCACCATCAATTTTCGGAGCTGTTTTGATGCCTATTGGATTATTCATCTTTGGATGGACTTCTTCCCCCAAGATCCATTGGTTCCCACCATTGATTGGAACAGGAGTCTTTGCAATGGGTGCATTCATCATTTTCCAAACATTGTTCAACTATATGGCTGCTAGTTTCAAAGTTGAATACTTGGCCTCTGTATTTTCATCCAATGCATTTTTCAGAAGTGTTGTTGCTGGTTGTTTCCCACTCTTCGGAAGAGCTTTATTTTTGAATTTGAGTATTCATAATTATCCAGTTGGCTGGGGTACAACATTGTTGGCATTTTTGTGTTGTTTAATGATTCTCATCCCAGTGTTTTTCTATTTGAATGGACCCAAGTTGAGAGCAAGGTCTAAATATGCTAATCACTAAAGGATTGAACATAATGGTGATGAAGAAGCAGTTGATTTTAATTTGGTATATATCTAGCGTTAATATGAATAAGTAATAGAGTAATCTGAAAAGACTGACAAGTTTAATGTAACTGGCTCCTCTGAGTTCATTCCTTCGAGTTCAGATAAGCAAAGAGCGAATTGCAAATTAGAATCAGTTTAATCTGAATTACGAAAAAATCTCAATTTTATCGCGCACTTTTGTGAACTTCATTTAAACTCAAAAATCGCAACGTCAATTCTTAAACCCCTCACCTTGCCCCCCCCTCCCACCACAACAGCAACTTAAAACATGGACTTTGAAGAACGTTTAGCAAGAGCAGAAAGATCAGACTCACCTTCATTAGTTGGCGCGTCGATGAGATCAGCAGATGACTCACCACACAAGAATTACATTCATCCAGAAAAGTATGTGTCGTCAAGAGCTGAATCGAGATCAAAATCAAGAACAAGATCAAGTAAATTGAAACTGTCAGTCACTGCATCTTTAGATGATTTGATCAACGAGGGTGCATTATTAGGCTCAGAGGAAGACTTTGATAAGTTTTTAGATGACGATGGTACGGTGAAACACGAGGCAAAATACACCAATAAATTGGACGAAGAAGGAATTGAGGAAGAGGATGAGGGGAAAGAGAGTGTTGAGCCGGAAGAGATTCAGCAAAAAATTGAAAAGGCAATTGAGCAAGAAGAACCATTGAGAGGAAGAAAAGCGAAAGTGGTGGAGGAAAAGAATTTGGAAAAGGAACCTACTGAAAAGGAATCGAAACCGACTGGTTCCAAGAATGCAGCTTTGTCATTTTATAAACAAGATGACTACTCGACTCCAAATTTGTCAGATTATCAATTGGATCAAAACATCACTGACCATAACGATTTTGTTAACCATGTTCAATCGTATGATTTAGAAAAGTTACCCCGATCAAATCTGTCTTTGGGAGACGAGGAAAAGACCGCGGCATTGTCAAGACCTCGACCCCACACTACACTTTCATCAGCTCAACAGCAAAGGTTGGAGAGTAGTTTGCACCCTTTTCATACTGATAGACCTAGATCGAGGTCAAGATCTTCGAACCCATCATCACGGATAGCCGCACGCTCGTCGTCTTCCTCGTCATCCTCAAGACACTTGGCTAGGGGAGACTCGTACAAGAATGTTCATAGCGATGAACCTTCCAAATATGAGTTACCAGCTGATTTTTCTACCGATGAAGTGAAGGAGTCACACGAGGCGGAGGAAGAGGACAGAGGTAGAGCTGCTAGACCAACAATGGGAGATTCGATTGCTGCTGCCGAGGCTAGGAAATCTCGAGCCGAGAATGATCCGTTTGTGCCCGAGTATGCGTCCAATCCAATTAGCAGAGAGCCATCTTTGGTGACAACTGGAGATTACACCAATTTTGAAGTTGACAATCCTCGTACGCCAGCTAAACACAAACCCAATACTCGATTTATCAGGTCCAGCTCAAGTCACCCAATGGATGAAAAAAATGATTCCAATGTTGATGGATTAAAAGAGGAAGGTGCTTTAGTGACCGATGACCCATATGCCTCAATCGATCAGTTGGACAGTTTGATGGAGGAGGTGTTGCAAGGGTTTTCTAAACACTCAGAAACAAAAGTCGAGGACGAGAAGACAGGTTCAGAGAAGGATAAGAAGACAGGTTCAGAGAAGGATGAGAAGACAGGTTCAGAGAAGGATGAGAAGACAGATTCAGAGAAGGATGTGGCAACTAAAGCGGAGGAACCTTTGACAAAGAAGACTGCTGCCTCTGCTAACTCCTCTGAAGAGTTTAGGAAGAAGGAAGACGTTAATACCGTTGAAGACGACCTCGCTTCGGTCGATAAGGAAGATAAGGAAGACAAGGAACCAAGCTTAGATGAAACTTTGAAAGAAGGTGTAGAGAAAAAGGAAACTAATTCAGATCCTTCAGAGTCCGCGGCTACTGAAAAGGAGGAGACCTCAGATTCAAAAGAAGTGGCCGCGAAGGGCACTAATGAAACCACAAACGAAGATGTCATTCAGAAGGATGCAAAGCGTGCAGAAGTTGAAGGGAACGAAAAGGATGATGCCGATACAACAGGCTTGAAAGAAGAGGGAGTTTTGACCAGTGAAGATCCCCTTGAACGAGTTGAAGAGAGTGAGTTGAGAGAAGGTGTGTCTATTAGTGACTTGGGTACAAAAAAGTCAGAGGCAACAGAAGAAAGCAAAGGACATGACAGAGCCAAGTTGGAAGCTAGTAATGCAAAACTAGAAGATAACTTGATTCAAGGTTCACTCAATACCGACGGTCCAGCTGATTTGGAGAAGATTGAGAAAGAAGAAAAAGAGGGGCTTAAGGAAAATGAGGATGAAAAGAAAAAAGAAGCAGAAGGAAAGATTCCTAAAGATGAAGAAGCTGAGTTGGACTCAGCCAAGAAGAATGAACCAAACTTAATTGTTGGAGGAAATGAGGAAAGTGAGCGAGTCGAGCAAAAGGAATCAAATGAATCTGTTGCAAAAAAATCGGTGGATGATAAGGCACCATTTAAAGAGGCCAGCACTGCACAAGAAGCCACCGAGGACTTGTCTCTGAAAGGCCAGCAGGACGATGAATTGCAAGCTGGAAAGAAGGATACCGACTCAGAACACAAAGCTGACGCTGTCCAACTGGATTCATCTGGTAAACTTTTAGAAGGTACTCTCAATGCCAATGGTCCAGAAGAATTGAAAGGCGACGTTAAAGGGTCAAAATCAATCGAGGAAACCAAAACTACTGCCGATACTGAAGCTAAGAAGGAAGAACTGTCTAAAATCGTCGAACCAGTGGAGACTGAACCAAAAAAAGGAAATACAACTAAGGAGGCTGAACAGGAAGTCGAACTCTCTGAAGAGACTCCAGAACCAAGTGTAGCTGACACTGCTTCTCTGGATGATATTTCTAAGAAAGCTGAATCTAAGGAAGAAAACACCGAGTCCGCTGAAGAAAAGAAAGCCATTGAGCTGATTGACGACGGCAGCAAGTCAACAGTGGACTCCGCCGCTGCTACCGCGCATGAGGTGACATCATTACCGAGTTCAAAGAAAGATGATCCACCTATTGATGAGTTTGACGATTTAGAAGACATTTCTCCCGAGGAAATTCGCAAACATCTTGAATCACAACCTATTTACATCTTTACATCATTAGCGGGTGGTGCGCAAATTATCCCACGTACCAATCGATTAGCCACCATTTTGCAAGCCAATGGAATTAAATTTGAGTATAGAGATTTGGGTACTGATGAAGAAGCGAAAAAAATTTGGCGTAGACAAGCTTCAGGAAAGACCTTGCCTGGTGTGGTTAGAGGTGATGATTATGTTGGCAATTGGCAAGAAATCGATGAAGCTAATGAAGAGTATCAAGTCAAGGATTTATTGTATAGTTTTTGAAGGAGTAGAGCTCTTGTCGAGTATAATTGATCTTAGTATTTATTGTGATTATACGCACAGGCAGAAAGTGTCAGTGAAGCGATGAAAGTAAAGTACGTCCTGGGCTCAACAACTCAGTCAATTATGTTGACGTGATAGTTCAACCAACGCACATTTTCCCGCATATGCATCCTATTGATTTTTCTTTTGAATCGTCCCTTCTCTCCACGACTATCAACACCAATGGATAACATAAAGAAGTTCAATTGTTTATATTCCAAATGATTTAACAAGCCGTTGACATTGCAATTTGTAGCATTAATCGTTAATCTTTTGATATAGCAATATCGTGTCAGCTTGTAAATCGCAGTACTATTGACAGTGGTATTTTCACCAGGGGTAATCAAAAGTAAACGAAATCAAATTTTTGAAACCATGCCCGCTGATTTGCTTAACAAATGAGTTGTTTTCATTTGGTTTTATTTTGATCTCCAAGCCTTGTGGCTCCAACTTTGCATCCATTTTAGCGAACGATTCTAGCGAAGATGGTGACATGTGTAAAGTAACATTATTCAACTTCTTGATAAATTCACGCCTTGCGTTTACAAAGAATACTTTCCAGCTCTCATCAATTAAATACTCAACGGTATCTTTCACTGTAAATGCTCATTCTCCAATGCGTTGTGACGACGGAATATTAGAAATACAGACTACGGTGTTAGCACAACTCATACTTTTGACCCAAAATGGGTACATGAATGAGTACACATCCGACCCACTCTTTATGTCAGTTGAGCTATACCAAACATGAGAATATGAAAGAATTCTTAATGTATCCATATCAAGTGCGCTATTGACAATTTGCAAAGTCAAAAAAGGCCACGGAGACGGATAAGTGAGGAGCAGGCAATGTTGGATCTAAATTCACGAAAACATCGAGACTGAGAAACTTCTTGGGGTACCACTCTTGCAAGCACAATAGTTTCCACATTGTGTGGGATGATTTTCATTACATAATGAAGAGACCACTTTTCAGCTATATTAATTTATACCAACCACTTGCTTTTTCCAATTAGGCAACTCCAAGGTCAATAGCGTTCTCATCTTCCTTAAAGCATGTAACAAACGACACTCTGGTTTATACCTCACAGCACTACTAATTCACCCATCTTTCAGGATAATCACAAATGTCACACAACAAATTGAGCAATATCAATAGTTCCCGTTTCGAGTACTTGCTAAGCGCAATTTTTACGACAAAACATACAAGCACACGTTTTTTTGATTTTTGCACTTGTAAACAAATTGCGCAGATTAGATTGAGCAAATTCCTCTTCACTTGATCGACTCCTCTCCTTACGGTGTGCTTGCTTGACGCCCATTGGTTGAAAATTGAAGAATCGTATTTTAGCGCAAATATTCCAATTGGCGCTGAGTGCCAATTGTCCAAATTGGGAAGTACACATATTGCGCAATGAGCCTCACGTCTTACTGGAATAGGATGTGATAAAACTGCTCAACCAAATACATCACTTCATTTAATACACAAAAGAGCTTAATGCTGCACCAATGAAAAGATGCAAACAAACCACCTCATCCATCCATCCATCCAATCAACCAACCAACTATAATTTTATAAAACCCTTTTAGCGCAATGTTGGTCAATTCATTTCTACTTTTTCATTCCTTCAGTTAATTCTACTCCTTGAGCAAATTAATCTCAAAATCATCCCATTCACTTACTTGGAGTATATTTGAATAATATAAACTCAGATATATACCACATATTCCAATAGTTGTATCATATATAAACAGGTGTTGTTTCCCTTTTATTTTTCATCGATAACAGATTTACGATAGCATAACAAAATACATCATTACTCCCACACACAGTATACAATAATGTTTAAAAGACACGATATGCACAATATGGGCTCATCCTCAATGGATATGGGTTCAATGGCTACCTCAACAATGGGTATGGCTATGGAAACAATGTCACATGCAATGAACCACACTGGATCAAGCAATAGTAGTATGGGAGATATGGGAGATATGGGAGGCATGGATCACATGGCCGGTATGCACATGTATTTCACTAGAGAGTTTAAAGATTACCCAGTCGTTTTCAAAACATTATCAGCATCAAACAAGGGACAAGCTTTTGGTATATTTGTTTTGTTGTTTTTTGCTGCTTTCTTTGCCAGGTTTTTAGAATTTGTCAGAAACTATTTGGAAGAAGTGGTATGGCAGAATAAGAATTATACTGAATTTGAATCCGGTGTTGTCAATCATAGTGCTAATTTACAACCAGCAACTTCGATACAGGCAACAACTGCGGGAGCTTGTGGCGGTGCTACTGGTACTACTGGTGGGAACTGTTGTGCAGGAAATGCTGATGATGAAGAAGATAGTTTTGATAAACGTGCATCAAGTGATGGTGTTTATGTACAATCACAAGAAGCTAAACCTGCAAAGTCTTCTAGCTTGCCATTGGCTAGTACTATAATGAGAGACGCTATACGATTGGCGTTGTGTATTATTCCTGATTTATTTGGCTATACATTGATGTTGGCAGCAATGACATATACATTGACTTATTTCTTTGCTGTTGTTATCGGTTCTGGTGTGGGCAGATTTGTTAGTGAAAGATTAATGGAAAAGTTTAGAATCAAGCGTACCCCACCAAGAAATTGCTGCTAAATGGAGAAAGTAATCTACATAATCTAATTGAATATACTTAATAAAATAAAATCAACTGAGCTTTTACTTTCTTTCCCCCTAGTCTATTATTTCATCTATTTTCTTGATCAAGTCATTATACTTGTCCTTGTTGAACTGCGATCCGTTCCCATCAGCCAATTTCTCACTATAAATCAACCGGGCAAGATTATGATATTGCAGTTTAGTATACTCTGATCGTTTCGACTTGATGCGATTCAATAAACTAAACTCGTTTAAAGTAAACATTTCAAAGTACAATAATGATTTGGTGAAATCAACTTTTTGAGGTTTAGCTGACAAGCTACGCAAAATCTGTTGCAATGTGGAGATGTTCAACAATACTCGCTTGATTCCATTTGTATTAATCTTTCTCACTTTAAAAGAGCCCTGGATCATTGCATCATTAAGAAATTGACTGAATCCAATAAATATGCTCTCTTTATCCTCCATCTTTAAAGCTTTAGTCAATTTGGTATCGATGGCAAAAATCTCTTGATTGAAGGAAACAATATATGGATCAGCATCTCCTGGTTCAGTGGTAGGGACCCATTCCATTACATTGAATGACAAGGTCAAGTAATGGATGGCTTTACTTCTCAACTCATACCTCAATGCCAACAATGTTTGGTCACGTATACCTTCGAAATAAGCAATTACATCATTAAACTGAATCATCTTTTCTGAATTTAACGCCAAAAGAATATTGTTCTGAGTAATGTCTTGAGAATTGGTGGTGAAATTCACCGATGGACGACCATTTTCTAAAAATGACCAATTGTACCGTAATTTTTCCACCGGAGAAACAACAACAGCTGCACTGGTTCCAACATCGCCAATACCATAATTCGATTGCTTCTTGACCAAGACTAGCCACGTCAAAATCCATGATGTTGTCAATAATAGATAAACCACATGGGAAAAAGTGTCACTATCCAATAAATTATCCTTGTTGATTACTGAATTTTGAATTTCATGAAGCAACATGCCATTTTCAGAAGCAATAAAATTGGCAAAATTGGCATAATTGATATTGCTCTTTTCATTTAGTTCAAGTATTATTGTTCCACTAACTTCAGTTAATGCATGCATCTTCATCCATTTACTAATTTGCAGCACTGGCCTACTCATTGCACCTTCAGTAGACAATAAATCTTGAAATAATTTTCTATACTCAGTGGCAAAGCTCTGCAATGTTTGTAAAACCGTATCTGAAATATCTTCTCTATACGTTAATGATGTATTCAAAATGAGACAAAGTTCCAAAAACAACTTCTTAAAGTTAAATGCATTCTCATAAATAACAATTGTGGACTCGTTATCAATATGAGACCTCTCTAATAACTCCAAGTCACTATTTTGGCTCAATGTAATAACATCAAGTTTCAAGCCGGAAGGTTCATTTAACCTCGGATGACCACCAGTATACGTCCCACCAACTTGGTCACTAAACACCATATCAATGGCCGATCTGAAATAAGTTAAGAATGAAGATTTCATAAACTCGGTGAAAAATTGAAACGCAAAATTATTGTCACCACCACTACCATCCTTTTCCTTTTTCACATGGAAGTTGTTGAAAATCCGATGTGAACCTTCAACGAATATTAGCAATGGTTCCAATACAATCCTCATATTGAATAAATTTTTAGGCACCAATACCTCTACTTGTGTGTTGAAAGATTCATCTTCAAAATAAGGTGTTTGCATGGTGAGAAGATCTTTATCATTAGTGTCATCAATATGAAATCCCGGGAAAATATCACCAAGTGAATCTTGGAGCTCTTGAGCTGATTTAGTTGAACTCCAATCAACATTTTCAAAATGGAATAACTTCTTCTTTTGATGTAATGAAAATTTATGCACCTTTCTATGATCCGACTTGTCAATTATATTAACTCCCGAGTCAGTTGACCCATCATCATATATATAGCTTATTATCAAATTCAGCAACTCCTTCTTTGTTGAGTCCCAAACGCGTAACCCAGATTTTGAAAACCCCGCAGAGTTGGCATAATTGCCATTCTGTTCTTGACCTAAAACTGATGCAATTTCATTAATAACTTTATGTTTTTGAAATGCAAGTAAACACCTCACTGTAATTGAGCCATACAATTCTTGAAGAATGACAACAGCAGAGTCACTGAAACTTTTATGAGCCATGACATCAAGTAATGAATTTTGTTCAAAATGTTGGATTTTTTTAAGCTTGGAAAGGGCATATCCATTTCTCAGCTTCACTTCTTCGGTGACTCTATTGATCAATCCATGTAATTCCAGTTGGTTCGCTTCAATTAAAGTTTCAACCACTTGTTGTAGTCTACCCAATTTGGAAGCAGTTACCAAAAGCATGTACATGTAGTAATAACTTTCATTCGACGTATTCATCTTCAACAATGTAGTGTAGTCGATTGCCCCATCATTTTGCAAACTATTCTTCTGCAATTCAGGAAGTTGAACGCTTAAAAAATCACTAACTGGGGCCGTCAAATGATCAACAACTTCCAAAATATCCAAGTTGGCAGAGTTGTGCACATACTGTTCCAAATTTTCCAGCTTCAACAATGCTTTAAAAGATGCCATTTGCGGACTCGTTGAATCTATTATTGATTGCCACAAGGATACCCCCGTGTTTGATATTGAACTATTGTTCTTCAGGTATATCTCATTCTGCAATTCATCGATAATCATATCGTACAACTTGTTCGATTGTTGCTCTAAATAGGATTTTATATCACTCATTGCTGGTAATGACCACAAACTGTAACGCTCAGCAATCTTGTAGCCGTTTGCAATAATATCATACACCTCGTGAAGTTTCTTTTCATTGATCAATTGCTCCACTTGGTCAGGGATTTTGTTCATCTCCAGTATAGCGTCAATTATATCAATCAGTTCAGCATACCTTCCCGATGTCTCAGACAATTCAGCCAACACAGCACTTCTATCATGCATTTCCTTGTTGGACGTTTGCAAAAAGTTTCTGATGCTTTCAGAATCAGTTTGCGATTTGTCCAAAGTCGACAACAACATATGGTACGATCCTATACTATTGTTGAATAATTCGTAGTGCTCATGGACAACACGTCGTAATGCTCCTTCCGTTGTCTTCTTGAGTCTTTTGAATTCATCAAGTCTGTGAGCCAAACCTACTGAACTGTCATCTAATAATGAAATTGCAAGTTCTATTGGGTTAGCATTGTCCTCCAATATACGTGGCCAATCGTATCTAATGCTGCTGTATACCTCTTTCAATCCTGTGACCGATTCATCTTTGGCGCTTTCGGATTGGGGGATGCTATATGACAATCTTCGTCTCGACATTGGCAGTTTAGGGTAGAGTTACGAGCTTTTTGAGTGTTTATGGAATCGAAAAGTTTATGAGCTAGAGAGTTGGTAGCGGCGTTGTCATTTATTGCAAGCACATATAGTGTACCCTACTTGAATTAACAGTTTGGCGAATTTACCAATTTTTAGCATCATTGATGTTGAAGTTAAGCTTAGTATAGTAACAGACTTGGAAAGTTTACTTCTAGCAAAGTTTTGCTCAGTAATATACTGGGGAGTTTATGTTTTGCTAGTACGCGTATATATTTAGACCATCAGTTGAAAAAACATAGTTTATAATGGTCCCCAGGATACCACCAAGACTCACACACACACACTCTTTTCCATAGCTGACCCATCTGTACTGGAATAACTGCTCCATTTCATTAGACCTTTTCCATGGACGGGACTGTACAAGGGAATCAAGAGTTGAGGGTCACCTCTGTATCCTCTTCACAATTGGGAAACAATCAACTCGTTCCTTCACGCGGTGCAAATGTACCCTTGAACCAACAACAGCTACCGGTGGTACCGTCGAATAGTTCTGCACCTTTATACCAAAACCCTTCTCCATATGGAGGTTCGCATAATGCTCCTTCAAACTCGTTCAATGCATACCCACCACCCAATAGTGCACCACCATATGATAACAATTTTTCCAACCCATCATCCCCTTTTGTATCGCAGAGCAATTGGAACCAACAGTACCATCCGCATAGCTCTTCATCTGTGGATGATGCACGTGCACACATACCTCCACCACCTCGCCAGGTTCATATCGATCACCCTCCTCCTGCTCGTCCTCCACAGCAAACACGCGTCAATTATCCTCCTCCTCCGCCACGCCAGTCATCTTCGTCACCTGCTGTGAACATACATATACACAATTCAATATATACCAATGGTGCGCCGTCATCTACTCGAATTCAATCTCCAAATAGCGTTAATCTTCAAAGTACTACCCCTTCCTCATTTCGATACCAATCGTTGAATAATGTGAATGCGCACAGGAGTACTCCTCAAGACCCATCACGTACAGGGGCGTGTGGCTTTCGATATTCGTCCCATCATAGTGTCAATTCATCATCTGGAGGGGCACGTGAACCACAATTGTATGGTAACAGTGGGTCAAGTACCCCAAGCAACCACAACAGAAACACCAGACTACCGAGAAGAGACTACAAGAGCGGGTTTCGCTCAAGCCCCAGTACGGCAAACCACTCTTCGCCACGAGTACCAGAGATTCCGAATTCAACACCCATACACAGCAGGCCCATACAGTTTAATCAGACGAATCAACTTCCTAGTAGTCCTTATCCTTCTGATGGTAGCGGGGTCGGATCAAATCACATGGTTAGTAACTCGTCCACACCAACTGCGACTCCAAAACCTCTGAAAGAGAAGTTTAAAATGTCAATGGCGGATGTCGAACGTATCATAGGAAATTACAGTGGGAGGGCGAAACCGGGGATACGAGGAGCCATTTTAAATACTGAGTCGAAGCCAATGATGGATGAGAAGCAGCAGCAGTTGATTGAAATACACCTTGACACGCATGAAACAAAGGCAAAAACGGACAGAGGGGCTAATGGTAGAACCGATGATACAAAACTTGAAACGATTAGTGGGACCCGGAAACCAATTGGTTCATCCATTACTGCTGATAATGATCGAAAGGTGTACGATGCCTCCGCTGTGAAGGAGTACAATCCCTCTTCATTGACTACAGGGGGTCACAGAAAATATGATCCCTCAGCTATCGCCACAACTGACCACAAATCGTATACTCCTTCCGCAATCGCTACTACAACTGACCAGAAAACGTTTGACCTATCTACATTAAACCCAATATCAGCTACAAACAACAAACCAGTAATTATTGAGCTATCAGATGATGAGTCCGAACCTGAAACTAAACCCCCACTTGCGGCAATGCACGAAAGTTCAATTATCGTTATCGACAGCGATGATGACGAATATGAACACAAACCTGTTGAGCCTGTGAAAATGGTCAAGGATCCTATTGCAATTGATACATCATTGGTATCTTCGCCCATAATTCAGATTAAATCTAAACCTACTTCCGAGCATGTTTCAGACCCAATTGCTGATTCCTCTTTCTCATTTACAAAGATTGATCACACCAAAGTACCCCCAATTCGGGAGTCAACTGAACCTCAAAAAGCCGATTTTAATGCAGCTATAATTGAAGATGGAAAGAAGACACCTGAAGATGATCCGTTAGAAATACCCTCCAAACCTGCTTTCATTCGGTGGTTAAGTTCCGATGACGAGGATTATGATTTTAATATCCCCCTAGCTAAGACCCCGACTGCAAGCAATGTATCAGAATTGAAAAATAAGCCTGAGGTCCTATCTGGAATTAGAGCTTCAACAATTAGTAAAAGTACAGAAAGGGTGGCACTTAAGACGAATGGATCCACAGCTGAAGCGAACACACAAACCCCCAACAATACCAATGTCGCCAGCAGGTCTAGATCAGTACCAGATACACAATTTTCCAGACCCGCTACTGAGTCAGTTTTAGGGCCAGTCAAAAGAGCAAACACAATACAAGATGGAAACAGTATCACAACAAAGAAAACAAAGCGATCTAAAACTGATAGCTTGCTTGAGGAGCTTCCAAAAATTGACAATTTTGAATACACCTATAAAGAGCTACAAGATGTTAATCGAGTGAGTAGAAAAAAGGAGGAGTTGCATTCGGAGATGGAAATTCATATTAGTCTTGGACCTTTTGGTATTTTGAAAGACCTCAAGGAGGATTTCAAGCTGCGTGTTTCTACTTTCGACCTGGAGTTTCCTTTGATATATTGGAAAAGAAACGCTAAGGCAGAGTACATCAAGGATAAGGACTACTTTATACCCATCAAGCCAAAGAAAGTTGTTCAAAATACGTTTGTCATGTACTACCTAGCTCAGGACTTTTTGGACAAGCTTCACTCAGAAGAACTTAAAGCTGATGTAGTGAATGCAACTGAGGAGATGTGTGTAATCTCGACTAACAATTACCATGTGATACTCGTCGTTGAGGGATACGATCAGTTTATCAACAAAATTAAGTCTTACAAGCAAAGACAATTTCGGTCACAAGTCTTGAATGGTGAAGATCAAGCAAGGAGAAAGAAGGATGATGAGCGAATGTCGAAATACCCTACACCACTAGAAATTGCTAGATTGTTGAACAGAGCTCAATTGGATTTGAAGGTGAACATCTTTCCCGTTAGATCGCGACATGAGGGTGTTATGTGGTTGAACTCATTTACATACACTATTGGATCGGCATTGTATGATAAATACGAGAGGAATCAAAGTTTGGCAAACTTGGGAGTTGTGCGATCAGGTAGTGATACCAAAGCAACTTTTATACAATCAATTCAACATTTTCCACGTATGACGCAATCAAAAGCCCAAATTTTACAATCTTCACATGGATCAATGTATCTGATCTATTCGAAATTCCGTACCTCTGGTACATTGGGTAAAGATGCTCTTGGAAGGAATATTGTACCACCCACTGTTGATTCAACAATGTTGAGCTTTTTCACGTCAGATGATCCCGACAAGGCAATTACATGAGAGGTGGAGGCGGGGGTTACAACGTAAGAAAACTGATCTAATAGAGAATATATTTTTCTGTATTTACTTCTTTGTAACTTGTTTTGCACGAGTGAGATCGTCAATGTTAATTTTATCACTCAATCCCTCAACCACTTGGATTCCTCTGTCTACTTCATAAGTTTCTTCATCCGTGAAGTCATACTTTAAACGATGTAACTCAGAAATGATGTTTAAAGATTTGTCAACTAAATTGGTATTTGAGTCCAAGTTCAACACTGAAGCAAGGTAGTGAACTAGTTTGGAACTTCTGAATCTATTTTCAAGATCACTATCCAAACCATTGCTTAATATCGATGACACAAGTGACAAAATTCTCAAATCGAATTTCGAATCTTTAGAATCAAACTTGATCAAATCCCAGCCGGATGATTCATCAAATTGTTTGTACCCTGGCTTAAAGTTTCTTATGTATGAGGAGATTGCAAAAAGAGCTTTGTTTTGCAAGGACTTGTTTTGTTGACCATCTTTAGCAATCTTGACCAACTCTTGCAACGCATTAGTTTTCTCGAAACCTTCTTGCGATTTGGGGTTATTTTGAACAGCTGTATCAATAATACCACAAACAATCACCCTCAAGTCATCGGGGACATCGTTTTTCAACAAGTCGACAATTGGATGCCACAATCCCAAGTTTTCAATGTTATTTGCATTATCCATATTTTCAATTAACATTTCAAAATTTTCCAACGCAATTGCTTTATCTTTGTCCTCAACTTTAGGGTTGTGAGCGATTGCAATACTTTCCTTCATTAAAGCCACTTCATCTGGACCTCCAAACAATTGGTTCAATAATTTAGGATCTGGCTCTCCAATCTTGGCCAATGCTTCTTTATCACCAGCTTGTTGGGCGATGGACCAGTGCAATAATTTCTCCATTTCTTAATAATATGGTTGGTGAAAGTAGCTGTATTTGAGGTTTGGGCGTCTGTTGTAGACTATTTATAATAAATCAAGGTTATTCTATCAACAAAGTTGCACTTATCTTTTGCTATATTCGAGAAGCTTCTGATATCTTCTCCGCTGTGTCGCGACTGAAAAATCAAAAAAAAGGTTGAGACGGCAGATTTGCGACACGACATTGAAACTGATAGATACATGCCCTGAAAAAAGATGAAAACGAACTCAGAGGGGTTTTCTGCCTGGAAGGTGATGAAAAACACCTAAAGGGTTTTCCATTGCATTCAGTAAGTTTCGATTTCAACTGTCGTTGTAGTTAATGTAAACTATATGATTCATTTGCTCATGAGTGGCCTAAAGTGGTTATGCACATACATAACATAACCCTGCGACGGATTTTTGAAACCCGGGGGAACTTATCATTTGTTTGTTTTTTTTTGACAATTGCGAGGGAATCGTATGTTGTGACATCCGTTTATTTTGAGAGCTAGCACTAAGGCACGTGAAGTGTATGTCATTATATAATGATCTAATTATACAAGTTGATTTAACGCTCCTCTAAAATCGAATGGCATAGGGCCGAAACATATGTAGAAAATTCAATTTTTACTGGTGGCTTCACAAACATCCGAGGTGGTAGCAATCTCTGTCTTTGATCCCTTTCATTTTTTCTATTTTTCCCGACGATTGGATATATATATATAAAGACCACTAAAGTTTTTCGAAATTTCCAATATCCAATTCTCTTTTTCTTTTTGGTTGAAATTTAACTCAATTGCAAAAAGAATATCACCTTATAGCTATAAAATGTCATTGTCAAACAAATTATCTGTCAAGGACTTAGATGTCGCTGGTAAAAGAGTTTTTATCAGAGTCGATTTCAATGTTCCATTGGATGGTAAGACTATCACCAACAACCAAAGAATTGTTGCTGCTTTACCAACTATTAAATATGTTGAAGAACACAAGCCAAAGGCAATTATCTTGGCATCACATTTGGGAAGACCAAACGGTGAAAAAAATGACAAATACTCACTTAAGCCAGTTGCTACTGAATTGGAGAAATTGTTAGGTAAAAAAGTTACATTTTTGGACGACTGTGTTGGTTCAGAAGTTGAGAAAGCTGTCAATTCAGCATCCAATGGTGAAATCTTTTTATTAGAAAACTTGCGTTTCCATGCTGAAGAAGAAGGTTCATCAAAGGACAAGGACGGTAAAAAGATCAAAGCTGATCCAGAAGCTGTGAAGAAATTCAGAGATCAATTGTCATCATTGGCTGATGTTTACGTTAACGATGCTTTCGGAACTGCTCACAGAGCACATTCCTCAATGGTGGGTGTTGAAGTGCCACAAAGAGCTGCCGGTTTCTTGATGTCCAAGGAATTGGAATATTTCGCCAAAGCTTTGGAGAACCCAGCAAGACCATTCTTGGCTATCTTGGGTGGTGCCAAGGTTTCTGACAAAATCAAGTTGATTGACAACTTGTTGGACAAGGTTGATTTGTTGATCATTGGTGGTGGTATGACCTTCACTTTTAAAAAGGTTTTAGACAACATGTCTATTGGTGACTCACTTTTCGATGAAGATGGTGCAAAGAATGTTAACGATTTGGTTGCCAAGGCTAAGAAGAACAATGTTGAAATCATCTTGCCAGTAGATTTCGTTACCGCCGACAAGTTTGACAAGGATGCTAAAGTTGGTGAAGCAGACGATAAGGAAGGTATTCCAGAAAACTGGATGGGTCTTGATTGTGGTCCAAAATCTAGAGAATTGTTTGACGATGCTGTTGCCAAGGCCAAGACTATTGTTTGGAATGGCCCACCGGGTGTCTTTGAATTTGACAACTTTGCTGGAGGTACCAAGAACTTGTTGGATGCTGTTGTCAAATCAGCTGAGAATGGAAATATTGTAATCATTGGTGGTGGTGATACTGCTACTGTTGCCAAGAAGTACAATGCTGTTGACAAATTGTCACACGTTTCCACTGGTGGTGGTGCCTCATTGGAATTGTTGGAAGGTAAGGAATTGCCAGGTGTAGTTGCCCTTTCAAACAAAAACTAAGGCAAAAGCACTATTGAGCTACGTTGAATCGGATATTACTCGAAATTTTTTTAATAAAGAAGAGTCTCTTGTTTAAAAAGATCTAAAAAAAAATGTATAATGTAGTGAGAGAAGTGAAAAGTTAAAAAGTAGGACTCACATTTATAATTTGGCTTTACCTGCACAAATTTGTGTCCAATCAGCCTCGGTTAATTCAGCGTACTTGTCACCATTTAACCAGTAGATGAGTTCATCACCACTCTCACCTTTAGGTAATTTTTGTTTCTTGAATTGGTTCTTTGGAACTTTGTGATTGTGTGAAGCTTCAATCGAGCCAATCTTGATGAATGCAGGTTGTGCATAACTAGGCAACGATTTTTGTGAATGATCATATATCTTTTTCAAGATATCCACATGCTCCAATTCATCTTTTGGTTCAATAACGGCAAAGCAAGCTCTACCTTCGTGATTTGGAACTTGTACACCAACGACAACGGATTGTTTAATGGCATTTGATCCCATCAACTCATTTTCAACTTCACTTGCGGAAACATTTTCCGATTTCCATCGGAAAGTGTCTCCCAATCTGTCAACAAAATAAAACAAACCATCCTCATCCATCTTCAATAAATCACCAGATCTGTACCAGGCATCACCTTTTTTGAAAACATCAAACAATATTTTGCTACTGGTGGCTTGTTTGTTTCCGTAATAACCCTGAAATGATTTACTCACATCTTGAGGGTTGAGAATTCTCATTAATAACTCCCCGGGTTCGTTATAATTGGCTTCCTCGTAGAACCCAGTCTTTGGATTTTTCCACATTTCATTTTCATCTTCTGGGTCCATCTTGACCAATTTTTGTTGTGTGTTGAGCAATAAAGTAATCAATGAACCATATTTCCTACACGCACCTTTCCCAAATTCACCATACTGAAAATTGGTTGTGGCAACTGGTGATTCGGTAGCGGCATAGAATTCACCAACCCCCTTGATGTGGAATCTATTTTTAAACTCAGTCCAAATATCACGTCTTAACCCATTACCGTAAGCAATAGTGACATTGTGCCTTTGCTGGTCTGGATGAGGGGCAGAATTCAATAAATAACGACAGACTTCACCAACATATTGGATGTGAGTAGCTCCAACTAGTTTAGCTTGAGTCCAAAAAGATGTAGCTGAGAACTTTTGTGCTATTGAAACACATCCACCATTGATCAAAGTTGGACAAACACCCAACATGGCAGCAGTTGAATGATACAATGGCATAGCTGTCAACACATTGGAGTTTCCTTCGACTTTCATGATATATCCAAAGAAAACAGAGGCCATAAATGCTTTTCTCCAAGACATGATACCAGCTTTTGGCAACCCTGTTGTACCAGAGGTGTAAATCAACGCACAAGCACTGGAATCTTTGTCTTCTGGTCTTCTGGTTTCATCCTTAGCTCTATACTTTGGAGTCGATTTCGATTGAATTCTGTCGAATAAAGCAAATTCGTCAAGGTAATGCAATTTAACATTTGGCAATTCGTCGTTGATGGTTTGTTCTGTTTCTCTAATTGGTCCAGCACAATCTGGGTCAATAAACACTTGAGAAACGTTCGCTATCTTGAGACAATGAACCAATGGTTTATCTTTGGTATTGAAATTCAAGAATGCTGGCAAAGCACCAATATTCCACAATGCTAACCACAACACAATGAATAATGGCTTGTTCATGCAGTCTACCCCGATAGTTTGGCTGGATGTAACACCATATTCATTTTTCAATATGTAGGAAAGTCTCAAAACCATGTTGTACAACTCTTTGTACGTATACTCCTCAATTTCGAATTGGTCATCAAGAATTTTGAAACCATCGGCATCAGTCTTGACTGGTGGTGGGTTTTTCTTTGGTCTTGGAAATGCCAAAGCTTTGTTATCTTTATATTTTTTTGCTGCATCTTCAAAGTAGTACCAGTATGATGCTTTTCCTCTCAGTGATTTCCACAAGAAAGGTAAGGCATTGGCAACAACTTTTCCTGCCAATTTGACGTCATCTTTGATCAAGTATTTGGCTTCTAATAATTGACTACCTAGTATCGCAGCAGCTGCTATTTCAAGTCCTGACATTGTATTTAGTGTTTTCTTCTGAGGTTACTATAAAAAGTTGCTAAAGCAGTTCCTGTCGAAAGGGTTTATTGTATTGTATTTATACTTTGAATAAATTTATTGGTGTTTGGGGTTCTGTTTTTTGATGGCACAAAGATTTTCCAGTTTAGTTTCTTTTTCTTTGTCGTTGGAGTTAAACAACAGAATACAATAGAAACCTCAACGGAGATAATGCATGTGCTACCAAAAAGATTTTAGAGTATACACAATACCAACCCAACGACAAACTTCTACAAGAAGAACATTAGCAACTACAAAGTGGTTGAAACAGACAATACCTCAACCAGCCCCCAATCCCCATTCTTAGCAAATGACGTTTTATATTGAGCTGATTTTCTTGGTTGCGTGTGAATATGGTATCTTTTTCTCCGCAACAGAAGAAAAAAAAAATTTGGTCAGAACTTTTAAAAGCCCGCACTCATATACAAAATATTTCCGCATTAGGGAGGTGTCATTTTAAATTCCCTGTGATTTTTTCATTTCGTAAATTATAGATACATGCCATATGTTGGACGAAATGCATTGATTCATTCAACTCAAATTGGGGCAAGCGCTGAGAGATGGGCACCCCAAAGGTTTGGCAGAATATATTAAAATACAGTTTCATTTGGTGTTCTCTTACCACGGGTTATGATTTCACATGGGTGCGGTGTTGGTTTTTTGTTTAAACCGAGTATAAATTCAGTGAACAATATGACACAAAAATGTATTCGATTTCAAAAGAACCCAATAACGTGGATAAATGGGTAAACGGTGGCTGTATTGGAAAGACACGTGCAGTTTACCATCTTCTTTATCCCGTCAGTCTAGCTTTTTCTCTTTTGCATAAAGAGACGTTCAGTGTATTCGCTCGACAACGGTAAGCTAGATGGCATATGAGTTGCGCTACTCAATACTTCCAATTGCCAAATTTCTGCCTCTTTCCCACATTCAAGAATAAGCCCAAGTATTTCTTTTGATCTTTTATGAACGGGATCCAGCTCAGGATATAGTAATCCCTTCTTGAGCAAAGCTTTCAACTCGAAGTTTGAGTCCTTGAGATAAACATTTACGCAACAATTTTTATGATTTGAGACCAAAAGCTTGGTCATTTCGTAGAAAAACAATTTTGTTCTATTCTGAGAAGAAGCTTCAGATGCTCTAGCAATCATGGGTAAGATTTGAATGTAGTCATTGCAAACGCTCTTTTTAATGAGCTCGCGAATAACGAGACTTAGCTTCATCTCGTTTTCTTTAGCGACATCTTCTGGTAAATTATAGGCCGTCTTCAACCCCAAGTATAGATTGAACATGATATGAAGGATTGACATCTGTGGCTGAATGGGTGGTTGTCTTCCACTCCACTTTATAAACTGTTGCTGCATACGCAACACCCTTGGATTTTGCACTTGATACCTGGCGTGAGACCAGCAATAGGTCAACATGCATTCAAGCGTCTGTACAATAAGTGTAGCGCTGCAATCTGCCCATAAGTCAAATAAGATACATGTGTGGATCAAGTCCTCAATGCATGTATTAAAGTACCCCAAAAATAGATTGGGATTCTCATAGAAGTCGTTTTGTTTCCCAATCGAAATTAGTTTGAGAACGGCAAGTATCTTCTCAACTTTCAAATCAGATTCATTCAATGTTTTCAGAATCTCCATAAGAGCTTTACTCACCTCCCATGCATGCTCAAAACGAGTATTGGGGATAACTATGGGACATGCCACCAACTGGGAAATGGGAATTTTCTGAACTCCCTCTGGATGCTTGTCAATCACTGCCAGGCTTAACTTACCCACATCTAAACTGAGCAACTCAGCGATACTATAACGGATCTTGTTATCCTTGAATGATGAAATCATTGGCAGTATGTTATTTGCATATTTGCTGATTGATTTGTCGCTAAACCCACTAGCATGATCCTTATTTCTTTGACTGGACCCAGTAACATCCATGCTTATAGCTGCACTTGTAAGATCATATTTCTGTTGTAATTCCCATCCTCTGTTTTCTGCCGTCTGGGTATCGTCATCAGCAAACTTTGTAAGACCAGACTCATCTTTCATATTGGGAGCAGGGGCCAATGTTTCTTGTCTTTGTATAACCTTTTCCAAACTCAGTAAGTCACCTTTGTCAGGTGTAGGGGCACTTTTCTGAGGCTCCTGAGCTACCTTTATGGACTGGTGCCCAAACCTGAGCTCACTGGCGGTTGCAATATCCTTTCTGGACTTTTTGTACAAAAGGTATTCTCTGATTGCAAATGAAAAGACGGCAGACACAATAAGCACCAAAATAAAAGTCATGAATATATAAAATGAATCAGAAATGATTGAATTGTTGAAAGTAGCCAAAGTTGACTCAACATTCGCATGGTATTTGGGATTATCAGGAACACCAAGCTTTAGGTACGCTTCATCACGATGTCTATAAATATATTGTGGTTCCTTGACTGAGAGCTTGATATATTGTAAGCGTGGTGAATGCTCACGAATAAGACTTCTTCGCTTCAAAAACAGTTGATAATGATCGATTTTAGCTTCTACTGTATTATGAGTCTCGAGATTCATCTGTGTTGGGTGATGGATTACTGGTCAAGTAGATTGGTATAAATGAGTACGCGTGGTGTGTATATCCCTTGGTGTTGAGTTTTACAGCCAATTTGCTGTGACAAGAAGATTTTGGCTGCTAAATTTTATACAGTGCGTGTGCATGGATGCAGTTTTAGGGCCAGTAAAAAACTTGATCAATGTAATCAGATGATTTATTTTTACACGTGGCTAACCAGAGTCTTTGACAGTACACAAGCTTCACAATTATGTTCCACAAGGCTAGTTCGTGTTTGGCAAGGTCCAAGCTAGGGATAAGGGTGCTTAACTTGCAGCTTCCCTTAGCCGCTACCCCTTTGCGTTCAAGAATATCATCAACCATTCTCAAACAATGCCGAACTAAATTTTCCACTCCATATGTGCATGCTCCACAGCTTAAAAGAGCTTACTCTACTGCATCATCAACATTCGAATCAGCTGCTAATGCCACTCGCGCTATTCCAAAAGCTAAGCCAGATGTCGTTCCTCCCAAGTCGGTGGGGTATTGGTTAATAGGAACATCTACTTTAATTTTCGGCATTGTAGTGTTGGGAGGTCTCACGAGGCTTACCGAATCTGGTCTTTCAATTACTGAATGGAAGCCAGTTACGGGATCCATCCCCCCTTTGAATGAACAGGATTGGATAGATGAGTTTAACAAGTACAAAGATTCGCCAGAGTTCAAACAATTGAATTCACACATCACATTGGAAGATTTTAAATTTATTTTTTTCATGGAGTGGAGCCACCGGTTAGTTGGTAGATGTATTGGACTTTTCCTTATTGTGCCAGCTGTGATTTTTTATGCTCGAAATAAGTTTACGCCGAGGCTCACCAAAAGAGTGATTGGTTTAACTGGTTTATTGGGTTTGCAAGGTGCTATTGGCTGGTGGATGGTTAAATCTGGTTTGGATGAAGAGCAGTTAGCTGAAAGAAAGTCTAAACCAACGGTTTCGCAATATCGATTGACAACTCATTTGGGTGCTGCGTTCTTGATGTATCTTGCTGTATTGTACACTGCATTTGAAGTTCTCAATGAAAACAAACTTCTCACCATGATCAAAAAGGGCAAAGGTCAGGCTGTTGAGACCATTCTCAGCCAATTACAGAACCCGGCATTGAAAAACACCCGAATGATGGCTTTAGGGTTGCTAGTGTTGACATTTGTAACGGCAATGTCGGGTGGTATGGTTGCTGGTTTGGATGCTGGCTTGATATACAATACATTCCCACACATGGGTGATGATTGGGTTCCAAGCAAAAATGAGCTTATGTCAGATGTGTTTTCTCGTAAGCTGGATAAATCTGACTTGTTTTGGAGAAATTGTTTAGAAAACCCCACCACGGTGCAACTCATACATCGAATCTTTGCCACGACGACATTCTTTGCAGTGGTAGGTGCACACATGTATGTCAACAAAAGGAAAGCAATTATTCCCAAAACGGCAAAATCAATGATGCATGCCACAATGGGATTTGTGACATTGCAAGTCACATTGGGTATTACAACCTTGATTTATCTTGTTCCAATATCCTTGGCTGCTGCTCATCAAGCTGGAGCTTTGGCATTGTTAACAGCAGTGTTGGCGTTCTGTGCAAGATTAAAGAAACCTAGACCCGAGCTTGCTAGGTATGTAAGAAGCTTAATAACAAAAAGAGCAGTATGAGATTTGAACAGAGTATGTAAATAGATCAAACATGTAAATAGTATTTAAGCTCTAACAAATTCTACCATATACGTTTACTTGACATTTCATATCGCATGACTTTGGACAACCCTTCATCATCATTTTCGCCCCAAGGCAGCTCTTGTAGACTCCCATTCAACAATTGTTTATTTCGTTTCTCTTCTGGTGTATCTGGAACAATTTCATCGAGATCATACAAATGTGCTCGGGTGGTGGGATTTATAGTAGAGGGCTCTGTGTTGGGTGAGCCAGGAAGATATGATAGTTCTATTGGTGAAGACACAAAGCTAGAATCGTCAAATGCGTTGGTTGATGCTTGCCTTGGAGAGGGAGTTTTTTCAACGGGAGTGTGAATCGGGCTTGGGTGTATAACTCTTTTTGCAACCTGTTTTTGACGAGCTTTATGGGATTCAACCAACCTGCTGGCGATTTTAAAGATTAGCAACACCAAGATGATTCTGATCAATAATAGGGTGAATATTGTTGTCGTGAAAAACACAATGCTTGCCAACACGGTACGCACATTGGTGGAACATTGGATAATAAAAATTTGTTTGAAATCACCTATAGTCATTCTTAAGAAGCAAACGGCCGAAGCCAACAATGGCAATCCAATACGACGAGTCAAAACAATAAAATCGGTAAACTCGTGGCTTTTCCCTGATTCACTTTGCGAGCTCGTTTGAAATACTTGCATGAAATCCAAACAAGAAACGTACAAGAAATTGCGATACACTCGTGGTTTGATTTTATTGAACTTGGAAATAAAGCAATGTTTTAACCAATCAACAAATATTTCACTTCCAATTACAACCACTCCGGGACCGAAAATGGCACCCAACCAAATATTCCACTTTTTCCAGCTATCAGGGATTAGACCATGCGCTGAATTTAACTGTAACAAATTTCTCACCGCTATAATTGCCAACATTAGGGACAATTGGAATCGTTCTGATAAATCAGCCATTGTAATTTGAAACAATCCTTCTCGATCTAGTTTTTTAAAAACAGAGCTTTTCAACTCTGCAAATTGGTTGGAAAGTAGTAACGTTAGCAATGCATTGGAGTAAGAATTGGCTGCCACATTCAATGAAACACACTGGTAAATCAAGATGTACGCATGAAACGACAAGTAAAACACTGATATGAGATAGAAAGTAATAAACCTTCCCATTTGATCTAGGGGAGAAATGTGGAATAGGATATTGATGATATCCTGTCCAATAGAGGAACACAACTTTTCAGCAACCTCAAGCACTCCAAACATGACGTATAATTTAATATCAGCTTGTCCCCTTACATCATGATACATTTTAGAAATATCCAATTTCCCAGAAAACAACACAAACAACGCCAAAGCGATCAAACTTAAAGTAACAACATCTTTCTTTATTGAATTCAATTGATAAGCAAAGTTTTGTTTTGGGTTCTTGATGTAGGATATGATCACTTGCAGCATTACGAGAACGATTTTGATGGGAGCTAGTGTGAAAAGGGCAAGGAATGAATTGATACAAACAAATAATCCAAAAATCATAAACTTTTCCAAATACCATGGTATGATAAACATGTTGATCAACTCCTCATACGATTGGTTGTCGTGATGTTCACGTTCTGCTTTAGTGGCATTTTGATTCCTTGCAATAGAAAGTGTCGGCAAGTTGAGCTCCAATTGCACCAACCTGAGCAATGAGATCCCACTTTTCTCTCGCGACAAATCATTTAAGCCAATTTTGTGGAAATACTCTGAAATAGAGTTTCGTATCGACTGGTGTGGGGGGTCAAGTGACTTCTCATCTTCAAATGTGACACGTTGTGTCCTGGCTTGCGATTGTGTTTTGGCTTTGGCTATTACTTGAGTTGATAGCGATTTGCTTTTGGACTTTTTGTGACCAGGTATTTTTCCATGAAGACTACTCGTCAGTCGGTGTTTTCCCATTGATTCTTGAATCAAGTTCAAGAGAGCTGCTTTTTTATCCGCTTCACATAATCTTACATGAAGAAAAAATATCAATGTCGTGAAATATTGCAAATCAGCGTTTGGAAAATACGACACAGGGACACAACACCACAATTTATTTTTTGAGTGTTCTGCGGCAATCTCAGTTTGCTTCCACAGATGATGGCAAAGGGCATTCATTTGAGAGCAGTCTATTTTGGTGCCATTTCTTTTCGTGTTATGGGGATCGAAGACGGTTTGCAATTAGGAATTCTCTTCTTTTTTGGGGTGTATCCGACCAGATTCTACGTTTCTTGAGAAACAAAAGTGATTGTGAGTCAGTCAATCAAAAGAGTAAAAAGAGAGCATACAAGAGGATGTAAAGCTACTATCAAGTCGTCGATACCTATCAATTGGCTCAACAATTCAAAATTCCATTGGTGATTTGTAAAAATTAAGCGCCTACACTTTTAAATTTTGCTGCCCATTCTTTTTTTTTCTCGGTCTATCTCTCTCTCACTTTCAGAGTATCTATAATTATGGAGGAGTATAAATATCGTGCCCATCGAATATTGATATGCCCCCCTTTTCCATACCACTTCTCTTTCTCCTTTCTCTTTTCTCTTTTCTCTTTTTCTTACTTCGATAACCCTTTAGTTCTATTTACATGATTTTACTATTACTACGATTGAATTACTGTTTAAAACATCTTTCGCATAGCATAGTAAATCTATAACCCACTTAAACACAATAGTATCAAATCAATTCAATTAAAAGCATCACGCCCTGGGACGCCGCCGCCGCTCGCACACAACACCACATCCATTGAAGACAGTCACATAGTACACCACCATGGAGTTGATGACTGTTGAAAAGTTTTTACCGTATTTGGAACCGTATGCTAATAAGGAACTTCTAACACCAGCTGAAGCACTACAGTTGTCGTTGCTCATCACAGAATTGCTTGTTGACGACTATGTTGATTTTGGATTATTGAAGTTACTTTCCCGATTCTTAACCCAACAATCATATGATGAGATAATAGAAGAGAGGAATATCGAACATGAATGTGGCTATGCATTGTGCAACAATCAACCAAAACTGTTGGTTCGTAGGCTAAGTTTAAACAGTAACGGTACAACAACTGCACTGATGTCGGATGCTGGAGCGTCAACAAAGTACCAAATATACAACAGAAAACCATCAATTATACTACCAAATACTTACAAGAGTCAATATTGCTGCAAGGACCATTACCAAGCTAGTATTTTTTATCGCAATCAATTGTTAAATGAAGCTATATTTGCTCGCAAGGATATTATGGTGGTGCCACCATTTCAAGGTGGCAGGAATTGGTATGAAAATTCCATAACCTTGTTGGAGGAAGTTATCGCCAAACACAAGGAGTTGAAACAAGAAGGCAAGACAATGGCTGAAGTAGTGGCAATGATGAATGGTCTTAGTGTCACTGGAGATGAAATGAATGAAGATACAAACCAATTGATTAAGTTGATTGAGGATTTCGAAATTGTTGAAAAAGAAGTTGACCATCAACAAGTTATTGAGGGGAAAATACCTGAACAAGCTATAGAGAGTGATGGTGGTGATGTTGATGATGATGATGAAGATTCAAGTTTAGCGCATAACAAGATTGAAGGTTACATCACTACCAATAAGAGCTTTGGTGGGTATGTAGTTTGAAAACTTTACGACTATAACGAATCTATGAGTGATGCTCTTTATTCAATATCTATGTACAATTTTAGTCATGATCTCATTAATTTTCTTTCTCAACTCATTTCCAAACTCAAAATAAGGAAAACCACACGCTTTCAAGAAATCTCCCAACGTTTGGCCGCGACCAATTCTGTCTTCTGTGGGAAATTTATCCAAGACAAGATTGTTGACGTCACTTTTGAGTACAGTGGTGTTTGGTGGTGCGACAATTTCACTGTGTTTGAACACATTGAAGATTTTTAACTGATTAAGCAACTTGGTAAATCTTTCCACGTAGTCCTTGTATCCATCATTGTATCGATGTTGCAAACTTTGTTGCAACTCAGACAAGTCCAACTTTGAGTTTGATAAAACCTGCCTATACTTTGCTGTAATCTCATCAGACACTATGTCCAAGTCTTTGGTCCAATTAAACTGCTCTAAATCAATCTCCTCATTGACACCTCTGCCTTCCAATCTTTTTTGTTCAATCTCACAGAAAAGTTCAAACATTTCTTCCCCTTGACATAGATTCTCATAATATAGTCTTGGTTTCATCAACTCTTCGGCACCAAACCCACGACAACCTCTAATTGGATAACTTCCATCTTTACTCATATTCTCTTCTTCCAATTCATGCGTTGTCTCCCATACTTTCTTTATCCGAGACCACAAGACTTGCTGACGTATCAAATGTGCAATATGCTTACGTCCTGGCTTGTGCTTGAACGGAGATAATATGTACGGTAGTGGCACAGTTCCTGAATTGTTTTCCTTAGCCACTGCTTGATAAGGACCTTTCTCGTTAACAATGGTGGTAATTTTCTCCATGTTCATATCATTTAAATCAAACACGAGGGATGGAATAATGATCGACTCAATGTACTCTTTGTCAAAGGATTGATCAATGACTTTTTGAGTCAGTCCTTTTATTACATGATGTGAGTTGTACTGATTTCCCTCTGTTTGCAAAGTTTCTGGGGTATATGGTAAAAGGTGAGGATTGGGTATCTTTTCAGCATATTGTAGTTGGTTGAGATATCGTAGAATCAAAAACTGTCCATTTTTGAAAGCAGTTTCCAAACCTTCATTGATAAAGTCATCAACACTTCCACCCGTGGAAAGCGCTAGTTGCTTGCGTTTGGTTTTACCTCGTTTACGAGACGAAGCAAGCGAGCTTTCTCTGCCTCTTAGGGAACCGATTCGTTTCTCTTCCAATTCTTTGCGGTTTTGCAAAAATGATGCTCGACGTTGAGTCCACTCAAAATATTCCTTTCGATGTTGATGTACCCAGCTTGTAAGCTTGTCGTGGTTTCCTTTGGTCAAAGCATCATCTAGTACACTATTAAGCTTGATGCCCTTCATCAATGCTTGCGTCATTTGATATGTGTTGGTGTATTGCTTATTGAAGGATTCATACATGCCAACTTTGAACTCTTCGAACAATACTGAAGCATTCTCAATATTCAGCTTCTTAAGTCTATACGATTTTCGTAGTAGTTCCTTGTACAATTGACATATTGATCGTCGATAATCAGGATGTTGTATTAGCTTATTCACTGTTTGTGTCAAAGGGTTCATCGCAACATCGCCTGGGCAATGACGTCCTGTCCTGCAAGATTTTTTTCAAAATATATATCCGTCGCGACTCAGTCACCGCGATAAAACCTCCAAGATCCCTTAGATCAATACTGCTTTAGCAATGGCATGTCCTAAACCATTTGTGACCTCTTCAGTCCATAGTATACTAACTCCAACCCTAGCCACCAAAGAAATCCAAACAAGCAACCATAACCATTTTAAAGATCAAACTGGGCAAACTCACATATTTGCTCCCACTTGAAACGATAACACTAGACAATATACGTAATGGCCTAGCATTGGGCATAACTAACTCAGGCGGTATACCTACACAAGATGAAAACGAGGATATCAAACGTGAAAATAGGGAACAAGATCTAATGGATGAAGATAATATACCAGTACCTAAATCTGAATTTGAAGTAGTTGAGGATTTGAGGGAAGTTGATGGTACTACACAACACGTTGATCCTGAAGAACTAAGAATAGCTTTTCCAAGAGATAGATCCTCTCCTTATGCTAATGAATGGATTGAGTTGACAGAGGAGAATATAGACGAGGTTGAGTTTAAAGATTATGATATCTTGGCATTTACTACATCTACTCGTGACGATTTCGCCATTGTCGAAGCAGCATATGATGACTAAGCGTGAGGACGTACAAAGCGTATCCGCGATATTGACTCCGTTGCTTAGCTTCTTCAACTGCGCAAGCAAACTCTGTTTCTAAGGGTATCACGTTTTATATAGTGTTTCAAATATACAAATTTCAAGAAATGAAGATTACATTGCCAAAAGGAAAAGAAACGGTTCGGCTGCTAAATCTTTTTCCCACTGGTCTTTCTTATCCCGCCTGAATGCACTCTTGAACCTTGATTAGACATACCGCTGCCCAGACTTACTCGTGGTCTAGCAGATCGAGACTTGGTCATTCTCAAACTTCCATGACTAGTAGTAGGTGAGGCACCAGGTGACGAGGAAGACAACGTTGTACTTACAGTTCTGGTTGTAGTTGTAGTTGTAGTTTTAGTCAACAGTACCGGTTGTTGGTGGGCAGAGTTTGCAGATATCGAACGCAATACACGCCATTCGGAATTCTTGTTTTGTGGGGTCACTGATTGAGTTGGGGAGCTTTTGATCACATCTTGCATTACATTCTCATCGTCCGAATTGTTTATCATTTCAATACTAGGATTTTCCTGATCGTCTAATTCATCTTCTGGTTCTTCAAGATATTTTCTTGGTTGTCCAGGTGCATCTGCAGGTACTGCTGTTTGTATTTTAGATGCCAATGCTCCACTTATCTTACGTCTTCTAATTGGAGTTGCTGAAAAGGAAGAATCAACAACAAATGATGAATTGATCTGCAATTGATTTGATTGTTCAATTTGACTCTTTTTCTTTGCTTCCTTCATACGTTTCTTGAAATCATCATATGAACACAATGGGAACAAATTTCCAATAAATTCGTCCGGTCTATTGTCTAGTATCATTGTATGTCTCCAGTCTCTAAAATAGTTTTGATTGAGGTACAACCAATGTTGTTGTGGTCCAACAACCATCCCTGGTCTTATCATCCTCATGTATGCTATGCACTCATTAGCAGTAAATCCGTGAGTGTAGATTAAATGAGCTCCAATCAAGCAGCCAGTTCGTCCCAAACCTGCTTTACAATGCACAGCAATTTTGCCACCACGATTTATGACACATTCTGCTGCGCCAATGAATTTTTGTACATACTCGAGAGTGGGACAAGTTCCGTCGTCAAAAATCATATCAATGTGCAGTATACCCCTCTTTGTAAACTCTTTTGCATCGTATAGGTGCGAATTTAATCTGACAACTAATTGAACATTATTCCTGGTAAAGTAATCCAATACTTTTTTGAATGGCTCATTAAGTGCTGTGTGTTTCTTTTGTTGTGGTGATGCAAATGCAATAAAGTCCTTGGAGATAACATTGAAATCCCCTTGATCAACTCGTTCATATTGTTCATACTCTTCAAGATTAAACGAGGTCAAATCAATCATCCCTCTCTCCTTGGCTCTCCACATTCCATAAACAATATCCTGAATTGTAATTTCAAAATCAGCATTTGAGTAACCGGCATCTCTAAAGCTGGCAAATGGCACATCAAATTGAGCAATTGGTTGCAATACTTGATGAGGAGCCCAGGATTGGACCAAGATCATATAGCAACACAATATACAAGCGGCATTGGCTCTTTGCTTGGGGCATGTGGAACTATAAAACACCACTGCTTTACCTTGATTTTCATCATCGTTTAAGATATTATGCAAAACAACAGCAAATCGATAAAGATTGCTGATATTCAAGGGACCAAAATCCAAATGAAATGCGTTGTAGGGTAATGCATCTTCCACAGTAAAGTACACTAGATCCTTGGTGTCTGCTGGCGTATAGTCATATGCTCCAAGATAGATTCGATCTACGGGAAAGTTAGTATATCAACGGTTGTTTTCTAAATGGATCAATTGACATACTCTTTAAGAACTCAATGAGTGGTACTGTTACTTTATTTCGCCCCATTGAATACACTGAGTTGGTTTATGGGAATGAAGATGATAAAGACGATGGAGTTGGATGTGTAGTCTCCGATCAGTTGTTTTGATTTAGATGATAATAGCTTGAAATAAGAAGAAGGTGTCTTTGGGTTTGATTTGTTTTGTTTGTTGTTTTGTTTACATTATATCCCAATTGGGAAATAATTTACCACACCCACACGACCTTCTTTTTTGTTTTTGGCCGTTTTTTGCTGCAATCACAATATTCCTCGTTGCTATGGAGGAGGGGGGGAAGGGTTGATTGAATGAAATTGCAAATTTCAAACAAGGAAACAATCAAGTAAAGGTTGAGTGCAAACGAATAGATATCATGGTAAGTTTATTACTTCCCGAGCAAAATGCTTTTAACTACTCAAGTTACTAACTGATACATAGTCATCAAATTTGTACTCATTCTCATCAGATACCTTGTCTGAATTGAAAAAGTTTAGATTTGAAAGTGCCAGAGTCAATAAGCCTCAGGCATTGATTTGTATGTATGCCCACCAAGACAAAAAAGTATAAATCTATGGGTCCGATATTAACTTTTATTTCAAATTTAGATTTAATCGATAAGGAGTCCAATGAGATCAAGAAGCAAGAAGTTGAAGAGCTGATAGACTCATTAGAGTCATTAGTCGAAGAGCTTCCTGATAACAATCCTCGATACATATTATTGTCATATCCAATAAAGACTAGTGATGGTCGATTACAATCTCCGTTGGTCATGTTGTATTGGATCCCACCCACTACAAACCAGGCAAATAGAATGTTGTATGCCGGTGCTGTTGAACAGTTTAGAGATAAAGCTGGAGTATCAAAGTATGTACCTTGAGGAAGTGGTCATAATGAACTAGTTCGTATACTAACCCAATTTGCAATTTAGGTTAATCAAAGTTGAAGATGAAGATGATTTTGAAGATATTGAGGAACAATTAGTTTAATAATATTTAAATACTTGCATTCAAGAAGTGTATACTCTTCCCTGTATAGATGGTCCAACGTTTTAATATTTAATAGAACAACCCTATCAACTTTGTCGATATTTTGGGCATTTCAGTTAGCTTTTACTTTCTCTATCTTGAAATCTTTGTAGCCGGGTAAATAAGTACAAGTATAGGGTTGTTTGGTAGTGTACTCTTGCACAACTTCAAAAAAAAAAAAAAAATTTCACTTCTCTCTCCATGCAATGAAAAATTTTCATTCATCCTTACCATACTTTTTGATAAATCTTTTTCCTTCCACCACAGTCAACAAACCAACAATAAACATTCATCATGGGTCGTATGCATTCATCTGTATGTGAAAATTCATCAAGTATCAAACTGATACTCGGAAAGCACAAGTACAGGAGTTGTTTCGCGGTGAAGGGAGGGAAATAAAACGAACAGTGGATACACAGGAGTCTTGCCCAAAGTAAACGATTCGCCTACGGTAGACTTATACATACCAAGAATTGTTACTATATACGCTTTGAGTATTTGATAACCTGGACATTGTTTCGTTTTTGGGTTCAAAGAGGGAAGAGATGAGATAGGGAATTTGATTTTCTTGTCCTTTTCTACTTTCTTGTAACAAGACTCGAGGGGCGAAAGTCTGTTACTTTGAACGAAACAAGCTTCTTTTGAAAAGAAGCTTCCACTCCCTTGTCGAGCGTGTCTTCGTCAAAACACTTTTTCCTAGTTTCTTCCCTGACTCTCTGCGGGATCATGAATTACTAACATCTAATCTCTTCTAGGGTAAAGGTATTTCCTCATCTGCTATTCCATACTCAAGAAACGCACCATCATGGTTCAAATTGTCCAGTGACGATGTCGTTGAACAAGTTATCAAGTACGCAAGAAAAGGTTTGACTCCATCATCAATTGGTGTCATCTTGAGAGATGCTCACGGTGTTTCTCAAACCAAAGTTGTCACTGGTAACAAGATTTTAAGAATTTTGAAATCAAATGGTTTGGCTCCAGAAATTCCAGAAGATTTGTACTTTTTGATTAAAAAGGCTGTTTCAGTTAGAAAACATTTGGAAAGAAACAGAAAAGATAAAGATTCTAAATTCAGATTGATTTTGATTGAATCTAGAATCCACAGATTGGCTAGATACTACAGAACTGTTGCTGTCTTGCCACCAAACTGGAAATACGAATCTGCTACTGCTTCTGCTTTGGTTGCTTAAGCGAAGGGTGTTGCTATTCTTTTTCTTACCCTTTTTTTTTTGTAAACTTTATATTAATCAAATGTATTTCTTATAGCGAGTATCACTGTAGAATATATCTTATCAAGGGCAAGTAGGGAGCAGTATGGGATGTACTGCATCTATTTTTGAGGTTCTGCGCGAAGCACATCTCTCATATTAAAGATGTTTTGAAAAACTAGAAAGAGACAAACCTCTACGACGTCCACCCCACAAATGGATGCTATATCAGATAGAGTATTTACAGAGACGTCACTTGAGTCCACCACCAACGATGAGCCATCACTACTCACCATTATCCTTGACATTTCCCCCAAAGGATGGTACAATATCCGCAACTCCATATCTTTACAAGATGTAGCCAAATCTTTACTCGTGTTTTTAAATGGACATCTATCAATAAACAATTCCAATCAAGTGGCGTTTATTGCCAGTCTGCCTCATACTTCGAAATTCCTATATCCACATCCAACAAACGCCAATGCGGACAGTGGCATAACAAAATCCAAAATATCGCCAGGGATGTATCGACAATTTAAAAATGTTGATGAGGTTGTATTACAAGAATTGGATCAATTTGTTCAAGAAACGAGTCAACAGTTGCATAATGCCACTGCTAGACATTCGAGTATCACCGGTGCCATTAGTATGGCTCTAACTTACACGTATCGAATGTCAATCTTGGATCAATCAATACAAACAACTACGGCAGCAGCAATAAATACATCCACCATGAGTAGCGCTAAGCAGTCGGAAGTAGCAGCAGCATCATCTTCAACAACTGCCTCGACAACTAGTGCCACCGCGGCGGTTTCGTCATCTTCAACATCACTCAAATCACGTATTTTGATAGTTAGTGCCAACGATGGCGATGACAGCATAAATTATATCCCATTGATGAATTGCATCTTTACGGCTCAAAAGCTTAAAGTATCAATTGACGTTGCTAAATTGGGGTTCAAAAATTCATCCTATTTACAACAAGCCAGTGATGCAACCAATGGAGTATACTTACATATTGAAGATCCTCGAGGTATAACTCAAGTCCTAGCAACTGCATTCTTTATTGAACCAAGCTTGCGTCCCTATATCATTTTGCCAACAAATACACAAGTTAACTACAAAGCCAGTTGTTTCATCACTAAAAAACCAGTCGATGTTGGATTTGTTTGTTCAGTTTGTTTATGTATAATGAGCAGCATACCTGATGATGGCAAATGCCCTGCTTGTTCCAGTGATTTTGATAAACGAAGTATAAATGAATTGACTAAAATACCACAAGTCGTGACTAAAAAGAAACGCAAGTTGGAAGATGGAACTAATGGCAAAAATCAAACAGAAAGGTTAGTTGTTGATAGTTGAGGGAGATATTCCTTGAGATGTAATGCCGAATGGATAAGTTTTTGGATAGTTATGATGACTAACTAAATGATCAACTCTTGCATCAGATGAAGCAAACATTGTTTTACAATTTTCAGAAAAACATCGTAGAGCGCAACGCTTATCATCTTTATTGCCTCTTTGTAGTTGCAAGAATGGATTGTGATATTCATCAATGTGTAAATCCAATATATATCGTGATGGAAATATCTTTTCACAAGTTATACATTGATGTTCATGGAATGTAAGGAAATGATTTTGGAATCCATTATAGCCATAGATTACAACGAAGCAAAAGGGACAGTGTAATGGTGAAGTGTCAGATGCAATAAAGTTTGTTTCACTGCTGTTTTTATCACCATAATCAACCTCCTCTCGACTTCTCTTACCCATGTGGCTTCGTTGAGTGTAGAATTATGTTGACTGAAGCGTCTCTGTTTTCCATCAATGTCACATTTTCCAAACACATTCAAATTTAGCGTCATTGAGTTTTGTCACACGACAATGATATTCAATACATCCATCATACACCAATATATACAAACCCTTCTCCTACTTTATACACCTATATCCTCATTCCAACAATGTGGCTTCTCACTAATAAATTTTTGCAAAATTTCTTTACACCCTTCATCGTCCAAATTAACAACTTCAACTCCATTTTGCTTCAACAATGCTTCACCACCCATGAACGTTTCGTTTTCACCAACAACGACTCGCTTGATTCCATATAGCAATATGGCACCAGTGCACATTGAGCAAGGCGATAACGTAGTGTACATTGTACAATCACGATAAGTTGATGCCGGTAATCTACCAGCATGTTCCAAGACTGACATCTCACCATGCAATATAGCTGACCCTTTTTGTACTCTTTGGTTATGTCCTGTGGATAATAAAGTACCATCTGATTTGATTAAGCAACCGCCAATGGGGATACCACCTTCAGCAAATGATTTTTTAGCTTGTTCAAGAGCAATTTGCATACCCTTTTTATCGTCAAATGAAGAAGAAGAAGAAGAAGAAGAAGAAGAAGACATCTTTGTTGGAAGGTGTGAGTTACGATTGGCTATGATGAGTAATGTTGTGAGGTTCTGTTGATCTTTTAGTACCTTTATGTGAAATGGAAAGATAAGAACTGAAAATTTTGAGAATGAGATGATGATGGGTAAATCTCGGGTGTAAGAAAAGACAATTGAAGAGAGATCGTTACACAAAGTTCCCTTTTTCTTTACAACAACAATAGATTTCCTAATTGGGAAGAACGGAGCGGAAGTAACATCTTACCTTTTACATCAAAATTAACCAACCATAAGAATGCTAAGTGGGGGTAGCACAGTGGGACAGCTATGTATGATCTAGTAAAGTGTCAAGTAAAAAAATACAATTAATATTTTGCTAATAACATACAATTTGCTTGCATATTATTGCAAAATCAATAACCACCCTTTCATACTTTTCCCAACGTAATTCTGTAAACGTCAAACGATTGAAACAGTGAGCATTCTCTTAAAAGATGGCCAACTTCCTCTAGATGCAGTCCATCCTATCTAGCTACATTCACTGTTGGGTTATTTCTCAACTTTCATTGCTGGTACTCGAGCTAAAGGACAAAGACATTGTTACACAAAATTGTCTATTATTTTCCTAATTTCGCTTATCTTGGAGTACTGCATACAATCGCAATTGTTCTTTATATACCCATATCCTACACATATTAACCTGCCAACCTACAAATCCATAGCTTTGTTCATTTCACCTCTAGACTCAATTCTTCAATCATATCCTCAATTCTCACTTGTGACAAATTACAATCAACTTCAATCAACTTGCATTTATATTGCCCTTGTAGATCTCCCTCACAAACAATTCCCTTGCACTCCAAAGAAGAAATCTCAATCAACAATTCCAACTGTCGTGAAACCGACTTGATATAAATGTAGACTAATCGTTCTTTAATCGTATTCTCACCAAATTTGGCCCTCACTAGATCGATATTGGATGAATTAATCAATTTCAACTCATCAATTTGCTCAATTACAAATCCATCGTTGTTATCAACTTCTGAGTCAATTTGTATTTGCCATGAATTCAACATCAATTTGAACCGTAAATCCCATAGTGTAAGATACCCACGTTGTGTGCTAATCAATGCCCAACCGTTTTTATTCACACCCGTGATGAAGCTTGTAATTATGCCAAACGATAATGGATTTTGCAATACATATTGTCGATTCATGGTAATCATATCAATTACATTCACTTGCAGTTGATAATCAATGGCAAAAATGAAGTTTTCTATAGTTTCAACAAGAATAATAAATGAATCCAATTTGCATTTGCGAACTAGTGCTGGTTTCATAAATTTGATAATCTTGCCATTCTTGTTCCGGGCAAGTTCAATTCTCGATATGCGGATGTTCCCATCTCGAGTAGCAACAACAATACAATTCCGCATGTGCAAGAATGCTATTGAGGTGATTCGTGATTGCAAATCCAATGATTGATCAGCATGCTTGATTCGTGAGATATTGTCCAATTTAGAAATGTCCCATACTTGCAAACATCCATTTTCAGATCCGGTAACAAAAAAATCACCTTGAGGAGATCTAGTTAAACAAGTATATGCATCAATATCTTCACTTGTTCGATGTATGTTTAAATTGAACAAATTTAAAGTATTCAATTGGTTAACAACCTTGCCTTTCGTAAGTTTTTTACCAAATTCAATAAAATCATCAAGCGATGGAACAATTGTCAATGTATGCAAATAGTTCCAAATGAACGGATTAGCACCAGTGTATGTGTGCTTCATGTGACAAGTGATTACCCGACTCTCATCCACGTGATACGATTTATGAAACATCGTTGGGTCATTAACCCATGAACTCTTCGTCGCACTATCACGACTAGATTCCATCTTGCCAAACACGTTGGCTTCAATTGTTTGTACTGATGCAATAGCTCTTTCCATATTGGGTAATACCAACGTTTTATGCAGTGGCCGTGAATGATGGTGATGATCTAAACTTCTTATTGATACCGTGTCTTCCGATTTAACAACAACTTTGTTATCCCTTTGTCCCCTTACCGATGTCACTGGCTCCGATTTGAAGACAACATCAAGAAAAATATTTCGCGGGGTTAAGTTAATCAGTTCAAATTGAACTTGTTGAGGCCTGGCAATTCGACTAAGTCGATAAATATAACTCCTCAATACGAAAACTTTCCATAAAGACTTGTCATCTAACCCAATGGATTTGAGTTTGAGTAACCATTGTTTGTCTTCGGGGCTTAATGGTACATTTTCTTTACTTCTTCCACTATTATAGGACACAACAGCAGTGCTCAATTTCGGCATATAGACAGATTTGCCCATATTTTTTGAAAATGAAACAAATTTTTTGTTTGTGGCGACATTACCAGGACCATTGGATATCAATGAAAAACTCTTTTCTTGCCAAAATAACGATCTGTTTGTAAATGTCAATGCCCAAGTAATCATTGCATCAAACACCTGTTTACTCAATGGTCGAGTAAGACTTGGGTACAATGAGTTCCAATCAATTTCAAACACGTCGTATACCAAATAACCCTTGATCAATGGATACAAGAAACAATAACGATCAGCATCACTCAAGTTGTTACTGGTTGAGATAATCAACGTGATCAATGATTGTCGAATCCATTCATTTGGGTGTAGTAATAGATGAATTGAATTAGATAGCAACTCAGTACAAATTTCCAACGAGTTGAACTCCAATTTAGCATTGATCAATTTTTGCAGAACAAATGCGTTGAAAATGCGAAGCACTTTAAGGACAACAAATTGATCTCCTTCACCAACGGATTGTATTAGCAATGGAAGAATGTATTGTTCGAATGATAATGCACCAATATATGGTCCCATTTGCAACACTGCTGACAAGAAGGCCAATCGAAGCGTTGGATCAGGATCATTTAAATACGAAATCAAATGGGGTAAAATTATATCATTGGTTTTATCCCTACCGAAAAACTGACATAAGGGAAGAATGTTTTCAAGTAGGCTCACCTTGACTGCAGATTGTGCATCTGTAAGTAAACTCAATGTAATTTCTTTGAATTTTTGGTCTAATTGATCCTTGGACAAGTGGATAGTGGTCACTGACTTCATGACACTTTCTGGAAGTAGATTGGTGACATTAGCTGTACTGTTGACGCCACCTTGTTTAAACGCTTTTGACATTGACCAAAATTTTTTTGCAACAGTGGCGAGATACGGTAAGCACACAGCAATACAACTATTGATCAACCTTTGTGATTCCGAATCCATTTTCAACGCCAATAAATTGTTGACTTTGGTTAATAAATATTCAGGAAAGACAAGGACATTGATGGGGGTAATGTACGAACAAGACAACATTAAACTTGTGATTGAGTACAATGCTAAGCAAACAACTTTTGCTGACACATGCTCAAGTGAATGATATATTGAAGCTTCGATGTACTCATCCAATACAGAACACAAATATGGTAATGATCGATCTAGCTTTGATTCATCATTGATTTGTTCAGACAAGGCTAGTATTAACAAGCAACATTTTCTTTTCGATTCAGTTAATTTCGCTGTTTTCATCAATGATGTAATCAAGTTTATAATGATCAAAGACGCTTCACTTGCGTCGTTATCCACGTACTTTTTCGGTTGTATTCGGTAATTGTGGGGCATTGTGGGGAGATTCATCTTCATTGGAAGAATCGCCAACGAAGGCTCACACTCTTTGTAATTAAAGCCCAAAGATTGACTGATCTTGGAATAATTACCAAAAATGTAACTGATCTTCATATCGCTAGGAGTTTGATACTTGTCATTCTTGTTTTCTGGTGTGAAGTATTCCCGATCATTTATACCCTCCATAAATTCATACAAAAAGGTGTAAAAGAAATCTGGAAAACACACACTTCTGAACTCTTGCAACAATTCACGAGCACTAGCTCGTTCACCTGGATTTACTTTTAATAACTTCTTGATCAAGCTGACAATATGCGGATGTTGTATGCTTGACAAATCAGGCTCATATTCATTTTTCATGTACTTGAACAACTGAGATAATGTAAACACTGGCTCACCATCGCACCAAATTTCGGCAATAACACACCCTAAACTGAATAGGTCCATTTCATCAGTGACATTGTTTTTGAAATTAAATGAACCATCGTCATTATAGTTCAGAATATTTCTAGTGGCACTATTTTGACTATTGTAGAACCGTTCTGGGGCAATATAACACACCCTTCTTCCGGAACTGTCAAAGTAGAATGAAAATTGATTTGGATTGTCTTCGGGAATATACGTAGGCTTGATTAAATTGGCAAAGTCAGTAATAAGTACCCAATTCCACGAAGTTACAAGTATATTCTCCAATCGTAAATCACCATGATGTACATTCAATGAATGCAACTCACACACAATTTTCAACAACTGAAATGTAATGAATAGTTTCTCCACTTGTTCCAAAAATGGACGCAACGATAGTCGATCATATAGGTTGATCTTGGCCATTTCTCGAATCATGTATCCCGCTCGATCAGTTTCAATTAACTTATGCCACGTCAATATACTCTTGAATGGATATAACATAGACGATTCCTTGACCAAGTACTCTAGTACATCTTGTAGCTGCAAAGTGTAAGATGGTGTTGATGGTTTAATCAAAAGCTTGATAATGACAAAGTTACCTGTAGATTTATCAATAGCTTTAATGGTTTTTAGGAATCGTGAATTGTTGAGGAGCTCAACGTATTGGTAGTTCTCTAATGCATCAACGTATGACGATATGGCAATCGTAGGCGCTGATGGTGCCAACAATGACAACTTTTGGCCCATTCTGGCAGGTGGGTTTACTTTCGTGTTGTTAATTCTAGTTTGGAATCGCGGATAATAAGGTAAAAATAAAATCCCTAGCACAGTGCTAAGATCAACTTGAAAGACGTTTAGCTGGTTCTCGACACTACCAAACCCCACAGTCACGCTCTGTTCCAATGGAAAGTAGAGCGAACGACGACGAATTAAATTTTAGTCCGGCATTGCCCGTAGACGATATAAACACTGACCAAGATGTGTTACATTACTTACAAAATGTACGCAATGAAGCAAACACAATAAACCAGATCTTGTACCATGACAAGAGTGAGCATATTCATGTAGGTGAGGGTGAGTTATTTTTGACCCAGGAGTTGATTCTAGATGGTGACGTCGAGTTCGACGAATGGGCGCATCAATTGGTGATCAAATTCAAACTACTAAAGGAAAAGATACGATCTCAAGATACTGAATTGATATCCTACGACAACAAGTACTCACTCAAGTGGAAAACGGCATTTAAGCACTCACCGCCAGATATAAACTACGTTATCTATGCATTGGACAGGAAAATGTGTTTTGATATTCTAGTTGAATTAACCAAGAGACTAAGCATAACAATGAAAGAAACATTCGGCCAATGGATATGGAAATTGTTTTTGAAACTTGACAATCTCTTGGAAGCTAGTGAGTGTTCGATATTGAGAGAATTGGCCAAAACCGCAATGAAATTGAAGTCTAAATTGGACGAAAGTAGTACTGTGGAGAACTCAATAGCGAGATTTACTTTTGACATGATTGTTGTAATTGTTGGTACATATTATGGACAATCTGATTTGTTACGAGGGAGGTAAATGTAGGTGTAGAGTTGATATTGGTTTTGTTAATAGAGCTCTGTATATTCTATCGCCCACAAAAAATTTCAAAAAATTCATCCCTCACTCTCCATTGTACATCAACCCAATTATATCAGCAAAATGGCACCACAAGCAAGAGAAGATCTCGTTATTCCATACAAACACGTACCCGCCAAATCAAGAAAAGATGCAGGTAACGTCTTGGCCCAATCACTACCAATGGCCGCCATGTTTATGAGAAACAAGATGTTATCATGGGCCTCGGTGTTTTTAGCAGTTCAGTCTTACTTAAATGAACCAATCAACAGACCAGCTGACGAAGAAACTGGACAACAATCACCAGCATTGAGAGTTGTGTTTGCACTCGTATCGTTGATTACATGCTATATGGATATTATATTCCCCAGTACTAATCCGGCAGTTAAAAGGGCAGCTAAAGTTGTATCTGAAACTGCCACTGCTGCCACTGCTGCTGCCACTGCTACCGTCACCGCAAAGGCTTAGTTGAGGAGTACAATAGGCAACGGCTTGTCACGACCCTTTACAATTCTTCAAGCTGAAAACATTTTTGTATAGTCAATCTTTATACAATACTAATTATTACACTTTCTATTCCAATATATGACGCAGCTAGCATTTTCGACTCATGATCCCACCGTAAATCGCTTAGTCCTACAGTAGACTCCCGTTCTTCAGATTCCGCAATATCTGGTGTGTAAATAACAACACACCTAACAAAACTCTTGTCTTCATAACCATAACCCTCCAAATTGACATCCCATACAGATATCTTGCCAAAATCATCACCCACAGCTAGTAGTTTCCCATTTGGTGACAAGACACTATTGAATAATAGTACATCCTTTGAAACGTGGTGACGTAGATCAGCCGAGAAATTGTCTGCATTTTTGAACAATTCCGAACTTTTAATAGTTTCACCTGACTCGGCATCCCATATGTTTAAAATTCCCTCCATTGAAAGCGATGCTAGTATACTCTTCTCAGTATTTGGTATCCAATGTAATCCAATAATGGGTGAGCCATGTAATTTCAAACCTTGATTTTTTTCTGATTTGACATTTAAATCCAAAGACGTATGTGCTGATGAGCTACTCCATACTTTGATCTCATAGTCAAAATCAGAACAAGTAACCAAAAGCTTGGAAAATTCATTAAGCTTCATCAATGATATATGATTTTGATGTCCGGGTAAACTGCCAATCGGCTGCACTTCAAAACTATTGACGCCAACGTGTGGTTGTATTATATCGTATATCTTGATTCCCTGAGTTGCAGTTGTTAAAGCAAACTTGTCTTCACTTAGCCAACAAGCAGTCTGAACTGCACCAGCACCAGCAGCACCAGCAGCACCAGCAGCACCAGCAGAGTCATTTGGTTCCTCATTTTTAATTTGTCGTACTAATGATAGCGTCACTCCATCCCAAACTGTAGTATTATTGGCACTGTCAATGGTTATTACAAATTTACCCAGCTTATTCCATAAAATATTTGTAATGAGCGATTGTTTAATTTCATTCTCGGCATTGATATCTTCAAATACAGTGTTTGCGATATTCTTGAGCCTTCCGTCGGGAGACCATGCACGTATTTCACTGAATGCGCCAGCTGTAAGTAACAAATTTCCCAATGGAGACCAGGATACCATGTTAATCTCATTCTTGATATTTAGTAAATCAGGGTGATTGATCTCTACTGACTCAACAAATTTGCCGTCGTTTATCGCATTAATGATTGCACTGCCATTGGGCTTGCCATATGCTAGTACTTCACTAGTGGGATACCAATCGCAAGATAAACTAGATGAGAAGTCCAATAGTTTCGATACTTCTTTTGTTTCAAAACTGACATTATCTGGTCCATTATCAAGTTCCATATCATCCCCCTGCTTGCCATTCTCAACTTCCGATTTTAGTTGAAATCTCTTTTGATTCTTTGTCTTTGAAAAGTTGGTGTCACTCAAGTTGGTAATTTCTTGTTGTACAAGTGCACCTAATAACGTATAATCGCTATCGTCTTTGGCATCTGCTTCAGCAATAGTGTAGAGTATCCCCTTTTGTACTAGATCCACCAAACATCCAGGTGCTATCTTTTCAATTATCCTTTCATTCTCGGCATGTTCGTATTTCAGGCACTGTGACTGTCGGTCAAATGTGAATGCTGACAAATCATAGCCTGCTTCTTGAAAATATCGCCATATTAGATAATTCAACTCTTGGCTTGTAAGTGACATGTGAGTGTATCAATGTGAGGAAAGTATTATGTTTGGTGGGTTAATAGACAGGGTCTCTTTGTTGATGGTTTTTGAATTTTCTGGTGATAATTTTTCTCTCTTGTTTTTGTTTTCAGCCAGCATTGTCTCTTCTCTATATCACAATGAAGTAACGCTTTCGTAATGACAACACGCAACTAAACTAACCTTAAGCAAGAGCATTTTTTTCATGGCATTGTATTTTGTTGTAGCAATTTGCAATATAACCAACCCAAAAGAGGACTGCACTGCGTCTTTTCCTACGATTTCAGCAAATTTTGATCCATTTTGGACACCAAACAATAATTCTCTAAACGCAAGATACTTGTTATATTATAGCAAGGATATAACAGGGTGAGACGTCAACTGCACTCTTCTCTTTCCACAGTCACAGTCTTGCTGTTTCTACTTTTCGTCTGTTTTGCTTTCTCTGTGAGTTTTAGTTTCATGATTCTCTCTCTGTTTCATTTTTCCACACAAAATTGGCCAACGGAAAGAGATCGACATTTATACACAATCAAACTGTCAATTGCTTCCAACCAACTATAACTACGACGCCCTACCCCAACCATGAACAGAGGTAGAAATAGACAAAGCAGAGCAGTCTGGAAGAACCAGGATGGTCGAGCCAACAATCCTTACGCTGCCAATAACAACTTGGCTCGCACAGAAACGAATCGAAGTTACCTCACAATGTCGGGGCAAGATGGCGCCAATCAGAGAGGAGCAACTGGACCTAGCTCCAACCTGTTGCAAGTGCCGAATCCATATGGCGACATGCATAACGCCAATGGGAACCAAAAACAAAATAGGCGATACAGTATCCATTACGCAGCCCATCAGCAGCATCGTCGTTCTTTTTCACAAACGGGTGCTGCCGTTGCTGCTGCTGCAACCGGCACCGGATCAGGGTTTGGCTCATCAGGAGCTCCACAATTACCAGGATTACCTACGGCACCCAATGCTTTACGCGGTGATGATAGACCAACAACCATTGAGCAAAAAATTTCCAAGGAATTGGGAAACGGTTCAGCAGCTGAAGTTGACGATTATTACAAGACATTGAAGAAACAAAACCAAATAATTACTAGAGACATCAAGGAAAATATTAACCAAAATCAAAAGAATATTTTAGAGTTGACCAAAGATTTAAAAGAAACGCAAGAGGAGTTGGTAAATATGAGAGTCACTGCTAAGGATTTGTTTGAAGTTCTTGATGATTTCAAAGATGCTGCTGAGCGTCGACTAAAATTGGAGTTTGACGCACCTCAACAACTGCAACAGCAGCAACAACTGCCACATCTGCCTACAAAGCAACTGTCCTTACGTCCAACGACTAACCAAAAAGATCGATCATCAATACTTGTACTTGAGAAAATGTGGGCTAAAGAAATCCAATCATTATTCAAACATGTCGATGGAGCATCTAAATTTATTCAACCAATACCGGGTAGACATGTTTTGGCAGAAAGTGGTAGATGGCATGAAGTCAATGTGGGTACATGGAAACCAAGTAATGCTGGGCATTTATTCATTTTGAATGATTTGATCTTGATCGCCACAAGAAAGCCACTAGGTGGTGGCAGTGGAGGCGGTGTTCATTCCAGTGACAAGTCTAGTGCTGAAGGTAAAGGAAGTAAGTTGCAAGCTATACAATGTTTGCCAATAATTCAAGTATCATTGAGTCAAGTCAAGCCACCGAAAAGTGACAATTCGTTGTATTTTATCAACATCAAGACCAAGTCTCTCAGTTATGTTTACTCCACTGATAGGTATGATCACTTGGTCAAGATTGTTGATGCATTCAACAAGGGTAAGAATGAGGTTGTTCATGCGAAAAGGTTAGAAAATGGAGCCAAGAATATAGATCAAAATGGTGATGAGTCCAAAGAGGAGAAACGTCAATTGCGTGAATCATTGAGACATTCAGGTTCTTATAATGACGGACAGGGAGTTGTCGATGACCAAAGTAAGCGTCTCAGTGGACCTGGTGGTATTGCCAGTCCTACTCGTACATCAAATTCCCACAAACGATCATCATCTGATTTTGTGTTGGATGATATTAGTGCTAGAGTACATTCGAGGAATCGATCGCAAGATATGGGTCAAACTATGAAAGTGGCGAACAGTAGTGGGAAATCGCTGATATTTATTGAAATCAAACGTGTTGAAGACAAATTAGATGATGTTGATGTACACATATCTCAAAATGAATACGTTGGAGCTGTAGAGCTATTGGATCAAATTGAATCAAAGATTCGCACAATTGAAAACAAGTTGAATAAACAAAAAGTTCAATCAGGTGGTGCTGATATGGGTGATGAGGCATTATTGCTCGATGTCTCAAAATTAAAAATATCCAATAGAAAACAAGATTTGATTAAAAATTTGTTATTCGACTTACAAAATAACATATCACGATTCCCGTCACGAGCCATTGGTGATTTACTCCATTTGTTTGATAATTTGAATGAACTACAAACTGGTATTCAAGCATACTTGAACTCAACCTCGCTTTACCTCTCAACAATGGTTTCGAAATTGATTGTTGGACTACAAGGAAGTACCAAAGTTGATGTTGTCAACTATTTATCCAATTTAGTAGTGGTTAATGTTGCCATTGTCAAACGAACAGTTGGGACATACAATACCGAAGTCAAAGCCATTATTGAACAAAGTCCCAATAGTAACAATGTTGATTCATCGGGGTTGGTGGATTGGTGTGCTGAAGAATTTAGTAAATTGTTCAAACAAATAAAAAGACATCTTTATGGCACCTTGTTGATTGTTGATAATGGAGGACAATTGGAACAAGAGGATGAATTGGGAGTTAGTCATACGCAGTATCGAATAAAAGATGAGAATTTATATGCTCAGTTTGCTGATGTTTTGGAAAATCAATTGAATGAATTGAAAACTGTGGGGATCAATGTTGATTTCATTTTCGACTCCATATTAAATATCAAGCAAACAACTACTTTATAGATTCAAGAGTATCAAGCTGTTTAAAATTTCATGTTTATTCACCAGCAAATAATACACACAAAGTAAATATTTTTGAAATGTTGTTGTTTCTATCGCATCTATAATTTATCATAAAGAAGCATCAAATCATAATGCTCTCTAAAATACGCACCTCTTTTCTTCAAATAAAGCAATATCAAGGTAGCAACAATCAAGATTCCCGCCAAGATACTAAACAAAATACCAGGTCCAATAGCTCTCAACAAAGGTTCAACAATAAACGTAGCCACTGCCCCTAAAATTTGACGAATCAAATTATTCAATGCTACTCCAGTAGCCCCCTTTCCAGGCAACGTATCCACCAAGTATGTCACCGTAGCTCCAATCACCAACATTGAAGCAAATCCACAAATGGCAGTTCCAATCAACGGAACAAGCCAAAACTCACCATACTTGATAGTCCATCCAAATATGAGACAAGCAATGGGATACAAAATACAAGCAAGGACAATATTCCACGAAATACGTGATTCCGGAACTAATTCACCATGTTTTTCGGCATACTTGTTCAACAAGTAATCATTCCATCGACCACCAATCATTGATGCGGCGAAATAAGTGACTGAGTTGGGGATATACATCAACCCAACAATGATTTGCGAGAAATTGTATGGTGATTTGGAATATTCATAGGAGATGGCCATATTGAAGAAATAAATCAATGCAAATGAAATACCGGAGAATAAAATGACTAGTATAACTGGTGGGTGTTTGAGTAAGATTGTTGAATGTAGTGGACGAATGATCAAATCATAGGCGTTGGTTTTGAAATTAGCCCATTTATCGGGTCGTCCTTCATTTGCAGCATCATCGCCCGGGGTCAATGTGTTGCGCGATGCCACTCGTGAGGGTACATTCGACGCTGATCGACGTACTTCTTCGGAAATATACTGTTGTTGTAATCTTCGAGAATAGGTTGATCTATTTGTAGTTAAACGTGATAGGGTGGGCATAACGGGATCCATTACTGGACAGTCATCGTCAGCATCTTCAAAATGGGAGTTTACAGATGCTGCTACTGAGCGTCTGCTGAGATTTGTTGCAATTCGTTGTAATTCTGTATCAGATATTGGCTTTGGCTCGTGTGATTTCTGCTGCTTTTGTTTACGCTCTTGGTCTGATAAGCTACCTCCACTAAGAGAGCCATTATCCTCTTCATCACCGAGCGCAGACAAATCACTCTTTTCATCATCTTCATTTGGGTCTTGTTGATTTTGCATCATTGCTCTGATGGCTTGTAAATTGTCAACTTTCCGAAGCGTCTCTGGCAAAAGAAAAGTCATTGATAGCAAATTACACCCAGCAAAAATCAACAACAACCACTGTGTTGCTCTCCAGCCCCATGCTTGAGAAACAGCACCACCCAAGATGGGTGCCATAAATGGACCCATTAAAGGACCAAGATAATACCATCCCATTGCTACACCTCTTTCGTGCGGAGCAAACAAATCGGCAATTGTTCCTGCACCAACAGCTTGAACTGAGGCAGAGGACCCACCTTGCAACACACGCAACACAATCAATGCGGAAATATTGGGAGATAATGCAGTTCCAATTGAAAATGCCACAAAAAACACAAAACTGACTAGATAAACCGAACGTCTTCCGAATCGTTCACTAAATGAAGACCACCAAAGCGGGAAAATACCCAACGAGAGTAAATATACACCAACAGAAACATTGACTTCGGAATTGGTTGTATGTAGCTTATCAACAATATCATCAATTGCTGGCAACATAATTGAAGTTCCCATGGGACCAGTCACTGAAGCCAAAGCAATAATAGTTACAATCAAATACTTGATCTTATTCGGGTATTCTCGAGCATCACGATACTCCGGCACAATCACCAATTGTGCTAATAATCCACGTTTTTCCTTCATGGGAACACGAAGTGATTTTTTCGATCCCGAGGTTGCCGTTGATTGTTGTCTAGTCACTTGTGATCGTTGTCTTTCTAAATCTTCAAATGAAGATACACTTTGTTCCAAGTCGGCCAAGGGGCCAAGTATAGGATTTGGTGGTTCATGTGCATCTGCAAATTGTTGTCTTGAACTTCTTCGTGAATTGTTACTATGACGTGATTCCTGATGATGAATATGAGGTGGGAATGCAGTATAAGGTGAGTTTGCTGGATACACAGGTGAATCTGATCGATTCAATGGTTTCACTTGGTGCAGATCACGAGAATCATTTTGTTGGGATTCTGATGAAGCTATTGAAGTATTGTCGGGGCCACCACCATCTTCATCACTGGTTTTATGTAGACTATTAGGAAGGTGTGTCTTTTCCTCGTTGTTTGATGAACTAGAACTAGGAGACATAATTGTACGTGGAGTTGTGAGTTTAATATGCTAAATTGAAGTATATGAGCTCAAACGACAAACCATGTAACAAAATATGTAGATGACTGTTGAATAAGTAAGTGTGAATAGTTGTGATTATGGAGACAAGGACAACCATGTAAATGTATAGTGTCTTTTCTATATAACCGAAAGAAGCACTGGTGTTTGAAAAAAGGGAATGATATATACTTCCAAGCGGCTAATGAAATACAAAAGAATATGGTGGGGTTGAATTTCAGTCACACTTTCACTGTTTCTCTCTTTGAAAAACTTTGCGGCTTCCCTTTTTGTCCTTTCTATTGCTTATGTACCAAGAATTGAGTGGATGCAGCGCAGTGTCTAAAATCTTAAAATGTCACACGCGTTGAAAGCTTTTCTTTGATTTAAGGTTGTAAAGAATAAGAATAGCTGTTTGGCGGATTGGAAGATTGGTTGAATGGAAGAAGGGAAGTCTTATAATAATATTAAAAAAATTTTCACTCAAAAAAAAAAAAACGGCTGTCCCTTTTGAAGTATTTTTTTTAATTATTTTGTAAAGAACTGTTGGGTATATATATATATATATAAAGAGTCGATGGTATTATACTTTGTAAATTGCTTAGTATACGGAACAATAAAGAAGGTTACATAACCAAATAAAAGCGATAAATAGATAGTGGAGTATATGAAGGCATATGAAAAAAAAAAAAAAAAAAAAAAACTCCTTTAGCGCCGTGGTTTAGGGTTAATCTAATATTATATTTTTAGTTCCGATATATTCCAAATGTTCCCAGGAGATATTACGATTCTTACTCCCCTTTTTACAACATCCATCTCATTCAAATGATTCACAAGTACTAAAACACAAACGTACGTTTCTCTGTTATTCAAACGGATCTAATTCAACGAAATCAACGTTGATATAACACAGTGAAATGGTAATTCATCAAACGTCTTTATAAAAAATAATAATTTTGCAAAATCTAAAGTAGTTGAAGACCCTTATTGTGTAGTTATCCGCTTACTTGGCATAGAGCAGGAAGTACCTTCAATGGATCAATAGCCCCATTTTGCAAGAGTATTCAGCGTCGTTTAAGAAGGTGAAAGTTGCAACTGCAGCATGTTTCTTTTTGTGACGTGTGTGTCCCTAGTGACACAATTGTATACACACATCAGTATGAGTGTGCAACCCTCTCACTGACAAAATACCTCCATCAAAGCGACCATCGATGAGGGATTTTCCAACGACGGTATGCTTTGTCTCTGCTTGTACCCATGTTTCCCTTTATGGCAACCTTTGACGGTCTTACGGCTAGTAAAACTTTTGTTTTGTTGTGGTAGTAAGGCTCATGTTTCCAATATGGTTTTTGTTACTGAAACGAATAATTGCTCCAAAAATCACGGGCATAACTTTCTTATCGCCGACAATGAGCACAGTGTCTCAAAAATCAATGGCATATAATAGCTAGTCGCGACACTACTTGCAATAAATTAGCGAGTGAAATTTAAATATAACACTTCCCTATCCACCAATCAACAAGGTCGCGGAGTATTGGCATGAGTATATAACGAGAAACCAAAGGATTCCGCACTGTCGCTTTCTATCAAAGTTGATGTAGTCCAACGGGATATAGTATTCATGTCCTCATAAAAAACAAATTGTCACGTGCAGATATTCACAACAAAAAAAGAGACTGTTTCCGGTCCATCCCCACCAAAAAAATCACATAATCATCAATTTAGTGAAGCAGAAGTACACTAACTTTCAATTCACCAACGACATTATATACCCTAGGTATACAACTCATTGCACTGGCATCACATCTGTACCAGCATCACCTACCATGAGCATACGACATACATGGCCAGTGATTATTGTCAGGACGGCGATAATCATACCAGTATTTGTCATTGGTTGTTTAGCAATAGTATTAACGCAATTGGTGGGTCTATTCATATTCAAAAACAATCCATCTTCCAAACAAGCAGTCATCAATGAAACCAAGACCCATTTTGTCATATTACTTGCTGGTCTTACTTCAATTATAAACCCATGTAAATTTGCCATCACAATAGATACAAATTCAGTTCCTCATGGTTCATCATTCAATGTTGATTCGAGTAACCACATTCATACTTTGCTTCAACCAAATTCCGTCATTATTTCTAATCACCAAATTTATACTGATTGGTTGTTTCTTTGGTTTTTGACGTATACTTCACATTTAAGTAATGCCGTCTACATTATTCTTAAAGATTTATCCAAGATCCCCATTTTAGGGTACGGTATGAAGAATTACAATTTCCTTTTCCTTTCAAGAAAATGGGAACATGATAAAGTTGTATTGACTAATCAATTGTTGGAGATTGATGCTAACGCCAGAGGACATGGGCCTGCAAATGGGTATAGACTCTTGTCATCCACTGACAAAGAAGTCAAGAAATGGCCTCAGGGAGTTGATAACTCCAAGATTTGGCCATACGAACTTATATTGTTTCCTGAGGGAACGGTGCCCTCCGATAGAACCACCAAAAAGTCAGCTGAATATATCGCATCAAAAGGTTTGCCACCATTAAAACATGTTTTGTTGCCTCGTATCAGAGGTTTATACTTGGCATTACAGAAATTGCGCAATACAGTCGAAGTGGTGTATGATGTAACAACGGCATATTCAGGTTTGAAAGAAGATGAGTATGGAGAATTGGTCTTTTCGTTGAAGAAATTTTATTTAAAGGGTCATGGACCACCAGTGGTTAATTATTTTATCAAGGGTTATAAGTTAAAAGACATACCATTGGGTAAAGAAGAACTAGATTCCACTGTTGAAGCTAGTGATGAAGATTTACAAAAATTTGAAGATTGGTTATTGAAGATTTGGTATGAGAAGGATCAATTGATGGATAATTTTTACAAAACTGGTAAATGGGGTATAAAAGATGATACACAAACGAAATTGATTGTTGGTGATTTCAAATTAAAGAATCACTTTGAATTTTTGAAACCGTTTATTGTATTGCTTACTGTGTTGTTGTTGAGCTATACTTTTTTATCCTTGGGTTACACCTTGACATTTGGACGTAAATAAGAAGATCTTTAGATCTTTAAATCTATAGATTAAAACAACATAGAAAGATATAGAAGCTGAAAACTTTTCTTTGTTTCATTGTGGTTTGGTCTGTTTGAAGTTTGTTTTTGCTTCGCAGAATGAAACTCTTCACTTTTCGTTTTTGTACAACTCTTTGGTTTGTTGCAAAAAATATTGTACTTGACATTAGCAGTGTTTCATATATGTGATGGATAGCTACACAACTTTGCATGATATGTCTAGACCCATTGCACATCTCATTATATTAAAGCAAGCTACATCTCCCACATTCCTCAGCGCAGGCCCCTCTTATTTTCCTCTATAAAAACAAAACAACTCCCCATCCTCAATGTTTATCATATCTAAAGGTGTCATTCTACTAACCATAATCATCCAATTCACCGCTACGGTATTGCTTGTGTTTTTGTTACTTGGGTGTGTCGACACTTCATCAAGCTACTCCAACGTATATTTATTCAACTACAAGTTCAATTCATCGTCATTATTGTATCAACATTTGACGCTTGATTTAAATTCCACAAATAGTACCACTTCCACCACTACATCTATTTTGGGTGCAGACTTGTCTACAATCTCTGTCAAAGTTGGTTACTTGGCGTTTTGCATATCATCGGAAGAACTCGAACAATGTATATCCAATGCCAATCTTGCAAACATCCCCCAAATGTCAGTCACATTTCTAGAAACCAAATTTGATTTACTAAACATTGCCCAAACGTTTCACAATTCAATAGTCCATTCACATTTACTAATGGCATCAATAATCCTCACATTGACCATACTTGTAATTTTATGTTACTTGATTTTACCCGTTAGCTTTGGTGCAGTAGTGGTCAAGAAAATTGGACTTGTCTTGACGTTCATCAACATGATACTTTGGGGGTTGGGTAGTATGTTGCAGCACCAACTGGTTAATGCCACCACCAAGTTGATGAGTGGTGTTAGTTTTGAGATTGTTGAAGTTGGTAGAGGACAACGAGCAGAGACAATGACGTGGGTGGCCTTTAGTTTTTTGATTGTGGTGTTTTTGAGTTTTGTAATGATGAATTATGTTGCCATGAAGAGTTTGAAAAAGAAAGGTGGTGGTGGCGAAGAGAAGAAGGGGGTGATTATGGAAAAAGTATAAAGGTTAGTAATAGTTTATAAAATACCATGCAAAATGTATGAACAAGTGAAGTTCAATGGAGTCTAGAGCAAACTCAAACTTACCTCTCTACATGGCACTCGCAACGAACAAGCAAATTGTATAATCGATATCCTATTAAATTAAAAAAACTGGTATCAAACGAGTTTCTCTCCCCCCAATAGCTATGTTTTTACTCCTCTCCACTTCTCAAAGATTCTTGTACGAATGATGCTTTGTATGCTTAACTTGGGCTAATCCAACAGTTTTGTCTTCCAAATCAATTGAAACATAAGCACTTCTCAAGAAATTATCGCCCAACCTAGCATCACCATCATGATCACTACTACTTCTCAAAATGGTTAATCCACAATGATTCTTTTCATGATCAGGTACATGATCCTTAATCTTTTTCAAACGATCAACAAAATGATTCAATGGAGCCACAATGCTAGTGTCTTTGTCGAAATTGAAAGTAACGTAGCCTCTCTTTTTACCACGATTCTTGCAATCGACAACGTATACTCCCAATTTATCCGAGTATGATCCGTTCAAGGAGTCTGAAATCCCTTCAATAACGTTTCGGGGCAAGTATGTGAACTTGGAACCAGAATCAATGATGGCATCAGTATCATTCTTGAAATCTTTGCCTGAAAATGAAATTGACTGCAATGGCACTGCCAATTTATCACCAGAAACTTTAAACTTGGTCAAGTTTCCCGAGTACTTGTCTTCATCAATACCTCCAAATAAGATTTGTCCTGATTTTTTCTCCTTGTCCGGTAAATACAATGAATATCCAGCTTTACCAATTATACCTTGCTTCTTCAAATTGTATACAAAGTTGTCATAAGTTGAATTATCCTTTGTCTCTTCATCATCCTTCAATCCAATACCCAACACTCCCATCTTGGCTGATGACTTATCAGCAACAACAAATCGTTGGTTAGAAACTGTCTTTTTACCAATGCGTACTGTATCTTCAACATAAGTTCCCGAAACAGTTGTGTCATCAGCATACTCAATATTAAATTCGTCATTCAATTTCTTTGCCGTCTTGGATTTGTCGAGTGAATAGGTTCCTTCGCTTCTGCATTTGGAACCGTCAAGACACTTGGTTTCAGGACTTGGTACCCACAAGTCACTTGATCCAGTATCAACAATAACTTTAACTTTTTTCTTTTTGGATCCAATCTTAAGCTCGGTGGTGTAAAAATTCTTTCTCCGTTTCCAATTGGTCTTGATATGGTCTCTCTTGGTTAAGTCTTCGGCGACGTTGGTATCAGCCAAGTCGCGATCAACAATGAAGTCATGGTATGAAATTTGGAAATCAACGGGAAGGACTTTATTGTTGCAATTGGCAGCAATGGCTGCACCTTGACACTGCGATGCTAAAAGTGATGTCAACAAGACGTTTTGGATTATAGTAGTGATCTGGACCATGGTATGAATTGATTAATGAGTACCGAACTAAAAAACTTTGGAGGGTGGGATTGACCATCCCATTTTATATTCAACTTCAAAAGGGGTGGAGGGTGTATCATTGCATTTGGGTATCACGTCATTATACCCGTTCATACCGTTCACAGGTCACACCCACAACGGCACTCGAATATATGTCACTCGTTCAGTACTTGCAGGTTTTGCTAATTACACCATACATTTACACAATGCATATAACAATTACGGAGTCACAAATACCAAATTCGGCCCATAAATAAGTTGCATTTTGAACCCAAAATCGGTAACATAAAATTCAAAACCACAATTTTTAAATAACGCATAATGCATTGGATCACACACACCCCTTCTCAGAATCATGTATAATATGCCAACTCCATTATTCGGAACTTCCGTACTTCCAAAAATAGCTTGCAGTCACAATGGTACGATGTGCAAAGACAAGTAGTACATATCATAACGCATTCTTGTAGTACCATTGAAGCCGAAATAAATGACCTCTCGGTGTATTTTAATGGGAGAGCGGAATCATTTTACCCTTCCCTTCCATTTACGGTGCTTTCGTGAAATAGCTTGCCCTCTCTTACTTAAGCCTTCTTTTACCTGTCAAATTAATCGTAATTATGGATGCAACCTGGTACACTTTTAGGGGGGGGGGCTTCAAATTTTGTAGCCGTTGTAAGCCAAAACAAACTCTGACAATTGCTTCACTCTATTCGTAAGAATTACTCTGTCCAATTGTTGTGAATAACTATGTTCAGCTTAGCTCCAGAATAATTGGAATTCCGTGGCCGTGACAATCATGTAGTGTTCTTCGTCTCCAGTCAATTTCAAACTGTTAAATTGACCATCGAAATAGAACACAATTCTATACCTTGATGATGTTACATAGCAAGTAATGATATATTTATTAACAAGATAAAATTGTTCTGGTGTGGTTTGCAAATTTAATAAATGAGCAAAACGACACCGAAACAACGAAGAATGTTTATCTGGCACTTTACGTGGATGATCTCGTCATCGCAGATCAGACGTCTTGAATACAAGTAGACGTATAGTAGAATAATACATTTTGTTTTGACTTAACAAAGTCGCATCACTAATCGCGTTTCCAAAGCCCGAGCCAAAACATCAAGTCAACCATAGAACATGTGATCAACACTATAGGAGATCAATTCCCATGGACAACTCTTTCTGGCTTGTAATGTGAATGTACCATAACACGAATCAATGAGAGCGAGTACCGTTAATTCAATCTCACATCAGCATAGATGGTACACTCACCGGCATATAGGTACGAAACAAACACTGCCGGTTTAAACTTCATGAAATTAACAAAAAGAAAATGCCCCAAGGAATTGAGTGGCCAGTTAAGATTTCCTTTTTTGTACTCTTTTTTTGTTTTGGGTTTTGAATTCAAAAGTGTTTCAGTGATTACACGACCCTTTTATGTAGTGAACTCTATTTTGCTGTCGATGTTTTATCTTATATTTTGTATAAAGTTGCAAAAAATCAATCATAGCTGAGGAGGGAGTATCTACAAGCTTTGTTGAAGCTTTCCCCTTTTCCTTGGTATCATCTTCCGCCTAAGTACATGAAACGCGTAAACCTATATATCGAGAAATCTTTTGCGGCTGAACCTCGTTTCATAAAAAGAAGATTTTTGTAGCAATTTGGCGCAAACAATTCAAAGTTATAGATACGTCCTGAGACACTTATGACACATCACACCCAATGGCCCACTTACACTTTTCCCGCTACCCTGGAGAAGTACGAGCTTCTCCAATAGTGGCAAGATTGCCTTTAAATGTAACCACATGCTCGCCCCTTCTCCATCGCTACCATAAACGTGACTAGCACATGACTAGCACATGACTTTTCAGAAAATTTGGTGAAATCGATTTCCACCATTTCTCGATTTTTCAAAAATTTACAATTTTTTTGTTTAGCTTTTGGTGTATTTACTACACAGTCACTTCAACAATTGCATACATTCATTCCAATTTCACGTATCAACACTCTTTCTACAATATTGGAAGAAATGTCGTATACAGCACAGCTAGATGCGTTTGTGTCGCGACTCAATGAGAGTACTGATTATACCGCTAAACATGCAATTTTGTCAGAATTATTGGATACAATTGAACAATTCAGTGGTGCTACTGAGTATGAGTACTTTTTGAAAAACCTTGTACCGATTTTTTTGAAAGAGCTTGAGGAAGTACCCATTTCTTACATCTCAACAAGTCCAGAACAGAAGTTGAGGAATAGCACTTTGGAAATAATACACAGATTGATTATGAATGAAACTTTCCAACCATTTGCAGAACAAATTTTGGACGCGTTGACAAAAATCTTGGTGGAGGAGAATGAAGATAATGGTGTTTTATGCATGAAGATAATCACAAGTTTACAGAAGGCTTATAAAGCCACATTGGCAGAGAAGGTACAACCGTTTTTGGAGGTGATACAGAAAATATACGACAATATGGATCAAACTGTACAACAAACTTTCTCAGAGGAAACGTCTGCCAATGAAAACAAGGAGGATGCAAATGATGATCAAGACATGTCACCAACCAACTCCTTCAATGAGGACGCTCCAACAAAAACGTTGAGTAAAGCCATGTACTCATTCAAAACGTTGGCCGAATGTCCAATTACAATGGTATCATTATACTCATCCAACAAACAACTAGTTGCACCATCACTTCCGCACTTTTTGCCAAAAATCATGCACATTCTCCAACTACAAGTTAAACAACAAGAGCAATATCGTCAAGAATCAAAAGACCAGATTGTCACTTCGATATCTCCGGAAATTAAAAATAGACAAGCTTATAGTGAGTTCATCTTGGGACAAGTTAAAGCAGCATCGTTTTTGGCGTATGTGTTTATTAGAGGGTATGCTAATCAATACTTGAAACCAGAGGAGAGTGCATGCATCCCTGATGTAATACTTCGATTATTACAGGACTGCCCTGCTGAGTTGTCTATCGCAAGAAAGGAACTACTTCATGCAACTAGGCATATACTATCAACACCATTCAGAACTCAATTTATTCCGAAATTGGGTTTACTTTTTGACGAAAAAATATTGATTGGTGATGGTTTAACGTCGTATGAAACTTTGAGACCATTGGCTTACTCAATGGTTGCCGATTTCATCCACAATGTACGAGACGAGTTGACTCCTGCACAAATATGGTCCACCGTCACTATATACTCGGGATTGTTGAAGGACGAATCATTGCCAATGTCGGTGCAAATAATGAGTGCCAAGTTGCTATTGAACCTAGTGGAAAAGATCATGACTCTTTCCAATAAATTAGAGGGTAGGCAATTATTTCTCATCATTATCGATGCGTACGCTAAGCGTTTTAAGAACTTGGACCGCAAATACGATTACATTATAGCCAAGCATGACGAATACGAATTGAAAAAGCTCGGTAGAGAAAGGGATTCGAAAAGGGCAATTGAGAGATACTCATCCAAACGGAATCAAGTTCAAAAAGAGGAAATTGCTGACGCTGAGAACGACCAAATGGATGTCGCTAAAGCGGAAGCATGCGAGGAAGCAGATCCACAGGTTGACAAGACACTCGGCTTAAACATATACAACATAGATTCATATTTTCCCATCGCATCGGTTCCAACCCCCAATACTACGGACGTATTAAAGGATGCAAGGTACCTTTTTCGTACTTTGATGCAATTTTTAAAATCAATCGTGTTTGGGTTGAAGCATTGTAACCCACCAGTACCCCCACAACCAGTCATCACTGATCCAACTAAACAGCAACAGGTAAATTACGACAAGTGGAATGACTCAGCTAAACTCATCTCAGTTGAAGAAGTTAACATTCTTCGCTCATTGTTTCGAGGTGGAGTCAGTTGTCTTCGTTACTTTTCAGTGTCAAAACCTAAACCCACAATTTCACAAAAGGCATTTGATTTCTCAACTGGTGGTCCTAATTTACCAATTACCTCTTCCAAGGATGAAAAAGATTTGATGGAGATTTTTGCAACTATATTCATAAACATTGATCCTGCCTCATTTAACGAGATTGTGAGCTCTGAATTGCCGTTCATGTTTAAGTCCATGTTGGAGAATGCAGCATTGTTACATTTGCCTCAGTTTTTCCTTGCAAGTGAAGTTACATCAGCAAATTTTTCGAGTATTTTGATTTCCTTTTTGAAGGATAATTTGAATCAACTTGGAAATGCCGATATGATAAAATCAAACATTCTTATACGACTTTTCAAGTTGTGTTTCATGTCAGTCAATTTGTTCCCTACTACTAATGAAGGGGTCTTGCTTCCGCATTTGAACTATCTTATATTAGAGTCATTGAAGCTCGGTACAAAAGCAGAAGAACCAATTGTGTATTCTTATCTTGTGAGAATATTGTTCAGAAGTATTAGTGGTGGCAAGTTTGAAAATCTATATAAAGAAATCATGCCAATATTGCCAGTGTTATTGGAGAATTTGAACAAAATGATCGCCAATGCCCAAAGACCCTACGAAAGAGACATTTATGTTGAGTTGTGTTTGACTATCCCCGTTAGGTTGGCAGTGTTAGTGCCGCATCTTAGTTATTTGACAAGACCACTTGTCTATGCTTTGAATGGGCCACAAGAGTTGGTTAGTCAAGGTATGCGTATATTTGAGCTATGTGTTGACAATTTGACTGCTGAATATTTTGATCCAATAATTGAGCCTGTCGCTGATGAAATAATGACGGCCTTGTGGAAACACTTGGAGCCAGTGCCATATCATCATCAACATAGTCACACAGCTATTCGAATTTTAGGTAAGTTAGGTGGCCGAAACCATCGCAAAATCAAATCTCACGAAAACTTGATCACCAAATCTGAAGCAAATCAAGAGATCAAGGCGTTGGTTCAAGTGTATGGCTTGAATGATTCTGTACCGGTATCAGTGACTCCAGGTATTGAATCTGCCATCAAGTTGTTGGACGACCCACGGTTGAAAATCCATTATAGAATCAGTGCCTTTAAGTACTTGACGAGTATTTTGAAGTTGTTCATCAATACCACTCCAATTCCAGACAATTTTGTCCAGTATGCACAAGAGAGCGTCGAGTTCTTGAAAAAAGAGAAACCTGAAGATGTCAATATACCATTGGCACCACTGGATATCAAAGATGCAGAGAAACTTGACCTCCAACAACAACTTTTTGCGAAATTGCTCGAGATGTTGTTTTTTTCAGTATCGATACCTGAGTTGCGGGATGAGGCAGGTGCACTAATCGATGGATTGACGACTCATTTCACATTACTACATTTAAGCACTTCTGTGGTTGACAAGATTCGAAAGGAGCGCAATTTTTCAGTTAACGATAACGAAGGAAAAGCATACATTAGCGAGAATGCATTTCTCAATGCTATCACGTACTCTTTGAGTTTTTGGGACAAAGATGTTAGAGCTAAAGGTGTTGATGCTGTGAAAAGGATTTATGAAACTACTGTGACTACCTTTGGCTCCGAGGAAAACGCATTATACTCGGATATTTTCAGATCAATGTTTTACAAATTTACTCATTGCTGCTACAATGAATTCTACCACACCAAATTAGGTGGCATAATCGGGTTGAAAACCATGTTTCATGACTTGAACATTCCTTCAAGCTGGTTCCATCAGAGACAATTTGAATTGGTGCGTGCTGTTTTCTTTATATTAAGGGATACACCAGACACTGCGCCATTTGAAGTCCGTCACTCAGCTAAAGAATTGGTCCTTGAGTTATTAAGGGCATGCAACAAGGACATTACAAAAGAAATTGTTTTGGAGAAACCTTTTCAGACTCTTGTTGGCGCATTGATTTATGACTTGGCTAGTCCAACTCCAATGGTCAGAGAAGTTGCACAGGAATGTTTGCAAGTTTTGTCCGACGTGACTTCTACATCTACAGCCACTCTCATGGGACCATGTAAGCATTTATTGTTGACACCGATTTTTGGAAAGCCTCTTCGTGCTTTGCCTTTTCCTATGCAGATTGGTAACATTGATGCTATTACATTTTGTTTGGGCTTGCCAGATACGTTTTTAAGCTTTAACGAAGAGTTGAATAGATTGCTTTTGGAGGCTTTGGCATTGGTTGATGCTGAAGATGAATCTTTGGCAAATGTTCATCGTTTGAATGAGTACCGCACCTCAAACCAATTAGTTGAGTTGCGAGTAGTTTGTATCAAACTCCTTTCATTAGCGTTGTCGAAACCTGACTTTTCAATTGGATCACTAGGTGAAGCGAGGATCAGAATTTTGGGTGTATTCTTCAAAGCTTTATGCAACAACTCCACAAAGATCATAAATGCTGCTCACCAAGGGTTGGCTTCTAGCTTACAAGAGAATGCCAAATTGCCAAAAGAGTTGTTACAAAATGGACTTCGTCCAATGCTTATGAACTTGTCTGATCACAAGAAATTGACTGTTTCCGGCTTGGAAGCCTTAGCTAGGTTGTTAGAGCTTTTGATTTCCTATTTCCGTGTTGAAATTGGACGGAAATTGTTGGATCATTTAATGGCATGGGCGCAGATCAATACTTTGAGACAAACTGCTGGACAAAACCTCGACAATAACCATACTGTTCAAATTGTAATGGCCATTTTGAACATATTCCATTTGTTACCAGCTAAGGCATACACTTTCATGGAAGAAATCATCAATACGTTGCAGTATTTGGAAGGACATTTAGATCGTCATCAAGATTCACCTTTCAGAAAACCAATATCGAAGTTTCTTAACAGGTTTGCTGAAAACTGTGTAGAATACTTGATTAACAACTTCAAAAACAGAAAGCTAGGAAACATGCTTGCATCGATAACCGGGATGGATGGATGCGAAAATTTGAGAAAGCACGCAGAACAGAATATCCAAGTTTTGGTTGATGATGTTACTTCAGAGTCTGACCCTGAAACAAAGGTTGTCAAATTCGCTAATATCGTTGATTTGATTGAAGCAATTGCAAAACACGACACTGAATGGTTCAATGGCCAAAAACAATTGTTGACAACTTTGTCCCAGGTTCTTGTGGAAATACACGATATAAGTGTGGCACCTATTTTGTCATCAGCTCATTTCCGGAGTAGCCAAGCTATTGAAAAGTTACAGCAATTAATTGTCACCTTTACAAAAGCCAACATGGACGAAACGGACTTGATCTTTTCCGTTGTTAATCTTCATAGCAAATTGAAATATGAGATTTCCACCGTGTTTGAAGATTTTATTTTCAACGATATTGTGGCATCAAACGATTTAGATTTGAAAATAATGTACCTTAACAAGACTGTTGACTTCATAAACGAACCAGAGCCATGCTTGAAAGCCAAGATCTTTTTCCTCAAGCGAGTTTTCGGCCCAATATTTGTGTATGAGCACGTCAAGAGTGGGGATCTTGTGCACGTATTTGAAAAGGAGACCGTATGGTTACAGAAACTAGATAACAGTGTTTGGAAATCTCAGGATGATATTATTGATAACCACACCTCTGGAACTATTGATGGTTATAGGTCAGCACTATTAGAAAGTACAGCATTATTGCTCCACTTGGCGCCAACGTACATCAGTGAATTGCGCAAGGATATCATCAAGTTCAGTTGGAATTATATCAAACTTGATGACAACATCACTAAACAAATTGCATATGTTACAACTGCGTACTTTATTGCTGCGTATGATACTCCTGGTAAATTGGCCACACAAGTATTTGTAGCTTTGTTGAGAACACATCAGACTGACTCGAGGCATTTGGTGAGACAAGCATTGGACATTTTGGCACCAGTGATGTCAAAGAGAATGAAGGATGCCGATTCACCGGATAGTTGGTTGAAATGGCCGCGTCGAATTCTCTCCGAAGATGGCTTCAATGTCACTCAAGTTCTAAATGTTTATCAATTCATTGTCCAACATCCCGATTTGTTTTTCGTTGCTAGAGAGCACTTCATATCCAATATCATTACTGCTATGGGCAAGTTGACTATTTTGGCTAACCCGGCACTTGAAAATCAACTTTTAGCTATAGATTTGGCTGAATTGGTCTTATACTGGGAAAGAAAAGCAAAGCAGGTTGCAAAGGGGGAGAAGTCTACTGAAGAGGAGTCTACAGAGCCTGCTGAGTTTGAACCTGATGTCAAAACTGATACTGATTTCACCACTGCTCCTAACTACACCATACCTTTTGGTCAAAGGGAGGCATGCGTAACATTTTTGATTAGATATGTTTGCATCAGCCCTCAAAGGGCATCAGAAAGTGAATTGGGTCAAAAGGCTTTGGGTATTTTGTATGATTTGCTAAGCCCCGAGCATTGGTCGGAAGTTGCTGTGAAATTGAGCTTTTTTGAAAAGTTTTTGCTTTCCAATAATTTGAACTCGAGTAATTTACTTGGATACTGTTTGAACGCATTGGAAGTGTTGGGAGTTGTTTTGGAGTGGAAAGATCCCGAATGGATAGTGTCAAATTTGAGCTACTTACAAAAATTGCTCGAAAAGTGTATCAAGTCAGATAATCACGACATCCAGGAAATATTGCAACGAATCTTGTGTATTATATTGGAAGCTATTAATCTGCAAAAAGGTGCTGAAGAAGACGATGAAGAGGAAGACGATGTCAAAGAATTTATCAACTTGTTGACTACTTCAGTCTCCGAAGATTTGGGCGATATGCCATCGTTTGCTGCTGGTGTAACTCTATCATGGACTTTAGCACAATATAAACCAGCAATTTTGGATCCATTATTACCCACAATAATGAAAACATTCAGTAAGCTATGCAAAGATCACATTACTATAACACATCAGGGCACCCAATCTACATCAAAGGACAGTGCTAGCGCAGAATTCGAGGCAAAAATGACGACCAAGTTGTTGGAAAAGATTCTTAATTTATGTTCAATGAGAATATCTAACCTTGGTGACCAGCGCCGTATCTTTTTGTCATTGTTGGCGCAGTTGATAGAGCGTAGTTTGGATAAAAGCACGCTTGAAAAGATTATCAAAATAGTGAAGAATTGGGTTTTCTCAAGAACAGATTTATTCCCTACAACGAAGGAAAAAGCTGCTATTTTGTCGAAAATGATGGTTTTCGAGGTCAGAGGTGAACCAACCTTGTCCAAAGAATTTTATCAGATCATTGTTGAAATCTTTGAAGACGATTCGTTCAGCTGTAGTGAGTTGACAGTTCGAATGGAACAGCCATTCATGGTAGGTACAAGGTCTGTTGATGTTTCAATCAGACGGAAATTGATGTCTATATTGAACAACAGTTTGGAAAAAGATGTGACAAAAAGGTTATACTATGTTATAAGAGAGCAGAATTGGGAATACTTGGCTGATTACCCTTGGTTAAATCAAGCTTTGCAGATCTTGTTTGGAGCATTCAATTTCGAAAACAAGATCGAGTTTGTTGAAGATGAAAATAAATTAGCTCCAATCGAGGCATTCAAATTCCCAGACTCCGACTCAATGGAAGTGGATTCGAATGAAAAATTGAATGAATTGCTCGAAACCCATACAAAATTTTTGCAAACAATGAATGATGTTAAAGCAAAAGACGTATTCGAACCTTTAATTGATTTGTTTTACCAAAGTAGTGAAACGGTTCACAGGACCTGGTCGGTAATTTTCCCGATTGCATTTCAGTCAATACCCAGATCAGAACATTTGGACTTTACGAGATATTTGGTCATACTTCTATCTAAGGATTATCATACTCGTCAAATAGATTTGCGTCCTAATGTGATTCAATGTTTACTTGAGGGAATTGCTCGCTGTTATACACTACAACTTCCACCATTCGCAATAGAGTGCCTTGCAGCTAACTTTGATGCTTGGTCTCAAGGGCTTCAACTATTGGAAAATATTAATGAGGATGCTGTTAATGCAAACCCCGATGTAAGGGAAGTTGTACAAGATGCGTTGTTGAAGTTGTATGCTACCTTGAAGGAGGATGATATGTTTTATGGCCTTTGGAGAAGAAGAGCCAAATACAATGAAACGATCAGTGCGTTGTCTTATGAGCAGATCGGTCTCTGGGACAAGGCGCAGCAGTTGTATGAATCAGCACAAATCAAGGCTCGCAGTGGGTCATTGCCTTACGGGGAAGCTGAATATGCATTATGGGAAGATCATTGGATTTTGTGCTCGGAGAAACTACAACAATGGGATATTCTCACTGACTTGGCAAGACACGAAGGATTTTCTGATTTATTATTAGAATGTGGATGGAGAGTTGCTGACTGGTATAATGATAGGGAGACGTTGGATCAAACGGTCAAGAACGTTATGGATGTTCCTACACCTCGACGTCAAGTATTTCAAACATTTTTGTGTCTACAAGGTTTTGGCCAAGAGAAGGAAACTTTGCAAGACTTGTCCAAATTATGTGATGAGGGTATTCAACTTGCACTCAGGAAATGGTATGGCTTACCAAGACGGTTCACCAATGCTCATATTCCATTGCTTCACACATTTCAACAATATGTCGAGTTTATGGAAGCTAGTCAAGTGTATTCGAGCTTGGTTACTACAAATGCACAAAACTTGGATGTGAAATCACAAGAATTGAAACGAGTCTTGCAAGTGTGGCGCGAAAGATTGCCCAACATTTGGGATGACATCAATATATGGAACGACTTGGTCACCTGGCGTCAACATGCCTTTCAAGTCATCAACAAAGTTTATATGCCATTTATTCCAGTGTTGCAACAATCAAACTCAGGAAGCAATGCAAACTCATACGCGTATCGTGGCTTTCATGAAATTGCTTGGGTCATTAATAGATTTGCTCATGTAGCAAGAAAACATAATATGCCTGATGTTTGCATAAAGGAGTTAACAAGAATCTACCAATTGCCAAACATTGAAATTCAGGAAGCGTTTTTGAAATTGAAGGAGCAAGTCAAGTGCCACTATCAGAATCCTAATGAGCTCAACACAGGTCTTGATGTGATTAGCAACACCAACTTGGTTTACTTTGCAACACAGCAAAAGGCAGAGTTCTTTACCCTCAAGGGAATGTTTTTGAATAAATTGAACCAAAAAGATGAGGCTAATAAGGCATTTGCTACATCCGTTCAGATTGATCTCAATTTGCCAAAAGCGTGGGCCGAATGGGGAACATTCAATGACCGCCGTTTCAAGGAAAATCCAAGTGACATGGTATACGCCAACAACGCCATCAGTTGTTACTTACAAGCGGCAGGGTTGTATAAGAACGGAAAGACCAGAAAACTTTTGGCTCGCATCCTATGGTTAATCAGTTTGGACGACGCATCTGGAACGTTGGCACAAGCGTTTGAAAATTTCCGCGGAGAAGTTCCTGTATGGTATTGGATTACATTCATTCCACAATTGCTTACCTCATTATCCCACAGAGAGGCTAAATTGGCCAAGCAAATATTGGTAAGAATAGCCAAAAGTTATCCCCAAGCGTTGCACTTTCAATTGCGTACAACAAGGGAAGACCTTGCCGCACAACAGCGTCAAGCTATTGAAATTGCCCGTCAAAAAGCTGCCGCCGCTGCAGCTGCAGCCACAGCTACAGCCACACCCACAGCTAATATGGCAACAAGTCAGACTCCAAATGAAGGGGATAAAGAGAATGGTAAAGCAGAGAATGAAGCTGAGTCACAGAATGGAGGGGCACAATCACCTCCTCCAGCAGAAGTGACCTCATCGCAGTCACCATCGCAACCAAATTCGCAACCGATTCAGCCACCATCCCGTCCACAGTCACAGTCACAATCTCAGTCACAATCCCAATCTCAAAACTCTGTCTCTATTACAGTGCCTCCAGCTGTTCGTCAACCTTTGGAGCACGTGGAGGAAATTATGGCTATTTTAAAAACGGCTTATCCATTATTGGCATTGTCGTTAGAGTCATTGGTTGATCAAATTAATCAGAGATTCAAGTGTACAGCAGATGAGGATGCATACAGGCTTGGGGTAGCATTGCTCAATGATGGAGTTCAATATTTGAATAGACTAGGTAACCCCAAGGATGATGCCAAATTGCCACCAATAACCGAAGCCAATATAACAAGATTCGCCGAAACGGTTTTACCCAAGCAAATTCGAGCTGAATTTGAAAAAGATTTGGTTCACTCGAAACCTAACTTGGAAACCTACATAACCAAGTTGAGAAAGTGGAGAGATAGATTAGAAGACAAGTTGGATAGAAGATTCACCCAGGTCAATTTGGAAAACTTGTGTCCTCACTTGAGTGAGTTCCATCATCAAAAATTTGAAGAGATTGAAATCCCTGGACAGTATTTGTTAAACAAGGATAATAATAGCCATTTTGTCAAGATTGAAAGATTTTTGCCCACCGTGGATTTGGCTCGGGGTACAAGTGCTTGCTACAAGAGATTGAGAATTAGGGGCCACGATGGAAGTTTGCATACATTTGCAGTCCAATTTCCAGCTGCTCGTCATTGTCGTCGCGAAGAATCAGTGTTTCAATTGTTTAGAATTTTCAACGACAGCATTTCAAGACGAGTCGAAACTAGAAGAAGGGATATTCAATTCACTTTGCCAATTGCTGTTCCACTTTCCCCACATATCAGAATTGTTAATGACGACGTCAACGATATCACCTTGCAAAGAATTTATGAAGATTATTGCAAAAAAAATGGAAAGAGTCGCGACGAGCCATTTATTTACACGGTGGAGAAATTGAGAGCAGCATTTGATCATAGATTACCCAAACCTGATTTGGCAAGCATACGTGTTGAAATCTTGAGCGCTATTCAAACGTTGCTTGTGCCTTCCACTGTTTTGAAGGAATATTTTTTGCAACTTTACCTTCGATTCGATGATTTTTGGTTGTTCCGCAAGCAGTTTACTTCACAGTATGCGTCTTTTATATTCACAACATTTATGATGTGTGTTAATGCAAGACAACCACAAAAGATTCATGTGAACAAGGGTTCAGGAAACGTTTGGACCTCGGATATGTTGCCTTGCAAAATGCCAAATAGACAGCATGACAACAACAATCCTCAGCCTAAACCGACACCGATGTTTGTCAATGCCGAGCAAGTTCCATTTAGGTTAACACCAAATATCCAAAAGTTGATTGGTGACAGTGGTTTGGAAGGTATTTTGGCGGTGTATGTTTTGTGCATTGCTAGGGCATTGTTGGAACCCGAAGCAGATTTGGAACAATATTTGACACTTTACGTCAGAGATGAGGCTATATCATGGATAGCTCAAGGTGGAGGAGATAGAAGTGGCACTGTTTCAGGTCAAGATAATCAACTACGTGATGTTGTCAAATTGAATGTTGATAGTATCATCAAAAGAGTAATGACAATGGGTCACGTGTCTCCTAATGGGGGAGTTGCTACTCAGAATGTATTGGAGTTGATCTCACAAGCTGTAAATCCTCGAAACTTGGCAGCAGCTGATACTTTATGGATGGCATATTTTTAGCCGTCAAGATAGAGCTGTATTAGTAAAAGACTAATTTGTGTATTAGAAGAAAATGTATTATAATTTATGTGTTTTGAAAATCAAAAGTACTTTTCCTGCTGTTGCTGAAACTTTTCAATAGAATCTGTACTTATCACCCCAATTTTCAGCTTTTCAGCTTTGAGATGTCTTCTATCTACTTTGTTGGTGATATATTCCAAAGCCCGTTCACAAACAACAACTAAAGAAAACACGGTCGCGGTTGCTAATATGGAAAACGTCATGGCAAGAATAATAAATACGTTGATGTACACTTCAACACTTGTCTTTGTTGGCGTTGTTTTCCCACGCTGTTTTTCAATCTGGTACATCTTTCCCGCTCTCAAGCTATGAATGACCGCAATAATGTTCAACACTGTGCCTCCCAACTCCAACAAAAATGAGCAAAACAAACATCTCAATGAAACCAATGTAGGTATGGTGCTTGAACATAGGGGTAAAATGGACGCATTGATCGTAAACTAGAAAAGTTAGTACGATCTATTGTAGTGATAGACAAATTGTCATACATACCATAATCAAAGTGTAGATGCATGATATGAGACACATTGCGGGTCTGTTTTCAATTTCCTCCAACGGTACACAAGCATATATTAGAATATATTGAACCAAAAGAAAGGTAAAATAAACTCGAAATAAGTTTTTAAAGATGGGCAAATTGTAAATGCTTGCAATGTCATTAATCACCACATTATTACCCACATTGATCCTTTGCCCTTGTGGCATTGGGGGGTCAAATAAAACGTTATGAACCATGTTTGAAGGAGCAGAAATGACGCATTTATTCAAATGTGTACACTTGAGATGGTGGGTATATCTGCTCAGGCTGAAGTGGTTAAGTATACTCTCTTATATTAAAATCGACAAAGTTTTGGGATCTGCTTGATAAAAGATGTGGGATTCTGGTATCAGGGAAGGGAAATTTGTTAACTTTTTAGCCTCAGCATATACTTTCCTACTTTGAATCAAAGCATATCAAATAATCGCCATACTCAATGGACAAGGAATCAAGAAACAACCGAAAAATAAAGTGACTAGACTGTCAAAATGACTGCGAAACACAAATCAGCGTTATATCTGAGACCTTATAGGTTTGATTGAGGTTGGTCTGTAGTTTGAGGAATTGGTGGCGTCCAGGGATTATCCTTTCTACTTAGCACCAATTTCTGATACAAGTCCCTCTCTAATTTAGGAAACACTTTGTTACTCCATTGTACACCTTCGCTTATCCAACAACCCCAACTTCCCATCATATTGGCCATCACCATGTCAGTGAATAATCGGTCACCAACAACAACCACTTCATTGGGTTTGATGTTTTGGTCGGCAAAATAGTGTTTGATTTCATCCAAACAACCGGGTTTTTTTACGGAATGACGAAGTACACTGACACCTGTATTCTCTTCCAAAGTCTTTGCTTGCGCATGATTTTTATCATCGTCGGTCCCAGCAGAATTGCTGACAATGAGTATATGCTCACGTGGATAAAGTGACTTGAGTTTCAGCCACGTTGCCTAGGGAAATAGTTAATATCATTGTGAAATGGGAACACTGGGATCAACATACATCGTAGTCTGGCCACACCTTGTCATCGTGGTCCTTTGCGAAGCAATTATCTTTGTCCAATACAACTCCCTTTATCTTGACATCTGGATGCGTAGGTATTTGAAATGGAAGAGCCAATTGGTCAAATGATTTGAAAGTTATGTGAGGGAGGCATAAGCCGGGATTGTATAATAATCTGGTGATGTTTAAAGTTGCACTGAGATTGAGGGAAGGAGCCATTGATACTGCCGGTGGATGGATGGATGGAAGCAAGAAAGAATTATTCTTCGACCGCGACTGATGGAAAAAAACGTGGGTGGTAAAATTTCACGCTACGCCAGAAGTGAATCTCAATACTCATCGTACAATACACAATGAGTAACAACGACAACAAGAACTCAAACACTGCCACTTCCAAGACATCTCTGAACATGTCAAGGGTTAGCAGGGGTGGCAAGCAAGTTACCGGTGGATCTCGAGTTGGATACAGAAAGAGAGGTCCAACTGATTCATTGCAGCAGAGTCATCAAGAGATTAACGATATCCCTGAATCACAGCAATGTTTGATTTGTGCAGAACGTATCACCTATGCCGCGTTGACACCATGTAATCATACAACATGTCATAAATGTACATTTCGCCAGCGAGCTTTGTATGAAAAGAATAATTGTCTCATATGTCGAAGTGAAAATGATAGGATTGTCATTACTGAGCAAGTAGATAAAGGGTACGACGAAATTGGGGTCACTGATATTGTAGCCTTTGACGAAAAATATCGAGTCGGGTTTACACAAGAGTATGTCGAACAGGACACTCTTCGATTGTTGAAAAATGAGTGTCAGATTTGTGGTGAAAATTTTCCCACATTTAAGGAATTGGGCGACCACGCTAAGGATTCCCACGGGAAATACTACTGCTTAATCTGTTCAAGACACAAAAAGGCATTCAAGGTCGAACTTCCTGTTTTTACTTACAAGCAATTGCAGAAACATCAATCACAAGGAGATACAACTGGATTCAAGGGCCATCCTGAATGCAAGCATTGTCAGGGGAAAAGATTCTACTCAGAAGACGAGTTGAATATACATATTCGTGACCGCCATGAACGGTGTCACATTTGTGATCAGACTACACCCAAGACTGCTGATTATTATAGAAATTATGATGCATTGTATCTGCATTTTAGTAGAGTCCATTATGTATGCACAGTTCCATCTTGTGTGGAAAAGAGGTTTGTTGTGTTTAGGGACGATTTGGATTTAACGGCTCATATGTTGAAAGAACATGGTGGGCTAAACAATGGGCAACGTGTGGTTATTGGTTCTAATTCATATCATCAGCATAGTGGTCATTTTAGTCAATTATCTACATTCAACAATTCTCGCTGGTTATCATCAAATGAAGATCAAGATGAAGACCAACAATCCCCTGAGATCAAAAAGAGGCGTTTTGAAGAGAGGGCCAAACATTATTTGAATTATGATAATGCAAAATATCAGGAGTTTACCAAAATCAACGAACTATTTTCCAAAAAGAAAATCAATGCTAGTGAGTTGTTATCTCTTTATCAAAAAGATTTATTCATCCATCAATCTTTGGAAGACTTGAACTTTTTATTCAAAGAGTTTCTTGAATTCTTCCCTAAAACGAGTGACTTGTACAAAGATTTGTTGACACTTGTAGTGGAAGAGAATGAAAACAATCCCACAGAACAATTCCCAGTTTTGGGTGGATCAAATGCCGCTAATGCGTTCACGTCAAACGGATGGATTGGTGGTGGTGGTAGTGGAAGCGCTGCTGGATCGAGTAGGAACAGTGGGGCATCAACACCGGTTGATAGATTCCCACCATTGAAGAAACCAGAGAAAGTAAAGTATGTCAATCCCAACGAACAACCGATACGATACTCAACGGTTCTTAAAAAAAGCAAACCAAAGGCAGTGTCGGTTAACAGATCACCCTTCATTATGTCACCAGCTCCGTATTTGCCAAATTATCTCGATCGTATCAACAATACCAAATCTGACACATCGTTGACGAATGGCTCAAAATCGTCTACCCAAGCATTTAAGCCTCCTGCACTACATAACGCTGGAGCTGCTGCCCTTGATGATAACAAATTTCCCGCATTGGAGAAGAAATCTGTCAAAAAAATGATACCGCGGGTCAATGAGGTCAAGGTTACTGAACCTAGTTCCTGGGGTAAACCTGGTGCTAGCAGTAACGGATCTACCAAAGTGACAATCCCTGATGATACCAGTGGTATTGAAATTGTTGACAAGAGGAAGCAAAAGATGAAGAAGAAACAGGACAGAATTTTGTTTAGCAATGCGTTCTGAGGGCGTGTTTCACAGTACTGAAGAATAATGTAGTGAACTAGATAATCGTGGTTTTGTAGGTACTGTACAGCCCAACAACTATTGAGGGTGTATACCGCTTGAAATAGGGGAGACACTAACTTGTTGGACCCATGTCGCGACATTGTCTATTTGTGAATATTTATTACACAAACATCTACTACTTATTAATATGCAAATGCACTATTTGACTAAAAATTAAACGCAACGGTATTCCGTATGCTTTCTGACTGGTTTTGTGTTTGAAAGCAAAATATAATAATTATGTTCTTTCACAATGAGGGAAAAGTAAAATGCTTCTAGAATTTTTTAATACTTGGTCGATAATCGTAACCAATTGGCCGTTCTAAAATGCCTCTCTCTTCACTTGATTTGTGATGCATTCAAATTTGGTTTACACGCATTGCATTTGAGGAACGGCAGAATGTAAGAGACGCAATCAAACACCACTGTCAAAGAAGAGCCTTGAGCGATTGAAGTACATTAAAAAATAGGAGAAATTTTCCCGTAGCTTTCACAAGAAAAACTATTCATCGAATGAAGGAATAAACTCGAAAACAAAACCACTCTTCCTCGTCCCCACCTATTTTACCAGGATTCAATTTGCAACATAAACATCAGTACAAGCTCTCTGTTCGGTTAAATCGGATAAAATGATCCGTATTGGTAAAGCAAACTAGCAAACATTTTAACGCCGATGATTTTTAACTTTGTGTAACGTTATGAATTTTTGCGCTATTTTTCTCCCAATGAGAACTTCTTTCCCAAAGCTGGTTCTTCTTGAGCGCTTTAAGCAAATTATTCAAAACACAACGCTCTGTTTTTGTAATTCGTATGATTTAGGGAGCACATTACACAAGGAGGAGTTCATGAGTACAATAAGAAAAATTGTTCTGCACAAGAAATGGATTTAAAGCCAATAAAAGAACAAGTGCATAGTCCTCATTAGGAAATTACCGAGGGTAAAATATTTTATGACAAAAGTCTCACGACAACAATATAGTGTTGTTGGTATTACACTGTATGAAGAAACAAAATTCCACTTAAGCTTTCTTTCTCCTCATCATATGCAACATAGTCACTCTATAAACAAAATAAGGCTTAAAGCGGTTGCATCGGATGGTACACTTGTAACCTTTTTCATTTGAAAATCCCATACGTATAGCTTAAGTTATGGAATATACTTAGCGCAAGCATTTTTATAAAATAGCTCGGGCTCAATTTTGTGCGATAAGGTTATGCCCTTCTTTTGTTTCTATTAATAGTCAAGGCAATATGCATTTGTGGTTCGTTTTCATTCCGATTTTTCCTCGAGGATTCAAGAAAGGTGTCGTACACTGAAAATGTTCATTTTGTTCGATGAGAAATTAGGGAGCACTCGTGCTTGCTTTCGATACTGGGAGCAACGTTGTTACCCCCTCGTAATTTACCTTTTCGTAAAAACTCCTCAATTTTTAGATAACAAACTTTTTTTTTTTTTAGAAATATTTTAGTCACCCCCATATATGAAAGAAAAGCTAAAGAAGTAAAAGAACACAACACAAATACGGTTCGCATTTACAAGGTTTGTACGTATTACATATGCATCCTTCTGTTCTGTTCTATTGTCACATACTTAGAATGAAGAAAAATTTTGCTACAAAACAATCTTCACTACACAAAAAACACTTCTTTAAGAAACTCGATAGTCATGCCATAAACCACAAACCACTTGATTGTCAAAAAGTTTAAGAGGTACACTCTATACATATAGACAATGGGATTCCGTGCATGTGTCTATTCCTCCATCTTTATTGCTTGCGATATATAAACCAAGTGCATTTCTCTTAGCTCTGCAACGAGAACCACTCTCTCATACACACACTCTCTCTTCGGCCATTTCATATCCTTGTTGCATCAATTTTCAAAAACCGCTTAATACAATTGACTTAGATATCTCACACACACAATGCCCTCCTCAACTCAAGAGCTACTAGAAAGACAAGAAAACTTGAAATCATCAAACTATTTACTTTATAAATTGAATTCACTTTATTACCTTTATTTTTATTCTACTCCATTACCATACTCGACATTGGGCGAATCCATTTTTTTCAATGGAATAATCTTGTCATTGACAGTGTTGTTGATTTATTACACAGTTTGGAGTTTGCCTTTGAAATTGCTTCACTCAAGTGAAAACTTGTACTATTACTTGACTGGAAAACTTATCACTTTCGATGTGCTTCACGCTATAAATACATTGTTCCATTTGAATGGTGAAAATTCAACTTTCGTGATCAACCATTGGTCTGATTTGCCCAAAGTTATAAGGATTTAAATACGGAAAGTTTATTTTATTGAATTCAAAAATAATGCTTCATTTGGGGGTTTGCAACATCGGGCTCCTTCAACTCACACCAAGTTCCATGCGCTGCGTCATAACGTATAGATCTATTCAGTTCAAACTAATACTAGTTATCCTTAATATACATATTCTTTTTGTTAAAGCAATGGAGGTAGTAGAAATCCCCTGGGCTCTACTAGTATCCCTATGTAGCGCACAGCTCCGGTTTCTTTTGCGCTCGCTCAATTGCAAGTGAAGCGGCGGCAAACAAAAATCTTTAGGAAATAAAAGAAGACAACTCGTCATACCAACACCTATTCTACAATGAGGCAAAGACTGACTATATACGTTCCTACCTCATCACATGATGACTTCATTCAAAACATCAACACAACAAACTTCAAAGTAGCGGCACCTTCGAGTGATGAACGTTTTTCCATTGAAAATAAATACACTATACCGATTAAAAAGCCACTTCAGTATATTCGACAATTACGTATTCAATCGAAGAAACTGTATGATGATATACACCCAATCTTCCCTTTTGACTTCACTACAGGACTCAATATCTACGTGTTGCCCAAAAATACCATCAATGACGATGACAATGACGAATTTTTTCAAGAGTTGAAAAGTGTGGTTGAAGATGTAATTGGCATCGATATCAACGCTACTGAGTGGATCACATCTGCGAACGCGTTGTACTATTATGCACCACGTTCGGCGCAATTGAAACCTCAATCATCGTGGATTGACGACAATATACGTGAACTTGACTCCACCTTTGATTTAGTATACAATGCTGATGAATCTGCCAAACAAATAATATTGCGTCAATTGATCACTGATGTTTCTGAAATCAATTATTATTTGAAACTAGGCGAGTATAAAGAGATTGGACTATTTTTCAGTGATGCCAAAGTATCTCAAACAAAAGACGATGTCGTATTGAATGGATTGAGAGTGATTTTAGATGGGCAAAGCGAAGCTCAAGATGAGCAAAATGACAAAATTGCTCACAAGACAATGTTTCATGTAAAGCCAAGACATAGATACTTGCCAGGATCGATATCATCCTCAATCATCCCACAAGGCTTACATCCAATTTTGGCAACAACTTTATCTACCGAGAATGATTTGACGTCCACAATCAATCATGAAATTATCGGAGTTGATGCTGATGTGGAAACATGTAACTGCTACTATTATCTCAACTTGAACAAGTCGTTGATATTTGACAAGTACCAAAACGTCCCATCAAATACAACTCTTCTCGTCAACAACGGCGTGTCCAATTTGGAACTACCTGAGTACAAGATATATCAATGGGGTAATGAATTATTGTTTGAGATAAATAAGGCAGAAGCGTTTGGTGTGTCTTCTCCAGCCAAGTTTGATTTGAACTTGACATTGCATTCTCGATATCAATTACCCAACAACAGTGATACATTGTCACCATTCACTCAGATAATCAACCCCCAACCCCAGCTCTTTATTGCTTGCCAAGTAAAAGAAGGTCACTTGTTGAGTAAATCACCATTTGATTCCAAAAGATTAAGCATGTTGGGCAATAACCATGAGGCATTTTTCCAAAATGATACCGTGTTTTACTATTTCAATAACATAGCACCTGACCAGCACTTATCAGTAGATATTTCACACGGAACAACTACATTTGACCGAGTCAATTCAATAACTACATTTACAATCTTGATTGGTGTTGGGATTATCTTTTGGGCAATATTGCAAAAGTTTACCAAATCGAGAGTTACAGCTAAGCAAAAGTCTAAAACTGAATAATTGTAATCTATAGACCCTACTACTGAAATAGACTCCAATCAACCACTTTGAAACTAGAGCATAGATCTTTAAACCATTCGAATCTCTCACTTGCGCATTTATCAATGTCACTATCTCCACCAGCAAACTTTATAGAGCCCAGATGCTCATGTTTCAACGGCAAGTTATACTGAATTAGAACATCAGTGCCAACCTTTTCCAATCTCAAAAGACAAACTAAAATGATAATCTGTTCAGCTTGATTGGTCTCCTTACGTTTATACTCTGGTTTGAATGTGACATAGCTGAAGTAGAGTATCTCATTGCTACCACCGAGTTGTACTTCCTGTAATGGGTTATTATGTACACCATGAGGAGCAAAATCTTGTAAATGCTGTTCAATGGCAGATTCATAATCATTGCCATCGACTCGTTCTAAAAGATCGAAAATCAACGCTTGGTCAAAAGTAAGCAATGATGATAAAGTGGGATTAGTACTATCGATTTCATTTATAAACACTTCTTGTGAGTCAGGAACTTGTCTAATTTGAGATACATCGATGAATGACGATGGAAGTTTGTTAATTGTAATTGCTCCTCCGTATAGTTCTGTTGTAGACATGGCTGGTTCTAAGTGGCTCAAATGCTGAAACGGTCCAAAGGTAGGATGACTGAATTTATTTTCGAATATAGGTGTTTGAAATTGGAAGCTGACCTAATATATGTTATACATCGGAATTTCTATACAATCGGCGAAAGCAACCAAAAGTTAGAGTGGTAGCGCAATCTCTGTGCTTTACATAAAACCACACGAGATTCCATTATCAATTAAATATTTATTGCAAAATTTCATCAAAGATACTTTGTTTTGTTTTGAGAATACACCAAAATCACGTGGTCGGGATACCTTTTTTCTTATTTGTACTTACCACTGTAGTCTGCGATGGTGTCCCTTTTTTTTGCAGTAGCGGCATGGGAGGCGTTAAAATAGAATGCTATGGAATCAGCAACAAACTGATTAAGTGGGTAAGTTCAAGGTGGAGCAAAATCTTTCAAACCTTTGATCATGGAGTGGGGGAAATTCAATATGTCCTATTTTCATGCACCATAGGTTTTGACAGATTTGATGTTTTTGGATTTCTTGACCACAAAACTGCACGTGACCCAATTCAAGAGGAAGAGAAAAAATTAATCAAAAAAAAAGGAGCTCACAGTTTTGGATAACATGAGATCACTATATCGATCTGCATCAAAATTAGAGTTACATCTGGACCCCCCCCCAGTCTCACACATGCCAAAGTACCAAACGCTGTCCAACAATAGAGGACGCAAAATCCTAATAGGGACTGTACTTGTATCCTTAGTCATTATAACTGTAGCGTTTTTCTCGGGGTCTCTTACACCAGCAAAAGATCTTCAGGGGGTAATATCGAGTTTGCCAAATGACAAGCTTCTTGGTTTGTCCAACTTTTTGTCATCCGAAAATAGCAAGAATCAAGATGAATTGTTAAGCAAAATTGAGAAGTTAAACAAGAAACTATTCCAAGCACAAGAAGCTAAAATTAATAAATTGGAAGAGCAAAACAAGTTGATTCTACAAGAGTTAAAGTTGTTGAAAACCCCCCCATCGCTGGCTTCAATCAGGGATAAATTGACGTATCTTTACCCGTTTAATTCAGAAAGTAAATTTCCTGCTTATATTTGGCAATCGTGGAAGCATGGATTGAACGATGAAAGATTTGATGATAAATTTCGTCAAGGCGAGTCCCAATGGGCGTTTAAAAACCCTGGATTTGTTCATGAGTTATTCAATGATGACACTGCTCATACTGTCATCAAGTATCTTTACCTGCAAATCCCTGAGGTGATTGAAACGTTTGAATTGCTACCAGAGATTATAATGAAGATGGATTTTTTCAAATACTTGATACTTTACGCAAAAGGTGGAGTCTATGCCGATATAGACACTTACCCGTTGCAACCAATACCTAATTGGACGCCAGAAAATGTCAGTCCCTTGGATATCGGTATGATCATTGCTATTGAATCTGATTCATCGTCACCAGATTGGAGAAAAGAGCAAATTCGTCGATTACAATTTGGTCAATTTGTAATTCAGGCCAAACCTGGTCACCCAATCTTGCGTGAGGCTATTGCCCAAATTATTGAGCAGACAAAAGTTAAGAAATTGGAAAGCTTGGCAGCTTCAGGTGGTGGTGGACCATTGAGATTGATTGGAAACACTAACGAAAAATCATTAAAGATTAGTCAATGGACTGGATCTGCAATTTGGACAGACGTGGTCCTCAAATACTTTAATGATTACATCCAATCATCTGTGTTTCAAAAAGTAACCTGGAAAGAGTTTCACAAATTGCAAACTCCTAAATTAGTTAGTGATGTTTTGGTTTTACCAGTGAAATCGTTTGCTAGTGATGTTGAAGTGTCAAAGGATGGTAAAATTGAAGACCCATTGGCATTTGTGAAACATTATGCTGCAAAGATTTGGAAAAGTGGTTAATTGGGATAGCAAAGCCGGGTTGGTACACTCTGAGTTCGATCAGATGGGGATCCACTTGCGAAGACTCGAGTCTTTATCCTTTTCTTGATAATAAAGGCGTAGTCAGCGCTGGAGTTATAGCGTAGCGACATTTCAAACGACATATTGTTTATTCTAATTGTTAAAAGCTACAAACATCTATACAGTATTGTAATGCTACTCCTAAAGCTCGTCTTTTTCTCTTGCATTTTCCGTTGGTGTTGTAATTCGCGATCTTTTGACGGTTCTAGTGACGACCTTGGTCACCTTTTTGGCAGATTGAGATGAAGGTGGTGCTGAAGGTGGCGCTGAAGGTGGCGCTGAAGGCGCAGATGAGGAACTGGAAAGCAATGATTCTTCAACAGCCTTTCCTGTTGTGCCAGTAGGTTCAAGTGTGCTGGCCTCTTCATCAGCTGGACTCAATGAAGAAATTTGCTGATCAACTACGACATTTTCACTTGACGGAGTTGAAACTGAAACTGGCGGTTCCTCAATACTTTCCGCTTCATTTGATTGTGGAGTTGGATCAACTCCACCGGTTCCTGATATTTCAACTGTATGGGGCTCTTCCAATGATACGGGCTCCTCTGGTGTGTACTTCTGTTCCTCGGCTACACCAGCGATAGCCTCTTGTTGAACAGATTGTGCAACAAAGGTTTCCTCTTCTGGTGCTTGGTTAAAGCTTGACTGGGCTGCGAATTCAGCCTGCTCACTCTGGTCTACTGCTGGATTTGCGTGATCATCGTCATTGTAGTGCTGGATTGGAGGAGAATCAGACATCTCTGAACTAGTCACTTCTTGGGCTTGCTTTGATTGGGCAGCTCCTGTCTCAATGTCTTGCTCTGGCCCGACACTCTCCACACTAAGACTTTCAACCGCAGAAGAGGTAACTTCTTGGCTTATTTCACTAGCAATGGGGTGTTCCACTACTACTGATGAACTGTGAACGTGTCCGGCTGCTTCATTGACAATGGGAGACTCATTTCCAATATTGAAAGAAGCCTCATCTTTGTGGGAGGGGTTTGACTTATCAGATTCAGTTGTAACTGGCTCTGGTCCTTTAATAGAAATACTCTCTCGTGGCTCATCAGAAACAGGTTTCGATTCTTGTACTGCTTGTGGTACTTCTTGGGTAACAGGGTTTGCTTCGCCCTTTACATTCTCTTCACCAGCCACTGGTTTTGACTCTTCTACAGCATCCTGCACTTTTTCAATATCGGATACCTCATTCGGAAGCTTTGCAATGTCCTCATATTTCGATGAATCTAGACTATCCTTTTGATCTATGGTTTCATCGCCTGTAAAGCCCTCCTCCTTCTCGGCATCTTGATAAATAGAATTAGATATATTCAATGCCTCTGCTTTTTCCATATCAACCGCTACTGGTTCTTCAACCGCATCTTCGTACAATTCCTCGACAATTTCAGTATAGTCAATGTCCTTGCTTGATGTACTAGCGGCTTCCGACTTTGCCTCCATCTCGTGAACACTAGCGCCAGTTGCTTCTACTGCATGCTCCATTTCTTCAACAACCTCCTCCACAACCTCAACCTCTTCGAATCCTGCAACTTGAGAATCGGTGGCTTCCACAATATGTTCTTCTAACGAAGGTTCGACTTCTTCCACAATCTCTTCCACTATTTCTACGTTGTCAACATCATCAGCGACAGAGTCATCAACAATATTGGCCATTTCTTCTTGTTGCGCTTCGCTGTTAGATGCTACAACCTCCTCTCTGGCACCCAATTCCTCATAAGTAACTTCCTCAATAATATCAACATAATCCCCTTCATTTACATCTGTAGCACTATCATTCGTATCGGGTTTTTGTATACCATCTTCCTTATTAACAGAACTTTGTTGTTCATATTCTTTGTTAAGATTGTTTTCATCAACAACTGTGTTATTGTTTACGACTTCGTGTATGCTTTCATACTCTGGAATGGCAGTGACGGGTTCTGTTGATGCGGTAGAGACTTCACTTGCGGACTCGGACTGATAACTCTGATCAGCGGTGATCTCAATTGAAGATTCTACAATCTGTGTAGTAAACTTGATGTCATCCAATGTTTCACTATCAAAATCGGTTTTGATGGTTTCCTCATGCAAGTCTCTAGTCACTTCCAGTACAATATCATTCAAGGTATTCTTTGCTTGTTCACCAACATCACGTACAATATCCGCCTTGCTAAACTTTTCTTTATAAATGTCAATGGCTTTGGAGCCGTACTTGTTTCCATACTCTTCTGCAATGGTATATGCTATCTTTCCGTATTTCTCCATCAACTCCAACCCCGCCTTTCCATAATCCCCAGCTAAATCCTTTCCGATTTTTCCATAATGCAACCCAACCTCACGATAGTCTTTCAGGAACTGGTTCAGTAATTCAATCACGCCATCCAATTGGCCATTTTCGTGGGCTTTTTGGATTCCGACTCCAAGTGCTGCTATCAATATTATCGTAAACAAATATTGCAAGAGTGTTCCAATCACAGACTTGCCTGATGCATATTTTGGCGGTACACGAACAACATTCAAAATATTCGCAGCACTACCTGTGGCCAACTTGGTCCCGTTTGGAGAGAAGGAAACACTTGTAATCGCAAATGGATGCAATTTCTTGATAGTTTCTAATAATTTGAAATTTGAAAGTTTGACAATGTAGACTATCAAATCGTTTCCAGCAAATGCCACCAAATCTTGTGGAACAGATACATCTAAAGCAACAATGTTATTCAATTTCTTTGCAATCACTCGTTCTTGTACAATCTTTTGCTTAGTCAAATCGTATCTCAATAAAGCTGCCCCTTTACCACCTTTAACGCTGCTCGATATCACAACTTCATTGTCATTAATAAACTTGACTTTTGACAAGTTGTACTTTTGCAATTGCTTGTCCACTGATGCAGTTGTAGATGTACCAATAACTGAATTTGATTCTGCGGAAATTGAAACGACTGACGATGACGTAATATAACACAACTTTGACCCCGTCTTTGGGCTGAATGCGAAATCTTTGATCTCATCATTGCCTGGTGGTTTATACTTAAATTTTAATTCTAAAGCATCCGGATTGAAAAAGTACAAGACCGAAGGCAAAGCCGATGTCATCAAGCACCCAACATTATTGTTCTGCGAGATCTTAATGACCTTCGGGTACTCGTCAGTGTCTCCACTAATCTCCTCCTCAAATTGGGCTGCATCATCAAATATCAAATGTTCCTCCTTGTTAAATTTGTATTTTCTCACATTGTTGTTGATATTCATAGACTTGATCAATTCGGAACTTTGATTGCATCCCACAACTACATTATACTCGTTTTCATCAATTAATCTTGTCACATCAATACATTGCGGTGAGTCTTCATTCGCTGGTAATTGAACTTCTCTAAACTTTTGTAGTCTTCGTTTAGCATCATTCACTTTGAAACTACATTTGATGGCGGTGATCTTGTTGGGAATTCCATTGTTCCCTTCCCCACCTCCACCGGCCACCAAAACAGTCTTGTTGTTGATAAATTTCGCATCCAATATTGGATATCCAACATCAATTGACGCAGATTGTTTCAAAGTCATTGTTTGTTGTCTTTTAGGTGATGAATATGAATGGGTAATGAAATATTTGTTGGCAAGAAAAACACGTAAATAGTTGATTGCGCTACCAAATGTGAAAGTAGCGAGGAAACTCGCACTTTGATGGTATGGTCTACAGCTTTGGGATCGGACTCGATGAGAGAGCTTTAATACGTCCTGACAGAGGTCTCGTTGACTTTGTCAACTCAAAATATTCGTGTACAGATTGAGACATGATAAATGAAAGTTTTTTTTTTTTTTTTTCACCACTTGCTCCATATAATTTATGCAAACCCAATGAAGAGTCTCCTTTCGATTCTGTCCCATGTGGTCCACGGATATGTGGGGAACAGAGCAATAACTTTTCCTTTGCAATATATGGGGTGGGATGTCGATGCAATTAATACCACCAACTACTCTAATCACCCTGGCTATGGAAGTTTACAAGGTAGAGCATTGACTCCAGATGCCGTAAAGGATATATTGCAGGGGTTGCATCACGTTTTAGATTTGAACTCGTATGATCTAATCTTGACTGGGTACACTCCGAATGCTGATGTACTTCTGGTGGTTAAAGCTGAAGTTGTGCAGGTGTTGCAGAAACAAGAAGGGAAGATTCCGCATTGGATTGTTGATCCTGTACTAGGAGACAACGGCAAATTGTATGTTCTGGAGAAGGTAATACCTGTTTACAAGGAGATTTTATCTACGGAATTGGTGTCGTTAATCACTCCCAACCAATTTGAATTTGAGACCTTAAGCGAGGCTAAGATAACCGATTGGCGAGCATGTGAAGTGGCAATCAAGGCTTTCGCAAAAAAGTACAACATCGGCAATATTGTAATCTCTTCGGTGGAGATAGATAATCAATTGCACTGTGTGGGTTACACAGATGGTGAAATATTTAGTAAACCAATACGCAAAATTGATTGTGATTTTAATGGATGTGGAGATTTGTTTACTGGATTGATGGCGAACTCATACTATGAAAACGGCTATAAGATCACACCAAAATCCATTTCGTCAGTTTTGCTGACATTACACAACATTCTTCAATTCAGTTATGATTTCGAACTTCAAATACTGGGACAGGCTCCCAAGGTTGTAAAAGATATCAAAGTTGTTGCAGCAAAGAAGTATTTATAGAGGCGTATAGAATAATTGGTGGGTGAATGAAGAAAGGTTTGCTTGTTACGTAACGAATTAACTCTGGCTGCTCTATTCCAGTCGTAGGCATTCATCTTTTTTCACATAGACAGTTGAAAATAGTTCATGCATTCATTCACACCTCGCAAGAGCGCTAAGTTGTAAAGGTTACGCCCAACAATTCTTTGGAGGCGCGCATTTTGATAAATCCGAAAATGTATGACAACAGAAATATACTCAAGATAAGATTTCGACTAACCTTGACATCAAAGCAAACTAGTATTCTTATATCTTGAATCCAACTATGACATTAGAAAAACGCAACAAAGATGAAAACCTACAGAAGATGCCCCCCATGAAGTACTTTTGGTGGGGGCTACTATCAATGGTACTAGCATCATTAGCATGGATCAAGTTCTTGCCTCAAAACTGCACCAGAGCAATAGTGCTACCGTCGACCATGCATGACAAATGCAACGAAAACACATTGCAGTTGAAGCACATTTTTCATCATGGTGTGGGTCCTGAACAATATATGATACATAAACGTCTAGATGTTACTCCTGAGTACCTAGCTAAGCACGAGCATTATTTTACTACGCTAAACGAAGATCTACAGATTGAGCTGGACGAGGAGTCTGACTGGCCAAAAGTACACCATGGAAAGAACCCATTTGAGATAAAGCTACCTTTTAAGCAACAACAAAATAAAGCGAGAAGGCTTAAAGAGCGAAACACGCCAGGATTTATCGATTCATATCTCGAATATGCCAGATCTATCAACGGTAGGGCAGAAATTCTTGACCGAATCAATTTGGAATGGGTCGATGACGATGTTCTGGTGCCAAATATGACTGACCGAAATACTGTCGTTTCTTTAGCTACGATCGCCTCTAATGCTTATGTTCGTTTCCCCAAGGATGACGATGAAAAGAAGAAGTCAGATTGGATTGATGTTGGTGGATGGGACCCCGATGAGGAAAATCATGACATCAACTTTGGCTGGGACTATGATGGATTACGAGGGCATGTATTTGTCAGTGATGACAACAAAACAGTCGTAATTGGTATAAAAGGCACCTCAGGTGCTGGTTTACCTGGAGGTGGGAGTGATGAAACGCAAGGTAACGATAAAACCAATGACAACTTGCTTTTTTCTTGCTGTTGTGCAAGAGTCGGGTATCTATGGACTACTGTGTGCGATTGCTATGAAAAGACGTACACATGCAATCAAGAATGTCTTGAGAAGGAGTTGCGTAGAAAAGACCGATACTATGAAGCAGCATTGGACATTTATAAGAATGTCACTAAGTTGTATTCACCAGAGACTACTGAAATATGGGTGACGGGTCACTCTCTAGGAGGTGCATTAGCTAGTCTATTAGGTCGTACATATGGTTTGCCAGCAGTTGCGGTCGAGGCGCCCGGGGAAATGCTTGCGTCGAAAAGGTTGCATTTACCATCCCCTCCAGGACTTCCTAAACATTTGGAAAACATTTGGCACATTGGAAACACGGCTGATCCAATTTACATGGGTGTTTGCAATGGAGCATCGAGTAGTTGTAGTTTGGCAGGGTATGCTATGGAAACAGCTTGTCACACCGGCTATCAATGTGTTTATGATGTTGTCACTGATAAGGGATGGCGGGTGAATCTATTGAATCATAGAATTCACACAGTTATTGATGAAATAATATTGACCTACAATGAGACCGCGAAATGTGTTGAGCAAGCACCCTGTCGTGACTGTTTCAACTGGAGATTTGTATGAGACCCATTGTGTGGGTAAACATAGTTGAAGGAAATTTTGCATGCGTCTAGAAAAAGTGCTAGGCTTTATACTTGTCTACTGAAGGAAATTGCGGGAACGTTCCTTATTTTGTCATTGCTCGAGGTTGAACCCGATAGATTGTCAGATTGGGCAAATATATGCTCAATGATACTTTTTCTTGATGAAGGTCAAACTACTTTGATTACGCCTGCTCGGATGTTGGCGCTTGCGCTGTACCTGTTTCTTGAAAGTCACCTTGCTCAAACCTTAATCGCGTAAATGAGTACATGTATGATGGCTGCACGCATACACCTTTTTCACCAATCAGGAAACACGATAACCCGAAAGGACACCGACGATCAGAATTGCTAATTTTGAAAGTTTCAATTTTGCCGAGAAAAGTCGGAGTACGACCAAAATTGCTTTTACAATGGACAATCATTTGCATTAAGATACCTTGCGTGGTCAATAATTAAAGATATAACCAAGATTAATATATGCTTGCACAATATTTCCTTTTTGGATTTGAGGGAGGGGCGATTGAGAAATGGGTCGAGACAAGACGTTTGTAAGGGCTACGCAAAGAGTGGCTATATGAAAATTGGCAATCATTGCTTTTATAATTACTTTATGGCAAGAGAAGTGATAGTTCTTGCATGGAATCAGTTCTAAGAGGATCGACTCTTGAATATTAGAAGCCTCAATGCTTGCGAGTATTTAGAAATCTCGAACAGCTCAAAATTTCAAAGCAACAAGAAAACACATGATACGGGTTCCTATTGTAACTTGGCACCTCAGACCCTTTATGCAGCCATGCTCTCTTGGAAAAGCTTATATAGAGTTAGTAGGGTGTTTAGGAATGATTTTAGAGACAATACATTTTTTCGTTTTGTTGGTACAACTCTGACTAAAAAAGCGTGATTTTGGCGTTGCTTTAAATTTGCTGGCCCATGAGAAAGGCTGAAAAATAGCATACTTCCCTTACATCTATTGTGCTCTCGCTAATCTGCGCAAATTCTGTGTTGCCTGCAAAACGCAAGGGCTTTTAAGTGTTTGTGTTTGAAGAGAGAATTCAATCAACAGAAAGGTCAAACCACAAATTGAAACTTTTACGAAAATATCTAGCCCCTAACGCAAGATCAGATGGTCGTTTACACGAGTATGCGAGAATAAGTGAATTCCAGTCCACAATTGGATCTACATTTTTAGGGAAACCGCGTCAGCTCAACCTGTTTTCATGTGCAGAAATGCCACAGAAGAAACGAGGTATGAGGTTTATATGACACATTATACTGGCACGGCATGACACCGTTTGCTATGTTGTGTCAAAAAAAAAAGAAGAAGAAATTAACTGGTACTCATCTTCTGAGACAAAAATAAGGGGGGTTCGTAAGTTGGGCAGCAAGGGGCGCTAAACGCAATGCTTTCCTATGTTTGAACTACACGAGTACTAAGTCAAGAAATCTCCAAAAGCAACAGTAGATCTGTTATTGTTTACATGAATATGCACCTACCTAGATTTTCTTTGACAAGAACTCGTGACTTTGGTTGATTGAGTCTGCCACATCCATGATCAACAAACTTTACGCAGATCCCTCTGGTATGGCAACAACAGCAACACACGGTGCAATTCTGGGAATTACGCTACTTCATTTTGTTCACTATTCCATGTTGATATCAATGCACTTGAACATTATATAAATAATTGCAAATGCCTTCTCTTGAAAGCACATTAGGTTGGTTTTCTTCTCATTATCAATAGTTGTCACTCGTTTATACAATGCTTTTTTTCATTACTCAATTGATGCTGCTTGCTTTACTCGTGGTTGCAACTTACCACGAGACAGAAAATGTGCGTGTTTTCAAGGACTGGGCAACACCACCGCTTAATCTGGTTTGTACTGTTAAACAACTTTACTGTGACACTACCACAAACAAGAAAGACTGTGGACGTCTCACTTTCAATTCTGCTTTTGTTGTTTCAGATCCCCGGAAAAACGAGGATGGTACTTTCAATGTTGTTATGAGGTATGAGGCAGACCATTCTGATAAGTTGTACGAGTATTTTGCTGAAAATGTGGCTCTGATTTCGGTTGCCGGAACAGGCTCTGAGGATGTTTACATTTATCGTAAGGACAGATTCAAAGGAATTGAGAGTCCTTTCAGATGGTCCAAGCAAATTCAAGTCAAACCGCAAATTAGACAAGGTAAATGCTGTCTTCCAGATACTGTCCTGATTGGTTACACTTTTGCAAATTATGGACCAGGCTGGAGCGCTTTAAATTGCAAGTTTGGAAAGAGTTGCGTATACAGAATGAAACCCAACTTCAAGTTTGTAGAAACGTGTGATGCTGAGTCTTTTTTCAATAAGCAATGGTCAAAGTTCAAGAGGGACGATGAGTTGGCTGATTTGGAAAAGAGAACAAACAAGTATGAGAGTTTATTGCATTTGTGCACAAGTAAGACTTACAAAATTAGGCAAATGTGTTGGGATTGTGACTGTCCACCTTCGCCAACTACTGTCACAGTAACCCCAAGCTCGGCTGCAAGGCAATCCTCTGAGAAGCCATCAATCGCAACATGCTCATCTGCGGTACCTGTTATGCCAACTCCTATTACGATTACCACTACACAAGTGACTACTATCTATACCCTTGGCACCACGATAGTTTCGACTTACTGTCCTTCGACTGTAATTTACCCTTCAACAACATCGTCAATACTTGAGTCCTCATCTTCAACTGCCGCCGTGTTATCGTCAACTCCTGTTGTGTCGTCTTTTACTGCTGTTTCTTTGTCAACTGCAATCGTGTCATCATCAGCTATCGTGTCATCATCAGCTATCGTGTCATCATCAGCTATCGTGTCATCATCAACTCCTGTTGCATCATCGTCAGCTGCTATCGTGTCATCGTCAACTTCTATTGTATCACAAGAATCCACTTCTGCTGTAGTTGTCTCAACTTCACTGAAAGCCACGTCAATAACACCCCCTACATCCTCACCAGCATCTCCTAGCTCATCATCAGGTGCTTTTTCGGTCTCAGAAGCCATCATGTCAACTACGAGCTCTCAAAAGTCAATTGTCCCAACGAACCCTTCCTTGGTATCTCCTTCCCAAAGTTCCTTGTCGGCATCATCACGTCAAACTTCAGCAGTTATATCTAGTTTACAATTTGAGTCATCCGACATTGATGTTGGTACCACAGGTAGTATATATTTGAGTTCCCAAAGTGCAGGTTTTGAAGCTACATCAGTCGGAACTACTACACGTTCTGGTGCTGCGATTGATGCTACAGAATCGGGTGCTACAGGTGCAAGTGCAGCATCTAGTGAAGCTACAAGTTCAGGTGCTACAGAAATTGGCTCTGGATCTAGTTCCGCGACAGGTACAAATGCTACAGAATTTAGTACTGGGTCTAGTAGTGCTCCATCAACCGATAGTACTGAAACTGGTGCTGTAGTGACGGATGCTGGATCAATGATTGCTATTTCAACTAGTGGCACATCAACCGATACAGATTCTGCTGGTGTCGGGTCCATTACTGTCGGCGAAGATAGCGGATCAACTAGTGTTTCCAATGGAGGATCTCAACCTACTGATGCTAGTGTTGGATCTACTGGAGATGAGGCAACAACACGTGCAGATATAACATCAAGTGCTGGGTCAACTACTGACATTGATAAAACAAGTGCATCTGGTACGGAATTGATTGGTGGTCCTGCAAATACTCCGGGTGCTGAATCGTCTGCTGGTTCTGAAAATACAGCAGGTACTGTTAGTAACTCAGAGCCTGAATCAACCCCATACTTGAACCCCACATCAAGCAAAGGTCCATCTTCTGATGAAGGTAATAACAATGATACTGGATCTACTTCTGGCGAAAGTGATAGCAATGGTACTGGATCAACTTCAGGTCAAGCTGGCGGTGATTATGAGAGTTCAGGATCCAATGATAAAGATGGAAGTCAATTGGGCAATGATGCAGGAGATGAATCATCGTCAAGTACAACATTGACAACAACATTAGTGTCAACAATGGCATCATCTGGTCCAGGTCATCAAGGTGGTCAAGGTGGTCAAGGTGGTCAAGGTAATGTTGATGCTGGCTCCGGTAGTGGTGGTTTCAGTGGTGTTGGTGATGATGTTGTTGCTACAATTGAAACATACTCCGCAGCTGGTGCAGCCATTGAATACTCAATTGCAACTACATTGATTGGTCTTGCTGCTGCAATCTTGTTGTAAGAGAGTTGCATAACTTCACCATGATTTTGATACGTTATCACGTCTTGTAGTCCAACTCCACAGTTTATTGTTGTTGTTCTACCGGTCAAACTTTCGGTTTGCTTGCTAATTCGTGTATTCCTCTTCCGCTCACAAAGTTAGTTGCACGCGCTTCGTTGTAATTGGTTTTTTTTGTTGCCAATATATAGTGATCCCATCTGTCTTTTTAAGTTTGAAATATAAATCACTACATTTCTTGTTGACCTTCTTGACTTTTGTGTGATTTTATTTTTGTAAATTGGTGGTTCCGAAACCTAACTTCACGGCCACTGCTGGAATGAGGTTCAGTTAAACTAATTATGTTTGGTGGGCTCAACTTTGTCAATTATTGACTCTGCTTATTAAATGCTTGGATCAAGTGCTCGGAGTTCAATTTTCATCGTCAAACTCAACTACAAGAGGTATCTCATCACGCTGTTTTTGTATAACGGTATTTACAAAAACATGTATTTTTACAATCTGCACTAAAAATCCAAATGTGTTTTATTCTAAGTTGCAAATTTCTCAATTGCACTAGGTATCCCTCAGATTTAACGTCGGCGAAAAATTGCACATGAATATATGAGGGTCCTTTCCCAATCCATTATCTTTGTATAAAATATTCCTGAGCGTAACGGACGACCACAGTACATATGCTGAGATCACAATTTGACAACTTCTAATGTCAAAAAGCAAAAAAAATTCCAACCATTTGGATCAATTAAACAATGCGAGTAATTTAATCAAGGAGATGAGTACCGCCGCACTCTGGTCAAAAGAATGGCTGAACTTTTCAATGCTTTTGAGTCGTTGGGAGTGTTTCTCGTTGATCGATTAGGCTCTCAAATCCATAAACCTATTCTCTATTAATCAACAAAAGATTTCACACCGCGATTCATATGATGAGGGCTAGTGAAAGAAGAAAAGAAAGAGAACAGCAAAAGTTATTGGTTAACTCTTCTTCGCTAACAAAAACTTCTCCCATTTTTAAACACACAAATAAAAAAAAAAAATATATACGACCAATAAATCGTCGGTAGCGTTGGCTCTGAAATCTGTCAACCATACCAGTCTATTTTGTAGGATTGTTGATAGTTTACAAGATGTGCCATTCTGTCATTCATATTGACAAGCGTGGCTCGGATAACACTCAGCTAACCCAATACTAGGTATGCGAATTTTCATCACTTTGTGGACACATTTATACTTTTTGGCAACAAAATTTGTGTAAACTATGATGATTCTACATCAAATGTAAATATTCATCACCCAAAGACCACACCCGCTTTACATATAGCAATGGTTCAATCATGTTTACACCGCTACGTCACAAACATGGCAACTTTCCTAATTGAGTAAGAGTGGGTGCAAACAGAACGTCATACACCTACAGCTCGCCATGAAGAGTAACAACTTTCTACAAGACTCCATTACACAATACGTTGGAATCTATTGTACACTTTAAAAGATGAAATTTCATATATCTACGCATGTACAGGGTGAGATTATGTCATAGCCGTTCGAACAAAGGGGGAAAGAAGAACAAAAGTATGCATTTGACAAGCTTTGTCCCTATGAATAATGAAATTCTAGGATGAGTTATCGAATTAATATCTTCAATATATCTTTTGTGTATTTTAGTTTGTTTACAATTGTTACTAAATAGGAGAGCAAATACATTGGATTTTGTGTAATAACAACACAAAACGTAACACTTTTTGGTCCACTGGACACGCTCTATTTGTTTCGTTGAATGACACAAAAGGTAACTGTTAGCTTCGACATCGTCATTTTTCGTGTATGTACAGTGAGGAAAGAGACGATGAATGAAAATATTTTAGAGAATCTTTTGTTAGTACGATACTACTCATATGCAAATATCGTGATACACCATGCATGAATCATTTGTGACGCGTAGTAGTAACAAGCTCTTCAAAGCCTGTATATCTCTTCACTTAAGTGGAGCAGAGCTCCTTTAATCGAGACCCGTTGCTTGTGCGGCTTTTGGAGGGAAACAAAAAAAAGTGTAAACAAATCCAAATAAACGAAGTGTTTACACAAAACATAATTTCAAGAAATCTCATATACAAATCAAAAATAGCCCAAAATAGCTACACTACTACCATCTACCCACTATTATTATTATTATTATTATTATTATTGTTGTTATTATTCTTGTCCATGTTCCTCTTTAAGAAGGGAACAACATAATATCACAAAGAATCCGTTTGTGATAGTAGTAGCAAAAGCATCATTACTTTTTCTTTCTTTCATTGCATCAGCCTTAATGTAACCAATTCCAACCCAAAAAATCAAAACAAAAAAAAAGCATCGAAAAATAAAATAAAGATTCACACCACTCTTTCTTCTACTTCTTCTTCTTCTTCTTCTTCTTCTTCTTCTTCTTTTCCCTACGTTACGTTAATACTCCCACAATTGACCATCTTTATTTCAAAAAATGAGAGTAATCAATACATTCTTCAACTTGTTCTTCCTAGCTGGTGCATGTCTATTACTTATTTTTACAGTATTGGCCGGTTCATCAAAACATTTCCCATTAAACAAATTTTATTGGTTAGAAGCTGATACTTCAAATATACCCAATTCACCAGCAAATACATCAGCATGGACATTCTGGGGTGTTTGTGACAAGAACGATTATTCCAATTGTAAATTGGGACCAGCATACCCAATCTCGCCCGAGGATAATTTCGATACTACAAGGAATGTACCACTGGATTTCTTGGATAATCAATCAACATATTATTACTTGAGTAGATTTGCATTTGCATTTTGTTTAATTGCATTGGGCTTTAGTGGATTGGCATTGATTATTGATTTGTTGGGTTTTTGTTTTACCATTATTGATAAAGTTGTCATGTTCTTGGTGTCGGTGGCTTTGTTTTTCATGGCTGCTTTTGCTTCATTCCAAACTGCAGTTACGGTGTTGGCGAAAAATGCATTTTCAAATGATGATAGACATGCTAAAGTTGGAGCTAAAGCCATGGGTATTATGTGGGCTGCATTTGTCTGCTTGGTCATATGTTGGGGATTGACTTTTGCTGCTAATATTAGCAACAGTTACAAGAAACATATGGATAGAGTAAATCAACATAAATATGAGAAACAAGGTGGTGCTTATAATGATAATGGTCAACAACAAGGATATCCAAAAGGTGTTGCTACTAATCGTGATGATTCTTCATTTACTAGAGCTGAAGTTAGAGATGAAGATGATGTTAATAATGGTGGTGTCGGTGCCGGTGGTGCTGGTGGGGGAATTAGATTTTTCAAAATAAAGAGAAACCAAAAGACAGTTGAGGATGAATCTGTATAAATAGGAGTTGAAGGTTAATTTCATGGTTGAGGACGTCTGACTCCATTAACTTTCCACTTTAAAATGATAATGATGACTTTGGAATTAGTCAAATCAGAAGTCAAAAATGTCACTACCACACCGCAATCTATTCGATCCCAACTGCATTTATAACCTTTCTTTTTACGTTGTTTTATACCAAAATTCACACATTTCGTAATGGATACATATAAAAAAAAAGAGCCGTTTAGAACTACTTTATAATAATATACCTAACGTCTTATTAACTATTCACGTTTGTAGCTAGTGGGTATAACTAGTAGATTCGTCAAGACTACAAACCAAATAATCCAATTTAGCCGTCGGAGATCTTCCAAGAGTCATAATTCCGAGTCAACGTCAATGGTGAAACATGCAAAATTATGTAAAATGGTACGAAGCTAGGGAGAAGTAGAGGTTTAAACTAATCTTGCTTTATCGGTTGGACTTTTACTTCTTCACCACATACCATCCTTTATCGTTAAGTCTGTTCTACTTCCCCACTTTCATTGTTTCTTTTTCTAGATTTTCTCGACTTCGGAGTAATGATGAGATATGGTCAAGAAACGTATTTTGCCAAGGCTATACACTCAAGAATATATTTGTGGCAAAATTGCCGTACAAAAAGTAAAACAAAATAAAAGGGGAAGATTGGGGGTTGGAGGGGAAAAGATAGGAGAAAGAAGAGCAGGGTAGGTTGTTGTATTGTTTTTCGGAACAATCAACCACAACGGAGGAATAAAGAGAACAGCCCTTTGTTGTGGAGAAAAGGAAGGGTTCTTTGTAATGAGTGGAGTTCTCTCTACTTAGAAAATCTTTTTCTTTTAGTGTCGCAACCTTCACATTGAAACGCCACTTTTAGTTCGTCTTCTAGCAGTTAAGTATCTTCCCCCAACTGCTTACGAAACACTGAACCATCGCTCCAACCCAAAAACTACCATGTTCAGGTCGTGCCCTGTGAAGCATCTTTCTTGCAAATCAATTTTGTTTGGGTGAGTCATTTACCACGTTGTGCACTAAAATGAGCTGATCAAAAGATGAGAATTTCAGTGTGTTGGAGAAAATTGAAATTAACACTGGGGAATCCCCATATATATTTAAAAGAAAAGGGAAAACATGGTGGCCAGTCGGCCGAGAACCTTCTCTTGAGAGGACACCAGCACCGTCCGGTCTCCGTTAACACCGTTAAAAAAGAGACAACGATGAGTTTCATTTAGCAATGTGCAGAATGTCTCTCGATCCGAAGTAACGTGTGCATGCTTTTGTCGGCTATAAAGAGAAAATAGTCCGACGTGAGACAACAGAAGCAGCAGAAGCAAGAAGAAGCAAAAGAAAAGAAAAAAAAAAAAATGACAAAATCGCACGAATGACCGGAGTTGTGTAAGTAAACAAAAAGCAAGGACACAGCTGTTTCGTCAACTACACTGGTTAGTTTGATTAAATGGAGTTAGCACATACTTAATGAAGAAACAGTTATTTCCATTGGAGGCTTCTTCCGTTTATGCTAGAAACTGGAGGCTTTATCCTGCATGTAGGAGTGCATTTAGAGCAATCCTATAAAAGTAAATAACTCCGAACAGTACTGTACTCATATGTACAATGTAGTGACGTATTCTTTTTACAGCGACAGTACAAAGTAAATTATTGTCTTGAAGTGTGACCATCAAATGTCATCAAATACCATTTACATCAGAGAATACAACCAGGTTATTGTGATTGGGTTATATGGGATACAAAGTATTTGTGTTTTCTGTATTGAATTGCCTATTTTTGTGTGTTTTTTAAAATAGACAAAAACGTGTGTTGAGCTGTGAGTTGTGTTAATGTATACTGAGTGATAGGCGAACGCTCAACCCATAAAGAAAGTAGTAGTAAGTTTCTCCACTTTCTTCTTCATTAACTATAGAACTGTCTCCCTAAACACACCATTTGTATTGAAAACCACGTCTATCCTCCTACCTCCCTCCACCCTGGTATTTTATAGAAGCACGCCATTGTAAAGAGTGCATATGTTGTTGTTGTTTATAGTTTAGTAAGCACTTTAATAAAGCTATTACGCTATACAACACATTACACGCACAAAATAAAAAGAAGGGAGATATTAAATTAAAGAAAATCTCAACAATTTTTGTTTGTATTTAAATTTCATTACAGCAGCAATTGACCTTTTGAATAAAACACACCCCACCCCTTCCTTTTCTATTCACTCTTCAGCAACAATCATTTGTTAAACAACAAGACTCAGAGTAAGTCTACCATATCTTCAATAACTTATTCCTCTTACAACACAGATAATTATGAAGGAACAACATCATGGTGGGTTGAAAGCCCTCTTCAAGAAGGATATATCCCCATCCAATTCAAACTCATCATCTTCCAATGCTGATCCATCTGCTTCTCATACCAAATTATCCAAATTGTTCCATCATCATAAAGATAAAGGAGATTCAGGTGCTACACCTACTTCTTCGAGGAATACATCACCACATGGTAAGCAACAGCAACAACAACAGCAACAACTGCAACTAGCGCAACCTGGACAAGCTCCCTCCCCAGTTACAGGAGATGGCCCAAAGAGAACTTCATCAGTGCTTTCCTTGAGACGCAGAAACACTAATCCTTTGAATCCAACTTCAAGTGGAAGAGAGAGAGCCAATTCTGAGTTGCAACACCCAAAACCACAACATGTTTCGGGTGCTACACCTAACAAAAAGTTGACTAAAGCTGAAACTTTGGCCCATTTCCAACAAATGGATAGTAGAAACAAGGCAACACAACACTTAAGAAGTAGCAGAGTGCCATCGGTTCATAACTTACCTAGTCACTCGCCAGGTTTAGAGACTGCATCACCTAATCATGAAAAAATTGTTTATAATCCATATGGAATGAAAAAGACTCCATCACAAGAACCCAAGAGAAATACTAGTTTTTATCTTTCAGGAAACAATGATGGTGAAAGAATTGTTGCTAATCCAGTGGCTAACCCCAATGATTATCTTCCACCTGATTTACAACAACCGCATGTCAATTTATTAGAGGATTTTGAAATTGACGTTGGTAATAAGAAATTGGGTGATGGTGGTTCATCAGATGTTCGAATTATAAATTCCCGTCACAATAAACGTAGCTTGTATGCATTGAAAAAATTTACCATGTTGAGTAAAGAAACTGATGAAGAATTTTATCAACGAGTACTGAAGGAATATATTATACAAAAAAAGTGTTCTCGATCAAGACATGTGGCTGATGTATTGGCAATACTACGTATCCAAAGTCAAGCAAATTTGACTCGTGGTTGGGGTGTGGTTATGGAATTTTGCAGTGGTGGTGATTTATTCTCGTTGATTGTTCGACCTGGATGGAAGAAGTCGCCATTGAGCGAAAAATATTGTTTGTTTAAACAAATTGCTTATGGTTTGAAATTTATTCATGAATGTGATGTTGCCCATCGTGATTTGAAACCAGAGAATGTATTACTTGATGGTAATGGTATGGCCAAATTGTGTGATTTTGGTGTTAGTACATATCAGCATGAAGTTCCTGGTGATTTCAACAGCCCAGTGAGGTTATCAACTTCATATGTTGGATCACCACCATATTCGCCACCTGAAGTTATGGTTTTAAAAGATAAATCAGCATCAGAAGCTAAAAATTTCGCTTATGATATGTTCAAATCTGATCATTGGGCTTTAGGGATGTTATTGTTTTGTCTTATTTATGGTGGTGTTCCCTTTCAACAATCAACACCCTTGGATCATGCGTATAGAGACTATGCATTCAATCACAAGAGATTTTGCAGTGACCATCAAAATTTCAAAAACAATAAAGGATTCAATAAAGGACCAGGAGTTGAATTTAAGATGGCGGCTAAATTTGAAAGTACTGGTGCCTCAAGAGTTGCTTGGAAGTTGTGTGATCCATCAGTTTCTACTAGGTATGACTTGGAGTTGTTGTTTCAAGATCCTTGGTTTCAAGCTGTTGAAATGTGCATTTACGAAGATCCTGATCAAGATGTCAATCCATTTGTGTTGCCTGGAACTGGTGGTGAGGCCCCTGGTTCAGGTACATCATCAGGCTACAATTCACAAGCACCTTCAAGAAAGGGAACTTTTATTAAACATAATGGCAATGGTAGTGTTAATGGAGATGGTTATGCAAGTCACGATGAAGGTAATAATATTCTTAGTGGATCATTACGAAGCATGTTGGACTTGACTGATGCCTCCGAAAAGACAAACAACAATAACATCAATAGTGGTACAAGAAACGCGTCATCGAGTAATGCATCGCTTCATTCATATGACAATACCGCATTACCACGTACCAAATCAATGCTTGATTTTGACCAGCCATCACAATCATCACCCAAGCAACAGTCTTCATCATCAAATTCATCACCACAGCAATTACCGCAACAGCAATTTACTCCTGATCATTCATTAAACAATGGTAACCTACCCGCGTTGGAAGAGAGCGACATTGAACATGAGCCAGAATTGGATGCAGTTCAAAAACAAGATCAACTTGAACAAAAGCATATCGAACACCAATTGCAAATTGAGCAACAACAACAATATGACCAACAGCGTGGATTAGAAGAGAAACAACGTGAAGAAAGAAGAGAGCAACTGCTGCAACCAAAATCCTCTTCACTGGAAAATGAACAAGATAGAAAAGGTTCAAGTTCGCCATCATCTTTGAACCACGATGCATCAGCTCCTCCTTCTCGTGAACCATCGAGGTTCAAATTACCACCAAGCCGACACGACACTTCAAACACATCGAATTCAGCCATCACTGAGGATGAAGGAGAACAAGACAATAATGGTAGTAACGATGATGAAGCTAGTTGTCATTCCTTGTCCGATATCAAAAAGCATCATGGCCACGTGTTACGTAGTGCTAGTAATTTCAAATTGGAAGCTGATGGAACTTGTGATTTGGGGTACAAGTTAAAGAGACATCATCATAATGAAGTTAGTAATGCTGCTAGTATAGGTAGGAGATGATTTGAGGAGGGACCGAGGCCTCACATTAACATCTACGCTTCTTCTTTTTTGATTTAGTGTATGTATATATTAATAGACGAGTGAGAGAGTACGATTCATCAAAATAAAGCTACGTTGGTAGAGTTTTAAAGCACTGTATTCAAAGACGTTTTAGTTTTCACCTTTATTAGTTTCTTAATATACACAAATAAAGCGTTGCTTACTTATTGCTCTCTTCACCATCACCAAATTCTCCTATACTCAAAACTCATTCCAAGCTTTAAGCTTCCAAAGAAACTCTACCCTTTGGATTAGTAACCTTGACACCAATCTTTTTAGCCTTGGAAACAATATCAACTCTATTCTTGGCCGAAACATTATGAGCAATTTCAGCAGCATAAGTTCTAGTATGCATAACCAAAACATCCAAATCCTTCAAGTTCTTAACAACAAACACCTTGTGTCCTGAAGGAGTCATGTATTTGGTCCTCTTGTTAGATCCATAACCAATATTTGGTTGAGGGATGGTGCCTCTAAATCTTCTACGAACACATGAGTCAATACCCTTTTGCTTTCTCCAGTTTTCGGCAACTCTGTGGTATCTGTCCGAGTGATGTCTCTTGAATCTCTTGGTGTATTTCTTGACAATCTTTGGGTGAGGAACTGAAGTAGCCACTAGAAAAAGGAAAAAAAAAAGTTAGTATTATAGGTCGAGTTAAGGAGACGGGATTGTTGTCCAATAGAGGGGAAGATGAACAGTTGAGATGAAGATCCGAGAATTCGATAGTTGCTTAATTAAATGGACATAACTTGAAGGAGCTTCTGGTATGTGATGCCCCTGGTTGTATGAGGGGAGGAAGGGAGATTGACCATAGTCATAAACCGTGACTCTAGAGCAACCATGCACCACACTCACTTTAAACTTGAAGCAGTCATGGCTCTCATCATTCACGTATCTTCCGTGCATTTGAAATTCTTGTTCTATGTCCTTGTCCTATGCCATGATGATTCTTTGTTAAAATATCTTGATTTGAACATCGATGATATCTCTCCTGAGCTATCTGTCTCCTTCGTGACTTCATTGACAACAATGATCCCATTTCGAATAAAACATACTCTTTGATATATTTGTCGTTGGTATATAAAAACAAGAAAATGTAAGAAGGTCTTTCTTTACTTTTAATTGATAACTGACTCTAGAAAATTTTTCAGTGAGAGACGGAGAGAGAGACAGACACTCAGTATTGTGCGAAGTGTTGCCATACATTCTTTTCGGTACTGCATATTGAAGAGACAAATGGTAGCACCACATATATGGTAGCTGTTAAGCATCAAACAGGTCTCTAGCCCTAAGATTGAATAGGCAATACGCTACCCGAACTTTTTTTTTATCCGTTGTCAGCGTTTATGTAATTTACTTCCGTATTAGGAATGCAAGTATTTTTCGCTGGCTAAGAAAAGTTTTGACATATACTATGCATATGTGTGTGTGTGTGTTGCAATCAAATCATTTAAGTTGCTCCACAGGGACTTACAAACCTAAATCTAGAACTCTGACTATAGAGTTTAATTTTTGTATACAACTGGTTCTTTTGATCGTGTCCAGATGGGTCTTAAACTATAGACAATGCCCGTCTTGAATAAACGGTAGCAATCGTAAATTCTCAATCCTTTTAAAATTTAAACTTTGCAGCAAATTGATAAGGTTACAAAAACCCTGGGGGGAGGATGACGTTCATTTGCAGTTGCTCGAGTAGAATGCGCTAGTGTTTATTGCCGGTGGAGTAGTATCTCTTGTTGAAGAGCATTCCGTGCCGTTAGTATAAGGTTCTTGTACTGGTAGATACTGCAAAGAGTGTTAAAATCGTAAAATTATATTCGTATTGTGTTCTCTCATTGTTTATGTTTTTCAGTTTTCTTACCGAATGCGAATAACAAAGCAAGTAAAAACGGACTGGTTTATGAAACCTCAATTCAAAAAAGTATATAAAGACAATTCTTCTTAAATTACAAAGAGAAGACAATGGATCAGTAAGGCTCATCTACATTTTAACATTCCTAAACTTGTGCAAACTTACAATATTACTTCAATCTGGAAAGCATCATCACCTTTCATATTACACAAGTCTCTTCCACTAGAAATATTATTTACCAACCACAACTCACAACTCACAACTCACAACTCGCATATATATATATATATATAAACACATACGCTACGAAAAGTACATAACACACCACTTTCGTGAGAAGATGATAGATTTGAAGACACTAAACAGCAACGGTGTACTATATTACCTATTTTGTATCTTTTCAGCATGGATTGTATCCTGGTACATCGTCTACTTCATCACTGGCTTTCATCTAAGCTCAATATCAATCAACAACGGTATCTCCTTCAATGGTGTCACATTCAAATCGAAACGTATGCGATTCAAGATACGATGTTTGAGATTTAGATTGTGGGGTAACACCAAGATGACAATTATTGATGATCTCGAGTTGAAACTATTTCCTGTACCGTCATCAAAGAAGGGGAAGAAGAAAGGGAAGCCGGTTGCAACAAGAGGCGATGACGATGAACCAGACTCTCTTGACAATGATGTTTGCATCTATCCACACAATAAGCTCTTGAGACGAGTGGTCAAATCGATCATACGACGTTTACCAAGTTTAGATCTCGAAATGAGAAACACAACGATATATTCAGCATTTGATTACAAGACTACCGTTGATTACATTAAATACAATGCCAAATCAAGAGACAGTCTAAGACACAGAGATCGGCTCAAGTTTAGAACCGGGTTAATTGTTAATAATGTGTTGCATGAAATCAAGACAAAGGATGAAGTATTGACACCATTCAAATTGGGCAGCTTTAGAGTCGAATTCAAATTTCTGATTGACTATAAGAGTGGAATTATAGGTGGCTTTATTGGCAAAATTAACGTGTCTGAGAGCAATTTCCTGATGTTTAACGCGGCCAAGTATTACATTTTACACGATGAGTTGAAACAAGCAAACAAGGATACACGTTTCTCGCATGGAATTAAGCAAGGAGAGGAGGATGGTGGTGAAGGGTCCAAAGGGCAAGACCCACAAGTAAAGTTGGAAAAGGCGTTCCTGCTTATACACAAACTACTCTCAGACGTCACCATCCACATTGAAAATTCCAAAGTTTCCGAAATTCCATTTGTAACTATCGAAAACAATGTGTCAATTGCAGAATACTACAATGAAGTCAAGCCAAAAACATCTTTGGATTTGGTGACGAAATCAGTCTCGTTCAATTTTTCCCGATTGTACCAAGATGCCGCTGGATTTGAAGTGTTATTCAACCCAAAACAAGATGTCCCATTCCATTCAACCCTTTCCATCCAACTCTTTAAATTATTCTTTGTCAAACGAGTAACATTGATGAGCGGATCTTTTGGTCAAGAGACCGATGAGATATTGAGCATGCCTAATTATTCATTCACGCACAAGACAAATATTTTGAGCCAAGTGGTACAAGCTAAGGGGTTCAAAAATTGTGTCATGGAAATTTTCTCGTCCGCCAGCTCGCCTATATTTGACGTTGACTCACGCCAATTGAGTGCGTTCTTGTACAATGTGGTATTGTTCAAAAAATGGTTGACGTTGCGTAAATTGCTCAAAAGGACACATGGTGGTCCAGACGATGAAGCAAATGAGAATCTTCGAGAAGCAAATGATAATCCTCGAGAAGCAAATGAGAATCCTCGAAAAGAAAATGAACGTGGCAAGCGTGAATCACTAAAGGCTAAACTCTGGAGGTATGTCAATGAATATTATCCTAAATTGGACATAAAATTTGTTGTTGAGCAGCCTCGTTTCATCCTTCGAAATTTTGATGATGGTGATCATACTCAATTATTGGAGTTTTCCTACTCGTTACTGAATTTCAACTTGTCCACCACTCTGACTCGAGACTACGCCTCTAATTTGGAGGTCTTGTACCCAAGTGTCAAATACCTTTCAAAAGCAAACACCGCCATCAGTACACCTTCTTTAGCTCTCGTTGAGAAGGAGATTCTTGGCCTCAAGCTCGTCAATGTCAAAATGGACATTTTCAAAAATTTGACAGTTGCTTCAGTTCTTGAATTGAATGGATTATCAATACGTTTGACAAGTCTTGATATTTTTAAAGGCGTACATTGGCTCCTTCTGGATGTAACCAAATTAGCAGAAACTGATCTCGAAATTGGAGTGTTGAATAAACAATTCAATGAGGAGCTAAATCATCTTAACACAGAGTTACGCAAAGAGCTTGGCAAACCTTCAAGTTTTGAAAAGTTGCCACTGGCATTAAGTATTAAGGATAAAATATTCCGGTATTTGCCTTCCTGGGTAGCTCAAGTTGAAATAAAAGCAACAGATTGGGACATATTCATTGGCTCCCGGTCAGTTTTGATACCCAAGCAAGACTTGTTCAAATCTGACACCACCGATTTACAATATGACACTGATGAGAGTAACGACTTGAGAAGAGTGAATATAAAGTTCGATACATTCAAAGCAGGAGTTGTCAATCATGGTGCCCAAAGAATAGATGAACAAGCTCGGCAAGATACGTCTTCAGCATCACTGGACACACTCACTTCGTTTGATCAAAATTCTGAATACTGGTCAGTGAGTAGTAAGCTAGAGATGTTTCAAGTCCTATTGCCTGACGACACCAGTACTAAGCGTTCAAACACAGAACCACTTGTTGAAATCCCTCAATTTAAATTTACTATTGACTCTGTAAGTGACTACCAGGGTTATAACCAATTGCTTCTACTGCTGAATATGGATAAGCTTCAAGTCTTTTACAACAGGTACAAACTATTCACTTTGATTGGCTCGGTATACTTGGTTCGTGAATTTATCATTAGTCCGATTAAATTGATGAAGCTGAAATTCAAGAAAGATCAGGACAAATTCGAAGATCCGGCAACTGACTACAACAACAACCAAGCTTCCAAGGAACTGTTACTTGATTACATCCATGCCAACTTCATGTTGGAAACACTGGACATTATCTTACAGATTGCCGATTCTTATAACCTCAAAGTGCAATTATCTGATATCTATGTAGAACTTGCAAACAAGATGGTCAAATTATCGTTGTTTTTCATAAGGTGTCTCGCAGATTCACCCAGCGCTGAAGGAAAATGGTGTCGTTTGCTTTGTTTAGACTCTTTGAGTTTAAATGTCGAGATTCCCAAATCAATCGATGATTTGGCACTTGATGTGCATACCGATGCAATCAGGTTGATCCAACCTCACAAATTTATTGTGTATGAATTGTTTGATCACTTGTCGCTTACAGCCAAACTTTCCAAACACTTGATAAAGCTTCTCAAGGCTGATGATGACAAGCAAGGTGCAAACATTGTTCACCCTCATGAAATGAAACCCATCCCATTACCTAGTATGACTATAAAGTCAAACCATTTGAAGTTTACAATGGAAGATGATCCTTTCGAGACGGAATTGAATATGATTTATCAGTTGGGCAAAACCGAACAAAGAAAAAGATTGGAGTTGTACTCTCTATTTGAAGCAAGAGAAAATCAACTTCCTGATGACAAGAACTATTTTACAAGATTGGAAAGGTTGCACACGACTATTTCCGAGTCATGGATGAGAAAAGTCAAGATTTATCAACAACAATTGAAAGATGAAATTGTAGCGCATAAGGATTACCTCTTTGGTAATGAGTGCCGTTTCGACTCGGATTATAACAAGGACGTCGTGGCATATCCATATGACGCTCCATTATTGACAATTGGGATGGAAGGGTTCAACTTGAACCTATCGAAGCCTGATTTTGGTCTTGATAATATTGCCGATTTCATTCACAATGTGGGGCAAGGTGTTCCAAAGGATACAAAGTATTCCGTAATGGTGCCGATGTATTTGGACTTGAAATTGGCAGAAATGAGGATGCAGTTGCGTGATTACCCGCTCCCAATTTTGTACTCTCCGCGAAATAAAAACACCGCTAATGCAAGTTTGATGTTGAGAGGTGATTTGGTGATTAGTGAAAAGTACGTCACCGACGAAAAAGAAATCAGACAGTTGCAAGTGCCATTAGTTGCTAGTCACAAAGATGAAGCGAATCGTTATGATTTGTTGACAATTGAAAAAACACTTTCGAGTATCAAAATGTATACCAAGATGGATTGTGATTTTAATTCAGATTACCCAACCAGAATAGTTTGGGGTACTTCGTACAATTTCGGTATTCAACAATTTATGTTGAATTTTGATCAATTTTCAAAACCGCCCGTTGATCCGTCGCAAAAATTGGGATTTTGGGACAAACTCAAGTATATTTTACATGGAAGCTGTACAATAAAGACACGAAAGAGTCTAGAAGTTGGCTTCAAAGGATCAAGAGATCCGTATGAATTGTTGTCGACTTCAGGTGGATTTGTTCTTTCATTCAAAAAGAATGTTGTTTGGAAAATTAACAAAGATGACAACTCGAGAAACTTTTTTGACATCACTTCGGACAAGGTGTCGTGGTATATCCCCAACTACTTGGCAACGCCCTTGTTGGCGTGGACTAGAAGTAGTATTGATTCGGTCTATCTTCCAGATTCACCACATTTTATTAGTACTTGCTTTGGGTATTATCTCGAAGATTCTGCGACAAAACCCGATTTTAACTTACTAAATAAGGTGTTTGGAAAGAACGTTGTGAGCTTGAGCGGAGGAATCGAATTTCATGTGGGATTCTTACTTCAACATAAAGTCGATGGTAAAAGAGTGGAAGATTTCAAACCGCATTATGATGTACACTTAATGAATCCAAAGTTTTGTGAAGAAGGACATGATTCGTATGCTGGGTTTAGAAGTGAATACGTGCATATGGCTATATCTTTGGTGGCCGACCGGGACACAAGTTACAACACTATTCACCTAACCCCAGGAACTTTCAATCAATTCTTTGCATGGTGGAAGTTGTTTTCCAGTAACATGATGTTGCCAATTAGAAGGGGTCCATTATTTGGTGAGATCAAGAAATCGGTAAAGTTTTCCGAGCATCTATTCACAAACAAGTTTTCGTTCTTTTTGAAATCGTTGTTTATTGCACATATGTATCGAGACGAGATTATCGATGTTGATGATGATAGAATCGAGTGCATTGGATTGAGAGCGAGAGTTGATGAGTTTTCAGTCGATTTGCATCAACGGAAGCAGCCAGTGACACTATACCATGAGGAGCTTTCGAAAAAGACCAAGGTGATGAAGATGAATTTCAACGTTGGTGAAGTGACTCTCTCCAACATTGATATGCGTGTGGTTCACACAAGCTTTACACAAAACTTGTACCAAGGTGAAACGAAGAAATACAATGATAAAGACTCTACGTACAATATTTATGGAGGCGATAAAACTTGGTTTGACATGCAGGATTATGAGGAGGCATTCTTACCCACATTGAAATATTGCCCACGAAAAGTTGATATTCAACCCCTCATGTTTTCCCTGCGATTCTCATACGAAAGGGACACTGAAAACGATGCTGGCAAGAACCAGGATGATGACCAGTTTGGTAATGAAGATATCCATGATTGTCGTATACACTCGAGCAATGAATCCGATCTGAGAGTTGGATTGTTGGAAACAAGACAAAAGGCTCTTGATCAGCAAATTACAAAATTACGCAAAAAGGGAGCTTTCACCAAGGAGTTGGAAGAACGAGCAACATTTGTGAAGCGTATGATTGATCGCGCAAAAAGTGGCGCGTCATGTAATCACAGACAAAATTCGGTTGTCTCTATCGAAGAGGATGAGCATTTTCATAATCTGTTTACGTGGCTGAGCATGTTGTTAAAATGGAATAGAACTTGTCGTGACAATGTTATGAAGTACATTCATTTCGTTCAATTAAAAGCGGCTATGAAAAAGTACTTGTCACATGAATCGATTGCCACTCTAGAAAAATTCATTGAGGAAAATGACCTTGGATCCGATATTGGGTCAATGTCGTCATCGGCTCAGACTAGTGACCAATTTGTTGGTAATGGCGAAGACGAATTAAAGGTGAAATCGAAATCAGTAGAGTTGAGTTCAAGAGAAAGGCTAAATAACTTTACCAAGATTTTGAAGGAGCTAAAAGGTAAGGAATCACTATCCGAGGATTATTTATTTGACATTGTTTCTCCTCAAATTCAACTTCAAAGTGATGAGTCTCCTGACTCGATTGTCATTGTATCTACACCTTCAATAAGTGGAAAGTTTGTTTCCGTCTTGGATTCGAAAGATTCTGCAAATCCTGAAGTTTTAGAAAAGAGGTTTGGTGTTGTTTTACAAGATGCAAGCGTTTTTGTTTTGAACAAAAGAGACGTTTTAGATGGCGATTCAATGATAGTCACGCACAACCCATACGGTGCTAAATCCAATTGGCCCCCTTGGCTCGGTCCTGAAATCACACAAAAGGGTAGATGGGCCGGTGAAAATCAACTACTTATACAAAATTTGTCCGTTATGGTTTTATTTTACGATACCGAGATTATGAGTAACAAGTTGTCGAAAGGTGAAGACAACGACGCCTCGGTTACAGAAGAAAATCCTCACTCCACTACTACGCTGTTGGAGGCACCGAAAAGGTTACGTATTGACATGCCTTCAGTGATTTTGACGTCAACGTCTTCGCAATATTTTGCATTGTATGTGATTATCATCAGTCTTTTGTTTTACAGTGAACCCATGAGTAAAGCCATTGCTGAAAAGATTGAGAAGATGAAGTTTTCAATTGATTTTGATAATTTGCCAGCAGTAGCGGATAAATTGAAAGGGTTGCAACTGTATTACCGAATTTTGAAATTGTTGAATGCAAATTACAGTTTTAGGAAAAACCATATGAGCAATGAGGATTTAAACAACTACTTGCAATTGAATTTGGAAACGGGTGACATTGCCAGTGAGATTTTCCTTTTGTTGAGGACGTTGCTCACTGGTGACTTTTTCAGCGACACTTCAAATTATCCACAGATATCATGGCTAATTAAAGCCGACGAGATCATATTGCATATTCTAGAAGATGACAGAACGCCAATTGTAGACCTCGCACTTGCAAATGGAGTTTACAAGAGAAAAGAACTAGAAAGTGGATCCAATTTGAACCAAATACAAATTCAAATGTTACAAGGATTCAATTTAATCAAGAATGCAAGGTATCCAGACTTTATTGGTCCTTTCAATCTCAGTCAACATCCTTCGGAAAACTTGATTGATTTGCAATGGACAATGAATAGATCAGTTGGTGGGATCAAGATAGTTGAAAATCTACAAGTGAATTCATTACCGTTAAATATCAAAATTGATGAAATAACTGGTGAGAAACTTATGAAATTCATTTTCCAAACTGATTCAACCGACATTAAGGAGAGTAGAGTCATTGAAATGACAAACAATACTGAAGCTAAGGAAAAAGAGCTTGAGAATCCATCTGATCAAGATCAGTATGGTTTAGTGGAGGAGACGGAGGGTGCAAACAAGAGCGCTAGACTAGAAAAGAAGCTACAAGAACGAAGTATGACTAGTTCCAGGCTGAATAAGCGCGGATTGACTCGCCTTTCAGGAAATAGTCCCACCAGTAGCAAGAGTTCCGGACATGACGATGATGACGAAGAAGAAGATGCTGAACAAGTTAACAAAATGATTGAACGATCAAAGCAATATTTCTCCATCATTTCCCTTACAGTTAAAGCAATTACATTGCGAATTACTATTAAATTGAACAAGGGATACAAAAGGATATTGAATGTCCATGATTTCAGAGTTGACTTGCCTGAATTGGTGATCAAGAATCGTATTCTTTCATTTATTGACTTAACGGAAATTATAAAGAAATTGATTTTAAAGAGTCTTTGGAGTCATATTGGTCGCTTATTGGCCAACAAGATGAGTTCAAATGATACGTCGCTGGATATGTTGACCAACGAACGCCTAAAGTCGGTGAAAACTTACAACAAGTTTATCCCGATACGTGAATTGACTGTTGTAAAGAGTAAAGAGTAAATGACAATGAGTATAATAATATATAATACAATTTTACTAAATCTAAAACAAAGAATTGGGTAAACCGGTTCTGCCTTATACATGTTGCTTCTTCAAATCGCCACCATTTTGATGCTTCTTTTTTCGTTTCTTACTTTGTTCATCATCACGATCATCTCCCCTCATTAACGTTTGTTGATCACCAATGGCCAAATCAGCAACATCAAATCCAGGAATACCATTGATCGGAGTCCTATCAAACCTCAACGCCCTTTTTAACAACTCGCTATCAAACTGGTTGATTATATCAGGATGTTGATCAATTTGTGGGTCCATTAATCCAATAGGGATGGTTTTCGGTTCAGGTATTTGGTGCTTACCGGGTAGATCCAGTATATGGGCCTTGTATGATTTTCTTAGTTTGACATTTTTGGATCCGTCCGGGTTAGTTCGTGATAGCAGTTGTGCTACTGGTTCTAGATTGTATAAATGAAGGAGGTTTTGTAGTGGTGTTGGTTTTGATGGCTGATAAGTCTCTAAAGAAGTGTTAGTAATGACTGGAAGCTGGATCGAGTATACAGTTTTGGAAGACATACTGGTTGAGTCTATTAGGTAATACTTGTCTTGTATACTCCTCGACATGAATGAAACCCAGGTCTATAGTAAAACCAACTACGGAAGTGTACAAGATTGCAGTATCAATCACGACTTTTTTTTTTCGTTCTTTATTTTTGGCTGAGCGCTTCCGCTTCCGGTTATATATCGAATCGATTTCTATACATGGTCAAGTATTAATACAAACTAAATTGTGAAACATTGAAACAGTCGGTCCCTAAATATACTTCCAATATCCCCTCTTCTTCGTCATTGAATCAATTGAAATGAATGAAGTTGTTATCGTATGTGTGTTTGTTTGTCGCTTTTCTTTTTTTTTCACTCTATAAAACATTCCACTTATTTCTTGCCAACCACTTCCCAATCGTCATTACTGTTGTTATCCTTTTCAGATACCGACAAGTTGGCAGTAGCAGATTCCAATTTGCTTACATCGTCACTCTCTTGCTTAGAATTTTCTTGTTTAGCTTCACTCTCCTCTTCCTCATCATCGTCTCCATCATCAACTGATAATACACTGAATTGAGACTTTTGTGGTCCTTGGGATTTTTCTTCCTCTTTCTTGTCATCTTTGTGCTTTTGTCCGCGGGCTGGCTTGGTACGCTGCTGCAATGGTTGTCCTCTCTTCCAATCGAAATCATTTTCAGAGTTTTTCCTAGTACTTCCTGACCTACTTGATCTTTCTCTTGGTGGTAAAGTGGTTGATGATGATCTTGCTGCTCCCCAATCTAATTCTGGTTCCTGTTTTTTAGCAGCACGGCTGAAACTTCCACGTTCTTGGCCCTCACCATGACTTGATGTTCTTGATGATCTTTGTCTTGGAGGTAACTCAACATGTGAGCTCCTTACTGAACCCCAATCCAATTCAGGTTCGTCTCTAGATTTATGTTCTCTTGGTGGACCCCTATGGGATTTTTCTCTGGGTGGTAATTCAGCTAATTCGGATCTGGCGGCTCCCCAATCCAAGTCTGGTTCGTCTCTTGGTTTATGTTCTCTTGGTGGACCTCTGTGAGATCTTTCCCTTGGTGGCAAGCCACTTGCATCTGATCTAGCTGCACCCCAGTCCAAATCGGGACCAGATGATCTTTCCTCTCTTGGACCTCTACTTGACCTCTCCCTTCTTGGTAATTCAGCTTGTGTTCTTCTAGCTGAACCCCAATCTAAGTCGACTTCAGGTTCACCTCTGCCTCCCAATGGACCTGATCTACCTGATCTCCAATCACCTTCATCAGCTCTTGGAGGTGCTGCTACATTGACATAAATCTTTCTTCCTTGAAACTCACTCAATGTCAAATTCAACGATTCCTCAAGAAGGCCCCTTTCAGTAAATGTAACAAACGCGTACCCTTTCAATCTTCCGTTTTCTCTATCAACAGGCAATCTGATATCAGTGATGATATCATGTGCTTGCATTCTGTCTTCAAAATGTCTCACAATGACTTCTTCAGTAACTTCCCATGGTAAGTTAGAAACACGAGCAACATATGGTGGTTTATCAGGAACTGGGTACTCTTTTCTCTCCTTTCTTTGTTCTTGGAAACGACCTTCACCACCACCAAGACCGGAAAATGAAGGTTTACCCCCAATTGGAGCTTCAGTGGTGGATTTATCCAATGATAAACCGATGGAGTTCAAGTCGACTTCCTCGTCGGCCCATGAGGTTCCTCCGTAGGTATCATCCGCTAAGAATGAACCCAAGTCCATCTTGACATTCTTTTTTGGCGCCATGGTTTGATAAGTTTCTACTGTTTTTGAAATCGAGGGAAAATGTGAAATTTTTTTAAGCAAACGCTGTGTACAAAATAAGGTTTCTATACTAAGTGTATTGCGACGTGCGTGGTTTATGTAGTGGTGTTGGAGTAACCGTAAGGTTGTAATCTGATGCTACGATGGCTAGTTTTTGAAAAATTTTCGTCTCGATAGAATTCTCTTTTATTTTATTTTTTTTGGTGCGAATCATATGCCAGTCATTTCTACAAAAACCTAATTCCGTCATCCGATAGCAAAAAAATGAATTGAAAGCTATATACTTGGTGTCGCTATTATTAAACTCGGTTCTCGACTATTTCTCTTGTAGAAACATCAGCAAAGTCAACCTCTGCATGGCCTGCATATGCACGGTTCGACGTAGTTATTGGGTGGTTTTCTGCATGTTGATCTGTCACATTATTTGCAACCTCGTTATTGTCACCTGCACCGACACCGGATTCAGAAGTATTGGAAGTTCCCACATTTGCCAACCCGGACCGCTGTAGTTCTTCCAATTGTTGAGCACGTCGATGCTGACTCGCTATAGTCAAAACCGACCAGTAAAACAAATCTTGCTTATTTATACCCAATAATTTCCAAACAATTATCTTGAAAAACCTTCCATACTTTTGTTTCGTCATTTCGTTGGCTCTTTGTTCAAGATTTATATCCGCATATTGGGGATCGTTCAAAACCAAGCGCGCTCTTTCTGACATCGGTATCAAGTCTTGGAGGAATGCTTGAAGAGCAGGATCGCGCTGAATCTCGTCAAGATCAACACTTTCAAGATCGACATCATTGTCGCCGTCGTCATCATCTTCTGCTCTATCGTTATTACCGCTTGATGAATCAGCATCATTGTTGGTATTTCCATTTGTTTGTCCATTATTGTCATTGTTGACACCTTCAGTTGTCTCATTGTCTTGTTGGTAGTCTCTCTTGAACAAGTAATCACGTTTACACATAGGACAACAAGCACGCCTTTTAGTCAACCATGGGTCGAGGCAAATGGCGTGGAACACGTGTCCACAAATCAAACCACGTACAACGTCATCATCCTCGAGCACCTCCAAACAAATTGCACAAGATCCAGAATCGAAATGTAAACCGTGAGTCACGGTTTCTGTTTGGGTGCGCTTTTCCAGTGACAGTTCAACTGCTTCAACTTTGGACGCAGTAGTGCCAACTTTAGGATCCTCATCAGTGATATCATTGTCAGTTTCCACCCTTGTCACCGCTTCATCCATCCGTTTCATCTCGATATCATTACTTAGGTCAATTCCTGCTTGCTCCTGAGCAGTGTATAATGTATTGACCGATCTATTGTCATCGGTACCTCCTCCAACTACTTCAATTATACCCTGTTCGTCCGGTTCTTCCTTAAGCATTCCATCTCTCTTTTCCACGTCTCTCTCCTTACCTCCATTCAACCAATCGAAATACGTCTTTTGCGGAAACAATTTTTCCACCTCTTCAACAGTTAATTTCTTCATTTTGCTGAATCTTCTCCTCCGCCTTCTTCGTCTACCATTTCTTCTTCTTTCCCGTAAATAGCGTCCTTCTCGAAACGCCAAAGTTTCCTCTATGATGTTAGCTCGTGTTTGATTATGATCCCGCATAAAACTCAATTGTTCTTGAATCTCCTCCGGAGTGAAGACATGTATGAATGCATGATTGTGACCAGCACCAGTATTACCAAACGTTGAAGGTGTATACGGACTCCTTCTACCCAATGGAGAAACAGCAATACCATATTTGGATCGCATAAAGTATCTAATTGTGAAAAACACAAATATTAATGCAATAAATACACCAACAGCTAACGCAATGAAAAACAATACTGTGGACGGCGTGCTCCCAATAAAGGAAAAGTCATCAGACACCTCAGAGTCATTTGTGGCGGACGCACTGGAAGCTGTATAAGATGATGATGATGACGTTGCTTCAGTAGAAGCTGATTGTACCTCAAGCGACAGGAACGGCGCCGTAGTTGTATGACTCTCCATTATTGTGTTCCACAAACTGATCTTTTTCTGAAATTAGTATAATCAAATCTATGCTTGTGATTTTCTCCTTAGAAAGGGGTAAAGTTCCATGTAAGTTGGAAGTAAAAAACGGTGATTCGCTTTTTTTTCTGACAAACTTTGTCGTTCCCACAACCAAAAGTGATTCAATTATCGACTCAGATACCCTGTGGTTGTGTTTTGGAGAAAACCTGCACTATGGGTGAGTGAAGAGATCAAGTTTATGCAATGAGTGTATGTGAAGTTTAAAAGAATATGAAAATCAATGACAATTTCTTTCAACACACTAACACGCAGGATACTCTAAATTTTTTTTTTTTTCTGCTTCCTCTTTCAAGATTTTGTGTGATCAAGAAGGAATTAACTATTGATCACGATTGTATGTTTTTCAATAGAAATGTCTATCCCTAATTTTTAGCCTCTCCTTTCTTAAACTAGCAAAAGCTGAACTAATTTGGGGCTCCCTTGTATGGATTAGGGGTAAATCAGTTCTGGAAAAAGTCCGATGAATAATACTCTTTTATATAAATGATTTATTATCAAGTCTTCATTTATTATATACGGGAATGTTCGTTTCCTTTTGACGCCTTATTTGCCAAGCAAATACTAAAACAAAGAGGAACAATCAAATCATTGCACTGTTTTGAGAAACCAACGATACGTATTTTCATCAGCATAAAAACGAAACTAATTATGCACTTCAAAAAACAGCAACACAAGGGTGGGGTTCACACACAAACAAAGTGAATCGCCATGCGAAAAACAGGTTTGGTTCATAGTCTACTAGTCAGGCAGTGCATAGAGCTCTACAGAATCATCCCACCCTGCCCTCGTTTTACGTCTTGGCGCAATTTACTTCGGATACGGAAAGCAAAATTCTAAAATTCTTTTCGCTACTGTACTGTATTGTTCACAAAAAGAAATTGACCTCTATCTCCGGAATATTTCCTCCGCATATACGAAAGAAAATGATCCACCCCCGGGATAGAGATACACAAGACCAACTAGATATGATACAAACAGTATAAAAGCCAAGATATTCAAGTGGCTGTGAAAATTCATCAAAATACAGACACAGCAGCCCATCGTGACGCTCTTTGTTGCAAAGGTGGCAAAGCAAAGATTGAATAAATTGTTCCATTGATTGTGTTTTTGTTCTAGATCCCCCCACTCCCACTTTCTCTTTTTTTCACGCCGCCCTCGCCTTTAAAGTCAGCCTCACGAAGTCCGGAAAATTTTTCAAATGCAAATGATACAACGTACTTTAAGTCTTATCTTCCCACTTCAATATAATGTGGATCGTATCTGAATTTCTTACAGTGTTTTATTCAAGTAGCAACTTAAAGTAGGTAAGCCAGAAGTCATTTTGCAGTTTAGCATGTAGTTCACTTTAGTGATTAAGCTTTGCTTTCACCATTTTGCAACGTCTCCTTCGAAACTGCAATATCCAATTTATAAAGGGTTGAGGCCTACCCCCTTCTAATGTTGTATCTGCGTGGTCCGCGCATTCTTCTTACGTAACAGGATCTACAACTTTTCGACATTTCTCTTACTGCATAAACTCTCTAACATTCAAATTAGATACAAAATACAGAAATTTATGTACCAATATATATATTGTATATATGCATATTCAGTTCAGCTTGAGTTCATCGCAAATACGATAAACAAATAAACCTATAATCAACACACACATATACGTTTTATAAAACATTACAACATTTGGGAAGTTTTTGTTTTGCTTCATTGCTTCTCTTAGTTTAACTTAGTTCTTTGGGGCATCCTTGAAAGAGATAGCAGCTTCTTCACCCATAGCAGAGATGATGGTAACGATCAAATCTTTACCTTCATCAAATTCAGCTTGAATCTTGTCACCCAATTCACCATCTGGAACCTTGACATCATCCTTGGTGTCACCATCAGCAGTCATCAATGAAAGGAATCCATCATCAATGTCCAACAATTGGAATTCTTGTCTTCTGACATTAGGGACTTCCATATTGTGGGTAGATGGTGACAAATCTTCCAACTTCTTACCAGTGAAAATATCAATGGCAACCAAATGAACCTTGGCGTGTCCGTGCTTACCAGTCTTGGAGGTGGACATATCAACAATCTTACATGGTCTGTTCTTGATGACAACGTGACCGTTCTTTCTCAATGCTGAACATTGCATTGGGAAAGTCAAAGCAGCACCGGCATCAGCGGTTTCGAAAGTGTGCTAAAAAAGGAATAAGTTAGTAATCTCTTGTCGTGAACATATGGGTGTGAAATGGGAATGTGTTTGATGGGAGGATGGAGTGGGATGAAGTTTTGGCACATGGGGATTTCCGAGATGGAAACTTCGACAATGTAGCAATCGATCGCGTGAGTAGTCCAAACTGTAGTCACAAAGAAAGTAGCACTTGGCCCATCTCATGATAGTCCCAAAGTGAGTGTGAACTGCTTTCCAATATCTAGTGTCAAGAACGAGATAGATTTTCATTGCCACCTCCTTCTCCCCCTCCCCCTCCCCCTCTCACTCTCACTCTCTCGACATCGCAAAAACCTCATCATCACAATTGAATGCCACGAGTAATCAATCTATCTCCCAAACACATCCCAAATAAACACACAAGTACTAAAAACATACATCTTCTTCAGCCATGGTTTTGGATTGTAAACTAATGGGTTTATTCGTTGATTTGTTGAAAAGGAATAAAAAAGAAATAGAAAATTTTCTACAATTGAAAAAAAAAAAAATTGAACAGGATGAAAGAGAGAAAAAATTTTATTGTCGTTCAGCAAAATAGTTACTAATCGCACGACCTTTATTGGTTTGGTTTAGAATTTGTTGATACTCCTCATATATAACGTTACAAAGTCACGGAAAACTACACAAATATACAACTGTTCTTAGCTCATCTTGTAATTTCTGCAGAATTCGAGATGACTACTGCGTATCAGGTACTCTGGACGTTGTAATCAGTCCATCTTGCTAGTAGAAAAAGTGTTACCGAAAATTCCCCCCCCCCCACTACTTTTCCACTCCAACGATTTACTATTCTACAAGATACAAAATCAACTATGGTTTGAACACTTTAAAGTAATAATACAATAATTAATCACAAATTTCAATTTATACATCAAACATTAACACAATACGCGCCATCTCCTCCTCCACCTCTATTCTGTTTGAGTACATGTGGTACAATCTTCCACCTTCTCAATTGTGTAGACACCTAAGAGTTGGCCAACTGCGCTAACTGAAAGCAGTAGCTTGGCCGACATCGTTGGAGACAGACTTTTGCTCTGCTATTAGTTCGGCGGGAGCGGTGGTTTCCTTTGTAGCAGCACTCTCACTTTGACTCCCCGTCTTTACACTATCATCCTTAGACTCAGCCTTAGCTGTATCAACTGTGCTTTCGAGCTCTTTCGTCTGGTCTTCGTTGACACCGTCTCCATTATCAGTTACAGTTTCAGTCTTTATCTTGGATTCTTTGATTTCAGATTCTGTCGCACTTTCCGTCTTGTCACCAGTGGCTTGGCTGTTTTGGTTCTCATGCAGGTTGATATCAGTCTTGATCTCTTCTTTCAGATCATCGCCTTTATGGCTATTATTGCCATTTTGCTTCTTGCTTTCCGTGTCTTTTTCTTCTCCTCCGTCATTCTTCAGCGAGACGTCCGGTACTTCCTTCTTCTCGGTAGATACACTACTTTCTGTTTTGGTCTCACCCGAACCAGATCTTTTCTCCACTACCTCGGATTCCTCATCCTTTGATTGGTCAATCTCCGGTAAACTCTGCTCAATACCACTAACTTCGGAATCATCATTGAATCCCGATCCTCCATTCTTTACTGATAGTAATCTTGAACTCGAATTGGAGCTCTTGTCGCTATTTGAATGTTCCTTCTCATATAATATCTGCTGAATAAATGGTTCCCACTTCTCTAATATTTCTTTACAAAGTTCATGCAACTTGAAACTCTCCGAATACTCCAAATCAGGGTTCTTGAGAATATATCTCATTACCTTGTATAGCTTGGTTTTCTTCAAAAGCTCTTTATCAACTGGGAAATTGACTAATCGGTACAAGATTAATCGAACAAGCAGTAGCTCATCAGCAGTTGGGGGTGATTTGTTCAAGTCTCTTTGTATCAACGTTCTTTGTAACTTGATTCGACACAAATATAATTGGTGCTGTTTTTCTTCATCATTAACTGGTGCTTTACCTGATTTTATCGACGCAGCTGCCGCACCTGCTGCATTGGCGGTATCTTCATCACTTGAATTTTCCATCTTGGGTTTTTTGTTAGGCTCAGAATCCACTTTATCTGTGACAGCTGCATCAGTCAGCGTCCTCTTTTTACCATTGGTCGATGCTTGAACCACTGAGCCCCTCTTTCTCTTGTTTTTTGGTATTTCCTCTTGATACTGATCTTCAACATCACCGTCTTCACCTTCATCATCGACAGCATCAACATCAATGTCGACATTTTGAGTGCGACTTGATCTTCTAGGTTTGGCTTCAGATCTGTTTCGGCTCTTCAGAGGTGCTGACTTTTTCACTGACACTGTTGGCTTCTCCTCCTCCTCCTCCCCCTCCTCCTCGATTTCGTCATCCACCTGCGCTTCCTCTTCTTCCTCTTCTTCTTTTTCCTCCTCCTCTTCCTCTCCATCATCATCTTCGAAGTCCTCTTGGAAAATCGTTATAAAATCATCAAAATCCAACTTTTCAGATGCAGTAATTGCTTCAGGAAATGTTGCTGGCTTCTTTGGTATCGTGGTTAACCTCCTTTTCAAATATTTCACATCTTTCAACTTGGCAATCGTCTTTGCGTCTAGCTTACTCAAGTCCTTAGAAGTGTTTTCTAATTTGTACTCTTTCAAGCCTTTCTCTGTGCACCAATAGAAATCACCATCTGGTATGAATATCACACAGTAAGGAGTACTCTTTTTTTGGGCTCTCTGAACATGTTTTGGAACGTATTCTTCTGGGGTGATGAATGCAGGCCACCATGGATATCCCGGCATTTTAGCAAACACTTTTTGTTTGTCGTCAAATTGATTTGAGGAGGATCTTGGAGGCATTTTATCAAGGGAAGATTTGCAATAATTTGGAACAGAATGTGTTTAAATGAAAGGTTGCTTGTTATTGACGTCAGCGATTGAAGATTTCGTTTTAAATGGGATACCTCGAGTCAATCAATCAATCAATTGTGATGGAATAGGCTAGCACGATTTGATGATGTAATTGTTGACAGTCTCGAAATGTCGGCAATGCAATGGCAATTGATGGCACTCAATGTTTGCTATAACCTTGGTATCAAATCAGCAGCAAAACCAAGAATCTCTTTTGGTGGTGGATTAATCTGCCTCCTGTATTATGTCCTTTCTCTTTGTTTGAAAAGGGGGAGATATTTGGAATAGGAAGTAGCTAATTGATGTGTGTGTGTGTGTGTAATTTGTTGTTGAAAGGGAAAAGCACAGATGTTCATAAAAAAACAAAAGTTCAAATGATGGAATTTAAAAACTAAAAATTAATATTGTTGTTTATTGCTGTGTCTATTTGTTTGTTTGTTTTTTTATAGTTGATACACACACAGACTCACACACTACTCACACACTACTCACACACTTTCAATTCTTCTTTTGTAACCCAAAATAATTGCATTGTTATGGAGGGAACTTCATTAACATACAAAATAGGGAAATTTGGCATCATTGTCAATGGTGGACATCGTAGATATGTCAGGTCATGGGCTGGCTCCGTGACTGTTATTCTCTTCAGTTTTAGCTCACAAACATTACAGGGTAACAGATGTGTGTGTGTGTGTGTGTGTGTGTGTGTGGAGGCAAAGAAAGGCAACAAAAAAGGGGAATGAGAATCAAGTAGCCAGAAAAAATAAAAAAATTAGGAGTGTGAAATGTGGTATTTGGATTGTAACAATAAAGCAAGAGGGTAATGATAAACCTAAGAACTGCAACTCCTAGATTCCAACAATAACAACAACAAACCACAATTCACCAAACTCAATGCAGCTCTTTATGAGTTTCATCTCGAAGGTGGTGCTTTTCCGAACTGACCAGTTTACATCGGCACTAAAAAAAAATATGGAATGACATGATGTTTAGAGTCAAAAGTTATAGGTAGTGCGCTATGCTCAATATGTCGTAAATGAAACACAACTATATGCAGGATGCATATTTGGCTTTCGCAGCCTTTTAAATGTGTGTGGTTTATTTGATAAGCTCACCAAGGGCACCACTTGTCCTCACTTGACCTCCTAGGTAGAACTGTGACAAGAACGGTAGGTGAAAAGAGGTATGAAGCTATAACCTGAAACTTCAGGTGCTACCAGGAGAATGTAACTTCTCAATCACCTATAAATTTGCGTATGATCGATTGTATACTCCAAAGTGCGCAAGTGCTGGTGTGCACCCACAAATTATAGGTGACCCTCGTCTATCTTTTGTCTGCGTTGCCACTTATTGCAAAACTGTTTCCGAGATGTTCTTTGCGACATCTCAGTAGACAGTTTTGCGAAATTTTGCAGCATTTTAATGAAAGTTGTTTCAAGGGTATGTATGCACTACAAAGTTCAACTTTGAAACACATTTCATCAATTTAGCAAATTCAAGGTTAAATTAAAGAGTATAAAAGCAGTGGTAACTATTAGCCGGTAGTACAATTTTAGCTTTATTCTCTCTACTAATGGTGATACTACATAGTTCATTCTGAAGCCAATTCTTCTCAGCCAAATACCTCTTTTCGTATGCTGATGACTTGTGCATTACAATAAGTCTGTGAATTTATGTGGTTCATTGAAGCACCTTCCCCATCAATTTGGTAGATCTTCTCTTATTGTTGAAGTCTGTATGTGTATGTGTGTGATAAGTAAAGTAAAAAAAATAAACAATAAAACAGAGATGGAGTGTAAAACAGACGAAAATCAAAAAGAAAAAAAAATCGTTCTCTTTTTTTCTATTGTTCTTCCTTTTCACAACCAACTAGAGAGAAAAAAGGTTTCTTTGGAAGGAGAAAAAAAAAAAGTGACAACCATTTGCAACAATATTAATACACCCACTACAAAACACTTAGAAATCACCACCAATAAGAACCACTTACACTACGCTGTTGAAGGGTTGAATGAATGTATCACCCTTAAGCTATCTCCTCTTGTCCAAATATCAACACATTTTTCATCATCATTGCAGCCAAAAAGAGGAAAAAAATATACTCTCTCTCCAATAAAAATAAAACCATGGATCATTCAAACATAAGAACATTCAAAAGACCACTTGATATACCAACAAGAGAGCAACTTGCCACCATTTTCAATCCACATAAGAGACTAAAAACTCCTCAGGTGCCAGATAATGCTTCAATACCTAGAGGGACGCACTTTGTTAATGACGAAAATCTACCAACAACTTCCAATTTGTCAACCACTAAACAAAATACTCTGGATGCAAATGACAGCCACCATCAATTTAATCACCATCCACTAGATACTATAAATGACGCACCTTTATTGAACTCAGTGCCTCCTAATATCGTACCCATTGTTCATCCACCAGCAATCACCTCCGATTTCTTTACTGATGTCACCACAGATTTGAGCAATGAGAATACAGCACAACAAGTTTATGGAATTATTAAAAAATTCCCTCCGCCTATTCCTCCACCACCACCGCATCCTCCCTTTATGTCAGAACTTGATGGTGACGTGAGTGACGATGAAAGAGGAGGAATCATGGTACCATTCATTTATCCACCTCCACCAGTTATAAATGTGGACAAGTTGCCACTTTCATTAACCGAATTTAGACGAAAATTTCAACAATCTTTGAAACTGTTGGAAAAACGAGATAACAAAATGAAAGACAGGGAATCTTCAGAGGAAAGAATGTCAAGAGGAGAACTTAATGGTGTTGGTGGACTGATAAACAGTCACTCCGAGTCTAAAGCATCCAGTGCTGCGCCTCTAGCTTCAACTCCAGCACCAGCTGCAACTCCTTCAGGGCCAGCTAAACGTGGAAGAAAACCAAAGGTAAGACCTGAGCAGCAGGCTCAAGCACAAAAGGAGGAGGAAGAAGAAGCGAGAGCAAGGAAGGCAAGTCTGGAAGTGGGAACATCTGATAATTTGGCTCCGGAAGGTACAGGGCAAGTGGACACGCAATCTGACAATGTTTCTTCCGCTGCTGAAAAGGATCACTACGTATATGTGCAAGCGCCTCCTCTATCATTCCCACCACCAAATTATATGGCATATCCACTATCAGCTGAGAAATCGACTTTGGTACCGGAAGAGGTATTTACTTCACTACTTGAAGCCAATGAGCAACTACCGCGCGTTGATATGGTGTTGGCTAGTGCTGCGGGCTCACTATTTGATATAAGAAAGGAAGCTATGAATAAGGGCATGACAAGAGATGACTTTGAGTTGCAAAAATTGAGAAAAGAAACTGTTGAAATATCTCTGGATGTTTCAAGTGAAGGCGAACCTTCAGCCACAAATTCACCGTACAATGATGAAGAGTACTACTCCAAGATTGATGACGAGGTTTACCAGGATGTTTATCAAGCACAGTGGCCAAAAGTCAACATTTTCAACAAAACTTATATTGACCCAGACTATGCCAGAGTACGGCCACAATTGAGTAATATTGAGGAAAAACCATATGTTGAGAGCAAAAAGGAATTGGAAAATGTTGATTCGTACCCTCATGAAGCAATGACTGGGTTGGAGAGAATTGACAGACTGAATGTGTTCCCATTCTCTTCACGAGAGTTTATTTTGAGTACCGGGGCAATGAAGGAAAAGAGGAGGAAAAAATTGCGCTCACATTTAGAAAACATGGAGGAGTTTGAACTGAGAAATAGCGATGATATCTATCGTGCCAAGAAGTACAAGTTGTTGCAACGAATTGACAATTTACGAGCTAGCAAAATACATTTCCAAAATTCAATTATCCGTGATGAAGAGTTGAAGCAGATTCAACAACGGTTGGAAATCGAACGTGATTATGAATTGGTGAAATTGAAATTGTTTGAGAAATATGAATTATTGAAAAACTCGTTGCTTTTTTATGAAGAATCAAACAAGGTTTACAAGCATTTGAATATGGTGTTGATTAACAAGTTGGAAAAATTGAAAAACTTCTTTGAATATCAACAAGAGTTGTTTACTCATTTATTGGAACAACAGAATAAAAATGGTGGAGGTGATGTATTTGATATTTCAAATAAAAACTCATCAAAATTGTTTCAAGGGATTTCTTTGAAGAATGCCGATAGACCTGCATCATCATCATCCTCCGATGAAGCGAATGATGAGGCTCCAGGAAATCTAAACCATGCCAGCGAATCAGATAAACTATTGAATGAAATGATGAATCCTTCATCCAAATTTGCCCTTGTTCACGATTTTATGCCTTTAATCACCCAGGAAGAATTTAGCATCATTACTAGTGATGTACCCAAAAAGCTTAAACCAACAACGTCAACAAAGACTTCAATGAAGCATCAGATATTTGCTAATCCAATTTATGATCGTTTAATGACATCTGGATCAGATACCAACGCCAGTGATTCGAATGCTAGTGGGTTCAAGAGTGGCTCGCCACAACCGCAACTTGTGCTGTCGGGTCCTAAAAGAAGAGGTAGGCGTGCAGCAGCTACTGCAATGGCATCGACAACAACATCGACATCTGCGCAAACTAATGTCGCTAGCTCCTCAGGGAATGGTACTACTGTTGGTGTTTTTGCTAGAAATGGAGGTGTTCCATCAACACCAACAAAAACCTCTGGCTTTACTACTGCCTTTCAAGCACCAACAATGCAAAACACGTATATGCGAGATTCAGTTGCTTTTAATCATCGATATACTGAGGCTGGATTATTGGCCAAGATTACTAAACAATTTTATGGTCCACAAATGGCCAATTCTGATGAGTTGAATCATGATTTGAAATTGATGGGAATAGATACCAAATGGCCGGTGGGGAAATAGAGAAAAAAAAGCGAAAATATAAATTTGCTTTTGATAGTGAAGTAGATAATTATTATGAGAAATGAATTTAGATACAGATACTCTACTGTAGAATTATTCAATGGGAGCTAATATGTACACAATTGCTTGACTTTCGACTAAGTGTATATTCATTTTAATGGCAAATTTATAACACAATTTGAATGAAATGAAAAGGATATAAAAAAGAAAAGGTGCTATACAAAAACAAAAACAAACAAGGACAACAGAGGACTAAAATATAATAATAACAAAAACAAGGCAGAAAAGATTGGGATGGATGTGGGATATGTTTCTATGTTTTGTATTATGCTATGATGTGTAATAAAACGAATCAAAACAAAATCAAACAAACTGAAACAAAACAAAACGATACATGACAGGATTAAAATAGTACAATAGGGTATGGGTCAATGTTGGTATGATACTCCAAATAGTGAGTTAGTGAAAAGAGAGAAGTGGGCCTTCTCTCTTCTCTCTTCTCTCTCTCAGTGATGATTGGGTATCTTTGTCCCCGTGAGTAACACTTGCCGTTCGCCCCTTTTAATACTCTTCAAATTGAGAATACAATGCAATCAAAACATTGACTCCTCCCAAAACATAAGGCAAAGTACCCAAAGTAGCAGCAAATGAATGATACAATCCTAAATGTAACAAAGCTCTATTCCACAAGGCACTAACCCAACTTTCATTGGTGGCAAACTCAATAATTGAGCTTTGTCCAACAAAATAATAAACCAAGATTTTACTCAAGGCAAACACAAATGGATCAAATGAATAAATTCTCAACAAGTATTCATCATCATCAACATCAACTACTCGAGATGTGAAGTTGAAAAAATAGGAAATGATTGATGGTGAAATAATGGCAAATATAATCCAAGTGGCAAATGTAGCAATGGCTTTGAATTCAAACAAGTTGATCAATTCCAATGTGGGCAATTGGGATTTGGCCAACAAAGGAATATTATCATGGAAAAATTGATGAATCAATTTATTCTCATTCAAGGGAACCACAGTGGTGTAATTGTACAAGTAGATTAACAATTCTAATCCCAATTCTAAAAAGTTTAATGTAATTGTTGAACTTAATTGATCTCTCAATTTTTCGGTATGTTCCAAATATGTGATTCCTACAGAATCAGTAAAATCGTAAAATTTATCAATGGCATTTTCACTAGTGGCGATTATGGGGTCCAAGATGAATTCTTTCAAGTTCAATGGAGGTGGGGCTTGATAATCCTTGTCTTCGTCGTCATCTTCTTCAGCCAAAACAGCTTCCAATATTTCTTCCTCTTCTTCTTCATCTTCATCATCGTCCTCAGAGTCATCGTCATCATCATCATCATCATCACCAGCTTCAATAACGGTGACTTCCTCTTCATCCACTTCATTGGTACCAGTTTCTTCAAGGAATTTTCTAACTGCATTCACATCCTTGGGGAATTTGGCAAGGTAAGCGTCTAATTTCTCAACCAAAACCTTTTTGACATCCTTAGCGGTGGTACGAACACCCAACTTCTTCAACACTTGACTCAAGTCGGTCTTTTTATACTTGGAAAATTCAGACATTGTGATTGGAATATGATATGTCTTTCTCTGTTATTTGTGGTGTTCTGTTGGGCAGCAATAACAATGTGATATAGAATTGACTTTCAAAAGAATTGAGTAATTAATATAGTTGTATATCCTCAATGAGGTATGAGAGAAGATTATTTGTTTTGGTTTTGGTTTCTCAAGAGCAAAAGAAAAAATGAAAACAGAAAAGAGAGAATGCAACAGAAAAAAAAAAAAACTCAGAGAGAGAGAAAAAAAAAAAATGACACGAAGTTGTGACCACCACATCATATACTACTACACTATTGCTAGTAGGGCATTTTGTTATCAACCTACTAAGATGCCAGTTTCATTGTTGTAGCTTGTTATTGCTTGAGATATAGATATTGCTCTTTCATTGTTATTTAGCCAATTACATCTTACAAACATTTTGCTGGTTCCAAGTACCACTTTTGGCAACTGGTTTTTGCAACTATTACCCCACCAACTTTTATGGCTGGTTCTTAAAACCATTGATACGTGTTTACGACAATTGGAGCCTGGCACATGAGCTTTTCATGGCATAGCATCAGCACCTCCCAACCTTGATGGCCAAACATTTGCTCTCTGTTACCCAACAAACTGACTCTTGCATCATCGGTATTGATGGTTTTTACTGTAGTACATTTAACTTTTGTGTTGTAGTGTTTTTCTGTTTTGTGTGTGTGTTGTTTGTTTGTTTGTTTTGATTTTCAACTGTTTTGGATTCTGTACACCAACCAAAGAGAACATCTTTTATTTACACATTAACCCAATTTTGGAAAGAAGGTAAACAATTGTTTTTGCTAAAACGCGCTTTTCTTCTCTTTATTCCAGAGGTCATCTTCAACTTCGCAAGGCTGTTACTGAAAGTAGCAACTATACTCCAAGATGGAACTTTCTGTTTCTTTTGTCGTATCAAATGTAATTTAATGTCGCATTCTTTGTTGTGTAATTTTTTGGGTTTTTGGACACTAAGCCGCACCATTGATAAAAAGTTACCTAAAGAAGAATGCAAAGGAAAATTTGGTAAACCCTAAAAGTAGATGTACACACACACCGTAAAAGAAGAGAGTAGACTGTTCCAAACGACACACACACACACTACTAGTATACCACACGAAGGACGATTTTGGGGGTTAACAGATGTACATATAGCCATATCAAAATAGATACAATATATCACAACGATCATGATTAGTCGACTGTTTACTCAAGTGGTTGGCAGATCATCACACAAGATATGTCGCCTTAGGCGACATATCCAACAGTCAAGTACGCTACGAAACGATCCAGATGTTACAGAATTACCACGTGTAAATCAAGTGGGCATCCAGTATCTATCCCATCAATTACATAAAAAGGTTTTCCCCACAACAGAACTCGATGATTACCTTAACCCAGAGCACCCAGAGCTACTAGAAGCAGCAAAGAAACATTTGCAAGCTAATGATTTGCTCGGTAAAAAGACTCAAATCACCAACCCCATAACAATCAATCATTTCCCTGACTTAGTTGGCAAAAGTCTCGATGAACACTTTTACAAGCTTGGACAAAAATCAGCAGAGCCATATTTATCAATGGCACAAAAATTCCTTCTGCCAGAGTCATCAATTCCTCCTATACCGTCTCAGGACGAATGGCTCATGCAGCCAGGGTGGACGAGATACACCCAGGATGGAACATCCCCGGAGAAAGTGCCTTATCCGCTAGAGGACGAACTTGTATTCGATGTGGAAGTTCTTTACAAGATTAAAAAGTTTCCAATTATTGCCACATGTGCTTCATCCAAGGCATGGTACGGATGGGTTTCACCAGTACTACTTGATGCCTCAGATCGATGGAAAAAGAAGATTGACTACAACCATTTAATTCCAATGAATTGTGCCAAGCAACCTAAATTGTTGATTGGTTACAACGTTAGTTATGATCGTGCCAGAATCCTTGAGGAGTATAATATTAAAAAATCCAAAGCATTCTACCTCGATGGAATGGCCATGCATGTTGCTATAAGTGGGATTTGCTCTCGACAGCGACCCATGTGGCAAAAATTCAACAAAGCGAAAGCCAAGGCAGAACTTGCTCAAGAGCAAGAGGATGAAGAAAACGAATACTGCGATCAGGAAGAAGATGACGAATACGATCCAGCTGTATCAATACAAGAAGATCCCTGGTTGTTGACGGGCTCCCCCAACTCATTAGCAAACGTGGCAAAGTTTCATTGTGGGATAGAGATGAATAAGACCGCTCGTGAATACTTTGCATCAGAGGATCCTCGAGAGATTGTGAAGAACTTCAATTTGTTAATGAACTATTGTGCACACGATGTTGACGCTACATACAAAGTGACAAAGAAGTTGTTTCCTGAATTTTTTACAAAAGTTCCACATCCAGTCTCGTTTGCTGCATTGAACCATTTAGGGTCGTTGATTTTGCCAACAAGCACCAAGTGGAAGAGCTATATTGAGTCAGCAGAAGCTTGCTATGATGCGAATAGAGCTGAAGTAAATGATACATTGAAAAAGTTGGCACTCAACTTGATACAGCATATCGAAAAGAAAGATTCCAAATTGGCACCAAAGTACGAAAAAGACCCGTGGTTGAACCAACTAAACTGGAAGTTGAAAAAGGGGAGGTTCAAAAAGGATGGATCTCCATACAAAAGAAATGCTTATTTAACGGGATATCCCGAGTGGTATAGAGATTTATGGGGTTCAGTAGCGCCCGCAGGCAGTCAAATGAATCTCACTTTGAAAACGAGGATAACACCCCTTTTGCTCAAGTTGAAATGGGAAAACTTTCCCCTCTTTTGGACAGATACTGAAGGATGGTGTTTCAAAGTGCCATTTGATGAGGATCACTTAGCATACTTATTTTCCAAAAACTATGTACGTGCGACATTGACACCAGAAGAGATTGATGCCACGCATGACAAATTGCACGAGGACGGCAAATCGTATGTTTTGTTCAAAGTGCCTCACCCAGACGGTCCAAACAAGCGATGCACTTCAGTCCTTTCAAAAAATTACATGAGGTATTTTGATGATGGAACATTAACCTCCGAGTACGACTATGCGAAAAAGATTTTAAAACTTAATCACGAAGCTTCGTATTGGACGGGTAATCGAAATCGTATAATGGATCAATTTGTCGTTTACAATAAGGAGGGGAAGAATAAGTTCTTTGACACAAAGAAAGAGTGTCAGGAGCATAAAGATATGGGTATCATCATTCCAAACTTGGCGTCAATGGGCACAATCACAAGAAGAGCCACTGAAAACACCTGGCTCACAGCATCCAATGCAAAAAAGAATCGTATTGGATCTGAATTGAAATCTTTGATTGAAGCACCAAAAGGATACTGCTTTATTGGAGCCGATGTTGATTCAGAGGAATTGTGGATTGCATCATTAGTTGGTGACTCTATGTTTGGTATACATGGTGGATCTGCATTAGGTTGGATGACGTTGGAAGGAGAGAAACTGCAAGGTACAGATTTGCACTCGAAAACTGCTAGCATTTTAGACATTTCGCGTAATGATGCAAAAGTGTTCAACTATGGTCGGATATATGGCGCAGGAATTACGTTTGCCACGCGATTGTTGAAACAGTTTAATAGCGACCTCTCCGACATCGAAGCAGAAGAAATTGCCCAAAAGTTGTATGCCAGTACAAAAGGAATGACACAATCGCCACGATCTTTGGGTCTGAAAAAAGTGTATTATGGTGGCAGTGAATCCGTAATGTTTAATGCGTTGGAATCTATTGCACAACAGCCAGAACCTAAAACGCCAGTACTAGGTGCTTCAATCACAGACGCTTTGAATTCCAAGAATTTGAAAAAGAACACGTACATGACATCAAGAGTAAACTGGACTATCCAGAGCTCTGGTGTTGACTACTTGCACTTGTTGATTGTATCGATGGAGTATTTGATTGAAAAATATGGCATTGACGCTAGATTGGCAATTACAGTGCATGATGAGTTGCGATACCTTGTCAAGGAAAAGGACAAGTACTTGGCTGCTTTACTTTTACAAATTAGTAATGTATGGACCAGAGCTATGTTTTGTGAACAATTGGGTATTAAAGAAGTTCCTCAATCGTGTGCATTCTTTTCTGAAATTGATATTGACCATGTATTGAGAAAAGAAGTGAGTATGGATTGTGTTACTCCATCTCATCCTGACCCAATTGCACCAGGAGAATCATTAAATATAAAGCAATTATTGGACAGGACCAACAATGGGGAAATATTGAACTGCAACCCTAAACCAATGACATTAAGGACAACCAAATATGAGCCACGAGTACCCGTCATTCAAACATTACGAAGCGGCTGGACGGAACAAGCTAGTATTCAACTAGTCAAATTGCAAACATCAACCAATAAGGAAGAATGGATTCAGAATTTACGGCAATTGAATAGAATCATCCGGACTTATGTTACTGATGAACAAAAGGAGATTTTGGTCAAATTTCACGATGATCGTGTTAATGACAAGGCACGCCATGTGGTCTATAGACGCGATCGCAAAAGGAAAACACAAACTAAAGATGCAGGTAAAGTGGCACCGGACTTTGACTTGGAAGTTGAGCCGAAAAGGGGTAAGGATACCAAGGGCAAGGACACCAAGGGCAAGGGCTCCAGGGGAAAGAGAGTTGCAAAGGCAACAGACGATGCGAGCACAAAGAAAGTGAGTATGGGCCAAAGCGAAACCGAGTATGCTTCACGTGAGGGTGACGAAAAAACTGTCCAACCTCGTTTCTATGGACTGAATTCCTTAACCATCCCAAGCTCAACATCTGAGTCGTCAGGGGATGAAACGAAAAATGAATCAATGAATGTCAATGCAGCAATGTCATCAGCAGTGCATCCTCAGACACATGCTTCTCTCACTAACGCCAATTCATCCCCGTTGTGTGGACCACCATCCGCACGCCCTCATTATTCGAACCCTTCGACTAGACCTCATGCATCAAAATTGGGATTTGCAAACAAGATGGGGTATCACACTTCCACTGGGGCTATGAATCATACTTTATTGCAGGGAAGTGAGAATGTAGCTGGTTTCTCGAGTCGTGAACCTTTAAAATCTAATCAATTAATGGTTGGTTGTGATGATTTCGTTTGCTGTGGTGATCTATTCGAGACAAGATACCGGCTGCGTCGACGACGAATAAGCATCCGCGGTGGCACATGTCTAGTGGAGGAGCTAGCGGGAGAATTCCCTAAAATTGGATGGAGAAGAAAACGACGACGAGGAAGGAAAAAAGATCGTTTGTGTTATTTCTCAGGATAGCCTATGATGTGATGTTTGATGACTTTTGTTGACGATTGTTCTATTACCGCTTTGGACTTTGATATTTCGCTGCTACTCATTGAAGCCTGCTTTTTGCCTTGGTGGTTGCAACACCAAAATTCTCTTTTCCACCCCTCACCCTCACCCTCACCCTCCGGACCTTGCCTAAAGACAGAATAATTGACTGGGATGTGAATCGATAGAGGCTCCCAATTGCCCAAGACGCTTTACGATGGCGTTGAGCCTCTACTATTCTTCAGTTACCAGTCATTAAAAGAAAATTAGGTCACTATTGTTGGGAGGGAATTCAACTAGAGGGAAAGTGAGGTGTAATACACTGAATTGACAAATTTGCAATTTCAGTGTGTAACTTCGCTTGAAACTCTTTAAGGGTAAGGAACGGCATCAATTTGGAAGAGTCTAGCGAAAGTATTCCCGTGTTTTGAAGATGAGACCATGTTAAGTTTAGCAATATAATTAAAGGAGCATGAGGTATTGATTACACAGCTAGATCTCGAAGTGGGAGGCTCTTGTTTTGCTGAGAACAGCGAATCGGGTTTGGTGGAAGGACGAGACGTGGCGTGCATGATTTGCGATAATATTTTAACCACCCAATGGATTTGCTTTATATTGTGGTGTGTATTATTATCCAGTCGTATGTGTGTCGTAGTAAAGGCAGTTTGCAGTATTTATATGTATATAAGTGTATTTATAGAACAATCTAGATAACATAAAGTATCAAAGCATCTGCCTATTGGGAAGGACCAAAGGGGGTTGGAAATAGCTATCTTGTTTGTTTGTCTATGTAACATATCGAAAGAAATCTCTCCCAGTTACTCCCCATATACACCTCTACAGCGGTCATTTACGGTTTTTAGATTGCAAAAATGTGCAGCAGGAAGTTCGAGCGAAAAAGCCGTGATGTAAGGCAAGATCATGATGTTATACTATGTTGTTTGGTGCAAGATCGGCGTTTATTATAAAGAGAACAAAGGTCTCAAGAGATTGACATCTTGGGCCAATATATCAACAAAGATTGAGAGACAATAAGTTGTTTCTACATGTCACAAAGATGGAAATCGCTTTATAAGTGGATATCCACCACACGAGTGTTATGAGTAATGACTGCGCGAAGCACGACTACCGAAGACATGGTATAAAGAAGCAAGTTATTCATTTCAGCCAGTCTCCATTTATGATTCAACAACTCGGGATCGAAGGGAGCCAACAAAAACCGTTGAAATCGATAGAGTGTCAGACTTTTTCGGTTGTCGGTGTTAACGTACATGTATAGAGCCGGTGCTGATTAAATTTTGGCTGGTTGAGCCCTATGTATTGTTTCCTTCCTCCTCCAAATTAACCTCCAAGTTTGTCATAGTGGAAGAGCACAATAGGTTTCTTCGGGTTTAAACCGAAAAAAAAGAAAAGAAAATTTTTTTACTGCCGACGGATTTATAAGCGCACACAAGTTTTTATGCCCAGTAATAACCGGCTAAATTAAGATGAAAAGCTACCTTAGTGATTTGAAAAGTTACGTCAGGTTTCTCTTGTACAGGGGAAGACCCACATATGGAGAAATTTCCATCACTCAGTATGGTTTAGCGCTGGAGATAGAGAAAGAGATGACTGATTGAGATAACCACCCCTCTGTATACTAATGCATTACACATGTCCCTTCCCCTCTGGCTTTTTCCCTGGGTAAAAATCGATCCGATCGGAGTCTCGTGTTCGATATTGAAAATCGACATCAATTTTGAACCACAACTGCTAGTCGCTTTTGTATTTGATTGTCGGGTATTTTATTCCGATGTCCAAACTAAAAAAGAAACAATGTAATGTCCGTTTTAGTGTCACAAACAGAAATAATTTGAGACGACACACGGAATAGAGTGAAGAAAGCGTTTTGTTGAAAAAGAAAAAGAAACTCAAATTTTTTAGGTCCGTAATAGCCGTTAGCATATATGCATAATTTCGATACAGCAAAGAAGCAGAGGTATGTTGTTGTTGCTGCTATTGCTCTGTAGCTTTTAAAACGAGAGCCCTTCAGTTCCGAAATTAAACAAAAGGTACTTTGGTGTGACAGCTGTGACGTTTCTTTTCTTGACTTTTAATGTAACCCACTGAAAAATGTTTTCTTGGTAGAATGGGGGGTGAGGGGAAGAAGAGGTGATAAAAGGAAGCGTAATTGATTGACTGTTTTAGCACAAGAGTATAATTACCTGACCTGAAGCTGAATCTTAACGACGGAATGCTGAAGCCTTGTGGCGTCAATTCACTAGTGTTTGATCATGAAGGCGCTTTGAACCCTATCTATTGGTCTGCTTCAATATTTTGTTCTTTACTATAGAGCGGCTATTATACAAAATATATACATATAGTTCCTAGTTTCTTTCGTAGTTTTATTGTTCTTTTCCAATGTGGCATTAATAGTATGTTATTATGGGATTAGGATTTGTTTATTAATTGAACAAATTGAGAATGATACAATACTACAATAATACAATAATACACAATAAATAAATACAATGCAATTTTGTTGTCAGGTACACTACCATTATTTTTTTGGTTAAAATCCCTCAAAACTCATAATAAAAATTTTTTTTTTAAAGTTCAAGAGAGCCTTCTCATTCTGTATTATTATATAAAAACAAACTAAAAAGTAACAATATTTGTCAATTCAGAAATCTTTCTTCTTTTCCCTCTTCTTTTCCTTTTCCCTTTTCTTCACTGTATTCACACCCCGTTTACCTCCCGTTACCCTTTTCTTCCACATCAAAAGAAAGCAATGTTTCCAGCTGGTGTTATTTTAGTCTTTTGTTTGATCTTTGCTGCTTTCGTCTTGGTTAGTGGTGTTTTCATCCACAAGAAAATCAAGGCTAAGAAATCTAAGCAAAGATTCTAAGTGTTGAACTGAGTCAATTCAGTTTTGTATGATGAGAAGAGCTTTTATTGAAAAGCATATATGTTAAATGGAAGTCACTGAGAAGATTGTAGGGAGATGGGGTGGCTTACCACGAAAAGGCAACATTGAAATGAGTTTATGGACTTCTAAAGCATTATAATTGAAGCGATGTCCAATCCCGCTTTTTCTGGGAGTCTACACTTTTTCCTGAGAAACATTTGAAAAGACAGTGGAAGTTTCTATCATCATTCACTACAATATCAACCAAATTTTTTTTATACCAACTTACCTATAATACGCTACTACTATTACCATTTTTTTATATCACCATTTTTTGTTATTGTTTTTGTCACTACTTTTTTTGTTTGTTTGTTTGTTTGTTTGTTTGTTTGGATTGCACCTTCATCACGTTTTGTGCTTGTTTGCTAACAAATTTTTTTACCGTTTTTTATTAGTTCAAAAAATAAATTCTAAATATTATTCAAATAGTTGTTTTGATTGGGGAATCATTTCAACTTACAAGGAGGGAAAACTGGAATACAAGTCAACTTTTGATTTCAACAAAGAGTACTTTTTATGGGTACTTTAGTTGGGTCAATATAAATGCTGTGGAGCATTAACCTGATAAATCGCCGCTGATTCTTTTTGGTGGTGGTTTGTTTTTGATGAAGAGGATATACATTGTTTTCGATATTTGGTGTTTTTGCTGGTTGTGTGGATTTCTTACTGAAAGAACACTGGCTAACTCCATTTTGTCATTATTGTCATGGTCGTCATGAAGATTGATTAGTGACTTTGAGAAGAGAACTCTACACGAAGAAAGGAATAGGAGAGGGGAAATTGGGGAATTTCCGTGATCTTTTTCTTTTAGAGAGATACAATTTTTTTGTTGTTTTAAACTGAATTTGAAAAGTGTGGGTAATTATTGCTGCTGAAAAGAGATGGAGAGGGAATGGCATCAGAAGATGATGATGAATATTATTTCAACAAGTGATAGTCAAAAGGGGGTGAAGGAGATTTGTGATTGGGGAATCACAACATCCCATTCCACCTTTTTTTGAAATTGTTGCTTTATCATCATTATGTTTTTCTTTTTCCAATCTTTTGGTTGCGTTTTTGACCTCACATTCTTTTTCAAATTGAATTTTCCTATATAGTTTTTTGTTATTGTTATATATAATTTAAAATCCTAATAAACCATAAAAGCCTAAAAAAAAGAAGAGGATCTTTGTTGTAGATTGTTGAGGAGAGGGTCTTCGGCGACGATTTGAAGTTGATGATTTGTTTTGGTTTTGTTGACACTTGTTTTTGTGACACTTTTCATTGTTTGTAGGGTGAATGAGGTGATCGAATAGACATATGGATTGCAAGTGTCATTGCTAAAGTCATTTGCGTTCACACGTTCGACTATGGCTTCAATTCCCTACCCTCTTGTCTTAGGAAAAATTAGGTCAATAAAGTGGTGGTTAAAAGCGGTACATTTCGTAAATACACTGTACTCTTTTTAATTGGTTGATTTCGTCTTTGTAACCAGCCAATTTGAGAGATGAGCAATAACAAATGAAGTGTTAATACTTGCACAAAATGAAGCGGCGGCTACACAAAGAATTGTTGAGAGGTCGTGTACTTTACATTTACTTTGTTAGCTGGCTAGTTGTGGTTTAAACTGCAACACGCTTCCAAAGTTTACATTGTCGCTGCAGTGTAACATCTAAAACCCACAGTCCTGCCATTTCCCCGCCTTCATCCTTTTTCTTGTTTCTGTTGGAGTACTCCAACGTGGAATTCCGTGTCGTCCGGAGTCAAAAAAAGGAATTTTTCTAAACGTTATGTGAGCCGCTATCTGATCGTGTGTAAGTCTTTGAAACTAGTTCCAAATCTTAACTAAACTCATTTATCTAGACATCATGTTGGGATGTCTATTGCGCAACTTCGGAGGAGCTTGCTAATGACACCATTCGAAGTATAATGAGTGTCACAGTAACATCTATTTCTTCAACGGACTTTCTTTTCGTCATATATTAGAAAAAGTGAGGATCCCAACTGTTGTAGTCAAGAGATAGTAATGTCTGTGAAGCTCAAAAGTCCCCCCGAAAAAAAGCACAATGTTGTGCTTAAATCGACACTTGCATCAAACATCACGTCTGTTGTAGAAATTTTGTTGCGAAATAATACCAAAAAGCTTGATTTGAGTGATAATAATAATATCATAAATATGACGTTTTTGCTCGCTTCTTCCAAGACAAAGCCATGTGTATAGTGCGACACATTACAAGAACGCACTCACAACATAACAACATAACGACCTTACAAACTGCACACGATACTACATTTTCTCAAAGAAGATTCTGTACACGATTTAAAGTGGCCTTTGTGTAAATCAGGAAAAAAAGAGCAATGGCGCAATTTCTAGAAATTTTTTTAAACTCATGCGACACCAAGTCCCGTGCTAATTACAATTGATCTGAAACCCCTAAGCAAAAGGGACTTGTTTAATAATATGATGCTATAGTGCGCCCGTTGCCCAACTGATTACTTAAGTAAGTTGATTTTCCATGTTGCATCGTACAAGAAGTCAAGAAACACTAAGTACCCTCATCAATGATCGTATAGCTTCAACCTCATCAAGCGTGGATGGACCCACTACACACCACCAAAATGCCAACGAAGAAGAAGAAGCTGCTGCTGCTGCTGCTGCTGCTGCTGATGTCAATGACACCGATTCAACCTTTGACTCGCTGTCTGATTTGATATCATACATATCACAAGAAACTTTGATTCCACCACAAATGAGGATTCTCAATCATGCCATCACTGATTTTCATGTCATTAAGGAAATCCCCATCCTTTCATGTTACTTGCAAACTGGTGTTCATTTGTACCCTTCGTGGTCAGCAACAAGTCGCAACCAACCGATTTTGACACGACCTTCAAAATTCATCAATAATATCTTTCGGTTAAATAGCCCTTTCTTGGTGATTGAAAGTTATGCAAAATCGGCAAGGGCAAAGGCAGGCACCAATGCAAACATTAATGTCAAAACAAATGTTAAAACAAATGATGTTGCCACTTCAAATGTACCTCCCCCACCAGCCAAGGAAGTTTTTTGTAGAGTTGATTTCAAAATTCAATCAACTCGTATCACCTACTACGTACTCACGTTTCCCACATTAAACAAGTGCATCTACTTGATCAATAACAATAGTCATTCCCCCAGTGTTGATTTCGAACTAGACGGAACTCACTTTCGAGCAATTGGCGTTACGGGTACCACATCAGCATTAGGCACGAGTGGATTAATCAAACTATACGTGATGGAAAACTCACCTGATTTGTTAACTTTTGATACTTCTTTTGATTACAAGCGGAAGAAATTGACATTTGGTTCGCAAAATCAATTGAGCAAATTGATAGATGGTCAGAATCGAGCGGCTATTGATGAGTCAATGAAACGGGCTCGGAAGTTGATTAATATGCCAGTAGCGCAGTACCTTGATCAAGGTGATGTCAAGTTCAAAATCGAGCACAGTTCCATGAGCGCTGGTGAATCAAATGGCGCTCCACAGCATAGCCACAGCCATCATCATCATCTCGGTGGTGGTAAGAATGCCAATAGTTTTATCAAGCACGGCGTGATTAAGATGTTTGATTATGAGGGTGGGAATGGCGGTGGTAGCTCAGATGAAGATAAGGATGTAATGAGTCAGGAAATGATGATGATTTGTTGTGTGTTGTTGGTATTGAGAGAGCAGGAGTACCGCAAGTACAAGGGTGATAAAAAGCCACAATATGTATGATAGGGGCAATACTTTGCCGGAGGGGGTAAGGTGTGTGTGTGATTGTGTGTCATGGGCATGTTGTTTCATAACTGACTCACTTTTCTTTACTGAGTTTCAGTTGTGCTTCCGGGATTGAGGGAAACCCAATAGCATCAACAGAGGGTATTATAGGAGCTCCATGACATTAATTTGGGAAAGTGATTGCGCATCTAATAGATATCTTTATTCTTTTTACACCTCTTCATTATAACCACCACTACAACCACCACTACAACCCCCAAGCCCCACGTCTGATTTCACGTTACATTCCCAATTCAAACTGTCAATATTATGTCCCCCCAACCCCCAACAATTTCGGAGTAAAAACATTGCCTCACCCCATTCGCAAGACACAAGCTTTTTTATTTTTGCATCATGTCTAAAGTTTTTCAAAGGTGTGGCTATTACATTTTACCAAATTATAAATATTGTCATTCTTTTTGAACATGCGATCATATTTGTAAGGAAGTGAGGGATAGGGGGAAGTTGAACAAAACGCCGTTTCGAGTAAAAGACCAAAAAAGAAATGTCCATGGTATTGAAATTGTATTTCCATATATCAAAGAAAAAAAGAAGTCCGAAATTATTACAATCGATGAGATTATTATCAATGTGACTTCAACTATGGATAAATATTTAAGCTTTTTACATATCGCTCCCCCCTCTTGCCTTTTTGTTTGAGAGAGGTCGTTGGAAGTCCACATCATATACATTTCTTTTAAACACATATCCGGAGTAATAAAGTCTAAAAACTATTTAGGAAAAACAAGATTCCACTTGATATAGTTTTGATTATTATTTTGCTAGCTATGAGATTAGATCTTGTGAGTAGAGATTAATGACACTTTTTACGTAAATGAAGTTATAATAATATTTGAAAGGTTATTGTGGTTGATCAGCGGAGTTGGTTTGAGTGAGGTAGAAAAAGCAAACTTCTGTTTCTTCTAAACCATACGTCATTGCTTTTCTTTCGTATGAAAGGATGTATAGTCTATTTCGTATATGTCTATGGCTCTTCTTTTGTGGAAAATAAACAAAAGTTGCTCGTTCTTTTTCTTCCAGTATCACTTCACAAAAGAGCCCAATTGAATTGTAGATGTACTCTTTTGTTGGGATGTTTCTTTGTTGGGTATCTGAACTAGTGTTTTCCATATTCCTACTATTTTGAGGCAAACACTTGCAGCAAAGTTTCGGAATACTACTAATAGAGATTATTTTTATTATTATTATGATCAACCTTTTTGAACATTGACTTGATTGTGCTTGTGTGGGGGAATAGAAGCAACTTAATCGTGTTCTCTTTACTCGTTTTTGACTCTAGGAAGCTTCAAAGATCAGTTCCTTGCCAGCGGTTAAGCTTGATTGCATCATTTGATTTCGGATAGTCTTGAGTGACCTACAGATCCAGAGTCAAAAGAGCATCACAAAGAGTCATCAAGTCAGTTTAGTAATATTATTCAGTTACCTTCTTGTGTTATGGGATAATCTTTGCGAGCAATTGGTGTAAACAAGGGTGGGGTCGCACGTTTGTGTTTTTGGTGTGGGGAGAAAGTTTAAGAAAAAGCACAACACACAAAAGAGGTACGAAGAAGGCAGAAATTGGTATGCGACTAAGGACAATGAGAGAGAGAAAGAGGAACCACACATCCCCCTTCAAAGGAAATGCATGCACACAACAGAAGAGGTACAGTGGCACAAATGCTAGCAATTTTGAGACTCAGCGAAGGAAATTCAAGAAAAAAATACTAGAAGGTTCAAGAATTGTGTGGATGTGAAATCTCACCTGATTACACAAAATCTTCCTGGTCGGAAAGTCCGAGAATTCGTGTTTTTGCAATTACCCTTACAAAGATCCTGCTCTACTGGGCCATTACCTTCGAAGTCGCCGATCTTGTCTTCTTCATATGAAAAAAAAAGAGTTCAATACTAGCGTCACTTAAGCAGAAATCATTTTGTATATTGTGTAATCATATACCTTCATTCCGTTGTAATGTGTAGTAATCTGGTCGAGCTTTTTGTAAACTTTCGAGTGTGACCCCCATTTTCCCAGGCAAAAAAAAAAGCAAATAAGCCAACCAGGGCTAGGCTACTCTGAATGCATGGGACTGCCTTCATTCGAATTGTTTCAAAGCCTCTTGTACATTTTCCTTCTTTTGCTCCATTGGTGTGTACGTTTTTGTTGCGTACGAGACAATAGCTTCTTCTTTTGTAAAGTATTGGCGAACATCCAGACAATAAAAGAAGTCAATACACAATACGCTACAATATGAAACTTATTCTTTTGTCTATTTGTTGCTTCACTTGCAGATGAATTTGTTCGTCCATTGTTCATTGTTTTGAAATCACAGAAATTTTAAGATTGCCAAAGGATGTGTTAGCTTGCAGACGAGGCAGGTTACCTAAGACAAAAGGTTATGAATGGAGCGGGGTTTGAGCAGTAGATACATCTAGAAGATCTAAATTGGTTAAATAGGGTCCTTACAGATACAGATCTGTAGTGGGGTCATTTTACAGTACATGATAACTGAGACCATTTTTATATGTGTGTTGATCTTTGTAAATCTTTAATTTACTAAACAACTGAAGTAGATCAATTGGGACATCATGAAAAAAGAGAGGAAGAGGTACATGATACAACAAGAAATAGTGGAGAGAGAGAGAGAGAGAGAGGGGAGGTTTTGATCTCAACTGCAACATCGGGTAGAGATAACTTGTAGCTGAAATGCTATTGGCGATTGTAAATGAGGGGAACAGGGAGTGAAAGTTGTGTGGTTGCAATGCACAGTGAGAAAGGTAAAAAAAAACAGAACTGTAAAAGCCTTGTGGTAATGCATGATTTGCAGAGAAGGGGCAAAGAAGGGGTTAGGGAATTCATGTGACTATAGAAACTAATGACAAGGGGGGAAATAAGATTGTAGTTGAGTAGAGTTCTTAAGCATAAGGGGGAACCTAATGCGTGAGTGCTACTTTAAACGTTTGTTTCATGAAACATCACCTCTCTTTTCTTTGGGATATCTTTTTGTTTGTTGGGAAAGAAGTGGCAAAAGAAGAATACAATACCTTACACTTCCAAGGTGGATGTTCTAGAGTTGTCAGTTGTGGAGATAGTGAAGGGTATAGGGTTTCATAGTCTACTACCATCGATTGAATACATTACTAATTTGGTTGTAGATTCTTGAAGTCTTTTCCTCTTCCTCTTCCTCTTCTTCTTCTTCTTCTTCTTTTGCAGTGTTGCACAATGTAACACATTAAAAAAAGAGCAAAATTTCCTAATTGGGGAAAGTGGAGAAAAATTGAAAAAATAGAAAAAAATAAAATTAAAAATAAAATAAAATAAAATAATTTGTGAGTTATAATAAAGTATTACGTAATTCTGTTTCTCCTTTTTCTTTTATGTATTGTTCTCAACGTAATAGTATGTTCTTAGTGAGAATTTAAACTTTTTCGGAGATTTAGTTCCATTAATTACACAAACGCGCAAATTAAATATGCAATCAAAGAGTATACTAGAAAAGGGAATACGATGCCTTCACATACAAACTCAAAAGAAAAGTGAAACATGTAATGTTACAGTCTCAAGTGTAGAAAATAGCATTAAACTCTTTCTTTAGTAGTAGTCTATCCACATATACTGTTGTTTTCTTTTTTGTAGTGGTTGTTTTTGATGATGTATTGTTTCTTATGTATTTCGAGTGTGGGGTATTTCTTTGTGTGTTCAGAAAGAAAAAAAACGTTTGGTGTAGAACAATAAGGAAGGTGCTATGTTGTCCCACTAAAGGAGGATATCCCCCAACAGATCAAACGACAGAGCCGGAAAGAAAGGTATAGACCATCTACTGTAGCAGTTAGTACATTTATTGCGGGAGGAGAGGTATATCATGTGAGTTGTGTTAAAGCAATTGGTTGCGTGTGTTTGTGTGTGTACAAACGGTAACAAATTAAAAGCTGTCAAGTGAAATTGTTACACACACATACCCACTATTACTCTTTCTCTATTCTTCTAATAATACTTTACCCCTCAAAGTCTAATGCTGTTGCAAGATCAAAAAAATGGGTGATATTCTTGCTGTCGTAAAATACTCAAATGTATGGGGTATAGCATTAGTCATCATCTTTTCATGGCCGTGGTAGTTTGTGTGTGTGTGTGTGTGTGTGTGTGTGTGCGTGTGTGTGTATATAGGGCAATTAATGGATTAGTGCGTAGGTGTTATTCTTTGGTTGTAATAACAAATACACTGATAGACATGGACACTTAACTTTAAATCATGCTCTTCTTAATATTTTAGTGGGGGGTAAGAGATGGTTTTGAGTGTAGTGTTGTGTGGCACAAAAGAGATAAATTTTTAGTTGTTGTACAGATTAGGTAAAACATTATACATCAATAGTAGTAGTGGTAGTAAGTAGTACTTGGTATATATATATATATATATATATAAAGCCATTGAAGCCGTATGAAAAAGGATTCTATGACTCTTGATTTTTTTTGATCTTCTTTTGATTTTGTAATACAGTCTTTAAGTGTATTCACCAGTCACATAATCATACATTAAATTTATAATCACTTGTGTATTTCCTTTTCATCTGATAGTAAAGATCAAGAGATATCGATTTTTCGTCTTTTTTTTTTTTTTTTTACAACCAAAAAATCTGCACACACAAGAAACAACCAAATAAATCACATATCACACAACACACCTTGAGACACTCCATCAACCTACTTTCTGAGGCGTGTGACACAATCAAGTTCATCTTCAACTACACTGAGTCTTTTCCTTGCTTAGAAGTAAGTGGATACAAATAAGATCATCAAAAAAGAGATCACTCTCGGACTTTTTTTTCCTTTTTTTACCATAACACACATTAGCTAATGCAACGGAGCCACCAATAGTTCTATAACAGAGTATACGAATTACAACTCCAAACAACACAATAACTAACCACTCGAACAAGGATTAAGCTTAAGTTTTAGTGCCATTTTTAAAGTGAGACAATTTTTTATTACAAGACTCTTCTTGATTTAGCCATTTGAATCTTCACAAAAGCTGACTTCAGCCACTTGCCAGTAATCATCAATAGCACATTGCCTGATCTTGACTCAATTGTTGCACTTGGCAAAAAAATCACATCCCTCGTCGTCAGAGTTTTCCAAAATGCAGCTGGAAAAGAGTTCTACGACAAAACTGGCACCCCAGAAGAAATACATTTGTGGGTTTTGTGCCAAAGCGTTCACTCGGTCAGAACATAAACAACGTCATGAACGATCGCATACGAATGAAAAACCATTCCATTGTTTACAATGTACCAGTTCATTTGTGAGGCGAGACTTGTTGCAACGTCATTGTCGTACAGTGCATCAGATTCAAGATGTAGCAAGACGAAAGTCTCTGGATGCAGTTGGAAGCTCATTACCACTAATGAGTGCACCATCACAACAGACTAACCTACAGCCATCGCAAAGTCGTGACCTGCTGAATGACTCTGATAATGTGCCACTCTTATCACAACAACAGCAGCACCAACAAAATAACCAGCAACAACAGCAGCAGAACCAACTGCAGCAACACCTCCTACCACAACAACAACATCACCAACAACATGCTTTTCAGGTAACTCCACAACTAGACACTTCATCCTCCTCATCATCCACATCATTACAACCTAATTCAATTCCATTCCCGTTTGATGCACAGGACCACCTACCTTTAACAACAATGACGCCGTCAAACAGTGTCAATAGTGAACATGCTCCACTGAAGAGACGCAAGAAATCAGAATCTAGTGGTGGCGTACTTGGTATGCGAAGAAACTCAACCATGCCAATGTCCACTGGTTCAAACGATACAAATCTTATCAACTTATTATCCATTTCGAAAAAGCTAGACTACATCTTGAAAGCTTCAAACTTGGGGTTGAATGAATCGGTTAGTGACTCGTTTCTTATTGGTTTCAATACTTTGCAAGAACTACTGACAAAATTTCCCATTTTCGACTCTATTGTGAAAAGTTTAATGTATTATTTGAGCACGTTCTATATACCTAGCACAAATGGTGGCCCAACAGCGGCAATGGTACCACCGCCGATGACACCTAGCTTATCCCACCCCAATCATTTCAAAACAGGCCTCATATACTCAATTATATCACTCGGTTGCATCGTCAACAAGAACTCAATCAAGTCGCTAATCTTTTTCAAAAAGGCATGGATTTTGTTGATCAAAAAGTTGATTCCACAATACAACAATAGTAATGTGCCACTAGATCAAATTGAAATTGCAAGTAACTTGTTTTTGTTGTCGTACATCTATGTTTCGTATGATTTGGAAAATTACGATATAAATAATGAACAAGTGGGTAAGGCCAACGGTGAGAATGACAATGATGAACAAATTTACCTCAACAATATTGTCATTTTGGAATACCTTGATCAAATCAGCTTTATTATTATTTCAAACTTGACTGATTTTTCCAACCCCAATGACAAACTCATCGACAGTAATATGAATTTATTTTGGTCAATCTATATTGTGTTGTCATTCTACTTCCATGATCGAAACCCAAAGGTATATGCAAGCTTTCTACACAAGTTGGTTGGTCAAGAGGATTTGCTATCGGTGATGCAAAAATTCTCCAAATCATATTCTGTCATTGATGAACATGACGATTTCATCAAGATGATTGTTGTGGCAACTATTGGCAATGAGTTGAAAAATTATCACGCTTCAATATCGTCGTCATCTTCATCTGAATCACCCCATTCAGAAATACCAAATGGATCTCCATCCATCAAGATTTACGAATCGAAAAATGTACTTCATAACTCGGTCATTTTGATTAATCGATCAATAAACGTTTTCCAGCCATTGCTGGAATCCAATGCAAAGCTGAAGTTGTTTGAGTTGTTTCGCAAAAATTTAATCATAAACAGTCCATTGAAATATCGTGAATTGTTGAGCAACTACATTTTTATCCCACAATCGTATGTGAATTGGCAGTTGCTAAACTTGACATTGGATGAAGCAACAATCAACTATGATCTTAAGGAAACTTTACACAGATCGATAGATGATCCAAGTAAGATAGACACACTTGAGTACAAGCTCAAGCTTTTCCTCGATTATAAAAAGATCCATCTCGATATTAATAACAATATATCCATTGTGTCACTACCAATGGTTTTTTTCTCCAACTATCTCAATCTAAATATTATCGATTGTGGATCCACTTTTAATCAATTGCAATTGAAGAATATCAAATTGTTTCTTTTGCATTGGTACATGGTGATGAATAAATTGTTGATTATGATTTGGTGTGATGATATTTTACAGTTTGAAGAAAACTACATCTTGCAAACATTTGTGTACATGTTGTTGGACAATAAACTGTTGTTGTTGAAGAAATTGAATATCGAAGCCCCACATAATAATTCTGGTTATTATGAAGAAGTCAAGATGTCTAATGTTGATTCAGCAGTTGATTTTAAATTCAACAAGAAGTGGTTTTGGATAGTCAAGATGAAATTGGACAATGTTTTTGAACAGTGGATGCATCATATCAAGATTCCATTTTTGGATAATAGTTTTGCTATGGTTAAGATTCAAGTTGCCAAATTTATAAATGAGCATATTGCATTGGAAGGATTGGTGTTTAAAGAAGATGCTGAAGATGCTACTGTGGGCAGTGGTAGTGCTGGACAGCAACTGCAACAACAACATCAACTGCAGCAACTACAACAGCAGCACCTTGTTTTCAACAATAGTGGACCCAATTTGTCCATGTCAGGACAGCATGGTCATTCTGCATCAACAAGTATGTTGAGTTCAACGTCAATGAACTACGCCATTCCAATGCAACAGCAAGTGTCGTCAAACTTTATCAATTATGGATCAATGAATGATTTTGTTGGTGGTGGAGGAGGTGGTCCGGGAAATATGAATAAGCGATCAAACTCGATATCACTGGTGATACTGCTGAATTTTGGTAAAGATGTGGCTCAAATGCCATCGCAATCGCAACAGCTACAACAACAGCAACAACAACAGCAACAGCAACAGCAACAGCAACAACCACATCTAATGCCTCAGCCGCAGCAAATGCCCACGAGCGGACAACAACAGCCACCACAACTCCAATCGCAGCAACTGCAACAAGGACAGAACCAACAGTACTACAGCTACTCTACTCATCCACCACCACCACCAATCTTATCCTCGATGCCAAAAGAATTAGTGTTGCCTCCCATATCATCTGAACGAAGAAAAGAAAAATCTGAAGTAACGTATTGAAGAAGAGAGTCACAACAAGGTTTTACTGCATCGTAAATAAATTTATATGTATATGCTTCAAGTATAAATTATTAATCATAAATTATCCATAGAGATCTTTTGAAAAAGTACGTTTTTTCTGTTTTGCTTATAGTTTGGGTTTCGGTGCCAAAGTCGTTGTCATTGGTGCTGGATCATGATAAGTATCTTTGTGAAATGGTTTCAATTTCCATAAATCAAGAATCTTTGAATCAATATCAACTAAGGCTTCTCGCGTAGTGGTTTTGCCAGCTTTGTCCTGCTGTTTATTCTGTTGGTACAATTGTCGATAACAATAGTCAATTACACCAATGGGTAAAACGAATGTAAATGTGGTTAATTTCTCAGTATCGTGTTTACCACTTGTAGGCGTATTCAGTTGCTCCTGCTGCTTATGTTGTTCATCTTGATCCTGGGGTGTTGGTTTGTAGACTTTAGCATTTGAACAAATCATACCCACAAGGTGATCGTTTGCAACTGTGAATAACCCACCACCTGAGCTTCCATTATAACAAGAAGCAGAAGCAATAATCAACCCAGGTCCAATACTTGCCGAATCGTTCTCCACTCCCACCTCGTGCCGATACACACAATTGATAATACCATGTGATTTCAATGGTTGTAAATACAATGGATCGAAAAACAATCCAAAAGATTGTGTGTATACTGCATCTCCTTCAACTATTGCATCATCGGGTCCTTTTTCGATTGATGAAACCGGTGTTATTGGACGAAATCCATTCTCAAGCAACAACAGCGATGCACGTTGATCAATCTGAATAAAAGCAAGGTCTAAATCAGGATGAGGAATGATTATATTCTGTTCAAGTGGTGCATTGACTTGAATTGAATCTCCTTGGCTAGTGATCAAAATGGTTGCACTATCGTCACTAGGGTCAAAGTGTAATTTGCGTCGATTGGAAATGGGATTTCCTGTTGCCGTGGCTGGTGTTGATGATTTATTATGGTTTGGAAAAAAGGGAGCCACAACATGACTATTTGTGATGAGTAACTGATCTTTGTAGAAGATACACGATCCCCAAGTACGATGATTCGATGCATTGATGATTAATGGCAACACTGATTTGGGGTCTCCTTGAGCTTTACTGGTAAGCTTTGTTGACAATGAAGGTAAGTTGAATAGTTTTGATAATGTTGTTGATGAAAGTGTCTTGTAAATGATTGAAGACGATGATTTTATCAACGATGAGGATGAATTTGGATATTGTGATGGTGATGATGGCGGAGGGATTAATGTTGGTGATAATTGGATAATTTTTTGCAATGGGATAATTACCATTAGGTTCCCATCGCCATTTGTCTTGCGTAAATTGCCCAATACTAATCCAATGAGCCTATTTCCAGGAACATCAATATTGTTGGACGCACCGGTGGATATGCCGCTATTGCCAGTGTTTAGTGTCTTTTGAATTACAGCCCCACCCGCCATATTCTCCATGTACGCGGCATCACTCAACCAGTAATCGCCAATTCCTTCACCATTGTCTGCATCCTGGTCATTTTGATGTACCTTGTACACTATCCTAGCTATGGTTGTAAATTGGTGGAATATCAATGAGTTGGTGAAATTGAATGGACTTGACACTATCGCGACCTGATCTCCAATGGCAGCCCTCGGTTTCTTCCTCGACACTAAACCCAATGACTTTGATGTAGTTGACTCTATTGTGAACCCCGGTGCACTTAGTTTCAATATCGATAATGTTTTCCCAAACTGATCTCGAGGATACAAGTTGAATTGATTATGAGTATCAAAAAATTCAAAATCAGAGGCATTGATGGTAACATCTTCTAAAATTGACACTCTATGCCAATTGACTTGGGATGAGGACTTGTTGGCTCCATAATTTGCATAAATTGAGTACTTATCAATTCGTGGGAAATGATTGACAGTCAAGATAAATGGTGAAAAGGATGATGATGTGGAGGTGATGTAAACTCCGGATGAGGCATGGATAGTATCGTCGAGGATATATTGGAGAGCGATAGGCGTAAACTTCATCTTGGTCAATTGCCTAGATCTCTGTTGACGTAAGAGTGAACGTTTTGAATTTAATTATTTGAATACGTGAAGGTGGTGGGGTGATATAAAAAATAACATGCGGGGGGGGTGGCTGCTACCAAAGAAATCTGCAATGTCGCAGATCTAAGAGAAAAAGATAGTTTCGGCGTCGCGACACTCACGTATGGTGATTTAATATACCTACTACTAAATCCACAGACTCATTGAAAACATCCAAAGTACTGGATCTCGTTTGGTATACGATAGTACTTTACTAATTCCACTCTTTAGATATCTACTACTAAACAACTGAGGATCGTATTAGGTAGATCTAAGCGTGGACCCATCTCCATCCTGCATACAGCTTTATGGTTGACGTGTAGAATTTCTCTTTTTCTGTCTTTTCGTTTTTTCGAATTTTTCACAATATTTACTGAAGGGACCACACGTTAAGACTCCGGAGATCTAGCCCCCCCACCAATAGGAAACCTCAACGGCAACAATGCAGTACCGATTCCTACTATCAACAATAGTCCTATTCTCGATCTTGTCATACGCGATCGCTAAGAAAAACTTTTATCAAATCCTTGGTGTTGATAAATCTGCTTCAGATAAAGAGATCAAATCTGCGTATCGTCAATTAACATTAAAGTATCACCCAGATAAGAACCCAGGAGATGAAGCGGCTCATGATAAATTTATAGAGATTGGTGAAGCTTACGAAGTATTGAGTGATGCCACCAAACGGAAAAATTATGATACATTTGGTGATCCAAATGGACAACCTCAGCACAATTTTGATTTCGGTGATATATTTGGCCAATTCTTTGGTGGACATGGCGGCGCTGGTGGTGGAGGAAACAGGCAACCACAAGTGAAACGTGGCAGCGATGCCAACGTCGATGTTCATCTATCACTAAAGGATTTTTATCGTGGTAAATTAGTGGCTTTTGACGTTGTGATGCAAAATGATTGTTCTGTTTGTGATGGAACTGGATCCAAAGATAAGCAACGTCATACATGTGAGAAATGTCAAGGTACTGGTCAAATCATTGTTCAACATCAATTGGCACCAGGTTTTGCTCAACAGATTCGTATGGCATGTGATGTATGTGGAGGTACAGGAAAGCTGGTTAAAGATGCATGTAAATCATGTAGTGGACAAGGAGTAGTTAGAGGACCACGACATTATGATGTTCATTTGGAGAAAGGGCAAGTTAGAGATAGTTCAATACGTCTTGAAGGTGAAGGAGACAAGAGTCCTCGATGGGTACCCGGTGATTTAATTGTTAGGTTCAGAGAGAAGTTTAATGACAGTTGGGGGTATAGAAGAGTCAGAGATAATTTGTACCGTACCGAAGTGTTGTCATTGAAAGAAGCATTGCAAGGTGGATGGGAGAGGCATATACCATTCCTTGGTGAAGTTGATGGTGATGATGAAGGTGGGGATGACGAGTACAAGGAAGTTGTATTGAAGCGTGCCAAGGGTGAAAGTGTAATGGATGGACAAGTTGAAGTTGTTAAAGGATATGGTATGCCAATTGTGACTGATCATGATGAAGAAGATAAGTTTGGTGATTTGTATATTGAGTATAAGGTGGTGTTACCAGGCGATAGTAAAGCCAAGGAGAGCATTAAGAAGGATGAGTTGTAGAGGGCCTTAGGTGTAATTATTTTTTTTTTTTATAGACGTGGTAAATTGATGAAAAGGCGTTGATGAGAACTCAATTGTTTCCGTTACTTTTATTCTTACGTCTACTGTTGACGTAATAAAGGTTTCCTATTGAAAGCATTGAGATGGAAAAAAAAAATAATGCACTCTACTTAAAAAAGGGGGCGGACTCCAGATCAAGGACTTCCAAGGAAATGACGTAAACTTGAAATCCGAGTATCCGTTGAGAATTGAGACATAAAGACCTAGCGTTAGTTGAGTGAATTTGTGCGATTTCGAGCCGGGGGGGGACCTGAATAATTGCTGTTTTATTGTTTGAATTTTTTAGGTATTGTTTGCTTCGCCACAAATGTCAAACACAAAAACAACAATATTATAAGAAGAAATCAAAACTTTAACTCGTTTTCAACGCACTTAGCTGGTGATGTCAGAGAGGGTTTCCTTTTTGTCCTTTAAAGCCTTGTGATCTCAAAAGGGAGTTAAAACAGGAAAGACAATATGCTCATTCTGATTGTTGCTCTTGTGTTCCTAAAGTGTGGCTGATTAAAATCGCCACATAACTAATGCGATCAATACAGTTTGAATAATGGAGGTTGTTAATGGCACATGTTGTCGCTTGATCATCCCATTCTTCAGGTAGCAGAGGGAAGTGGAATTGTTGTGTATTTGTAGTTACCTATTCTGAGTTATGATGTCTCTTACGTCAATGGACTCTGCTATTTGTGGAGTGAAACCAAAAATAATAAATTCCACTATCTAAATAAAGCCCATTGTGAATTGGATAAGTTGCTCATGAACAAAAGACTTCCTCTTCATGTCATTGATGTACCGGACTATGGGGCAAACAACGGGTTTGGGTCGAGAGATTTGTAAAAGATTTCAATAATTGCAGTTGTTAATAGTAGGAGTAATGCAATGCTTGTAGATTGTTACAAAAGATTGAAAAGACCTACTTCTTAGGTCTAGATTTTTTAGGCAACGTGGTATTTCTACATTAGGATTTTGTGTAAGCTTTGAGTCTCGGAATTCGAATGATCAACTTTTGTGGCTTGGTTTCATAACATGGATTGCTGTGGAATTCCGTCAAGTGAAAAAGAAAAGAAAAGAAAAGAAAAAAATAATTAAATAAGTAAATTTGTCCATCCAGTACCACACAATTCGATTGATACCTAGCGTCTATTTCGTTGTTGACACGTATACAGTGTTGTAGCCTTGAATGCGCTGCATCGAGAATAAACATCTGATTAGATTCCTTTTAATCTCGCGTACTAAAGATAATCAGTTGATTTAAAAAGCGCTACTCAAAAAAGAGTGTAGTTCTTTTTTGTGATTGGCTGAATACTTTTTGAAATTCTCAACAATTCTTTCTGTTCTCTGTTTGTGTGTGGCGCTGTCCTCTTCCATTGTTTTCTTTTGTGTAAGCAATAAAAGATAGATAGATAGAGAGAGAGAGAGAGAGAAAAACCGAAAGCGAAAGGGTGGCTACTAACCATACGCAGCATACACGTGGAAATGAACATGGCAACTGGACCAGAGGTGAAGTTCTTATGAAGAAGATGAGATTCAGCATCCCCTTGTTGACATCTGAGGGGAAGTTTACGAAAGAGCTCAACAGAAAAAAAAAAAAAAAAGGAAAAGGGGATCAAACGTATCCCCCACTTTCATAGTTTGGTTCTCCACTTTTTTTCATATTCCTCCATAGGTGCGAAAGGCTGGTGGTTGCATATATCAAATACGTTTGATCATGTCTACGCTAAATATAAAGACTGTGTCCACTTCCTCACTCTCTATGCCTAGACTGAATAAAGTGTTGTACAATTTCTTGTCCTAGTCAAAAGCCAAGAAGGTTTACGTGCGAAGGTGGGGAAGAATTATAAAATTTTTGGGGTGTGCATGAATAGGTAGCGCCTGTGCCATCTAATTGTTCTAGGCCATAGTGTTCCAGGCTTCTTTTTTCGCATATTCGGAATCAAAATTTTTCCTACGTCAAATTCATTTTGACAGTGTTGCATTGACGTAATAGTGGGAATAGGGGGAGTAAGTAGTCTATAGCAAATGTAATGTGAAACCAAATAACTTCAAGACAACAAGAAATCTGCATTTACTTTGCTTCTAACCACCATCATTCATTTTGAATTTTTTTTTTTTTTTTTTTTTTGCTGTTCCCTTTGTTCCTATTGTGTGTTTTGTGTACTTCCTCAATTGTGTGTAGTTGTTAGTTCTAGTTTGTCTTATGGCGCGTTTCGGTAAAGCTTTGAGAATATTTTGTGAGTTGTAACGCAAAATAATTGATGTTTGAGAAGAGCAAACGAAGCAAAAGAACCCACCTGTTCCAGAAAAACGTGTTAATTGAAATATCTTGTAGTACATCAGAGTAGTTCTTAACATTGCATAAAGCAGTGTAAGCTAAACGTGGAACCCCTTTAAAGATCCAAATTGTTCCATAGATCCAGTAGATCCTTTTAATTTAATCATTTTTTATATACATTAAAGTACTAAGTTTAAGTAGCTGTGCATTTACAGGCGGGATAATTTTAGTTTTAATTTTAATTTTTATTTTTTTATTTTTTTATTTTTTTTTTTTTATTATTCTTCTCATTGTTATTTCTCGGCATAACTATACTAATCACTCGGTATATATATATATATATCTATGTATCTCAGAAAGATACCTAAGTTCCTCTTTTCTACTTTTTTCAAATTGATTATCTTCAAAATAAATTTAGATCAAGCGTACCTAAAGAACAAACTGTTTATTACCCGTTATGGCTACAACACATCCATCCAATATGTCTGTACTATCTCCCTTAACTCACTCAACTAACAATCCCCATCTCGCTAAAAATATCATCGACAAACTAGCCATTAATCCACAAACATCAAACGTATCAGCATCACTACCCATAACACCTACTTCAATAGATTCACCTACATTGGACCAACGTAATAACAACGATAACAACAATAACAACAACATCCCCAAAGATTCATCCAAGCCACAATACAAGTCACTTCCAATATCACCACAACCATCAAGACCTTCATCTCAACTAATAGGCTCGCCAAGGCTGGCATTTGCTGAAGAGTTGGCACAATTACAAAACTATTTTGAAACGAAGCATGCGCCATTATTCACTGATGATGAGGAAGAACTAGATGAAACTGAAAGTATAGTATCAGAGGCTTTTAGTATAATGACACCTGACTTTTCCACTCCGACCCCAAGAAATAACAACTACATCGACAATGGAGGTAACATTATACAACCTTATTGGCCATTGCAGCAACAGAGACTACAACAACAGCAGCAACAGCAACAAGCTAACACCGTTTCCACTGCAGCTTTCCTTTCAGATTTGAAACTGACACTTCCATCCATCACAACCAATGACTCACCATCCACCATCTTGGCATCATTCTTTTCTAATCAATTATTTTATGCACAAAACTTGACTCAACTTTCACAACATTTCATCAATCATGAATTTGATAGTTTTAGTCACGATGTAGTACTCAACCCAAACATTCCTTCCAAAAACTACCATGCTAAAATCATTGAACAATTGGACCAATTATACGTTTCTTGTATTGAATTGAGTTCAGTTATAACCATGTTTAATGCATTCATTGCCAAAATCAACCACCATGAAGTTGGTTTACAGAATTTGAAACTGATAAAACAACAATTTGATTCCTTAATCAATGACTATTTGGGACAGCATGTGCATCACATTTTGGACAAGATTATTGATGCATTGTACGAGTATAATTTGATGATTGAAGAGATGTTGGAAGAAGGTGAAAATACCAAGGGTGAGAATGACGATGGGGAAGGTGATGATGCTGATTATGATACGATTAATGACTACTATAACGAAATTGAAACGACACTTACTTTGTCTAATTCGAAATTAACTCAACAAGATTGTGACAAGTTTTACAAGTTGTTGAATGATGAAATTGTAAATGACAAACATTGGCATGATTATATTGCTAATTTGAAAACTTTTATAGATTGAAAATGCACGAGTTTGTCAATGTCTTAATGAGATATTTTTGTAGATGTGGAAAGTTTAACATTTAAATGATAGGTTGGCGGTAGGAGAGAGTGATTGTATTTGCAAACTGAGGAAGTCCCGTTTGTCTTAGCTTAATCCGGTCTTTTCCTCTACATGCCTACATACTTTGCACTCAGTTGCTGAATTATGTGTTCTTCCGGTCTTTTCGACCCTGAAAGAGATTCTTCATCCCATGGAGATAAATCATTGTTTAGCGTTTCTCTTATGCGGATAAATAACGGAAATATTGAAGCCGTCCGATACTGTCCTCACTTTGCTCATGAAAACTTAGGGATGAGCTGTTGTTTTTTTTATTTTCTTTTTTGTAATTGCTGTGGCTTTTACTTAGTTATTCTTTGTGTCACCCGCGGCGTATACTTCAAAGGTATGCATATCCGATCTTTGCTTACAAATACAAAAAGAATTTATAATAAATCAAAACTCTGAAAAAGTATATAAGCAGAGGGATGTCGAGTTCAAAACCCATCATCTTCTAACTCCATCAGGGCTTTTTTCAAATGTCGAACAATTCAGAAGTGGTTCAAATTAGACCACTCGGTCACACCAAACTTTTTGAACCAATTGCGATTGGTGCCCACACTTTACCCCAACGTATTGCATTTGCTCCGTCAACAAGGCAACGTGGGACTGTCGACTACTACCCTACTGATTTGCAATTACCTTACTACAAAGCCAGAGCTCAGTACCCGGGTACGTTGGTCATTACTGAAGCCACGTACGTTGCACCTGGCGGTGCAGGAAGAGCCAATGTCCCTGGAATTTGGAATGACAAGCAAGCTGCTGGGTGGAAGAAAATCACTGACGCGATAAGGCAGGAAAAGTCATTTTCAAGTATTCAATTATGGCATTTGGGAAGAACTGCTGATCCAGAACAGTTGAAACGTGATGGTCAACCGTTTATTGCTCCCTCAGCCATATATATGGATCAAGAATCAGAACAACATGCCAAGAAAGTCGGCAATGAGTTGAGGGCAGCTACTAAAGAAGAGATTGAAGACTTGATCAATAACGTATACCCCAATGGGGCTAGAAAGGCATTGGATGCTGGATTCGACTTTATCGAATTACATTCAGCTCATGGGTACTTTTTGGATCAATTTTTGAACCCAGTGACCAATCATCGAACTGATGAGTACGGTGGTTCGATTGAAAACCGTGCTCGTTTACTATTGGCAATCATTGACAAATTGATCCCTATTGTTGGTGCCCAAAGATTAGCAGTTCGATTATCACCATGGGCCACTTTCCAAGTTAGTGATCCAGAAGGAGCTGAAATACATGCTTATATTCTCGATCAATTGCAAAAACGTGCTGATGAAGGCAACGAATTGGCTTACATTTCCCTTGTTGAACCTAGAGTCTCGGCTTCTTACGATGTGGCAATTGAGGATCAACGCGGTAGAAGTAATGCTTTTGCTGATGAGCATTGGAAGGGTAAATTCGTTAAAGCAGGCAACTATACTTATGATGCACCCAAGTTTGAAACCATGTTGCATGATTTGGGGAATGGCCGTACTGTAATTGCGTTTTCACGATTTTTTACATCGAACCCCGACTTGGTTTATCGATTGAAAAATGGGTTACCTTTGCAACATTATGATAGACCTACATTTTATACTCATGACAATTATGGATACAATACTTGGAATTCATATGATGGGAGTGAACAGTTTGATAAGGAGGCTGAGCAAAAGCGAGTTGGTAAAGTTTTAGCATAGACTATGATTTCGCTCAGATATATTTAGAATATACGTATAGAAACTAAAGACAATATGAAGAGAGAGAAATTAGAATGTTGTAAGATCTTTTTGCTTGGCGGGAGTAACTAACTTTTTTTGTATAATTATTATATGCAGAATGCAGGGGGCATTTGGGTTTCTCTTTGAACTGAAAAATAAGTTTAGATTCGATAGCTCAGAAGGAAACAAGTTCTGTTACCCTGCAGTCCTCTATTCAGCCTCCTATTCAGTTATGTCACCGAGTACTACCCAACGCAACGCAGCGAAAAGGTCCAGATATGGTTGTCAGAGCTGTAAACAAATGAAAATCAAAGTATGTTTCAAAAAAGCACCACAACACCTGTGCACGCGTGTACTAACAATGGCACTTCTAGTGCAATGAAGGGAAACCTTCTTGCGAAAATTGTGTTCAGACCCAAAGGATATGTGTCTATGTTGCACCACCCAAGCCGACATTGCCACGAGCTAGAAAACGAGCTTCGAGACCCGTGAATTTGAAAACCACTTCAGTAAACAGGGTATCATCAATAAAAAAATTGGACGCTCCAGGTGATACAAAGAGCCCATCTTTCATTACAGTTTCATCTAACAAAGAGAAGCTATTAGAGCGGATTCTTTGTCGCTCCCCACGCAATCCAACTCCACCAAATTATGCGGACTATCTTGCGCGAAGTTTGGTATTGAATCTGTCCTCTACAATGCTAGGTTTACTGAGATTTGAGTTACGACTATTGAAGTTCTTTGAAACTCAGGGTGTGTACATGCTTTCTTTTGGTGTGAATGAAGGCGTCCACAATGCATGGAAATACAAAGTTCCGCAATTGTTTATGGAAAGTGAATTAGTTCGGCAACTGGTGTTTGCATTTGCTACTGTTGCTTTAAGTGATAATATACCGATACCTGAGGTGCAAAGTTTGGACATGGAAGATGCTTCGGACAAATTGGCTATACAGCAGAAAACCCGTGAGCTGGATTCTGCGACAGTGGATAATATGTATTTACAAACCATGTCCCATTTTTTAGACACTCTTGCAAAAGCTCAAGAAAGAAATCGGCAAGTAGGGTTGTCAAATTCCTTTGAAGATCCATTCACAGCAATGGAATTGAAAGTTTCTAGCACTTTGATTTTTGCATTGTTGGGAATTCAACCATATGGCTTTATCAAACTTATAAATTTCAACCGCGATAACGAGGAAACAGATCTTGTCACTTTTGCCAAAAGTACCAGAGATATAACTCTCAATTGGGCAAGCACGTTACTACAATCTAAAATAGGTGGGCTCCTATACTTGCGAATCAATGAGAATACTCAAAGTCCAAGATCAAAAGAATGTAATTATCCCATAATCAAATACCTTTTACAACAGTTATACCAATTTCAAGATTCAACAAATGAAGACAAAGTGGCCAACGAAATTTCACAATTGTATCAAACATTACAATTGACACTCGATTGCTTGACAAAAGCACTATTTAGTTGCCAGTACTATAGGTTCCCCCTCCCGTTGTTTCGTTTCCTTCTGGTTGTCCCTGATGAATTTCGAACATTGCTTTATGCAAAGCATCCTTTTGCATTGAAAGTGTTGTACATTTATGCTAGTTTGTGTTTTGTTGCCCGTTTTCAAATGTTTAAACAATACAATATCTGGCGAGATTTTGTTGTTTGGTATGAGCATGAAATCGGGCTAACTGATACAGTGGAAAGAAGTTTGTTCAAGCTCGTGGTTGATCAGTGCTTTGTCGTTACAAGTTATGAAAAGTTTCCATTATTCGACCCCATCGAATTGATGTAGTTGAATTAGATGGTGATGAACTCCGTGCAATTTTGTGTTAGAGTGGAGATAATTAATGGATATTAAATGCAGCAATGTCGTTTCGGGAGTTGCAACGAATTAGGCAAAAACCTCGGCTTAACTGTTGCTCTAATCTCCGCGTCTTAGTGTTATTTTTTCATTTTTTTTTTCCGCAACTGTGGGGCGCGTTTCGCCACAACTGAAATTCCACATAAATATAGAATTGAATTCCTTTTTGTTCATTTTCCAATGTTATACCAACGATAATAATATGTCTTCCCCATTGAGTGATACGTTGGTGTTTGAACCTATCAAGGTAGGTGATGTTACGTTGTCCAACCGTATTGTCTTGTGCCCTACAACTCGATTCAGAGCTGCCAAGTCTGGCAACGACGTGCTGAATCACTTACCCTCGGACTTGATATTGGATCACTATGCTCAAAGAGCTCAATACCCGGGAACTTTATTGGTAACTGAAGCCACTTATGTCAGCCCTCAAGCAGGTGGTTACGATGGTGTACCAGGAATTTACACTGTTGAACAAACCAAAGCTTGGAAAAAAGTTGTTGATGGTGTTCATGCCAAAAAGAGTTTTATCTCTTTACAAGGTTGGTTTTTGGGTAGGGTTGGTGATCCAAGGGTGTTGAAGAAGGAAGGACAGAAGTATGTTTCGGTGAGCCCCATATATCCAGATGATAGGTCCAAGAAGTTGTCTGAAAAGGCAGGCTTACGATTGACTGAATTGTCGATTGAAGATCTCAAGCAAATCATCCATCAAGATTATGCCAATGCAGCAAAGAATGCAATGGAAGCTGGATTTGATTTCTTTGAGTTGCATGGAGCTCATGGGTACCTCTTGGATACTTTTTTGCATGAAAATACAAATCACAGAACTGACCAATATGGAGGTTCAATTGAAAAAAGAGCTAGTTTCATTTTGGAATTGATTGATCATTTGAGCACTGTTATCCCATCTTCAAAATTAGCCATTAGGTTGTCTCCATGGGCTGAGATCCAAGGCGTTGTCGAAGAAACCAGCCCAATTCCACAATTTTCGTACTTGTTGGCACAGTTGCAGAAACGAGCAGACAGTGGTAAACCACTTGGCTACATTTCAGTCGTTGAACCAAGAGTTCAAGGTGTGGTCACAGTATCCCTTGACAGCATCAAAGGAACCAATGATTTTGTTGAAAGTGTTTGGAAAGGTGTTACTTTAAGAGCTGGAAACTATACATATGATGCACCTGAGTTTAATCAAATCAAAAAAGACGTCTCAAATGGCAGAACATTGGTTGGATTCTCTAGATTCTTTACATCGAATCCAGACTTGGTCTACAAATTAAAGAATGATCCTTCTAAATTGGTCAAGTATGATAGGAAGCTGTTTTACCAACCATACAATTGGGGTTACAATACCTTCGATGGACAAAGTTATGACGAAGAGGCTGAAAAGAAGAGATACGCCCAGCCGATCAAGAGGAGTGAAGCTAATTTGTAATAGGGTTGATTTATAGACAGTTTAAATTAGAGGCAAATGCTAGGTTTTCATTTTGCGATTTTTTCTTTCCCTGATTATGCTCTTCAACTTGGCAAGTTTTTCGTCAAAGTGGGTTTGGATATGGTTCAGACTGGTGGAAGAAATAAGCTCATCAAATAAGTTCTTATATATCAGTTGTGTATCATCGTCATTCAAGTCCAGTGGATCGACACGAATGACTTTCTCAACCGAATTTGTTCTCAAAGGAGAAGCAAGCAAACTATCAGCAACCTTGTTGTTAAATTCAACACCATCTTCAGAATCAATAGAAATTAGGGAAGCAACCAAACTATCTCTACTCAGATTCCTAGTCCTGGAGTCTTTCAAAATGGCATTCTTGACAAATTTGCAATCAATCTTGTCACAACAAGGATTCAAAATGAATGAGTAATTCTCATCTTCCATCATCATTCTTTTCAATTTGGTTTCACATGAAATATAGGCCGCTCTTTTCTTTTCTGCATTTGATGCCAATGTTGAACTGGTTGGCAGATTGGATGAGGATGATGCCAAGTTCTCTTTATCATTGATCCAAAACGAGGAAAGTGATGGTTTGCAAGTGGGAGAACGGCTTTCCAAAGATGAGAATATAGGTGGAGCCTGCTGTAAGTTAAAGGACAGTGTTGATATAGCTCTAGACATTGTATGTTTTTATGAGGTGCAGAAGCAGGGTTGTAATATTGGAGGGATAAACTATTTGTAATTGGTGATTTCTATACAGTTGCAAAAAAGAGTTATGCAAACATATTTTGTGGCACATAACGTACTATTGCACCAACCTTTTCGAAAAGACAAGAACTTCGACACCGATAGAGGACTCATACCTAAGTTGATCATAGGTGATACCGAACTTCAATTAAAAAACCACCAGTTAGCTATTCAAGCCTGTGTCGACTAAAGGGATCATGTGGTAGCGCTATCTGCAAACTAAACGCGTGCAATTCATTTTCTGGAAAGATCGAAGCAAACATAAAACGCCATCGACATACACCATGTCGCCGCAACCACCACATAGCTTTAATGAAATAACAGACCCGTCTGATTTTAAAACCACAGTTATTCCAACTTTGGCCAATTTGGATGTTTTGGAAAGATGCTACATTTGCAAAGAGTTTTTTCGAGCACCAGTCATCACTGCATGTCATCACACATTTTGTTCACAATGTATACGGGAATACTTGATCACAAACAATTTATGTCCTTTATGTAAAACTGAAGTTTATGAGAGCACCTTGAAGCGTGATGTGCTTTTGGAGGAGATTGTTGAATGCTACAAAAAGATTAGGCCCCTACTATTGGAGAAACTTGGCCAACAACATAAGAAACGAAGTCGGGAGGAGAGTACTGAAATATCAGACACTGATTCAGATGTCGAAGTAGTTAGTTCTAAGAAGCTAAGGGAGTCGCTGGATGACATTGAGAAACAGTCTCCCCCGTTATCAGCCAAAAATGAAGAGCCTACACAAGATTTAGTTCAATGCCCCATTTGTTCGAAAAAGATGGATGCTGAGAGACTTCAAACAATTCATATAGATGCATGTTTGAGTGGAAAGGAGGAACCTGCTCCAGTTCGAAATGGTGTAACAAAGTCTTCTATTTCATCGTTTTTCACACCTGTCAAGTCCGCATCTCCAACGCCGTCTCCGGCAACTGCTACGGCAGCATCTTCACCACCACCACTACCCCAACCACAGAAACAACACTATACAGAACCCAAACCAGCACCAAAGCGATTGCAAAAATTGGACTTTGCATCTTTAAGTACACCAAAACTTAGAGCGAAAATGTCAGCGTTGAAATTACTGACCTTGGGAACAAGACATCAATTGGAATTGAGATACAACAAATTTTTTGTTTTGTTCAACTCAAACTGTGATAGCCAGTACCCAGTACCGCAACATGTTCTACGTCAACAACTAAAGCAATGGGAAATATCAAATCCGAGTTTCGCTAGTAATGGGCTTCTACGAAGCAATGAAGATATATCAGACTCTAACTTTTCATCAACTGAGTGGTTAAAGAAATACAATGTTGAGTTCAAAGAGCTCGTTAAACAAGCTAGGGGAGCTAAAGGATAGTGTATATGGCATACGGGGTAGTTTATTTATTGAGCCATAAACTTTGAATTAGTGGGCAATAAGCTTACGAATGTATAAACAGTTTTTATCTCTTTCTTGTCTTCTGCAAAGAGCACTTAGGGACACTTTAAACGGTCTCTTTGACCACGACATTAAGAGAATGGTTTAGCGTTTGATATTGCTTGCAACTTTGTCACAACCTTCAGCCGAACGATTCATATTGTTTGCTTCAATGGTTCGGTTATTCATTTGACCCGTGGGTATTGCAAAGATTGTGATTAGAAACAATGCAAATGGCACTCAATGTATTACAAGGTGTTTCTGGAATGGAAGATTGGCGTTAATTATAACCGATATTTTTTTCCGGGTCTCTTTACCAAATTGGGATATGATTTGCTTTTTTTTTTTCGTTGCGCAAACACCCCATGCGCTTTTCGGAAAAAAATTGGAAGCGATTTGGTCTTGGCCAAATTGCACGGAAAAAGGTCCCAACCTCAATCGCCTCCTACATCGTCTATGTGGCACACTTTTTGATAAGGTTATCTTTGTGAAGTTCTTATAATGGAGCTTGTTCTTGAACTGAATCTAATTTGTTTGCCCTCGTTGCAAGAAAATGTGTCAAATTTATTATAAGCTCATAAAGTTCTATTTGGATTTGAAGTTTATTTCAAGTTTTTTTTTTTGCTCTTTTTCTTTTTTTTTTAGTTCACTGCACAAATTAGTGTTCCCTTTAAAATTTTAGTCCGATAGCAACTAACAACTCATCACCCATCAAGGCATGGATGATAATCACTACCTCACCACGTATGAGGCTGCTTTGGCTGTTGTGGCTACGGGGATGAAAAAGGCGCGACTAAAACCAGACACATTGGTAATCAATGCAATTATCGGCGCCATGTTATTCTCAGTTGGCGGGATGTTAAATCTAGTTGTCCATTCAGTGTTTCCAGGAATCAAGGAAAACAATCCTGGGCTTCTTCGACTTTTACAAGGATCATTTTATCCTATAGGTCTATTTTACGTTGTGGTTATGGGTGCAGAATTATTCAACGCAAATGTGCTCTTTTTCACGGTTGCCTTGTGTCGGCGAGGAATTTCAGTTTTAGACTTATTGATCAATTGGTTCATTACATGGTGGTTTAATCTTGTGGGGAATATTTTTGTGGGATACATCATTAGTCATTTTTCAAATACTACTTCAAGTGATGCATTCATTGAAGGATCACACGAGCTTCTAGCATCAAAAATGGAGTATTCATTTGTGCAAAATTTGATCAAAGGTATGGCAGGAAACTTTTTTGTGTGTATGGCCATTCATTTACAGATAATGGCCAAACCGTTACATGTTAAATTTCTCATGCTTTATTTGCCAATATTGACATTCATTTCCTTAGATTTTACTCATTGCGTGGCAGACATGTACATTGTAATCATTGGCAAGATCAACCACTCACCTGCACCTTGGGGCGAAATTTGTTGGAAACTTCTTTTGCCAGGCACAATAGGAAATATTATTGGTGGAGTTTTCTTCGGAATTGTAATTTGCTGGTACATGCACATTTATGTGGTTGAACGAGACAAGAAGGAATTGAACCTACCAATTTATGAATTCAGAGATCAACAACCTGAGTTGATGCAAGATTCAAGAGTTGTACGACAAAAAGACCCCATATATCACGATGATGTTGAGGCCAAAGAAGATGCAAAGGAGAAGAACTCGATCTCCAACTCCAATGACTCTAGTGGATCTGAAGTGTTGGAAACACAATCAAACTTTGAGCCCAGACCATTCCTCGCATCTCATGCTTCTGCAATATCAAGACTTAGTAACAGACGGAAGAACTCGTTGTCTTCCGTCCGGTCACCTAGAAATGTTTTCCCCGTCTACGGTATGGAAGAACCCTTGACTAGAGAACGCACAATTGCCGGCGATCGTGCGCATGCTGGTGAGGTTACCGATGAAGCTAATGACGACAATGATGATGACGATGCTAATGAAGCTCGTTCCATTGGTTCACAGTTGGTGCGTATTTTTACAACAAGATCCAGAAAGGACACCTCCAATGATTGTTAGATAGAATTATAGATATGTATTATTAGATACACGACGCCAGACGTTTTAAGCATTTCGGAAGTCCAAAAAAGGAGGTAAGGTTTCTCTCTAAGGAATAATTAACGGACATGGTTGCGAAAAAAAATCAAATGGACGAGATGAGAGTCGAACTCATGACCTTCTGCTTGCAAGGCAGACGCGCTACCAACTACGCCACACGCCCCAATTGATAGTGATTTGGAGCTTTGTTTTTTCCAGTTACATTATTTTCACGTGTGTCTCAGGTGATTATCATGTGACTTGCAGCTACACTTTGGCATAAAATTTGAGACTAATTCTCTCGAACGTATAAATACACAATGGTTTATGATTTCAAAAGATACTGTAGCTTCTTTTTTAGTTTTTGAGGTGGAAAGTGAGTACTCACTTGTTTTCTTTTTTCCATAGTTGAACTACACATTACTTACTGAGGTTGTATTTATTGTTCCAATTTGGATGCAAAAAATTTATCTCCAGTGCAAACCGACAACTATCTACAAAGGACACTACAGAGAGATTACAGTCACAACCTCACAGCAATAAAGCGAAACAACGTCTGCAAGTGTAATAAAAGGCGCTTATTCTAACAATCCCTACAAAGGCATCGCAGTTCCTTTCAGCCCCTCGTTCATCAAAGTAAGGTCTCTAACCAATGTTCAAGAACTGACATACCTCGTCACTTTTGCTAGTTAATCCTTGTATGCTCGAGTTTTATTTTTTAGCAGCCATTTGTGAGAGAGATATGGAGGATCGAAGAAAAAGGAAAACGCAAAAAAAAAAATTAATTTTGTAAACTCATCATCTCATCTCGGATATACGTACGTCAATAATGTCAACTACAACTGCTGCATCATCAACATATGTGGACGAGGATACTACATGGAAGTCGTTGAACCTTGATCCAAGGTTGCTACAAGCTATTGATAAGCTAGGGTTTGAGAATCCTACTCTTATACAAAGTAGTGCCATACCCTTAGCTTTAGAAGAAAAACGAGACATTATTGCAAAGGCATCAACAGGTTCTGGTAAAACTGCTGCTTATGCTTTACCTATCATTCAAAACTTGCTTTTAGACAATCTTGGTCCCGGTATAAAGTCGGTTGTACTTGTGCCTACGAGAGAATTATCAAACCAAGTATTTCAATTTATGGAGCAATTGATAAAACACAGTAATAAGAAGATTGGTATTTTGAATTTATCATCTAGTTATAGTGACCAAGTCTTGAACTCGTTACTAGCGAACAAGCCTGAGATTATTATTTCCACACCAAATAAATTGATTCAGGTTTTGGAAATGAATGATGAAAAAAAGTCCCCGATTGATTTATCCTCAGTGAGAAACTTGACTATCGATGAGGTAGATTTGATTCTAAGCTTTGGTTACTTGGAAGACTTGGCTAAATTAGAGTCATACTTGCCAGTGAAAAAGAACTTGCAAACATTTTTGATGTCAGCAACGATAAATGATGATATAAACGAGCTCAAGACAAAATTCTGTACCAGACCTGCGATTTTGAAATTGGATGACGAGCAAAGCAACAATGACAAGTTAGTCCAATTTTATGCAAAAACTACCGAATTTGACAAATTTTTATTGAGTTATGTTATCTTCAAGTTGAATTTAATCAAGGGTAAAACAATTGTCTTTGTAAACAATATTGACAGAGGTTACAGATTGAAGTTGTTTTTAGAGCAATTTGGTATTAGATGTTGCATTTTGAATAGTGAGTTACCCATCAATTCCAGACTACATATCGTAGAAGAGTTTAACAAGAATGTTTACCATTTGTTAATCGCAACAGATGAGATTTCAGTTGAGAAAGATGAAGGAGAGAATGACAATGAAGATGGAAAAAGTTCACAAAAAGTAGTGGACAATCCAAAAGCCAAAAAATCGAAAAAGGATAAGGAGTACGGGGTTTCTCGTGGTGTTGACTTTAAAAATGTTGCTTGTGTGTTGAATTTTGACCTTCCTACCACCTCAAAAGCATATGTGCATAGAATAGGAAGAACAGCAAGAGCCGGAAAATCGGGAATGGCACTTTCATTTGTTGTAGCATCGAAGGAGGTGGGCAAGCACAAGACTGCAACATTATCAACTGCCAAAAGAGATGAGAAAATTTTGAGTAGAATTGTTAAGCAGCAAGAAAAGAATGGGTTTGAAATTAAGCCATATCAGTTTGATATGAAACAAGTGGAAGGTTTTAGATATCGTGCTGATGACGCATTCAGAGCAGTTACGCAAACAGCAATCAGAGAAGCAAGAGTTAAGGAGTTGAAAAATGAGTTGATCAATTCAGAAAAATTAAAGAGATTTTTCCAAGAAAACCCTCAAAATTTAGCTAGTTTGAGACATGACAAAGAGTTACACCCTGCAAGAGTCCAAGCACATTTGAAAAATCTTCCAGAATACCTCTTGCCTGAAAGTGCAAGGAGCGATGTAAAAAACATAGGTTTTGTTCCTTTCCACAACAAAAACAAGGTGAATAAATATAGAAAGAAGGGAAAACCAAAGAGAAAACAAGATCCACTAAAATCATTCAAGAAGTGAAAAAACATCATCTATTATGTCAATCTACTTAAAATCAAATTCCAGATCAAATTTGCCAAACAGTTGCAAGGAAACATCATGCCCTGCGGTATAAACATAAACAGGAAAATACTGAAAAATGGCCAGTAGCAATAGCTATACTTTAATGATTTGAAGTACGCATTTCTTGTAGTTTTTGTAAATACTTCTCCGTGGTCCCAAAGTGCATTTAATATATTGAAAATCAACTGGAAAGTTGGCGCCCCTACAGCTTGATCAACAAGAATTCGATACACAATATTTTCAAATCGCTGCATCAACAAGTTTATCCAAGACACGGTGAAATATCCATTTATACTTCCCCAAATCATAAATTCAATGATTTTACTAAATTTAAACTTTTTCCTTGAAAATTGATTTATCGATTGAGCTAGAGCTCCCGAAAAGCAGCCCAATAGAGTTGGAGCCAACATTGGGTTAATTTCAGCTATCTTCTGGTACTGGTAGTATATACTGAGCGATATTGTAGCCTCTATTATCAATGCAAAGTATAGTCTTTTGAGAATATGTTTGGAGCTTGGATGTAAGTGGTAGTTGTCATTGACCTTGTAAGCTGTAGATGCAGACGATTTCTCTAAATCATTGAGCTCTATTGACTCTCTTGTCAAGGGTAGCGACATGACCCTGTTTAATATCAATCTACTGGCTAGTGTGTGGGCGTGGTGATTGATAAAGAAATGGTGAAATCTCCATTTGCGTTCTTTTTTTTTTTTTCAAATTCTAAAAATGGAAATTTTTTGAAATCTCGTTGACGTGTCGTGGTTTATTTTTTGAGAAACACCAAAAAATTGGAAGCATTGCAATATCAAAGAAGGGACTGATCATGCACGATTCTTTTCACCAGCGCCTACCACGTCCGAAGACGGCATGTTCAGAAAGGGATTGAATTGGTGACAATTGCACGAAGAGAGCTGAAATTTTAGAGGGACATATGCTACCACGTGCTAATTTGAAGAAAAGGTATTCTTCTCTTACCATCACTTGATAAAGTAGTACCGACGTGTTAAAGTTTGTAGACCCCTGCAATCACAGACCGTCAATGCGACTGACGTACAGCTTCTTGCATATCCTTCCTACATTTATTGAATTTCGCAGTTGGTAGTTCTAGAATTTTGTAGAATTTTTGAATCTTTATTTTTTTTTTTTTTTCACAACCAAAAAACCTTTGGAATCATTTTCACTCCTATAAGCTTGACAGATCTCTAACTTCAAAATAAAAAAATGGTGGTTCACAACCCAAACAACTGGTAAGTACTTAGCTAAAGTGTCTCTGAAATGAACGATTACTAACTTTTGCATAGGCACTGGGTAGATAAAAATTGCTTACCTTGGGCGCAAACATACTTTAACGACAATATCAAAAACACATCCTTTGAGAACGATGACTACCACTTTTACATATCCGACGTTCAACCAGTGAGTGGCCACTGCGACGTCACTCAAAGAAAGGGTAAGGTTTTGTGCATATATGATTTGAGACTTGTCTTCAATGTCACCGCAAAGGTAAAGAATGCCTCTGAAGGAGATCAAACAAAGTCAGGAACTATCACCATTGCCGAATTCGAACATGATCAAGACAAGAGTGAGTACATGTATGAGACCGTTGTTGATGATGTGTCAAACATGGTGAGACAATACTTGTTACCGCTAGTGACTTCGAAGTTGGAAAAGTTTCAACCTGATTTGATAGAGGCACACGCTAAGGATGTGCAACATGCCGAATAGTATAAATAGAAGTAAGAGAAAAAAATAGTAAAACGATATGTATTATATCGAACATCAAACTCGCCTTCTCGTTCTACGATTTACTGGCTTTTCTAACTCGTTCTCTTGCTTTCGTTTTCTCTTCTCAGGATTCCCATTAGCAACGAGTTCCTTCTTCAATAATCGCTGAACTTCTGGAGCGTAACAGCTGGTTCTTCCGCCAACAGTGATATGGTCTAACACAAATCCTTCTTTTGTTTTTGCTTTCCCTTGATTTTTCCTTGCCTTTCCCCATCTATGCAACATCAACCAGTGTGAAGGAAACTTTTTGGAGTCACCTTCACATTTGACTGCTTCTTCACATACATAAATCAAAGATTCATACAATCCCTGAACAACTGGATGAACCGTCCCATGGTTGTTCTCAATTTTGCTTGAAATAATCTCGTTCGGATGCAATTTGGCATGGAATAGCACCTCATCAGCAACCCAGTTACCAACGCCAGCAAAATAAGCCTGATCAAGAAGCAAGCTTTTGATTGGCTTCTTTTTAGACAAAATAAGTTCGTTAAAGTCAAGCAAGCTTAACCTCGGTCGTCCGTGGTTACAAGGGTCGGGATCTCCAAAAACGAAATCATCAGAGTCCTTCTTCACAACTTTGGATTTGCTGTAATCAGGACCTAGTGCATCCAATGGAGGCAATTGGAGTAGCCCTTCGTCCGTCGATGCTAATTCGTCAGAGATTAATCGCACCCTTCCTAGTCTCCTAGGGTCAGCAAACGAAATCTCCAATTTGAAATCGTCTTTTGCCAAATCCATTTCAAATTTAGAAAATCTTGGTGGCCACTCGTGATCTATCTCAACTTTCACATCGCCCTCTTTCTTCGGTTCATTTAACTCCTTTAATATTTTCTTGTCCCCGCCATTTTCCATAAATACCAAGTGCGATTTCACGTTTCGTATTTTGATCATGCCCGTCATACCAAAATGCATGAGAAGTACCCTCAGTTTCGGCACCTCCTCCTTGGTCAACCTTAGCCAAAAATACTTTCCATGCCGTCCAACTGAATCAATACGCGAACCCAAAAGTTTGGATTTTATATCTTCTAGCTCTGCATCGGGATGCTTTGACTCTTTGAGTATAGGAAATAACAATGTATCCAAGGATAGATTGACATTTTTGATCCGAAAGCCCAAAACGTTCCTTTTCAATAGAGCACAAACATGGGCCACCTAGTAATGTTAGTTATTGACCTACATTGTTCAGTGGCAAACAAAAAAGACATACTTCTGCTACCTCAGGCATTGGGAGGAGTTGAATGTAAAGAATTGCTTTGAGAATGAATAGTTGCCCAGATTTCGCACAGAAAAGGAAAAACAGGAGCTCAGAAAAGGCAACGAATTCAACCAAGCAATAAGCACCGACGGAATTGCCATCATAATGAATAGACTATTTGGGACCAAAAACACTGCACCAAAGCCATCCTTGAACGATGCAATCAAGGGAATAGATGAAAGGGTGAGCTCGTTAGATGTCAAATTGAGCAAGATAAATTCCGAATTATCAACTTATCAGCAAAAGCTAACTAGAATGCGTGATGGACCAGGAAAGTCGGCATTGAAGCAAAAGGCTTTAAAATTGTTGAGACAACGGAAACAAATTGAGGCCCAAAAGGATCAACTAGAGAACCAGTCGTGGAACATGTCCCAAGCATCAATGACGACTGATAACTTGCAAAATACCATGGTCACGGTCAATGCAATGAAAACAGCAAACAAGGAATTGAAGAAGACGTATGGAAAAATAAATATTGATGAACTTGAAAACTTACAGGATGAAATGTTGGATCTAATAGACAAGTCTAACGAGTTACAAGAGGCACTTTCGACAAGCTATGATGTACCAGAAGACGTGAGCGAGAGTGAGTTAGACGCCGAGTTGGAGGCTTTGGGAGAAGAAATTGATTTCGAAAATGAAATGGCTGAAAGTGGAATAGGCGCACCTAGTTACTTGAACGATGCAGAGCCAGCTAATTCAGATAAACTCCCGACTTTTATTGACGAAGAACCAGAAAATACTGAAAAAATTGCTAACTAGATGTGTGTCACCGCTTCTGGGAAGCTATATACAAGCATACAGAGGATGTTTTGGTGTCCTTAGAATTTTCGTTGTATAGCCATGAAGTAATTACCGATATCTGGACACGATGTGAACTCCCACCCATAAGCGGGGATGTACACACACCCTCTAGTATCCACTACTTTATATTTGTCTCTTCTATCGGCATCCTCTTCGACCCACTCTTTGATTTCATATTGATTGATGTATTTTTCCAACGTATGGGTTCCAACCGGTACAATCCTTAATATATGCTCACCCATCAATATTGTTGTGAACCAACTGACTGGGTCTCTGTTTATCGTTGAAAGAAATAACCATCCGCCTACTTTCAACCTCTCCAAACCTTCAAGAAGCACTCGTGATGGGTAATCCACATGTTCCAATACTTCAAACATGGTGACAATATCAAACATTTCATCCTTTAGTATATCCTCAATGGCCGACAATTCGTATTGCAACTTGTCTTCCAACATTGGGTCCTTGGCTTTATGTATTTTTGCTGCTTCCAACACATCAGCTGATAAGTCTATCCCTTTAACACTAGACACAAATGGGGATCTAGCCATTGACTCCGAAAGAATACCACCTCCGCATCCTACATCTAAGACCTTGAGCTTGCTTGCCTCTAATATCTCTCCCTTCCTCTCCTCTTGATCGAGTTGTATTCTCTCCCTTACTGGTGCTGGCAACAAATTGACATTGTAAGGGGGAATATAAATCTCATCATCTGGAGATTTGACATTCGCGTTGAGCTTTGTATGCTGCAGAATTGTATCATATATAAAGTCCATTCGTAACAAATTCATCTTGTGCAATATACGTTGAGGCCCATTTACGTCCCACCACGATGAAGCAAGGGCATTAAAGTGTGACATTTCTGATGGGGAAGATGAAGTGTACCTAGGAGCATTGTTGAAATGCGGATAACTTTTGGAAAGGTATCTCACTGGTTGCCACCTGCTTATGGCAGCTCCACATCTTCTACCACTCATTATTGCTAAACGAGTGTGTACTTAGTGAAATCTGGAAGGAAATATTTTGCAAGTTTTCAGAATGCTAAACAAAAAAAAAAAAAAAGGGAAAAGTAACAAATTAAACACTGACATACCCCCCACACTGGCAACTTCCACGATGAGTGATTCGGAAGATGAAGAGGTATTCGAGAGTTTGATGGCTACTAGGGCTAGACGTGCCAATGCAGGATCAAGGCTAAAACAGCTTATTGAACTAGAGGGAGAGGCAAACGAGGTTGAAAACACCACCAGTCAGTTTGCTACCGAAGATGATGAAAACGTGAATCTACTTTTCCAGGACGATGAGGATGACCAAGAGTTTATTGAGGAGGATAGTGACGGAGCCTCTTTAGGTGATGAGGACGAGGGGGATGCGGATGAGGGGAGTACAACTAGAGAAATAACGCGGCACTCTGGTGACGAGCAAGATGAAGAAGAAGAAAGTGAAGCAGTACAAGAAATCAATTCAGACGAGGTGTTATCAGACTCAGACCTTTCTGCATCAGATTCCAATGAAAGCGAAGGGGAGAAGGAGTTACAGAGGCAAGAGAGGATACGAAAGAGAAGGAAAAAGACTGTTATTCCCCAGATCAAAAAGATACCGGAAAAACCTAGTGTGAAGAGAGCAAAGAAATCACCCTTGATTACCTCAGATTCATTGTTGATGTCAAGTAGGAGAGCCTCTTCTCGATCTTCAGCAGTTGAAAGCAAACAAGCATTAATTGATCGATTGAAACAAAGTGAGGAGAGGAAAGCCAAATATGTCCCAGTGGAGAGAAAACATGTTCGAGAATTAACACAAGCCGAGAGAATGGCACAGGCTGCCGAAACGGAAAAGGAAAATATAGAATCCTTGAATAAGTTTAAAGAACAGGAAATCGTGAAAAAGGAACGTCAAAGGCAATCGCTTTTGTCAAAAAGAATTAAATTACAGAATGTTCTACGATGGGTGAGTAAAGGAGAATACATCACCCCAAATGAAGAAGTAGCGGAAGCTAGACGGCAATTTGAACTTTACATGAAGAAGAGGAAAAGGTTAGGTAAGAAGAAAAAAGGAGGGGGAGGAGAAGAGGCGATTGTCATCAGGGCACCATTTTCAATCGACTATGACTCACCGTATCAGAGGGCTATAATGGAGGAGAAAAAGAGGACGCAGCAAGAAGAGGTGGACCGCTTGGAAGGTATGAATTGTTCATTGATGGAGAAAATAGTAGAGCATGATAATGAAGGTGATTCCGTGACTATATCGAAGACGGACATCGCCGACTTCAAAGAAGACATGAACAAGAGCGAATTGATAAATGGAGAAGATCAGAAGAAGGTCAAAGTTGAAATGGAAGATGAAAAAGCAAAGATCGATGAGGAAGAGGAATCAAAGAGTGCAGAGGAAGCTAGGGCTGAAGGGGACATAAAACCAGAAGAGGAGACAAAGATTGAGAAGGTGAAAAAGGAGGGCGACAAGGCAAGAATCAAGGTGACGGATGAAGCCCAAGTTGATGATAGAGGTGAGAGTGAACCAGGACATGAAACCCCTTTTGATCCTGGGCCGGTCGCAAAGTCAGAGGAAAGGGAAGAAGTACATCACACATCGAAGGATAAACAGTCAGATGCAGAGATGCAGGAGGATTCGGGGTCGATGGTGGATAGTAATGAGAAAAAGATGGAAGTACGGGACTTGGATAAAGACAGTGAGGTCAATGCTGATCGCGCAGGGGGAGATCTCAGTACCAAAGAGCGCCAAATGCAGTCTCAGGATGAGCTATACCCTATTAAGAATGCACCCGAGCATACCCTCAATGAAGAGCAATCAGGATTTTTAGACAAAAATCTAACGAAGCGGGTGAAATTTGCGGATGAGCTTAGTGAAGGAGAAAACGGACCATCTCACACAAAGCAAGATTTAGTAGAGGCCATTCCCGCTAACGAAATGACTGAAATAAGCTCAACTGAAGGCACACCACTCCCAGAAAACAACATGCATGCACCATCTAATGATCACTCATCTCAAGAAATCTTTGAGGGACCTGTGCAGAAAGTGACGCGAAATACAGTGTATTTTGTTGACTTCAATGAAGACAAACGTGACCTCAAACTAATCCCCTCTAATGTCAAACAAATACTTTTTGGGGAACAATCGCTTTGGCCAGCAGCAAGAAGGTCCAATGAGGTGAAAACGATAATACGCATAGGCAAACAAGAGAATCCATATACACGAAAAGACAACAGGGAGGATGATTTGTTCACACCGATTACCGACCTTAATGAAGATGACCCAATGTTTGATGAATTGAAAAAGCTACCTCGCTTGGGAGTAGAGCAAGATATTGTGGAAATTGCCGAGAGTGATCAAGAGGATAATTCCGCAGAAATAGTAATCCAAACAGAAGCACCTACAGGGTTGTATTTGCCCAATGGGAACAAAAAAGTGTGCATGGTTTCAGGTACAGAAGTTAAGTACTTTGATCCTTCAACTGGTATGCCGTACAGCTCAGTGGAAGTTTACAGAACTTTGAAACTTATAGAACAAGGTCAAGCGGAGTGGTTGGGATTAGATGCAACAGACAACGGTCCTGTGGACTTGTATTTGGGGCTCAAAGGGGAACACGCTAGGCACGCAAAAGGTGTTCCGGAAGGGTTCTAAGAATGTGATTTATTATTGATAGACATGTATATAATCAAATGCAATCCTGTTTCAGTAGTCACGCAGTTTGCTTTAACCAACAAGTGCACCGGTGTAGGTCAACGACCATGTTCTGGACATACCATTATCAATTTGAGCTGGGTCCCAGTCTTTTCTGGCAAACCAATCGTACGAACTCTTTGGGTCAAACAATGCCTTATTCAACATCAATATACCTTTCCAACCATCAGGAATTCTATCAACTATGGGAGCAAGTTTTTGATCCCACTCTTCTTTGACAAACTTTGGCCCACGGATGTATCCTGATATAGGTGTGATAGGCAACATATGAATCCCATGGATCCATTCGTCACCAATTGTACCTCTACCAAAGTAAGTAGAGTAGTCGATTTTGTTCTCAAAGGATATACCAGCAACTTTATTAGGTATGAACTTGGAAGGCTCAATCTTGTTATCGTCCGAGTAAAGCATGTACATATTCATTGATCTTCTCATAATAGCAAGCATCAAATTGGCTCTGCTTTCCATTGCCTGGTCGCGAACGACATTGGCGAACAATTTCATTCCATAAACGAAATGATAATCTTCACTGGATGACTCCTCATCTTTTCCGTCACCGGAAGCAAATATTCCATGAGCAAATGAATGTCCGTGATACCAGCAAAACGATCTCGATTGTGGGAAAAACTCATCAGCTCTAGGACTGGCAATGTCTCTAAGAAGTGCAATTGCATAATCGTAAACTAGATTGTTGTTGACATGTAACCATCCCTCATCAATGTGGGCAACCAAGGCAATGGCGTGTATATGGTAACCATAATGGAAATGATGGTCATTATAATTTGAATTACCAAAATCTGCACCAGGTTCAGCTGAAGAAATGATACCTTTCCAAGTAGTGTCATAAACTAAAGGAAACTTTTGCTCATTTTTGGCGAATATCTCAATGGCTTGTTTTACTTTAGGAAGAATTTCATTTGTGAGACCTTCATCTTTCAAGATGAAGTGACAAACGTGGGCAATGTAAGCAAATTTGTCCAAAATTTTTCCAGAAGTATACATTGAATCAATGTCAGCCATGCCAACTACATCCTGCTTAACTTCCTCAGTAGCAGCTTGACGGATCAACTGCAAAGTTGCATCGGAAAAGTGGGCATTTTTTGCGAAAGTCGTCCATGGATCCCACATCACATCTATTGGAAGGTCCTGCTCTTGCATAACCAATTCATTAGTTTTGTATGCCCTCATAACGCCTTTTGTAGTTGAGTCCAACTTCAAGTCTGTATCACCATCGGAGGTCACCACTTCTTGATGATGAGGCAATGCCCAAATTATTGTTTTACCAGATCTTGATCTACCCTTTATGTCATACTTGATTCTATACTCTCCTCTATCTCCATTTACGGTTCCTGATATATCTGCACCTGTAGGATAGCAACCGACAGCATCGTCATAATGGGAAGAGTCACCACGACAAATTTGCACCGTACCTGGACTCTGTCCAACTATATGATTTGGGTCAGTCAATTTCAACTCGATATCACTATAAATGGACCAAACTACTTGATTGAATAGTTTGACTTGGTACTTTTGAAGTCCATCAATTTGCCCTGTTTTTTTAAATTCTTGGTATCCCACTTGTGAGGCAATAATGGGCTTGATTCTGTCATATATAGCAGTAATAAAGCCCATACCCTGTATCAAAGGAACCTCAACACATCCTTGTTGATTTTCAAGTCTGGCAGTCACCGACATCTTTCGATGATCATGCAATGTCATCTTTACATTGTTGAAGCCTTCACCTGAAAGAACAAATGACTTGATTCTTGGAGGGTTGAAATAGAATTGAGCAACTTTGGCATCTGGTTCTGGTCCAAACACTCTTTGATTCGCGTCCGTATGATTCAAAGCTAAACCAAAGTCCTGACCCGGATCTTTCGTTAACCATAAAGAATATGGCAAGGTCCAAATTGGGAATGTTTGATCTTCCAATGTCAAGTTGTTGGAAAAGTTGTTTGTTTGAATTGGCTGGTTCAACGTACATCCTTGAGGTGTGAGCTCATGATGATTCCGCTTAAACATTTTTGGCGGTTCACCAATTGCAATTGGGTGGTTGAAAATGTCTTCACCGTCAATTGAACTATGTTGGCTGTGCTGCTTTGGTTGCTGTTGTTGGCTCAGAGAAGCTTCATTTTGATTGAATAAAGGGGCTTGTCCATGATGAATGTCCATGCGCTTGAATGCATTCTTTAAATCCCTCAATCCCATTTTTCCGACAGAAATTTTAAACTAGGTTTCTTCCCAACCTTTGCAAAGGAATATCTTATTGATTTGGGAAAACGGAATTTTTCCCGTTTTTGGTTTCAGCGGGTATCGATTTGCGCACTGAACTAAATCTTTTTAGCTGAGAAAAATAAAAATTCCGTCACAGTTGAACTTTGGGAGAAGGAAACCAAGGTGTATTATAAATTAGAACCGATATCCAATTGTGAATCATGGGGAGTGGTCAAAAGAGCTTTCCTCATCGTCTAAAGTTTTGTCAGAATGAAGTTGCTTCCACTTTTAAGCATTGTAACTGCAGTTTCTTGTGCCACTGACTTGCAAGAGAAATGGGGAAGTCTTTGGCAATTTCAAGGAATAGCCACTTTTGCACACTTGGATCACGTTCAATGCCTCATCGATCGCGAGCAAATGTTTGATGTTGGGATCATTGGTGTCCCGTTTGACACTGCTGTGTCGTACAGACCTGGTGCAAGGTTCGGTCCAAGAGCTATTAGAGATGCATCTCAACGTCAATACAGCTTGCGTGGTTTCAACCATAGGGCCATGTTCAACCCATACAAATCGTGGGCCAGAGTTGTTGATTGTGGAGATGTGCCAGTATCTCCAATGGATAACAAATTGGCTTTCCAACAAATGGACCAAGCTTTTGAAGAATTGTTGTGGGTGGGCGATTCAGTTGAAGTTGATCAAGTTCCTCCTAGATTCATCATTTTGGGAGGTGACCATTCTGTTTTGTTACCTCATATTAGAGCATTGAATAAAGTGTATGGTCCTGTGAATATTGTACATTTCGACGCTCATTTGGATACTTGGAAACCAGACAAGTATCCATCATTCTGGCGTACTGAAGTTAGTGACGTGAACCACGGATCAATGTTGTGGAAAGCATACGAAGAAGGGTTGACCACAAAGAACAATGTTCATGCTGGTATTAGGACCAAATTATCCAGTCTTGCTGATTATGAGGACGATGATGCACAAAATTGGTTGAGAATCGAGGCTGATGATATTTGGTTGAAAGGTTCTGACTACGTTGCTCAACAAATCTTGAAGAGGGTTCCAAAAAACACACCCACTTATATCTCAGTTGACATAGATGTTTTGGATCCAGGATTTGCATCTGGAACCGGAACTATGGAGTCAGGAGGTTGGTTACCAAGAGAATTGATTCACATCTTACGTCAAATTGATGATTTGACCGTTGTTGGTGCTGATGTTGTTGAAGTCGCACCTGCATACGATTTTGCTGAAGTAACTGCAACAAATGGAGCCCAAGTTGCTTTTGAAATTTTGACTAGTATGGTCAAGAAAGGTCAAATCGATAGTAAATTGGTCAAAAGACAAGTTTACAAGGGTGCCAACTGAAGCCAGGTCAAGTATCAGTGGATACAATTGAAACTTGATAATGTTGTTCTGATGCTTCAGCCACGTGTGTTCTTGAGTAAATGTAAAAGGATTTTCGCAAAGTATATAGCCAGTCTGGGAATTAGATTTGCAGTTTAAACAGGAAAGTTAATATTTATATGATGTGATCGCTAAAATTTACTCTCTCTTGAATATCTCGGAATGGTTTGAGCATCACTTGAGTTGTTTAACTGCGGCCTTGTATAATTCTGCTCAACCTCGAACTTGGGGACTGGTGGACTATCGCTTTGTCATTTACTGGTTATATGCAGTGCACGCACACAGTTATTTATTCTACTTCGTTACATCAATCTCCCCCCGGCTAGATCAAACAAGCTATTATGGAATTGGGAAAGAACGTACGAGAATATGACATATCTTACACAAAACGTAAGGTTCACCAAAAAGACACCAACACGCCTCCTTTCTCCTCTTTTGATGAACAACACGCCTGTTCACTGTACAGAAGCCTTACTCTTTTGCACTGAATTCCATTCTCGCCGTTGTTATAACGCACACCCTACCCTAGTTTTTCTGGCGAGGGGTTTTATTTTTTCTTCATTAGGTTCCATCAACGGAACGGAAAGAAAAACCGACTCTAAATATTACACAAAAACTACTATAGATTGCAATGGAAGCCGCACCGGTTTGACATCCATCCGAAACTTTAGTTTGAAATTTACCAACACAGCAATTGTTTTTTTGAGTTATATATAGATGATCCCACGATCAATTTAAAGCTGGTCTTTTCAATTGTAAAGCATACTCATAATAGATAGCAATTGCTTAACACCACGCCCGTTCAAATGATGCTTCGATTAAGGGTTCCATTAGCTAAACAATTCCTCACTAAAGGGGGTCCATCGCTAAGCCCCTCACTCTTCAAAGCAGTTTCAAGAAGTGTGACAACCAATGTCCATACCCATACAGTCAAAACACCAGTCGGTTTAGATGCTGCAATTCAAACTTTGAAGCCGAAAACCACAAGATTGTCAACCGAAGGTCCAACTGAGTGTCCGCTTGATGGGTTTGCATTGTTGAACTCCCCATTTTTCAACAAAGGCTCAGCATTTACCGACGAGGAAAGAGAAGCTTTCAAACTTGTAGGACTCTTACCAACACAAGTCAATACATTGGAAGAACAAGTCGATAGAGCTTATGCGCAATTCAAAATTAGAGTTGATGATTTGGCCAAAAATTCATTCATGGATTCAATGAGATTACAGAATAAAGTGTTGTATTTCGCCTTGGTTAAGAAGCATATCAAGGAAATGTTGCCAATTATATATACCCCCACCATTGGTGACGCAATTGAAGATTATTCTCATAGATTTAGAAAACCAGAAGGTTGCTTTTTAGATATAACATCACCAGAAACGATTGAAGAGAGGTTGGCTTCGTTTGGAACTGAGAAGGATATTGATGTTGCTGTCATCACTGATGGTTCAGCAATTTTGGGTATCGGTGAATGGTCAATCGCAGGAATTCTAATGTATGTATAATATCAAAGCAGAGACGTTTCACGAAACACCACTTTTTTGGCCTTTTACTAACACAAAATCACTAGCACAATTGGTAAAGGTAGTATTATTACCGTTGCAGGCGGTATTGACCCTACAAGAGTTTTGTGTATCGGTATTGACGCAGGTACCAACAACAAAGCTCAATTGAATGATGAATTGTACATGGGAAACAAGTTTCCCAGAGTAGAAGGGAAACAATACTATGATTTCTTGGACAAGGTTGTTAAAGCGTTCAAAAAAAGATTCCCATCGTCTGTTTTACATTTTGAGGATTTCGAAACTACAGCAGCTAGAAAATTGTTGGAGTCTTATCGGGATAAATTACCTTGTTTCAATGACGATATTCAAGGTACTGGGTGTGTTGTTGTTGCTGCTTTGAAAGCTGCTCTCAAGGCCACCAATCGTAAAATGGATGATAGCAAGATTTTGGTTTACGGTGCCGGATCAGCAGGTATGGGTATTGCCACTCAAATTGCATCAAATTTGAGAACCGATGGGTTCACCGATGAGGAAATTCATTCAAAATTGTACCTCATGGACAGATATGGCTTAATCACTGAATCAACCGAAGCTACACCATCGCAAAAAGTGTATGCTAAACAAGATAAAGACTGGCAAGGTATCGACAAGACCAACTTGGTTGAAGTTGTTGAAAAGATTAAACCGACAGTGTTGATTGGCTGTTCAACCCGCCCCAAGGCATTTACTGAACAAGTGGTCAAGACCATGTACAAGTACAATCCAGATCCCATCATTTTCCCCCTTTCCAACCCAACCCGACTTCACGAAGCTGTGCCTGAAGACTTGATGAAATGGACAAACAATAAAGCATTGATTGCCACCGGATCACCATTTGCACCCGTTAACGGTATCGCCATTTCCGAAAACAACAATTGCTTTGCGTTCCCCGGTATAGTTCTCGGATCTGTCTTGTCACGTAGTTTGAAAATCAGTGACGAAATGATTTCTGCAGCCGTTGAACAATTGAGTATCTTGTCCCCCAAGATTCGTGACCCCAAGGGCGGGTTATTGCCGGATATAACTGAGATTAATGAAGTCAGTGCTAAAGTTGCTACCGCCGTTGTGTTGGAAAGTTTGAACCTGGGGTTGGCTAGAGTGGAAAGTGAACATAGACCAAATGGGCAGTATGTCAATGTACCAAGAGATTATGAGGCTTGCTTGGCATGGGTTAAATCGCAAATGTGGCAACCAATTTATCGTCCATATGTGAAAGTTGAACATATTCCTCATATTCATACCCATCAATATTAGAGTGAGCTAAAGTGAAGCGAACCGGTGTAGGGTTATTCCTTTTTTGTTATAGATTTTGAAAACTAATTGAAGTCGATTTATTGTAGATTAATAGCTACGTTTGATCCCTCTCAATTAAATAAAATGTTGTTATTACAAAGTCTATAAGAAAATCTATATTACAACGTAGTGGCCACCTATTACACCCCCTCCAATCACCGACCACTCTTTCGCCCACCTCATTCTCCTCATCAAGCATAATACATTCTCGTTCTTCTCTTTTCAACTTTATCACCACCGGAGTTTGCACCACCACCACCGCCACCATTGTGCAAATACCGCTTGGCATCAACCTCGCACATGATTGCATCATTCACGACATAATAATCATCTTGAATCTGTCCAAAACAACAACTACATTTCAAACAATGTACATGCCATTTTTCGTCCAAATCATTCTCAATACATGATCCTTCAATTCCAACACCACATGATTTACAAGTTGTGGCATTGAGTAAATGATAATGCTGGAAACAGTATGGCTCGTCGTCCAAGACATAACATTGGACTTGTTTGTTGAAATGGATGGTACATGATTGATAAGAACATTTGAAGCATGCGCGATGCCACTGGCCTGATAAGTCACCGGCTTTGGAAAAAATGGATTTGAGTGATCCTTTGGCGAATGGATCAATGAGTTGATTGCATGACCGACATGGTCCCGTGCCGGGTGCATAATGGTTTACTTTGGGAGTTGCATCAGGAACAGTGGTATTGCTTGGACCATTAAGTGTGCCAAAGTTATTATCCATAGCGGTTTCAGAAACGTCGGGGGTTGACTTCGGCATTTCATCTTCAAATTGATCCAATTCAGCAATGATTTTAGTGAATTCAGCGGAATCTTTCCTTTCCGGAACGCTGTATGGATTATTGACATCACCATTCATTTGTTTTACATCCCTTTTAGTAGGGGAAATGTTTGAATGGGCCACTGACAATGGTTGTATCGATTCAATTGAAGCGATTGACATATCATCACAATTGCTATCTTTAGTGTTGTTAGAACCTGAGCTATCTCTAGCCTTTTTCTCTTCGTCGACATCCTGTACACTAAATTGTGGAATTGGAGGGCGTGTAGTTGATACAGTTGATTGGCCTGAAATAGATTTCTGAGGCGAGGTTTTTTCAAATACGCTTCTTTCTTCTCCTTCATAATGTTCAGCCTCACCACCGTTTTTCAAGTTTTGCAATTGTGTTTCCAATTCTTGCTCAATGCGTCTCTCCTCTTCATCAATTGACTCTTTTGATAGAATTGAACTCACAGTAGATCCACGTTTATAATCATCAGATGTATTCACAGGCTCGGTTGATAGGAACTGTTGATACTCACTTTGCTGGCCCTTAATGGTATATGGAGTATTCTCTTTGTTGTCCTGCATGAGACGTCCATTGAGGGAATTTTCGTGCTTGGCAGAATGCAAATCTGGCGACACATTTTCCAATTGAGTTGCCCCAGTCAGGGGAGGTGATGAAGTTTGACGACTTTCCAAATCTTGCTTAAACTCGTTCAAAGCAGGAGACAATTTATCATCTCTAATTTGGGAGTAGGTAGGCTGTCTAGGAACACCGGTTTGATAGCGTTGGTTAGGTGGCGCCATCTGATGTGGGTTTCTTGGGGGCTGTGCCATTTGTTGGGGATGCATTGGACGTTGTGGTTGTGAATATGGTTGTTGTTGGTGGTGGTGGTGCTGCTGTGTTGGACTAACCATTGAAGGGGGCACAGGTCTCCTCTGCAGGCGAGGTGGATATCCAGGCGATTGTGGATGTGGTTGACTATTCATTTGCCAAGTTGGAGGTCCTGGAGGAATGCCAGTCATGGATCGAGGCATACCCGGACCAGGCATATGTGGTTGATTTATTGGAGTCGGTATACCAGTCATTGATCTTGGCATACCTGGATTCGGCATACCTGGATGATACATGCCAGTTGGCGAAGTTGCTTTTTGCATCATTTGTGGTGATGGTGGTGCTCCTCCCTGTGGGTGATACTGAGTTGGAGAAGTGACCCTTCCTGGACCTGACATGGGAGGCACCCCGCCCATTTGGTTTGCGAAAGATTGTTGTTGCAATTTAGGTGAATAGTTTGGACTGATCGGATACGGGACAGCTTGATTAGAAGGTGGAACCACATTTCTATTCGCTTGAGGAGGATATGGTGGTCCAAGCGAGCCATTGGGTGGTCCATTCATCATCATGGGTGGACGCTTTCTTGTCTTTCTCGGATCAAATGGTTGCAGTGGTTGATGATGTTGTTGTTGCGGGTACGGCTGTGGTGGAGGGACATGACTGTAACTGCTTGCTGACATTGGTGTAGGGATTTGATATCCATGTTGGGCGTATTTGTCCTCTTTAGACCGGGAAGTGTAGGTGGGTCCATTCTCCCCATTGGAGCCCATGGATTCGGGCACTTCATGAATTACTTCTTGATGGACATTATTGTTGTTGGACCCATTTGATCTATTTGAGTGATGCGACGACTGGTTTGAATGATGTGATCCAATTGAGCGATCTGAATGATGAGACACAACTTCAGATTTGTTTGAGTGATGCGAAGAAATGGAGTGCTTTGAATGGAATGAATGCATAGAAGAATTCGGGTGGTTGTGGGATGCAAATTGTTGAGTATGGGTTGACTCTTGCTCTCCAGTATTGTCATAGCTATTGTTATGATTCAAGTCGAGCGTTAGGTTCTTTACATTCTTTTGTAGTTTATTTGGACTTGTGTTACTCAAAGTATGGTTTTCGGCTTCATCGTCGTATCGAACAGTCCTTACTGTTTGTCCAGACAGATCACGACTGCCATTTGAAGCAGACGAGTACTTTCTCCCGTATGGTTGATTTTGTTCAGGATATGCGGTAGATATTGAAGTGTTTTGTTGTGATTGTTCATGATATTGAGAATATTCAGGCGAAGTTCTATGACTGGTTGAAGCAGAGCCGCTCATCTGACCGCCATATGATGAGTTCATTGAGTTGGATTTACTCGATCCAGAAGATGATCCGTTTGAGTTTACTCTTGTATCTGGCAATTGATTAACCAACGGAAGACTTTCCTTTGTGGCTGTTTTAAAGCTTACACCACCACTACTACTCTTGTTGCCAAAGGAATCATTTGATTGGTTTCTTGGTCCCCAGCGGGTTGAGCTTGTCATTGATCTGTTTGATCCTCTGTCGTCACCATGGTGATAATGTTGTTGTTTATAACCCTTTTTGTTAACATCAAACCCAGCTCTTTCGTATACACCTCTATACTTGTGAGAAGGGTTAAATGGTGGGAATGCCGAGTCCAATGATCTCGGAGAATGCTCTGATTCACGTATAAACGTAGGGAATGATCCCATTTTGGGTGATGGTTGATGCATCTTTGGTTGGCTACTCTTTTCTCAATTTAGACGAGGAGTGGACAGACTAAATGCAAAATATTCTGAGAATAGTTAGTGGGAATGAAACTGGGTAATAGTAACGAATGTAAGAATGAAGGTTGTCTCCAATTGTCTCTTAGTCTAGTTGGATCTTATGTGGTTTAGATGAGGAAGGTGTGATGAATGTAGTTGTGTATTATCGGTTGTTTTGGTTGTTTTGGTTGTAAAAATAAAATAAACGAAAGATTATAGTTTTCCAATATTTTTTATTTTTTATTTTTTTATTTTTTTATTTTTCGTCTGATCTTATGGGGGGCAGAGGGGGGTAGTGTGTTTTGTTTCGTTCTGTTTTGTTTGTTTTGTTGTTCTTTATAAAAAGTTTATGACGATGATAGTAATAGTAATAGTAATAATAATTATAATAATAAACTAAGTTAGTGATGGTACTATATCTGAGCCCTATTCCTCCTCCAATTGATTGATGTGTTTGACCTTTCAGTTGTTGTTTACTAAAAGCAAAAGACAAAGATTGTTTTGGAAAAAATGGACGGGATGATGATGATGCTTTTATTATGGTTATGAATCTGGCCTATATTGAGAACAAAGCAGTCCTATTGTACTTCGTGTGTATAATGTGTGTTGCTTGATTTTAACTACTTTTGGAGTTAAAAGTACTGCATATAACTAAAAATTCTTTTCAGTCTTTCACGTGTTTGTGTTTGTTGTCACATAAAATGCTACCAAATACACACTATACTTACACACAAATCAAAAAAACACAATTGAGAACTGAAGTGAATGAAACTGAAATTGCAAAGAGTTCAAAAGAAGAAGAACAAGTGTAAATGTATTTTTGATAGAGAAGCATAATGAGGAAGTTCACAAAACACGCCTACAACTTAGAATAGAGCTATGTAGTGCTGTAGTAGGTTGAGTCATAGAGAAAACGTTTAAACCTGTTTTCAATTCGTGGTCAATATAGTCCAAAGTTGACATCCACCATTAGTGACTTATTTAGCAATTACCTTCACAGCCTACATCGAGCTATAGTTCCATTCCTTCCCAATAAACAACTCTACAATCTTCTTCTTTTTTTTTTTGTTTTTTGTTTTTCTTTAGCCTGCGCGTTTGACACTAAAACTGATTCACACACCGCCCCTCCTCCCCCTTCGCATGAAAAAAAAAAAAAAAAACTGTATTGCGGTAGCGCTCAGTATCAGATGTCACTAACTTTTGTATTGCGACACTCATAGCTTTATGACATCATCCTCAAGAAAGCTCCTTTATATTGTACCAGAACTCTTTGTTTCCCATAAACCTCATCTTCCTACACACACAATATGGAAAGTGTATACACAGCCCTATCAATATCACTCATTACAAACAAGAGACTTGCAGTATGCTGTGACAATGCAGTGGAATCAACAAACCACTTTATTGATAGGATTTTACAACCATGTGGGTTTAATCAATCACAGTATATCGTGATTGATTTACTTAAACACAAGAGTATTGAAGATATTCTTCATCATGCAACAATTGAAGTGAACAATGGACTTCAATTTAGAAGTATAATCATATGGCAAAATCTACAACACTTGGATCATATACGACAGAAGCAATTGTACAATTTACTCTTGCAAATGGATAACTATGGTAAACATTCAAGCAGAACCAAAGAAAATTTACCGACAACCATCAAATGTGACGGAATTGTATTTGAAGTTGTCAAACCCCTGTTACTCACTATCATCCCATTCTTGGAGTTTGACCTTTACGATCAGAAAATATATCCATATTTGAAGGAAATGTATTGGTCAAGCGTCACATTCCCACTTGTCAGTGAATATAACAACAACGTCAATTTCATACCCAATTATCAATCAACATTACTCAATTTGAGATCGAAATTGAATACAGTGTACATGAGTCCCACCATCAAATCTTATATTTACTCATTGATTGTATTTATTAGATGCCACCGGTTGGCATCATTGGCACCCAAACTGGTACGAGTGCCAACTTCCACAATCCTATACGTACAAGATTTTTGTAAGTCATTGGTGCTTTGGAGAAGACAGTTGCAGCTTAGTCGTACTAGTATGAGCGACACAGTAGTGTCTCATGACGAAAATGAGTTACAAAAAACGGCCACCGCCGCAGTAGATTTGGAGTTGGAAGAGGAAACAGAATTGTTTGTGACACCAGAATATGTTAAAATTGCAGTTAAAAATATCGGCTACTGGCTAGTTGATTGGGAGACAAATCGAAAGTTTGCAAACACGGAGGACCTCAAACGGGACCCAGATATTACAAGCAAAACCGAGACTGAAAAGGTATTGGATAACAAGAAGTTGGAGATCTCAATGCTTACTGGAGACTGGTATGGTAGTGAATATTATTGTGCCAATGAGCTTCTCAAGGGATACAAGGCCATCAGAGACAGTGATAGTCCCACGGGAATGACAAACAGGATAGTAGATGATGCTATTGAAGAAGTGAGACCTCCATTGTAATTATGTGTAGCTCCAAGATTGTAACAAAGCTTTTTGCAGTTGATTAAAAACAAGATCGGTTGTAAAAAATACAATTTTATGACGTAAAAAACTTTTAGTCTATATATGTCTTGTGTCACATTTCTCTATTTTGGGACAACACAGCAACAAGGTTTTAACAGTTCAACGAAAAATCAACGAAAAATTAAAAACCAACAACGATTATTCAACGAATAGGGGAGGAGGAACTTAAAGGCAAAAGAATACACCATTTGAAATTTTATACAAAGACGAGTCAACGTATAAGAAGAGCTAAACTGACTGACCACCCACCCGCTTTATAAACAAGAAAAAGTTCTATTTTTGCGTTTTCTACAATGTCCGATATTCCAATTGATTTTACTGAGCTTACCCAGTTGACCCAATTGGGTATCCCGCAGTCGTCATTGGACTTTAAATCCACTACTTTGGAGTCTGACCACTACATATGTGTGCGTGAATCCGGTCCACTGGGTAACACTGTTGCTATTGTTGATTTGAAAAATAACAACGAAGTTACAAGAAAGAATATGTCAGCAGATAATGCTATCATGCATCCAAAGGAATTTGTCATTAGTTTAAGAGCAAATGGAACCACGTTGCAAGTTTTCAATTTGGGGTCCAAACAAAGGTTGAAAGCCTACACTATGGACGAGCCAGTTATATTTTGGAAATGGCTTGATGATCAGCATCTTGGTTTGGTCACACAATCGCTGATTTATTTCTGGAATGTGTTTGATGGCACCAATGACGGACCAACTAAATTGACTGATAGACATCATACATTGAGCAATGCTCAAATTATCAATTTCGTTGCTGAGCCAGATTTGAATTGGTTTGCTGTTACTGGTATTGCTCAAGAAGATGGTAGAATTGCCGGTCATATTCAATTGTACTCGAGGTCAAGAAATGTTTCTCAGCCAATTGAAGGCCATGTTTGCAAATTTGCTTCATTGACATTGAGCGGAGCCGCCCATCCAACTAAAGTGTTTTGTGTTGGAAACAAGAATGCTCAAGGACAAGGACAAATGCACATAATTGAAATTGACCATGTCGATGGCAACCCGCCATTCCAAAAGAAAGTTGTTGATATTTTCTTCCCACCAGATGCCAGCAATGATTTCCCAATAAGTTTGCAAGCTTCAAACAAGTATGGAATTGTTTACATTTTAACCAAATACGGTTTCATTCACTTGTACGATATGGAATCGGGAGCAAATTTGTTTGTCAATAGAATCACTGCTGATCCTGTTTTTACGGCAGCTAGCTACAACAATGGAACAGGATTATTGACCATCAATAAATCAGGTCAAGTATTGAGCGTTGAAGTTAGCAGAGATAAGATTATCCCTTACGTTTTGAATAAATTGTCTAACGTACCTTTGGCCATTTCATTGGCTGGACGTGGTGGCTTCCCTGGTGCCGAGAATTTACTCAATCAGCAATTTCAAACATACTTGAACCAAGGTGACTACACCAATGCCGCCAAAGTTGCTGCATCTTCCGAGCAGTTGCGGACACAAGATACCATCAACAAGTTGAAACATATCACGCCTCAACCAGGTCAAATATCACCAATCTTGCAATATTTCTCAACCTTGTTGGACAGAGGTACCTTGAACAAGTATGAATCCATTGAATTGGCAAAACCAGTCTTGCAACAAGATCGTAAGCCTTTATTTGAAAAATGGTTGAAGGAAGACAAGTTGACTTCATCTGAGGAATTGGGAGACATTGTGAAGTCTTATGGGGATGCAGCTTTGGCGTTGGCCGTGTATATCAGGGCTAATGTCAACATCAAGGTTGTTTCATGTCTTGCTGAATTGGGTCAATTTGACAAGATTTTGCCATATTGCCAAAAAGTGGGTTATAATCCCGATTACACCAACTTGATCCAAAATTTGGTTAGAGTTAATCCAGACAAGGCCAGTGAATTTGCCACATCGTTGTTGTCTGGAGATACCCAATTGAATGTTGAACAGATTGCTGATTTGTTCTTTTCTCAAAATTACATTCAACAAGGTACCGCATTCTTGTTGGATGCATTAAAGAATGACTCACCAGCTGAAGGGCATTTGCAAACCAAGGTTTTGGAAATTAATTTGTTGCATGCACCACAAGTTGCTGATGCTATTTTGGGGAACCAAATGTTTAGTCACTATGATAAACCAACTATCGGTAAATTGTGTGAAAAATCTGGATTGTATCAGAGAGCTTTGGAGCATTATGACGATTTGAAAGACATCAAGAGAGTCATTGTTCACACTAACGTGATACCAAATGACTGGTTGGTCTCTTACTTTGGACAATTGAATGTTGATCAATCTATTGCTTGTTTGAAGGAATTGTTTAGCCACAATTTACAGCAAAACTTGCAAGTGATTATTCAAGTTGCCACAAAATACTCTGATTTGCTTGGGGCTAAGAAATTGATCAAGTTGTTTGAAGAGTACAAATGTACTGAAGGATTGTATTATTACTTGAGCTCGATTGTCAATTTGACTCAAGACCCTGATGTTGTTTTCAAGTATATTCAAGCTGCATCCAAGATTGGTCAAACCAAGGAGATTGAAAGAGTTGTTAGAGATAACAACGTTTACAATGGTGAAAAAGTCAAGAATTTCTTGAAGGAGGCCAATTTGGAAGATCAATTGCCATTGGTTATTGTTTGTGATCGATTTGGGTTTGTTCATGATTTGATTTTGTACTTGTACAAAAACAAACACTTTAAATTTATTGAAGTCTATGTTCAATCCGTTAACCCTGAAAACACTCCTCAGGTTATTGCAGGGTTATTGGATGTTGATTGTGATGAATCAATAATCAAGAACTTGTTGATGTCAGTCTTGGGTAGAGTTCCAATCAAACCATTGGTTGAGGAAGTTGAGAAAAGAAACAGGTTGAAGATTTTGTTGCCATATTTGGAAAAGACATTAGAAGGAGGGTCAAATGACCAAGAAGTTTACAATGCCTTGGCCAAGATTTACATTGACTCAAACAATTCTCCTGAAAAGTTTTTACAAGAAAACAACAATTATGATACTTTGACTGTTGGTAAATATTGTGAAAAGAGGGATCCATATTTGGCATACATTTGTTACGCCAAAGGTGGCAATGATGATGCATTGATTGAAGTTACAAATGAAAACAAGATGTACAAGTATCAAGCAAGATATTTGTTGCAAAAATCTGACCTTGACTTGTGGAACAAAGTTCTTTCCTCTGAAAATGTTCACAGAAGACAATTGGTTGATCAAGTTATTTCCACTGGTATTCCAGAGTTGGACGATCCAGAACCAATTTCAATCACTGTCAAGGCTTTCATGGAAAATGAATTGCCAGAAGAATTAATGGAGCTCTTGGAAAAAATTATCTTGGAACCATCACCATTCAGTGAGAATGCTTCATTGCAAGGATTGATGATTTTGACTGCCATCAAAGCTGATTCTTCCAAAGTTTCAAGCTACATTGAAAAGCTCGATAAATTTGATCCGCTTGAAATTGCACCATTGTGTATTGATAATGGTCTTAATGAAGAAGCATTTGAAGCTTATGACAAATTTGAATTGAGAACTGAAGCCATGAAGGTGTTGATTGAAGATATTGTTTCCTTGGACAGAGCAGAACAGTATGCTGACAAGTATGACACATCTGAATTATGGTACCAACTTGGTACGGCACAATTGGATGGATTGCGTATCCCAGAAGCTATTGATTCATATGTCAAATCCAAAAACCCAGAGAATTACGCTCAAGTGATTGAAATTGCTGAACATGCTGGTAAGGAAGAGGAATTGTTACCATTTTTGGAGATGGCAAGGGAAACCTTGAGAGAACCAGTCATTGATGGTGCATTTATCAATGTTTATGCGTCGTTGAATAGATTGAGTGATATGGAGAACTTTGTCTCGGGAACAAATGTTGCTGATTTGGAAGCTATTGGTGACAAGTTGTTTGAAGCTAAAAACTACAAAGCAGCCAAGATTTTATATAGCAATGTTTCCAAATATTCCAAGCTCGCCACCACATTGGTTTACCTTGGTGACTATCAAGCTGCTGTTGATTGCGCAAGAAAAGCTTCCAACACTGAAGTTTGGAAGCAAGTCAACAATGCTTGTATTGAAAATAAGGAATTCAGATTGGCACAAATTTGTGGTTTGAATTTGATTATCGATGCTGAAGAGTTGCCAGAGTTGGTCAAGACTTATGAATACAATGGATATTTCTCCGAATTGATTGCCTTGTTTGAAAGCGGGTTGGGTTTGGAAAGAGCTCACAAGGGGATGTTTACTGAATTGGCCATTCTTTACTCCAAATACAGTCCTGAGAAAGTGATGGAACATTTGAAATTGTTTTGGTCAAGGATCAATATCCCTAAAGTTATCACCGCTTGCGAAGATGCTCATTTATATCCTGAATTGATTTTCCTTTACTGCCATTATGAAGAATGGGATAATGCAGCATTGACCATGATTGATAAATCCGAAGTTGCATTTGAGCACTCATCATTTAAGGAGATTGTCGTTAAAGCGCCAAATTTGGAAATATACTACAAGGCCATTCAATTTTACATCAACGAGCAACCTTCATTACTTGTTGATTTGTTGCTGGTTTTGTCACCAAGATTAGATTTGCCTAGAGTTGTTAGAATGTTTGTCAAGAGTGACAATTTGCCCATGATCAAACCATTTTTGGTTTCAGTATTGGAAAAGAACAATAGAGTGGTGAATGATGCATACCATTCATTATTAATAGAGGAGAATGACCACAAGGCATTGAGAGATGCTATTCAATCATATGATCGATTTGATCATATTGATTTAGCAGAAAGATTGGAAAATAATCCACTTGTGTATTTCAGACAAATTTCAGCCTTGCTTTTCGCTAAGAACAAGAAATTCAACAAGGCCATTTCCATTTTGAAAAAAGATGGTGATTGGGTCAACTTGTTGAAGGTTGCTGCTGAATCAAATCAAAAAGTTGTTCATGAAGTACTAGACTATTTTGTAACAACTGGTAATTATGAAGCTTTGGTGGCATTGTTGTATACTTGTTACCATCTCATTGATTCAACTTATGTTGCTGAAGTTGCATTTGAATACCAATTGGCCAATTTTGTTGCACCTTACAAGATCTACACTGACCATGTGAGAGAACAGAAGTTGATTGAATTGTTCAAGAGACTTCCCAATAAGGAGGAAGAGACTGAAGAGAATGAACAACCTAAATTTATGCTCACGTATTGAGCTCTAAAACATTTTTATTATTTTTTTATATATACTTTGTTGAATGAATGAAAAAGGATGATGAAAAAAGTGTTTAAAGAAGCGCTATTTCTCTGGAGTTGCTATCGTCACCTTCTTTGACCCTTGAAATTCATCATGGTTACCTTTTCCACTTTTTTAATCTTTTTAACACAAACAAAGAGCAACCCCGCTAGGGCAATACTCGAAACCACAACCACAAATTCAAACCCACCATCGGACTCTTCGATAAAATTCTCCAAATTCATTCCATACAATGCTGCCAAATACAATGCCACTCCCATTGACAATAACCCCGTGGAAAACTTTAAACCAAGAAGCATCAATTCATTTCGATTCGAGTCCAACACGATATTAATAATCTCTTCTGTGGTTTTAATTTGTGATCGTAAATTCTCAACTGTTTGAACAATCTCATCAGCTGTCTTGTAGTATGACTCCAATAGCATTTCGATTTCAGCGTGATTGGTCCCGGTTCTTGGGTCAGTTAGGTACATATCATTCAATTCATCATCTCTTTCTAGTAAATCCTCTAGCAAATCTCGGATTAATGTGGCTTTTTGTTGAAATTGAGCAAGCTTTTTCGATTGAATAAGTAAATATCGCAATTTGTACCGCTCTATACTTTCATCCAACCCGGATAATACATTGGTAAGTATGGTTCTGTGAACCTTCATTTCGGTGGTGAGGTTGGATATAACATGGATTAAAATTGCTTCCAATGCCCGAAACTCGTAGTACTCCTTCACTTGATGGTTTGAAGTGTTTTCTTGAAGTTTGCTCTCCATTAATTTTAGGAGTTGCAGCTGTGAATGACTCTCATGCCTGATTGAATAAGTTGATGAATACGAATCAAAAATCGTCACTTGATCTTTTTGGATAAGGGCTCGAATATTGAGCAAGTTCAACATGATACAGTTCTTTCTAGTAACCAAACTAGGAACTAATTCAATATTATGCATGGTTGAAGATGGCATTTTGCTGTTAGTGGCGGCAGCGCCGATGGTGGAGGTGGTACTACCCAGTGCTGATGTGTGTTTGGACAATTTGCGGAAATCGCGAGGCACTAGATTATATTGCTTCATGAATTTCGATTTCGGTACGTCTTTGCCATGATGTGTCATTTGCCCCTGGGAGTTGAATATCGTACATTTGATAAGTTCATTTTCTTGTGATTTCGATGATGATAGCGTCTTGTAGATGAACAAGTCTTCGAAGGAGTCCCTCAGTTTGCTCTTGGGTTTCGAAGCAGCTTTAGTGGCAAAGGAAGTCGTGGAGAGCCGTAGAAGTGGGATGGTTTGCTTAATACTAGTCGCCCTTGATATTCTACTTAGTGTCGTTTCTAGCATCTCTGTAGGTTAATAATGATGGACCCAGCTTTTACCAGTCCTTATTTCCTTGTCAATTTTGTCTTTCTTTTTTTTTTTTTTTCGCAATCAATGGGACAAAACAATATCCCAAACCCACGATAACGTGTTTTCCCTTTTTTTTTTTTTAATGAAAGTTTGCTCCAGTGATGAGATAGAGGTGTACGAAGAAGTAGGACGTGGTGGATTTGGTGTTGTTTACCGTGGTATAATCAAATCCAATCAACAAGAAGTTGCAATCAAACAAATTGATCTTGAACAAGATACAACCGACTTGATTGAAATCAACAAAGAAATTCAAATCCTAAGTGAATGTAAATCGCCTCAAATAACATCCTACTATGGGTCATTCGTTAAAAACTACAAGCTTTGGGTGATTATGGAGTATGTTGACGGTGGATCGATTTTTGATTTGTTGACACCGGGGACCATTTCTGATGAAACAACCATTGCATACATTGTGAGGGAAGTTCTACTAGCTTTGAAATACCTACATAACCAAGGCAAGATTCATCGTGATTTAAAAAGTCAAAATATCTTGGTTAATAAACGGGGAGAGATCAAATTGACTGATTTTGGCGTTAGTACACAATTGAGTTCAAATTTTTCCAAACGCAACACCACAGTGGGGACACCATATTGGATGGCACCAGAAGTGATTTTGAATTCGGAATCAGGTCATGGGTTCAAAGCTGATATTTGGTCATTGGGATGTTGTGCGTATGAGATGTTGACAGGGAAACCACCGTTACAGAACCATATTGCACCAATGAGAGCATTGCGGTTAATCTCACAATGTCAAACCAATGGTGATTTCATTAAACTTATTGAGTTGGATCTGTTGGATGCATCAGAAAATTTCCGGGATTTCTTGAGTGTGTGTTTTATTGAAAATACCAAAATGAGGTTTGATGCAAGTAAGTTGTTGAAGCACACATTTATCAATCGTAAAATTGACAATGGATCCAAATTCATAAAGAAATTAATCACTAGAAGACAATTGTGGAATCAACAACATGCAAATTTCAAACCTAAATCGTACTATGTTGAAACGGAAATGCATCATAATCAATCTAAATGGAACGATCAAGTTGAAACAAATAGGGACGACCACGAAGTCCATTTCGATATCAGCTCCATCACTATCAACGAGGACAATGATACTTTTCTTAGTAGCCCCGTGCAAGAGGATTTACATGCTGAAACGAAAACACAATTCCAAAAAATACACACCAAGGTGGTGAATAAGGTTGACATCAAATGTGGATTACTGGATAATCAACTGAAAACATTCAACAAATTAAAGAACGACATGGTGTCACTTATTACAGAGCGTAATGATAAAATTGTTTTATTTCAGTATTTGAAATACTTGTTCAAAGAACTATCTAAAGACAAGAACAAGCAATTGGGTAAGTTGATTCTACCATCCACTCAACGGCGCGAGGAAGAAATAGCAACACCTAGCATGATGACAACGTCAGCAACAACAACAGGAACAGCAACAACAACAGGAACAGCAACAACAACAACAACAACAACAGCAACAGCAACAGCAACAGCAGCATCATCTTTAAAGAATCGAATTCAATTCAACAAGTTTGATGAGATTGAGCTGAGTCTAATGGATTCGTGGATCAAAAAGATGAAAACATAACATTTGGTTGGAAAACCAATTTTATTGGCTCATTTGTTTCCAATTGGCATTTATTTCAAATATATTAGCAACCCCATCCAAACCACCAGTGACTAGTAATTTCCCTTCTTCAAATATATCAACAGACAAAATTGCATGTTTTAAATCACTATCTCGGTATTTCCACACCATTTGCTTCAGTTTAATATCCCAACACAAGACACCATTTGCATCACTACCACTAACAATCAAATTCAATCCATTATAAATTACAAATCTCAGTTCACAATTGTACTTTTCACAAATGGGCGTCTCTTGTGGCCCAATAAATGTCTTTACCACTTTGTTTTGCATATAATCCCACAATCGAATAGTTCCATCTAAACTTGTACTCAAGATGTATTTGCCATTGGGGGATGTCTCGACATTTGCCACGGGGAAATTTTGTAAATCAGTAGTTGAAAGTGAACTGGTGGCAGTTCCATGCGATGATGTACTCGTAGTTAGGGTTTTCAAACATTGATAACTTTCTAAATCAAATAATCGAATCAATCCATCATAAGATGCACTTATAATGATTGAATTGTCTGGCGTCAAGGTTAAACTCGAGATTGGATCGGAATGGGCGGCTAATGTCGTCAAGATTTTCCCCGAGATGATGTCCCATATCGTTATAGTTTCATCAGCTGAGCCACTGATTAGTAAATTACCCTTGGAGTTGAATTGGATAGTTGTGATGTGATAGGTGTGCTTTTTAAAGATTTTGATACATTTCGATGAAGATTTATTTATGGACCAAAGTCGTATCGTCAAATCATCGGAACATGATGCGAGGATGGATGAGTTTATGGGGGAGAATTTGATATCGGATATCCCCTTTGTATGGCCTAGTAGTTCGCCAATGAGTTTTCCTTCATATATTGTGTAAATTTTGACTTTATTTTCAACAGCCAATGCAATTTTTGTCCCATCGGGAGATATTCGAATTGATGTAATGGCTGTAGGTTCTTTGATCTTGTTCTTTAAGATGTAAAGATCGTCATTATTCTCGGGATCTAGAGCAATACCCATTCTGGTGGTAAAATTTCTTGAAAGGCTTTGTCAGTTGCGACAAATAACCTCTTTTTTTTTTTTTCTCGGTTTTTGGAGAATTGAGAAAAGTTGAAATCTCAAAAACTCTCTCATTCACAAACAACGAGCAACAAAAGTACATATATATCTACAATTCATCCACCATAAACAGCAGTTGCCCAACACCACAATGGAAAACCACTCAAACAACTTATTTAGGTTCAGCCTTGGTAATCTCAGATTACCCAAATCAGCCAAATTAAGGGCGTTTGGAATCTATTTATCCGGTGGATTATTTGCAATTGGATTCTGGTCATTAGTAGATTCAGCCATATATTCCAAAACCGTAAATGCATCAGATGTGCATGTGACTTTTATCGACTGGTTACCATTCATTTGCTCGTCATTGGGTATGTTGATTGTTAATTCGATAGAAAAGAGTCACTTGATGAATAGTGAACAAGGCGGTGGCGGTGGCGGCGCAGGAATGTTTGATGATGGAACCAATTATGTATGGGCCGCTAGAACTATATTGTTTTTAGGATTCAGTTTGTTGGCGGGTGGTCTTGCTGGTAGTTTTATGGTTTTCATTTTGAAATATTTGATGAAACATTACTTGTTCCCCACATTGGGTATGGGTGTGTCAAATATCGTGTGCAATGGTTGTGTCATGTTGAGTTGTATTGTATTGTGGTTATCACAGAATATCGAGGATGAATATAGCTACAGTTTGGCTTTATAAAATGCAAAATAAACAGGAACAAATTATCACTTTGGTGTACCAGGTTTTTGAAAACCTAGTTGATAAAAAAAACTCTATAAAATTGAAAAAAAAAACAAAAAATGGCTAATTACACTCCTGCATTTGTGAAAAAAAAAAACCAAACACGGCCCAAATTGTAAAGAATTAAACCGTTGCATACTGTATGTCCAAAAAGCCAAACATGTAGCCTTGATTGCGTTTCTTCTGTATCTCTCTGTATCTCTCTGTATCTCTCTGTATCTCTCTGTATCTCTCTCTCTGTATCTCTTTTTTCTCCCTCTCATACAAGGCCGAGGTCATTCTTGTATGGCCCTAGTAAATCCAACTCAAAATCACTAAAGTTGAATAAATCCAAAAATATCGGTTCTGAAGCACCTCTAGGGTACACTTTGAAATCTTTACTCCTCAATTCATTGAAAAATGGTTGGACAAGCACTTTTCTAGGACTTGCTCTTTGTTCAGGATCATAAACCAAAATCTTCATCAAAAGATCAATAGCATCAGGTGGTGAATTACTGAAAATTTGTCTAAATCGTTCCTCAACTGTACAACTAAACAATCTTGTTGTGTACATATTACCCCTGTATTGTGGATTACTCTTGAAGAAAAAAGTATTTGGTGGTGGACCCAATAATTTGGCAATTTCCTTCAATTGGGTTTCGGGGGAATGACCTTGGAATATGGGTTTTCCAAGAAACATTTCGGCAATAACACATCCCAAACCCCATATATCTATCTTGGTGGTGTACAATGAGCATCCAACAATCAATTCTGGTGCTCGATAATATCTTGAGCATATATAACTAACTGACGGTTGATTAGGTTCCAATTTTTTGGCTGAGCCAAAATCACAAATTTTGAGCTGTATCGTTGATGGATCAACAAGAATGTTTGATGGTTTTATATCTCTATGGCTCACACCAAGTCCATGCAAGTACAACATTGCTCTTGCTAGTTGAAAAGTGTATGCCTTCATATGTGGATAGGGTATAGTATATTTTGATTGACGGTAAAACTTGATTTCTGCTTGTAATGTTGATGGTAAACATTCCATGACTAAATTTTGATACACTTTATCATCTGCTGAACTTCTCTTGTCGAAAAAGAATCGTAAACTGACAATATTGGGATGATGCACAACACGTAATATTTCCAACTCTCTTGATTTGTATTCAGTTTGTGCCGGTACGCGTTTAATTGCAAATGGACCTAACCATCCATCCTTGTGGATCCCATTGGTTGATTGATTAGACTTGGATTCGTTTGAATTCCCATTGGTGATGGATGGTGGTGTTGTTTTGGTTGTTGTTGTTGTTGTTGTTGTTGCATCAGGTGATGAATCGTCAGCGTATCGCAATACAGCTTCAACAACGGTTCCGAATGCTCCCTCACCAATTTTCTTGTACTCCCTTATTGTCATTTTGCTGGAGGTTGATGTCTTGTTGTTGACAACCTGGGGTAACGTATACTCCTTGAGAACACCCATTGGTTGTGCCATTGTAATTGATCGTGAGTGTGTGAGTGTGTGAGTGTGTAAGTGTGTTAGTGTGTGTTAGTGTGTGTTAGTGTGTGTTAGTGTGTGAGTATAGTTGATTTGGTGTGGTGTTTGGGCTGTGTAACGCGGTTAAAATTGGAAAGCAATATGTTTATTGGCTGTGTGTATGAGTAAGTGTGTGTTAGTGTGTGTGTCGTGTCCAGAATCTATTTATAATTTTATCTTGTGCTCTTTTACTTTATAGGAAAGCTAAGTGAGCAATTGATTATGACACAGTATGGTAAAGTGAATTAATTATATGATGCGTGTGGGTATACTACTCTAGATAAGAACTTGTCTTTTTGTTTGTTTGTTTGTTTGTTGATGTTGTTTGGTGTTGTTGTTGGTGTTGATGTTGATGTTGATTTTTGCTTCCTAAAGAGAGAGAGAGAGAGAGAGAGAGTGTGTGTGTGTGTGTGTTGTGAGAAAACTTGTGTCAGAGAGAACTTCACTTCTTGTCTCTCTCTTTTTCTCTTTTTCTCTCTCTCTTTCTCTTTCTCTTAGTTCTGTTGTGTTTGTGTTTGTGTTTGTGTTTGTGTTTGTATTGATGTCGCGGTAAAATCAAAAAATCAAAAAAAAAAAAGTTTGAAGAAGAAAAAGTTTAAAAAGAGAAAACCAACCCAACGAGAGATAAAAGGAGAGTATGTAATCAAATGGAAGTGGGGGGAAGTATTGAGTTAACAGTAGTTATCTATCTCTTTATTAGCTAGCTATACGTCTCTTGAATCAATCGATTTTTTTCTTTTCTTTTCGTTTTATTTAGATCAAAATTTGTATGCCCAATTTCTCTACTGTGTGAGGAATAAACCCGAAAGGATGAATCAAAAAAGCGTTTATTGTGCAACCAAATTGATTTATTTGTTATGCGCTAAGGAGGGTTTCAATTTCAATGCAATACAAAGTGACATCATCTCAATAAAAAAGTTCGTTTATATACGAAAAGACCAACCCTCTATGAACTTTGGTCTTTTATAGTTTAATAATAATCTATTGAAGTTCAAGCTTGGTGGAATTTTCTTGTTTTTTTTTTTTTATTTTTGAATCTTACCTGAGTGGTATATTTTTCGGTATTTGTAGCACAGAGTTTCTCAAGAACTGTTAAATAAAGCAACCCTTTATATCTTCTACTGCAGTTTTGTAATTAAAATCACACACATATATATAATATATATACATATATACATATATACATATATAAATTTCACTACAGCCAGACGAATGGGCTATTGATTCAAGGTTTTTCCAATTGTTGCAAAAAGAAAACACACCACTACACTTTACTACTGTATATATTGTCATCATTTGGTAGCATACGTCTTGAAATAAATTTTCCACTCTTTGATTTGGGCTTTTGATCTTCCAATTCAGACAAACTGTTTGAGTAGAGCTACATTCCAAACCCCCCCTCCCACTCCCACTCCCCACTCATCATGATTAGACAATGTTTTAATGGACTTTACCGACAACAAACAACTGGATTGAGGATAACTCAACCACTCACAACTTCCTTTAGGTCAATATATAATTCATCACTGTTGCGTCAAACCCAACCCATCACCACTACAGGCTCCGTTTCTGAACAACCAACCGTCAAAGAAACACCGTTGTCGGAGCTTAGTAGAACCATCGAAGAAAACATAGACAATTCACAATCGCAGAAGGCTGCTTCATCACCTACACTCTCCAAACAAGCTAAAGTAAATGAAAAGATAGTATACTGGAAACTTTACTCAACATTCAATAGACACAACACGAGGTGTACATTGGTTGCTGTAGTTGAGGATTTGAACTTTATGGAGAATAACCCTGACTTGTCCTACAATGAAAAAGTACTTTACTATTTACAGTTACCTCACAAGGTCAAATATTCAGTTACTGCTGGTCAACTAGGTTTCAGAAAATCTCAAAGACAAGAATATGAGGCTGGGTTTCAAGTAGCTGCCAAGATGTTCAAAACAATTCAAGAGAGAAACTATATTGGTCCTAATGATAAGATTGAATTGATTTTGAAAAATTTCGGAAAGGGAAGAGAAGCATTCCAAGCTGCTTTGCTAGGTAAAGAAGGGTCTTATTTAAAGAACAACATTGTGAGAATAAGCGATGCAACTGTTATCAGATTTGGTGGTAACAGACCAAAGAAGTTACGTCGTTTGTAAGAATGGCCGTGGTATGATCCCTCCTCATGAAACAACTTCATGTGTCAGTTGCATCGACTTCCAGTTGCTTAACTTGTATATATATATATATATTGGTATAGATGCAATAGTATCAAGCATGATATGACAGATTGGTTTGTTTGTAAAGATGTAGTAGAATACATATCTTTTGCCTAAGTGGGTGTTAACATGATATCGAGGTGCTCATAGCCCTAAAATATTATTTTCACACGTGCAAGTTTTGTACTACATAGTTAAACTAAATTGGTAGCACAGGCTGTATTCTCTCAAATAGTATCATCATACATACACAAAAACTGGTTCCTCAATGAAAGGAGACAGAAAGAGAAAAAAAAAAGTACTTTTTGATAGACTGAAATTTTTTACAAAGACTATTTGAATAGACCTTTCCAATCAATTCATATATATCGTTAGCAATGGGTTGTATGTTGAACACTTCATGTTTGCATGATTATGAGACTATCTAGTGGAGACTCAGTGGGTCAGGGAATCAGAGGATTAGGGGATTAGGAAATCACCTAGTGGCAAAGAGTGGGCCTATGAATGAAGGAGGGATGATGGATTTATAGATGATAACGGCAGTACCCAAAGTGATGGGTTGTTTTCACATCAACAACACCTCGACAGGACTAGAAGTAGCAACAACAAACGCACACAGTTGTCACCATTTGCAAGATAGATGCCAACCCAACCAGTCCATCAAGTCCATTACACTCCATCACACTCCATCACACTCCACTTGTTGTCTCATTATATTATTCACTTGATCAAATTTACTAACTCTTTTATCTTTAGCAACTACTAAAGGAGCTACTGCCGCCAAGAAGGCTGCTTTGAAAGGTGTCAATGGTAAAAAAGCCGTCAAAGTAAGAACTTCCACCACTTTTAGATTACCAAAAACCTTGAAATTGGCTAGACAACCAAAATACCAAAGAAAATCAGTACCACATTACAACAGATTGGATGCTTACAAAGTCATTGTTGCTCCAATTGCCACTGAAACTGCAATGAAGAAGGTTGAAGATTCAAACACTTTGGTTTTCCAAGTTGACATTAAAGCTAACAAGCACCAAATTAAAAAAGCAGTTAAAGAATTGTACGATGTTGATGTTGACTATGTAAACACTTTGATTAGACCAAATGGAACCAAGAAGGCTTACTTGAGATTAACCGCTGATCACGATGCTTTGGATATTGCAAACAAGATTGGTTACATCTAAAGGGGTTGAAGAAGGAATGTTTTAATTAATGTGTATATTAAACAAATAAAACGACAAACAAAACATACGGAAAAACCTGAGATTGAAGGAAGATGTAGATTAATAATTTATGTAGTTTTATTTTAAATTAGCTCTGATATGGGGGATTCTATACACCAGGTTTTCAATTTGATACCACGATTGAGAATTTTAGTTTTACTCTTTAACTTTACACCTTTTACATCCTTTTTATTCAAAAGCTGGGCAAATTGCTGCTTCACTCTTTGTAGTTCCTTACCTTGTAGTTGCTCAAGATTTGGTATTTCAAGAAAGCGGCAAAGATCTTGGTGCAGAAACTCAGTTGCCAATGTTTTGCCATTAGCATCACCTACAACTAGTTTAAAAAATGCAAACCCCTTGATTTGTTTGTTGGATGGCGTAATCACCAATGGAACCTCCGGTACCATCGCAAAACAATTTACTGAGCCAATCACAAAGGTTGTTGATTCATTACCAGATTTTGTATTTTGGCAAGCTTGTTTGAAATCGGTGATGGTTGCAAATTGACATACTCTCATGGATTTACTAGTTTGCAATCGAAGCAAACCAGCTTCACCATTCCTTGCCCTGTCAGTTTCAATATCTTGAGATATAGAGAATTGGTCTTCGACAATTTTTGATGGCGCCGTTGCAAAAGCCCCAACATCGATATCCTCATCTGAAAAAATATCGTCATCGTAATCATCATCATCATTAGGGACTTGGAATTCAACTCTGTCGACAATGTCGACGGAATCTTTCTTGGCTTGAATACTAGGTGGATTGGCACTGAAGCTAACATCGTTATTGTTTACAATGGGAGACAACCCATCGCCATTATCAATTCCAACTTCATCCTCATCGGTATCCCCATTGGGTACTTGACTTTGTAAAAAAGTGGGATTTTGCGATAATTTCTCAATATCCTCATCCAGGACACCATGCGTCATTACAAACTCCGTAAACCCATATAGCTGATCAAGATTCTTATAATAGTCCAGACTCACACAAGCTTTCAACCGATCAATAAAATTGATAAACTCACGCTCAATGCCAACCATTTCACGAAATAAGTTGTGCTTGTAAACAATTCGACAACGATTTCCATACCCTTCATAATTCAGGTTGCCCAATTTGGAAAGATCAAAGTTGATGCGAGCTATGGCAGGTCTTGCACGTTGATCATTGTATATTTTCAAGTATGATGCATAGGTTTCTTTTTTCAATCTGACAATAAATAATTCATCTTTATCAAACACCTTGTTTTCAAGTTTGCATTCAGGAACACCGGAAACAAATGCAGTTTGATTAGATTTTACAGATGTTTTTTGTTTGATTCGTGTTAAATCGCTCACTAAGAGAATCCCTGAAGATGCGGTGCTATGGTTGTGTAATATAAGCACTGGGATATCAATACGATGTTTCCCAGCTGGAGAGATTCTGACATCAGGAAGTTCAGATAATGGATCCGATATACGGAGTCCTGTTATTTTGGCGCCTCTTCTATTGGTGAACAGGAATTCTTCTTTCATTTTGAGTGGGGGTCGTGAGGGAAGTCGCGTGTAGTAAAATGGGCTTTTCTGATTTCAAATTTTATGCGTGTTGCAAATGAATCTTTTCTTCACGGTTAAACCATTTGTTTTTGTCATTTAACTTATTCTTCTTATTATTATTATTATTATCTTGCCCCGTCAATTCCAGAGTTGAAAGAACCCTGTAGGTAAGCTTTGACATTTGTTTTAGACGCATTTTTGAGCAGTGAAATGCTTTAAATGAGAATGGGGATATCTTTGCGTGGCTTCTTTATCTCTATTGTACTGCATATAGATCCCAACAGACATTCTCATCTCGATCTCTCCTTACATTAACTCATCAACTCGATTGAACAGAGCAGAGCAGAGGAGTATAGTCATTTTGAGTTGACAATGAAAAGTATGTCTCAATCTGCCAAATTCAATCAAGATATGTACTAACTTTTCATAGAAAAGGTACTTAGAAACACCAAGGAGCCAAAATCTGCAACACCACAAGAACCAACTACGTACAGCGACTTTTTGGAAGAAGGATCCATAGCCGAGGAGAGTGGAGACAGGTGGTTAGGATCAGATATCGCAAAAGCCTTGAGGTTCTATCAAAAGGCGTATGATGCTTACACGAGATCAATACAATTGAATCATGGGGCCGAGAACCTAGATGCTTACTACAATGCTTCAAGGATTTTATTACAAGTGTATCTTTTAAACAAATCTTCTGACGGATTGGTATTGGAGGACTTGACCAACATTGATGAAATTTATGGTCCCAATTCAATTGTTCAGAGCTTGGAAGTGATATTAGACAAGCATTTAAAGGCATTGGGAGTTTGTGGAAGACATCCAGATCTACTTTACAATACAGTTACCATTTATGTGGAAATTTTGGAATCGGATGTCACCATAGAAAACAATGTACCCCTTGATCAATTGATCTCGATTTTTTCGTCAGCGCAGACGATATTGTCTGAGTTATTACCACGTCAAATGAACGCTTTGGAAACTTTTGTCCACGATTTAACCACTTCGACTGCTGAGTCAAGAGCAACACCACCAAGGACGACCCTGCCCAGCACAGAGCAAGAACAAGAGGAATTAGAGTCAGTGGAAGTAACTCAACCGGTTGATGGTTTAGAAACTGTATTGTTGGCATACAGGATGATACAAACGATCTATGAGAACCTAACAGAAAGAAACGATGTAACCATCATTAATACAACAATCAAGCCCTTTCTTGACTCAGTTGATCAGGTTGCCAATGAATTGGTTTCAAAGTACAGTGAAAGCTCTTTATCCAAAAACGAAATGTTGCAAAATATAAGCCTTCCACAACTCAATGAGTTGAAGATTGCTAGAAATAGCATCATTAGCATGCAAGGGTCCGATGCTCTTGAAGCAATCAACATTTGGGATAAGTTTTTCAGCAATGAAGTCATACAAGAGATTCCTCAAAAGTACTTGACCTGTGTGGATACAGTTCAAACTATTTTAGAAAGGGACAACATAACTATAAACACCATTAGTGATTCATTCTCAACCAGTGACAAAGAGGTTTATTGGCAAGTGCTAACAAAACAAAACATTTTGTTAAAGAAGGCGCAAGGATTAACTCAAGATGAGTTGAATACAAAGAGGAAGCTTCCGCTGGGGGTCGAGCAAGGTATAGGCTCCACAATTATTCAATTATGTGACATAATGATTGCACGAGCAGACTTGAACTTGCAAATGTCAATGATTAAAGAATATGAACCTAGTGCAAAAAACCAAGCTGCATTACTTCAAAACTGTCGTACGTTACTAAAGTCTAGTATGAATATAGCAAACACATCGGGAGGATTGCGAGAGCGTGCTATTGAGAAGCTAGATAGAGAGAAGAAATTGGGTGAAGCTGTTTTTCGCTTGTGTTTACTAGAGGGCAAAACATCGTTGGAGGAGCTTGATGAGATCATGACTCGTCCAAGATGGACCCGAGAGTATCAAGAGTTGAAGAATGTGGAGTGTTACGATGAATTCTTGAAACGAATTCTAATTTGATGAATCACATAAACATACTAAATCGAATTGAACAAGGGTTGTATCCATAATCTATATAAACTCATCGGGAATATCAGTCACATTGTTATTCCAGTAGTAATTCTCTGCATACACGCCACTCCCATTTACCGGTTCAGCAGGCGCACATCGACTTGCTTTATTGAATATGGAACTATCAATGTACTGTAGACTTATTGAGGGATTTCGGGCATTATTCACAATAATTTGTATAATGTTTATTTTAAACAAATGTAGTATCCATAACATAATCTTCATTGTGAGCAATCTTGAAAGGTGAGTAGGCAATGTGCAATAAAGCAAGGGGGATTTAGGCGGTTTATTTTATCAGTAGTGAGATTATGTGAGATTGTTCTTTTCTTAAATCTTATATCTCATGTGGTTATTTTAGGAAAATTATGATGACACGGGGGGGCGTGTGCGCTGTTCTAGAACACTAAAAAAAAAAAATTCGAATCTCTATCATATTGTCATGTTGTGAGATTTTGCGACATTGATAATCTACAACTTTTATTCTTTTTCTATTTACAAGATGTGTCCTATACAACCTACTTAGTCAACAATTTATCAAATGCTGGGATCAATGATTGTGCCATGGCAAATGAAAATACCAATTTTGGGCCTGTAGTTAACAATTTAGGAGTCAAACCTTTGAAAAATGCAGTTATACCTTCATTCTTGAACATATTCTTCAAAATAGTGAAACCCTTTTCTGGGTTATCAAAGTTTCTATTCTGAATTCTTGTCTTTATAACATCCAATGGAGCACTAACAATCAATGATGCACTGGCACCGAAAATAGAAGTGATGAAATTTTGAGTCCATGTTGCTTGACTGTAATCTTTCAAACCGAAAATGTATTCTTTGGCAAATGAATTACCTCCAAACAATGCAAACGAACCTGGAGCGTTTCTAGCCATGGTCCATCCCCAACCTCTGTACAACCCCAATCCTTCATCCTGCAAGATCTTGAGAAAACCTCTGCCTTTGAATGATTCGGGATTTGTTTGACGTTTGATCTTCAACACATCCAATGGCAACAATACAACCTCACCAATACCAATCAATGAACCAGCAGTCGCACTCATCAACGCTTTACCAGTCTTGGGGCCAAAAGCGGAGTCAAAATTGTCTTTGAAATTTTTAGTTAAAAATTCATTGGCAAATGGTTGACCACCGTATTTATACACTCTTTGCAAAATCTTGTAACAAGCAGCATATCCTAAACCTGGAAACAAGGTAAAAATTCTCTTGAACAAAGGTTGAGATGCAGCATCTCTAAAGATAATTGTATTTAATTGGTGGGCTGAAGTGACTCTACCATGATTTGACATCAATCTTTTGGAAATGGTGTCAACTGGGTGGAACACACCAATTTCAGCAATACCAGCAGTGGCTGATCCCAAAACTCTAGCAATACCGGATTGCTTCTTGTCTGAAGACGAGTGAGCAGTTGGAGACATTTCGTGTTGTTGATTTGATATTATCGTCTTATCTATTGAAAAATTTTTTGATTGGTTTTTTTCTTTTTTTTCTTTTACTCTTAGTGAATTGGAATTTTGACTCACACCGCGGTTAACTGATAGAGTAGGTCTCTCGAGTCTGTTGCAATATATACAAAGACAGAAGTTGGCTTACAGGTAAAAGGGAAATAGCAGAAGTAGGTTTGCCAATTACAACGTGAGCTGAGTGCATTTGGCTTGTCTATTTACTATCACACACTCTTTTTGTTACGATTTTCATCTATACATATGGCATAAACCAGCTAAATGGTCTGATGCAGAGACCAGGGAGACATAGCAGCTCGCATACCGTCTTAAAGCTATAACCAACTTGACCAGAACCTTCGTTACATTTGTTGTAGTTTGTATTTCTTTGTGCTTAACTCCAACCAAGCAAAACAGAGGAGGGGTGAGGCAAAAAAAAAAGGGAACAGAAAAAAGCATTGCAACAGTTTCCATTCTCATCACTGGTATTTGACAGCATTCCACAAATCCATCTACATCTAGTCACTCACTCACAACGATGGCAGATGTTATTACAGAGTTTGAACAGAAATTATCAGAGCTAACAATAAACAATGGATTGATTATCAGCCAGTTGACCCAATTAGCCAAGCAACATCCAGAAGTGGCTGACCAAATAATCGATTTAATTACAGCGAGGATTTACAGAGTCATACCCGAACAAAAATTGTACACGCTATATGCCTTGGATGATATATGTAAAGTAGTGGGCAACCCTTACAACATCCTTGTCGGTGATGATATCTACGACATCTTTATTCACGTCTTTCAGTTGAACAATGATTTCATACGAGGTAAATTGGTCAAGATGTATGACCTTTGGAAAACGGTGCCTCTTAAAAGTACTGGTGAGCCCGTATATCCAGAAGAACAGTTGACAAGAATTGGTCAGTTTTTGAAGAAAGCCGGTTATCCTAAAGAGGAATCCGCCAAGCTGGTGAATTTACCTCCCAAACCCACAGTCTCTTTACAACAATCTTTAATAAACGATATTGACAAACTAATTCCTATTTTCGAGAATCAATTACGAACAAATACGATGGACCAAAAGGTATCAGATAGATTCAAAGCGTTAAACAGCTTGAGAGCAATGTTGACAAGACAGGAAATGAAACCGGCTGAGTTGGAAGCAATTAAATCACATATAGTCAATATCCAATCGCAGGCTGCTGCACCAGTTACACCAGCTACCACTCCACGAGCAACAACACCGTTCGCACCCGTGAATCCAGCTTTTCAATTGTTCAATGACTTGATATTATCGGGGTTGGTAAAGAAGGACCAAGAGCCCATACCGGGGTCAAAACCGGTCTACACATTGGTGTTCCCGGAAACTAAGTACTCTTTGGATCAACAACATACAGAAGCTAGTTTGGAGGATTTATTGCTACAAAGTAGCTCAATTCCAAGATCAGAATATGATAAACAAAAGTTTGTTGAGTTGATGAGCATCTCTAAAAAGACATCTGACGGGGACTTGCAACACTTCATCAACAACAATAAATTGGGTGCAAATACTTTGAACTTGTTGTATGAAGCTAAACCTTCAAAGTGTTCTATATGTGGGAAAAGGTTCACAATTGACAGTGAAGGTGCAAGCAACAAGCGCCTACATTTGGATTGGCATTTCAGAATGAATAAAAAATTGACAGTCAAGGGTGGAAATATACAATCTAGAGACTGGTATGTTGATGATTATGAGTGGGTCAAGTTGAGTGAAAACAAAGTTGGAGAACAAGCAGATTCTACTACCGCCACTGACCAAAGTGTCGATATTTCTGTAACGACTGAGGCCCAATACACTATAGTCCCAGAAAACGACACGAATATGAATAACCGATGCTTAATATGTCGTGAACAGGTTAAAGCTAAATACAATGATGAAATTGGCGAATGGGTTTGGTATGATTGTTTGAAACCACCAGGTGAGAAAAACCCAAGACGGATTGTTCATGTAGCATGTTTCAATGACAAAAAAAGATCAGCTGAGTTAGATCTAAACACAAACGTTAAAAGAGAGAAATTGTATTGACAACTATGTACTTGTGTGTAAATATATTCTTTTTTTTTTTTTGGTGTAATCCTATTGTCCTAAGCATTTCAAGATATCGTTCCAAACCTTTCCTGGTTTTTGCGAAGCATCAATACCTTGCCAAATACCAGTCTTTTTGTAGTATTCAACAATTGGTTCAGTTTGTTGATGGTAAGTCACCAATCTCTTTTTCAATGCTTCTTCATTGTCGTCAGATCTTTGAATCAATGGTTCACCAGTAAGATCGTCAGTCATTTCCTTCTTTGGTGGATTGAAAATCTTGTGGTATGATCTTCCACTAGCTGGGTGGACCAATCTACCAGTGATTCTAGCAACCAACAATTCATCATCAATTTTCAATTCGATGGCATTTTCCAAGGGAGTTTTCCTTTCATTCAACATAGCATCCAATTTTTCAGCTTGAGGAATGGTTCTTGGGAACCCATCCAAAATGAATCCCTTGGCACAAGTTTTGTTGTTTTCCAATTCTGATTTGATCATGTTGACCATAATTTCATCATTGACTAAACCACCTTGGTCCATAATCTTTTTAGCTTCAAGACCCAAGGGAGTTCCTTGTTTAACTTGTGATCTCAACATATCACCAGTGGCCAAGTGACAAGCACAGAATTTATCCTTCAAATCTGCGGATTGAGTACCTTTACCTGAACCGGGAGCACCGATCAAAACCAATCTCAATTGTTTAGCGAAGTCGGCTGATGGTGCTGGAGTAACACCAACCTTCTTTTCCAATTGTTGGATTCTCTCTTGTAATTTAGCAACGGTATTTTTCAAATCTTCGACTGACATGGTTGGTAATTTGGGGGCGAGGGCAGGTCAAATCAGATACAGATAGGAGTGATATGCGAGATTTTTCAAAATTGTAACCAAACCCAAAAAGTTTTTTTTTTTTTTTTTTTTTTTCAAAACACGATTCTCGGGGCTTTTGTGTAATTAATTGCAAATCATTTAATTGGTTCAACGAAGACAAATGCAGTGGAGTTGCAAAACCTCATTCAGACATGCTAAACAGACATCCTGAATTAAAGAGATCATTACTTTGTGGATTAGGCGAACCGTATTGTATATTTACTATTTTTATATATTGACCTCAAGCTCCATTTGACAGATGTAGAAACATGAAAAACTCTTCAAATCTACCCAAATATGCAACACATGCCCAAAAGCATGGACTAAACCGGAATTGACCGAGATTGTTTTCTTGAAAGCCCCAAAGTCCTATATCACCGTGGAGCGTCATACCTCACCATTTTTTGTGAAGTATATACTGATGTTCGACCCAAGACTTTAGTAGTAGGGGTAACACCACGCTAAACGCAGTTGTAAAGCATGCCAACGATGTGACTTAACCATCACAATCAGCACCTAAAAGTACCCGCCAATTTGCCAAATACCGGTGGCGCAACAAGATATTCTCAAAATTGAAATTGTGGGCCGGAGAATACCAAGTCTTATCGATCCCGTAAGACAGGATTAAATCAACCTCATAAGACTGGACTACATCAATCCCCTAAGAGGTGATCGATTTCACCTCTACCGGTCCATTAAGACTAGCAAAACTACTCTGTCCCTCTAAAGACAGAGTTTTTAAACAGCTAGCGGGAATCAGGCATACCTGGACGGACATGAGAAATATCATATTTTGCAAGGGTGAATAAAGTAGGCAGCCTAAACAGTAAAAGCTATAGTTGTAGTTTCATTCAATCATACCAGGTTTAAGTCACGACATACCTCGTCAAGTGTTGTTGTGAGCGGCAAATACTCAATTAATTCCGGCAAGAAGGAAATTCGTCCCAAATTTATATACATCCAAATCCATACTCTTACGAAGCTATGTGAGATCAACAGTGGGGTCATATGGGTTGCAGAAGGATGCATTACAAAATTTGGGAAAAAGCAAGAAAAAGCTACAAAAACTAGGAAAGAGTCAAAGAGTGCTACAAAAGCAAATGCACATGGAATTGTTGCATGATATATTGGAGTGACGTGCATTGAACCGCTGATAAAGGCATACCATCGTAACGACCCTAATCAAAATGAACATCAATTGATCCTCCCAAAACTGAAGAGCTTCTTGATCTATTTTCATCACCATTTTCTTTCAAGTCATGTTTTGGTGAGCTTCTCGGCGAAGGTAAAGGCGTTGATTTGGTTTTGAATGGTCGAAGTGTAAACGCATCTGTACTGATTGGATTTGGTGCTTTCAAATCCAAGTGTTTTTGCTTGGTTGGCGTCATTAAACCTTCCTCGATATCTGATTTTGGTTCACTTTCGCGTCGAGTGCTTGGAGTTTCAATTATTGGCACTTTCTTAAATTGTAACCCAGTTTTTAACTCTGACTCCTTCTTTTGTTTGTACTTTGTCTCGTGCTCGATTAGTTTGTCAAATAAAGCTGCCCTGGTCTCAATCTTTAGTAATTCAGCAAGAAATTGGATATAATGATCAAGAGGTGGCTTGAACCCACTCTTGTGTTTTCCAGATGACGGCCTCATGATGAAGTGGACAAATGGTAAAGATCCAATTGCATCTGTATTGTTCAACTGTTTTGAAACGTTGGTTAATTCACTAAAATTCTTTGCGGGATTTTCATTAAGCTCATCTGATATACCGTAGTTTTGAAAAATATCCAACAGAAAAGCCACGCTTAGATGCTCTGTGATTGAAAGCAAACAAGCTAGGTTGCATCTTGGCAATGATGAAAGCACTTTAACCAAATCGGTGTCTGAATGCTCTCCATTGTACAAGTTTGTTACTGAATCGAATGCAGTAAACGGAATGATACTGTCCTTGAGTTCAAACAACCAACTTTTGAAAAACATTATAGCTTCGTCAACTTTGCTGTCTTCAAAGTACTCTATCACTTTGTCAATTATATGCACTTTTTGGTCCTTTACAGATTCATCTAGGGGTGGGGAACACTGAGAAACAATGCGTGTAACATTTTGTTTGATCTTCCACGCCGATTGTAAATCCAATGGCTGTAGCCAAATCGATTTCAAATCTTTGTCCTTGTGACTTTCAATCACTTGTCGAAGACGATGAATAATAAGTGAAACTGAAAAAAGACTTAGCGGACAGTCATTGATAACCTGACCCAGGGATACTTGAGACGAAATATCTTCATATAGATCATACTGATATTTCAAAGACTGTGGAGAAAATGCCGTTTCCCCAGCCAATGGAAACAATATACCGGTATCCAGGTTGTTCAAATGCAGAATTAGATCATGGTCGTAGTTTTGCTTCTTGTTCAACTCTGCGATGCCCCTCCCACAAGCTTGAATTTGGTTGAATTGTTGGAGATGAAACTTTTGGATTATTTGCAGCAACTTCGCCGAGCTAGTGTATATAATTTGGATTTTTGTCAGTTCAAATTTCTCCAAAAATTGTGCCAAATCGGAGAACCCTCTTTGTAACAAGTACACCAATTCTTGTAGCTCGAGAATTTGTTCATTGTATTGATCTATTATTTCCAGCACAACTTCTTCGTAATTTTTCTTCAAAAGCGAGCTTTTTACATTGTTGAACATACTGTTAAATCTAGTGGTTGTTTCAGCCATATCACTCATAAACTTTGATGAAGGGGATGAGACTTTACGACCGGGATTGGTCGATTGTTTGATTGGTGTGGATGGTTCAAACTCATTTTGAATCTGAGATACATGCAATGCCAAATCTGACCACTCAAACCAAACGCCTTCACTCTTGAACCGTTTTTGGAATATGTTTGTCGGATTGAGTAATTTCAAAGAGACCAATGATTGTCCAAATTTTTCAAGATTAGATCTAGTTGGTTTCATCCCTTCGATTCGTAGTTCATTTACCACTTCACAAAGTGACTCACTGGCAAATAAATCATTCTTGTAACCTGGAATAGGAATTTTTCGCTTAACAGTGGGTGTTTCGGCGATCAATTGAGCTAGAATTACTTGAAAGTTCTCCATTGTTTCGAATATGACAGTACCAACATGTAGTGGAAATTGTAAGTCAACACTCATATCTCGTCGTACACTGCTTTGTGAATCCTCCTCAGAATACGATTCATCATCACTATAGTCGTAATCGTCCTCATCCTCCTGTTGTTGCACTGGTGCACTATCATGTGAACTTTCCCTTAATCTTAATTCATCAAAATATTTTGACTTGCTTTTTTCCAATTTCTGACTTAATGCTATATATTCCTCATATAGCTCCTCCAACCGGCTAAACTCCTTTTTGATATTAGGCTCATGATGTTTTAGATATTTCGTTAGATCATCTAGAACAAACTTGTCTATATTAGATGCCAATTGCAACAAAGTCGTTGATTCACCCATCATTTCGTTCTTGAAAATTTCGATACATGAATGGTATTTTGGAATCTCGCCCACTTTACCCTTGAATGAGTCAGATGATGCCAATTCATTGCTGGTTTTACTCAAGTACTCGCTATTGGAATGAAAGTATTTCAAATAATTGAATATCAACTTGCGAAAATCGTGTAATTGATGCAATGAAGTATACGTATGCGATTGAAGATTTTGCAACCCAGTAATGTAATCTGGAGTCCAATACAGGTTGGCAAACGGTTGCATTGCGATAGTTGGTGAAGTCAAAGGATTATCTGATGTGCTTGAGACCATCAAAAAGTGAAAACAAAAAAAAAAAAACAAAATTGCAAAAACGGCGCGACTTTTGATCTGTTGATTGTGCTCTTTATCACGAAACTGATCCAACTGAAGTTCGGCATAGTCTTTGGAAATGGACGAGCCTTGGGCATGAACGAGGATTATCAAATACAACAGGATATCAACATACTTGAAAGGGAGATTGAATCTGTTCGGGAGGAATTGGAACAGCTCAATGAACATGAATCGAATCTACAACAAGAAGTGAGCAGACTAGAAGCGCTTCAAGAGGAGCAGAACCAACCACCGCGGGACCCTCATTACGAGGAAGTACCGCTCATAAAACACGCGTACTTCGACCCATCAATTGCTCGATTTTTTGAAAATACAGAGCTGCCGCCACACAACGAGCCAATCGATCAACGCATCATAGAAGCAGCAGACACGAAGGAGAACATCATGTATGAAAACATTCTACGAATGAGTGGGATCACTGCTTTCCCCATCAATAAGCATTTATTCCCCAATGATGAAATTCTTGGAATAAGATTTGACATTTTCTCACCTAAAAGCAAATCATTTAAGCAACCGCATTATGTGATATTGCTGAAGTCCAAGTTCCAAAACGAAGCATCGTATTGGAGAGTTTATAAAACTACATTGCCAGTGCATGCTCCATTGGATCGATATCAGGAGGAATTGCAGGAGACAAACGATCTTGACAAGTTTGTCACTAGCATACACGTGTATCTAGCGGAAGACAACAAAAAGAGGGAAACTCCCGGGTGAGTCTGAAGTAATCAGAATTGGATACAGAGACTCGTGTAGCTCAAAATATATATTTCGGTAGCGCTTTTCATATTTCAACAAAACCCACTTAACTCTGCACACGATGTCTTGGAAAACGACGTTGCAGACATCGGCTACAATCGTGTCCCTTGTCATCATTGTCAATGAGATACGGAAAGCATACCAACAGCTCACCATCACCAGCTCTAACCTCACATCCCTCCCACCAAAATCTAGAGGAATCGAATCAAGGATTGGGAATACCGCTCTAATTGAGATTAAATCCTTGTCAGCAAAGACGGGATGCAAAATATACGCCAAATTGGAATTGAGTAATCCAGCTGGAAGCTCAAAAGATAGAGTTGCATTGGCAATCATCCGAGCCGCTGAGTCACAGAATCGATTGGTTCCTCATCAACAAAATGTAATCTTTGAAGGGACTTCAGGATCGACTGGTATCAGTTTTGCTGTATTGGCTAATGCATTGGGATATACTGCGCATATATGTCTTCCAGATGATACCTCACCAGAAAAGTTACAACTACTCGAGGCATTAGGAGCTGAAGTTGAAAAGGTTAAGCCTGCAAGTATCGTTGATCCGAACCAATATGTAAATGCAGCCAAAAGGGGTGCTGACGGCGTTAATAACGACCCAACAAATGATCGAAAAGCAATCTTTGCCAATCAGTTTGAAAATGATTTCAACTGGAGAATACATTATACCACTACTGGGCCCGAATTGATTAAACAATTGGATCGCATAGATGTTTTTATAAATGGAAGTGGAACCGGGGGTACCATTGCTGGAGTCGGTAAATGTTTGAAAGAACACAATCCTGATACAAAAATTATACTAGCTGATCCACAAGGTAGTGGACTTGCTAATCGAATTAATTTTGGAGTGTTGTACGACACAGTGGAGAAAGAAGGTACCAGGAGAAGACATCAAGTTGACACGTTGGTTGAAGGTATTGGTCTCAATCGGCTCACCTGGAATTTTAAACAAGGAGAACCCTATATCGACGAAGCAGTTAGAGTTACCGATGAACAAGCATTGAAGATGGCAAAATATCTTTGTATTAATGATGGATTATTTTGGGGCAGCTCTGCAGCAATTAATTGCGTTGCTGCTGTCAAGACGGCACTAAAGTATGGTCCCGGACAGAATATTGTTGTCATAGCTTGCGATTCTGGCGATCGTCATTTGTCAAAATTTTGGAAGCACGCAGTGCAGATACCGAAGGATGTCTCGTTAGAGGATGTTTTATCCGAGGGGGAGCAGTGAATAAGTGTAAAGCTCCACGAGTGATATCCGGGGACGTAGCATATTGACGCGCTCTGTATGATATACCGTGTACCTGGTTGAGTTTACAAAACGGTTTCACCTGTCACACGAGGTCTAAGCTCTCTTTATTGTTGCGGCAAGGGCAAAATCCAATGCACGAAAGTGTGTGTGTGTGAAAACGATGAGGAATCCTTTCACATTCTCTAGGTCAGTCATGGAGGTCATTCGGATTTTACTGAATTAGTAATTGGCATATTTCAAGATTTGAATGCGCTACTCATAAGATCAGTGTGGAGACCTGGGGTATTTCTATTCAACTTTGAGTTACCCAGAGACGTATTCATTTTTGATTTCTCTGGTAAACTTTTAGGGGATAGAACTGGAACCCACAAATAGTATATAGTACACACCGCGATTGTAATTGTGATTATCTTTCTAAGACGAGGTAGTTTTTGAAGTTCGATTGGAGAGAATCGATTACCAATTTCAATTGAGGATGGGGCAAGTATACGTAGCTGTCTTTTTATTCATCGATTTGTTAATAAATTTTGGCAAATTGTTTACTTGTGTAATTGAATACCATTTGTAGATTTTCATCTCTGTATTCCACTGATCCTTTCTACTTGTTTGAAGTAGTTGTAAGGGAAAGGTTGAAAAAGAAGAGAAACCCAATTTGAATGCCATAGCAGTGATGAAGCTAAGAAACTCGTTGACTAAATGAAAAGAGTAACTTTGGTGATGCTGACCATATATTCAGTACATTTGGTAGCTCAAGTGCTTGCTCTTTGTAGTGCGCGCCCCACATTATAGAAAGGATCATAAAATGTCCATTTCATTTTTGAACAATAGCAACGACCCAACCACTTTTAACAATATCAGAGAGATTTGATAATAGTCTCTAACAAGTCACGCTTTGAAGCGTATACAACAGCCCGAACTAACCTTGTGAGTGCTTCTGCAGGAATCCATCAAACATTTAACATGAAATCTCTTTAATCAGGGTTGGATGTTTTTGTTACACAAACTAGCCATCGTATCCATCAACTCTACCTACATGCATGCTTTTTTATCCACATAAATATACGTATATATATATATATATATAATACTAACTGCAATCCAATTTCGATTCTATATGCCTCTTTCAACTCTTTTGTTGCTCTTTGATCATCTTATCCTTGGTCTCTCTATACAATTTGATTGTGCTCAAACTTGAAGCAGCAATACCCATCCATATTTGCCAAGTTTGGAAAGGCAATGCAATACTAAAGACAGTATAAGTATTGAATCCTAAATCGGCCAACAACTTGTAAATATCAATCCAACAATTGGTCTTTTTAAACATTATATCTTTCAACTTCAACTCATCTTCACTATTTGATGATGAATTGTACGTTGATGATGTGAGGTTTAAAATATCTGCTCCTCCGAGTAGCTGTTTCGATAGTATTTTGGCCTTATTACGCACTTGTATGGCGATTTTGAGATCCATTTCTTGTTGAGTTAGGCTTGTCAAGTTTTCATAGGTATTGTACAAGGCTAACCACGATTCACAATACCATCCATAAGATTCATGTCTAGTGACAAATGTCTTGTATGTTGGTGAAGTTAAGAATTTCAATTTATAAAGCAAAATCGATTCATCATTGATTCCATAATATAGTGAGAAAAATTGACCCAAAGTTGATCGAGTGAACAATTCCAGTTCATTAATTTGCAACAATTTATTCTTGAATGAGATATTGGTTTTAAATTTCACGATAAGATCTCTTATTCTAAATGGTGTTTTACCAAATCGAAGAAACTGTCGATACATTGATAATCCATTGATTACACCAGCAAATCGGGTCTTGAATAACGAACAAACGATAATGGCAATAACACGAACGAAATCGGAAGGATGTTTGATAAAATTCTTGATCAATTCCAATTGCTTGGTTGAATCATCGTATCTCAACTTGATAGCAGCAATATTGACTTTATCATCAGACAAGTAGTCCTGGACTTGTGTGGCGTGAAAGACAAGTAATCGTAATGTGTACTGTCCAACTTTGGCCATTTTATCCTTACCAACAATGTCATTCAACATTGACCAGAAAATCTTCCAATTGCTAATAACTGGTGGTTTTGGTGGAATGGTTGATGCCGTTGACGAAGCTTGTGATAACAGTTCAGCTTTATCCAACTTGTGCACGTCTTCATGATGAGGTGGTAAATAAGCATAGTTGTTTTTCGATTTCAGCGGTGTTTCATATTTGATGTTTGACCCAGTGGCCATTGCTGTTGTCGTTGACATCTTCACTTGATCTTCAAGAATCTTGGATATATTATCAGGAGAGTTTTGTGTTGATTCTACCCACTCAGAATTGAACACTTGGGGTGGAGGTTGTGAATATAGTTTTGATGAGGGGTATAATGGAGATTGTCTAAATTGTTTATGTGTGTGCACTTGCGATATTGACAGTTGATGATTTTGTAACAGTTCTGGCAGGTGCTCTTGTTGCGGCTGTTGTTGTTGTGGATGTGACTGTTGCACTTGTGGAAGATGATGGTGTTGTAGTTGTGGCAGATCTTGTTGTTGTTGTTGTTGTGAATTTACCCGAACACGATTCTGTGGTTGTGTATGGTGAATATCTTCCTGAAAACTCAGCCCTTGATGATGAAGGTGAGATGGACTTATATCGTGAACCAGTGATTGTTGTTTATAATACTGTGAATTCTCAATAGGCACCTGGTTAAACAATGGACTAATGGATGAATCGATATCGTTCATCATAAAAGTAATAGAAAAAAGAAAAACTTGTATGTGGAAAAGCGGGAAAATATAAGTGGAACGAAAAAAAAAAAGACACAAGTTGTAATTTCCGTTAGGCCAATATGAAATTTAGTTACCCTTACTTCTGTATTTTATTGATGTGGTATTTTAGTTTCCTTCGTTAGTTTGTTGTTTTGTTTGGTTGATGATGTATTGTTGTCGCTTTGATTAGAATTTTTATTTTTGGAGAAAAAGAAAAAAATTCTTTTTCTTTTCAGTCGCTTTCGTCTTTCTTATGATAATAACACTACTACTACTACATAACACGCTGTTGTAGATCTCTGACTAAACATCACTACCATCGACTCACCCCCAGACAGGATATCGATTTACTGAAGCTTGATCTCAATCCTCTCGGCAATTTTCACATCGGTTGATAAATCCCCGAATGATACAAATAACACATTTCTCTTGCCACGTTTTGTGTCAAAAACGGAAAAAAAAAAGTTACAGTGTTGCATTTTTGACTAACATAGAAACAACTACTCATTCTATTCAAAGCAATATCGAAGACAACAGAGTTTGCTTGCGATCACAAAGTTCGAGCACTCTTTCTCGTAGGTTGCATTAACAAGGGACTACATTACATTAAACTGTAACATCTTGACTCTCTAAGGGGCGTGGGTAACCAATTGCTCTGTGTATTTGACTTGAGGGGGAGGGGGAATAAATTAGTGACGACGTGTTTCCGAGGCTTTTGACGGTGACAGTGACCTGCTGGCGTGTGTGTTTCATTTCCGTCGTGCTAAAGAGCAGACTAATTCTTACATGACATAAGCTGTCTCATCCCCCGCAAAAATCTCGGTCAGAAAAGCGGATATAAAATTATGCATGTAATACCGAGGGTCGTTATCAGACCGCATAAACGGGAAGACTATCTTACAACTTGTGTTGTAGCACTGTATCATACATCTACCTGAAAACACTATTTACTTGATAAACACCAGCTTTTTGCTACAGTAGTCGAAGCTCAGCTAAGGGTGGTCCAATTCATCACACACTTTGATAGGGTCAAACAATGGAAAATCCATAAACTGAGCAATACCATAACCGTGCTTAACAACAAGACGATATAACAGTTCCTCTGTAGTATCAGCTAGCCCAACTTCATCTTTATACCACACAACAAAATCTCGCCAAATATTATACTCTTTATACATTTGAAATTTGGCAACAAAACACAACGCGGCATAAATGTACAACATCTTTAATGCAAACTGATGTTTGGCATAAAGCAACCGGCGGAAATCTTCGGGAATAACCATGAGGAAACGAAATAACGGTATAGGGAATTTGTAACAGCCGCATCCGAAAAGTGACTTGGTTAAACAGTCGAGTGCCAATTGTAATGTTTGATACGACAGTGATGTGTCATTGACTACTCCTACTTCCTCACGTGTTGTTGAGTCTTGGAATAGATATAGTTCTTGTAAAAGGTACTTGATTATAGGATAATCGCATTCCTTCAAAGGTGGACTATTTAGTTCATCACTGACTCTGAAAAAAAGTAATCCACTTAGATCCGATTCAAGGATTGTACTTGCACAATTGAGCACAATGTCTCGAGATCCACGTGCGATTGAAATCATGTCAGTCTCGGCCACGTCTTCTTCTGTCCCATTATCTTGACTGAAACTGATAAGTTTGATTAATCCATGTGGTTGTACACCCAAGAATGAAAAGATAAGTATGCTTGACACTGTCAACTCCTTGGCAGTAAGTGTATCAGTGAATGAATGAGACGTTTTGACTTCATTAATCTTGTCTTGTGCTCTGGCCAACGTTTCAAGAAAATGAGTTGTGGTTTTCGAATAGATGTTTTGTCTCGTCATGGAGTCAAACTCATGATATGCATCCTGTCTAGCTAATGCATCAAACATATCATCATCAACATCAACAGCCTTCTCGCCGTTATCTGTTCTTTGTGTATTCGATAACGGCAATGTAGTACCCAACACAACAGCAGCAAATGAAAACATCAGTTGTCGAACCAATTCACTCTCCATAAACAATCGAGGCACTTTGTACTTCCAAGCATTGTGAATTCCTGGATTAACTCCAAATGAAAACATGTGGATACAATGCATGTCGAAAAATTTCAATAATCGCAATTCAAATCTCAGAAGGCCAAGCATAGTTGATGTTTGATTCAATATCAAACTTCGTGTAAGGAAATCTGCATGGGTTGGGTGTTCATTGTTGAACTTTTGAAGTAGTAGTGTTTTAGTTCGAGAACTAAATTCACCACCATAAAGAATCAGTGATGGTGTTTTTTCTTCATCGAATAAAGGTGAGGCTGTTGTGAAGCTAGGTGAAGTGACTATCGAGTCAAATGCATCCAGTACTGGTGTTGTTGATGTTGCAGTTGTAGTTGTATCTAGCACTTCAATTGATGTAGATGATTTCTTGGCATGGTGATGCTGACGGGTTTGAATTCTAGTTTTGGTATTCGAAGTTGGATAAATGCATTCCCTATGTCTATGAACACAATATTCACAAGCAGGTTTGGCCTCATTACACTAAAAAGTTTAGTATGTTAGTCGTATTTTAATCGAAGAATGAGCCATAGTTACCACATACCTTAATCTTCAATTGTTTGCAACTAAGACATCCATTTCTGGATCGTTTTTTCCTCGGTTCTTGAGTCATTGGTAGGTCCAAAATCTACTATAGTAGGAGGAGCCAGCGATTCTATTTCATATGAAATTAGAAATGGTTACAGCTATTTTATAAATCATTTCACGTCTGAACAAGGATGCGTGGCTTTGCTCATTTTACACAAAATTGTGATTTACGAGAAAGTCATTATTTACTGCTTTATCAACATAGCCCTTTCATTTTTCGGGTACTCGAAGTCAATTAATACTGGCACCAACCCATATGTGGAGCACCATACAGATACAAACTCGAACAATCTCTAACTCGTATTCTCCATCTAAATTAAAATGAATATAAATGATGAAATAAACACATATAGAAGTGACTAAAGCAAAGAATAAAATAAATAAGATAGTGTATAAAGGGAACTAACATAGACCTCACTTGTTTATACTTTCAAAGTATCCATTATCATCAAAAGTTTTTTTTTTTGTAATCCCGTTCTTCTATATTTCATAAAGCCGACTGAATGCAAACCTTCTGAAAATCCATTAGCCACGACATTTACAACATACGCCTCGCAAAATTAATCCTTTTCTCCACTGCCAATTGCATTCACTCCATTGAACTTTGTAGCAATTGGTTTCGCCTTTCCATTCTCTTCAGGAGCGGGGCCCATCATAAACGCACCAACACTACCCAAATACCCCTCATGTCTCAAAAAATAACTCTGCATATCTCCCTTTGACCAGAAATTAACAGCATAACTCAATGTATGAATAGTTTGCATGTGACCCAGAATATACAGTCCACCAAAATATATTCTCTTCAAATTGAACCTTAAAGCATGTAAATAGGCAATTTGTCCAATATTGTTACTGACACTAAACAACAAGCTTCGCGCGATATCTTCTTGTTTAAATTGTGACAATTTTTCTGCCGTGGTCATTGGTTTATTATTGAATCGCAATTTTTTGAAAACTTTGGCAAATGATGAAGCAATGTGGTTCGCTTTCAAGCCAATCTTGTTATAATTCAGGCCATAAATGTCTCCAACTAATAAATCGATATTCTCATTATCTCCCCTCTGGGCCATTTCCAACATTTCGTTGTAATCTTTAGCATCAGTTAAGAGGGAAAGAAGTCCCCACAAAGTACCACCTCCTAACGAGCTACCGCCGATTCTCTCAAATCCGTCGGGACCAGCTTTTGTCACCTTGATCATAGATACACCTGATCCTATATTGACTAATAAATAGGGGTATATTTCCAGTTCTGATTGTAGTGGTTGAAATCTAGTGCATTGATCATTTAAATCATAAGTGAAAATTTCCTGAGGAATCTTGGTAATGAGCCAGTCCAATCCTTTAATTAAACAAGCCATTTCATCTTTGGCTATAATCTGCATGGGTAATTTACGTTTTCTAAACGTTTTTGTCATTAAATTGTAAAATTTATGAGCACCACCACCAGTGGCCATGATATATGTGATGGGAGGTTGTGAATTGTGTTGTGATATTGATTTTGAAATCAAATGGATCATAAATCTTAGTGCTTCAGTTTTGAAGTTTTCAGTTTGGAAATCCCTAAAATGTAATTTACCACCAGTATTGTTGCTATTGTTGTTTCTCGAGGATGTCGATGTGCTGAAATATACCAATTTGGTCAATGTACCACCAATATCAACCGATATGTGTATAATTTCATCATTATGTTGTGGTAAATTGATATTGTTTTTGGTAATGACTCCATTGCGAAGACGATGCTCTCCATTTACCAAGATACCATCTGCCAATTCATCATCATCCAAGTCTGAAGATGTGCTTGATGATGGCGGTGTCAGTGTATTTGAAGATGAAGGGGATGATGATGTAGCATTGTCATCTTCAACCGTTATTGAGCTTCGTAATAAATCATCATTAGCAATGAAGGCACCACTGCAGTCGATTCTAATGGTACCAGGATCAGCTGATTGCAAGTCTAAATCTTCATGCGATACACTAAGCCTATGTCTGCGATGGATATTGAGTGATGATGGTGAAACTGTAGGTGGAAATGATGGAGTTGAAGCGTAACCAGTGGAAACACTTGTGGATGTAGTTTCTGCTGCTGGTGCAGATATTGCCGACGTGGATGTTGAATTCGATGCCTCTACTCTGTGTACAGTGCTGGTAGTAGTAGTGGTTGCATCATTGGAATTGGATATAGTGGTTTGACTAATATTTTCATGATGATTATGTAGTATACTTGGATAAGGAGTTATGGAATGACCGTTGTTACTGTTATGCTCATGTCTATGGTTTATCTGGTCAACAGATTGCATAATAGAAATGATATAATGATGATGGTGGTTATAGTATTAGGTTGATTTAAGATGTAGTTTTTAGTTGCCAAATGTAGTGCAAAGGGTATAAGGCAATAAAGATCTATTTTGATGGTCGGCAGTGGATACTAATGGCGGGTATACTGTCGTATAAATATATATTTCAATTGGTTGGTGGGGGGGTCCTTCCTGCTCTTATAATATACAAGATTGAAAAATTTATAAGATAAAAAAATAATTGTTCTGTAAAGTGGGTTGAGATTGTTTTTTTTTTTTTTTTTGTTGAGTAAAAATTGAACTTATACGATATATATATTACTACTACTACTATTACTGTCACAATTAACTCTCAAATGATGTCATATACACAACTAAACACAACATATGCATATGTACTATGAAATAGTCTGGGGTAGGTTACTTAACATCAAAGTATATATACCTGTACCCTCTTAAAAATCTTGTTTTTTTCTTTAAACAGTCAAAAATAATTTGTAATCTGTATTGTGCGTGTATATTTTTTTGTTGGTTGATTTTCTAGTTTCAACCGCTGGATAAAATCAGTCACCAGAGAATTGATCAATGTTTCTAGAACGTACAAAACTACAACGTAAAAACGCCCAAACTCATGCCCAACCATTAAGCTTATCCGTAACTCACGACACAATCCACTTTTCAGATCAATGCAATTGGAGGAGTTAAAGTGTGGAGTGCGCAGGAGAAAACTGCATTTGCTCTTAAAAATTGTTAAAACCCGCACCGGATATTTTTATCAAGTTTTAGTGTCTTCATAAGTCATCTAAATAAGAAGCAAAATTTCCATGACTCTACTAATTTCTCCTCCGTTTTTATCCTCGGAAAACAGATATAGAACTCAGCTATATACACATCAACTTTAAATATAGATAGAACTATCCTTCAACCCCTTTTTGCGGTGACATTATATCTCTTTGTCCCTTCACTCCCCTAATTCTTTGTACCTAGATCTACTTATTTCTTGACCCCACCATCTTTTCCATCGGAAATTGACTACTACAATTTTCAGAAGTTTGCACATTACACCAAATCCTAAATTCCAGTAAAATCACCAGAAATCTCCTAGCAGGGTCAACTTCTAATTGCACTTGCTGTTGGTTCCCCCCCCAAGAGTGGTCTGACTTTCACCCCCACAAAAATCTGTAGAACTGCAGCAAAAACGAAGAAAAAAACGAAAAAAAAAAGCGCATCTCTTTGTTGTTTAACTATGTGTGAGCCGCAGGCAGATGGTGTATATATCAAAATAGGAAATGTCCGACAAGGTTTCTTAGAAGCTACAACGGGATATGATAGCGGCATTCATTCAATTAGTTTTATGGACCACCCGTCTTTCTCCATCTGTTTGATTCCGTTGGTTGCCGAATTCCAATCGTAGTACGTTTGTACTAGACTTTATAACCTATTGTTTATCCCCCTATCCCCTCTTGCAACGCATCACAGGTTTCATACACAATTTCGTATCATTAGTGTTTTCAGTAAAAAAATAATCTATCTCATTGTATATTCATAATATATATATGTATATATGTAGGTATTTGAATCCCAAAACAAATGGGGTTTTTTGAATATCAAGTATTGAAAACTTGAAGATTTCCAAAGAATTAAAAAAGACATACTCATGGACTGACAGGATTAGGGGGCTCCTGGCATTGGAGAAAATAGACAAGGCTAACTTTTTATATTGTGTTTAGTAAATTATCAATACCAGATCAATAAAAGCAAAACACCATCACCCTGAAAAACACAACCCCAACATAAAACTAGAGAAAGATTTCTCAAATATCCCAAGTTATCTCATTCTGGTTAATAACATTTAGAATATTAATAGCCAAATCATCATCACCATCTTGTTCTTCATCTTGTACTCCTCTACCATAAACATCAAAGGAACTAGTTTTAAAATGAGTCAAAGACAGTGGTGTACTTGGTGGTAGATTAGCAGTAGTGCAAGTACTTGCCATACTCAAACTTCTACTCATATTAATAGAACCAACACCATTACCAACACCAACACCAACACCAACACCACCAGTACTTTTCATATTGATACTGTTGTTGCGACTCATTCCTGAGTTATATTTATTCAAACTGGTGCTCGAATTGTTGGCAGTGATGATACTGTTGTTACTGGTACTAAGTTGACGTTGTTGATACCTAGTGTTAAATTCATTGATGTCGGGTAAAGGTGGGATAATGACCTCTTCCTGGATTGAGTTGAAACTGTCGGGGTTATTGACACCGTAGTAAAAATCGCCAACCTCACCATCATCTTCACCTCCCACTCCTCTTTCTTCTTCTTTAGGTGGGAGTTTGGGTGACGTGATGTTTGTGTATGTGAAATGATCATAGTCTAATGGTATACACGTATCAAACGTGGATTCATATGGCAGTGTCATAGTACTACTTTGTTGCCGTTGTTGAGGATGATGATGAGTATGCAAAGGTAAATGAAAATGGGATCCACTGTTGCTTTTGTTGTTACTCTGTTGTGTAATTTTGGCAAATGATTGTGATAATGATTGACTTCGGTACCTAAAACTAGACGACGAGGAATGTAGTTGTTGTTGGGGCGGTGGTTGCTCGTGGTTCAAATCGGGTGTCGATTGTACAAATGACGAAAATGTAGACGATACTACTGATCTAGGTGATGTATTGTTGCTTGAATATGGACTTGCTTGTAAGCTTGAATATGGTGATGATAAAGATGCCATTGAAGATGGATATGAAGAACAAGAAGAGCTGATAGTTGAGGGAGATGTAGATGATTTGGATCTGGTTAGTGTATTTGTTGTTGATATCAATTCCTTCTTGATTGTTTTCAATTTTGTCCTGAATGATTTGTTGTGGTTATTACTTGTTGTTGTTGTCGTCGTCGGCGTTGTCGTCATCATTGTCATCATGGTGATTTTATGGTGATACTATGCTATGTGGGTGATTGAATTTTCGGTTTGTATGTGCTCTATGTGATACAACTTTGACAGGTTTTTCAATTGTGGACCCAGATTCGATTGTTGAGTGATTCTATTTTTGGTGCCGTTTTGTATCAAGTGGGGCAATTGATTGTAACTTCGCAGATTGCAGTTGCTAAAGGATGTTGCAATTCAATTGATGATCGATATAGATCAAACAAGATAGATAGATGTATATATATGTATATATATATATATGTATTCTAAAATTTTTCAAAGTTTAAGACATTTTTGTCGTAAGATACAAAATCTGTATATATATATATATATATACATATATAAACTATACATTTTATATATGTATATCAGTATGTATAATATCCTTTCAATTAGGAGGCGTCTAGAATAATGGAATTAAAATTATTTATTTTTGAAACAACAATACACAGCACAAAAGAGAGCTATATACAGGATTGGGTCCCATATTAATTACCAGGTTTGTGTAATTATTAACCAAAACACAATTTAAAAGAAAGGGATTTACAAATTATTAACCGCCCTCCTTTTTTTTTTTAACCAATGCTCATAACCATAAATGCCCATCCAGAAGGGAATCCTATTGTTTCTCTTGGTCTAAAATTATTTCCAATTGTTTCATCGTCAATCTCCAATAATTTCCAAAACAACAATAAACGGGTATAACGTTATTGTTCTTTTTCCTCCCAATTGTTGTTTAGTTTTCTATTGTGTAATTTGCTGTTTTTTCATTGCCTATTAAAGTGATGCCTATTGTTGGCATGGGACGACAAATTGGACAATCTCCATTGTTTTGAAGGGAAATTGTGTATGTGTTGTAATCATCTCCACATATGTATTTCTTACTTGGTGTTCTGTGTTTTTATTGTCACTGTCTTGTGTGATATTGTACTTTTGTACAAAACTATTTTCCGTTCCGACAAATCACATGAATGTGTTGATGAAAGGATAAATGAAATAAGTTTTGATACTTGGTGAAGTATTGTATACCACAAGCTGACAGAAAGCTTCGTTTGGACTTCAAAGCTAACAAGATGGGTCCCACCCATTCTTGGTGGGTTATTTTTTTTTATTCAAAGTGTTCAAAGAAACATCACTCAAACTTATGATCCAAATCTAAAAACCTCTCTCTGATACACATCACTAAAAACAAAACCACAGAAAAAAAAAACTCCAACCAAGCGCTACAAACAATGTGAAAATGAAAAATCCAATTACAAGCTGAAGAATAGGTGATCATCACCCAATTTCAACAGTGTCTTACTTTTGTACCTTCTCAATTCATTAACTTTGCCTAATTTGGGTCTAGGATAACTCTCATTCTTTAACATATTTTTTGAAATAAAGTTTTGGCTTTTTTTTTTGTCCAGTTTTGAAAAGAAGAGAAGAAAGTACGGGATTGTTAAACCGATAATACCCCAATTCATTTGAGGCTTTGCCTTCTTCTCTCCCCCTAATTCTACCCACTTTTGGCGTTTGAGCTAGTTTCGCCAACCTCTCCATGATTCAATATTTATTTAATAAAGCTTCAATTGACTGTAAAATGATTGAATTGTACTTGGTTAGATAAACTCGAGTTTTTTCTCGTAATTTTTTATCGTAATATAGTAAAAGATACGCCACACCGCCACGATTATACAGGCCATAGGAATGGTAAATTTAAGTGGGCCCGAAAGTGTGGTCTTTTTTTTCTATCTTTAGGGTTCAAAAGCAGATCTTTTAAAAAGTTACCGCCTTTTGCGGCACAATAAAGTCTTCATCATGTAAATCCCGTTACCAACTCTGGTACATTATTTGCAACGATTGCTATTGTGGGTTGTGGTCTAATGGTGTCCACGGTGTTTCTTTCCTTACTCGTGTTTTACGATCCTTCTGAGATCTGCTTGTGCATAGTTGAGTGAGCTTCACACAATTGGAATCGCAGGCCAACAGGTTGAGTTCGTTACTCACTTACTCACTGTGATAAACACTTTTCCTTTCAGCTCTTGCCTATACGTTACACTGTTTATTTTGTGGCCGTACGATCCAATGGATTAAAACCGAAACACACAATACACAAATAAAACAATCGATTTTGATGATGTACAATGTGGTAAATGTCAATGCACAAATTTGCCTCAACCATTATGAAAGCAACTTTCCATTGTCCCTCTTTTTACACCTAATACATTGGTGGAAAATGAAAACAGTTGGAAACTATGTGCCTTAGCGATATTGGCGTTAACCCCCTCCACCAAGGAAAGATCTGCAACGTCTCAAAGTAGGACTCAAATGAGTTGCGTCTAACAAATGCTGTAGGTACCACATCAAAAAGAAAGGTCTTTATCCTTTAAGGTACATGCACATACTCAATTGGCAACATTTTTGAAAAAATGATTTGCGAAATGTAAATCTAACCTTCTCACGGGACAAGTTGCTGTCTTTTTCGTAGCTATTGTCAGTGGTTAATTGGGCTAATCGTCGTCAATCTGTGCAAAATCATTCAAGTTTAGCCGATTTTGCATTAGTCTTGTCTCTTTGTGCTTTTGTGCTATACTATTTGTTTTCTTTTTTGCAAACGAGCGGTTAAAAATCAAAGGTGGGGCAAATATTTACAGGAGATTAGACAACGAGGGGCAAGAACGAAGAAACAGGATTTGAATGGTTATGAGACATGGTAAGAAAGACCTGTCTAAAATTACCACCCCCAATCCCCAGATATTTAGACTGTAAGATTGACGAACAGGCACATTTGGAATGAATAGTAAAAGAGGCGCAGTTTCACTGGTTTGGCCCGTTTAGCTTGCTTGGACTTCCCATGTGATTTTGTATTCAAACAAAGTAGGTTGGAACTCTTCCCTCGATTGAGTCGAAAGCTTCCTCTTTTGGAACCCATTGGCTCCTTCCAATCTTGCTGTCTTGGGTAGAGTATAAGTTTTGTTTACAATATGTCTATAATGAGGTAATTATTTTTTGACAAACTTTTAAGCTTTTTGTCTTTTTAGCCTATTGTTTCAGAAATTATAATTTCTCTATTGTTTGAGTTTTGTGTGTTAAATTATAAGTGAGTCTAGAACAGCGGAAAATGGAACCTACAAATATTTTAAATTACCAATAAACAATTTGGTGAATATAAAACTCATGAATTGATGGATTATGCCCCCACTTCCCCCTATTTCTATGACCCTAAACAATAGACGATCCAAAGTTTTGCTAGAGGATCTTTACTGATTGGCTCCAATTCTTGCCTCTTTACATTCACATAAGATCATTTACACACCAAATTTCTGGTTTTTTAAACATTGGAGATTTATCCACTTCACGCATGCGTTGTAAAACTGATTCAACCGATTCAACTATTTCATGTGTTTTTTAGGTGGTGCAAAATGTAGCTACAATTCCAAAGTTCAAAGCAGGAGTAGTTTTTGGAACTTTCACGTGGACTAGTGGCACTTCACCCATCAATTTATGATTGAGGTAACCACCACCCCGTTGAATAAATCAAAACCGTTTGTAAATCTTCATTTGTGTAACATGTTACTGGTATCGATCTTCGATGTCATTTGTTTTCAACGCCTGCAAACGTTTTTTGCTTTTTGCCAAAGACACAGTTGATGAGGAGTATCATGATCAATACCATCTTTGTACTGATAAACTTTTACGGTTACTAGTCACTGTCAACCCGCCCAAAGAGAAAGCAAAAGCCATTTTAATATGAAAAACAAATGTCGCACCAGTATGAACAATTATGTCGCACTAGTTTGAAATAAAGATAAAAAGATTGTAAATGGGTCAAATTCATATCAACACAGTATATAGAAGAATAATCTTGATCCATTAATATACATCAATCATATTTTATACAAATAATAATATAGAAGATCTCAATGAAGCTATACACGGCTATATCTATACAAACGACAGTATAGATATTAAAACTAGTTATACAAGACTAGAATTGGGCCAGTTGTATACAAAACAACTGCAAATTGATTTGTTTTAAGTTGAGTGCTGGGCATTTACAAATAAAGTACTAAGTTCAGTGACGACTATCAAGATGCTATCAGTTATTATTATGTTTGTAACTATGCTATTACAATTTATTGAAGGGAGTGAGTTCTTACAAAATAATTATAATTTAAGTTTAATTAAGGAAGTACCTGATTATAATTTGATATGTTTTACTAAATTGTATGGCGTAACTTACAGGGACAGAAACAAGGATATTAAATTTAAAGGATTATGGTTAAAAGGATCAAATGTGCCTATACCAGTAATAGTGCTGATCAATGATGATATTGAAATTGAGTATGACAAATTTAAAAACAACCTTACTTTATCAGACGGCATAGTATATGATAAAAATAAAGATTATTGTAAGATGCTTGAGGAGTTGACACTAGAACACAAGGAGAATGATGAGGTAGTAGGTCTGCGGCAAAAGAAGAACCTTTTGGGTCGGATGAAAACAAGGAAATCAAACCAGGACACATGTATTGATAAGAGGTGTTCACAGGAACATGAATGTGTACAAATTGATAAAGATTGTACTGAATGTCAAGTTGATCCAGATATTGGATACGCATCTTGTCAGTATGATGAGATATCAGAGTATCATGGATACCAATTTCAATGGTGTATTGGCATATCAAGAGTGATTGCTTGGTCAGCAAAGAAATGCCATCCGCTAAAAGGAATAAGACAATGCGCTAGTTGAATAGATAACGTTTATCCGAATTTTTAAGAACAAAAAAAAAAAAAAAAAAAATATAAAAAAAAAAGGTGATACCTACTAAATACCTTTACAACAAAGAACAAATTGTATTTCCATCGTTTTATTCATATTTCGATTATTTACATGTAAGGAGGAATTCCATTTGTAGACGTTACGATGCATTTTACTAATAGAAGGTGGGGGTTGGGGAAGTTTTCGATAAATTTTAACGCATTCGCTTTCTCGATTTATTCACCAAAAAGTGGATACATCTTGATCAGCGGCATGCGATAACTTAGCTTTATTTCAAAGCTTGATGGTTCCTGACATTTCAGTTAGTGCAAGCCCCTTTGTTTTCAAATTTGCAAGTCATTGGTACGCAAAAGTAAATTAACAATCAGTGAGTACTGACTAAGTCCATCACGTGATCGGCACTACAACTCCGTGGTGTTCTGGTCGTGCATATGAACCCAGAAAAAAAAAAAAAAAAAAAAAAAAAAAAAGAGCCCCAAAGACGCGCGCATTCTCCGAAAATATTTTGTTTATCCGAATTGCCCCATAATTGACCATTTTGCTCTTTTTTTTGGGGGGGAAATTTTTGCCTCTCAAATGACGGAGCAGATCAGAAAAGGAAGTTCTTGCAACGCCTTGGAGATGTGGTGGCTTAAGTCGATCTCGGAAAGCTAAACAAACACAGTCACTAAATTGTAAGAAGATCACCTAAGGAGTTTTTCTCTTTGCTAAGAACCCTTGCATAGGGATACCATTGACTCGTTACTTTTTTGTTGTAATACGCAACTTTATAAGCACACTATAGTTTATGGTTTATGAAGTTCAAGACCTTATTTCTTTGAGGGGCTTTGTGGGGAATGTTTGAAGTGCTTTGTTTGTCTCTAGTTGTGCATAGGGATGTTTGGTACGGTGACATTTTAAAGGTTTTAGAAGTAAAGTTGGATTTACAGTACAAGAGTAGGTGATACATACCAGCAGAAGTTAGTTTGTTGTGTTACCCCAATTTGTAGTTTGTTGCTACATTTTGTTCTATGTGAATATGTTGAATATTGGTTAAGTTGTGGTTGAATAAGTTGTGGATTGTAATTGATGAAATTTGATTGCAATTTTTAAAAGAAGAAGAAAATGAACGAAAAAACAATTTTAGTGATGTGCGTGAGTGAGTGGTTTTGTCTTTTCTTCATTTTGTGTCAGATTAATTTTTTTTTTATTTATTTATTTTTTCGCTCAGTTGTCTCTCTCTCCCTCTCTCTCTCTCTCTCTTTTTCTCTTTCTCTCTCTCTCTCTCTGTCTTTCTTTCTTGTTGCCGTAACACAACATCGGTTATGGTTTGTATTTTTTGTTTTTGTTTTTACGTTTTTTCTTTTTTAACCAAATTAGAACAAGTTTTTTCCCTCAGTTTATGGGCTTATAAATCCATCATCTTATAAGTAAAGCACCCATTTGAGGATCATCTCTCCCACTGCTGTATCATCTCATTATTTACCTTCCGTGTCTCATACACATAGATTAGTACAACTCTGGAGTTAGTGCCTATCTTATGTACATACACTTTTGCAGCAAAAATTTCAGTACGCATTTTACACACAAGACAGAAAAGCATATTTCCAACAACAACAGAAAAAAAAATACACACAACACACACACACACACACACACCGGAATCGAAAGGAGAAAGGAAAAAAAAAAAAACTCATCATCCATTCGTATTGCCCTTCAAATCACCCTTGAATCATTAGACAGTTGATATCGCTGCTTACGCATAGAATCAATCAAAAATCCATCATCAATCGGATTTAGTACGAGAAAAAAAAAAAGTCATAGACAATAACCACTCTTCCCAACTGCATTGCACCAGAAATCCTCGATTCACCACCCTCAATGGTGTTGTACAAACGAAAACAAGTACCATTTGTACCTCCTCCACCTACTCCTACTGACCCAAACACTCAAGTATGGTTTATCCCAAACACCAAGGAATGGTTTCTCACTTATGAGGAGTTTCTTGAACGTATGGATTTCTACAACAAAAGGAAATTTGTTTGTGAAATTACTGGTAACTCGTGTCTCACGTATTTTGAAGCATTACAAAGTGAAGCCAATGAACGTAAGGAAGTTGATCGCAATTTCCCTGAAAATCTACGTGAACATATTCTACGATACTTGCAATTTAATCAGATATCTCGTTTGGATCAATTGATTGACAAAGTTTATCTGACTTTTAAAAATGACTATTTCCCTGGTGAAGTGATTTTTTTAAAAGGTTTGGATCCTAATAATCAAACTCTTAAATCACGTGGAGTCATTCGAGAAAAAGTTCAGTATGCTGAAGAACCTACCAAATATCTTGTTATACGATCACATGACAAGCATCAAGCTATAGTCACGGGTGACAATATTGTTCGTGATAGAAATCATTTCACCAAATGGTTAATCAAGACGTTTATCAAGTTAACAATGTCAAGATCACACAAGGTTGGTGCTCCATGGGTGGTTAAAGCAGCTTATGCAAAGCAATACGGTATTCCAACAACATACCCGGAACATTTACGTCAGTATATTAGCTCAACTCCAACTGGTGAACCTACTTATATTCAACCAAAGAGGAGGAAAACGGAAATAGATACAAGACAAGAGATCAAAATTAAACCAAAAATATTCACACCATCAACTCCCAATGATGCTGAACCAACAAGATCAGCCTCTCCAAGTGGTATTCTTGAACGGAAAAAACTGAAACTAAAAGAAGAGGTTAAACGAAGCTCTCCTTCAGTGGATACATTGCCATTTAGAAAGAAATTCCCTGTTCATCATGTACCTGTTGTTGTTTTGAATGAGTTGGAAAATGCAGAAGCAACTGGAAATGAACATACAAAAGCCATGTTTCAACAACCTACAAAAAAGACAATTGTTGATGATTTAACAATCAAGTTTGATATTCAAAATGTAAAACCAAAACCAAAAGTGTTAACAGTGGAGATGCATCATGAGGATAATGAAATGATGGACGATAATGCAGAAGAGTCTCCCACCAAGGAAGCACATACGATTCCATTAAAAGCTGTTCAAGAAGCACTTCAAGTGTGGGTATTTATGAATGTGTATCACAATGTATTAAACATTGACACTTTTACATTTGACGATTTCATCACTTCATTGAATTACAATCTAAACACGCCAAAATTGAGATCAACCATGGTGGATGAGATATATTGTGCGTTGTTGTGCAAAATAGTATCCAATGAGGTGCCAAGTGCAAAAAATGCCAAAGAAGCAGACTCTAATGATACAATATACGGATTGAACATTACGATACCGCAAGAACTCGAAGAAGACATTGTGGAGGATGATGAAGACGATGAAGAGGAGAAAGAGGAGGAGAAGGAGGGGGAGAAAGGGGAGAATGAGATTGAGGTCAAAGTCAAGAAAGAAAAGGATGTTTCAGAAGATGAGGCGAACGGAGATAGAGGCTCCGATAGTGAAACCGAGCACAAGCCACTTAAAGTTGAGGATGAGCAAAGCGATGTTGAAAATGAAGGCAACGGATCAATAAAGAAGGAGAACCGTGAATCAGAGGAACCCGGAGCTAATGAAGAGCAAGAGGAAGAAATTAATCATTCTGCCTACGAGTATCTCAATTATAGAGGTACTGCGTGGCATGACAGATTGAGAAAACGCAACTTTAAAGATGGGAACTGGCAAATCATTCTAGTCGGTGTATTATCACTAGTTGAGCATGTACCTAAGTATCATCATGTCGTGCAAATGATTTTCGAATCCTTGGCACCCGCAGGTGGACCGGTTTCTGCTTCTGCCTTGAGGACAAACTTTTATGAACATCTTGATATTAACTTGAAGCTTTATGCTTTGTGTATATTGACTGATTTACTCGTGACTAGTCCGTTAGTGAGAAACTATATTGAAGAGAGTTTGGAACAGCAGACAAGTTTAAGACGCACAAGATTGGAAAATATTAAAGAACACAAGACCAACATGGAAGTTGCCATTAAAGCACAACAATACATTGTTGATGCTTTACCACCAAGTGTTGACTCGTCTCAAGAACTCAAAGATGAGCAAAGAGCCGAGACACCGGCGTCAACTACTACAGCCAATGGTCAACTAGGTAAGCAATTGCCACTTGGCTTGGATTTACAAAAATGTATTGAGATGTCAGAAAGAGAACGCGAGTATGCATCTGCTCATTCTGAATTTGCTGAACAATGTGAACTCCGAAAAGCAGCCTTGTTAAAACTCAACGAAATCAAAGAGAATAAAAAAATTCTAGAGCAAAAGTTGAATGAGTTTGATTGTCAAAGAATTAAGCTTTTGGGTAAAGATCGATTGTTTAATCGTTATTGGTGGTTTGAAAACAATGGAATGCCTACTTTGCATAAAGGGTCTGCAAATGAGGATGACGAAGACGATGAAGACGAAGGTGAAAAGAAGGCAGTTGATGAAGATGATGAGCAGGATGAGGAAAATGGCGACATTCATGATGAGACATATCTCATGGGTAGATTATGGGTGCAAGGACCATGTAACACTGATATCGTTAGCAATTTTAAAAGGGAAGTTGGAGAATTTAGACAGCTTGTTGAATCAATGAGTAAAGACAGTGCCATTGTGAACGAAAGTGAGACTATCGACGACTCAATCAAAATAGACCCCAACGATGAGCCCGCGAATGATCAAACCAAAGCAGAAGCTGATACATCCGAAGAAGGAACCAAGAAAAAGAATCAAATCAAGCAAATGAATTTCATACACTTGTCACCTGCATTGAAACAATCAGTTGAACAACTTTACCAATTAAAGTTCACCGATAACGAAATTCATTCCACTAATGGCAAACTTCTTGTTGATCAAGAAGGGTCATTACAAGTACCACTTGACGAGATTAGTCATATTCAGCGCAAATTTATTGAAGAGTACCATGCCCCAATCTTGAACAGTTCATCATGGAGATATTATGATGAACCAGAAGATATCAATAAACTAATGTCGTGGTTAAATCCATGGGGTAGGCGAGAATCAGCGTTGCGTAAAGAACTTTTATTAGTGAAAGATGCAATCACTTCAAGTATGGAAGCTAGACAAAAGGCACTTTACCTCAATGGTAACCCAACACCTGAGGAACAAACATTACTGGATGATATCAAAAAATTGCAAAATAAATTAGTGGCCATTCAACAAGGACGTGAATTTGAACGTGAAAAAGAGAATTTGGAATCCGGTGATAATGATTCCATGGATTTGGATACTGATGACTCACTCTCCATTGGATCAAAAAGAAGGTCAAGGTCACGAAGAGCAGCTAGTCCCCAAGTCCGCAAAAAACCAAGATTGAACACAGTTGAAGATGTGGTTCAACACGGTGATGTACAAGATATCAAAAACAAGATTAATGAATTGAATCAAGAGGTTGTTGAAAGTAGACGAGAGGTTAAAGTTAGTCGAGTTTGTGAATGGGTTAATTCAAAGGCTTTAGATCTGTTTGGTAAATCCATATTCGAAGGTGGTGATAGAGCAAAGAAATCAAAACGTAAGTAGAGACTATATGCATTGTTACGATATATTTGATCCTTTAAAAGTTTTCTAGATGGCTTGCCTTTAGTATCTTCTTCGCTTATTCCTATTGGCAATCTCTCGAATCTTTTCTTCACGTTGTCGTTTTTCATTCAATTCCAATTGCTGACGAAGCTCATTACGACGCGTGATATCTTGTCTAGCTTGAACCTCAGCCGTATTCAAAGCTTGATTCAAAGCGCTAAACTTTTCCACATTCAACAACTCGGCAGAAGCAGCATTGCCATCGCCATCGCCACCACCATCACCAGAGACAGAAGCTCCACCTCCGCCTACACCAATGACTCGTTTATCCAATGCAATAGTAAACCCAGAGTTATTCTTCCAATTGGAAATGGCTGCTGGTATGTTCCATTTCTGACGGTCTTCTTTGGTCACTTTGGCAGATGGCTTCAAAATCGGCCCAACTTCTTGTTCTTGATCGTGCCGTTCATGACGATTCTTGCGAAGTTTGTGTTTTGGTGGAAGTAAGGGGTCTTCTTGCATCGTTTCTATCTTGATAACCTTGCCGTGATCCTCATCAGTAGCATCGGCAGCGAAGGCGGCAGGGACGGTTTTCACAGCGTTATTGTCTCCTTCTACCTCATGTGTAGTGGTGGTATCTTTATAGTTCATATATGTAGTTTGATCCTTCTTTTGCGTGCCTAGTTTAGCCTCAAGTAATGCCGCAAATATGGCTCGTGTTTCGGCAATTACGGCGACATCAGGAGGTGGTCGAGGAAAGTTATGATTCAAGTTGGGGAAGCTAACTTTAAGTGGAATCGTAGCATCGTAAGTTGTAGTGGAGGTGGTGATGATATCGCGTATGGAGTCTATTGTAGTAACAGTGCTGGGGTGAATAATGACTTGAGTGGTATCTGTATTATTGATCTGATGATTAGAGTGCGATGATGTTCTGTAGTGGAGGTCGGGGTTGTAATTCGAGTGTTTGGGACGCGGTAGAAGGGAACTAAACATGTTTGGAAATTCGACGTGGAGAGAGATGGGGACGCTTGGGAAGAGCTTTATTGAGTTAGTGGTTTTGTTTTGTTCAACTCTGCGGCAATGATTTACAAAATGCGTTTGTCGTGAAAATATAATCCGCGACAGTGGCCATGTTATGCAACGAGCTGTCACTGATAACTATCTTTTATTACAGTTGGTGTTTTCACTTTACACTGGCAATGACATTACATCCTGTCATAATGCGCCAATCACCGCTTTAAGCGGATAAAGCCGGTTTTACATATGTGATGATACAATGTATTAGAATTTGAAGGGGAAAGTGTATTGTTTTAAAAGTGGAGCAGTGATGTCCCCAATCTGGCAATTGTTAGATGCGCTTCTTGTTTGATTTTTCCCATTTGCAACACACCAAATGCGCATATGTATATGCTCTTCTAAAAAAAATTGAGTGACATGAAACTAGTTACCGATCATGGTATATAAACAGACGACATCCCACAGCTCTATTTGTCTCAGTGTTTTAATGAAGGTTCAAACCCCATATTTTCAACCACGAGTAATATGTCCACAACGACAATCAAATCTAGTTTAGTGCCTTCAAGATCACAGAATTCATCATCATCAATGATTCGTCAACTAACGTACGCTGATGTTCCCAAGGCAGCCTCAGCTTTGTTAGATGCCTTTAAGGAGGATCCGTTATCGAATTATTTGGTATCCCACGTCAAAGATGCATCTAGACGTAAACTGTGTGAATTGGCTCTATTCGAAGCTTATTTACGACAACACATAACCAAAGGCGTGGTTTTTGGTCAAGGAGAGACACCACTGCTGTTTGAAACAGTAAGCATTTGGGCAACCCCAACTAGCGCCAAACAAGGTTTGGAATCATTTAGTCATTTGATGGAATCGGGTTATGATAAAGTATGGAATTTATTTGGCATTGACGGCAGAGATAAAATTTTCCAACAGTTGATGCCACTGTTGCATGATACATATGACAGAATTACCGGTACTGACAAACGATTCAAAGGTAAAGAAGTTTATACATTGGTTTATGTTGGTTCAACTGCTGCTGCTCGTGGAAAAGGAAATTTACGAAAACTATTTGACTTCATGTTCAACAATTATATTGATTGCAATGGTGGTGCATTGACTTATTTGGAAAGCTCATCACCGGTCAATATCCCTATTTATGAACGGTTTGGTTTCCATTTGGTGGATAGGATTGTATTGGGTAATAAATCAGGAATCGAAGGAAAAGATTGTGCTGTAATGCATGTCATGATCAGAGGTATCAAAGGTAATGATTGGACAGTAGAAAATAGTAGGTTATAAGTCTGTTATAGTTTCTATGTACATGGCTTTATAAAAAAAAAGAAATAGGAACATTGATCTATTCATCCATTGATAATACTGATTTTTGAGATGGTAATGTCATACCAGCAAACTCTTCCTTCGTCTTTTGTTTGATCAACTCCTCTTGCTGTTTGGAAATCGGCTGCACAACTTGATCTGGTGGTACAAATTTGAACTTGCCGAATCCAAATGCCCTATCAGTCATTTTGTTCAACACGTACAATTGTGATCTCACGTACACCAACAACGCCTCAACATGCCTTATATCAACATTGTCATTGGCATTAAACACATTCCTCCACAATGCAGCGGCTAACGTGATATCATCAGTCATTAACCCTTCATCGTAACTCAAAACACTTCCCAACATTTGCGTATGATAATCTTTTAAGTACCCTTCAATAATCCTTCCCGATTTTATACCCAATTCAGTAGTCATTCTCGACAGCAAATCTTCAAATATACGATCAACTAGTTTTTGTTGATACTGTTTGGCATATTTGAAAGGTAGAGCCCTCATTCTAACTGAAAGAATCCAATAATGTAAAATAGTTATTTGTACTTGTTGCGAAAATGACATGGGCAACCCCAAAGTCTGGTAATAGAATTTAGCTGTGTCACTCATTGGTTCATTAGGATACACTAGAGCTTGTCTTTTACACTCACCAAAATAGATCCCACCGGCAACTGGACCACTTCTTGATTTATCCATATCAACGGAAAAAGTAGAAACAATCCATTGACCAATTTTTTCCTTGAATGAGGATAGCCTTGCGTTGTTTGGATCATCTTCTGCTTTTGATAAGAAAGGTGCCTTGGCTTTGGGTTGACGTGGCTTGATTTTTAAGTCTTGTTCCACTACCGGCAAATGAGACTCTTGAGCCAATTGTGTAGGTGATTCAACTGTATCCTGTTCTAATCTGTGCTGCTTGTCTAATATAGAATTTCTCGCTTGGAATGGGACTCTATAGGTTTGTGATAGGAGCCTTGTTGGCATGTAAGCCAACTTAACATGAGATCTGAGCATTTTGAGGGTGTAAAGGGGGGCACGAGATGAAGTACTTCTGTAGAGTTCTTCGTGATCCTCTTTCTCTCGATGTTGATTGAAAAAAAGTCTTGAAAAAAAAAATTTCGAAAAAAAAAAAGAACGGCGAAGATTGTGTTGAACAACAAATACACTCGATATGAGTAAGTCAATTGCCGACGCTTTCAAAAGCTTGAAAGTCACTGGTGACTCTTCGCCATCCGAATTCAAACATATCTATCAAGTGTCCTATGAGTACTTATCGAAAGTCAAAAAGTTTAATGATTTGCAATCGTTCAAGAATTGCCTTGTTGCATTGATAAATTTGGATCTGTACGAACAAGCCAACAAAATCATCGCCAAGGTTCCTGAAAAGCTTGTTGAGTCATTGGTTTTGGAGATCACGTATGTCTACTACAAGATTGGTAAATCAAAAGAAATCTTGCAACTCTATGAGAGGTATCAACCAAAACTTGAATCCAAGCAAGTGCAAACAGGATTGAAACATGTTTTAGCGCAAACTTATTACAAAATTGGCGACTATAAAAAAGCCTTAAATTTGTATAAAGAGTTGATTAGTGAGTCAGCTGATAAAAGTGACTTGTTGGTCAACGAACAAGCAATTATCTCACAGTTGATTTTTGAGACTGGTGAGGTAGCAGTGTCAGGATCCAGCACGGAGTTAGACCAATCCAACTATGATATGTTGTTCAATGAAGCCATCATCGAAATAGCTAAAGCAAACAACCACAAGGCCTTGCAATTATTGCAACAGGCTCACAAAGTGTGTTCTGAAAACAATTTAACCGATGAAGACGTTGAAACTGAACTACTTCCTATCAATTTAACAATTGCTTATGTGCATCAGTTGCAAAATGATGTTGCAAAAAGTGATGAAATATTGTCTGGCATCAACATTGACAGTGTTAATGATTCATTACTCAAGTTAATTTTAAAGAACAACATTCAATCGGAAAAGCCAATAGATAATGCGAATTTGATTGAAAGACAGTTGAACTATTATGAGATCATACAACAAGTAAAGCAAAAGATCACCTTGCTTCAATTGGAATCAGTTTTGAAAAACAGCTTGGTTTTGAGGTTTGCCACCGGTACATTGACAACAAACTTATTAAATTCTGGGCCTATTCTGAAGCTTGGATTGGTCTCGGCTGCGTACAACGCGTTATCAAAAAACGATATTAGTTACAGAAACCTTACGGAAGCTAAAAACAACAAGCTTGTGGGTAGAAAATTGGTACGGTATATTCAGCAGGATATCAGACCTGATCTCAAAGAAGCCGCAGTGTTGCTTTTGATCCACATCAACTCCCAAGTTGGCACCTTTGAACAAAGTTTGCCCTTTTTGGAAACTCTTGCCAAGCAATCTCAAGATCAACCGAAATTTTCCCCAGGAATCGTAGGAACCCTTATACAAGTTTACGAAGCTACCCACAATACCAACAAATTAAAGTCTCTACTTACAACTTTGACTGAGAAGTTGTTGTATACAGCAGAGGATGCTTTCAAGGATGAAAACTACTACAACGCTGCTAAAATCATTGCAATGAAAAACTTTAGTTTTGATAATGACAATTCGAGACAATTGTTGGAGTATCTACACAGTTGGAGACCTGATGATGATTTGATAAATTCCCTTTTGACAAACTCAAACGACAACTTGATGCCTATTTCGGAATTAGAATCATCTGAATCTATCAAAGACATATTATCCATCAACTTGGACGAATTGATACCAACCAAAAGCAAACCAATTCAAACAGTGGCTAAAAAATCAAGTAAGGTCACAAAAAAGAAGCGTGCTCCAAAATTTGGTAAAGATAAGGTAGTTAAACCAGAAGATGAATTCAAATTAGACGAGGAGCGGTGGTTGCCTTTGAAATTGAGAAGCTACTACAAACCAACAAAGAAGGATAAAAAGAAATTGGGTGGAGGGCATCAAGGTGCAGTTGAATCGTCATCACCTGTACCTACATCGCATACTCCACTGAGTAGTAGTAACAAAAAGAAGAAAAAGAAAGGTAAAAAGTGATGAGCGGCTATTGCTCTTTATTAATAGGCTCTAAATCAATACATACATCATTAGTGCTGTAATTGTTCCTTGATTTACTTAATCAACGGAAGGAATAAGGGAATTTTCACAAATGATCTATCAAATCTAGCTTTCGCAACTTTAGGAATCAACAACCAATGCGCAAAAAAGCATCTTCCCCACAATTCCATCAATGTCGCCCATACTATTGTTTTTGCATGTGGTGTTATATATTGATTTCACATCCGGTATTGTCGGTAGGTAAATCTTTGTACATTTCGCATCAATGTGGACAAGAATTATTTTTGTCGTTTTATCTACCACTCTTTATGCATTGCAAATTCCATTAATCCCTCCGGGTCAGGATCCATTCTACTTAGCCCCGGCTAACTATGAATCTCTCCCATTGGGAACAATACTCAAATTTAGGCCAACACCCAACAAACTTGTCAATATATGCTTCACTTTTGAGTTGAAAAGTTCTTGGCAGATCTTGTATCGCTCGCAAAACTCATTTGGCGAGCCCACCGCCATTGTCATGACTGTTATGGAACCATTCAATTCTCAACCGTCAAAAGTTTTATCCTACCAAACATTTCAAGATTCTGCAAATATCAATTGCAGTCCTAGTTATGGGTTTCAATTCGGAGCACCATTATCAACAATCGCGTCTCAGCTAGATATGAGGTTCCTAGTACCTGCATTGAAGCAAGGATATTATATAATAAGTTCAGATTATGAGGGTTTCAATTCCAGCTTTGTTGCCGGCCGACAGCTGGGTTATGCAGTTTTAGATGGTGTAAGAGCAGCAATACGGTCACAAAGCATCTCAGGTATTCACCCTCTGGCAAAAGTTGTCTTATGGGGGTATTCAGGAGGAAGTATTGCCTCTAGTTGGGCCGCTAGCTTACAACCCACATATGCACCAGAGTTGAAACAACACTTGTTGGGTTGTGCATTGGGAGGCTTTGTTACGAATATAACAGCCACTGCGGAGATTACTGATGGTGGCATTTTTGCTGGGTTGATTCCTTTGGCTCTTCATGGGCTCTCTAACGAGTATCAAGAGTTTAGACAAGTTGTGCATGACAACCTTGATCCTCAACACATGGACTTTTTCAATCAAGGTTCCGAACGTTGCTTTGCTGGCGGTTTAAACTTTTTTCGATTTCGAAGCTTCTTTCTGGGAAGCAACCGCACGTTTCCTCGTGGATTTGACTTGCTTCATGATGAAACCATTGGGAAAATCATCGAAGAGAATTGCGTTTGCCACTTGAATCAAACTTTTTTACCGCAAATTCCAATGTTCCTCTACCACGGCTTATTTGATGAGATTGTACCAATAACTGGTCCCCGTCACATATTCAATCGATGGTGTTCTTGGGGAATTAAATCATTGGAGTTTGCGGAAGATTTATTAACTGCCCATGTTGGACAGCAAATTGTTGGTGCTGCTGCTGCTTGGACATGGATTGAAAACTTGTTCAACGGTGGAAAACCAGTGGAAGGTTGTGTCCATACTCAGCGTTTAAATAATTTATACTTCTATCCTGGGGTAAAGCAAGAGACGAAAGATTATTTCTTGGGATTCGAGTTTAGCATACTTGATTACATTATAGGTGGAAAAACACTTGATTGGAATGTTCTATGAGTGTCAGCAACGAGCACCCATCCTGTTGAATGTTAGCTAACGCATATGGATCGTATGAGGAATCAATGGAGAAAATGTTCTTCCCATGGTAAACACGAGGGGTGGGAAGTCACAATGAAATTGTCTCGCTGCCCATACCAATGGTTGGCGAAAGTGCAGGGAGGAGGAACCATATTACCTTGCCACGATTTTAGATGCTGCTGATGCATCAATCTTTGTTGTGGCGATCTCATTTAGTGTGTATTTTAGATTCATGAAAATTAACCGCATATTATTCCGGTGGAAGCGCACCAACGCATGCAGTATACGTGGTGTGTACAGTTAGTTGTGAAAGAAAGAGAAACATAAATAAACGCTCTTTTCTCTATCAAAATGAGAGATTGATTCAATCTGACTGCGCCAAGTGCCTCTTTGGGTTCACATATTGATACAATTGAATTGGGGGCTTGTGAAATTGACATGTGGGTTGTATTATATTTGCTATAAATGCAGAAAATAATAATCAAAGTTCAACAATTGCAAGAAGCCCAAACAGAGCGCTTAGTTCCCGAATCAGGGTTGGGTCTTGGGATTCGCTTACGACTGGAACTCATATTGACAAGCACAGATGAAGAGCGGCTCATTATTATTGCGAAACACTTGAATTACATACGGTGATTCAAGCGACGCTTCACAGACAACAAAGGGGATGGTCGGGATATAAAACTGGATGAATAGTTTCTGCCAGTGGCATGAGCCTGCTCAAGTTGGCTGTATCAAACTCACTAACTACTGTAATGAAGCAGCTCATCATAAAACCCCTCACCACAATTCGTAATGTACTTTGGGGAGTTCCACCATCTGATCCCAAAGAGAGACGATATTTGTTCAAGCTTGACACGTTTGTGCTCACATATGTGTGTCTTCTTTATTGGGTCAATTACCTTGACCGTGCTAATATCGCTAATGCTTATGTGTCTGGTATGAGGGAGGAGTTAAACTTGAGTGGTAAAGACTTCAACGTCATCAACACCATTTTCTACATTGGCTATATCCTTACCATGATTCCGCACAACTTGATTTTGTTGAAAATTAGACCACGCTACTGGTTGACATTCTGTGCAAGCGCTTGGTCCCTTCTCACGTTAGGGACATACAAAGTAAACTATTTTTGGCAAATTTGCGTCATCAGATTTATTCAAGGAATGTTTGAGAGTTGTATATTTGGTGGTGTGCATTTGATCTTGGGGTCATATTATACTAATAGTAGAGACTTGGTGCTTCGTACATTTGTCTTTACATCAAGTGGTTTGATAGGCCAGATCTTTTCGGGTGTTCTTCAAGCAGCTATTCATGAGCACATGAACGGGTGGCACGGGTTAGCAAGTTGGAGGGTTTTGTTTATAATGGATTTTATGTGCAGCTTCCCTATTGTTATTTACGGATTCATCTTTTTCCCGGATGCACCCGACATTGGAAGGCCATTCTATTTTACCGAGGAGGAGCATGCAATGGCTTTGGAAAGATTGGTCAAACCGAAACATTACAAGTTTGGATGGGATGTTTTTGCTCGTGTTTTTGGAAGTTGGCACTGGTACTTATTTGGCATGTTGTGGATTGTTGGTGCCATAAATGAATCATTTGCAACAAATAGTGTTTTTGCAATTTGGTTGCAATATTATGATTACCCTATCGCAGATCGTAATCATTTCCCTATGGGTGTATTTGCTGTCGGTGCTTTGTCTACGGGGGCAGCAGCTTACTATGTGAAAAACGTGGGTAATGGAAAGCAGCATTGGCATGCATCGATGGCTATTGCGGTTCTTGTGTTGATATCACCAATCCTTCAGATCACGAGACCGTTTACAAAAGGGTTTGTTTTTGTTGCCCAGTACTTGGATGGTGTTTCATATGCTGCTCAGACCATTTCTTTTAGTTGGGCAAATGTTGTATGTGCGGATGATTTACAAGAACGGGCTATTGTGATTAGTTCGATGAATATGATGGGGAACACGATGAATTCGTGGTGGTCGATTGTGTTTTTTGCAGCAGATACAGCGCCTAGGTTTCGCAACGGTGCGATCGCACTTATCAGCTCGGCCGCAGCTACTATATTTGTTGTTGGTACAATTGCGTATTTGCAATTGAGAGACGACAAGAGGAAAATATGTTCAGTTCGTGAAATCGACCCTGAAAAAGTGGAGGAAGAAAGCTCTCCTGAGAAGAAGGCTGATGGCGAGTGACGAAGAAGAAGCGACTAAAACCGAACATCTGAAAGAAGAAATTCTACGTTGGGTGTGATTGTAGCTGTTATCGATTATGTACCAATGTCTCGTATAGACTTGAAACGGTGCATATTTTGAAGATAGAGGATATATGATGACGTTAAATAAGACAAACTTTAACAAAACCATCGTTTGCTTATTCTGTAGTGAAAAGATAAGTTCGGCTGTCGGTTTGATAGTGGCTACAGGAACATTCTGAGAGACAGGGCCCCAATAAAAAGTTGAGCCCATGGACGACATAGCCAGGTGTACTTTTCATGTCGAAAGTATAATATGCGTCAGGGGTAATCAAAAGCTTTTCCCGATGCACGTGCATCCTCGTTATTATCCACGCATATCATTTCCAAATTAGTTAATTCAATGCGAAGCAATAAATATTTAAACCGATCCAGCTTCAAACCAAAGATAAGATTTTTGGAGTCCGGGCTTCTCGCGATAAGATTAAATTAACAAATGGGATTGATGGACAATAGAACCTCGAGGACCTGCTTCGTTTATTGAAAGTAAATTCCTCGGATCCGATTTAGCTTATTTTCTGAAAATATACTCTTTCAAAGTTTCGTCTTTGTGTAAACAAATGTCAATTCTGACACAATGAGTGTGAATCATTGCCACTCATTGAGTGAAAATTCGTTCACAATGCATATAAATACAAGCCCATTTCGTTCGCTATTTGATCCATTTGAGGTAGTTCCTCCAACAAGCAAAACCCTAAAATTTGACAATGACCAAAGCAGTACCAGACACATTTCAAGGATTCGCAGTTTCCGACCCAAAGAATTGGAACAGACCAAAATTGGCATCATATGAGAGAAAACAAATCAATCCACACGATGTTGTTTTAAAGAATGAAGTCTGCGGCTTATGTTATTCAGATATTCATACATTAGCGGCCAATTGGAAACCATTGCAAAGAGACAACTTGGTTGTTGGACATGAAATCATTGGTGAAGTCATTGCGGTTGGTGATGAAGTAACCGAATTCAAGGTTGGAGACCGTGTTGGAATTGGTGCGGCTTCTTCCTCATGTCGTAGCTGTCAAAGATGCGATTCCGACAATGAGCAATACTGCAAACAAGGTGCAGCCACATACAACTCCAAGGATGTCAGATCAAACAATTATGTCACCCAAGGTGGATACTCCTCGCACTCTATTGCTGATGAAAAGTTTGTATTTGCAATTCCAGAAGACTTGCCATCATCTTATGGTGCTCCACTCATGTGCGCTGGTATTACCGTGTTTTCTCCATTGATTAGAAACTTGGGATTAGATGCAAGGGGCAAGAATGTTGGTATTATTGGTATTGGAGGATTGGGTCACTTGGCTTTGCAATTTGCTAATGCTATGGGTGCCAATGTCACTGCATTCTCTAGATCCTCTTCCAAAAAGGAACAAGCTATGAAATTGGGTGCTCACGATTTCGTTGCAACTGGTGAAGACAAGACTTGGTACAAGAACTATGATGACCATTTTGACTTTATTTTGAACTGTGCTAGTGGAATTGATGGTTTGAACTTGTCTGAGTACTTGTCCACTTTGAAGGTTGACAAAAAGTTTGTCTCTGTTGGTTTACCACCAAGTGAAGACAAGTTCGAGGTTAGTCCCTTCACCTTTTTGCAACAGGGTGCTAGTTTTGGATCCTCTTTGTTGGGTTCCAAGACAGAAGTCAAGGAAATGTTGAATTTGGCTGCCAAACACAACGTCAGACCAATGATCGAAGAAGTGCCAATCAGTGAAGAAAACTGTGCAAAGGCATTGGACAGATGTCACGCTGGTGATGTGAGATATAGATTTGTTTTCACTGATTTCGACAAAGCATTCAAAGCTTAGATTTATAGAGTATATAGACAATAGAAATTAGTGTAACTAGCAAGGTGTAGTCTCTTGTGAGTAGACAAGGTTTGCGTAATAAAATGTACTCCCGAGCAGATATAAAAGGGGTATCCATACTCACAACATTCTATACATCTATCTAGGACAGTATAGCAAACCTGGGTTTTTGAACCAAGTCCCGTTTGGCTTCATTTATTCCGGCAGAGAATGATCTCGAATGTTTTCCAACACTACCGTCCGCACATTGGCCCGATTTGACCAAGTATTTATCCTTCTTTGTAGGTGTCACAAATGGTGGTAAGCCATTGAACCTATGGGCCGACTTGAATTCGTTTTCAAAATTGATAGGTTGGTAGAGCTCCTCTAGTTGTGTTGTTACTCCGTTACTGGTGATGTATCCTTTGAAGGAATTGATGCTCAAGTCTCTCAAGGGAGACCCATGGACTCTTCTACTGTACGTCAGTTTCGGCTGAAGGATGTTTTCTTGGTCATTGTGATTCAACTCATTGGAAGTGGGTGTACCGACGATTTCATGCGACCTGGTATCCACATTGTCCTCCCATATGGTAAATCCAAGTGTAGTAGCTGGTTTTGGCTTTTTGGGGGAAGGAGTACGAACCTCGGTGCTGGACCTTATAGGTGACTTATTCGTGTGTCTCCGACTTAACCCAAGGTTCTTCCTTTGTGGTGATAGTTGGTTCACATTGAATACTTTTGGTGAAAGAGCAGATCTCTTGGTGGGGGAAGGAGTGGAGGACATGGTTGGATCCAAGTGTGAAAGTTGCTGGTAGCAAGTGAATAATTGTTAGTCGTTGGGACGGAGTGTAAAGCCTTTGCTGAAAGAAATGCACTTTCAATATAAAGTTATTTTCCACAAAGGGGTGGTTTTGCTTTGTTTACCATATTTTTTTGTGAAACATTCCGAAAGCTGCAAAAATTGAGACGCGTCAAAGGGACAAAAGAGGCAAATAAATCTACATCTAAAGCAACCACAGCGAAGGGAGGACTATCTGTTTTACTGTTTATACAATCTACTTGGAACAAATGGCAACTTTGTCACCACCCCGTCCCTCAACTTTCCTCTGATTTCTATCTTGACTGGGGATCCAATCTTGGCTTTCTTGTCGATATAGGCTTGAGCAACGTTGCCCCCATTTGTAGGAGAAGGTGAGCCTGAAGTGATGTATCCGATTTCGGTTTTGCCATCTTCGCTGTAAATTTTATTCCCTTCTCTAGGGGATGGTCCTTTTGAAGTCAACCCTATTCTTCTATGTGTGGTTGACTTGTCCTTGATTTGACTCAAGATTTTAGCTGCACCATTAAAGCTTGAATCAGTCAATGCACGACGAGTTTTTGGAATCAACCAGGTCAATGATGCTTCAACTGGAGTTATGCCTTCTGTCAATTCATGTCCATACAAACACATACCTGCCTCCAACCTCAACGAGTCTCTTGCTGCCAATCCAATCGGCTTAGCAACATCGGGGTACTCGTTCACCAAAGTGTTGAAAAATCCCAAAGCTTCAGCTGCTTCGTCGGGGGTTGCTGATGGGATCGACAACTCAAACCCATCCTCTCCGGTGTAACCTGACCTTGCAAGGTGCACCGTAGCTGATATAGGGGCCAATTTAATAAACTTTGTCTGGCCAAAATAAATCTTGCTCAAATCTTCATTGGTAAATTTCTGTAAAAGCTCTTGCGCTTTTGGGCCCTGAATGGCTAATAAAGTTCCTTCAAATGTATTGTGTTGGACGTCATCAAATGCTTTCAATTCATCTTTGAGAAATTGGACATCTTTTTCCCTACACCCTGCATTTGTCACCATATAGTACTTGTCCTTTTCGTGTTTGGTTATGATACAATCGTCAATCACTCCACCCTCCTGGTTCAATAAAACCGATAAACTGGAACTATTCTCAGGGATCAAGTTCAAGTCGATTGGCGTTACTTTCTCTAAGAATGATTGTGCATCGGAACCACTTATATTGTGCTGCAACATGTGACTGACATCAAACAATCCTGCTTTGGATCTAACCCAATTATGCGAGTCTATGTGTGACTGAGATTCGTACAATACTGGCATTTCAAACCCAGCATAGGGAACCATCTTTCCCCCGAGTTTGACATGTGCCTCGTATAATGGGGTCTTCAAAAGAGTGCCAGTAGATGCAAGTCTCTTTTGAGTGTATTGTAGTGATCTGGTTAGCATTATGGGGAGTACTCTAGAGTCGAGGCAACTGGTATGGTGAGTGTATTTGGATTTTAATTTGTGGAGATGAAAAAACTATGGAGATCTCAGAAAACAGAGTCAATTACGGCTACACTTTGACTTCTTCTTCTGTTTTGTTTTTGTTTTGCACCCGGCATTCATTTCTCGATGAGAAATGTTCCATCCATTGGGCGTGATTGAGCAGCCACTACTAGCATCACCACGGATAATAACTCGATAGTCATTGCAATCATGTTGTAACCCAACCAAGACCACAATACTTTTCGTGACCTACTATGGTAGGCTTTATGGCTTTCTCCAGTGTGATATAGTGATGTAAGACTGGATTGTTTCAACACGGGATCTGTGTACAAATAACGCACCAATTTGAATGAATCGTAGATCCAGAGCAATGGCACAAGCACTCCAATCAACATTATTTTGAAACGACTCTTCCTTTCTTGCCTCCAGCATTCGCACAAGTTACATTCACACTTGGCATTTGTCTTCTCGGGATATATATCCACCGAGTACCCCAAACACTCCATTTTTCCACCAGATTCAATCATAGATTCAATCATAGATGTAATTGTGGGTGCTTGGTTAGATAGTTATCGCTGATCATATCAGCACACTTTTCTCCTTTTATATGCTCTTTTGCAAAAGGTCTCATGGATGATGAAAATTTCCATTTTGGGACGTGACAATGAGTGATGCCTGCTACATTGTGAATCTTCGTCTTTCAGTGCTAGTGATTTGTAGCAGGGCCGTTTACAGACTGAACTAGGAGCTCCTCAAGCTCCCACTGAACACCCGTACGATGGTATGTTAGATTAAGCGTGGGATTACTGGAGCATCTTACAAGATATTTACATAATCAATTCTGAACAGGAAGTTGAGCGGCAGAGCAACGACTTCGAAAATCAATTGATCCTGTCGAGCATTTCAACGAGAGTCCGAGCCATTTCCACCAATAGTTATACATTTTCACCTGGCCGGCAAAATCATGATAATCATGGAAAAGTTGCGCGCACTAAAGGGAGTTTCTGTCTTCCCCCCCGTTTCGGGTCTAAACCTCGATAATGAACAACCGTACTACACCCATTGAAACCGACAAATGTAGACTAATCTCAGTCGTGTTTCTAGATCATTGTGATTAGAACACAAAGTTACATACACAGCGCAAAGTCATGCAGTGCTGCATTTTGGAAAATTGGGTAACCTTCGTCGTGTCGCGAATTGGGCATAAAGCTCATAACTCCTCCTTTGCCAACAAACGACAGATCAGCAGCGGTCACGGTTTGTGTTATGACTATACTTTTTGTCCCGATGACAGTTGTGGTAAAGTCTGTAAAAAATTGTGTGTCACACAAAATCATTAATGTTTTGAAAAAAAAAAGTAAATATAAACAAAAGTACAAAGACGATTGCAACGCGGTATAAACAATACAAAAGTAAAGCGATCCCTTTTATTGTTTGCTGTGGTAGTTTCGGAGGCTGAGGCGCAAGAGTTCTAGACTTCAATGCTGAATTCTGCGCTCTGTGTCCGTGTAGAGTGTCATGCAGTAAGGACCCCCTGCTGGCATACACACGCCCATGCACAAAACAATAGAAAAACACGATCTAAGTGAGCAATTATATTCTTTAGACCTCACATTGGGCCGACTTAGTCTAGCCTTTCAGAGCTTTTTGTAACCGACCTAATGCCATTTTGCAACCGGGGACCACTTTGAATCCGATACAGCTGGATTCCAAAAAAGAGTACAGTTTGAAGGCTTTCATCTACGAGTTTGATAAAATGTGCTAAATTCCAAAAAACGATAAGTTTAAAATTCTAAAGTATCATTGACAAGAGTTCAAAAGTACACAAGCGATGACCATAATCCGTGAAATACAAAAATGTAAAAACCGTAATGTAAATGAAATGTAAGCTGTCGATAATCCATAAAAAAAAAAAACCTGGTGAACTTTTCCTTTCTTTTAGAAGTATGTGTCAATGTAAAATCCTCAGCAATTGATATGACGATAAAGACCGCTCAACAATTGTGGATATCACACCAAGCGAAGCACACAATTGGGGTAGAGCATTGCAATGTTATCGGCATCTCTATAATCAACTGATGCAATTCAGTATCTATTCTCTTCAATTGTTAACCACCTTCAATGATCCTGGCTCTCTAGCTATCATATCAGGTAGTGAACCATTACTCAATTTCCTCCTACCAAATTCCGGCTCTGGTGAGTTTGCATTCAAAAATTGGAATTGATGAGTTGATGGTTGTTGTTGTTGTTGTTGTTGTTGTTGCTGTTGCTGTTGCTGTTGTTGCGGGTATCCATTTAGTTGAGATAAACTATTTTTGTAATGTAGACTTGCATCGCCTCCATTGTTATAATCATCGAATGCATAATCATCTTGATGTGACCCTAGCGAGTGGTCTCCACCACCTCCACTAGTTCCACTTGAGCTTGAATTCGGCTTGTGACCAAATACTCCGGTTGAGCTGTTTCCACTTCCAGATGATCCATGGAACTGACCGTTGTTGTTATTGTTGTATTGTCTTGGTGTTTGTTGAAGTGATGGAGACCTTCCTGGACCATTGGGGAATTGTTGTTGTTGTGAGGTGTCAAAGTAGTTGTAACCACTAGCCAATAAGAAAGGGTTAGGGTCCAGATTTGGTGGTGGTGTTGGTGTGCCGACCTCTGACATTTCGCCCTTTGGACCAGATAACGTAAACTGATCATCGACATCGTCATCGTCTTGTTTTCTCCGCCTAAACCAACAAAATGCAAAAAGTAGTCCCGCAATAACGGCTACACCAGCAACTGATCCAACAACAGCACCGGCAATAACACCTCCAGAAGTACCTTTGTCTTTGTTCTTGTTGGAGTTCGATGTCTCAGTTGTGGAAGGTGCAGATGAATCTGTTCGTGATGCATCAAGTGCTTGTGATGAAGTGTTTGCAGATGGTGTAGATGAAGAAGAAGATGTTGTTGCAGTTGACGATAATTGTGATGACGGGGATTCTATGACTGTGCGATATATTATTGACTGCAGTTTGGTATTCGCTGAATTTACAACTGTAGATACAATCGTTGTTGGTTGTACTGAAGATGCAACTTCTACTGTTGTTTCAGGTTCCTGTGACGTGGCTGTTGTTTCGGATGTTCCATCATCATCATCGTTGGATGTACTTGACGGTTGTGCGGTGGTGGTTTCTCGAATAGTGCTTGTTTGTGGTTGTTGTGACGAGGAGCTAGAGGAGCTCGAAGATGTAGATGATGATGTTGACGAAGATGACGAAGTTGAAGATGACGAAGTTGAAGATGACGTACTGCTCAGTGACAGACTACTTGAACTCAGTTGTGTGTCTTCGCTGTCAACATCTGAATTGACATAAACGGTATAGTATCCACTTCCACCACATTTTTCCTTATCATACCCTTGACAAGAAGTATCACAATTTGAATCATCAGCTGAACCCAGTGAAGGATCAGAATCCCCACAGTAACACTGACTACCATTGATAAGAGCTGCTATTCTTTTTCCTTGACATTCGTCTTGACAATGACCTGATGATTGCCATATGTACTCACCTTTAGATTGTAAGTTTGATAATGATGAACTCTTGTAACAGCCCAGACTTGACCAACTATCAGCAATGGTTGTGGAACTGAAAAACGATAGAAGTAAAAGGAGCTTGTTCCTAGGTAGCATGGTGATAATTGCGAGTTATAATAAGATATTATATAAGTTGGCGATAGGTTTGATGGTAAAAGTAGAACCCTGTGAGTTGATGTAAGGCCAAACCAACTAGTTAATGTAAGGGGAGGGAGTTGATATTATTATTATTATTATTATTATTATTATAGTAGCAAAAAATTTGGAAAGAACAGAATAGTGTGCGTATTTTGGTGTTGATAGCGAGTGGCTAGTTAGGTGTCAGATGATGGATGGTTGTGAAGAGTGGGAGGGTTAACGATGGTGATGAATGAAGAGCGATGAATGGACTTGTTGACGGTTTAGTTTTTTTTTTTTATTATTGAATCCTCTGTCTGTATATTTTAGTTGATCAAGTATTTGACTGACGACATAAGTGTATGAATGTTGTTGTTTGTTTGTGTTTGTTTGTTTGTGTGTGTTTCCTGTATATAAGCTACTGAATAATGAGATGTCACTGGTAGACTGCATATAATTCACCAAAAAAAGAAATTTAAAAAAAATTCTAATTTTGGTAAACAATCAACAGTGACACAAAAACACCAATACACCAATATACCAATACACCAATACTACAGACTACAAATACAGAAGCGTATTCCCAGTTCATCCGATGCACTAAGTGTGTGTGATGAACTTCTCACATTTGAGCTAAGATTGCAAGCCTCGCATACAAATTCCATCAGGTGATCTCTTATCCGGTGAAAAAAACCCTCCAATCAGTTACAATTATTTCTTCTCCTTAGTATACTCCTCCAAATCCGCCTTTAACCCTTTTTCTCACTGTTTTACAAATTGAGAAATTTTTCATCCCAAATCGGATCACAGATGCGCATTGTGATCTATGTGTTACATTCACAGGTGAAATTTTTCAGCTCTTCCTATATATATACACAACTTATTGTTCAATAGGGAAGAAAAAAAGGTAAAGAAAGCAAACTCTTTGAGCAATTTGGCAAAAAATCCTTCTCTCAAAAACACAAAACATATAAGAAAACTTGCACGCACAAAAAGGAGATTCAAAACTAAGCAACTTGAACGCCAAAATATTTACTCCACCTATAAAGTGGAAAGATTTTAGTAAGGTGCAAGAATAAACTAAGAAAGACCAAATGCATTTCCCCAACTAAACTCACACCAGCCTCCCAAAAATGTGGTTGAGATAGCAAAGAGATAAATCACCGTGTAAGACTAAAAATGCTGTAATCCCTTAGAGTACTAATATATTTTTTAACTCCATCACACTCAATGTACCTGGACGCCCTATATAACCTTAAAGTGATCCCAAAAAAAATTAATACTAATGATAATAATAAATAAAACCCTCAATTTCAAAACATTAATTTCGTTCGCTTTAGTTGAACTTGAAACGGTCACGGTATTGATAGTCATCACACGACGCTACAATCCAAACGCTGTGTTCTTTTCAAAAAGTGGATCATTTCAACATTTCAACACACTGCAAGTTTTGTATCAAAAACAAGGCTTGCTCCTCCACTACAAGCTGATCTCGTTTTAGTTTTGTGCATCTATATTTCTCTGGTAGCGTTTTCGGCGTTAAGTTTCACCAAACATCGGCGTCATGTTACATTTTGTAACTGGATCACTCCTAAACATTTTGTGCACTTCCTTCAATTTGGAGAGCCATCCGAATGACAAAACGTTTGTTGACTTTGAAAAAGATTAGAATTCTTTGAGTAGTGGAGAAAGGTGGGAGAGAGAGAGAGAGAGAGACTGAACTGTTTAAAGTCCTCGCTAAGATTTCTTTAAAGTCAATGAAACAGCGCACAAAAGATTCTTGATGCTTATGCTCATCACCAACTGTTTGCAACGATGAAACGAAATTTGAAACTTCTTTGTAATTTCGTAAATACTATCCACTAAAGTTTTTCCTTCACAACAATTTCGTTTCAGGTTCGGACTTGTTTTTGATTGCTACTGCGACATGCTGCTCCATGCAGAGTTTGCATATGTAGTTGTTGACACACAAAAAAATCATTTTTGTCAGCGTGTCTGAAATTTTCACTTAAAACAAAGATTGAAAAGTCTTGGAACACAAGAGCCAAAAACTAATAATTACCTTGGTAAGTGTTTTTCTCTTCCTCCGGGGGAGGGGGGGGGGAGGAATATATCTCTCTACTTGCATGTCAAAGCATCTTTTGTTTTTCATGTGTAAAGTGCACGTTTACGATATTGCATGATTCCCCTTGTTTTCTTTAAAATCAGACCCATACACGCAATTGGACGGGCTTAACGTAGCCCGTTTTTGAGCATTTGTAAAAATTTACCTCTGGCGCTGCCTTATCTTATAGTTGAGGTTTGAGTGGAAACCCTCATACCACGGTGGCTAGAACATTCAAACTGAAGTAAGATTTCATCTCAATGATTACGCCAAAGCACAAGTGCGTCTTGATACACTTGTGCTGTCCTCTGCAGAATTTTGATACAAAATTACTCAAAGTTATACAATTATCCCAGAATGGCACAGAAGTTTTGATCCAATATTAACTGTTTGAGCCTTCATTTCACGACTCTGTTTAATGTCCAATCGCCACCACACCTAAATACACATCCAGAAGATCTCTTGCCCTTGAGTACAAACAACATCAAATTGTTGCAAAACTTCATTCAAGTCGTGTACGATATGAAAAAAATACACCTCAAATTCAAAAAAACGAAAATCTTTCCATGCTCCCCAACTCATTCTTTTTCTTCCTTATGTCAAATAGGATATAAAGAAAATTCATTCAACTTGAGATTATAAACTGAACATGTGACCCAGTCAAATGGATTGTTACAGTTTGGTTGATGTCATACCTTGATTTATATTTCTTAGAATCCTAAGAGCAGAACAAGCCTTTTTCGCTAACCACGATCATTTTTAAATCCGTAGATCGTTGTTTGATAGTAGTTGGGCTGACATTCTTTTCAACCGTTGTGTATAGTGTGCAGGTGTGGCATTGTCAAAGAGCTGCAACTGAACCTCGTTAAGGATTTACTAAAGGACTACCTTGAGAAGTATCAAGTGTGACGAAGTTGTGGATAATCTTTGCTATTCACTAGAGTTTGCGATCCCCTCTTGGTAAAGACGTTACTTCGATGTGTATTACATGAAATTTCGAGAAAGGGGGTAAACTCAAGGAACAGTTGCCACACCAGGAACGTTTCCCAAAATTCAACTCTCGTTTTTTCTTTTTCTAACAAAACGAGTGCTAGCACGTACTAACAACTAAACCACTGACCTATATGACATCCATAAAATCTATTGAAAACATTGTAAATGTTTACGAGTCAGAGATTGATCAACTCAAACTACCGGACTTGTTCACATTACACAAGTATTCCCCACTAAAAAGCACGTCACAACAACGTATATCCCCATCACCGTATATTGCCCAGTATAAATTGCAATTGCTACAAACGTCATTACTACAGCAATCGTCCTCAATAGATCAGTTCAAGAGTAACAAGCTGTATCAAAAGCTCAAACTGAGGATAGACACATTACTAGTTGATGTAATTGATGAAAAGTTGTACGTTGTTGATCAATTGATTGAATGGTATAATATCGAAAACACACCACGTGCAAATTCAACAAGCAAAGAGACAAGAGAAGAATCACCCAGCAACCTCACTTCGTCTACTGGCAATGGTCACGGTAATGTCAATGACGAGAATTTGACTGAACTTCGTAATCGACTTTTGTCCAACTCCAAATCGAAATTCAATCTTGAATCAGCATCACCCAATGACGTTGATAAACTCAATACCTACCACGAATCAATCCAAGATGATATCCTTAATGAGTTGTCTCAACTCACATCAACATTGAAAACGAGTGCCATGTCGTTGAGCTCCAAGATTTTGGGTGATGATTTATCAATCCTTAATGAAACCAATGAAAATATAATTCGAAATTCAAACTTGTTCAAAGTTATTGATCGCAATTTGAATAGTTATTTGGAAAACAAGACTGGTGGCAGAATCAGTTTGTGGTTTTTGTTGAAATGCGTTGTTGGTGTAATTGGAGTGTTTTTGTTGATGATGATCTTTGTTGTAGTTGTTCCGAGAATAAGATAACAAATAACAGCTACAAGTGGACCTATAAGAGAGGCAGAACGCGAGACTTGATTTTTCAAAGAATAATGGCTATATATAAAAATTGTATAAAATGTATGAAAGTACAAACTTTTAAATATGTATATTTTTTAAAAACCAGATGGAACAGCACAACAAAAGAGCCCAAAAATACGTAGCAATTATCAAGAACAAAATCACAAATGTGTACACAAATTAATCTGAAATAAAGAAACAAAAGAATGTCAAAATTGCATCGTCATCAGACATCATAAAAAAGGTGATAAATAAAAATGAAATGTAAAGAAGGGGTTGTCGATCAACCAATGCAGCAGCGTCGTACACTCCCTTAGTGGAATCCAGAAAGGTTTGGCGTTTGTAAAGGCGAGTTTGAATTGCTTTTCGATGATGTTGTTGTAATTTCAAACGCATTATGACCAGTTTGTAAGCCAGTGCCTTCTCTTAACTCTTTGAAATCATTCAAGTCAGATAATGACCCATGTACACTGCCGCTAGCTGCAGTACCAGTTCCACTATCAGCGGCACCGGCAGCACCGGATGCACTAGCTACTCCAGCTACTCCAGATGCGGCAGCAACATTTTCCAAAAGACCCAAAGCTCCACCAGCAAAGGGTAACCCTTGATTTTGAAATTGTCTTGGTAAATTTCCACATCTATCTTTACCGAAATTGATTTTCAAATTCTTGTAATCGGGAAACAGTTTAATACCATCAATAGCCTTGATAGCATTGGCAATATTGACAAAGTTGATAAAAGCACAGTTCTTCTCCTCAAGGTAATTAATCTGTTCAATGTCACCAAATTTCGAAAAATCTTCTCTCAATTTGCGTGGATTATAAAAGTCAAAATTGTTCAAATTTCCAATATAGATGTTTCTTGAAGCACCATTGGAAACGGCTAAACTGAGGGCATTGCTCAAGGGGCCGGAGTGCTTACCCCAACCAACTTTGATTCTTCTATTATGGATAGTCAATCCGTGTAATTGGCACATGGCAAAAAATTGGGCAGCAGCAATGGGGTCAATAAATGTAATAAAACAAACATGTCTTTCTTTTAAAAACCGAATACTCTGCAATAAACCTCCACGAACAACATTGCATATCTCCTCAACAGAAGAGTCTTGATGTAAGTTTCCCAAATAAACAGTACGGTTTCCCAAATTATTAGCTCCACCTGCTTGAGTTGCAATTTGCGCTGCTGCAGCTGATTGTTGTACCAAGGCACTCGAAATAAATTCACGATCTGCTGCAGTAACAATATGTTCCATTCCTGGGGCCAAACCCAAATATTGAGCTGCATTATGTTGTTGCGTCTTGGTGATGAATGCACATCTATCCTTTCCATAAAAGCATTTTTTGTCCAAATATTTTTCCTTCAAGGGTAAGTTGGCGACACATCTAATAGCACTAAGAATACTCAAAAAATGAATGAATGCGATACCCTTTTCTGGGATGATTTTAATGCTATCGATTATGCCATAACAAGACAAGTCTTCTTTCAACTCTTCTTCAGTAATCATTTCCCCCGTAATTGGGTTGTTCAAATTTCCCAAATAAACATTTCTGGTAGCACCATCTCTTTGAATAGCTTCCAATACAGCTGGTAAAATGGGTGTGTTCTTACCCCATCCAATCCTAATGTCATGACCCTTGATGTTGAGCTTCTTTAATAAACAATCAGAATGGAAAAGTAATGCCAGTTGGTGGTCGATAAATGAAATGAATGCACAATTTTTGGCGGGAATGATTTTGACATTTTCAAGGATTCCTGAACGCACGTAATCCAATAGCTCATGAGGCTCAATATCAGAGGGAATGTTTCCCAAATACACTGTCCTAGACGGAGCTGCATTGGAAGCAGCGCCAACAGCAATAGCTCCAGCTCCAGCTCCAGCCCCAACTCCAGCTCCAGCCCTCGCTCCAGCACCCAAGGCTTGCGTATTACCTACGCTTGGTCCATTGGTGTTATCGACTTGTTGCTGAAAATTGTCGTTCAAGTGCCCCATAAAACTTTGATCGTACTCATTGGGTAAAATATTGGTATAAGCAATCTGTCCATTGGGTCCATTGCCATTTGAAAATGAACCATCCTCAGTGAAGAATTCGCCACCAACGGTAGACCCAATTGTCGGAGCGTCAATGCCATTGAAACCGTTATTTCCTTGGAAAGAGCCATTGTTATTGTACTGCGAAAAGTTATTGACGTCAAATTCAGGGTTGTAATGATTAGGATTCACTAAATTGGACGTGTTTCCAGAATTAAAGCCACCAAATTGTCCTTGGGCGTTATTAAAGTTATTGTGAGATCCGTCAATTTCGTTGTTAGCGTGATCACCTAATAAAAATCCCTCTCCTTCGCCATATTGGGTTCGTTGTTCGGTATAGTACTGTGGGTAGTATTGTTGTCCAATATACTGTTGAGACATTCCTTGATATGGATCGTAATAGGACATGTTGAGAAGCAGATGTAATTTTCAAATAAAAACTTGATCCGTAAAATTCTTTAGCTTTGAGTGATGAAACGGTGTTCTATAATGAATGGATAATGAAGTGAAGTGGTTTTGAATAAGGGGGGGTACAGTAGTGGTAGTCTATTATACAATGAGTAGTTGAAAAATGCAAAAAATTGAAAATTGAAAATTGAATCAGTGAAGTCTTTCGCTTACTTCTATTGTCTCTAAAACCAAACTGACCAGCGGTGAAATAAATGTAAAGTCAAATGCAACAGGATATGCTAAGGTAGAAATGTTGTACACCAACTGGGGTTCTCTTTAATTCTTCAAAATGTGAACAAGGTTTGGGAAAAGAAAAATCTTAAAAAAAAACCGTTGAAAAAATAAAAGAAACAAGAATGAAAAATTGGATTGAACAAAATGAACTAATGTGATATATGCAAAAGACTCGAAATGAATTTGGAAATAAAAAGTTGTTAAAACAGTGTGGAATGTTCTAAGTGAATGGAGAATGTTTGTAGTTTGAGTGTATTCGAAATACTGTGGTTTATTCTTTATGAAAATAAAGTTGGATCAAACAGAATCATCTAAAAAAAAAAAGATGAGAGAAATCGAGATGAAGAAGAGGAAAAAAAAAAAGATGGTTATGCCGCTACCAACTGAATTGCATATAGAAAGAGATACTTCCATCCTAATCAAGTTTCTACATGACCAGTATTCTTCAATAGATATGGTAGATGAATAGAGTATGTAAACACTATGAATTAATCCACGTTTCTGCTCATTCAGAGCTTTGCGATTTTTTTGTAGGCTGTATTATGTAAGCCATTGCGATATACCGAGAAGTTCCGCGATAAATGCATATGATCCACCGCACAATTGTATTTTATAAAATAGTCTAAGTAAAGAAACGGTTTCGTGGGAAAAAATTTTCGATTGCACTGTGCCAGCTGCATCGCTCCTTCACTTTGCGCAGTAGGAGTTTCGGATACGTTTTGGGTTCTTGCGGTTATTTTCAGAGGTTTTTTTCATTTCATATTCAGAATGTATGATCTGCGCCCTTTACGAAGTTTCGAGGGTTCATGTAAGAAATGCGGATGTGTGAATACGTCACCACTTTCTACGCTTACGTTGTCATCATTATATTACAATCATGTCATAAATAATTAATCTCGTAAAAGTCATAAATGGTTGTTCAATTAATCATCATCATCATCATAATCATCATCATCTGCATTACTATAATCTGTCTCCACCTCTGCTTGACTTCTCGCTCGTTGGTTGGTGGGTGGAAGATTTCGTTCACTCTTTGCTTTTGGTTCTTTTTCTGAATAGTCGGTTCTATCTTGAAATGAATTGTTTGCGTCTGGTTTAGATTCGAAAACACTCTTGTCAAGGCTATCTTCAATGAATGAGTCTTCAAAGTTTTCATTCTCTAAATTGTTGCCTTTTTCACCAGTTCGAGTCACCTTCTCATCCTTATCCTCATTCCTGCCCTTGTCCTTGAGCTCATCATCTTGACCCGATGTCCCGTCAGAATCATCACTTTCATCAAAGCTATATTCAGTTTGATATTCACCATCTTGATTTCCTTTTTCGCCATCCTTTTCTTCGTTGCTTTCTTTTTCTTCCTCTACGTCTTCTTCACCACCTTCATCTCCTTGTTGCGATTCAACACGCGTAACATTGTTGAACACTTCACGATCAGTCTCCAAGTTCAACGAAGGATTTCGAGATCGCCTTAATAGACTCTCTACTTTCAAGGTATCTTGAGAATCTTCGTTTCGTAATGAAAAGGCGTCTGGGTTAAATGGTGTACTGTTAGGATACGGATCTGGTTTTACTCTTACAGAATTTGAATCATCCTTCAATTCAGGAGATCTAGGCGCAGTTAGCGTAATGCGCTCACGTTCGGGACGAAAACCAAAATCGGAACCATTATCGGAAGGATCCACCCCTGAACCTACTTCCGGCTCTATCTTCACCACGGGTTCTTTCTTCACTCCTGTCTCTCCCTTTACATTCAACCAAGAACCATTCTCTCCATCATGAGATTTCGATGCATGTTTGAGTCTCGGCTCTTTTTTGACCTTGGTGTATGCCAAATGTCCATAATTTTCATCGATTTCATCAACATCAGTAAAATCAGTGTCATCTTTGTATTCTTCAAAATCATCCTCACTATCGACTTTTCTCGTATTCATTTTCTGTTTCTTCGAACTGACTGCCTTCATTTTCTTGGACCGCTTTCTCCGATTATACCTTTCTTTTGGATTGGTTACACCTTTCCCATTGTTTTGAACCATGGCATTATTCAAGAAATTGGCATTCAACCCAAGCAACTCAGTTTTTGGTAGATCATTTCTTGCCAATTCGTATATGACATCCTTCTTCAAGTTCATTTCTTGATAAAATTTGGATTCCATATCTACTCTGATATCTTCGAAATCAATCTTTGTTTGTTCCATTGCTTGTTGCAAAAGATTATTATCTGTTTGTAGTCGTTCTTTCTCTGCCTTATCTTGAATATATCTTCTGGTGACTTCTTGCCTTTGGTAGTAAAGCAACTCCATCCAATTGAATAAATTACCCTCATTTTTCAAATTTTCCGACGTCTCAAAATCCACTGACTGCATGTCAAACTTTCCAATTGTTGGGTTGAACGTTCCGCTACTTTTGATTTGTATCTGCAAGGTGTCTGTATTGAGGCCTTCACCTTTCCTGAAACGACTTTCCAGTACACGTATCTTTGCACCGATTAAAAGCAGTGTGTGCACTCCAACTTTATTTCCACTTTCCAAAAAGGTCTCTAAATCTAGTGGAAACAAATCCGTAAACACATCGTACGCCTTGTCGCGACTGACTTTGATTTTTGTTGATGACAAATTGTCGAAAATGCCGTAAATGTTCTGCTTGGTGATCGTTGCATGATAGTATCCCTCTTGCCAAATTGCAACTAGTGAAATGTTGATGAAGTTGGGGTCGTCGCTGGGTTCGTAATCAGCTTTAGTAACATGAACCCAAATCCAACTTTTCGAAAGTGTTGTCGATGTTGCCTCATTTTCTATTATCAATGGGATTTGTACAATACTGCCTTGTAGGGGTAGCTCCTCTTCGGCTCTAAAACTATTCATATGGCCAGTACATTAAAAATTGTGTATGGTGGGGTTGACACGTAAATGAGCGCCTATTGAAAAGGAACCTTTGATGTGTCAAAAAAAAAAAAAAAAAAAAAAAAAAAAAAAAAAAGAAACAGAAATTGGGAACTTGTAGTTTGAATTAATTTTCAAGATTTTGCAAAAATGAGCTTATATGCAGTTAACCTGACACCACAGATAACGAAATATTATAACTTCCCAAAAAATATATATATATGATGGGAGGTAGTAGTAGAAGTATAGTCATTCAAAAAAAGACTTGCGTGTTATTTTTTTTTTCAGGACTTATGATTCATCTCGAAAGGCACGACTTGACTTTCTCTAAGGCCTATTTTGATGGAGTTTTTGTCCAATTTTACTACTAAATTCTTGGTAAAGAATTGGAGCGACTAGAATAACACCTAAAATGAGGATAAAAAGTTCTTTACGAGGATGTCTGATAGTTAGTTTGCTCGTGAAAAATCCCTCGATGAAGTTGTACCCACAAGGGGGCTAGTGTTGGTGTTGCAAAAAAAAACCACGACACAAAAATCGAGAAATTGTTATGTGCTACCGATTTTACATTTATCATCTGCACGCGAGCGTGCTGCCGAAAGGGAAACGGAAGCTGACTTTTAATAGATTGCTCAGCTAATGTTGCCGCATGATACTGCATCACCTCAAATGACTTTGAGGAAACTACTATCTCAATCATGACATCCACATATAATGGACTCGATTCTCTCCGAGTAAGCAAAAAATCAATGTTAAAATTGATCATCTTTTATAAATGGTGTCAGTAGAAGGAAACAATGAACCAACGCCTCTCACTCCAGTGGAAGCTGGGCCATCTAACCCACAGTTTGTGCCTCAAACGAGCATGCATTCAACATTAGTTTCAGACGATGAACGGACAGTTATAAACAATCAAAAGGTACTCAGAAGAGATTTAAAAAGACCATCCGAGGGTGAGTTCAACCCGGGATACAGTGCTTGGCCTCAGCATAAATGGGGAAATGCATCGGCAGTTGGATTGGCTGCGTTTGCATTGACTGCTTTTGCTGCTGGATTGATCTTGGCTCGAGCAATGGGTATTACTACGTTGAATGCGGTTTTAGGTGCAGCAGTATTCTACGGAGGAGTGGTGCAATTCATGGCTGGTCTTTGTGAACTTTTCATTGGTAATACCTTTGCTGCAACAGCATTTGTTAGCTATGGGAGCTTTTGGATGTCATTTGGAGCTATATTCATCCCCACTTTCGGTATAATACAAGCCTATGGAGGTGCTGATACTGCTGAATTTGGTAACGCAGCAGGGTTTTTCATGCTTGGTTGGGGTATTTTCACATTTATGATGTTGCTTTGTACACTCAAGTCAACATGGCCATTTGTTTTATTGTTTTTCACTTTGGACTTTGGATTCTTTTTACTCGCAGCTGGCTTTATGAGACAAAGCGTTCGCTGTATCCGAGGTGGTGGTGTTTTGATTGTGATCAGTGCATTGTTTGGTTGGTATAGTTGCTTTTCTGGAGTTTCCAATCACTTCAATAGCTACTTTGTATTCCCGACATTGCCTTTACGAGTATTCCATAACAAAACGAAAACCTTACCTAGTTAACTCACGGGGCTGATTATCACCTATCTATTTAATATTATTGAACATGCTGCCAGAATAACTCCCTCGTTTAACTCTAGTAAAAAGGGCACCACCCAAAATACAACAACGACAAATTTTGAGGACTTGTCGCCTCTTGTATCAACTCACGCACTACTGCCTCGGTACTTAAGCTACTAGCAACTAACTTGTCAGACACAGCTAGCACTGCTCGCCCCGCATCTGAACCATCTTGCTCTGGTTGTATTCCCAGTCTAGCCTCCTCCTCTTGTAATCGCTTCTTTCTGATTGGTGACAATGTCCATGAGTATAATGGATCCCATCTTAGCACATCTAAAATGGAGATGATGTGATCTCTGTTCTCCCTTAAAACTCTCATAGTATGCTGACAAGACTTCCGAAACACACCATCCACTCCAGTTACTCCAAAACCATCAACTATGTCTCGAGTTAACCTAAAAGGAACAGTTTCTGGAATAGCCAAATGTTTCCCCTGGTCAAATGCTACACCAAGGTCAATGTGTATCGGTTCTCCGTTTTGTTTATCAAGTAGGATATTGTTGCAATGCCTATCACCTAGACCCAAAATGTGACCAACTATAGATGATGTTGCAACACCGTGCGTGTATTTGACTCTGCTCTCAAACCATTGGTCTGGGGTGGGGAAGCAATCTTGGAAGAATATATGCAAAACAGGCTTAATTTTTGCCTCAATTTTTTGATACTCATGGAGTCGCTCAATTTTATCTTGATTCTGGCATTGCCGCATTATATCTCGAGCCTTTTCAAGTTTCATTTTGTCGTTCTTGGCATGATATGACAGAATTGCGTCCATAAATGATGTTGAATTCGGAACAAATTCAATCACGCCCGATCGCGGACCAAGAGGCACAGCATTGTACGTCCTGATGGCTAGTCTCCTTTTGCTACACTCCCTATCTCTTGCAAATATATTTTGAACTTTGTCAAACACCTGTTCCATAATCGAGTCTTGGCGAAGATCATCTGTTCCATGTTTCATCAACATCACATGTGTTGATCCATCCGAAAGAATGAATTTGACAATCTTGGGCAAACTTAAGCCAGTAGATGCAACTGAGATTTTCTTTTCAATTTTGGTTATAACAGGGATGTCCTGGTAGGATTTCGATTTGTCAACTTTGAGAGATTTTGTAGGAGGAGGAATTTGTGGCAAATTATGTAACCAAAATGAAGAGTAATCAGGCGGTAGCTTTTCCAAACTGAATATTTTGCCTCTTGACACCTTAAACTCGGCCAATCTGATGCACTCATCATTGAATGTCTCAATTTTTCTCAACGTTCCATGTACAAAATCAAAACTCTGATTCATTAATTCCCGCCACAATGCTTCTGCTGCAATCGCCTTAGACACAAGCAAAGGGTTAGCATCCTTCTGTGCCAACTGCTTATGTTTCTTTAAAGAATACAACAAATGCAATGTATGGTACGGGTGGTCAACACACATTAGCAAGATTAACTGCTTCAAAAGAGTTTGGAAACTCGTTATTTCTTTTGTCAACCGCGAAATCAATTGAGCACACCAGCTCAATAACTTATGCGTGGGTAATGATAGAAGCTTCGGTCCTATGACATCATTAAGATCATCATCGGTGGATTGTTCCAACCACAAGGCACAAAATTTGTCCATATCCTCCTCCAAGAAGTCATTCACACACATGGCATGTAAATAGTACTCAATCGCTTTTACTGCAAATTGTTTCCTGCTCGCCCTAGCATAATCTAAATCCATACACTCTGCTTTGTATTGTACTTTCAACTTGGAATAGAACTTATTGATTGATCGTTTTTCTTCAGAAGAAAGTTGCGAAGAGCTATAGTGACTTTTCAATTCCCCAATCTCGGTTTCCTTTTCCTGAACACGTTTCTCCAATATTTCAATTTGTTCACTTAATGACTTTGATTTGCACTGGGTATCACAAAATTGTGCCAACAATCGAAATATTTTTGACTGCTGTACTTGATCATCCAATCTCAAGGCCCTTTCCGCTGTTGGTAGTACGTGGTTCTCCATTAAAGTTGACGACAACTCTAGACGCGATTCCGACATCCACTCTATCATTATTGCTTTAATCATGAACTTATCCACCTTTGATTCCTGATCGTAAATATCGACCCCACCAGCATTGTACAACTCTTTCAATATCAAAACAGGAACGTTGGTTACACCCTGTTTCCACATGCACTGTGCTAGTTGGAACAGCGATAAATGTGACAAGTTCTGGTACAATGCATGTTGTGAATTCTGCAACTTGTTACAGATATTGTCGATCAACACCGTAGATGAAATCATCTTTTGTTGCTCATTGTTCACCCGAGCAAGATTGTTGTATAAAACCAATTCTCTCAAAGACAATGACCAAAGCAGATCACTAGGAGTGTGGGAAGGAGGGTGCTCAGCCAATATTTGAAAACTTGTTTGCTTTGCCAAAAGTATATTCTCATATTTTGCAAAGTCAGGAAACTCCTCGTCTGAAGTTGAAAATGAAGTACCACAAACTGTATCTTCGATGGCGGTCACTGCAGCTAACGATTTTAACCAACCCATAAAGTTTGTTCGTACGTCCTTTACACTCATTGAGTCGCCCCTTGTATGCATATCCATTAGTCGCAAAAGCGATTGGCGACAAACATGTTCTCCATTTTGTGGAAAGTCATGCACCTGTTTTAATACTTTATATATCAGCTGGTGTTCATTTTGTTCCTCTGTAGGTATGGGTTGATCCCACTTTGATAATTTCCAGTTCCACTCGTAAGTTTCGTTCTCGGTGACAGATTGATTCATGGTTTTGCTAATTATCAGTGAAATCCCCAACATGCCAGCGCTTGTCATCATTGTTGTAAAGTTGTCCAAAAGGGGTGCATTCAATTTCAAGCTGGAATCCAAGTATCCACTGCTGTACTGGAATTGAATATTAGAAGCACCAACTTGGAATTTCAGAGTCAAGTAATGGTCTAAGCTTGTATTCTCGGGAAGACCATAAATCAAATCCACATCATCTAAGCCCTCGTATACCTTTTGCAATGTCAGATATTGGCTCTCAAGTGATACCGGTGTTACTTGGTCAAAAAACGCATCTTCGAAAAGCATCAATGCTGATTTGTGCATTTTACTCATTGAAGCTAGCTCATAGTACTTGAGTATATCCACCTTTTGATACACATTAGCAAAGAAAGGATTATTGAAAATTTTCGATGCGAGCCGTATACCCAACAAGATGCCCACAAAAACTCTGGTTGCATCATTTCCATGATATTTCAAATTTGCAAAACGATTCAACAAAGCAATCACGGTTTCTTCCCCTTTGGATTTTGCAAGGCTGAGGTAAAAGCAAACCAAGGGTGAAATTGTCTCTGAGGCAAATACAGGGACCTTTATCACAAATACGCTCATAATAGATCCAATAATCGTAAATGCGGCTACCTCTTTGAGAATCGCCAAATAAATCTTGGAACTCCAACTATCTTGATTTGAATCCAAAAATGAGTCGAGAGTGTCGATTATGTTGGAAAGTGAAGAGTGAGCTATACTATCATCTGGTTCATCATTGAGCAATACACACGCCTGAAATTTTAATGGCCGAATGTATCCTGACATTGAATTGTAAATTGGCTGAACATCCACTATGTGCGATAGCAAAGCCTGATTCTCCTCCTTCAAATTAAAAAACACGCCCAAAACTGACTCTGCGGATGCAGCTTCATCGTAGTTACCCTTTTTAGAGTACTCAACAAGCTCCCTCATGACAACGTCAAAGAATGACAGGTCCAGCTTCAAGTCGCGCTCGTATGGACCTTTGTATTCTTCTGTGTGAAGTAAATCCAACAAGTTTGACGATTTGGTTTTGAAGTAGTATTTAGAAAAGCACTTTGATACCCATAGCTTGAACTCATCGGCTAGCTGTGACAATTGATCGTTACTCAACGCAAGTATATTCTTCAACATTCTAGTTTTAGCTGAAAACACTTCGGGATCGGCTACACATGGAAAAGTCTTGGATACAAGAGCAATAACATCAAAACTCGCTTTTTCGTTCAAAACACCTTCAATGTCGGCGATTTGTAATGATGCTTGTTCACCACTCAATCGTTTAATAGCGGCTGCCATAACTTTTTTCTCATGTGTTATTTTATCCAGTCCCTGTAGGCCCTTCGCATATATGCTAAGCTTATCAACAAGCTTATCATATGATTCGCCATCCTTATGACGATTGCTCAATAGCGCATTGAGTAGTGGTAGCATCGGGTTCCGACTTCTGGGTTGCTCGGAACAAATATGAAATGTGTCATTAAACGCGGAAACAATGGCAAACACCTCATGAGATAGAACCTCATTGTCGATTAATGGTGCCAAAGTTTTCACAATCAAGTCAAATATGTCCACCGAGAAAGCATTTTTTCCACCAAGTATTAATATCAACTTGATTCGTCGTAACTCAAACAATAACTGATCCAGATCACGCTCTCGAAACAATGACATTCCTACTCTTCGAATCAAAAAGTAGACCGTAGCTGTTGACCAAAAAAAGGACTTTTCTGTATGGTATTTTTCCACCATTTTATTGATCAACTCTAGACCCGGATGCACTGGTACTATAATGTCGGTGGTATTGCTTAACACTCTAGATTTTTGATATATCAACTGCGATACGGCTTCGGGTCTTGGAAGAAGTTTCGTGATTTCGGCCTCATCCGAAACATCAAGTCTCTTTAAAATCTCCAAAATTATTACTGGAAGTTGAGTTTTCGCCACCAGCTTGAATTTTCCCATATAGTCCATCAAGATTTCGAAACAACGATTCTTAATTCCGTCTCTGGTGTAAGACAATGGGATAATCAATGACAAGCTTTCACTGACTAGTGCAGCTGGGGCAATATTCTTTACACTCGCAATTGCCGACAAAAGTTCTGCTGAACGGTCCGATGTCCTGAAATCAGTCTCTGCTTTCGTATCTGTTGAAACAACAACCGCCGTAATTTCGCGATAGTTCTCACCAAGAAATACTGACAAAGTGTCATAGTTAAACAAGGTAAACGGAAACAAGTTTATCGATTCAAAAAACCACCATCTCCGAAGCAAGTCCAACTTTACAGTTCCAAAAAGCTCACGCAGACTTGAAAGGTTGTACCTCAAACAAAGCTCTTCGAATCCTTGTTTCAAGTAAGGAACAAAAAATGCAAACTTTGAACATTCTGTTAGATTAAACAACGCCAATCTCAAAATAGTTGGTGAAGATGCAGCCAAGTGGGAGAAGAAAAACACATACGAAGCCGCACGTTCCACCGAAGACTGCGGCGTTACAAAATACTCAAACAAGTGTGAGTATATTTCCATTTGTTTTGAAGTATCACGATTTTGAACAAATTTGGAGAAGTCGCCGACTAGCCTTGATTTTATATGGTTGGTTGATTTGGAAAATTTTAGATAAAGTTCCTCCATTATCATAGTATGCGAGAGTAACCTTTCGTCATTGTGCTGCATGAATACGATTAAAAATTTAACATATTCTTGAAACGCAGTCTCGGTGGTGATGTAATTTTTGCTTCCCAATGCGTAAAGCCACTGTACAATATCAAAGCAGTCTCTGTACAATGCGTCATCCGTTGACGTGGAAAGCAACGGAATCAAACACGAGAGAATGCGTGACACGATAACCAAAACCGTCTCGTTTCTTTCGAATACCTGATCAGAAAGAACTCGGTCACCCAACAGTCGTAACAATCGTATCAAGGGCTGTTTATGACCAACAAGTTCGATCTTTGGTACTTGGTTGCCAATTATGAACAGCAAAGCCAGTAGGAAAGCTTCACTACCAAATTGTTCAATAAATGAGAGCAAATGTGATAAAACTTCCATGTCGTCTTTACCTGACACACGCAATTGTAAAACTTTGAACCTCATCAAGTCAAATATAGGTGAGGAATCAAACCCAACAGAGCTATTGGCTTCTAGTGAAGATGATGCCGGGGTGACGCTACTTTCTCTGACTTCGGAAAATTCAATGTCCTCGTCATCTAATGGCCTTTTGGCTCGTTTGTTTCGTGATTGCAAACTCGACACAACGGATCGGAGAAGTTTTTCGAAAGGAACCTTAGAAAGGAAGTCGAAATCAGTGGCTACATTCTCTGATGAGTAGTCAACGGTCATGCGCATGATGTTCAAAGCAGTATCAACTGTAATGTTAAACGTCGAAAATGCTTCAAGTCCGACTGTAATTTGATAGTTTAATGTGTCCCAAAGCTCATGCTTGCCCAAAAAGCCAGACAATCTCAGTGATATTTTCAGTAGGGTAATCATCCAACTGAAAAGCTTTTCGTAAGATATGGGAGCAGTGTTCAACTTCCCGAATGTAGCAGCAATTTTATTCCAAAAATTGAAATTCGTCTGAGGAGTTATCGGAGTGGGACCATGCGTTGATCCATTGTCTTCCTCGATCAAGTGCAGTAATACAAAAAAGGACTCCAATTGTTGCCGAGATATTTGCAAGCGCATCGGCGTATTGAATACGTCCTCCGGTGCAATTTGACGCTTAGATTTGTGACAAGTTTTAGGGACGAAACCAGACAACCAGTATACAAATTCATTAATAGAGACACACACATGCAGTTCTGCCGCGAAAAAAAAGTCCCATTTTTCACACAACCACTCATCGATCTTCCTAGCCAAGATATCTTTTTTAGCCAAATTGAGGTCAATGGATAGTTTGTTGATTGCATACCAGAATTCAAAACTTTCATTATTGATGGATGGCCCGTTTACTCCGGGAAAATCAATAATCGAGTCCAATTGAGTGATGACCGCGTCATCAACTATCTTGTTGGGATTGCAATGAAGTCGCAACACTAGCTGAGAAACCAAATCGCACGCAAAATAATTGTGTTGTTTGTTTACACCGTATAATGCCAACTTTAAAATCTGTCGAAGATGATCATACTTCTTTGTCACATGCAACTCTTGAAAATTCACTTTATACAAAGTAGACCTCGCCAACAATATCAACCAGAAGTGACCCGATTGGTAATCTACTGTATTCAGCATGTTCTGCAAAAATTCTAAAAGATCTGGTGTTTCATTCACACCTGATATGGTGAAGTCGAATGAAGTATTTGTTTTCTCACTGGCACCAAGGAAGTCATTAGTTTGCAGCAGGTTATCCTGCTCATTTTTAGGAAGCGGTTCAAGCTCTAGATAAAACACCATCAAGAGCAAACTCAAGTTATGATATTCAGGTGTTGATCGATACAGCACCATCGAATTGCAAAAATCAATCATATTATATGAGCTAACCAAATTGTTGAAGTTGGCATCCGTGTACAGAGCTCTTACTGGTCTGTTGACCTCTTCCAAAAACAGAGGAGTGTTTTTCAATGCAAAGTAGGTTTCGAGCAATTTTGTGGTTGCTGTTATAAACAACCAAGACCGGGCATCGATACCGTGTAGGCGTATCGAACGTAGATTGAACCAATCAAGATTGTTGTTACAATGGAAAGGGCCAATGGATCCGGATATAATGGAAGGTAACATGATGATATCATTTAGCAACTCAACAATGAGTAACTCAATATTGTGAAGTAGTTCTGAACTGTTCTCGACATTCCTTTGTGATTCGATGGGATCTTCGGAGAGAAACGATAGCTCAATCTCGGAATCTCCCACAAGCTTGGGCAATTTCAGTAAATTCATAAAATTATGAGTAGTTTGTAAGTTCAAGAAGATCAAAAATTGGTCTTGAAGTTTCTCCCAGTGTGTCTTATTACACACCACCATCAACTTGATACCCAATTCAATCAATTTGTTGACAAATTTAAAATCGGTAGTGGCTAATACGACAATAAGCTTGTTGAGAATTTTGAAAATAGTGATGTGAATTGGGTTTTCTTTCTTGAATGCACTTATTGTCTTATTCAATAACGTCAAAATCCTGAAGTAAGCTTCGTTCTCAAATAACTGAAGTGTAGTGGTTGCTCTATTACACTGGAGAATGTTTTGCAACGCTTCCCAGATTTCAATCAATACTTTTTCATTAATACCGCCATATTGCATGGGTTGTGTTATATCGTCCAATGATTGCTCGGCGGCGCTCACGAGAAATGCATAAAGTTCAAACCAATCTTTTCCACTTAGATGATCGTTAACATAATTAATCCCTAGTATGCCAGAAAGGGTCAAAGAAAAATCAATTGCGCATGGACTCAAGGGCTGATTTTGGACGTAAAATAAACTTTTTATGGTGAAACATATCTCTAGGTAAAATTTATACTTGAGGTTTAGCTTATCTGCAATTGATTTCTCAACTAATAGTCTGAGAAAATAACTCGCCCTATTCAACCGAGAGGCTACTGATGCCTGTGTATTGGACTTGCTACTTATGAATTGTTGTGAGTCGTACTCTAGCAATCGGAAGATAGCATTGGCTAGAATTCGTAATTGTTTCAGTGGTAATCGCCATCGCGATGTCGTTATGAATTCAAGTTGCGTTAAAGCATCATTTTTGTCTTTGACTTTGGTCGACTGTAAAAGTGCTGCTAACTGGGGAATATCTAGTGTTGCCATATAGTGTATTATATAAAACTTTGTTGTGAAATGTTATATCAAACAATTTTTTTCTTTTTTCTTGACTCGATCTTTGCAGCCACATGATTCATCTAAAGTGGAAATTGCCTAAGTGAAGAATGAATCAGTGGGAGCTTGAGGAGCTCCTAGTTCAGTCTGTAAACGGCCCTGCTACAAATCACTAGCACTGAAAGACGAAGATTCACAATGTAGCAGGCATCACTCATTGTCACGTCCCAAAATGGAAATTTTCATCATCCATGAGACCTTTTGCAAAAAAGCATATAAAAGGAGAAAAGTGTGCTGATATGATCAGCGATAACTATCTAACCAAGCACCCACAATTACATCTATGATTGAATCTATGATTGAATCTGGTGGAAAAATGGAGTGTTTGGGGTACTCGGTGGATATATATCCCGAGAAGACAAATGCCAAGTGTGAATGTAACTTGTGCGAATGCTGGAGGCAAGAAAGGAAGAGTCGTTTCAAAATAATGTTGATTGGAGTGCTTGTGCCATTGCTCTGGATCTACGATTCATTCAAATTGGTGCGTTATTTGTACACAGATCCCGTGTTGAAACAATCCAGTCTTACATCACTATATCACACTGGAGAAAGCCATAAAGCCTACCATAGTAGGTCACGAAAAGTATTGTGGTCTTGGTTGGGTTACAACATGATTGCAATGACTATCGAGTTATTATCCGTGGTGATGCTAGTAGTGGCTGCTCAATCACGCCCAATGGATGGAACATTTCTCATCGAGAAATGAATGCCGGGTGCAAAACAAAAACAAAACAGAAGAAGAAGTCAAAGTGTAGCCGTAATTGACTCTGTTTTCTGAGATCTCCATAGTTTTTTCATCTCCACAAATTAAAATCCAAATACACTCACCATACCAGTTGCCTCGACTCTAGAGTACTCCCCATAATGCTAACCAGATCACTACAATACACTCAAAAGAGACTTGCATCTACTGGCACTCTTTTGAAGACCCCATTATACGAGGCACATGTCAAACTCGGGGGAAAGATGGTTCCCTATGCTGGGTTTGAAATGCCAGTATTGTACGAATCTCAGTCACACATAGACTCGCATAATTGGGTTAGATCCAAAGCAGGATTGTTTGATGTCAGTCACATGTTGCAGCACAATATAAGTGGTTCCGATGCACAATCATTCTTAGAGAAAGTAACGCCAATCGACTTGAACTTGATCCCTGAGAATAGTTCCAGTTTATCGGTTTTATTGAACCAGGAGGGTGGAGTGATTGACGATTGTATCATAACCAAACACGAAAAGGACAAGTACTATATGGTGACAAATGCAGGGTGTAGGGAAAAAGATGTCCAATTTCTCAAAGATGAATTGAAAGCATTTGATGACGTCCAACACAATACATTTGAAGGAACTTTATTAGCCATTCAGGGCCCAAAAGCGCAAGAGCTTTTACAGAAATTTACCAATGAAGATTTGAGCAAGATTTATTTTGGCCAGACAAAGTTTATTAAATTGGCCCCTATATCAGCTACGGTGCACCTTGCAAGGTCAGGTTACACCGGAGAGGATGGGTTTGAGTTGTCGATCCCATCAGCAACCCCCGACGAAGCAGCTGAAGCTTTGGGATTTTTCAACACTTTGGTGAACGAGTACCCCGATGTTGCTAAGCCGATTGGATTGGCAGCAAGAGACTCGTTGAGGTTGGAGGCAGGTATGTGTTTGTATGGACATGAATTGACAGAAGGCATAACTCCAGTTGAAGCATCATTGACCTGGTTGATTCCAAAAACTCGTCGTGCATTGACTGATTCAAGCTTTAATGGTGCAGCTAAAATCTTGAGTCAAATCAAGGACAAGTCAACCACACATAGAAGAATAGGGTTGACTTCAAAAGGACCATCCCCTAGAGAAGGGAATAAAATTTACAGCGAAGATGGCAAAACCGAAATCGGATACATCACTTCAGGCTCACCTTCTCCTACAAATGGGGGCAACGTTGCTCAAGCCTATATCGACAAGAAAGCCAAGATTGGATCCCCAGTCAAGATAGAAATCAGAGGAAAGTTGAGGGACGGGGTGGTGACAAAGTTGCCATTTGTTCCAAGTAGATTGTATAAACAGTAAAACAGATAGTCCTCCCTTCGCTGTGGTTGCTTTAGATGTAGATTTATTTGCCTCTTTTGTCCCTTTGACGCGTCTCAATTTTTGCAGCTTTCGGAATGTTTCACAAAAAAATATGGTAAACAAAGCAAAACCACCCCTTTGTGGAAAATAACTTTATATTGAAAGTGCATTTCTTTCAGCAAAGGCTTTACACTCCGTCCCAACGACTAACAATTATTCACTTGCTACCAGCAACTTTCACACTTGGATCCAACCATGTCCTCCACTCCTTCCCCCACCAAGAGATCTGCTCTTTCACCAAAAGTATTCAATGTGAACCAACTATCACCACAAAGGAAGAACCTTGGGTTAAGTCGGAGACACACGAATAAGTCACCTATAAGGTCCAGCACCGAGGTTCGTACTCCTTCCCCCAAAAAGCCAAAACCAGCTACTACACTTGGATTTACCATATGGGAGGACAATGTGGATACCAGGTCGCATGAAATCGTCGGTACACCCACTTCCAATGAGTTGAATCACAATGACCAAGAAAACATCCTTCAGCCGAAACTGACGTACAGTAGAAGAGTCCATGGGTCTCCCTTGAGAGACTTGAGCATCAATTCCTTCAAAGGATACATCACCAGTAACGGAGTAACAACACAACTAGAGGAGCTCTACCAACCTATCAATTTTGAAAACGAATTCAAGTCGGCCCATAGGTTCAATGGCTTACCACCATTTGTGACACCTACAAAGAAGGATAAATACTTGGTCAAATCGGGCCAATGTGCGGACGGTAGTGTTGGAAAACATTCGAGATCATTCTCTGCCGGAATAAATGAAGCCAAACGGGACTTGGTTCAAAAACCCAGGTTTGCTATACTGTCCTAGATAGATGTATAGAATGTTGTGAGTATGGATACCCCTTTTATATCTGCTCGGGAGTACATTTTATTACGCAAACCTTGTCTACTCACAAGAGACTACACCTTGCTAGTTACACTAATTTCTATTGTCTATATACTCTATAAATCTAAGCTTTGAATGCTTTGTCGAAATCAGTGAAAACAAATCTATATCTCACATCACCAGCGTGACATCTGTCCAATGCCTTTGCACAGTTTTCTTCACTGATTGGCACTTCTTCGATCATTGGTCTGACGTTGTGTTTGGCAGCCAAATTCAACATTTCCTTGACTTCTGTCTTGGAACCCAACAAAGAGGATCCAAAACTAGCACCCTGTTGCAAAAAGGTGAAGGGACTAACCTCGAACTTGTCTTCACTTGGTGGTAAACCAACAGAGACAAACTTTTTGTCAACCTTCAAAGTGGACAAGTACTCAGACAAGTTCAAACCATCAATTCCACTAGCACAGTTCAAAATAAAGTCAAAATGGTCATCATAGTTCTTGTACCAAGTCTTGTCTTCACCAGTTGCAACGAAATCGTGAGCACCCAATTTCATAGCTTGTTCCTTTTTGGAAGAGGATCTAGAGAATGCAGTGACATTGGCACCCATAGCATTAGCAAATTGCAAAGCCAAGTGACCCAATCCTCCAATACCAATAATACCAACATTCTTGCCCCTTGCATCTAATCCCAAGTTTCTAATCAATGGAGAAAACACGGTAATACCAGCGCACATGAGTGGAGCACCATAAGATGATGGCAAGTCTTCTGGAATTGCAAATACAAACTTTTCATCAGCAATAGAGTGCGAGGAGTATCCACCTTGGGTGACATAATTGTTTGATCTGACATCCTTGGAGTTGTATGTGGCTGCACCTTGTTTGCAGTATTGCTCATTGTCAGAATCGCATCTTTGACAGCTACGACATGAGGAAGAAGCCGCACCAATTCCAACACGGTCTCCAACCTTGAATTCGGTTACTTCATCACCAACCGCAATGACTTCACCAATGATTTCATGACCAACAACCAAGTTGTCTCTTTGCAATGGTTGCCATCCAGCTGACAATGTGTGAATATCTGAATAACATAAGCCGCAGACTTCATTCTTTAAAACAACATCGTGTGGATTGATTTGTTTTCTCTCATATGATGCCAATTTTGGTCTGTTCCAATTCTTTGGGTCGGAAACTGCGAATCCTTGAAACTTGTCTGGTACTGCTTTAGTCATTTTCTTTTTGCTTTTATTCTTGTAGTTGTGATATGATTCACTTCCGTTGAAATTGATACAAGTGGAAGGAAATGTGTCCCTATTTATACCTCGTGTACAAGATCTTGGAGGCTATGAATGGTAATGATGAAAACCGTTATATGACAAATAGCGTAAATTACACAAAGCCGGATTATTGCAAAAAGAAATTCAATTCACCGAAGAATTTCAGAGCAACCGATAATTTTTACAAGTTGTGAAGAAGCCAAATTGAGTGACACATTTATCCAAGTGCAGATAATCGCTCCTGAACAATGGGCACCTCGTCCGATACCATGCTTGGCATTGGCTCTCAAATTTTGAACGATTGCTATGTAGAATTCAGGTAGATCAAAGCAAGTGCAGATCCTGCTTAATAATCTAGGTTTCGCATTTCCCGAAAAGCAAAGTGATTTTTACCCCCGATGCATTTTCAAAGAGCGGAAACTTCCATATTGAGAAATACCGAAAGCACACTATAGGTTGCCTCATCTTAAAAAGCAAACAAATTGCTCAGATTAGATGGCTGTGACTGCCTCACAAGCAACGAGCGGACATAAGATATTCTGTTGCGGATTTGCGATTTTCATCCACTTACGTTATCAATATATGCTCTATGATTATTTATCCGTCTTGACAACTGACAAGCTCATATCGGCACTTACAAAGTGAAGCGTTTGATGAGTAAGATCGGTTTCTTTGATTTTCACTCTTACCTCTGTGTGCGGAACTGTGAAGCCCCATTACTTCACTCGGAGCAGCTTTGGTGATTTCATTGGTTTGATCTAACGACTTTCAATCAATGCCTATACCCGGTAGCGCAACTTGACACTTTTTTTTCCTGTCACAATTTGTCACCTGACTATATATGGCTTTGACCTAATTCTTTAGTTACACAAAATTGTGTAACTTTTCAGCGCTGAGAGCGTCTTGGCTTGGGTGGGCTTCGCACAAAAATTTTCCAATAGTATAACCAGATTTGGTAGTTTTAGGTAGAGTTATAACTCTTTAATATAATCTATATAATCAAGAATGTCAGGATCAGGAGCTTCAGGAAACAAATTCCGTATGTCAGTATGTGACCCATTTTTCATCTCGTCGTCGAGTTTTACCTTCAGAGTGTGGTAGAGAGCCTAAGAGAATCATTTCAAAAATTGGACAGCCAGAATCGAGAATATAATGATCACCAAGTAACAAAGTGCTTGACGAACGCTTCACGTTGAATTGCCTTGTATGGGGATATGGATAAGCATCAGCAACGAGCCTTTTCGTTAAGGGTTAGGTCACAACATAAGATACAGCTTTCGCGGAACGCTATGTACAACACTATTGTCATTATAACCCCCCACTTACTCATACCGTTATCTGAAGCGATAAAGCGATTCTACAACAACTTCGTACTAACAAATTTCCTTTTTAGTTGGCTTTGCCAGTTGGTGCCGTTATGAACTGTGCCGATAATTCAGGTGCTAGAAACCTTTACGTTTTGGCCGTTAAAGGTACTGGTGCCAGATTGAACAGATTGCCAGCTGCTTCTGCTGGTGATATGGTCATGGCTACCGTTAAAAAGGGTAAGCCAGAATTGAGAAAGAAGGTTATGCCAGCTATCGTTGTCAGACAAGCTAAGCCATGGAGAAGAAGAGATGGTGTTTACTTGTACTTTGAAGACAATGCCGGTGTCATTGTTAACCCAAAGGGTGAAATGAAGGGTTCTGCTATTACTGGACCAGTTGCTAAAGAGTGTGCTGACTTATGGCCCCGTATTGCCTCCAACTCGGGTGTTGTCGTTTAAGAGTAAAGTGGTTTTAGGAAAATAGTGTAGTAATGCATTTATATTAAATAATTCTTTTACAAAACAGACTTGCTCTACTTTTACTTGTCATCACTCACAATGATATTGATATCACCGTTAGCATTGATTTGCGAACGTTGCTCTTGCTCGATGGGGCCGCTTTTCAACGTAGAAACCTCATCAGCTGACAAGTTTCTTTGAATGTTTGGATGGAGAGATGTGTCACCAGTTTGAGTAACGCCTTGAGTCCCTTCGTTGGTACGCTCATCAGGTGAGCTCAAATCACCATTCAAATACATTGGATGTATATTCTTCTGGCTAGCCTGCTGACCTTGCTGTGATTGTGGCTGGGATTGAGCTTGTGGCTGGGCTTGCTGCTGTGATTGCGGCATCGGGGCACCAGCAAATTGCGAAAAGTAAGCTGATCCAAACGGTTGCGCAGCAGGCGAAGTACTCAAAATCAGCACAGGTGCTCCGCGCGGAGATGTGGGAAAAAATTGAGGTTGCGGTGCCACTTGTTGGCCATTTTGTGATTGTTGTTGACTTACAGGTGCACCTGGAGTGATTGTGTAGTATTGTTGTTGCACAGGATCATAAAACTGCTGTGGCTGAGCACCACCAGGAATGTAATACGGCACACTACTTGATGGGGTGCCAATATTTGCAAATTGACCTTGTTGAGGGTTACCGCCGCCAGTAACTGATTCCATAGGTATCAACTGGTAAGGTTGTTGTTGATATCTCATAATCGGCAGTGTACTTCTAGGTGGCTGTTGTTGTTGTTGTATCTGTTGTTGATACAGACTTTGTGGTAGTGGCACATAGTTTGGTTGCAGCTGCATTGTTTGATTCCGACTCGTCTGGTCTTGTCCTGAATGACTCATTAAACTGGGATTTCGCTTGACATTGTCATCAGTTTCCACAGGAGTGATTATAGTCCCATCGCTATTTATCATATTGGCCAATCTAGGAGACTGGTTGTTTCTCAGGGAGAAAGTGGACGATAGTCTGTTTGCATTAGCACTTGACGTTGTTTGTGAAAGTGGTCGGTTCGAATTTCGAGTACTTGTCTTTTGCAAATTTGATGTGTTGGTGTTGACAGTTCTTAAAGATCTTGTTGGAGAGCGAATCGATGATGCCCTTGATTCAGCCTTTACTGCAGAAACAACATTCTTTGGTCTATTGGGCAAGGTCCTAGCTCTTGCAATAGGAGTGGGCAAGCTAGTCATTTTTTTGATATCATTGAACCAATCAATCATGTCCTGGTAGGTATTTGTCCTAAAAACCCATTTATGTGTTTTGTGCATCAATGCATTGGCCAGCTTCGAGGTCAAAATGAACTTGTATACCCCATTTGGTTTGCCATCATCTTTTGAATGATCGCTAACAGTACAAGAGTCCAAAGGCAATGACATCACTGGATGAGGGTCTTTCTTCCTATCATTGGATTTGAATTCATGAATAAAGGAACATGTCAAAACGTACCAAGCACTTGAATAATTCTTGAGAAACTTGGACCTACGCTCCAAGTAGCCTTCACGCACTGCAACATTCAAGTTTGATTCGGCATTACGTACGACAAAGTCTTGAAGATGTCTTTTGGGAATATCTAAATCGATAAATGTACCATTCTTGACTGAAGATGTAGTTTGATTCCCCACTGCACTGACACTGAGATTATTGGATGGTAGATTCCTTTCAATGAACGCATTCCATTCAAAGTTTGTTTCTTTAGACAAGAACCCGTTGATTATGTTTGGCTCTAAGTAATTAGAGAATGTCAAATTTTCTTCTCTAATCAATTTGAGAAACAGAGACAAGTAATTCTGAATCTCGGCCACCACAATACTTTCCAATTGCTTCCCGGCATTTTGTAAATTTGAATAAGCATCATAAAGGTAATTTTCTTCCACCAATTGTCTTTTCAACTGACGGTCCAATTTGGTTTTCACTAAGAATGGATCGTACTTTCCTTGTTCACCATCAGCTTGATGCGAATTGTGACTGGTATCTAATTTGTTTGCCCATTCAATCGCCTGGTTGTACTGACTAATCAATGACTTGGTCTCATTGAGTTCTTTATTCAAATTGTTTTTGAAATCATTTTGTAAATTCTTTATCTCCTTGATCTTAACGAGTAAATCTTTTCTCAACTCTTCCAACTTTGGGATTATAATAGCGTTAATCTCTTTGAGAGTTTTGGAAGAGTTGGTAACATTTTGTTGATGATAGTGGAACAAAATATCTGGGACATCTTGGACTGAACCATTCCCTATGGGCAAAAATGACTTTGAAATAGCCTCTAAATCTTGGTTACCAATATTCGATGAGTGGTTGGCAGCAGCTGGTGTAGCTATTGACCTTGCGGTGGACCCAACTGCCTGCTGAAGTCTCGCCTGTTGACGTACAATCTCCTCCTGAACACTTGCATATTCTTTAAAATAGTTGAGCAACTCTTTGATAAAAGATCTCCACGCCACAAATCTATTAGCCATAACTTCAGTTGGGTAGTCATTGCTGCTCATGAAGTTGTAAGGTAGTGCCACTGTGAGCGGATTATGCGAGTCATACGGCATCGTTGTGGTTGCTTCTTTCGTTGACGTTACAAGAAGGTATAAAGAATTCTATGGTGGATATGGTAAAGGAGTGTGTAAGTTCAGGATAGTACCAAAATTCACTCGCTTGAATTATTTGACGATTGCCTTTAGTATGGTATGAAATGTGGGCGCAGGCTTGTGGTCAGGCAAGTGCTTTTTGTTGGTGACTTTTTTTTTATTTTTAGTTTTTTTATGGTTCCTTTCGTTAGCCTCGAAGCCAATTTTATCGTTGCAATAAAGAAGTTAAGAAAATTTCAAGTTTTTATTGTCAAAATGCGCTTGGCGGGGGGTTACTCTATGGAACTAAAAGGTGTACTTACGTGAAGTGGTTGAAGAGAGGTCCAATCCGCCTTTTCTTGTGTTTCTATAAACTGCTTAGAGAATGCAGTAATCTATATAACCTCACGGCGATAGAGCTAATAATCACGGAGCTCCGGGGAAAAGAGAGAGAGAGAGAGACAACACTAAAAACATATTGTTACATTAAAAGTCCAAATGTAGCGAAAAAATAAACATCAGGATATCTCATGCGGCCAGTGCGTAAGGTCAGTGACACAGAATGATGGATGCAGAAAAACAGAGAAAAGAGCAAGAAAACCAAACAACTTCACATTGAGCTAAGTTGAGTCACAACTGGTAATCTTGTTGAGGTATGCCAAATTTACGACAATACTCTTCTGTTTGGGCATTTGGGTAATATTTCAATTCACCATCGTAATCAGCAGGTGCAACAACCTCAAAATTCTTTGGTATTACGAACTGATTATCATCAATTTGGTTAATCTCCTCCAGCTCTTTTGCGACAAGTGGAATAAATTTCTCAAGCTTCCTTGGATCCCGTAATATCTCCCTAGGGCTCATCAGCTCAAACTCAGTCTTCTGATCAATTCGATATTTTTCAACCACACGATTTATCGCTATGGCTCGTTTATCATAGTACAATCCATCATCATGCACTGACGGGTGGTTATTTTCCAAGATTGGAATATTTATTACTTCAAAGTAAGATCGACGGGGGCCGTATTTGTCCAATGCTAAAAACTGAGTGTCATGGACCACATGTCCATTTGGTTTCATCTTTTTTTGGGGTTGATTTTCACCATCGCTGGCTTCATCCAGGCTCTCCATGTCTAGCAATATCTCATTAGCATTTTTAACTTGCTTTGGCTTGGATATGTTGTGATTAACATTGGCTTTAAACTTTACATGTAGGTGCCCACTGAACCAATATCTAGGTTTTAAGTGATGCAATAATACATTATTCAATGGGCTTCCCAATTGCCCTTTTTTGATATCTTGAGTGAAAAATGGCTTCTGTTTAAGTAACCTATACTTATCACCAAATTTCTCGATACCAACTGGCCAATCGTGACTTAGAACAATATCCATATCTCGTTGCAAATACATTTTCAAAAAGTTGGATAATTTTTGATGATAGACACTTCGTATGGAATTAGAATCAAATGGTAGTCTTTCCACATTAAACGACTTGTTCATATATGTGTGTGGGTTGTAGATACCACTCCACCCGCAAATCGAAAGTCCTTTATAGTGTACACTCCCAAATTCACCAAGGTAATATATATTGGGCGCCACCCAACCTCCATATTTCAACTCCTGCAAGTATGACGATGACTCATGATTACCACCAATGAATATTGTAAGCACAGGCGCTTTCTTTTTGCTAGTGTAGTAAGATTGAAAATCTCCCAAACGTCGATATTTTTCAGGTACACTTAATGCTTGATAGTCAGATGTGTTGCGTAGGGCTTGGAAATCACCACATATCAAAAGAAGCTCTGTTGAAGAAGGTATTCCCTTGTATATTTTATTGAGATCGCCGTGGCAGCATCCTTCAATAGCCACCTTTAATGTCTTCATCGATGATACACATTTGAAAGGAATTTTAATATTTATTTTTCTTGATTCAATTTTGCGTCTATATAACGATATATATATAATTTAGATCCCCATTTAAAATTTGAAAACATGTTCTTTGGTGTAACCCAAGTCAGCCAAAGCTCCAGTAACTTCACCTTGATCCGATGGAGATTTCTTGTTACCAGAGATTGCATCGTACAAGCCAGGAGGTCCACAAACAAAAATCTTCGTGTCTGGGCTTGGCTTGTCCAAATTCTTTTGCAAAAAGTCCTTAGTGATGAAACCCTCTACACCGTCAAAGTCTTTACCCTTTTTGTCATTAACAAAATAAATAACCCTAACTTGGTCCTTGTTGTTCTTGGCGATTTCGTCGAGTCTGTCTTTAATCAAAATATCATCAGGAGAAAGGTTACCGTAAAACAATTGGACTTTAGTATTGTCCTCTGGGTTTGAGGTAATGGCGTGCAACAATTGATATAATGGGGTGATACCGGAACCACCACCAATCAAAGCAATTGACTTGAATTGATTTGGTTCCCACTTCCATTTGACAAATGGACCTTTGAAAGATAAAGTGTCACCTTCTTTCAAATCATGGATGTGACTGGACATTTTACCTTCATCGTATTTTTTGATAACAAATTCAATGTCACCTTTTTGATTGACGTCTGAAACTGGGGTGTATGGTCTGATAACGTTGTTACCCTTTGGAGTAACAAATTTAGTCATCAACATAGAAGCAACAACCAAACCTGAAAGATCGTCTTTATCTTTCAAGTCGAAAACCAAGTGTTTGGTGTTATGGTTCAATTGTTCGGCTTTCTTTAAAGTCAAGTCAATCCATTCATCACCACCAGTAAAAGTCTTTCCTGTTTCATTTCTAATGAATGATTGTGTGGAGTAGTGGTAAGCAAGGCCAAGAGAAGCAGTGGCACCAATGAATGGTACAACGTATCTTGGAGCGAGAAATCTTGTCATGGCAGTGGACATTTTGTTGCAATTGAGTTATCAAAAGTGAATATGTCTTGGTAAAAAAAGTAATTAACCGCCGATTCAATTGGGTGAAAGTTTTGGCACATTTAAATAGTTTGAAAAGGAGCAAAAGAAAAAAACAACACAATATGTGACAAAAAAAAAAATGTGTGGGTGTGTGTGGGTGTGTGTGTTCGGTTACAAAAATTAATAAGCCAATTACTAACTCCAATTAGTCGCTCTAGTTTACCAAGACATAATTAGTTTCTTGTGATTGTATTGAGATCGACACGAACAAGACCATTCTGAAGGAATTGGAGAAGCCTCACCACAGTCAAATGAGTAAATTGAGCTCTGTTCAGTCAGTTGCCACAGTTTTGCAATGAATATGGTAGCACTTTGAATGGTTGCTTTTTTCTAAAGGAAAGGGGTTTGCGACATTTTTAGTGAGACATTCTTGTTGTAGGTGATCGGACTTTTCTGGAACTCATACCATACCACCAAATTTTGTTTGCTGCCTTGACCAACTTTGATCCTATAAAGGGTATTTCGATCAACTCAATCAGCGCAATCTTAGATACACTTCACAACAATGCTGCTTCGTAACAAGTCACAGAAGGAATTGATTACCCTCTCACGCCAACTAATTCAACCACTTCTCCCCAATTTTCATAAAGGTCAAGCAGGGAGAATATGTATCATTGGTGGGAACGAAGACTACACTGGCGCTCCGTTCTTTTCTAGCCATTCTGCTGCTTTGGTTGGTGCTGATTTATCTCATGTAATTTGCGAAAAACAAGCAGCACCAATAATAAAGTCGTATTCACCCGATTTAATGATTCATCCATATTTGCTTGACTTGGAGAACCCAGCATTGAAATTGAAGGATGGAGAGCTAGAGGATTTGAAAAAGATGTCCATTGAAGATGTTTTGAATCAAACCAATGTTCTCACCAAAATAATTGATGATGTCATTTTGCCAAAGGTTCAACCATTACTAACTAGAATGGATATCGTTGTGGTTGGACCAGGGTTTGGCCGTGACCCGTTAATGTTAAAGTCATTGGTGAGAATAATTGAAGAGATTAAAGTCTTGAATAAGCCAATTGTGCTAGATGCTGACTCATTGTACCTTTTATCAATAGAGCCAAAATTGATTTCAAACTACTCAAAGGCAATCATTACACCAAATATTGTTGAATTTCAACGCATTGCTACAAAGCTTGACATTGAAATCGATATTTCCAAAGACTATTCAGAACAAGTCTTGATTGATCAAACTCAGAAATTGTCGTCAAAATTGGGCGATGTATTGGTGTATCGTAAAGGTGAGGTTGATATAATTGCCAATTCAAAGAGTGTCGTCCTTAATAATTCCTCTGGATCCAACAAACGTGTAGGTGGACAAGGTGATACACTTACTGGTGCAATCGCAACATTGGTGAACTGGTCAAACCATTACTTGGACAGCTATTGGGACAACAAGGTTGACTTGGATACAAATGATGCCCATATCCTTGCATGCTACTCTGCTGGTACTCTAGTCAGATTAGCAGGCCAAAAGGCATTCAAGAAATATGGCAGGTCAATGCAAACTTCCAACATACACGAATTTTTACATGAGGCTTTTCTTGAGCTATTCGATGATAGTTTATTTAGGTTTGGTAGTAATATGTAGCTGAAAACCAAAATGTCACGTGAATGCTCGGTTAATTGGTAAAAAATAAGAATGCGCAAAAGAGCTTGTGAATGAAAAAAAGTGGGGGAAAGAGAGGAGGGCGATAGAAAAATAAGATCATATTCCTTCTTCCAGAGACTATCAGACCAGATACTCGTAAACGTCAACCAACTACCAAAGATGGATGCAGCTAGTTGTGGGCCATCAAGTGCCATTCAAAACTTGAATAAGCATACTCAAAGAGATACCTCATTACAGCATCAAAGACTAGGCAACCAATCACAACCACAAGGTGTACATCAATTTCGTCAAGGTCAAGGTGTGGATCAACAGTTAAATCAGGAGTTTCACAGGTTTAACAACGGTGGCACCGGCCATGAATTTGCCGCCCTGTTTATGGAACAGAATAGACCACAGTTTCAACCTCAACACCACCCTTCACAACCACAAGTCCAACATGGCTGGGTGAATGACTTTTCGAGTTTGAGTATTGACCAAAGACAACAGCCACAAGTCAACAGCAACTGGCTGAAGCAATTTATGCAAAACGGGGCACCACAGCAGCAACAACAACAGTATCAACAACCAATGATGCATGGGCAAGTTCCAAACTATTCATTAGGCACGTTTCAAAACCGTTTAAATATGAATGCCGTTAACGTTGTGCCCCAGTTCTCTCAACAAACAGAGCATCAGCAAGTGCATAAATTGGAAGCTCAACACGAGGAGATTTTGGAGAATGAGTTTGACCGTCTAGAAAAAGAATTGAATGTGCGAGAAACACAAGCAAGTGAGGCAGACTTGACAGAATCTGTGGATAAGGCTTTGGAGGATCACGATAGAGATTTGTTTGCTGAAACAGCACGGTCGGTAGAGAACTCAATGAATAGATTGAACACTGATGATGCTGCCATGGCGGAAAAATTCAAGGAGTCCAATTTCTTGAATTTGATGCATTCAATAGCTAATAAGGAGACTGTTCTAGAAAACAACGAGCTAAAGTCACAGGAGAATGCCTCGGCAGATGCGGAGACAACAGCTCAAGAAGATTCAGGGGTACCACGCAATGTGGATTATATTCAACCAATGCATCACCCCCACGAACAAAGGAATCAAATCAACTCAATGCAGTTTAATACCGACGATTTTTCTGATGAAACCATTCTAAATCACCCTTTACCACCACAAGCAATACCACAGAAACAGAAGAAGAGGTTACAACGAGAACAACCACAACAAGAGCAATCTAACAAGCTCCCTGATCCTCTTGCGCACATTGGTGATCAATTAGAAGGTGTGACTGATCCCTTAACGGCAGCCAGGATTATTAGCGGTGGACAAGTGAGAAGCAAAGACTGGGAAGATGAATATGATTGGTTGTATGAGGACATTTCTTGGAGAAAGGGACAAGTTGTTGGCGAACAAAGAGATGAAAGATACAATAGTAGAGGTGATGACAGTATGGATGTACGCTTTGCTCATAGATAAGCAAGTGTGTAATTTTTTGATAGTGTAATGTAGCTATTTTGAAATTTGAATACGTCACGTGAAGCATTTTTTTATAGGCAGACGAGTGTTGGAAACGAGAAAAGTCCGAAAAACGTCACAAAAGTTGAGCCTTCACGACACAAACTTGTCAGAAACCAATCCTCAACAATAAACAAGTACTGGGAGTTTCCTATTACGTAGGACCGTTTCTAACACGAGATCGGATTGTGAGTGTGATTTCAATGACGTAAGAGTTGCAGTTGGTTGGCAAAGAGGGCTCTCCAAGTTCACGGGGACTGCAGAGGAGGTGCAAAATATCTCAGTTTGGAAACGCTGGCTAATTATTAGCTGCTCGATAGCCTCATTTGAAATGTTCGATGTCGTAATTGTCGGCTACAAGTAGCCAGTTGTTGGCATATAATTGTAGCTCCTTCTTCCTAAGTTTTGTTTGTTTGCATCCGATAGTGCATTGTATATCCGTCATAGTTGATTAGTTCTTTGGGGACATTACATCATAGAGTTTGAAAATGAGTTACTTATTTTTGTGTACGCTTCCAGGTAGTGTCTCGTTTCTTTTTTCGTATCACTCACGTGAGTGTCAGAGAGAAAAACTACACAGCTCTGTAAAGGGATAATCCGTAATCTCAACCTACAGATAACTTTCTCAGTCTTGCAAGAGAAAAAGACACAATCTCCAAGAACCTATAGCTTTTGAAAGTAGGGCGGTTAGTCTCAGTTCCTAATTTTCTTTTTACCAACAAAATAGAAAGAGAAAAAATGTCTTACCGGAAAATCTTAGAGCTTTGTACAACTTTGGCAAACCTGTATATAACAGATACGGTATGTAAGTAAGTAAGATCTTTATCCTGCATACATTAGGAAAAAGAAATTCATACTGTTATGAGGAAAAAGGAAAAAAGTTCTATCAAAAGCATGGAACAGATGTCAAAAAAGTAAGAACGTAGATAGTGAAGAGTGTGTATGCATTGTTGGTTGTGTATCAACACCCTCTATTTTGTTAGTGTGAGTGCGAGGGGGGTGTAAATTGATAAAAAAAAAAGCAAAAGAAAAAAGAAAAAAAAGGAGGAGAGATCAGAAACAGCAAAGCTCATCACAAAAATAGACCCAAAATTAAAAAAAAAAATTTAGACGCCAAACATTTCTTAGTTCTCAACTATTTTTAATACGGAGTTTTTTATATTGAATACCAGCAATTAGAATCCATTCTTCACAACTAAAGATTTTGTTCTTTTTTTCACATATATAAATACCAACCGATTTCCCACAATTGAATTCAATTTAATCAATTTCCTCAAATTATTAATTAAACTACATACTACAAATAAATTATTCAACAATGACTGCATCTGCTCCATATACTATTGAAAAACCATTCAAAGTAGCAATCATCGGTTCTGGTAACTGGGGAACTGCAGTTGCCAAATTGGTTGCTGAAAACACTGCTGAAAAACCAGAAATTTTCCAAAAGGATGTACAGATGTGGGTTTTTCAAGAAGACATTGATGGTAGAAAATTGACCGATATAATAAATGAAGACCATGAGAATGTCAAGTATTTGCCAGGAATTCAATTGCCATCCAATTTGATTGCTAACCCAGATATTGTTGACACAGTGAAAGACGCTGACTTGTTGGTATTCAACATTCCTCACCAATTCCTTGGAAGAGTTAACAAGCAATTGAAAGGAAATGTCAAATCCACTGCTAGAGCCATTTCTTGTTTGAAAGGTTTGGAAGTTGACCCAGAAGGTTGCAAATTGCTCTCGACATCAGTAACTGATGACTTGGGTATCTATTGTGGTGTTTTGTCTGGTGCCAACATTGCTACTGAAGTTGCCAAAGGTAAATGGTCAGAAACATCAGTAGCTTACACTATTCCTGATGATTTTAGAGGTGAAGGTAAAGATGTCGATGAATATGTATTGAAGGAAGTTTTCCACAGACCATACTTTCACGTTAGAGTTATTCAAGATGTTGTTGGTGCCTCAATTGCCGGTGCTTTGAAAAATGTGGTTGCATGTGCAGTTGGTTTCGTTATCGGTGCTGGTTGGGGTGACAATGCCAAGGCTGCAATCATGAGAATTGGTATCAAGGAGATTATTCATTTCGCTTCATATTGGCAAAAATTCGGTATCAAAGGTTTGGCTCCACCTGATCCAACTACTTTCACTGAGGAAAGTGCCGGTGTTGCCGACTTGATAACAACTTGCGCTGGTGGTAGAAATGTCAAAGTTGCCAGATACATGATTGAACACAATGTTGATGCTTGGGAAGCTGAAAAAATCGTATTAAAGGGACAAAGTTCACAAGGTATAATCACAGCTAAAGAAGTTCACGAATTGTTGGAACATTTCAAGTTGCAAGATGAATTCCCATTGCTTGAAGCTACCTATAAGATTATTTATGAAGGTGGTAAAGTTGATGATTATCCAGATATTTTGAATAGTGATTAAATTTTATCCTCATTTAGATTAATATAGCATGTACATTAGATTTAAATTAAAGGTGTTGGATTTGAAGAGATAGATTGTAGTAGCGTGGATTAGCAGTTTTTGCTGACGCTGTTGGACACACCGAGCTTCAGTGGGAAAGTATTCACCAAATAAATTAGCTCTTGTAACAACTGATGTTCAGTTTCTTTTCTTCATAGATAGTACCATCCCAGCAATACCTTTCAAAGCAAAGTTTACACTGCTTGGTTTGTTCAAGACCTAATCTTTCTTGTTCTCTCCTGATTATTGCACACCCAACACATGCTCTCCATTCCTCATCCAATGTCCCGTTCAACATTGAAGCAACTTCAAAGCCATTAGTGATCATGGCATTTCTATCAGCAATGCTGTACAGTAACTTGAATGTGGAAGTGTTGGATGCAAACGAATACTGCTTATTGGCAATGTATACAACTAGTGGAACATCAAAAACACTATCAGTCAATGCAGTTAGGTTACCGGCATTGCAACCAAAGAATGTTGGTCGGGAAGTGAGGTTCAAATGAAGGAATGATTTTTGATCTGGTACATATGGAAATGGTGTCTTTGCTCCAGCTTCAAAAAACTGACGTTCATACGTCTTTACCAAACTTGTCCCATCTGGTAGGCCATTTATGTCAGCAGAATTATCAAATGCAAATACAATACTCATATTCCTTTTCAAGAGAGGTACAAGGGGAATATTTTGACCATCTTCACCGCCGTCAACCAAGTATAGGGTTTTCGAAGACTCAATTGAAGTTTGGGGATCTTCACTATTATAGAATGCATTGGGATTGTACTTTGCAACATCAATATTCGACTTTACAATAGGGTCAATAATGGTTTCGTTGATAAACTCTTTTAAAAAGTCAGGCAATGTAGCATTGTCAATTGATAAGATGATTGCATTAAACAATGAGGAAGATGTTCCCATGAAAAACCCAGCATTGTCAAACCCACTGATACAAGTAGAGTTCTGAGGTAACCCATTATCCAACAATGTTCCAATTGACCTTGTTGCCACAAAAGAATTCAAATAAGGTGATTCACTTCCCACTTCAAATGGAGTAAGTGAGAAAACAGTACTATTCAAATTAACAATGTTGGTATCAGGCACTCTACCAACCGCTAACAAGATTGGGAACGGAGCGTAATGGTTGCGAAAATTTGTCTCATTCATAAGATCACTAAACCTATACCCTGCTCCGTAATCCTTTTTATTGGTCAAAAACTGATAGCTTAAAGCTCTTCCCCATACATCAGTGATACTTATACTAAAACCTGCATCCTGTTTTGACCTGACTTGTTCCCCTATATCAATCCACATGAGCAATTGATCAACGATATTATCATCAAAGTAGTTTAAGATGGAGTTTGTAGTTTGCCACAAGGTATTGTTGTGAATAAGCTCGTCAATGCTGATTAAATTGTTGCATACCACCGAGCCAACTAGCCAAGCTCCGCCAGATAAGCCTGATATGTAGCTACTTGACTGTAATATCCCACCGAGGCCAACACCCTGGGAAATATTTGTTCTAGCATCTAATGCTGCATATTCTCCAGCTCCAATCAACAATGCACGATATCCACCACCTGAAAATGCTAAGCCAATCGTGGGACTAGCCTCATTCAAAAAGGAGCTCACATCAAAGTCCTCTAGCTCTACAGAGTGTAAATAGCTTGCTAGATTCAACTCTGCAATTGGGTATCTTGACTCCATGTAAGTTATTTCATTTTTATTGAGTCCCTCAGAAGCCGATCGAGTGAGTTTCCCACCCGAACACTTGACCTTAATTGGAGCATATCCATTGGAGGTAGCTAAGACAATAGGGGAGCTGAGTAAAAGATGTAGAACATGAAATAACATATTCTAGCTGTTAGAGGAGTGCCGTGAGTAGTTGTTTAATAGAGTGTCAATACCACTCAGGTTGTACTTTTTTTGCAACACTTTTCCACTTTCCAAGAAGTGCCAAGTTTCAGTCATGAAGGACCATCTACTAAAGATCCATTGAAATATACCTTACAGATGAGAGCTAGCCTACTTTGGTTCTTGATAACGTCTATAGATGGTATTACCACAAATTAGGCTGATGCACCAATGTGAAACCCACCATATTCGCCACCGTTAATCCTTTATGTAGCGGGTCTAGACTTAAAACAGGCTTCAAGCAAGTGCCCAATTTGGTTTTCCGATACAGCTTCAGTTTCGTAGCTAGTTATGGTTCATGAAAACGAAGTTGAATAACTCTTCCAAATGCCTTTTTATGGTGCAGTGTGGGCGAATAATTGGAAATACCGACGGAAATACTTCTACCAAATGCACGAATTGATTATCCGTTGCTGAGTGCGTCACACAATATTTTCCTACCACAAGTGTATAGATGAACTGATGGGCATTATTCAGCGAACTTTCTTTGTCTTCATCGGTCATTGTTTAGAAGTGCTGACGCGTTTTGGCATCTTTCTCAAGATGGCACGTGTGCTGATATTTTCAAAAGTCCAATAATATCACAAAGCGATCGAATATTTTAGAAAACGGCTGCGAAAACAATAGTATATCCGCTTAAAGAAGTGGTGAACAAAAACAAAACACAGTAATTGTTATCTCGAGGCATGCATGGCGTCTTTTATACACACTTTTGTTCATAAATTCAAATGAATCTGTTTTGAAAATCGATATACGCGTATCGAGGAAGATCGACGACAATGCAACTCCATTTTACGTCGCCTCCATATTATACAAGGGAAGGAAATCACGATTGAAGAATAATAGCCACGTTCCTAAATCAAGTCCGGCTTTTTGCCGAGGTTATATGATAACGATATCTTACTATATAATGGTGAGCAAAATCCCGATATGCGTTTTCGATGCCATGCCGTTTAACAATCACAATGCTCATATTAGTACTCCTTTTGTTGTTTCATACAATTCTAGCATCGTCATCCCATGGCTATGCTCCTGTTGCCGTTTCTTGTCCCGGCGGCCAACTAACTAGGTCATCTCTTACTGGTATCAATCCTGATGAAAAGCGATACGTTGACAATAGGTACAAAATGGTTGCTAAAACAAATTTGAAAGCATTCCTTTCAAACGCTAACTTGACTAATTTTGACGTTGATTCATTTCTTGACCAAACTAATTCAACTATTGGTATTGCTTTCTCTGGTGGTGGTTACAGATCCCAGCTCGCTGGTGCTGGTCAATACGCTGCATTGGATTCAAGAACAAGAGTGGCTAATGGTAAAGGTTTGGGAGGTATATTGCAAGCTGCTAGTTACATCTCGGGTCTTTCTGGTGGTTCGTGGTTGGTTGGCTCCTTGGTTAGCAACGACTTAATGTCCATTGACGAATTGTTCAGCCATAACGCTCTTTGGCAATTGCAGGATTCGTTGGTGGCCAATGGAGAAGACATTCCAAGTAACTGGGACTATTGGAAGCTGATAAATGACGAAGTAAGGGGAAAGAAGAAGGCAGGGTTTGATGTAACCATTACCGATGTTTACGGCCGAGCTTTGAGCTATCAATTGCTCACAAATTCAGACTATGAAGGTGCCAGTTACAAGTTCAGCTCAGTTATTGACCAAAGCAACTACCAAAGTTTTCAAGCACCTTTCCCTATCCTTGTTTCCATAGGTAGAGAACCGGGGACTTCGGTTATTAGTGTCAACAGTACTGTGTTCTCCCTCACACCTTATGAGGTTGGAAGTGAGGATCCTTCATTGCAATCATTTGTTCAAACAAAATATCTTGGAACACAATTAGACGATGGGTATGCAAACAACCGTTCTTGTGTCAATGGATTTGAAAATGTTGGGTTCTTTATGGGCACATCATCCTCATTGTTCAACAGCGTCATTCTTGGATTAAATTCACAAGACCTTCCCGAGTTTTTGAGGAACTTGTTGAATAAATTCCTTGTCGAGCCTTTTGAGAGGTTGAATGTTGATGTGGCGCATTATAATCCGAACCCGTTCTACAAGAGTCAAAATGCGAGGAATTCAATTGAAAAGAGTGACACGTTATATTTGGTTGACGGTGGTGAAGACGGTCAAAATGTACCTTTGGTTCCTTTACTTCGTCGGAACCTAAGCGTGATATTTGCATTTGATAACTCCAACGACCACCTAGGATGGCCAGATGGGACAAGTTTGATCAAAACTTATGAACGCCAATTTTCAGCACAGGGGAGGGGAACTCCATTCCCCTATGTCCCGGATCAAAAGACGTTTAAAAATTTGAACTTAACTTCAAAGCCTGCATTTTTTGGTTGTGATGCAAAGAACTTGACCTCCTTGACTTCCGATATATATGACGTGCCTTTGATAATCTACACTGCAAATCGTCCCTACACTTACTGGTCAAACACATCAACGTTCAAAATGGCATACTCGTTAGAAGAGCGTAATCAAATGATATCTAATGGTTTTGCAACAGCAACCAGATTGAATGGAACGTTGGATGAAGAATGGGATGCTTGTATTGGATGTGCCGTCATCAGACGTGAACAAGAGAGGTTAGGTCTTGAACAGAGTGAACAATGTAAGCAGTGTTTTGAAAGGTATTGCTGGGATGGTACTATTTATGAGGGAGAGTCGATCGGGGACAATTTTGATGACAATGGAATCACCAGTGATGCCACCTACTACAATGCACAAAATGTCCCCGGATTTGACGAAACAGGTGCCAACCTCAAAAGAGATGAGCTCGCCACTGATTAGGAATATGTGAAAAGGTGTTGTATGGCAATGGAGCTTATATACTTTACAATTTAACGTGTGATTTATCAAAGTTGATAAACTTCTGAATAGAAACAACAAACAGAGATTTGTCTCTATTGGTCACAAAGGAAATAGAAACTTCCAGTTGCTTTTAAGTTTGCATAAAACACCAAAATATGGTATGCATTCATTGAAGCGATCGAATTTTTGTGAATACCATATTTGAAAATTGTATTGTTTAAGTATCTCATTGAAGACAGGTAATACAGACGGTTTCTTTTTTGAACAAATACACCCCTCACTCCATTTTTTTCTCATTGGAACATCTCAAATATCTGTTCCTTCAAGTTTCTTTGTACGCCTACTTTGTAATCAGAATATCTCAAAGAAGAAACAATACCTCACTATCGCTTTCAAGGGCATTCTATTTGCCGGTGTCCTATTTTTTAATGATATCTTGGCGCTGCTTTGCATAACTTTTTCTTCCATGCATTTGAAGAAGTTCTTTTTTTCACAGAAATATCTCCTAGTGGTGTAGTTTGTAATCGTTTAATGGGCCCATTCGAAAAAGGCTCGCTTCTCTACAATGCAGGCTGCTGCCATTGCTGTAGACAGCATCAAGCAAGAACGAGTGATGAAGGCAGCCGCTCATACAGAAAGTTAGGTACGTCCATCGAACCGCAAGAAATACACCAGGGAATGGGATTGCCTATTTGGAGAAAATGAAAGGTCGCTAAAACGTACCCAGCTAACTAACTGGATTCCCCACTCTGTGCAAATGGGGAACAACGATGGATTTTCAAACGTGGAAGCAAGGCACATAAGCTTAGGAAAAATAAGGCGGATTTGCATACTGCAAGCCCAGAGTATGAATGCAAGGGCTATGCATAAAAAAATCGCGGTCGTAAAACCAAAAAATAAAACGGCTGCAAAAGTGCGCCTTATATTTATAACAAATATTCTTGGACCAGAATCCTTGTATTTTCACAGTGGAAATTCTTCGAAATTTGTGGATGCTGTGATTGTAGACACTGAATTTTCAAAGAGAATGCACACCTAGTACTTAATAATACAGAGACTGTGGGTCCCACGCACCCAAATCTTCTTTTATTATATTGGGGCATGTCGTCATTAACAAATACCAAGCTAAAACACCTAGATTGCACAAATCAATCCCCACTGTTTACAAAATAAATGCGGGAACTAAAAAAAACCTGGTTTGCAACCTTGGCCCACCAGCATGGGAACGCCGTCAGAGGGGGTGTTGAGCTGATGGGAGTGGTCTGACATTCGAGACCATATAACAGTATATATATGGGGGGTTACTTGTTCATTTACTACAACCCAATAGGCAGTACCTCACCAAAATGTTCACTATTTTGACATTATTGACCAGCTTTCTCTTTTTGGAACAAGCTTTCAGTTTATTCTCACATGGGTATGCCCCAGTTAGAGCTTCATGTCCACAAGGAAAAATTACAAGATCATCTCTTGAGGGGCTCAATGAGGACGAAAAAAATTATGTCGATAATAGATACAGAACAGTTGCGAAACCAAGCCTTGAATCATTTCTCAAAGGTTTAAATTTGGCTGACTTTGATGTTGATGAATTTCTTGAAAAAGCCAACCCCACTATAGGTTTAGCTTTCTCTGGTGGTGGTTTTAGAGCTCAGCTTGCTGGTGCTGGTCAATACGCTGCATTGGATTCAAGAACAAGAGTGGCTAATGGTAAAGGTTTGGGAGGTATATTGCAAGCTGCTAGTTACATCTCGGGTCTTTCTGGTGGTTCATGGTTGGTTGGCTCCTTGGTTAGCAATGACTTGATGTCCATCGACGAATTGATTGACCAAAACACGTTGTGGCAGCTGCAAAAGTCGTTATTATTCAAAGGAAACAGTGTATTGAGCAACCTTAACCACTGGCTTCAGATCAGTTTGGAAGTACAAGGAAAATTGTTTGCAGGTTTCGGTGTAACCATTACTGATATATATGGCAGGGCTTTAAGCTATCAATTGCTAGCCAACTTTGAAAAGTCTGGTGCTAGGTATAGATTTAGTGACTTGAGGTCTCAAAACGGTTTCCAAAACTATCAAATGCCTTATCCAATATTGGTTGCACTTGGTCGAGCACCAGGAACTTCCATTGTCAATCTTAATAGTACAGTGTTTTCACTCACCCCCTTTGAAGTTGGAAGCGAGGATCCTTCATTGCAAGCTTTTGTGGATACCAAGTACTTGGGAACATCGTTGGACAACGGGTCTCCAAGAAAGCTGTACTGCATCAACGGTTTCGACAATGCTGGTTTTTTCATGGGTACGTCTTCGTCGGTCTTCAACAAAAGGGTGCTTGATTTGAACTCACCACATCTCCCTAAGTTTTTAAAGAAAATCTTCAATAAGTTTGCCATCGAGCCTTTTGAAAAATTGAACATCGACGTGGCTCATTATAATCCAAACCCATTCTACAAGAGTCAAAATGCGGGGAATTCGATTGAAAAGAGTGATACTTTACATTTGGTTGATGGTGGTGAAGACGGTCAAAACATACCTTTGGTTCCGTTGCTTCGTCGTAAGTTAAACGTGATATTTGCATTTGATAACTCCGATAGTGATTCGTCTTGGCCAGACGGAAGAAGCTTAATTAGAACCTACGAGCGTCAATTTTCAACACAGGGCCAAGGAGCTCCATTCCCCTATGTCCCGGATCAAAAGACGTTTAAAAATTTGAACTTGACTTCAAAGCCTGCATTTTTTGGTTGTGATGCAAAGAACTTGACCTCCTTGACTTCCGATATATATGACGTGCCTTTGATAATCTACACTGCAAATCGTCCCTACACTTACTGGTCAAACACATCAACGTTCAAAATGGCATACTCGTTAGAAGAGCGTAATCAAATGATATCTAATGGTTTTGCAACAGCAACCAGATTGAATGGAACGTTGGATGAAGAATGGGATGCTTGTATTGGATGTGCCGTCATCAGACGTGAACAAGAGAGGTTAGGTCTTGAACAGAGTGAACAATGTAAGCAGTGTTTTGAAAGGTATTGCTGGGATGGTACTATTTATGAGGGAGAGTCGATCGGGGACAATTTTGATGACAACGGAATCACCAATGATGTCACCTACTACAATGCACAGAATGTCCCCGGGTTTGATGAAACAGGTATCAACCTCAAAAGAGATGCAATTTCCACTGATTAGGTGTTAAAGAGACTTTTTTAGATCAAATATTAGTAAGTTATTTGATAATTATAAGGTATATGTGTTTGCGTATCTGTGTTGTGGAGTTGTAAGCCTTCTCTCTCTCTCCTGCATAGTTTGGGGTACTGTCAAAGGCTAAAATTTCGACCCCCTTACCCAGTGTTGAAATTAGCGTTTGCCAATTTGAGATAAAATATTAGATTAATGTTATGAGAACTCATTTCGCTTTTGACGACCCAATTATGTGAATCTCCGCTGGTTCCCGGATGGACGAAAAGTATCTTCGTACACGTAAAAACACTTCATGAACCGATTGGAAAGAACGATTATGGTCTATTGCATGATTTAATATTTGTTTTTAAAGATGTGGTATAATATGGGAGCTTTTAGCTGCTTTGGCAACTCGAGATTTCATTTGATGATATCACAATATCAGTCGAATAAAAAACGTCCACAGTACCTGAAATGAAGCCGGTATGTTCGAGGAGCGTAATCTTGGCTTTTGCATAAAGGCTAGTAGCTTCTAAAGAGTTGAGTCTAACCCCGTTGGAAATGCGTATATATGATGCAATTACGCAACAATAAAGATCACATTGAAAGACATGTTTTTAATCTTGATAAAACGCTCGACATACTGGCATCTAGGACATTTACAAGGCTGCATGAAAGTATGGAATTTGGAGATGAAACGCGAGGATTCACAACTAAAGAGCGAGAGTGGTAGTCAAGTATACACTATTGTGATAGTTTTGTATATGATTGTTGGCACAAAATCGAACTTGCGGTTGCAAAAATGTTTCTTTTTGGTTAAACTTTCGAAAAAGTAAAAACTTTACACGGTTTTCTCGCTCGTCAAAGTCGACAGCCGAACTTGGTTAAGAAGGAATGGTGTCGATCACCGGTATCAGTGTTCTCAATGGTACCCAGTATCCAAACCTGAATCAACCTGCTTGTATCACATGTGGTTTATTTCTATGCTTTTTACTAAGTTCATGTATCAAAATCAAATGTCAACTAGCTAGTTAAATTCGATGATCTCCCATCCCAATAGCTTTGAATATGAGAAACGCAAAAACTAAAAATTGATTTGCAAATTCCGGCTCCACTTGTAATAACGAATGAGCTTGGGGGACAGTAATCAGATGATATCCGATGTAACACATTAAATATAATCAAAGCAATCCATCTTGTTGTTTGAGCAACAATGGGGCCAATGATCAAAAATGCCCATAAAATTGTCATTGTTAGCCAGCTTTTTTCTCCTAAGTTACGCATTTGGCTTCTTTTCTCACGGGTATGCGCCAATCAGAGCTTCATGTCCCTGGGGAAAATTGACAAGATCATCTCTTGAGGGGCTCAATGAGGACGAAAAAAATTATGTCGATAATAGATACAGAACAGTTGCGAAACCAAGCCTTGAATCATTTCTCAAAGGTTTAAATTTGGCTGACTTTGATGTTGATGAATTTCTTGAAAAAGCCAACCCCACTATAGGTTTAGCTTTCTCTGGTGGTGGTTTTAGAGCTCAGCTTGCTGGTGCTGGTCAATACGCTGCATTGGATTCAAGAACAAGAGTGGCTAATGGTAAAGGTTTGGGAGGTATATTGCAAGCTGCTAGTTACATCTCGGGTCTTTCTGGTGGTTCATGGTTGGTTGGCTCCTTGGTTAGCAATGACTTGATGTCCATCGACGAATTGATTGACCAAAACACGTTGTGGCAAATTCAGAATACCTTGTTGTTTAATGGAAATAGTATTCTCAGTAATTTGGATTACTGGCTTCTGATCAACTTGGAAGTGAAAGGGAAGTTACTAGCAGGTTTCGGTGTGACCATTACTGATATATATGGCAGGGCTTTAAGCTATCAATTGCTAGCCAACTTTGAAAAGTCTGGTGCTAGGTATAGATTTAGTGACTTGAGGTCTCAAAACGGTTTCCAAAACTATCAAATGCCTTATCCAATATTGGTTGCACTTGGTCGAGCACCAGGAACTTCCATTGTCAATCTTAATAGTACAGTGTTTTCACTCACCCCCTTTGAAGTTGGAAGTGAGGATCCTTCATTGCAAGCTTTTGTGGATACCAAGTACTTGGGAACATCGTTGGACAACGGGTCTCCAAGAAAGCTGTACTGCATCAACGGTTTCGACAATGTTGGGTTCTTTATGGGCACATCATCCTCATTGTTCAACAGCGTCATTCTTGGATTAAATTCACAAGACCTTCCCGAGTTTTTGAGGAACTTGTTGAATAAATTCCTTGTCGAGCCTTTTGAGAGGTTGAATGTTGATGTGGCGCATTATAATCCGAACCCGTTCTACAAGAGTCAAAATGCGAGGAATTCAATTGAAAAGAGTGACACGTTATATTTGGTTGACGGTGGTGAAGACGGTCAAAATGTACCTTTGGTTCCTTTACTTCGTCGGAACCTAAGCGTGATATTTGCATTTGATAACTCCAACGACCACCTAGGATGGCCAGATGGGACAAGTTTGATCAAAACTTATGAACGCCAATTTTCAGCACAGGGGAGGGGAACTCCATTCCCCTATGTCCCGGATCAAAAGACGTTTAAAAATTTGAACTTGACTTCAAAGCCTGCATTTTTTGGTTGTGATGCAAAGAACTTGACCTCCTTGACTTCCGATATATATGACGTGCCTTTGATAATCTACACTGCAAATCGTCCCTACACTTACTGGTCAAACACATCAACGTTCAAAATGGCATACTCGTTAGAAGAGCGTAATCAAATGATATCTAATGGTTTTGCAACAGCAACCAGATTGAATGGAACGTTGGATGAAGAATGGGATGCTTGTATTGGATGTGCCGTCATCAGACGTGAACAAGAGAGGTTAGGTCTTGAACAGAGTGAACAATGTAAGCAGTGTTTTGAAAGGTATTGCTGGGATGGTACTATTTATGAGGGAGAGTCGATCGGGGACAATTTTGATGACAACGGAATCACCAGTGATGCCACCTACTACAATGCACAGAATGTTCCCGGGTTTGAAACCTCATGTATCCTTTTCAAAAGAGAAAACCAAACCAACATCGATGTAAAATGGAAGAGGAAATGATTAGATTGGTAGTAGTGTTTATATTCCGTGATCGTCTATGTAATCTAGTCTTTATGCAAATTTTTGTGCGAGTCAGTATTTTGATGACCCTTCTGACTTTTGTGACTCTTGTGACTACTCTGTGAATGAGAGTCACTATCTTGTACCAGTGCCTCTTCATTTTCATCATCATCATCGTCTTCAATCAAGAAGTTATCGGTGTCAAAATCGGCAGAGTTCAATTCAATTTCATTGTGACTACCCATTTCCAATTCATCAGCGAAATTTCCAAACACTAAAACGTCGTCATGTATAATACCTCTTTGATGGAAACTCGCTAGTTTTTGTTGCATCTTGACATAAATCAAATACGTGGCCAATGACGCAGCACCACCAGTGATGACTATACTTATTACATCAACAAACTTCGACATGCCAGAGCTTTTATCACTTCCCAAATCTTTTAACTTGCTACCAACAAACAAATGGATAAATAATTTTGGTGATGTTATCAATGTGGCAAGAAAATAGGTTAAAAGGGGCAACTCAGGAACTGCCGCCAAAGCACCATTGGATAATGAATAGGGTAATGGACAAAGTCGTATTAAGCATAGTAGTAATAACGAACTATCATCATGTAAAACTTCGGCAAAAGCTCTAAATTTCTCATTGTATTGCACCAATTTCGTTGCTTGATTTTGTAACAAGTATCGGAACACAAGAAATGATGCAGTACATCCAGACACCGATGCAAATGCCAACAACGGCCACCCTTGTGGAAATCCATAAACCATTCCTGTCAATAAACTCAAAGCTGTGAAACCAACCAAAGGTGGAAAGCTGACTGTAAACACCAAGGCAAATATAATGACACTTCCGTACGTAAGATCATGCCACTTGTCTGATAAATTGATCAATTGGTTGATCAAGTATGAATGGAATATGAGGAATAGTAAACCTACTATACCAATGATGACGCATCCCAATACAACAAATATTTTCTTTATTAGTGATTGTTCAACAAACCATGTTCTTAATTGATTTGTGAGGTGGATTGCTGAGGCAACTCTTTCAGCCATATAGTCTCGTATCGACGAGCTTGAATTTGCTGTATATTGATGCAGATGGTCATTATTTGACAATTGAGGCATCTTTGATGATTACTTGTATAAACAATTCAATATATTTACTCGGCTGAGCCTCATATTCGCCCAAAATTTCCCAAAGCGAGAAGCTTGTGACTTTCGGTTTTGGCTGGGAGCTTCGGTTATATAAATGCGAGGACAGCTTTGTAGATAAAAGCAAACAGAAGAAAGTGGTAAATAGTACTTACTAGCTAGAGAAATGTGATGATTTTATCTGCCATTCACGTTATGGGTATCAGTACTTACCCTAGAAGTTACAACAAAATCGCTCGGAGTTTTTGAGTTGATAATTATTTTTGCGCAAATTTTACTACAAAATAATTATGCTGCAAAATGCTAGAGGCCAATTATTACAACTAACAATATAGCGAATGGTTCTTTTTCTCTCCTGTCGGCTGTGTCTTCCGCCTGTGTTATCTCTACAACGCAAAGGAGTCTGGGGGAGGGGGGGCGGAGTTTGATTGGAAAATTGAGGAGACTTCTAAGGTGGGATTACGTTTAGGCCAAGCATTCTCTTTTACTGGTGTGATATTTTTCCACATTTCGGAATCGAAATCATTTGTTGCTACCATACAATTTGAGTTTGACCAATTAAAATCAAGTAAAATAGGATTACCATGCATGTACTTACGTATATGCAGTATTTTGTATGTGCTCCACTGAAAACTAGTGACCTCCATTAGTAATAGAACGAAGAGAAAAAAGAAAAAAGAAAAAAATAAAACTAATGGTCGTGTACTATTACACAAGGTAAACTTTATAATATAACGGTAGTAATGAGGGTGGTGGAGTTTCAAAAGAGAGCAAAGGAGAATCAAAAAGAAAAATTGATACACTCATTTGAATACATATCTTTTACATATATAAACAGTTAGTATAAAGCTACTTCATTATCAAACTTTACTTCAAAATTTTGACAGATAGAGTCAAGCATATTTATTCCATAAGTCAAAAGCAAAGATATTTATACATTGCACACCCTTCGACCCCTCCCCACTTTCAAATACTCAACAACATATACGTATACAATGATTACTAGAAGATTATCAGCTGTTCAATTGACTAGAAGGTATTTATCACACGAGTTGAAAGAAAAGAATAAAAGATTTATTCAAACGATACCTTCGGGTACAGGGTCTAGCTCAAATTCTTTTTACAACTTTCAACATGATCAAGCTAGAGAACCTAAAATGATTGAGAGAAACACCAATTCAAAATGGGCAAAACATTCGTTGGAATTTCCATCACAACCAATAAGTTCACCAAGGGAAGCTAAGGAAGATGCACAAGCAACAAAGGCTGCTCCTGTACGGAGGCTGAGGACATCAAGATTCAAGACGACAAACAATCTTTCCACAGTACAACCATCAATCTTGAAAACATCGAATCCAATAACAACAGCCTCAGCAACACAACCTTCATCAGAGTCATCTCCGTCGCAAGTCATTGAAATAACGTCGGATCCAGCAGTGCAGGCTGCTTCATCTTCGATACAAAAGACACCTAAACCATTGACAACAGAAACGATACCAAAGACAAACACGGCAACCACCCCAAAAAAGAAACGTACATTGCGTCCTCGCAAAGCATTAATAACGCTATCGCCAAACGCAGTATCTCACTTACAAGCATTATTGGATCAACCTGAACCAAAATTGATTAGAATTGGAGTGAGAAATAGAGGTTGTAGTGGATTAACTTACAATTTGGAATATGTTGATAAGCCAGGAAAATTTGATGAAACAGTTGAACAAGATGGTGTCAAGGTACTCATAGATTCAAAAGCACTTTTCTCCATTGTTGGGTCGGAAATGGATTGGTTAGATGACAAATTGAGTTCAAGATTTATTTTCAAGAATCCAAACTCAAAAGGTACCTGCGGTTGTGGTGAATCATTCATGGTATAGAATTTTTATACAACTACGTTGATTACAATTTAACGAAATTTGAACGTTTGCAAAACTCACTAGCCACATGTAGATTATATATATACACACACTCTCGCACCTACTTAATCTTTCTACATTCGAAATAAGTAGCATTGATATCGTTGGGTAATGAACAAAAATACTCATGCTTTTGCATAATCTTGAACAACTCTATTGAGTTTATTTTCAATTTAAGACAAGTTTTACCCCCATCTCTATTCGACGTGCAGATAATACTCTCCTTAATATCTTTCTCGCCATCTATAACAAACATATTGGATGGCGGATAACTATGAATGAAATCCCCCACTGTTGAGTCAGCATCTTTAAATGTCTTTGCATCATTAACATTTTTGAGTTTTATGTCGTGAGACGGAGAGTCGGAACTTAATTGGTTCAAGGTGGTTTCGATATCGGATGTATCATTAATCAAATGTCTGGTCCCAGTTGACGGAGGTTGTGGGAGTTGCTGATGTGACCGTTGTTCTAAAATTGGAGAGCCCAAAGGAGGCGCAGGTGGGGGGACTTCTGTCTTTTGTGAGCCAAATGATAGCCAACCCATTTTTTAAAATGTACTAATCTGTGTGTTGAAGGGATTGGGGTTGTTGGTAAAGTGGATTGCTAAAAATTGAAAGTAGGTTTGTTGGTGAAATAAAATTAAACTATGACTACGCTATATACAGGACTACAAGCATAAACCCAAACTTTCATTCAATCTCATTACTGTAGTCAAGAATTGTTTATAAGTCAAGTAAGCAAGTACCTCGTTTCCATTATTCTTCCCCTTCTTTGCATTCTTGTCACTTTGTAGTTTGTCTAATTGATCTAGCCATTGGAACTTGTAATCATATTTGATTTGCCATGGACAGTCATGGTCCATACGAAGCAAGGTACTGATAATTTGTGACTCAGTTGTGTCGATGCTGGCTCTCTTCTCATCCTCAACAGTGGCAATAGCCTCTTCTGCATGAAAGTTTCTCTTCGCTACTGTATGATTAAAGACAAATGTCAATGTAGCGAAAAGTCTTTGTTCAAGTTGGTCTTCACATAGCGGTGGGAGTTTGAGAAACTTTTGTCGTTTTAAATTGTAATCAACATTTCTGAAATTCCTTTTAATCAAAGCAACATAGTCGTCAATGGTTATATCTGGTATCAGGTATGGATTATCGTCAACTTTGTATAATTTCGGTGTACATTCAAACTGGCGAAGTTTGTAAAAACGTTTGTATAATGCACGTAGCCTCGACTTGGAGTCAGGTAGTTGTTGGATTTGCTCAATGGTTGATTTAATGTTAAATTGTGGGAAGTTGAATATTAACCCTCTCTGGTTTTGTCTTAGGACATATTTGAGACTCATTTGTAAAAAGTGATTCCACACAGCACACCACACACAATTTTTTTTCGCTCCATTTTCTCTGTTTAAATCCTGGTTGCAAATCCATCAAAATGGGAGCAAGATGTCCATCACAGTCAGAGAAGAAAACACTTATTACCAACTTGAGTTCAACTACAACACGCCACCCTCTCCAATCGTCATTCCTGCACCCACCATTTTTCTCGACTTCAAAATACACTTTAATTCACACCTTTTGACAGTGGGCGATAATGAAGAGTTGGTGAGGGAAATAGCAACTAGTTTCTGGCCCTTTTGGGACTCTTGTCACTATGATACTTCCATCAACATATCTGAAGCATCTGAGTTTACATTTACGCTTGTTTGTAAAGACTCAGTATTCGAATTAAATGCGTTGCCAAAAATTGCATCCATAGAGATCAATTTATCTGTTTTGTCGATCGAGGAGATCCTTCTTCAAGATCTAATGATTGCTTTTGATTATCTAATGACATCTTGGTTTTTGAACGAGGAGCATAAACATCCTGCCATTTTTTCACCAACAGGTCGCCAATTTATCAAACTCAATTTATTTTGGTACAAAAAGATGTGTTTCGAAGTGTTGGGCGAGCACTTGACTGATCCTGAAACGGTGATTACAAAGTACATCGAAGTGGTTGGAACAAATTACACAATATTACCATTGATGGGCAATACTGATGTGGCAATTGATTACCCAAGAAGTGCCCGTGGGAAGAACTCTGTAATCAAATCATACCCCTTGCATTTGGTCAAGATAAACACTCTCGAGTCAAGTTGAAATGAAAATGCCATTCTCCCTAATTTCAGATCCCCCACTTTTCTCGACGGGGGATATTTTTCCGAATGCGTTGGGGGGAAAAAAGAAAAAAAAGTAAGCCACAATAATGCGAGGGGCGCGGCAGGCTTTTCATCTTACAAATTCTCCGAATTTAAATGGATCAAGATTTCCCTAAAAAACTTTAGAAAATAAATCTTCATCTTATTTAGCTATTAGCTATATTAATCCAGTCATGTCATCTCCACTCAATTTTGCTGTTGTCGGTACAGGAATTTTTGCCACTGACACTCACTTGCCAACTTTCCAGAAATTACAAAACTTTAAACCAGTTGCTGCTTATAACAGAACCAAATCAAAAGCGGAGACATTTGCTAAAAAAGCAGGCATTTCAGAAAACAAAGTCTATGATTCATTAGAAGATACATTCCAAGATCCAGAAGTTGACTTTGTCGATGTGTTATTGCCAGTACAATTCAATCTTGATGCAGTCAAATTAGCAATCGAAAACAAGAAACCAATTTGCTTTGAAAAGCCAATTGCAGCCAACTTAACCCAAGCCAAAGAGATTGTTCGTTTGAGTGAGGGGACTGACTTGCCAATATTGGTTTTGGAAAACTGGGCATACTTGAAAGCAATCAAAGTATTGAAGGAAGAAGTGCTCCCACAATTGGGCGAAATTGTTGCATTCACTTATAACGCCACTGGCCCATGGAATGATAACAACAAGTACTTGGCCACTGGATGGAGGCAAAAACCAGAACACATTGGTGGCTTTTTAAGTGATGGAGGTGTCCATCAATTGGCTTTATTGACTGAAGTTTTAGGCAATGTCAGATCCGTTAGTGGATTGACCAAACAATTGAGAGAGGAAAGCGGTACTGATGATGTTTTGTTTTCAACTTTCAACCTAAACTCTGGTGTGATTGGTACATTCACTTATGGTTCAGCTTTTGGTGCCACTGACAAATCTACCAGTTTCACAATTTACGGCAAAAACGGATCAGCAACCTATGATTGGTCTCCATCTTTAAGTAAACCAAAGATTGTATACCAAACAGGAACCAGTGGCCAAAATAAAAGCGAAAAGAAAACGATTGAAATTGATGAAGTTAACACTTTTGAACAGGAGTTTGAAAACTTTGCTGAAGCAATTGAGAAAAAGGACAAGAAATTGATCAAAGTGCCGCCAACCAAGGCTTTTCATCACTTGGCTATTGTTGCTGCGGCGCTAGAATCGTCAAAGAAAGATGGATCTAACGTCAATGTAGAATCACCTTAAAAATAGCTACTTAAGTCTATTATAGTTCGTCAGCTAACCTTGCAGATGTTGTAGTTATACCCGAAACGATCTCTTCTAAGGTCTCAGTAAATGAATCATCGGGCAAATCGGTTAAAATAGTAGAGACAACCGCAGCAGTTGTCGAGATAATGACACTAAGCGTGTCCACATCGACGTCTGTAGTTTTCACCCTAGACCCAGTACCCAAAATCCAATTGAAAATGTTGAATATTTTAAACAATGACCAAAACAAAATCTTTAGTGGTCTTCTCAACACCCTTCTATACAATACCCAACAGCAACATAGAATGAAGAATCCCATGCTAAGATATATTCTTTGTCGATCCTGCTTATCTTGTTTCTCAATAAACTTAATGATTCCCTTGGACTTGCTTAAAAGATCACCAAATTGAATAAAGCTCTCATTCAACTTTGCCAAATCTTTTGTTTGTTGATCTATGGCATCTATATTTAACTCGGATTGTAGAATCGTAGTTGATAGCATATCTCGAGACTTTTGCAATGAAGACGTGATTTTTGTATTCTGTTGGTTTATTTGTTGGGCAATTGAAGCCTCGGCTGTCTTTTTAGATGACCTGTTGGAAAATAGTTGGTCCCTTGTTGCTTGAAGTGTAGTTTCGTCGGTTACTTTATCGGTATTAGTGTCAATATCTGGGAGTACATTAAAATGCTTCAATCGATACTCTTGGATTTTCACTTGCTGCTCCTCATTGAGATGGAGCTGCACTTCTCTATACTTTTGTTTGAGCGACTTGTATTTCAATTCGTAGATACGGTAGTTTGTGTCTCCTCTCGAGATTGACTTCATAATACGTAAATAGTCTTTAAACTCAAGCAAGTTCTGATTAATGCGTGCACGAATTGTAGTTGCAGAATTGTCGTCATCTTGGCCATTCAAAGTCAGCAAAAGACCGTCAAAGTCAGCATATATGATTTTTTGAAGATGATCTAATCTTGCCTGTATATCCATGATCTTGTTGAGGTGAGGGGGGGGCAAAGTTAGATTGTTGCTAACGTGGGCCATCAAGAAAGGTCGCAAAAGTAAAGCCAACTCGCGTTGAAATTTAATATTTTCTTTTCCCTCTTTTTAGCAGTCATTGAAAATTTATGTGTTAATCATTTTCCCCTTTACTACAATCAATGACAAAACGAAAAGGAACAAAGAAACCAATTGACCCCTCTAAACTAACTCCACAATATATCGAAGAGCAACGCCGAATACGGAATGAAAGAAAAGAGCGTGAGAGATTGGAGAAGGAAGCTAAGGGTATATTTGACTCGCCTGAGCCAATTGAGGAGTTTATAAAGAGACCAATTTTGCAAGTACAGCCTCTGGATGATGATAAATTCAGTATTAAGATTATGTCATACAATATCCTAGCACAATGTCTTATACGTCGTGATTTATACCCCACCAATGGTAAAATACTCAAATGGTCACTTCGTTCAAGGATTTTACTTGAGGAATTGCGTTGGTACGACTCTGGTATACTATGCTTGCAAGAGTGTGACAAAGTACAGTATCTTCATTTTTGGCAAGAGAATTTGAAAATATTAGGTTACGATTCCAAATTTTATCGATACAATACCAAAAACCACGGATTAGTCATTGCATTCAAGCAAGATTGGTTTACGTGCAAACACCAATCGTTTATCAAGTATGATCAAGAATTAGAGTATGAACCAATCGAGCCAAGGCTACCTGATCCAAGAATTGTGACAAACAATGTCGGACTCATGTGTTTTTTGGAATTCAAACCATCTTTAGTGAAACAGTTTCCGTATTTGGCGGAAAGGAATGGTTTGATTATTGGCACAACTCATGCTTTTTGGCACCCCTTTGGAACTTTTGAACGCACGAGACAAATGTATATTCTTTTGCACAAGCTTAAAGAGTTTCAACGAGTTATGGCTGCGATAACAGGGAATAAGAAACTGTTTTATTCATTCTTCACTGGTGATTTGAACTGTGAGCCATTTGACGCACCTTATCTTGCAATGACGGAAAAGCCAATCAAGTTCACTGATCGAGCAAAAAATGTCTTGGGGTGCTCATTGAGCTACACGTTTTCGAAAGAGAGGGCTTTAGATAATGAACTGGGAGATGAGCCCGATGGAGATGACGAAGAATGCGATTCAGAGGACGATCAACCAGGCACTGAATCCCAAGAGACTGATCTGAATGCATCAGAGCCCCCCAGATTGAATAATCCTCTGGATCCAGAACCAGAACAGTTTCAAATCACAAAGGAGCAGGGTGACTTGATCCACCAACTCGAGGATGCTCACAATGGTATTGGCTTACGTGCTATATCCTTATACTCTGCTGGATATGCTATCGTGCATCCAGAAAACGCCACACAATTTCGCAACGAGCCAAGCTTTTCCAACTGGGTTGAAAAATGGAACGGCATGCTCGATTATATTTTGCTAATAGTACCATGGTCAAAAGATGATGACTACTCAAAGAACTGGGACTCGCATCGATCCCTTGAAAAATATAACATTAAACTAACAAAATTACTAAAACTACCAACCGCTGACGAAATGGGACCTCAACCAAATGGACAACCTCGATTGAACCAATACCCTTCTGACCATTTATGTATTATGGCCGAAATACAACTTTCATGAAAGTCATTTAATTTTTACCTACCTAACATTGTGTCAACCAAATCCTCCAAGGGTCCGTAATCTTTCCTTGTAATTAATATGAACTCATCGGCAAATAATACAAAATGTTTCAAACTAGTATTCAAATGACTTTGTAATCCCAACTCCGTGACTTCATGGAAATGGTGACAGTAAATATGGGCATAGATTCTGAACAATCTCTTGAAAATAGTTTTCACCAAGGTTGGGAACTGATGAGGAAATGGAGCACCAATCTTTGACGGGAAGATGTTATCATTATCAAAAAAATTTTGCACCCAATTCATTAAGTTTTCAATATACTCACAAGCTGGTAAAGACACTGGTTTCTTCGGTGATGAGACCATATTGGATCCATCATTAGTTGGGGTTGGGTTAGATTCCTGCCACAAATATTCATATTCTTCTGTTGCAATCATTCGAGGACAAGTCAAAGGAGAACAAAATTCGGTTATGGCACCATAAAGCATATTAATCTGGTTATAAAAATCAACCACATGTATGGCCAACCATTCATTCAAATCCTCATCTCGCGGTAATTTGACCGCCTGGATTAAAGCATTATCGGAACCTAACGTTTGCTCAGCATAATTTCGAATATCTTTGTGTGTAGTCACTGCTTGGCCGCCAGCAGGTAGTGTTTCTTTATTTATTGTTCTGTAAGAGTTGAATTGATACTGTTGTTGACTCTGGTTGGGCACCAGTGGCAGATCCTGAGGAAATGTTGAGTTGCTAACTGGTTGGGGACTTGATATTGGAGATGATTGTTTTAGCTTAAACCCCCTGGTGGATCGTAAGGTGTGAGTATTGAAATTTTGAAACAAAGCCATTCTTTTTATGCTTGATATAGTAGTAGTGGTCTGTATGAATTTATAAAGCTAGAGTGTAAAGACTATAGTTGATATGAGATTTCAAGACGTTTACTGAATTTTTGGAATTCTACAAAAACATTTGGAATGTTTTGATTTTCGCCGTTTTGGTCATTTTTTGATTTGAAGATATATAGACTTCCCAAAATAGTAACAATACGAAAAAGCGGTAAACAGTGCATAGATTCTAAGATTCATTTTGACACCGACACGACCGAAGTCACATGAAAAAAAAGTAGAAGCGAAAAAGGAATCGAATCTCACCACTCAAATTTGAAGAAAGAGTGAGAGAATATCAAGTGGTCTTTAACTGCATTGTACAGACAGATCAAGAATGGAAGTCAATCCCCACAATTTGCATCGTTCTACAGACGCTGAAAATAGCGACGCAGAATACGATCCCGCAAGTGGCTCCACTCCATTGCATGCCGAGACTGGTCTCAAGACGGAGGCTGCGTATGACTCTGATACTCTGCTGCTGCCACAACAAGAAGACCAAATGATTACTAATGACACGAAGAAATATCTGACAGAACAGGGTGGCTCAGCTGAAAAATATCAGGAAGAACTTGAAATTGTTGAACCGTGTACTGAGAACCAAGGTGAGCAAGGTGACCTTTCAAAACTGCAAATGAGCAATGATGATGACGATGATGGAAACAAACAAGCCGAATCGTTGATTCCTGAAGAATTGAACGCACACTATAACGATAACGATGACCAAAGTAAAGAACAAGCTGATGTTGCATCGAAAAGCAATGATGATATTTACGAGCCAGATATGCCAACTTCACGCTCAGAAATTTTGATACAAGGGCAAGTAGAAGACTCTAACAAGCTCGACAGCGAGAACTACAAACCTGAAGCATCAATTAACGATGAAGATGATTATGACCCCGAGCTAGATCAAAAGCCGGTTGGCCCACCTTCCTTGCCTAGCAGGCCTCCTACAGGATTACCTCCAAAACCGGCACAGACTGCCAAGTCAGTCCCATCCACAACTCTCATAAGCAATCAGGGAGAGATGGCAAAAGCGCTACGTGATGCATACAATGCGTTCATGCACAGCGACTTTACTAATGATCCAGAGTTTCTGCAATTGCCGCAAGAGGAACAAGTTAGGTCAATTCAAGAGCTTTTGAGTGAACGTGGAATTGATTTGAGTAAAATAAATTTTGATCAAGTTTATTCCTACAACAAACCTTTTAAGCAATTAAAAGATCCTATTCCTTTGGTGCCAGTCAGCGAGTTCTGTCGTCGTCCAAACATTACGGTGCCACTGACACCCGAGGAGGAGAAGGAATATGAGGAGTTTATTGAAAGGGAAAACTACTACATGAATCTACAAAATTGGGATGAATTTCCCGATAAGCTGAGATTGTTTGTTGGAAATTTGCCTGCAAACACTGTATCAAAACAAGATTTATTTCGGATTTTCAATAAATACGGAGAAGTTATTCAAATAGCCATCAAGGCTGGATATGGGTTTGTTCAGTTCCGGACTGGGGAAGCTTGTTTGGAATGTGTCAAGGGGGAGACAGATGTTCCTATACATAACAAAGTGTTGAGATTAGATGCTTCAAAACCACAGAAATCAAGAAGACCAGGCCATCCCGAGGTCAATAACCCCAATTTGAGCTCACGTGGAAGAGAAAGACCCAATGCAGAGGAGCCCGTTCCAAAAAGAAGAAAGGGTGATTTTGATTGTATTGTTTACACTACCGGGAAATCTTCAGTATTTTTCATAAGACAAGTCAAGAAGGCGTTTGCTAAATGTCAGGTGCTGATTGAAACTGAGGATGTGACGCAAAAGAACATCAACGAAGTGCTTAGTGAAGCCGCATATGCAGGATATTTAGGCGCTTGCGTCATTAAAGAGCATAAAGTTGATGTTCAAACCTATGAAGAGCAACCTAATGGTGGAATAAAGTTTGATGAATATGCTGATATTGACCCGGAAGAAGCAGCTGAAGTCATGTCCAAGGCAAAGCTCAATAAATATGGCGGTAATCCTCCACCGTACTATCCTCCGGATACCAACTACTTTGAAAATGTACAAGATAGGGGCAACAGGCAGCACGATCGTGATAGAAATAGAGGAAATTTTGGTCGCAATAATAGAAGGGGTAAGGGAAAACATGGACATCAAAACAATCCTGGGTATGTCCACAACAACTACGATCGTCATAGAAATAACTACACACAGCAACTGTGGCCAAACTTGAGTCAACAACAACTGTTCTTGCCACATCAGCAACAACCTTACGGCCAAATCCCTCAAACTCAATTTTCTCAATTTAGCCAACTGCCTCAAACTCAGGGCCAGTTCACCCCCTCCCCATACGGATTTCAACAACCTCACCAACAACCAGTTTACAACCAGTATAGTTCCCCGCAGCCACCATCGTTGAACCTTAACCAACCAAATCTTGCCCAGGCATTGCAATCTCTTAACGCAGACCAAGTGCAAAGCATGATTAATCTTTTGCAGCAACAGCAACAACCAGTACAGCAAGGAATGCCATCTCCTCCTCCATTTTCTTTGCAAAATCATAATCCAGTTGTTTCCAGGCCAGCACAAGGATCAGCCCATGTACCGGCACCAGCTGCATACGGACAACCGCCCCCTTTAAACTACGGTGATCGGGGAGGTGGAAGACGAGACCAAAGCCACGGATTGAGGAGTCGTCCTTATGGCAATGTTCCACAGCCTCATCAGAATCCTTCTCTCCTGACAAACGCTAATCAATCAGATAACAGCGCGAGAGCATTACTTTCCCAATTACAAGCAGGGACTTATAACCAAGGGCCCAACTCTCAACAGCCAGGTTCAAATAGCGCCCTCATGGAAACATTACGTAAATTGGCCAGAAGATAAGCTTATGAAAAAGAGATAATTCACCTCTTTGTACTTCTTATAAGCCGTGTAAAGAAAACATAAACACTCACTATTCAATTTATGTGACCTAACTCATTTACAATTTCTTTTTCCAATCCTTTTTATTTGTTGGCTATTCTGGATTAGTCAACGATGTTGCTAGAATCTGCTATTCCCAGGTCATGTAGTTCCTGTTCATGTTCATTTTCATTGAACTCTTTTTTCAACTCCTCAAACTCTTTTTCATCTTCCAAGTAGCCATTGATTCCAATGACGCCACATTCGTTGAATATTTCCAAAATCTTTTCCGCGTCTTCCACCTTCAACTTGGCAAATTCTTTATTAACTTCGTCCAAACTTTGGGTTTTGATTGCAGTTTGGAACTCAGCAGGTAATTTCGAACTGAAAATTTCATACTCCTTAGTTCCTTCTTCAGGGATATTGACAGTCAACGTTGTGTTGTCATCTAATGCCCTCAATTGAATTAGTGCCTCTTCATTGTTGTTCGCATTGTTTTCTTGTTCTTCTTTAATCACTTTGCATCTTTGTATAATGTGATTGACAGTATTTGTAAACTCGTCGTTGAAAAATTGTTTCACTTTTTCTTCGTTTTGAAACTTTGTAAACAACAACTTGATAGCCCGAATTGTGTCCTCTCGAGAGGTACTATTGCCCTTGATTTGAGCAACATACTGCAAAAGCAATGATTGGTGAACAATACGCTTGGTAGTGTTGGTGTCTCCATTCAATTGCGCATCGAACGCCAACATAATCAAAGCATCTTTTTGCGATTCTGTGCATATTTTAGTATGCTTGATCAAGTAGTCGGCGGATTCGGATAAGTTCTTGGGATCAATTGTACCAAATTTGTCAGTTTCAGGCATAAGGTCAATGGAATCCAATAATGCTTTTTCAATTTCTTCCCCATCTGCTTGAGTAACCGCAGGAGAAGCAACCGTTCCCTTTGTAGTGCCAACAGGTTTTGTAGTGGGTGGTTTGATAGCTTCCTTTTTCTCACTTTCGATCTCACCGATCTTTGCTTTCACTTTGCCTATTTCATCGTTCTCCTCGGGTTTGTCCTTATTCAAAAACGATCGATCAAAACCCGTGTGAAGATCATCACTAACGATAAGTTGCGCTTTCTGATTCAATAAATCATCCAACTTGACAGTTTGTTTACTCAACACATCGTCGATTTTTGCCCTATGCTCCTTAAGGTAATTCACCAACTTGTCTCCATTGGTTTTGGCATCGGGGTGATCCTCTTTTATTTGGATAAATAAATCTTCAATCATTTCATTATACGCAGGTGTATTTTCGATCTCCTCTTTATCGAATTTCAAATCTTGTAATCCCTTTCTCAATGTGTCACCCTTGGATGCAATCAACTTTTCATAATCAAATTTCTCATGTGGATCAAACTTTGCATTCAACGTTGACATGACCAATTCGTTATTTAACATCTGTTCAGGACTTAACAGTTCGAGTAGATAGTCAACCCTTTCATTCAATTTCGCGTACATTGTCAATTGCACGAGGATTGACTTGATCTCTATATTCCGTTGCATCCTTTTCTCATGAATATCCCTCTGCTTCCATCTGATAAAAGATTTCTTATCCACGTTTGGGTGTACCTCAACATCCGAGTCATCAGAAATCTCAATCTTATCCCATTTAGAGTAGTCTATTGGCATGTTGAATGAATGTTTAATTGTAGGTGTGTGCAAATCGATGTGATTTGTCAAGATCAATTTGTGGTCCCTCATTTTCCAGAGTTTTCGATCTGGTGTGTCGAATGACCTACAAGTTTTTGCGACATACAATTTTATTTATGAAATCTATTTAAGCAGTACCATTAGGTCTCAAACCTGTAAAGAATGCCAATCCGTAACCTGTTGTTTCAAAAGTAATAGTAGTACCTTTCGGAAAATAGAAGACGTCACCTGGAGAAACGGAAACTTTGTGCCCTGTTTCATCAGTTAATGTGTATTCTCCCTCAACCTCCAAGATGATTTTCATTTCATCATAATCATACTTGTACACTAACGGCTCGCCCTTTTCTTGTCTATAGAAACCAGCAGATATTTGCTTATCCTTCGGAGCATCAGAAGTGAAAACGTCACCCAAAAAGGAGTTGTTGCCAGGAGATGGAATTTGTGGGGGTTTAGCCTGTTGTGCTTCAGCAGCCGGTTTGTATTGCATGGGCATGATTGGTGAATATGTAATTCTAAGGGTGGTGAGTGCTACGTAATAGATAACGAAGTGCCCAATTCAGACAAGATTGTTTCCTCAACAGGGGCGATCTAGATAGTATTTATATCATAAATAGAACTTGAGATATTGAATCCATGTGTGGAGTATTTTGACCTAATTGGGTATAAATATCCTTCTTGCAGTTGAGCGACAAATTTTTGTCGTTTTCAGAATCATCATACCCTTCGATAAGAGTTTGTTGTTATCATTTATTGACACTTATTTATATGTCATATTTACTCTGATGACTGCCCGTACTACATGTAAACTTTTGGTTTTTGATTCACTTATGTGTTTTCAACCTTTAGAGCCCAAAAGCATAGTCTCGATTTAGTAAAAAAATCCCTGTGACACAAAACCGAGAAATTTACTTTACACAAGAGCTTCACAAATCAACTACAAGAAAAGCGTAGACCCCCCTATATTGATGCAAATTATTCTGTAGACTACTACATGCGTAAATAAAACCGATCTAAGAAGTCGCATAATTTATTCATCCTCCACTAAAGGTAGGCATGCGTCAATACATACGTCAACGTCACCCTTGTTCAAGAATATAATATCCTTCAAAATGTTAGTATCCAAAGTAGGGAAAACGTCTTTGAGGATATCATATGCAGCTTTCATTTGCTCCGAGTCAATCTCATCTTCCATAGGGGCCTCAGGTTGATATTGATTGTTAGAACGGTGCCGTTCATTACTAACAGGATGGGAGGAAGCGCGCAGTGATTTTCTTGGAGGCAACGCAGGAGGTGGGGGGGAGCTAACGGGAGATGGTGCTCCCTCCCTTCCACTGCGTGTATTTGTCTCATGTGTATTTGTGTTTTGGGGCAGCGGTGATAAAAATTGAGAAATTGATTTAGTCAACAACTCCGCACTTGAGAACAAAACATTGGATGGAGACAAGTTGGCGGCTCCAGTATGGGATGATTCCTCGATATTCAAAGGGCCAGTCTGAACATGTCGCGGTTGTGGCTGTGATAGTTTTCGTTTCGGGGTAGGTGGTCTCTGCTCCGAATTTTCACGTTGCTGTTGTAACTCCTGACGCTTTAATTCGATCTTTTGAAGTTTTTCCATTTCTTGCCTCTTTTGTTCTTCTTTAAGTTTATTCTGAGCTTCCCATGCTTCCATATGTGCCTCGTACTCTTCATCGCTTATTGTTAAATCATCTTTAGTCATGTTTTGAATAAAGCTAATTGCTCCTTCAATCGAAGAGAGGTAGTAGCTTGTTTCTCCATGCGAGAGCCACTCTTTACTTCGAAAGCTTTCAATGTAATGAATGTTGCTTATCAAATGCTCCGTCTTTGCTTTGATAATGACTAGAATCAACAAGGGAATAAATGAATCTGCATTAGTTTCCTTATGACTAATCTTTAAATAACTGAAAATTATTTTACATGAATTCAAAATGCAAATTATTTTATCCCTTGGGGCCCTATAGTTGTTGATCTTGTTCAATTTTGTAGTTGCGTAATCCAAAAAGTCTTGACCATCTTTTAAACTCACAGAACTTAAGTGAGTCATGTCAATATCAAAATGCGATCCATTTACCCAACTGTACTTCTCCAACTGCATAGAAAAGTTTTTATCTTGAATCAAATCGTCAGTATAAGACCCCGGTATATAAACTGGCGAAACATTCTTCAAAACTTCTGGAGGGAAACACAAATCATAAAGTCGGTTCATCAATAGCTTTTCCAAACCTTCACGTGAATTTTCCAAGTCTATACTATCCATGGAAGCAAACGGCTCATAGAGCTTAAACTTTTCATGTATGAAACCTTTGAAATCCTCAATGATTGAAATTCTCTGCTCAGCAGAAAACGAGTTCACTTGCTTGATATAAGAGCCAAGAAATGACCTCAAATATCGAACAATTGGATCTGCTGACTTTTTTCGTATCTGGAGCAAAAACGTTTGGAAATCAAAGGATTTGTGCGACTCTTGGTGTTGTTCTGTTGGATTTACCTTGTATTTGATGTTTAGGTGCGTCTTCCCCACGGGGCTGTCGGGCTGGGAAGAACCTATGTCTTTAGTATCGATCTTTATATCATCAATTCCTTTGCATTCGGTTTCACTTCCAGTGATATCACCCAAGGGTGTTTTTGATGGCGATGTGGCCACCGACGGCAATTGGGATGTTGATGATGCGTACAGAACTGAATCACTTCCTGCTCTACTATTACGATCATTCTCATCCTCGTCAACCAATGACCGGTCACCTCGGGATTCAACATCAGAATTGAGTTTGTCATGATATTCCTCGGTTGTGCCTGAGCCCATGTCCACTAATTGATCATTGATAAACAGCTTGTCCACGTCGCTTACTTGCTCGTGATCAGATTGTTCTTTTTCTTCTTCATCCTCCTCTTTCATAGGCTCTACGGGATTGGATGTTTCTAGTTTATCCTTTTCCTCCCTGATGGGTTCAGCTTGTTGCAGTTTACCTTCTTCCATTGAAGGGTCTTGGCTATTCGAAACAACTGACAGAGACGCTTCCTCCGGAGGAAAATATGGTTGTATGGTCATCATCAAATGAGCGGTATTGCTCATCTTTTCCACAGTCAATGTTGGCCCATCTTTATCCTTTTCAGTCACGGATGCTGTCTCTTTACTAGTATCGCCATCGTCCAGTTCCATTTTCTCTAATTTGTGTTCAGTGTCGTGTTCTTCCTCGACTGTTCTCTTTTCCGCACTAATCTCGTCTTTATTCAAATCGATTAAATCATTTGAGGTCTCTGGTTTATCACCAGAACTCGAATGGGACCCACGTTCACCCTTGATGTCGAATTTGTCAAACAACCCGATCAAATCTGTCTTTGACTTACCTTTTGTGTGAACATTCTTTGCTTCATTGTCAATGGTAACAACTGCTGGTGCAGTAAGCGTTGGACTAAGACCTAATTTTGTGCTTGGCGGTGAAGCTATGAATGGCAAATGGTCAACTGTCTGGTTGTCTGAGTCAGCTTGGGCAGTTGTGGAATGCAGTGGAGTGGCTTTGTGGATTGGCGACTTCTGTGGACTTGCGGTTGCATCCGCCAGCGACAGAACTTTTGCCAAATCGTTGTTACTTTCGGCTGAGGAGGAGGAGGAAGGCTGTAGATTTATGGGTTCGGTAGCATTACTATTACTACCCTTTGACGAAGATGTAACTGACTTTGAAAATGTGGTGTTTGTATTGCTGGTTGAAGTTGTGGGAGTTGACTTTGACACATTGAAGGCAAGATTATTGAAGGACATGTTGCATGGATAAGGGAGGGCTTCAGTGTTCTGCAGCAACGTTTGAATGATGGGTAGAAGATCCTTAACTTTCAGGGATTCAACTATATTTAGCCGATGAATTTGACGCACAGACACACTCAATTTGCATTTTCTTACTCTTTTTTCTTTTTTCCTTTTTTCGGGTTTTTGAGTAAACAATAGATAGAGAGATTAAAGCAAGTACTCGGGGCACACATTTTCTGAGACTAAGAAAGCACAAAAGTTTATCGATCTACAAGTCGTTATGGTTTGTGTGTTGATAATGTAGTACAGCTATAATGTTACATGATATAAAATGTCGTCAACTAAAAGTACGGCCGATAGATGGGCAACACTCAACTCAGATGTCATACACCTCTTTGTGCATCTTGCGGAAGTTTCTTAAGATTGATTTTGACGATTGTTCCCTCTATGGTTACCAATGATTGTGGATGAGCAGTAATCAGTTTGGTGGCAATGGTTTTCAATACTTGACTGGGTAATTTGATCAGAATTTGGGAATGCGAAAGACTGAATTTTACCAAAGACGATGATGCAGGATGATTATTAGAGTGAGCTGATCTTTCATGAAGTTTCTCCTGTTGTAATTTGAAGGATATCTTTAAGGACGGCTTCGGTCTAACATTTTCTTCAGGTCTGTGGAGTTTTCGATTCGTTGGATGACCCAGTGGCTTACGTGATACCAACTGAATTTTAAACCTACCCTCTCTTCTCAAGACAACTTGGCCATCTCCCAAGTTTTTCGCAACAACCTTTCTTTTGAATTCGGAAATTGGCAAACTTGGCACAGGTAGCTTTACCAAAAGTGTATCCTGCTCTTCATAAAGAATTTCTGCCATTAAAAACAAGTTTCGTTTGACGTAATTGCTTAGCAAGGTTGTGTGTAAAAACGTCCAAAAAACGTGCTTCAAGCTTTCGATATTCGAATAATCACGCCTCAACAAATCAATGGCCCCCTTCAAAGTAGCTCTTGCGTGCAAGTCGTGTCTGGCTTTCATGTCAGAATTAGTTCCCTCATCAATAATGATCATATTCGGTTGTGCCCCACTGAGTCTGTCGCTCTCTCTCACTATTTCATCGGCAGGTATAAAATTCCCTTGAAGTGTAATCATCGTGATTGCTTCAAGTAGGACACCAACTAGTTTTCTGGTGTACAACGGACGATGAAAGTTTAATAGACATACTTTTAGAAAGTACTCAAGAATCGGTATTGATCGAAAATCACTTAGTAGCAAGAGACCCTTGAATGCTTCTGCCCGTAGATCCATAGGGTATCTGTCCACTGTTGCCATCATCATCTCTTCTAATGAAAGGGAAATTGCTCCACATAACGCTATCTGAACCCTCGACTTGAAACAAGTAATTTGAAGGATTCTTTGATACGATGGTCTCCACTCATCAAGCTTTTGTATCCTTGTAATCTCAACGTCAACTTTAAGAGCGAATTCAAGATTGTTTCCTTCCACAGTGTTCTTATGCCATCCACTAATGGCACTAACCGTCAACGCTTTGATGAGATCGGATAAGTACAATGTGTCTTGATAATCATTCATTGAATTATCGTTGTACTTCAACAAGTTGAACAATAGCCCCTGAACCTCGGCCGGAACCCGACCATCATTGTCTGTGATTTTGCACAAAATCCCAGGAATTGCTTTCTGAATTAAAAACGATCTGAAATCACCAAAATCGTTAGATTTAGGTATTGAGCTGTCAGGGAAACAATACATGTATTTATATGCCTTGATTAAGTACTTCATCCCAATGTAATTATTTGACTCATTTGAGCAGCTGGCGAGTGCTTCCGCAGCAGCGATCCTAATACGGTAAAAATACCTCTCGTCTAATAATGTTCGCACTAGAGCTGTGCAGTAGATTATTGAAGGCTTTTCAAGATTTCCAAAGTATCGCAAGGCATCAAATTGTGCCTCCACGTCCCTATCATAAACGAGCTGTGATCCATACATAAAATCGGGTTGCAATACTTCTATCTTGGCAATCCACTCGAAATCGATATCACCTCGTATCCACTCAAAAGGCTCTGTACTCAATGAATCCTCATCCCTGCTTTCCCAGTCTCTCAAATACCACGTTCTTTTTTCCTCTTCAGTGGTTAAAATGTCACCAAATTGGTTGAAATTCAACCCCGGATCAACCCCCTCATCTTTCTTTCTGATCTTACGAACTTTTTTTGACAACAGTATATCGATTGTGGTTTTCATCTCCTTAATATGGATGATATGCTCGTACGGGGTACCATCAGACTCATGAACCCTAATGTTCATAGGACCAGTGAACACATTCTGCCTTTGCGATAAAGGCTCCTTGTTGAGGAAGCATATTGCATCATCTATAAAAGATTTCACATTCAATTGTACGTTTTTGTTTTCATGATGTTGCACCTGCCTTATAGTTAATTCAATCATACCTTTTTTCTTATTAAAACGCTGACTGATTTTGAAACTAGGAGCACCAGAACCAAATACCCATTGCTTGAAAAAACTGTCCAACTTATTACGATTTACTTTTTCACAAACGTATTGAAAATGATCGGTGCTTAATGTTCCATTGGGTAGATCTCCGGATAAGGCTTGCAAAAAGAGCTTGGGAATAACCCTTGATAACCCAAATGACTTATCTGACTTTGTCATTCTGTTGTCTAATATGAAAAACACAATCGGAGATTTCAACTTGATGAATTCCAAATCAAAATCCGACACAGGAAATTTCAAAAAGGGATGAGCTATAGGTCTTTTGTCAACATCCTGCTCCACTATCCGATGCACAAGTTCCTTGATTTTGAATCTAAACTCATTGGTTCCCATTAGCTTTTGAATAAAAGTTATAGCCATAAAGCCAGCAATACCAATTGTACACCATATATCATCGAATGAGTGAGGTGCAATGTTGATACCCGACCACTGAGAGGCTATACTAGTCAATAAAACATCCGTGGAGGTGAACATAGGTTCAATCAAATCAGGCGGATAAAGCAATTCAGTGGACAAGATTGACAAGCCCGCAAAACCACCACTTTTCACCGGTGAAAATTTCACAAATGCAATCACATACGAACTGAATGGGTACGAGCCGAATTCACTCAGGAAATAACTCAATGCCTTGCTAGCAACAAGACAGGTGTTTCTGGCTAGTTCAATATCTTGTGGTAAAGCATATATGGTCACCAGAGAGTTCAAACTATCCTTTTCGTTGTATTCGTCATCATTGTCGATATTGATAAAGTCCTCACCATCAACTGCTTGTGATTCATCACTTAAAACAATGCTTTCGAAAAATCCCAACGCCCAACCAATATGGTGGGCTGACACAGGGTTAAAGATTGACCACGAAACCACCTTTTTCGATAAATCAATGGGGTGCGGAGCTTCCTTAACATTATTTGTATCCGATGAACAAACAATCAAGTCAGGATTCCCTTCGTCGTCTTCATCATCATCTGCCTTTTCGTTGTCAAGTTCGTTTACGCCATCGGAAATTGATGTTTTGGTACGCTTTTGATAAGCAAAAGCCTCTTTTGAACCAATGATCCTTGGATTACCGATATCCTTCAATGTGCGTGGGACACTCACCTCTAATGACCATGTACATCGGCTATTGAAATCATCAAGACATGGAACCCAGGAGGAAGTGGATACATTGTACTCTGAATTGGTCGTATATGCGTGCCATAGTTTTTTTTCAATATCGTCATTGGTGACAAAGTTTATGCCATTTTTTGGATTCCTTAGCTCGTAAACGATTTTGATTTGAATTGGTTTGTATACTTCAGTGAATGTGTGTTTTGATCTCAAATGTGACGGAGTCATGGTATTTGGTTGACTCCCATGTGGTGTTGTGATCGAGTCGATATCAGTGGGCTCGAATTTAATGTTTTCCGGTAGTATGATCTTTAACTCCTGTGTTCCGTGACCAGAATTATCAATGAGTTCTTCATTTTCGGTTGTATAACGTTCGTTGAATATATAATTCAATTTCCTCTTGATAAAGTGATGTTGATGTATGCCAAACTTGTCGGAATATAAATCAAGCATATTAATTTTATTATTCTTGATAGATTTATCGATGATGGATGGGTCATTAATAAACAACATGTCATCGTAGATATAACTTGAATTTGGTGACCCATTTATGAAAACTTCCTTTATTCTTAATTCTCGGCAATCCAACTTGACAACCTTTAGACTAGTCGACAACGGTATCACGCTGAGCTCAGTGACACCCTCAATCGAGTTTGAAAATAGATCCACATCAATGCTTACTTTTTGATGGCCAATTTTGAAAAGTTGCTGCTTAGCGAAATGAAACGGACTCAAAGATCGTCCCCCGGCTGATTTGGGCTTGGGCGTATATTGCAGTAGCCCATCCATGAATCTGGGTGTGCCCGTATGAGAAACAAAGTCGTTTGGAATGGCCGAGGGCATTACGCACCTGCTGGATATGTGTTAAAGGGAGGAAGGGGTGATGACTATTACTCAAACCTCTGGCTTAACGAAAACAAACTAAAGGTTGTTTATTTTTCATTGGCGTCGCATTAAATAGGTCGTGTGCGTGTTAACACAAACAGGTACATACAAAACTTTCTCGTAACAATTGCTCCAAATGCACTTTTTTTTCAACAACCACACAAACTCGCCATTCACATGAGACTTGAGCAGAAGTGTATAGAGATCTGATTGTAGGTTGACATTGTGTAGTAAAAGACCAATCATGTAGCTCCACAATTGAATAGCGAGCATGAGAAGTGAGCCAACTCGTCGATCACATCTATAAAAGGGTTGTTCACATCAGTAACTTAGCCAGCTATCGTGCGAGAATCTATTGTGATGGCAAATGCAGCTGCTGATTTCTTTGTTACGTGGTACTGAGATGATGCTCCATATTATTGAACTGACTGTACTTCATCTTGTAAAACACCAACCCACTCACTATTTTTCACTTAAACTCATAAGTCATCACTGATTAGTAGTTGAGGTTCCGTTACCTTGTACTATGTGTTAAGAATGCACGTGTTTTATAACACACCAAAAATTTGGCAGCCAAGTAGATTAAAAAATAAAAAACGTATTTGTGTTGCAAGTATAAATAGTCCTACAAAATGTCCAGCAATAAATCAAGCAAGTTTTGCCTTTTTCCCAAACTACGAGTCTTAGCTAGTTTCCAAGTACACCACAACAAGCGTCCTTCAGAATTTATTGTTCTTGATATGTGCCAGTATAACCAATCAGTGAGCGACAATCAACAAGATGGCCAAAGATATAGCGTCCTTATTCCTAGCTAAAAACTTTCTTCACTTGAAACAATAGAAAACGATTCCTTCTTTATTACCATTTTTATACAGACTATCAGCTGCTAAAAAGTCCAGCTGTCCTTGAATCCTTTTGATTCGAGTTGACAGGTTGGCTCAACAGAACACTTTAATTCTATTCTTGGGAGAATACTAGTGGTTGATAGAATGCAATTGGTCTCTTTGATGACCTATCATATTTGAATTTTGGGTGTTGCAATAAAGATTTTGGAAACGTAATGATGCTCATCGCACCATTATAAAAGTATAACTGAACAAAAACCTATCTTAATTGTCTCATAATAGGCTTGCAAAACTCCAATTGCTCAAACATAGCTCCAATACAGCAATAAAGCTGATATCAAAAGTGCTACTAAACTGGTTGACTGATAAAGTCGTACTTGTTTGCTTTTAAAGCCCACTCACATTGAATATTCTCGATACCAATGTTCAAAGTAGGAAATGCCACAATCTCTCCGTCTTGAAATAAGGCTGGCAACGTATCAAGTCTTTGGTCAATGATGATCGAACCATTCTCCTTCAAGTATTTCCTAACAATCGGGTAATCAAATTTGTGGAAATAAGGCTTTACAACACAAGTGGCTTCCCCATGCAAAGTGCTAAATCGCAACCAAAACCTTTTATCGAAAAGGTGCCACTGAGACCAGTGCTCATTGACATGCACGTTAAGAAAACACAGTTTCAATTCTTTTCGAGTCAATGGAGTTCGGAAAATCTTTATTTCCATTTGAGAAGCGTGTGCATTGTTCGTCACCTCAAAAATTAAATTCATACACGAGAGCTTTGTTACACCAGACCTTGAACATTTTGCAACCTGTTCCAATTTTGGCAAAAGACCCCGCTCCAACTTTGCATATGCCCAGTGGTAATGATTCAAAGTCGAATATGGGTACAATTTCTGATAGAGAAACTTGCTTGTGATAATTTTGTTGTACCCACCCAAGCAATGCTTTGGAAGTTGTAATTTGAGTAGTCCCATCGCAGGGAACTCTAAATACCAACGTTGTTGAACAAGTTGATGATGTAGCCTATGTGCTTTCAACTCAAACTTTTGTGCAAAGTCTGCGCATTCCTGCTGTGACTTTACTAGTTCATCCTTTGCGATTGACTTGTATCGAACCGAAGGGTGGTTAACAACGCCCCCATCTCCTTGGTTTAGTTGCGAGTAGCAACTGTCCAACATTTGTGGTAACGCCTTTCCAAACAAGTATCTCAAATAATTTCGTCGAGTTAATTTTGTATCATTGTTTGTTGGATCAACCACATATGGGATATTATTTGATTGGCAAGTGGATAATATTGCCTTCTTCTCGAATCCGAGAAGCGGCCGTACTAGCATTACTGAGGCCAGATTTGTTTGTTCCGATGGGCTGAGGTCTCTGCTCAACGGAATATTTGAAAATCTTCTTGTGCAAGCAAGACCAAAGATTGATGAGTTTCCTTGAAGTCGTTGAACAAATGTCTCCACTTGATCATCACAATGATGCCCGAGCACCACAGTTGAAATGCCAAGGGTATTGCATACTGATCTAATGGCTTCGTACCTCTTGGTCCGTGCCACCTCTTCGAAATTGGCAATTGTCGTGGGATCAACACTGTATTGCAACTTGTGAATGATATGATTCACATTCCATTGATTCATCCATTGTGATATTTGTTTCGCTTCGATGTCAGAGTTTGACCGATAATTGTGATCTATGGTGATGGCGTGTATCTCCAAGTCATTATGGGGCATGTATGCTTTATATTTTTGCAATAGCCACACTAGTAGCATGGAATCAGGACCACCTGATAACCCAACTGCAATTTTGGTGGGAGCACCTTTCGAGCCAAAACAATGTTGAAGAGCCAGTTTAAAACATTGGACCGTGATATTCTTCATCTAATTGTGTGCCCACTTCATATGACTCAAAGACCCCCCTCTTTGGTACAGATTCAAATGGCTAATGGGTTTCAAGCAAAAGAGATCTTAATGAGACGCCGAAAAAAAATAAAAAGAAAAAAAAAAACAATTTTACGATTCTCAAGGTGAGGAACAAAAATTTTTCAGATTAGTCATTATCTACAGTACCAAGTTCATCTCAAAACTCAAAGTCACTTCATACGACTATCCCTAGAATATGAGTGAACAGACTTCTGATAATGTACCACAAGGTGCCTTCAGCTTCCCCAAAGAGGAGAACGAAGTTACGAAGCAATGGGAAGAGATTAACGCATTTCACAGATCATTAGAATTGACTGAAGACTTACCACCATTTGCCTTTTTTGATGGTCCACCATTTGCCACTGGTACACCCCATTACGGACACATTTTGGCATCCACTGTCAAAGATATCATTCCTCGTTATGCTACCATGAATGGATACCATGTTGAGAGAAGATTTGGGTGGGATACTCATGGTTTACCAGTAGAGCATGAGATTGACAAAAAGTTGGGAATCACTTCTAAAGAAGATGTATATGCCATGGGTATTGACAAGTATAATGCCGAGTGTAGATCAATCGTCATGAGATATGCAGATGAATGGAAAAGAACTATCAAGAAATTGGGTAGATGGATCGATATGGATAATGACTACAAAACCTTATATCCAGAATTTATGGAATCGGTATGGTGGGCATTTAAGCAATTGTTTGATAAAGATGCCGTGTACAGAGGATTGAGAGTCATGCCATACTCAACTGCATGCACTACTCCATTGTCAAACTTTGAAGCTCAACAAAATTATAAAGAAGTTAATGATCCTGCCATTACCATTGCGTTCCCATTGGTTGACGATCCAAATACTGTTTTGGTAGCATGGACCACGACCCCATGGACCTTGCCAGCAAATATTGCTTTGGCAGTCAATCCTGATTTCACCTATGTTAAGATTTATGACGAAAATGCCAAAAAGAATTACATCTTGTTGGAAGCTTTAATTGGAACATTGTACAAAAAGCCAGCTCAGGCTAAATACAAAGTAGTTGAAAAAATCCCTGGTAAAGAATTGGTTGGATTGAAATATGTACCATTGTTTGACTACTTTTATGACACGTTTAAAGACTACGGGTTCAAGGTCATTCCTGGATCCTATGTGACCGATGATTCAGGTACTGGTATTGTTCATCAATCTCCATCTTATGGTGAGGAGGATTTCAACTGTGCCACTGCTGCTGGCGTCATTACCGAAAAAAGACCTCCACCAAGTGTTGTTGATGACACTGGTAAAATGACCTCAGATGCAAAACTAGTGTCGGGAATGTATTTCAAGGATGCTGATAAGGTCATTATCAAGAAGTTGGTTGAAGACGGAAGAATCTTGGTTAATTCTCAAGCCAGGCACTCGTACCCATTCTGTTGGAGATCGGATACTCCATTGATGTATAGAACTGTCCCAGCTTGGTTTGTTAGAGTTGGAGAAATTATTCCTGATATGTTGAAGAATATAGAAAGGACCCTGTGGGTGCCATCAAATGTCAAAGACAAACGTTTTTCCAACTGGATTGCCAATGCTAGAGATTGGAACGTGTCAAGAAACAGGTATTGGGGTACGCCAATCCCAATTTGGGTCAGTGATGACTTTGAAGAAATTGTTTGTATTGGATCAATTGACGAATTGAAGGAATTGTCAGGCAGAGACGACATTACTGATATCCATCGTGAAAGTATTGATTCTGTTACCATTCCATCCAAAAAGGGTAAAGGTGAGTTGAAGAGAATTGAAGAAGTGTTTGATTGTTGGTTTGAATCTGGTTCTATGCCTTATGCATCAAAACATTATCCATTTGAAAATAAGCAAAAGTTCCATGATGCATTCCCAGCAAACTTTATTTCTGAAGGTTTAGATCAGACAAGAGGTTGGTTTTATACATTGACAGTATTGGGAACTCATTTGTTCAACACAGCTCCTTATGAAAATGTTATCGTTACTGGTATCGTTTTAGCTGCCGATGGTAAGAAGATGTCCAAACGTTTGAAAAACTATCCTGATCCAACTTTAGTCTTGGACAAGTATGGTGCTGATGCATTGAGATTGTACTTGATCAACTCACCAGTATTGAGAGCTGAAACCTTAAAGTTTAAAGAAGAAGGTGTGAGGGAAATTGTGTCAAGTGTCTTGTTGCCATGGTACAACTCATACAAATTTTTCAAAGACAGTGCTGACCTTTTCAAGAAAAATACTGGTGAGACCTTTGTGTATGATGCAAGTTTGAGATCAACCAACATTATGGATAGATGGTTATTGGCCTCCATTCAATCATTGATTCAATTCATTCATGAAGAAATGAGAGGTTATAGATTATATACCGTGGTTCCAAGATTATTGGCATTCATTGACGATTTAACCAATTGGTACATTAGATTCAATCGTCGTAGAATTAAAGGTTACTCGGCTGATGATGTCGAAGATACCAAAAAGGGGCTCAATACCTTGTCTGAAGCTTTATTGATTTTATCTAGAGCAATGGCTCCATTTACACCATACTTGGCTGATGGTATTTACCAAAGAATCAAACAATACTTCACTGAAAAAACTTTGAATGGAGTTGTTGTTAACCCCAAACACCAGGATTTGCGCTCGGTACATTTCTTGCATTATCCACAAGTACGTGCAGAATTATTTGATAAACAAATTGAAGTTGCCGTGAGCAGAATGCAAAAAGTTATTGATTTGGCAAGAAACATTCGTGAAAAGAAGATGATTTCATTAAAGACTCCCTTGCAAGAATTGGTTATCATCAATTCCGATCCTGAGTTCCGTAAAGATGTTGAATCATTGAAAGGATACATTAGTGATGAGTTGAATGTGCGTGATATCATCATTACTGACAATGAATCAAAATATTCGGTTGAGTATTCCCTTGCTGCTGATTGGCCCGTCTTGGGTAAGAAGTTGAAGAGTGATGCCAAGAAAGTGAAGGCGGCATTACCCCATGTCTCATCTGACGAAGTTAAGCAATTTGCATCCACGGGAAAGATTACCGTTGATGGAATCGACTTAGTTGCTGAAGATTTACAAGTATTGAAGGGTTTATCCGAATCGAAAGTCTCTCATGGACAAGAATTTAGATCTTTCCAAGATTTGTTGATCATTTTGGATATCAATATCCATCCTGAATTGGAAAGCGAAGGTTTAGCCAGAGAATTGTTGAACAGAATTCAAAGATTGAGGAAAAAAGCCGGGTTGAATTCAACTGATGATGTATTGGTGAAATACAAGTTGATTAAGGATAACTGTTCATTTGAGACTGTTATTGATCAAAATAAGGATTTGATCATCAAAACCACAAAGTATCCGGTTGAACCAGCTGCTTCTTCTGATGTGTCTGCTGATGTTGTTATTGTTGATGAAGAACAACAAATTAATGACACGGTATTCAACTTGCAATTGTTGAAATTATAGAATAGGTGAGGAATACATTGGCTGTACGTATATATACAAGCTATAAATAAATTTGTGATTATAGTTTCAATTTCTCTCAGGCATGGTTATCTCCCATGTGCTCAACCCGGCACCACCCACAACAATCATGTGTTTATCGTCACCGAGCGTAGTCACATCACAGCACCCAGTATCAGCAACAGTGGTGTACCGAGCAGCTAAACAATGCAACTCATCATTGGTAAACGACCACAATCTAATCATCTGGTCAACTGATACAACAACAACAACCAAATCGTCATCACTGACATGTGAAATAGAAGTTATAGTGGCTGAAGCAGCATTAGGCTCCCGACTAATGGTTTGTAAAATCAATTGTGAAAGGTTGTTGTCATCTTCAAGGATGGTAATGCGAGAAACAACAAGAGCATTATCATCGCCCCCTGTAAGAAGATAAACTGCACCATCCTTATGAATCAAACAGATTGCTTTGATTCCGCTTTGATGAAGTTTTGACAGACAGAGCGCCACTGGTGATGTGGGGGTAGATATATCGTAAACGGTAATATTCCCATCAGTGGTTGCAATCAACAAAAATTGTCGCTTCTCATTTCCATGAGCCGCGCTCATTTGAAATAATTGACAATGTAAAATACAACAAGTTGAGTAATTCCATTCATGAATAAGATTGAGCCCCACGGTTAATGGTTCTTTTTCAAATCTCCATAATTTAATCATTGAATTGGAGAAAACTGTAACAATAAATATGTAATCATTGTAACCGACAGCATCAAAATCCATAACACGTAAATCAGGTACATCCTGATTCGATTTCAATCTCGCTTGTTCACGCAAAGTGGGGATAGGTGGGGATGCAGTAATAGTGGTGCTGGTGCTGGTGCTGGTGCTAGTGCTAGTGCTGGTGCTGGAGGCAAGTGTTAACCAGTCCAATTTCCAAACGATAAACTCTTCATTTGCAGCACAACTAAAAGCATAATCACAATCAAGGAACCCAACAGCTTGCATACCGGAAATGTGATTTGTCATATTCCAATAATTGTGGATTTTACCACTGGGTAATAGCTTCGATAACCCAATGGTTGAATCCTCAGCTGAAGTGATGATCAACCTCGATCCATCAGGTAGCAATTGTCCATTTTTTTGAATTGCAATTGCTCTAATTTCACGTCCGTGGGTTCCACCATGCACCAAGCCGAAATCAAAATCATCATCATCATCAATATCAACACAGTCGTTGTTGTCATCTTTAATAAACCAGCCTTCGTAATGACACACGTAGATGTCATTTTTAAACAGATAAATAAAACTAAAATTGGATAAATTTTTGCGATAAAATTTAAAATGTCGGTGTCCATTACCACCACAATACTCATTCATGATTTCAATTTGTCTTGTTTCATTCCAAATGTAAAAAAAAGATGATTTGAATCCATAGAGGATCAAATCCAGTTTGTGGAAAAACCCACCTTCGATGAAACCCCGTGTTAGTTTATTGTCATGCATAATTTCAAATTGGAAATGTCCATTGGTGGGCTGAGTAGTAATCTTGATGATCAAGTACACTCCATCTCTCGCCAACACCAATAACTGTAAACTGCCCTGTTTTGCATTCAACACCGACACTGAACTAACGGTATCACCAGAAGCGATTTTGTGCAACGTTAAATGATGACAAAAGTTGTTGAGGTCAACAAAGTACAATGACATTCTTTTCGAAGCGAAAATAATCCAGTTGTTGAATGTATCAATTGTCATTGCCGTTATGGGGAAATTTGATTGTGGTTTAGGGATATTCCATGTCTGCGCAATGTCAACACTATCATCACATCCATTGACTGCAACGTTAACCTCATGCAATATCAATGGAATCTTGACATTTGGTGACTCAATCAATACAAAATACCGTCCGTTTGTTGAGCTAGTTAACAAATTGGTTATTTTCATTGTCTCATCATGAGACTCAATCTGAGAAACATTGGGGTTGTTGTTCTCTTTACCATATTGGATATTTGTCAATTTACCACTGCGATCAGCAACCACCACCAAATTTAAATCATTAAACCCGTCAACAATTCCAAATCCCGCGAGTTTGTCATTTTGATAAACCACAGTACAGCACTTTGACTCATAATCGTACTCAATAACATATCCATTTGAAGTCAAACACACCAACTTGTTCAAATTGATCAATTCGAAATAATCTCGAATGCAATCCTTGGGGTTAAATGATACACCAGATTCCATATTTAGTAGTTGTTTTGCAAAATCATGTAATGTCAATTTGATTGTAACTTGATTTTCCCGTTGTAAATCATGTAATCTTACTCTTCCATCAGCACCCCCAGTGCAGCAAAGCTGCAAGTCCAGCAGATCGATATCTCCTGACCAAACATGTTTACCACGATGACAATTCTCAATCACTTTGACAGGTTGTAATACATCAGATTCGTTATTGTACTTCCAAATACGCAATGTACAATCTTCGCCAATACTCATAATCTGCAACCCACCATTGCCTTCACTAGGTGATGCATTTGCAAACTCCAAGTTCCATATTCTCGAGCCATGTCCCCACCCGGTAGCAACCACTTCTCCTCCTCCTCCTCCTTTTCCTCCTCGTTGTAAATCGTACAACTTTATGCTCCGATCATCAGAGCACGAAATAAGATATTTCCCCCACAGGTCCATTTTAACTCCAAATATCGATCCTTCATGATCATTCAAGCCATACAAAATCAACCTTGTTGTCAAGTCCCAAACAATGACTCCATTCATTACTGTCCCCGCTGCAATATAAATCTCGCCTGAGCTAGCCACCACATTAATTGATCCACTATACAAGATTGATTTCTCACCACACGAAATTTTCTCCACTGAATAATGTTGACGCTGATTAGTGTCACTGCTCAATGGGGTTATCTTGTAAACTACATTGTATGAGTTGAGCAAAAGCACAGTTCCATCGTCTAATATTTCTGAAGTGATGATCCATTCATTGATAGCCATTTCTGTAAAGTTACACTCAGATTGGCCGCCATGTGCGTCTGCTAGCACTGTATCAAGTGGTAACACAGTAAATGATCGACCACCACTTATGATAATTTTGCGAGCAGCGGAATTGATCGATACGTGATGGATCTTGTTTCTCTTGAACACTTGTCGTTTGAAAATCAAATGCACATTGCTTTTGTTGTTGCTGTTGTTGTGTCGTCTTGATGATGCTGATGAATCAACTTGGTAAATGTGCAAGATAGGACCATACCCAACAAATATGTATCGGTTGTGTATTTTGATGAATGTCACTGGTCCATAATGATAAAGTGGTGATAGTTGAGTGGTGCTAAAGCAATTGGTAGTGGGACCTAGCTCAGACGTGGCCATTAGGAGGGATGATTATGTTTTGTTGCAACCAAAATGGTGTGTCTCTCTGCCTCGAGTAATTTTTTTTTTTTCTTTTTTCAGACAGAGAGATGCCACAATGCTACCATCGTTACAAAAGAACCCTTCTATACGCACATTTATTTCTCTCTATAAAATTTCAACATCAAAATCAAAATCAAAATCAAAATCAAAATCAAAATCAAAACCTGGTCCCACAAAGATCAACTCTTATCTAATCTCCCCGTTGCTTGCTCTCCTTCTGTTCCTTTACCGCTTCTTCCAACTTCTTATTATCCTCCACCACCTTCTTCTTCTCCTCCTCCAACTTCTTCTTTTCCTCCTCCAACTTCTTCAACACATCTTCAGTCACTCCCAATTTCGTTTGTTCGTCACCATAAGCTTTGCAAAACTCAATACTGGCATCAAGGACACACTTCATCAACTGCTCATTATCCACATCGGCATCACCGTCACCATTGTTACTACTTGTTCCCTCGGTTTCTTTTTGTTGCTTCTTGTTTAACAAATCCTTCACTATATCTTTCAATCCATAAATGTACAATATACTGTTATTCTCATCAGCTACGCTCAAAGTCAACCCAAGCACATCCTTTTTAGTAATTGGATCATCCTCCCATAAAGATACACCATTGGGGATAAGTACATTGGGATCTCTAGCTGCACATTGTACTTTGTGTTTTCTCCACCCACTAACTGGTATATTAAAAGAGATTGATGATGACAAGTATTGCACTTGAAACAAATCACTAGTGTCCAGTTTAGTAAAAATGTAGAAATTGGGTCGATACATTGATCTACCACATCCACAATGCTTGATATGGGCTCGTAAGAACCCGATCCAAATATTTTGGTCCTTGTAGGTGGCATCTATTGATCCATATGGAATCATTTCCGTGCCACCTCTAATGGGTCCCACTTTACTTTGCTTCTTCAGTTTTTTAGCCTTGTAAATAAATTCACAATTGCTGATCCCATCTTCATTGTTGTTAAATTGTTGTAATTCACACTTTAACACTTCCAAATTGTCCCATTGGTAAATCAAGTAAATGTATTTATCTCCAGGTGACTGTGAATCACGATCTTTAGGAATGATAAATGGAGTCCAATTCTTTTCCACCGCCTTTCTCTTTTTTTTAGCAATTCTAAATTCTTTAACTTGAGTAAATTTAACATTATCAAATCGCGAATCGGATATACCATCAGTGTTTACTTTACCCAACTGATACCTAAATGGCCATCCAATAAACATGGCTCTATGAAATTCAAAATTGATTTGCATCGATTTATCTTCATCAATGCGGGTGTAATTGTGGATATTACGTTGATGAGCATTGAAAATGACAACTGGTTCCTCCTTTTGCAATTCATTTTCAACCAACATGATCCTGGTATCTTCGGGTCCATACCATCTTCGCTTGGTATATTGATGATCAAAATAGTATGGAATAGGCAAGAATCGAGGAAACTTTAAATTTTCATGCACACGCGTAACTCCATCAGTATCCATTACCGGAACCACCAACTCAACATTGGTCAATTCTTGCCAATTAACATCATACACTTGAGCATAAAGTAGGGAAATTTGGGGGTTCCATTTCAATCCACGACGCGAAAACAATACACGTGACACCATCAAGTGCACACCGTATTCTTTTAACCATACTGAAGTACCAGCAAATTTATAAAAATGTTTGCCAATGGTGTTTTCTTTCAACATTGTTGGTATTTTCCCCTGGAAAAACCCATCCAAGTGTTTAAAAGCGGGATCCAGTTTCAATTGTTGTTCAAGTATTTCAACCATGCTTTTGAAATCAGCATCAAAAATAAAATTTTCACTAATGGTTAGGTCGAGTGATTGCATCGATTTAGAGCATTGCTTGGAATTGGTGGTAAATGAGTTGAATAGGTGAATCTTGTGTGGCGTTGTTGCATGTTTTAGTTGATCATAGGTTAATGCTGAGTTGTTACCCGAATAGTTGATAACTTGTTTATTTTCAATGGGGTACAATTGTTTATAAGTTGCTTCATCTTGAAAGTTTTTAGGAAATACTAGCAATTGTTGTGAATTGTGGTTATTTAGATGAGCCTGTGGTGATAATGCAGTGGCAGCTGTGTGAGAGGAAGGAGTAGTAGTAGTAGTAGTAGTAGTTGTTGTTTTAGGTAGCAATGGTTGTTTCTTTGGTGATGGGATAATAAACCCTACTAATGATGGGAAACCAGTGTCGCTATTTCGAAATAACAAGTGTATGGGTAATATAGCAACTAGAATGATAACTGTAATCACAAGAAATCGACGCAGAATCGATCTCAACCATCGTACGCCCAGTTTCACCACCATATCTAAGGCAAAGAAGCAAATGTAATTTTTATGATTGTAAAAGTGAGTGTTGCTATTATATGGTATCTCTTCTCCTTTCCTTTTTTTTTTCCCCTTTGATGTTAAGGGGTGTGTTAGTGTTAGTGTGTGGGTGTTAGTGTTGGTGTGTGTTAGTGTGTGTGTACCTTAAATTTTGAAGTATTATATATAGATATGATAGTGACTTCTGTTTTTGGTTGTGATTTTGGTTATAATAAAAATATATAATAAATTATTATTATTGGTAGTGGTAGTAGTAGTAGTAGTAATAATAGTAGTAGTGTTATCTTGATGCTCTCTGTCTCTATTGCTGTGAAAAAAAAAAAAAAAAAAAATCAGAAAGAGAGAAAAAAAGTCGATTAAACTATTTAACTTTTTAACTTTTTTCTTGCCTCTGCTTCTTCTTCCGCTTCTTCTGCTTCTTTTGCTTCTGCTTCTGCTTCTGCTTCTTCTTGCCTCTCTCCTTCTGCTTCTGTTTTAGCTTTTTTTTTTTTGACAGTAGCTTTTAGTGAAAGAAAAAAAGAAAGAAAAAAAAAAAAAGTTTAATATGCAGGATTACAACAGACTTGACTTTTTTTTTTTTCTTTCACAATCGTCGCAAAGTAAGAAAGAAAATACACAACGACATACGCACGCACACACGCACACACTAACACGCACACACACCCACACACGCACCCACACACACATAGTGAAGAGTGATTTTCATCAAATACATTCTGTTATCGCACAGTATCCTTTAAAGTAACTTGGCCACTACTATTGTCAAAACTTTAAGTTAGTTACAGTTTACATCTTGCACTATATTACTCTTCTTTTTGTTTTTACTTGTAGTGGTGGTAAAGGTGGTGGTGGTGGTGGTGATTGGTTGGATTAATAACACTAACACTACTTTTATACTGCCCACGTGTGTATCTTTTAAATTTCAACTCTCTCTCTCTCCTATTGTCTCTCTTTTCTCTTATGCAGAATTTTATTTTTGTGTCACCTGTAGACTATCATCGCTATATTTCTTTGCTTCTTCTAAAAGTGTGGCGCATTCAGTACTATATAATACTAAAGAAGATCTATTTATAGCTGTTTGCTATTCTACTTGCTTGGATAAGGCAAAAGAGTTTGAATTGATTGGACTTTTATTCTTACAACGTAGCCTTCTATTAGCTGTATATGAATAGAGAGGAGCAGGAACAAAGTAAAAATCTACTCCCCTCCTCCCCTCCTCCCCTTCCCCCACCCTCCGTAGGCTCTTCCCCTTTCCCCTTGAACCTGAAATAATGCTAATCACAACTCAGCATCAGGACATTTATAAAAAACCCACTTCTCTCAAACCAACTTTTGATCTGGCTTGTTTTCTGATTCACTTGTTCTATCTTTTTGATCCTCATCTGGATGGTCATCTTGTTGAGCTGGTTGCTTTTCTTGTTGTTGCTGTTGTGAAGGAGATTGATTTTGTTCATTTTGTTCATTTTGTTGATTCTGTTGATTCTGTTGGTTCTGTTGATTCTGTTCATTTGGCTTTGGTGCTTCTTGTTGTTGTTGTTGTTGTTGTTGTTGTTGTTCTTGATTTGCTGGCGGCTGAGGCTTTGGGTTTTGCTCACCAGATGCTGCCTCATCTCCTTTGATAGGCTGATCTTGCTTTGCATCACCAGTTTTACCAGTCTTGTCACCTCCATCACCTGCATCACCTGCATCACCTTTTTTCCCTCCATTTCCCTTCTCCTTTTCCGCCTTGGCTTTTTCAGCAGCTTCTTTAGCCTTTTTCCTAGCTGCTTCAGTTACTCCCAACTTGTCTTGTTCCAATCCATATTGTTTACAAAATTCAGTACTCTTTTCCACAACACACGAAATTAAAGGACTTTTCTCCGAAGCAGTGGTGGTGGCGGAATTGACCCAATTCAAATCAAGTGAATCAACCAATTTCCTAACCCCTTCAACATGAATTAAATTATCATTTTTATCAGCAATTGATAAAATCAAACTTAGATAATCTCGTTTAGGTTCATACATTGATACCCCATTGGGTATCAATACATTGGGATCACGTCTTCCACATTGTACTTCGGCATATTTCCATCCATCTACCGCCATATTGAACGATATCGATGAGGAAAGATGCGACAATTTGAATTGACCATCTTTTTCCCCCAATACAATGAAATTGGGTCGATACATGGCTTTACCACATCCACATTTATCAATATGGGCACGAAGAAATCCAATCCAAACTTGATCTAAATTGGATTTTGTGGTTATAGGAATCAACTCAGTCCCTCCTCTAACTGGACCAACTTTACTAACATCATTGTTTTGTTTGAAAATCACTTGACACGTTGAATCTTGCTTGGCATTGGCCAATTCACATTTCAAAATTTTCAAATTATCCCACTGATAAACAATGTATATATGTTCATCACCGCCATTCAATACAGAAGATTTCCTCCCCAGTGGATTTATAAATGGTGTCCAATTCTTTTCCACTTTTTGACGTTGTTCTTGTCCTTCAATTCTCAATTCAACAACCTTGTTATACCTCGTTTTCAAAGCACGATTATCTTGGCCAGCATCAACATTTTGTTTACCACGTTGATACCTAAACAAGTATCCCATAAACATCAGTCGATAAAATGCATACTTCACCGGCTCCTTCTCCCCTGCTGCATTCTCAACAGTTTTGAAAACTTGTCTATGGAAAGCATTGAAAATGATTATTGGTTCTTCATCACCATATTCATTTTTACTCAACAACAATCTCGTATCCTCTGGTCCATACCATCTTTTCTTGGTCTTTTTGGCATTATGGTAAAATGGAACTGACATAACTCGAGGGAAATTAACAACTTCATATTTACGTTCACCATCATCATCAATTATGGGTAAAACCAAATCAACATTTGTCAACTCTTGCCAATTTTCATCATAAACTTGTGCATAAAGTAATGAAATTTGTGGATCAGCTTTTCTGGCAGTTTGAGTAAACAATAACCGAGAAACCATCAAATGTACTCCATATTTTGACAACCATACTGAAGTACCAGCAAATTTGTAAAAATGTTTTTCATTCAATGCACTTTGTTCAATATATTTACCAAGTTTGCCCTTGAAAAACCCAGCAATTTCTTTTAAACTGTCGTCGTGTGTAATTTGATTCAATAGAGTTTGACCAATTAGTTTCCAATTGTGCTTGAATTCAACACTTTTGGTAATCGACACCAGTTTATCCAATTGTAAATTGGCACAGCTTGCCTTTTCGGCATCTTTTCCTTCTCCTCCTCCTCCCTCTTCTTGGAATACAGACCTTACTGGTGTTGATGCAAACAAAGTTATATGGTGTGGTGTATACGTCTGATTAGTAATGGCAGTGCTTAAAGCACTAGGACTTCCACGATACTGGACAATATCATTCTTGGATTCAGATATATTATGATCTATCCTCAAGGCAGTACTATAATCCGATGGTAATATGGTGATTGGTTTGTAATTGTAGTACGAGGAAATGGGTAATCTAGAGCTACTCCCAATCACTTTAGTAGACCATTGCTTGACTGTATCATAAGTATTGAGGAAATGAAGTAGTATTAATGTGATGATAACAAATGGAATGGCCAAATAAGTTTTCCTAATCTGTCTAGGTTTAGGAAACAACGGAAGATACTTCTTGATCATTGGTAAAGAGGGACGAATAAGATGGTGTTAGTCCTGGTGGTGACAGTTGATGGTATCTTCCTTTGGTTGGTCGCAAAGACGAGTGTTGCTATTTGAAAAGAAAAGGAACGTGTATCTGTAAGTTGCGATGTGAAAAAAAAAAATAAAATAAAATAAAAATTAACGTATTGTTAGTGTTATGATTCACTCACTGAGATTGGGATGAATTTATAGGTAAAACAGTTGACCAAAATGGATTGGAGAATAGTTATTTGCTGTCTGTTGATAGTTTGATTAAGCCTCTGATGTGTCAGTGTATGTCTTTTGTTTAATATATTTTGGTTGTTAAAAAAAAAAAAAAAAAAAAAAAAAAAAAATTTATTTTAAAACTCTACATTAACAGCAGTACTGCATATAATACAAAGTTACACAACTACAATGTGCCTTTTCTTTCATTTCTTTTTTTTTTGTACCATGTAATTATTACACACTGACAGTTGATTTAATACCACCATCATTTGTATCAGTTTCAGCCAGTATGTCTACCTGTGGTTCCCCACTTTTGACTATGTCAATGGTATGTATACAGTAAGTACAATTGCTCTACTCTAGACAGAGTCACAGCCATCGAATTAACTGGCCAAGGCTTTGGAATAAAATTATTATGCAACACCACTTAAAATCAAAAGAAGAAAATTACATTCCCGTATACTCAAGTCCTCGCCTTTTAAGAGGACACACCCATCATACAACTAAACTACAAGAAAGGCTTGGTGCTTCAACGAATTCTCGTTGCGTAAGCTAGACCCCAGGTCTCTTACCGCCTACAAACTTAATGGTAAGAGTAAAACTCACTGATTATATCTATTTTTAGGTACTTTTATATACTATTATTAACCCTTTTGCTGCACATCAATTGTCATTGCATTATGCAAAAGTAAGCCATAGAAACCAAGGCGGTTTGTATCTTTTAAGTCGGATTCAAAAACAATTGGCTTTGGCATTGTGTTCAATGGGCCAAGGGTGAAAGCTACACGATATTCTTAAAGTATCATAACCATGTATATATCTGTCAAAGTAGAGTACAGTAACAATAGGATTCATCGGTTCCTCACTAAAAAATAAATTTTTACTCAAAGCGACAAGCTCATGGATATGTATTCTACGCTCTATGTTCTTATTGGTGTATGTTCCTTCTTATTTGCAAAGAGTAAAACAACAAAAGTAATAACAAAAACGGGTTCAAACTCAACTCTTATTATTGTCTTGGTTTGTACAATTTAGCGTGTACCTTAACCTGAACAGGAGAAAAGAAATTCTCTTTTCTTTTTTTTTTTTCTTTTTCTTTTTTTGGGGGTTTCTTCAACAGCTACTCTCTGCCTTGCATAGCCACAATTTATCATTCTAGTCACGTGGATATCACGAGATATTATTTATTTGAAGCTCAATCACCATCTATATATATATATATATATCGATACTAATGTGTCTTCTTACTCAGCTTCACTAACGTTTGTTTTAACAACAATGTTGGAAAAAGTTAGGTATGAGTATATATATTCATTGGCTGCAAAGTCTGGCAAACTTGTAAGCACTTTGATTTTATAACCCTTCTACTTCTCTCTTTTTTCAGCATCTTTCATCTACAATGCACCACTTTTACTCTTTTTAGCATCCAAGATTTGTTGCACAGAATCAGTAACTGATTTATCAAGATCAATAAACTCATACCCCAAGATTTCTTTAGTCTTTGAGTTGTCAACTGATGCCAATCCTTCCTTTTTAATCTTTAAATCAGCACCTGGTTCACCTTTAGGAAGATTCAAATTGGGAAACTTGGCATTGATCAAATCAACAATTGATTGTTCAGTAAAAGTACCTGCAGCTAAAATCAATCTTTGACCAGCTGCTTTTGGGTTTTCAAATGCAACAACATGAGCTTTTGCCACATCACGTACATCAATCCAATTACCCTTGAATGTTGGGATTGGATCATTTGGTTTCAACTTTACTATTGAATTAATCACTTCTGATGATGTGTTTAATTGATCTTTTATTTCTGAAGTAAACAATTGAGGTCCAAATGTAAAACCAGGATTCACCGTTGTCAATTTAAAAGGAGAATCATTTTCCTTGATGAAATCCCATGCTGCACGTTCAGCAAATGTCTTTGAACCTCTATATCCATTAACAACATTTTTTACAGCTTCATCCCATGTAATATCATTCCAATCTTGTTCAGTAAACACAACTTTAGGATCAGTAGTCTTGTCAGCAGAACCAACAGCGGCAAAAGATGAGGTAATTACAACATTTTTGATGTTTTTCCCATATTTTTGAATTGCCTTTAATGCATTCTTGGTACCTTCAACTGCTGGCTCCAACAATTCCTTGGCTACATCAGTAGCTTTATAATGGAATGGCGATGCCGTATGCAAGAAAACTGTGGCATCTTGATTCTTTTCCAACACTTGATCAAATGCACCTGGTTTACCAACATCTTCAACAATTTCATAGCTCAAACTAGATGGTGAATTAAACAATTTTAATAAATGATCACCTTTAGCTTGTGATCTAACTGTGGTTACAACATTGTAATTATGGTTTAATAACTGTTTGAGAATGTGTTGAGCAATAAAACCTGTTCCTCCAGAGACAATAACCTTTGCTGTCATTTTTTTCGAATATACACTGATGTGGGATGGAATTGAAAAACAATTGAGTTTGGAATTGAAATTCTATTTCCCCCCCTATTTATAATCGTTTGTCCAATTCTCGGAGATCTTTCTGGAATGAAAAAATTGTGGAGTCTAAATTTTTTTGTTTTGGCGGCAAGATTTCCTAAAACGAACAATAGGGGGGGGAAAGAGGTTAGATCCCCGCCATAGACACCCAACATCCACAGTTTTGGAGAAACCCTTTTATTACACGTAGACCCCTACAATGGCACCTCTAGATCTACGATGGTACCCTGACATCGTTAAACATTGCTCTTTATTCTCATCTATGTATACGTTTCCTACTTTAATAAGTCCCCTTTATTCACCACAAATGCTTCAATCACAGCCATGGCAGCATACAATCTGTTCTCAGCTTCCTCAAAAACAACTGAATTGTCACTATAGAATACATCATCAGCAACTTCTTCCTGATGTCTAGGTAAACAATGCATAAAGATCCAATTTGGAGCAACTTGACTCAGTTTAATCAACTCCATGTCAATTTGATACCCAGCAAATTGCTTCAATTTAGCAACCTTCTGCAGTTCTTCACCCATGGAAATCCACGTATCAGTAACTACAATATTGGCATTACGTAAAGCTTGTTGTGGCTGATTCACAATTTCAAATTCAACACCTTGTTGTTGAGCAATCTGCCTTGCATCTTGTTCAACATCTTTATCCATTGAAATCGATTCCGGAATTGATATCGAAACATGGATGCCCATTTTCAAACTAGCAATAGCTAAATCATTAATCACATTATTTGCATCACCAACCCAAGCCAACTTCAAACCTTTAGTATTTCCACCAAAACTCTCCTTGATGGTTAACAAATCAGCAATGGCTTGTAATGGATGATACTTGTCACAAAGTGAATTGATTATGGGGACACTCGAGTCCTTGCACAAGTTGACAATATCCAGATGTTTATTAACACGAGCAAAGATGCATGATGTCATTGAACTAATGACTTTCGTAGTATCGTACATGGACTCATTAACACCCAATTGAATATCATCTTTACCCAAAAACATTGGTTGTGCACCAAAAAAAGCTGCTGCTCCTTCAGTACTGATTCTTGTCCTTGTTGATCTTTTGGAAAAAAGTAGTGCTACTAATTTGCCCAACAACTTGTTGTGATTTTCAGCAATGGCGGAAGCTTGACCGGTTTTGTAAACCTGTTTCAAATACTGTGCTTTGGTGATCAATGATGAAAATTCATCGGTTGTCAATTGGGCAATATTGACTAAATGGCGAGGTGGTGTGTTGGCCGCTTGTGATTGTGATTTCAAAGTGGTGGTGCCGGTGGATAAAATCCTTTTAGTAGTGACTGTTCTAACTGACATTTTTTTACAAAAACGACTAATTTGCTGGATTGGAAGTAGGTTTAAAGAAATGGGTATAAAGGATCTGATCCTGGTGCAGAAAAGTAAGATTTTATAATTGAAAGAAAAATTTTCCACATTTGGTAAATGAGTCAAGAATTAAGCGCGCTAAAACATATACCAATAAAATCGTTGAAAAATTGGGCAAACGTGCACGTCTCTTGGTTAAATCAAGCTAACCTAGTCTCTCTATCTCAAAACCTATACAACTATAGTTTCCAATCCTGTAATTTTTGAATCAATGCATCTCTTTGTTGTTGGATTTCTTCTTTACGTTTCAACAAATTAGCCCTTACCGCCTCCTTTTGTTTTTGTTTAGCACACTCCAATTTCAACCGTTCTTCAATTCGGGTAATTTGCTCTTGAATGGTAAACACTTTGACATGGGACTGCTGTTTTGGTTTGGATTTTTGATTAATGTATCCATACCCAGATGCATAATCCATATATCCATCATTTCCATACCCATTGAAGCCACTAGACCTACCATAGCCACGACCAAACCCGTCATCATCACTTGATCCATAATCACTCACAATCTCATCATTATACTTGTGTTCAAAATCAATATTACGTTTAGCTTTAAGCACACCCATGTCTTCATCACTCAACTCATAATCATACCTTGAATCAGGATCGAAATCGGGCTGCTGTAGCTCCTTGTTTGTAGAAGATGGCGCACCATCGTCATAGTTCTTATCGTCATTATACTCCGATGCAATTTGATTGAGATACTGTCGTTTAGAAATAGTTTGTGGTTCAGCATTGGAATGAATGGGGACATATGATCGAGGCAGTGAGGGTTTAGGACTATAAGGTAGTGTACTGCTAGTTGGTGGTTCATAACGTTTCGATCTACGTAATGGGATCTCGATATTTGGTGGTATGGAGGGTTCTTTTTGTGGGGAGAACTTGAAATCCAATTCATCAATGTTGGCAATAACAGGGTTGTTCTCGGAATTTTCACTATCAAAATCAAGTAACGGTGTTGGCGATCGTGGTGGTTCCTTAGCACCAGGTTTCGGAGAGAGATTCTTGATATCTGGTGGTGATGAAGTTTCTTTTCCAGGGGAGAAACTGACATTGAATTTTCCAATATCAACAACAATGGGATTGTCTTCAGGGTCCTCAATGTCAGATGTGAGTTGGGGTGTGCTCAGCAACCCCTTGAACTGCTCCTTCGTCATCTTTTTTGCCAGCTCCTTCTCCAACCCATTGCCCCCCTGTTCGTCAGTTTCATTGATTGCAGCTTTATATTTGGACAAGTTTAAGCGTCGTTTGGAAGGTTCATTTGGAGCTCGTGTTTGGGACGTCAATGAAGGCTTGATCCTAATCTCAACCTCCTCCTCCTCCCCTTCGTCTTCATTGTTCTCAATTCCATTGTCAATAGGGATTGCTCCTGCCTCTCTCGATAAAAATGAAGCACGAACTGCACTCATTGGCTTCTTTTCATATATAGGATCAACTTTCGGCTCTCGTAGTGGGTCAATTGTGCTTAGCTCGTCACCACCTTCATCTCCATTGTCAAAAGTAGCAATTCTAGTGCGTTGAGAAGCACCGGAGTTTACTGGCTTCTTTTTAAATCTAGGATGGCTCTTTATCACACGAGATATAGTGGGATTCACATATCCAGTATGCTGTTCCTTTGCCTCATCCACACTTGAATCGTCGTGATCAGTTCCTGTAGCTCTATTTCGTTGTGACGATACACTGTGATTTATCAAGCTCTGTTTACCTTTGGACCCAAGGTTCATCACATGGGATACCCCGGGTACTATTAAAGTATTACTCTCCTCTCTTGTCTTCTCGTCCATAGTTTTTTCCTCCTCAATCTGTACTGCTCCAACTCTTCGCGATGACGACGACGATATGTTTGTATCCGTTGGTTTCCTCTTGAAAACTGGTTTAATCTTGGGCCTCAACGGCACATCGAGTGTGTCTATGTCATTCTCGTCCATGATTTTTCTTATAAAGAATATGGGTAAGTTGTTACCTCATACCCAATGTTCAATTTGTGATACAAACTTGCCATACAAAAAAAAAAAAATTGTATTGAGATGGTGAAAAGATGAGTTCAATCTAAAGACTCACTAACACCTTGTATCCAACGCTACACCACACAACCTTTTTTATAGCGATGCCGGAGGTTTCAGATTATGCAAAACTACTTCATACGAAAATGCGGGAATCACCTGCTTCCAAAGCATTCACACAACAGGAAGCATCCAATTTAATTAATGTTACAAAAGAATCAGAGTTGATGTTATTACTACAGGAGCTTCTCAATGCCAATTTGATCAAATTGACTAAATCGGGTGAGGAAATACGATTTCAGGCAGTTAGTATTGATGATGCTAAGAAGTTGGTCAGTATGACCGATGATGAACGAATGATTTATTCATACATTGAAGCTAGTCAACGTGAAGGTATTTGGACAAAGACCCTTAAAGCCAAGACCAATTTGCATCAACATATTGTGTCAAAATGTTTAAAGAACCTAGAACATCAACGATATATCAAATCCATCAAGTCGGTCAAACATCCAACGAGAAAAATCTACATGTTGTATCATTTGCAACCAAGTATTGATGTGACTGGTGGACCATGGTTTACCGATTCTGAACTAGACACTGAGTTTATTGACACGATATTGGAGGTTGTATGGAGATTTATTGTCAACAAGACATTCCCGCGAGGAGATGATGAACAGCACCTGGTGAATCCATTACAAGCTTCATATATAGCGTCATTCCAAGGAGTCGACCTAGATCAGATATTGGCGTTTATCAATGGAAGTGGTGTTAGTTCTGTTGAGTTGGAACTCAATGATATTCGATCATTATGCGATGTTTTGAAATTCGATGATAAAGTGGAGGAGATTGAGGGGCATAGTGGGTTGTTTAAAGCCACAAGACAAAGTTTAGTGGAGAAAGGGTTGGTGAGGAACTTGGAAGAGTTGAAAGGTCAGATTCCTGAATCGACAAGAGAATACCTTGTCAAGAACAAAGAGTTTTCAATTTTTGATTTCAAGACTGAAGTTGAAGATTATCAAGATGAACAGGACTTTGTAAATTTGGATAGTTTTGTAAATGTATAAACTTCTTTAGCTAATCTTTCTATATTCTAAAATATACCGTACTTTTGGCATTTTTGGAAAATGTATACCGCCATGGCATTGGGTTTAACTTCATTAACTTCATTTGGATCGACTTTGGCAGCAAATCGTTGAGCATCAGTAGTGATTTTCCTTTGGGATCCATTTAATGACATAAATTGCTTATACAACCAATGAAGTATCATTTGATTCCACGTTAGTTCGATATTCAAATCACCATCTTCATTATAGTAGAAATTTTTACTTTCATAAGACACGAGTGGTTTCACGTCACAAACTTGTTCATTTTCAACATCAGTATCGCTTTCAGCATCTTCATGTCGTTTGTACTTCACCATCAAGTCAGGATGATCAGAAACGACTCCATACTCAACCAATTTGGCCAATTTGCCAACTTTAACGAGATATTCAAATTGGAATTTGGTGTTTATTGTCCACGAGTAAAGCTTTAAATTTTGAAGTTGTAAAAGTGGCACAAATTTAGTGAGAAACTCAGTTGACCATGTAGCAATATAAAGCAATGAAACCCCAGTCAATTTTATCTTGATCTTGTCCTTGGGTGTCGTTTCATCCAAATAGTAATTGTAGTTTATATAATTTATTGAATCTCTCCAGTTTAAACTAATGTGGAAAATATCAAACTGATTATAACCAAACTCATTAACTTCCTTAAACTTGTCTTGAAAAAATGGTTCCTGGTTGAAATATTTTAAAAATGATAAATCCCAAACACCACATTGAATTCTATGATACCACCAAGATAAATCATTGTGAACTTTTAGCAAATCGCTGACGATGTACTTGGTAATTTTGGCTGGATTGAATTTCTTGATATCCAATTGTAACTTGTGTTCATTAGACCCAGTGGAGTCAACATACTGTTTAAACCATTGCAACACATCAACAAAGGAAAGCAAAGGAAATCCACCTTCTTTAGTCTTTAAGCTCTTCAATATAGGATCATAAGGAGTTTTAGTAACCTTGTAATCAGTTTCATTGCCATCTTGATCAACAAACACACGTTTGGTGGATATATCATGAGATATAATAATAACGTTATCCGAACTTAACCACAAGTCAGTTTCGATAACAGTAGCACCAGCTTCAAAGCATTTACCAAATCCAAGTAAAGTGTTTTCCGTGTATGAGCTCTTGAATCCACGATGACCGGCTATTACAGGAGATGTGGTGGAGGAATTCGTCATGAAAGGAAGCACCAGTTGTGACGATGAAGTCGACCTAGGAGCATTAGTTGTAGTTGTGGTTGACGCCATTCTTTTAGTAGTGGATGTGGATTTATTTGAAGTTAGTTGTCATATACGTGAAAAAAACCTCTTCATAGCATCAAGCTCGTACACTGAAAGGGATGATGAGTAACAAGTAGGATACGTAGTGAAATATATATAGATACTATGTAAAAGTGTGGAGCAGAGTAGGATGCTTTAAACCCGAGTGAAATATAAAGTCGGATGTAGTGTGTGTATGTGTGTACTGCATATTACACACAAACACACTCACACTCACACTGAAACAATGACACAAATTTATGCACATGCAAACATTCGGAGGAATTCTTTTCGAAGCGAAAACGGAGGACACGTGCTCCATTATAAAATGCCGTACAAGAGTAACTAATTAAGTGGAGTTCCCTTTTAAAGCCTCTTTCGCGGGTGGGCCTTAACTCCTTTCATCCCCGTGTTTACTCGAAAGTGTGGTTTTATTTTCAGCACCGATCATGCCCGTGTGTAATCAAGGGTATACGAATCAATGTTGTAGGGCAAAAACGGTATTAGTCATTGGGGATACGTTATACTAATAGAAAAAAAAAAAAAAAAAGAAAGGGGGAAGGAGAGAGGTTGCCAGGGGTGTTCAGATCTAGATTCGATAAACATGGTGCCACGCTTTGTGGGATTTTGCTGAAGAGGAAAAGCGTAATGAATATCCATATCAGGTAGTGGAAGAGGTAAACTCACAAAATAAGTGTCGTACGAGAAATATTGTTTGCAATTGTTTGCAGTTGTTTGCAACTTTTGTTACCCAATATGTTTTGCCTCTTACCATCCTTAAGATACTTCACATCCACTTCATCATGAACAAATAAATAAATAAAAGTACAAGTCTATGTGAAAGTACAACTAGATACACAATTAGTATGTGACACATCTACCATGATCTACTAATAACCACTATAACTTATAATCTTCTTTTTGCTTTTCCTCTTCTTCATCAACACACATTTTAATCAAGTCGTAAGCGATTGATTGTCCCATAGGAATCATAATACCTTCGGGGTTGAAATGTTTATCAGCATCAGTCACTTGTTCAGGATACACCAATTTACGTACAAATGAAGTATCAAACCATCTAGCATCCAACAACTCATTATCGTGACCTAAATGGATCAATTCATTGGTTCCATTAAACTCAACTACACCAACACATCCAATCATCAAGTTCGATGGGAACGGCCATGGTTGTGTCATTACCACATTGACTTGGTCACAAGTGACTCCAGTTTCTTCCCAAATTTCTCTCTTGGTGGCAACTTCAACTGTTTCACTAGGTTCCATGAATCCAGCAGTACATGAATACATTTTCGAAGTGAAATGTCTTTTGCCCAAAGAAAGCAAGATCTTGGATCGATCAGTGTTGGTGATTATTGATATTACCGCCATATCTGTTCTTGGGAAGGAGACGTTTGATACCGGTGCACTTTTCACAGGACACACTGATCTCGCATCGGGCTTGTCACTGGCAGCGGCAGCGGTAGCGTCATCGCTACTTACAGTCTCCTCATTGGTACAGTACAATTTCCCACCTGCGTGAATAGGTATAGTTGGATGACCACAACCAGGACAAAACTTGTTGGTAGTCAACCAATGGAAAAACATTGCTCCTTGACTAAACAAACTAGCTTCCTTTGACTCAAAAGTTAGAAAATGTTTTCTTGAATGGGTGAAAAAGACACCATTTTCCTCAGGTGTCTTTTCAGTGTGTTGTTTTTCATTAATTGAATCATTAACAAAATGAACCAAGTTACGACACAACTCCTTATTGGAAGATACGTCAACCGCAAAATAAGCAATACCTTGATACCTGCCTTGATGATCCAAATACTTTTCATCTCCATTCAATTCACAATCCACTTTTAATGAGTTGATATCCAACCCCACAGATTCATCAAGAAGTCCCATAAACAAAAAAGTTGGCTTCCCTGGACTTCTCAACTCTTTATTCATGTTCTTGTTATCTTCACTCCAAGTATGCAAAATCTCCTTCCAATGAGAAACATGGTTCATTAACCCACGAGGAAGAAATTGTAAATTGCCGATATATCCAATGTTATTCGACTGTCCAGGTTCAATTTGGTCAACACAAATTTGGTTATCACCATTAGTCATAATGGCCAACATATTGGGGAAATTCTTGTGCACTAATGGATTTTGCTTGTTGAAGAAAATGAATCGAGTGGATGGATGGAATAACGATTTGGAAATGAACTCGGTATCTTCTCTAAGGAACGAAACACGGTTGAGTACTTCATTACCGTAGTACATATCATTTTGTAAGTCCTTGACGGTGGTGCTGAATGATTGCGACATGATGCGAAATGACAGTGTCGGCGTTCTTGACAAAAGAGTCGGTAAAAAGTGTTTAAATGAAAGTGGTAGTTGAAGTATAGTGAGGACCCTGATATCTGTAAAACTAATGTCGACCCAATATCTTGTTGAACAATATTGATAAAAGGAAAAAGAAAACGTTTAGTATTACTAATTTTTCACAGCTCTCTGGTCTTATCAATTTGAATTTTTCATTTGGCGTATGCATGTACTGTCTCCAGTCAAATTGCGAAAACAACAATCCGACAATCCGACAAAAAGGAAAAAGAAACCGAACAGACAGACAGACAGACAGACAGACAGACAAAATATTTCATTGCATCCCCGCCAAAATGTTGTTTTTTCTTCTTTCTATTTCCGCATCGCTAAAACCCCACATAAAAACAAAGTACATTTGCAAAAAGTTTGCATTCACGTTAGGGAAACGTTATATTTCTTCTACACTACAGAAGCTGTTCAAAAGAGATTTACTTGCAATATCTGTGTCAGACTAATTCCAATACTCGAAAGGAATGGTAAATCTCCTTCAAATATAAAGTGTATATAGCTGACTCATAAATTTTGATTTCCCTGGGGCGTATAAATATCAATACACTGTGAACACAAGTAAAGTATTAAATTAATTCCCAGGGGTTTATGCATTGTCCTACAAGTGATACCCACGCTGTCTTTGAAATAACCTTGTCAATTGAATATAAAATCTGTAACAGTTGTTAGTAAAAAAGATCCTTCCATGAGATACGCTTTATTTGCAATTGCTGGTAGCTATTTCCTCTGAATCAGATATAGTAAAGTAGACTTTTCCCCATGCTATAAAATGTAGGAAGTCAAGCGTTCGTAAATTTGGTCTGTTTAGTGTTTCATCATTCGAGGAAGGGAAAAGCATAGCCTTGCAAATGTTCAGTCTCGGATAACACATACCTATCATAAAAAATAACCCTATTTGAGAAAAACTGAAATTCATAATCTTTTTAAGTTGTCATTCATTGTTAGTAAGATTGCATTCCACAACTCCCCTTTATTCAATCAGTTATCTTGACACGTCTTCCGCATAATAAACTCAGAAGTCTAACGTCTGAATAAATGTCTAATAATCATCATTTGAATAACGAAAAATACATACCCATTCATTTTTTAGCCAATCTTGATACCTCTAATCACAGCATTCCCCAATCCTTTGACCCAAGACTTCTTGGATTTTTTATCAGCAATGATAAACACGCGGCCCAGTTGATTCATCCTTCCTGTTCTTCCTAATCTATGTACAAGATCAACTGAGCTTTGTGGTAAACCCATCAATATAACATTCTTGATGCCAATAAAATTCAACCCTCTTGCTAGTAAGTCCGTTGTAACCAAAATCTTAACTTTGCTTCCCTCTAAATCATGCTTGATCAATTGTGCAGGTCGCAAAAACGGTTCAATAAAATCCTTACGATCTTGCACTTTCACTTTACCAGATATTCCAGAGATATCCTGTTCTCGGATTCCATATTTTGTAATCATCAAATCAACTAATCCATCAACTTCTGATTTCTCGTTAACGAAAACAATAATTCGCTTCACATAATCAGGTTCTGTACCATCTCTTGATATAGCATAAATAGCCTGAGCTAAACATCTTGGTTTTGATCCATTATAAGGCGGCAAGTCAGCATCCAATGTCATTACTTTTATGTTTCGAGGAACTTTATGTAATGAGGGAGTTGATACTCGAATAATTGATTTTTCATCAGGAAAGTACCTTGTTAATGTCTTTTCAAATTCCTTTGGAATGGTCGCCGAAACTAAAATCAAATCAAGTAATTTGGGGAAATTTTTAACCACTGCTGTAGTATCTTTTAAAAATGATGGATCAAACAATGTATCAGCTTCATCCAAGATACAATACCTCACGCTCTTGAAGATCTTGAATGGACGGTCAATGGCTTCCAATTTGGAAAAGCCTGTAATTTTAGCTGGTGTTGTTACTAGCACATCAACTTTACCGAAATTACGCAATTGTTTATAAAGCGATATTGGCGGATCACCATGCGACAATTTCATAATGGATAACCCTAGTGTTGCATTTTCTGGTAGATCAAGGAATTCTTTATACTGACGAGGTATGTTGTCATGGTCCAAAGAAAACTTGTTAGATCTGTCAAGTACAGCATACACCTGTTCAACCAATTCATGAGTAGGAACCAAAATGATTGACCTAACTTGTTCTGACTTTTTGAAAAGTTCATATTTCCTAGTATTATCCCTGAACCAATTGAAATCGTCCTCTTTCAATTTAGACAAAAGAGGAGCAAGGAAACTCCATGTTTTACCTGAGCCAGTTTCAGCAGCAACTGTAAAAATTTTGGTCTTTTTCAACTCATTTTCGTGTTTCAATTCGTAAAAAATACGTTCCCCTTCATCCATCTCTTCCAAGTCTTTGTTAGCTCTTCTCGTTTGGTTGATTTTGCGAATAGCAGAAATCTGTACCGGTGTTGGCTTGATCTTGATCTCATCAAGTGATGCGTGTTGAGGTCCCTTGAGGTTGTATTGTGACTTGATCTCTTTAATCATGGCCTCCCTCACCGAGGGGAAAATTTTCAATTGATCAAAATTATCAATCTTTGATTCAGCGGAATCTAGCGGAACTTTCAAGTCATTGTGTAGCTGTGAAAACTTTCCCGACTCAAAGACAAGTCCCTTTTTGGATTTAGACTCTGTTTCTGATTCTTCCTTGGCTTGGTGTCGTATCTTTTGTTTGGTGTTTAGTTGATATTTCTTCGATGCGGCAACTTTGGAAGAGTATCTTGACAAACATCTCAATTGAAGGGAAGCTGGGTGATTAGTATGTATTATAGGTAGCAAATCATGTCGTATCAAGCTTCTAAACATAATATGATGGTTCAAATAGTTAAACTTGAACAAAGAAGAAAAGAAGAAGAGAAGTGTTGAAGTGTTGAAGTTTGAAGTTGCAAATGTTTTATTGTAAGAAAGAGAAAAAAAATTTTCAAACAGATGGATTGGGTAGTGTACATGGAAACCAAAAAATAAGTTGGGTTTGTTAGTATACAAAAATTTTTCCACACCCGTACCCAAAAGGCTAGTATCAGAACATTCAGCCAAAACCAAGTTGATATACAGCTGACATGTTAAGATTGTCTGTTGATTTGGCCAAAGTGAGACTAACTGGTCGAATTCCACTAATACTGACCACCCGCAGTTTCACAACCACAACTGCACTTCTAGCCACACCAAGACAAAAGGAAGGTAAATCGAAACAAATCTTGAGAAGAAAAGTAGTTGAAAAGGAAAAAGTCAAGAAATCTACTAGTTTGACTCATTATCCTTTCAAAGATGCAGTACAGAATTTGAGTTTGGAGAAATTGGCACCTTCAATTGATTATGTTGAGCCATTGACAAAAGACAGTTTAGCCACATCAACAATCACTGTATACCCAGCTGATATAGAAGACAAGTTGCGTACTTTCCAAGCATTTAAGAAATTTCAACATCATGAAATGTTTAGGAATCCGGTGTCCCTAACCACTTCGAACACAGTCAAGATTTACGACGAATTTGTGAAAAATCTCGTCAATGAATCCAAGACCAATCGTAAATACATTGATGGTATCAAAGGAAGTGGTAAATCTACATTGGTCAACCAAGCATTAGCTTTGGCTTTGCAAGAATTCAAAAATGAAGTCGTCATATTGCATTTACACTCTGCTGACATAATAGGCAACGGTTCATCTGATTATTTCAAGAATAATAAGTTGGGATTATATCAACAACCAATGGCAACGAAGAGATGGTTACGCAAGATATTGGCGGTGAATAAAGATATTTTCCAAAAACTCAAACTAACGGAAGATGTCAAATTCTATCAAGATAAGCAAGAGTATAACTTGAAAGCTGGTGAACACACATTGTATGATTATCTTTCACAAAATAGGGAAATTAACAAAGTACAACCAACAATGGCGTTCCAATTTTTCGTAAACCAATTGAAGCAACATTCCAAAACAATACCCGTCATCTTATCAGTTGACGATTTCAACGCCATGGCTGATTTTTCAATAACTCAATATCGTGCACCGGACTTTAAACCTATACATGTAAGCGAATTTGAATTGGGTGATTTCCTTTTGAAAGCAGCAAGTGGTGAATTGAGTTTTAATAAAGGTGGGGTACTATTGGCCAAATCGTGTGACTTTGCCCCTGCTAGAAAGACCACCCATGTTGCTGTTTATCCCAACGAAGAGTATGATCCATATATGAAGTACCCTGATTTGGACATGTCGGTTTCACAAAGATTAGTGGCTAATGGAGGAATAAAACCAATCAAAGTTGCCCCTTTGTCCAAGGATGAAGTTAGAGCATTATTATCATTTTGGAGAGATCAACAAGTTTTAATAACTAGACAAGATTTCCATAAAAAGGAGTTCAATGACGATCAAGCCGATGTTGTTGGACAGGAATTTGATCCGGAATTACAATTTGAGAAATTGGTACAATCAAGCTATGTTGTTTCACAAGGGAACCCATATGGAATCTTGAAACAAAATTTGATTAGCTATTAAAAAAAAAAAAAGAGACATGTGTAAATAGAAAAATAACAATCCTTCACAATCCATACGGTGACGTATCTACTGCGTTTTATTTTCTTTCGCCTATGTAAACAATGTATCTTCCTCTCTCAAGTACTCACCAATATCTCCTTGCCTAAATGCAATTATACCAGTTGGAGCCACATTTCTAGCCTCATGCGTCAGCTTAGCACTGACACCAAACCCCAATGGAATATCACCCATACTGTAAACAATCACACCAGCATGTTCCGGTATATCATCACTCATACGACCAATGTGCGCTTTCAAGACATGGTTACCATACAAAAATGGCATTTCACCATTTTGCTTAATCCATATCTTGTATTTAGCATATTGTGATAAATAAGGTAATGCAGTAATATGTAATTTAAATTTACCCGTCTTGGTGAACTTGCCAAAACATGTACCCAACGACATTAGGTTTTGACGTGATACTGAAGTGGCGAAATTGGCAACTTGTTCAGAAACGTAGTAAACACGATCTTTTTGTAATCGGAAAACATGTGGGTTTTCTGGGTTATCTATAAGAGCGGCAATGTTGCGGCCAATGTAGTTGGCTAGTTTTTCAAATACTACTTTTGTTTCTTCTTCTGTTAATGGTCTCATGGGGAGCTATTGGTAATGGGGTAAACAGTGAAAGCGATGATCTTCTCATGTCTCTTCGATTTTGTAATTTTTTTGTCTTTTTTTTTTCACTCGAGATGCCCATCCATCCATCAACAAACAACCCATTGACACTTCCATCAAAACCTGATATCTACGCCCTCGTGTAAATGAAAAAATGGATACTTCTGATAATACCCACATTGAGCAAGCAGATCAACAACCGTTGGACCAATCTCCTCAACAACAACAACAACAACAACAACAACAACAAGCTGTTTCTGCTGATTCTTCAACAAAATCAGCGCAAATTGGCTCGAGGTTGCAAAATGCCAAAGAAAGGCAAAACAGACAGAAATATGAGCAATCGTAGGTAAGTCCCCCTAATCGTCCACCTATTGTGGGTTGAGAGAAGCCAACTTTTTTACTAACTCCTTCTTCTTTTAGTGAGTATGTTCCCATGCTAGACGAACAAGGTAACCCCATCCCCAAATCGGAACGTAAACCAAAACGTAAATGTGCAGTAATGCTAGGCTACTGTGGTACTGGTTATAACGGACTCCAAATCCAAAATGAACCCGGGGTAAAGACAATTGAAAAAGACTTGTACGAGGCATTTTATAAAGCTGGCGCCATATCCTTGGAGAATTCTCTTGATTTGAAAAAATCGGGTTTCCAAAGAACAGCAAGGACGGATAAAGGTGTCCATGCTGCTGGTAATGTCGTTTCATTGAAATTGATTATTGAAGATCCTCAATTGAAGGACAAGATTAATTCTTATTTACCGGATCAGATTAGGATATGGGGTATTCAACGCACAACAAAGGGGTTTGATTGTCGTAAAATGTGTTCTTCGAGAGTATATGAGTATTTGTTGCCTACTTATTGTTTGATTAGTCCAAAGCCGGGTACACAATTGGACGAATTGATCAAGGAAAATAAATCCAAGTATCCTGATTTATTTGTTGATGATGATGGTGAAAGTCAACAATTTTGGCAATTGATGAAGGAGAAAGTGAGTGAGGCTGGAATTACTCAAGATCAATTGGATGCAATTGCGCAAATGAATGAACAAGAAGCTAAAGGAACCAACAACACAACCAACCCAGATTCAACGCCTCAAGAAAAAACCAACCTTGAAGAGGAATCCACTAATACATCTCAAGATGTGCCACTTTTCCGTATTGCCAAACAAGTTAAACAGATTGAAAATGCCACACGTCGTGCTTACAGAATCTCCCAGCACCGTTTGAAACGATTCACATCAACAATGCAACAATATAAAGGCACCCACAATTTCCACAATTTCACCATTGGCAAGTCCTATAAAGATACATCTTCCAAAAGATATATCATCGACACTACGGTCCTGAGCCCATTTGTAATCAATAATACCGAATGGATATCGATAAAATTACACGGTCAATCATTTATGTTGCACCAAATTCGTAAAATGATATGTATGGCGACATTAGCCATTCGATGCGATTTACCACTGGATATGATTGCCGATTGTTTCCAACCAACCAAGATCAATATCCCCAAGGCACCAGCATTGGGGTTGTTGTTGGAAAACCCCGTTTTTGACGCTTACAACTTCAAATTACGTGATCATGCTTATGATGCGATTGATTTTGACAAGTTCAAAAACGAGATGCTTGACTTTAAAATGAAGTTTATTTATGATAAGATTTATGATGAGGAGGTTAAAGAGAATGTGTATTATGGGTTTTTTGGGTATATTGATAGTTATCGTGTTCCTAGCACTGAGATTGAAGAAGGCGACGATGGTACAGCAGCAAAGAACAATGGCAGTGCTACTGGCAATGGTTCGGTTACAATTTTCGACTTTTTGCACAACTATATCGACAAAGCAGCCAAAGAAGAACCAAAAGGAGAAGTAATATAGATGATGATGATGATGATACTTGCAATAGACAATCATAGTAACAAAATTTTTACCCTATTTATATATATGTATATGTACGAGTATTCTATCAATTGAACAACAAAAAGTTTCTGTTTCACGCCCTTTTATTATACATTTTTGGTGACGAAAGTGTAGTTTAGAAAGAATGGAAAAAAATCTAAACAGCCAAACAGTAGCAACGACTAAAGTCAATCTGAAAAACATTATCTAGTAGAGGAAACAGTCTGGCTTCATTTGTTGAAATGCACCACCCATTCCGATTCACGTCATCTGTTTATGAAGAGCAGCCTTTATAGAGCAGACCTAATTGTAGCAAGATATATTGCTACCAAACCGTAAAGCTGATGCACCCCACAAATAAATTGACGCCAACAAACAATCTTTAGCTTTATGCAAAACCGCAACGTACTCGAAACGCTGCTCCCTGTCAGGTACTAAAAGCGTATCTGAGAGTGCTCACCCTCTTTTTTTTCCATCTCAAAGCCATGCTGGATTACCAGTATTTGCTTGTGGTTGTGGTGGTGGTACTTTTTGGGAGCTGGCATGGTAGTTTTGGTTTGGAGTGTACATTGCCTTTTGGTTTTGATACCGAGGGTCAGCAAAATGTTTTTGTTGTTGTTGAGAGTCTTGAAGTTGTTGTTGCTGCTGCTGCTGTTGTTGTTGTTGTTGTTGTTGTTGTTGCTGATCTTGTGCATCTTGTTGTTGTTGTTGCTGTTGTTGATGTTGACTCTGTTGGTTCTGATTTTGTTGTTGTTGTTGATCGTTATTCTCTTGATTATTATTATTGTTATTATCTCCATCGGTCACTTTGCCTTGAGCTCTTTGTTTTTCCAATTGAAACTTGTACAACGTCCAATCAAAAACATAATCATATCGATAATTTTCCTTCTTGAATAAATCTCTAAATAATTTTCTCAAATAAGCATAATCTGGTTTATCGTCAAATCTTAGGGTTTTAATATAATTCATATAATCCAAAAACTCACTTGGTAATCCTTTACACAAGATATTGTTGGGTGTAGTCATCTTCTTTTCCATGATACGATCATATTTTTGTCTCTTTGTAGCAGCTTTTAAACCTTGCCAAGGTAATGAACCACGACAAAAGTAAATCAAAACATAACCCAAACTCTCTAAATCATCTCTTCTACTTTGTTCAATACCCAAATGAGTATTGACACTAGCATATCTTGCAGTACCAGTTAAATTCTTATTTTCACGATACGGGATATGTAAATGAGTTCTTGGATCACGATATTTTTTGGCCAATCCAAAATCAATAACATTAACTTGTGAACCTCTTCTTCCAATACCCATTAGAAAGTTATCCGGCTTGATATCACGATGAATAAAACATCTAGCGTGTATATATTCAATACGACAAATTAATTGATCAGCCAATAGCAAAACAGTCTTGTAAGTAAATTTTCGATTACAATAATTGAATAAATCCTCCAAAGAAGGACCTAACAAGTCAATAACCATGGCATTATAGTCACATTCAGTACCATACCATCTAACAAATGGTATACCAACACCCCCACTCAATGCCTTGTATACTTTTGCCTCATATTCCAATTGAGGATGCTTAGCTTTAGTGTTTTCCAACTTGATGGCAACTTCTTCACCAGATATGATGTTGGTGCCAAGATAAATGTCACCAAATGAGCCTGATCCAATTTTACGACCAATGCGATATTTCTTGCCCACTCTTAAATCCATGGTTGTAATGTAGTTGATCTATGTATATGTATATATATGTGTGTGTGTGTGTGTGTGTGTGTTTAAGAAATGTGTGGAATCTGTGAATGATGGTAATGAAGATGATGCTTTTGGTGTGGTACAAACTGGTTGTAAAAAGTTTATCAAAATGATTGGGGAATGTGGTGGTGATGACGATAAGGGCGGATTTTCGTTTGATGATTTTTCTTTTTTTCTGTCTCTCTTTCTTTAAGATGTGACAACCAAAAAAAAAAAAAAAAAAAAACAACAAAAGCAAAATGAAGTAAACTTAAATCAAAACACAACTCGATGTATAAGGGATGTGTGTGTGTGTGTATGTAGTTATGTGTGTATCTTGAAATCACGATGGAGACTTATGTGAAAGTCCAGTGAGTAAGTGGGTGATGTCGAAAATACAATAAATGGCTGATTGTAAAAAGTTGTGGTTTTGGTTGTCAAAAAAAAAAAATAAAAAAAAAAAGAAAAATGGAGTGGAACATGAATTGAGTGTGTTAGTGTTAGTGTGTTAGTGTTTGTTGGTGTGTATTGTTTCCAAAAAATTTTCCTTCTTTTTTCTCTTTTTGCTGTCACTAACATAACACAACACACCACATCAATCACACTATCACTGCTATCGGTGTCAGGAGCAATAATCAACTATAAAATATTTTGAAAATTATCACGTGCAATTCGGATATATACTTGCGAAAAGAATCAAATAGTGAAAAAACCCCATTATCATACTTTATACCACCACAATATACTGAAATCAACATTGTATTTTATTCATTAATTATTAATCACAGAGTAATGGAGTAGTATAGAAAGAATACACTTGGTGCAAGAATAGTTACATCAAAAAGTTATCAATTAATATAACAAAGAAAAAAAAACCACAACCACCGTAAACAAGGGACAACAAATTAGCATAAGCGCGGTTCGTGGCATTCAGTGCTTGAATAAAAGCCGTCCTTTGCCAATCAGTTACTTGTATAGCTTACTTGGCAATGACTGGTTTCTTAAATTTAGCATAAAATCTCTTAAAGAAATCAGCCTTCTTATGTTGAGTTGGTGATGAAGTCGATTGTTTAGCTTCTTCAGTAGCAACTGGCTCTGATTGTTTGACTTCATTAGCATTAGCATTGGCTTCAGTAACTTCTGGTGCTGCTGCTGCTGCTGCAGTAGTCGTTGTTGCTTCTCCAGTTGGTTCGGCTGCCGTGGCTTTGGTAGCTTCACCACTTGCAGCAGCTCCAGAACTACCATCGCCCAAATCAATTGGTGTTCCTTCAGTAACTTCAATATTAGCAGCATCGGTGGCAGTCACAGGTGCAACAGTGGTGGTGTCTTTAACGTGGCTAGTCTCTTCAATTGGAGTTTGAGTCACTTGAGCAACTTCTGGTGCATCTTTAACCGCTGAGTTTGTGCCAGTTGCATCGGCATATGCAGTGATACCATCTTCGTTAGTGGATTTAACAACTGGTTCAGTTACTGCTGCTTTTTCTTCTGAAGCCAATTGAGCTTCAGTTTCAGTTTCAGCTTCAGCTTGTGGTTGAGCCTGTGGTTCAGCAGCAGCGACAATGTCATCAGTAGTTGTAGTGGTGGCTGGAGCCTCTCCCTCAGCATTATTATCGGTTGTGGTAGTGGTAGTGGTAGCACCAGTTTCTGTCTTGTGAGCCTTAGCTTCTTTTGAGTCTGGGCTAAACACTCTTGAAATTCTCTTTACTTTATCTTTAATAGCCATTGTGCGGTTAGCCCTATAGTATCTAAGTAGTAGTAGTAGTAGTAGTAGTAGTAGTAGTAGTGTGAATAGTTTATCTCTCTTGATAGATCCACAATCAAATTGAAAAGAAGGATAAAAATGTGTATAACGTGGTTTTAAATTAAAAAAAAAAAAAAAAAAGAGAAGAAAAAGAGAAAAGAAAATTTGTTGATAGTTGCAGTTTTTGATGATGGGAGAGACTAATGTTTATACGTATACATCTACGTATTCAATAACGTAGTACGAATGTGTAAACATTTTAGACGCTTAAAAAAGTAAAGGCATGAAAAGGGAACTTTGGTGTTATTATTTTTTTTTAGGAAACTTAAGGTGCTTATTTCTTTTTTGTGTATGTTTATTACTTTTTGTGGTAACTAGTCTGCTACACTACTAAATAACAATAATAAATAACTAACTATTTAATGTCGAAAGGGGAGAGAAAGCACTTACTTTATAGGGCACCGCCACTCACATTTATTATCTTAGTAGCACCGTGTTAATTTCGTCGTCATCCCTCTCTCTCTCTCTCTCTGTTGTCGTCTACATCATTGCTCCTCTTTGTGATTCCAACCAGAACAATGGTTAGTTGTGCATGGCGTGTAAAAAAAAACTGTGTGAATACACACACACACACATGTATCAGATGTATATAAACGCTAATCTTTGTACTTTATATTTTCTATTGTTGTATATGTGTATAGACCACAGCCTTAGTCTTGTCTTTCGTCTCCTTCGAAACGGAGAATTACCGGATATAAGCGCCAATTCACTTCCTATGCAAAGGAATCAAGGAGGGTAATTTAGCGTCACTTCTTTTCAAATTTTAATTTTAATTCGGAGCATTATAATTCACGTGTCATTATTTAATAGTATATCTAGAGACGAAAAGTCAGTGCTATCTATGGCAAAGGTCATGCAAAAAGAAAAAAGAAAACATCAATCAAGCTTTACTTTTCCTCTGCTGTGCTAACTGTTGTGGGTTTTATTGTTATTATCTTCCTCGGCCTCGTTATGTAAAGAGGGAATTAGAATTAAAAAATTTTCTCGGGATATAACAACACAGATATAAATAAACACACAGCATAGACGCATCTATTGTCTAGACTTCAACTCCTCTTGTGGATTTTTCGTCATTTACCTTAGTGTCCTCTGCATAGTGCAAAGTGATCCCTTAATCTGTGTAAGAATGTCACTGTAGAAAACTCAGATTGCTCGGTACTTTCTGTATTGCCGAGTATATCGATAGAACGGCTGACTATTCATTCCTTCTTGGTTCTAATTTTTTTTTTTGTATTTTGACGACGAGCAGCTCTTTATGTGTGTGTTTGTATGGTTATATAATAATAGTTGACTAACAAGCACAAAACCTAATTGAATACAATTGAAGTGTGGCATAATTGGAATACGCAAAGACAGATTGGGTCATACGACGCTAAAGAGCTCAAAATACACACAATACAAACAACAATAACTTGGTGTGTTAAACAGACACGTCTTACGGAATATGTAAACACAATACGTTTTATTTTCGTGTAATTATTGAGACAGGTACATAGAAAGATCTAGAACACACAACTAAAAGAAAAGACTGATGTTTCATAAGGTGTGGGTTCGAGGAGGAAGCAACACGATACACAGCCGTACTCTACTCCTGCTTGCTCCTGAACAAAGCAACCCTTATGTATTACAGAAATTACCAGTAAGGCAAGTCATCTCTTATCTAAATCACAAACTTAGTCTGATCAAAAGTGTTTACAGAGAGGGAGTATAATTGATTTGCATGTGATATTTTCTTTCATGTTCATCAACCACTTGTAAATGAATGAAGCATTCACTATAATTCGTAGCCATGATTTTGGCAGACCCAAAAACAACGTCTCGTAAATGAGATTGAGAACTGCGAGTTGATTTGATGGGTTTCGCAATCTGGAGGAAGGGAGTATAATCGCCAATTTGCATGAGTTTTCTCGAATTCTCTCGATTTTATTGCAAAAATAGTAACAGAAAATCTTTGTACCAAGATAAGCTCCATATATGCAACTCTTCACAGAAGACTAAAACAACAGTTTATGGCCCCCCCTTCCCCAATACAGGATAAATATCTTCATATCCTTCTGTTACAAAGAAGTTGCAAGAACGACTCTAGATCCTGATAAACTAGTTTACGCGCGTGCGTGTACTTGCCACCAAAATGATAACAAAAATAAAAAAAAAAGGGTTACAAATAACATACTGCACACTGAAAGACTGAGAGTTCATCTAAGGTGGGTATACAATTGTCATTACATCATAGCGTGTAATCACTAGTATCGTCATTCAAAAGACTATTCTGGAGTTCCTGTGTCGTTGAATAATAAGTCACCCCCATGCTTATGGACTCCGAAACAATGCCGTTAAATCCAATCACAAACAATCATCAACATAGAACCCACAATAGCAATCTGCAATCATCTAATGAGTTTAAAGTTTCCAAGCCAAAAACAACAGACAAGCGTAAGAGCTACAAGTATGGTCAGTATCCCAATAGGAAACGTATAAATGAGCATACATCACCGACACCAATAAGGAGTCTAAGTGGTGACAATGAGAAAGAAAATTATATGACAAATGGCACATCGTTACATTATACAACCATTTTGACTACCCCTACCAGTAAAAGAGCTACTCATAAATCCCCAGCTTCAGATTCGCCCTTATCCAACCACAAGTTGTCATCATCATCACCATTTGTTGAATCGCCAGCGGAAACTAACAAATCAAACATAAAACAACACCATCACCACCACTACCAAAGCCCGTCACTCTCAACAACACTCTCACCACATGATGAACCACACCCTGGGATACCTGATTGCAAATTTGATGATTTTGAAATTGGTAGAATATTAGGGAAAGGTAAACTAGGTAAAGTATATTGTGCCAAACACAAACCGTCAGGGTATCTCATTGCCCTCAAAGTTATGTCCAAAAAAGAATTATCATCAATGAAGCTTGAACGTAATTTTCGTCGTGAAATTGAAATACAATCATCTTTATACCACGTCAACATTACTCATTTACATACTTGGTTCCATGATGATACCAATGTTTACTTGGTTCTTGAATTTAGCTTGTATGGGGAACTTTATCAAGAGTTGCGAAAATCGAAACGATTTGATAATGTTAAGGCTAGTTACTATATTTATCAAGTGACATTGGCATTACGGTATTTGCATAACAAACGAATCATTCATCGCGATTTGAAGCCGGAGAATATCATGTTGAGTTTGGATAATATTGTCAAACTAAGTGATTTTGGTTGGTCAGTTTACATGAAACAACAAGAAAATGATAGAGAAGAAAACATCGTTGGTGGTGTTGATGCCAATGGTGTTGCTGCTGCTGCTGCTGCTGCTGCTGCTGCTGACGATGATGATGATGATGACTATCTTAACCATATAAGCCACTTGCAAGATCCACAACCCACAACCACACACACCCCTTCCAATAGAAGAAACACGATTTGTGGCACTATGGACTACTTGCCACCAGAAATGATTGAACAGAAACCTCATGATAAAACAGTAGACATATGGGCATTGGGGGTTTTGATTTATGAGTTTCTTGTTGGTAAACCACCATTTGAGGAAATTGATAAAAATGCAACTTATAAGCGTATAGTTAAAGTGGATTTACGATTTCCGAAATACTTGCCGCCTCCCAGTGGCGGTAATGGTGGTGTTAACGACAAAGCAAATATAGGCAGAAGATCAACTATCAATAATGCCAGTGCTGCTGCTGCCAGTGCTATTGCTTCATCGGCTACAGGGATGGATCTAGATGCTATTGATTTGATAAGGCGACTATTGCGTTATGATCCTAGTGAGCGGTTGAAGTTGGATGATGTTTTGCGCCATCCTTGGATTGTAAAGCATAAACCATATTGGCCAGTAAAGAGTAAATCGAAGTGACTTTTTGTAGTTGTATAGAGATTGATGCAAGGCAAGCTTCACACGTCAAAATATTGAATTGTCACATCTTTTACAAATACAGACTGATTATTATTAAAAATAGTACATCTACAGCAGTTGTTGTTGCTGTTGCTGTTGTTGCTGTTGTTGTTGCTGCTGCTGCTGTTGTTGTTGCTGTTGCTGTTGCTGCCTCTGACGCATTTGCATCTGCATCTGCTGTTGCCTCTGCTTCATCAACATTTGCTGCTGAGCCTGTTGTTGTTGCTGATACTTGAGAAACTGTTGTTGGAAAGCTTGTTGTTGTAAATTGTTATGTTGCGCCGTCATCAAAATTGCCTTCGATGGAGCTCTAACTTGATACATTTCACCAGGGATAGCACTAAACAGTTGCGTTTGCGAATCCAGTTGTGGATTTGGTGGAGCATCAACGTTAATCAATGCACAACGTCCTTGTAATCCGCCAATGGATCCAGAAATGGCTTGATTGGCTAGAGTTTGTTCCCCTCCCCCACCTTGATGCTGTTGTTGCTGGTGCTGTTGCTGTTGTTGCTGTTGTTGCTGCTGTTGTGAGTGTTGTGCTGATATGATCAATGCATTTGCATAAAATTCTCTTGCCTGCAAGAACCGATGACGATAACGCACCGGCATCATAATCTTTCTCTCCAACGGGATTGGATTATTCTTTGACAAACCCTCCAACACCAAATGAGTCTCTTCATCAGGATCCAACACTTTGTTTGCTCTGTTCAACATCAGATCAGCACCTTCGCCATGGAACGCAGCTGCTTCTCTTCGTTGTGCGGCAAGAGCATGATTTTGGGCAATTTTTGCTTGATTCCGCTTCTGATATTGTTGTAACAAGACATCGTATGGTTGAGTTCGTCCAAGAACAGCACGCTTAGCTCCCATGGAGTGCGTTTTACAAGTCAATGAACGAGCACAGAGCCCACCGGAAGCTAAAGCGACACCACACTGTTTGTCAACATCAACTGGCCCTTTCGCCTTTGCCACTGCTTTAGTTCTTTGACCTTGCTGTCCTCCTGTTTGAGATGATGATGGTGGTGCTGGTGTCGCTGCTGCTGCTGGAGGCGTCAGCTGTGCACCACCTTCCTGCTGTCGCCTGCCCGTAGCACCGGTTCCAGCAGTTGTGTTTTTCTTTCGTTTTACTGGTTTTTCGACAGGTACACCGGATTGCGAGGCAGCAGCTGCCGCAGCATTGGCTGCTTCTTTTGCCTTTTGGGCTTGTGATTTCTTGTATTTCTTTTTGGGTCTTGACGAAGCACCATTACTATTGCTACTCATATCGCCATCAAAGTTTTCGGCTGCACTATTTGGTGCTGGTGTATTGTTTCTTGTGCTATCGACAGATGACGAGTATTCCACTTCACTTAATACTCCATTCTTTCTCTTGCGTTTATTGACTCCCAATGCGGCATTTCCGTTACTGTTGTTATTGGCGGCCAATTCAGCTTGTTCTTGTTGTCTCTTCTGTTTCATTTCAACACACTTTTGATAATGCAGGTTTAAACTTGGTAATCCGATTGGTCGTTGACACGAGTTGCAGATCTTGTAAGCGATCGATTGAGATAAGTATGATCTTCCGGGGAAGGCGTTTTTGATGAAATAGTTTTCGTTAAGCGATGATTCTGTTGGTCTGATTATATCCACTTTCTTGTCTAGGTAGTTACCAAGATCTTTCCAAGTTGTTGATTTTTGATTGTCGCTGGTGTTGTCAATGTGTTTAGTATTGATGTCGTCGATTAATGAGTTTACTTGTGATAAGGTGATGACTTGGTCTGCTCTGGTTGTCATTCTTGGCTCTGGCTGAGGGGAGGGATGTGTAAGATCTGTTGAGTGTCAAATATATTCCGATGGAGAATAGGATAGGTAGGCAGGTGTAATATATTTGATCTCTGAATTGAACTAGAACTAAGTGGTTGGAGCGGTAGTGTTTTGTGTATGATAGTGTCCACACCTAAATGAAATGAAATGCGAATCCCTTCGCAATGTATATGTACACAGGTTGTTATCAATCACAAGTATGTAACTGAGGAAACAAAACTCAACTTTTTGCTATCAAAACAAACTTTGTTCCTTTTAGATTGATTGATTGATTGATTGATTGAATAAATCTGGATAGGACTCTAAAGAACTTTTTTTTTTTTTTGTTTTTATCGGAATAAGAAAATTCGGCTGTTCCTTTTTTTTTTCTTTTTTTATTTTTCTAATTTTTTGCTCTTTCACACTCCTCTTGGGCAGTGGATACCTTTTTGGCTGGCTCTTTAGTGTTAGGCATACACATTTTATTTTCTTTCTACCAACGAACCACATCTCATTATGCTTAGAAGGGAAGCTACCTCTATCAAACTATCTGCTGAGGATGTGTTGGACTACGATGAAGCATTAGAGGAGAAACGTTTACAGCAACAACAAGAGAAACAGCTACAGCAACAACAGCAGCAGCAGCAGCAGCAACAACAACAACAACAACAGCAACAGCACCCTACGAATCTGAATGAATCAACCATAATCAATCAACCTACCCACCCTGCATCTGACTTTAATTCATCAAATATATTACAAGAACAGTTGAATAATACAGACGAGTCGTTGCGAGAGTCTCGAACAAGGTCCAAAAATGATAGAATCTTATAAGATTGGTGTCTGTTACGCTATTGATTCTATATTGGTTCACTTGATGCGTATTCCCCGAGCAAAATGGTGTTCTTGCAGAAGCTCATAAGAGCGGGGTCAACCAGTTACACTAATTATGTTGAAAACCAGCTTTTGCTCGTAAAAGTGGGTCACTTGCTGGTTCGAATTTCCCACAAACACATGGGTCATGGGTAAATATACCCAAAGCTATTCTAGTCTTTATTACTTCAAGTCATTATTTGGTAATTATTTGTATGCTTCGTTTTAAACCAATCTGATTCTTGTCTTTAGTAATGTGTATGAATAGATGTAACACAAAGAGGCGAAATCTCCTCCACTGTTTGATGTGCAATGAGATGAAAATTGTAAATTTTTTTTCTTCACCAAATACATTGCAACCATTTGGCCCCATTCTTCAGGCAATTATCTATAACCACGTACCCAATCAATGAGTTCTGGGAGTCTTATTTTGAGCATATGTGCTTCTTTGTACCTTTACAATGGTGGAAGATGGACAATAGTACTATCAGCATTTGTGTTGTCTTATTTGTACAAACTTGAAAGGAAATCAACAACAGTGACACCTCCCCCAATTACAGAAAGTGTTCTAGAGGACAGCTCACAGTCACCAATATATGCCGTGGACTTCACTTCGACTACATTTACACCATCAGCAACGACAAACATCCCCAAAACCGTGCGTCTGCGGGCGAAAAGATCACCCAAGATCATCAAGGCTAGCAAACCAACACCACCACAACAATCAAATGAGCCCATCTTGACAAAGTCGCAAGTGGATCTTAAAAAGTCACAGATTTACATTTTCTATACTACTTTAACCGGCTCATCCTTGAGGTTAGCCAAAAACTTGTACGATAAGTTATCACAAATGGAGCTTTCGCATGAGCCAAAGCTTCTCAGTCTCGATGACGATGTTGACGATCTTGAGAAATACTTTTTAAAGACTCCAAAAGATGACGATAATACAAAGAGTATATATCTTTTGGTGTTACCCTCATATGAAACAGACTCCCCTATAGATTATTTTTTGGAACATTTGATTGATACTTACCAAGATTTCAGAGTTGACAAGTACCCCTTGAGATCCATTTTAGGGTTTGCCGTATTGGGAACGGGAGATTCTGAAAGCTGGCTGGGTGACAAATTCTGCTATCAAGCTAAATTAGCTGACAAGTGGTTGGGCAAATTGGGTGGTAGGAGATTGTATCCTTTGGGAGAGGTATGTATGAAATACGAGGGCGAGCCAAAAGCAAAAGAATGGATTCAAAATTTTGCTGAGCTATTGGTGGACGAGGAGCCATTTTACATCGACGAGAATAATGATGACGAGTTTGATGATAGTGATAAAGAGGACAACAGTGATGATGCAAACACATTAGTTGATGTGGAGGATATGGGAGATATAATACGCAAGACTGGCCAAAGATCCACGCAGCAAATGGAAGTGAAACAAATGGTTGCCAAGGGCTCACCAACATTCAAAACTCTCACGAAACAGGGGTATACCATTGTTGGCTCACACTCAGGTGTCAAGATTTGCAGATGGACAAAGTCAGCATTAAGGGGAAGAGGATCATGCTACAAGTTTGCATTTTATGGAATCAAATCACATTTGTGTATGGAAACAACTCCATCCTTGGCGTGCTCCAACAAGTGCGTCTTTTGCTGGAGACATGGAACTAATCCTGTAGCAAAACTGAATTGGAGATGGGAGTTGGATCCACCAGAAAAAGTGATGGAAGGTGCATTACAAGGACATTATCAAAAGATAAAGCAAATGAGAGGTGTTCCCGGCATCCAAATGGACAGATTTCAAGAAGCTTTCAAGGTGAAGCATTGTGCATTGTCGCTTGTTGGTGAACCAATTTTCTATCCCCATATCAATGAATTTGTTGGCATGTTGCACCAGCAACACATTAGTTCGTTTTTGGTTTGCAATGCTCAACATCCGGACAACTTGGCTAAGTTGTCAAAGGTTACTCAGTTGTACGTAAGTATTGATGCACCAACAAAGACTGATTTGAAAAAAGTCGATCGTCCATTGAATAGTGACTTTTGGGAACGATTAATGTCTTGTTTGGATATATTGAGAACAACGCAATCCCATCAACGTACAGTTTTCAGATTGACGTTGGTGAAAGGTTTCAATATGACTGATATCAAGAGTTATGCCGACATGGTTGAACGTGCCTTACCATCTCAAATTGAAATCAAAGGAGCCACATTCTGCGGTTCATCAAATGGTAATGGAAACCCATTGACTATGCAAAACATTCCATTTTATGAAGAGTGTAAGGAGTTTGTCAGGTCATTAAGTGATGAGTTGCGTGCTAGAAATCTTGGATATGATATTGCTGCAGAACACGCTCATTCATGTTGTATCTTGGTGGCACACGAGAAGTTCAAAATCAATGGCGTATGGCATACACATATTGATTACCCCAAGTTTTTTGAGTTGTTGGAATCAGGCAAGGACTTTGTTGATATTGATTACGTCAAGCCAACTCCAGAATGGGCAGTTTGGGGTTCAGAAGAGGCAGGGTTCAACCCAGTAGACACCAGATGGGATAGAAAAGCCGAAAAGTTGAAGAACAAGTTAGCTAGAGAGGAGGAAGCTAAAAGGAAGGAGCAAATACCAATGGAAGTGATATAGTTGTATACACACGCGTTAAAGACTAAAGTCGAAAAAAAAAAAATTGATTTCGTAAACAGTTTGACATCTCAAATCTCGAATCTGGACTCTTTTGTACATCAACTACACCATGTCGTCGAAAAAGCCAGGAGGTATTGCATTCATACATCCGGATTTGGGAATTGGCGGTGCTGAAAGGCTAGTGGTTGATGCGGCAATGGGTTTACAAAACTTGGGCAACCAAGTGGTCATTTATACATCACATTGCGATCTTAACCATTGTTTTGATGAAGTGAGTTCTGGTCAATTAAAAGTAATTGTTTATGGTGATTTTCTACCCACACAGTTTTACAAGAAATTTCACATATTATTCGCCATCCTTCGTCAATTGTATTTAACGCTTGTGTTGATTATTTCGGGAGACATAAAGAACTATGATTTTTTCATTGTTGATCAATTATCCTTTTGCATCCCACTTTTAAATTTATTCAGTCTTGCAACAACCAGAGTCCTTTTTTACTGTCATTTCCCTGATCAATTACTAACGAAAAGGGCCAGTTTCTTAAAGAGTCTTTATCGGGTGCCGTTTGATTTCATTGAAGAATGGACTACAGGATGCAGTGATCAAATTGTCGTTAATTCAAACTTCACCAAGGGAATATTTCACAACACATTCAAGAACCTACGCGATATAGACCCCGGCGTCATTTACCCGTGTATCGACAGAAACATTGAGGAGACCGAGGAAACACGCAAATCAAATGAAGAAGTTGTCAATTTCTTCAAAAATTCCAAGTTTTTCTTGTCCATCAATAGGTTCGAAAGGTCAAAGAATATAGAACTTGCCATTAAGGCCTTTGCAAAACTGAAACGAATTCTTCCCGGGAAACCAAGATTGGTCATTGCAGGAGGATACGACGCTAGAGTGCTTGAAAATGTGGAATACTTGAAAGAGTTGGCCAAACTTTGTGATGATTTAAAGTTGACGAATTTTACCATACGAGGGAAGCTTCTTGTCATGCCACCATCGACTGAAGTTTTGTTTCTACCAAGTGTTAAAACGTCGCTTAAAACATCGCTTTTGAAATATGCCGAACTTCTCTTGTATACTCCAGGAAGAGAACACTTTGGTATTGTTCCTGTTGAGAGTATGCTTTACAAAACACCGGTATTGGCAATCAACTTTGGAGGACCATTAGAGACCGTGGTCAATTACGATGGAACCAATATTGACGAAGCGACTGGGTTCACCATTCCCGGGGATCACGACAAATGGGCTAAAACCATCACGAAATATTACAATGAAACCGGAGATGACATCAAACGGAAATTGGGAGAGAATGGATACAGTCGAGCTATAGAGAAGTTTTCTCGAGATCAAACCAGCTATGAATTTGTAAAGAATTTGGAGTATGCAGCAAGAAGCAAGAAAAGAGTTCTTGTCCCTCATTGGATACTTTCATTAGTGCCTGTTGTTGTTGTAACTATAGCTTATGTTCTATTCAGAGCTGTTTATTAAAAAGAGGGAAACTTTAGCAAAAAATATAGCGATATAGGCTAACTATAGAATGACAGGCACACAATATCTCCATGGGTTTGTAGTGCCGGATAAATCTTAACCTACAGTTTCCGTTTCCATACCCATCTCTGCAGTTGACTTAGCATGGTTGATTTCCTGAATTCCGATAATTGGTCTGCTGTTAAAAAGGTAGAATCAAGTCTTCCTATACACCCGGCAAGGAAACTAATAAAATTTACGGGCTGATCGTCATATTCAATGATTCCATGCTCTTGTAACCCCTGCGAACTATCACTGGTTACAATGTAGCCCATCAAATTTCTAAGTACACGATCTTGTGAAATGCTTTGTTTTTCAAGGTCCTCTTTAACATGGAGAAGTTTGTATTCAAGAGGACCAAAATGTGAGATGTATAGGTCTAGACGCAACTTGACATCATTATCATCGTGGGTTGCCTTTCATTCGAGCAAATGAAAAAAGTTGGAGTATGGTCAAAACCAATTCCAGTTTCGACATCAAACATGTTGAGACAAAAATTATCTATATCCTCATTGCAAAAAATTGTACTTTTCCACTGTGGTATTAACTAAGTCGTGTTTCCAACATTTGAGGTAAACTTTTAAATTTCTTTCTGTATGCTTCCCTTTTGTTTCATCCTCAATCGGGTCATCGGAAATTTCTATCAACTTCGACATTGAAACTATTTCCACAAATCTCCTACAACGAAGAACCTTTCTCGAATTCTCGCCTGCAAATATGTACACATCTCTTATGAAGGAGCTGTATGGGGTTGAGGTATTAATCTGACATTCTTCTCCACCAATATAGCAAAAATCAGCCGCTGGCATCGATTTCTGAAAAATGTAACTATCTCATTGTTATCAACGTTGTAAATCTTTTTCAAAAGCTCTATCACTCTTTTTTTCTTATTTTCTTTCAACATAGAGGGTACATAAGCCTTTTCTGGCACTTGTTTGTGTAAGTCCAGAAACTTTTGAGGTACAGAGACTTTGGTTTGGTGGTGGATAGTTTTTGCAGTTTCCACAGGTGGTATGATTCACAACTCTTCGAGTAGAAATGAAACGTCGCTGGAGTTCAAATTAAAAACCATACTTGCCTTTAGAGCTTTGTTAGTGTGCACTAGATTGTAAGCCTAACTTTTGGTTTCAAGTGTTCAAAGTTAAATGACGGCATAGTTTCTAAACTTTTGATATGCTGCAAAATCGAGCTTTGTGTCACCCAAGTCTATTCTCAGCTGCGATCGAAGAAAAAAAAGGAAAGCACAACGGAGACCACATATATGAAGATCCCATCAAGGGCACGAAAAACTTCTAAATTGTCTGCTCTCTTTAAGAAGGTATCTATCGCAGATTTACCTTACGAGGCTCTAGACATTGTCTTTGGCAATATAAATCAACACCAGGCTTTGGCTTTAGCCTCATTACATTCAAAACTGCAATATTTGATGAAAAAAAGCTTTATCAAAACATATATATATATATAGGATCGGCTGTGGAGCAAATACAAGGAAAGGACGCAATTTCAGATACTCCGGAAACATAAACAACCTAGAAGGCTATCGCTATACATTGATATAATCAGAAACATTTGAATGGTACCTAGTGAAAATGGATGGACAACAGGAAGTTGCGAATTTTGTGCACGTTGACCACTTTGTGGTCTTGATCGATTGCTTCTTTCGACATTTTACACATGTAAAAAACTTTGAACTGGCCCCAGATTATACAGATAGATGGATGAAATATATGGACTTTTGGGATTTCTATGTATGTTTCAAAAATGATTACTTGAAAAACTCAGTTTTCAATACAGTACATGCTTCCTATTATTTCAATAGAGGAGTTTTTCTGGAACTTGATGAAGGGATAACAAAGTTGGTGATAACTCGACTTAGAGATCCACAAACCGTGAAAATAATTAGCACGTTGCCAAATCTAACGACTTTATATCTCCACGACTCGGACTACTAAAAAGAGTCTTTTTGTTTCGGCACTGATATCAGATTCGAAAATTATACTTGTCTGGTTCCGATTCCCCACTGGACAGTTTTACCATCAGCAAGCTTTTCGATACCTCAAAACTCAAAGAATTGTACATTCAAATTTATTTAGGCCAGTATATTAAAGGATTGCTCTCTGCCCAACACTTGGATACCCAGTACCCGAACTTAGTTCAGCTTGGTATAGACCTAAAGTCTTATTATTTCAATCAGCTTCTGATACTTTTTAATAAACAGGTCCATTACTAGCTTCAGCTGATAATATTAGTCCATCCTAGAGATGATTGGAACGAGTGTATACCCCGTTTGTGCGATCTGTTTCCTAATGCAAGCATCAACTGGTGACACTAGTTGAAGTGTAAACCTAGTTGTACCAATTTCCTAGAAACGGCTACTGGGTTCAGCCCACATTTACCCCCTCGAGTTGGGGGGTATCACCATTAAGATGATGATGCACAGTGGGATTTAAAAAGAAAGTCTTTATGTGAGCTCGATGGAGACAAAATGGTAAGCCTTGAGTTTCAAAAGTATTATTCAAATTCAGAATTGAAAATGCTATCTTGTGATCACTTAGATCTTCCAAAAGCCCCTACTTTGCTGACTGTTTGCTTTAAGTGGTAATAGAAATCACATTTGATTTTAACTACAAGTCTTGAAAAATAATCACAAACTCACGTAGGGCGTATAGTATCTGACGAAACACGATATCATGTACTATTTTTCTGCTCTTCAAAAAAAAAAAAGGAGAAACTGTTACAAACGATGCCTCCAATATCTTTATTCATAAGCAAAAGCCCACAGACTCAATATCTGATAATTTTCATGTCTTTCTATTTGGCCATTTTGAATACATCTTTGATTGCTTTCCACAAATTCAAGCTCGTATCAACATTCTTATTCTCGTGAATTTCAGGTGATCCTTTCAATTTCAACGCATTGAAATATTTCAGGGGTCCACCACCGGGATTATCAACCAATTTGGATTTCCATCCTCCTTTATGCACCTTGAACCATTTTTCAATCAATGTGGGAAACTTGTCCAAAGTCCGCCAGTAAGACTCGTTTACCTCTTTGTCCTTATCCAATTTCAACTTGTGACCACTGACACTGGGGCATTGTAAGTTGTAATGTCTGATATCTGTATTCAACGAATCAATTTTTGCCTGAATATAAGCTAGATCAGTCCCCGACAAGCTATTGTCTTCGAATGTGATCTTCTCTATGTTTTTTTCATATTCATCCAATATCTGATCCACTGTGGTGGCCCTCTCGATATATCCCTTCATAGTTGACTCATTAATCACCCACTTAAACCACAACTGATCCAAATCAGCTTTAAATTGTTCAATTGATTTGTTCAAATTTTGCTGATTCTCAATCCAAGGTGGTAACACCTCTTGTTTGTTCAAAATCTGGTTCATAAAGTAATTGCTGTCAGTACAATTCTTCAAATGTTCCAGGGTTAGAGGCTTTCCTCGAACATTATTCATTTCAGGCGAGTTAAATCTTCCTGTTTGTTGATCAATAGCAGCATTGATTCTATTCCCAGCAAGACTATTAACAAAATCAACTGATGAGGCATTAGCAAGCAACATTGAAGGACCCAAAAGTCTTTCTTTGTAAATTTCTCTAAACTTTGCTTTTTCCTTGTCCTCAGGGTTTCTGTTGATCTTATAATCTAAGCTTCCGTCTCTTGCCATTGCAAGCTTATCACCAGCCGAAACCTTTCTTTTCAATTGAAATGTGGCCATTGGGTCATTGATTGGTTTTGGCTTCAGATCTAAAATCATTCTTAGATTAGCATCGTAGTTTGTCTCCTCTCCCAGCCACGGTTTTGCATTGTAGATGTCTCTCGCGTGTTTATTGTGCTTTAGAAGCGGCTCACTTTTTATGTATGATTGTGCATGGTTGAGTTGTTGTTGATCTTTGGTGCCGTAGTCATATTTTGTCAAGAAACTGTTGATTTGAGGGTTCATTTGACGTATTTGGGGAGTCGCCAGACTGCTAGCAATTTTTTCCTCCAATATTTGTTTCATCCTCTCCACTATAGCGAAGTCGACATCGGACTCGAGTTTGGAACCATCAACTTCGTCATCATCATCCTTGGCTGGGTGAGTCTTTGTTGCCTTGAATCTTTTCAAGATCGCCCTTGCTCGAGAAACAAGTATAGTACTTTGATGTAAAGATTTAAGCATCCTCAAATAATAGAGTCAGCGTGGAAACCTAATATATATATCATAGAGAGATATCAACTTCAGAAAGGACAGTTCCAACTGAAAAGCCAAAGTCAGTATTGTAGCCATCTATCGTGCTTCTAATTTTTAGTTCCTGTATATAAACAACAACAAAAACATTCTCTTTTGTTGTGACGTTGTTCACTTCTTTTCAATTCTTCTTTAGTTTCAACAGAATAGAAAAGATTCAGCTCCGTTCTTGATCACCCGCAAAGTACAAGACTTTCTCGATATATAACATGTGGATTTTTGATTGGTGTATGTACTGTGCCAGATCTTTAATGCGTTTATCCCGTACTAACCCCATTTAGTCCAAGACGTATTAGCCTCATTAGGTTTATGGAATAAACATGCCAAGTTGTTATTTCTAGGTTTAGATAACGCTGGTAAAACAACATTATTGCATATGTTGAAAAACGACAGATTGGCCACCTTACAACCAACTTTACACCCGACATCGGAAGAGTTGGCCATTGGCTCCGTTAGATTTACTACATTTGATTTGGGTGGGCATCAGCAAGCACGTAGATTGTGGAAGGACTATTTCCCTGAAGTCAATGGAATTGTATTCCTAGTTGATGCTGCTGATCCCGACAGGTTAGCTGAATCAAAGGCTGAATTGGAATCATTGTTTAGAATTGAAGAGTTGAGTCAAGTGCCATTTGTTATATTGGGTAACAAGATTGATGTTCCAACTGCTTGTGGTGAAATGGAATTGAAGAATGCTTTGGGATTGTACAACACTACAGGTAAGGATACTGGAAAATTACCTGAAGGTACTAGACCAATTGAAGTGTTTATGGTATCTGTTGTTATGAGATCAGGTTACGGTGAAGCATTCAAGTGGTTGTCCCAGTACATTTAAGCTCATAGGTTGGGGGGGGGGGGGGCGGTGTATTCTTGACCTTGCCACTTGTATAGAGCTCAATGTACGTTAATGATCAATAGAGAATCTACCAGACCACCCACAAGCGTTGTGTTTTGGCTAATTGTTGTAGTTTTGCAGTAATATTGCCAATGTCTTAAGAGCAGAGCGCGCAATCAACCCTCCTGACATTTAATTCTTTTTTTGTCTTTTTGTCTTTTCGTCTCATCGCTAAAAGGACATGCAAAAAGTTGATTGCAACTTTAGTACATTCATTTTTCTTCTTACTAATCAACGCTATAACAATGGAGTCTAATAACAAAGTATCGTTACACCCGGAGCAAAAGAAATGGAAGGCTCCAAAGGGGCCGAAGCCAGTTCACCACAAGAACAAAAACCTCATAGGTTTGGGTCGTACCATAGCAAATCAGAGGTCCAAGGAAAATGAAGTTCAATATTTGCCAGATGGGGAGATGAGATTCACCACAGACAAGAAAGATCCCAACTGGGTCAAATTGAGATCAGTTACACAAGAAAATTCTTTGGATGAATTTTTGAGTACAGCACAATTGGCTGATACTGATTTTAGTGCAGAGAGAGGACAGCAAGTTAAAATCATCAAAGTTGGCAACACAAACATAATCAACTCTAATGGATTATTGAGTACGGATGAGATGTTAGCAATGAGGCAGAAACATATGATGTTTGAAAATAAATTGACTATTCCAAGACGTCCAAAGTGGTTCAAACAACAAAGTAAATTAGAAATCGAAAGGCAGGAAAATCTCGCATTTTTAGCATGGAGGAGAGACTTGGCAAGTTTGACGGAAAATAATGATTTGTTATTGACCCCATTCGAAAGGAACTTGGAGGTTTGGAGACAGTTATGGAGAGTGGTGGAGAGATGTGACTTGGTGGTGCAAATTGTTGACGCAAGGAATCCGTTGTTTTTCAGATCTATTGATTTGGAAAAGTATGTTGACGGTTTCAACGAAAATAATGACCCAAATCATCAAAAAAGGAACTTGCTACTTGTCAACAAGGCAGATATGTTGAGTCGTGACCAAAGAGTAGCATGGGCTGACTATTTCAAAGCAAAGAACATCAACTATGTATTCTTCTCTGCAGCCAATGCAAATGCATTGTTGGAAAAGGAGAGAGAGGAAGCAGAACAGATTGAACAGCATATACAGGAAGGCTCTCTGACCAGTGCTGACCAGTTGGTTGATGACTTGGAGACAGATGAGTCTGTGAGAATTTTGAAAATTGAAGAGCTCGAGCAATTGTTTATGGACTCTGCGCCAAACTTTGAGGTGGACCCAGAATTTCCTGATCGTAAATTGCAGATTGGTCTTGTTGGGTACCCCAATGTTGGTAAATCCTCCACAATTAACGCCTTGATTGGATCAAAGAAAGTATCAGTCTCCTCAACACCAGGTAAAACAAAACATTTTCAAACACTCCATCTAACTCCCGATGTTATACTTTGTGATTGCCCTGGTTTAGTGTTTCCTAATTTTGCCTACACCAATGCCGAATTGGTTTGTAATGGTGTTTTGCCAATTGATCAATTACGTGAACATATCCCCCCAACTGCACTAGTGTGTCAAAGGATACCGAAGTTTTTTCTTGAAGCTGTGTATGGTATTCACATACCTATTCAACTGGTTGAAGATGGAGGTAACGGAGAGTACCCAACAGCTAGAGAATTGCTTAATGCTTACGCGAGAGCAAGAGGTTACATGACACAAGGATTTGGGGCTGCTGACGAACCAAGGGCAGCCAGGTACATTCTTAAAGATTATGTTAATGGGAAACTCCTTTATGTGAACCCTCCTCCAGTCCTTGTTAATGGAGAGTGGCAATTGTTGGATTTGCAAAAGAGTAGAGAATTCAATAAGGAGTTGTACACTTTACAACATCTCCCTGAATCAAGACGACAACAGATTGAGCATGCCATGAAGGCGAGAAATATTTCAATTGATCAGTTTGATTTGCAAAAAGATATCTCCAAGTTGAATTTTTCCATGCATATTGGTGGTGGCGAAGAGAGTAGTGGCAGTACAACTGGGGCAAAGACGTTATTTTACGGAGGAAAACAGGCCAAGTTGGAAAGTGCTGGTGATGATTTAGATCAAGAGTTTTTTGCAATGGGTAACGTTGAGGGTAAATTGAATACACCATTCCACAAAAAGACCATCTCATTACCAACTAAGTCTGATAAGAAGCACAACAAGAAAAACAAGAAACAGGAGAAGAAGCATAGATTCGTAGCTAGTTAAAATTTTACAAATCTTTTTACGGTTTTACGGTAATTTTCTCAAATGATTTTTTATATATTACATTTGACACTTGAACAGTGACTACTAGACCCTGATTACCTCTAAGCTTAGTAGATTCTGAAAGATGGACCCATGGTGGATTTGATAACCAATGATCCAACGTTTTGCCAGTTCTTCTTCAACAATGAAACCAAAAAGTTAGCAGCCATCAAGATTTGGTTGACCAAAGCATCTTCATCCATATCAACGTTACCAACAGCAACGGCCAAACACAAGACCTTTTTCAATTGGAACTTGATGGTGGATTTAACATCGGTAACCTTTGAGTACAAATCATCATTGTGGGAAACTGGAGTTGGGAACTTACCAGCCTTTGACAAAGTTGGTCCCAACAATCTTGGGATTTGCTTAATCAAAACTTCAGAAGCAATAAAAGCATTGTACTTCTTGGCCAATTTCTTGATCAATTTCTTGTTCTTGTTCAATTTCTTCAAGTCATCAACAGACATGGCATCAACACCCAATGATTTTGCTCTATCAACATCAAAAGCATCACCAAAGATACAGATGGTCATGTTTGGTCTTGGAACTTGAGGCAATTTCAAAGTACCTGAGAAACGCTTGTCTCTTTGTGGGTCATAGTTTTTCAAACCAACTTGCAATTCAACAGTTTCCAAAAAGTTTCTCTTTTTGGTTTCGTTGGAATGCTCCAACAATTTCTTGACGTTTTCACGAACGTGAGCTGAGGTGATTTTAGACATGCTTGGCTAAAAGGTTACGTCTCCCAAAAGTAAATTGGTAAATTTGATTGATTCGACGTGGATGAAGAAGGGAAAAGAAGTACGACTAGTTTGGATATGACGATGGGGTGGAAAATTTTCAGCACAATACTGCGCAGGTTAGCACAAAGCGGAAGAAAAAGAAAAGAAAAAAGATGCTACCAAATGCGCAAACAAGAGATCAACTTGTCACATGACTATCTGTGACTGTCTAATTTTGTAAACCTTTTGGGAAGTCCACACTACACTTTGCAACAAATGCCAACCTCAATGACCAAAGGTTGAGTGTGGCATTATTGCGAATACTCTACCTACGCAGGGAGCCACACCACCCATTTAATTAAGTTTTCTCTGCGTCGATTGGAAACAAACTCACATTCCACATTGCTCTCTTTCACTTTGTTGACACCTAGCTGTTCCCAAACAGGCACTTTACACCAGAGGTAAGCTTCTCATTAGCTTCCGCCCTTGGTGCCACCTGGGCCCATTGTTCGTGTCTACTTTCAGTGCTACTTTACGAATGTCACAAAACAAAATGATGCCAAAAGCCGCATGAAATTGTTTCCATATCAAAACGCGTATAGGAAAGACACCATTCTAGACCAATGAGCGTGTTAGTCACAAGGCAATTACGGTATAGGAAACTAGCCTTTCATGTACGACTATTCCAAACATCCACATATACCTACTTTGCTCCCTCCATAATTCAGTGCAATACCGATTCTAAATCGATTTCTCACCAACCCCCATACAAACGATTCAATAAATTCAAAAAACTATCCCGGAAAGAAGAAGCTGAACAGCAAAGGATAGCTGCACGTAATAGCCTCCAACATTTGGACTTAAAGTACAATATAATCACGCCAACAACAAAGAAAATCTTGGATGTTGGATTTGCACCAGGTAATTGGATGTCTTATATTGTGGATCGAGTGTGCCAAATACATGATATTGAAGATACCAAGTTACACACAGTTGGAGTACATATCCTTGGCTTTGATATCCTATTCAAAAGCCCACCGTTGGGTACGAGTTCAATTCAAGGAAACATTTTCTCCAAACTAAGTCACGAAAATGTGGTACACCATTTCCAAGAAGTTGCCAATAAGCAAAATCAATCGCAGTTTCAAAATGAAGTTGACAATGACATTGATCACAAGTCGTATTTTGCCCAAGAGATTGATGAATCGCAATTGACAAAAACTATGGACCAATTGACGATATCGGAAGCGTCAAAGTTTTCAAAAGACAATTGGAAGTTGGATTTGATCATTAGTGATTTAGCACGTCCTGGTAGACAACAAAGTGGGTTTTATGATTATACTGAAACAAATCCCTATCTACGATACAACAACAATAAAGGATTGAACCATTCAATTGTCAACCCGCAAAAGGGTAATTTGGTTTTGGCCGATGGAGCAATCATGCTCATGCAGAAAACATTGCAACAAGGTGGCAAGTTCGTCTTGAAATTGACCAGCATAGACAATGGAGATGAAGAAATCGCTATGATGAAGAAAAAGTTACAGATCCTCTTTGACAAAGTACACGAGATAAACCTAATGCGAGATTGTATCTTCATTTGTCTTGATAAAAAAGGTGTATAACCATTGTTTTTGTAAAATGTGTATTTAATTTTTTCTACGGACTAGTTCTTTCAATCTTTTGTTTCGGTCACTTCAACACCACCGTTAGCATCATCATTCTCCTTTTCCAATTCAACCTCGTGAACTTCCTTAGCTTCAGTTTCCCTTTCTCCTACATCATCTTCTTGTTTCTCTTGTGATTCTTCTTCTAAGTTGATCAACGGAGCAGCCGTAGCAGCGGTTGCAGCAACATCACCATCAGAAGCCACTCCGTTGTTGATACTTAGGTCCTCAAAATCATCAATCAAACGTTCACTAATTTTATCCTTCTTTTTCAGTTTCAAAACATCCTTGAATTCTTTAATATAATTTGATAACCTCTCATGATCAACGCCATAATTTCTTCCAAACAAAATCGCTTCTGGGTATCTGCCACTCTTGATTAGTAAATCTAAACACTTATTGACATCACCCACAAGCCACCATGCTTGCCACGATATGTTGTACCTTCCCTTCTCCTCACATTTTTCAGCTAATTTGATCAATTGTGCCTTGTTGTTTGTTGAAGATAAAAGTAACAACAATGAAGAATAGTCATTGGCTAGCCAAAACGATTCCTGAGCCATTTTTAAGTTCCATTTGTTCAATGCCAAATCACCAAGCTTCTTCCACTTCTGTACATTGGCCAATGCAAGAGATGGGCTTTGTTGTTGTTGTTTTGATAATAATTCGTAAGCCTGTTGCAAGTTTTCTGTGGTTAAAGCAATTTGAAATTTAGAATCGAAATCTTGTGACAATGCATAAGACAATGACAAGTATCCCAATTTCTCAAAAAATCGTGAAAGTTGGTTAAGCTCGGTTTTGGAGTAGTTGGAAATGAGTGCATTGTATTCTTCGGAAAGATTATCAATTGTAACTGTAGCCAAATCAGGAGCTTCCTCACCCGTCTCTTCATCCAACACATTTTGAGTTGCAAATTGTTCCAAATCGCCCCTCATTACCAACGTTTGTAACTCCAAAACTTCAGCATTGATGTACCACGATATAACGTCAAATGATTTATCAATGAGATAAAGTTTACCATCTTGAGCTTTGTAACCAAGTATGTAAAACTTGCGATCAAAATGACCCAAGTTGATAACTTCTCCACCAACAAAGTAGTTCAATCTGTTGGTAGTTGCTGTAGTGTACACAAAAACATCACCAATAAACTTTCCTGACAAGATAGGTTCTGAGGTGGGTAACGTGTACAACACGTCAAATGCAGTTTCCGCTCCTTCTTCTGCATCCAATTCACCGTTGGCAACAGCTTGTTCAAATACTTCTTGATCATAACTCAAAAAGTATGTTTCGTCACTAGTTTTTGCACCAGTGACAGCGGTTGATTTTTCACCTGTGCTTGAACTGGTAACTATTGCCAACAACTGACCATTGTCAGACCATACAACATCAGTGATATCATCATCAATATCAACCCTTCTCACCAATTTCCCTTGTTCCCAATCATAGAATGAAATACATCCTTCGGACTTTACACCCAACAAATATCCGGCAAAAATCTTGTCAGCTTGGTACAACAAGTCAATAATTAGCGATTCTTGGAAATTTTTATAAACTTTGACACTAACAGTGGATTCTCTAATGGCAAAGGGGCATGCAGCAGACGTGTCATGAGAGTTCCAAACAAAATCAAGTGCACTGCCATAAGCTTTCGATCTCCATCCCAATGCACTGTACACGATATATTCACCATCACCACAAACTGCAGCGTATCTACCATTAGAAGAGTGGTCCAAAGATTGTGGAAAAACTTCAATAGTTCCCAAGTCTCTTTGCTGCAAATGCAAGGACTCTCCATCCTTTAATCCTTGTGTGGCATTTGGTTTAATAACTGATTGGAAAACTTCTGAATTTTTGGCATATATTAGCTTATTGTTTGAGTCCAACGAAAATAATGGCTCTTCACTGCCCAATTTAACAATGACAAATCCTGAATCGAACCCCACGGCAATGACATTGGATTTTGGTAGTACACCAACACACCATGCTCTTTCAAGGCTGTAGTTTATCGATTTTTCCAATTTGAAGGTGTTTGAGTTCCAAAATCTAACAGTGCCATCTTCTGATCCTGATACAATGACTGGCAATTCTGGATGGAAAATTGCAAACGATACATTCGACAAATGCCCTTCCAAGGTGGCAACACATGATTTGGTTTGATAATCCCATACTTTAATAGTCTTGTCATCACTGGCAGTAATCAAATAAGGCTTATCAGCTTGTGGGTAATAATCAACGAAATTGACTCCCTTGGTATCATGAGCAATCAAGGTGAAATTTGGATGTGAACTTCCCAATGACCAGATTTTGACAGTTCTGTCCAAACAAGCAGAAGCAAAAGTATTTGGATCCTTGGGATTGAAGTTAACACTCATGACATAATGTTGGTGGCCCTCAAAAACTTGTTCCAATTTCCAATTATTATCCCAATTCCACAACTTGATGGTCAAATCATCACTTGAACTCAAAATGTATGGTTTTGTAGGATGAACAGCAATGGATCTAATATAATCAGGGTGAGCCTCAAACTGGGTAACTTTTTCACCAGTATTGTAATTGTAAACACGAATTTGGAAATCATCAGCTCCAACCACAATCCAATTCTTTCTGGCAATAAACTTACCAGTACGCACAGGTAACTCAGTAACTTGTATAGACTTAACCAATACATTTGTGGCGTATGACCAGATTTCAACTTTCCCATTGTACAATGTTGTCAAGATCCATGGTTCTGTTGGATGGAAATCGATACCCTTGACACGATCCGAATGGTGACTGAATGTTTTTGCTATATCTAATTTCATCGTGTGATCTTAGTATGGTATGTGCAATTGGACGTGATGCAAAGGTATTCAATGAGGGGGGGTTAGAATACTTTGTCGTTCAATACTCTTGATATTGTTGATTTTGTTTGGTTGGAAAATTCGATTCAATTTTTTTTCTCTTTCTGAACACGTTTAACAATTGTACACGACAAAAAAATATATATTGTACACCTGTCACTACTACTACTACGGTGTATATACAGACAAACGATTGCAATACCTTTAGTTTTAATATACACTCTCCAACTTCCCTCTTCTCTCTACTCTATATTCTTTTTCAAGTGATTCTGCTCTTTCAATGTGTTTTCTCCATTTGTCTTCAAATATTTTGTTAGAAAATTTATCCACAACTAATTGTTGGCCAGTTGATCTCATTCTTTGCAATGTCTCATCACTGATAAGCAGTCTATCAGTTACAAACATAGTGGAAAGTAGTTGCTCCAATGTGGGGAACTCCTTTTTCTTCCCATTCACTTCAAACACCAAATACTTTTCCTTGTTGTCTTTTGTTGTTTGCAATGATGGGTCAAAGTCGGGATCAGCAAATGACTTGAAGAAAAAACCAGTAGCATTTGCCCAGTCCGTAATCTTCTCACCAGTTACAATATCAAGAAGCGGACCCGCTGACGCGTGAACAATGGGGATACAACCTCTTGCAACATATTCAACCACACCAATCCCAAAATGTTCATTCCACATGGCATTGAGCCCAAATTTACAAGTTGAAAGAAAATGTACAATTTCAGCATATGAGCAATCAACTGCAAATTCAACAAACCCGTCAAGTTTCAATGCCTTTACTTCTTGTTGTAAAAACTCCAATGTCGCGGTATCATCCTTTGTGCGACAAGACCCAGCAAACAACAAAGTAGGCACTTTTGCTTTGGGAGATGTGAGGTTGGGATAGTTGTTTACAAGGAATTGTTGATATTCCTTCAAAACCAATATGTGACGTTTCTCAGGGCGAAATTGTGCCAAATACAAAAGTTGATTTGTTCTTGTGCTGTTACCAACTTTTGCATTTACGAGGTATTCAGTTCCACATGGTGGGTATAGTATGCTAATCTCCTTCCCCAACGCTTTATTATAAGTCCATATCTTTTGCATATGTTCAAAAGTCCAAGACCCATTAGCTAAGGTTACATCAACATACGAACCAATGTAAACATAAAGCCAATAAAGCGCAGACCAGTAAAACAACTTGGCGTAATCAAATGCATCTGATTTGCTTCTAACTTTTGTGACGTCAGATATGTGGCTGTATTTCAATTTGTTGAACATATTCTCTTGCAAGATTGGATAATGGACATAAGCAATTATGGGAATTTTCAAAACAATTGACGCTACAAAATAGCTTCCTGGTAATCCCATAGTATCAACCCATACATCGGGTGAAAGTTCAAAAGCTGCTTCCAAACTCAATAAAAAAGTACCAAATAATTGCCCCACAATGGTTAAATGTTTCCAATAAGAACTATCTATCAATTTTCCAAAATTTTTCAAGTAAATGAATACAATTCGCTTGTAGTCCAAATCCTCAACTTGGAACTTATCTCTTGCTTTGCCCAAAATCGACAATGGCTCGGCATCAGTGTTTGTGGTGTAAACAACACATATGTTCCTCTCATCCTGTTCAAGGGTAGCTTTAATTGCTTCCCACAAGACTTTTTCGCCGCCGCCACCATTATTTGCATATGGATGGAAGAATCCAAACAATAATCTCCTTTTAGAGTCATTAACGTCTCTTCTTCTTGTTTCTTGCATAAATTGATCTTTATTGGCAATATCTCTGGGTGAGATCTTCAACTTGTTGTTGACAAAATTTGTATAAAATGATGGTATCTCACTAGCCAATACAAGTCGACGTCTAAAACTTGATCGTTTGTGACTAACTTTTAAATATATTGGTTTGTCATAGTTGATTACTTTGAGAATTGCATCTTGCCATTTCTGTGAGGGGACTAGGAAATAATGAGGTAAGACCGAAGTAAATACTTGATGGATAAAGTATATCACAAGAAGTATGCCTAATATGAACCACATGGCTGGTACAGTGGACGAGTGCTCTCTCTTATCTTTAAAGGTTTTGCAGGGAAAGCTATTTTTTTTTCGGAACGAAATTGGGAGCTTACCTAAGTTATGTATGGGTAGATCCACCACTCTATGTATTTTAATGAGGCCATATAGGTTCCCATATCATTGAGGTGGCATCTTTTGCTATGGGTCTTATTGTTTCGTGTTTGACAGATCTTTTATGTTGTAAACCAACAACCATGATGTAAATTTTTTTTAAGTTCTTGGGATGGCCCCTTTTTTTGCAATCAAATGCTAGCAAAAATGTTAACATTTGGTTATTGAATGATCATTAGTCAAGACACACATCCTGGGTTTAACTTTGATTCAACTTGTTTTTTGTATCCTACAAGTTTTGCTTCACCATGTAGAGTGAGGTTTTGTAAGTCAGTCATACAGTAAGCATCGTAGTCACTTCTTCGAGTACGTGTTTACAACAACATTTTGCCGGTTTCAAGGCTAATTAGATGATTTACTAGTCAGTGTATATTCAATTGCTAAATGGCACATTGCATATGTTGTACTAAACTACATGTAAGCTAACCTAAAGATTGTAGTGTAATCAGATTTCCTAATTGGGATAAATTAACGCGTCATAATTAATAAACCTAAATCTTTTCTAGACATAATCTCCCTTTCAATTTGAAGTTTGCTTTTATACACTCATTCTTGTTATTTCTTACTATTGGTTGTTACCTTAAAGCCTTCACAATTTGCTCATTCATACGACCTATTGCTACATCATTTACTCATCGCCGGCACTTAGTGTATCCCCAACCACCACCACCCCACTACTACTATTGGCTATATCCACGATACGCAATTTAGACGCTGAGAAATTAATTTAATTTTAGATTTTTTTTTTTCCCTTTTCCTTTACCATTCCCAGAACACCTTTCATCACTTGTTCATTTCTTTAATTACAGAGAGCTTCATTTCATCAACTAACTAGTCGAGTTTGAGACCACAATATTTTCCTGATATCCACCGAGGTTTCAAACAGTTTTACAAGCTATTCACTTGCTGATAAGATAGTGTGGAAATTTTTTTTTATCCCAAGTTCATCTTTTCACACGTCCCCCAACACGTCTTCTAAGATAACATTATTTTCAACACTACTTATATTTGACATCCTCAAACACGGTTAATCCTAGCGTAACCACGTCCTGCAGCACATTCTCTCTCACTCCATGCATCAAAGAGACGATCTACTGACTGTTAGTACATCATCATCATCGTCATCATCGTCATCATCATCTTCTTCATCCAATATTATGTCAACGTCAACCACAAGTACAACCACTGGCAGTGGACAAAAAATGAAAACTCCATTGAAAAAGGAGGAGTTGGAAAAGATTGCCCAGCAGTTGAAGAAGAAATTGTCAAAGGCAAGTATAACTGCTAAGCAATCTTTGTCGCCAACAAATATGAAAACAATGGCTCCAAACGTGCCCAAGTCATCGCCTTTGAGAGGTTATATCAACGCAAATTCACAAAGAAATAGAGATGCACCACACAATCACGACTCGTTTCTATCATCCTCACCAAACATTTACTCGCCCAATGGAAAATCTCCAACACGTGTCAAAACCGCAGCGGCCACTTTCTTGTCATCATCTCCATTAAAGAATATTGCTAGTGGTGACAACGACGAATTGAATGATTCACCTACTAAAAAGAGAAGGACAAGCTTTTCCCCAAGTAAAATGGTTCTAGCTGAGCTCACACCACCATCTGGAAATGGTGAGCAACAAAGGCAGAGTTTGAAACCATCATTGGATATGAGCACGACTCCATCGAGGCAGCAATCGAGAAGAGATAGTATAACAACAAAGCTGAAAGACAATGAGGGCGATTTTGATGTGGCGAAAACGCCAGCTCCAGACACTGAAGGAGCTGATCTTCTCATATATCTTGCAACTTCACCCAGTCCTGCTAAAACATATAAACCCAAGGTTTCAATCAATGCTCCACCTTCTCACTCAAGTCCTAAGGAAAGTAGTAGCGTGCACCAGCAATCGCAGGCACCGCAGGGACAACCACTACCACAACAACAACAACAACAACAACAACAACAACAGCAGCAACCATTCCCTCAACAGAGTTCGTCGACGTTTGCTGTACCTCAGCCTCCAGTAACGCCCAAGCGCGTCACCGCTCTGCATCACCAACACACTAGGTCCCCACTGAATAGATTGACTCCATTCTTGAGTAACTTCTCTTCAAATCTACCATCATCTGGATTGACTTTAACCCCTAGTGGGTTCAACATGAATGATTATGTTAATTTTTTCACTCCATCTCCAGGAAATGCCATGAATAATAAGAACCTTTTAAAAACGCCTGATTTTAACAACTTGTTGAATGGGAGTGTCAATGGTGCCGGTACCAACTCTGCTCTGGGACAAACACCATTGGGGAAACGCCTTGATGCGAAAATGATGAATTTGAATAAAGTTTTGTTTCAAGGGCATGGATCGGATTCAACAGGGAAGGACATATAAGGACAAAATGTTTAGTCTATATAGGGTCTGTGTTTTCTTTTCCCTCTAAATACACAATTCAGTTTCTTCCCAGAGTAGTAAAGGTTGATTGTTCAATTAAGTTTTCTAATTTTGCAGCCAGAACAAAATAGGTCGTGTAAATAACCTAATTTGTTAAAGGGTTGAAAATCTGCTCTCCCTCTCTCGGTTTTAATTCCGGTCGGTCGTTTTGGACTTTTCCTTTTCATTTTGAAGCAACCACAATCATGTCACCAATTTCAACCACTGAGGTAAACGAATTAGAGTCCAAGACAAAAGAACTAGACTTGAACAATGCCACTTCAAAGCAGGATTCAGCTAAAGCAGACGGTTTGAATACAAGTGGTGCAGCAGACGATGCTGAAGATGATGAGGACCAAGATGAGTCTGCCGCAAATGGAACCACTTCCTCCTCCTCAGACAAGAAAAAGAAAAAGAAGAAAAACAACAAAAAGAAGAAGAAGTTGGTTGCTATTGACCAATCGTATCCTGATGGTGTATTCCCGGAAGGGGAATGGATGGAATACCCATTAGATTCCAACAAGCATCGCACAACATCAGAAGAATTGAGGTATTTAGATAGACAACAAAATAACAAATGGGAAGATTTCAGAAAAGGTGCTGAAATTCATCGTCGTGTTCGTGCAAAAGCCAGGTCATCAATTAAACCCGGTATGCCAATGTCGGAAATTGCTGACTTGATTGAAAATTCCGTCAGAGCTTATGCCAATGCTGATCATACTAAAAAGGCAGGTATTGGGTTCCCCACTGGGTTGTCATTGAACCACGTTGCCGCTCATTACACGCCAAATACTGGAGACAAAGTAGTGTTGGGTAAAGACGACATTATGAAGGTTGATATTGGTGTACATGTCAATGGACGTATTTGTGACTCTGCATTCACCATGACATTCAATGAAGATGGTAAATACGATACGATAATGCAAGCGGTTAAAGAAGCAACCAATACTGGTGTTAAGGAAGCTGGAATAGACGTTAGAATGAATGATATTGGTGCAGCTATTCAAGAAGTTATGGAAAGTTACGAAATGGAGGAAAATGGTAAAACATACCCCATCAAATGTATTCGTAACCTCAATGGACACAATATAGGTGACTATGTAATTCATTATGGTAAAAATGTCCCTATCATAGCTAATGGAGACAACACCAAGATGGAAGAAGGTGAAACCTTTGCCGTTGAGACGTTTGGATCCACTGGAAAAGGATATGTCTTACCCGAGGGGGAATGTTCTCATTATGCATTGAATCAAAATATCGATGGCATTAGAGTACCTTCGGAACGATGCAAATCATTGTTGAACTCAATACAAGAGAATTTTGGAACATTGCCTTGGTGTAGGAGATATTTGGAACGCACTGGAGAAGATAAATACTTGTTGGCATTGAATCAATTGGTGAGAGCTGGAATTGTGGAGGCTTATCCACCTATTGCTGATAAGCTAGGTAGTTACACTGCTCAATTCGAACACACTATATTGTTGCATCCTCATAAAAAGGAAGTTGTCACTCGTGGTGATGATTATTGAAGAAAGAGGGCATACTGGTGTATATTGAAATGTAATCTTTGCCCATTTTACGTGTCATTAAAAGACTTATGTTTCTTATGTCGCCCTTTCAAGGGTAATGCAGATCTCTTTAGTGGTTGGTTGTTTTTGTGTTATGTCTATACAATGGTCCATCAATGCTACCAAATACAGTTTTAGCAATCTAATGGTTGCTATTCGAACCGAAAATAGTAAAGAAAAGATACAATCTTATGAGGTCACCTGCTCTTTATATTAGAAGGTATTTCAGCATGAAGAGTCTCAAGGATTACAAAGTGGGTATGAAAATTGTCGTAAATGATCGAATGCAAAAGAATTATGAGTATGAGCTAGTAGAGCCTATGGGTGAAGAAGCACCCGATTTCAATGACAATAATTTCAAACCCGAATTGACACCCGAGGAAATGTTACAAGAAGGTGTTTTCGAAGGAAAATACTTGAACGATTGTCAAGAAGAGTTCCCCAAAGAATGGTTTGACAATTCTCGAGATAAACGAGTTCAAGTGGGAGATCCACCAGATTATAAATTAAATCGTTTCAAAATCAAAAGTCGTCAACTGTTGGTAATATGGAGAGAAAATGAATGGGTTATTGGAGATGATCCTCGGGGTTGGTTCCAGTGGTATTGTCGATACTGGTTAGGTAGACGAAGTGAATGTGATGAATTCCAAAAGAAGCGGTGGAGAGCATTTAAGCGTCACAAAGGTCAGATTGAGAAAAATTGTGCTAAAAAGGATTACAGTTGTCGACCAAAACAACGTCAAGCGTTGTTGCAATGGGCATATGATCCATTTATCTAGAAAGGAGTGGTATATTTATCGTTCGTATATGGGTGCACCAATAACAGTTGGAGAGTTGGATGTAAATGTTATATACATATATATATTTATATCCTGTATACAAAATAGTATAGAAGATTCGAGAAAAACACTGTCAATACTGCACATTCAACAGAACTGCAAAATTTCAACAACCAAAAAAAAAAAACCAACTATTGACTCCAATATTCAATCAACACATTGAGCTCAAGCCATATATACCAAATCAATCCAATTGAAGCTGCATCACAAACCATGTCTTCGAAAACAATTGCTCCAACTGTCTTGTGGGCTCAACGTTCAAGTGATTCTGATGCTGAGAAAAACATCATTCTTTTAACTGTTGAAATCACTGATCCAAAAGATTTACAAATTGATTTAAAACCAACGTACCTTTCTGTTAAAGCAGACTCATCAACTTACGAACATACTCATTACGACTTAAAGATTGATTTCTATGACGAAATAGATCCAGAAAAATCAAAAATAAATACTGAGAATGGTGCCCACTTGTTCTTTGTATTATCCAAGAAGAAGTTACAAGAAGAATACTGGCCAAGATTGACCAAAGAGAAGTTGAAATACCATTATATCAAGACTGATTTTGATAAATGGGTAGATGAAGATGAACAAGATGAAGTTAAGGAAGATGATGCCAATTTAATGGGTGGTATGGGTGGTATGGGTGGTATGGGTGGTATGGGTGGTATGGGTGGTATGCCAGGTATGCCGGGAATGGGTGGTGCCGGAGGTCCAGGAGGAATGGATTTTTCTCAACTTTTAGGTGGTATGGGTGGTGGAGCCGGTGGTACTCCAGATTTGAGTGCATTGGCTAGTCAATTGGGTCAAGCTGGCGGTGCCGGTGGTGCTGGTGGTCCAGGAGGTATAGATTTGAGCTCATTAGCCTCAGACATTGGTCAAGAGTCAGAGGGAGGTGTACAGCTGAGTGAAGTGGAAGTCGATGCTGAGAATAATGGCAATGAAAAAGAAGTTGAAGAAACTGCGAAACAAGTTGACTAAAACGTGTATTTAGAGTGATAATGTAATGCATTTTTGGGGTTTGAGATTATAATGCAGAAAGAGGGCGTTGGTGTAGTCTTTGGCTTTTGCAATGCTCTACGATGGTGAATTATCTCTTTACTTTAGTTTACGTCTTTTGTGTAAAAAATCCGAAAGTTATTGCACCAAAAATTTTTCAATTTTTCTTTTTTTATTTTTTTCAATAGCGTAACAGGATCTAAGAGCTAGCCAATCAATTAATAATGCTAAGGACTTCGTTTGGTAGACCACTCAGGAGGTCACTAGTGAGGTACTATGTCGAGCCAGTACCCAAACATGTACCCTCGAACAATAATCTTGAGCATACCCTATCCCATAAAGAATTGAGAGAACAAGCTATTGCCGAAGCATTAGCCAGGGAAGAGGAAGCGATTCAAAAATCAAAACAGATTCGTGAATTAACTGAGAAATCAAAAGAACTCATCACTGTTTTGAACAAAACTCCAACTACTTTAATGAATGAACGTATTGCCAAATTGAATCAAGATTTGTCAAAAATTCCTCAGGACAAGATCAAACAACTTGATGAACAGTTACGAGAATACATGATAAATAATATGCATTTGACTGATGATATCATTGAGAATAGACCATGGGCGAATAAGAATCTTAAAAATGGGCGCAAAATAAGTGCTAAGGAATCAGAATCAAAGGCTTCATCAATGACCAATCAATACACTTCACAATTCCCCAATTTAAAACCAACACCTGATTACAAAGAATATTCTGAACAAGAACTTTACTTGAGACAACTTGATCATCTTAGAACTAGTGGAGCATTAGGTTCAAGACTCGAAAATGTATACAAACCTCAAAGAGATACTACAAATCCTCCAAGTATCACGCAAACCACCATTTCAAACTTGATGGCTGCAGGTTGCCATCTCGGTCATGCAACTTCATCATTTAGATCCAATTTTCAACCATTCATTTACGGTACTTACAATGGAATCCATTTAATCGATTTGAATCAAACTATTTCACAATTGCAAACTGCGTGCAAAGTGATTGAAGGTGTTAGTGAAAAGGGTGGAGTCATACTATTTGTAGGAACACACAAGAACTGGTCAATCCAAGAATCATTGGTGGCGGCAGCTGAAAGAGCCAAAGGTTACTACGTGTCTAAGAGATGGATACCTGGTACAATAACCAATTACATTGAAGTCTCAAAACAAATCAAAGATCCATCAATGAAGCAACAGATTGATATGGAGAATAAACCGCTCAATTCTGCCGTAACTTCAAACTCAATAATCAAACCCGATTTGGTCATTTTATTGAACCCAGTCGAGAATAGAAATTGTATCAAGGAATGTTTATCAGCTTGTATTCCAACTATTGCGTTATGTGATACTGATATGGAACCTAGTTTGATCACATATCCAATTCCATGTAATGATGAAAATGTTCGATCAGTTAATTTGATGCTTGGAATTATGTCCAAGGCTGCTGAGGCGGGAGTCAAGAGAAGATTGGATATCATCAAACAATTGAAGGAAACTGAAAGACAAGCTGCTAAGCAACAATTACAAGAGTCCCAACAAGATCCGTTCCAAGAAGGTGCTGCTTTATAAGACAATGTAAATAAGTTGTGAAAATTATAAACAAACTGTGTATATATATATTATCTAACGTGGGATCACTCTTGTAAGTTACAATTTTTCCTTGAATGACTTTGTCACTTCCTCAATAGCTTCATTTATACCACTTGGTTTATCACCCATACCTTGAACAATGTTTCCCTTACCCCCAGCTTTACCACCAATCTTGCCACTAACCAACTTGGCCAACAGACTAGCATCAACACCTTTAGCAATGGCTTCGTCACTAACATAACATCCATGTGCAACCTTGTCATTTTGTCCTGTCAACAAGTATAATGATTTAGTCTTGTCTTGCTTCTTGACCAAATTGAACGCCTCAGTGATTGCTTTAGCGTTAGCATTGATTGGGATATGAGCAACCAAAAACTCAGATTTGTTGTTGTCGTCACCTTCATCAAGCCATTTCTTAACCACATCAAGAGTTTTTTTACTTTCCTCTTTTTGTATACTCTTTTGATGATCTTTGATTGATTTGTCAACTTTGTTAAATTTCTCAGTCAATTTCTGTTTATCCAATACTGATATTGACAATTTCTTTAAAGCAACACCCAATTCTTTCACTTTGTTTTCTTTAATCGGTCCATTGGGCAATTCATTTGCATGATCCAATTCTTGTTCATATTCCTTGGCTACTCTTTGTACAGCATGAGCATCATGTCCAGTAACGGCAACTATTCTTCTGATTCCTTTAGCAATACCTGATTCTTCGATGATGACCAAATCCTTGATTTCGCTGGTCTTAGCAACATGGGTACCACCACAGAATTCGATTGAGATTGATCTCCATTCTTCATTAGTTGGGTCCTTGAGTAACTCATCAACTGGCACACCAATGGAAACAACACGAACTGGGTCAGGATAAGTCTCCCCAAAGACAGCTCTCAACCCACAAATAGCTTTAGCTTCAGTTAATGGTACATCCTTGTAATAGACTTGCTTGTTATCTCTAATGTATTGATTTGAGATGCCCTCAACTTTTTCCAACTCTTTTGGAGTCAAAGCCTGTTTGTGACTGAAGTCAAACCTCAATTTCTCCTTAGCGACAAGAGATCCCTTTTGATCAACATCGTCGCCAAGGACTTCTCTCAAGGCGTAGTTCAATACATGTGTACCCGTATGATTATTTCTGATTGGCCACCTTCTTAATTCATCATAAGCGGCAATCACATCATCACCAACGCTCAATTTTCCCTCAAGGACAAACCCGGTGTGTAATACATATCCAGCGTAAACTTGAACATTTTCAACATTAAACTCAGTTTTACCATCAATAACAAGTTTACCTGTATCGTACTCTTGTCCACCTTGTTCGGCATAGAACGGTGTTTTGTCCAACAAGATGCCGTATTGTTGACCTTCTTCGTTCTGTTGGATGGAATCAACAAATTTGCTGCCGTCGTAGATAGCAAGAACTTTAGCTTTGATGTTGTCGAGTCCATATTTGGCGTCATCGTCGGTCTTGGCAACTTTACCTTCAAGTTCGGATAACGCGTGAACATCCAATTTGATCAAAGACGATGCATTTTTATTAGCTCCACCTTTGGAAGCTTCTCTAGACTCTTCTTTGGCAACTTCAAATCCCTTTTCATCAATTTTCAATCCAGCTTCTTCAGCCATTAATCTAGTCAAATCAACTGGGAAACCGTAGGTGTCATACAATCTCCACACATCTTTTCCAGATAAAGTCTGTTCAGGAGTCTTTGAAGCAATGATGGCATATTGTTCAAACAATTTCTCACCACGATCCAAAGTTTTTGCAAATGACAATTCTTCCTCGTTTAAAATCTCCTTAAGATCTTGAGATCCCGATTCGATCTCGGGGAAGATTTCCTTATTTTGCTGAATTACAATATCAACCAATTGTGGGAAAAATGATCCAATTGGGTAGTTCATGTACTTACGAACATAACGTGATCCTCTTCTCAAGACCCTTCTCAAAACATATCCTCTACCTTCGTTATTTGGAACACCACCATCGCAAATGGCAAACGTAAGAGTTCTTACATGATCTGCAATAACTCTGTATGCAGTATCGATACCATCTTTATCATCAGCACCAAATTTCCCCGTGTATGGTCTAACACCGGTAATTTCTCTAATTTTGTCAAAAATTGGCAAAAACACATCAGTGTCGTAATTCGAGGATTTATTTTGCAAGATGGAAACCAATCTTTCGAAACCCATACCAGTGTCGATATGTTTGTTTGGTAGTGGTCTCAATGATCCATCAGCTTCACGATTATACTGAATAAACACGACATTCCAAACTTCCAATACATTAGGATCATCCATATTGACGAGTGAGGCAGCATTTCTACCACCAATTCTATCATAATGAATCTCTGAACAAGGACCACAAGGACCTTGATCACCCATTTCCCAAAAGTTGTCCTTGGCATCACCAGGTAAAATATGGTCTTCAGCAACACCAACATCTAACCAGAATTTCTTTGCCTCTAAATCTGCCTCCAATCCTTGCTTTTCATCGCCACCGAAATATGTAACATACAATCTATCCTTTTCCAAGCCATAAACATCAGTCAATAATTCCCACGACCACGCAATGGCTTCCTTTTTGAAATAGTCGCCAAATGACCAATTACCAAGCATTTCGAAAAATGTATGATGATATGAATCTCTACCAACATCCTCTAAATCGTTATGTTTACCACCAGCTCTAATACATTTCTGAGAATTGGCAGCTCTTTTCAACTTGGCAAAATCACTAGCTGGATCAACGGTCCCCAAGAAGATTGGTTTATATTGGTTCATACCAGCGTTGGCAAACAATAAAGTAGGATCATTGTGTGGGACAACTGATGATGATGGAACATAAGTGTGTTGTCTCTTATCTTTAAAATAATCCAAAAACGTAGATCTAACTTTTGGAGCAGTCCACTTTTCAGTGGTATTGATTGTGGATGTAGTAGACATTATTCTTCTGAATGTCCTATTGATCATACAAGTGCAACAAGTGGGGGAGGACAAGAAGTTCGATCTTTGTATGAAAGAGTCAAAGTTGAAAAGTCCAAGTTTTTCATACAAAACAATTTTTTCTTCTCTCTCGTCCACCAACCTCATCATCTGTTCAATCGATTGTAAGACAAAAGGCATACAGAGATGCGTGTAACTACAAGGCACATTTACCAATAAAGCAATACTTCAAACAAGCTACCAAAGATTCCGGTGTAAGCCAATTCTATATATTTTTAACCAACCTGCACCAAAAACTTGTTGCTTTCAATATAGGCAAGCACGTTTGGAACATCTTTAGCTATTGCACCACCGATACTTAACTTGGTAACCCATTCAGGAACAATTCCTCCTGGTTTCGAAGTAGTTGCCACTGTCCATTCAACACTGTCTGCATCCCACTTAATCTCTTCAACAGATACATAACTACCCAAAACCCCCTCAACTTCTCCCGCAATTGGAACACTAACAACCAAAGCCTTATCATTGGAAACAAAAACATGAACCAATTCATTAAACAGTCTTTTGTTCAAGGGGAATCCAAAGTCGTAGATAGCATGGATAGTATAACTCCATCCATTATCTTCATAATTTTGAATATTGCGAACTTGCATCAGCTCAATTTCATGAACGTAGTTAATTTCATGATCTGAATGAGTGAAACCAATCTCAGTAGTGCCAATAATGGCTGATTTAAATTTATCAATTGGAATATCTCTCAACGCAGTGCGTCTAGCACACCAGTAATCACCATCGATTGTATCATGGGAAATCTTGGTAACATGTTTAGTATCTTCGTAATAAGTTTTGCCAGGGTTCCAATTGGGAACTGATTTCAAAAGATGTTCTGCGCCTTTAAGTAATGTTTGACGTGGGGTATCAACAGAATATTCCTTTAATGGTAATGTAGATGGAGACATTTTCTAAGATGTGGAGCGGCAAATGGTTGATTTTTCAAAGCCAGAAAGCAAAGAATGATAATACTTTCAAATTTATTTATACTCTTGGATCATTTGTATCGTGGTGTCTGTTTTTTTGGAAGAGTTAAAATTGTCAGTATTCATGGAATGTTCCAAAGAAAGCAAAGCGTGTTATAAATTTTCTGAAATTCTTTGAGATTCTATAAACAACAAACAACACCCCCTACTCATTGTACCACATCAATACTGCTAAAACTTGTATCACCCGATTTATAACCGATTGAACTTGAGTAATGACGCAATCTCCCGTACTCTCCTACAAAAAACCAAGTAACAAGGATCAACCAACATCCGTGTCGGCATCAGCAACGCCGACTCCAAGGACCAGTTTTTCACCTAGTCTATCCTCAACAGCGTCAAATAGTGGATCACCTCAATTACCGCCTCATACATCTCAGCCGAGGAAGATATCGTCGCGACGTAAAGCGTTACAAGAGTTTTATCATTTGCAACAACAATCACATTCCAATCGGGCGGAGACTGGTGATACCGAAAAACAAGAGCTGGATCGACCTCAAGAAGAGAAAGAAGAAGACAAGTCCGTAAAACGTGAAATCCGACCTTCTGATTTGAAAACTAAGGAAGATGTGGAACAATTCATTAAAACATCAAGTACAAAAGAGATTCTCAAGCTTTGTAATAAGATACAGCTGCAGCTTAATTCATCGAGCCAAAAGAAGAAAGAGATTATTTACGATAACTACTATGAGCTAATCAAATTAAGTAATATGTTGGCAGATTTGTCGGAATCCAAAAAACTGATTACGAATCTACCTTCAGTGCAAGATTCGGAAAAGATGGACTCCCTTAGTGGTTTCAAAATTTTCAGTCAAAGTCCGAATGATAGTGGACCTGAAGTTCCAATTGACACTTATTTGGATGAAGTGTTGGACGATTTATGCAATTTTAACCAGAGTACAATAAAAAAATTCACGTCTGGTGGATTTGATGATGTTCTTAACCGATTGGATAGATCTACTGATCGTGCCGAGTCAAACGCCAGTGTGATGGGGATTTACAGTGAGGGTGGTGTGGATAGTATACTGGATGATATGAATAAAGACGACATTATCAGTGAAATAAGCTATATCTTAGACTTGCCAAATCGGCAATTGAACGGAACAGAAAGAACTGAAGCTGAGACTAAAATCGACAAAATCCTAAAAACAACCAAAAGCGAGGCTTTGAAATTGCAGCTAAACACAATCAAAAGTAGAATGTATTGAAAATCTATAGTAGATCATCAACAGCGTGATTCTTGAACTTTTTAGCTGATCGTTCAACACTTCGTATTTCAAATCTTGATCCAATTAACGTAAACCCGATACTCTCCACTTCTTGAGACTCGTTATCCACCTCCATCTCTCCATCCTGACTTGGTTCTTTCTTTGGCAAAACAACATCGAATCCAAACAAAGTATACTGTTTAGGAATTACTTTCAACCCACCAACTAAAGCAGCTGGATCTAATTGTTTGGCAAGATCAGCATTGTTCTCGACTTTTGGAGTCCACTCTTTATAGTCTCTTCCGCGAGGCACAACCATTATAAATGAATGTTGACAATCCCATACGACAATTCCCCTGGCGCCCACAACTTCATTGTTGCGCGATTGTAGTACTGTTAATAAGCATCCATTAAAATCAGCATTGACTAGTTTAGGCAAAATGACAGACGTATTTAGGGACGTAGTTTCGTCAAGACCTAAAAGATCTTGTATATAGCTTTGCCATAAATCATTCATTTTGATGAAATCTTCAAACTTGGGTACGCTATACTGATTGAGCATTGGCTCAACACTAAATGGTTGGTTGTTGCGCTTGTACCCACGTACTCGTTTGATTAATTTACGTTGATTGGTGATTGTTGTACTGATGTACTGTTTTAGCTCGTTTCTGGTAGATCTCTTCCTACTTTGCGGAATCTTGTCATCTGTTGGAGAAGGCGTGAGTAAGATGGATTTGCGGTTGTTCTTGGTGGGTTTCTTGACATGTTTGAAGAGAATTGTTGGCTTTTGTTCCCCTTCGGTGGAGTATCTTGTCTCAAGAATGTTTAGAATTTCCTCATTAGAATCGTAGCATCGTGTAAGCAAACGCTTTTCTAGCTCGTTGGTACTTGTCATTGCTGGTGGTAGAGTACGAGGGCAGTTTGATGATGTTTTTTTTTGGCATCAAAAAGATGAAATACTCATCACTAACCAATTGAAGTGTCTAAATTTATATGATAAGCTGTTTGCAAATTGCTACTCGAGGATCCATTACTCGACTACTGGGACGAAGCAGACAGTTCAAGTGCTACGTGTCCAGTATCAACTCCCCATTTCAGGATGACTTGTCTGAGATTGATTTAGATGATTTTGGTCTCGGTGATTTCCATCACTACAAAGAATCGCCAGAAGTAGCCAAGTACAAGAGAGAAAAGATGAAAGATTTATTACATGAAGAATCATTTACAGTGCCAACTAGTGAGAAACACGGCCAATTGGAATCACTAACAGGAAAGAACGAACCAGCAGTATTTATTTCAAAACTCAACGATCCATACTTGAACTTGGCCATTGAAGACTATATTTACAACAGAATCCCTATGAGCAAAACTGCTTTATTCAAAGCACATAGACTAATGTTTTACACAAACTCATCATGCGTAGTAGTTGGCAAGAACCAAAATCCATGGAAAGAGGTGAATCTACCGAAGATGAAGCAATATGGAATTCCTTTGATTAGGAGAAAATCAGGTGGGGGTACTGTGGTTCACGATTTGGGCAATGTCAATTATTCCTTTATGAGCACAAAGCAAGAATTTGATCGGTTTAAATTTGTCAATTTGATTGTAGAAGCAATTAATAAATCAAATGTTTCTTCGACGAGGATCAAAGTGAATCATCGTGGTGATATAGTGACTCAAGATGGGGAACAAGAGTTGAAAATTAGTGGTTCAGCTTATAAGTTATCACGAGGAAAGTCGTATCACCACGGAACAATGTTACTAAATCTGGATTTGGATAGATTGAGACATGTTTTGCATAGAGATGTTGCCGAATTGGGTACTATTGACACAAGTAAATCTATCGACTCAGTCAAGGCAAAAGTCACTAATTTGCAAATACCAAAAGAGACCTTTGTTGACCTAGTTTCGAATGGATTCAAATTTGAATATGGCATTTCAGATGAATCATCAACGAAATTGGACAATGAGAATGATCCCAATAAGGAGTTTAATGACATGATGGGGTTAACTGACTTTGCCCATGCTGCCAAGTCAACTAATGTCTGTCTAATTGATGAAGTGAACGAATTGCCTAAGGAGGTCTTTACCATTGCTGATGAGTTGAAAACGTGGGAGTGGAAATTTGGTCGCACCCCTACATTTACTCACACTCTTGAAAACCCACAATTAGGTATCTGTGTTAAATTCACGGTGAATAAGGGAGTAATTGAGACTGTTGAATTGAGTGGAGAGTATCTACGTGGTGATTCCGAGTTTTTGAAACAGTTGAATGAAAAATTATGTGGTTTACATTATAGAGGTGACTTGATTGAACAGTCATTACGCGGTGGTGTGGTCCAAGATTTGGGCACATGGTTACACAAATCCATCGATGGTGTATAAAACATTAGCATTATAGATCTTGTCTTGCATATATACATTATTCCTTCTTCAATCCATGGTTACCAGTGTAATTGACAACTTCAGGCAGTTTCCAGCCTTGTAAAACCTCTTTTTCGTCATCCAATTTATACACTTCAATTTCGAGAGCTCGACAGCAATCCACCATCTTCAGTTCACCCAAATCATCTTGGTGCTCGCCCCATCCCCATTGTGACAAATCACCACCAGGACAAGCACTAATGGCAACAAGCAAGTCCAATTCAGCAAACAATTCAAAATAATCATTGGGCGTAGCAGGACAAGCTTCCATGAAATATTGATCGTATTCATTCAATCCAGTGACCTGAAACACATTGAGCACATCATGAACGTCAAATTCAGTTAATCCAAATGGCTTGATAGCTCGAAATAAGTTTGAATGGCAGTGATTATCATTATCTTCCCCGCTAATTAGTTTATCAACGTACGGATCGCATCGTGTACCCAATGTGTCATGGACGCGACCACCCCATTCATCATGTCTAGACGACATTGAATCACCAATGATTGTCACCAATGGACGTAAATAGGGCAAATTTGACCATAACCGATCATAAGTTGACACATGAGCAGAATGCAATTGTCTAGTTCGAGCCGCCCAAAATCGTTCTTTGGGGTCATTAGCATTCCAAATGTTTAAATCACAAACTTGTGGTCCATCAGGGGTGGTTATTCTAAATACAGATTTTGCCGGGATCTTAATTGCAATTCCTGTACGTGGTTCACATCGAACTTTATTGACTAATGTTTTGGGTGCTTTTGCAATGGAGTCATAGAATGATTTATCAGCGTACAAAGGTGATCCTGGGTGTGGGTAGTATGCTGGTTTGGGTTTGGGCAAGTTGTATGTTGTCCTATTGGGCAATTGAGATGAAACCGAATCAACCATGGAAAGTTGCAGATATCAGTTGTAATGGGGGAAGTGGGGGGAGTCAAAGACGAAGGTAACCTTGTATACATATATGAACTCCGAAGATGTTTCAAAGCGCTGGGTGAAAGAAAAACATTGAGGCGTTTTGTAACTTCAGTCCTGCGCGTAGTTCCTGATTTGGTATAATTTTAGATACCAAACAACCAACAGAGTAAACCGCCACACACAACAGAAGGTGATATGAGGCGAGTTCAGCAGAGCGCATAAACTTAGTATCTGGAAAAGTTGACAAAAATGTGATATAAGGATCGGAAAGCGATGGTCATGTCTGCAACAAATATGTCAATTACAATTTGCAACTTAAGAATTCCAACAATTTTACTGCAAAACAAATTGCAATAAATATTATTTCTCGTATTCTAGACCCCTTATTGAAATAGATTGCTTCTGATGGTCGTTTCTTCCTGTAGTAGAATGCATCAAGGAGAAGAGTACAATTTTATCTCCTTCATCTATAGAGTTGATACAAAAAAACCATGTCCTAAGCAGATATTTAAGTTCACACTAATTTCAAGGGAAAAGATCGGGTCATATATTCATACTAGAAAGCTATAGCATTGCTCTCCTCAACGCTTCTAGTCTAGTGGTGGCATGTTCTGTAAATCACTCTGCTTAGTGGTGTGGTCCAATTAGATTTACTCAACGGAATACGATCCCCTCTTTTTGTTTGTATGGTTCTTTGTGATGCTACCAATTATGTCCGTGATTAGCCGGGGATATCATTCATTCGTAGGTTCCGTTAGCGCTTAGGCAGGAACAGAAAAATCTGGGGTAAAAAAGAAGCACTAAATTGCATATGCACTCCCCCCCCCCCCCCCCCCAGTGAATTGAATCAAATTTGAAAAATAATCTAGTCGAAGCATGGATGCACATTGAAGCTCTCCCGTCTATTGGGTAATTGATACGGCTATCTATTTGCAACTTTAACTTTTGACACTACAAATCAAAAAATTTTCAGTCTCCTATTGTTTTTTTTTTACTGGCACATATTGTTTTCAGCGGGTAAAATAAAAAAAAAAAAAAAATACAGAAGAATGAAATTTTTCACACCGGATAAAAACCTCTTGCACTATACAGAGTAGAGTTGATATATCCATGCCGTAGATATAAGCGGCTTCAAAGGTAATAGTGATCCCCCCTTACTTAAAAAGCCAAGGATATGTCACAATAATCGAAGGACCCGTGAGTAACCATGTGTATATATATATTATATATATAGTGTGGAGTAAATGTGATTTATTTTAATTTTTTTTCTAACCGATGTTAAAAAGCGGATATTGACGCCTAGAATTATAATATGAAATCAGGCATATATAAATACCGAATTCCTTCATAACCATTGAAATATTTTTAAAGAATCTTCACTAACCTATACAACCCATTTTACATTATCTATTCCACCTCAAACATGTACAAAGTTTCTGCGACATCAGCCATTCGTCGGTTCTCCACTAATTCCCGTGTTCTTGTCAATTATGGATTTGTTGGTTTGGGACAAATGGGTCAACATATGGCAAGACACATTTACAATCAATTGGAAGTTGACGATAAATTGTATGTGTACGACACTGTCCCCACTGCTGTTGATCAATTTGTATCAAATGTAACTCAACAAAATGCCACCAATAAGGAAAAATTGGTGACTTTACCTGATTTGAAAAGTTTTGTCACCGGTGTTGATGGACAATTGGATTTCATTGTTACTATGGTCCCTGAAGGTAAACACGTCAAGGGAGTAGTTGAAGATATCGTTACTAGTTTTGAACAAAATGGTTACAGCCCCGATTACAACACCACCATTATTGATTCATCAACAATTGATATCCCCACAAGTAGACAAGTGCACAAGTACGTTAAGGAAACATTGCCACAATTTGATTTTATTGATGCTCCAGTAAGTGGAGGTGTTGCTGGTGCCAGAAAGGGTACGTTATCATTCATGTTGAGTAGAGAAACCCATCAAGATGTATCTCCAGCATTGACCACCTTGTTGAACAAGATGGGTAAAAACATTTTCCCATGTGGTGCCACCCACGGTACCGGATTAGCAGCAAAATTATCCAACAATTATTTACTCGCAGTGACAAATATCGCCGTTGCTGATTCATTTCAATTGGCTAAAGCTTTTGGACTCAATTTACAAAATTACGCCAAATTGGTTGCTGTGTCAACGGGTAAATCATGGGCTTCAGTTGACAATTGCCCCATTCCAGGTGTGTATCCGGAAAACAATTTGCCTGCTGATGTAGGTTACCAAGGTGGGTTTATTACTAAATTGACGAGAAAGGATGTGGTGTTGGCCACTGATTGTGCCAAGGACCAAGGTAGGTTTTTGTTTTTGGGTGATGCCGGAAGATATTGGTATGATAAGGCTTGTGAACGTGAAGATATTGCTAATCGTGATTTGGCTGTCTTGTATGAATGGTTGGGAGATTTGAAACAAGAGGCTGATGGAACCGTTGTTGATACTAAAGTGTCTAAATAGAGTCAAAGTGTTGAAATACATGGGGTAGAAACAACAAAAGGGTCCAAGGTTCTCAAAAATAAAAGTTAAGTTTCTAATATACGCCATCAATTTGAAATAGTTGTTTGTAGGAGATGTGCTAATCTACAGTAGCTCCATCTAATGACAATACGAATTGAATTGAAAAAAGTACACTTCAATCTATAAAGAAAAATAGACACCACGACCTTATGCAACTAGTTGAACCATTGGGACTATGCGACTACTTTGGCTTTCCACTTAGTTGTTCATGACAAACCCCATTTTCAATCCATGTGGAATATTCTGTACATCACCACTACCTTCAGCGCTTTTAGACCCTCTCTGATCATGTCCTTGACGTTGTACTTCATTGGAACTCAAACTCGATCCTTCTTCAACTTCGTACTCATCGTCGTTAAAGTTACTTCCAACAACACCAAAACTATGTTGTCTTGTTTTATCAACAGCATCTTCATTGCCAGCAGCAACCGTAGCTGCATTCCCACTTGAGTGAGTTGCTGTAGTCTTGGTGTCTCCACCCTCACCCTCACCATCACCATCACCGTCAACTTCAACATCATTGTTGTCGTTATCGTCACCAGCACCTTGATCTTGATAATGTTTCTTTATCCTTGGATTCCGCAAATGATGCAAACTATTTAACTTGTAGAAATCATCATCATGAGCTGAAATATAATCACTAATGATTCCCATGGGTTTCATTCCAGTTAATGGTTGACTCGGACGACGGTAAGATAAATCGTAAATTGATGAAGATATAGAAAAATTGCGTTCATCATTCAAGTATGGGTCGTGAGACTGGGCTGTGCTCGTGCTCGTATTCGTATTCGTCGCTGATGCAATGTCCATAGATGTCGTAGTTGGATGGATGGAGCTGGTAGACATATTGAGCAATGGTAATGTTTGCTCGACTGGTAATTCAAATGAGTTAGTGGTGGAAATGGACGATGATCGCGAAGATCTCGAGTCATTAGACACAACATGTGAGTGTTGACGAAGAGGCAGTGATGGGGCAGTGGGGGCAGTGGGGGCAGTGGGGGCAGTGGGGGCATTGCTGTTGCGTTGCTTGTTGGTTGGTGAAGTTGAAGATGTGTCATTATCAATCCTTTCCAAATCCTCAGTGCCTCTGCTACTACTCCTCCTGTGAGAAAATGAAATTGGTGCAAGACTGGGTGAAATTGGTGAATGTGGGTCATTTGCAAGATCACCTTCCTCGTCATCATCAAAAACTGCATTGTCTAATGAAAGATGAGTTCTGCTACCACCGTGTTGCCCTGAAAGTGACTGATTGTTGACACCATTTATTGATTCATTGACGATAGCTTCTTCTGGTACATCATCGCCTTCTAAACTAACATCAGTTCCTTGAATCGATATCTCTGGCACCACAACATCTGCTATTGGCTCATCAACCATCGAAGTTGTTGCATGCTCTTCTTGCGTTTCTGGTGGAGATGTATTGTGTGGACCATTACCATGCCCTTGCAACTGCTGAATCAACAAATCTCTCACGGGTGCAACCGTATTCACTTGTAAACCAGTCGTGTTTTCCACTGAAAAAGCACCACTAACAGCACTGTTTGGTGTTGTTAATGGATTGGCAAATTGTTGTCCAACTTCATCATCAATTCTTAATGGACTCAAGCTTAATGAGCCTTCACCACGGCCACGACCATCACCAGAAGGACCTCTGCTACTACTACTACTACCACCACCACTGGTATTGGCAGTATTGCCATTGGAATGTAATATATCGCCATATGCTGGTGGGTGCAATGACATAACTGGTGGCAGTTTAGTACTTTCTTCAAATGGAGGTGGTGCTGTAGAAGGCTTTCTAATCAAATGTATAGGACGCTGAACTGGAGACTTCAAAGGTGATGTAAATGTGTCTGGATGTGGTTTGGCTTGTGGAGAATTAATTGTGGTGATGGTCATGTGATCCTTGGGCTTGTACAAATTGGCCTCCAAATGCATATCGGCGTCTCGTTCAGTAGCCCCCACATCCATATCAGTTGAAATATGATGAAATTCAATAGGTCTGGAGGTGTTACCATCGACAGCAATGACATCAGGTGATAATGGGTTTTCTGAAGGCGATCTAACTGTAGATGCAGCTTGTTCTTGTGATGCTGCTGAAGAAGGAGTATCAACCAAGTCATCATATGCAGGAAGTAACGTGTTGCTATGAGCTGCCAATGGTGACAAGACATGTATGGGTGAATCAATGGAAATCTCATAATGCTTTCGCTTGCCTTCATTTTCAGGGTCCATCTTACTAATTCTCAAACAAATCTTGATCCAATGATGTGCTTGAATGTTTTCGTATGAAGTATCGGGATGAATCTGCGAATTTAATCGACCAATCACTTGATGAGGAACAAACAATTGAAATTCCAACTCCTTGGGTAACACATCTTCATCATATTCATCCAACCCAACTGTTGATTCATCTTGTGGGTTTTTCTGCAACAATGAGCGTCCTTTTCTTGCCTTGTGTTCCAACAACAAAAACTTTTTAACTGGTTCCATGCGATGAACTTTTTTGTTGCAACAATAGTATTCCAAGTTTTCAGTCAAATAGATCCTTATTCGATGCAAGGCAACCTTACCAAATAAAGGAACAAATCTGAATGCTAATGGTAAATAAGAGTCAAGAACCACTGATTTAGCTCCGATAACGATATCATATTTGATCTGATCTTCCCAATCTCGTGATATGACGATGGACTCATTTTCTTCCATATTAAGTTCTGATGGTGTACGAACAATGGTGATTGGTAATTTACCTGACAAGTTGGATTTAAAAGTACCTGGTCTTTGTATAGAGACTTCCAAATTGTAACTTGTAGATCCAAATGTAACATTACAGGATTCAGGAATAGATGGTGGTAAAGGATGTTCAAAATTGTACAAATAATCACCAGGATTGAAAAGCATACTCGAGTTTGGGTCATTATTGGAAGGAGAAACAATTGAAGTTAAATCGGAAAATGCACTTGAGGATTCATTAGGGGCAGGTGATTTTGATCTCCTTATAAAGCTAGGTGATAAATTTCTCGTGAAGAAATTGTCATTATGGTGATGATGATGGTGGTGGTTGGAGGAGGACGTAGATGATGCAATTGAAGATCCACCAGTAGATGATCTATGCAGCAATGGTGGTGGAGTATTTGACCTAATGGCACTAAGATCATCTCCAGGTGATGTTGAACTATGATGAGTTTCTCCATTTTTCTCTATATAGATATCAGCTCCATTATTTGGTATAGGTGCTGATGTTGGTGATGCTTGGAAAAACGGCCATGTGTGAGTAATAATGTCATTGTTTTCATTGTACACATTCTTTTTCGGTGGTATTCCTTCAGGCCAATCAGTGCGCTGCACTCCTTTGAAACTTAAAGTAATCGACTTGATTTTTGTTGGTTTAAACACACGTATGTATAGTGATCCACGGAGTAAAGTGGGTGGACGTGATTCGTATTCATGAGATTCAAATCCCTGGACAAACAATACTGGTTCTGATGGGATAATGTATGCAGCCAAGGAAGAAGTACCAGTAGTTGGTTTGTCAGGTAGTGTTGGTAAAAACACTTGATGTTGTGGATGAGATACCGACAGATTGCGATGTGGTCGTGACTGCAGTTGCAGTTGCAGTTGCAGTTGCAGCCGGTCTCTAGTACTGCTGCTTGTAGTACTCAACTGCAGTGGTGGAAATAATGGTGAGTTCGGTATATGACTGTGATTTTGCATAGTTTGAAAAAGATGTCTATGTGAATATATGTATGAGTCTATTTGTGTGTATATGTGAAGGGGACTTGGGAGAAGGTATTCGCTGGTTGAGACTAATGTACAAATGAAAAGTATTGCTGGGATATACTAGTGGGGTTGAGAAAAGATGGGCTATTCTAATGTGTGGTTTCGTTCAACAAAATTATGAATCTTCTGGTATCCTTTAGTGAATAAGAGATGAAAAAAAAAAAGGAAATGAGAAAATGCCTGACTGATGTGATGTGGTGTAAGCTTAGATTGGAATACCTTTGATGGTTGATGGTTGATGGTTGATGGTTGATGGTTGATGGTTGGTTGGTTTAAAGAATTGATGGGGGAGAGGAATTTTGTAAACTTTTTTTTTGCTTCTCTGTTTTTTTTTGCTTCTCTCAACACACACACACACAGACACACAAACAAAAATTATGTTTTGAGGTAAATTTGAGATATTTTTTTTTTATTTTCTTCGCCAATTTGCAGTTTGGAAGGTATTTACGAATGAAAAACAAATTGTATTTACTATATGATGTAAAGAGAGAAATTAGAGAATAGTAGCAGCATATATGTGTGTGTATATATGTATGTATACACACAAACCAATAGAAAGAAAAGAACGAAAGCACAGACTTCAGTTTATTTATGTGCGCAGAGTTTTAGTTGAAAAAATCATCACTCAAAAACGGATGATTTTTTTTTTTCCCCAGTTGCAATCAATAGCAAACTGAGAGGCCAAGACTTGGGAATAAGAGTTAAGTCTTCTTCTTCTTCTTTTTCTTCTTCTTCTTCTTCCCCTCAAACCTACCAACATGTACTTCACACGTATTGAGTGACTGTGTTTCCCTTCTTCCCGCCCATTCTTTTATTCTTGTCCTAATGATAAGAAATTAAACTCTGAAAAATCGCATTCGGTAGCGTCATTGCAAATTCCGAAATTGGCCATATCGCCGTCTTAAAGCCGGTACCTGATTAATCCCAACACACATGTGCACGTACTAACACTTGCAATGAATCAATGGCACTACGGACCCCTAAGTTAACTACATTTACAAGCAAGTGAACGATACAAGGAAGTCATTGTAGGATATACCTTGCAAGACGATTAGCACGTTCAAAGTCTATTTCCTCCTTCACCGCATATTTTACACAAAGAAAGATGCATTATATCTCTCGGAACAACTGGGAAAAATCCGACAAATAAAATTTTATATGAGGAACCACACAGTGGTTTTATGTGCAATTTATATCATTCTTTTTTTGATGAAAATGAGTCTGTTACCGGTGTGCATAGTGGTTTATGTACTCAATTCATATTGTGAGATGTTGACTCACAGAAAGTGAATTCACATGATGCATTTAATCCCTCGGACTTGTTAGTTCGGTCACGTGAATTTTCTTCAACTAGACGTACAGTTTATACTTTGCTACTACAAACAACAACAACAACAACAACAACAACAACAACAACAACAACAAAGGCAATCCATAAGTCAAGTCCGATACTGTATTACTCACAGCTCATAGCACTAGAGTATTATCAAATACTCCTGTTCGGTTCAAGTAGAGATACCACTGTTGTTCTTAGAAACACTTGAGTGAAGAACAACGCATACAAAGCTAAAACGAACAATCATACTTGGTTGTACACGTGTACGTATGGCAAGATGGAGTTTCTACTACTCCATTCGTATCCACAATTTAACATTTTTTTAGAAAAACACAAAAATCTAAAGATACACAAGATATAGAGGCGTACTCCTCTATGAGGGATAACAAAGCCACCTTTTACTCCAACAGTCCACCTCACTATATTCTTTGTTACATGATAAACTAATTTTGATAAGGCAAAATCACTTTTTCCCTTATTTCCCCTCCTTATTCTATTACCAGAGCCCCAATTTTGTGCTGTTCCATGGAGCGATAGCATGCAATAGAAGCCACCTCATATCATAACAATAGGGCTGCGTCCCTCCTATATTTAGATCAACCCAGATTCAACGAAACGTATGTAGTTACTAAATTAAAAACAATGCAATACAACAATAGGAATAAAAGGGGGTAAAGGTAAACAATGGAAGATAAAAGCGGCTGAACTTTTTTTATACTCCATACGGCATTTCTTCGGGGAAGGTGGAATCTAAATCTCCTTTCTCCGTTAGATTGCAAAAGATAACAATGAAGTGGTGTACGCAAATGTTCTCAGCCCTACTAACCTCTCCATAAACGCAAAGCGTATGGGTGAGTCCTTACTTTAAATGATATAAATACCCTTCCTTCCCCCTTTCCTCTTTCATTAAGATCCATAAAGCAGGTACAAACACCTTGGATCTGCCTTAGCCAAGAATTCAGATAAAAAATGTCATTTTCATCTACCGTTCAAACGTCTTTGATTGCCGAAACTGCAAATTCATCAAAATATTCTCACATGCAACCGAAACCACCACCAAATATTATCAAAGGTGGTTCTCATGCATACCGAATCCCACAACTCCCATCACCACAAGAGCAAAGAAAATGGGCATTACAACACATGGCTGGTGCATTTAGAGTCTTTGCCAGAAAAGGGTATACTGAAGGAACCATTGGCCACGTTTCCCTTCGTGATCCCATTGACCCCAATACATTTTGGATTAATCCCATGGGTAAACATTTTGCCCTTATGAAAGTTTGTGATTTAGTCCATGTTGATCAAGATGGAAACATATTACCAACTGGTAACCAAGCGCCAATAAAACTTGCTGGGTTTCTAATGCATTCAGCAATTCATAAAGCTCGACCTGATGTCAATGCCGCTTGCCATTTCCATACAACATACGGTAAAGCTTGGAGTTGTTTTGGTCAACCTTTAGATATGATTAATCAAGATGCATGTATTTTTTACAATCATCATGCAGTATATTCGCAATTCAATGGAGCTGTATTGAATCAACAAGAAAGTGGCAACATTGTGAAAGCTTTAGGTAACGATGGGAAAGCAATCATTTTGCAAAATCACGGATTATTGACTGTTGGTTCAACTATTGATGAAGCTGCGTATTTATTCACTTTGATGGAGAAATGTTGTCAAATTCAATTATTGGCTCAACTGGCTCAACTGGTTCCACTTCATAACACAATAAAAATTATTGGCGATAAAGAAGCTCGATATTGTGAGGAAATACATGGTGGTGCCGAGACTTTGTATACTGAATTTCAACCAGATTTGGAATTAGAGTACTATTTAAACGATGATTTTATGAATTAAAAAAACTCTTGAACGTGAATAGCTGTCATCCCTTCCGATTGAATATTCTTGGGTTTGTTTTTATATGATTGCTTCTAGTTTTGTTATTTGAGTTTGCTGTTTTACTAATCATACATCTTTAGTTGTAAGGATATTTGAAAACGTATTGCAAACGATTTGATTTCTAAATTTAGATTGGGCGTGTAACACAAAACCACAAGTAACAAAGCCGTGCAAAAAACATGGTGATGAAAATAGGGGGACCTGATTCGCCCAAGAGTCGTCCCCCTTGCATTATACTAAACTAGTTTCTGAGTAGCTTCTCCGAGGAGCCAGTGTTTTGGCATCTTTGCTTCTTGTAGTAGGCTTTTGTAAAGAAATGGCTGTCAATGCAAATGGTTGTCAATAAACCTTAATGTCAAATTTTAGCACTCTTTAATATCCATACTCACTTTCAAATGAAAACTTTCTCTTTCTACCCAACAAAAAAACCTAATCGTGTACTTCCCATTGCCACATCTTTTGTTCGTGATGAAGACGTGCGCTATCGGCGCCAAAAATTTCTTAACCAATTCTATTTTTAGCCTCTTTTTTGACACAAAAATTGTACAATGTCAAATGCCACGGCCTTTGATTTTGTCAATCGCCGATCTGAAAAAACAAAGAGTCCAAAGCCACTTTCGACACAGCCATACTCATCACCCCTATATTAATCAGTTCATTTATAAAGTATTTGAAAAAAAACAATTTCCTTCATTTTTTTCTGTTTTTCTTTCTCCTGATTTGATTCTACTATTCTTCCCACTTATTAAATGGCTAGTGGCGATATAAAAAGCTCCAAGGGAGCTTCAGTGTTTTTCGGTATATGTTTCATTGTTTTGCTCGTCATCCATGTGGTGCTAATGCTTTGGAAGCAGTCGTGGCACATGTTATGGTTAATAATTGGTACTATCCTAGAGCTCAGTGCATTTTTTTCAAATAATGCCGGAAATGGTGTTCAAAGTGTCCAAGTTATCATCGCTCCAATATTTATTGCCGCATCTGTGTATTTTTCATTTAGTGGGTTATTGAAAAAGCTCGAGATTCCCAAAATCGGCTTTAATCGAAGATTCCAATCATTTTTATTCATCATTGGTGATATTATCTCTTTTGGTCTTCAAATTGCTGGTGTTGTGCTTCAAATGATTGAAGATGACAAGTCGCTAGGTCAAGGGTTGATTATCACTGGATTCATTGTACAAATCGTGTCCTTTTGTTGTTTTTTTACTTTGGTGATTGCCGGTCATCGCAAAGTTAATAGAATGCCATTGCAATCAATAATGAAAGGTTATTATAGTTGGAGGACGTATTTCAAAGTACTTTATGTGCTTGCATTGCTATTCTTTATTAGAAACATCTTTAGATTGGTTGAATATGCACAAGGGTATGGTGGATACATTTTCAACCATGCTGTATATGCATACATTTTTGATGCTGCTCCAATGTTGATTGTATGTATCCTTTTGGTAATTGTGCATCCAGGCTTTGTTTATGCAAAAGTGCAAAAATTCATGATGGAACCAAGGGGGGACCAGGAGGATGATATAGTAGATAAGTCGTCAATTGAAATGGCCTAGATGGAAGGGGTGTCCAATGTGAGATAATACAACGTAAATCTTAATCATGCGATCGCTCAGCTCTATCCTCATTCTAACTCTTTTGCACCAGTAGCCATCTCCAGAGACAAAGTTCAAGTAATAGTTCAATTGGGCAACTTCATCCCATCAATCTGCCTCCTGAGATAGATGAAGCAAAGGTTGAGTAGATGTGATTAATTTCGCTACCATTTCTATCTCATCTTCGAATCTGATGATCCTCTCAAAAGAATCTCCAACGCACAACATTCATTACAAGTGTCTCGATGATACAACTAATTCACAGTTCAAGGATACGAGCATGTCCGCCAAGCATAAAGAGCCGCTTGCAATTCCAGTTACGTTTCCGCGCAATTGGTAGACCACCGAAGCAAATCAAACCCTTTGACTTTGCAAACTTTGATCCTCAAGCTGATCCCAATGAAGCATCAGCGATATATACCAATCTTGGATGGTTCTATATCCCACTCAGGTATAATACTGATAAACAGCCTCGAATACTTTTGAATAAAGAGTTCACTCGCAATGGGTTTACTAAGGACACGGATCGTGAACAAATACAGCAATTCATCTATCAATGGTGTGCAAGTTTTACACCAACCGTATACAAAAAGAAGACATCTTTTAAGGCAGAGTCAGAGCAAAAGAAATTGGACTTGTTGTTTCGTCAACAAATGTCACAGAAAGTTCATGCCGACTTGGAGACAAAACGCACCAGAGAAGAACAGAGATTCAAAAATGAAGCTAATAGATCTAACGATAAACTACGATTCAAGATTGATCCTGATACAAAGAAAACTGAAATAAGAGGCTGGTTGAAAATGACTAACGTATTCAATTACTATATACAAAGACAAACCTATGAAGGTGAACTAAAAACTGAATTGGAAAAATTGGCAATGACTCCGTGGAAAATTAGACAGATTGTGTCCAAAGAATGGAATAAACTATCGTCAACCGAGAAGGATGCTATTAAGCAGGAGTATTTGGAGATTTTGTCACGTGGGAAAGATTACCATTTGGGTAAAGAAGTTGATCTTGAGCTGAGATTGAGTGATGAAGTTCTGGAAGATGGGTTTAGGTTTAAAAAACTGTATTCAAAGAGTAAAACAAAGGGGTGAGTAGTGGCTTCATTGTAGGAACTAGTGGCAAAAAGAGGTGTCATTCCTCAAACTTGTAAATATTGAAAAGGAACAAAATCGAACTGTGTATGTATATATGTATCTTAAATTGGGCGTAACAGAAAAACATCAGACAAAATTGAATCTTTTTACTTTTTTACTTTTTGCAACACTAGAAAGCTTCTTCTACTACTTTCATAAGATCCAAAGTCGTCAATGTGTATACGACATGTTAGAGCCAACGTATCTAGATTTGTCAGAGTCCATTATTCAACTATAGCACAAACAAGTGCGCAATCCAATAGGGATGGTACATCAATTGATCTCAAAATATCGACGCCAAATCCTGAGACAACTAAAACTTCTTCACCCATCAAGTTATCACGTCAAGAAGTTCAAAAGTACTATACCCTTTTCAAAATGTCAGAGTTTAGCCCATCAATGACATATGACGACAAATTGGCCAAGAGTCTACGATTGTGGAAACGCAAGTCTCGCAAAGAGCACAACAACATACACGCTGCATTGGAGAATATAATCGACGAGGTGGTTGCCAAGAAGGGATTCATTGGGCCAGAAGTGACACCGGAGAACGTTTCTTCGAATGATATGTTGGAGGATGACGAAATTGTTGATAAAAACCAAGCCTATAAGACACCGAAATACAGATACAATTTAACTTCAGGGACAAGACTTTTAAAATTTACACCACCTTCCAATAAAATACGAAGATACTTTCACTATCTAAAATTTCAACAATACAAGGAGCAACACCCACAATCGAGCTTGGATTCGGTAACCAAATCCAAAATCATTGCCGGAGCTAATCGTCAATGGAGACATGTGTCGTCATTAGAAAGATATATTTTTAGGATTGATTATGAGAACTTGCTATACAAGGGGATGGACATATCTCAAAAGGGTGAGGAATTAGTTACTGTGGAAGTTAGTGAAGGAAGTGATTTGGTTGTTCATAAAGTACTTGGCGAAGCTGAGCCTAGAAGGGACATCAAGAGAGGCAAGAGAATACCATCTATAAAGTTGATTCTTAACGAATTGACCGGGTATGTACATGTTTATGGATTAACCGATTTTCATGTTTGGAACTACTTTTTGGGAAAAGAGTATGCATCTAGAGTTGGTGAAGGTTGTGACAATATTGGTGAGGTGATTCGTCAAATTGAAGACAATTGGATTGAAATGAGTACATCACAAAAGAATTCAATCAGGACTGAATACAAGAATATACTATTCCGGGGACAAGATCTACTTTATGGCAAGTTACTGTCAATTAAAAAGAAACGAGACATAATTAATAAACCAAAACAATATCATGTTGTTTGCATACGAGGTGATTCAAGTTTATTCAATGTCCAAGCGTGTGATGTGTCACCGAGCAAATTTACAATCCCCCAACCAACAAAACTACGATTTATCAAGAACACATTTGTCGGGAATACTATTATTGTGGGTGAATTGGATTTACTACATGCATGGAATTACTTTGTTTATCAACAGCGACAACTACAAGCTAAAGAGATTGATGATGAGCAAGAATTTCATCAAAATTTGATGCATCAGTGGAATGAAGAGATGAACGATGCTGATAAACAAGAGTACCTTGAAGGATACAAATCACTTTTAGTATCTGGATATGATATATACATGGGTGAGAAGATGACAATTGAAATGAAAATGAATAAAACGGGGATAAAGAATTTAGTTGTTGAAGTATGGGGACAACCGATAACACAAGGAGTGGGTCGTACTATAAAAATTAGTCCATTACCTATACTAGTTGAAAAAGAGACAAATAAAGTATTGGTTTTGAGCGAAGTTACAGATGTACATGCTTATAATTATTACTTGGCTAACCAATTGGCAGTACAAAGAGGTGATAGCGATGGGATTGCTGATTATTCCAAGTTGCCCCAATTGCAACAAGAATGGCTTGCATTCACACCTGAACAAAAGCATACGTACGCTACTGAATACATGCAGTTGTTAAACAATGGTCAAGACTATGCATACGGCAAGATTGTTCCCCTAACGGAAAAGTTGAAGATTTCAATTTATACACATCCCACAAAGCTAAATGGTAAAGGTACCAAATCCGCTTTCAATGTTGAGTCAAGTAATAAGAAGGATGTTGATTTTGATTCAATGTATCCACAAGCGTTTTCTTACTACATGTACACCCGCAAGACGATAGACAATGTTGGTGATTCGCAACAAATTGCCAATGAATGGACCAATATGCCTGATGAAGAGAAATTGGAAGTTCAAGATGCATATGGCATTATGGTTGACGCAGGATTCGAACTTGTTGATGGGGTATTAAAGGATGTGCAAGCAAAATAGAAATTGGGCGTGGAGTAGGAGTGGATGCAAATTGGAATTCAAGAGGATCTACATATGCAATGGTTAATGCTACAATAAAGTTAAGATCTTATTCAATTGATTTTACGATTTAGTGATGTGATTTCAAAAAAAACGATAGGTTTATGTTTTTACAAGACGAGCTTGTTTGTGTCACAAGAGTATTTACATTAAACTAAATAGGATTTACAATAAAACGGGTGAATTCGTATGCAAAAGTTAGCAAGGAATGTGAAAAAGCAAAAAACTTGTTTGTTTTGGTATTGCACTAAAAAGTTTTATTGACCTCGGATGATGGGAAGTGGAAAAGAGAATACAAACACAAAAGTGAAATCAAAAATCAAGGGTAGTGTACTTGTGGTATGTTTCTCCACAATTTTTTAGAATTATACCGAGAATTGGTAACGTATACACTACCGTGTCTGGCTTCTTAAAATACATCATCAATAATTGGATAGAGGTAATAACGGTGTAAAGCCAAGAGAATAAAGCTCAGAGCTCACTTACTAAAGCTGTATCAAAGAGAGGAAAAGTACGTCGGAGACGAAGAGTAAGTAAAGTATCCTTTGGGCTGTATCGACCAAATCAAGTATAAATATACACCATACAAATTCAACTTTCGCTTGTGCAGGAAATATTCCGTAACTCCATACATTCACTTCAAAAGCTGTTTAGACTTTTGTTGAGCATGGGGTGTACTCCTCTTTGGCGTTACCTCTAGTTAGCTACACATTACCTTTCAATTATCTACTGGGGTTAATGTTGCTTTTTTTTTTTCTTAGTTTAAGTCTTAGTTGGCTGTGGAACCTCTCTTCCTCTCCCCCAACATATTTTGCTTGTGCTTGTGTGCTTTCGTCCCCATCTTATCTTTGTGATACGTTTGTTAACAATTCAATAATTTTTTTTTTCTGTTAGTTTTTCCATTTGACATTTTTCTTTCAGCCAGAACCTTCAACAAAGTTACTTCTTCTTCTTCTTCTTTTTCCTCATATCTCAGAGAACCGACGTTTTACCTCAAGAAGGCTGATAATATTCATACATTATGGTTGCTGATACTATTATTTACCACCCTACATTAACCAAGTTGGTTAAATTTTGGGATTCAACCCCCAAAAGAGAAAAATCATTTAGATTATTGGCGTACTTGTCCCGATTCTTGTCGTACTATGCTTACAGAAAGGGTTATCCTAAGGAAACCATAGAGATGTTTAAAGGTCTCAAGAACCACTTTTCATTCATTAGAAAAGGTATGAGATTTTTCAAACCAATTCCTCATTTACAAACTGCTGCTAAAGCCTATGATAATCAATTAATGGATCCTGTTTTACAAGTTACCACCATTATTAGAAACTTGGGTTATGCTGGATACTTGGGAATTGACTCAGTGGTATTTGCCAAGATGTTGGGCCTTATTGATTCGAAAAAATGGCCAAACTTGTCAACTTATGCTAGTAGATTCTGGTTATTGGGTTTAGTGGCTGGTATCATCCATTCTTTGAGAATCATCACCTCATTATCAAACTACAAACGCGATCCAACTGATGAAAAATCAGCTGCTGCCGTCGATGAAAAATCCATCAGCAAACAATTGTATCAAGCAAAGAGAAAATTGGTTTGGGACTTGTTGGATAGTTTTATTGCTTTGAATACCTTGAACTATTTGCACTTTACTGAGGGTGATATTGGTTTAGCTGGTGTTATCACTTCGATTTTCGGATTGGAGGACATGTGGAAAGCAACAACCGTTTAAGGAAAGTAAACATTCTGTGGAGCGGAAACAAATGTGTGAGATATCGAATATTCAGGGTACAAAAAGCGTCCAGTTTTTCTGACTTGAATATTGGAGTTTTATTTGGTAGAAGTTGGAGTAGACGTTATACAAATGGGTTAATCATGATTACTAGGTTTGATGATTGAATTGACATGATAGATATTTTATTATTGTAGAAAATGGCCCTGATACTTGTAAGTAAACTCTGAGTATCTTATACTTCACCGGCATTGCTATTTTCGTCAACAATGTCATCTCGTTTTCTTGTAGCATCTATATTAACTTCTTGTAGTTTATCATGAAGTTCAAATCCTGCCCAATAGTATTTGATTAGTAAATTCTTCAATTCTTTGGTCAACTCCTCAGTGGTTTCTTGTGATTCAATTAGCCGTACAAGATGTGGTGCATCTTGACTGATGTCAATAGCATCATCTGCTATGACTGCTTGGCTACGCTGTAGTTTTAGCTGCTGTTGCTGTTGTTGTTGTTGTTTACTAATCGTTGATTCAAGTTTTTGCTTCTTTTCAAGTAATCCTTTATCAGGTGTTAAATTATTCGATGTGGTGTATGATACATATGAGTTAAACCATTCTAAATTCACCTCGTTGTCTATACTCGTCATTGCTGTGTATTAGTTCGACAGTATAATTAAAGAGTATTACTATCGTGGATTTTTGTGTCGCATACATTTCAAAAGCATCTTCAATCTCTTCGCACATTTTTTTTTTCAATCAAAGCAGAAGACAAAGGACATCACTTAAATCACCACCACGACCGTCATCACCACCATGTCGAACCAAAAAGAGTACAGGATACATATAGGAAACATCTCACCGAAACTCAAAGAAAATAGTAACTTATTAGAGCAACGAATAAGCAAATTTGATCTTCAAGTGATATCACCATTGGAATTCCATACCAAGCCAATTGAAACCAAATACTTTGCATATACTACTGTGCTTGGAACACCAGCTGATTTCAACACATTCAAAAGCTCTCTCAATGGTATCCAATTCATGGGATTAAAATTGTCCATAGGAATAGCTAAACCATCGTTTCGAGAACGCTTCCACAACTTACTGAAGAATAAATCAGAACAGTTGCAGCAAGACGAGATTAAACAAGCCAAAATTGCACAGTCAAGACTTGATAGAATAACTGAGCTAAACACAAGTTATCCTACTAATCCTATAACATCATCCATTGTAACTGCACCAAAGCCAACAGTACACTCAGTGTCTCAACATACATTCAACAATGCATCGGCTACCACCAAGAACCCACCACCATCACATAGACTAGATGGATCCAAGTCCTATGGTGCTACGCTTGACAGGTTGAACTTCAAATATCGTAATGGATCGGCACATTCTCTAGTGAAAGGTGTCCATCGTCGAAATGCAAGAAAAGATTTACGACTGCAAACATTGCGAATCTTGGTTAATGGAGAGTTAAAGACATTTAAGTTCTACAAGACAAAGCTATGGGGTGTCGAAAAGAACAAAACAGTTAGAGATTTGACTTGGAGATACGATGCCAAAATGGGGTGGAAAAGTGGCGATGATCATTTGATTGAAGGTATCACGAGAAACTCATGTGGAATTAATGGTAAACAGGCATCAAAGTATGGTCAAGATGCCGAATCGCATGCCCAACCATCAGATGGACATAAAGACGCTGATGATGATGCAGATAACGAAGCTCGCAAGAACAAGGCGATTTTAGCTTCATTGATGAGTAGTTACAATTTCGATAAGCCAGTGAATATTGAAGAAGACAAGGATGTTGATATGGATGAGATTGAAGTTGACTCAAAGGGTAGAAAAAAAGTGAAGCATTATGATTATGAAGTTGAAGGAAAAGCTGGAGACGAAAATGATGAAGAGGAAGCAAGCAACCCGGTCGAAAAAAGTGATGATACAATAGCACTTGCTTTAAATAACGTAGATTTGGTGAAACCTGTGAAAGAGGTGTATTATGATGAAGATGATGAAGGTAATGAGCTAGATTTTGACATGTTGAAGCCTACAGTTGTGGCGCAGGAAGATGTTGGAGACGTTGCCAACGTCAATGGACTACAAGAACAAAAGAACCTTGATGCCAGTCTCGATTTTAACCGTGAGGAAAAGCATGATGATGACGATGAAGATGAAGATGATGAGTTCACTCCATCTTTTGGAGCCCCTGCTTCAAACAATACAGAAACACTTCGATCTTTGTTCAATCCAACAACAACATCCGACACCCAAGCACAATCGCAGTCACAACAACCTGCATTCAAGCTAGCCCTATCAGATGATGACCACGATCTTGATGAATCCAAATTGGCACAAGATCAACTACAACAACAACAAGAACAGCAACAACTCTTGGCACAGATTCAACAACGTAAACAAGAAGAAGTGGCACGTGTTTTACAACAACAACGACAAACCCAGTACGGTTTATTTTGGCCACATTTGGAATCTCCCTTTTTATCAACACAATCACAATTGTCCAAAATTGATAATTTGGGAGAATTTGGGTTTGCATTGCCTCAGTTGAGCAAGGTTGCTGAAGGAAGTAGTGGTGGTGGTGCTGTTGAAAAAGAAGGCGAGACTGAATATGAGAAATGGTTCTGGTCAGTGCGTGGTGAGTTTAGTCGTGAGTGTAAGAGGCGAAAGCGAGATTTGATGAGAATCATGCGTAAGAAGAGGAGCTAAGGAGGAGAAGATAAAATGGATAGTAGTGCTCAATAGTTTGTGTAGGTTAATATCTATACTTCAGTGATCCCTCAACTTGTATTAAAATACTGTACAACAGCGTAATGGTGTACGTCCGTAAAAGGCATCCCTTGGTGTTATCATTTGGTACCATATGTTTGTTATGTTTTGAACAAAAAACTGTTGCAAAAAATGAAAACTTTTGACGTTCAAACAGAGAACGAAACTGTTATCAACTACAAATTAGAAAGTTATCATCTCATCACAAGCACCATTGTTCTTTTCTGCTACGATGCCACCCACAACCACCACATCCTCTACCAGTGATCAACGACCTCAATTCACCCTCATCAACGTCATTAAAGACATATACAATGGAATCATTGCATTGGTCATTAACCCACTCGCAACAAGAATCACATATCCACTAATCGCTTGCATCGCATCGATAATCACCAAAATCATAATCAAAAAAGTCAGCTATACTGAAATCGACTATACGACATACTTGCAACAAATTGATAAAGTGAATGCTGGTGAGTTAAATTATGCAAACATTTATGGGGATTCGGGTCCAATTGTCTATCCAGCAGGATTTGTAACCGTGTACCAATACATTCAATGGTTATGTGGTGATAATGTTGAACAAGCTCAATATGTGTTTGGGTATTGTTTTACAGCCACTGTGGCATTGGCATGTTTTGTTTATGCTCAAATTTGGGATTTGGCTCCATGGCCCATATATTTGTTTTTGGCAAGCAGACGATTGTTATCAATATATGTGTTACGAATGTTTAATGATTGTTGGACTACTATCTGTATGGTGGGGGTTGTGTTGTTGTTGCAACAAGCTGCTGCTTTTAAAGAAGTTGACAAGAAAAGGGAGATTGCAGTTGTTGGTGAACAAAAGAAGAGTGGAGGTGGGAGCGATGAAGGGAAGAAGAACAAGAATAACAAGAATGGGGAGGAAAAAGTGGTGCGTGAAGTGGTTAAAGGGTCACCTTGGCTCGACATTAGTTTCTTGCTTACCATTATCGCTGCTGATCTATACAGCATTGCCATTTCAATCAAAATGAATGCACTACTATACATGCCAGCTTTCCTCATCATCACATATTTTCTCAACGATGAGAACTTGATCAAATTCATTATCGTTGTGACAATAATACCATTGGTACAAATCTTGGTTGGATGGAGATTCTTACTACTCATGTTTGACGACGAATTGGCTCGTACAATTAGATGGAATTATATCACCCATGCATTCAATTTCGGACGTCAGTTTTTATACAAATGGACAGTCAATTGGAAATTTTTACCCGAAACTATATTTACCTCGCCTCAATTTAGACATATTTTATTAGTACTTCATATTGTCATTCTTGGTATCTTTACATTTACAAGGTTTCTCAATTCCAAGATCATTGGGAAAACAATACCACAGTTGATTAAAGATGCATTCATCCCAAGATCAACCATATCCCCACAAAATGTATTTCTTAATAAGCTAATTGCTCCTCAGCTCATTTTTTACATCATGGCCATCACTAACCTCATTGGGATCTTGTGTTCACGATCACTTCATTATCAATTTCTCGCATGGTATGCATGGACACTACCTGCTCTACTTCACTTGAATTTCCCAGTATACGTCGGTGTACCCATTTGGTTTGTTCATGAATGGTGTTGGAATGTGTTTCCCGCAACCGCATTGAGCTCAGCAGTTTTGGTTACTGTGTTGATTTCCATCTTGGTTGCAAGTTGGTGGAATTTTGAAGCTTGGTTTCCAAAACATAGCACATTGAAAGAGTATGATGACTTTGTCAAACAACAAGAACTGGAAGGGAAAAAATTGTCATCAAAAAAGAATGAATGATATCCGATAGATACAATGGTGTGATAGAGTAGTGTGTGGGAAGCGTGCACTACATTACTATGCTGTTTAATAGTAATACAGAAATGTTAACATTAATAAGTATATGAAAAATTGTAATTAAAACTCACCTTGAATAAAGGTCAATGATGAAGTGAAAATTTAGCATCGATTAAAATGAAAGTAATAAATCAGGGTGGGATGGTGTATACCCCTCGACGATGAATGTCACAAATGTTCAAATGTCAAAACGAAATTTTGTAAAGTCAAAAAACTCACATGAGTTACTCAGATTACACGAATTTGGAAAACAAGTTCCAACAGCAATAAGCATCTTTCAAGTAGTCCCGTGTTGTCTCTCTTTTTCTCTCTCCTAGTCGCCATTTTCAATAGCATCCACATTCCAATTAAATCCAAGATCATCGTTCAACCCCAGATCAACAACATGTTCATCACCCCACAACTGGTTTATATCAAATTCAATATTATCAAACGCACCCGAATTGAGTCCGGATCCAACAGCTCCGCCAAACAAATCAGTATTGATGCTAGCAGTGCCGTCATTGGCGTCATTGCCACCATCACCACCATCACCACCAGATCCAGTGGCAGCAGTGGCTCCACTAGCAATAGCATTGCCCGTGTTGTTGCCGTTGCCACCACCACCAAGACCATTGTTCGTTGAACCATGAGGAGCATTATGGATATGCGTATCCGATAACAAATCCACATTGAAGAAATTGTGCCCCGTTGCATTTGACGAAGATGATGCACCACCTAAATGGTCATCAGCAAATGAAGAATGTGTTGGTGCTGCAGACGCAACAAAAGCTTCGTTGAAGTCATCAAAGTCATTCTTTAGGATGGGTTCTCCAGTACCTGGATTGGAATTGGCATTGTTGTTATCAGTATTAGTCTTATTTGCAGTAGTGCCAGCGGTGGAAGCAGTAGTAGAGCTGACAGTGGGTTTCTCTTCTGGTTTCGCGCCTCCCCTTGTTGCTTTTTTTCTTGCTGGACCTCCGATGTTACTAGCTTGAGCTTGTGATTTGGACTCGCCAGTTGAGTTCTGTGCCGTGGTTGCTCTCTGTTTATTACGAGGCGATTCAGCAACAGTATTCATCTTCCGCTTCTTTTTATTGTCAATTACCGGTTCACTAACTGGAGTAAGTGGAGTAAACTCCTTTCTTCCGATATTTGGCGTATAAGAACCACGTCTTTGAAGTTGTGGCTGGTTTTGTGACAAAGTGGATGGACCCTGTTGTTGCTGCTGCTGCTGCTGTTGTTGTTGTTGTTGTTGTGATGATGAAATTGGTTGTTGTTTGCTATCAACACCAGTATTTGATGGTGTGCTCGCTTGTGTTGACGCAACACTCTGTTTCCTACTTCTCCTACCACTAGGTTCCTTTTTGGGTTTCTTATTCCCCATTGCTGGTGACGGTTTGTTATTAATCAATGGGGAACTGTTTGTCGTTGCTGGTGATGGTTTTTGATTGAATTGAGGTGGAGGTGCGCTAAACATGGCTGGTGTTGTATGCAGTGATTGCGATTGAGTGCCTTGGGATGATGATTGATTATTTGCTGCGTTGTTATCCTGCTGCTGCTGTTGTTGTTGTTGTTGTTGTTGTTGTTGTTGTTGTTGCAAAGAGGGCGATGCGTTCGATGCCAACAAATTGGTGTCGGATCCACTGTTTCGTGCAATTTCTAATCTCTTTTTGTTTTGCTTCTCCAATAACATAAGCTGGTTTTGATAATCTTGTAATGCATTGCTGTTTCTTCCATTAGGGGCATTAACTCCTGGTGGTTGTGCTTTGGCGTTGGCTAGTTTCCCATTCGAGCCAGCTCCTTTTCCTCGAGGACCTGCTTGACCACGTGCTCCTTGATTGAGATTCTGTCCCTGGGGTGCCGGTGCATTGTTTGTGTTGGGGGCAGTGCCATTGACCTGGCCCGGACCTGGACCTGGACCTGGACCCGAACCTGGACCCGGACCTGGTGGTATAAACTGATTGGTTCGTGGCCCACTAGCAAATGGTGTCCCCTGGCCACGTGAGCCTGGTGGTTGTTGCCAAGGACCAGCAGGTGAGTTTTGCGCAGATGGACCATTATTATTACCAGCGTTCATTGGGTGGGGTGGTTGTTGCTGCTGCGCTTGTTGACGCAAAGTATTCATCTGATTTTGTGCTTGTTGTTGTAACGAGTTCTTCAACTGTTGTTGGGTTTGAGGTTGTTGATTCATCTGTTGTTGCATAAACATTTCCTGCTGAAAGCTCATATTCATGGGGCTACCCCCACCCGTCATGTTTGCATTTTGCAACGCTTGTTGTTGTTGTTGCAGCGGGTCTTGGCGCAAATCACCTCCCATATTCATTGAAATTTGTCTTTGAGCTGCTGCCGCTGCTGACGCAGCTTGCTGTTTCATTAGCATCATCATCCTTTGTTGATCGATGGAAAGATTGTTGCCAAATTGGGGATTGGCTGTATTTGGAAATTGCTGCTGCTGTTGATGTGGTGGTGGTGCACCTTGCGAAGAAGGGCCTTGCTGCAATTGTTGGGGCTGTTGTTGCGCTGAAAATTGTTGGTTGCCAGGAAACATAGGTTGTTGGGCAGCAGAAGCAGGGCCAGGGCCAACACCAGGGTTCATATTTGGGAAATTTGCTGATGTTGCTGATGGTGGTTGAGATCCACTTTGTTGCACTCTGTTAGCGCCTCCTGTACCTGTCGGACCAGCTGCTGGACCACCAAGTCCAGTTGGTTGTTGTGGATTATTGCCCTGGCGATGAGATTGTTGTGGATTGGGAAAGGGGGTATTTGGACCACTCTGTTGCTGGCCGGTTCGCGGCTGGGGGCGGGAGTTACCTTGCTGCGATTGTGCCTGTGCTTGTGCTTGTGCTTGCGCTCTAGCTTGTGCCTGTGCCTGTGCTTGAAGTTGCGCTTGTGCCTGCATTTGCGCTTGAGCATGTGTTTGTGACTCAGATTGAGCTTGTTGTGGTGGTAAAGGACCTTGCTGTTGAAACTGCGAAGGTGCACCACCTCGTTGTGTTTGCCGGGCTAGTTGTGCTTGATGAGCTTGTTGCGCTTGTTGTGCAAGGTGTGCTTGTTGTGCTTGTTGTGCTTGCATTGCTTGTAACGCTTGTTGTTGTTGGAAACTAGACATGGATGCCGGGACGGCCATTGCCAATTCCTGTTGCTGTTGTCTTTGTTTCAACAATTGCAACTGATAATACTTCAATGCTAAGTTTGACTTACCACCATTTTGATCTTGAGCAGCTGTTGATGACGATGGAGAAGAAGAGGATGCTGCTGCTGCTGCAGTTGCATTAGAACCACCAAGCCCACCTCCATTCTTGGCTTGAAATATATCCCAAAACATTTGCCACCATTCAAATAGAAAGCTTTGTGGAGAATCCATTGCCAAGTTCATCTTTGGTAAATCATGGTCCTTATAAAACTTCATCTGCAGTGGTGATTGCAGTGGTTGCCTATTTTGCGAATTATTATTACTGTTATTACTGGCTGCTGTTGCTACTGCATCAGTTCCAGGACTCAGATGTTGCGTTTGAGAAGTTCCTGGTGGTGAAACAACTGATGGTATTTCCGCTTCATTGACAAATATTTTGGCTGTTTGTGGTAGCTTACTCTTGACTAAAAAGTCATAAATGTAAGCATTGAGTAACTGATTAGCATTTTTGGCGTGAGAGTCTGAGACACTGATAGATGAAACATCATTCAAAGGTTTGTTTAGGGGAGTACTTCGGCTGTTGTTTGTGGCAGACTGTTTGCCATTTGAGTTGTTCATTTTCTAAGAACAATGAAGAGGGGTGCGTGCAGTCCTTTTGTTTGCTGGAGTGGTAATGGTGTGTGTGTGTGTGTGTGTGTGTGTGTGTATGCCCCAGTAATAGTCAACTTCGAGTGTATGGTTGCGTCGATGACAGTGTAAATCTTGTGGAATGATAATTATTGGTGAGATTAAATAAATAACAAAATCTTTAGTCCAATCTTAAGCGTGTGTGTTGCAATAATAAGTTCTGCTGTACCGATAGTGATGAAAGTGTGTTGTTGTGGTTGTACTAGTAGTATGTGAGAAGTCTGCGGGTTGATCGGTGTGTTTTATGTTATGCAATGGTTTTGTTGATGTTGATTATGTTGATGATGTTGATGATGAAGGAAAAAAACAAAGAAAAAAAAAGGGTTTCCTACAAAAAAAAGGGATCGAAAGTTGATGGATGAATGAATGGATGATACAACTTTTGAAAGTGGTGGAAAAAGTAACTTTTCCTATTTCCAAAAGCAAGAGGGAGAGCATATAGATGATTGAGCGTAGTACATATATATCGGAACTTATAGTGTTAGTTCAGTGTAAAAGCTACAAGATCTCTTGATATTCTTTTTTAAACATGGGATTAGAATGAGAAAGATTCCGTTTTAGTGTGTGTATTATGTATGGGTTGTTTTTCTTTAATGCATTTGTGTATTATGTATGTGTGTGTGGAGGTGTGGGTAGGTATGCGTGTCTATGCGCACAAAATGTCACGTTCTTTTATTTTTTCACGCTTTGTGGAAAAACTGTGTCCAAAAGAATTGTAATAAGCAATCCCCAGCATTATAACATGAAGATCACGCTGTCTCAATTTACTCACAATTCGTATAGTATCGAGTAGCTTAATTTAATGCTTCGTATGTTGTTGTTTTTAGCACATTTCAACCAATTCTGCCTAAAAAGTTCTCTCAGATATCCATTTGAGCCATGTACATTTCGATCAATCGTAGCTTTTCTCCTATTAAGTATCACCCCAGACAAGTTTGACTCTGAAATATCTAGCCACAAATGTCAACAATAATAGGATTGGTACTTCCAATAATGGTCCATAAACAGCAGCAATAGCTTGTTTACTTCCTTCGCCATACAATGCTATGGCAATTGCTAAACTCAATTCAAAATTATTGGACGCTGATGTGAAAGCTTGAGTTACCGTTGATGAGTAACTGGCATTACATTGTAATCTCCCTTTCGAGTGTTGTTCTAGCTGATGAGGGGTCAATTTTTCTTCGCAACCGCATTTGACAAGAAGTTTAGTTGATTCATCAAATTCGGGTTCCTCTACAACCATTGTTGTGTTAACAATTTCCGTGGTCGACTTTTCATAATCCAGAACAATTTTGTTATAATTGATGTAGTTTGAATACCATCTGACCCCAAAGAATGTTGCAAACCACATAATCACAAAATAAAGACAAAGTGGTATGAAACATTTGAGACTTTCACCAATTTCATGTAAAAATGAATCACCTTTGGATATGAATATGACCATTATTGTATAAAGTAGCCCAATCAATGCCCATGGACTGATCCAAGGCAACACCTTTGTATTAAATCTCTCCTTACCAACTGTCAATAATGCAAGAATGCGAATTAAAATCCCTGATGCCAATGGAATCCCCAAAAATACCCCAATATTCTTCAACACCAACACGAACAAGTCACCCATATCCAAATCCGTAGCAAATTCAATTGATTCATTAGTCATCACGTAACAAAACAAAACTTGATATGGGGCATATAATACAATTTGCAATACACTATTGATTATGACCAATATTGCACAAAGATCGTTTGACCCCATTGCCAACTGATTCCAAATAAGTACCATGGCAATACATCTGGCCATACCAATCATAATAATCCCAGTACGATACTCCTTTTCATTAAATAATGTAGCCCACGCTAATCCAAACATAAGAAAAGGTCCCACAATCCAATTCAAAATCAATGACACAACAATCTCACGCCAATGTTTGGACACAAAGTGCAGTGCCCTTTTGTTGTTGCTGTTGTTGTTGATTCCGGTTGCAAATGTGTAAACTTGTTCGTATTCAATCTTGCACAATGGTGGAATCATCATTACAACAAGACCAATAGTTAGTGGTACTGAAACCGAGGTTAGCTTGTTATTATCAGTGTTGTTGAATATTGACTGTGCGTGGGGTGCATACACTGATATGATTATACCAATAACAATTGCTAGTACGATTAGGATAGGAAGTAGTTTATCCAAAAGTGACATCTGTTTAAATACTTGCGTGAGATCACGCTTGAGGGAGGTAGTAGCCATATTAGAAAGTAAACAACCCTACGGATATTACTAATCTGACCCTATGATTGTGGGTCTGATGAATCTGGACCTCTTGCAAAACTTTTCACTTGATAAGCTGGTGACGTATTTACTTGACACAAAAAAAACCAACTGAAGTTGAGACAAGCCTTTGGTTCTGGGAGTAGCTCGATTATTATCCAATATTGACAAAAGTGTTGGCTTTGGGACCACACACTGGAGACGGTATGAGCAAATGTTGTTAGCTTAAATAAACCGCGTACAGATGTCTTCTGTGTGGGAGTCAAATTGGTAGCTCAAATTTCGTAGTCGATTAATCAAATCAAATCAAATCAAATCAATCACTCCATTTGTGCAGCCACCATCCCACTCAGTCTAACCTGAGACATCATGAATTCATCATTTCTGTCGCTGAATGGCTCCTCAATTACATACACCATAGATGAGATACCCACATTGGTTTATGCTCCTGAGCGACCGAATAGTAACAACCTGAATCAGTCATCATCCACGACGGCCTCAACTGCAACACAACTTACTACTACTACTACTACTACTTCACCCATATATGAAGAAAACACATTCATCAACTGGAGTCAAGAAACACAGAATATACTGCACAACAAAGCCAATTTGTCAAAGAAATGGATTACACTTGTTCTACTGGCGTTAGTGTTGGGATATACTGCAGCTGCAATAAATTTGATTTCAATCTCATTGAATGATTTGAAAAAGGGGATATGTTTAAGCGACTTGGATGCTTGGAGTATTTTCAACCCATATCTGACATGTCCCGCTGATGAATGGTATAATTGGTCACGATTGTTGGCTGGATCAAATGCAATTTGGAGCAAAATCGTCATCAACTTCCCCATCTACCTTGTCTTTGCTGTTTTGTTTGCCATGAGTGCCAGCTACCTCACAATCAATCGAGAACATCTAATACGTCAATCAGGTATACCGGAGATTAAATTGCTCATATCAGGTTTTAATTTAAATGTTAGCAAATATTTGGGCCTACATACGTTGTTGTACAAGATTGTCGGATTGATATTGGTTGTAAGCTCGGGATTGTGGCTCGGTAAAGAGGGTCCATTGGTGCATGTATCTTGTTGTGTGTTTAACATCATTTATGAGTTTTTCATTCAGGGTAAATTTGGAACTAAGCCTAATGAAGCAATACGAAGAGAAATTTTGAGTGCTGCAACAGCAACTGGAATTTCCGTTGCATTCAACTCTCCAATTGGTGGTGTGTTGTTTGTGTTGGAAAGTATGCCAAGCTACTTCAGTCCTACAAAGATTATGTGGAATTCATTTGTTGCCGCCACTATAGCAATTATCGGTTTAACTGGATTTAGTGCATTTACTGATGGCAGTAATTTTGTTGAGCAAGACTTGTTTCAGGTAAACTTTGGAAATTTTAGTTGGTTATTCTTGGAGGTGATTCCATTTCTCATTTTAGGAGCTTTAGGTGGGATGTATGGATACTACTTTACAAAAGTTAATCAAATTTTCCAACAAAAATCATTACGTCAAAGAGTGCAATCGACACTAGTGCAAGTCACCAAAGTTGATGTGAAATGGGGTCCTTATTTGGAAGTCTTGTCTATAGTTGTTCTCACCACAATTTTGAACTTCCCGTTGGAAATTTCTAAATTGCCATTGAGTTCATATTTAATTTTGTTATTCAAGGAATGTCTGAAAGAGGCCAGTGATGAAACTAATGCTGAGGATTTTCTTTGTGGGTCGTCAAATGGAATCACCCTGTTGAAATTGCTCTACATTCTTGTTCAAGGGTTCGGGCTCACTGCTTATACATTTGGTGTTGATTTGCCTGGAGGAGTGTTGATGCCTTCGTTGGTGTTGGGCGCTACATCTGGAAGGCTTTTGGGGATAGTGAGTCAGGCATTGCAATCAAATTTCAACTGGGAATCATTGGCTACTTGTACCGAAAAATCATGCGTGGTTTCACCATCTTCGTATGCAGTTATTGGTGCTGCATCATTTATGACTGGCATAACCAAATTGACAATGTGTGTTGTTGTTATAATGTTTGAAATGACTGGTGCTGTATCTTATGTGTTACCAATCATGTGCGGTGTTGTCACGTCCAAATTTGTCAACGACTGGCTCACACCGTCGAATATTTATGATACATGGCTTCAAAACAATTTCAATAAACCTGGGTTGCCGGGTAACGCAACTTTGGGTATGATCAATGAAGGTAAAGGAACGGGTATTGTATCATTTTCAAACTTGACATCAACAATCAAGTCAAAACTTCCTGATGTCACAGTACGTGCATTGATGGTACCATTGGAGCAAACCAAATGTCTTTGCTTAGTTAGCGAAGATGGGCCTTACACTGCTAGTTCATTGTGGGAGTTTATCAACGATGACACGCACGAAGGGTATCCTTTGATTGTCAATTACTCCAATCCAATATATATTGGTTACGTCACCAAGTCCGAACTTGTTGATAAGTTGCAAAACGTCATTCGCAAAGATTCATTAGAGCCAATATCATTTCAAATTTACAATTTACCTAGAACTGCTTTATCTATGCAACTACACTATGAACGCAAGTACAATTGTACTTCTTTGGGTCTTTCGATTGAAACATCTCCATTGTATACTAATGAGTTATCACCAGCAATCTTAATTTTGGAAGAATTCGAAAAATTGTATTTAAATCACCTTGTTATTTTAAGCACAAATAATATAGAGAATCAGATTATGGTGGGTTTTATTGATCGTTTTATTTTGGCAAATGCCATTAATGACAAGTTTGGAAAATTGGCTAATGAATTGGCTGATTTTGAAGCTATTAATGAGTACGATTTGGAGACTGCTATTGGTAATGATGAGGATGAAATGATGAAGTTACGATACAATAGAAAGAGTATAGAGTTGATTACTTGAGTAAATGGGTGGAGTTGGTGATCGGAGGTTGAGTTCAATTGCATTGATGTATTGGTCCTTGTAGGTTAATCTGATATGCTATGGTGATTACATGATGATTATGTAATACGCGTATAAGCCGCACAAAAAATCAAAAAAATCAAAAAATCAAAACAAAACAAAAACAACCACAAACCACAATCAAACAAGAAACACAAGTGCTTTACACATTACACATTCTTACACCTAATCAATCCCAGCTGTTCTATTCAAAACGTGTCGCTGCTACAGACTTATTAAACAATGGCAAGAAGCATTCTCAAAGATAATACCGCGCCACTACCGAGTACATCTCGTCGAGTATCATTTGCACCTGAAGTGACATTACATCAGATTGAAGTAAGAAACCCCAACAAACGAAGGAAAACAGATGGCGGAGCCAGTGGGTATGCATCATTCTCATCAGAATCTGATTTTGAAATTGTTCATTATCTGTCACAGCAAGAGCTAATGAAGGAGGATGAGGACGAGGTGAATAACAATGACCACTTGATGAACTTGTCTCCAATTGGAATCCGCGCTAAAGATATTGACGATGTGGAGTTTGAAGATAGCCCGGATGATGGAAGTAAGCCATTGACTGATAGTTCAGACGAAGAGATTAAGGAACAGAAAGAGAGACCAGTACTGTCTTTTGCTAACAAGCGGGCGAAAGTGGTTAGGAGCCTCGATGATGGAAATGTGGGGACAGAGGTCAGTATGGAATTAACTGGCAGGGGTAATGGAATTGCCAAAGTTAGTGATACAGGTACTCCGTTAGTTTACGCTTCAGATGAAGACGCCGACTATTCAAGCAATGACGAGGAAGAAGTACCAAATTCGATCAACACCGATGATCGAAATCATCAAGAAGAGGAAGAAATGCAACTAACAGGGAGAATTGAAAAAGTACGTGAGGAACGGTTGGTTCGCTCTATCGATGAACCTGAAGATATGCAATTGACAGTACCAATATCAACCGCCACATCTCGACGATACCAACAGCCTGCGCCTGACTCGGATGATGCTTATGAAGGTGAGGATGATACTATAAATTTGGCAGCATCGATGTTGAAAGTGGATGCTTTACGTAGTAGGAATCAAGCTGGTAAAGGTGCTGAAGATGAACAAGATGATGGGCACAGACTGGGCACAGATCGTGATGAGAAGGTTGATAATGGAGTCAATGACAGTTCAAACATGGAATTGACTGAGAGAATAAGCCGAGTTGCTGTGCCTCAAATACCAATTGTGAAACCAAACCTTGAAGCATTGCCAGATGTTGATGATGACGAAGATGATGAAGATGAAGATCGTGGAGTGAAAGATGCAGACAACATGAAGGCACCATTGAGTGCCATGGAGAAACTGGGCCCCATTGATATGGAAATCACTGAACCGGTCAGCAATGAAACGGCGCATAACAAGCAAAGTAAACAAATTGGAGCGTCCAGTGTTTCCGAAAGTCAAGAAATGGACCTCAGTGAACCCATAAACAAACTGACTATTGAGTCACTACGTGGCAAAAACAATGAGCAGGCACTGCATCTACAGGATATGGAATTGACACAACCAGTGAAGAGCGTAGTGAACAAGGATCAACAGGCATCAATTGAACATGGCCCCGAACATGGAACTAATGATAATGGCTCATTGCCAAAACTGGCTGATTTCACTGAAGTCATCACACAAGGGGAGCATTTGGTCAGCATGGATCTTACTCAACGACAAATAATGACTAATTCGCAACAAACTATGGAGCTTACACAGAATAAGACTGTAATATCACGATACGATGACGGAAAACTGGCCAAACAAGCAATTACTTCCACAGATTCGAAAAAGTCAATATCGAACGATGCAAAAAATGAAAAGAGCGAAACGGCAACACCACTAGCTACTGTTTCTCAGAACTGGCCATCACAAGAAATCAACACTCACGAGAAGGATCCTGATCCCATTAGTAATGCGCCAAATGAAGTGATTGAGGATAGGTTTGCAAATTACAAGCCGGTTTCATTGTCTACGTTCCTTCAGGATATTCACATGAAGTTTGATACCGATATTGGTACTCTAGCTGCTTCACTGATTGGAACAGATTCAAATGAGTCAACACTTCATCAACAACCATCGATTTATGAGTTGATTCTGGCTATTCCTTTTAAGGAAGGGAATGCTCTAAACGATTTTATTGTTCAGGAATTACAAAATTACATTCGGGATGGTGAGCAGCTATTTCAGGATTTCAGTAAACAAATCGGGGATGACAATCTTGCCATTATGAAGGAATTTTACACAACCAATGATGCTAAAGATCGTGAAATTATGATTATATGTTTGAACAATGTACGATATTTGTCCAAATTGGAAAGCAGGTCAACTTGGTTCAAATGGAGATCGACATTGACTCAGCATGTCATTGATGAAATGGATAATCAGATTGAGTTGTTGAAACAGTGCCAAAAAGATTTGGAGGATTATCTACAAAGATTGGACGAACAATGGGTTAAAGCCGGTGAATACAAGAGTGAGGTAATGAACAAATTGTACCGATTGCGAACTGCAAAGAAAACCATGGGTAACTTATCTCAAGAGCAAGTTGATGATATGCGCAATGCATTTAATCAACTGAAATCTCAATTGAAAGATCTTGCAGAGAAGATAGATCAAGCAAGGTACAAGTTGGCTCATTTGGATCAATCATTAGTTGAACTGCGTAACCAGAAACGAGATTTGTTGAATCAAGCAAAGGATATTGACTTTGAATTGGAGAAACGCAAAAGTTACACCAAGAATGAGAAGATTGAAATCAAAAAAAGGTATGACCAATTGACCAGTTTAACACATTTGAAGTATATACGTACTGAAGATGTTTCCAGCATGGTGTTTCTATACTATGGTATGATTAATGTTAAATTTGACTTTGATAAAGGTACATTTGAAATTGGCGAAATACACTCAAATGAGTTCAAGTTTAAGCTGTTGATTAACTACGTTTATCATTTTCCTGTATCAGTAACAAATGACGGAAAGGGAAGTACACTTTATCAATGGCAGAGATTTAAATCGTATTGGGCAAAGTTGATCCAACTAGATAGCATAATGGATTTCATCAAGTTCCAGTGGCCCATTGAATTGATTCCAAATGAAGAGACAGGTGGTGTAATAAAGTTTCAATTTGATTATTTTGATTTTGATAGCCGGAGGCGATTTATTGTTGATGCATCACTTGCAGTTGCGTCATTGCTCCATTTTGAATCAAGTATTATCTTTAGTATCAAACCAGCTAGAAATTTCATTCTAAGCGAAAAAGAGATTAAAAAAACACTAACGAAACTTGGCAAGAGTATTGATTTACCTAAATGTGGTTACAATTTCATTTCCGATGCATAGGATAGAAGTCAGTACATACGTTTTGAATAAAGTTTAGAGTAACGAAAAGCCTTTTCTTTCTGTATTTTCTTTCAATGCGTTGCTCCAAGAAATATCGTAGCTCCAAGACATACAATCATTACCCCAACTCCCCATATAGCCAACACCAAACCACCATACTTGCAAAATTTTTCCAACTTGGTCAATTCCACTTGCCCTTGTTCGATTGGTTTAATTAACAAATATCCAAATAATCCAGGTAGAATAAATGATATTGACGTTGAACCTGTGCTTCCCACAAACGCCAACACTTTAGCTAATGAAGTGACTGATATCGCAACAAGATAACTTCCCACAACAATCACCGAAGTTATAATGTAAAACTTTTTAGACGTTAATGGAACCACTATTGGGTCATGGCCCTGAGTATCATGAGCACCTTCCATTGGAGTAGTGGATATGAATGACTCATCCACTATACTGCTATCATTTATAGATGAAAGACTCTCGATATCAGAAGTTAATGCTGTGTATGCGCCACTTTCAGTTCTATTGCCATTGATTGTCCTACTACCAATACTGCTGTTGGAAGTGCTGTTGCTGCGATTAATGTTGCTGTTGCTGCTGATATTGCTGATATTACTCGTCTTCTTTTTCACCTTAGACGTATCCACGCCATGAGTGATAAAGTGTATTACATGATTTATAGATCCTCGGCATGGATGGCATTGCAAGGGGAAAGATAAACTAACCATAATCACAATGCATAACCGACCAACCAAGGAACTGATAGATTCACGTGGGTACATTGAAATAATATTCGCATTGACATCATTACCAAATGTCAAGTACCCTAAAATTCCCACCACTAGGTAACTAACCAATGCAGTGGAAATGGCGTTACGGATTATCAAATTCGATTGACGTGTTTGTGATCCATCTTTGGCGTCAGGTTTTAATTCATTTATAATGGCAAACATGTTTTGATGGCATGTGTAAGCAAACACAAACATTGGGAAAGAACTCAATGTCAGACTCCAGCTCTTTGGTCCTATCCAATCCACATTCTTGCTCCCTGCTGGCACGGGAATAATCAGTCGAGAAAACAAATGAGCCCCATTTTCACCACCACTGCCACCACTCTGTTTATGTATCAGTAAGGCAATATACTTTTCAATCACTAAGCAAATTAAGTATCCCACGGAAAACAATGCCACAAAGCTGGTATATTTCAAACTGTTTAATTTCTTTAAATACGACAAAGGAGCAACAATGAATGCCATAAACAAGCTAATCCAAAAATTTCGATGCATCAATATAGGATGTGCACCAGCAGCAGCATCGTTGCCTGCTATAGTCTCCACAATCTTGGGCATTAAATCGCCAATTACAACAAGATAAGATACACCAACACCAAAGCATTTTATCGATATTGCCGAATCAAACACAATTGAAAATTGAGGATACGTCAATTGAGCTAAACTAAAGTACGATACTGATCCTCTTTGACCGGTATACTTGGCAACTTTGTTTTGTAAATATAATCCAAATGATGAAGTAAAAGATGAACATATAATCAATATACACCCAAATAAAAGTCCATTTGTGCTTAGCCCATAGGGCATGGCAAGTATACCAGCACCAATGATTGTGTTTAGTAGATTGATCGTACCTGATTTAATAGTAGCTCTTCCCATTGTTGTATTGCTAGTTGTATTGTGTCTGTCTGTTCTCTGGATGTGTTTTTGTTGAGCGAGAGAAATTCAATAAAACAGTACGTCAAGCTTGATAGTGTGTCGAGGTTGTGCTATATCCTTGCCATGTAAGATATCTGTTCCCAAAGTATGATGTATTGCGCTGATAATGTTATCAATGGTTTGTGTGGTGATCAAATGTTTTTTGGTGGACCAAAAAAAAAAAAAATAAGCAAAAAGGGGAATAATAAACGTGAATGGATAAAACTACTAATCACCGTTCAAAACCTGATGGTGTCAAGAAACTTCGATGATGCACAACGTAGAGAGGTAAAAATACAGCTTATTGATACGTCATTAATGTATGGACTTTATTGATGAATCTCTGAGGATCAATTTATTCGTCAAGATGACACCATATCACCCTAAGTGAAAAGAACCACACTCAACAACGAATCACGACGTTAGATTTTTGTTCACGGAATTGAGCATGTGTCTCACGTAGAGCCATATGATGCTCAACAAAATCCCCCTTTTCGCATCCGGCCATTTTTTGTTTATCGAAAGCCGGCATGATTTCAGTCTGGACCAGAGCACAACATAACACTTTTGATTTGGAGGTTATTAAGATCAAATCAAGTTACGTTTTTGAAGGAGCTTTTTAAGAAAATTTTGTATTATCATCTAAGAGAAGCGTATGTCACAAAAGGATAGCAAGAATGCTAGTGGCTCAGTGGGCTTTACGAATAATAGTTATTCGTCCATGGGTGACTTTGTGAAGAAACTCCCCATCAGGGTGTTGAAATGGATCACTCACGATACTAGGTGAGGATTTTATTATTGCAAATCGGCCGATTCTGTGTTTGAGCATTACAGAGTGACGGTCCTCCTCAATATGGTAGAGCCCATTTGAATGAGTATGCTCGATCAGTACACAAAAGCCCAGATTTGGAAATACGATTTGATTATCACAATGTCTCTTTCCGTTCGGTGCCTTGTGGAATAGGCATGACCATAGGGATGGAAGCTGTACAAAGTAATGCACACTTCGCTTTATGCTATTCAATATTTTGAATTTCGAAAGTGGGGTAGGAGGTCAACTAATTTTGGTTGCAGTAGGTTTTTTGTCTGAAGCATAACAGAATTACTTTTTCTTTTGCATATCAGAACTTAATACCAATATGCTCTAACATAGCAATTTTTGTGCAAACCAAAACCTACGTTCTCAGTATCAAACTCCAATCACAATCAAGCTGCTTCTTTTTTCATGTTTTCAAAATGTATAAATACCACACACATTCACGAAAACACCATTTCTTCCTTGTTCTTTTGGTTACTCCAATTCAAAAATGTTTAATCGTGCGGTATCGGAAGACGACTCATGTCTTTGGTCACAAACATTATCATCAAAAGAGCCAAACATTATCAAGTTTGATACATCCAAGTGGAGGAAACTTTCAAAAAATCAAGGTGATTCAGTTGGCTTTTTATTTGACATCGGTGCTGGAGATTATGATGTGACGATTCCAGGTCACACTGGTGTTAGAAATTACCTGGTTGAGGATGTTGGGAACAATGCAGCTGAACAGGGACGACAAAATGACAGATTACAACTTGTTGATTTGAAAGATGATGATGATAATGGATATGATACCATAGAGAATGAAATTTTTGGATTAGGTGACTTGGAGCGTGCAACGAATGAAGCAAACACGCCACATAATCATTTTGAGATGGCGACATCACCTACATTTGAACTTCCATTTGGAGTGGATAATGTATTTGAAAGTATAGAAGGACGCCAACAAGACAATGCTTTAGCTCATTACTCAGCTACATCATCTCAACGATTCATTGATTTGAAAAATCGACATGAAGTAAGCATTTTCACCCGTCAACGTTATGGTAATAACTACAACGGATTTGATGAGGATACATATCACCCCATTAAGAACAATCCAAAAGGAAGAAAACGGGAAGCTTGGAAAGAATCGTTCCAGGCTATTGGCAGCGTGTTTAAAAATAGATTAAAACAAAAACAATCAGTTACGAAGCTAGTTCCAAGATCAAGTGTGACTAATCAAGAGGAAATAGATGCAGAGACCCAATTATTGGTTGACCATTTTGCTGGAGTATGTACACCTGCTGAAGTTTTGGAAGGTGTTCAGTTGAGACTGAGTGTGCCGGTGATGTTGCTGAGATTGGGATTGATGGATGCAGGAGTGTGACATTTTACAAGTTGGTTTGCCAAGTTTATGTTGCTTTCAATCTGTATTATGTAGACATCGTCATACATACTATTTATATTATTAATGTTATAGACCCAACAATCCAATAGTTGAACCAAATACAAGAGAGTTTAACAAAACGATACAAAAAAATGGATCTTTGAATTATACAAACTAAGTAGTCTCAAAATCTCTAGCTAAATCAAAACACGATCGGAAAGCAAAATAAAACAGGTGGAAAAGGCCGAGGTAGCATTGTTATACCTTTGAGAGAGTTGATATTGAGCTTGACTTTTCCCAAAAAACACCTCTTGCTACAAATCAACACATACCTTTTTGGCCCCAATCGCACTTTGAATTTCCACTGCTTCTCTACTTTCTGTACCCATGTTTTCTCTCTCTCTCTCTCTCTCTCTCTCTCTCTCTCTCTCTCTCTCTCTCTCTCTCTCTCCATCCCCCATCACTCAAAAGACTAACCAACCTACAAGGAAAGAAAGCAAAATCAAAACTAATGCAACGGGTAAGGAAATACCATTAGCGGTCAAGTCAGTAGCACTGGATGAAGAAGAAACATCGCCACGAGAAGCAGCTCTTTCGTTTCTGTCCAACTTGGCAGTCAATGATTGAACCTGTCTAGCCAAAGTATCTAATTCACGTTGAACTGATGGTGAATTTTGTTGTTGTTGGTATTGATCACCGTAACCAGAGTTGAATCCTCCACCAATGGCACCACCTTGTTGAGATTGATAACTTGGTTGTTGTTGCAATTGTTGGTGTGGAGTTTGTTGGTGTTGTTGATAACCACTAGAGTAACCATTATTGATTGATGAAGTATCGTTGAATGATCTGTTCTGAATACCACCAAAATCACCAGAAGGTGATTGATTACTAAAAGAGGCATCTCCATTGGCTTGGGCGTGTGGTTGGTAGTGGGCGTTTCCAATAATTCCAGCAGCCCCTGCGCCTGCTGCTCCGGCACCGGCAATACCAGCTGCTCCGGCTCCATAAGAGCTTTGACTTGGTTGGTGAGAAAGAGGTGGCTGTTGTTGGTATTGTTGTTGTTGTTGTTGTTGAAATTGCTGTTGTTGCTGAGGTGGTTGTTGTTGCTGAGGTGGTTGCTGTTGTTGAGGTGGCTGTTGTTGGTATTGTTGTTGCTGTTTATGCTGGCCTGCACCTGCTCCAACTGCGCCAGCACCTGCTGCTCCTGCTGCTCCTGCTGCTCCTGCACCTGCGCCATTGTAAGAGTCTTCTTTATCAGGACCAATGACATAGTTGACCTTTAATTTTTTTGAAACAACAGCCGATTTGTTTTGTGCCTCCAATTGCGACCACAATTCACCAACCTTGGATGGGTCAGCATTTCCTGGGGCCGGAACAGAGACTAACAAGAATTTATCTTTACATTTGTAGTCTTCTGGTAAAGGTTGAGAGAATCCTTGTAAAATGATGGAGATTTGCAAGGAGTCACCTGGTTGAATAATACTGGCATTTGGTCTAACACAATATAATTTTGGGGCAGTAGTTTTAACTTTAAAAGCCAATGGTTGATTACTTGGGTTTGATAAAGTCAAGTACTCCGTTGTTTGTTTGGTAAATGAACCTATTTAATTGCATGTTAGTATTTGAGAAAAAAAAGCCTAAGTGAATGAATGAGGGCGATCGGAAAGCAATCAATGTGGTGACAAAGGACACACGCGTCCATGGAGTGTGACAAACTATCAATTGGATCCACCATTAACATTTTTTAAGCAACGCAGTACTCAAATAAACCATGTATGGCTTATCGGTGCGTGTTTTGACGTAATATGGAGTCACACTCTGATGTACTCAAAAGGATTGCCACAATTTGGACATTTAATCGTCCCATTCCTTTCCAATAACAACGTGTAGACTGAAACATACCAGTAAATTCTAAAACATTTGGGGACACGTTCATCTTGATATGAGTAGTTCAACTGGTGGTTTCAAGTTAAGAGTGGGGGAAATTATGATCTTGTTGAAATTTGTTTGCTCTTTGTAGCTAAATATATCTATAGTAGTGACGTGTTTGTAGTTGAACAAAGTATCAATGCTACTAATATACTTGTACAGGTGATGTAGATGAAATGTAAGGTTGGTTGGTCTGGTTGGACTAGTTGCTTGTGCTGTTGAAAAGAGATTAAAAAAAAAAAGAGGTGTAAAGATTTTATTTTTATATTGAGAAAAGGAGAGTGTAAAGTGTGTCCAGGCTTTTTGTTTTTTTTTTTTCTGTTGGTTGTTGAAAATTTCAAGTGGAGAAAACAAGTGACAATGACAACAATGATAGAAAAAATTATCACAGTCACATTTTATGAATACACCAATACTCCACCACCACACCCACCCACCTGCATTGTAGAATTGGTTGTGTGTTTTTGACAAGACAGTGAATTAACGTAGACACACATCCCATCGCCTTCCATCTGAAGAGCCAGCAAGGGAGTAGTATACCCATATATGTGCAGATATGTAACTACAAGTGCAGATTGAGTATACAATATGGTAACTTTTAGACAGCTGGCTACAGTGTGCGAATTCGCTATTAAAGATGACAAGCCGTAGCGAGAAGAGCTATGTCGCACATGCGCAATATCGTTTTATATTGTGTGCCTCTCTCTTTGCCACATGTTGGTGCTATCATGCACCCAATTCAGCCTTTCTGCCTTGTCTCTCATATAGGGTAGATATTAGACCAAAAAGTAAGCAACATATTATTCCACTTTATCTATTTTATTTTGGATTCTTTTAAACCCGATTGAAATCAATCTACATTAGTTAAGTTTCCTAATTGGGCAATTTCATTCTCTTTAACACAGGGTTCTCGATTTTTTTATTTTCTTAATTTTATTTTTTTCAGAGCCACAGAGCTTTACTAGTGAGGGCAACAGCATCGATTGCGGAGAATGGGTGGAGACATTACTACTCCAAAGGATCAAAACGTCACGTCATGTATGAGTTGAGGCTAGAGCTTGCAAGTTTTCGGCGCTGCTCGCTTGATAAGTTGTCATAATATCTTTTCATAGATATCTTTTTTTTTCTCCGTTGACTATTGCCCCACTACTACCCCTCTTTATCTCTTACAAAAGCATAAAGGAGAATTACTTGATTAGGAGATTCACACAAGGGAAGAGATCTACTTTCATATACAAACTCAACTAGTAAGGAACAAGCAATGCAAAAGCTGTCAGACAAGCTTCCCCACATAAAAGGTAAGTCCCAAGTTGTATCTAGCAATGAACCTGCATTTCAATAAGCTAACTTCTTTCAGTTAAGTTCACGTGATCTCCTCAAGACACGTTATGCACTAGCACGATACTCCCTCAAAATGGTTCAAAAATGTTTACAAGACTAGGGATACACATTGTGTGGGCTGCCACCACGTCGAAGCCAGATTGGCCAATAAGAATCTACATTTTGGAGTTATTATCGCTATACGGTCACGTGCACACTTCATTTTATGGTTTTCAAATTGTCCCTATTTATTTTGGTCTAGTCTGTTTCCGAACTCACTCTAATGATGACACTAGAGCTCAGTGAAGAGATGAATAGTATACTTTACTTTCGGATTGATCTGGCTCATTTGTATCTGATACAAATCTGTTAACCAATTTGCAGCATCTTCTGTTTTCTTTGATTTTGTAACAAAATTTTCATTCCAATAATTGAAAGAATAGCACCCCCTCTCTAAAAGGTTAGTTCTAAAAAAAAATGCCCCTCAAATCTGTATTTGGATGTTTTGAGTATGCTTTCAACAATATTGTTTATTACAATGTTTCGGCATAACAAATTGCTTAATGAAGAGGTCATGTATTTTTTTTTTTTTTCTCCAATTGAATTTTTGGTTGCAAAATTTTTGAACTCCAATCAAATCAGTGAAATCCAAGAACAAATACGCTCTGATGTTTGTATACTGAGACTCGATGGTTAGAATGAGGCCAGAGAAATACCTGGATGAGCTTCACAATATTACCTAGTGGAAAACTTATTGCACTCGTGTAGATATGTTGATTAAACAAATTCTAGTTGATGCTTTTGTCAACACAAACTATATAATTACATAATTCACTTCCATAACAACAACAGCTTAGTTCCAATGGGTGGGATAGCATCTCATATTCACAATTGAATAGCTTACCCCTATTGTGTGATCCAACATTTACACCTTTTTTTGATATTCTCTTGAAAATCAAATACAAACCGCCAAAAATATTCCCCCAAAAACACTTTTAAACGACTCTTATTTTCCTCTTCTTTTCCTTTCTTTTTCCCTCTCCAGTAACATGACCGAATCATTGGCGTCCAAAGCCCCCTTTGATCCACGCAGCAGGTGGAATGCAAGAAGAGGAAGAAAACCTCAGGATTATGATTATTACAGCCATTTGAACGTTACGACCACAACAAATTATGCAAATGCATACACCCCGATTTTGGATGAAGTCATTCCCACCACAAATGGCTTTATTTCCTCCTTAAGAGACAATATCACCACTATTGCCTCTAATCCTTCAACCACCACAACCACAACCACACAACACTTTGCTAAAAATATTGCCACCACCAATATTGCGCATACTTCAGTTAATGAAGACACCTTTAAAACTCCAATTTTGAATAGGACTCGTGCCATGGATTGGCGCACACGTCGTCGTGCCAGAATGCTAGCTCAAGTTGATTGTAAATTGAAATTGGATACAAACCATCAAGAAAAGCTGGAATCTCCTGAATTGAAGTTGGAGGTTGTTTGCACGTTACATGAATCGAATCTGAGTCAAGATGTTGTATCTGGCTTAAATGGTAGAGATCCAGAATTGCATGCTATTGAACAAAGTGCTAAAACTCCTGGTGAATTTTTGTTAAGGGAAAAAACTTTGGAGGTGTCACATGATATCAACAACGAAGATGAAAATGACAATCAAGTTGATGATATTGCACCTGCTGATGATGTTGGTTCGAGAGCAGATGTGTTTGGTTCCAATACTGAGAGAGTAGATATTCTCGCTGATGGTTCAACTGAAATTTTCGCCCATGGAATTGTCACTGATGCCATTCCTCAAGGATCACCCTCGAAGGATGCAATAAAACCCAAGTGGAAAAGATTTTTGGGTAATGCATTCAGAAAGCACCCAAGAAAGCTTACAGGCACCGGATCTGAGCATGTTTGCACTGCAGTGGCAACACAATCAATCAATGATGAAGTGCAGTCGAATGGCCAAATGAAGGGTACTACAGCTCAAAAATGGTCAAAATTTGGAAATGCATTGAGAAAACCATTTGTGAAAAAAAGAATCACTAAAGGTACTACAGAATTGGCTGCATCTGAAAATACCAAGGCGGCCTCCCCACTGCAAGTGAAGAAAAGGTCTAGAAATTTGTTCAGAAGAAAAGTAAGGGCTTCCAAGTCTGCCCCCCATTACGATACTTCGAGTGATGCCGATGTTGGCAGCGAAAGCAACAAAGAAGGAGAGCATGAACCTGAAACTGTCGACCATGCTGAAACCCCCAATGGAAATGTAGCTGAATGTGTCCCTGTTGTTGAAGATACGCTGTTTGGAGTGGCTAATCTGAACCTTTTCTTTCGAGAGCAATGCGATAATCCTTATTGGCCATACAATTATGAGGGGGATGCTCCTGCCAATGATGTGGAAGCTGCTCCAACCAGTGCTGCAAAAGACGTTCCCGATAAAAGCAAGAGCAAGAAACACAAGAAGAAGAGGCGTGGTAAGAAATCATCTTCCAAGAGTAAGGCGTCTAGTGTGACTGAATTGGAATCAACTGCTGGTAACTCTGTGACTGAAAATGCTTCTTCATCTGGCGCACAGGCAGAAAGAAGGGCCGCTGATTTAGCCCCATTGAACTCTGATGCTGGTCCATATGCTGTTAATGAAAATTCTCCAATGCGTGCGATTGATTACGGCTATGAAGAAACCCCAACGGTGACAAGTATTGATTCAGAACCTAGCATTGATGAACCCATTGTGGCCACTGAAGACAACAATGAAGTTAGTGAAGACGTTCCTAGAGCTACAAGTTGGGAATCAATTAGATTGAGCCGATTGTCTGATCAAGCAGCTGGTATTGCCGGCTGCCATCGAATGGAAACTAAGGCACAAAGATTTAAACAGAAAATTCAAGCTTTGGGAAAACTGTTTGCATATGCATTCCATTTTAAGTCAAGATCAAGCATCGTTGAAAACGCCGATGACAATGACAGAGACGTTGGCAGAGGAACCGTATCGCCTGAGCAGAATGGGAATGCAGCTTTGGAAGAGCCTTTCATTAGAAAGAAGAAAAAGGTTTCCAGAATTGTGAATTGGAAACAAAAGATCCAACATCGTTTGAAGAAATTGGCCAAGAGTGAAGCGGCTACAGGTTGTGAAACTAATGCAGATACTGACCAACCAAAAAATCCTGCTGCTGCTGCTAAAAATTTCTTTAACCGACAACTTTGAGGAGCTCTCAAAGGTTGTGTTGGTATATACACTGTCAATTGAATCGTGGCCGAAGATAGTTGAAGATCGGCACGACAGAGAAGAACCAATAATACTGCGGTTGACGGTAGCTTCGTTGAAGTTGCTGGCAGAGGTAAGCCCCGGAGATGAAAAGAGATCTTGCGGGCACCGTGGTCCGAGACAGTGTTTGTTGATGTGCAAGACAAAATAACGTTAAACTTGAAATTTAAGGATGGGTTAGACAACTAGGGGATACGGAATGTTAACTGATGTTGCTGATAAAATGGGGATAATATTGGAAGAGAAATGATGCTAAAGATTGTTATCCCTGCAACTCAAAATGGTATCTCCAACACCCATCCAATGAATTGTTTAAATGTGTTTCAAGTTTCATCTGGATAGTGCACCCTATGGGAGAGAGACCCCCTTGGACCTTCATACACACAAGCCAAGAGCCATTAAAGATGGAGGATATCAACCGAGATTTGAGCGAAACCACTGAGGATAAGATGTGTTGATATTCAAATGAATTGCCCATATTTTTGAGTCTGGTTTGTCAATATTTTTGCCAAACAAGAAGCAATAAACCCATGTTACTGAAACTCGGTAGATGTGATATGGTTGCTTCTTCAGACTTGATCATGGTGGCGTTTTGATCCAATTTTTCCCTCATCGAATCCTCAAGTCTCCTCATTTTGCGGTCAATGATTGATCCCGTAATTGAAAATGGAAGATGGTGATTGCAGGTAAAGTTATAAGTTATGAAAAACAGCGTTCAAAAGAATATAAAAATTAAAGAAAAGATTCAATTAAAATAAAAAATGCAAAAATGTAAAAAAGCTGTCTATATATAAAGCAATCATTCTTGGTTATGTGTTTCGTCGGAGTGTCATTGGGTTGATCTACTTAGTTTGTGCATGTGAAAGAAAGATGAATGTTTTTTGTTTACCCATTGGTTTTACCCCAGAACGGACTTAATTGATGACTTGCTTATTTACTTATTTGCTTCATGGTGGTAATTACAAGGATTGCAAAAGTGGTTTGTGGTGGATCACTGATCCTTAATTTTGTGTTTTGTTGGTATAAAAGTAGTTGTGGTGGCTACTGAGTATCACCTGTGAGATTTGATATTTTGTATCTTTTTTAATAACGTCAATTCTCAATCCTTCTCTCACCCTATCAATGATGAGCGGTTTTCACTTGAGCTTCGATTCGGCATCTTGTGTAGCCTCTTGTTATAGGGCGCAACAAACTACATAATACATGCCTTCGGGGAGAAAACAAGTTCTTGCAAGATTCCCTTCGCATGAATCAACTTTAGTAGAGACTCACTCCCATGCCACAATGCAAAGTTCAATTTCAGCCTCTAGTTGTACGGCGCAATACAAATCTCTTTCATATTCTTGATGTAACCTACATGCTTTTGTAAGACCGAATTTGTTCAAAACAAACCATATTTACTATAATGTATAACCTGACACCTATCGATATTCAATAATACAGTGAAATGGCACAATGCGCCACCAGCGATTACCATTGCCAACATGAGTGAGCAGCTTCAAGTACACCTCATTCTACAAATTCTCGTCCTCGTTTATCAATTGCAAGTACTCATAATAAAATGCAATAATTTGTAAGTGAGAATCAAAACGAATAAACTCATCTACTCCATGAGCATGCGACTCGACTGTTGTGAAAAGTCCTGGTCTGTAGCGGAATATATTCTTGGTCAAGTTCCAATAGTATCTGGTATCGGTGTTTCCAGTAGCTATTCCCGGTGCAACAATAACTTGTTTCCCACCACCAGCAACAGACACGCCAGCATTGGCATTGGCGTCAGCATCGGAGCAACCGGATCCTCCCGCATGTTTCTTTTCGTTACTTGGCACCAATTGTTCATACACGTGTCTGATATTTCCTGAAAACAACTCCCATACTTTACCAACAGTGGGGGTAGTTGGTGCCGGCTCCAATTGAGAAGCTTTGTGGATGGTTATCTTACCGTTCTTTGTTTCATTACGAAGTATTTTGCCTTCAGACGTTAATCCCAAATCGAACCATTTAGCCAAGTTCTTGGCATGACGCAAGTCGTGATTGTAGACTTCATCAACACTTGACTCAACAGCAATTCGGTGATTTATGACAGCTTTAACGTATTCTGGTAGAGCATTTGACTTGACACCGCCATTGATGACATCGACTGCTTGAGTGGAAGTAATCAAGTAACGACTAAGCAATGATTTATTGTAAAGCCATTTAGTAGCTACCTTGTTTGCTCTGTGTGATGAACCAGCAGCAATTAAACTCTTCTTTATCTTATGTGGCAATGTGGGTGAGTATTTGGCGATGCATTGGTATTCATGAAATGTTGGATTGCGAGGTGATAAAATGGGCTGGAAATGATCTCTTTCCAAATTTTCAATAAGGTTGGCCATCAATCCAATGGATGTATGTTGTGACAAAGGTGGTACTGATGAATGACCACCAGGAGTATTTATTTCAACAACAACGTCGGTTGACCCCTTTTCGCTGGTACCGGGTAGTGCCAACGTGACACCGTCTTCATAAGCAACACTTTGACCACCTTCATCAATTACTGCATAAAATGAATCATTGCCATACCGTTGTGTTAAGAATTGACCAATATGTTGTGCGCCACGATCACCACCCACTTCTTCATCAAATCCAAAGCCGAGAATTATTGTTCTTTTAGGCTTGAACCCAGATTTGTATAATTCCTCAACAGATTCTAATAACCCAATCAACAAGTTTTTACAATCAGATGAGCCACGACCCCATAATTTTTCTCCATCATAAACTCCATCATAAGGAGGGTATGTCCATTGATACAAAGTTGATTTTTGTATGGGTACAACATCTTGATGAGCAGTAAGTAAGATTGGTTTTAATTCCGGCAATTCCGGCAGCAGCAGGCTCAATCCTTTCCAAGTAATAACAATTGCGTGTGAATGAACCAATTCCACTTGTAAATTACTGAAAACAATGGGGAATGTTTTGTTCAAGTAATTGTAAAACGGCTCAAACTTATCATTCCAGTATTGAGGATCTTTTTCCACCAGTGGATCGTCGTCATATACATCGGTAGGAATTTGAACTGCTTGAGACAATTTCTTGGCTGATTGGTTGCGAAAATTTTCATTAAATAAGATATTCAATACAGTTGAGTTGTCTTTGAGATATGATTGTGGATATTTGTAATCATATTGACGACATATCTCCTGCTTTGGTTTTTTAAAGAAGTTCCATTGAGAGCCACAAGGTGGATGACTAGTAATTGATTGTGGTTGTGATTGTGGTTGTGATTGTGATTGTGATTGTGGTTTTGGTGTTACCAAGAAATGTGTTGAAATTGAATATGCAATAGTAAAGAAAATCACAAAAATGACAAGGACTCGACCAATGGAGCCAGTACCTCTTTTTGACAATTGAGTCTGTGAATGCGACTTTTCCAACACCATTAGCTCCCTTTCAAATGATACTTGTTATTGGTTAGTGAATGAGGAAGGGGGGAATGTAGTTTTGTTGAATTCACTAAACCATTTTTTAACTTTAAAGTGGTGTGGGGAGAATAAAACCAGAGAAGTTTTCAATTGGTTGATTCAAGCTAATGTCGTAAATTATTATCCTGTGACATTGATATTTTATGACACACACACACACAAGAGACTATCATCACTATTATCACTATCATTTGTGTGTAATAATAATTACTTCTCCACATTTATACACAAAGAGAGAGATATTAGTGTTATTCTTGTCTCTGTGTAATATAGCAATTGAGAAGAAGAGGGAGCCTATATGTTTAAGCTGAGTTAGTAAAACCATTTGATCATATGATTCCTCCGGGTGAAAGTCCTCCCTCCCCCCCCCCCCTTCCATCACACAAAACAACAGGCAGTATGAAGCTCAGTTTATTATCACTTTTTTATCAAAGTTGTCTTATCTAAGAGAAAGAAAAAGTGCAAGAGAGTGTTATTATCTGTCTGTTATGGTCAAACTCTATTATAGGAAGTTCGATGTAGCATATGACCTCATATAGATGGTAACTTAACCTCATAACTCATTGATCATATGGTATGGGTGTAATTCAATCTTTTGATAAGTTTTGTTATTCGGTTACATCATCTTTATTATCAAAATCATCTTTTTCAAAGGGAGAGAGAACGAAAAAAAAAAAAAAAGTTTAAAACCATAATCAATTGGCACTGTATAGACACATTAACAAAACTATATTATTTACCACTATAGTACAGGTATACATCTAGACATACAGGCCACTAGAGATAGACAGCTACACTCATACACATATACGCATACACAAGCTTTAGAAGTCAAGACACACGTGTCATATTCTTGGCTGCACCCATTTACTAGTATCTAATTTAAGGAAAGATCATCAAATCATAGTCCAAACCCACACTAGACACCACCACCACTCACGAGCCACATATTTCTCCTTACCCAAAACACAATAATCTATCTTTTTAGGAGATCAAATGCACACATAACCATCTTCCCTCTACAACGATAGACAAAAAGCAATCTAGTAATCATGTTGATGGAACTACCTTTGGAAATACAAATGAAGCTACTATATATGGTGCCTCAGTCTAACTTGAAGTATGTCAATTCTTACTACTACATTTTGTATAACGACTTGTACTACCACAAAATTGTTTCTGTTTTTGGTGAAGACACGATTAATGTTATAATCAAAGTATTGCCTTGGCTAAAACCATATATTAAATCACTAGATTCATTTCGATACATCAATAGAATGATAATTGCCAAAAGGTTGAAATTGATTGACAACTTGAACAAGGAAGATGAGCATGTTGATGTCAGTGCAAGTACCAGTAGCTTTAGAGCTTTGACCACAAGTCCAGACCATGTTGAATCAATTAAGCATGAGTATGGTGGTGGAAACATATCCAACAGCAACATCACACTGGATGAAATGGATGAATGTAAAGACTCACACCTGCTTGCGTCCCAGTCTTCCAATAACCCACTCAATGTACAATATGTTAAAGATTCTTGGAAATATATTTATTCAATATTGAAAAACAAGCGGCTTTATGCTGAATATTCCGATTATCAAATTGATGAACCAAGAAATTATGTTTACAATCATTTTGTTGAAATTAATCGAACTTATTTGTTGAGTTATTCCAAGGATGTGTGGTTAGCTCCAGGACAATATAATCTAAATATTGGATTAGCAGTAAAGTATGGTCATGGATTGGGTACTACCAAATTTGAGATCAAGTATAATGTTGATGACGAAGAGGAAGAAAGGAAAGCTGAGATATATGATGATGACGAGACGATTACTGGAGAAGAGGCTACAGTACAGGAGGAAATGGATGGGGTTGAGGCTACCCCTAACAATACTATAAATGGAAATGGTAGTGGAAATGGCAGTGGTGAAAATGTCCTTTCTGCTCGACCCAATGGTATCGTCAATGGTGGCGGTATTGATCGAAGTGTTAATGGATCAATGAATCACACAGTGGATATGCCAATTGATGCTCGTGCCACCGTTGATAACAGCAACAACCTTTTCACCTCAAGAAACACCACCGTTACCAAACTGTTTTATCCACCCACAAACATTAATGATATTTTACCCAAGAACCAATTTTGTTTTCTTCGAGTGGCACAATTCACCATCCCACCTAAAGAGAACCAAGAAACTAAGCAAAATAAATTACGGAAAGTGACAATAAAGATGGAAGAAATTGGATTGTATTTGAAAAGTGGTTTCAGAATATACTTTATTGATATTAGCCAACCATCAATGTTGTATGACGAATATGATTTGTTATACTATTCAATCAAGCAAACTGAATACAAATACTTTATCAATATTTTGTTGAAAAATTTATATAAAGCATTAAATTATGTTCAAAATGGGGGAAATAAACTGATTGACGGTGGCAAATATGGTACTGGCGATCCTTACGATTTGTGGCACGAATACGATAAATCATTTTTGAGAGATTATAGTGAACAGTGCATTAATGATTCAAACTCAGCATCAATAAATGAAGCAGTGATGGGAGGAGGAGGATTTACACCCTCTCACAGACGGTCATCCTCCATTTTATCCGGATCAGGATCAGCCACTTCATCTTCATCGTCATTATCCTCCTTACATACCCCATTCAAGTATGATTTAAAGAAGTTGAACAATTATGCCAATTTTTGTTTCAAGAACGTAACTAATACCAAAAGAAATTACAAGTTTAGCACTATTTATCAACAACGACAATTTATCAATCGATTTGGAGACTACAATTTGGATTTGAAAATGCAAATGAATCAGCCAGCACAACCATTAAAGGATTCAATCGATGCTACTGGTGAACCACAACGAGAAAAGCAAGAACTGAATGAAACACAACAGTTAAAAGAACAAGGTATTGAATATGACGAGGATGGAGTGTGGAAAGTGCCTGAGTTAAAGTGTAGTTACGACAAACTCGGATTAAAGTGGAAAATACCCATTGTGGGAGAACTTTAGTAGGATTGTTGAGTAGAATCAAAGTTAGAAAGCCTTAGAAATTATAATGCCAGATGTACTTACTTGCGAATGGATTTCAAAAGCACGTATTCGACAGAAGAGGTTGTTTAGAGTTTGAAAACCAACAAATTGAGTAAATGTGATTGGTTGTAGATTAGAAACTACTTCAATAAGACTGCAAAGTCTGCAACCGTTGATGTAAATTGGATTTTTGTTCCGACGGAGCGGTCCGATGGAATCTCGGATTTAATAAATGATGACTCAGGGGGATGATGATGATGATGATTATGATGATGATGATCTCAACTGATAAAGCCTAATGATGATGTTAAGCCGAACATAACCGAGAATTGCCGTGTGTGAAATCCGGGGGAATCGCAGTCACCTTCCGAAAAGAAATCAATACGAAAATCATCATCACCTTTATTGTTTTTCTCTCTTATCAAAATATTCGTAAAAACTTGGATTCAACTAAATAAACTTTTTTTACATGACCCCCAATTTGAGATCCAACAGACTTTCTCTCCCCCCCCAACCTCACATGTGGTAGTACATAATGCCACTTTGTGATTTTTCGTATACAGCCGAATCAAAAAACAAAAAATAATAACAACACAAAAGGTTGCAGATGTACAATAACAGAAGACTTCTTCGATAAGGGGATGGAGGCTATGACGTTATTGCTTCGATGAAAGAAAATAGTTGTCTTGGCAAAATCTAAATTGTACAAAGAAATTGAATTTACGAACAATATGGTACCCATCTACTTACAAACAATTCCGAGCTATCATCGGCTTTAAAAATTGAAGATCATGTCACGAAACAAATATGATCAAACCTCGCTTGCTAAATCCACATTAGGAAATCCTGATAAGCTTGTTAGTTCTTTATCATTGGATGATGATGCTGATAAAACCGACACGTGTGGTTTTAAATCCGTGTTGCCGATTACGAAAGTACTGCTGCTGTTATGTGTTTCGGTGCCGAGTCATCAATAAGGAAAGAATTGAAATGTATTGGAAAGTCCTTTGACAGATTGGGGGGGGGGGAATGTATATATAGATGTGCTCAATTGTCTCCTCTTGATGGATAGAAGAGCTCCTTGGCTTTTATCGTTATTAACTAAAGCACATATCCTAAGCGACAATGACAATATACTATACACCGCATCAATCACAAGATACATTGAGTTCAATTCTCCCACCTTACACCCTTCACGCTGACGCAGATACCTCTATTGAGACAAGTTTCGACCCAAGTGGGCTTGAACACGAACAGTTGAACGAGTTACCACCGCCTGGCTACTATGACAACACTGGTAGAGGAAGAGATAGTGGTGTATCATCATCATCATCATCATCGTCATCATCATTATCGACATCTGAATACTACACAGCCTCGTCGAATCAACTGCTGCTGTTGCTCACTCGAGAAACCAGTCATATTGAAAACCTGTGGGTCAGCTCTAGCTCCACGTTGGATCCAGAATCTCCAATAGCCACAAGAATGAGTGAAACAATGGTGTCAAGGGGTTTAATAGGGTCCTTTGTTATCAAAGAAATGTCCAATTTGACATTTGAGAGTGACAAGATTTCCGAGGCAATTGAGATCAAGATTTGTTTCACCAAAGATGTTGGCGAAATTGGCACTTGGCCAAATATTATTGATCCAATCACTCATGAATTCAAATCAGGAGATTTGGTTAATGGCTACGTTCTTGTTCGCAACTTGTCTTTTAGACCAATCCCATTCCTGCTGTTTCATATATTATTTGAAGGGTGTGTCATCATAAAGGGTGCAAGATCGTCCACTACCACCAATAATAAAAAGCTGTTACTGAAACAGTGGAAATTTTTGCAAATGGTTGACTTGAATGGAAGTTGGAGCAATGACAACAATGATCAACACAGCCAATTGAAAACGCCACTCGATTTACCTGGCTATTCACGTCATGGGAATGAAACCATTGACCCCGTGGATGGATGCTTTATCAACTTTGGTCAAACCTGAAAGTTTAATTGATCTGCAATGCAATACCCAAAACATTGTTTCTCATTTGAAATTACCACCAACATTGGGATCATCAAGGATGGAGAATGGTCGTGTACTCACTAACTTGCAGAATCGAAGTGCCGATTTCAGTGGAGTTGGTAATGCAGTGACTTATACTGTTACAGCGCGGTTTTTGACAAAGAGTAGCAAATGGGAAAAGAGTTTCAGACAATTTACCAATAAGCACAAGGGAAATGGTTCGGTGAATAATGGTTGTCAGAACTATGACGGTGAATTTGTCATTTTGAAAGAGATTGTGAATGATATTAGAGTTGTGCCTACTACAGCAACACCCATTTCGGAATACGAACGAAATTTTCAATGTTATCACAATATGAAATTGTATAATCATTTCATCAACAGGATCAACAACTGGATTAACTGGGGTAAGGAACTACAACTTTGTTCTCAAGTTTGTGACTCTTTAGATGATGAAGTGCCACCAGTGGATCTTTTGGAAAATGAACAAACAATAGGTACTGATGAAATTGGACACAATTATACGCGAATTTACAATTCAAGACGTCAACAATCACGCTGGTACCAAGTGCAGCTTGGTATTTACAAATCCAGTTTATTGTTGGGCAAGAATGCTAAACGCAGCTTGATTAGTGTAAAGACACCACTCAGAGAATATCGGGTGTCGTATATCCCTCCTTCAACCAAAGTCAAACATGATCCAGGGAAAACAACTTTCCAATCTGCTAAATTGAATATACCTTTGGAAGTATCGATGGAAAATATGGGTTTGCCTTCGAAACCGATCGCGCCTTGTGAAATCAAGCATGTGGGGGCTGAATTGGAGATTGTTACAATTACGTCAACAGATAAAACCCCCATTCCTATGGAATTTGAATCTGCATTTTGGGGAAACAATAATGGTATCTCAAGTGACAATTTTAGTATTGATGATTTTCAAAATGCAGTGGTTAATCCCATGAAACAATACTATCGAACATTGAATCAGATGAAGAATCAATTAGGGTCAAATGTGTTTACAATTGATAACCAATTGATGGCTAATATCAAAATACTTTCCAACTTGACGGTAAACACCACATGTTTGAAATTTAATGATTTGATTGTTAATGGCAAAATGTATTGTTCAAAAGATAAACCACCAGTTTTGAGCTATACAAAACCGTCAAAGTTTAATTTACTTTTGGATTTGAGAAAATTGACAAAAAGGGGAGAAATCAATCGTTTTCAAAGCGATTGGTTTACATTATTGCCTAGTTTCCAAAGTTGTTATATTGCTCGAATGTACCATGTTAAAGTATCATTATTGATTGATGATAAAGCCATACTGATTAGGGTACCAGTGGTGATTGAAAAGAGGGAGGGTTTCAATCCATTGCCTTATTATGTCACATTGTCGACTTGTTAAACTTGCAATTACTGGATGTTTTGAGACATTGCTGCTTTGAAGAGTGGTGATTGGCGGGGTTTATTAAGTTTGAGTAGTTAGTTTGATATTACATGATGTATTTTTGAAGCTAAATAGAAAGTGGTTGTGTTGTGTTGTGTTGTGTTGTGTGGGTGTATTGGGCTCGGGGAATACCGACGTAGAAATGGAATAAAGACTCAAGATTTTTTTTTGTGTAACTAGAGAACTCTCATTTGTATTGCTTTTGTACTATTGGGGAATAATAACAATAACTTCTCATGCTTTATCGTCTGATTTTTAGTATAGAAGATCATATTGTGAATAAATGACCTATGCCCTTGTTAGTTTTGTGTATCTCGCGAATTTTGTGTCTAATAGAAAAAGGGCGGGGAATAACCATCTTATTTTTCACCCAAATGGGGAGTACTCTTATCCGAAAACGGGTTTTGCGTTACATACGTACTGTTTGTGTTTGTGCTTCTAGAATGGAATTTAGTTGTTTCTATTCAATTTTAAGCGACTCTTTTAATTTATAAAGAATCAATTTGGTGATTGGGTGGTTATCAAGAAGGAAAATAAAAGGACTGTTTAAAAGTATATAAAAGTATTATAATACAGAAACAGATGTGAAAAACGTTAGGGCTTCAAAGAGAATGCATACAGGTATAAACGAAAGCCATAGGACTAATAGAAACTCTTTGTTGATATTTTTGTTGAGTGAAATTCGAGTCAAAATGTAGAGGCTCTTTTATTGAGGGAGCTACTCAACGAGTCAAAGGAAAAAAGAAATAGATGACCTTGTTAGTGTGTGACCTTGTTGGTGTGGGTGGGTTTATCGTCAAAGCGAAACTGCAAGATCTACAATGTAATGTGTTGCCCATATGTTTCATCAGTTCTTGATACTCATAATGTCAGATGATATGGAAGAAGTGAAAGCCCATCGGACTGCTGCTTTACATTTGTTGTCTCCATTTTAATCCAATTATTAACTGTATAACTCTTCGCTTGCGATTGTCAAAGTTGTTGTTTTGTTAACAGACAATAAGTTGGTAGTGAGTGTGGTGTGGCTTTGAGTTTGATTTTGATTTTGTTTGTTTTTGTTTAATTTTGTTTGCTTTGTCTCTCCTCTTTTTCTCCTCTCTTATCTCTAAAACACAATAGTATGGCTTTTGTTGCAATTGTTGCAATTGTTGCAATTGTTGCAATTGTTGCAATTGTTACATTGTTACATTTGGGGGATGAAAGAAGTTGGCTTTATCAAAACAAAGATGTTAAAGAAAGATCAAGGGGGTGTTATTGTTACTAGTATATATAATACGGGGTGTAAATTATTTTACTAAAAAAAAGAGTTGCTTTCATTTAGACAGTCACACAACTTTTTTAAAAAGTTGTCTTACTTACTATACTTTAACACCCCCCCTGATCTACTGTTGACATCCTATTTTCAACACCCCTTTTTTTCTTCCCCCTTTGCTCGTTTGTAACTTACATCATGTATCACCAAGAATAGGCTACCCCTTTTCTTTATTGTGGTGGTGTGTGTCAATTGGACTCAGCAGCAACAAGAAAAGAAGAAAGAAAGAGAGCACAGACACACAAAGTTGAAGTTGATGGTGTAGCCAATTGGCTGGGTAGTATTCTTAATTAACATTGTGTCTTAGCTAAAACCTTCTTTGACACAACCATAAAAAACGATTGACAACTTTTTCTTTTTTTATTCCTTGTCAGGAGGAATGGAATGGAATGGAACGAAATGGCTGTTGAAGAAAAAGAAAAAAACAGAAAATGAATGACCACAATTTTATGGTTTAAATAAAAAAAAAAAAATGGTTTCATTACACAAAACACAATAAACTTCACATACCAACAATGGAACACATATGTATATATATACATATATATGTTTCACTGTTTATGTCATTTTGTAAACTTTTGTGTAACTATATACAACCAACACCACCACCATTATAGGCAACACCACATACTCGTTGAAACATATACAATACAACCACAAATATGGGTTAACCATAGATATAACCATTCAAAAGTGGTAAGATGTCACGTCATTTTCTATTGTGTCTCTTCTTAATCACTTTTGAGTTGCTTTAAGGTTAGGGAGAGAGCGAGAGAGTGAGAGAAGGGGGGGGGGGGAAGAGTAAATACTACTTCTGTCCAGTGATTTTGATCACATGATATACTTTGAACAGCAGTTGATTGAGATTTTTTACACACTGTCCCCCTTCGTCTAAACGTCTATACATATCATATATCGAATATAGAATATTACTCAATTTAGTAATAGAATATAATAATACAGGACGTTAGATTATATTAGCGAATGGGGTGTGTTAGTGTGTATGTTAGTGTGTTAGTGTTAGTGTATGTTAGTGTGTTAGTGGGTGTGGATTGGTGTAAGTGGGTGTGTTAGTGTGTTGTACTGTATAGAAAAATAAAAAATTAAAAACAGATAACCTTAAAATTGTCTTACGTTATTTTAAAAAGACTAAAGTATTAAATTGCATTAAAGAAAAAAAAAAAATAAAATAAAAAAAAGAATTTGTGAATGCGGCATAGGGTGAATAAAAAGATGATCATTTTAATTTGATTAGCAGCAGAAACGAGTAAAAGAGGAATTGGTAGCATCAAGTTAACGGACACACTAAATATTTAAGCCATATAAATGTGTATATATATACTTGTATATGTATATATATATATATACAAGTTAAATTCCTTCTTGTGCTTCAATTGATGGAATATAAATCATAACCTTTTGATACTTAGTGAAACACAGCATCAAAGTTCACCAATTTGTAACTCAAGAATCTCAACATTCTCATATACTGTTACCCATTACTACTATACATCATACTTTTTTTTTTAGTATATTAATTTTTGTTTTTTTTTTGTAAACAGAAACAGACAGCAGAAACCAACAACAAAAAAGTGCTGACCTTCCACAGAAACAGAAATCCATATTACACTAAGACACAATACACTCACACTCACTCACACAAACCATTTTGAAAAATATATAAAAACATCACCAAGTTCTCCTCCCCCCCATACAACCCATATCACATCATATACCCACGCAATACAATATATATACATATACATATATATATATACACACACAAAGTATATGATACAACACCAGTATATATAACAACAGATAACAATCCTTTTTTTTTTTTATTTTTTACAAACAATTGAAGAAGAAATAAAGGTGTTTTTTTCATTTTACACGACTCAGTACTACTACATTGATATATATGATCACAGAGCAATCTATATTCATTGAATCACACAAATGTCCAGATTAAATGTCCATTTCAACATATTTAGTAACCTGTCATCATCAATTTATCAAGATACTGATGTAAAAAGTGGCAATTCTATGAAACAAACGGAAGGTCAGAAGAAACAACAACAACAACAACAACAACAAGAAACAACACAGCCACAGGAACAGGAACAACCACAAACACAAACAAAAACACACGATCAACAACACGACAATTCAAATAGAGAAGCCACGTCTATTATTGCTCCTGCTGCTGCTGCTGCTGCTGCATCACATCTGTATGATAACTCTATCACTCATAGTGAAGATAACAAAACCACCCAAGAAAAGCTGACTTCACATCCTCAAGCACATCATCGTACCACCTACCATTTCCATCTACCAGGATACAAATCGTCATCATCATCATCATCATCACCACCACCGCCATTGAGTAGTGGTAGTGGTACTGTCGCTACTGAGGCAACTACTGCGACTACTGCGACTACTGCAACTACCGCAGCAGCTGAAATGGGATCGGCTCGTAACACAAACTCATCAAACCCTACTTTACAGCAACCACAGCCTCAGTCTCCCAAGTCACAACAGCTTTCTAATCACCACCACCAACAACATCAGCAACCCACTTCTGCCTCCCCTAACAAGGATGAGAGATTCCATAAACTTGTCAAGAAAACAATCAACAAGTTGAAGTTGTCGCCAGCTGTACCGACTGTTGCTCCCACAAGTCCAGAAATCATTGACAAACAAGAGCAACTGCAACTGCAACTGCAACTGCAACTGCAATTGCAACCAGAACAACAAGCCAAGAGCCACGCCCACTCAAACTCAAACCATCAAGGTCAATCACCTTCTCAACAAAATCATCATCATCTTGCTACACCACTTACTCGGTCACGTTACAATTCGGTTGCTTCTTGTAACTCGTCCTCAAGTGATATCTTTGAAAGATCTGTCACCAATGGTAGTTCAATCCTCACTTTTACAAATCCTGAAACACCGTTCCACCATAATATAGAAAACTACACTAGTCCAATATTAGACACGACTGCAGAAATCTTGGTTAATCCAAACATTCAATTAGATCAAGTCAAGTTAAATTGTTATTGTGATGGTGATATCACATCATTACCTTCATGCGTCTCGTTCAAGGGAAGAGACTCCTTCTTCAATCCAAAGTATAACAACAATAACAACGACAACAACAACAACAACAACAACAATGGTAATGGATGTAACAATGCCGAATGCAAGTTCAAGCCAAATAACCAATCAACTCTGAGCTTATCATCAGCACCAGCTCCTGTGCCTGGTTCATCGAATGCAGTTTCACCAACTTTAAGACCAAGAGCAAGAAGCATAATCTCGCAACTGATAATTTCAACGTTGGATAACTCAAAACACCACAATAACTCCAACAGCAATGGTAACTCACATCTTAGCAAAGTTAAATCTACTACATCTGCTAGTGGCATCTCCTTCTTATCTAGACCTCAAATGGCTAATTTAAGATCTTCCAGCTTTGCTGGAAATACTAGTCTTTTACGTAATAAAACCATCCCTGATGGTTCTGTTTCAAGTGCAACTACAAATACTCCTAATTTGGGAAAAAATATTGTAATCACTAGGAAATCGTCACCCAAATTGGCAAGCTTAGTTACACGGTCGCAATCGGGTGCTAATTTAGCAACTTCACCCACATCACCAATATCCCACAATTCAACGTCGTCCAAAAGTAAATCCTCGCCTTCAGCTTCAGCTTCGCAACCCAAATATTCTCATTCTTCCTCATCCAATACTCATCCAACTATTAGTCAACCACCAGTTATTGATTTCTACTCATTTGCTGATATGTGCACTCACGAAGATGAAGAGCTTGAACAAGGAGTTGCAGAAGAATATGAGAGAGTGCAACAAGATGAAGATAATCGCCACGGCGACGTTGACGATGACGGTGAAAACGAAGAAATCGACCCCTTGGATGAAACCAATATTCAAGAGTTTGGTTTCAATAGTATCAGCAGTAGTGGAAGCGGTATGATTAGTGCTGGTGGTCGCGATGGATCTATGTCTACTGGCGATACGATGTTCATTAGAGAGATTCCAGTTAGAAGAGGTAGTTATGCTACAATCAATGCTAAAGATTATATAGGTGTTTTATAAGGTAAATACTGTGAGGAGGGGAGTTTTAAATGCTTTTCCTTTGTTGCTGCTATTATCATGATTTAATTGCTTTAGCTTTGCTATCTGTTGTAGTGTGGTGATCTTACTTTGTTGTCATTTTGGCAATACTGCCACTAGTTTACCTCCGTTTTGATGCCTTTTGCCTTGTTGATCAAGAAAACAAGCACCCGGTCACATTTTTACAAAAGCTTCCAACAACGAAATGCATTATCTTCAACTGTTGAGTGTAGATTCAACCTCCAAAATAAATTGGAAACGGATTTGAGTGTAGATGCTCGTGCATAAATGTACAATTTTCTTATCTGGGTGCAAAAATTTAGTTTCTCTCCTCGGTACAAACACAAACCACACACGCATAATTTACTATAACACGCTGGAGACACAGATAGTTGGTGTAATAGAGTGATACGGCAGCACACATATGCGTCGAAATAGCACCAAGGCTAACAATTTACATCTGATGCATTTCTGCTCGTAAGCATATACACTTCAACCTACAACTTTCCCTTCTTATATTCCTAATTATCTCTCCTCATGCATTTCACTATACTGTTGCAAAAACTCTGATATGCTCAAATTTGATACACCATAGAGAAATCCAAGTTCAAATTACAAAATCCATAAACTATATCCCACTTCTTCTTCTTCTTCATCAACATTATTCCCCTTCCTTTATCCACAATAGTCGATTTGACATAATACGCGCAATAAAAATGTCTCCCTTAGTCAACTTAGTTACTCCAGAACAGTTGTATTCCCTTATTGACTGGAAGAACGTGGATATTCAAATCACCATTCCTGGTTATGATCCATCTTTGGGTTTCTTGTTAAGTAGCCCAGCCTTTGTTCCATTACAACCACCACCAACAACCACCACCGAGAACAAAGCAACCGAATCGACAAACCATTTAGATTCTCAAGATGAAGTTGAGCATGAATCTACTGAACCATCATCACTTTCTACGCCACCAGTTGCAACCACTGATAACGTCAGCATTCAGAGCCAAATGAGCCCATCAAATCAACAGACCTTAAAGTCAAACACCGATCATCTCCATTTGGATCAAAACATGAGACAAACTGAATTATGTCCATTTGAAAACATGTTCTCTGAAGAGGATCCTCAGTATGCCAGTTTCCTTGAAGGTTATGTCGATGATAGTTTGAATAACAAAGTTGAGAATGAATCAGCAATCAAGGAGTCATTTTACGAAGGTATGAATCGTGATTGTTGGTTGAAAGTTGATAAATCTGATTTGTATGAGCAACGTAAAACACCTCGTTACATTTATGGCAGGTTTAACACAATCGGATATGCCAGAGATTCCGCAAGAGCTGTCAATTATACCAATTACACCATTAATCTTGAATGCATGGATACAAACAATGAGAGAAACTGCAGCCAGAAGTTTGCTACCATATTTGATTTTCAACACCTTGTAAGCAGTTACCACCACCACCACCACCTCAATCAAGATGAGAAAGCCAGTTGTGTTCCTGTGAAGAAAAATGAACAAACCGGTACTGAATTGGCTCCAGACTACAGATATGACATTGACAACTACTGCATTTCAAGAGACACTTCATCTATTTACTCGGGTGAGTATGCTGCTTATGATAGAATACAAGCACTTCGTGTATCGGGAGAGATTTCTAAGGTAAACAGTGCAGAAATTGACTATAAGATGAATGGTAGCCTCAATGAACGCCAAGCTGTTGCTAACAATTTAGAAATCACATCCTGGGCTCATGAAAATTTGGCATACCAAAATGATGAAAGTCAACCTCGATCAAGTAAAAGCTCCCTAGAGCATACTGAAACCGAAAATGAATCCAGTGTGACCATCCTCCCTGAACCTGTTGTTGCTGTTAATTCTGCTGCTGGTGCTGCTGATGCTGTATCCGCTGTTGTGACCACAGAAATTGTCATTGACCATGAATTTGAAGTCAACGGAAATGCAAACATTGATGAGTTGTTGAACGGCAATGATACCACTGATGCGTTTACACCTGGTCAAGCTAGTGAGAGAGAAGAAGCTGCTACTGTCACTGCAATCGACCAACAACAAGATGATCCAAATGAGACGGTGCAATCGCCTAATGATGGACAGCAGATGAATGACGTACCTGAAGAGGAACAGATGAATGAAAATGTACACGTACCTGAAGAGTCAACTGAGACACCAACAGAAGAAGTTATCGGTTATATGAATCCTCGTGACAAGGTTAGGTTTATGGAACCAGTGGATATTAACCCATTGTATGCATGGTACTTTATTCCAGGAGACACATTCCAAGCACCTTTGATCCCAGGACTTAGAATTGCACAGCTTGTTCCTGATGGAGTTAGAGTCATTCCTGTTCCAGAGGTGCAACCACTTCAATATTTGGAATCTGGTACATCTGCAATTGTTGATGAGAAACGAGTTTTGGCAAAAAGAAAAGTGAGATTTGTCAACGAATTACACAAGAGAATTGAGACAGAGAAGGAGATTACTGATCTAGAAGGGTTAATTTTACACGATAAACAGCCTACAGATGTTGTGCGCGTGGAACGAAAGCACAGGAAACCATTTGCTTTTGTTAAACGGGTTTTGAAGAAGTTGAAGTTGAAAAAACGCCCTAAGATGAAGAGTACTGAGGGACTTAGGTCAGCTATGAAGAAACAAAACCCTAGCACAAAGGCTGAAGACGGGACCGGTTTAAGGAGGTACAAATCTTGCATCACATTGGATAGTCCAGAGCTAGATGGTGATGAGGAACGTCCCAAGATTTTTCAACGTGTGAACCGACCCCAGTCTGCTTAATGATTCATTGACAAATATGACAGTGGCAATGACAGTGGCAATGGCAGTGTTTTGGAGTAAAAATCACAACTTGACTTTTATGATATGCCAAGAAGATGGATTGGTTGCAACTTGGAAAACTACTTTGACGGTGCTTTAATCAGCACGCGATTCTCGGAATTGTCGTCAAAGAATTCCTCTTTCCTGGGTGTGATTTTTGATATTACTTTGTTTCAGAAACAGCTATGAAAATTTTGAACCTCGATTAGAAGCAGCTGCTTTGTTCCGAGTTGTGTGATGGGTGCTAGTCCGGCCAGCTAGTGTCCAGAGCCAATGACGGATTATTGCAGTTGGCGGAAGAGGGGACAAGAGTTTGAAGGTTGTTGAGAGTAATGATGAAAATATGTCGGTGTGTTGAAAGTCTATGAAGATGATCTCATGTGTGAGGAAGGTTGCGGTACTTGGTGATGTTTGCTGATGCAGTTTTGTTGCTGCTGGTAACTTTGTCAGTTTTGTTTTTTATGTTTTCATGATTTGACATCTTTTTTTTTACATTCCTAGGGAAGCTCGGTGTTGAAAATGGACCAGGTTGTAGATGATAATCTCTTTGCCGATTCTTCTTGCTCTCTAACTATTGGCTTTTTTCTAAATGAACTACAGGATGTAGTTGGTGATTCAGCCACACAGGGTTTTATGGCTTTTGAGTCTCTTTTAGTGGCGGACGGACAAAAGAAAAAGTGTGATCTTAAACTTAATAATTTAATGCGAGAGGTCACTTGATAACGTTTAATGAATAAAGTTGAAAGCTATACTCGAAGTTGGCTGAAAACCACTTTCCAGTGTATATGATCCAAAGGAACGAGTTTCTAAACTTTGCAAGCAATACAAAACAATTTCCTGTCTTTCTGTACTGCTGTTGTCACAAAGCTAAAATAACTCAAGTGTACTACACGTGCAAAATGATACCTCATTTGTGTGGACAAGGTGTGCAACAAGTACTAACTGAATAGTTGCATAGCTTTTCATTGTAGGGATAAACACCAAAGCTTCTAGAACTGAAAGAAAACGGGGGGTCATTGCTAGCAACGATGGGAAAGTGGGGAAGAAAAGTCATGCAAAATTGAATCAGAATGGAAGAATTTGCCCCTATTATAGAAATATTACCTGTGAAAGAAGTGAGGGGTACCCCTATAAGAGAGGGAGAATGAAGTTATTGGTCAGGCAAGTTTACGATAATCACAAATCTCCAATTGACAACCGTTGGAAACCGTTTTAAGGCTATAAACATAAAAGAAACAAACACAAAAATTAGAGAATGCAAAATTGAGTAAAGTGGTCTACCCTCAATGGACACTCCCCAAGCACCTCATTATACTTGTAAAGCTTTGATTGCATATTGTATACCATCATGAGTAATGTGAACTTGTCTTCCAAATTTACAGTCCATTCACGTTCATTACCCTAGTTTATGAGTCTACAGTAACTAAACTTTTTCTAAATTATGTCACCACCCCTTAAAGTAAGAATTTAGACACAAAAATAAAACACAATCACAATTTGTTGGTACTTTGTTACAAACAACTCTCTCATTACACTTGAATACGCTTATCCTACCTCTTCTACTTGTAGACTGTTCACAACCAAAACAAAAATATCACATGCATTTTTACAATTACCCCATACAATAGATGCTTACTACTTCTACTAACTTTAATTGTTTCCATCTCGATTTCTTTTTTTATTATTGGTGTTAGCAAAATCGAATATAAATATGAAGGAGATTTACCTTTCTTTACGATCTTTAATTGTCACTTTATAGATTAGTTTTGGCGAATCTTGGAAGTGCTTTTGAGTTTTTGCGCCCTATGTAACACTTTTAATTTGCAAAGTTCACAAGAACCACCTCTTGCCAAGAGGATATGGTCTTTTCAACGTAACCATCAAAGAATGTTCTTTGTTGGTTGCATTATGGGTCTGAAGTTTTCTTGTGACGCTTTTGGTGAGGTGGCTTTTGCCATAATATTTTTGAATAAAGATTGTTCACAAGATTTTCGAATTGTGTCGTTCCCGCTTTTCTTGCTTCCTGTTAGCCAATGGAATTGCAACACCATTAAAACAGATTCTTGAGATGAATTAGAAGAAATCATACCTTGGACTTTAGAATCAGTATACATCAATTTATTGTTATACCCTCTACTGCAGATTGGCTTTTTCTCATATTTCTTTTTCTTAAAGGCAAACGTCAATAGTTTACAAAAGCCGATATTTCGAAGTTGTATGCTACTCGGATTGAAGAGATTGGAGAGGAACCATATATTCTTAAAGGATAGTATTAGAATGCTTTTGAGCTCATTTCTTGTTGCTGATTATAGCTCATGCTAATTGAACGGTTATTTTAAGGCGATAAACCAATGGTAGTTGTCGCCACAATTTCAGGTTACATCAAAAGCTGCTATTGACACCAACCAGTGGCTTCTTCTCTCTGATATATTGATTCGGACTTTTCAATTAAAGTAGATGCGCTTCAATCAACCGTTCCATCAGTAGTTTCGAAATACAATAACCGATTAGAAGGAGTGGGGGGGCTCAATACAACATAGAATGCACTCAAACAAACTTTATTGCATCAAATTTAACCCACAGCTTCTTTACTCCAAGAATCGTTGTATAAAGTATCTTACATCACAAGAGGATCAGTGCTAGCTTTCTGTAATAAAAAGTGATTAGCTACACAGAAGCGGTGGCAACGACACGGAATCTAGCTGAACAAAGAAGGTCACTTGAATATCTAAAGTCAAGGACTCCCTCGTATTTCGAATGTTGATACATACAATTGTGCTGCCAAAAATTTTTGGTTGTAAAAATTTCTGAAGTAATTGACCTATCCCACTCTTTTTAAATCAATTCAGTCTTTCTCCGTGCCAAAACATCTTCTTCAACCATGTGTTTCAGTTATTTCCGCCAACCTCAATTGGTAATCGTGTATCCTAATAATCCCATTCGCATTGATTTCGACATAATCTATCAGTGCATAATACCCATTGAATTCAAATTGAAAGTTGCATACTTCAAATACAAACGAAATAAAGACCGTCAGATAAAGAATAGGATAATATATTGTAATGGTGTTGGAATAAGACGGCTGCCTTTACGTATCCGTAATAAGGAATTTCACTTGATGTTATACTGTTGTTTGTTTCCTATGTGCACACAGGTTTTACTAGTTGGAGACGATTCCATTTGTGGGGTAAATGAGTGTCTAAAACATTTGGAAAGTGATGATGAATGCCACGGTATCTGCCAAGAGGAAGAAGATGGCAATTTTGATGACAATTTTGATGAAACCATTGACAGAATTCTTGACAACATCGTATCCAGTAACTTGTATTTGAACAAGGTTGGTAACGGTTACACATTGGTAAAAGGTAATAAAGACGTTGACGAAGCTGTCCAGACACCACTTAAATTAAATGTTGAGAAAGTTAGTGAGATTAAACTCCGAAGTGGCGAATGCCATCCCGATGCCAAGGAAGATACTGAATCCACTAATGGTGATTACGTATATGTCGGAAGTGAAGAAGAGTTAGCTGGCACCAATGGAAAGGAATTAGCAGGTATGACTGTTGATGTTCCAGCTCGTGAAGGTGAAAAACGTGCTGATAGCATTGTCCAAAATGAAAGAAAGAGTAATAAACCACAGGAAGCCAAAGTAGTTGGCATTGTTGAAGATCGAGATATTGTAGGCTCAGAAGGCCGAGAATGGAACCATGTGTTGAGATCAGAGCACGAAAGCTCTGATGAGGAAACCATGAACTTTATTGAACAAATGATGGCTAATCGAGAAACCAAAACGAAGAAGAAGAAAAAGACAAAGAAATATTACTACTTCAAAAATAAAGAGCAAGTGAAATGATGATTGGATAGCAATTTTCGTTGTCTGATGCAATAAACTTGGAGCTTCTTGTATTGCTTTGTACTTGTTTTGCCAAATGAAATAACCAAAATGTAACACCCAATTCTTTAGAGACAAGAATGTGTACATAGTTTTACCTCTCTTTTCCAAAATGAAGCTCTTTTGCAACCACCACCACTGGTCGTGCAAAACACAACCAAATGATTGTGTCGCTCTTTACTTTTACACGACACTCATCAAAGAGAGAAAAAGTGTTGGCGAAAAAAAAAAAAATTTGAAGAGAAAAATCACCAACAAACACTTGTCGAATCTTAGTCAAAGCCAAAGAAGGATATCGAGTTATCATAAACCTGGGACATCCATCTTATCCAAATACATCTCCAATCACATTCTTCACCATCCAATCATTGATCAATTTGATCTTCCACAACCAATAACACAGTTGACTCTTTCACTTCCCCCCCCCCCCACACACACATACACATACAAAAAATAAAAATCTTCACCGCATTTTCAAGGTCACCAAATTAAAACTTATCCCCAATCTTTAACTTTTATCGACATCTCCAAGCACTATGACGGAATCATTGTTTGACACCAATTTCACTTCTGAAAACGAACCCAAGTTAACTGGTAACCAGTCCGCCACTGAAACCCAATCACATCCTGAGGGTCATGCTATTGCATCTACAGGAAGCAATACAAACAATACTGGCAATACCAATGCCAACACAGCTGCTGCTGTCTCTGTCAATAGTACTGAAGCTCATGCTGCAAGTTCTGACCATGTCGCCGCCACCGATGCTGCTTCATCACAGGAACATCACGACCATGATGATGGGTATGATCATTCTACTTCATTACCCTCATTGGATGACAACACCAACGCCGATGCATTGATAAATTACCGTGTTTTGGTATCAGCCAAAGAAGCTGGTTGTTTGATTGGACAAAATGGGAAAGTTATTGATTCAATTAGAGAAGAAACAAACACCAAAGCAGGAATTTCTCGATTGATTGCTGGTACCCACGAGCGTATCTTGACTGTTTCCGGTAAATTGGACGATTGTGCCAAGGCTTTGAGTTATTTTGCTCAAGCATTACTTGGATCATCAATTGAAACTTACAACTATTTTCCATTAAAACAATTGAGCTCGACTCCGTGTGTTGAACATGAGACAACAATTTTAAGATTATTGATCCCTAATAGTCAAATGGGCACATTAATTGGTGCCAAGGGTGCAAGAATTCAACAAATTCAACACAATTTCGGTATTTCCATGATTGCTTCTAAATCGTTTTTACCTGGGTCTAACGAAAGATTAGTGGAATTGCAAGGAACGGTGGATGACTTGTATGACGCATTGAGAATTATTTCACGTTGCTTAATTGAAGATTTCTCATCGAGCGTTGGCACCACTACCTACTACGTTCCCAAGAGTCATCAGTCAACAAGAAAGTCTACTGCAACGATCAGCTTCCCTAATGATATGGTTGGAGCTTTAATCGGCAAGAATGGATCAAGAATCCAAGGGGTGAGGAAAGTCAGTGGAGCCATGATTGGAATTGGCGAAGCTGTTGAAGGTTCAGATGAGCGAGTATTCACTATAACTGGTACCCAACAAGCCGTGGAAAAAGCTAAACTGTTGTTGTATCACAATTTGGAAAGGGAAGAGCAAAGGAGAGCTGAAGCAACTGAATAGAAGTGGTGAGGGTGTTGTTGTTGTTGTTGTTGTGTCTAGTCCATCGCTCTGACACTTTTTCAATTGTATTTATAACACCTTCCGCAATGAGCTTTAAAGTGTGGAAGATATTCACACGTGTATACTTACCTATAAATAGCTAATTTGGCATTATTTTTTTTTTTATATAATCTACCTAGTCTATTAATATATGTATTATTCCATTACAAGATTACCGTACGAATCATGCTGAAACATAGGGCCATTTCAGCAATGTCCTTCCATTAGAAACTCTTGCTTAGTAATTTGGCCAATTGTTCTAAATACTCTTTATCAATGTCGTCAAACCCGTTAAGATCCAAGCAATCCAAATCAATGACTCCCACCACCACTGACGACAGCGTCTTCTCAACAGACTCAGGCATGTTGACTTTGATAGGTACAACAATCTCTGACTTTGTTTCACCATCGCATGCTATATGACCAGGGAACTCATCAATATTAGGTACAACTTGAGTTTCAGCTGTCGATGCCGCAGTTCCGCAAACCCCCTTACCCCACTGTATTGATTGGCATGCAACTTTTCCATGAAATGGACCTAGAATGAGTAGCTTTGGGGTGGAAGACGTACCTTCAGTTTCAATGGAGTTATGGTCGTTGCCGATTTTGACATTGCTGATTTGATATTGATGATCAATGTAGAACCCAGACCAGTTCACATTAATACCAAGTGAATGATATGCATGCCATAAGAGTGATGCGCAGTTAGATAAGTTGGAGATCAAGTACGGAGTTTCGAGAGCAGTATATGCATCAAGAACCTGTTGAAGCGTTTCTCGTTTAGAACTGGATGAAGACGAATTCGAAAAGTTGGTATAGTCAGCGTGGTGCACCATTGTCAAGGTCTATGGATGTCAAATGGGGTTGGTGGTTGCAGTTATAGTTGCACTTGCTGGTGGTTTCGTTGTTTAAGCTTTTGCTATAGATGTTATGTAAAAGTTATTAGAAATTCTTTTCAATTTCTCCGATCTGGTGGGTTTTTAACACTCGTTGCATGTAAAAAACTGTGGTTGCATCTTGCACTGACTGAACAATTCATAGCACCGTACTGATGCGCCTCTCGTGTACAAAACGAGGTTCATCCCATGCTGTTTGAGATGAGAGGTTATCATTCCAGTGAAAGGTATCAATAACAATGGAACTGCAAATGAGGGCTTGCTTACTGATCAAATATTTGTTCAATCTTTTATGCACGAGAGACGTGCTTTTTCCACCAGTTCAGGATTATTTGGTACCTCCGTCTTTACTTTTTTTTTGTCTTGAAACTGCTTTTTCTCTACAAATATGGAGCAGCTCTGTTGGAATGACTTGCAATTTTGGTGTTTTATCTAACCGAAATACTTTTGGTAGCGTCGTCTAGACAACGTTACAAAGCGCAACCGACACCAAAAGTGAATGATTAGATCGGGTTATTTGTAGTAGACTACGTCACAGAACAAATTACGTATACAATATTAACGGTTTTACTACGATTTGAAGCTGGCACAATCACTTCTCGAACTATTCGCCACCCAAATGGATGGATTCGAGGAATTTCTTGCAGTACGAGGTGTCCAGCGATCATTGATTAGTCAACAAAACACAACAAGATATGATCATGTGAGGTACAGACCTCAGGGAAGGGACACTTTTGACCTGTCCGAAGACGAATACATGGATGAAGGCGAGATGATTCAGAATATTTCCAATGACAACGAAGTTCAAGCAGATGGATTTAACACGGAATCTGAAGATGGATTTAACCCGGAATCTGAAGATGGATTTGATACAGTGGGAATGTGGAGTGAGGAAAATCGAACTGATGATCGTTCAGACAATGGAGATGGGTATGTACTGGTAATTCTTCCGCAACTTGCAAATCATGACACTTTAGTGGAACATCCTATGGCAAGTATGGAAACAGAAGATTTCGCAAGTCGGTTCGGAGTGGGAACAAACGTGGGTGAAGTTAGCAACCCGGAGCAAAGATTGAGGATACATGAAGATGAAATTCTGGAGGATTTCGATCTGCATTTTAATGCCATTAACTTCACCTCCTCTGGTATAAGTAGATCTACCATATCTCGTCTTGGTCAAATTGATCGCAACTACAAGTATACAGAGAAACCCCTGTCAAGTGTGAAATTCAAATATCCTATCTTACATGATAAAGCAAACTTTATTTACTCCCCGCCAGTACGCAAACTTGACAGGGACAGCAGCTATCAGGTTAAAATTGAACGTGATCGAAACGAGTTTCTACTACAACAAGCTCCAGCAGAAAAGTTTCACAATGGATTGAAATTAAGGGCAATCGGAGAAACAACATTGACCCCAATGAAAGACTGTATGAGGTATAGGAATAATTTAAGTTGCATATTTTCCCAAGACAGTGATTACCTTGTTATTGGTGTTGGGTCTTGGCTAAATATATATGACTTTGATCCAATAAAAAATTTGCCAAATGGAAAACCTCGTTTACGATTTGACACCAAACCTTCATTTTCGTCAACTACGGACCAAGTAGTTTCCACGTGGCCGCATTTCCCACATGGTATAAATTTTATCAGAAGTTGTCAGTTCCTTGGCAAGACTGTTGTTTGCGCATGTGTTGACGATGGACGTTTGTTAATATGGTTTGCCGAACGATTTATTGAACAAATGAAACCACTTGATCCTTCAGGAGAGAGAGACGATTTCAGAAATTTAGCTATATCACCAGATTTCAAGTTGAGGTTAAGTGCTTCAGTATGGGGACTTGATATAAGGGAAAACATCATTGTTGCTTCAGACAACTCGCAAAGTGTTGTTTTGTTGTTCTATCATGAGTTGGACGGGAGGTTTTATCATGTAAAATCACAACAAGTGTTACATAATGTTCCCAGTGTATCCATAGTAAAGTACACGGAGGAAACCATCCACGTTGCTTGTGCCTCCATTTCTGGAGAACTAATAATTTTTGAGTTCCATTTTGTACTCAATGCGGGACCATTGGACAAGTCAGCTTTGGATTTTTTCACAAATGGAAGGGTATACTACACAGATCCCTTGATTGAGTCCTTGGAGTATGGTAACGGAGATGACGATGTGTATCGTCGTCACCGGAATCATGATCTATACGATGATTTGATCAGTCGCGGGAATAACGTCTTCAAAAGAGTTTGCTTTCAAGAGCCTTTGATTGTGTCACGTTGTGTTTTGAACGAGGATTGCTGGACGGTCCAACCTTTCCATCACAATTGGTTTCTACCGGTTGGGTCATTGCAATCGGTTTTCGGTGATTGCGAAATTGACGATGAAAAGGAGCAATCACGAATTATAGCAGAAAGTGCAATCTTGAAAGGGAAACGTGGTCACAAGTCACACGAGGAGAGAATTGATGACAGTGAGAGTGATGGGATCATTGGTAATCAAACAAGTCTTGGTGTTGCTGCAAAGTACCAATTTTACAAATCAGAGTCTATAGATTTCAATGGTGTTGCAGATCCTACTATTCGGATCCCGCCAGTTGCTAAAATGACAAACATCAGTGATGAATATAAACGAATTCACAGAGACTTTATACTTTACGAAAAGAGGCGAAACCTTGTTGACGATTTCTTGGTTGTGACTACATCAAAGAAAGCTGCGTTGTTCAAATATCCATCCTTGTATTGTCCTTGCGCTACTAATCCGTTGTTCAACTTGGATTTGGGGCGGAAGCAAGATAGTTGTTATTCAAATAGACTTTCTATTTCAGCTGTGATACCAGAATTGTCATGCTTTATTGCCGTTTCCCAGCAAGGTATGGTGACGATTATGAGATTATGCACATACAGAGGGGTATATGGAATGAGGCAAGAACATGTTTTCCCCAATGCTTTTAGGATGGCAGTTGCTGAAACTGGTGATTATAGAAGCATTGTTGGATTGAGTGTACGAGAAAAAGGTAGTCAAGAAGGTGCCAATAATGGGGATTGCGATTGTGGCATTGTTGGAGGTGAGAAGAACAGTCCGTCGTTTTTGCTTCATATATTATATGACGATGGTACCCTTTTTGGTTATGATTTAAAAGAGTAGCCAAAGGTAATTGGACTGTACCAGATATGTTGTAATAAAAGCATGGGGAGCTAAAATGTGTTATATGTGTGTGTATGATGACGTGTTGTGTGTTGTTAGGTGTTGTTGTGATAAGAGTGTGGAGTCTAGTGAGGTTGTATGTATGTGTGCAGACGTCTTGTGTGTAGGGAGGTCATATGTGCGAATAGTGACGTCTTGTGTGTAGCGTTGTGTTATTTGCGAGATTAACACATGTAAGTGAGGGGATGTATAACTTGCGTGACTAACACATAAGAGTGGAGACCATTAAAGAGAGTCGGTTTATAAATATGTAGCAATCTTTGGATTATCTAGGTGTGAATAGGTTTCTAGTTAAGTGAAATAACTTAGTTAACAATAAGATAAACATTTGTGCAGGCGTTGCCATCATGAGCAAGAGCCAACGATATTGTCTGAACCTATCTTTTCAAGTTTGTTGATACGTTTCAATCGGTGTTTAGTACATAATAATGGAACCAAACAAGTGCTTTTTTATATTCAGATATCCCCTAAGGGAATCAAAGAGCACAATCTCGGTCTTTCTTGTCACTCCAGTGAAAAGCCAACCAAACCCAATCTCCAATTCCTTCTTTAGGATAAACTGCTAGTTGACATGTACAAACGTTTGTTCGTTATTTTCTATTCTAGTTGATAATCCATAAGCGGTAACTCCACAGAGCTTTATTAGGCTGGATGATAAACACTAACGGTCCTTTCTACTTTACCTTTTAGCTCCTTTTAATAACAACGAAGTTCCATTGCTAAACACCAGGTGTTTATTTGACTGTTATGAATTCTATCGTCTAATCAATTAGTGAGTGACTATGGGGATTGCTGAACTGTCGTGATAGGGGGTTTGCCAAATTTGACCAACTGTCAACGCTATGAATATCATCCCAAAAGCACGTGATTAATGTTAAGTGACATGTAATTTCATGCATTCACAATAGCTTGTAAAATGGGCGTGTGGCGTAGTTGGTAGCGCGTCTGCCTTGCAAGCAGAAGGTCATGAGTTCGACTCTCATCTCGTCCAAACATAAATTTTGAAGGCATATCAAAATATTTTTTTTTTATTGCTTTTTTCGAGGTAGGCTGTGATGGTGTGGTAAGATCATATGTTTGAGCATAACGCGAAGTTGGAATGGTATTTCGCAAACAGTGCTTAATTATCAACTTTTTTATATTTACTAGTGGTTTTTCTATTTTGTTACCTGAGTTGCGACATGTGGTTGACTAAGTAAAGCTCATTTAGTAAAAGCATATGTCTAGCGAAAGGCAACGGCGGTGTAAAGTTTGTGGATGAGAGACTTCAAGGTCAATTATTTTTGTATTTTTTTGGGTTGCAAATCCGTGCAAAAGTTTGTGGATGAGAGACTTCAAGGTCAATTATTTTTGTAGTTTTTTGGGTTGCAAATCCATGCAAAAGTTTGTATGTTGATGAACTACATATCCACGACAACAGTGTGTTGATGAGATTGTAGGGAAAATTCTTGCAAATGGACTAGACCGAGTCCCTTTTCATTGTTATTCTCCGAATTGCCATCTTTTCACATGTGTTTTATTTGTAAAAAACGGTTTGGTAAGAACCAAACGTATGAAAGTGGGAGACAATACAATAGTAGAAACCGTTTATATTATCATGAGACTTTTTCAATATAGTTAATGCTAGATAGCTTTCTCTTAGTAACTAGGAGTTGAGATACTCTTCTTTTTCTGAATTAAATGAAAAGCAACAGCTTTCAGAGTAACGATTAGTTTCTGCATCGTTTTGAGGTGCAAAATATATGAGAGTAAGGGGTACTTTGTACCAATCAACAATGTCACACTCCAGGTGACGATGCAACTTAAGCGTGTATTTTGGTTAATTCCGCTGAACTGGTAGATATCGGAGTTGATTTTTGTGTAATAATGGAATGCAAGTTTCGGATTTAACGTATACAACAGTAGCAAGAAAAAAAATTATTCTGTCATATTATTATTGTTGTTATTACCCTTTATGCATTAAATCCTTTTTATCGTTTTCTTTATTTATCATCATCAATTGTATTGGACAAGCACCATAATGAAAGCTTTGAATCACATGCTGAGGATGGTACGACATATCTTTTAGTATTGATTACAAGCAGTAATAGAGCGTGACAAGAGAGTCATAGTGAATGTGAAAATTCTGTAGATGTTTCACAAAGTATAAAACTGCACGAACTTTAGTACATGTTCAATGCAATGATGAGGAATAAAGCAAAAGGGAAGAGGCGTATAGCCCATGCACGTGATGACAAAGTAGGGAAGATGACCCTTAAACCAAATCAATACATAACTACATCACACTAGCAAAGGAAGAAAGAACAGTTGAATGGAATAGTTTGTGTATCTTCATTTGTGTTTGTGTGGGGTATATCGATATAACCATTAACCCAAAAATTTTTTACGTCATTCGAATAAAATGTTTGCTACCCCACCCATTTTCAATCCATTTAACCTGACTCGTTTAAAAACTAGTCCACTGTAACTCTTCCTCTCTGATTCAACTTATCGAGGTAATAGCGATGCTAGATACGATGGTGTTTACACTTGACATGATATCATCATTGAGTATAATAAAATTCTGGAACCTCTACCCCACTTACAACAGTTATTATTCTTTTTTTTTGTGTATTAAGATATTGCTATATTAAGTAGTTTTAATTTTTTTGGTCAAAAGTGCACGATAAAGTAGGTAATCTCCGATGGTAGCAACTAATATTCCGCTAACTAAATAATTAAACACAATAATAACAACAATAACAATTATAACAATTGAAGAGCCAACAAAATTATCACTGACTAAGTTTAGGGTCTGATATATATATATACCAATGACTTACCCCATTTCTTTATTTCCCTCTTCACACATACTATTAGTACTAAGCTTATACTCTCACTATATTCATTTTACAAGTCATTGATAGACACACATATTGTACACACATACACACACACACACACACATACTAAAATACACTTTTACTATACAACAATGTCTTCCATACTAGACCAAGCATCAGACTTTGGTGAAAAACTACTCCCATACTTGACCAAATGGTACAGTATTGTATTTATCATTTTATTAACTTATATCCCATTATTAAACATAAGAAATGCTTATGTTGGTTGGAAATTGGGTTGTCAAGATCCACCAAAATTCCGTAAAGCTGGATTCACTGGTGTATTTGCTTTGATTGAAGCGGTCAAAAAGAAGAATCAAGGTAGATTAGTTGATTGGGGTGATGAACAATTTGACGAGTACCCAAACCACTCAATGTACTTGAATGTTACTGGTTTATTAAAAATTGTGTTGACTGTCGATCCTGAAAATATCAAGGCAGTATTGGCCACTCAATTTAATGATTTTTCATTAGGTACAAGACATGCTCACTTTGCTCCACTTTTGGGAGATGGAATTTTTACTTTGGATGGTAATGGATGGAAAGATTCTCGAGCAATGTTGCGTCCACAGTTTGCTAGAGAACAAATTGCCCACGTCAAGTCTTTGGAACCACATTTGCAAATTCTTGCCAAACACATTAAATCTACCAATTTCCAAACTTTTGACTTGCAAGAATTGTTTTTCAAGTTTACAGTTGACACTGCTACTGAGTTTTTATTTGGAGAATCAGTCCATTCTTTGTATGATGACAAATTAGGTATTGCTCCACCAAATGACATTCCTGGAAGAGAACATTTTGCTGACGCATTCAACAAGTCTCAGAAGTACCTTGCTACTAGAACGTATTTGCAAATGTTTTATTTCCTCATTAACCCCAAGGAATTCAGAGACTGCAACAAAAAGGTGCAACATTTGGCTCAATATTTTGTCAACAAGGCCCTTAATTTTACCCCAGAAGAATTGGAAGAGAAATCGAAGGATGGTTACATTTTCCTCTATGAATTGGTTAAACAAACCAAGAACCCACAAGTTTTGCAAGATCAGTTATTAAATATTATGGTTGCAGGTAGAGACACTACAGCTGGATTGTTGTCATTCACCATGTATGAATTGGCAAGAAACCCTCAAGTTTGGCAAAAATTGAGACAAGAAATTGTTGAAAACTTTGGCGACGGTGAAGATGCAAGAGTTGAATCGATAACTTTTGAAACTTTAAAGAAATGTGAATACTTGAAAGCAGTACTTAATGAAACCCTCAGATTGTATCCATCCGTTCCTGTCAACTTCAGAACAGCCACTAGAGACACTACATTACCTCGTGGTGGTGGTGCTGATGGTACCAAACCAATCTTTGTTCCTAAGGGATCAACCGTTGCATACACCGTTTACAAAACCCATAGATTGGAGGAGTACTATGGAAAAGATTCGAAGGAGTTTAAACCAGAAAGATGGGAAAATATCAAGAGATTGGGTTGGGCATATTTGCCATTCAATGGTGGTCCACGTATCTGTTTAGGACAACAATTTGCTTTAACTGAAGCTAGTTATGTTGTTGCTAGATTGGTGCAAATGTTTCCAACTTTGGAATCCCAAGACGATACCTATCCACCAAAGAAATGTGTTCATTTGACAATGAACTTGGATGAGGGTGTCTTTGTTAAAATGAAGTAGATTTCGAAACTAGATTGTATAAGAAATTTTCAATTATTTAATGGAGCTTATTTATAAGAGACTTTCTACTCTATGTAGCATTATCAATAATTCATAAACTTGTTGGTTTGCGTTTGATCAACTCCTCCTCCACCCTTACCACTACTTCCCTTCAACACCAATCCCTTCATCTTCACCTCCTTGAGAAATTTTAATTGATGATCTCTCTTGAATCTTAGGTACTCCTCCACTTTAGGGTCTACCTCGTCGTCCCCAACCAAATCCATCTCCTTATTCGAATCATAGCTAGTTGTTGTTTGTTCGTCTTGAAACATTTGCGGTAGGTTTTCAACATCTAGTATCACATCGCTGATATTGATACTAATGCTTCCTTGTGGGGGTACTGGTTGTTGTTGTTGAGGGGATTGTACTGCAGTAGTTAGCGTAGAATGTATTAACTGATTTAACGATAATGAAGGCACTGATGGTGACGACAGTACATCGTGATTGTCAACCTGAGTTTCTCGTGTGTCAGATTCATATTGCTTTAGTTTATCTAGTACCAGGCTAGGACAATTGTTAAGTAACTCTCGTGAAGTTATAGTAATCATTCAGGTGTTGGAACTGGGGTCAAAATGTTTAGGCTTTGATTTGTATTCCAATACTTCATTTTTGAAACCATGTAGTTGAGAGGCTACCAAATGCTTTAAAAAGTACTTACATCTATCGATATGAAACCACCTTTACACTTGCAAAAGTCTCCACTTTAGCATTTTCTATTTACTCTGTATTAATCACTTGCCCCAACCAATACTTGACGTCATCACCTAGATTTTCCAAAAATCCTAAACTTGCATAGTCAGACACAAGACCAGTAATTTGATTCACCATGTTTCTTTCTTCAGGTGGCACAACTACACCACCTCCGCCACCGCCACTAGTGGTCTTATTGTTATTTTTGATAACGATAATCAATTTATTGTCATACTTGATAATATAACTCATCCAATCATGTTTGCTTCCCAAGGTGAATTTATGATAAAATTCATGGGCTGTAAAATCAAAATTTTCGCAAATTTTGATTAATTGATCATGAATATTGACGATAGTGGGAAACTTCTCGTGTGTTTGATCAAGAATCAAGGGGATGGATGATGCATAGTTCATACGTTTGAAATCAGACACACTGTACAAGAAATTGCTATCAATGTTGGTCAAGTTTAATGTGGTTACCGAATTCGTGCTAGTTCCTAAAGTTGATGTTTGAAATTGTGTAATTTCCTCGTGTAGTGGTTCAAATATTGTACACGTTAAATGCCGATAAAAGCCAGCATCATCGAGATGTGATGTTTCCAGCGAGTCGTAAATTAAAGTGATGAAAATATCGTCATGGCAATACGTAACTAGTTGGTACTCCAACTCATTTGATGGTTCTTCCTCACGCGTACTTAGACAGCTGTCCTTTGTTGGGAGGTAAACGAGCTTTCTTGAAATCGAATGATCCCGTTGAATACCGTACAAGAAATGATCAAACTGATGCTCACGCAGGTTTACCGACTCTTGCGCGTCAATCAGCTCCCGTGAATGTCCCGCAGAAACGTTACTCTCCCTTGAGTTCCCAAAAACGGTACGGGAAAGCCATGATTCGGAAGTATTGGGATCGTGTTGCAGCGAATCCTCGTATACACTAGTCGTATCTGTCGCACTACCACCACGAATGAGATCAGACATTTTATTCCACGGCAGAACCACTAGATTGTTGGTCAAAGTCACTGGATTTAGAAAGCTAGTCGCATCTTCTCCCGTTCTGATTTCACTTTCACCAGGGCAAGTACGTTCCTTGTCGCTGGCATGCATTGCGCAGTCAAATTCCATCCAGTTGTGAAGATCCACCAACGACTGAGGTTCCAATTTATCTGTCATTGGCTGTGCGTGAATGAGACCCATCTTCTTTGCAATAGTGGGTGTTAAACTACTAATGACAAGGCCATGTGGTAACAACTCCTCTTCTAAAATCAACTTTCTAAACTCATCCTTGACTTTATTTGGCAAAGAAGTGGATGACTTTTTGTAACCTACCAGAATAAAGCTATTGAATCCCGTATAGTTGAGACTATTTGGCCATTTGATCTCGCTGGTACTCAGTTTCTCATTGTACTTAAAGACGAAATTACTCCACCATTGAGTTAGTAGATTCCGCAACAGATCAACCCCGGTTTCTTTTTTTATAGTACCCAAAGATTTGTGAAATAAAACAAAAAACCGATGTTGCTGCTTTAGTATATACTGTAATTGCTTAATCACGATTTTGTCATCAGATGCTATGGAGCATACAAGAGTAAATGACTCCTCAATTTGGACCACCACAAAGCTCTCACCTTTTGAACTTATAACCATTGGTTTCCTTATATTCTTTGCACCATTGTGGGATGTGACAAATTCCAGGGAAAAAGCATACACCCCTTGCAATAGCCCGGCTAATCGTATCTTGACATTGGAACTAATCTCAACTTTAGTATCACTGTGTGCAAACGTGATCAATCTTTTGTTCAATTTAGAGTCCAGCTCCTCCTTTGTACCCTGTGCATCGTTATTGGTTTCAATGATGGCAATATATTGGACGTGGCCAGGTTCTCCTGAGTTTAACGTCTCGACATCCTGAGATGTACCTTCAAAATTCAATGGCGTCTTGAAACTCGGTAAGTAGTGGGATATATAGCTCGCCATTGCAGCATCATATGTAGTTAATTCAATTGTGGTTGAGTTAGAGTGAGTCAGGCTTAGAGGCGCGAGCCTTGCTAGTTCACACTTAACACAAATGAAAAAAAGCGAAAACAGAAAGAAAAAAATAGTACGGATCTGCAGCCGGGTAAAGTACTTTAAATACCAAACAAGAAAAAGAGAGGTTTGCATTATAGTGATGACAGATCGAAAAACTGTGAAACGCCACTCTCTGAATTTACAAAAGAGTGTTGATCAAGGGAACCACACTGATGGTGAACATAGAGAGGATTTACTTGTGAGTTTCACTCATGACGGGCCAGTCCTGAAGGACGAACCATCAAAAAGCGGACTGTCAGCTAGAAAGAAAAGAAAGGTCGGAAAAACTTTAGGCAGTGTGGGACCAGATTATAGTGAAGCTAAAGTCCAGCAGCTCAGTAGCGCAAAGCTGGAATTAGAAAAAAACCACGCGATGATTCTCGTGGGTACTCATAATGCTGATGATACGACCAAATTTGATGCTAACCAAAATGGATCCGATAGCAAGAACAATTACAACGAACCAGGTGAACTAAATGAAGAACAGCAAGCGAGGGTACTCGCAGCAGCAAATGCGATGGTGGAAGAAGATACGCTGTTGATGATGTCCTCAGGCCAAGATTTAGCCTGTGTCGATGATCCACTAGGTACGCAACCGTCTACAGCTGCTAGTGGAACCGAAGAGCAAGGAAGCCAGCTTTCAAGCTACCAGAAATATGTACACAAGAAACCAAGTCAAGTGGGGCCTCCAGAACTTCCTCATCACAATTATGATAATATCCACGATATCGATGACTTGATTATAGCGACCTCTCAGAAGGCAAATGAATGGTTTACCAAGAATGTACCTGAAGGGTTACGTGGAAAACCACGCCCATTCACGGATGAGGAAGATGCAATAATTGACTACTACTTAGCAGGGTTTTGTCATTTCAAGAAATGGAATAGAGATGACTTGTGCAACAGAATATGGACAAATGATCGTACCAAGGATAAGTTTTGGAAAAAAGTTTGCAAGGCGATTCCATATAGGACACAGTCCAGTATTTACAAACATATCAGAAGACGTTATCACATTTTTGATGTAAGAGCAAAATGGAATTCTGAAGATGATGATAAATTGAAAACTTTGGCTATTACACGTGAAGGTCAGTGGAAAACAATTGGCGAGATTTTGGGAAGAATGCCAGAGGATTGTCGAGATAGATGGCGGAACTATATCAAATGTGGGCCACGACGTGCATTGCAAAAATGGACACCAGAGGAAGAGACCAATTTGGTAAGCGTTGTTAACGAAATGTTGCATAGCTTGAGGTCCAAAGAAGGCAAGGATGTTGATGCATCAAAGATAAACTGGACAGTAGTGAGCGAGCAGATGAACGGATCGCGTTCACGTATTCAGTGTCGTTACAAATGGACCAAATTGAACGAGAACCAGAACCGCATCGAGTTGCCAAGAATGAGCAACGAGACAAAGCTTTGGCTTTTGAGGAAGCTAGAAAAGAAACATACAAAGTCATTGGAGAAAGTCAAGTGGCACAAATTGATGAAGAGTTATGTTAAAAACAAGCCTGATAATGCCGGTTGGACACAAAAAGATTTTGAACAATATTTGAGTGATCTGGTTCTACAGTCATCGCAGAAGTTGAATTTTCAAAACGCTATAAAAGATGAAATCACGAGGTTGAACTCATAGTAATGAATGGAATGGCAAAAGAAAGATGATTGCGGCAGAGCAATTGATGCACTACAGCACCGAGAATGGGTTGTATACAGATAAGAATTCAAAAGGTGTTTGAATATGATATGGTGGCTTTTGAGTGTATTCTTACAGTTTCTTTTGGAACTACATTTCCTGTCTTTCATTAAACACGGCTTCAAATCAAAGCTCTCGAAGTCCCTGGCAAAAGTCAAGACGTGAACTTTTGTATCATATACATTCCAATACCATAGGCACTCTAGCTTCAATTCGATTGTGCCACATCTGATTTATTGTGAGGACATCATTGACGTGGGTATCTGCGTATATTTGAGTAGCGATGTGAGGCTCTTTGATTCCTGGGAGATTAAGAGCTGTTTCCCTGAAGCCAAGACGCTGTGAAAGATTACGTTTTCAATTTTACAAGACTTTGAAACAATCAGATCAAGCGAACTTTGACTGGACCAGTCGTTGACAGGATAGGATGTACTTAAACTATCTGAGGAGAACATGGATAGTTAAAGAACACATTATATTGCAAATTGCAAATGACTGAACACTTGAGAAGAAATGAGTTGCTCATACGGTGCAAATAGAGATGAAGAATAAATTGATCTTTTTTTTTTTTCTTTTTTTTTAGGCTACTCCAGTACTGATGTGGGGAGGGAAGTTGAAAACAAGCAGTTCCGTCTTTATCTCTCTGAGAATCATTCTATGAAATTGCTACATGAATCCTATTTACATGCTAGACCTAGCGTCTATTCTTACTGCTTCTAATTACGCGTTTTATCTCCTCTGCCATTTGTAAGTCTTCAACTTTCAATACAGCACCCACCAAACCACCCAATTCTCTCCAGCTCCAAGAAAACCTGTCTTCTGACAGAAGAACCACCGACAACGCATCTTTGAACATCTGTAGATCTTTAAAGCACTCTACTAATGCTCGGGCAAAGTCAAAGTCTGTCAGGTGCTGAGCCTTGCGTGACATTTTTTGAAACGCATCCGATTTTCTGTACTTTCCACGCTCTTCAAGAATCTCCTTTGCGAAATCATAATCTTTGAATTTTGCAGCTGCCTTTAATGCAACAATATAAATGGGAGTATCCCTTGCAATTTTGTATTGGTTGATTTCCAAATGACCAACACTTGATACAGGAACAGTCTCTGATCTGGGGATGCCAGAGACTTCCAATTTCGTAAGACCTTCATATTGACTTTTGAAACTCTCCATTGAGCCCAAACGAATACACGTGCTCAAATATGACGTTACCAACTGGGGTGTCAAAAGCCAAGGCTTGACCTCTTTCAAAAATGAAACAATGGCACTTGCCTCGGCAAAGACTGTGTCATTATTAGGTATGTGTGTTACCGGGAGAAAAGGAAATCCATTCTGTTTTTCAGCAAAGTCCACACCCTCCATTATCTTTTGCTTGAAAAGTCGGCCTCTTTCACTGAGTTCAATGCCTGTTCGTTTCTTTGAATCAGCACTCGAGTAATTGGAATATGATATCATTAGATATAGCAACGCTTTCGAGGTGACGCTATTACCTTGGATCATTTTGAATAATAGTGCTCTTGATAGATCTAAAGCGCCTTCAAATGCAGCAACGTTCAACATGCTTTCGTAAGTTTGTAAATTTGGCAGCCATCCTTGATCATATATTCTGAATATGAATTCCCATGATCTTATTGCAAATCGCTTGCTTTTTGAACAGCCTCTCGCCAATGAAGCTAAAATATTTTGATTTAGTGGCACGTTATTGTCCAACATTTCCTGGTATAAATCCAATGCTCCCTCCAATCGATTACTTTTGACAAATGAAAATATCATGTCAGTGTAGTTACGCAGATTAGGTTGCGTTTTCTTGGACAAAAATTTCATAGCGTTGAATATCTCCCATGCCTTTTCGTGATCACCCACATAATACACGTACCCTTGAAGAATCGATGAGAGTATGGATCGAGAAATCTCTACATTCCTCAATTGCATTGTATTTAACAATTTTTCCACCTTCTTCATGTTACGATTCTTCACATACCCACAAACCATCGTTTCGTAGTAATCGATTTTTTGATCATTCTTGTTCATGAAGGCATCAAAGAAGTTTTCCATAGCTTGAATTTCGGTTGATGATACTTCACCTCCAGCTGCAAGTGCTTTGAAAAAAAAAAGTTCAATTTTGGGGGTGAGTTTTATTCCTGCTTCAAGGCACATTTGATGAAGACGTGGTAAAAACTTTTTCAAATCAGCAGGCGGTATAATTTTGATGAAAGCTTGCACAGTTGTAGTGTCTAGATCTCGAAAGCCTCCACTCAATTCCAACTGATTCAATATAAGACCCCATTTAGGTTTAAATTCCAGAGAGTCGGTGGTAGGAGTCAAGTACGTCGATGCCAAACCGAGCTTCTCATTGATCTGAGGCGGAAAAGAATACTTTGGCGGGGTTTCATTAGAGCCAGATACTAAGTCTGGCTTCTGTATAGCCTCATACACCTGCTCAGTAGAATCCGAAATTGTTTCTTGAGGTACAACTCCTTTTGCTTTCGATGATACTTCCACTGCTAGTTCTCTCAAGGAGCGTAGTTCATCCTTGGCTAACTTTCTAAGACATTTTCTATCCTCGAGATGGTTTTGATACTTTTGTTTCTGAAGAAACCTCTTCAACTCAATTTGATGCTCTATTTGATCTTCAAGTTTCGCATAAGATTCTGGGGGATGTGCATGGGGTAATGTTGAAGATGTTCTTGGTATGTACAAATGGCATCGTGTGCCAAGTGGATGTTTAAAGGATTGTGCCACTGATTGTGTTATGAGTTGATTCGTATCAAGCTTCGTTAGTCGTAGCATGAGACACTTGTACTCTGTAATGTGATTTATGGAGCTAGGAGTTCCTTCTCTGTACTTATATATACCTTAGTTGGATATAATTAAAAGAGGAATGTGAATGAGATGGGATGGGATGGGATGCAAAATGTTAAAGGAAGAAAAAAAAACAAAAATACATAAAGTCAAATGAAGAACAAAAGAGAGAAACAAAGAGAGAGATTTACGACAAGAAAAACCACTATTCTCCTCTTCCATTACAAACACTAATACAATCGACATCCAGACCTCAGATTCATTTACTCATTCATCCATTCATTCCAGTGGCTGGGAGATATACAATGACTCAACTAAACTCGGATTCGCTACACATTTCCTCCAACGAGAGACAACGATCAGCTTCCACTGCTGCATTGCATCCTGACCTTGGCACGCTTACTTCGAAGGATCCGCACTTAATGCTGAATACTTCAGGACTATCTCCTGGAGTTGGAGCGAGTGGTATTACTAGTGGGTCATCTGATATACCTCCCGATTTGGCCATATTGTTGCAGAAGTTGGATGAGGACTTTTTAATTAACAAGACGATCGACCAGTGGACGTACATAAATCGAAGGGAGGAGATCATGCAATCTGTCAATAGGCTTCACCAACAACAAAACCAGGACTATTTCCCATTGGATCCAAACTTGTTAGAGGCTCCGCTTAAACCACGAAAGTCAGCGACATTTTTCACAGACATTAAAACCTCAGACAATATTTTGGATATTTTGAAAGACAGAGCCAGTGTTTATAAATCCGATTTAGCGTTTGTTGTATTGGATTCTAGAGGAAAAGAGGTCAATTCAATCACATGGGAGAAACTATACTTAAAAGCAGTGAAAATTGCTTATGAAATTCAACATAGATCAAGTATGAAAAATAATGACACCGTTATTCTATTATACAAAGACGGAGAAGTCACTGAGTTTGTTGCTGCTTTGTTTGGATGCTTCCTTGCAGGTGTCACGGCCATCCCAATACATCAAGACATATCATTGAGTGAGGTATTGAGCATCCTCACACTCACGTCATCTAAACTTTTGTTGTACTCCGATACTGTGGCAAAGGAACTCGAGAGGCTAAACGCACAAAATCTGAGGATACAATGGCCTGCAAAGTTACTAAAATGGAGAACAACCGATTTTGGTTCTGCAAAAAAGTCTGAGTTATCTTCTTGGAATACGAAAAACAAACGTGATGTTGCTCAAAGTATGAATTTAGCGTACATTGAATTTTCGAGATCACCTGTTGGAGAGTTGCGCGGAATTGCGCTTAGTCACAAGACTATATCACATCAAATGCAATGCCTAGATGTAGCACTACTGAGTTTGCCAAATTCTGGTGGGGCCTTTCGACGTAGCAGCAAGGAATACAAAGGAAATAAAAAGGTTGTTTTAGCCACCTTGGATATCAGATTTTCCATTGGCCTCATCCTCGGTGTGATTTTCACCGTATATAGTGGAAACGTTTTGTTTTGGGCACCGCAAAGAGTTATGGAAACGCAAGGTTTGTATGCAAACATTTTAACGAGATGTCGCGCGTCGTTGTTGTTGGCTGACTACCTAGGGTTGAAAAGAGTTACCTATGATTATCAAGAGTCACCAAGTGCAACGAGATATTTTTCAAAAACACAACGTGTTGATTTTTCATCCGTGAAATGGGTTTTAGTGAATGCCCTAACTATTGATGGAGAATTTATGGAAATCTTAGCTCAAAGATACCTCAGACCCCTAGGTTGCCAACATCCTGAGAATGCAATTATCCCTATGCTTACGTTGAGCGAGTATGGAGGTATGGTAATTTCACTTAGAGATTGGCTAGGAGGAAAAGACAAAATGGGGGTAGCAGTGGCTGATGATGAGTCGAGTGATTTGTCATCGGTAGTCATTGACAAAGAGTGTTTGAGTAGAAACGTGGTGAAAATTGTCGAGACTAACCCCTCCACGTCCGATGATATAGGAAGCAACTACCTTAGGGTTGATGCTTTTGGTTACCCACTTCCTGATGCTACATTGGCTGTTGTAAACCCAGAGCTGGCGACGCTTGTACAGAAGGGCGAATTGGGGGAAATTTGGATTGATAGTCCATGTCTATCAGGTGGGTTCTATGGATTGAGAAAGGAGTCAAAACTGATATTTCATGCTAAGTGCCGGGGTCCCAATGGCTTGCTTGAAATGGATTTTTTAAGAACAGGACTTTTGGGATTTACTCACAATGGAAAAGTGTATGTTTTAGGATTGTATGAGGACAGAATCCGGCAAAGAGTCAACTGGATGGATCACCCGTCGTTCAGAAAAACAAATTTGGATCTATCTCAATATCCAGGGTCAAGGTATCACTACTCTTCTCATTTACTAGCCACTTTAGCGAGCGAGGTCAAGCAAGTATACGACTGTACGATTTTTGATATATTTGTTGGTAATGAGTATTTACCCGTGGCGATAGTTGAAGCGGAAGTGATACGGAGTCATTTTGAAGACTTGAATGGTACCGACGCCAATAATGGAGCAGCAAAGACCAAAGTTGGAGATCTTGATCAAAATAGTGGTGCACCACTTAATGAGCCTGTATTGAATGCAATTGCTCAAAAGTGTTTTGATACACTTTATAAAAGACATTCGTTGAGACTATACTGTGTAATGGTTGTTGACTGCGATACCTTGCCAAAGATTATGCGAAGTGGTGGGAGAGAAATTGCAAATATGTTATGCAAGAAGAAGTTTTTGGAAGGTACCTTGAAAGCAGATTTTGTCAAGTTCTTTGTGAGGAAATCAATCAGTCTTATACCACATGGTGAAGATGTTATCGGAGGCATATGGTCACCATATGTTTCTGAGTTGAGAAATAAGGCATTGAGAAATTTCCCCAATCAATATTCAGCTATTGACTATCGATCAAAAACCGTTGACGATAAAACTGGTACAGTTTTGTCAGACTTTAAGACGATATGTGACATCCTCAAATTTCGCGTTTCTAAAAACGGTGATGCAATAGCGTTTCAAAATGTAGATGTTAGCGGCAAAAACAAGCCTTTGACTTGGAAAAAGTTTGAACATAAAGTGCATGCTGTCTGTCAATACTTGATAGACAAGACAAACATTAAAGCAGGCCAGTACGTCATATTGATGTACTCCCTTTCGGAAGACTTTGCTGTTGCCGTTTATGCCTGTTTGATTTGTGGAGTGATACCAATACCAATGCTTCCCTTCGACTCAAATAGAATTGGTGAGGACTTCCCTGCTTTCATTGGGGTGATCAGGGACTTTGAAGTTTCAGAAATCTTGGTTAATGACGAGGTTGAGAAGTTTTTGAAAAACGGACCTGTCGCAGACTCGTTGAAGAAGGTTACCCATAAACGGGTAAAGTCTTTAAAGATAAAGAATACCACAAAACTTAGTAAGGTTTCAAATGTGAGCTCTTTGACAACAAAAATTGCCGCATACCTGGGCTCGAACAAGAACAGGGCTGATGACGCAATTGCTTTGGTGTGGCTAAATTTTACTTCAGATCATTACCGTGTTGGTGCCACTTTAAGTCACAAGAATATCATTGGAATTTGTAAAGTGTTCAAAGAAACTTGCAATCTTAGCTCCCAATCTTCCATTGTGGGCTGTGTTAGACATGCCTCTGGTATCGGTTTTGTGCAAGCATGCCTTTTGGGTGTGTTTTTGGGAACAACTACGTATTTGAGTTCGCCTGTTAATTACGCGGAAAATCCATTGTCGTTTTTCTTGACGCTTGCAAGGTACAAGGTGAAAGACGTGTTCGTTACCGAGCAAATGCTCAAATATGCAGCCATAAAATTTTCACCCAAAGGTTTCAACTTGTCACATTTAAAGAATATGATGATAAGTACTGAAAGTAGGGTCGAGGTGGATCTTTTGAGGAAGATTGCCAAAGTTTTCCAGCCTACAAAAATGAGTGCAGCATCGATGTCAACGGTTCACAACCATCACTTTAATCCAATAATCTCGACTCGTTCGTACATGACGGTTGCCCCAGTCGACCTATATTTGGATCCCGTTGCACTAAGACAGGGTTACGTTTCTGTTGTGAGTCAGTCAGATGTGCCAAATGCTCTACATGTGCAGGATTCTGGTATGGTTCCAGTTTGTACAGAGATTGCCATAGTCAACCCCGAAACTAGGAAAATATGTAAGGAAGGAGAGTATGGTGAAATTTGGGTTTGCTCAGAGGCAAATCTCACCTCCTTCACCAATGGACCACGAGGACCGGTTGATAACTTCACTCCATACCAGTTCAATGGAAAGATTGAAGACGGTAATCCAGATGTGACTTATCTACGAACAGGAGAATTAGGTTTTCTACACAATATCTCCATTACCAAAAACAAACGCAATCTGAATGAGAATGAAATCTCGTCATTTCAACCACTATTTGTTTTGGGAAAAATTGCCGATACATTCGAGGTTATGGGTTTGCACCACTTTCCAATTGATATTGAAAACACAATAGAGTTTTGTCACGCAGATATATACAAAAATGGGTCTTGTGTTTTTAGATGCGCTGACTATACCATCGTGGTTTGCGAGTCAAAACGTACACGGTATTTTGCATCCTTGGTACCTCTGATTATAAATACAGTTTTCAGCAAGCATCACTTGATTATTGATATTGTTGCTTTTATCAAAAAGGGTGAGTTTCCAATATCACGTCTTGGAACAAAACAAAGGGCGCGTATTGTGGATGCTTGGGTTCAAGGAGTGATACCGATCAGTGCCTCATATGGTGTCAATTATGGAGAGAACAGTATGATCAAATTGATCAAAGAAATGGAGAAGTCAGCCAAGGATAATCCAACGATGGAGCTTAAAAATCCTGCGCTATCTTACTACGATTCGGAATTTGACAACGTTGATGTATTTGATGACGAGAAAAGAGAGACGTTGAAATTGAATGATTGTCTTTGACGATTATCTATCTGTATATTTCAAATTGATACAATGACAACTTTTAACTCCACTTATCTCTAGCATCTGACAATGACTTTAAAGACTTGAACATCATATCGCATACTCCTTTGTAATTTCTCAGATCGAGAACTTTGAGAATTTCAAGCTTAATCAATTCTCGACTTAATGGTAGCCATTGAGTTCGATCATCCGCTTGCATCAGAGTTACATTCTCTTCAGTAAGAGGACCCTCGATTCTTATATCGAGGTTGTGTTCATCTTCTAGACGACGCAAATTTTTCGTTGCAATAAAGGCAAATGCAGGACCCATCAATATTCCTCCAATTTCCCCAAGCCCAATGGTAATAAAGCTTGAGTTGTACAACTTTGAAATCAAAGAAGGGTTGAGAAAAAGTGCCTTGTGTGGGGAATCTCGTCTCACATCAAAGCTGAAAAATCTCTCTCTCCAAATCATATTCACCAAATCCATGGTGAAGGAGTTCTGCACTCTTCGTAACCTATCATCCTTGAAATGAAGTTTCTTTTCTTCAGCAATATGAAAACATACCGCATCTAATAAATTTAAATCGCCGTGTAGCAACATAAAGTAAACGACAGCACGTGGCAATGTGAGACTAGGGTTTGGTACAATGGCCATCGCACGAAATTTTCTGTACAACAAAAGTATCTTCCTAGCCACTGTACTGCGAGCCTGGGGAGCAAATTTTGTAAAGCCCAATAGCAATGGCACAATCCTGTTCAAAATCTGCGGGTTTGCTTGAGATTCAACATCAAGTAATACCAAAACTTCTGTGAGATACTTTTCACTCAAATGCAGATAGAGAGTGGGGTGAAGGTAGTAGCACTTTTCTATCTTTTCCCCATCATTTGTAATCATAAACTGCAACTTGTCAACACTTGCCTTAACGAGATGTATGAAGTTGACTCTTTCTCGAAACGTAAGTGACCACTCTGTATCGTCGCGCTTGTTCAACACAAAGTCATCTATCAGATTCATGCAAAATGATTCGTTATCAAGTCGTCGAAATTGCCACAAGACGTTAACGAGCGAGTGATGGAAGGAATTCAAGTCCCTAAATGACGTAATACGGAGACATTCGTCAATATCTTTTATGTTTAGCTTATCTGTACAAAGCAGGATAGCAAGCTCATTTTTCATCGTTGCTTCTTCAACTTTCATAAACTCCGAGGTTGATAAATGGCTTCTCGGTTGAATTTGTATGCCATTACTTGACACATGGTGAGTCTTTCTGCGTTTAGTATCTCCATTCAAGAAGAACAATGGTAACCCACACTTACTTTTAAGGAAACTTGAAGAACTCCAATTAGCACAACTTACCGCGCCAAACTCCTCAACAAGCTTTCGCAAGTTTTGATCCATGGGAAATTGAATATGCAAGGCCCTAATCCAACGGTATTCCCATTCAGTCGCCGAGTGGAGCGCACCTGTTGTCTGCTTATTCCGGCAAGAATTGAATTTTGTCAAGGTTGATGATTGAAAACAAATTTTTATCAATGATGATACGTGCAACCTCAAGTATTCAAATGACATTAATTTCGCGAGTATGGGGAATATAATGGAAGCATACTCTCGAATCGTACTTGCAGAATACTCAATGTATTTAACAATTTGCTTTAAGATTTCAGCTTGCAATGTCATAGGTACTTTCTTCGAAGCGACGTGTTTAGCACCGTGAACACAATTTTGGGTTGGCCCTAAGTTGGCTAGAATGCTGAGAAGCACGTGAATTGGCACGTTGACAGATGGGCTTAAACATAGCCTCACCAATGCAAGCTTGACAGAATCCGGTACCGCTCTACGACTGATATCAAATATTAAACTCAAGACATCGCGTAGTACTCGCTCCAGGTATCCCAGTTCCCTTTGTTGTGCCAAATAGCATGATTGAAAGTCATCAATCAGTTTGTTGATTCGGATAGAAGCCAAGATTTTGAGTGTTTCGTCATCTGCATTTGTGCCCATTGAATAGTACAAGCATGAATGAGTATATCAGATTCGAATTTGGGGATTGATTATTGTCTCCTCCTCACCTTTATTTGTTTGGACAAAATTTTGAAAAATATTTCAATTTTCGTTCGCCTACTAGTTACAATCCCCCATTATTTCAGGGCCCCTTCGTTTTACCATGTCTGATTACAGTTTACCGGATAATTTCTACACCACACTAAGTGAAAAATACCAACAAGCACAAGATAATAAGGATGTTTTGTTCAACGGAGATGCCGTAGTGAATGAGATTGAGCTGATTCCAATCGGGGACAAAAAGGCAAACATTCAATTAACGATGTTGACCTCCTTGATGCACAGACCAGAAAAGGGTGATGAGAAATCAAATCCTTTTGAAAAACCTGAACCGGAACTCACAATTCTTGATAAGTACGGACCGGATCATCAGTTTAGACTAGTGTTTAATAAGTATCCGGTTGTATCCAAGCATTTCTTGTTGGTCACTCGAGAATTCAAACACCAGAACACACCGCTCTCTGAAGCGGAACTTTTTGCGTCGTATAGTGTTTTGCGTGAGCTAGCTAAGCAGAGTCCAACTGAAGAAGACTGGTTTGCCTTTTACAATTGTGGTCCCGAGAGTGGCGCATCACAACCGCACAAGCACGTACAATTCATGGTAACACCTTCAAGAGGCAAGTTCAAATCCTATGCTGATCTAATCTCATATAATCATTCTGTTCCTGCAGATTCTCAAAAGCCATTGCAAGATAAAAATATTCCTTTCGCTCATTACTTGATTCGTTTGAATGAGAAGGACGTTGACGAAGAGGCTTTAGCAACTGCATTCGTTTCACTTTTCCAGCACTCGATGAATGTACTCAAAGAGAACAACCAGAACCACGTCTCCTTCAACTTCATCATGACTTCGAATTACATGCTCATGGTTCCGCGATCTTGTGCAAAATTTGAGGACAAATTGGGGATTAATGCTTGCGGAGTATACGGTCTTATATTATGCAAAAACCAAGAACTATTTGACATGGTCAAAGAAATCGGTCCATTAGAGGTTTTGCAAAAGGTGTGTTTACCAAATGCCTCTGACCTTCACGTAGACGAGTATAGCTACTAAATGAATGATAGATAGCAAGGCTAAAGTGTATTGGCTGAATTATTTCAGCTTTTGACATGCTCGGATAATTTTATGGAGGGGGGTCCCTTCATAACTCATGAATTTTTCACAGTATACTTCCCCATTAGGAAGTCTACATCAAATAGCCAATTACAATTATTTGAAAATTAATTACGTGCAAAAGACAAACGAAAAAAGTAAAAAAAAAAGAATGCTCAGCAAACAGTGGGAAGGAGCCAAACACATCTGTACAGAATCAATAGTTAAAGAAGAAGAACAACGAAGATGCTGTCCATGACTTCAGTCGTTAAGGCTGCAAACTTTATATTGTCTAGACCAACTTTGTCCAAAATTGTCACCCCAATCGCCAACAAGTTCACCGCCTACGCTGGTTATAGAGAAATGGGTTTGAAGTATGTACCGTCCCTTGCTCTCCTTTCACAAAGGAATCAATACTAACTAGGAACCAGGTTCAATGATTTGCTTATGGAAGAGACGCCAGTTATGCAAAAGGCTATCAAGAGGTTACCTCCTTCATTGAGTTATGCTAGAAATTTCAGAATTCTCACCGCCCATCAATTGTCATTGACTCAACAAATTCTTCCACCAGAGAAAGCTCTCAAACCAGAAGAAGATGACCATTACTTGATTCCATATATTTTGGAAGCCGAGAAGGAGGCATTTGAAAAAGCCGAGTTAGATAACATTGAAGTCAAGAGTTCTTAGGCTGAAATGGACTATGTACAAAGTATTAAATATACATTTTCGTGTTGATCTGAAAGTGATTGAACATACTTGTAAATATGGGCTCATTTCCGCACGTAGATTTTGCATACAATCGAGGAGTACAATTTCTTTGAAATGGTAAAGGATACTCGCTGTGTTGGGGAGCCCACCAGTGTGATTCTTACACGGTCGACAACGATGCACGACGTCCGCTAGTAGGGCTAACCATTCTGGTAAATTATATCCCAAATTTGAAGCTCTATAAAGTATCTATCAATCTATATTGTTTTTTTTACAAAAGTTCTTAAGATCCGTAAATCGTGCTCCAAGCTCAAGCTCAAGCTCAAGCTCCACTACATCCCAAGTCTTAACTTTCTCAATTGCTCCAACACCAAGAAAGTAACAATGGTATGGGGACCCAACCTTATGAAAGCGGGAAGCCACCCTCTAAACATGAAACCAATACCTTCCTGCTTGATTGCATTCCGAAGTATACTGATTGCACTCTCGCCGCTGCCCTTACTGTTCATGATCCTCGTTTTCACAACATCTGCAGGGGAGCACACTGTTGTTGCAACTAATCCGGCAATCAAAGAGGCTCCGAAATGAGTGGACTTCTTTGAGGGATCCATATGTACGTAGTCGATCAAAAGACCTTTCGCAACATCATAAGTCACAACTTGTGAAGCTGTCATCAATACTCCCCGGACCAAGTTTGGATATAGCCCTCTGAACAATGATTGGACTCCCTCCTTCTTACATACTTTGTATAACCCATCAATAGCATTCTTGTAATTTCGTCTTTGTTGAATCGGCAAGGTTGAGTCGTTTTGCATCCTAATGTTCACAACATCAGCTGGATTACCTACAAGGCCACCCATTGCTCCAGCTATCATCGACATTGGTAGTAAAACGACAGTACTGGGGTGTTTGTTATGACTTTGTTTGATATAATACTCTTTCAACACCTCGTATATTCCAAATCGAGCTGTAGAATATGTAGCTTGTCTCAAAAGAGATGCAGTTAAACCGGAATATATCTTCAAAAATCCTTCTTTAGTTATTATACTGTATAACATGGAAAGTAGTGACTGTCTAGGGATAGACGCAGTTTGTAATCGTACTTTTGCGAGATCCAATGGATGGGTCACTAAGCAAGCCGCCATGCTAGAAAATCCACCATACCAAAACCTTTGTCGTGTTAGTAACAAGCCAAAATCAAAAGCCACATAGTATATGTAACATACGGATATTGGACTTTTGGAGTTGTCAGACTCATGTAAATGTAAACGTGGTGTAATGAGTTGAAATAGAACTAGTTGGACCAATATGATGAGATTCTTGAACACAAAAAAAGAAAGAAAGAAAAAAAAATTGCAATCTTTTTGCGTAAATTTTCTACCAAATGCTCACAAATGTCATCTTCCACTGAGCCAGAGGGAACATTCACTTACACGAAACAATTTAAAGATTAAATATCAAATTGTAAGAGTTTCAGCCACAAATAAGAAAAATGAATTCCTGTTGATTTTAAAGCTAGGAAAATTGTCGTTTTTTGGGAAAGCACCAAGACAGTCACGGTACTAAATTCTTAGCATTCAATTTTGAGACATAGTCATCCGGAGAAGTAAGAAACTTCCTGTGTTGAGGAGTACACCAGAAGCGACATATCTGCTGCACCAGAATCTCTGAGGCTCTAGTAACGCATCATATAGTACCAAAACTGCCAGCTTTGATACTTACCTGGTTTAGGAAGCTCCTCCACGTCAGCTCGAGCTTAAATCTAGGTTTTCGGTGTTAACGCACGTGTCTACACTATATAAACTATAAATCAAATCCATACCCCTAGAAAATTTTGGCCGTGCTTCTTCGTCTTGGGGCACCCAAAGATTCTCTTTTGAGATTGGAAGGGAGGGGGGTGGGGGGGTGCGGAAGCTGTAGCTTTACTGTACTAGCGTTGAAACTTCGTCAGTTTCTGCTTTCCTGGCAAAATGCCAATTTTATGAGACTTCTGTAATGCGCACTAAAATGCGCTATAACTCTGCTTAGAACAGCCTGAATCGGCGCTGGAGACGCCCATTGTAACTATAAACCTCACCGATAACAGCCACAAGTAGGAAAAGAGCCCTAAATGTCTGTAGCATAACCTGTGCTCTGAAGTGAAACGTATAGCTGCAAAAAAGATGTTTCGATCAGGTTTCGATTAGGTGCAATATTTTTGGTGAGAGTGGTTTGTATAGTGCATCACTTTTAGGGGGGAAGAAAGAATGTGTGTGCACTTTGTTTTTGTGCATAACAAGTTCCCACACAAGATTGCAGTAATTGAACACAACCTCCTCTTCAAAGGATAACTTGTGAACGTTCTGTCTTTCAATACGAGACGTCACAATCACTATCAGAGATGACAGCAATCATTAGAGGAAAGTGAATACTACGTCTGATGCCATTCAAGGTTAAGTTTCGAGACACGGGTTCAGTAATACTCATGTGCCAGTTTTAGACACCAAATGGTGATCTATCATCCAATCGAGTGTACAGATAGCAATCAATCATTCAAGCTGGAGTATCATGAAATGAATGAAGAGGATAGATTTCGTAACAGACAAGGATCAATGGCTACGGTAGCTACATTAGTGGCAGAGTGACGTATAACAGAGATACATCAGCTTACGCAGTTACAATGTGTACAAAGATGTCGGGTATACGAGACCTTTCCGAGAGTGATGCAAAGGACATTGGAGTGCGATTAGCACATTGATTGGGTAAAACTTGGAGGGGTAGGTTGCAACGGTGCACCATTGAAATCTTGATTTGAGTTGAAGAAGTCCAACACCGCTAACAAAGGTGGCACAGTGGAATGCCTTCTGGGAAGTCCTCGCTTGAGTGTGTCTCGGCGGCTCTTCGTCAGTCTATTCTACTCCGATCGCCACAAACGAAATCAAAACTTTCCAATGTCAACGCAATGAAAATTGCGAGTTGAAACTAAATCCTGAACAACATCAAAGGGATGTTGCAATAAAAGAAGACGTATTTATTTTACGAACCTCCTGGAGAAAGAATGCGCAAATATTCAGCCCGGACAGATCCATTACCACGTACATGTTGCTGCATATGGATGTGGATCAAGGGTTTGCTGAGTTCCAAAACACGAATTCAATTAGGGGAGAATCATACAGCTGTTACATCTTCATTGGCGAAAACCTAAGTATAGAGGAGCCGCTGTATCGTCTTCGTTCAGTGAACAAGTATCATAGGCAAAGATGAATGCTCGACTCGACCGTTGGCTGAAAGGGTCTGTCAAAACTGCTATGTCGAAGATTGCTGGTGTTTTTGACTCCCTGGACTCGAATTGCTTGGTATGAAAAATCATTTTGGAGCAAGCTGGTGTGCTAGTGCTTTGTAGTCGATGCTTGATAAAACGCAACACAGACCGGGAAGCTGAAGACCTGCCAATACAATTGTAGTGCATATTACTCCTTCAAAGTGGACAACGCTATTAGCTTGAATGAGGAATGTTCACCTCAATAACAAGCATTCAATACAGAGCGTGTGACCGATTGAGAGTGCTGACCCAATAATTTCTTAGCATTATTGTCAGAGAAGGCTGAATTCAAAGTTTATTAGCACTATGAGACATTTAAAAATGAGGAACACCGCTCCCTATCCAAAACAAAGAACCCAATTCGAAGAAAAGGTGGGTAAATATCGAAACCCCTCCAATCATTTGCAAAATAGTAGAACACATGTCGAGCAGAAAGCTCCCTTTAATGCTTGATGACACTACCGTTGATCAATACTAAAAACTCGACGATTGAGAAACGCCTGCGTCTTCAAAGGTTCATCAACTAGATGACACTGACGTGCCGTTTCACTCAAATTCAACTCTGTTTCGTCTTTGTAACACCTCTGCGACTTTTCATAGAACCTAAACTTATACTCAACTTTGCCCATAGTGGATCGATACACCAGTAGGAGTTGCACCTGTGGCTCAATATAAACTGCACCCTAAACGCGATTCTTTTGCGAAGTAAATGCACCCTTACCGCAAGCTTCTTGGATGCATTTAGGTCCGCACGTCAATGCTCTTGCGCCCCGACACCAACGATTTTGCATACTTATATGAATGGTTTTGCACCCGTACACAAGATCTGCAACCTACCATTGACCGAATCACACGCACGCACCAAAAATAAACGCATCCACACATCAACTTTACACTCTTGATCAACAACGAACACATCCGTGCTCCGAGTGTCGGGTGCATATAAATATTAGAGGAAAAAACCTGGCCACGAAATTAAATCTCGCAGAATGATTACAAGGGACTACGTATTCAGGTGTTCAGAGAATATGTCTAGGGCTGGAATCACAAATTTTAAGCGGATCTGGTTTCGATTAAGTGAAATTCTGGGTCATAAGATCTAGATTCCGAGAAAAAAACTGGACTGTAGCATAATCTTAATCGCGACTTTTGTATATAACGAATGTAATTTTATTGACTAACCGAACTCGCTTTTTGTAGCATATTATATAAAACAAAGAAAGTAAACGAACTAGAATCGAAGTGGTTAAGCGATGTCTCACAGACGAACGTTCAAAGACTACAATTTGCACACAAATGATCTCGGTCGGGAAATATTTTCAGATTGTCAGCATACATCTTCTATTAGTATTTTCCTCACTCAAACCGCCTATAGTACACTTTCTCGTGAATAACCCACCAATATGTTATTGATAAGCAATGTTCACGCATTCAGAACAATACAAAAAGTGTGTAATGCTTGAACCAGATACCAAAAGTTGTAGTTTGTGAATAACGTAGTATACCTTTCTAAGCTTAAATTCCGTTTCATGAAACCTACAATCAATTTGATTTCACCTTTCTTGAGTCCAGAATAGAACCCGAGATTTGGTGACAACTGTACAAGAATAACAACAAACTGTCAACTGCAATGGCAATAAAGTTACCGATAAGGTCGGATCTAGGAAAAACAATGTCTTCCGTAACCGCACCTGTATCCAAGACAGTAGATTTCAGTTACGCATTTACGCTACATACGTCACTACTAAGTCCTACACCTTTCCACACTAGCATACGAGGTTTTTCTCTCGATATTCTACTACGCACTTGAGAACTAGTTCCCAAATAAACACCTGTTAAACTATTTCGAACACAGCAACAAGGTCTAATGAAATGTAGGTAACTTGCCGCTTCAGTCGTTTGTTTTAGCTCAAAACTAAACTATGGACTATTCCGTGGCTGTGTTGTGACTTGTCTCTAGAAAATCCACGGACGCTAACTCTTATCGTTGCGCTCTAAATCTCATTTCAGTGTTCATCAAGAAAGCTCCAATTTATTTTAATTCCAGTTCCCGATAGAGCTCTACCGTTCATGGTGGTGTTTCGGAAACATCAGGCAACAAACGCAACTGCTTAACTTTGCTTTATGCTTAAATCACCTCAGTCCTATGTCAATGAAGTTTTTCCAGAATAGTTTATAAGATACGCAACATCCTACTTCGTAAGATAACAAACAACGGATTTCGGACTGGAGTTGACTGTCCAAAAATCTTCAATTGAATCCGTAACTTTTTTCGTATTAATAGATATATTACACTAAATTAATTTGGTATGATAAGGATTAATTACTTATGCTCAAAAGTTGCGATTATTGTCATGCGACGGGTGTTTCTATTTCTTGGAATCGTGATCTAATGACACATACGTGCCCAAAATCAGCTAATTATATGCACAGGTTTTGCGAATTTAATCCTAGGGTACCATTGCTTAGCACTTTTTGTGATGTGCTGCGTAACTTACGTGTCTTCGCTATGTAGGCAGGTTTTTTCATTACTTTCTGAATCCAGCAACTTCTGTGGGTATGGATGCCCTTGTACTTGAAGAACGTGTGCATGATGTGTCGATGCATTTACCTTTGTTTTGTGCATGTAATCTATTTCATGTAAGGGTGCAAGCATTGTGAGTAAATGCAAAATTGATTGTGCGGGTGCAAAATCGTTGGTTTAGGGGTGTAAAATCATTGGTGTTCAGGGACGAAATTTTTGCGGCAAGGATGAGACGAAGTTGCGAAAGATTGCGGTGTAGGAGCTTCTTGCATTGATGTCCGGAGGCATCTATACCGTTGTGCGGGTGCACGCTGTGCTTAATTTAATTACTAGTGTGTTCGTACAATATACAGAACGTAGAGGTGTTACAAAGACGAGATTGTGTTGTATTCAAATGTCATCTCTTTCTAGCACGTAATAATATTCAATGGCTGTTTTCAATGTGGGAGCGCGCCCTCTGTTTCGTATGTTAGTGCAAGTTTCGTCCAAGTCGATGCTTATTTTGCATGTTCGCCATTGTATCTACTTTTCTTGGAACTAGTGTGCCCATATGGCCCAATAGTTGTTGGTTAATATACTTTCCTCTTGCGTCCCCATGCAGGCACTTTGTATGCATTAGTTTCGTTCATTCTGTGGTTGCCTGTTTCATAGGGTGTGTTCCAGTGCATTATAGCTTCACTTGGGTGGAGCGAAGCTTCCGACTGCCTTCACATTGAGACCTGCTTTTTGGTTTATGTTCCCTAATCGATATTCACAATTTACCCGAAATAGCATGTCTCATTTTGTAATTGCCAAGTCATCACCAGTCGAGGATATTCTCAAAAAGCACCTTGCAGTCGCTATACTCAGGTTTCTGATCATCTGTGACAACCACCAGGAAGTAACAGGTGTGTATCAGATAGTATCTTTAAACATATTGGGCTCGCCAGTATTTCCATTGACAAGCATTACGCAACGAGTCTGCTATCGTTCCAATGAGTTGGTCTCTTTCTTTTCTTCATGATGCAATTCATTCAATATGACTGCATGAACTCTTTAATGCTTTTGGGCTGGTCCATGAATAGACAGGGTTGGGGGTCCACTTGGATGACGATCACCACAATGCTCATGATTGGATCTTGTATGGTTTCCCTCATCCACCAATCTGACTTTAGAATAAGTTATCTTGGTGCCAGGTTCTTTCATTGACAGAGGTTTGGTTGCGACCACAATCAGCGTCCCTTGCAGCAAGTTGAAGACTAGAACAATCCTTCAAGTTGACTAGCATGAAATCATTTTTTAGTCGAACCAATGGACGTGCCAGCCTCCAATCGTGGATTTCAGAAACTGTGTTTGTTCTGGTACAAAACATCTAGTATCAAGGCTTTGCACTTACCTGCTCCCTAAGTGAGCTCGCGTATAGTCCATCATCTCTATTGTGTCAATAATGTCAACCATTCGAGAGAGTGTATTTCACACACCGCTCATCCTAACGCGTAGTGGTAGTTGCTCATCTTGTCCTTCGTCATTGCATCGATGAACGGACATTAGAAAGAGCCTTCTCTATCGTCGGCTGTTTATCCATGAATACATGTTAGATGTAAAAATATCCTCCACTGAACTTGATGATTCGAGTCCCAACACACGCTTGGTTTGTTTCAAAATTCGGCAAGGTGCACTTTGGTTGTGGGCCAAGATACTATTATCAGTATTCATCATGTCTGAAACGTCCACCTCTTGCAACTTCATCAACTTCATCAAACTGTTGCGACCCAGACAAATACACTGAATACTGACTGCGTAATCAATTAGTGTAACCGAGGTACACTTCGCACTGTGACCGAGATAGCTTGTTGGCTCGTTAACCCCTAACAAATGTAGCCTCCATCCACCTCTTTGAGATTCACATTTAATGGTACTCCAGCTTGATTGATTGATTACTATCTGCACACTCGATTGGATGATAGATCACTACTTGGTGTCTAAAACTGGCACGATATCATTACTGAACCCGTGTCTCGAAACTTAATCGTAATTGGCAGGCATCAGGCATAGTATTCACCAACCTCTAATGATTACAGTAATTTCTATAATGATTGTGACGTCCCGTATTGGAAGATAGCACGTTCACAAGTTATCCTTTGAAGAGGAAGTTGTGTTCAGTTACTGCAATCTTGTGTGGGAACTTGTTAATGCACAAAAACAAAGTGCACACACAATCTTTCTTCCCCCCTAAAAGTGGTGCACTATACAAGCCGCTCTCACCAAAAAAAATTGTACCTAATCAAAACCTGATTGAAACATCTTTTTTACAGCTATACGTTTCACTTCCAAGCACATGTTATGCTGCAGCTTAAGCTACAAACATCTAGGGTCCCTTTTTTACTTGTGGCTGTTATCGGTGAGGCTCATAGTTACAATGGGGGGGTCCCTCTCCTGAATATGCTGTCTGATTATAGGCTCCATACGTCTTAGCTGTTCTGCATTGGTCGAAGACTGCTAATAAAGGTGGTTGCTACAGAGTTGTATGGTTGTGGATTTTTGATCGTTCATAAGTTTTCCTTACAAAATTCCAACTAATTATGCGTTGTGAATGTCAGTGTCGCGAACTGGCTGTGCTTGTAGAACTTGCAAACTCCCCTAAAGTGAGATGCTGGAGGGTGACTACTTACGAATGGGGCTCTTTTTACTGTCTGCATTTCTTAAGACTCACTTATTTCGTTAGCTGCCCAAGGAACGGGTCCTCACTCACACGATCCACTATTTTGCTAACATTTTGTGTGATCTTTAGCACAATAAGTCAAAATAGAGTGGTTTATCAAGAACTTCTACCAATTCATAACCATACAGATATACAACCTACATCATAATGAGAGATTCTTTGTCAACCCGCTTCCTCTACATCTAACTACTACAACTTACAGTTGTCATCGAATAAGAACAGTAAAACCACAATATCAATATTAAGTAAATTCATCTTCTTCCTCTTGTGATATTTCTTTAGCATGACCATTCACATTGTTCAACAAATCATCAACCACCCAGTCTAAGTCTTTTTTGGATTCTATCCCATTTCCAATCACACTAATAGTATTCAAATGAGATTCTAAATGAGGATAACTTCCTAATTTAACAACACCATTGCCAAATTTCTCATTGCAACGAGTTTGCAACTTTCCAAGGTAAGGAGCCAACTGACTTTCCCCAGTTTTGGTCACGACATATCTTCGTATCAATTTTATAGACTCTAGTCGTGGTTGCAAATACCCTTTGATCGTTGGTAAACATTGGACAAACAATTGAGGGACACCAGGCAATATAAAAACTCTTTCATCAATGACAACTATTGGGAACCACATTTTGTCATTGGCATATATTTTCTCCACCTTAAACCCAGAAGCAGTGCTGCTGGCACCAGTGGTGGTAGGTGTGGCTGTAGCAGTAGTGGTGACGGCGTTACTAGTAGTTGTAGGCAACGTAGCCATTCGGTAAAATGCGTCCAATTGTTCTTTATCTAATTTGGCCAAGTAGTCCTTGCGAAGCGATTGCATGCGGTCCACAACTTCTTGATCGAGTTTGTAGTCCAACTTGAAGTAATCACTGATTGCTTCATAAGTGATATCGTCGTGGGTACTTCCCAATCCACCCGAAGTTACGAGAAATCCAACATTGTCTTGAGATAGTAAATTGTGTAAGGAAGTTTTGATATCTTGAGAGTCATCACCGCAAACCACAGTTCTCTTTAATGGAATTGATAAATCATTGAAGCAGAATCGAGCAAAATTGTAGGAATTTGTATCCATAATTTTCCCATTTAAAATCTCATCACCAATAATCAAGCATCCGGCAGTCTTGATAGGCTTGTGTGAGATTGTCATTATGTTGGACCTGTAGAAGGTATGTCTGCTCAATCGCCTGGTGAATATTCTCATGTACTAAAAGAGTATAAAGAGAGAGGAAGAGTTTTTGAAAAGCGCATTTGTTTGCCAAAGGTCACGTGAATAATTCTAATTTGAAAGCAACCCTCGCTACTCTTGAGATATCAACAACTAAAGAGCTTATTATGTTTCAGTTTTATATCCTTGAAGACTCCGTTTCTGTGAAATCTATGAAAAAATAGTGGGAAGATTCATATATTCCTTGTTTGGCATGTGATAATCTCTTGACAAAAGTGTGACAGCAGTAATGAAGGTGGATACATAACCAATGAGAACGGTTTTGTACAAAAGTCGTGTGCCAAAGTGCAAAGTGCAAAGTGTGGTGGAGTTTTGTTTCTCTTCGACCAAAGGTAGTGTACATTGTTACTACAATGGTTAAAATTGGTAGTGCATTGTGTACAATTCCGTTCTTCGCTGTTTCATATGTCACTTATCACACGACCTTTTTTAGAAAAAGGAGAACAGCATATATATAAAACGATATGCGCATTGAACAGAAGAAAAGCTTTTCATCCATTTCAAACTAATCAACCCTTCATCGTACACACACACCCTTCCCACCTACCACCACATACTAGATACATCACCTTATAGTTGAAGAAATCTACTTAACACATTCTTACCAGTTTTCATTTCTTTCTTCCTTTCTTTGCTCATTTTTCTCACATCTTTGTTACCGTCACTCAAAAAGGATAGCCTAGCCTCACCCAATGGGAAATAGCCCGTCTAAAGATGAACCCCTACCGAAGTCGTCATCCTCATCAAATGCAAACCATGAAGGAAACTCCAACTCAGGTACCAGTGGAAGTACCGACTTAGACCCTGATGAGATGGCCCTGGCGCTATCTCAACTAAATATTAACAAACAAAAGCAAAAACTATCTAAGCATCATCAACAGAAGAGTGCACCATCTTTTGCTACAGCAGTGAAGAGTGAGCATGCTACATCTCCTGCTATTGAAATCAAAGATAAGGAGAAGAAGCGTCGCGATAGCACCAGCAGCGGTAGCAGTCAGTACTTGCATGTCCCGGAAACTCATCAGAAAGGAGCAGGCAGTGCACTACACCACTCCCCTAGCAAAGCTGGCTCCAAACCACCTGGAAAGATGTCGTCATCATCATCATTACCATTAGCTGCTACGTATGAAGTGTACCCTGCCAATCAAGACTTTGATTTGGAAATTGGTCTTTCGATGGCGAAACTCCTTAAAAATCAACACGATGTTGCGTCTTCGGTTGAGTCATCGGTGGAATCACTGGACATTTCGGTTGCATCGCCAGTTTTCACAACATCAGGTAATGATTTAAAAGAAGATGACCTGCTTCTGTCTTCTAGCTCAAGTCCAAACACCTATATGGCAACCAAGAGCTTAGCAAATATTGAAGGTTCTTCTCCATTAGTGTCAAAATTGGATTCAATTGCAGAAAGCAGATCGTTGGAATCTTCACCGGAGCCAAGAGTACTTTCACAAGAGAATTTAGAGAAATTAGAAACGGTAACGTTGGCCGCGTCAAAGGGACAACAACAACAACAACAACGGCCACCACCACTACAGTCAAGTAGCTCAACTTCATTATCAAGCTCACCCCCATTGATTCCAACATCCAACAAGAAGTTGCCAATCGATATTGATAGTGTCATTGAACGGTTATTATCAACCAAGAAACGTTCAACATCTCGTAGGGCCAAAGATGCATTGCGTGTCGATACTGAAGAGATTAAATATATTTTGGGCAAAAGTAGACAAATCTTTTTGGAACAACCAAATTTGTTGCGCTTATCACCGCCGGTTAAAGTTGTTGGTGATATACATGGACAATTTCATGATCTCATTCGTATTTTCAATTGTTGTGGTTACCCACCATATTCAAATTATCTATTTATGGGTGATTACGTTGATCGTGGGGAAAAATCATTGGAGACAATTTTATTACTTCTTTGCTTCAAGATCAAGTATCCTGAAAATTTCTTTATGTTGAGGGGAAACCACGAGTCAGCAAATATTACTAAGATTTATGGATTTTACGACGAATGCAAGAGAAGATTGAAGAATCCACGCATGTGGAAGAATTTTGTTGATGTGTTTAATACCTTACCAGTGGCGGCAACAATCAATGACAAGATTTTCTGTGTTCATGGAGGGTTATCACCCGAGTTGCAAGATTTATCCCAGATTGAAAACATCAAGAGACCAACTGACGTTCCCGATAAGGGACTCTTGGCTGATTTGTTGTGGTCAGATCCTGATCCACTGATTAAGAACTTTTCCATGAATAATTGGCCCAAGAATGATCGTGGGGTTTCGTATTGTTTTGGAAAGAAACATGTTGATCATTTTTGCTCCAAATTCAAATTGGACCTTATTGTTCGAGGCCATATGGTTGTTGAAGATGGTTATGAATTCTTCAACAAGAGGAAACTTGTCACTGTGTTTAGTGCTCCCAATTATTGTGGTGAGTTTAACAATTTTGGAGCAATCATGAGTGTCAATAAGCATTTGTACTGCTCGTTTGAATTGATCAAGCCAACTTAGTTTGGTTCGACTCGGTTTTTTTTTCTTTAACTTTTATACATTTATAACTGTGTGATATCTATATTATATTAAAACGTATTCTATATTTACATACTCAACTTGATCTGTCTCTTCTTTCTAAATCCCCTACTTTTTGCTCTTCTTGAAACGAGCAAAGAGCCCCGTCAACTTGTTGGTCAATTTGCTATACCTCATAAAGTAATAAAGACACATGCAAATTCCAAGATTGAATAAAATGTATGCGAAAAAAAATCCAACATTTCTCCATCTTAATGAAAACTTAGCCCCAATGGTTAACAAGTACTGATCTGCATTGGAAAAGGAACAGTATCCACAATTAGAAGTATCTGATGGATTATCAATATATCCGCCAACTCGTTGCACATATGCTTTGGCAAACTCTCCACATGTTTGACCTGAAGGTGGGTTGAAAAACGCCATTTCCTTATCACTGCAATGAATTTCTCGGCGATGCAAAAATGACGACACCAAGTTTTGAATAAAATAAGTGTATGGTGACAACTTGTACATAAAAGTCCAAAACCCAGGCATTAAATTCACTGGTTGCACAATGCCTGAAAATGCCACAATAAAAGAATACAAAAATGAAACAAGAACAGCAGCACTTTGTAAATCTGGAGCAATATAAAGCACCATTAACCCAAATGAAACCGCAAATGCTTGAACAAATATTCCCTGGGTGAAGTAAAACATCCCTGACTGTGATGCCGTTGTTGCTGCTTGTGTAGGGAAGTAAACGGAAACAAACATGATTGCTCCTCCCACCAACAAGTATGGCATCTCATTCAATGCTTGACACAAAATCATCAATGACCAATGATAGGTGTTGGATAATTTTTCACGAACTTCAAACAAATCTCTCCCGTTGATGGCCTTCTCCTGAATTTGATTAATAACAGGAGCTGAGATAACCACAGTCAAGAACGAACAAAACATACCATTTTGAGCTCCAGTTTTAGTATGCTTCAATCCGAAAAACGTAAAACCAATAAACAAACCAGCAACTGTCATTAAAAAGATCTTGGCCATCACATAGCCAGGGTCACGGAAAAACGTCAAGGCATTTCTGTGCAAAACATATCTAAACTGGTACCAATATGGAGTAGCATACTTGTGATGCAACTGCTTCTCCTCTTTATGACTCAATTCAGAGGGTTTACTTTCCAACTCTCGAATCAAATTATCCAATTTTTGATCCTCATCAACCTTTTCTGGTGACTGCTGCCAAATTTGAAACCAATCTTCATCAATTGCAGCAGTGGCCCCAGCTCCAATAGCTTCCAAAATGTATTCTGCAGGGTTTTCAGTTTCGTCACAATGTCTTGCCCCATTTCTTTCAAAATAATCGAGAATTGTCTTTGACTTGTCACCAATCTCGCCGAAATAAACAGTTTGACCACCTTTTCTCAAAAGTAACAACCGATCAAACTCTTCAAACAAAGTAGCTGAAGGTTGATGGATAGTACATAAGATTGATTGACCAGCATTGGCCAAGTCTCTCAACAATTTAACAATTGCCCATGCCGATTGTGAATCTAAACCTGAGGTGGGTTCATCAAGGAAAAGTAACAATGATGGCTTTGCAACCAACTCAACACCAATGGAAAGTTTTTTCCGTTGTTCGACATTAAGACCATTGCCTGATCTTCCAACAATGGCATCAGCATAAAGACCCATATCCAAAACATCAATAATCTTTTCAACATAATCCAACTTCTCCACATCACTGACATCATTGGATCTTCTTAATCGAGCAGCAAATTGCAACGACTCTCTAACTGTTACTTCCGAAACGTGAATATCTTGTTGTTGCACATATCCGGTTCTTCTACTGAATGAAGTGTCAAGTGGCTTACCATTAACCAACATATCCCCAGTAATGGTTCCAAAATCAATTCTTTGTGCCAAGGTGTTCAACAATGTAGTTTTACCAGCACCAGACTCACCCATCAATGCTGTCAAAGTTCCTGGTATGCAATAACCGCTCACAGAATCCAAAAGTTTCCTCTCTTTGCCGTCATATGGAATGACGTAGTTAACATTCTTCCAAAGGAAAATATCCTTGACTCTCAAGTCTTGGTCATTAGTGCCCACTTTAACTTCACGATCATCCAAATCATTCATTGCTGGACCTTCTTCGATATCTCCAGCTTGTTTTTCTGCTGGTAACGCAATCTTGTGGGGGATCTTACCTCTCAAGTACAAAAGTTTATCACCTCCACCAGTGATTGGTTTAATGAATTCAGTTCCCAAGGCATTAATGGCTAAGAAAAAGGCCAAAAATCCAATCATAATTCCAAAATTTCTCCAAACATGGTTGAAGCTATACGTGTATGCAGTTTTCAAATAGTCGTCTCCTAAAATCCAATCTTGACCTGGTTTTGACCCAAGAAAAGCACACGCTTGTTCACCATTGCCCAAATTCTCGTAACCGGGTCCACTAGGGGTAAGATACAGTCCCAAACATTTCATATGCCTTCCGTGAAACTCCGTGGCAACAACTGCCTCAAACGCATACAATACTGGATTGATGTATGAGATCCACTTGAACCAAGGATGCATTGATGGACGTTGAATCAAATATGATGAATACATCAATGAAGCCATCATCAATACACCACCCAATGCATTGGCAGCAGCAACAGTCTTGTTTATAGCAGCCACAGCTTTGAACAAGGCACCCATGGTCAAATGAAGTAAAACAATAAACAAAAACGCAATGAAAAACTTGCCTGCTTCTCTTGCCAAATTGGATAAAAAGTATAGGATAATGACAAACAAAACATTAACAATAATACTAATGGGAACCGAAGTAACAAAATTGGCAAGGGCGTCAGCTGAAGGATGATACATTGAATAGTTTTTCTGTTTCATCAAAATCATACGACTGCTAAAAGAAGCAGAGATTTCTGCCAATCCCATCAATGCCATGTATAATACCGCGAAAAACACCACACCACCACGTGAAAAAGCACCAATAACTGACTCCGGCGTGTTGTAATACAATGAACCATTAATAAAAGCTTGACATACACCAGCACCAATAAGGGTAACTGTATAAGCTTTATCACCCCAGATTTGTTGTGAGCTTCTAATCGAGCACAATTTCAATTGTTGCAAATAGGATATTGTGTAGGGTGATTTTTTCCTGGCTCCTTTCATCTTTTCTTGTGAAATTGACTTGTAATACATTTGTCTTGTTTCATCGGCGTCAATGGAATCATTGTAATCGTTAATTTCCTGAAGCAAAAGCTTGTACTCCTTGGATGCTAACCAGCGAGCTTCAAATTCTTCTGCAGTTTGCGGTACTTTATTTTCCCACCCCTTTTTGGTAAATCTTCCAATAGGATCAGTAAGAGCTGTTAAAAACTCAGCCGTGGTTTGTCTTGGTGGACATTGCCAGCCCATATCTTCAAAATACTTTTTTGCCGTTTTGGCAGGTCCAAAATATATTTGTCTTCCGTGATAAAGCACAGTAACTTTATCAAAACACTCGTAAATATTTTCACCAGCTTGATAAATGGAGACAAATGCAGTGGATCTCAAAATATCAGTTGAAGTACGTATGGCACGAGCAAACTCCAATGCAGTCGAAGCATCCAACCCTCTGGTGGCATTATCCCAACAGTAAATGGATCCGTTACATGCCAAAGCCTCAGCTATAGAGACTCTTTTCCTTTCTCCACCAGAAACACCACGAACGAAATCATTACCCACTTTCGTATGGTATGTGTGTCTTAAACCAAAAACGGTTGCCAAAAGCTCCTTTTTAGCATTAACAAACTGTTCTCGTGTGACTCCATTTAATCTCATTTTGGGAGTTTTACAACCAATTGCAAATGACAATGTTTGATCAACAGTCAAATGAGGGAAATGAACATCCAATTCAGGGTTGTAAACCAAATCATTCTTGTAGTTGTTTAACATTTCGTGTTGAGTCAATCCATCGTATCTGACATCACCTTCAACTCCTCTATACAAATCAAAATCGGTACCAGTCAATGATTTTAAGAAAGTTGTACAACCAGCACCTGGTCTTCCTAAAACCAAAACCATTTCCCCCGGTTTGGCAAGCCCGTTCAAGTTGTTTAAAATTGTCTTTTTTGGTGTTCTCATTTTCGATATTGCTTGTTGTACACCACCAATGGGACCTTTAAGTAAATCAAGTACAGTGGGGACAATGGCAAAAGATTCATCATTTCCATAAACACAAAGATCTTGAAAGGAAATACCACTAGATCTCATTGCCAAGCCTTGCTTTTTGGCAAAGTAGACAAAATTTGACAAGATTCGAAGAAGACTAAATTCTTCCATCTTCATGGTGAATTCACCATCCTTGCGACTAATTTGCCGTGAAATGTGACGTGAGAGCGAATCCAATTGGTCAGTTGAAGCTTTATTGGACAATGCAGTTATAGTTCTAACCAAATGTAATCTTCTACTCTCTTCGTTGTTGTCATCGTAATCATCTTCTGAACCAAGTACTGAATCAGTGCGTCTTAATGAGTTGTTGTCATCAATCTTTTCGTTACCAATGTGGTCATGATGATTGCGTTGACCAGTAAAGTCTTCGATGGAAGAAGTTGATGCAGTAGACGAGTTAGAACTCATGTTTGCTATTGTGTTATTGGTATAACTTTATGGAAATGAAGAGGAGAATTCTGGTTAGGTAGTAGTAGAAGTAGTGAAGGATGAGGGTGGTAGTGATAGAGGTAGTAGTAGTAGTAGTAGTGATACAAATTTAGCTCACTCTTCAAATCAGGTGGTATTTGTCTTCTTTTTGTCTTTTATCTATTGTCTTTCGTTCTTTGATGTTGCAAAACTTAAAATTTTTGCTAAGTTCAATGAGTTGTGATAATATGATGATGAGTTGAGTTGGAGGAAAGAAGATGATAAAAAGATGGTGTTCTTTGCTAATACTTATATATAGTTATATGTATGTTGATACACGAGTGCATAGTAAAATGCAAATGTATTGTCTAATTGATTAATTGCTGTCTTTGGGTTGTTTGGTTTGGTTAGTGGTTGTTGTGTTTTTTGTAATGCAATTACTAAAAAGAAAACGAAAATTGATAAATACTACAGCCGCACAAGTGCTTTCCTAATGTGGTATCCAGTAATTAATAGTACGGAAATAGATGGAAGTCAACGTTAGTAGCAGTAAGTTGGGAACGGAATACGGAGATATTAACGCCGTATTTTTCTCACTTTCTTTTTCTTTTCTCCGTATTTTGCCCTTCCACAAAGTGAGAGCTACCAAAGTCACAAACCACAAGTAGAATAGTAACTCTTCACAGGAGGGACACAATTGTAAGACGATATAGATCTTCCTCAAACTAAGATGATGGTTACTGATATTCTGGAATCAACTCGTACATTACTAAGAGAGTATTTGCATTTATCTATAATCCCCCCCCCCCCATAGTATCTATCTCTCTTTGCATATATATAGTGCTTTAATCTTTTGGTATTGCGCACTTTTTCGTTCCGATTTTGCCACCCGGACCGATAAACGCAAAAAAAAATTCTCTCTATTTTTTTTTTTACTAAACTATTATTAATTATCAAAAGAATCACAAGCAAAACCCCCAATCACCCACAAACGAAGGTTTAAAGTATACTAAGGCTGATAAAACTCGTATTCAGACTACACAAAAGTAGATGAATAAGCGAAAACAAAAAGAACAAACAGCAAATGCCGATGTGCCGAGCTACTCAGGTACTGGAACTGCCAAAAAGCTTTTCTCATTTTGACACTTTTGCTTTGTTATTAAACGATAAACAAACACATTCAGTTAAGTTTTCATAATGATAAGGTAAAGTCTTCATTTTCCGTTTAAATTTATTGCCGAGGATGTTTTTAAAATTGACACATACTGCAACGAATATTTCCTTGAAAACTGACTTTTGGTCTAGCCCCATTGATTCCTCATTTTAGTTGTACTTTTGTTCTTTTTTTGCACCTAAACTGGACCAAGAATTCGATCCAGCACAATATATACCCCACGCCTTCCCAATTGAGGGGTCCTATGTTATCACCAATTGGTGATAACATAAGTGCATAGTGTTTACGTTTTTTTAAACTTCTGTTGCGTATATTTTATTCCAAAACCTTATGCAACAAACTACACAGTTCATAAAATTCGCGCAAAAATTCCCCAAATGGGAAATCAATTTCGGCTCTGAGAGAATTTATGCGAAAACATTAACGGAAAAGAACTACAAAATTGCAAACTTTTGCGCCAAACCAACTGTGCATATAGGTAAAATGTAGAAGCGGACATCTGGGCTTGACTTGTACCAGTCCCCATTTAACCGACCCGACTTTTTACAAAGAAACGATCAGAGACAAGTTATCGTACCCATTTTTTTCTGAAACGTGGTTCCACTCCAAGCCAAGTAAACTCTAGACCAAGACAATCGATCGAACACTGCGAACTGAAGAGATCAACTAGGATTGAAAAACCCTCATCATAGGACAACTCTCAAAGTGCAAGGGGGGTTACAAAGTAGCCGAATTTTCAAATAAGGTTTTGAAATCTTCACAAAGAAAGGGGATTTACAAAACCTTGCAATAAAAATTTTTAGAGAAACTTTAATAGAAACTCCGGATACTACATCCTTTAAAGTCGTACCATTTCTATAACATTGTAAGCACTATTGATATTATTGCGCTACGAGTAATACACTTTTCACTCAGAACCGACCTCGCTGTCTTAAATCTACACTGTTTGAAGAATTTGCAATATAAAGACTTTTATTCATCTCATACATAAGAAACCAAGATAGACCATAATGAGACGATTATATATAGAAAGACAACAGAGTCCAGCTCAACATTCTCCGTGTTATAACCAACATTTCAAATGACATGAAAAATAGGGAGTTTCATTAGCTTCCACTATACCTGCGTTTCAAATGGGGTGATGATGAACCATTGATGACAAATCCATTCTTGTCGTATATTTGTGTCAGATTGGGGTGCAATTTGTAATCGGTATCTGAAGTGGGGTGGATCATAGTGTTATTATTGGAATTTCCTTCTTCTTCATCGTCGTCATCACCGTCACCACCGCCATCATCTTCGTCATCGTCGTCATCATCATCATCATAGTAGTCACTTTCGTCCTCTTCTTCCCCTTCGCCTTCCTCTTCATCATCATCATCATCATCATCCAGCATGTCATCATCCTGGACTTCACTAGTTGCAGAACTACCATCCTCCTTCAGTGCATTCTCTTCTCCCACTCCTATACTTCCTGCTCTCACATAGTATACAGCTGGTTGCTGCCCTTGCTGTTCATCACGTTGTATTTGGCCACCACTGTGACTATTCTTCCCCATTAAATCAATCAATTGGAAATAATACATATTCAACACATCTTTAGCCTCGCCAATATTAGTACAAACAGTACCCAGAATTTTATTTACAGCTTGTTTACCAGGTATGCATCGCCAATCCACCCTACTCAAAAAATCCAATTCCAAACAATTCAACTCGCCAAGTGCAACACCACCAACTTTGGCATAATGATCATTAGTGTAAAAGAAATCCTCCAACGATTTCTGAGCAATCATGGTGCCCACTAATAGGAACCGGTGTACTGTCCATGAGTTTAATGTGAAAAACGGTTGGTATTGATGCGATAAGAGATCGATATAGTATATTGTTGTAAGCAAGATTGCTGGGTTGAAATTGTTGAATTTTGTCAACCGTGATAAATATGTCAAGGTGGATATTGCTGGTGGAGTACGCGAGTGATATCGCGTAAGTAGACTATTGGATGATTGGGAGCCTCCATTGGTAGTTGCCGAGGAGGATGATGTTGTAGTTGTTGCCGCAGACGGTGGGTTTGAGATAGAATTGGGCACAGATTTATCATTCAATGTGATTAATGATTGTAGCATGCGTGATATAAGGTCTATTAGGAAATCAATGGGACAGTCCATAAACTCCACTGGTAGACGATGAGTGATATGAGTTGCAGATGCTTTCTTCTTTTGTGCATCCAATAAGACTGTTTCTTTATCTTGTTGTTGATGTTGATGTTGATGTTGTTGTTGTTGTTGTTGCTGTTGCTGTTGCTGTTGCTTTATCTCTGCGGTTGCTGCTACATCCTTAACAATTGGTTCCACTTGAGATACACTATCACGACGTTGTAACCGAGTATTGTTCTTGCTTAAATATTGCTTATAATTTCTTTCATAATCAGCCTTCTTATTTGCATTTAAATACCTCTGATAAATTTCCAATGATTTTACCTTGCGTTGTTTTTCAAGGGCTTTGAAATATAGTTGATGATCATTCAAAGTCGTTTGAATTTCCAATGATTTAATATATTGCGATAGAAACGTATCATCATCGCCACCACCGCTGGTTGGAGTTGATCCTTTTGCAGGATTGTTCTTGTTGTTCAGTTGCCTCCGATGCGGTAAGGGTAGTCCTCCTCTCTTGTGAAAACTTGTGTACTTTTCCGATACCTGTGGACTATCACTTGGTTTTCGACTGGGGCGGTTGTTATAGCTCGCATTTGTCTTGTTGGTGTTGATCTCAGATGACGCGGGTGTAGTTTGTTTCAACGCCAGTCGATACATATAATAGTGTCTGCTATTACTGCAACTGGCCATGTAATTATTGCCGCCTTCGCTGAAATTGTTGAAACTTCCAACTGAACCCGTGGGGCTAGATGTGGGTGTCGCTTGAGTTGAAGAAGCAGACATCATCATCGTGTAAAGTATGAGTGTGCGTGTAAGTTTGGTTGGGATTAGACAAAGGGTGTTTTCTATATCATCTAACTTGGGATGTGTATCTTGTTATTGGTGAAGTTGATGTGTGATGTGTGATTTTTTTAGTCGTAAAAATGACGTTTGCGGAAAGCTATATTGGTCCAGTAAGTGCAACAAGTAGCAGTAATTGCCTTTTGTTTTGAATGGTTGAGTAAGTTGTGCTTTAATGGGAAAGAGTGATATGTATAATACTCTGCCGTGATGACAATTTTTTTTTCTGCTTTACTTTCCGTAATTGGTGTTCCGATGTATTTTTCTTGGTGTAACTGTAGTAGTGGAAATCAGACGCAAAGAGAAAACACTGGATCTGGGTAAGTGGGTGGGTGGTTGTGATCCAAGAGGGGTGTATGGTATGACAAACCTAGTGGATAATGGAGTGTGAAATGCGGAAGGTGTTTGTTGTATAGTCACGAAAGTTTGAGGTTTCACAAGAAACGTGGGTGGTATTATTATTATATTTCCTTTTGCGAAGAAAAAAAAAGTGTATTGAAAATGGCGAGGGTGGGGGGGGAAGTAATGGTAATGGTAGTCCCTCTATGAGTTGGAATGACTTGTAGTGAAGTCTAATGGTGACTGTAAGTAAATGGTGATTAGTAGGATGGTGAAGGGGTATTACAACTGGTGCAATTTTTTTTTCAATTTAGTGGCAATTGTTTGGAGTATATATACTTCAACAATGTTTAGGCCGGAGTTCCAATAGAAAGAGAAGAAAAATACCAACAGAGTCATAGTTAAACACAATTGGAATTTACTACTGCTACTACAACAAGCATTACTGTACGAACATCCAGTGGGTAGTATTTTTAAGAGATGATTACTGGTGGTTATGTTGAAAGGGTGTCATAACTTTGGGTGTTGACTTGCTTCCCCTCTCTTTCCCTCATCTTTCCAATCTTTTCTTCATCTTCATCTTTATCCATTTGTGATAGGAACGTATTATTGTTGTTGTTTGTTGATCTTACTTTAACTCTAACTTGTACTTCTTGTATTTGATTGCTTCATAGGGGCACACGTGCTCACTTTTATTTTCATTGAACACAACACACAAACAATAGTTAAAAACAATATGGCTATATATCAATCCATTGTGTATGTGTCTTCTTATATGTATAATGAGCTAAATATATTGATGCCACTTTGCTTAAATAGAAGATTCCATCACTAACAACAATAACTCGCAAAAGATGAAATTTGCAAATTGTAGTCATATATCCGGATACTATTAGAATAGGTACAATCAGTCAAAGACAGAGATCATAGTCAGAGGAAAAACAATGGTTGCTCTTGGAAGGCGTTGTTATACTTCTAATGAACAAAGCTTCCAAACAAGCAGTGATATCCAATCCATCTTAGAAAGTAAGTCTTTCCTACGATTAAAGTTAAACTTAACCTTTTTAGACTGTGCGTGTCAAAATTGGAATAAAAAAACTCATTTCCTTTTAAAATACCCTCTATTCTCTCCTCCTCTTTTGCTTATTCTCAAGAGGATATCAAGGACTTGAGTCTATCTGTATCTCATTGTGGCGTTTGGTAGATTGTTTGGTAAAATGGCTTCTTTGTGCTTATCGATATAGACATCACACAAACTTTGATACTATTGCAATACATAATAATTTAATCTATAATGTCACACAAAAATAAATTTTTTTTTTTATTGCAGCAGACACGTGGGCCCATTTCACCACCACAAGCTAATAACAATATTGATATGACCACAGTTGTTGTTGTTAATAGTTAAAGACACACAATACGTAGTCCGAAGAAGAAGCTAACAATCAAGCTACCACAAATACAGTACAGGTAGTATCAATGGTACTGCTGACATTCACGTGACTCAATACACAAACTGCAAGATTTTTTTGGGTCCGTGTGTAGTAACTTGAAAGCTTAAGGGCTCCAAGGGAGTCTCCTCTATTTGAGCTCTTCAAATAGAGAAGACATTTACTCTATAGAATAAAACAAAATAGCGACATGAAATGAGACAATTTGCATGAAAATTCTACTAAAGGTTAACAAAGACAAACAAAATACCAATTCCTCTCCGATACAACCAACCTCACAAAGCAATGTCAGCTTTTTAAAACGAAAACGGACATTGTTGCTGTAATATCAATCTTCTCTTACTGATGGTTGTATGCAATCTTTTATCATGTTGATTCAGACACCAAAATTATTCTCCATTTTTTTTTCTTCCTTTTTTTTTTTTGCAATTAGACTAACCTCTTTTTTGCAGCTGTACGTTTCACTTCAGAGCACAGATTATGCTACAAACAACTAGGGTTTTTTTACCCCTCATGGTTGTTATCAGCGTGGTTTAGAGTTACTATGGGCATCTTCACCGCTGCCTCTTGGGCTGTTCTAAGCAATGGTATAGCGCATTTTAGTGCACATTACAAGAAGTCTCATGAAATTAGCAATTTGCCAGGAAAAGCGGAAGCCGCCAACGGTTCAACACCAGTGCAGAAGAGATACAGCTCTTGCACCTCCTAAATCCCCAAAAGATAATTTTAGATGCCCCAAGACGGCGAAGCACGGCCGAAATTTTCTAGGGGCACGGAGTTGATTTGTAGTTTATAAGTTTATATAGTGCAGACGCCTGCCTTAACACCGAAAACCGAGTTTTAAGTCCAAGCTGGCGTGTGGAAGCTTCTCAAACCAGGAGGATGCTGGATCTGGCAATTTTGCTACCATATTATGCGTTACTGGAGCCTCAGATGTGTTTGTTACTGAGTGGGTGTGTATTGGTCGCTACCTGAAAGCTCTCTTTGTCGTAGATGATTTTGTCGCGAAACTACGAGCGACTCGGGTACTACGTGAAGACTAAAAACAATTGAACCTCCATAAATCAGAGAGGTGACGTAAGTTGACTGGATCTACACACAGCATGGGAGCCATTCACTGAACTACACATTACATTGCTTTACCATTGAACAAATTGAGTAGTTTGATAAAAACCGAAGACGTATGACTTTTACATTGTTTGGCACCGTTGTCTGATCGCTTCTTCTCTACACGTTAAAAGACATTGTGCATTACGTAACTCTGTAAGAGGAGGCAGAGACACAAATAAGTTCGATATACTTTGTTGTTGTGAACCGTGATCAAGTACAATGTCCATTCTCAATTGTACTAAAGTATATTTTATTTTACAACCTCTTCAAAGTGATCTATTAATCTTAATTTGAATGCAGAATCTATACACATCCAAACTTTCTAATTTTATATCTAACTAACCTGTACCGACAAAGATCCTTGACTCAACACCCTTTTGCTCACTAATTTTGATTAACATATCCAGTAAACATGGAAAATCTCGCTAACCAACGATGATTATGTTTCCGCCTATTTCCTTTGGGTACTCTAACCAACCAGTACAAAAACACCGTCATAACAATATTAAATGCAATAAATGCAATAAAAATCCCCACATCACGACCGAAATTGTGTATCGAAATATTGATATTAGACAAGTACTGATTTGTTTTATTCATGGGACAGTATTCGCAACTCTCAGTGGCTTCTGGATTAGTCAAGTATCCACCGGCAACGGAAATATAAGGCTTCATGTAATCTTTGCATTTTTGTATTCCTGGTTGTACTGGTGAAAAATGCAAAAACTCTTGTTTGGAGCACTTCACTGTAGAATTTCCAATACCAATCGATAACATTGATGATATAAGATACGTGAGCGGGTTGCAACGATAAAGAAACACCCAAAATTTAGGCATAAAATCCTTGCTGGCAATAACACCACAAAACAACATCGACACTGTAACGAGAAACGAAATGACATTTGCCGCATTGTTTGTCAATTGGTTAAAGGAAATGCACATTTGCGCCAACGTTGAGCTATAAACAAACATCAACGTCATGGCAAGCCACATCAAAGCTCCACGTTGCTCAACTGCATCGCCAGCATTATGATACATACCAACAGGGTAGTACCAAACAAAAAAGGAAATAGCTGCGACAATTATCTGATACGGTATTTCTGAAGTAATTTGAGCAGCAATAAACGCAAACCAGGAAAATGTGCGTGATGGTTGTTCTCTAGCTTCGTACAAGTCACGTTGGCTAACAAACATGGGGACGTATTGTTGGGCTAAAGTGGTCATAACTGCAAACAACATGAAAATTGACAACATTTGATTCTGCAAACCTTGCATGGTGTTTTTCGCTTTGAAAAAAGTGAAACCATTAAACATTGAACACAAGATACCCATGGCAAATTTCGAGTAGATATAAGAAGGGGTACGCCAGTATTGCTGAAATAACCTTGTCAAAACATAATAGTATTGAATCCAAAATGGAGCCGCATAAGTTCGTCTAGATTCTTTAGCATCACGCCGTAATCTCCACCTTGACAATGTAGTCGCATTTTTAGGCTCCTCTTCATGTCCTTTGTTCATATGTTCCATTGCATTGAGCTCATACTGAACAGCAAGATACTCAGGTGACTCCCTCCATACTTGAAAGTAATCCTTATCCGCATGAGAGCCAGGAGCAGCACCAATAACATGCAACATCCATTCAGCAGGATTGGCATCAGGCGGACACTTAGGAGCGCCATTGCGTTCAAAATACCGAATCATTGTTCGACACCTGTAGCCAAGGTCTCCAAAATAAACAGTTTCACCACCTCTTTGGAGAAATAACAACCGGTCAAATTCTTCCAATAATATCGATGATGGTTGATGGATTGTACACAAAATGGCTTGGCCGTGATCAGCCAACTTTCTAATCAACCTGCAGATGGACCATGCCGTTTGTGAATCCAATCCAGATGTTGGCTCATCTAAAAACAACAACAACTTGGGTCTAGCAACTAGCTCAACTGCAATGGTTAAACGTTTCCTTTGTTCAACGTTTAACCCTTCACCTTGAACACCAACAACTGCGTCAGCATAAGCCTCCATTTCCATCAATTCGATAATCTTTTCCACATACTCCTCCTTCTCAGCTTTCGAGACCTTACGCGATTGTCTCAAGTAAGCACTGAACCTCAATGCTTCTCGCACAGTCGAAGTTTCCAAATGCAAATCTTGTTGTTGCACATACCCAATCAGTCGTTGAAATGCATTGTCCAATTGACATCCATTAACCATTCGAGAGCCCGAAGTAATGACACCAACAGTCAAACGTTCACTCAAGGCGTTCAACAAGGTTGTCTTTCCTGCACCTGAGGCTCCCATCAATGCAGTCACTTCGCCAGGCATAATCCATCCATCAACTCCATTCAAAATAGTCCTCTCTTCACCTTTGATCTGTAGCTTGTACGTCAAGCTGCGCCAGTGGAAAACATCTGAAGTTTGCAATATTTTACGATCGGCATAATCAAACATGCCCTTTTCATCACTTACTTGAGTGGATGAGCTCGATTCCAGCGCTATTTGATCTTCCATATATGCCTCCTCGTCTTCTTCAACAGACTTTAAACCTTTGAAATGGCCCTTTTTGAAGACCAATACTTCTCCTTTGGACTTTGCGGTTTGACAATACAGAACAAAAAACAATGTCGTGAAAAATAAAAAGATAACGTACGCCAACAATATGCCAAAGTTTCTCCATGCGTGTTTCCATTCGTAGGTTAAGGCAACCTTCATGTATAGATCACCATCAACAACTTTCGAGCCAGGGATTGCAGAAAGAGTTGCGCATACAGTGGAGTTCCCGCTTTTGGGATAGCCTTCTCCCAGGGGCACAAATTTGGAGCATTCAAATGTGCGGCCGTGGAATTCATTGATGATAAGTGCTTCATAAACGTACGACAAGGGATTGATGTACTGGATCCATTTGCACCAACCAAGCATATAGTTTAAGGGCATGGTAAATCCCGTAAACCTGCTCATGGCGTACAACAACAAGGATGATGGCGTCATTGCCTCAGCCAATGTCTTTGTGAATGCACCAATGGTTCTGAACAAATGAGACATCATCAATGTGGAAAGAAAATTGATCAACCAATAAAAGAAGAATGCACCAGGTTCACGCTTGAAATTGACAATGAAATAAAGTATCAAATTGAAACAACAACTGCTAATAAACTTCAATGGTAAATCAGTCACAAGTGATCCTATTGCATCTGCGGCTGGTGAATACAAGGCATATTCTCGATGCTTTTGCTGAATTGGTCTCGTTTCGTAAATGTTGTATATTTCCAACACCGATGAATACGAATTGATCAACATTGAGTAATAAATGACAGCAGTACGATGATAAAAAGAATCAGTTTTTGGTTCCAAGTTGTAAAACACTGACGCCAAGATTAAGCTCAATGCGATATTTCCAAGCACAGTCACTATTGGGATTGAAGGTGCACCTTTTATTCGATTGAAATTACGCTTTATGATGTATCGTACTTGCATGGGTAGTGAAACAGTATAAGGAGATTTGCTGTTGGTATGTTTTGACTTTTGCGCTTGCATAGCCTTAAAGATTTTCAGTTTGTAGTTGAGAATCAGACAGTAATCCAAATATTTATCAATCTCTTCCAACAAGAACTGCCTCTCGGAGGATCTTCTCCAATGGCGATAAAACTCTCTTGGCGTATGTGGCACTTTGTGTTCAAACCCTGGCTTCACCATACGTTCGGCTGGGTTGGTAATTGAAGTTAAGAAATCTGGTATAGTTTGCCTATCTTTACAAACAAACCCCATGTTTTGAAAATAGGCTGCTGCATGTTGGCTTGAACCAAAATAGATTTGATAACCTTCGTACAATATAATAACTTTATCGAATAAATTGTAAGCATCTTGTGAACATTGATAAATGGCAACCAAGGGCGTATCGTTTAAAGTTGTAGCAGAAGTCTTTAAGGATTGGATGAATTCTAACGCAGTGGCTGCATCCAACCCACGAGTTGAATTATCCCAACATTGAATAGACGCTTGTACCAACGAGACTTCTGCAAGTGAAACTCTTTTGCGTTCACCACCCGACACACCTCGTACAAAATCATTCCCAATTTTGGTATTTATTGTGTGCGATAATCCATAAGTTTCCATAACAACGTCAACAAGTTGTTTCGCGTACTGTTCACGTGATATATCAGCTGGTCTATTTCTTGGAGTTTTCATCAATGCAGCAAATTCCAAAGTTTGACCAACAGTCAAGTATGGGAAGTGAATATCTGTTTCAGCACAATAAATAACTTCTCCTCTTAGGTATTGCTTGATCTCCTTTTGAGTGAAACCATCGTAAGAAATGACAGAATCATTAGCAACATTGAACCCATCAGTATGACAAGCGATAGTCTTGAGGAATGTTGTACAACCAGCACCAGGTCTTCCTAGTACAACTGTAACTTCTCCTGGTTTGATTAAGCCCTCCATCGGTTTCAAGATATCAAAGGTGTTTTGTTGTTTTCTTTTAGTTATTCTCTTGATCATGTTCCTTGCATATTTTACCACACCATTTGATACAGTTGTTTGATAGTCAGTATCCATGGCGTCACCATAAACTTGTAAATCCTTATAGGCAACACCCAACTTTCTTGGTTTGTAGTAGTCAGGGTCATTTTGGTATAGTTTCCACATGTTTTTGCACCTATTACTTTGTATCTAGGTAACACTTTGGAAGATCTGGGTTCTATATATTCACAGTAATTAGCGGGGTAGCACTGTAAGAAAGTCAACAACAGCAGTGGTAGGAGTCTATTACGTGTATGTGGTAGAATGCAGATCAGATCTACCAAACTCAAACCATCTCAGAGAGAAACTCAATGGAATATATATCCATAAAAGAGGGTACTCTGCAATCATCTAACCACATAGAAGAGATGTAAACAAAAGGACTCATTTATTGCAATGTTTCACCTTCAGCTGTACGCGGTGACCAAGTGTTGTGTGGTATGTAAGCACACGACACGTGAAGCAGCTGCATACGTAGCACATTTTATTTTAGAAAAGAAACCGTTTCTGTTTGGACTCGTATGCATGAGAGTTTTTTATATTTTTCCCGAGATTACCAATCTTACCACATGGCGTGATATGGTTAAAGTAGCCTACAATCTATGTACCTGACATGGAGTACATATATATATATATATATATATATATATCGATACATATTTGCGAGGACGAAATGAACCCCTCTTCTTCTTTGTTCACTCGTCGAATTAATATAAAAATGATACGATTAAATACGAGTAACATCTATTTGTGTAACTGTGTGCTTTTCTTATATTGGCGCAAAGGGTCCAATTGCCCAATTTTTCCCATTTATTATCACCCGTTCTAGGACCAGGGATCCAAACCATCAGGCGTTTATAGTTACTTCCAACTAATACACATCACATTCTTAGTTTACGGAATAAATAATGTGGTGTTCTCTAGTAAAGTAGGTTGGCGGTTTTGCGCGTGTTTACTACAACAGCTATTGTGCCGCAAAAATTGGGAAATCCCTCTATTCTAATGTGTTCAGTTTCAGTTGTTTTGGTTTTGCCATGGAAAAGTGTCTGCATGTTCACAAGACCATGCATATGCGTCAATAAATACTACCAAATGAATACTAAAAAAAAAGCCACGATCTAAGTTTTATCAAATTCTCGTCTGGTATAGTATGTAGTAGCTTTTCCAGGGGGGGGGGTTGGACCTCAGTACATATCGTAAAACCTTCGACGCCTCATTTCGAAAATTAAATGTCGGTGTGTGTGGGTAAACAACTTTCTTTTGTGTACATGGATATGTGTACCTGTTTGTTTTACAAGAGAATTCTTCTATTATGGAGGCGGTGTGCCGTTGACGAATGTTGCACTTGAAGTGAAGTACATCAATTACGCCTTGGCAGATGTTGTCGATCGTACCATAGAACGTTATTCAAATTTAGGAGATGGTCAAGAATGACACAATCTCCTCTCAACACTAGCTTTGACCTCGGTCGATCCTTGACTGCAAGTGAAGGAAGTTCGTTATTTTAAACGTTTTAGTTTGCACATGCTTGTTTCATAGTGCATTGAAAATTTTTCTCGTCAATTACGACCGTTTTAAACAAAAGCCCATGGAATGATTGGTTCTTGATGAGCTAATGGCGGCAGGTTATATATGACAATTGTGGCTCTCATTAATAGCCCTTGTGTGAATACAAAAATATTTCACTACATAGTCCCCAGGAAGCTTATATCTCCATAGCTTTTTGGGTAGAGTGACCCCCTCAAGTGTTACTCCCATCATTTCCTCTTTTCGTCGTGATAATTTGCGCAAACACACAAAGCATTCCCTTATCAATTAGGAAATTTTTTGGTGCCGCACACCAAAGTTGCACCACAGTTTGTTTTTTTTGTTGAGGGTAAAAGGTTATTGTTATCTTTATGATGACAGAACAAGGGCTTACTGTCATAACTACACTGTCTTCTTTGTAACACTCTTTTTGACAAAAAGTCGAATAAACAAAACTATGAATGAGAATCAATTTCTTCTAAACTATATTCGCCATCAGTTTTCGGGTTAATCACAAAATGTTGATATTTCATTCTTCATTAGCAGTAATCGGTATTGCTGCTATCTTGGACAAAGTCGAAGCACTGACACCACAAAATATAAGTCACCAGTCAGCTAATTATGATGTGAATACAGTTATTTGTGGTATCTTGATTTTTGCTGCTGGAGCTGTTACAATTGCACTAGCTTTGGCAAAGGATAATAAGAAAGCAGCCACCAAGTCTTCTAAAGGTCACCCAATATCCGATTAGATCTTATCTTGTGGACATTTAAAAACGATTGATCAAAAAACGGTGAGATTAAACTCAAAGGTGATGTGCACGAGCCGTGGTGTAGAAAGTATGATCCATTACCATTTGAACGTAGGTTCAAGTGCTACGTATGTTTTATAGTCAACTTAGATATGACATGTCGTCGTCGATTCCAACCAAAAGTTTGTGCCTTCGTGATTGATGTATTTTTAGCTCTATTTTCTCAAAAAAAAACATTGTCGCAAAATCTTTTGTATGTCAAGGAGATTTGTGATACCAACATTAGTGTCGAGCAAGTTTCAGTGCTGAAACTAGTTTTCCTGGAGTCCAATACTCCCATCAAGATAATGTGTTCTTTACTGTAATTGAATCGGTACTCTCGGATCCACCCTGTTACAATTGTTATGGTGTCTTACTTGCACCTTGTTTCCTTTTGCAACTATTTTTTTTGCAATGTTTTAGAGCTAAATTGTGTGACGTATTCATACTGAAAAGTAACTAACTAAATCCCTCGCACCTATACCATCCTCAGCCTCTATTATACTACCTATTGTCTGCTCCACCTTGTTGCTCTTGACAGTGGGGGAATGAACCCACTTTTTGCAGTGTATTTCATATGGTGCAAAAAAAAATCTCTCACCTGATCGATAACATCTTTTTCGCTGCTATACGTTTCACTTCAGAGCACAGATTATGCTACAAACAACTAGGGTTTTTTTACCCCTCATGGTTGTTATCAGCGTGGTTTAGAGTTACTATGGGCATCTTCGCCGCTGTCTCTTGGGCTGTTCTAAGCAAAGCTATAGCGCATTTTAGTGCACATTACAAAAAGTCTCATGAAATTAGCAATTTGCCAGGAAAAGCGGAAGCCGCCAACGGTTCAACACTAATGCAGTAGAGATACAGCTCTTGCACCTCCTAAATCCCCAAAAGATTTTTAGATGCCTCAAGACGGCGAAGCACGGCCGAAATTTTCCAGAGGCACGGAGTTGATTTGTAGTTTATATAGTGTGATCACGTGTGTTATCTGTGGGCTCTCTTTCTGTAAGTGCAAAACTACGTTTCGAATGATATGGAGCAACTTTTCCCCCATGTCAATGGTTCCAAGAGGCAACAGCTTACTAATCCGATGTTTCGGCTTTCCGCTTGTGGGAATTCGTAATCCATTTACTAATCGGAGATTAACTGTTCATTTTGGGTAAATCATAATGCCGAGGAAAAAGTTCGGTGAAAATTAGAATTCACCAAGCTAAAATCCTTGATTTTTTGATAAAGATCGTGGGATATCAGCCACAGTTTCTTCAATCTTGTTACCAAAGGCTTACTGAGTATTTCAAAGCAGCATACCACAACTATTACCATGTGGACACTATATAAATACAGTTGAATCCGTTCCCTCGAGATGAACACAACTACTCCATCAACTCTTAGGACTTAACAAACAAAAACTAACTGATTCAGAATGACAAAAGCTGCAATTCAATCATCAAACCTATTCAAGCCAATCAAGGTTGGAAACACAGTGATTGAACATAGGATTGCTCATTTACCAACTTCCAGAAATAGAGCACATCCTGGTGATCATAATCCAACAGACTTGGAGAAAAAGTATTACACTGACAGAGCCAAGTCTGGTGCATTGTTAGTCACTGGAGCTACAGTTGCTACTCCAAAATTGGGTTGGTACCCAAATGTTCCTGGTATCTGGAATGAAAAACAAGCTTTAGGGTGGAAGGAAATTGTTGATTCAGTCCATGCTGCTGGTGGTAAAATTGCTGTTCAAATATGGGGAATGGGTAGAGTTGCCAGTGGCGCTTTGTTGAAGTCAAAAGGTTATGACTTTGTTGGTGTCAGTGACGTATATGATAATGAAGAATCAGCAAAGGAAGCTGTCGAGGCTGGCAATCCACTTCGCCCATTAACTGTCGAAGAGATTGAAGAATTGGTTCAGAAGGATTACCCAAATGCTGTCAAATTGGCTCTTGATGTTGCTGGATTTGATTTCGTCGAGTTGCATTTCGCAAATGGATACATTGCCAGTCAATTTTTACACCCAAAGATCAACACCAGAACTGACAAGTACGGAGGTCCAATTGAAAACAGGGCCAGATTCATTTTGGAAGTGTTTGACAACCTCTTCAAAGTGGCAGATGCAAAAAGAATCGGTGTTAGATTTTCCCCAGCAAACGTTTTTCAAGAGCCTGGCATCAATCCATCAAGTAAAGAGGATTACACATACATCCTTAGGGAGTTGCAAAAGAGAGCTGATACCGGTAACGAATTAGCTTTTATTGATTTAGTTGATGGGGTGTACGATGTGGACGATGTGCAATCACCAGCAAATGTCAATTATTTTTACGACTTGTGGAAGGGAGTCATCCTCAAAGGGGGAAACTACACCGAAGATAAAAATGATGGATGGGGCAAAATCGTTCAAGATGCAGATGCTAATGACCGTACTTTGGTTGGATTCGGTAGGCATTTCATCGCAAATCCCGACCTCCCAGAAAGAATCAAATATGGCCATGACTTGAATGATTACGATACATCTACGTTTTATACAACTTACAACTATGGATACAATACTTACCCAGAATATGGAGAGACTAGGGAAGCCGATCCAGAAGAAAAGATCATTCCCAAGCCGTTGATTCATTAGAGTATATGACCGGGTGCTATTGGTTCTCTCTTTATTTTTTTCTATAGTGTTTGTACTTTCCTCAAATCGAATGCTTTGTTGTTCATCTACCCTTTTATTTTTTTTTTTTTTTGCACCCACAATGTGATCATCGTGTGGGTGGAACTTGTATGCTACACGAGTAGGAGAAGGAGTATATATCTATCGTTTTTGCTGTTATCATGCTTTTGATGAATTCCTATCTACTGCATCGGTTTATGGGCCTTTGAAAGCAACAATGGGTCATGTTTGGCTTATACCAGTCGTTCTATGGATACCGTTGAGTGGTTCAAACGAGGAGGATGAGGAGGATGAGGAGGATGAGGAGGATGAGGAGGATGAAGAGGATGAGGAGGATGAGGAGGATGAGGAGGATGAGGAGGATGAGGAGGATGAGGAGGATGAAGAGGATGAGGAGGATGAGGAGGATGAGGAGGATGAGGAAAGAGTATTGCTCCTATATGACAGTTCGTTGAAAGGACAAAAGGGGGGTGATTCATAACAACTCATTAGGTTTTTCGAAGAATCGAACCCAAAGTTGCAACTCAATCCATGACTTGTATCGGTACTTGGACACCAGTAATGATTGCACCAGGGCGGTGCTGAACTATGTGCCACCCAAAGAAGGATCCAACTACAACGTCAATGCAACCAATTCAAACACATTGTGAATATATCACAGCTACGAGGTAGAACTAGTGTACCCTGTCATTAATTAAAAATTGTACTCACATGTATAAACTCACTCCAATTAATCTCCCCTATGGTTTCGCCTCTTTCTATTGAACATGATATGTTAATAACAATACAGGATCTCTAAAACTAAACTGTAATCAATACGTCCCCATCCGTTCACATTAAAGAAAAGGGGACACATATATACTCACGCGTAAGAGATCGGCACAAATATGGAGATTTACATAAAGATCTACAAGTGTTGTGGAAAAGTGCTATTTTTAACTTCTATGTTGCGGTGTTAATACTCGAACCGAACATCAGCAATAGGGCTATTTTCCAAGGCGGCCCATTCATAGTAGCAGTATAACCAAACTCAACTAGTGCCGACTCAATCTTCCTCATCACTGGTATACCACTCCCTAGGTTCATCATTTAAATCCCTCATCAATAAAGACAAATCTTCTCTGAACTCTATCACAGTCCCATCATCAAAGTCTCCCTCATCATCATAATCTTCTTCATCTTCATCTTCATCTTCATCTTCATCCTCTTCCATCTCAATCACAAATGTGTCATCATCATCTTCAATATACAAATCATCAATATCAGTCTCGCTCAATTCGTCCTGTGCCCTTTTTCTTTCAACTTTGGCAATAAATTCATCTAATTCATCGTCAATATCTTCAGGTACAAACTCTGCATCATCATCCGAATCATCGTCATCTCCATCTTCTTCACCGAATGACTTTACGCTATCGGAGAAACTCCACAATTGAGCAAACTCCCCTTTCATGTAGCTGTAGCCACTGATTCCCAACATCAAACTGGGCACAATGTATAACAATGCTGGTTGTCCTGTTTTGTATACATTAAGCGCCACCAATGTAGCAATGATACCAATCGAGTAGAATAACAAACTGACAGTGAAATATGGTCGTGGATAGTCGGTTAAATGGTGGAATGGCTTGTGAACATTCCCCTTGTAGTAAGTTGCCACATCATAACGTAAACATAAGCTGCACAATAACCCAGGAAGAACAATATCTCCCAATCCCAAAATGCTCAATCCGGCTTCATATAATTTAGGAATTGTCAATTTCATGGGTACGTCCATCTTTGTCGCAACTGTGAGCATAATCTCAGTACCAAAGACAAAATAAATATCATAACAAAACAATCCCACTAACAACCCAAAGGCCAATTTGAAATTTGTCAATTGAAATTGTGAAAATGATGAAATGACAAAGGTGAATGCCACAAAATTGCTCCATTTCCAACTGGAGTAGTTTTTGAAAAAGCCATATCCAATCAAAAGAGAAACCGGTAACAACACCACAAGCTTTAGATCAAATACCCCGTTAAATTCAAAAGCATCTGCTGCCAAATCAGTTTGTTGAAAAATTGTTAATTTTTGATCCTCGATGTATTGCTTGAGTTTCAAAGCCTTCATAACTTTCGCATCCAGGTCCTCGTTTGCATCTTCTTCCTTGTCTTTATCATTCTTGGCGTTGTCATCAATAAACTCATCGAAGTCAATATTTTGCAAAATACCAAGTGGGAAAAGCTCCTTGTCTTTGGCCGCGGCCACTCTGTATCTCTCAAATACTGCCCTTGAATCCTTGCCAAACCAATGTGTCACTTTTCTTACCGACATGGTCAACAACGTACTTAATGTGAAGTACGAGTTTGCCGGTGTTAGCAAGATAAAGTACCATTTGATGATGGAACTGATGGAGATGTTTTTTTTTATGCAATAATACATTCCTGATAAACTCAAACCAGCAACAATGGGGAAAATTAACACATGTTTCCAAGTCAATTCTTGGACTCCAATCAGTTCCAAGTCAAATTTATTGGTGATGAAATATTTCGAATCGTCCATATCAGTAGGGTCAAAATCTTTGTTAGAGTTCATATCTTCCCTTGGATCTCCTGCATGCTTTGGTTTCGATACGGTAGAGTAGGACCCAATCGTGATCAACGTTAATGAAAAGATTAAAATCAACGCGGTGGTGGAAAGCTCTTGCAAGATCCATGACCTTGAGTCCAACTGTATTGGCGTACCAGTTCCATTTGTGATAAGTGCAGTTGAGTTGGCTAATTTGAGTAAGGTCGACTCAACACACGTGCTGTTGTTCATGATTTGTGAGTGGTTGTGTCTCTATTGATTGAAGATTAACTTTCGAGTCTCTGTTTTGCATTTTTCATCTCGCGTAAATTTCTTAGAGATTGCAACTTCCTCAAAGATCTTTGGAGGAACAGATGAAGAGCCATTTTGCTTCAATCTACCGTGTCCCCATTGAGTATCATGTCAAAAAGAGTTACCTCCTACCTAAAATCTCTGAATCTAGCCCTTTTTGTAACCAAGCTTTAAACCTTCATTTAACATAATGGATTTCGCAACTTACTTCCAACTCGCCAAAATAGGAAAAGAAGAATGCGGCTCATTCTTGATACTTTTTCCTCACCACCACGGACGGGATAATCGAACCACAACCAATATACACTTTGAAGTCTTCTGCACTTGTTACCACCACCAAATCCTTTGTCCCTGATTTGCTACTATTTATAAAATCCCCGCCATTAATGAGTTTGTTTCTGGCCCAAGAGCAACAAGTCTTCACAAACTTGGTCGCCGACATCCAACATCGACAAGATGATCGTGAATTGCATTGGTTGGTGTCGCTGGTTATACTACCTGAGTTCCCACAAATCATTGAAGCATTGAAAATCTGTTCAAATTTGTTGATGTTCAATTCTCCACAACAGCCTGACCCTAGCAACAAAATTCAAAAAGGACCTGCTATAAAGCTACCTGTGTCTTCGGGGACTCAGGACAATTTGAAAGGGATTATTGTCAGAGATGGTGCCTTTGTGACGGAATTTACAATCAATGTCAAAGATCACTACTTGAATAAAGTTTTCCACAAGTTGAGATTGAAAGAGCCAGTGTTGTTGGAACAAGTAATCAATGCCAATAGTGCTATTGATGCGGCGATCATGTTAATTAATCAACTATCACAGTTCACCGATGTCGAGGAGCTAGACCATGACGTTACGCATACGAAATTGATTGATGAATTTCAACGTCTACTATCCAGCATACAAACAGCAAAGACGAATTTACAATTACCTACAGATCCTGCATTGGTGTTTCCTGAAAAAGTGACCCATGGTCAATATTTTGAACCTGAATTACCAAACACCATCTCAATCGATTTTTATCTCAACCAAGCGGAAATTTGCGTAGATTTGAAAAGTTTGTCAAAAGTAACCGAGAAACCATGGGGTGATATAGATCCTCATACAGGGCAATCGTACGTTGATAAAGTTCGTGACCAAATGAAACTACCGCCTTCTTCTGCGAATAGCATCAGGGGCACAGGACAGAAGTTTCTGTCGTCAGAAGTTAGCTCTGTTGCAAGCGCAACTCCTAGTATTCCCTCGGGGAAAGACGAGAATGTTGGCAAATTGTTTCCCGAACACGATTCCCATGATAACCATGAAGCAGGAAGTTTTTTCAACAACATGATGAGTCATATTCTGTTGAAACCAAAACACGACGCTCAAGATTACATCACGAGGTGTATCACTTACAATCAAATGGTGGTTATGATCAAGACTAAAATTGAAGTTTCGTCCGAAGATCCAGTTTTAGTTAGCTGTTTTACCAAGTTGGATTCCATTGAGTACTTGATTACGAATTTCCTACACAGTTTGAGAAATCTAGTTGGATGACGTCGTAGAGGAGGTTCGTTGGCGGGAACACACCTGTCTGGATGTTGTGGGGTCCGGCGTGTACTAGTACCAAGTTCAGCTAAACGGACTCAACTCAATCTTTCACCTACGACTGAAACGGTTCAACTATCATAACGAAATAATACTACAGTTTATCTACACAACTTTTGACTTTTCACTATCGAAACAAGTAGATGTCTACCTCTCATCACCAATCCATTCCCAAACCTTCATTATCTCGCCATGGTTTTCAATAATCTTGCTGGTAACATTGGTATTATGTTCAATCTTTTGTCCAACAAAATTCCACAACCGAACACGTTCACTCAAATCATCCTCACTACTTAATATCAAATCTCTTAACTGGTTAGCCCCAATGTATCTATTTATATTTGAATTGTCTCGTGAAACCCTCACCTGATTGACCAACTTGTCCAAAACTTCTTGATACAAAATATCAATCTTGACTTTCTCCAATTGGTATCGTCTAAATCTCAATTGTATTGCTTTGAATGATAAAATCGCTAAAAGTAGAGTTAATAACCAATACTTGTAACGGGAAATGCTACCCACAATACTGTTTTGTATTTGACATTTCAAACTAATGTTTGATAAGGACGTTGATCGAAGAATTTCGACCTTGTCTTGTATCTTGGTTTCCGTGTTGTTAGTGTAAGGTGGATATTGTCTTGATGGTAAATCAGCAAGTCGGAACTAGATGGCTTGTTAGTACTAAGTTCAAAAAAATAAGCTAATAAATGTTTCAAAAATTTCGTACTTGCCTTAGAATTATATCGGGTTCTTTTTGCAATTCAACAAGTGATCTTGACCAGAGTTCCTCAAATTCTTCGGTAGTGATATAGGGTGCCTTCATTGAGAGTAAAACATCGTGCAACTCTTGCACCGAGATACCACTTTGAGAATCGTCTGTGCCTCTACCACAGTCAATAGCTGCATTTTTGCTACGCAATACATCAAGAGCAGCATCAATCATGAGCTCCAATTTTTCCGCCTTTTTCGCATCGGGTACACATTTCTTGTGGCCTGGTAAAATAAAATCGTACCAAGGCTTGTACTCCATGAAATCTTCAAAACAACCCAATTCTAAATTGGTAAAGCATCTAGCATGCTGTGGACAAGGCACACAACTGGGCTTGCAATAGGTGTCGAGAGCATTTCCAAGTTGTTGCACCAATACCACTGATGAATCTCCAAAAGTGGGCTGGTCAATTTCTTGGCCGCAATAACCAACTAAATATTTTTGCTCATAGTACCAGTACCCGAATAACCCAAAAAACATGGCAACAATCCAAGTGAAGAATGTGATAACAGTAGTGGTCAGGAGCATGCTCTCAGTATTAGCAGCTAAATTGTCCAAAGCATCGTGTTTGCTATCATTATATTGTTTAATTTTTTCATTCACTTCTTTTATCTCCTCTTCTTCTTCAGAGTCCAGAACATTTTGAGTTGAATTTATCGACAACAATCTAGGCTTTGGTGTTAATGCAACCCTACCAAGAGGTGTTCTTATTCCCCTTAGATTCTTTCTTCCTGTGGCAGGTGTTTTGTTTCCCCGTGATGATTGACTGGATTTCGGGGTTTCCTTCGATCTTGGTGTTTCCTTCGATCTTGGGGTCAGATATTCACTTGGTGTCTCCCCACCTCTCTTTTTCTTCTTGCGCGAGGATGACTTTGGTGTGGTGATTTCCTCCAGAACATGTTCTTTTTGGTCATCAATCAATGCAGCTTTTTGTGGAGTAAAGTTTCTAATCGTTGAGCTCGACCTGTTGGCATCTGAATGTGCTCTTTCATTGAATTGATCACTATGTGAATTCAATGATTCATTTCCAAGATTGTTTAATGGTGCTACCGGGTCAATTTGACCACTTTGATTAAAATGTTGTACTTGTGAGGGAACGACCGGTGGTTGAAATCCTTGAATTGTGATGCCCAACAGCTGTGCCAATTCATTACTTATGTTGGGTGATTGAGGAGTTTGGGAAAAAGGTTTCACATCTACCTCCTTCTCTACCGGAATGTCAGAAACGTGTCTTTGTTTAACCAATTCCAATTGCTTATCAAAATTAGCCATCTCTTCTTCCAATGACTTGAAAGACTTTTCATTCGTTGAAGGAGACAATGATTTTGTCTTTTTTGTTGACACGGTTTTGGGGGTTTTTGTGTCAGCTACCTCCTCCTTCACAAGGGACTTGTTATATTTCTTATCATCAACGTTGCCCACCGCAGTACGGTCAAATATGTCAGAGTCGCTATCATCAAATATTGACTTGCTCGGAGATTTGGTAATGCGAGTTCTATTGGTAGCTGGTGGAGATTTCAATTTTTTTGTAGGTACATTTGACTCATTGTTGCTTTCCAATTTTCTCTTTCTTGATGGTTTGGATGTCTCTTTGCTCGATTGGAAAACATTCTGATCACTAAAAGAGCTTAAATTTTCTGTAGCATCAAACTCTGAGTTTTCAATTTCCGATTCTGGCTCTTCTTTAGCTGAATTGTGCTTCGTCTCCTCCACATTTGATCCACCAGACTTATGTTGCTTTGAGTCAGCTTTCTGTAATCTCTTGCCATCTTTTGTCTTTTTCCTTGTGGACCCTTCATCATCCTTTCTTTTAGTCTCTTTCTTCGATTTTGGTTTTGCTACTTTTGCATGCTCGGTTTTGATTTTGGATTTTTCAGGAGTAGATTCAGCGGTATCTTGTATTTTTTTCCTCTCCCTTTTCGGTGTCAACTTATCTTCTTTCTCGCTTGCTTCTTCGTCATTATCAGTAGCGTTCAAGAAACCTTCGTCGTGAGAATTGCCAATTCTTGCGGTGTACTCAGCAAGTAATTGTGGTGCATTGGGGATAATCTCCTTTTCAAAGATTTCAATCAATTCTGATTTCTTAGCTGAGCTTGGAAAGGTAACATTGTGCGAATTCAATATATTTCTTAGTTTGGCCACTGTGACTGAAGATGGGTCAAATCCTGATCATAGGTTAGTAAATGTCTCACCATGAATTGTGCATATATTGAAAAGTTTTGTTGATTACACATACCAGGACGTAAATACTCCATATCTTTGTTCAATAGAGTGGGTAAAAGAAGGAGTTGTTTGTAATGGGTTTAGCAATGAGCTTCCTTCTTGATGATGGTGTTTTGTTTTTGTTTACATTTTCACATTTTCTTCTTCTTCTGAAGCAGCAGCTACCAATTGCACTTACCTTTTTTCACCAGACGGGGTGTATCCTACATTATTTCACGTGTCGCAAAACATAAATGACACGACACTATGTATATTACCAAGTACACGACCTTCAATACAAAAACACTCGCTACCAATACAAAGTTGTCAAAGGTGATATTTACAAAACTCTGTAATACCGCACTCTTTTATACTCTAATCATCTTTCTACTTATTAATTTCATTACTACTTTGCGTATCTGTTTTTATCAGAGTTCACTTACAAGTTTGCCATTGCCACTTTACTACCAAAAGTAGCTTTTGTTGGATGTTGCACAAGATTTTACAGGTCATAGAGTCACCCAAATTTAGTAGTGTACGTTATTCCAACTAATACCTAAGAATTTCAATCTGTGCCAATCTCTCACGTGCAAGTGTACACGACCCATTGGCTGTTGACTATGATGATTGAGTCTAGAGATTGACAGATTTCTTCTTCATAACAAATTTCTTGAACAATAATGTGTGGCCAAGTGGTTCAGTTTATTTAGGAAGTCAAGGTCATCCAATCTGAGGTGCATCCCTTTTTCTTTGATGTGTATGTATGGAAAGGTACGTAAACGTATAGATCACAGTTTAGTTTTAGAAACCTTGCATTGTGATCTAGCATGTTTTATGTTGAACAAGCTAAAAGCGTTTTACGTTCCTCACCATAAATAATGTAGATCCACAAGACGCTTCTGAGGCGTTTCGTTCATCCCCTTGGCCATTGAAAATGAAGGGAGTACGAGTTTTGATTGCGTATTTTCTAATTAGAAGATACAATCATTAGACGAAATTTCATCTTCAGAAAAGAGGACAACCGTTCCCTGGTATGCTCCATCGTCCAAACATCAGCTTTCAATATGTTGGAGCCTTCCGAATGCGTGGCATACGATCATACTGCAGTGTGAGCCCATATTAAAACTCATTTATTTTGAATATGCACGATCTAAAAATAAGATTATTATTATAAGCTTTGTATTACAAAAAGAATATAGTTTTAGTGTCCATTTTAGACTTTATTATCTTCCACTAATTTAATACACCCACCCACGTGGGTTTCAAGAGAACCACCGTGTAGCATGATGGATACGACATGGAAAGTTGGCTCGTTATGCGTTCACCCCATATTTTTCCATCTTTCATTCTTGTAAGCTCTGTCTGAGTAGATCTTACCAATGTGTTTGTTCCCAGAAAATAAGGTTTTATAAACAGGGTTCCTGTCTCCACTGTTTACTCAATCTCATTCATGTTGGAGGTGTTAAAAATGTAAACATGCACTAACAAACAAAACACGTCCCTTCATTAAGCTTTTAGAACAACCTCTTTACTCATAATGCAATTCCACCTGCGATAGAAATTTTTTCCTGAATTCTATTGCATATTGAAAGAATTACACAAAATATAGCCACGCACGTGTGTCACGCGACTACCAATATTGTTCTCTATCTTTGTGGAAATGCATTGATTGATGAAAAGTTTGAGCTGCAACAGAGCTGCAGTGGTCTATAAGAGCAGTCATTTAGCCTAGCTGTATCATGATCTAACGCTCCCCCCCCTTTCCACCCAAAAGAAAAATCTAAGGGTAGCTGATCTATTGTGTGTTGTTGACAAAACAACATACATATATAGCTGTGGTTTATTTATAGAAGGGAGTAAATAAAAAAGTAGAAAATAGAAACCAGAGTTTTTAGCTCTTACTGCAGATATAATTCTAATGACACAAAATGCGTAATATTTTTTTACCACAATAAGCGCCCGATATACTACTTTTTAAACAAGACCTGTTCCTCCCCCCCTTCTCTTCATGACTAATAAGAATAACTAAATCGCACAACAACTCTTACATATATATCTTACCATTCTTCTTCACTCTTTTGATTCCAGCTAAACCAACTCCCTCACACACATCATGAGTTCATTAAGAATCCAACAACGCACATTCATCACATTAATTGTCCTTCTACTCATACTATCAACAGTATCGTTCTTGAACGTCAATAGGAACGCCATAGGATATACAAGAAGCACATCGTCCCAGCAGAATGAGCTAAAGTTAGCTACATCTGTTGAGCTACAGGTGCCTTCAACGACAGCCGTCACCGATAAAACCACCTTAGGTGACAACATAGCCACAACCACAGCCACAACTTCGAGTGACAGTAGCAGTTCCCCTACAGCCACGACTTCTTCCATAGTTCAGAATGAATCCACTGGTGAGTCTACCAGTCATAAACAATTCTACAAATACTCATACTACGACCCAACTTCAAACTCATTTAAAGTAATTTACAAACAACAACCACAACACCATCAACAGAAGAAAGAACACAAATTACAACCAACTAACAAGTACACCACAATCAACGAGAATCCATCAGTCCTTATACTTTCAGCTATTGGTAAAGATCAACCTTATGGGAAAGATCGTCTATTCAGCGACTTTATGAAAACAATACACACAATCATTGAAAATCAGCCAGATTTACAATTCAACCTAGGCTTATCATCAAACTACCTCACTGAATTTGAAAATATTCAAAAGTTTATTGACGAAAATGATGCACAATATTTCAAGTATTTCAACACCATCACTATTGTCTCAGCCCCAGATTTAGAGCAAACCGCCTCTGGTGACGACGAAGAATTATCAAGAGACAATCGCCATGACGATAGAAAACAAAGAATGAGACGAAGATTGATTGCCCGATGCAGAAACTACCTTGTATCCAATGCCCTCACCCTGGAAGCATATACTTTGTTCATTGATTCCGATATCGTTGAATTTGAACATGCTTCCAAATTCATTCAATTTTTAATTGGATCAAAAAAGGATATAATTGTGCCTAGAATTAGACGGGGAGATTTATCCGATTATGATCGTAATTCATGGCGTGGAAAGAGAACCAAACCAACTTTGGAGCAATTGCAATTGATGGATGAGAACAAATGGGACCAATTTGATTATGTACCTCGCGATATTGAACTGGAGATGTTTCATTTCTTTAATTTGGACAACAAGGATGAATTAACTATTGATCAACAGAAATTAAGTTATATGGTGGAATTGGATTCTGTTGGTGGTGCTGTCTTGTTTTTCAAGTCTTATATTTTCAAACAAGGTGCTATATTCCCCACTAGTTATATTATTGGAACTACTTGGGACAGGTTGGAAGGGTACGATGGAATTGAAACCGAAGGAATATGTTACTTGGCAAAACCTTTGGGTTATCGTTGTTGGGGTATGCCCAACTTGGTGGCACATCATGTTCAATAGAAAGAGGCGAAACCATAGGGGAGATTAATTGGAGTGAGTTTATACATGTGAGTACAATTAATGACAGGGTACACTAGTTCTACCTCGTAGCTGTGATATATTCACAATGTGTTTGAATTGGTTGCATTGACGTTGTAGTTGGATCCTTCTTTGGGTGGCACATAGTTCAGCACCGCCCTGGTGCAATCATTACTGGTGTCCAAGTACCGATACAAGTCATGAATTGGATGTGTCTGCAAAAAATAATGACTATTTTGACTTTATTGTTTATCTATTTTGCTACTTACCTATCTACAAATGAGATTGATCGTAATAAAACTTTGTCAAAGGCGAAACAGGATGGGGGTATCCACCCAACGTATGATTTTCTCTAAACTCCTCAATTGAACCAATTAACTTCCCACTAGGATACCCTTCAGGGATAGGATTGTCTATGGCCGATTTAATTTCTTGCAATACGTGTTCCTTATCTAGGGTGGCTTTTGACTCACGTTCAACTTCTTTGATGTATTCCTCAATAATGAACTCATTAGAACTCAGCTCCAACTTCTTGACCAAACTATCAATAAATTCATGATTGATATCGTACCCATGACGATACGCGAAATTACTCAAAGCACTTTGAACTAGTTTCGAGTTGGGAACTTCGTTCTTCACTTGTGATTTCAAGTGCAAGACAAACTTGCCAGTTTTTCCATTCTTGTTATTCTCAACTCCAGCAACGTATTCATTGAAAAAGTTTATAAATTCTTGCTTGGTCACAGTTTCCAATAAAGACGCATGCTTTTGTCTTGCATCAAACTCGTAATATCCATCAGTGATTGCACTCCACAAACGATTCGTTTCCTCGCTTAAATGCTTCAATTTTTGTAATTTGGCATCGATCAAGGCTTGTTTGAACTTGTAAAAATTTTCATCAGTCAACTCGTGATTAACATATTTGCCAAACTTGCGAATAAATTCATCAATACGGTACTCCAAGTACTCACTTGATCTTTCAGATTGCACCAAGACTCTAAACCCAATTGAAGTTCTACCCTTTCTCAAACCTGAAAACACGACATACCCCAACTGTTCTTTTGTTCTCAATTGATTGAAACATGGCTCTCGGATGATGGTTGATAACAAGTCAGTGAGCACCCTCAACTTTATATCGTCATTGGTTGGACTTATTTGTAAATAGTACTCAATGCACGAGTTTATATTATTCTTGTCTTTGAGATCCACTTCAAAACGGGTCACTTCACCAGGTTGGAAAACGTAGTTTTGCAAATGAAACTTGTTCTCATCATACTCATCCATTATGGGTTCAATCAGATCTAAATGCTTGGAAACGGAATTTTTAATCTCCGTCGCATTGCTGATATCGAAATTACCATGAACCAAAACTTCGGCAAATACACCAGCAAAAGTGATGGAGTTTTTAATAAACTGCTCCACCTCGGTAAATTGCAAATTTTCCAAGATCTCAATCTTGTCGTCGTAATCATAAACTTTTTCATTGACAATTTGCAAGTGATAGGATCCAATTTGATTATATGGCACTTGGTATCCAACATTTTTGAACTCCTTACACAATTTGAACTTCAATGGCTCAAACCTATCAGCACTAGGGGTGAAGTTGAAAAACTCATCCAAAACTTTGTTCAAAAGAACTGGAAGTTTGTGGTTATAGCCACTCACGTAGATGGCAAAACCATCACGCCAGCAATTGATACCAACTCTCAATCCAACCAAAGAAGCAAAGTAAGTTATTTGATTCAAATGATCGTCCAACATTTCAGCAAAAACGACCGATTTTGTAGCAGATTCAACGTCGACATTGGACGCAGGCAAATGAAATACGATTTCAATTGTTCCTTTTGGTACCTCAAATTGGTCATCTTGTTTGTACCAAAGGTTCATTTTGTTGTCGTGGCTTATCAAGTATGGTGAAACTTGTGGTGATTGCAGCTTCTTCCCCAAGATATCGAAATTGGTTGGAATGAAAGGGTTCGGTGCTGGGAAATGCAAGTGTTGATTAGATGCCGGATTTTTGATTTGATCAAGTAACCCCTGAGGAATCTCCTGCACTTCATACTCAGTACCATACCATTTCTCCTTTTGAGAGAGACCCTCAAAGTCAGGGGAGACCAAGGTAACTCGGAAATTATCGATATTCAAGTAAGATCCGAATTTTGTAATCGCTTCAGGATCATACTTGCGAACAACTGAAGAGCTTAACAAATTATCAGCAGGAATAAATTCGTCAAATTTGTACAAAACACTCGACAATTTGGAAGCTGTGTTTGCAGCATCCGCTTTTTGTTTGAACTTAAAGTTTACTTCTGAAATATTCTTGATTTCTTCCCAGATCCATTTCTGGGGTCCTTGTTCGTTGATGAAATGCAAGTAATCAAATGTAGTCTTCACAATGTCTTGCCAATGATTCAACCCTTCAGGCGTTAACTGAAATTCAACAACGTATGAAGAGCTACCCTGACACACTTTCATATTACCCGATGACAATTCTGTCACCCATCCTTTTGACTTGAGATGATATAAAATGGAGCCTTCGCTTTCATGGCCCAACAAGTGTGAAAAGTAGCTTTGAGGTTTGCAGTCCCACTTTTCTTCCAAATCATCAGGAATCATAAATGTGATATCTAATTGATGCAAATCCTTGACTGGTTTGGCTTTTATGAGCTTGAGCATGTGATCAGTTTTGTAAATCAATTCACCATCATAGTTGGGTCTGGATAAGCATTTATCAGCCACATCAGAAAATTTTTCAATTGCCCATGTAGACAACTCGTCTAAATTTTCTTTACCCAAAATAACCAAAGACATCAAATTGGCCGAGTATCGATCATTGTGGAATTTCATCAAGATATCTCGCACGTTAACCCCTTGCAGTTCGGGGATTGTATGTAACGTCATGTAATTACCCGTAGAGAATCCATTATATGGGTGTTTCGTGTTACTGAGCAGCTTATCCAACTGGTACAACCTCCACAAATCACTTTGAAGATTTTTCTTATTCTCCGAGTCCACAGCATTAATCTCGCGATCTTTGCAGCTTTTGCTAAACAAGGGTGAGATGAAAAATTGAGCAAAACGATCCAAAGCTCCTTCTAAATGATTAGACCCAACTTGGAAGTAATAGTTGGTATGCTCTGCGGCAGTGTATGCGTTTGAATGACCAGAATGTTTTGCCAAATAGTCGGAATATTCATTCTCTTGAGGATATTTCGAAGTCCCCATAAACAACAAATGCTCACAAAAGTGGGCCAACCCGGATATATTGTATTCCTTGTCGGCAAATGATCCAACGTTGACATCCAATGAAGCTGCGGATTTGTCAGCATGTGGGTCACTAATTACCAAAACTCTTAATTCATTCTTGAGCTTAAGGTACCGATACTGTCTGTCATCGAGTAATGGTTTCTCAATATCTGTATTATCTGCTAACAAAGTGAATTGGTCTTTAAGTTCGGGCATGATGGAATGTGACAATGAAAATGGTCTCTTTGAAGTCGTAAATGGAGAGCTGTAACTAGTTATGCTGCGTTTGATTTGTGATACTAAAATGGGACTATTCAAGTAAAGCTTAGTGAAGCACCAGAAGAGCATGAAAATGAGACACACCCTGGTAAGTGAAAAATGAATGCAAACCGTCAACGTTAGCTTTCGTTGGTGGCACAAGATTCTAAAAAGAAAAAAAAATATTCGTGCGGAATAATCAGTGTGGTGGAGGTACGGGGGTAAGAGGAGTACACACCTTGTTGGTTATACAAGATTATTCTTGCCCCACTTGTTTAGCATAATTGACCATGATGCCTGGTACTGTTGCCACAAGACCAGAAAAAAGGCGTCATCGCATTACTGATTCGTCGGGTGTGATTTTTATGTAATGAGAATAGCCTTTAAGATTCCTTCACATCAAACTTGCTTGGCCAGCGTACAACACTCAATAAGACGACGAATGTGCAATAAACGCCTAATCATATTTTAAGGTTGAAACTGTGAAAGTTCAAAACGAGTAGCATTTGAAACTCTTAGCAGTCCCACTCACGTGGCGGTGTCGGTAGGCTAGTGAATTGAGTGTCTTGTCCCTTACCAATCGAAGTCACAGGTTCATCAAGTAGCCCAAGAATCATACTAAGAAAGCGCAAATCAACTACAACAAAGCCACCTTGTAAGCTGTCAATCACCTCATGAGACACTCGGCAAAGACGGAAGTATTTTCAGGAAAGAAAGAAACACGAAACACACTTGTGCATCTGTTTTGAGTTTTATTATCAAACGCAACATGGGGCTGTATTCTACTGTGGTGTATCAAGAGCATGTAAGTTAAATGTGAAAGGTCGGCAAATATGCTAAGCCAATACAATATGACTCACCGTTCTATGAATGTATAAAAAGATGAACCCAACTAAGCAATATCCACTCACCTCCATAAAAGGGCTTTCAGCATTTTTTGATTTGTGACTGTTACTATCGCTATGTATAATACACGATATTCCGAAGCGTTTTCACTTCCAGTCTATCCACCTCTCATTACAACATCCACAGATTCGTAAAGTTTGTCTTTACTGAAATCACGTCATCACAACCTCACTATTAACAAAAGCTTTGCCATTAAAGTTTATCCTCGGTTAAATTCCACAACCACAGCAAAGAACTACAGATTTTGGTAAATAGTAGATCATCCCAATGTGTGTAATTGCTGAACTATGAGGCGCGGGAATGTTGATTGTGTGGATCGTGTGGATTGTGTGGTTTGTGTGGATTGTGTGGATGTCAGAATGTGGTGAATGTGGTGCAACCGCCCCCTAGATACAACGCCAAGAAAACATGTAGCCAGAACTACTTTGTGTTTGTGTAGCTCGTGAGCCTTCTACACGTGTCGTTAGTTGACGTTATACAAAATAGTAAGTATTGTCTTTATCAATATAACAAGCACAAAAATAGGCCCAATCTCGAGGATGATAATCCACAAAAGCCGCGTTGTAGTGAGGGCCGGAGTTAACACAAAAATCCAATTATGCGGGCCGATTACGCTTCACACCCACCACCACCCCCATTTTTTGTTTTCATAGTCGTTTCGCTCTTCTCGGCTAATCAAATTTTTAGTCTTTCTGTAATAGACCCTTTGTTTGCGTAATATCTCGCTTAAGCAAACAAAATTCTTGCTGAATGACATTGGGTTATCTCTCTCCCTAGATTTTACTAGTCTAAACAAGCAGCCACCAACATGGATTCAGTAGTTTGTGATAATTTCATAGTTCCACCCATCAATTGTAAAAGAACACTTGAAGAACATCCTTGTTCAGCAATGACAAAATCAATCCATATCTTGTTCTCTCTGTTGTTCGCGTTTCTCACAATTGGTGACAATAAACAATGGATTCCCGATTTTCTATCGTGACAAGGAATTGGTCATTGTGTGTGAATGCAAACAATACCGCAGAAGAGCAACAATCAAGGCATGTGGCGAAAAAAGTAAGGCGAATTTCATGACAGATTCAAACAATGAGTACTTTATAATAGTTGCCCAATTTTGCTCAAGTGTTGCGTAACGCGTGCTTGTTTACCAACAGATATTGTGGCTTTTTATAGATCAGGTACGCAAGAAACACTAAGACCTCATTGCGAAAGATAATTGTATGTAAAGGTTCCACGGAGATGCCAAGATTATGCATTTCCTAGCAATAACAACACTCGAAATAGTAGGTAAAGTGCTGGTGTATACAAATCTTCGACTTTTGTGTTCTAGAACAGGGATATGTAACAAACTTGATTTTTAGACAGCGCATTATCAGTTAGTTCAATTCGCTTAGGGTTAATGCAGCAACGTGTCACCATTGTGTATGCGTTTATTGTTTCCACAACTGAGAAAGCAAAACAATGATGGCTCTCTAGTTTTGTTCCGTTTGTTGACAAACAAACGAAATTTGTATGTTCATGGTAAACAGTTCTTCCAAATTCTATCGTGAAACACTTTTCGTAAATTTAAATCGAAATGGCGGCTTCGCTTGTAAAATTTAGAAAACAATGGAGAAAACGTGCTCTTTGTAGAGGTTGCAAATCTTTTATCTGCAGTGCTCATACCCTATTGTTCATGAATAACAACACAGGTAGGGTACCTTATTGTTCCTCCCAGCAAACAGTGCAGTTCCTCCACCAAATCTGTAGGCTGTCGCCACACTCTTGCTTTGTCAACAATTTGTGTGGATTTAACAAATTTCGGCACCACGGTTTGTATTAACAAAAACATGTGAAATGTCAACAAAGAAACCACAACAAACAGTCAAATAGTAAGGATGATTGAGTACCACACTATATTCGCCTTTGCTTTTACAGTTTGTCTCACTAAAAGAGATGAACAATATATAAAATGTACTGGAATTCCCTTGGGATTGATATTTTTTTCTGTTTTATATTTTGCAACCATTATTCCAGTACAACCAACTCCCAGAAAAATGAAGTTCACCACTGTTGCTGCAACTTTTGCTGGTTTAACTACCTTTATCCAAGCAGCACCAGCTGTCCCAGTATCAGAAGAAATCCAAACTATTCAACATGATATTAAAAACTTGAATTCAGATTTTAACAATTTGATCCAATCACTCAACCTCAATTTGAATGAAGCCACTCAAGAAGATCTTGCCAAGGGTTACGAAAGTGATGAATTGATTGCTGAGCTTGGTAGAAGTTTGTTGGAAGCTTCCAGAAATCAGAATGGTGATGTTCTTTCCATCTTGCACCAAGTTACTAAAAGAGACGCTGTTGACGATGACATTGTTGGCGCTGTTGATGTTTCAAAAAGAGGTGGGTTCGTCACCATCCACGATCACCAAATTTCCATTGATGCCATTATTAAAGCTATTGAATACGTTATCATTTTTAATCATCCACTTCCAAACTCAGATCACTTTGATCATGTATTGAAGATTTTAGGTATTGATGCTGATCTTGCCGCACAGGTCAATCTTACCTACCATACTGTTACCATTGATTTTGTTGCCATCTTGACCAAGCTTATCGATATTGGGCATGATGTTGTTGACATTGCCGAAAAGGTGATCACTATCACCATTGCTGGTAAAGTCATTGAACTTAAGTTAATTTTGAAAGCCATTGAATATATCTTTGTTCTTGGCCACGCACTTCCAAACGCTGTTTATTTTGATAAAGTCTTGTCCATTTTAGGAATCGATGTTGATGCTGCTCATTCCATTGGCATTTGGGAGACAAGTTCAAGTTTTGATGTCGCCATCACTTTGTTCAAGTATATCGGTCTTGGCTTTGTTCACAATTTCCAAAAGAGAGGTGGGGTTGTCACTATTCAAGAGCACCAAATCTCCATTGATCTTATCCTCAAAGCCATCAACTATGTCATTATCCTCGATCACCCACTTCCAAACCCAGATCACTTTGATCATGTATTGAAAATCTTGGGTATCGATGCTGAACTCGCAGCTCAAGTAAACCTCACTTACCATACTGTTACCATTGATTTTGTTGCCATCTTGACCAAGCTTATCGATATTGGGCATGATGTTGTTGACATTGCCGAAAAGGTTATCACTGTTACTATTGCCGGTGTCGTTCTCAAGATTGAAGTATTGATCAAGGCAATTGAATACATTATTATCCAACACCACTATCTTCCAAACCACGATCATTTCCTCGGTTTATTGGCCATTTTGGGAATTGATATTGAAACTGCTCACTCAATTGGTATTTGGGAAACCAGCTCAACTTTTGAAGTTGTTGCAATTTTCACCAAATACATTGGCTTAGGTGTTTTCAATGATGTTCCTAACACTGCTGAGTAAGTCTTACATTCAAGTTGGCTTTGGTGAGAATCATCACTCCAGCCAATGCTAATACCTACATACTTTCAATTTTCTATTTTCTACCCTTCTATATTTTCGGTTCCTATAATTTTATTTGGTGTATAGTTTACTAAAACTGATACCGCTAATTGCTCAATTTGTTCCTGGCAATCTTCTCTTTTTGAAAGCGTTCTGTTGTGGTGGCTGGGAAAGTGATCCCCATGCATCGCAGCCGTGCCTTAACTTTTCTACTCACATTGATCTTGCCAAACTTTTAGCAACACGTATCAGAACATGACATTTTTACCCCCCCACAAGCACTTTACCCCTAATGACTAGTCAAAATTGCACTTTTGGGTGTAGGGATTGGTTAACGGATATCGTTGGACAGGGTGTTTTTTGAAGTTTATTCCATGATGAGCTAACACACAATTTTGGGGTAGTGAACAAGTCTTTTAAATTTACTAGCTAGTATATACCGCCGCATTGGGGTAGACATTCCAAGAGGTATCATGGGAAGGATCGTAGGTTAAGCCTAATGCTTGCCAAGGTGGTCCAAAAAAAAAGATAGTGTCGCGTTTTGATTGTTGCAAATTCAGTATTGGTGACAATATCTTCCCCAACCCCCATGAAAAAACCAATTGATTCAGCTAAAGAGTTACTTATACACTAGGGTGCCATTCAAAAAGAATGGTCTTTTCTGTTTGTTTTGCAATGTAAAATATTAATTCCCACCACCACCCATTCTTCATTTCAAATCAACTCAAAATGGCCAATCCTTTTCTCATGCAGATATATTGAAGGAAGAATTTCAAACCAAAAAGGGGGGCAAATTATAGCTTTATATAGCTTTCTGTACAGGTTGGTTGTAAAAGTAAAAAAGTACCTGGTTGCAAAAAATCGTATCAAGTAAGAGATAAAAGAGAGAAACTAAATCACGTGCCGAAACCATAGTCACCCAGAGGTTGAGAATGGATGAGAATGGATGAGAATGGATTTATACAGTTCTTTTCATCTATGGAAGAGATCTAACTCTACATACTTATCATTGGGTTCTTTAGAATTCAACAGCTATATTGACACCACGTTTTCTTTGAGAGTACTTTTGTTCAACACCTACTTCAAATTATTGTTATGCAAGAACAATAAACTTTTGATACACTGGTAGATCTTCTATTTGTACCTAAACGAAATCGAGGGTTTCACATTTTCATCGACAATTACAATAATACAGTGATCTATATACAAGTCGGTACCGGAACCCTATTTTTTCAACCAATGACACTAATCAATCTTGGTTTCTTGATAATCTTTTTAACCTTAATCGGTAAATGATACGAAAATCCATCATTTGCTTTGAGTAACTTAATTATACTCTCATCATCTTCATTAATCAACTTGTCCTCCGCCATAATTGTACCTCTTGCTTTGCCATTGATAAAAATATTATACTTTTGGATACTAGACTGGATAGCTTTATCAGTAGGATACCGTTGTTCAAATATCGAGCTTGGCTCCAACCCATTACTCAATTGTATAGCTTCCCAACATTCCTCTGATGTAGCTGGGGTCACTGGAGCCATACAGATCAATAACTTGATATACGAGTCAAGAATTAAATTGTGTTTGCACTTGTTGGACTTGATTGCGTCGGTTATGAGATTTGTCATCTTCATCAAATCAGAAACAACGGTATTCAATGAAAAGTGAATATCGATCGAATCGGAAATGCTCTTGACTAGGTCTTGTACCTGATTGTAGAATTCAAACTCATATCCATTCAATCCAATAGTCGTTTCCCCAACAATTGGATTCTTCAATATCACAAGAGCAATTTGTTGGTCGCCTTTACCCACTTCCAGCTCATTTAAATTGCGGATAGACTCGCTCAACGCAAGAACTCGTCTAAGCCATCTATCAACACCAGAAATCTGGTCCTCATTCCACAACAACGTATCCGAAACTGGCGCCAGGAACAACATTTGTGCCCTTGTAGCATCAGCGCCAAATTTGGCAATACATTCTCCAGGATCGGCTCCATTATACTTGGATTTCGACATTTTCTCATATGTAACTCTTGGTGCTTTTCCCGTTTGCTTTATCACTGGTGCTTGTGGATTGGTTAGGTCAACTTCATCCGGTTTGAGAAACTTGTTGGTATTAGGATCAGCATAAGTTAAACCATGAACCATTCCTTGGGTGACTAATTTGGTCAATGGTTCATCATGACAAGATTTGCCATCCCATACATTGCAATCACTCAAGAACTTGGCAATGAATCTGGCATACAACAAGTGCAAAATCGCATGCTCAACACCACCCACATACAAGTCAACCGGCATGTTTTGACTAGCGGTGGAACTTATGATTTCTCTGTCATTCTTGGAATCCAAATATCGCAAATAGTACCATGAAGAGTCCATAAAGGTATCCATTGTGTCGGTTTCTCTTTTGGCATCCTTTCCACATGAGGGGCACTTGCAATTGACAAACCCATCAATGTTGCCCAAAGGGTTTCCCTTAGTAAAGTGTTCAGTACTCACTTTTGGTAAAAGCACAGGGAGTTGTTCCTCTGGCACAAGGACTGGACCACAATCCGAGCAGTGTATAATTGGGATGGGAGCTCCCCAATATCGTTGTCGGCTAATTAACCAATCCTTTAATCTATATTGTGTGCTTACACTTCCGAAACCAGTTTGAGTCAATTGATGTGCAACGACATTTGCCGCAGCTGTTCCCGATAATCCTTTGTATTGTTGTAGATCCTCTAATCCCCCTTCAAGAGTACTATTATCTTGCATCACACCTTTTTTCAAAATGTATGGAATTGCCATTCTTTTGGAATCTTTTGGTCCAATAACCTGAACAATAGGGTGATCAGGTTCATGTAGTTTCCAAAACTCATAATCTCTGGTATCATGTCCCGGACATCCCATAACAGCACCCGATCCATACTCACTAAGCACGTAAGGAGCCACATAAATTGGAACATCAAACACTGACTTCACTGTGTTGTCTGGATTGAGTGGGATTGACGCTTTAATAGGAAGCTTGTAACCGGCTTTTGAATCGAGTGGTGCATTTCTCGACTCGTCGATAAACTTTATCAATTGCGCATCATTCTTTGCTAGCTCTTTAACCAAAGGATGATCTAAACTAAGAGCCAAAAATTGCACCGCGAATAATGTTTCTGGTCGTGAAGTGAAAACCGACACTCTGCAATTACCATGATTTATCGGGAAATGCACGACGCAACCCTCAGATCTCCCAATCCAATTCCTTTGCATAGTCTTGACATGTTCTGGCCATTGATCAAGATGATCAAGATCTTGCACCAACCTATCAGCATATTGAGTTATCCCAATAAACCATTGTTCTAAATTTCTCTTTTCCACAATTGCCCCACTTCTCCAAGATCTACCCTTGGCATCTACTTGTTCATTAGCTAAAACTGTTTGGTCCACTGGATCCCAATTGATCTCTGCTTTTTTCCGATATGCAAGACCTTTTTCATACAACATGAGAAAGATTTTTTGAGTCCATTTGTAATAATCAGGGGAGCTAGTATTAATCTCTTTGTCCCAATCGAAATCAGCCAGAAAATTTATCATTTGCTGTTTCATTTTCGATATATTGGTATCTGTCCATATAGCTGGATCTATATCTCTTTCAATGGCTGCATTTTCTGCTGGCAATCCAAACGCATCCCACCCCATTGGATGAATCACGTTATAGCCATTCAATTTTTTGTACCTGGCAACAACATCACTTATGGTATATACACGCAAGTGGCCCAAATGTAGAACCCCTGAAGGGTATGGGAACATCACCAATGCATAGAAATCTTTCTTAGACCTAGATGGGGCGACTTTTTCACCTTTGTGCTGTTGTTGTTGGCTCCACCTATCCCTCCATTTTTTGTCCAATTCCACAAAATTATTGTATGTTGCAAGTGTTCGTATCGGGGATATGGGTACTAACTTATAACTCTGTTGGTAAGGTCGTATTCGTTGTAATGACATCAACATCTTGAGTTCTATATCAAAGTCGTCCTCTGCTGAAAAATTGTCAAGCAACACGAAAGAAAAAAAGAAAAACAAAGTTCCAAGAAAATCTCATCTTGAAGGTAGAGTCCATTCACCAATCTATACCCATCTACCCGAAAAAAATCCAAATGAATGGTCAATCGGACAAGCTGTCTCAGTCGAGTGGTGGAAGTCTGGGGTCTCTAGGCAGCAAATTTGGAGGATACTTGTCCAAATTGAAACAAGCAATCATTCGTCTGACAGAATCACCATCATTGGAAAGTGCGTCATCTAATGCATCAGAAACCACTAATGGCGGTAAAGACGGAGGGCAGAGAGAGTATGCCCAATCTAACGAAGTTGACCTAGTCGGACCGTTGCCCATCAATTTCAAAGTGTCAGAAAAGAGAAGACGGCTTTCGATACAAGGGCACCCCACCAATGATTCCATTCCTCGATCATTAACTCGAGGTGTCATCAATCCAAGACGTCCATCATACTTGAACATATATAATGAAATCAAAACTAATGAAGAGGAATCACACAACGACCTTGAAAGAAGGAAGTCCATCATTGATTCGCTAATTGTACCATCACAGGAGAATAGTGTTCTTACTAGTCGTGAAGAATCACCGGCTTTAAACATGCCCCTTCCCAAGAGCACAATTGAGATAGACTTCAGTGAGGGGAGAGAAGGTACAAACCAAGACAAACCGGGGGAAGAGAAGGAGGAAGAATACGAGCAATTGCAGATTGTTCAAATCGATCCTGCTGAAAGAAGTCGTATTGTACGACTAAAACGATCTATGCAAGATATGGAACTTATGAGAAAGAGGATGAAGTATATGAAAAGTCCTAATGAAACAACCACGATATATCATGGTGATTCAACCATGGTGGACACAAGCACTCAAACGTACAATACTGATTACTTGAATTCGGTGCTAAATTTCAAAAAGAGATCTAGCTCATCTACATTGGAGAACAAACGCAATAAAAGGAGGAAAAAGGGATTCTTTTTGAAAGAGTTTGTTTATGATGTTGAGAAACCCGTAAATGTGGTGACAAGTACCACGTACAAGGGATATGCCAGTGAACTTGGGAAGCCCAAATTCAAATCAAATGATGATGAGAATGCAAGTTTGGGGGCAAGACCGAATAGAGATGGTGTTAGTTTGGGACAAAAGTTGTCGTTATCGTTGGACTCTGATTATTTAGCCAAGAAACAGTCATTATCTGACATTATAAAAATCAAAGAGGATTCAATAAAAGTACCCATAAGTGGTAAAAATGACGTCACTACGCCATCAAGTGGATTTCGATTCAATATTGATGATAAAAGGATTAGTGAAGTTATGGGAACACTGAAGGAAGAGAGTGGAGGTGAGACCAAGGGGAACAAGGATTTCATCTGTGGAACTGAGACTCAAAAACTGAGTGATAAAGCATCGGCATCTCTATTTCCTTTCAAACTGGTCACCAATGACAATACAGAGAAACAGAAAGATGGATCACCCAAGGCTAGTGGCATTACTTTTGGTGAGAAGAAAGATGAGAAAGAGACAACAATTGATGGAAAGACAGAGTTCTCGACCACATTCAGCAAAGGTGGTACCGAAACCAATAAAGCCAAGTCGCAAGAGGAGAAGAGCCCGTTTCCATACAAGTTTGGCGGTAGTTCAGCTCCAACAACAAATAGTAGTGGTCTTTTCGGCAAAACTCCAATCATCACTACAACCCAATCAGAAGAGGGCCAAGGTTCCAAAAGTGGTCTTTTTAATATTGGCGCATCGAAATCTGAGCTATTCAGTGGATTTGGGTCAAAGTCTAGCGGTGGTCTTTTCGGAAGACAACAGAGTGATGACAAGAAGAAAGAAAATGGGACAGCAGTTGACGTCAATGGAGCTGCTAGTGGACCTACTACGAACTCTTTGTCATTTAATTTCCAACCTAAAACAACATCAAAGGATAAAAAAGAAGAGAGCACTATGGACGAAGAAGCTGATTTGAAACGTAAGAGGACGAAACCAAGCGACGATGATCATGAAACGCAAGGAACTAACAAGACGATGGCAGATGCAACATCATTGTCCAAATCGTCGACACCAGTTTTTGCATTCAGTGCTATGGCTAGTGAGTCGGGTGAAGCAGAATCGAAAAAGGACTTTGCTGCTGGTGTACCAGCGGATGGCACGACAAAGCCACCAGCTTTTTCATTTGGATTTAAACCTTCTTCAGCAGCAACTGATAATAAAGAGAAATCCGAGTCTCCAGGTTCTGCATTGACATTGGGGAAAAGTGATTTTGAGAAGAAAGAGGAGGAAAAGAAAAACTCTCTGGCTGTGCCTGCTTTCAGTTTCGGTAAACAGACAGAGAGTACCCTTGGTGATGGTGGTAAACCACCGATGTCAGGTTTCACATTTGGTAAGCCAGCAGCTGAATCCAATTCCACTGATGATAAATCCAAGTCTCTGATGTCTGTTTTTACATTTGGCAAGCCAGCTGATAATAATAAACCAACATCGTCGTCCACTTTTGGTTTCGGTTTCGGAAACGCGGATGATGAGGCTAAAAGTGCTCCATCTGCATTTTCAATCAACAAGACTGAGGATCAAGCAAAGTCAGAATCTGCACCACCTGCATCATTCTCGTTTGGCAAAGCTGAAGAGAAGGCAAAGTCTGCTGGTGCTCCAGCATTCTCGTTTGGTCAATCAGCAGAAAAGGAAAAGTCTACTGTTCCAGCATTCTCGTTTGGTCAACCGGCGGAGAAAGCAAAGTCTGCTGCTCCAGCATTTTCATTCGGCAAGACCAGCTCAACTACATCCACTGCTGAAACCCAAGGAAAATCACCATCACCGGCTTTTACACTTGGTAAAACCACTAAAGAAGATAATGATCAATCCAAGACTTTTGCCGCTGCAGGTGCAACCACAACCAGTGCCTCGCCAACACCAACACCAGCATCTACATCTGGATTTGGTTCAACTTTAGGTTTTTCATTTGGTAATACGGGCACTACGGGCACTACGGGCACAATTGCAAGTAGTGCTTCAGATAAACAACAATCGACGACAATGGCGCCAGTGTCGACAAGTGGATTCAAGTTTGCGCCTGGAGTTACACCACCACCTGCTACTACAGCACCAACTGGTAGTACATCGTTGTTTGGTGCTAATGCAAGTGCAAGTGCCAGTGCCAGTGGGTCTAATATTGCTGCACCAAAGCCATTTAATTCATCTGGATTTGGTGGGTTTGGATCGCAAACGCAGCTACAAGTACAACCACCAGGGGCAAGTACAACTTCCACTGCGCCTGCATTTGGTAGTCGACCTAGTACGCCATCGTTCCACTTTGGTGGTAGTGGTGGTGGTAGTGGCTCTGGTGGACGTGGAGGTGAAGTTACAGGACAGGCACATGGAAATGGATTACCACCAACTTCACTGATATTTGGATCAGCTACAAAGTTGAATAAAGTGCCGCTGTTTAATTTTACTGGGTCCAAGAGTGGTACGCCTGATCCAGCAAGTATATTTGGACAACATCAGCCACATGCACAGCAACAACTCGGGAGTCGAGAGAGTACACCATTTGGAAATGGTGCTCCTGGTGGTGTTTCTGTGCCCTCATTTGGATTTGGTCAACCACAGACACAACAACAACAACAAGCACAAGCACAAGCACAAGCACAACCGCAGCAGCAGCCATTCCAATTTGGGGCAAGTCCGGCACCACAACAACCACAAGGGTTTGGATTTGGTGGTGGTGCTCCTGGTGGTGCTCCTGGTGCTGGTGGGTTTGCTGCTAGTACTGGAGCACCACAAATGAGTGCTACTACGCCACAAGCCAATCCTAGACGACCTAGACTCCTTCCGAGATCTCGAAGGAGGTAAGAAGAGGGGAGGGGGGAAAGAAGAAAGAAGACATAGAGGGATATTATTTTTTAGAATAAGATGGTGGGTGTAGTTTTGTAGGTGTCAAAGTTTGCTGTGAAAGCGAAGCGGATGTTTTGTGTGTTTTTTTTGCTTTTCTAGATTATGTAATGGGGATGCAAAATATATATAATACTGTTGAAATGTTGAATAAAATTAAAATAGTGAAAACTAATCCTTCTTTTGGTTTTGTAGGGTATAGTGACCAAGACCCTTTTTTTTTTTTTTTTTTTTTTTTTTTTTTTTTCAAAAAATATATTTGGATGTGGAAACTTGGTTTGTCTCTACACGTGACTAATTGCTAAGTGGGGAAGCGTTCTACATTTTTGTTAATTTTTGTTAATTTTTGTGTGCTACAACGACGGAAATTAGGCGGAATTAAGGTGGTTTTGGGCTTTTTGTTTCACTATTTCTGGCCCCCCCACCCCTCACCCGCATTTCAGTGCCCCACTTTATCTTTTGTTTCTTGGGACAAAAAAGATTTCACATGTGCCACGCAATATTCACATATTCACATATTCACTCTTTAGTCAAGATCCAGATGTATTGAGACGCTTTCACGCTTTCGCTCAAATGCATAAAGATGTTGGTGTTCGATGTCTTGATGAAGAGAAATCTAAACACTAAAGACGTGACGTGACCCTTAAGTTTAAAACGCCTTGATAACAAAATTTCAATAAAATGAAAATGTGTGCCCAGAAGAAGTTTATCTAGTGGCAAGTAAAACAAAAAAACGTTTGTAATTGGGTGAGTAATATATAATGAATGAGGAGATTGTGAAATATATTGATAATAATAATAATAATAATAATAATAAAAGAAAAAAAGAAAGATTACTGGAAATCCTGTGATCTCCAGTTCAACAATTGAGAAGGTGTGGTGAGTGTGGGTAAGTTTACTTTGTTGGTCCTGTAGTAAACACCTTAATGGTCTTTTTCTCTTTTTGTTAAAAATCAAGTAGCACAAGACCTCTCTCTATATGTGGTTTTTTTTTTTTTTGTTTTTTTTTATTAACAATGCTTTCGCTATAGCGTCTTATGCCCCACAAGAAAGAGAGGTACTAATTACTTGTTGGCTTATGTCTATTAACCGAGTATGTACATGTATATATATATGAAAGAAACAAGATGATGGCGATGCCGGTTGATGTTATCAAGAGTTTTATTTGGTCATGTGATGTCTAATAAATAAAACGCGGTTATGAAAGAGAGACAGAGTTGTACGTATTAGGACATTTATAATACATCAAAAAACAAACGAAGTTGTTGCAAGACTTGGGTATCGTACCAAGTGGTGGTTATATTTGCTTAGTTTGTAGTGAACCACAATACACAAATCTTCCTTCCCAAAAGATATGAACCTCTTGCTGTTTCATAAAAGGTAGGTGGTGTGACAACATATATACATTTGCTCGTTTTAAACCTAGGAGTTTGTGTTGTGAGAAGATCTTTGGTGCTGCCTGTGATTGGGTAATATGGTAGCATCATTTAATTACCCGATTAGGAAATATACTGATTTATATGCAGTACTACTTAATACTGTTACTGCATTCATAATTTATCACATTCACCCCCAATACTTCTTCTCCTCCTCTCTCTCTCTCTCACACACACACACACACCCACACACCAACACTAACACTAACTCACACCAACACACTAATACACTAACACACGCACTTTTCACTCAACAATTGTTTTGTTTTCTCCACACTTTGTAACAGCAACTTCTGTATATATATAATAAATAAATCACTATATATCTATATCTATATCTATATATATATATATAACCCACCCTTCTTTTCTCCCGCCTCGACAAGAAGAAGAAGAATAAGAAGAATAAGTAGCAGAAGAAGAAGAAGAAGAAGAAGAAAGACAAACAGATAAACAGACAAACAGACAAACAAATCTTCTTTTTGAAATTTCAACAACCCATTCCTTGCTTTACTCACCAAACCACACTATTCGTCTACATCCTACAACAACCAAACAACACCCTGCAGTAGAATAGAACTACTACAAAAACCTATCTAACGAACTTACCATACACTAACAAAAATAACCCACCCCCCCACCCCGGATTTTTTTGCTAGTTTTTTTTTTGTTGTACAACTCATATACCACTGCTTTTACTGAGTACAGCTACCCCTAACAAGAACAGGGACATATTCAAATTGTTATAATTGTTATAATTGTTATAATTGTTTGCTATTGCTGCTGCCTGCTGACTTTTTGTGCTGGATCTTTTTTTTTTTCAATTTGATTTATCACAAGCCAAAATTACAAACCAACATTTGCAAATCTTCAGATTCTTTTCCACCACCTCCCCCTCCCCTCCCCTAACGGAACGGAACAGACAGAAGAGAAAAAAAAAAAAATTGGACCAGAAATTCTCATATTGTAACCAGCGAAATATCGACAGATCTCCCTCCCCCCTTTTTTTTCTTTTAGAGATCTACAACTACAACTACACTAGATCTACAACATACACAATACACACGGGACAAGAATAGACTACACTTAGACACACTATTCATACATAAACATTAGACTTTTACCAGGAAAACAGATTTGGAAAAATAAAAAAACACCCCCCCCCCCCCCCCCCAATAAAAATAAAGCGACAACTTAAAACTCCACCTGCTAAAATGCCATTTGATAACAACGTCAAGTACAGATTACAAAGAATTCAAACTCTTAACGGAGAGCAAGAAGTTATTCTTAAACAAGTATGGGCTTATTTGTTGAAAGGGTTTGGTTACCCCGTCGACATTAATAGTCAAGATTTACCATACAAGCAATGTTATGTTGCATCTACATCAACCGCCAATTTCGACGAATCTCAAGCCATTGCTACTGTTGGGTTAGCCAAAACCAACACCAGAGGATCAATCAATTCTAGTAAATCATCAGCTTCAAAGAAGAAGTTGGGATTATTTGGCTCCAAGAAATCTTCAAATGCTAGTGTTTCCAATGCTGGTGGTGCTGGCGCTTCAAAGGATTCACCCCCTGCCAACTCAAAGAGAATGCATCAAATTCAAACTCAGTCTTCTCAAGAGAGATATCATCCAGTTGATATCCCCAGTGAGACGTATTACGCAATCTATGCTCATCATTATAAGGCTGCTTTTGAATATGCTGATGATTTTGATGGTAGTTCAGCTCAACCTCAACAACAACAACAACAACAATTGAATGGATTTGCTGCCAACGGAGGTAACGGTGGATACAATGATGACTATGGTTACGACAATGGTGATGATGTTGAATCAGTCAATTCCATGGAAACTTTTGTTACTGCTGAAACCACCTTGACTGATTATGATGATTTGCCAGCCCATATTTTCAACAAACAAGCCAATGGTGGTGGAAACTATGGTGGCAGAATTGGTCATCCTAACCAACACAATAAACATCATCGTGGACATCACGGTGGACACAGCAAACACAACAAACACCGTCAAGGCTCACACAGCCGTGGCCACCCCCAACAACAACAACAGCAGCAGCAATTTGGTGGTGCCGGTGGTGGTTTTGATGGCGGTAACCAAGTTGATCTTTTTCAAGCCACTGTCAACAATCCAGTTAGTGTCCATCCCGAAACTTCCTTTTGTCAAGTTATGGCCCAATACAACCCCAAGGAATTGCATCAAGCACTCACCAAAGTGTTGCGTAATGATTTGGCTGACAATTTGATTTTGAAATTTATTAGAGCTAGAAAATGGGATACTGATAAAGCAATTGGTATGATGTTAAAGTCATTAAACTGGAGATTCCATGAATTCCCAAGTGATGACTGGTTAATGGAATCGGATGGACCATCGTACTTGAATGGTACCAACAAGGGTTTTATCAAAAACTTTACCACTGAAAAATCTTGGATTAAAGGTAGAGATAAAAACAACAACCCGATTTTCATGTTTCAAGCTAAAAAACATTTAACTTCTGATTCTCCATTACCTCAGAATCAAAGATATGCCGTTGTTACAATTGAATGGGTAAGATTGTTTTTAAAAGAAGTTAGTGAATCAGTTGATACATGCACCATTGTGTTTGACCTTACTGGATTTTCTTTGAAGAATGCCGATTACGCCACCATCAAGTTTCTTGCTGATGTGTTTGAAGCTCACTATCCAGAAACTTTGGGATTTATTTTGATCCATAATGCCCCCTGGATCTTTTCAACCGTTTGGAACATCATCAAGAACTGGTTGGACCCTGTTGTTGCATCCAAGATCCATTTTACTAAAGATGCCAAGGAATTGAGTAAATTTATCGATCCTAGTTTGATCCCTGACTATTTGGGTGGTGAAGATACCACAAGAGGTTATTACCCCATCCCTGAACCCAAGGACGAGTTCCCACCCAAGAGAAAAGATGCCGAGTATGCAAAGTTGAAGAGAGAGAGAGATTTGTTGCTTGTGAGGTTTTTGGAAACTACTAGGAAATGGATCGAGTCGACAAATCCACAGGTGAGTGATAAGTATTTGAAGGATAAGTTGGATTTGAATATTGCATTGTCGAGTAATTATATTCAATTGGATCCATATATTAGAAACCCAGGTATCTATGATAGAGATCATAGTTTACAAGTTGGTCATTAGAGAGAGAGATGAGAGAGAGAGAGAGAGAGAGAGAGAGATGTTGTATAGTTGTTTATTTTTGTTGTTGTGTTGTTGGTATAATTTTCATTTAGAGATTAACTTGATTAAAATTCATTATATTTACTTTACAGTAACAAAGGAGATTATAGTTTGAAGGAGCTGTACAAGCAAGCCTAGCAGACAATAGTTTTCAATCTTGTAGCTTTTTATATATTGTAACTTATCTATGGACTAAACCGTACGATAAATAACTCTGACCCCCATCAACAAATATACAGCCCATACTACAAGTTTTGGTTCTCTTATCTCATCGTTAATTCAATTTCTGAATCTTGAGCAATAGCGCATCGATTTCATCATTGACTTTCTGATACTCAGCTTCGTATGCAGCCACATCCACCTGTGACACATCTTTGATCTTTTTCCAAGAACTTGATGTACTGGGGTAGGCGTTATTGACAATAGTGCTGAGTATGGAGAGATGCCTGCTTAGAGTATCTTTGCGGGCCAAGAGTCGCATCATTGTCACTTCAGAATCCTCAACCTTGTTGTTGTTGTTGTCGTTGTCGTTGTCGTCCCCTTCTTCTTTGTCTTTATCATCCTTGTTGTCACGTGTGGCTTCGAGGGGCGGTAGCGGCAAGGTATTATGCTGTTGGATTTGCAATTTTGTGCATCGCATCAATTTGATCAATGACAAGTATTCTTCATATAGATCATCAACTTTGAATGGAGGTGTGTCGCCCTGTTGGACTTTACAATTATCCTGGATTATTGATTTGATGTGGGACGATTTAAATTTTAGGACCGCTACTGTTTTCAAAAGTTCTCCAAGACATGGCGAAGTTGCAATTGTTGCCGATGTTGTGGATGACATAGTTTTGGAGGGTGGAAGGGTGACTTTACTTTTTTTTTTTTTTTTTTAGAAATGGCTTGTTGTCAGATTTAGGTGTTCTTGGTTCCTCTTTTTATGTTTATGTTTCCAATGGATGCCATTGTGAGGAGAAAGGTGGGAGGTGGGTTTTGCTGATGAGTCACATATGCATCATATGTCTGTTTTAGTAAACATAAACTTGTAAACAACTGACGCGCCTGTTTCTTTTATTGACACTTTGTTTGTTTGACTCAAGGCGGTTATAATGTGTCATTGTTTATGTTTATGTTTTAGCCGCTTTTAATACTCTTTAACTCAGCTTCCCCCCTCCTTGTGTGGTTGATGATGAGTCACTTTTCAATCTGTTTCGTTGGTTACATGTAACCACAATGGCATCAATTGCAATTTTGGAAAGGCTATATAAACCTCACCCCAAGTCCCACCTATCTACACTTCACATATTCCCTTCTTCTTCTTTTCACTCCTCCTTAGATGAAGCTTGCAAGTGCACTCAAACTACGATCAAATTTAAAAAAACAACTATCAGACCTACGCTCCATCATTAGTGATGGGTTAGTGGTTCAAGAAGGTATGACTAAACCCAATCCCAATGAGAATTACACCAAGTACGTGGCCAAATTGGATGAACTTGAACAACTCATAATCAACATCAATGACACAAATATCCACACCACAGTTTGTTTCAAAGATCAAAATGTGTCCATCTCAGAGCTAATTCTACTCAAGGATGAGGTTATACTGGTTATTGATATTCTAAATTCGATCCTACAGCGTAGTGAAGAGCAAAGGATTGATGATGTTGCTTGTATACGAATGGTTTCAGTTGTTGATCGAGATTTATATCAGACAAAACTCGATGCTGCGAAAGATGAGAAACTTGCAATTGAGATGGTTTTGGAGGAAGCCAATTGCCAAGTTGATCTACGGGAACATTAGGCTATAGCCGTCTGATACTGGTTTCAGCTTTTTACTTTGGTTTGGAAATGCAGGTAACAGCAAAATATAACACACACATACTTTTCCTACACCACCACCACCACCACCACCACCGACTGCCATTAACCAACTGCGAATTCCTATGATATACCGAATGCCGAAAGAAAATTCTTTTATACTTCCACTTGGCGCCACAATCACAATAATCACTAGCACCATAACCAACTCTACTACCACTCATTACTCGTCATTCACGGGCCATCACCACTTACTCACTTCCCTATTTGTTTCATGACAAACTAACTAACTTTTGTTAAACATTTATTTGGTAAGATTCATCTAGTAAAAACAGCATCACGTAACTTTCATAATGTATTTATCGGCAGTTTTGATCTACCCCCCCCCCCCTTGTCTGAACCTATAGGTGCAAATGAAAAGTGTGTGAGTGAGTGTGAGTTTTGTGTGGTAGTGCAGATGTGTGCGATTTTTGTGAAAGCGGGCGCTCTTGTATGTTGGAAGTATGGCGTTCTGGTTAGATGCATGGGCGGTACGTATGTGTGAATGTTTTTGGGAGTTGGGTGGCAGGAAGGAGAATGATGTTGTATTTATTTTGTTGTGAGGGTTATATTATATATTTTGGGTCAGGGGCAAACTAACTCAAACCAAAAAGTAGGCGTAGCTAGTATTTACAGATTTTGTATAGAAGGAGAGTCTAATGCGATCATGTAAAGAAACGTCGTTGTGTGTTTTGTAGTTTGGCAGAGTATCGTCGTTGATGGTTGAATTGCAAAAAGAAAAAAGTTGCAAGAAAAACGCAAGTGTCGTGATATTGTTTATGCGACATTGAATTTTAAATTTACGACACTAAATCTTCATGTGCGGCTCATCATTATTCGAAGCAGAAAGTACACGACCAATTGAATGCCAACAATCAATCAATCCACAATAGCTGTTTAGACTCATCTCCCCCCCCCCCCCCCCCACTCCCTTGCACATTTGATCACAAGAAACACACCACTGCTCACCACAGCACATCACACGTTACATGTCACGCAGAACACGGAGAAGGTCAACTAGTATTGACTCAAAACCAGTCAAACCGGGACGAGGAATGACAAATGACGAGGACGATGAAAGGATGACTCGCGTTAGTCCAGGTGGTGGAGGAGGAGAAGAAGAAGAAGAAGGAGGAGCGGTGGAAGAGGAGGAGGAAGAAGGAGATGAAGCAGATGAGGAAGACGAAGATGGAGAAATTACTCGATGTATTTGTAAACAAGATGAACTTCATTCCGATACAATCAATGCTGAATTTGCCCAATTTTTAAAAAGAAATTATAAAATCACCATTGATCAAGGATTATTCATCAGCTGTGAAAAATGTGGTGTTTGGCAACATGGGTATTGTGTTGGCTTATTCACCAATGATGATGTACCCGATTTGTACTGGTGTGAATTGTGCAAACCGGAAAATCACCTTTTCGTTAAAGTTGATGGTTATCCGAAACGAACCTTGTACAAGCCAGTCAATGATAGGCGCAAAAAAATTGAACAGTTTGGTATTGGTGATGGAGTCAAGGTGGAGTCACTGGATAACAAGAGAAGAAGGGTTGATCGAGGAGAACGAGTATCTCCTCCTCCAACAACAACATCATCATCAACAACAACAGCAGCAGCAGCAGTCACCCAGATAAAAGATCGACGGAAAGATAGACGGACTCATCACCATCATCTGGATGAAGATGAGTATGATAAACAGTTGCGAAAAGCTTTGAGGGAAAGTGCCAAAGAATCTGGTTTGCCGGTGGATGAGTCAGATGCTACTGGTACGGCAACTAGCGTCGGTGCTGCTGGAGCGGGAGGTGGCAGCCGGAATGCCAGTGGCAGTGCCACTGGTACCGGTATTGGAACCGGCACTGGCACTGGCCACTATTCACCTCGGAAAAGAACAAGTCGAGGTGTATCTGGTGCAAATTCGGAAGTTGACAATGATTCTTCGATTAAGCGAGAACTTGAAGATGAAGATTCGGAAACCGGGGGATCCAATGGTGGTGGAAACAAATCTGCAACAAGCACAAGAGGCGGTGGTGGTGTTGATTCAAGAAGGTCGCGAAACAAGACTAGCAAGAAAAAGCGTGATTCTCCTGCTAATACTTCACTAACAGGCGGTGCTAACACCGGTACCACTGCCACTTCTGGTAACTCTTCATCAGCGGCATCTTCAGCGGCAGCTGCCGCCGCAGCAGCAGCTCAAGCAAGTAAAGATGAGTTGATCCAAGCACCGTACAAGCCCCGCTATGTTAGTGCACAATCATCCATCTATGACTTGAGGAAACGTACCAGTGCCATTATTGAATGGATAGCAAGAACACAATACGATTTACAACAAGAGCGAAATTACAAGTTTGAATTATTTTCATTCGCACCTGATTCTGAAGCTACACAAGAAGAGAAACGTGCTTTGGAACTGAGTTATAATGACAAGTTAGTCATGATTGATGATTTACAACGCAAGATTAATGAATGGGAGATTCAATTTGGTAAGTATGCTCCGTAGCCAATAAAACTAATGTAACGTAAGCTTCATAGCTAATGAACTGGTTCAACGTAAGCTAGCTCTTTTTAGTTGAATTTACAAAATCTCTCGTAATTGTGCTTGTCTGTCTTGACTTGACATTCCAAAATTGTCACCATCGAGTGCTTCATCATTCTTGTGCAGTTTTGATATCATTTGATACATTTTTGTCAACCATTGACTGCTGTTAAGCATCTCATCACTACCAATAATGATATTATACTTCTTATTCCCCCTTTCGTTGAATTCGTGAACCAATCGCAACTCTTCATAAGTTACTCCGCCTTGGAAATATATAATCAAATCTTGAACTGTATCGGTGGACGTGTCGCTACCGTATTGTTGTTTGACAACCTCTGGGTACAACGTAGATAAGTTGGAGTGCAAGTTCAATCCTTGCAGTGGTGCAGTCTCAGGTTTGATCAAACTCGAGAGGATTTGATTCAATCGTGGTGTATACAGTAGATAAACATTCTCACTACCTGAGTGATTGGAATTGTTTCGATTAAACAAATTGTTGATGTTCACCTTTTTATTGGTGAATAGATTTGATAATCCTTGTCGATTATGATGTTGGTCGTGAGAATCTTGATTTGATCCAAACGACACATCATGTGATTTAAACAAGGTGGTGAATTTTTTCATCAATTCCAATTGGGTTGGAGTAGGTAAAGGTGATGTAAAAATTTCATTTTCCAATTTACTAATAAACAATGATAAATCAGTTGGATTGTGAAACTTGTAACTATAGAGCAACACCAATTTGATTTTATTCACGGTGGATATTGCTTTGTTCTCCAACACTTGAGTCAATTTGTTCTTGATGTCCAGTTGATTATCTAAATCACAAATGATGGTTTGTTGCAACTCACCAATATCCCACAATTGCTGTTTCGAAATTTGTTCGTCAATACCACTAATCAAATTCAAATGGGTCAAGATATTGACAGAAATCTTTTTATATTCGGGGAACTTGGTCAAGGTCTTTTTCAATTCTGCCAAATTCTGCAGTTTTAAATTATCAATTGACGATTGCTTTGTCTCAGTCTTGTACTGTTCAACGTATTTTTGAAATTTGTTGGTTAAATCTCCATAGTTTAAATACATCGACTCATTGTAAAATGAATCATCTTGTTGAGAAAGTATCACTTGATTATCAGGTAACGTAACCACATTCTTATCAATAGCTAAAAATTCATGAATCATCGATTGATATGTCCATGGAGTTAAAAGTGGCGTTATTGGGTCATTTTTACGATCAAGTAATAACAACACTGGTGGTGTATCTGAACGTTGATTCAAATCATCAAACAAGTTGTTATTTGAATTAGAGTTGATAATGTATAACAACTCTGAACTGAGTTTCTTCAAATCGATTGAATTTGATTCAAATTTGATAACGGGACTCTTTTTCAAAGCCAAGAGCAAACTAGTTACGCTCTTGGCTTGCTCCAATACCGGATTAACACTATGTGCCATTGACAATGAGTTATTCAAATATAATTCATCATTCAAAATGTAATAGTCTTGGAAAATCTCCATTACTCGATCAACAGCTTCATATTCATCAGCCACTGCCAACTGCTCAATATCGTTTTTACCAGCAACGTTATTGAAAAACACTTGATAGTTGCGGAAATGAGGCAGTTTTAATTCCTCCAATAAGTGCTTAATTGATGTTGTGTTTGGGTTGATATAAACAATACAGTCCAAATGTTTCATTGTGGAGAGCTGCTTGTGATTTTCAATTAATTCAATCAAGATGACATCATTAGATAAAAGTTGGGATTGAGTATATGACAACGATATTATTGATGTGGTTATGTTGTCGAGTAGTAATACTTTGGGGATCTTTTTGTTGGCGTTTGTTGAGGAGGTCAACGATGACGAGTTTACGTCAGGTGCATTCGATTTGAATAATTTGTCAAAGTATGTTTGTTTCACTTTGAATAGGCTAAGCGACATGATGGGTATCCTGGCTATGATTGTTCGCGTTTGGCTGTTGAGAATTGATGGGGGGGGGGGGGGGAGGGGGCGGGAGGTGCTATTCTATGTCGTGTTTGGTTGAATTTTGGGGACGTTTTTCTTAAACTTGGCGTCGAAAGTAGTGCGGCTTGAGCAATGGTGGTGACGTCCACCATCAATGAACTGCACCTACGCTGTCAAACCACGAAGAATAAAAAGAGCACCTCTATTGCTTTGAGCAATTTATAGAGCTTTTAATGTCAGGATGTCGATGATTACAACTCGACTTGTCCCTTGTGATGGATCAATGCGTATCAACAGTACCCCCCCCCCATGAATCCAAGTATTGGTGTAACTCATATACAACTATCCTCGAAGAGTTTGCAAGCCTATAGCTTGTACCCTAAGGTCGATTCTTGATGCCGAGCTACTTTAGATTGTTGTGATTCAATAGGCTGGAAGCTGTTTATGCGCAAAAGTAAACTACATTTCGAGCTTGAAAGGAACGTCCCACCTTATATTCCAATCGTTCTCTATCTAAACCTTGACTCTTTGACCAAGATTCCATGGCTAACGAAATAGGTAAAGCTTCTTGATGATGAAACCTTTTAAAATTTAGCATTTCGGTTTCTCATTGGAAGGGGAGCGGTTACTGTTCACTTTGCGGCCAGATCGAGAAGATTCGGCAACAAAAAAAAGGAAGAAAAAAAAACATCCCAAAAGCGATGCTCATCCCTCTCAAATCGATACCAGAGACCTGTCATTAGAAACCAAATACAATTTAACATGCCTAAATCCAAACGTTCAAAGTTGGTTACATTATCCCAAACTGATAAAAAGGGAAAAGAATCAAAGTTGAAACTATTTGACGAGATTAGATCTGCACTCGATAATTATTCTCATGTTTGGATATTACAAATGAAAGACATTAGAACTCCAGTTCTACAAGACATAAGATCGGATTGGACTGATTCCAAGTTGATTTTGGGTAAACGAAAGGTAATCCAAAAGGCCTTTGGCGAAACTCCTGAAGAAGAGTACTTGTCTGAGTTGGCCAAATTAGCCAAAATCTTATCTACTACTGAAGATTTAATTCCTGGCATTTTATTCACAAATGAGGATAACGCAACCGTACAAAGCTATTTCGACGCATACAAAAGACAAGATTATACTAGAGTCAAAAGTAAGTCGCCCATTACTTTTGAAATTCCAGCAGGAATCGTTTATTCAAGAGGTGGACAAATACCAGAGGAAGAAGATGTGCCCATGTCACACTCATTGGAAGAGACATTGAGAAATAAGTACAAGATGCCTACAAAGATCAAGAGTGGGAAAATTGTTTTGGAAAAGCCGTATTTGGTGTGTAATGAAGGAGATATATTGGATGTAAGACAAGCTTTAATTTTGAAACAATTTGGTGTTGCCGCTAGTGAGTTTAAGGTTCCCTTGGTTGGCCACTATGATAAAGAAGCGTCCAGTATTGAAAAGTTTGACATTTGAGAAATTCTAAATCTTAAGGGTTCAAGTTTTGGACTGGTCCGGGTATCGAGTTCATGATAGATGGTTTCAGGAAGGTGTGTACATTCAAAAAGATTATACCGACCCAATTGATGTAGAATTACTGTCTTCTACTTCTGTGCTTACCTATTTTCTCTGCAGCACTGGCGGTCACAACCTCAAATTGGCATCTTGAGCGGTAGCACCCATGACACCCTCCGAACCACTTTGACCCATCAGAAGACAATTATAACAAAATGCAACGCGAGGCTCGAGGGAAATGCACAACTGTAAGAAAACAGGAAATGAAGCTTTCGTTGTATTTAATGCAACTTGTAAGGTCTTTCTATATTCATTGTCCTCTCATTGACCTGCTTTAAAATTGATGGTTTGCTTAGCCTAAACCTCATGAAGCATTGCAGGAAGTGGTTCTCTAAATCAATCAACATCAAACATTGGCTCTAGCTTCTTTTCATTCCAAGATCTATTATGTTTTGGAACCCTAATTATATCAAAACATCTATGCATACGAAGAGTGGTCACTGAAGAAAGAAGAGGACGAGGATAAAGATGAAGTCAACGACGATGAGGATGATGATGATGACGAAGAAGAAGTGGAGGAGGATGAAAAGGAGGAATTCATTCGTTTCAAGTTTCATAAAGATCTTAGTACCATAAAAACAACCAATTGTATCATAGTTTCGAGAAACATTTTAGACAGGTGCCTAGACCAGATGAGTAAAGATAAAGAAATCTTTTACATCATCCTATATCAATATAATGCTTGTCTTCTGAAACGCATTGTAAATCATTTCAAAGCAATTCGGGTTTTTGAAGTAATTCTGTTGATCAGGTTTTACAGGTCAAAGTACAGCTATCAAGAAGGAATTCGTGGGTTTATGCTTGATGAATTGAAAATAATTAATCCTTCCTGCAATACTGAGTTTGTTCCATCACCTTTCAACTATCAAAGGCCATTAAAACAACGCTTAGTCTCAGATACGATTCTGCTCGCTTATTTTCAAATCTTTCTTAATCAGTTCTCATTTCTGAGAAGCTTGACGTTATTCGACTTTTCAACTTTCGGTTATTGGCGCACAGGAGATCCCGGATTGCATAAATTACATAAAGTACATAAATTGCTTCAATTGCTTAAATTGCTTAAATTGCTTAAATTGCATGTTCACCATGTGTGTGGGTCAACTATCAGATGTAGAATAGCAAAGCTTTTGACATCTTTGCTTCGGGAGTTGTCCCTTGTGAAAAATTTAGTTCTTGAAGAGGTATTTTTCAATCACCCATTGTACATTGAGTTTCCTCAGCTCAATCAACTCTCTAGGGCAAGAAGGGTACGGTTGTGGACAACGCGACGAGATCCAAGAACTCGAAAAGTATAAACACAAAAGTCTATATATGCTAATTGCTAAAGAAGAAGAAGAATGGGAAGAAAAAGAAAAATGAGTAATCCAATAAGAAAAAAAAGGAAAGATCTCTTGATATGCCAATTGATTTTGTATACTCGTCTAGTTTGTTGCTGGAGCTGGATACAATGGTTTATAATTATGTTTTAGTTTTTTTTTGAATTGGTGAATGTCTATTCTAGACTACCTGTAAAGTATTAACATTTGTTGTCAATTTGAAGCCTTGTGTTCGAAGTTTGATATTCCTTTTCACAAAAATTGACCTTGGACGCCAAGGTAAGTTTGTTCCTCGACAAGTGCTGGTTGTAATGATGAAATTTTGTGATAACATTGACCAAGGAGTGTAATTGATGGCAAGGCAAAAGCCGACTCGAATTCAATTCCGCTTATTGCTTTTGGCCTGCTCAAAACGACAGTGTTAGAAGCACCAACACCACTTTCGTCTCACCATCATTTTTCAAGTGATCTCTATCGCTCAATTTAATTACCAATGTGAACAACAAAGTGACCCGTCGCCATGGTCATTACTAATTGCCCTCATCATCACTATTCAGCTTGCCAGTACCCCAGAAACATCCTCTTCATCATCATAATCGTAATCGTGCTCCACCTCCGATTTCCTAACTTGTACGAAATGTATAAGCGCAGCTTCTTTTCCCAAGTTCTTTAATCCATACTCGTTCCCCAGGGGTATACAAACATTGCAACCTTTATTAGCGACAAATGTCTCTTCATTAAATGTAATCTCAACAATGCCCTTCACTATGAGCAAGTAATAAGTACTGAATGCAATCTTTAATGGTGGTTTGACTCCACTTAATTCAATCATGCCAACAGCACAATTTTCGAGTGCATCATTGAACAAGGTTGCAATCCTCAAATTGGGATCTTCGGATGTGGTGCCATCGTCACTAACAATGGTTCTTGCTTGGAAATCGCCGTATTGAGAGCTAAATGCAATCGATCGTTCAACAAATTGTCCATTTTCTGGTACATCCACTTTCAAAACTTTATCCTTGAGCCATGACGCTCCAGGTATATCTGCACTTAGCCTATTATGATCCTCCTGTTCATGTTCGTCAGAGCTTATTGGTGATATCGGTGCATCCATTGGCTTTCGTTTACGGCTTCTTCGGTTTTGGCGTGTTGTCAATATTTGGATAGTGTCAGGTACATGAACAACTTCAGCAATCGATCTCAATGGTAACTTGTGAACATCTCTAACAATAGTCATATCAGGCTCGTCGTCCTCATCGTCCTCATCATCCTCTTCATCGGGTCTTTTCTGATGTGGTTTGGTAAATATGATTCTTTCATTACGCCAAAATGCCAATGGTTTGACTCTAATACGTTTTGATCTCCGTAAACCTTCAGGAGGCGGAGATGGTAAAGTTGGCACTTCAGTGATGTAAGTGGGTGATACGTTTCTGGTGTTTCGTGATTTACGTGATCTGGTAGTCCGCTTCTTGATTTGACTTTGGCCCGGCTCAGTTGAGGAAGAAGATGACAGGACAAAGAGCTCGGTGGTGGTCGAAGCAGCAACATCGCTAACTTCTTCTTCTTCATCCTCATCTGTGTCCTTTGTATCTGCTAGAAATTCAGACACAGATGGTTGTGTGCTGTCCTCCAGTTCCAGAAAGCTACTTCGCCTTTTATTCCTTTGCCGGGTGCGTCTTGAAGACCGTGTATCTCGAATTGAATGCAAAGAATCAGATTCAAATGTTAGTGGTGGTGAAATCAGACGCGAGTTGCGCTGATTTTGCTTTCCCAAAATAGGATCAATGACCTGACTCTCCTCCTGAAAAAGCTCGCCCTCATCTTGATAAAAATCGTTATTATCTTGTTGCGCATAGTCATAATCATCATCTTCTTCGATAATACTGGTGCCCCGTGATCCCCCAATGGAGGTAGCTTGTCGTTGCTCAGGTAACGGTGAACGCAACGGAGACTGTTTGTTTGCACCAGTTGCCTGATTCGGGCCAGATGTACTTTTATCTCTAACTTCATCACCATTGTCAAAATCAATCTTTCTAGCCACATAGTTGAAGGGAGATTGATCTTCTTTATCCAGTTCATAATCATTACCAATATCTTCTAATTCAAATTCTGCATCATATGCTGGTACAGCTTCGAGTTCCTGATGAAGATCACTATGTAAATGTACACCATCACTACCTCCACGGTTAACACCAACTCCTCCCATTACACCACTGCTTCTCTTGGTTGTTACATTGTACGAAGTAGGTGACTTGTAAACCTCTCCTTGTCGTAGTACTCTATCCTCTTGCTCTCTAAGCATTATCTGCGATTGGGTATCATCAGCAAAGAACTCATCCATATCATCCATGCCATATTCATCGCGATGGAGATTCTTCTTTATAGTTAGTCCCAATTTCCTAGACTTTCTACCTAATTGTAACAACTCCATTTTGATCAGGTGAGAGGCTGTGGTCTCTGTTATGTGGTTAAAGACTGTTGGTAGATATCTCTCTGTGTGTTTATGTTTTTGTTTATGTTTATGTTTATGTTTTGATTTTCTTTAGTTTGTTTTGTTTACACTTTGACTTTTTGCGTTTTTTTCTTTTATTTGCGCTTCTTTTTCATCACCAATCATCATCTTACGATTGCAATCAATGTATTAGAACGAGCTTGGCAGCTAGTCGTAGTTACATCAGCTTAAATGATATTTACAAGTTACAGCTAACCCAAACGAATGTATATTTTTCATTTTAATGACCAAAATTGTTACGAATGATACCTATTCTACTCTACGCTTAGGACATCTAACCTCGTCCGAACCCACATGTTACACCGTCAGCTAGTCCACTTTCTTCAAAACAAGAGCAGTTCTGCTTGGAATGTAAACCATCAATGAGTTAGATCGATTATTCCAGGGGTCATTGTTTGTAAAAAACTCTTGCTTCTTGCCAGGGACTGGATCTTTGATTCTATCATGACCACCAAATTTGGCATCATCCGAATTCAAAATGATCTCATACTTGCCAGGTGTTTCAACTCCAACTTTGTAATCGGTAAATGACTGTGTTGGATTGAAATTGAATATAAACAACAATCCATTTCTTTCAAACACCAATACTTTATCTTGCTCATGTTTCAAAGAGACATAAGCTTGTGGTGAATCCAATACATCCAAATGTTGCATAGCTGAATCGAAATCAAAAAGATATCTGTATCTTAACAAATCATCATCAATTAAATTGAATTGTCTTCTGGCATAATGATATGATTCCCCATTCCCAGCACGAGGAAAATCTAACCATTCAGGATGGCCGAATTCGTTACCTTCAAACGTCAAGTACCCCTCACCACCAAGTGCAAAAGTTACCAATCTGATCATCTTATGCAACGCTATTCCACGATCAATCACTGGTGTCAATTCACTAAGTTTGGACATATTGGTGTACATCTCTTTATCCATTAACCAAAAAGCCAAAGTCTTGTCACCAACCAATGCTTGATCATGTGATTCGCAATAGCTGATGCATTTTTCACCATGACGACGATTGGTCAACGTATGAACAATGTTGCCAAGATCCCAATCTTCATCCTTTTGATGCTTCAAAATCTTGATCCACATATCTGGTATAGCCATTGACAATCTATAATCAAAGCCAATTCCACCTTCAGCAATGGGACGACACAATGTAGGCATACCAGAAACATCTTCAGCAATAGATGTGATTTCAATATGTTGCTCTTTGCTAATATCCTTCATCAACTGATGAGCCAACATCAAATAAGCAATAGCTTCATTATCAGCCCATTCTTCATTAAAGTATTCATTGTAGTCTCCACTAAAGCCAAAGCTTAATCCATGATGTTTATACAACATACTAGTAACCCCATCAAATCTGAACCCATCAAATTGATACACATCAAGATAAAACTTCAAATTGGACAACAAAAATCTCAACGTTTCATAGCTCGAGTAATTGAATAAACGCGAATCCCATAAATCATGATTTCCTCTACCACCGCCATGGAACAAGTAATGATCAGTTCCATTAAACATATTCAACCCATCAGCAACGTTTTTTGAACTATGCGAGTGGACAACATCCAACAATACTCTAATTCCATAGCCATGTGCAGTATCAATCAACTCTTTCAACTCATCTGGAGTTCCATACCTTGAACTAGCAGCAAAGAAACTTGTAATTTGGTAACCAAAAGACGCATAATATGCGTGTTCCATAATGGCCATCAATTGAATTGTATTGTATCCCAATTCATGAATTTTGGGCAAGATATTCTTGGTAAAGTTCTTGTAAGTACCAATCTTGGGCTCTGGTGTCGAAATACCAACGTGGGCTTCATAAACTTTGATTCCCTGTGACAACACCGGTCTTTTGTTTTTGAAATGATACACTTCTGACGCTGGAGGATTCCAAAACCTTCCTTCATACAAGTTGTCATCCTTGTTGAAAGTGGCTCTTTGACACCAAGGGTCTAATCGATAAATCCATTCGCCGCTAGGCAACTTCATAGCAATCTTGTACCTTGAATCGTGAGGGATTACACCTTGACCTCGAATCTCCAATTCCCATCTTCCAAAATTATTCACTTGTTTCAATTGGTGAGATTCAGTATTCCAATTGTTGAAATCTCCCACCAAACTAACCTGTTCGACATCTGGGATATATTCAACAATCTTGTAACCCTGTGCTGTAGCATGTAATCCATAGGTTTTATAAGAATCAGCAAAATTCAACAATGAACCTTCACTTGAATCAAGTTTGGAAACCCAGTCACGGAAAGTAATTTGTCGGTCAATCAATGCCTGAGAAAATGGTTCTAACCATGGGTCCAATTCAAGTACCCCTTTGATTAACTCTTTATTGCTCATGATATGCCTTGCGTAATTGCGTAGTTGCGTAGTTGCTTGTGTAAACCAAAAAAAGGAGGTGAATCAATCTCGTGGGATATTGCAACTGTAATTTATATATATATGTAATCACAAAAGGAAAGAGGAGTGGTCCGATAAATGTAACAATTGAAATTGATTCAGATCTTTTTGTTTGGTCAGTCCCGGTTACAACCCAACAACAATTTTGATTAAAAAAAAAAGGGGGTTACAAAAAACCAATTCAGGCGTCTAATTTAATTTAAGAATTTGTACATCAACAAAATGTACCCCGAAGGCTCCCCCGCCACTCCACTCGACCACTTCAACCACCTCACCACTTACCTTGAGACAATATGTATAACGCCAAAAGACAAGGACCACGTGAACCGGCATCCAAAAAAGGTAAGCTTCAGCCGACGAATCGCTACAAATTTGTTAGATGCCTCAAAATCTAAAATACTTTTTAGTGCTTCATGTATTCCTATAGTGTCTATCTAAATCGTTGATTCAAGATCCGTTCAGCTCCTTCTTCTTTATATTCCTTTTCACTAACCCACATTTGATGAAAGGTACCCAAACTAGATAATACACTACCGCCAATCCAAGATTGATTGATCCTCTCCAATGAGTTTCCTACTGCATGTAATCTAATTTTTAACCCCGGGTTATTGTTCAGTAGTTCATGATACAATCTCTCTGTGAGTGAAGTTATTAATGATGTGCCACCAGTAATAATGATATTGTTTGCCAAAGAAGCACGTAAATCTATATCTATTATGGATATGACTTGTGAAACCAATTGAGCGACACCACGCACTTCAATCTTTTTGCCCTCGCCATCAAGATCGTCTTCATTTTTGCGCGCACGTTTAACTGGTCGGTACTCATTGATGGTATTGAATTCGATCCCTGGTATTTCTCCATTAGATGGAGGTGGTTGTAGAGCAGGATTGTGGAATTTGTAGAAATTGGGTTCAAAAAGTGTCTCAGCGATTTCATAACGCTCTTGTCCAAGAGCAATTGATTGTCCTGTTGGTAATTCAAATGATCTTTTCGCAAACTCAGAAATGGTCGATGTAGAATCAGAAGAGGTGGAATTTGCCGTGGCAAGTAGTTTCTTGGCCTCTTGTGATGGCACTTCCAACATTGACTCCTTAAACTCGTGCCATATTCTCGCAACTTGATACTGTTTGAACAGGTCACTAACGTTCGATGCATTATCTTTTAACTCATATTTTGCCTCTTTTTCCTCTGGGAATGTAGTTGCCGTTTTGTTCTTTATAAACAAACTAGGCTCAACAGCAATTCCTTCCTTGGCGATATAATCTTCAACTATCAGATTGAGGAATTTACCAGCATATGGAACCTTCAAGGAGCTCTTGATCAAACATATTCCATCAACAACTGGAGTAACACTAATACTTTCATGACCTAGATCAACCACCAAACAATTAGCTCTACCCTGTTGGAAACTTACACAGCTCGGTACTTTTGCCAAATACAACCCCGGGAACTCAAATTTTTCATAAATTAACTCAATCAATTTAGTCCTATACTCATTAGTACTCCATATAGGCTCAGTGATTAAAATAGGTTGTTCCTTGTCGACGATTTTTAATTGTTTAAAATAATGAGAAAATAGTTCGTACGCAGCATCCCAATCAACAATTAACGAGTCTTCAACTATAGGTTTAACTTCGAATGGATCCTTGCGTATGACATTGATACCTTCTCCAAACACCTTGGTGCCATTAGCCAATTGGCCATAATAGGACGGTGTTATGATTTTGGGGAAATCATCACCAGCATAGCCTATACGTATATCAAAAGATCCAATGTCTAATACAATGGCATTTATTTCATCTCCCCCATATACCGTGTTAGCTGTAGATGACATATCTTGCCTAGTTCGATCGTGAAGCTTGTGATCAACAGAATCGGCTTCGAAAAGTTGAAAAAAAAAAATTGTTTACGAATCCTAACTAGGAAAGAGCCGCACTTGGTTGTGGATCTACTACAGCTCTACAACAAAGTTACTGTCATAGTTGTGTCCATACTTAGTCATGCTATACACTTTCATTGACCTTCCCGACACATGGCTTTGGAAAAGAACGTTTTGATTTTCCAAACGTACCCTTTATTCCTCTAGTGGAACATATATACCACCAGATTGCCATCCACTAGCAGCAACAGCAACCCATTTACCTTTGATTCTATTCCCCATTGGATTCTTTACGTGCATAGGCTGTTTAACCTCCAAATTTGTACCATGCTCAACTACAGTTTCAGGGTGTTCTGCTACTGCCAACTCCCTTGGACCTATTCCCAAGCATCCACACGACCTAGATTCAGTACCCCAACTCAACAATGACCCGTCATTTGTCAACGCCAAGTAGTGGTAGTCGCCAATTTCAACTGATTTGATATTTTGTCCTTGTAGGTCTGGAACCACTATTGGGGTTTTACCTTGCTCTTGTGGCTCGTCGTTGACATTATATAGCAAATGAGCATTGTTTCCGATTAATATTTGATCGTGGTTGGTAAACACAACAAAGTTTGTAAAGCAACTATTCAATCGAGTAAATTCAATACTTGCTTCTCGTTGAGACATCCAGTCGTTGAAATTATTCATAGGCGTGATCATTCGTTTCAAGTCATTGACATCTAACCTATCATCATCCCTATGTAGCAAATCGAGTGCATTCAATCTAAACTGGTATAATTTTGTGTCAGATATCTTAATGAATAGGACGTAATCTGCACCTACAGTGAAATCAGCCACATTGTTATCTGTCCCCGGAATGATCAAATATTTTGCACGAGCTTGGTAATTTTGTTGATCAAATTGCTCCTTGGTTAATGGTTCCCTTGAGTACCATACAACTAACCCAACATCATCAATTTGGCAAGCCGAAAGATTCCAGCCTGCTGAAACCTTGACTACGTTGGCCGTTTCTGGTATACCCGGGAACTGAATATGTATACCTATATTTGAATTACATCCGGAGTCCCATGTGTACACGTTATTGTGATCGTCAAGAGCAATGATATGTTCTCTCCCGGTACTGATAGAAATAATCCTTCTGTTGTCGAATTCATTCATCGGTGGGAGGAATAACCGTGATAAAAAGTTGGTTTCTTGAATCTTGGAAGGCTTATGTCTCAACGTGGTTTTGGAGTCATTTGGTTGAAGTCTCCTTCGTGATTGGGGCAAACGTGACGACGATTCTTGCCCTGGTGTTGACACTGGCGGAGAGACGCGAGTTCCGGTACTAGACCCTTCCCGAGGAGTACCATTGCTATCACTTTCACTGTTCTTATCATCATCATCATCATCATCATCGTCATCATCATCATCGGTAAATCTCCCACTCATTGGCATCGGTAAAACACCAAACCTGCCACCGCCTCTTGAAAACGTACCTGGAATAATTCCTCTTCTTCCTCCCACATTTTCATCTGTATTATTGTTCATACTGCTTAATGCCATTGTTCCAGGATTGGGCTTGTAATCTTTACTTTTAACTGGTCCCGGTGTAGATAACCCTTGTGAGGGTCGTTTCCAATCCATTCCAGTGAACCACAACTCACCATTATTCAACAATATGATAAAGCTGTACCCATTTGCCTTAAGATCAACAATAAGATGTTGGTTGAACTCGGGTATGTTTGTTGGTGTATGTACAGACCACCCGCCCAATTTTCTCAGCACATGCGATTGATCAATTCGAGTCGACAAATACCCCAATCTACCACCATTACTTTCACCCCACGTGAAAAGCTGCTGATTGGTGTTGCACCTTAGTTGCCAAAGCTGTTTCCAATTGAGATGTTGCTGCAAGTTCAATGTGTAGTTGTTTTCATTATTGGTAAACTTTTTGTTATATAGCAATTGAAAGATTGTGGGTGAAGATTCAAACAACTTGTACAAGGTCGAATTTAAAGTGAAAAGTTTGAATATGTCATCCGGTGACAAGTAGCGTGAGATGGCATAAGTGAGGATGTCTTCGCCCAAGTCAAGTATAGTCAATGTCATTTTTAAGGTGAGCTTAGTGGAAAAGAGTGGAAAGATATCGAGGGGAAATCTAATTGATCTTGCCGCGGACATTTTCAAGATCACTTGCGGTTAACCGAACGCCTTGTCTTCTACACAAATCACAAAGGGCTAGATAGGAAGGAGTTAGCTTGTATCTGCTTTTACCCACTTAACCATAAATGAATGACCAGAGCTCCATTGATACAAGAGATCATGTTATCAAGGATGATCTCATTACTACCAGTGTTGTAGATACAATCAGCAACGAAGGAAATGATTTTGAGGGGGGGAGCTGTCAGGAAAATGAGGATGAAGAGAGCGATGTTGACAACGATGGAGAGATAGAGCAAGAAGAAGGCGGCAGTGAACCTGCTAAAACATACAAGCGAATTCTTCTACAACGATTCACCGTGTACAATTCAGCTTCCACAATGTACATTGTTGGTTCCAATGCTAAAGAATCACTATATCGAATCTTGGAAATAGCAAAAGATGTAGAAGATGAACAACTGCTATCCATTATCGAAGACAAGAGCTATTTTTACACACGCAAAGATATGATTGAGCTACTCAATGGATTGAATGATTCAGTAGAAGGTGGACTACACAAACTAGCTCATGGGTATGGGTTGCTTGGGCTAGTTAGGTTTACCAGGGGTTATTACTTGAACTTGATTACCAAGTGCTCACAAGTTGCGATCCTTGGTGGTCATTTCATCTACCATATTGATGAAACCAAATTGATTCCATTGGGGACTAACTATAAACGACCGGAAAAGTATAGCGATGAGGAAAAATTGCTTTCACTATTTCGATATATGGATCTAAGCAAGACTTTTTATTTCAGTTACAATTATGATATAACCAATTCAATGCAAACCAATTTTATGCGTCACAAGTTGTTTAATTGTCGTGATGAAAGAGCCAAGCTACAGAACAGATTGTATGCGAATTTTGACTACAATGAACGCTTTGTATGGAATAGTTTGTTGTTAAAGCCAATTTTGGAAAGTGAAGATGTTGCTACATTTGAATGGTTTCAACCTATAGTCCATGGATTCATCGATCAAGCAAATATCTCTATTTATGGCAGAAAATTTTACATCACCATTATAGCACGCCGATCACATCATTTTGCTGGTGCTCGGTTTTTAAAACGAGGCATCAATGATAAGGGCAATGTTGCTAATGAAATCGAAACGGAGCAAATTGTTAGTGATATGTTGACTTCAAGTTTCCATGATCCTAAATTTGGAATGTATAGTAATCCGCGGTACACCAGCTTTGTTCAACATCGAGGATCGATCCCATTGTATTGGACTCAAGACATGAACAAGTTGCCAAAGCCACCAATACAAATAAATTTATCTGATCCATTTTATCAAAGTGCCGCACTTCATTTTGATAATTTGTTTTATCGATACGGATCACCCATAATCATATTAAACTTGATTAAGCAAAAGGAAAAACAACCGCGAGAACTGAGATTGAACATTCAGTATATCAATTGTATCAATTACCTTAATCAGTTTCTCCCAGAGGCAAACAAGCTTCATTACCGATCATTTGATATGTCAAAAAACTCCAAAAAGAATATGGATGTGATTACCCCCTTGCAAAATATCGCACATGAAGCGATTAATCAAATTGGAATTTTCCACAATGGCACCACAATCAACAATACCCAATTACAAAAGGGTATCATTCGAACGAATTGTATCGATTGTTTAGATCGAACAAATGCGGCACAATTTATTATATGTAAGGAAGCTCTAACCAAGCAATTGAGGAGTTTGGAGTTGATTTCAGAGGGCAAGACTTTGGATTATGAATCGGATTTGATTAACATCTTGACTGAAATTTTCCATGACCATGGAGATACAATCGCCATACAATACGGTGGGTCAAATTTGGTCAATACAATGGATTCATATCGACGAATCAATCAATGGTCGTCTCATACAAGAGATATGCTAAACAGTATTAAACGAATGTACTCAAACTCATTTATGGATTCAATTCGTCAAGAAGCAATCAACTTGTTTTTGGGAAATTATGAGTACTCACCTGATAGACCGAAATTGTGGGAATTGAGTAATGATTTTGTGTTACATTTTGATTTTGATTTGGAGATGAAACCGAAAAGGAGCTATACCCATTGGTTCAATGATGCTAACTTGAAAGATGATCGATTTATGATTAAGAATAAGGGTGAAACGGGCGATGACTTGAACAAGATGAACGGCCATCACCCATTGGTGTCAAATGATAAATGGTATAATGAATGCTATGTGCCAAGAAAGTATCAATCATTCACAGAATTATTTCAGTTTAACATGAATTCTAATTCTCGATATTTCCCGCTGTTGCTGCTGTTGCAACAAGTACAGCCACAGAATACACAAAAGCAACTGAAGAATGGCGCGCGTCTGAGGCAGCACCTGAAGCTGCAACTGCAACTGCAATTTCAACTGCATTTGATGCTGCTGGTGGCGGTGGTGGCTACTGAAGACCCATTGATTCGGTTCGATTATAGTCCGTTTGAAAGTCGTAAATTCAAGCATTCAGATAAAGCTGTTGGTGGGGAAGAAATTTCATACTTGGAACATCAATTGAATAAATGTGAAAATGATGCAACAGATTGTGGTGCTTCAGAAAGTGATGGTAAAAGAGTGACTCGAAGTTCGAGTGGGAGATACAATCCGAAAAACATCAAGACGTTTCTAGCTTCAAAAATTACAGCCAGGCATAATGCTAAAAAGAGGAATGAGAAACAGAGTAGCAGTGCCGATATGCACAGGGTGAATGTGTCTACTGATGGCGGTCGAGATTCTGAAGACAATGAAGGAGACGATGAAAAGACCCTATATTCTGTGAATCAGCCAATTATTGACAAAGCAGATGCTAAATTGTACCAGTCACAATTTGATCTATCCCACTTGATGAAATCAAACTACAATTATGCCAGTTATTGTTCGTATAAATCGACTCGATTGAAACCACTGTTTCAAGATCAAGAGATTTATAAAGCATCATGCCTTGATCGTGAATTGCACTGTCTGGCCAGTGAAGCATCGCGAAGCCCGTTTGTTGATATGGTCAATACGCAAGATTTAAAAATTTATTTACAGTATATCAATGATGAAGAAAAGTTGTTAGAGTTGGGTACAGATCATAATTATATATGATGGGGAAAGTAAAGTGGTTTTACAGTTAGTAAAATTACGCAACGAAGAATGATGTTTTCACACATGGACTTTGTTACTGGTTATAGGAGCTGTCAGTTATAGCAAGATTTGAGTTCATTTCAGGTTGCCTTTGTCAAGCGTCCTTTGGACGAGATTATCAAATTCTTAAACGAGATGTATACGACGAACCAAATTCACAGATTGCAAAAACAATAATACTCTTGTTTTGAGTAACATCTTGTAAACTTTAGTACCTACGTAGTCGTATACTCTTTTACTGTATGTATGTATAATCTTGTTGGCGTTGATTCAATTAGCCGCCGGTACAACTTGAAACAGGAACAGCTAAGAACAGCCCGAAAAAGAAATTTTGTGCCATGAATACCAAATTTCTATCCCTTTTAAATTAACAAAACTAAATTTTTTTTTTGATCACACACCTTTTATTGGAGAGATAACATATACATTCCATTACCACGTCATTTCTACTACTAGAGCTATATACTAAACTGATTTTATATCTCTTTATACAATTGACAGATCAGTAAAGTTTACAATTTTTATTACCAACTTAGTTGCTTCATTAAGAAAGAGGAATATTCAGTGTTTGACCATAAGGCACAATGACTGAAGTATCATCAAATACCAAACAATCAACTTCTTCTACAGCTGCAACTGCCACTGCACCATCGTCGTTACTATCACCGGCTGAAATAACAGTCACCCCTCCAACTCAACAGCAACAACAGCAACAACAGTTGGAAGAAAATGCGCCATCATCGTCAACGGCAAACACAAACACGAGCACCGCTGTAAATGGATCACTTGCCAATACCACATCGTCAATTTCATCAACTATAGCTCAAAATAACAACAACTATCTTAATACATCTCCTAAAGGGTCGTCCACATCAGCAGCGGGTACTTCTTCTTCATCAGGACACGTGTCGAGGGGGAGACCAAGTACTTCAAGAAGGGGAAGCGCTATACCACCCAATGGGTCTTCTGCAACAACAGCAGCATCCACAGCAACAGGAGTCGCACATACCGCCAGTACATCGCCATCTCGTCTCAGAAGCAACAGTTACAATAATCCCGATTTAACTCCAACTCCCTCGCATCATCAACCAGCACAAACTGTGACTAGACAACGCAGATCATCGTCATTGATTCAACATTTGGAACCAGATACATTAGACACCAAGATTGATCAAACCTTAAACCCCAATGTCAATGCCAACTGGGTTCATCAAAAGGGTGCATGGATAATCCACATTGTGATTATTGTCTTGCTCAAGATTTTCTACAATTTTATTAGTGTTTTGGATAACGATTGGAAATGGACAATGACGAATTTAACTTACACCATTGGCTCCTATATCATGTTTCATCAAGTTAAAGGAACACCATTTGAGTTTAACTCTGGTGCTTATGATAATTTAACCATGTGGGAACAAATTGATAATGGTGATCAATACACCCCAACAAAGAAGTTTTTAATGTTGGTTCCCATATGTTTGTTTTTGATTAGTACTCATTATTCTCATTATAACTTGAACTTGTTTATTTTGAATGGTGTTAGTTGTCTTTGTGTGGTTGTACCTAAATTGGCATTTGCTCATAGGTTGAGAGTTACGTTGTATTGAGAAGAAAGGGCTATTCTCTGTGGAGTTGTGTTTTGGACTGGGGGTTTTGCTGATTTATATATATATAAGTGTGCAGAGTAAACATGAGAAGAAATATGAATCTCTGGAGAATATGGATAAATGTTTTGCTCGACGGCCTTAAGCCTAGTTGAAGCGTAAACAGGTATTGACTTGTAGGGATTACCGATTACATTTAGTATTAATCTAGGTGCAAAAAAAAAAAGATAGCGCAAATTAGCTCATACCTCATTGATAGATTATTCATCCCTAAAAAGTGGTTGCACATCAAAACAACTCCATCTATATAAAGTTTAGTGTTGACTCCTCACCACCTGATGCTCTTTTTGCGATACATATAATCGATGGCTGTGACTGAATGGGACTAATGGCCTTTATGCAGTGTAATTTGATGGATGATTATTTTTTGACTCCGTTGCGGGCTCAACAAAATTGATCACGTGCTTTACTTTGTTAGTCACTCTTGAAAAATTTGAAAATGTCATGAAAACGTGTTCCATCCCATCCCCTTTTCCTTCTTCTTCTTCTTCTACACATACAACTGTATCTTATCAACCCCTTAGCAATGCCATACGCCTTATCTGAAGCTCATAGACAATTGACTGAAGGTCACTTAAGAGACACCGACCCAGAAGTTGATCAAATTATCAAAGATGAAGTTGATAGACAAAAGCATTCAATTGTGTTGATTGCTAGTGAAAACTTCACCACTACTTCTGTTTTCGATGCTTTGGGAACTCCAATGAGTAATAAGTACTCTGAAGGTTATCCAGGTGCTAGATACTATGGTGGTAATGAACATATTGACAGAATGGAGACTTTATGTCAACAAAGAGCATTGAAAGCATTTCATTTATCTCCTGATAAGTGGGGGGTCAATGTGCAAACTTTAAGTGGATCACCAGCTAATTTACAAGTGTATCAAGCTATTATGAAACCTCATGATCGTTTAATGGGATTGGATTTACCTCATGGTGGTCATTTATCACATGGATATCAAACCGACACCAGAAAGATTAGTGCTGTTTCCACTTATTTTGAAACTATGCCATATAGAGTTGATTTGGAAACTGGATTGATTGATTATGATATGTTGGAAAAGACTGCTGTCTTGTACAGACCTAAAGTGCTTGTTGCTGGTACTAGTGCATATTGTAGATTGATTGATTACAAGAAGATGAGGGAAATTGCTGATAAAGTTGGTGCCTACCTTGTGGTTGATATGGCTCATATTTCAGGTTTAATTGCTGCTGGTGTTATCCCATCTCCATTTGAATATGCTGATATTGTTACCACCACTACTCACAAATCTTTAAGAGGTCCAAGAGGTGCTATGATTTTCTTCAGAAAAGGAGTTAGATCAGTTAACCCTAAAACTGGACAAGAAATTATGTATGATTTGGAAAACCCAATCAATTTTTCGGTGTTTCCTGGACATCAAGGTGGTCCACACAATCATACCATTGCTGCTTTGGCCACTGCTTTGAAACAAGCTGATACTCAAGAGTTTAAAGATTATCAACAACAAGTTGTTAAAAATGCTAAGGCATTGGAAGAACAATTCAAAGCCAAGGGCTATAAATTAGTTTCTGATGGAACTGATTCTCACATGGTGCTTGTTTCATTAAAAGATAAGCAAATCGATGGTGCTAGAATTGAAACTGTTTGTGAACGTATCAATATTGCTTTGAACAAAAACTCCATCCCAGGGGATAAATCAGCCTTGGTTCCTGGTGGAGTAAGAATTGGTGCACCAGCAATGACAACTAGAGGTCTTGGAGAAGAGGATTTCAAGAGAATTGTCGATTATATTGATTTTGCTGTCAACTATGCTAAAGAAGTTCAAGCTAGTTTACCTAAAGATGCCAACAAGTTGAAGGATTTCAAGAATAAAGTGTTGCATGGGCAAGATGAGAAATTGGATGCGGTCAAGGCTGAAATTTCCGAATGGGCCGGTTCATTCCCATTGGCTGTTTAAAGGAGGATGCGACCACCTTGGGAAGGGACACAACAACTTTCTTTTGAGACAGGGTGTTTTTTTTTAAGTTGTCTGTTGCATCATTGTTTTATTTCAACAGTAAAACCAATTTGATTGCAATTTGGAGGACTTTGTATTTGCTTGTAGTTTATTTCTCCGTGATTATCGCTTTATTTTTTGTATATGCTGTTAATGTATAGTTTGCTTTACTATTCAACTGGATTAAGAGTTCAAGAAGCGTAGTTGTGCTATTCACATTGTGATTACAACTGGATTCTGTTGGTATAGATACTAAACAAAGTAGTGTACTTGAGTACAAAAGTGTACTCGAGTACACTACTTTTCCCTTTCGCTAATGAAAATTTTGAGTGCAGTCTCAAACTATCAACAATTTTGATCAAACGCCTATTATAGTATACAGGTCTTCCATTTCTCCATCCTGCAGACTAGCCATCAATATACCCCAAACTCGATCAAAGATATATTTCACAACCAAAAAACTAGAGCTTAAAATACAAGTATATACATATAGTTTGACTTTTTATTATACACTAGCTGCATCTTTCTCCCTTTTCAAGTTTTTGATAATTACCCGTCTTAGCAATTGAACTAAAGTATCAACCTCATGAGTTCTTCCAGACGGTCAGCTAACTCAGCTAATGCTAGTGATACCCCTGATTTGAAGGACGTTTATGATCCACAAGTATCACCTGCCAATTACTTGAGTAACCCAGGTGGTGGAAGCGCTATCATCAATGGTACTGGTACAGACGATGCAACTGGTCTTTCTTTTGGTACGCATCATCTGAGTCGACAACAACAACAGCACCAACAGCAACAAACGCAGCAACAACAACAACAACAACAACAACAACATCCATTCTATTCAACTGAGTTGCAACAGCGCGCCGAGTTACAAAGAAGACAACAGCAATTGCAACAACAACAACAACAATTACAGCAGTTTCAACAGCAACAGAGAGAATTGGCACAGGCTCAAGCCCAAGTTCAAGCTCATGCTAGAGCGCAGGCTCAAGCTCAGGCACAGGCTCAGGCTCAAGCGAGAGCACAAGCACAAGCTCAGGCTCAAGCTCAGGCTCAACAATTTCAACAACACCAACAGCGCCAGCAACAGCATCAACAACAACAACAGCAACACAACCACGGGATACGTTTGCCCACCAATCAAGGTGTATCTGCCCCTTCACAAGTATCGCCAGTCAACTCAACACTCTCAGATGAACTCAACATGGATGAAGATCTTCGATCCAAATATATTGAAAACGAAATCATCAAGACATTCACCAGTAAAGCTGATCTTGTCAAGTATGTCAAACTAGTGCTTGGTCCGGAGGACCATTGTCGTATTGTCATTAACTCATCCAAACCTAAAGCCATTTACTTTCAATGTGAACGATCAGGTTCGTTTAGAACCACAGTCAAGAACCCACAAAAGAGACAACGTATTGCATACACAAAGAGAAACAAATGTACTTATCGATTAGTGGCTAACGTGTATGCCAATGACAAAGGTGGTGTTGGTGGCAGTGGCAATGGCAGTGGTGCTGGTAAAAAAGTCAAGAGTGAAGATTCAATCGATGCGAATGGGAATATAATTTCAATGAAACAAGAAGGCAACGATGGTGGAGCAGATACTAGCGATACTGAAGATTTATGGATTTTGAGAATGATTAATCCTCAACATAATCATCCACCTGATCCACCTGATAAAAAGAAGAAACAAAAGGATTCAAGAACACTAGTTGAAAAGCCTGTGCATAAACATTCACAACTGAAAAGACAACCGGGTGGCAATAACCCATCATTATCAGGGTCCAAGTCGTCTGGTGGTGGTGTAGATCCCGCTGCGGCGGCTTTGGGGTTTGCTAAATCCAACCAAGGAGGACAAAACTTCCAACAAAATCATCTACCACCACAATTCCAACAACAACCACAACAGCCGCCACATAATCAACAACAACTTGATCATGCATTATCGAATTTAGCTGGTGCGGCAAATTACAATGATTTGATTGGCCATTTGAGTCAAAGTCTTCCTCCACAGCAACAACAACAAGGCAGACTGAGGCGATCAGACCAACAGCAAATACAGCAGCACCCGCATCCTGATGCATCAGTTTATGCCGCGCTTGAAGCAGCCAATAGTGGTTCAGGAGCAGGTAGTTCAGATGCTACTAGTATAGCTGCCGCCGCAGCAGCTGCGGTCGCCTTGAGCGCCCAACAAGGCAGTGGAGGCGGCAACGTTCATGGAATCAATGGTGTTAATGGCGTTAATGGTGTAGCTGGTGGTAATGCAAACCAAGCATCATCGCAAGTTGATTTAGATCTGAGCCAAATTGATCCCAATGTTGATCCTAGTGTGCAGGCACATGATCAATCGCATCAGCATCAACATTTGAGAAGAGGTGGGTTCTTGTGAGAGGGGGGGGAACTGGTGTCTGCTGGGGAGACTAAGCGAAGCTTTGAGAATATGTTTTGGAGAGTAATGGTGGTGGAGCTTGTAGTATGTATTAGTACTTTTTATTATATAAATAGAGATATGTAATTGAGTTATTCAACACGAACATTTTTCCACTCCAGTGTGAACTGTCGTACAACACCGTACCAGCTTAGTACGGTCACATCAATTTTCTAGTTTAACCCTCGCACCAGCACTCGTATGAACTTGAGTCGAAAAAATATAATCGAATCCGCGCACTAAATATATTTGGTGCGAATAACAACAAAAAATGAAAATATTCAGGGCGAACAATTGAACGTGTATGTCGCACTAGCCATTGACCCAAAAATAAAACTCTTTCATCCCCTTTTTGTTTTTCTTGGTCCTAGTGTCGACCGAAGAACAAACATACAAGACAAAATGTCAAAACAGAAAATATAATAGAGAAAAGCATTTGCAAATTAAAGTGGATAATTAAAGAAAGAGTTCTATTTGATATATATAAAACTGCAAATTATTATAGAGTTACAATCTAACGTCGGGTGGATTTGTTCAAGCTATTCTTAAATGTTCAAGCAAAAAGAATAAAGTTTGCTCACACATATTTGGATAGTCACAAACTTGAGATTTAGGTTCTTCATCAGATAGTAAATGAACCTTTGCTATCTCCCTGATAGGGGGAAATCAATTATATACAAGAGAAATATCAAGACAGAGAAGATAATAGAGAAAACAATTTACAGAAAACAATCTATTTAAAATAAAATACTATATAATTGTATAAAATTAGTGAAAAACAACCTAAACCTTGTTTGAAGCCTCCTCAGAACCAGCAGCGGTATTGTCTTCCTCAGCTGACTTCTCAAACATTCCACCAGCGGCACCATTTCCATTATTGCTAGTGGAGTCGCTAATGTTTTCCTTGGTTTCATAGTTGTCCTTTTCGAAATCTTCGTCGTACAAGCCCAAACTGTTACCTTCAGCTTCAATTTCTTGTAATGATAATTTGGGCAAGGTGGCAGCAACTCTCCACGGTTGTCTTCCTTCCACGTGTGCTTTGGCAAAGATGATGTCAATCTCTTCCAATGATCTACCTGCGGTTTCTGGGTAGAAAAAGAAAATGACTGGCACGAAAAGGAAGTTAAAGCAAGCAAAGAACAAATAACAACCCCAGTTTGATGTCTCGATGAATTTTGGTGTAAACATAACAACAGCAAAATTACACAACCAGTTGGTACAAGTAGAAATAGCAGATGCAGTTGTTCTAGTTCTTAATGGATTAATCTCTGGTGGGTATATCCATGGCAATGGCAAGATTGTGAAGGCGAAAAACACGATAAACAAGTAGATACCAACAGCAGCACCTTTAGCATTCTGTTCAGTTGGGTTAACCAAACATGCAAATGAAATAATCATTGAACATCCTTGACCAATGGCACCAACAAAAAACAATTTTCTTCTACCAACGGTATCAATCAAAAAGAATGATGGAATGGTGGCCAAAGCATAAATTGTGGCAAAAACACCACCCAAAATCAACGACAATCTGTATTTACTCTTATTGAAAATAGTTTCGTAAAACAAAATAGTTGAGTAATAAATGGCAGCATTACAACCAGTAAATTGTTGGAAAAATTGTGATGATGAACCAATCAACATTCTTTGGAAATGTTGCGTCTTACCACCGGTAAGCAAATCCTTGAACCCAGTTTGTGCATCAGCAAATCTATTAACGGCATCAATAATGGTGGTACCTTCAGCGATAACTGCATCATCATCAGGTGGCAAGTCGTTAAGATAACCCAACACTTCATGAGCTTCAGCTCTACGGTGGTGAGCAATCAACCAACGGGGAGATTCTGGCAAGTTGGTAAGGCCGAAGAAGAACAAAAGAGCAAACACGATTTGGAAAGCAGTAGGGAATCTCCATTGAACTGAGCTGTTAATGTATGAGAAACCGAAATCGATCCAATAAGCAATCATAGTACCCACTGCAACAACAGCACCTTCAATATTGACCAACTTACCTCTGTTTTCAGCTCTAGACATTTCCGATTGCCACACGGGGATAGTTGCCGTGTTCAAACCATTACCAATACCAGTAACAACTCTACCAATGACGAATTGACCAGTTTGCCAGTATGGTCTAATTGCAGCAGTTGATATAACAGTACCAATAACAATGATAAGAGAACCAGCAAGCATAAGTGGTTTTCTACCAAAATAGTCACCTCTTAACAAAGCAAAAATAGCACCAAAGAAACAACCCAATTCATAACAAGCAGTGATGGCACCTTGGATAGTGGAGTTATCCCTAGCAGGCGGGAACTCCAACTTGAATTGGTCACCGTTAAGCAAACCAGACATAAGACCTTGATCATAACCGAAAAGTGAGAAACCAATAGTGGCAGTAATTGTAATGGCTATACGTAATTTTCTACCTCTTAATCCAGAGGTGGTTGTCCTGCCGGCCAACACATCAATTTTGTCAACAATTTTACCCATATTGGAATGTTATGTGTATGTGGTTGTTTTGAGGGGAGTAGTCGTTATCTGTCAAAAAAGTCTTTCTTGGTATATAGATTCCAGTTTGTAGCTTTGGCTCTATTGTTTTTATTGGAACCTCTTGGCGAAAGCTATTTTCTTGGAATAAATCAGCGACAAATGAGAGTCTATCGTTCTATGATGATTATGGAATGTGAAATATGATAAACACTATTGTTCAAGAAAAAAGTGTCAAAATTTCTTCCAAGAAAATTAAGGAAAAAGAAGAAGAGGAAGAGAAGGAGGATGTATCTGAATGGTGGGGATATGAAATCATTTATATATACACTCAGAAAGATATGAGGAAAGGAAATATAACAAATACACGTATAACAACCACAAATAAATAAATAAACAAAATAAAAAAAAAAAAAAAACTTTTTCTTTCTGTATGTATGTTTTTGTATAATCTATATAGAGTAATAAAAGATGTGTGTGTTTGTGGGAGTAAGTACTACATACAAGAGTGACAAAAAGGAAAAAATGCTATGATGTAGTTGGTAAAAGGTACTTTGTTATGGTTGAGTTTGTGATAGTTTTCTCATAAAATTATTTTGTGTTTATTTTTATAGTTTTGATTTTTTTTATTTTAGTTGCTATTGTTCCATGGCCCTTTTTTGTGCAATAATTAACGGGGAAGAAGCACATTCTATGCAGTAATTTGCTAGTTATATACACACCCACCATGGGCAGGACAATTTACTATTGTTTGTCTTTTTACGAACAATAGGGTGAACTTCCCAATAAGACGAGTTAGTTCTCTTAGCTGGATGTTCACCAAACGGAGAGAGAAAAGACGCCATCGGGAAAAGAATGAAGCACCAAATCTAGCAAGCTTCTTAGAACAAACGTCGATGACAGTAGTGCTTTAGAGTTGCTCCTACATAATTATTTAAAATCTCGGCGTAGAATGTTAAACTGCACGAATGTGTCTAGTCTAGTTTGGGGGTTTAAATTTTTGGGCGTAAGAAAAAAAAAAACCATAAAAATTCCGTGCAAATTTTATTTTTTAAAGAGGTCGTGTACCAGCCCATCTCAAAAAAAAAAAAAAAAAACTTCGTATGAGAATCACTTGGGATTTGTTTTCAGCGGCAATAATGGGAATAAAATTGTCAGTAGATATAGTTTGGAGGATATGTGTTCCCTGAATTGAAGTGGATTGCCTAGATCTCTTAAAAGAGGGGGAGTTCCTGATATTTCTAGATCTGCAAAAATCTACTTTTTGATGACTAAATAAAATTTCTAACCACAAATGGTACAAACCCATTAGAAGTAAAAAAAATAAAATTTTATCCAGCGGTGAAGAAAGTAGTGTGTGAATAAAAAAAAAAAAAAGAAACGCCGAATGCTGCGAAATGGGTTACCTATTCTGTGCAAGTGTAAATCAAGAAAAATGTACCAATAGTAGGGATCAAACGTACCATCTGCTGTATAGCTTTAGCAGAACGGTCTGCGATGAGGTTCAATCCAACAGAACTCTGTCATTTTATTTTTTTTTTTTTATTCTCATCACTCAGCGCTTAAAAGCTCGAATCCATGTCATGCAAAAGACACGATGGTTATGAGATTACTTAAACAAAATTGTATTATTCTTGAGATTAAACGTGGTGGAGAAGGAGCTATAGAGAAGCTGCTAAAGCGGGGAGTGATGTCTTTAAGCCAACATTTGAAAAAGTGAGGAGAATGCATAAGGATTTTGGGAAGGTACATGTACATGTCACCATGTTGCAATAATTTAACCTTTGAAAAGAGACAGTGACTTTGGTACCCATTAGTAATCTATTAATAGTAGTAGGCTCCAAAAGCTGGCTAAGTTCTAACTTTATGACGTAGTTGAACCGAGGAAACAATAGAAACACAAACAGTTTATTTTTTTTGATCAATACGGCACTACCTTGCTAACTTTGCGTTACTTTGTAACTTTGTTCGTCATTTGCCCCTCGGTGAAACCTGCATATTATTATTATTTCTGGAAATCTTACTCACCAACTACCATTTATCCGAGCGACTAAAAACGAAAAAAAAAAAAAAAAGAGGATCTGACCGCCATTACAGATTTGGATGCATTAGATGTTGCAGTATAAAGAAGGCAAGGCTAAGCGTATGCCAATGGTAATAGCAAGCATTGCTCATCTCAAGGCGGGCGTTACCTATGAGTCAGACCATTTTTTTTTTTGAGTAAGTTGTGGCCATAATCATGTTTATCTGAAAACAATGGAGTCTTTTAGTATGTGTAAAGGATAGAAAAGATTTGCATGTCCTCGTATACTACTTGTGTATCACAAAATCTCGAGGAAGTCCTTTGGTCTTCGAGATAAACGACAGAAAGAGAAATTTCACCCTTAGCGGGAGACGCAACTTACACGAAGCAAAATGGGGAGAAAGTTTGCTTTGTCATGGTTCCGTTAATAAAGGCCAATTTAATGACAATAAATGTTTGGGATTGGAGAAGAAAGGTTTATTGTTTTAAGATGTGACAAGCTCCAATTTTTCGAGTCGCTTATCCCATTCATGATCAGCCTCATTAAAATCGAATAAATAGAGTTCCAGTACCTTTGCTACTATTGTAATTTAGTGCCATAATCCACTGAGAAAGTAAATGTTAATCATGCCGTGAACGGAATTACACATCGTGATTAACCCCGTCTTTATAGAGCTTTTAGTGAAAGTAATATATCACATATCCATCTTTTTTTGCAGCAAAATTGTGTAAAAGAAAAAGTTTCTGAGAGCGCTTACGAGACATAATCTTTCAAAGACAAGGACCAAGCTTGGAGCTTTAAAACGTAATAGACCGTTTGGGCACCAACCGAGAATTATTCGGATGTCCTTTGCAAACTCGGATTCCATAAAAGTTAGATATCATTTTCTCACTCTCCCTTCTTCTTCTTCTTCTTCTTCCCCACTATTATAATTAACAATACAAAAAAGAAAAGACAATAGTTTTTTCACACAAAGTTTCCCATAACACAAACGGAATTACTTAGTCTATATCTTTTTTCTTGTCTTGGCACTTTTCTCGATTGTTCTTCCGAGAAAAGTTTTATACCTGTATATAATCCCATTGGTCTTTTTTCCCAATGTCTTTAATTTCTTTTTTTTGACATTAAAACTGTCGACACAAAACGGAGACACAAAATCTAATTTTGTAAGAAGTTACACTACTCACTCTAAAGCCCCAATTACATCATAGTACATGGAGCTTCACCTTCTACATCGAGTTAAATTAAATAATATTACCCTAATCTATCCCTTGTGTTGGGTGTTGTTTAAGCCTTCTTCTATTGTTTTTTGTTATCCACCACAAGGTATTTTATGGCTTCCCCACTTCTAGTACTTACGATATACATACAAGTTTCCCTCATGACCAAAGAAAAATGTGTAGCCAGTTGCAACCATGACGTAATCCACTATCATAATCTAGGGTGACCCTTTCCTCGCGACCTTGTTCTATATCCATACATCAGGAAATTCCCTCCCCTACCACCAAAAGCCGTTATGAACACTTGTCCCATTTTCTTCTCCACATTCTGCATCCAAAAAGTAAGAACAAACGTATGTGATTTTTCGAATATTGAGTTCTGTTCTCAAACATTTATTGGGTGAGACAATACCAAATGTAAATTTATACCCAATGATATAAGATACGTTTGATTTGTGGGGGGGGGGTGAAAGTTTAATGAAAACTTATGAAATCTAGAGCTAAACAATAGCGTTAAACAAAGTTCACTTTTTATAGACTAATATACACTACGCAAATTCCACATCTCGTGCCGTCTCAATCATGGTACACCTTTGTTCTACTATTTATGAGTTTCAAATTAGTATTTTAGCCCTTGACTACGTGACACACAAATCGCGAGGAAATTTGGCATTGTCTAGTAAAGGTGGCACAAAATGAATAACAATTGCAAACAAGACAATGCTGGTTGTGTTTGCCTCGTCCAATCTATCCGAAAATACGTCCATCGCATTGGTTTGAACTTTAACTTTTTTTATTGTTCGCTTTACGTATTCTTCATTGGGTTAAATTTCAGATCGTCGCCAAATATTTTCTCTATGGGGTGCACAATTTGAACAATAAAGCTAGTTTTCTCGTAAAAAATCATATGATGTGTAGTTGTGGTGGGGAAGGGGGGGGTAAAAGTGGTTCCAAATATATGTTGAGTCTTCAAGAATCCGGAACTCTCCTCATTAATAATGTTGGGTGCTTTGTCTAAATGGGAAATAGGAAAGAATTAGAAGTTTGAGGAGTGGAGGCATTGATAGAGTGTAGCTTTACTGTTTATGGAGCTAGAACTGGAACGTTACTTCATTTTGATGTAGTATCCTCAATCGAAGAGACAAGGGTCACCATTATCAAGAACTGCCACTATGTAACTCACAAAGCGCATTGTATTTTAGATACAGCTTTGAGTTATGAGATTTCTCCATCAAATGCAGTATTATTTATAGGCTAAAAGGCATGAAAGTTTGGCATCTGTTCGAGGCCGATTTCTCCCATCCCAGACTGCACTAACAAGTTTTCCAAGACAATAAGCTCAAGGACGTGGCCGCATGGCTTGGCAATTGGACCCTTTGCAAGAAATTAAGATGCACTTTGCAGATATGAAGAAAAGGCTGTATCATATCAAAACATGATCCGCGACTGATCCCAATAACCTATTTCACTCAAGCATCAGCTCGTTGATATCGATTTTTGTAAAGAAGTTAATTCAGAGTCATGGGTATTGGTAAAGTCGTTTATATTAAACGCTAAACGTATGCGCGTTCCAGATAGAGCTAGCTATCATGTTTTCAAATCCACTATAAACCGCCAAAAGCTGGCCATAAAATATCACCAGGTACTTTCTTATAATCTTTTTTTTCATCCTTTTCCAATCTTTTGGCTCTGCGAGCTTCATACTCAGCTGCTCTCTTGGCATCTTTTTCAGGGTCACCGGCCTTACCATACGACAGGAAATGTTTAGACTGGCGTGGCTCTGTTTCAACACCTTCTTTCACCTTTGCAGTTGAACCATCTGCAATATCAGTCGAAGCGTCATCATCACTTACACTTGTTGCGATGTGGCCACTGTTTGACTGCTTAGCTTGGTTTGCTTCTTCTACTTCAGATCATAAAAATATCGGTCGTTAAAGTTGTTGAAGTGGAACGTAATTGGTGTATGTAAAAGGGATAAATGTGGTTGCAAATAGGCGATTCCGTGCCCTATATATATTCTTTTCGTAAAATTGCGCTTTTTCCCATATTTTGAGAAAAGCGGATTTATCTATTACTTCCTAAGTCTACAAGAAAGGTTTATGTGTGTGGAAGGCATAGATTTATTATTTCAATTTGGTAATACCTGATGGTATTTACCCGATTGTATTGTTGCATAGCGCTAATTCGAAGTCACTTTTTTCTTTTTTTGACCCCAGACAATGGGTGGTTAAGTTTGCGCGGTTCACTTTATCCAATTGTGTTCATTAGTTAATTGCTAAGTCGTAAATGTGTCATCAAATGGGTGGGTTATAGCCGACTTGGATACTCTCATTGGACTGATTTTAAAGTGCGGTGTGTTTAAGGTTACCAGTCAAACATTCGGGGTAGGACTTTGCCGGTCGTGAAATTAGATACCCCAAGCCTCCAAGATTGTGTGTTGTGACTCAGTTGTAGCTGGAGAAGTCGATAGACGCCCCTCAAACAAGCCTTATATTGATGGTTCAACATCACTACCGCATTTCGATAAGCGCAAAACGCATTTACAGTTCGGCTTTAACAGGGCCTTATTCGATTGTACATTTGACAGCTGAAATGCGCCCAACATAGCCTTCCAAGGGTCATGCTTTTTACGATATCTTTGTCTGTGCTATATATGCTTGATCTGCAATCACAAGGAGTACTCATGTTGTATTGTTCGAGTAGTGGTTATAACGTCGATTGTGTGACACTTGTACTGAATTGAGTATTATACAACAATCGGAGTAGCTCAAGTACCACCCGGTCAACACAAACTCAACAACACACCTACACCAAGAGCTACCTACACCAAGAGCTACCTTCAACAGACCTCTCAAGATTTCCCTATTCAACTACAACCTGTTGGCACTTCAATTTCATGGTAGGTTTGACAACCCTAGTGAAATACATCCATGTCGAATGACGAGAATGACACTGATGGGATTTCAAGCACGAATACAACAATGACACTTGAGTCTCGGCTACCCCATCATTCCTAAAATATTAACCTTATTATGAGACAATGATCCTTTCTGACGTTCAGGCAATAATTGATCATCTTATAGAACATGAACAAGTGACGATTCGTTACTGAGTTTATGGCTTTGTTTAAGAAAGTGACGTACAATCCGTTTACCTGGGTGGATATCTGTTTGGGAAAGGCACTGAAAAATTGTTTCCCATCGACGCATTCTTGGAGCGTGCCATGTGGCGATTTTGTATATTTTAAATAAACACCTGAAGGTGGTACGACTGAACTCGAAAAACTGGGTGAAGTGGGCTCTTTACCACAAGTGTTGATTAATTGAGAAAAAGTACAGAGGAAGCTAGACATGTCAAAAGACGAACGTGTATAACATGTATAAAACAATATTCAAAAATAATCTACGACATTGACCTTAGACTCTACCATCATCTCTAGCAGTTGATTCATTTTCCGATTGTTGAGAATCCTTTTCAAACATACCATGATCCCTGTTTCTCAATCCTTCGCTGCTTGATGATTCACTAATATCCTCTTTAGTTTCAAAATTATCCTTGTCAAAATTTTCATCAAACAACCCCAAATTCTTACTCTGTTCATCGATTTCTTGTAATGACAACTTAGGCATGGTGGCAGCAACTCTCCATGGTTGTCTTCCTTCCACGTGTGCTTTGGCAAAGATGATGTCAATCTCTTCCAAAGACCTACCTGCGGTTTCTGGGTAGAAAAAGAAAATGACTGGCACGAAAAGGAAATTGAAGCAAGCAAAAAATAAGTAGGTACCCCAGTTGGACCTTTCAATAAACTCCGGTGTAAACATAACAACAGCAAAATTTGTAATCCAATTGGTACAAGTAGAAACAGCAGATGCAGTTGTTCTAGTTCTTAATGGATTAATCTCTGGTGGGTATATCCATGGCAATGGCAAGATTGTGAAGGCGAAAAACACAATGAATAAAAAGATACCAACAGCAGCACCTTTAGCATTCTCTTCTGTTGGGTTAACCAAACAGGCAAATGAAATAATGAATGAGCACCCTTGGCCAATGGCACCGATCAAAAACAATTTTCTTCTACCAACTGTGTCAATTAAGAAGAAGGAGGGGATGGTGGCTAGTGCGTAAATAGTTGCAAAAACACCTCCCAAAATCAATGACAACCTATACTTGTCTCCATTGAAAATAGTCTCATGGAACAAAATAGTTGAATAGTAGATGGCAGCATTACAACCAGTAAATTGTTGGAAAAACTGTGATGATGAACCTATAATCATTCTTTGGAAATGCTGAGTTCTTCCCCCTGTGAACAAGTCCTTGAAACCGGTTTGTGCACTAGTGAATCTGTTAACGGCATCAACAATTGTACTGGCTTCAGCAACAATAGCATCATCATCAGGTGGTAAGTCATTGAGGTAACCCAATACTTCATAAGCTTCTGGTTTACGATCATGCGCAATCAACCAACGAGGTGACTCTGGCATAACAATAATACCAGCTAAAAGTAAACCGGCAAACACAACTTGGAATGCGGTGGGAAATCTCCATTGTGCCGAATTATTGACGTAAGAAAATCCAAAATCAATCCAATAAGCAATACATGTACCAATGGCAATCACAGCACCTTCAATATTGACCAACTTACCTCTGTTTTCAGCTCTAGACATTTCCGATTGCCACACGGGGATAGTTGCCGTATTCATACCATTACCAACACCAGTAACAACTCTACCAATGACGAATTGACCAGTTTGCCAATGAGGTCTCATTGGAGTAACAGATATAATCGTACCAATAATGATGATTATTGCACCAACTATAATTATTGGTTTCCTTCCAATTCTATCAGCTCTAAGTAAGGCAAAAAGCGCACCAAAGAAACATCCCAATTCATAACATGCAACAACTGCACCTTGAATAGTCTTGTTGTCAAGCGTAGGTGGGAAATCTTTATTAAACTGCTCACCGGTGATTATACCCGACATAAGACCTTGATCATAACCAAAAAGGGAAAAGCCAATGGTGGCAGTGAATGTAACTGCAACACGTAACTTCCTACCGCTGAGACCTGCGGTGGTTGTCCTATTGACTAACCAATCAAACATCCAACTATATTTACCCATGATGTGTAGAATAGATGAAGATTGAGTCTTTTGAAACTGTTTTGATGGAATGACGGCCATGAAGAAAGTGGAAATCCTGAGACATATTTATAGCATTCCATTTTCAACCAGGTTTTTCATTCCATTACGCCTAACTCAATTATCGTCATTGTTTTTGTTTTTTTGTTTTTTCATTTACCCTTTCTAGCATCAAATTAAACTTTTCGTCTTCATAACACCCAATACATATAGTAGATGATTTTCTCTTTGATTTGTTGTTCGTCCAAGAAAGTTTTCCAAGAGGTTTTTCTTGGAGGTAAAATTTCTTGTCGTAAAGAGATTTTTCTTGACATTGTCTGGAACCAAAATACACCCAGTAACACAAAAGCTGTGAATGGACAAGCCACTTGTGTGCTCCTGTATAAAAGGGGTGAAAATTCTTTGTAAAGAAGTAGTGGTAGGGACAATAGCAGATAGCTTTCTCGAGGTGAGAATTGTATTGTCTTTTCTTCTTTTTTCCCTTTTTGAGTTTTGTTGGGGACGCCGTGTGGATGCAAGAAATGTCTATTTAAGACGCGTGTTTCATGAATATCTACGCTTTCTCAGGATAGCGTTGCTTTTGCTTATTCCAAGATCTGGCTGACAGAAATTGTTACATATGATTGTCAGATTGATGTAACACAGGTTAAATCCCACTTACAGTATGCCGCGGGAGTTTCAATTCACTTTGTCCCCATTGACTCAAGTAGCACCTCAGTTGCATTATTTAAAAAATGTAAACACAAACACACACGGAAGTTTCATTGAGACGGCGTTCCCTACTAAAATATGACGTGTGCATTTTTCTGAACTCATTGAAGATTAATATTTTCTTGTCTTTTGTCATGTTTTATACAGGGGTATGCCATGGAAAGGTACTGAGTTGCAATACCAGTCTTCTATCAGCACGAAATTATCTCACCTCATGAAAAGCAGGATTGTGAACTTTTAAAAGCGGTACCCTTCAACTACCAAGTAATTCTCGGTGCATTCAAACTCGATATGATTCAGCTTCCAGCTAAATCTTTTCACTAAAGATATTCCAATGACGTAAAAGAAATAACTTTAGACTCTTTTGACGTTTCCGATGTGATTTTCTTGGGTCAAAGAATTATTTTTTTTGCATATTTTTGGTGGTCGTGTGAGTGTAGCAGATTTAGAAGTGACTCTGTGCTATTTGCATTCAATGTGGTTGCAAATTATTCTACTATACGACTGGAAGCTAAAAGGAAGAAGTAACCACCTGCACAAGCAAACTCGGTGAATTCAAGCTACTTCTTATACATCGGGCTCTCCTTTGGTCAAACTCAACAAAGATTCTCTTACTTTAATTTGTCTTCTCTAATTACCCCGCCAATTGTTCTCCCCCACCACACATGTTTTTCTGTTCGATTTTTGTGAAACATAAATCCAACTTTTTTTTCTTGTCCTTGTTGTTTGTTAAATTTATCCGAGATATAAATCGATCATACAATCTCCAAAAAAATACACTAATCGACCTTTTGTATGCTTGAACGCGTTGCTACAACGGTAAGCTGAGTGGCTGTAGACGTGTGGGAAGATATAAATACCTTATTAATACCGTCTACTGCAAGACCCTACTCCAAAACAGATCCACGAAAGCGAGGAGACAACTGCAATAAGAAGAGTTATACCGATAATCTTAAGGTTGTGAACATTCTACACGTAGCTCTTCATTATGGCATTCTTTTAATCTCTCATGAACCGCTTAACTTGCTCATTTGTGATCGGGCGTGCAACCGTATTTATTGTACCTTAGTGTCTGTGAAAATTAATGGCTGCTTGGTGGTTGGTGGAACAAAATTAACCACATGTGGCTCATGACACTGCAATATGTGGCTACACATCGGACATAGAGATTTATAAGAAAGAATTTATAAGCCCATATTTACATACACAAAAACGTTGAGGTAAATACATACAACCGAAATTAACCACAAAAGAATCTGTGTGAAATGTAATAAAACATCAAAATGTAACCGAATTTAATAAAACAAGATAGCTCCTCTAAAACCGAAAAAGCATAGCATTTATAGCCGAAAATAGGTCGCAAAACACCATGAACATGGTGAAGTTAAAAATCGACCAGTGAAACCGAAAGGTTAATAAATAACAAGAACTCGAAAAGATAAACTTTCAAATAACACAGTGTTTGGAACGAGTTATTTCAAAGTCATAGAAAAAGGTCGCTGAAAAATGACGTTAACATCTGTCATATCCTAAAACGCGATCAACATAACTAGGCACACAATGATACTAGTAACCGACGAGACTTTAGTAACAGCACCGGAACCTTCATATGTAGTAACATTGGAAGGACTTGATTCTTTAGGCTGTGATGCCAGCAACGACTCATGAGCAGATGGACCACCATTGGAGGCAGAGCCATTGGAACCAGCTCCATTGTCTCCAGCACCAGTGTTACCAGATCCGTTGCCTCCAGCACCAGTGTTACCAGAGCCAGCGCCATTGTCTCCAGCTCCTGTGTTACCAGATCCGTTGCCTCCAGCACCGTTGTCTCCAGCTCCTGTGTTACCAGAGCCAGTTCCATTGTCTCCAGCTCCTGTGTTACCAGCTCCTGTGTTACCAGATCCATTGTCTCCAGCTCCTGTGTTACCAGATCCGTTGCCCCCAGCACCTGTGTTACCAGATCCGTTGCCCCCAGCACCTGTGTTACCAGATCCGTTGCCCCCACCACCTGTGTTACCAGATCCGTTGCCCCCAGCACCTGTGTTACCAGATCCGTTGCCCCCAGCACCTGTGTTACCAGAGCCAGATTCGTGGCTACCGGGCGACTCCGTCGTCGATCCTAATCCAGAATCACTTCCAGTAGTTGCACTTTCAACACCAGATGAGGTTGATTCATTGCCACTCGAAGACAATCCTTTACTTCCAGTTGGTTGTCCAGTTGGTTGTCCAGTTGGTTGTCCAGTTGGTTGTCCAGTTGGTTGTCCAGTTGGTTGTCCAGTTGGTTGTCCTGTTGGTTGTCCTGTTGGTTGTCCAGTTGGTTGTCCAGTTGGTTGTCCAGTTGGTTGTCCTGTTGGTTGTCCTGTTGGTTGTCCTGTTGGTTGTCCTGTTGGTTGTCCTGTTGGTTGTCCTGTTGGTTGTCCTGTTGGTTGTCCTGTTGGTTGTCCTGTTGGTTGTCCTGTTGGTTGTCCTGTTGGTTGTCCTGTTGGTTGTCCTGTTGGTTGTCCTGTTGGTTGTCCTGTTGGTTGTCCAGTTGGTTGTCCTGTTGGTTGTCCTGTTGGTTGTCCTGTTGGTTGTCCTGTTGGTTGTCCTGTTGGTTGTCCAGTTGGTTGTCCAGTTGGTTGTCCAGTAGGTTGTCCTGTTGGTTCAGAGGCACCGCCAGTAGGCTCAGATGCGCCGCCAGTTGGTTCTCCAGTTGGTTGACCAGTTGGTTGACCAGTTGGTTCAGAGACACCGCCAGTAGACTCAGATGCGCCTCCAGTTGGTTCTCCAGTTGGTTGTCCACTTGGTTCAGAGACACCGCCAGTAGACTCAGATGCACCTCCAGTTGGTTCTCCAGTTGGTTCAGAGACACCGCCGCTAGATTCAGATGCGCCTCCAGTTGGTTCTCCAGTTGGTTCAGAGGCACCGCCAGTAGACTCAGATGCACCGCCAGTTGGTTGACCAGTTGGTTCAGAGGCACCGCCACTAGATTCGGATGCGCCGCCAGTTGGTTCTCCAGTTGGTTGACCAGTTGGTTGACCAGTTGGTTCAGAGACACCGCCACTAGATCCAGATGCACCGCCAGTTGGTTCTCCAGTTGGTTCTCCAGTAGATTCTCCAATAGATTCAGATCCACTACCGCTTGGTTCTCCAGTTGGTTCTCCAGTAGATTCAGATCCACTACCGCTTGTTTCTCCAGTTGGTTCTCCTGTTGGTTCTCCTGTTGGTTGTCCACTTGGTTCAGAGGCACCGCCAGTTGATCCAGCAGAGCTTTCGTCGTTTGTGTCAGTGATCAATCCGGACTCAGTTCCAAGTCCAGAACTAGAGGATGGTGGCTCAAACGTAGTGATGGTGGTCAACGAACTGCCGGACTCAGATACGATACCAGATTCAGTTTCAACACTTCCATCTGACTTGGTTACTGTCCATGTGGTGGTTGTTGTAGTTGTTGTAGTCTCTGTAGTGGTAGTCGTCTCAGTAGTTGTCAGGACTGTGTTGCCGCCAGTTGGTTCTCCTGATGACTCGGATGCAACACCAGTAGATTCATTACCAGTTGGTTCTCCACTTGGTTCTCCACTTGGCTCTCCAGTTGGTTCTCCTGATGACTCGGATGCAACACCAGTAGATTCATTACCAGTTGGTTCTCCACTTGGTTCTCCACTTGGCTCTCCGGTTGGTTCTCCTGATGACTCGGATGCAGCACTGGTAGATTCATTACCCGTTGGTTCTCCACTTGGTTCTCCCGATGACTCAGATGCAGCATTACTTGAGACTTCTGAAGTACTACCCGAACTAATCTTAGTTTCATCAGAGTTAGTCAAAGGCTCAGTACTTGTTGCACTTCCAGAACCCAAACCGGTCTCGCTGCTGAATCCAGTAACAGTAGATGAAATTTCTGTTTCAGATGGTTCAAATGTGGTGATCGTGCTTGACGAACTTCCTGATTGAGTAATAATACCAGTTTCAGTCTCAACAGAACCATCTGTTTTTGTAACAATCCAAGTCGTGGTAAACACCGTTGTCTCTGTCGTGGTGAACGTGTCTGTCACCGTTGTAGTTGAGCCATATGATAAGGCGTCCGAAGATTCAGGTGGAGAAACCGATCCAGTGCCACTTTCCCCAGAATTGGTTGATGATCCAGTATCAGTAGCACTTGATGAAGCTCCTGTTTCAGATGGTTCAAACGTGGTGATCGTGCTTGACGAACTTCCTGATTGAGTAATAATACCAGTTTCAGTCTCAACAGAACCATCTGTTTTTGTAACAATCCAAGTCGTGGTAAACACCGTTGTCTCTGTCGTGGTGAACGTGTCTGTCACCGTTGTAGTTGAGCCATATGACAAGGCGTCCGAAGATTCAGGTGGAGAAACCGATCCAGTGCCACTTTCCCCAGAATTGGTTGATGATCCAGTATCAGTAGCACTTGATGAAGCTCCTGTTTCAGATGGTTCAAATGTGGTGATCGTGCTTGACGAACTTCCTGATTGAGTAATAATACCAGTTTCAGTCTCAACCGAACCATCCGTTTTTGTAACAATCCAAGTCGTGGTAAATACCGTTGTCTCTGTCGTGGTGAACGTGTCTGTCACCGTTGTAGTAGAGTCGTACGACAAGGTGTCCGATGGTATTTCAAATGTGGTGATTGTGCTTGACGAGTCTCCCGATTGTGTCACAACGCCGGTTTCGGTCTTGACTGACCCATCTGATTCGGTCACGAGCCAAGTGGTTGTAAGTACAGTAGTCTCTGTTGTTGTGAATATGTCTGTAATTGTTGTGGTCGAGTCATAGATTGGAGTCGTGTCTCTCTTTTCGTATTGGACTCGTTGCATTCCATATGGTAATTTGCATCCTTCACAAGAAAACGCATCAAAGTTAGACAATGGACCAATATATTGCATCGCTTTTGAATCACCATCACCAATATTTTGAGAACCGCACTTGACAGCAGTTCCCTGATGTAAAGTTCTACCCCATGCAGTGACAACGAATAACCACACAGCTAATTGAGCTCCTGATAGTAACCGCATAGAAAAATTATCAATCAAAATACTGACCTCAAATGATTAAAACAGTAGCCTGTTGAAAGGGTCTTGATACTTTCACTTGTGATTTTTAACTCTCTGAATAAGGTCCACGATGTAAATATTTTCATGTTATTTATACAAATTTCTTGTGTATTGTACCAGGTGCTTGATACACTGTAGCAAAACATACTGTAGTACCGTAGTACAGTTTTCCAATCGCAAGTGGCGCTGGACACCAAAGAACTTGTCTAAACTTTTAAATTTTGCATTCAAAAAGGGTCTGAACATTTGCATGCATGCAAACCTTGTGATAGTGACAATTGAGCCAAAAGATTTACGGTGCCACATAAACAGCTGATCATTGTTCTAATTCGGATTTTCGTTTGATTAGAAATGACGCCCGTAAGATCTCTATACAAGTATTGGAAACAAAAAACTTGTTGCTGTCCTATGTTCCAAACATGAAGATGTCGTTTGTTTAGCGGGATCTATTTTGAATGTAGAGCCACTCCAAACTCATTACTGAAACACGTATTTTTTGTGACTCGTCTGTCACTGCAAGCCCCCGAAGCATGCACTTCGTCGTTGAAAAATAACTTGAAGCTCACCAGATAGTCGCGTCAATTCTTAGACAAAACTAGGGCACAGCTAAGTGCATAAAAGAACTTTTGAACAATGTCAATTTATTCAAATTGTTAGGAAGAACGCGTTATGTTATTTCCTTCCTCTTTTTGGGCAGTTTTCTTTTTAATGATGCTTCTGTCATGATTTTTAACAACTGGGTGATATAAAGATCCGAATTGTTAACAAGTCGAGTTAGTAGAATCGCACATTAAGCACTCAGTAATGATTTTAACGAAACTTTACGCGCTCAAATTCAATGACAGAAATTTCGGGTGGTCCTGCATTGATGTTTACATTTCTTACGTATCCTCTTGGCTAAACAACGCCAATAAGAGTCATGTAAATGATTTGGCTGTCAATTACAACTCAAAAAAGGATGAACAATTTGTCTGGTATTTTAGTTTGTTCCCATTTGGTCTATGCGTAAATACACCTCATTATGATTAACCATACCATTCCATTTTTCCACAAATGAGAAAAGCACAGACTCTAGAGGCCCCAAAAGCCATGAAAGCACATCCGTAAGACTAATGGCATAGCCAAATCGTTTATTACAATTGTACCATAAATTATCGGCGTGAGTCCAGTGATATGCTGCAACTGGTTGATCCATCAACATAGAATATATAATTGAAGAGTGGTATCGATCTGCCTTACACCTTTCTTAAATATAGGTGTAGTACTGTGAATCGTCTGAGGGGTTTTCAGGTTGAGGTCGCCCTTCTTGAAGCAAGTAAGAACTCTTGAAAATGTGCTGAGCCATCTCAAAAGATTATTACTCTCTAGCGAATCCTCAATTTTGTGTGTTTTCTCATGCATCAACTAAATATAGGGTTTATTCAATTCAAAACACTTTAAATGCACAAGAACGCCGTGTTGTTGTTTTAAATTAAAATGTTTACATAAAGAACCCCTTTTTCATGACCCCAGATACCCTTTTCGTGCTACTCTTGTAACATTGTCCTCAAGTTGACTCGAAATGGTAACTGTCTTACTTTGTTTGGTTAGTGGTTGTGCTTGATGTAGCAAAACATTGCAAAATTTTTGAACGGAGACTTCCATTCCAGCTAGTACTGATTTGTACATACTTTACTGTCGGGAGCTGTGAAAGCTTTATTACATGGTTATCCAGTCATTGCCATTTAGATTATATACGTTACACCCAGATCGATCCTGAGTTCGAATAATATCTCAAAGAATCTTCAGGTTTAGGGTTTTGCTGATCCCTTACTAGTTGTCGATCCAGATATAGCGAGATTATCTCGTTTGCAACTTCTTTCGGCTTTAAATAGGCTATTGGTTGAATTCGCCGCTTTCAAGGTTGTCGAAAGTAATAGCGTAGAATAGCGCATATCCGTTTTGAGGCAGCGTGTTTCCATAAGGTAAATGCCTTCAAAAGAACACCTGGTGCATATCAGTTGAAAAAGGATTTATGGATGACCTGAATGCAAAAAGTGCACTATAGTCGATAATTTCCTTCTTATTCAGCCACGTATATTGCATAAACCATCTGCTTCAGTTTACACCGGAATATAGAGACAGGGGTCGAGGAAACAAATAGATAAGACTCATTTCACGCACCATAGCAGATTGTTGTGGAGAGGAGAAATATGAATTTTCACTAGGGGTTAAAATTTCATTTCAAGATTGAGACAAAACACTTGGATGCTATAGCGCGAAATATTCCTCATTCCATGCTTTATTTTGCTGTTTGAAGGTTATTACTTCATGGCAATCGAGATTAAAAGCTGTGGGCATTAACTTGTATATTGGAGTTATCAATGATATTGAGCCGACGTAAACTTGGTGCCAATTTGTCAAATGATGTCGAGTTGATAATAATGCCCCCTCTTCCAACATGCGCAACTGAATAGAAATAGCCCTTTGTGAGTAGCGACTTGCTTTAAGATTGATTTGCAGTCGCAAAGAATTTATTTTCCAAGAATGATCACCACGCTTTGAAATTTTGTGTGAAAATTGTTCGATTATATAATCTGAAGTAACAACAATATCGAAATACAAGATCAACAATTCACATAAACTTGCATTCGATGAGATAGTACAAGTTCGATATTTTCAGGATCAGATGCATGATTTGAAATCAATATTTGCCCGTAACTCGGCCAATGAAGTAGTCTGATTTGGTTGTGGGAAAAAAATCTTTCAATTCTCTCATATATGAAGCGGGCAACTCCTTGTACCGTAAATATCTTAATGTTGTTGCCTAACAAACTTGGGTTAGTCGTTGATTTTCAAACAATACCCTTCCATAAATTATACTACAGTATCTTTAGTAAAATATTAAAATTGATACATGCGAAACATCATTAAAAATATATAACCGAAATCACCTCTAAAAACATTGAAGGTTAACAAAACAAAACAGTTGTAAAAAGTATGACCGAACTTGATGAACAGAATTGATCTTTCAACCGAAAAAGCATAGCATTTATAGCCGAAAATAGGTCGCAAAACACCATGAACATGGTGAAGTTAAAAATCGACCAGTGAAACCGAAAGGTTAATAAATAACAAGAACTCGAAAAGATAAACTTTCAAATAACACAGTGTTTGGAACGAGTTATTTCAAAGTCATAGAAAAAGGTCGCTGAAAAATGACGTTAACATCTGTCATATCCTAAAACGCGATCAACATAACTAGGCACACAATGATACTAGTAACCGACGAGACTTTAGTAACAGCACCGGAACCTTCATATGTAGTAACATTGGAAGGACTTGATTCTTTAGGCTGTGATGCCAGCAACGACTCATGAGCAGATGGACCACCATTGGAGGCAGAGCCATTGGAACCAGCTCCATTGTCTCCAGCGCCAGTGTTACCAGCTCCTGTGTTACCAGATCCGTTGCCTCCAGCACCAGTGTTACCAGCGCCAGTGTTACCAGCTCCTGTGTTACCAGATCCGTTGCCTCCAGCACCAGTGTTACCAGAGCCAGCGCCAGTGTTACCAGCTCCTGTGTTACCAGATCCGTTGCCTCCAGCACCGTTGTCTCCAGCTCCTGTGTTACCAGAGCCAGTTCCATTGTCTCCAGCTCCTGTGTTACCAGCTCCATTATCTCCAGCGCCATTGTCTCCAGCTCCTGTGTTACCAGAGCCAGCTCCATTGTCTCCAGCTCCTGTGTTACCAGCTCCTGTGTTACCAGATCCATTGTCTCCAGCACCTGTGTTACCAGATCCAGATCCATTGTCTCCAGCTCCTGTATTACCAGAGCCAGATCCATTGTCTCCAGCTCCTGTGTTACCAGATCCGTTGCCTCCAGCTCCTGTGTTACCAGAGCCAGCGCCATTGTCTCCAGCACCTGTGTTACCAGAGCCAGCTCCATTGTCTCCAGCTCCTGTGTTACCAGCTCCTGTGTTACCAGATCCATTGTCTCCAGCTCCTGTGTTACCAGAGCCAGCTCCATTGTCTCCAGCTCCTGTGTTACCAGATCCGTTGCCTCCAGCTCCTGTGTTACCAGAGCCAGCGCCATTGTCTCCAGCACCTGTGTTACCAGATCCAGATCCATTGTCTCCAGCTCCTGTATTACCAGAGCCAGATCCATTGTCTCCAGCTCCTGTGTTACCAGATCCGTTGCCTCCAGCTCCTGTGTTACCAGAGCCAGCGCCATTGTCTCCAGCACCTGTGTTACCAGAGCCAGCTCCATTGTCTCCAGCTCCTGTGTTACCAGCTCCTGTGTTACCAGATCCATTGTCTCCAGCTCCTGTGTTACCAGATCCATTATCTCCAGCTCCTGTGTTACCAGAGCCAGATTCGTGGCTACCGGGCGACTCCGTCGTCGATCCTAATCCAGAATCACTTCCAGTAGTTGCACTTTCAACACCAGATGAGGTTGATTCATTGCCACTCGAAGACAATCCTTTACTTCCAGTTGGTTGTCCAGTAGGTTGTCCAGTAGGTTGTCCAGTAGGTTGTCCAGTAGGTTGTCCTGTTGGTTGTCCAGTTGGTTGTCCAGTTGGTTGTCCAGTTGGTTGTCCAGTTGGTTGTCCAGTTGGTTGTCCAGTTGGTTGTCCTGTTGGTTGTCCTGTTGGTTGTCCTGTTGGTTGTCCTGTTGGTTGTCCTGTTGGTTGTCCTGTTGGTTGTCCAGTTGGTTCTCCAGTTGGTTGTCCTGTTGGTTGTCCAGTTGGTTGTCCAGTTGGTTGTCCAGTTGGTTGTCCTGTTGGTTGTCCAGTTGGTTGTCCAGTTGGTTGTCCTGTTGGTTGTCCAGTAGGTTGTCCAGTAGGTTGTCCTGTTGGTTGTCCAGTTGGTTGTCCAGTTGGCTCTCCAGTTGGTTCTCCAGTTGGTTCAGAGGCACCACCAGTAGACTCAGATGCACTGCCGGTTGGTTGTCCAGTTGGTTCTCCGGTAGATTCAGATCCACTACCGCTTGGTTCTCCAGTTGGTTCTCCGGTAGATGCAGATCCACTACCGCTTGGTTCTCCGGTTGGTTCTCCAGTTGGTTGTCCACTCCCAGAGGCACCGCCAGTAGACTCAGATGCACTGCCGGTTGGTTCTCCGGTTGGTTCTCCGGTTGGTTCTCCGGTTGGTTCTCCGGTTGGTTCTCCAGTTGGTTCTCCAGTAGATTCTCCAGTTGGTTCTCCAGTTGGTTCTCCAGTAGATTCAGATCCACTACCGCTTGGTTCTCCAGTTGGTACTCCAGTAGATTCAGATCCACTACCGCTTGGTTCTCCGGTTGGTTCTCCAGTTGGTTCTCCAGTTGGTTCTCCAGTAGATTCAGATCCACTACCGCTTGGTTCTCCGGTTGGTTCTCCAGTTGGTTCTCCGGTAGATTCAGATCCACTACCACTTGGTTCTCCGGTTGGTTCTCCGGTAGATGCAGATCCACTACCACTTGGTTCTCCAGTTGGTTCTCCGGTAGATTCAGATCCACTACCGCTTGGTTCTCCGGTTGGTTCTCCGGTTGGCTCTCCGGTAGATTCAGATCCACTACCGCTTGGTTCTCCGGTTGGCTCTCCAGTTGGTTCTCCCGATGACTCAGATGCAGCATTACTTGAGACTTCTGAAGTACTACCCGAACTAATCTTAGTTTCATCAGAGTTAGTCAAAGGCTCAGTACTTGTTGCACTTCCAGAACCCAAACCGGTCTCGCTGCTGAATCCAGTAACAGTAGATGAAATTTCTGTTTCAGATGGTTCAAATGTGGTGATCGTGCTTGACGAACTTCCTGATTGAGTAATAATACCAGTTTCAGTCTCAACCGAACCATCTGTTTTTGTAACAATCCAAGTCGTGGTAAACACCGTTGTCTCTGTCGTGGTGAACGTGTCTGTCACCGTTGTAGTAGAGTCGTACGACAAGGTATCAGACGATTCAGGTGGAGAAACCGATCCAGCGCCAGTCTCACTGGAATTAGGCAACAATCCAGTATCTGTAGCACTTGATGAAGCTCCTGTTTCAGATGGTTCAAATGTTGTGATCGTGCTTGACGAACTTCCTGATTGAGTAATAATACCAGTTTCAGTCTCAACAGACCCGTCGGACTTTGTAACAATCCAAGTCGTGGTAAATACCGTTGTCTCTGTCGTGGTGAACGTGTCTGTCACCGTTGTAGTAGAGTCGTACGACAAGGTGTCCGATGGTGTTTCAAATGTGGTGATTGTGCTTGACGAGTCTCCCGATTGTGTCACAACGCCGGTTTCAGTTTCAACCGACCCATCTGATTTGGTTACGAGCCAAGTGGTTGTAAGTACAGTTGTTTCCGTCGTGGTGAAAATGTCTGTAACCGTTGTGGTCAGATAGTACTCAGGGGACGTTGATGTGTTGTCCAAGGTCTCTACAGAAGGCTGCGTCGAGGTCGGGGTTGATGAAGTCTCTGTTTCTTGATTTGTAGACAAGAGCAGGGTTTCAGCCCTTTCGTCGGGATCGACACCTGGAATTCCTGGTACGGACTTGCATGGTTTACACTCTGATGGCATGCCTGGATTTGGTGGTGGACCATTGTATTGTACTGCACCATTGTATATTCCTGGTAATCCCCTACTTGTATCACTGACGATTTGGAACTTTGTAAAGTCATAGCCTGTACCAATTTCAAAGTTTTGGGTATACAACCCAACATACAATGTCAAAATACCATCTCTGGCATTGTAAGCCCATGGATTCTTTCCTGGTGTAGGGGTTGATAAAGTTGCTGTTAATCCAAGTTTGTTGGCGACGCCATTCTTGTCAGTACCAAAGCCCCTGACGTGGAATGTTTGCGGGTTGTTAATTGAGCCCACAGCCATAATGGACGTTTCACCATTAGACAAATAGAAAATTTCGCCTTCAGATATTTGCAAATTGGTATTCATAAAGTAGAATGACGATTTACCTTGAGCAGTGACACAACCTGATCCCAACATACCAGTGAGTTGTTTCCAATTTTGGTTGGTGAAACAGATTTGACCATTGTTAACCATTGTCTTTCCGTCATAACCCAAGTAGGTATAGCTGTCACTCTTCATCAGTTGATAAAAGTGCATTAATCCATTATTGTGGAAATCAGGTGCCTTGATCCAACTTTCCATGGAACCTTGACCCGAAGCAGCAAAAAACAAATCACCGTTGTTTTCAAACTTGTTACCCATGATTTTGAAAATGTAGCCTGAAGCACCTTTGATAGCATTGAATGAGACAACACCATTGTTGACAAAACCATAGATTGAATCGTACAAGGTAGCAGACAAAGTAATACTAGGTGAAACCGCTGATACGTAGAGGCCACCATTTTCATCAACCTGAATGTTTCCGTGGAAATCTGATGCAGCGTTGTTGATGATGGACCAAATTGCTCCTGGAAATATATGCACATCTCCATAACCAACATTTTGGGTACCCCAGTCAATTGTCTTACCTCCTTGAAAATTCCTAGCCCACGCTGTGGCTATAAATAGCCACAATACTAACTGAGCTCTGAATAATGACTGCATTAGCAAAACACCGATGAGTTATTTGAGCAAAAACAGTTGAAATAATAGCCAGTTAAAAGGGTTTTAATAACTTTCACTTGTGGTTCTAAACTCTCTGAATAAGGGTATAATGTGATTCTCTTCATGCTATTTATACAAATTTCCCTGTGTAATTTGGTAGTTGTTGTTTTGAGTGCAAAAGTTACAGTGACAACATCTATCAATCGTAAGTACCGTTGAGTAGGGAAAAGGCAGTCTGAACATTTAAGTTTTGCATTAAAAAAATGGTTTAAAATGTGCATGCATGGAAACCCTGTGCTAGTGGCGTCCAAACCGATGAAATTTGAAAATGCACTTTGATAGGAGATTGCCTTTCCAATACATTCGTCTTCTGTGTTCGAAAACTGGCTCTTTTTAGACCCAACGACAGTTACTCGAAGGAAGCAGCTGATTGAGTTCCTGCTCGCCTGTGTGACACGGTTCCAATAGTTATTATTTAAGTCGCTTTGAATTCAACTATTGGAACGCGATTATTCGATAACGCCTCTGCCACCACAGACCCTAGATATGCGCTTCGTCGCCAATTACATTTAAAAACCTCCTGATACTTGCTTCTACCCTTCAACACCAAAAATAAGTTAACCCAAACACATATGCGTGACGAATTTGTAAACATACGAGCTCGATCAATCAAAGAAAGGGGTAGACAAAACCGGCGTGTTTTCCCCTTCCGAATTCAAACAGCGTCCCTTCGATGAATGCTTTACTTACGAATATTAGCAGCTCTGTGATAATTCTCATTTCACACAACCAATATTGTGGAGTCGCATGTTGTCTGTACCCTAAGACTTTGTTGAATAAAAACACGCCATTCATTTTCGATTGGAGTATTGAAGCTATCGCGTGCGTTCTATTTTGGTGTATACTTGTCATTAATCCCTTGGCTACGCAATGCAAATGCGCACCTCAAACTGATTGGATCTAGATTATAGTTAGGATTCTGTATTGCAAGGTAGTTTTTCATTCTTGCATTAATGCGGAAAGGCATGTAGCTATTTTTATCTCGTGAAATTCGTCTAATTTTAAGCAAAAGTATAGTACTTTGACTTCTGATTATCAACCTTTATGATTTTAAAAGTAATTTTTTGATGTACACAACCCTTCTCTTACTTTAATTGCAGTGAATTTTAAAATTCAAGCATTCCTAGACTAAAAATCTTGTTACTTGAGAATCTTGGAAAAACATACCGCCTCTCAATGCAACCAAAAAGGTAAAGGTTCTCAGTTCATGACATATTGATATGTGCTCGACACCCTATACGTGTGGTTGTTACTACGAACAAGAAATACGTAATTTTTACAATGCCATTCATCTGCTTTGGACCTTTTTTGATATACGCGTAATATTTTAAAATGATGTGACAACCCTGAGCCAAAATGGTCCCTCTTGAAACAAGCAACGACACCTAGAAAGAGTGCCTGAGCCACGTCAATTACCACCAGTGTGTCAGTTTTGTGTAGTTTTCACGTTTCTGTTTGATCATAGGGTCTATCCAAATCAGAATACTACTAATGCACTAGGGCGCCATGTTATTGTTTTGGATTGAAATGTTCGAATAAAGCACCCCTTTCCCACGACCTTGGAGACCCTTTTCGTGCTGTTTTGGTTGGTGACCCGTGAGTTTTTGTACAAGTGGACTCAAATTGGTAACTGCATTACCCCATTTAGTTAACGGTCATGCTTAATTTAACAACCTTTTACACTTCTGGTGTAAACAGAGACTTCCATCCCATCACTTGCTGAGTAGTGTAGACTTTACTGTCAAGATTTACGGAAGCTGAATTGTGAAGTCCCCTGGTCATTGCCTTTTAAGTTATACACGTTTTACCGAGATCGATACTGAGTCTTGAGAGAATCTCAAAGAAACTTCAAGTTTAGACATTTGTTGATCATGTGCAAGTTATCGATCTAATTGGAGCGCGATTTTGTCGTTTACACTTTCTTTCAGTTGTGCTTAACTTGTAGAAACATATATTAAAATTATCACAAATTGGACCAAAAATCTCATAACAAACAGAACTCATAGCAAACATTAACAAAAAAGCGCACTTCAAATCATCACAGCATAATAGATGACTAGTCGTACAGAACCGAAATCAACAAAAAGCAATAAAATAGGTCGCAAAAAAAGACACAATTGCGAAGAAAAAATCAACCTGTCAAGAACAAAACTAAATAAACCGAAACAAGCATCAAAACTTTTCATAACAAATGAAATTGGGATAAATAATTGAACATATCCAGAATCTTTCGATCCATAAAAGGGCAGTTAATAAAAAATCCCATCTCAAAGGATAAACAACATCATAAGCAGCATAAATAAACCCGTGAGCGAGGGGATCTTTGTCACCAGTACCCTCATAGGAGGTAGCTGCTGCCCCAGGAGACGAGCTCGATTGTGACTCGGTTGTAGAGCCTCCGATAGTGGTTATCGATTCAAAGACATCTTCCAATATCGAGCTTGGGTAACCACCATATTTTGTTGGGGAACTTGAACTCCGCGTAGGCGTAATTTTAGATAGTAATAGGGACCCGATTAAAGCTGAAGGAGACAAAGATGCAACAGAACTCACATCTCTATCAATACCAGCAAAATAGCTTGTAGAGTCTCCGGGAAGCTATGTGGGGATATCCGCCGAACTCTCCGTATTAGCAAAAGAGCTGATAGGAGTTTCAAGATTTTCATCACTCGCAAACTCCGCCCCAGATATAGATATTCCAGACATATGCAAAGGATTCGTACCAGTACTATCCTCAGCAGATTGGATGAACGACCCACTCACAGTGGTAGTAGTAACAACTTCAACTCCAAGCGAAATCGTGGAGGATACTCCGTTTATTCCCGAACTCGAACTAATGTGATTACTTTCGTCATCAGTGTGCCAACCAGCAAGTTGTTCTTCCAAGTCTTGTTCTGAAGTGACCAAAGTAAAACCAACACTCACAATTTGGCCCCTAGAAAAGGTGGACTCGAGGGTTGTGGTGAGCTGAACAATATCCACGGTCGAGGTAGAGTCAACCAATGTGGACGTGGATACACGACCAGTGGACTGATGATTCAAACCACTATCAAAAGCAATAGCGACACTCAACGAGGGGGGGTAACTGGAATTTTACCACCTTGTGAATGAATATGAGATAACGGGTGGTACAAAAGTCGTTAAAGTGGTGAATGAAGTACCAGATTGTGATACAAGTCCTGTCTCAATTTCAATGGGTCCTTCTGAGTAAGTCGTTGTCCATGTTGAAGTAAACTCGGTTTCGATTGGTTTCTCGAATGTAGTGAGTGTTGTTAACGATAGAAGCGTTGCCTTTACCGCACGAGGTGCAACTGACTTATAATGTTTTGCGAACGAAAGTAAGAAGAAAACACCGAACGTCTACCAATTCGAAAACAAAGGAAAGTGGCTTTATCAAGATTGAGTCTGGTGCACATTTACATCTGTCTTTTTGCTATCGAGAGCACTATGCAATGTACGTTATATTAATTGTGGCAAAATGGTGACCTTAAAAAGATCGCAAAAGAGGCGCTGCATTCACTGCATTTTCAGTTTCAAAAAAGGACCCACAAGCTGACCCATTTAAAATATAGGCAAATGAGACTCCTGTTCTCACACTCTTTTATAGAAATATATGAACTCAAATGGGATTTCCATGAATTTTCGGACTTCTTACGCAATTGTATGGTTTATGCGACCAAACACAAAATTGTAAATTGTAGAACCTACAATTAAGACAGAAAGATTTTAGTTTTAGATATAGTCAAGCTCTAGAACTTATACCTTGGGCGGGTGTATGTAGTCAGTTTCTGTCTCCATAGACGAGACGAAGATGTTCAATCTAACCGACCGCTGCTAGATATATTGCATCGAGTGGTGCCATTTTATGAGATGTAGAACTTAAAATCCGGGCTACTTTTTTTTACGAAAGAGAACGGGGCTTTCTACAAGTATGAGCTGATACTAGCGATCTAATTTCAACGATTTGTAGAATAGTAAATGAGGTGACCATGGGCGCTTTCTAATGGGGACATGCACCATTAAAGTGTGTATAGAATTCTCATATTGAACGAATATCAAATAATGCACCGCCATTATGGAGTAATTATTCATGAGCTCTTCGTTAATAAAAACCAAACAGCTAGAGGTATATCGGCAATTGCATAACGCATCTTGATTTCATCTCAAGAATGTTATTTGATAGCTGTAGTTATAGTGGTAAAAGTCGTATATTTATGCCTCATTCACCCTCTAAACTGTTACACATTCTATAGACTCGTATTTATACCTCGAAAATTAGGATATAAATTCCACCTTAACCCCATTAGCACTCCTCTTTTACTCCTCTTTAACAATACTCTGAAGGCAGTATTGATACCCGTGATAACCTTATTTATACTCGGTAATGTACTCCGATATACCATTAGTATGGTGTTTCATGTATCCATATTATTTATACTCAGTATCGTTATTCTCTTTATTAGGTAGTGTCCAAACAAAATGTGCCATTAAATGTGAGAAGTCAACGTCGTATCTAGTGTCGCGTAAAACCACGACACACATTTTCTACTTGTCCTACTTTAACTCATCAACCAGATTTTTGCGAAATGAACTAAACATGAGAGAAGGATCACCGAGATGTATATTATACAATTCCACAGTGTTTATACCCGTAACAATTTTTTTTTACTTTTTGCTTTCACGGATAGTAGATCGGTTGCGAAATGGGACTATCAATTTTGTTGAATTTGTTGCAAAAATTCAACAAAATGAGGCATGGATGATTACCAAAGGATAACTTCCAATTTTGGTTTGTGTAAGCTACCCGTGATTGTACACATACGATCGTCTTACCGTAGAGACCAATCACTTTTTGTAAAATATCACTTTAAGTTTTACCAGAAGTTAGAGCATTTTCCTTGTAAGTATTTGGTAATCAAAGACATATATATCAAAAACAACACACGCTCAAGACACTCCATTCTTGAATAAAAACTTCATACATTCTCCTCCTTATTCATCTCTTGAATCTTTTAATCAACAAGTACACAACCACGGCAAGAAAGATCCAATTCCAAGCAGATACACCAAACACACCACCACCACCACCGTGCAACTGTGGATCCAAACTTGGATCACCTAGTCATTTCGCATCACCGTATTTGGGGGGATACCCATTCAACTCTACCCCACTAGCTGATTCACAACTACACCACTGGTCTTTAGGGACATTGTCCATTGCACGAGGAATGTGTAATCCACATCCTACCCAGGTAGCTTTCACTGATGTTGAGTTGTTAGTACTAGACGATGCGGAATAGTCTTGTGTTATACATACGGCAAATTTGGCACTCTGCTGGTCTACACATTTGAATTATGCTCTGATATATGTGAAGGATGCTTCGTGAAAAAAAAAGTGGGAGAGAAATATGATGCGATATTGTGGCGTTTTCCCGCCAAGAGCCGCACTTGAAATCTCCGTAATGGAGGGTTCATTCTATATTCAAGCTATACATGGTCTAAAAATCATACATTTCTACTTATCCCGTTGTCCCAACTGTTGTTCTTCCTTTCTTAATCTCTCTTCCTCCTCTAATCTTAATTGCTCCTCTACATCTAGATTCTCTTGGATATTCCACAATTGAGCATACAAGGATTCAGGATCACTCAATAATTGTGCATGCGAACCTTGTTCTTGTATATGACCTTTATTCAATACGATGATCTTGTCGGCATCGGCAATCGTTCTCAACCTATGAGCAATAGATACATTTGTTCTATTATCACGTTTGAAAATGGTTCTGATTGTCTTAAGCAATGCTTGTTCGGTATGGGTATCCAATGCTGATGTTGCTTCATCAAAAAATGTAATTGGGGCATTTTTAAGCAAGAGTCGAGCAATGGCCAATCTTTGCTTTTCTCCACCGGAAATCATCATGCCTCGTTCTCCAACAATGGTGTTTTCACCATCGGGTAAATCTTTAATTAAATTGTCAAGTTGGACGAGTGAAACAACTTGATGAATTTGTTCGTCAGTGGAGTTTAAATCACCATATCGGATATTTTCAATAATTGTATCGTTGAAAAGTGGCGTTTCTTGTGGGACAACTCCGATTTTTTTACGTAATGATTCGAGTGACACTTTGGTGATATCCTGTCCATCGATCAAGATGCGACCCAGATCAACATCGTAGAATCTAAATACCAATCGTAATATCGTCGATTTACCACTTCCCGAGGGCCCCACCACAGCTACTTTTTGTCCCGCGGGGATTGTAAATGATACATTTTTCAAAATTGGCCGGTCTGGATGATATCCAAATGTGACATTTTCAAATTTGATCTCACCGGGGGTAGATGCATTCAATTGTAATTGTGGAGCACCTTCAACGTCTGTGATTTTGATGGGGACACTTTGTAATTGGAACAAGTTTTCCATATCGAGTAAACTCTGTTTCAATTCTCGATAAACACTGCCCAAAAAGTTTAGTGGGACACTTAATTGGAAAACCAATTGATTAATCAAGACTAAGTCACCCACGGTTAATCCACCGGACACAACTCCCTGACATCCCATATACATCATTGCCGTAAGAGCCAGGGTGAAGATGAAATTCTGACCTGCATTCAAGTACGCCAAACTCGTGGCAACTTTAACCAGGGCATTTTGGTACTTTGTCAATGCATTATTATATTTCGACAGTTGGAATGCTTCATTGTTAAAGATCTTGACACTTTCATAATTGATCAATGAATCCAATGCCACACTGGCAGCTTGATTATCAGCATTATTGGCCTGTCTTCTGAATTTGGTCCTCCATGCCGTTGTTTTAATTGTGAAGATGGAGTAGGCCAACATTGTACAAAATGTCATTGCTGCAAACGGCAAACCATAATTGTAACTCAAGATCCCACAAACAATACTGATTTCGAATGTGATTGGTATAATGTGAAACACCATAGCCGTAAGCACATAACTGATACCTTTGGTTCCTCGATCAATAGCACGTGTTAGCCCACCAGTTTGTTGCGACAAATGGAATTGTAAATCCATATTCAATAACCGATTAAAAGTGTTTGACGCGACTCGTTTAATGGCAGTTTGAGCCACACTTGCAAATATGGCGTTTCTCAATTCTCCAAACAAAACAGCACCAAATCTAGCACCTCCATAAGCGAGGATTAATGATCCAATCACAGTGGATAATACGCCAACTTCTTGAGTCCAATTGACATTCATTTGATCAATGATTTGCTTGAACAAAAATGGAACTTCAACATTGAGCAATTTGGATCCAATTAATAGCGACACGGCAATGAGGACTCTGATTTTGAATCTGGGATTGTCTTTAGGCCATATGGTTTTGAATAATGATCGCATCATGAATAATTCCGATGTAGAGACTTTTCTGCCAAAAAGGGAATATGAAGACGAGTCGGATTTAGCCTTCTGTGATTGTGCTGTGGTTGCTGCTGCTTCCTTGGGGATATTGATTTTCGCTGGAGTACGGTTTGCATCACTTGGTCCATGAAGTAATTGAGCGGTTTTGGTGAATGTCCGTATCGGTGTTGGCCTGTAACCAAGTCGAAGTGTATTGGCCAATGGAGATGCGGACCTTCTTGCTAGCAGTGTATTCAGTTTTGAAAACAATGGCCATGCTTGCTTTATTGAACATCTTAGGAGAAGCATAGCTGTCTAATAACATGTAAGGAAAGAACCAGTGGTTTGATATCTGATAATAAAATAGTGGTTATGGGAATTCTGAAAAAAAAAAAAAACAAACTGAGAAATAATCAATGGGACAAGATCTGAGTAAAAAGATGTGGCGCGCAATTTGAATTATTTTGAATGGAGTTATCGACTACACAGCTAAAATCACTCACGCGGTGTATATCACTCTGGCTAGGTGCGGGTGAGTAAACTTTCTCCACCAGAATGCTAATTCTGAGGCATTGGTGTAGGTATTGTGCAAGTCAACGAGCTTAATATCCTTCATAAGCATGCTTCGACCCATCACAAAAAGAGCGAATACTTCCCTCATTCAAGAACGTAAATGAATGAAGCCAAGCCATAAGTATTCTACGAGTTATGTTTGCTACAAAAATAACTCAAGTTGAGTACCTAATTGGGGTAAACTCCGTTCGGACTCGGCCCCGCGATTTAGAGAATCTATAATCTCAACAAACCTAAAATGTTCTACCCTACACAATATTTTTTTTTTTTTTTATTCTGTAACGTCATTACATAAATAATTGTCCTTCTCTATATAGCATATAATAATACCACGGCTATTTCACCACTTATTGTTTCAATTCTTTCAAACTTTCTTCCAAAGCCTTTTCAAAACTATCAATATGACCAGCATAAACCGAGTAACCCATATGACCAACACGGAAATACTTGCCCACCAACTTCTTATGAATACCACCAGCAACAGTGTACCCCTTTTCACCCAATTTCTTCAATAAGTCAGGTCCATTAACACCTTCGGGGAAATAAACTGCAGTTAATCCATGAGCGGCAACTTTATCATTCTTGGGCAAGATGGTTAAATCTAATTCTTTAACTTTAGCTTTAAACTCATCCGATTTTTTAGCTTGAGTGGCTAATCTCTTGTCCAATCCTTCGGCAAAGATTTCTTCCAATGATGTCTTCAACGCAGTAATTGTTTGCACTGCTGGTGTAGCGAAATAAGCACCTGATCCACTTTCGTAAGCCTTCATGATTGGTGTCCATCTTTTCAAACTGGCAAAGAATGTTGTATCCTTTTCCTTGTTTAATGCTTTAGACAAGGCACGTTCACTAGCGTAAAAAATTGATAAACCAGCTGGCACACCAATAGCCTTTTGTGAAGCAGTCAAGACAAAGTCTAATCCCCATTTATCGAATTCAATGTCCTCAACACCAACAGAGCAAACCCCATCAACAATGATTAAAGTTTCTGGTGAGACTTCTTTAACAACTTTACTTATAGCTTCAACGTCAGAAACTACTGAGGTGGAGGTATCGACATGAGTAATGGTGATTGCTGCATATTTCTCCTTTTGCAATTGATCCTTAATCTTGTCCAATGGAACAACATCACCAATTTCAGCAGTAATTACATCGACATCAGCACCATAAACTTTCAAACATTCAGCAAATGAGTCAGAAAAGAACCCAGTTGACAACACAAGCACTTTTTCACCAGGTTCAATAATGTTTGTAGCAGCTACATCCCATCCCAAGGTTCCTGATCCACTCAACACATAACCTTGAGTATTTGCATCAGTAGATTTAAACAATTTGCGCAAGTTTTGAAGCACGTATTGGAAAGTGTAAATAAAATCTGGTGATGTATGAGCCTGAGATGGAATAGCCATTGATGCAAGAACATCATCACTAAATTCAATTGGACCTGGAATTAAAGTCAATCTGTGTTCTGGTTGTTTGTATTGGAATGGAGCTGGCATTTTAAACACTGTGGTGGATGATGATAATGGACGACGGTAATTGAGTAATTGAGTGATTGATTTGGTTCTAGCTGTTGTTTTTGGTGTTCTGAACCAAGTGGTTAACATATACAATGATATAAAGAGCAAAAGAACAATCAAGCAATGAAAGCGTTTGTGGATGAATAAAAGCATTTTCGAAAAAAAAAAACAAAACAGAATTCAGCGTTAAACTTGTCTGATTGGGGGGGAGCGATTGAGTGAGAAGAATGAGTGGGGTGACTAACAAAGAAAGCGAGACCGGGGCGAACGAGACACAATGAGCAACAGAGTCAGGAATGTTACACAAAAAGTTGACTCGGTTTGTTTTTCTAATATGGAGATAACCGAGGAAAAAGAGTAATGAGACGGAATCTTCCATCCTTTATGGGATATTCCGAGTAATGAAAAGTATTTTGTACATTCTAACAATAATTCAAGTCAATTGACATAATTACAAACTACCAACTTCACACAAACGCCCACTCAAAACCTATTCTTCTCTTCCCTTACTTGATGTCGAACGTGAAAATATATATGGGGATAGTTTCTCATAGTGAGAAAGGGTAGTGCGTCGTGACACGAAAAAGAAATTATGACGTACATTTGCACCTTCTTTAAAAAACCACGCTACCATATATGCAACTGACACAAATAGGGTAAGGGTGTGTCTTTGCAGTTGCAAAGAAGATACTTTTATTTGGCAAATAGAGAGGAGAAGAAAGTAAGGAAAGGGTACTTACAAAATACACAAGAAGCAAAAACCTGTATGTGGTCTTAAGTTGCAGAAACCACACAACTGCTCCTATGCTTAACCAACGAGTGTGATATGTACTTTGATGGTGTAAGTCGGTGACATTCCCGCCACCACTCCAAAAACCCTGACCTCATTGTAAAATCCCATACCTTTACTTACAACATAACAAAAAAAAAACAAGCAAACAAAAACAAGTGCGGAGTTAAATAACTTATTTTCACACACACGAGCATCCATTGTTCATTCTGCTGACTGGCGGATTAACCACCATGTTCACTGAATAGGGGGAATGGGAGGAGGGTGACAGATCGCATCGACGCTCTTTTCCACCGTTGTAGTTTCCTCTTTTTTTTGTTATTCCACCAACACCCATTGCATTTTCCTTAATTTAGCTTCAATCCAACTTGTGTCAAGATTTACCTCCAACTTTGTCCCTTTATTTACCTTAACACCCCCATGGATGAAAAAAACTCCCTCTTGTATCAGAGCCAAGATTTAATACACACTTGGAACAACAACAACAACAACTTTGATTTGAAAATAGAAAAAACAAATTAGGTATCATTAGCTGTGATCTCTCTCCTTTCCACACCCCCCATTCCCAACTCTTCTTCTCAATACAAGGTGTAAACATTTGAAATCTCTTTCTCCAACACTTTACTTTGTGAACAACTGGTTCAAAAATTTTTCTTTTATCCCCATCAAATAGGATTTGCTAACTCTTCTTTGAAGTTGTCGATTTTCAATTCCAGGTGGACGATCAAAGCTTGAGAAGAGAAGCCAATCGATAACCCACGTTTGGTTAACAATTTATTAGACACGATTGAGGAATTGACTTGAGATAAAAGCGTTGCCGAAAATAGAATCAAATAGACATTAGCAATTATCGACAGGAGTTTCTTTGAACAAATGTCAGATGTAATCACAACGACAACTAGTGAATCAACAATTATGATGTCACCCAATTTGCCCACCAATTCAAGGGAGTCCACCACCACCACCATCATCATCGCATCAACAAATTCAACCGGTTCTTCAGCCAACTTGACTACAAATTCATCAGATTCAACGGCCAATTTGACAACAAACTCTTCAGAGTCAACAAACTCTACCAATTCACACCATTCAACCCATTCAACAAATTCCACACCAACTACCAATACACCAGCAACGTCAACTTCAACTAGTGATGATTCAGAGAGTGTGGATTCCGAAGTTAAAGAATTGATTAAAGGTCGTGAAAGTTTGACCTTTGGACCAGAAGCGTTAACAAGTATGGCTAAGGGGCTGCAACAACAGCAGCAGAAACGACAACAACAACAACATGGTGGTGATGGTAAAGCTTCCAGTGTTGATTTGACAGTGTCGTCATCGTCAAATATGCTGTCAATGAGCCATGGGCATGGACATGCACCACCAATGCCTTATCATTATGGCAACTATATCCGACTAACTGATCAACAAGGCAATATATTCATTTTGCATCCAAACGGATACGCAACCCCAGTGAGACAAATTACTGGACATATAGGGGGAAGTGGGTATACTAATATGTTGACGCAACAACTCTATGCTCAAAATTCAATTCGGAGTTTTGCAGCAATACCGGCACCGCCGCCCATGTCTTGCAATCAACCGCCATCACAAATGCCACCACAAATACCACCACAAATGCCAACATCCTTATCATCACAAATAAATTCCCATGGTGTCAGTGCTAATACCAATGGTGGGTATGTATCTTCATCAAATGCAACAATGATGATGACATCATCCAATACAGCAAACACAAAAGAACCGTCCTCTGATGTTGGAGCCCATTCTGCTGGTGTTACCGCTTTCCCAATATTCCCATATCCCCCTCAGCCAGGTTTGACAATGACCCCTTCAACAACATCATCCTTGACACGGTCACCATACAGAAAGAATTTCCGAAAATTTAGACATTTGGGAAGCCATAGTTCTAGGCGCGGTGGTGGTGGAGGAGGAGGAGGGGATGTCGGTTCAAATGGACGGCATTCCAATTTACACGAGGTGCAAACTTCGATTTTAACATTGGCGCAATTTTGTGGTGATTTGGATTTGGGCACCACGAATCGGTTTGGAAACTTGGATTCAACTTCAATTATTATCAATCTGAGTAGTGCCAATATCAGTTCGAGATCTAGTTTTAGGAGTGTTTTGCATCTAAAGCCAAAATAAAGATGAGGCAAGAGGATTTTGTTGCCAACAGAGAAGTCAGCTAAAAATGATGATTGAACATGAATGCTCCTTCAGTTATGAGCTTGGCGTCTCTGTTGATTCGGATAAAGCAGCTAATGGAGAAGAAAACTTGGTGATTGCTTATTTGGAGGTGTGGGTTCTAATTCATTTTTGTACACAAATATATTGTTTATTTTGCATTACTTGATGATGATGATAATTGTTGGTGGTGGCAGATATCGAGTGGGTCTAGGTGGTTGGTAATTGATGTAGTAAAGTCTGAGTAATACAAGTATATATATATATATACTAATTCATATACATTATAAATATCAGTTGAAGAGTGTGATTGCAAACCGCATTGATCTCTGCGCTTAATTTGTGAAAAGTTTCAGTCGCGAAGTTTTTGAAGCATATGCTACAGGAAAATCCCCCTACAAGACGCCACCACCGACCTAACAATCGAGCATGTCTACGCATAATTTAAATGAAGCGGTGGATAATTTCACCACATCTTTGATTTCGGATATCCAATCCAAATCGTCAATTGTTGAAATACAAGATGTAAAAATCACCAAAAATGACACTATGAAAACAAAAATTGATAAACTTTTAATTATACTACAACAGCCCAATCATCCACCAGTACTATGTCACGGTATCACTCGTGATGTCCAAAAACTAATTTCGATAATTGAGATTGTGAAACAAAAACACCAGGACCAATTGGCTAACGGATCTAGATCGAAATTGCATCAGTATAATTGCTTACTACGAGTACGAACTAAAGAAAATCCATACAAAAAACAGTCCAAGTCTAGTAGTAGTAAAGAATCAGAAGCCGAAGTTGAAGTTGTTGATTTCACCAAGGCTTTGAAAGTTGCTGGCGCCAGGCAAGAGGATAGGTATGGTCGTCCAAGCTATTCAGATGTCGTTTCAGATAAAGATGGCAATGAAACTGTTGTTCATGAAGCTAATCTGTATTCCAACTACCGTGATACACCTGCAGGACAAGGAGCTATTCGTATACCGATATTACCTACCCAAAGGGAAATAGAAGAAAACAAGAAGAAGAAAGTGGAGAAAAAGAAGACGAAAGTTGAAAAGGAGGCAGACGAAGCTAGAATGGAGATTATAGGTGATAAAGTATATGATGTTCCTGTGATGTATGTTTTGCTAAGTACTATTGATCTATCATCATATTTAGATAGTGATTGGACAGTGCAATGTTGACCTGCTCTAATGTCGTGTCGTAATGTGATATCGTGCGACATAAATGCACATGCTACCAATTGCGTTCAAGTGTCGTATGTTTTTTTTTTTCTGCTTCGCTTCTTCTAACCAACCAATCACTTTGAATGAAGATGAAGAAAAAAAAAAAATTATCCATCACCTGAACAACTCATATATCACTTGAACCAACTTCAGTGTGAATATACATACTAAAGAGACAATTACAGACACACACGAGAAACAATTCCTACTAGCAATGCCAATCGATCCAGCTACTTTTAAATTCGACACTCCACAATTTGATCCAAGGTTCCCCAACCAAAACCAATCAAAACATTGTGCTCAATCCTATATCGATTATCACAAATGTGTCAATGTTAAAGGTGAGGATTTCGAACCTTGCCAATTGTTTTTCAAAACTTTTACTAGTTTGTGTCCATTGGATTGGGTTGAGAAATGGGATGACCAAAGAGCTGCTGGTAAGTTTCCTGTCAATATGGATGCTTAAACAGGGGGAGAGATACGAGAGATGTGCATGGGCTTAAGAGCGAGCATCTTGAGAGAATGGACGAGAGTGTGGTGAGAGATTGTGTCGAAAGAATGAATTATGCTGTTGAAATGAAAGAGGGATTGGTTGTGCTTTCTTTTTTTCAAGGAAAGTTACATCTTTCCTTCTTGGATGACTCCAATTCCTCTTTTGATTTTAAAGAAAAGTCCATGTTTTATTTATCATGTTTTGAAGAAGAGAAAAGATAATGTACGAATTTATTGTGATTGGTTATTATGTAATCCTCCCTCACCTCGTAGTTGTAAGGTGGGGTGGAAACTATATGAAAACTGTCAAGCGACAGCGACGTGTACCTTGCTGGCGTAACAACTAACTCTTTCATGCTTCCAATCTCTTCTCTACAAAACGATGCCTTATGTATCTCAAAATTCATATTTTTGTATAGCCGTATTTAGACCCTTCTACATTACCATTTTTTCAATTTGCAGCTTCAAAAGATCAACTTCTTCTGCTGTTTTATCACAATTACCCAATGTATCATATGCTTGTTTGAGCAAATACTTTAAAGCTTCATTTTCATTCATCAATAAGGATTCTTTGCTATTACTACTAGTCGTCTTGGTTAAACTATCACCAATAGTATCCCTCTTGTTGCTGTTGGTAAACGATGGCAATTTCAAATAGTCTGTAAAAGACTTGACATCACTACCACTTTGTTGACTACTGACTTCACTTATGTCAGAATATATTGAATCTAGCTCTCCATGCTTGTTGTGCAAATGATTATTTTGCGTGGCTGTAGAAGCTGACGAGGTTGAGAAAACTGATGATGTCGAAGTGATCATTGAATTGTTAAGTGATGTGGAGTTGTTTGATGAAGCAGTGCTTGATCGTTGCCGAGACAAACCAGGATATGGTGATCGAAGTGTATTGGCAGATTGTTTAATGGGTGATTTCAGTTTCAAGTTTAATGAAAGTGATTTAAATGTATTCAATAAAGATGATTCAGGTTGTGACACTTGGGTCTTGACAGTAGATGATGCAACTCCCAATTCATCAGTAGCAGCTACTTGATGTGGTTGTACCTCTACTTCTGGACTCATGAATAGCTTATCATCCCATGAAAACAACAAATCACCAAAAAACAAATCCAAGTCATTAGCCACATTGCCCCATTTCGTCTCATTGAGTAAATGTTGATAAACAACTTCTTCATCACCCAAATCAACAAACGTCATCAATATGGGTTTGTTCACCACCAACAACCCCAAACTTATCTTCATCATCCCTACTTTCCATCCTTGAAATTGGCAAAAATCCATTACTCGATTAATAATTGATAGATCAGCCGTATGCGACGACATAAATGATAACCACCACTGATACAAAAAAGTTTGCATATTCACTTGACAATGCATAACTAAATGAGTATACAATTGTTCATCAACCGTTTTGAGGATTTGGCTAAATTGTATAAACCACAAATTCAACGTACTCGACATATGTTGAGCCGTGAAAATATCATGTAGTTCCAATTCAGTCTCCATTATTGTTGTCAATGCATAGAATGTCAACTCACACGATTGTAAATGACGATACAACACCCCAACAAGAAACAATAACCCTTGACAATAGCCCAATTCCAAATCGTAATTGGCATAAACGTTGAGAATCGTCGACAAGTCATCAATTGTCGTTTGTTTTTGGAAAAACTGCACCGTGGGGAATGTTCGTGTTAAATCTTTGCAAATTTGTTGTGAAACTTCCACACTATATGAATGTTGGAAATTGACATAGACTAATTTAATCGATTTGGGGATGGTGGCATAGCTCAATAAAAAAACTTTTTGCCAAACGTATGATCGAATACAATTTGGTATCCCTTGTTTCAAAACTAGTTCAGTATAGTGAGGTAATGTATTTACTGTCCTTGTTGGGTTATCGATGAAACTGGTCCAGTATAATGATTCCAAGTTGGATGAGATTGTAGTTGTACGAGATATGGTGGATACACAACATGTTGAAGGAGTAGTTATACTGGTGGTGCTGTTGGTTTGGGATAAGTTGGCACCACACTTGGTGCATGTTGCAAATTCGTCTTGAGTTATATCATAAGCGTCAATGATTTGGGCCAAAGATGGAACAGAAGAACCGATGGGTGATGGCTCACTGACGACAAGTTCACCATCACCCAGATCCACTTCCTTTTCTTCTTCTTCTTCTTCTTCTTTGAATCGTAAATGTTCAATCTTGGAGCCAAAGTTGTACAAGATTGCAGAATTATCAAGACTTGATTGTCCTTGACTCAATGACTCTTCAAATTCAAGCAAAGATTCAAAATCAATCATAGTTTGTAAAAGGTGGAGATGGAGTTTGTAGAATGTTCAATTGTTGCTTGTTGTGCTTTTTTTTGGGTTAGTTGTTGTGTATATATGCGATGGGAGTTTTTTTGATAAATGTATGGTCTAATGAGTGAATGAGTTAGATCTGGGACTAAATGAAATAACGAATGAATTAGTGCAGTGAGCGTGGTGGGTGACTATGTTGAGTGAGTGAGTATAAGGAATGACTGATAGTTGGGTATAATACTCATCCACTTTTGGGTCAAGAGGAAAATGGAGTGTAAAGAGATATCAGATTTGGAAAAGCTATATGCTTATATCGAAATCCTTCGTTAACTTAATCGAGTAATTTTTTTCAAACGATTTCGTAATTTTGTGTATTTTATTTCTGGCGCTTAGAACGCTTTTTGCAACTTAGTGTAATTTCATTTTACGTAGTCTTACTTCTCCTTTGTGTTTTTCTGTTTACGTGTTTTTTTTTTTTTATGAAAGGAGTCTTGGGACAATAGGGCCTGTTTCAATTGAATATGAAGGGGAAGGGGAAGATTGCAACTTTAAGTAATTATACATCTATCTAATAGAGAGAGAGAGAGAGAGAGAGAGAGAGAGAGAGAGAGAGAGAAATCTATGAACCTATAATAGTGAAACGAGTAAGAAGGCTATAATGCGCTGGTTGAACATTCTTCGATTGAAACTATACTCAATTTGAAATTTTTTCACATGATGGTCTGATCATATTTTCTTTTTTTTTTTAATTCTAAAGGTGTGGTGTACTGCTGTAGATGGTGTCGTATTTCTGGCACTTTCGTATAAGATCTTGCATTCGAACATAATTTAGTTAGTGTGATCTTGATTGTCCCAAAATGGAAATTTTCGCCAGCAATTCTTGAATAAAGAATTCAATGCCGGTGAGATTTGCACATACATGCACAGATATACTTATACAGTATTGTTTTAATAAGTGGAATTCACATAACAACAACATCAGAGTTGCCCCTGTATTATAGATCAAGTGCTGGCTCAAAGTGATTGAACACATTATATTACTCAAATAGTTTACACGTGACATGGTAGCATACAAATTATGGTAAGCCGCACTTACATGATATGATGATGAGTAAGTCCAGAACGTAGTTTATCCAATAACGTTACCCCTACAAAGCCTGACAATGGTGTATTATTTTACAGCGCGTATTAGCAATGGTGATGACGATGGTTTATCAGACATGATTACGCCTAGTGAGTCTACCTCACATACAATTTACATGGGTAAAGACAAGTTTGAAAATGATCCATTAATCAAACACTCACATCCCAAAAACATTTGGTTTCATGTAGACAACCATTCTTCAGCTCATTTATACCTACAGCTAACTAAAGACCAAATCATGAATTGGAAATCCTTTGGTGATTTCACCATCAATGATGACTTGCTTACGCATCTAGCACAACTTACAAAAGCCAATTCCATAAAAGCTAATAAATTAAACAACATCACCATTATCTACACACCAGTGGAAAACTTGCACACTGATGGATCAATGGATACGGGTACTGTTACTTTTAAGAACCCCAAATTGGTGAAACGAATCAAGATTGCTAAACGAGATAATGCCATTGTAAATAAATTGACCAAAACCAAGACTGAACAATCAACTCAAGAGTTTATCAAGTCACAAGAGGAGTTGGCGAGACAGATTGCTAAACATAGGAAATTACAAGAAGCAAAAGAGAAGGAATTGAGTTTACAATATGCTCAACAGAAACAAACCAATTCTGATCCATATGCTGATTTATTCAAAAAGGAAGAGCTTGAAAAAAGTAGCAATGATAGGCGACAAGAAAATTGGGATGAAGATGATTTTTGGTAAACCTCTAGGGTTCGTCGCTTGTATATATATATAGTCAACATAGATTATACAACAACACTTAGTCCTTTTGCTCTATGACTAACATTCTTCCTCCTGGTATATAAGCTCTTCCTCCTCAAGTGCGTGTACTTGTGCACAATCCAGTGAACAAATTTTTTTTTTTTTTTCGTTTCCAATGGCAACACACTCGGACAACCAAAGAGACACAACCAAAAAGAACACCCACACGAAGATCTTTCTTTAGAAGAGAGGGTTATTACAATCAATTCATCAAATACGATACTACTGCCTACGTGCAATCCTATCACTGCTGCTTTTCATCACAATTTTTTAACTGCATAAAGACAACTTAATTGTCAACCCACTTTCTGCTAAAAATTTGTGATTTCGCTATAACAGTTTGACTATTACATACAAATACTATCGTGTCTTCATTAGCAACATCTTCTAGTGACAGCCCAAAGGGCACTGTGACCAACAAACAACATAACCAAAAACAGCAAAGACAGCAACAGCAGAAAAAGACCCAGCTTAATAGAGATATAGAAAAGAGTTCATCGGTTCCACAGTACACCCTTAGAGTTAAGGATCCCGAATTAGCCAAAGTTTTTATCAATCAATTGTCCATATTATTGACCACAGTTGATTCTTCTTTAGTCGATTCACATTATAAACAAATTAGATTTATTTTCAAGAAATTAGTTAAAGATCCAGTTGTATTGAACAATTATTTTGAAAAATTATTTGGTTTGATCAGATTCAGCGATTTCAACAATACCTCATCATTATCACCAATTGAATCATTATTTGCAAAAGAATTAGATTTCATTGCTACTGAGTTAACATTTTACGATTTATTTTGCATTCATTTGGATAGTATCATCCCCAAGGAATTTAATATAGTTAATTTCACTAACAAGTTCCATTGCGACCCTATCTTAACTTTCCTTTTAACCGTTAGATACCACGAAAAAGGGGACTCACAGCAAATCAAGTCATATTTCGAAACTTGCCCATCTTTATTGTTACCCATTTTCAAAACAAGAAAATTTCCAAACAATTACAACTGGAAATTACTACTTGAGCAAGTACTTAATAAACCATACTTTCCATTCTTGAGCAAATTACTCACTTTAAGTTCAATTAAAGCGTTTGATTCTGAACTTGAGCCAATCCCCAAATTTTATCAAAGTATATTAAAAATGACATTTAAACAGTTGATACAAGAAATTGGCTTTGAAAACGTGCTACCAGAAAAGTTGTTGCCCAGTCTTTTACAAATCAAGCCCAATGAAGTAGATCAAGGTATTGCTTTGGTGTTGGCGGAAATTCTAATACCTGGATCACAAGGATTTGAATATAAAGTAACACCATTGAGCTTACCCGAATCAAATGCCAAGGGGGCTCAATTACAGGCTTGCTTTCGTGCAATTGAACAACTGGAAAGTTTAAGCATCAATTGGTATGAAGTTTTCAACTACTTGCAACAATACTTATTTGAATCAAGTCAGAGAAACGTTGTACCTTCAGCAGCTAGTGTGTCGCAATTCCTATCTTCATTGGATTTCAAACCGGATCCAATTGATATTTTTCTCAATTATGAATGGTGGTTTGGCAAGACATTGTTGTATATCTTGCAAACTTGTGATGCATCTCAAGGTGGATACGATATTGCATTGTCGAAAAACTTACTGTTGTGTTTTGAAGAGGACCGTGCAACTCTTGGTCAACCACAATTAGGAGGAAGAAATATTTTAAAATTTATCAATGTTGGTAAATTGGAGTTGCAGGTTATAACTAAAGTACAAGCGCAACAAGTGCAGCAAAACTTGAGCGAACAGGATCGCACATTGAACTCATACTTGAGTCAAGTTTTCGAGCATGATTATAGAGTGTTTCCCGAGTATGTTTTGACTGCGGCGTTATCAGTTATAGAAAAGACGCCATTCATTAACGATTTAATTGATACTTTGTTTTACTTGTTGATGGATAGCGACTCGCTTGCATTGCCCAAAGTAGTACATACATTGCACGAATTGGGACTCGTTGTTGGTAAGGTGATGGACTACTACAAGAGCAGAAACACATTCTCTGCAGCTGAAAAAGTAGTCGCAATGAGTTTAAAGTTGAATATGTTGGATCAAGTTTTACAGCAATTGTGGAGTAATGATGCCAAATTGGCAGTCAAGCTACTCATTGAATCATCATTTTTCAATTATGACTATAAAAAGGAGTTGGAGGCGAAATTAAATGATCCGCAATTAAAGAGTATTATCTATCTGTCCTTGTTGGATGTGGTGACTGAAAGAGTCAGAGGAGATTATGAAACTGTGCAACAACATCAACAACAGCAACAACAGCAACAACAGGGCCAATTGCCAATACAAACACAGGCACCACCTGTGCCTATGTTGAAACTTAGGACCAGTTATTACCTACTTGAAAAATTAAAGAGTAGCAATGGGTTAGTTGATTTAGAAAAATTAAAGAATCTTCAAATTCTATTGTTGACAACTTATCCAAGATTGATTAATTTTGGTAATGGCCACGACGATGCCATACTTGCAAATGAAGCCAAATCAAGCTTTTTCCCCATTGATGTTGAATTGGAAATGAAGGATTACTACTCCAAAATGTATAGTAAAGCCCTTGATATAGCTGAGATTGTCAGTATTTTGATCAAGATGAAATCAAGTGATGATCCCCACCAACAGGATGTATTTGCATGCATGATCCATTCCTTGTTGGATGAGTACAAGTTTTTTGGTGAGTATCCATTACCAGCATTGGCTTCAACTTCATTATTATTTGGTGCTTTGTTGGAAAATGACTTGATTCATGGTACAACTTTGACAGTGGCTCTCAACTTTATTTGGGAATCATGCAATCAACCACCTGATTCGAAACTGTTCAAGTTTGCTGTTCAATCATTGTACAATTTCAAGTCGAAATTGCACGAGTATCCAATTTACTGTAAACATTTATTGGAATGCCACTCGTTATCGACTCATGCTAAAATGTACAATATTGTCAAAGATGCCGCCAATGGTATTCCTTGCATCGCTGGTGGCTCCAGGAGTGGAACTACACCAAGTAGCTCGACGCCCGACGTGGGACCCAAATACCAATCAATCAACTATGTTGAACAAACTGTTGGATCCGTTCAACAAGAGGACCCACCAAAGGAAACCAAAGAAAAATTGCTGTTTTCGGTAAATAATATGACTTCTGAGGATTTGCGTGTTGGTGCGATTCGAGAATTATTAAAGGAGGAGTATTTTGCTTGGTTTGCCAATTATTTGGTTGTTGATCGGGCCAAGGAAGAATTGAATAATCATGCGTTGTATTATGGGTTGGTTAAGGAATTGAACAATGTCATTTTCATGGAATATATCATGAACGTGACCATGAAGGAGGTTTATCATTTGATTATTTCAAAAGACCGCATTAAACTCAAGACTCTTGGTGCTTGGTTGGGAAGAATCACTTTGGCTGAAGATAAACCATTGAGGAGAGATTTGATTGCAATCAAATTTTTGCTCGTTGAGGCGTATGATTTTGAATCATTAAATTTGATATTGCCTTTTGTTTGTAAAATCTTGAGTCAAATAGAAAACTCCAAAGTGTTTAAACCTCCAAACCCATGGGTGTTGGGTATTTTCCAAGTATTGTCGGAATTGTATCAATTTGCTGATTTAGTTTTGCAACTTAAATTTGAAGTGGAAGTTTTGTTGAAGTTGTTTGATATGAAGATTGAAGATATTGAGCCTAGTCAATTGATCAGAAAACATGACAAAGATCCAAGTCGGTTAGCTGCCTTGTTTGGTCTCTTGCCTCAAGTTGGTGAGAATCTTGCTTCTGAAATGGCTCGTATGAATTTGGAACAATCAACAACGATGCCTGGTTTCAACAATGTAGCACAATCATCATTTGATAAACCATTCCAGCAATTGCAAGCTCCAGGGCAGCCAATGGTACCCCAGCAACAACAACAACAACAACAACAACTTGGCTCGATGCAACCTTATGCACAACAAACTCAGCCAGGGCAAGTGGATTCCGGAATGGATACCAGTTTCAGCGCTCTTGTGGGGAACACTATCTTTACTCAACATGCCAATTTGAGAAGAGCACTTCAAGCATCACTTTCGAGAGCCGTTCGTGAATGTGCTGAGCCGATCTTGACTAGAGTCTCCGAAGCTGTATTGGTGACAACTGAGTTCTTGATCAAAAAGGACTTCGCTACTGAGACCGATATCGGCAAAATTAGAAGGTCGTATCATAGAATGGCTCAGCAATTGTCGCATAGTATGGTGTTGTGCTCTGGTAAAAAAATGCTTGCTGATACCATTGAGGCGACAATGTTGCATTTCTTGGGAAACAATCTTAGTGATATTCCAATCATGGAGTTAACCAGTGCCGTTCAATCAAATGTTGGACTTTGCGTTGATATTGTTGACAAAATTGCAGCCACTAATGTTATTGACTTGATTGATGAAAGGATGAAACCATATCTTTTAAAACGTGAACGTCATGGCAATGACGAAATGTTTGTGGAAGAAGGTACTCCCGAATATTCATTAAGATTACCTGAGCCATTAGGATTGAATCCAAGGGGATTGAGTGCTCAGCAGTTGCATATTTATGAACATTTTGGTGAATTGAAAAGTGAGCTGCTTGATGGGCTTCGTGCTGCTGGAATCACTGCCACTGGTGCGCCAGCCGTACTTGCTCATCCACAACCACAACCACAACCACAACAGCAACAACTACCAACACAAGTTCAAGCACAACCACCACCACAACTTGGTCAAGATTTTATCGTGCAGCAACAAGCAACGCTCGTTCAGGAAGACGTTATACCTTTGGAGCAATTGTTTTCGGCAATTACTCAATATTGTGAAAAAGCGGTACAATTGGTGTCTGAAGTATCGGAAAACAAGTTGTCAGACTTGCCTCCAAATCATCCTATTATGGCAACTTTGACTCAGACATTGGCAATCGCTCAAAGCAATGCGTTAAAGTATCCCGATTTGTTATTAAGGGCTGCCCAATATGCAGTCAATTGTTTGTTTACGCAAGTGCATACCAATCCGATGAGTAATGAAATTTATGTTGTTATTCTTGACAAGTTGTGTGAGTTTTCTCCATCAACGGCTAAAGACGTCATTTGGTGGTTGGTGAATTCATCTGATCAACGTAAATTCAATATGCCAGTGATTTTATCATTGTTGAAGGTGCAATTGATTCAACCTATAAAGTTTGACGAGTCGATTAGTAAATTGATTAAAGGGTCGCATAATCCGGCAATTGTTAAATTTGGTGCTAGTTTGTTATTAAATGTATTTACTGCTGAAGAAGCTGTACGTCCAATTGCGTTGAGGTCTGAATTTGCTAAAACTTTGGATGCATTGTACGAGTATAAGAAGTTGACTTTAACTAGTGAAGAAGATAAACAAGCTCAAGCTGAAGTTGACAAGTTGTTTGAGCAGTTAAACACATCTAAGCCAGCAACTTCTGAATTGTATACACAATTGGGTTATGTCTTCACTGAATGGGTGAGATTATTGACTCATGGTGATCAAGATTCTAGAGCTGCACAAGGACAGTTTGTGGCTGGGTTGGTTGATCTGGGTATTTTGAACGATGCTGATTACTTTAAGACTTTTTGGAAAGCAGGTATTGATATATCAACGCTTGTATTCACTACTGAGCAAGAGCTTAGAAGCAGGACTCAACATGAAGCGTACTTGTCAATTGATTGTTTGGCGATTTTGGTAGTGAGGGTCGTTTTGAGTATCGAGGATGAACAGCAAGCCATTCATTATTTGAAAAAGACTATTGCTGTGATTATGTTGAATTTGGTTACTGATCATGAAAATAAATCAGCTTGGAATGATCGTCCATATTTCAGATTTTTTTCATCTTTATTATCCACTTGGAGTGATGCATCCGTATTGGATCAAAACGCAACCAAGAAACTTGATGCTGATTTTTACACATTTATAGGTGATGTTTTCAACTCATTGCAACCTATTGTGTTCCCCGGTTTCACATTTAGTTGGATTGCATTAATCAGTCATCGTATGTTTTTGCCACAAATTCTTGAGTTGCCTGATCGAGCTGGATATGGCATCGGTGTGAAATTGTTGACTTCATTGTTAAAATTTCAACAAACTTATCAAAATAAGGATAGCAATCAAGATGTGTTGAGTGTTGTATTTAAGGGAATCAACCGAATTTTTGTTGGATTGATTCATGATTATCCCGAGTTTTTAGTTGAATGTCATTACCAGTTGGTTACTGCTATCCCCAGAGGATATATTCAGTTGAAGAACATTGTGTTGTCAGCAACACCAAAGGATATCACTGTGCCAGATCCATTCACTCAAGGATTGAAAGTTGAACGTTTACCAGAAATCAATGATGCTCCAGTAGTGTACTACAAACCAATTGAAGATTTAGTAAAAGTTGGGTTAAAGAAACCAGTGGAGAATTTTTTGCGTATTCCAGCACCAGGGTTAATGAGAACAATTTATAATGGACTTAAATTGAATCAATCAAAGACGACTGATGAGTTTGGGTACGCAGAAACCATCACATTCAATGCCAAGCTAATCAATGCATTGGTTTTACATATTGGAATGAATGCCGTTGCCGAAAGAAGTCCAACCAATCGTGGATTTAATACCAAGACTTCACAAGTTGCTTTACTTGTCGATTTAATGAATTATGGTTCCAATGAGTTCAAGTATATCATGTTGAATGCTATTGCTAATCAATTGAGGTACCCCAATAGCCACACTCATTGGTTTATTGGAATCATTTTGCATTTTTTCAGTTCAAATTCAATTTGGAATTCATCAACCAGTACTAAATTGGCAGTACAAGAAATTATAACGAGGGTGTTATTGGAAAGAAGAATTGTGAACAAGCCACATCCATGGGGGTTGACTATATTGTTTACTGAGTTGGTCAAGAATGAGAGCTACGGGTTATTTGAGTTGCCATTTGTCAAAAACTCGATTGAAGAGGTGAAGAATATATTTGACACCTTGTCTACCAATGTCAAGGGATAGAGAAGAAGAAGAAGAAGAAGAAGAAGAAGATGATGATGATGATGATGAGGGGGAGGAAGATGAGCATTAAGGACGTCGCATTCAGATGTCTCATTTGTATATTAGAAGGTTATAATTGTATTATGTAAATACTTTGTACGAATGTAATGATTTTTATTAGATGATTTAGCAGTTACCGTGGTGTGTGTAGATTGTGGTGGTGGTTTGTAAACTTTTTTTCAGCGGCAAACTTTTCCGAGTGGGTGACTGAAAACTTGACAAATCGGAACAGAAACAACTACACGAACATAATTCCATCAATACACTGTTCTATTTGAACAGTAGCATATTAACTGATACTAGCAATATACAGTAAAGCGCATGTCTAGAGTCAAAAGAATCGCAAAGGAATTAGAAGAGTGTCGTCAAGACAAACAATCAGGTGTCACGCTTGAACTCAACAATGATGCCGATTTAACTCATTTAACAGGGTACTTTGCTGGTCCACCAGGTACACCATACCAAGGTGGTTTATTCCAAGTTGCAATAGATATCCCTAACGAATATCCATTCAAACCACCACAAATGAAATTTACCACCAAGATCTACCATCCCAACATTTCATCAGTTACTGGTGCTATATGTCTCAATATCTTGAAGGATAAATGGACACCGGTCTTGACTTTGAAATCGACATTGATCTCATTACAACTTTTGTTGCAATCGCCAGAACCTAATGATCCACAAGATGCTGAAGTTGCCAAGCACTATTTGAGTAATAAAGCTGGATTTGAAGAGACTGCTGCTTATTGGACTAAATTGTATGCTAACGATGGGAAATCTGAAGGTGAAGGAGGAGCTGGAGCTACTGTGGTTAAAGATTCGGCGTTGTATGGTATTGATGACTCGATTGTGACTCAATTTGAGAATATGGGGTTCCCTAGAGATAAGACGATTGAAGTGTTGAGAAGATTGGGTATCAAGAGCTTCAATGGAGTTACTAATAAGGGTGATTTGGAGAATAAGATTTTGGAAGAGTTGTTGAGAGAGTGTCAATAGAGAGTGAAAGGTGATGCTACCCCTATAAATAGTCTGAAAACACAGCATTTTCTGAAGCTATGCAATTGTAGAGTGATATTTTGTATAAAGTAGGCGAGTGGTGAGAGCCCCTTCAGGCGGTCTCTGTTTAATCCGGACTAAACCATGCTACTTTGGGTTGATCTACGGGACGTTAGTGATATCCTGCATATAGACCAATTTGGGGCGTGAAAAATAAAAAAAGAAAATTTTTGATCCGATTGACCTTCCCAACTTGCCACAACCTAATCACTTGAAGGGTAATTGTTTAATAAACCAAAGCGTAACTGTACATTAGACATCGGTGTGAAAGATTAAATCATCACCATAAACATATACAACTACTAGAAATCTACTTAAAGCTGATTTCAACAAAATTGTGTTTTTATTACTTTTTATTTTTGCATCATTCTTCATTTCCCACTAGCATCATCTTCCTCAGCCGCTCCTTTATTGAAATATGACTACATCACCAACTCCAACCCAAGAAGAACGTAAAGGGACTCCAAACGATGTTTCCAATGCTACTGCTGTATCAACATCCGCTAAAGGTGGCCAAAACTTGACGGAGGAACGAGTATCGAATATTGGTTGGTATTTCATCAAATCGTACTATGATTTCTACATTGCCAAATTAGATGTCATTCATAAAATTTATCATGGTGATGCATCCATTTTGCACGATGCGTTCCCCGAAGAGGACAAGGACAAAAAGAAGAACGGGGATGATGGTGAGGATGAGTTGACCACCTGTTATAAAGCTAAAGGTACTGATGCAATCAAAAAATGCTTTGCAGAACATATATCTGGTGGAGGTAACGACAAGAACAGAATTGTTATTACCAGTGCTACTTTTCAAGTATCATTGGAAAAGAATATCATTATTGTTACATTTGGAGAGTGGTCCAAAAATGACTCGCCATTTAAACAGTTTACTCAAACATTTGTCTTGACACCAGGTAAAAGGGAGAGTACTTATGATGTTGCCAATGATGTTTTGAAATTTGTGGAAAGTAATGGATTTAAGAATAATCAACAAGTGCAAGACGATGTTAAGAAGGAGGAAAGTGTTGTCGTTGATGAGAAACTGGCAGCGTCTGCAATTGTTGATGGCGATGCAGTTGAGAAACAAAAGGAAACAGCTGCTGAACCAGAGAAAGAGAAGGTAGGTACAGAAGAGAAGGCAGATAAAAAAGAGAAGGATTTAGTACCAGAGGTTAAGAGAGAAGCGGAAGTCGAAAAGAAGGAACAGGCCAAGATTGACTTGGCTGAACCTAAGAAGGAAGAGACTCCAAAGTCTGAACCAGCTGAAAAACAACAACCACCAGCAGCAAAGGAGGAAAAGAAACCGGAAGAGCCAGCTAAGCCAAAAAGTTCACCGCAACCAATGACGTGGGCAGATTTGGCATACCAAGCTGTTCCAGCTTCAAAACCAGCTTCAAAACCAACAACGGCAATAAGTACTACTACATCCACTCCAATTGCAACCAAAAAGACCCCAGTATCCGCCTCTCAGCAACAATCTCATCAATCAACTGGTGGAAGTGGTAGATTTAAAAAAGATGAATGGTATCCAATCTACATCCGTGGTATTCGTTCCATTGACGAAAAGACATTGAGAGATCATATCACTAAAAAATTTGGTGAATTGAAATTTTTCAGAACTAATCAAAACATTGCCTTGTGTGATTTCGTTTTAAAGGAAGCTCAAAAAAAAGCATTGGAAGCTAAGGAGACTACGTTGGATGGAGTCGTTATCAATTTAGAACCAAGAGAATCCAAAACTGGTAACAATTTCCATAATAACACCAGTGGTAATAACAACAATGGTGGCTATAAAAGGAAGTTTGGCGACAAAGATGGTAAAGATAAATTTAGCGACAAGAAAGGTGGTGGAATCAATGGAGGAGGTGGTGCCGGTGGTAAGTTTGTTGATGGAAAGAAAGTTGCAGGAAATGCAACTGGTGGTAATAAACAAAAATTGGGTAAATTAAATGCAGCAAAATAACGGAGCAAGATGAGAAAGAAGGTGGTAGTTAGTGTGTATAGAGAGTACTTGATTAATGATGTTGAACAACGAATTACAGAAAGTAGGTTGGTTGGTTGGTTGGTTGGTTGGTTGGGGTTCCACGCGCTACCGTTTGCGAACTGACCAATAATTTCAACAAGGAAAAAAATTACCAATGCTCTTTAATCTACTTCAACAGACTAGTTGTCAAAGATGTCACAAATATTACCATTCACAGAAGCTAACACCAAAAGGGTATCGTCTTTATTCAGACAAGCTTTACGTACAGCATTTGACCACTCGTTGAAATTCGACTTGTATCGTGCTCAAACGATAAATATTCGTTCACAATTTGATGCCAACAAACATGTCAGCAACGCAGAGGAGTTGGAGCATTTGATCAAGCTCACTGAAGCCAAATTAAAAGAATGGAAGCATCCTGATCCTTATATTCCACCATGTAGGCCAGGCGGAACCAAGTATCAAAGAAATATTCCAGTTGCTAGGGAACCACTTGTGCCCGGTGACTGGTAGGAGGACAGCTGTAAGGAGATAGAGGGGGTATGGGTCGATTGTGTATTTATAAAATAATAAATGTTACAGTTTTCGTATCGTCTATGTGTATCTATTATGGTCTACTCTTCAGAGCCTTTAGTATATCAATGTATCACCAACTTCAAATGATGTTGTTCCCCGCCATTGTTTCTTTAACATTTTAACTGAAACATTGGCAGTAGCAGCACCAATTTGACCAACCATGGCGAAATACTTCAACAAAAGCAATTGCTGGTCTTCTCTAATCGTTTGTAATCCAGTTATCAATAAAGGCCATTGAATCATCAAAAGTAAAAATGGCGATGCATGTTGTTGCACATCAGAAAAATTATGAAGATAATGAATAAATGAGACAATCTTATCAACAAGTTGTGATACGTTGGGGTTTGTTGGTTGCAATTGGTAAAAACGGGTCAAGATCAATATTATTGATGATAGGACAAATGATTGATGCGAAATGTCTTGCCAACTTAACCAATAACTTTTTTCACCAACTCGTATTTCTTCAATGGGCAATCCCGGTGTGTATTTGTGTAGCTCGGATTCGGGGATAATACCTTTAGGATCAATGTATACAATTGTTGTTTGTTGGTAAAAATCCGACAAAATCTTCATATTTTGTAATGAGTCTATAGCCATAATGGAGGTATCACCACCTTCATTCGAGCGATACCGATTGAGTAGTTTGAATAAATCGCGGAAACATGCAATGCACGTGTTGTGGTACCCCATAAGATTATTAAACCCTTGATCAGTTATGATGCCCAATTCACAAAGAATACCAATTTCATAATCAGATCCGCATGACATTAAATGATCGATTTCGTAATCAGTTTGTAAAGTTCCACCAATGTTTGTGCTTAACCCAGCCAATACCTCAATAGAGACAAACCAGTACTTGCAAAACACAAACACTTTGGAAATATTGCCCATGTTGTTGCTAGTTGAGATCTTGAGTAGCAAGTCTTTACATCCAGTTAAATGAGGACGCCATTGTTGCGTACTGGTTGCTGTAGCCGCCGTAAGCAAAAGCAATGTCAACAATACGCCTTCAATATTGGCATTCAAGTTGGTGACTTCTTTAGCTGGTTCAAGTAATTTCAAACATTTCGTCAAATATGCCCCATATGCCTTTTCATCTTCGGGTTGTTTGTACTTCATAAAGCTGGTTTTGGCACCTTCAGCCAATATAGCCGCTAATAAACATGGCTCGGTACTTGCAGCTTTTAAAATAATGTCTCTTGCTGGATTTGACGCGATTTTAGTTTGCGAGTGGTACGCACTGAACGGTTCAATAATGTTGGCGAAATTATTGTAAAATTGCTCCAAGTACAAGATTTCGTGCTTCCGTTTGAGCTTGATGTAGTCGATGGGTACATTGACAATAAACTCGTCGCTTTGGGAAGGCAGAAATTGCTGTGGATCTTGCTGTGGATAATGGTGTTGCTGGTGCGGGTGATGTTGGTTTTGGTGCTGGTGCTGGTGCTGTTGCTGGTGCTGTTGCGGAGTTACAGCTGGTGTATCACCAAAAAAATCAAATTGGAAATCTTCTTGTATCGGAATATTTTGAAACTCCATGATTTCATTAACCAAGTTCGATAAATCATTAGTCAACATATTCAAGTCAGATCCATTGAGGAAATCCAAGTGATCTTCATTGTGATTGTTGTTGACGAGGTTTTCTATATTCAAAAACGATCTTCGTTCAGACTCTTGTAAGTTGGCAACTGTTGGTATGGATTCATTAGGTAGTGGACTGGGTTGTGCTGGAGAAAAAACTGGTCCCATGTTGTTATTGATTGGTGGAGTTGGTGTTACACCTGGAGTGACCCGTGGTGTCAACTGTTCGCTATTGGATGGAGACACACTATGCCCACCCCCACCGACACCGCCTCCACCACCGCTTCCGCTGCTGCTGCCATTTTCCTGTTGCAAATGTCGTTTCGGTACTTCGTATTGCACCGGCAAGAAATGCGTTGATTTGCCTAAGTTTTCAATCTCATCACGTATCAATCTTCGTGATATACGCAATACTTTTTCACCAGCCAAGGGATACGAACATGATTTACCTAATCGTACACATGTTGAACAAGCAGGTTTTTCTTCCGGGCATTTGATCTTTCGTCGTTTGCATTCACGGCAACCTTGACGCGAATAAGGTCTTCGTGGAGTTGTCATTAGAGGAGCTAAGCGTTGTACAATAGTTCTGTTGAAGTGTGGAAAGTACTATAGCATGTACATGTGATGTGATGTGATGCGTGTGTGTGTGTGTGTGCAGGTGAGACGGTAATCGAATATGCTGTATGGGCTGTATAGGATTGTGACCTGCTACACAATAAAGGTTCTCGGAATGAATGAGTCAGTTGAATACAATACAAGTGTGGATTTTGAAAAGAGGACATACGATGTGTCGTAAATCTAATTGATACAACAGTTAGAATTTTTACGACATTGAAATTGGTAATCACGTGCGCTGCTTATCTGATAAACAACAAAAACGCAAAACCTTAATCCATACAAACGCAAAATTGTGCATATCAAACTCACTCTAAACTGATGCAAATCAAATTGGCTGAAGGCGAATAATAGTCATAAAAATTTCATTGTTACATCAATTCTTTTATCTCAATCTTAGTCATCACAACTTACCACAATTTCTTTTGATCCAAAAATGACTTCAGTATTATTCTACATTCAAACAAGCTTCATTCAGGTTCTGCAACACTTACAAAGTTTCGTCCTTCATCAGTCTAATCCAAGTTTTGTGCCACTGCAAATCGGGTATAGCTTGAGTAGATTGTTAATAGAATCACCGCCAAGAGGAGTTAGTTTTTCAAAGTTGTGTGCACCTGGAGTAAAAAGTCTATCGAACTTTGATTCAACACTAGGTCTTCCTCAACTCCCACTGATAGAAGAACAGACTGGCGAAGTGATAGACTTGACCTATTTGCTTAGATCAATGTTGGCGCCATTTTTGGTTTTGTTTATTTTCAAAGTTGTGTTTTCACGTTGGAGTCCACAAGGAAATTTAGTTGAAGTTGAATTGGAACCGTTGGAGATGGGGACACTAGTGGATGACGTCTATGTTGAAATTGATTTCATTCATTCGTCTACATTTAGTGAAATCACACAACTCACCTTTGTTAATGTAGGTGAAATATTGTCACCTCAGCTTACCACCATATCAAGTACAAATATTGATGATAGTTGTGAAACCAGTGATGAAGGCGAAACGCCAAGCACGAGAAGTAAAGGCAATGTTTTACCAGCGCAATTATCAACTGGACAAATCCCTGTGAACAGGGAACACCGAAGTATGTTTTATTCTGTAGGCGAACAAGAGCCATCAATGGTGAATTCGAGTTATGCGATGATGATGGCAAATAAGTCTTTGCTTACATTGACTAACGCAACATCAAATCAAGGTGTAAGTAATGGCAGCAATTACCAAGTCAGTCAAAGCATTGTAGGAGAGGAAGTGAACTCACTGCATAATGATGCTCCATTCACAAGCAATTCTGAGCAGGACCGAATGCTATCAAATGATTCTGAATCTGTCCATTCGAGACCACATTGCTTGCTACAAAGCCAACTAACAGGTAATATCAAAATTGAAAGTGTCAAGCTGGCGAGAGAGTCTGTACCCCAACCTTACAAATTGAAAAACCAACGACAACTTCCTGAACTGAATGAGCCAAAAATTACCAGTATAAGAAGAACACCCAACTCGACTGCAAAAGCAGCAAATTTTGACTTGTCAATGAATACCAAAGCATCCAATTCTCCAATAGAGGAAATAATAGAACCTATAACCCCCGAGTTGGCGCCAGATTCGCACTCAAACTACTCAAAAGCTACTTTTGATCCAGTTGATGAAAGGTCAACCTACTTCTACAATCACAACCCAGATTCTGTGTCATTTCCCCTGTATCCCTACTTTCACCACACGCCCTCACAGTTATGGGATACTCAGCCGTTATTGATTAATTCAACAGCATTGTCAACCATTTCTTCATCGTTTGTGTCAAGACATATTTACTCCAGAAGTTCTTCCTTCCAAAGAGCCTGTAATTCCGGTGGAATTACAGTCAAGAGTTTCAATTTTGAAATGGATCTTGATGGACAAACTCCATGTGAGAGATTGGTTAATTTGGGTCGTCTGTTGCTGATCCTGAGAATAGGTACTGATGAAGAGGAGGGGGGAGTGGACAAGAATGAAGAAGCTGGATGGAGTTATTTTGTTGATGAAGTGAGAAGGAAAGAGGAGCAGCTTTCAAATACAAGAGGCTCCTCAGATAATTCAAATGAAGTGGCCGGTGATAATGCTGCTAATGTGACAATTAAGCGCGATTGGTTTAATCATCATTTTGAGCCTCCAATCTATGCTGAATACTAAACGTATGCATTTAGTGCCGAAATTCTTGGCCCATTCATACAATGGAACTCAGCATTAGCTATGAATGAAAAACTACTGGTCCAATTCTCAATTGGTCAAAGAGGTGAAACCAAGTTGGTTGGAACCTGCTTTATTCACGTGACACGATATCCTTAACAGAGAACTAGATACGTGCGGCTTTCCTTTGCTCCAAGAAATTATATACACGCGTCTCTACCACCTTGCTCGTGGTTTTGAAAAGCAGAACCTGTTTCATCGTTGATAGTTACTCTTTATTGCATCTGTTCATAATCCCTATTTGTTGATATTCGCATGTGTGTATGGTGTGTGTATGGTGTGTATTGCTGGTGTGTGTTGCCGGTGAGTTTGCAAAAACTTTCAAACCTGAAAAAGATCATCACACGCCACATCCTTGGATCTCGTAAAGTTTCATTTATTATATAAACATCCTGAAAGCTTTCCCCCTCATAAGCTTATTCGGTTCAAACCAACACCCTGTTTTATCATTTTACCCATATTGTCAGAACAAATATCTCTACTATTCACAGCGATGCCATATTATGCAGTAGCCAAAGGAAGAAATTCTGGCGTTTATAACAATTGGAGTGATTGTAAAGATCAAGTGAATGGATACAGTGGTGCCTCGTATAAAAAGTTTAGTACTGCTGCTGAAGCTAGGTCATTTGTGTCAGGTGGTGGAAGTGGTGGCTCTGGAGGAGGAACTTCCAGATCAGGTGGTAGTGGTGGTGGCTACAGTGGTGGCTACAGTGGTGGCTACTGCGGCTCCTCAAGCTCAACTTCAAAAGTCTCAAAGCCATCTACCACGTCATCAACCCCAACGAGTACAAAAACATTGAAAGTCTATGTTGACGGAGCATCGAGAGGCAATGGCCAATCCAAATCAGCTGCTTCTGGATACGGTGTCTACTACGGCCCCAATGACTCACGTAATGCTGCAGTTGGGTTACATGAAGTTGACAACATCAACAAATACACTCCCACCAACCAACGTGCTGAATTGCACGGGATGAAACATGCATTAACCAACATCAAGAATGATTTATCTAGTGGAAAACCAAGCTCGGGATCATCGAAGTATGATATCTATAGTGATTCCAAATATGCTATTCAATCAATTAATGAATGGTCAGATAGATGGCAAGCAAATGGATGGAAAACGTCAACGGGTCAACCAGTGGCTAATGTTGATTTGATTAAAGATGCAGTAAAGCTAAAGAATGATATTAATCAGTTACATCGTGAGCGTGATTGGCAACCATTACAATTTTATCATGTCAAGGGTCATTCTGGTGATGTTGGGAATGAAGCTGCTGATCGATTGGCTAATCAAGGTGCTGATAAGATGGGAAAGTAGAAATTTAGGCGACGAAGTATTGGCATAGATGTATTTGAGCTTTGCTTATGTATTGCTAATCTACAACATATGTACGAATAAATGAAGTATACGGCTATTCATTAATCAATCTCTTCCGTGGTGGCGGTCTTTCATTTATTGCTCTCTCTTCGTGAATCTTCCCAATTTAGCTAATTTGGCAATAGTTCGCAACACTCTCAATTGTTTAAAATGGAACTGTACACCAAATTCCACCAACCACAAGGGCAAATACCTACTAACCCAATGAACAAAATAACTTCTAGCTCCGTGGTACAAATTGAAACCAGGGTCTCTCCATTTCATCAAATCTCTCACGACTTCCTTGGCATATTTCTGAGGTGAGATGTTGACATCACGACTCATCATTGCAGATGCATTCATTGAGTCGTAAACACCTGGAACATCATAATATGAATCACCCAAGGCACTGCATACATTTGCATCACAGATGGCTGTATCGACACCACCGGTGATTACTGAATGGACTCTAACGCCAAATGGAGCCATTTCACCGTGTAAGGTTAAGGCATAAGCGTCAATGGCAGCTTTAGTGGAGTTGTAAGCGGACACCCAAGAAAGTGGGACTCTAGCGGCAATTGAAGATGTAAACACAATTGTACCTTTAGTGTTGATAACCATTGGTGCAAACCATTTGGTCATGTTGATGTGACCAAGGACATTGACTTGGAAAAGTTTATCCAAACGTTTTTCGTCCATTTCAATAGCCGGTCCAGCCATGGAGATACCGGCATTGTTGTAAAGGATGGATAATTGATTATTGGTGATTTTTTTAACTTCTTCATGAACAGATTTGATGTTTTCGACATTAGTGATATCTAAGGGGATGGAGATGAGGCCATATTCTTCTTCCAATGGTTTTTGCTCAAATATCACTTGGGGTGGTGAACATCCAATTACCTTGTAACCGCGTTTCAGTAATTCTATGGCCAAGTTGTAACCGATTCCTGATGAAGCGCCCGTGATTAATGCGTATTTAGTCATTGTTGGGTAAAGCTGTTGTATAAAAAGTTGTAAAAAGCGAGTTTACGAAAAGAAATGACGTTAATTTAATTTATGCTTTGGTGCTAACTACGTTTATATATATATATATATATATGTGGTTCCATTATTTATTTAGATTCTTTTGCGGGGGTGTGAAAAGAGGTTTTAGAGTTTGTTTTTTTTTTTGCGGATATTGTACGATTTGCATCTTTTGTTGTGATCACCTAATTTTGTTGAGTGGAATTTTAATTTACAAATCCATTTTGAACACTTCAGTTAACCAGTGAGATCTTGAAGTCTTGTGGGATTTTGAGCATTGAAAGGCAATGTTTCAGCTAGATCTGTTGGTCCACCAGGGGTAATATGTAACTACTATTTAGACAGAGTGAGCGGATTTTTCATGTGGCACATAGTGGAGTTAAGGAAATATTCCGGAAAAATCAGAAGCTTTCATAAGCTTTGTTTTATCTTTTACTTCTTCCCTACTACAGATATCACTTCACATTGTATTGATCTGCAATACACGACTTCAGTAGCACATGGCATAGAAGACTGCACTAGAAGTGAAGGTGGTGGGTATATATAAATCGTATCATTTTGCAGGTTTCTTTTTCAGAGCTTCTTTACATGTGATAAGATTTATCCGCAAAAATCACGTGATGGTTTTGTAAAGAGTTTGAAGTTTCTATAAGGATCTACAGTAACATACAAGTTGTGCTTTGTATGTTGTGTAGAGCAATGATTGATTAAAGCTGCCATAACTTCACATATGCCCCTCCTCGCCTTGCTTCGTTTAGTGCATGTTTTCAATTGACCATGGTCATGGTCAATTCGACAGTTATATCTTATTTTTTTGCACCCAAATTGTGACAAAATGTACAACACAATTTAAAGTTCCTTCACCTTTCTTCTATAACTGTTGATTTTGATGTGAAAAAGTATATAAGTTGATAGAGCCCTTCGCGCATTGAGTTTTTATCTTGTGGCTCTACCATCTATTGATTTTTTGTTGCTTATCGGGTATGTTTTTGAAGCAGATATAGTATGCATCCCTTTTACATTCCAAATTGTAACTTAACTTGATGACTTTACACTTTATTGTAATAGATATGAGCTCTTAGAACTTTGTGGAGGAAACAGTGAACTATAATAATTGTATAATAATTGCTTTAGTTGCAACATTGTCTCTTGTTCCCGTTAAACCAGAATTTTATAGAGAAATTTGACTTGGTTTGCGAAAACGTTCTCAATAACTTACTGAAAACGCGTGCTACCTTTACAACACTGTCCCATTAGAAACAGAGAGTGGGGGTGGTACATGTGTAACTCTAACTCTTACTACTTTGAAGCCTATTATGGTTAGATGCATTTTACCCCTATTTCTTTCTCTTTTGTATGTGTGTATGGATGTAAGAAGATTATTGTGCAATAATACACTACCCTCTATTGTCCAATCATAGCACAAGGCTGGACAATAGCTTTGTGTAACATTGCAAAAAAAAGAAATTCAGCTAATCATGTGACATATCAATTGTATACAGTACTAATGATATTTCTAGGAACCCTGTCTCAGCCAGTGTGTTGATGAGAAAGGAACCCACGTTCTCTTATCAAAGAACTGTATCAGGGAGAAAGAGACTATAAATGTACATTTACTTTTAACTAAGCTATTTCCACACCATCGTAAATACGAAGATTATACATTACCTACACTCAAGACCAAGCAACACTCATTTTTGAAATATCACGATACAAACTACAGGTACTTTACAATCTTTCACTACTCCTCGTATTTGGTTAACATCGATCGCTAATACCAACTGCAGTTACTACTCATCATCATCATTATCATGTCCACATCCACTGCAACTGAGTTGTATAGTCAAGGAACAGACGCCAGAAATAGATCCATTCATGAGCGTCACCACCAACGAACTTCATCAACAGTAGAAGAGTTGCTTATTGAGAAATTAGACTACTTTGTATCGTCTATTGAAGCTAGACTAAACAATTTTGACATATTCTTTAAATGGAAAGAGGCCCATGCTGATGATGACAATGACAATGACCATGATCTTGCTGATTACAATGATAAACCTATTAAAACTACTACAAATATTTACCATACCAGTGCTGAATATAGTTCTGGCAATTTGCTTTCATCTCGTAGTAGAAGCGATTCAACCGCAAGCTTGCAAAGTTTAAAAGAACTTTCCATCATCAAGTTGAATTTGATTAGAGATCGATTAAGATTGATCAAAAAAAGTGTCCTAAGTAAAGGATTTACCAATGTTGAATTCTTGTATAATTTGTTGGCTGATCAGTATGACTATTTGTTCAATTCAGTGGTTGACCCATCTATGGTGATGGATGATGATGAAATTGGTAGCCATGAGAAACCCATGAAAGAGAGTAGCACCTCTTCCCCCCTTTCATCACCCTCCCCACGTGAAGTACTTTCCAACAAACTCATTGATATTATCTACTACTTTGACCAGAAATTAACAAATATTGACGATTACCTACGCGAAAAGAATGCTATTGTTGAAGGTGGTATTAAAGATTTACAAGAAAATGGCGCTTCAGAACAACCACATTTCATCAATTTACGTTATTTCAATTTCAATCGAGCATTGAAGAATGCCGCTAGGAACAAGTATGTCCATTATTATGAATTACCATTGATGTGGCGAGAAAATAAATATATCATCCAAGGGTATCGATTTTCATTAAAGCATAGTGAAATGTGGAAACTGATATTTGCCTGGCATAATGAAACAATGAATATTTGGTCGCATTTGGTTGGTGTTGGCGTGGTGCTTTATATCGCCTTGGTGCAGTTCCCATCAACTACGGTATTTGAAGTCATGAGTAAAGGAGATAAATTATTCATGTACTTGTTTCTCGTTGCTGCTTTGGGTTGTTTGGTTTCGTCTTCCACTTGGCATACATATTCATGCTTTGCTCATTACCCCAGCCGAGCTAATTTCGCGTGCATTGACTACTCGGGTATTACTTTGCTCATCACCTGTTCGGTAATTGCTATTGAGTATTGTGCATTGTATAATTACCCCAATTTATCATTGGCATTCATCATATTCACCATGGCATGTGGTTTGGGTGGATTTGCGTTCAATTGGAGTCCATATTTCGATAAACCTGAATGCCGTCCATTGCGTATTGGATTCTTTATCGGGTTATCATTTTCAGGATCAACGGCGCTTCTTTGTCAATCATGGTACTATGGGCCCTGGCATGCATTGTGGTTTGTGCTACCGTTATTTTACAAGAGTTTTGCCTGGTACTTGTTGGGAGTTGTGTTTTATGGTGGGTTGATCCCAGAGAGGTGGAGATTCGATGTGATTATTGAAGAGAATAATGCTGTTGGTGCTGGATGTCATCATCATTATGATGCTATTGATGTGATTGAAGATAAAGTGGGGCATGCTGGTGAAGAAGAAATTGACCAAATTGAGCTGGAATTGTTGGAGTTGGAACTGCATAGGTTGCAAAAGGTCAAAGATGCATTAGCGCCAGCTAAAGCTTCAGATGAAGCAGAATTATCTGCTGATAATGTTGAACATGACAGTGGCACTGACCTCGATGACAACGATAATGAAGAAGAAGAAGAAGAAGAAGAAGAAGAGGAAGAAGATGACGATTTCAAACGCTTGGTTAAAAAGCATTTCAAAAAGGAACCAACAAAGACGCCCTATGCGAACAAGTTTATGAGTTTGTGGTGGGTTGATTATTTCATGGCCAGTCACAACATTTGGCACATTTGTGTCTTGTTGGGTATCTTGGGTCATTACTCATGCCTAGTGCACATGTTTAATGAAATCAAGGGTATTTTGAAGTAGAGGCTCATCAGGTGTTGGTGGTAGTTTGCGTTTAATTGTATATCTCAAATGAATTTACTTCTATAAAAATTTGAATGGCTAAGTCTAGTAATTTACTCATATGTTTTCTTTGGGAATGGGAAAGTTGGTCCAACTTGTTGAATAGACAACTTGGCTGCCCATTGACCCACATCAACCGCTTGAGCCAATGATTTACCTTGTACCAAAGAAGCAATGAACCCAGCAGCAAAAGCATCACCAGCACCATTAGTATCAACAACTTGCTCTTTGGCCAATGGAGCCACGGGGTATTGATGAACTTCGACTTCACCATTACCCAAATCAGTTACCGTCACTGTTGGTTCAGTACCTTGAGTGAAGATGACAGTACGTGGAATTTGTTTATTTTCTTTGGGTAATTTAACAATCTCCTTGGCGATGGCAACCACATCCTTGGAATCAACTTTCAAATCATGTGATTGAGCATATGCTTCAGCTTCTGATTCATTAGCAATTACGTAATCGACGTATGGTAACACCGAATCCAATTGATCTTTGAAGAATTGAGCAATAAAAGGAGCACTGAAATTCAAAGCCAATGGTTTATTGTGTTTAGCTGCTTCTTTACCCAAAAGTAAAATCGCTTCTGGTGACACGGTCAAATGGAAACCACCAACGTAGTAATGCAGAGCATTTTCGACAATGGCCCAATTCTCCGGTTTTTGTAAATGTTCTGGCTTGAAATGATTTGCTGCTGCTAAATCAGTAACCAATGACCGATGATGATCATAAATCAAAGCAGCACATTTACCAGTTGCATAATCTTGTTGCACTTGGTACTTGGTGGTCAATCCATATGCTTCATTAGCTTCATTTAACCGTTCGGCATAAACATCATTACCAACAGAACCGAAATAAACCACTGATTGAGGAGGCAAGATGTATTGAGCACCTCTAGCGGTATTTTGAGCCGCACCTCCTGCAACGAGAATCAAGTCGGGTTTTTGCAAGATTTCTTCATAGATTGGCAAATGTTTATCTTCAGCCAAGATGGCATCATTGTCTTTTAAATCGTATTTGGTTAAATAGGATTTATCGACATTAGTTTGGAGGTCCAAAAGTGGGTTACCTAAACAGACTAATTTGAATTGAGGGGTGGACATCGTTGACAATTGTGCTGTTGCGTGGATGTAACTGCGTGAAGTGATTACCGTACGTAGTAGAGTTGATCTAGTAACTGGTCCAAGTTTAAATTGTTTGATAAATGTTGTTGAAAAATTCATCTCTCTAAATTATTCTTATTCTTAGCGCCTTTTATTTTTCGTAAATTAAGAAAGTTTTCCTTCTTTTTTTGTGCGTGAATTGGAAGTTTATTGTCTCTGACTGATGCAAAATCTCGTGCAAATAGGGAAACGAAAAGGAGAGAATATCTATCCGCTTTTATGCTCTTCCCACTCCCTCTCTCTTATCATGAAAAGATGGGAAGGCGGGAAGGTGGGAATGTAGGAGGCGGTCGTACCCTTGGAAGCGCTGGAAAAGGGTCATTCAATCGATTCGAGCGCCAGATATTTTTGATCACGCAGATAAACGTGGTACAATCATGTTGTTCACACACATGTTAAAACGAATGAAAATAGAAGTTTCTATGCAAATGTAGAGAAGCTAATCTTTACAGAATGGGGGACTCAACTGAGCCAATGGGATAAACCTTTCGGTGGTATTATGTCGTATTGGTCAACTCTACGACAATTAATGACGACATTGTTGTATGCGAATGCATATTACGATGGCCACCACTACCTCCAGCGATGAATAGATTCAATTAATGGACATCACTACCACTAAATATTAGCAGGTGGCATCGTTTGAGTACTGATGTCGTGGTGTGGAGGTGGGGAGGTGGGGGTGTAAGGGGGGATTATCTAGTTTGTTGTCGCAAAATTCTTGTTTAGTTTGCGACACGACACACACGATACGATACGATACGATACCCCTTCGCCATCGTCTAAATGCCGTTTGAAAGATTCTCGCATGTGACTTTGTTTGTGTGTCGCGTAACCCATAATGTCGCAAATATCAATGTCGTAACTCTCTATTTTATGAAATTATAAACAAAGGGAAAAACAAAAAGTGCCATTTTTGTGGTTGTTTCTGTCAATTAAAATTTTTTTATTCTCATTTTGACAACAAAACAGTAAAAAACCCAAAAAAGCATAGACAGAAGCAATAGCGAAGGAGGAATTACTACTGCTGTTGAACAGAGAATAGCCATTACCACTTTAGGTTGAACTCATTACCACCTATAGAGCACAATATATAATACAGGAGAGATTCTAAGCATTGCATTTTTGTGGCTACACATTCATTTTTAATCAAAAGGATATCCACGCTTCGTCGTCAATCAGAAAACAAAGCTAGCCACAGACGGGAAGTTCTAGACATACTTTAATTAATAGCCAAAACACTGTCCTTCGTTTTACCAGCTGTGTATCTTATCCCACTGAAGCTTTTAAAAGATGTCGCTGTCACCAAGTAAACCGTCGCCTCAAAAGTCAGCTCCTAGCACCACCTTGTCGTCTTCTTCACGGGTTATCGACTCATTGCAGTCTACAATCGACAAATTAACTGATGAAATAACGACTTTAAAACAATCTAATCAAGAGACTACCAAGAAGAACCAAATACTAAGTCAACGAAATGAATCATTTGTTGACCAAGTGGCTAATTTAAAACATGAAAATGAAATGTTGAATGCCATGTTGAAACGTAAAGATCGTCGAATTGCTGATTTAGAAGATCAGCATAATGAACTTTCGAGCTCAATTGAATCAATCAATTTCCTGAATAAACAAATGAAGATGAGATGTGAAAATTTAGCAACCAATAATGATAAAACAATGGCTGAATATGAAAGTTTGAAAATATCATATGATGCTTTAGTTACTAGTTGCAATGAGTATAAACAACATTACAAGAAGGAAATTGAAACCATTAGTGCCAATTTTGAAGAGTACAAGAGTTCCAATATGGTTAAATGGCTGGAATTACAAAAACTGATTACTAGTAATGATAAAGATATTGATACATTGTTGGATTCTTTGGGGAACAAAAAGAAGTCAATGGATAACATCTATGTTCACAAGAATACCAAAATTTTACAAATTCTCACAACTTTGGCCAATTTGGTAAAGACACATGGTCAAGAAAGTAAACAAATACTTGGTGATTGTTCGGAAACAATTGACTATTTATTAAACAAGTATCCCGATTTGAGTGAAAAATTAACCAAACATGAACAAGTTGAGTCAATTGATATAAATTCAATCCTTACTGAGTCAAGAGAAACTTTGAATAATGTGTCGTTTGATGATGAAGAAGTAACATTGATACAGTCACCTGATTTGGAAAATGGACCTGCTGCTAACAATAACACTTCCTTGACCAAATCTGCTTCAATAAGACGCAAGTCAAGGAAAAATGGCGCAAACTCAAACAATTCATCTGCGGCTTCATCACCAAACTTGCCTCAATCAGCACAACATAGTCAACACAATCAACATAATCAACACAATCAACATAGTCAACATATACCTTCCTCACGAAATGATACCCATTCTAATGCAACCTCACATCACCAAACAACATACCAACACCCACACTCACACTCGCGTTCGCAGTCACAATCACAATCACAGTCACAACTGGAGCTGAGAAAACCTGTGGTTAATAATAACCTCATAAACATCAATAAACCAAGAAACAAAAATGGTATAAAGGGCAGTGGTGACGCTCCCACGTCCAATGGTGATCGCAATACCAGTATTGGCAATACTGAAAAGTCAACTAGGAGAAGATCAGGCTTTTATGGCAATCCCAACAAGGTCAGCAATGGGAGTTCTCATAAACATAAACGAAACTCGCAAATAATAGATCACACCGTATAGAGTTGAGAGGAGCTTGCACAATATAATAGAGATGTATGGGGTGTTTCAAAAGGGTGGGTGTATAATTTTTATTTGTTTGTATTTAGAGAGCTAGACTTGCTATTTAATTTTGTTTTGAGTAAAAATTTTCAAAAGATTAAGCTTTTAAGGAGTCATTGTAGGAGCTTGCAAAGTTTTTGAGGATTCAGCTTGAGTACATGCAGCTGCCCCATTTTGAGTGGGAATAATCATAATTCTACTCACTACCGCTCGATGCACGTTTTTCGGCGCTCAAATGCCTCCCCCCCCCACGAAAAAAAAAGAGCGCTTGTTCAAACCAAAAGAATAAATTCCCCTCGAAAAAGAATAAAAACATATTAACAGCTCTTTTCTTTGGCCAATTTTTCCTTCATGAACAATTGCCATCGCACATCAAGAAATGCCATTGACTCACTTTAGAATCGGCAGAAGAGGCGAAAGCGTTGAATGAAAAGAATTAGTGCGTGGCGTACTATGTGCAATACTTGGAAAAGAAAAGAGGACAAACTAATGGAACAAATGGGGAAGACCAAAATCAAGAGAGTGGGGCAAATTTCGAATCAACACGAGAGATAGCCACGCCATGGGATGCATACCACAAAACGACGTCTGAGAAAAAACATATTTGTTGAGCTGTACCCAAGAATAACTAAACAACAAGCTAATGAAATAATAAACTGGATCAAAGTTGAAGCTTTACAAGGCAAAATTCCCCAACAATGAAGTTATAAAATCAAAAGCTGAGACTCTTGTCACTGAGAATGAAGCATTCAATGCTAGCCCCTTACGTAAAGATTGGGTTGAGCTTTTCTTGTCGAGGGATAGTGATGTTGAAAACTATCGGGAAATTTCAATGGGTGAAAACTGGGTTGGTTTGGTGGACGAATCCAAAATGAAAGGGGTTTAAACAAGGATATGGTACCAAGCGACGCAAAGGTCAAATTGAGCCGGGAGATTGCTGCAATTGGATCAACTTGAGATTTTACCAATCGTTGACGCCCAAGAAGAAGGAGAGGTTTTGTGTCGAATGGATAAGCGAAGACAACGAGGAGACCATTCAACATTTGATGAAGGGAAGCCTGTGATTTTCGATTGCCTTTCTTGGTTGGGAGATTGTCTCGCTTCTACCACGGCATTTGTAAACAATGGTGCAAAATGATCTTTACAATAGTTTCGTAATCCAACATTGATTCAAGATTGGATTTTTGCTCCAGAACGAAGCCAAAATAATCTTATAACATTATTAATTGCTATTGAAATATTATTAGTAACTGGAATTCACGAGTACCAACAATAAGCAATTCAATCAATTGAGTGCAAATAATGTGAAAATCCTGAGCGCCAATGTGGATATCAATCCAGCCAAGCTCGGAAACATTCGGATCGCAAGATTTTGCTAAGTGCAAAACAAAACAAGCCCATACAACCAGCTCCTCGAAATGAACTACGACCCGATTACAAAGAAATATGACGAAGATTATGATATCAAGTTGGAGAAACATTATTCAAGTTTGGCAAAACCCATCTATTTGAAGCCGTTGTTCAGTTTCCTCCAGATTAGAGTTGTTGAGGAACAAAAAGTGAATGTAATGAACAATCGGGTGTTCGTCGGGGAGCCGAGATCAATCTCCTTTCGTTGGACTCATTTTATGATGAATCTGATTCCCAATCGGATGCAGTAACGTAAGCGAGTGATACTCGTTTGGGTTTCGAAAGTGATCCAACATACATCCCCACATCAAAGCAGTTGTTGCGCTTGAAAATTTTGGGTGTAACAAGAAAAGAGAAGATCAAAATTGAATAGAGCAAATTTGATCATCAGGAATGTGCAACAATGAATGCAGTTGCGTATTGGCTTTTATCGTCGAAACAACACCCAGTTAAGAGATTGTCGTAGGAGATCTTGAAATCGCTCCAGCGTGTTCTTTTGAAGCAGGGTACAGTTGAAGGTGATGAGAAATATGGGCAAAAAGGACAAGACATGGTTTCAACTGTACCACCCAAAAAGAAAAAAACTTGATCATCGTATTGAAACCAATCACTGCAGCTGTACTTTAACTGCTGATCTTCCAATGATTATAGGTTTACAAATAAAAGCATCTTTGAAATAATGCCGTCGTGGATCGTCAAAACCCCTACTCAAAGCCTGGTGTAGCATCAATGGATATGGGGGGGGGGCAAGAAACTCACATAATGAACACCCTCTTTGTCCTTATAGCTGATTGACCATATACTCATATTGTATATCCCACAATTGTTCCATCTTCGTAACCCGCTAATAGCAAGTCTCCGTATTTCTTTTGCTTTATCAACTTTGAGTAACTTTGATCATCTTGGGTATCTGCTTTGATATGCATGCACATGTAGGTCAATTTCACTATGGTTTTCATTTCATCAGCGTCGATATGAGGCAAAGGGCGCTGAATAGTTTCATCAAGCAGCTGGATTACTCCATTCCAGAAACCAATTATGAGTTGACCACCATATGGAACAATTGCTTGGACGCCTGCTTCATTCAACTTGCAAACTTTTATTGGATCTGAATGGATAATCACTTTCTTACCGGTTGATCCCGACACTAAAGTAGTGTTCAATGCAGCCAATGAGATTATTGGATTAGGAACATGAGACGAATTGTGATATTGAAGATTGAGTTTCACGTCTTTGTTTATAATCAGTGCAGACGTTGCACTTTGGATAATTGTCGGCTGAGGTAGACTAATGACTAGTCCAACTATATCTCCAGACTCGTAGCCAATGTAAAGCACATTGCTAATGATGAGCATCTTCATGATAATGCCAAAGTCTTTTCTACCTTCAATGTCCTCAAACTTTACATCATGTACCAAGTTGTAGGATGAAAAGTTGGCCACTTCTCGCGTGATACCAATTGGCTCTTCATCGAGTCGATATATGTCAATGTTATTTGAGTTTGTTGTTGCTGGGGTGATCAAGTAATGATTGCAAAATAAGACAATGTTGGAGAAATTCAAAGCGTTGACAGGAAATTCATATTGTAGTTTGTCCTCTAGCCAGATCTTGATGGTGGAGTCTCTCGAATGGGTTATTATGTATTGGCCCCATTTCAATATTGTCAATATGGCATCAGTATGTGCCGTCCATGTAAGAACCGGACGTTTGATTGGCAAATTCCACTTTGTAACAACACCTGTCTGATCCGAGGTGAGTATATGTACATCCGATATGGGTAGTATGAATGTAATTGGTGCCTTATGGCCACGTAACGCAAGCGCTCTCATTGTGAACGGATCTAGATTTGTAGGCGGGACATTTTGTGCTGATAATCTCGATGAGCATTAGGAAAAATATCAACAAAGCTCTCTTTGCCAATACGAAAACAGCAGCGCCCCCTAATATGGTGAAGAGGGACCATTTTTCCAAGTTGGCATCTGACAATGCCAAAGAAAGAGTACAGGCAGCAAATGCTTTAATGCAAGAGTTGATAGAGGAAGATTCGGCTCAAGAATGGGACTACACTTACAATCGTTTAATCAAAGGCTTGACATCAACGAGACAAACTGCAAAATTGGGGTTTGGCATGCTCTTGACCGAAATTGTTTTGGAGATGAGGAAGCGGGGAGATTTGAATTTGGAAAAGTATCTTGACAAGTTGATTGAAGTGACCACCATTAAAGGCGGTATGAAGGGAAAAGAAGAAAGAGCGCTCTTGTTTGGTCGTTTGTTTGGGCTCAATGTTGTTATAAAGGTAGGGTGGCTCAAGGAAGCAAGTGAAGCGGAGTGGCTTCACTTCATTGGCGTTTTAACGGACTTATTAGATACAAAGCCTTGGATACGCGAAGCTACTGCTTCTAGTTTAATTGATGCCATCAAGAGTGCCAATGAGAAAATAGCCAATACAATACACTTGCAGGTCTTGCAAAAAGTGAATGACCTAGGTTTGAATCTTTCTACTGAAGGGTTGGCTATTTATTTGGCTATAGATAGGGTTACGAGATCAAAGCTTGCTTCTGAGATTGTTAAACCCAAAACAAATTGGAAAAATGGCGATCCTCTTCATAAAGGCAACCTACCTGTATTGGCTAAAGTATTGAAAGATGTTGAAATTGTTGATGAAAATTCTGAAGATAGAAAACAAAAGAGTAATTGGACACCCAACTTGCCATTTGTATGGAATATTCTTATTGATGATTTTGTTCATTGCAATGATAAAGTGCAAGAACCACCGCAAAAGAAGCAGAAAAAAAGCAACAGCAGTAAAACTGAAGATGACATAATTGGTTTGAAGGTGTTTTATAAAGTCGTTGTGGACGAGTCATTATTTTCTGAAAAATCATCACACGAAAGGAAATATTGGGGGTTTGAAATTTTCATGAATTTTTTGGCCAAATTGGATCACGACTTGGATGTGCTATTCACTCCAAACTTTATGAGATGTTTGATCAACCAGTCATCACACAAGTCACGTACATTACACAACATAGCTGTAAAAGTGTTGTCGGCGATATCCGACAAAGGCTCACACTCGAATGATACAGCGCCAGTGCTACTCAGTTGCTTGTTAGATGAGTCACGGGGCGGGTGTTGGAACTTTGATTTGATTACAAAATCTCGCACGATTGATGGGATCTTATCTGCACTGAATATTGGGAACATACCTGTAATCGTTGCCAAATTCACGGAAATGCTCAAAAGTCAATCAACTACGGATGGGTTTAAATACTCAAACGATAATGTGCTCAAATGGTGTCTTGATAAGTTGGTGCATTTGGTCAAGTTTAACAAGGAGGACAATATTGTGAAACAAATTATTGGGTTGTTGATAAAGTGTGCCTTTTTTGAGAGCGACGCTTCTCCAAATATCAGGAAAATGGCGCAAGAAAAATTAAATGCAGTTCTTTCGGAGGTTTTATCACGAAGCGGAGAGTCTGGTATCACATGGCCCAGGTACTGCGTGGAACAAATTGCCCTGTTGGAAAAGACTAGTAAGTGTTTGGTTGAATTTGATGAGGAATTGGGGAAAGTGCGCGATGAAACCAGTGCAATCTTGCGATCGGTCTCGACTAGCTCAAAGGGGGATTTTGATAACGTCTTTGGTTTACTATTCTCCATGTGCTTTATTCAATTGTACATGGGAGATGAAGAAATTGTTCAAATTACACAAGAGCTAATTTCACTTTATCAGAAGGAGGTAGATAAAACAGAGGACAATGTGGATACTGCATTAGTAATGACGGAGGTTCTCCTTAGTTTCATTACTAGAAAAAGCACTTTGTTGAAGAAGTTGTCAATGATTGTATGGGATCATTTTCTTTGTGGAACTGATGAAGAGGGACAGTTGCGAATTAACGACGAATGTTTTGAGTTGTTATTTGATGTGTTGAAGACAAAGGAGAATAAAGAGGGGCAGAAGCAATTGTTTGAAAACGATGATGAAATGGTTGTCGATGGTGAAGATGAAGAAGGTGACGAAGATGATGATGAGGATGGCGATAACGATTCCGAGGATGGCAATAACGATTCCGAGGATGGCGATAACGACTTAGACGATGGCGATAATGACTCTGAAGATGGCGATAACGACTCAGACGATGACTCGAACAACGAGACCGCCAACAACACCATGACTGACCTCGACAAAGAAACAAATCTCAAGCTTGCAAAAGCCTTGGGTATACCCACCGCTGAATCGGGAGAAGTCAAATTTGACGAACTTTCTGACCTCGATTCATCCAACGACGAATACGAAAGTGATTCCATGGATGATGAGCAAATGATGGCCATGGATGATCAATTATCCAAAATTTTCAAAGAGAGACAAGATATACTAAACAGTGTTAGTTCAGGAAACAAGAGAAAGACGGAAGTTCATGAAGCACGTGAGAATATGATTTTTTTCAAAAATAGAGTTTTGGATTTATTGGAGAGTTTTACTAAACACCACCCTAATGCCGAGTACAATTTGAAATTTATTGGTCCTGTTGTGACGTTGATCAATTTGACTATGGATAAAAGTTTGGGAGTGAAGGCGCATAAATTCTTAAAGACTAGAATTAGCAAGACCAAGGTGTACTCTGCAACCGGGCCAACAAGTATCCAAGACGTACCAGAGTTCACTCAATGGTGCAAACAATTGATTGAAAAGTTGCAAGATCAGGCTGCAACTACAAAGTCATCAAACCATGCTGTTATTGCTAGTTACAATCAGAGTTGCATCATCCTTGCCAAGAACTTGATTGGGGTAGATTCATCACAATTGGAACCGATTATTGACATATACACCAATGCCTTGAAGAAATGGGCACTAAATAAAAACAACAAACTCCAGGTATCGTTGTTTTTTGATTTTATCAATTGGCTCAACGATAAAAGACACAATTTGAGCGGGCAATAAGCACAACCAATTTTGTATACATACATATATATATGTATAGCTTTAGGGTGCCAAACTAGAATTAGAGCTTGGTCGTGTAAATGAGTACAATTTGTAAACCAATTAGAAAAATTTCCTTCAACAAAAATAAAGCTCTGGCCGATACCGAGAAGTCAAAGAGAAAAGAGAAAAGAGAAAAGAGAAAAAATTATTCACCATTGATCAACAACCACCACAAGCATCTATTCACAACCATGTCAGCGTACAAACAAGCAGGTATTTCATTAAACAAGGCATTTGCTATTGCGGCACAAACTTTGAGAAACTCATTGAAGCCAGAATTTAAAGCTGCTGCCGAAAGAAGAGGTGTTGTTGAAGCTAAAGTTGCCGTTTACGAAAATGGAAAAGCTGGTGAACCAAGAGAATTGAAACCAATTGACAAATAAAGTGAGAGAGAAAGAAAGAGTGAGTGAGTGAGTGAGTGAGTGAGTGAGTGAGAGTGTGGAGCAGCAGATTGTATAGATAGAGCTTCGAAATCAAACTGGGTAATACACAATTACGGTTTTACGTTGTGCACAAGATGAACATTTTCTCTATTTACAAACACTTCACTATCTTTTCAAATCTTCACCCAATGTTGCACTATCCATATTCTGAATTTTCTTCTTTGTGTCAAGGGTGATTTCTTCAATCAATTGATCTTTGAGTTCTTCAGGTAAGGAATCAATCATGGCTCGTAAATGTTCCAATTTTCCAAAATCACGTTGATTTTGTTCAATCTTTTCTGCTTCATAATTTGCATGCTCTATTTCATCTGCTTCTTCTTCGTCAATTTTATCTTCATCTTGTTTGTTTGTCGATTCATCTAATAATTTGGATAATTCACTATTGGGGTCACTAAAGAGTTCAACAAATCTGCCATGTTCAACAACTTTGCCATTCTTGCCCAAGACAACAACAAACTCTGATTTCGAAATGGTTGATAATCGATGGGCGATGGATATGATTGTCATTCTTCCTTGCGAAGTCAAGTTTTTCAAGGTCTCATTGATTAACGACTCTGATTTTGAATCTAGCGCCGAGGTGGCTTCATCGAGGATTAGAATCTTGGGACGTTTAATCAATGCACGAGCAATGGCAATTCGTTGCTTTTGGCCTCCTGATAATGAAGCACCTCGGCTGCCAATTATAGTGTCATATTTCTCAGGGAAACTCTCGATGAAGTCGTGACAATTGGCTTGCTTGCACACTTCAATGATATCATCCATTGAAAGTTGGCGAATTTGTTTTGGAGTGAGACCATACACGATGTTTTCCAAGATTGTACCACTTAGTAAAAGTGGCTCTTGCTGAACAATACCAATGATATACCTTCTCAAATCACGAACTTGAATATCTTTGATGTTTTCCCCACCAATTAAGATCTCACCACCTTGGATGTTGTATGATCTTAAAAGTAATGCAGCAACGGTAGATTTTCCTGCACCTGAAGGAGCAACAATACAAGTGCTGGTTGAACTAGCAATGGAAAAGCTACAATGATCAAACACCTTGTCATTGGGTCTTGTTGGGTAGCTGAATGTAACATCTTTAAACTCAACTTCATTTTGCAAATTGCCCGCTTTTTCCCCATTGATGGGATCAACATCACTTTTGTAATCAATCAAGTTGAAAAGCTTGACTCCGGCACCAGCACCTTTCATCAATTCAAGGTATGTCGTTGTTAAGCTATACAATGCCAGGTTAAAAAATTCCAGATACATTGTAAACGCCACAACATCACCAGCAGTCATTTGACCCTTTTGCATAAGCCATATACCCAATGCAACACATGATAAATACCCCGCATGATAAAGGGTATATATGCTAACAGAATAATTTGATTGTGCAAATGCCTCTTGTTTGGCAACTTTGACAACGTTTCTAATCCTAGCACTATACTTGTTGAGTTCCTTTTGTTCCCCAGTGAATGCTTTAACCAATTTGACTGCATTCAATGTCTCTTCACTGACTTTTGTTAGCCCAGCACTAGCATTTTGTAATTTGGTGGACAACTTCCTAATTTTTTCACCATACCATACAGAACCAATGGTGATTGGTGGTGAAATCAACAACATGACTCCAAACAACATTGGGTTTATCGAATACATCATATAGGAGCTAATAACTCCAAACAACAAGTTTTTCAACCCATCGGGTAGATTCCCCGTTATTGACTTGCTCACAACATATGCATCACTTGATAAACGCGATATTAAATCGCCAACTTTGTTCTTGTCATTGTCGTAAAATTTCGCATCATGGCGTAATAAACTCTTCATCACTTTGGCTCTTAGCCTAGCAACAAGTCGTTCACCTAGTAACTTCAATACCCAAATTCTAGCCCAAAAACAAAGGGCAGAGAGACACATGAATGGAACCATGAATTCGAAAATCGTCTTTGCCGTGTAACCCCACACCATCAATTCACCATTGGCGTTTCTAGTTCCTGAATTGAATGAGTCTAGTAGAGCACCAACTAGTTTGACGGCGGTGGTTGGGTATAGTACTGCGCATAAAATAAATGTAATTGCAAGCAAAAACAACTTCCAATCGGATTTACCCAATTTTAGTATTCGACCAATGGTTTTCATATTTTCTCCAAATGTTTTCTTGTCCAATTTGGAAAACTGTTTGTTCTCCTCTTGTTTGATCTCCTTCTTTTTTAGTTTAGCGAGATCTAGATGTGATTTGACTGATGAGTCGTGAATAAGTTTGGTCTTTTGAGACTCATTGGAAAGAGATGATGTCGAGTTGAATCGTACAAGACTCAATATGCTTCTGCAATGAGGATTATTGATGATGATATTACTCCTCGGTATAAGTTTGTGTGGATTAAGGATGTGATATGTTCTCAAGGTTTGTCGTGTTGTAAATCGACATAGTAGGACAGATGCTGGTTTTAGCATGAGCATGGTTGGGGGAATGCTATGTGTGGTGCCGGATAATAAATTCGAAGCTGCTATGAGTTAGCAGATGCTTTCGTGGGTGGAAAGAGTTGGTTGTAGATGGATCTTTGGTTGTCAAATCTTCATCGGAATAATTTTTTTTTTTTTTTTTTTTTTTTTTTCGTTTCTCTTTTTCCAACCGATTCGTTCACCAAAACTGAGTCATCTAGATGAATTTACCCAAGAAACGTATCTTTGGTAGTAGAGGGTTGGAAGAGCTACAAAGGATGGCGTCCACATTATTATGTACTCTCTTTAAGACAACCAGATCAAGTTGAAGCCTCAATCCTCTCGTGTTGAATCTCGGCTCCGGAATTCGCTGTTTGATATGGGCTTTTGCATTTTCTATTGTGCATCTACTCTTTTTCATATCCTATACATTTCTATCAAAATAACTTTCAATCATACCGGTTTCACTTTCCTCATACTCGATCAAATCAACACTTCCATCCTCTTTTAAAACCGTATTTGCTTGAATCAAAATCTTTCTTGGTTTCTTTTCCTTAATAACAACATCTCTAAACTTGGCATATTCATCTTCAACATTACTCTTTTCAAGATAATATTTCAATCCTTGAGTAACATTAGCCGTGGATTTGTAGACGTGCAACTGACCTAAAAAGTCACCAAGTGCGTCAACAGCAGTAACACCATCATAAAGTTTCGACTTGTCAACAACAATCTTCAAATCGGAAAAATCAGATTGTGAATGTTTGAATTCAAATACGCCAGCCTTGTGCAATTGTTTCATAATGGCAAAACGCCCCTGCATGTGAGGTTGACCCCATTTCTTGGCCTCAGGGTCCCAGTATTCTAAACCAAGTAAACCAGCACGAATCATCAATAAACTGGCAATGTACATGACATCGTCTTGGCTAGATTTGGAAGTGATGCCAAAAATGGGCAACACTTGTGTGGGGTCCTTAAGAATCAAGTATAATGCCACCAATTCAGCACGGCACTCTTCATAGGATCCACTGTTGGCACCAAATACCCCAGCCCAAGTTTCATTAGGCTTGTACCAAGTGGTTACATCATTGCGTTGCAGCTTATCAAAATTGAATTTACCCGGTTCAGTTTCTTGCAACAATTTGCCACTTCCGTGACCTAATAACTCATGCAACCCCACTTGAACTTCAAATGAATCATCTCTCCATTTTTTGAACAAATCTTGATCATCAATGAATGTAATGATTTCTTCCTTTTTGGGGTTTTTGGGGTTGGCCGAAAGGACATTACCAAGAGAGACATTTTTAAACCCATAGTTTAATCTCACATCATCATAATTGGGGATATTGATTCCAGCGGGAACACCAGATCCGGCAAATGTCAATACTTCCAATGAAGTGAAATCAGGTGGTGTGAATGTATCCTTTTCATAAAAACTTTCCCATGGTAACTGAGCAATAAATTTACTGGCATTGGCCACCAATTGAGAGAACTTGGCCGTACGTTCATGATTCACCATGGCTACAAGACCCTCCCATTCACCACGTACACCAGCTGGGTCTCTATAAGTTTCAATGAATCCGATGTTTGATTCAACTTCCGGTTTCAAGTCCTTGACCCATTCAATTTGAGATTTCTTGTGAGCCGACATTGAACCAGACTTGAAAGATTCAATGTAGTAGGAAATGAGTTTTCTTTGGGTATCGTTGGAAACGTATTTCAATGCATTTTCCAACTCTTGAACAATTTTGGAAAAGTCGCTTGCATGATCACCGAATTGAAAATTGATCTTGGTGCCATTATCGGTTTGCAAATTCAAATCGGAGTAAAGATTTGTTGAATCAGCCGATGCAACGAGAACAGTGTATGAACTGCCGTTTTTAACAACCCTGGTGTTTTCTGGCATGATTCCTGCTGATGACAATGCCTTGTTGACGGCGTCGATTTCATCTTTAGTGATGTTTGCACTGTGTGGGTAATAGTTTGACAAGAGACCATGGTCAGGGTACCCTAATAGCCCACGTTCAGTATCGTAAATCTGATCTTCAACCTTGTTATACAACTCAGTTGCAACTTCATCATCAATTTTTTCAATCAATTGACGAAACTTGTCCTTGCTGACTCTAGGAATGAATTTCCTATCACCAAAAGACTTGTAGTTGCCCAAATTATCCAAAAATTGAGCAGCATACTCCAAATAATACGTCACATCCTGCTTGTCAAGGGAGGACGACGACGTGGATAATTTATCAATATATTCTTGGTTTGAATGTGGTTTATCCAATTTTTCATGCACGCGTAATATCAAGTCGTAGATTACGGGACTTTCGGGTGAAACTGAGTCCAAAACTGCTCTTGAACCATGAAACGATGCTCTTGATAAATGATGAGCGTATTTTTGTAAATTAGGCGATGATAGTTGATTAAAATGTTTTTTGGCTGACAACGAGACAATTGGAGCCTCTGAGTCGGCATAGAATAAATCAATGGACATTGTGGAGGGAGTGGAAGGGGATAATTGGGAATTGAGTTTGTCCTGTGGGTGATTTTGGCCTAGTTTATATTTTGTGCAGTGGCAAAAAAAAAAAAAAAAAATTATGTCGTACGAGAGAGTGGAGAGAATTTGTGGAGCCGCGTGATCGCCGACCACACCAAAGTTACGGCGTTTCGGTGGGACCTACTACTTTTCTTTTGTGCAAGTAGCGATGGGTGGGCTCTGTAAGATCGGATAATCACGGTAGATGCGAAGCCAGAGCTTGCCTCTTCACAAAATGTATGATGATTTTCCATATCTACGTTTCTCTCATAAGTGGCTTTCCAACTAAGACACAAGTCGGTTCCTTTTGGTGAAGTCAGTCACGTGCACATATATAGAGTTAGCAGAACAAAGAAAATCTTGGAATTGAATGCTAAGATGGCACACATCAGTCGAACATATACAATTAGTACACTCCACTCTATACACTATGAGTGATGCTACGTCTAACACGAGTACACCCGCTAGTGATACGCCAACTTCAATTATAGATTCAAAGCTCGACAAAACAGTATCGTTTGAAGATAAAAGGGTAGAAGGTGATGATGATAATGACAAAGGTGTTGGCGAAGACGAAGATGAAGAGGAGGACGAGGACTACGATCCAACAAAAAAAGAGGATGTTGAAGCTAGCGATGAAGATGACGATGAAGATGATGCTGATCTAGCGGGTGGTGGTGGTAAGATACCTGACTTTTCCAAAATAGAATCGAGTATATCACAAGTTAAAACTCGATCGCAACGATTACAAGCTAAACAACAGAAACAAGCTAAATTTATTGGCCTGTTTGAGACTGACTCACGTGGGTTGGTGAAAGATACATGTTCATTAGATATAGAACTGATTTTCAGTGATTTAAAACAAAACAAAGTTGATATTCATGAGGGGGAGTTAGAAACAACACCGGACAACGTTGGGGAATCTTGTCTGAGAGCAAAAGGGTCGGACAGTGTAGGTAAAACCAACTCCACTGGTGGTGGTGTTGGTGGTGGTGGTGGTGGTGGTGAGCAACAACAACAACAACAACAACAACAAATTCGCATTCAAATTAATTATACATTTGCTGGTAAACTCATTACTGAAAGCAAACTAGTTGATGCCAATTCAGAAGAAGCCAAAGCCTATCTCAATTCAACCAGTTCTATAACTTCCTCATCAACCAACGAGATACCAAATAAACGAACTGAAGTTAAAGTAATGCGTCAAGACCCCCAAACTAAAGAAACTTATGAATTGCGAATCAAATTAAAACGACCATCATTAATTGATAAATTTATTGCTTTAAATGGCAATAATAAAAAGATGAAGTTGTCAACGTTGGAGAAATCTCGATTAGATTGGGCTAGTTTTATTGACAAGAGGAAAATTGGTGATGAGTTAAAGAGACATAATCGTGGCGGGTACCTTGATAAACAAGATTTTCTTAATCGGGTTGATTATAAGAAGGATGAGATTTATCAGCGTGCTAAAGAGGAAGAAAGAAAGAGACAGTTTCAACTTCAAGGGAAGTAATTAATTAAAAGAATGAGCATATGATGATGATGATGATGATGATAGTAATGAAATAACCTTTCCATATATATATGTATATATATATATTTATACATCTACAAGCTGAGTAAGCTCTCTTGGGTTTAAAGTTAAATGAAGTTTGTGTTTTGCACTGTACTTGTTTTTTATCATCTCTTTGTCATGAAAATCGATATGGTATTGTATTTGTATTGTATAGTTGGAGGATGAGGGTGTGTGAGTTTCGGTTGGTAGTGTACAATTGTTCAAAAAACAAAAAACAAAAAACAAAAAAAGAAAAAAGAAAAAAAAAGAAATTGTCAAGTGTCGCGACTAAAAATTCTGAGACATTGACAGTCTCGTCGCAATTAAAAAACAGACGTGTCTTTGTGTAACTATTTCTCGTTTGAGTTAAAAATTCTCACTTATGACGTCAATTGTCGTAACATGCTTAGTTACGACAATTGATGTCATGTAACCTCGTCTTTGTTACTAGAGTTGGAGTGTTTTCTTTTTCTTTTTTTTTTTCTAGCTACAGCTACACCAAATAGAAGCATATCCTCCTTTTCAAAGGTACTGAAGTTGGAGAAAAATAAAAGAAAAAGAGATGGTGTATTTGGTGGCGAGAGTATACCACTGCTCCACTGTCTCCTCCTCCTCCTCCTCCTCCTCCTCCTCCTCCTTCTATACTTTATTATACTCCTTTCAATAGTAGTATTTCCACTTCTTCTTTGGCAACTGGTGGGGAGAGGCACAGGCAGGGAGGCACAGGCAGGGGAGGCAGAGAACGAGACACCAAAAGAAGAAAGTAAACGAGAACGACGGGCTCTCTCTCATTCTTTCTTTCCTTTCCTTTCTTTCCTTTCTTTTTTTAATTTTAATTTAATTTTAATTTTTTTTTTTTTACGAGAAAAATCTCATCCGGTCCTTTTCCCCTTCTTTTTCTTTTCTCAAAAGGTCAAGGAGAAACAGCAGACCCTCATCACACACACACCCATACGGAGTGAGAGATATCATCACACGATAAAGGAAGATAAAAGGGAGAAAGTATCTTTTTCTAGTCTTCCCCCCCTTCTTTCTTTTATATTTTGGGGGTTTTTTGGTTCTTTCATACTTTAAAACTGCTTTTACATCTTTTTCATTGTTTTGTTCATCATCAGTCAGTCAGTCAGTCAGTCAGTCAGTCACACTCATTTCATTTCGAATTCTTTTTTTTTTTTGTTTTTTAGTTTTTGGTTTTTGTTTTTTGCCCTAAACATCCGACACACTCGTTTGAAGCCATAGACGCCAACATATACGATTAGCATTGGTACCTTGATACACACATTTAGCCTCGACCTCCACCATATCCCGTTTTGTCATCATATAACAATTAGCATAGCACCTTTAATTTACGCAGTGTGACACAAAGAGGATGTCATCTAATCATCATCTAAGTATACCTCAAAGTCCACCTCATACAGCAACCACGTCTACATCTACCCCCGCATCCACCCCGTTTAATCCAAGAACTCATAGACACAAAAGATCACAAGCTATACTGGGAGATTTTGATGGTTTGGGACTATTTAATATACCACCACCACCACCAGTATCATCACCAGGTGGTGCATCAGCAGCAGCAGCAGCAGCACAATCAATACCCTACAATGGCAGTACATCACGCTCATCATACTATGGTCATCGTTCAGCCTTATCCAGCAATAATGTCCTTGGTATAACTGGCAGTCCAGCTCGTAATAATAATAATAATAATAATAATAACAACAACAACAACAACCATGGAAATAGAACAATATCAACATCTGCACCAAAGGAAAGAGTTGTTGGATTTGCTGACCATACACCTAGAACTAAAGCAGACGACGAAGACTATGCATTGGATCGATACTTTCATTTTAATAATAAAGAGGATTTTGCTAATCCGATAGACACCGGGTTTGCCTTTCCCAAAAGTGAATTCGATCACGACACAGAAGAGGACGATGGTGGTCATCATCGTCATCATGACTTGCATAACTATAGTACTTCACCTCATTCAGGAGTGACTTACACCACAAATTTCAGGAAAAGTTTAAGCTCGCCCATACAATTATCCAATAAACTATCTCACTCATCATTACGACAACAAAGCACACCATATTTACTGCAATCACCTCGACATTTGACTTATCAATTGCTGCAACTGCATTTACAGCCGCAGTCGCAGCCGCAACCGCAGCCACAACAACATGAAGAACAGGATGTACCTGATGCCATGATTGACTTGGATTATATTCTTACTGCAAACTTGCATATTGGACTGCAGCTTCACGATGACGCCATTTTCAGTACTGATGACTTCTTGGGCTCACCAGCAATTGCCGAGGAAGAAGATACAACGGAGGATAGGACTACAGTTGCGTCATCCACAACAACGACAGCAGCGAGGCCAGCAGGAACGGAAGAAACCGCAGGAATAGCAAGCGCCGCCATCACGAAGAATCATGATGAGATTGAAGAACAAGACTTGCAAGAATTACATTTAGATGAGGAGGAAGACTGTGATGCATTACCACAACCTACTCATAATTTTTACTCCCTGGCCAACTCCTCATCATCGAGTTTTACTTCAGTTCCGCCACCATCACATTCAAATAATGTTGCTGCTACTACTACTACTGCTACTGCTACTGCTACTGCTACTGCTACTGCTACTGCTACCTCCTCAGCTCAACCACCAACACCATCGTTTTCAACTCCTACGCGACAAAGATCAGGAGCCAAAGCACATCGATACCAAATATTCTATGATCAATCGAACCGCATCTCCAATGCTATGAGAGGATCGGCCGAGAGTATTGATCGAACAAGTACAAACACCCCACCAATGTCAGCTACAGGTACTGCACAACCACCACAATCCCCATCAACATCAATTTCGGCTACTTCAACCAACTCTATTACTGCATCTCAAACAGTATCAGCCAACAACATTAGCCATCAAACACCACTACATTTACAACAACAACTACAACCAGGATCACGCAAAACGAGATACCTTAGTCATTATTCGTCGTTGCCTACACTAAAGAGTAAACGCTCATTTTCATCAATACGGTATAACGAGTTGAAGAGGATTTCATCACCAACTAGAGAATATTACCGATTACAATCAACATTGTCGCCGTCAAAACACAATGGGAATGGATTTAATAACACTGTGCATTTCAATCATTACAATAATAACCATAGCAATGGCAATGGCAATATCACTGGCAATAGCAATGGCAATGGCAATGGCAACAACACGGCTGTTCCTATTGATTTGGCAACAACGTTGCACCCACCGGTACCGCAATGCTCCACTCCATCCACATTAGCGACTCAATCCACCGCGGAATCAGTGTCAACTGCCATCAGTGATAAACGCGGAGACGCTTCAACCAGTCCCATTAGTGTTAATTCGGAAATTTCATCAATGGTTATTACAGATGGCAAATCAGTGAGTCGACAAGCAGAAGTGGAGGCGGGCGTGGAGGCGGGCGTGGAGGCGGAGGAGGAGTTAAACAACTCAGAAGCTACCACCGCCGATGCCGCTGCTAAACCGGTAGTTGTTGTTTCCACTCGGGATCTAGATTCCTCGCTGCCAGCACTTGATTCAGCGTCAACAATCTCATCACATTTGTTCCCCATTCCTCAACTGGGACACAGTAATGATAATCTGATTCTGCTTCCAAGTGAATCTACAATACTGAATAAACTGTCGCCAAGAGGAGTTGATTTAGCCACCACCACCACCCCAACTACCATAGACAATGAAACAATCACGTTAGAATCAGCTAGCTCAACTCAGTTGAATAAGATCCATCCACATATTGTCTTGGCTCCTCCTCCTTCTGCATCATCACCATCATCAGATATACACAACGCACAAGCGCTGCCTTCTCCAACTACACTGACAGTCAAACAATCGCACTCTTCATCATCATTGAAAAAGCTGAACAATTTGGGAAGGCCAAAGTCACCATCCAAATCAACCTCTCGTCGACCTTTATCATCAGCAGAATCAAATTCTTTTAAACAAACTCAAATTCCACCACCGAAAAAGACTTTGGATGCACCAATGAGCAAGTATGAATATAACAAGTATCCAAACCGAGAAGCAAAACTGAGCAAAATGACGATGACTCGCATAGGCAGCAATGCTGATGCCGTATCATTCTCATCCAATGCATCTTCCTCTTCATCAACGACGCTTGGTTTGAATGAAATTGGCGTTGGTGGAGCGGCCTTGTCTATCACTTTGACCAATGAAGCGAAATTGAAACGAGGAGGACAAGTTGATGCAGCAGTAGGTCCCACAACTAGAAGGCGAGGGGGAAACAGGGGTGGACATACCAGATCAAAGAGTAATGTTGAAGATTCATTGTCGCTGGCGGGGATGAAACGTAGCTCAAGGTTTTTCGACTGGTTAAGGAAAAAATGATTGTTGAATGGGCTTTAGTATAGCTTGTGTAAGTGTGGTGTCGAAATATAATAACATAAACGTTGCAACGGTAGTTTGTTTATTGAAGCTCGCTTCACTTTCTCTAGGGTAATTACCCTCGGTGGACAGACAAGAACTATACCGGTATTGAGTAAGCTTGCTAGGGTAAAATGGATAACGCATTTACCATTTGAGATAGAGTGGCGGTCTGCGAGAGTATGGTGGAGATCTAGAGGTAGTTCAGTCGATAAAAAAAGGTGGGGTCCGACGGCCGAGATGGTATATCCTAGGATATTTCAACTTTTGTGTAATTTATGTTTTGGCATCGTTCTACCGTTTTATGGGGTTAGAGTTGCATCCCCGCGCTCATTGAGCAAAGGCAATAGAATCAGAAGCGGCGCATCCACTTATATAAATACAGCACTCTATACCATGAGAATAGCTTGTGTTTGCTATGGAATAGCTCCCCTCCCCCCTCCCCCCCGCCTTGCAATACTTTCTGAATGTCATTGTTTCGTCTTGATGGACAAGTTGCCGTGGTCACTGGTGCAACACTGGGAATTGGACTAGCATACGCTGAAGGATTAGCTTCTGCTGGGATCAAACAATTGATCTTGACTTTTCGTTCACAAGCTACACTTGATGCTGCTATATCACAGATTAAGCAGTTTAACCCTGATGTAATCATTAGTTCAATCCATGTTGATTTCCTCGCGATGCCTGAAGATGAAATCATTGCATTGATATACACTCAATCGTACGCTAAATCAACCACTGGTATCATTGACATTTTGATCAACAATGCCGGTATAAATGAGCGACACCCAGTTGAATCATTCCCGCAAGACGAATTCGACAATGTTATGAAAATCGACATGAATATCCCCATCAAATTAACGCGTCGTTTCGGCGCCAAGATGCTTGAGTTGGGAACACGAGGCAAAATTGTAAACACGGCATCAGTACTAAGTTTCCAAAGCGGAGTCTATACTGCTGCCTACACCGTGGCTAAGGGTGGTTTAAAGAATTTCACCCAGGCTGTGGCCAATGAATGGAGTGATCGTGGTGTACGTGTCAATTGCTTAGCTCCCGGATATGTGGCTACGAATTTAACTGATTCGATGTCTGATGAGAATCGTGAATTGGTTAGTCGTAGGATTCCCATGGGGAGATGGGGCAGGTGTGATGAGTTTAGAGGGCCGATTGTGTTTTTGTGTTCTGAAGCATCAAGTTATATGACGGGACTGTGCTTGGTTGTTGATGGTGGATGGTTGGGTCGGTGAGAGGAAAAGAGAGAGAGAAAGAGAAAGAGAGAGAGAGAGAGGTTGGGCTGGGTGGTGAGGGATAATGTCTGGATATGTAGAGTATCAATACGAATTTAAAGAATGGGGTTTTATCCTTTGTTTTTGCAACAGGTGATATGAAACTTGTTGTTTGTAGAAGCACAATGTATTACTCAATCTGTGCTTTACTTATGTCTCATTTGTGAAGCCCATTTATAAATACAACCGACACGGTCGGTCCGAGATTGTGATCAGGACGAAATGTATCTTATTGTTTTGCGATCCCCCAAAGTTTTGCAAAATTGGAAAAGTGGGGGATGTGACTTTTCAAAAGGGATACTTACAGCAAGACATCAATTTCTAGATTGTCTGTGACGTGATCCATACCAACCATAAGGGAGAGCTTAAATCTCCCTACTTTTGCTTGCAGGTGGACGAGAGTCTGTGAACATAAACGCAACATATTGGAAATATGCTGAACTCTGCAACACCAACAGAGTCATGACGGAGTATAGTGATAAGGCCTTGTTTACACAAAAAGAAACAGCATCCACAACATAATCATTTAAATAGCACTACAACGCCCTCTGCCTCTCTCTCCATCCCCCCCAATTCAACTAACCAAACTCACATCTTTCAAGCATTATGTCATTGTTTTCATTGGAAGGTCAAGTTGCTGTAATCACTGGCGCAACCCTGGGTATTGGATTGGGTTACGCCGAAGGTCTTGCTTCTGCTGGGATCAAGCAGTTGATTTTGACTTATAGATCACAATCTACACTTGATTCAGCAATCACTGAGATTAAAAAATTCAACTCCCAAGTGATCATTGACTCGATTCAAGTTGACTTTGTCCAAGATGAAGAGCAAGCAATTGTTGATAAAATCTTTACCCAAGCTTATAAATTATCAACCACTGGTAAAGTTGATATATTGATTAATAATGCCGGTATTACTGAGAGAAACGCTGCTGAATCATTTCCCCAGGACAAATTTGATGCCGTTATCAAGGTTGATTTGAATATCCCCGTTAAATTGACACAACGGTTTGGTGCCAAGATGCTTGAGTTGGGAACAAAGGGGAAAATTGTAGCCACTGCATCGTTGCTTTCTTTCCAAGGTGGGTTTGCATCGTCGCCGTATGCTGTAGCCAAAGGTGGAATCAAGCAGTTCACTCAAGCAGTGGCTAACGAATGGAGTTCACGTGGTGTGCGTGTCAATTGTATTGCTCCTGGTTATGTCAAGACTAAATTGACTGATAGTATGGCTCAGGAGAGTAAAGATTTGGTGGACAAGAGGATCCCTATCGGTAGGTGGGCAGAAAGACTGGATTTTAGAGGTCCAATTGTATTTTTGTGCAGTGATGCTTCAAGTTATGTTACGGGACTGACTGTGGTTGTTGATGGGGGTTGGCTAGGTCGTTAAAAGTAAATAAAGAAGTTTCCTTTTCTTTTGAACCTATACACCACCGGCTTCTCTGTACCATCTAATACCTCTATCGAAACTGATTACGCAAATCCCTTCGTTACTATCACCACCAGCACCCCCTCTAACACCTTTACCAATAAATTTAACACCACTAGCAACGCTTTCATCCTGCAGGTCATCATTGCTAGCATCATCTAAATCGGTTATTGAGATATTTATCGTTGCTTCACGTTCACTGGTTTCCAAATTCCACACACGTACACATTTGTCAAACCCACAAGATACCAAGTTTTTCCCTTCTTGATCAAAATCAAGACCCAAGATCCATCCTTGGTGGGCAAATCCTCCAACGACACCACTTTTGGCAGAATGCGATGGAGTTGCCAACGTCCCCACGTTTTCACCATATTGAACATCGTACAAGGTGATTGACCCTGCGGCTTGGTTATCTCTTGCTACTGCTAGTAGTGTACCACCAGGTGAGAATGCAATTGCACGGGGAATCGATGATGACGAAGATGATGACGAGTTGAGTTTGGGGTTTCTGCTAACCACTAGGTCAGTTGATCTGAATGTATACACCACTTTTAGATTTTGGAAATCGTACAAGAGGACATCTCCATTGATGTATCCCACAGCACATTTTTTATTGTCGGTTTGATTTACTGCTAGGGAGATTGCAAATGGTGATGATGATGATGTTGTTGTTGATGACGATGATGATGATGATGAGTTTGGTGTGGCTCCGCTTCGTAAGTCACCATACTTTGTAAATGTGATAGAGTCGGCTTTATCTTTTTCTGCGGTGACTGTAACAGTGTACACTTCCGTAACCCCATTCATCTTGTTTACTATAAAGTAATCCTGCTTCGATTCTGGGTCGACGTAGAATCCGGGTACCCAGCTCTTGCTCAATTCGAAATCGCAATCTTGCAAAGTCGTTAAATCATCATTGACAAATTGCTTGAACTTCATCAATCCGTTAAAACATCCAAATGCAACAATAGTGACTTTTATAGTTGAACTCGGTATCTTGTTCTCATAAACTGCTAAATGGTGAATACCACTCTTGTCAACGAAAACTGATTGAACAAACTCCTTCGGATTGTGAACCTCATCCTTTTTGTTGTCCCAGAATTTGGCATATCCATCACTAGAAACGGTTATTGTATACCTTGGCGTGATTGCTAGTCCTAGAATATCTGACTTGTGTGCCTGTGATGCACTCACTGTTGTTATATACTGCTTACCCATTGCTTGGATGTATGTTCGTGGTGGTTGTAATGCTTCACCGCCAGAATTTTTCAGAAGGAAGAAAAATTCCAGTGCAATTAAGAACCATCCCTTTGCTAGCCACACGTACACACGCACACACACGTACACACAATCACAACAAAAGTTAATCTTCCACAACATGTCGGACGAGTTGATATCGCTGATCACCAAACAATTGATCTTTCAACATAGTTTTCCTACGAATTTCAATTTTGCTCAAGAGTCTGGCTCAACGATACCTCCCGCATCACCACCTGCAGCGAGTATTCCACACAACAAATTGGTCTGCAGAAACAATTCAGAGTTGTTCTTTGCTCAGGAAAACCTTGTTAGATGCTGCACAATCAACCCAATAACATCAAACTACAAGTTATTGAAAACCCCTAATGCCAATTTTGAAGTTGTTTTTTTGGAGATTAATGAATCAGGCACGTTTTTGGCAATTGTCGGTGATCAAATAATCGATGTTGTTTCATTGCCACCAGTGTTGAACACAAAGCAAAAGTCGATATATATTGAAGAAAGACACTATAGAATTACCGATGTGGGTAAGATTAAGAAGGTGCTTTGGCAGTCCGTTGTTGCCAATGATTCGATGTTGGTGATTCTCAATGAAAATTCAGAAGTGTTTGGGTTTGACTTGAAAAAGTCAGTCAAGGTCCCATCAGTTAAGATTTCTTTTTGTGAAAAGATCAACTCTATTGCTTTTGGATCACGCAGCAAGATCAATGATGCATTGAAATTATATGCATCAACTGATGATCAAATCTTAAGCGTTGATTTTTACAACAGCTCAACAAGGATTGCAGTTTCAGAATCAGCTATAAATGTTGCAATCGATGATTCACAAAATACTATTGAAACTATCAAGGAAAAGTTCCCCGGACAGTCGGTGCTACTCACCCTGGCGAAAACTCAATTAAAAGTGTATGAGTCATTGCATCACCAACTTCTGAACAACTTACGTGAAATGAGAGGTTTATACACTGATGATCCATATGAGTTGTTTATTGTCGAACCAAAATTGACAACAGCAGATTATAACCCTAGAGTAGTGGCACAAATTGGCGCAGATGATTTGGTGTCCTTTGGAGATAATGAACATATTGGTTTACTTGCATCGATCAAGGGCGATACGATTTCATATTTTCTAAATATCCTTGGAAGTGGATTGGTCAAATATGAGGAGCCAAAACAAGTTGGCTATGCCAAACCGAAGAAAGGTTTTGGATTTGTTGACTCGATCGATGAGGCCAATGCTGAAAAGATCTTTTGGGAGCAAGACCTAAACTCATTGGAGTTTCTACAATCGGAGAAACTACCTTTCGATGGAAAAGGATACTTGAAGAACTTGAATGGGTGTGATGATAAATTTGTCGCTGCAATTGACGGAAGCTTGGTGGTTGTCCGTTGCCAATGGGTTCGTGAGCTTTTGGCAGATTTGGAAAACGATAGCATCGACAGCTTGGATAAGATTAAACCCACCTACAATCTTCTCTCTTCTGGAAAGGATCTTCAAGGATTTGCAATTGTTGCAAAATTTGATCTGGAGGTGGGAGTCATTGTGCGTGATAATTTGGAGATTGTAACAATTAATGCTGATGAAGTGCTCGAGCTGGAGGGAGTTGTGGAGCAGTTGAAAATTGATGAAAAACCGTTTGTACCATCGCTTGCTATTTCAGCGGAGCCATTTGCTGAAATTGAATCCAGCCTCAAAACATTGCAAAATTCATATTCCTTGAAAAATGATCCCAATGTGAAGCTCGAACCAACGATTGAAGTGCTTGAAAAGTTGAATAAAGATTCACTAGCAACTAATCAAGCTGTGTTTGGGTATTCTGTATTTGCCATCAAGTTACAATCAAGGACTTTGGCTCAATTAAAATCTTTAAAATTGCAAGTCGAGACATTGAAGAACTTGACCGACAATACCCCTTACAATGATGAGATTGATGATAGAATTGGCAAGTTTTCGCAGAAACAAGAAGAGCTCGATACCCGAATGAAGCATATTCAATCAAAGATCAATGATCAAATGTACAAAGGCAAGAATGTTCCGCTCTCAAAGGAAGAAAAACAGTACTTTGAAGAAATCAATGCCTGGAACAAAACTACGCTTGAATTGATTGATCAGTTAAAGGTTATCAGTGAGGAAGTGGAGGAATGTAAGGAATTGAAACCAACTGTCGAAGGAGAATATGACGAAAAGGTTGTTTTAGAGAATTTGCAACTACAACAAAGAATGAAGAAGTTAATTACATGGTTGAAATTTCAAGGCTCAGAGATACATGATTTAATAGAACGGGTCAGTATCAAAACTTAGATGGAACACTTGGTCACGGATGTGTAGGAGTTGTTGTGTATTAACATTCTGTTTATACTGTGTAGATCTACAACACAGCATAAGCAAAATCAATTTTTCCCCTGTTTTGTTTTTCTCAACAAACAAAAGTCGCCGATATCTTTCCAACAAGAACCCGGCACTGGTCGACCCAAATAGTGACAATGACAGACGTTGCGCCACCTTCAAGCTCTACACCTAACGACTATATACTCAGCTTATCAGACGAGCAAATAGATCATGATCAAAAGATAGGTATCAAAGCCATCCGGTTGTTTTTGCAGAGCAAAACTTCATACGATGTATTACCTGTGAGTTATAGACTAATCGTCTTGGACACATCGTTATTGGTTAAAAAGTCATTGAATATCTTGCTACAGAATAATATTGTTTCTGCTCCATTATGGAACAACAAGACATCTCGATTTGCTGGTTTGTTGACGTCAAGCGATTTTATTAACGTTATTCAATACTATTTCCAATACCCAGAAAAGTTTGAGCTTGTTGATCAGTTAACTTTGGATGGGTTGAGAGATGTCGAAAAGGCCATTGGTGTTGATCAAATAGAAACGGCTTCAATACACCCATTCAAGTCGTTGTACGAAGCATGTGTGAAAATGTTGGAGTCGAAAGCTAGAAGAATCCCCTTGTTGGACACCAATGAAAACGAAGCAAGGGATATAGTTGTCAGTGTGTTGACTCAATACCGTATTTTAAAATTCGTTGCTTTGAACTGTAAAGAGACCAAGATGTTGCTAAAACAAATTCAACACACTGAACTCAACAAACCAAAACAATTGAGCACTTGTACGATGGATACTCCTGTCATTGAAGTGATTCACTTGTTGACTTCATATTCAATCTCGTCTATCCCTATAGTGAATGAAGAAGGTAAATTGATAAATGTTTATGAAACAGTTGACGTGTTGGCCTTGGTCAAGGGGGGCATGTATACTGACTTGGACTTGTCTGTTGGAGAAGCATTGTTGAGGAGATCAGAAGATTTCGAAGGTGTTCACACGTGTACGGTTAATGATAGATTGAGTACTATTATGGACACAATTCGGAAATCAAGGTTGCATAGATTGTTTGTTGTTGATAATGAAGGGAAGTTGATTAATGTGATTACATTGAGCGATATTCTAAACTATATATTGTTTGGAGAAGACCAATAAACGTGAATAAGCTGAAGGTGTCGTTGTAGATTTAATCGTTTTGTGGTTGGTAAAGTTTTCTTTGAATTTGTCGCAAAACTGTGGCAAAATTTTTACTCTATGGATTCAAAAAACATGATACTACTTAAAAAATACAGTTATTAATGTACTTATGAATAGCATGTAGTGCTGAGACGTCTCGGCGTCATCAAAAATATTTCAGTTGCGAAATTCCCCTTGGACAATTGTGCCTTGTGGGCAATTTGTAAAGAAAGACCTTCATTTAGAAACCACCAAAAATGAAGTGAGTGTGACAATAGTGAACTTAAGTCTGGTTGTATGATAATATTGGAATTATCACTATAGCCAATCTTGTACATATCTTTATGCACCCTATTGGACTCGAAACCAAGAGATTTCGATATAATCTCTCTCAATTGATTACAACTCAAATCAAGAACCCTGGGCAGCAGCTCACCGTTGATACAGAAGTGCAACAGAAAGTCCTTAAGTTCATTCCGTGACAAATCCAAATGCTCTATAGACGAGGAGAGTTTTATATCAACGCGAGAAATCTTGTTACCCGCAAGATTCAAAATTCTGAGCTTGGGTAAGTAGTTTATTGCGCCTGGAGCTTTTTTCAAACCCAGTCTTGAAAAGTCAACCTGCTCCAATGACGTGGTTAATGCAAGGTCGACTGGGATTTGGTCGTTTTAGGCAAGACACAAGAACTTCATGTTCGTGCATGAGTCTAACATGAGTTTTTGAACATTTCCCAAATCACAACCTCTCAAATTCAAATACTGCAACCGTGTACCTAATTACAAATATGAATTTATAAGACTACGCCCACGCACTTCAAGTCTTAGATTGACCATCTCCGACGTTAATTTCACATCCAGGTCGTCTTGATACTCCCAAATGTAAAAGCTCCTACTCAACGCTTCAATCTCCATCAATTCACTAATGACATTGATGAAAAGGTCTAGAAAAGGAGCCGGCTATTAGTTAAATTGAGCTCTTTCACTAATTTGGGAAAGTGTGGTTTATATATAATCTTTGTGTCACTGCACAACAAGTTCAATAAACAAGTTCTTCGGAAATTTGACATCTTTAATGGATGTTAAAGAACAATAATCGAGGTCCAAAAGCTCAAGCGAATCAGGAAATCTGAGCAAACAAGTGCTCGGCCCTATTACACAGTGATTCATATAGAGCTCTTTTAAACCGACAAACTTCAAAAAATCCAAGTGCTCGTGACTTAGCATCGTGTGGGACACATCCAAAACATCCAAACAGGACGAGACGCGCTTCAAGATATTACGCTCATGGTATAAGTCTCGGCACACTTTTAGAACCCTCAAAGTTGGTGCTAAATCCATAGCAAAGTACCCATGTCGGTCGGTGTTGATGAGCTCGATACTTTCAAAGGGAAGATACAGTGACAGCGGAGGCAGTTGGAATTCCACAAAGAGCAGCTCTAATGGAGTGGCAGAATGAGACCTGGAAACATCTGAGATGTGTTGAATGAGGGCAACATCTGTTGATTCAACTTTACTTGAACTGAAGCTGATCTTGCTTGTATCAAAGAGTGTTAAACTTTGAAGTACAGAAACCATGAAATTTGAAAACTCTTCACTCTTGCCCTCAAAGTGTAGTAAAAAGTCCTGAGCGAAAGATGTGATCTTAGTAACTCACGTAATTGTTGCTTATTTTCGAAACAGCCCAATCAAGAGTGCCTAGAATGCTGTACTTCAGCGCTCCAATCTTTACTATTGAAGTCAATGAAACTAATTAAATGTTTAAACTCAAAAGTGATTTGTAAGTCATTTGGTATGTGCTCTTGAACACAAAAAAGGTGTAACGCAAATAAATCATCAACTGAAGTCACACGATAACCTGTACTTTATTTATCGTCTAACCATGCAACTTCTGGGACGTATTCATCGTCTAATGAAGCGACTCCCCGACTGTAAAATGTAATCATCAGGTTCTGTTTAATAGCGTAGACGATAGCAACCTTCAAATTCGGATTCGGCAGAGTAAATCTGGTGTCAAATAAGACTCCAATGAGGTTCTCAACTTCTGCATGAGCCACGATCTTTTCCAAAATGTATGGGTAATAAGTTGAGGCTCACTTGCATGTCATGCGAATGTCTCTTAGCACTCATGGGCTGGGCAATTTCTTTCCATTCGAACTTATTCAGCTTGTGTGAGGTTAGGTAAAGAAAGTAGTGGCAGCTTTGTTTTCTGGTCTTTCGTAAATTTCAGGTTCAACTAATCCAAGGGATGAAATGTAGTAGTATCGTTGTTAAAGATATTAAAAAGGGAAGGTAAGACTACACAAAAATAGACTCATTTCGGTTGTATAGTTCCATGCACGTGATTAATATGAGCCTATATTAATATTAAGTAAGCCCATTTTCAGAATGGCTAGCTATGGCTAAATGCTAAAAGAATAATACAAAGCTTTAAAGATAGCTACCTCTTTGATTTTTTGAATCTGAATTAAAACCCATAATTCTGATGATACACTGCACTTTACTTCATATTTATGTGCCCAACTGGACACTATAATCACTTTGTACGATGCTCATCCTAAAAAAAAAAAATAAAATGAAAGAATTAAAAAATTCGACCCCATCTCATCCCGCTTTAAACAATTAAACCTTAGTCATATAACACAACATGGGGAAAGTGCAAAAGAAAAACAGTAAAGGGCGTTTGGATAGATACTACTACCTTGCAAAGGAGAAAGGATATCGTGCTCGTTCCTCGTTCAAAATTATCCAAATAAATGAAAAATTTGGCCATTTTTTAGAAAAGTCAAAAGTTGTCATTGATTTATGTGCTGCACCGGGTTCATGGTGTCAAGTTGCATCGCAGCTATGTCCTGTAAACTCATTGATTATTGGGGTAGATATAGTCCCCATTAAGCCGTTACCTAATTGTATCACGTTCCAAAGTGATATCACCACAGAAGATTGCAGGAGTAAATTGCGTGGTCATATGAAAACTTGGAAAGCTGATACAGTTCTACATGATGGTGCCCCAAACGTTGGTTTAGGGTGGGTACAAGATGCATTTACGCAGTCACAGTTGACTTTACAAGCTTTGAAGTTGGCAGTTGAGAATTTGATAGTGGGGGGTACATTTGTTACCAAGATTTTCAGATCAAGAGACTACAATAATTTGATGTGGGTATTTCAGCAACTATTTGATAAAGTTGAGGCCACGAAGCCACCAAGTTCAAGAAATGTGTCCGCTGAGATTTTTGTTGTTTGTAGAGGTTTCAAGGCACCAAAGAAGTTGGATCCACGACTTTTGGACCCTCGCGAGGTGTTTGAAGAGTTGAACGGCAAGAAGAGTGTCAATAATGAGGAGAAAGTGTTTAATCCTGAGAAAAAGAGAAGACAGAGACAAGGTTATGAGGAAGGAGATTATACATTGTTTCACACTATGCCCATAATGCAATTTATAAAGGAAGATGATCCAATAAATCAACTAGGACAGCTCAACAAGTTTGATATTGATGATAATGACCACGAGTGGAAAATAATAAAAAAGCTAAAGTCTTATAGTGAAGAGTTGAGAGAATGTTTCAAGGATTTGAAAATTCTTGGAAAGAAGGAGTTTAAACATATATTGAGGTTCCGTAAACAGGCTAGAGATTTGTTGGGGATTGATAAGGAGGAAGAGAAGGCAGAGATTGAGGTTGAGGAATTAACTGAGGAACAAAAGATTGATCAAGAATTGAATCAAATGTTGGAGAAGCAAAAGCAAAAAGCAAAAAGAGCTAAAAAGACCGCAAATGAGCTAAAACAGAAGGAGATTGTTAGAAATCAGATGCAAATGGTTACCGATATGAACATTGGTATAGATGCGGCCCAAATTGGTGCTGATTCTTTGTTTAATCTAAAAACAGCTGAGAAATCTGGTCCGTTGAGCAAGCTAGCTGCAGGTAAAAAGGCGATGGTATTTTCAGAGGAAGACTGTGCTAGAGACACTGAGATCCATTACGATGAACAAGAAGCAAACAGCGAAGACGAAATTGATGAGTTGGAAGCGCAATTAGATGACATGTATGAACAATATCAAAACCGCAGAGCTGAAAGAGATGCCAAGTATAAAGCAAAATTGGCAAGAGGAGGTGATGATGAAGCGTGGGATGGTATAGAGTCAGGCGAGGAGGAGGAGGAAGGGGAGGAGAAAGATGAGGAAGATTATGAAATGGAAAGTCTGGATTTTGATGAGGATGATGATGAACATATCAAGTTGATTGCCGAAGGAAAACAAAATGGGGAGCTCACCAAGACTGCAAGAAGCTTTTTCCAATCCGATTCGATATTCAATGAGCTTGACGACGAGGATTTGATTGAGGAGTCGAGACCAAAAGCAGAAAAGATGGCGACTGCGACAATTGCATCAACGAATGGAAAAGTAGACACGCCAGCAGTCGACTTTGACTCAGACTCTGATTCGGATTTTGAGATTGTTCCTAATGCGGCAGATGAAGAAGAACGAGAAGAAGATGATACAGATGACGAGCAATTGTCAAACAAGGAAAGGGTCGATTTGACGACTGCAGAAGCTATGACTTTAGCTCACAAAGTTGCCCTTGGCAAAATGACAAAGAAAGATCTTATTGAGGAGGGAATCAATAGATATTCCTTCCGTGATAAGGAAAATCTCCCCGAGTGGTTCCTTGACGACGAAAATAAACACTCTAAGTTGATCAAACCAATCTCAAAAGAAGCTAGTTTGGCCATCAAGGAAAAACTCAAGCAATTGAATGCCAGACCTATCAAAAAAGTGTTGGAGGCCAAGGGTAGAAAAAAGATGAGAGCATTGCGTCGTTTGGAAAAATTGAAAAAGAAATCGGACTTGATCAACGAAGATAGCTCCAAATCTGAATACGACAAGGCAGCAGAAATCTCCAAGTTGATGCAAAAGGCTAAGAACAGTGGAAAGGATAAACGAAAGAAGATGACAGTTGTTGTTGCCAGAGGATCTAATAGAGGTCTCAGTGGAAGACCAAAGGGTGTCAAAGGTAAGTATAAGATGGTTGATGGTGTTATGAAGAATGAGCAAAGGGCTTTGAAGAGGATAGCAAAGAAGCATAAGAAGTAGAATGGTGTATAGCTATATATCAATGGTAGTGTATTGTGCTCAAAAGTAATCAACAGAAGAAGAAAAAAACGACAGAAAAAAAAAAATAACACCAGTCGTCATCTGCAGGTCAGTTTTCAATCCATTGGGGCCAATTAACGACTACATTGCTCTTGTTAGCGTATTTTGCTATAGTGTAACTGTGTAGCAATATGTCTGAATCTACAACTCCCGAGCCTGGGCATAACACATTGAAACGTAAAAATGAGGATTTGAGTAACGAAGCTGAAGAGCTCGAGAATAATGCAAGTTCACATAACAAAAGGATCGCCCTTGACAACGAACAATCGGAGAAGGGCGAGATGAGCAATGAAACGAAAGAAGTCAAAGAGGTGCTGTTCGATATTGATGAAGAAAAATATGATGGTTTGGAAAGCGACGAGCAAGGTGATGCGCAAGATGAAGATGCGAACAAGGTCGAGCAAAACAAAGAGTCAAGCTCAAATGAAAACGACAAGGACAATGGCGGGCAATATGATGACGAAAAAGGGGAAGCTGGAGAATCAAAACCGGATGTCAATGAGGAATTTTCTAAGGACAACGAAGAAAAGTTTGTTCCAAAAAAAGTACTGCAAGAGGAGGTCGAAAAGTTTTTAGAGGAAGCGGCACTTTTGTCCAAGTTGGGTCAGCCAGCAACAACTCCTGCAACAGCTCCTGCGCCCGGACCGGCATTAGCACTGGCACTGGCGCTAGATCAGCACCCACAACAGCATCACGAAGAATCGATCGAGGCAACCTCCAACCCCACGTCAAGTCTCCAAGATTTTGAACTGGATCCATCGTACGTATCGTTTAGAATGTACTGCCCGGTAAAAGAAGCCAGCACAGTTGTTGGCAAGGGAGGAGCTAAAATCAACCACTTGAGGGAAAAGGCCCAAGTAAAAATACAGATTAGTGAAAATTTAAAAGACGTGCCAGAAAGAATTATAACCGTCAAGGGAACAGCAGAAAATGTTGCGAAAGCGTTTGGACTCATTGTTAGAACAATATTGGGAGAACCGGAAGATGAACCTGCTAATCTAAACAGTCAGCAATACAATTTAAAATTATTGATTCCAAATGTAATTATTGGTCACATAATTGGCAAGCAAGGATTAAAGTTTAGGGAAATTGAAGAAAATTCCGCTGCAAAATTGAAAGCTGCCGAGCTGCCATTACCACACTCCACAGACCGTGTTCTTAGTGTATTGGGTGTGGCTGATGCCATTCATATTGCTGTCTACTTCATTGGTGAAGTTGTAATTGAACACAAAGATGTATTGAAGAGAGGTAAGGTTATTTTGTACAATCCTGCGAACCATAAACATGATGAGGGCCAGCATGGGGGGCAATCGCATCAACACCAGCACCAGCACCAGCATCAGCAACAGAATCAGCTGCATCATCTTTCTCATCATCAGTATCAGCAAGGCTTTTCTGATTTCCCTCAAACTAGTGTACCTGGAAACCAATTTGGTAGCCCAATTGGATACCAAAAGCCATTTGGGCAGGATGGTCCCCATCAGCCTCAACCACATCAGCCATACAACTTTTCATCGATGTTTCAACCCTCCGTTGCACCTCAGCAACAGTACGGAATGCCACAACAGATGGCCCCACCACCACCCGTCTCACAGGGCGTCCCTCCACAAACTCAATATACTGATGAGTACAATAACACAATGATTGGAGAAGTGATTATAAAGGAACCTGTCTTTTCCGGTGACAAATACAACCAGGATATTTTCGTAGCCAACTCGCTGATTGGGTCAGTTATTGGTAAAGGTGGAAATAATATTAAACATATTAGAGAAAACAGTGGGTGCACATACGTCAGAATTGAACCTGATAGAGGGCAATCGATTATGTTAGGAGGCGGTAGAGGTTTGACCAATATCAGAAGGCTAACCTTGACTGGATCTTTGGAATCTTTTCAAAAGGCAATTTATTTGATCAATCAAAGAATAAATACTGATAGACAGAGGAATTCAAGATGAAGTGTATAGATAATACAGTTTGTAAAAGTATAAGTCATGAATTCTTTATCTATAAACTCTAAAAATGTTTAACCCCTAAACTTGTTAAAAGCATGGTGAATCCGCTGAATAAACCCTCTCCAAGTACCAACCCACTACTGAAAATAATCATACTCGTTTTGCCTCTATTACTGATATTGTGCCAATTGTATGCAATCAAACCTCCAATGAATCTAGCAAGGGTGAAATTGGGTGTGTTGTAGATGCCGACGCCAACCGCAACTCCATTTGGGAGGTATACCAAATATGGGTAATACTTTGAAGTTGGTGGCATTGTATTTTTCAAGAGTGAAATCAAAGCAAATATAACGCCAAAAATGATGGCAAACTCCATTGCTTTAGGTGGGAGCCCTTCACCAGTAACTAGACGAGAACAATCGATCCAAATAACAGCTGTTGGGATTCGAAAAGTTTCATTGGGAATTGTGTACACTGCCATGTATATCTGGTACATTATGGAGCTTAGAAACACGGAAAATATAGTACCTATGATTTGAGCAATGAATTGAGCTTTTGGCGAAGCACCAATCAAATGTCCAGTTTTGAGGTCTTGCATGAGATCCCCCGCTTGTTGCGCACCCGCCTCCGCCACACCACCTGAAATCAAGTTGATCAATATCTTTGCTGGATGGTTCGATGGAATAATGAATGCGAATATGAGTTGTGACAATTTGCCAATGCCACTCACGGGGTTGATATCGGACACACCTAATGTTCTTGTGGCAAGGACACTAAATAGCATGGCAAGGATAATTGCAGTAATGGAAGCGTAAATAGGAATGAGCTTGCCAAATATTATGCGCATGGTCACAACGCATAAGATTGTTGATAATAAAGTACCAATCAAGGCAACTTTGTTTGATACAAGAAACTGTTTTGGTATTTCAAGTGGTCCACAATGAGGAGTAAGTTCACTGGTGCCCCCTCCTACCCCTTCATCCAGCTCCTCCAAGAGCGATTGCTGTAATTCCAATGTTTGTGTGTACGACTCTTGTCGGCTCCTATAGTCTATTATAAAATCTTGCACAGATTTTACGCTCAATACAATAAAAGACACCAAAGAGTCAGCAACCATGATACTCAAACTAACCCAGAGGATCCACCCCTGTCCACCCGATACCCAATCATCGATAGGACCTGGTGCCCACTTCATGTATTTTGACAATGGAGCTAAGATACCCCAACCTAGTATAGCACCAAACAACATGTATGACACGGTTGGTAGACCCATAATGATTCCTTGGCCAATATATGCTGGTGAAGGCTGGAAGTCCCACAAGTATTGTTTTGACGCCGACGTGCCAAAAATTGGAACTTTTTTCAAGATGGGGAAAAAGAACGATAGTATTGTGTAAAAAGATGACACTAGAAAAGTGTATGTCAAAGACTTCATGTTGGAGTTGTAATCTGTAGATTCAATGAGCTGGGTTGCAGAGGTTTGTTGTTGCAATGGTGACTCATTTTGGCTCTTGGTATGGTCTTCCTCTTCTTCGCTATCACTTTCATAAATTTCAGTTCCATGCAAGACCGAGATAAGAGTTGCTGTTGCGCTCCCTGAAGGAAATGGCAATTTCTCCTTGACAATGACTTGTTTACGCAATGGAATTGCAAAGAATACCCCAAAAAGTCCTAATCCCATTGACCATATTATAAGCTCCTTTGTGGAAAATGTAATTCGCCTTCCTAAACCTGATTCGTCACTGGTCATAAACTTTTCAATGGCAGGTATGATCCCAACAAACCCATAACATAGTGGCCCAGTGCCTACTGCCACTGCGATACTTTGTATATATACATTCTCCACATCAGTAAAGCTTTGGGACATTGGTGTAAGCTTAAACACAGCAAATCCTAGTAATGCTGCTGGCAACGACATCATTGATACCCAACCTGTTTGTAAACCAAATTGAAAATTCGAGATGAGAATAACCGATCCAATTAGTAATCCAACTATGGTTGCCCTAAGTGTGACTTGTGGTAGTCCTAGTTTGGCCAAGTATCCAGCCCGCGAAGGCAGTTCGTGCATGGTGGTGGGTTCTGTGGGCATGTTAGAGTAGAGTTACCGGACTGGAATTGTGCAGTTGTCGTGATAAAGTTGATAAACGGCTAATCTCGCTCTAATACAGAAGAGAGGAAATCTTTTTGCTTTCTCCGCGAAAATCTCAACGCGAATGCTTATCAATCGAGACCATTGTTGATAGGGGGAAGTACAAGAGTCAGAGCATTGGAAATCAAACGTGAGATATCTGATTGAGATTCCTCATTGGTTGCAATACATACCTTATACCGATTTCTGTTTTTTGGTAAGGCGACTTCGATGTCATATTCTTTCCTTTTTAGGAATTGTTTTACGAAACTACCTTCGTTTTTGTCACGTGCAACTGATTATTTGTCTTAAGGGGTCCAACTATCATGCTTGACTTGTAACAATACCTTTTCACAGTTTATGACCACATCCACAATCACTAGTTGTCGGGATAGTCAAACAGTAGCTCCTGGTCATGCACACAGTGCAGCTGAACCCGCTTTTTCCCATGTAAAACTTATGGCAACCCCCCATTTGACGATCATAACCAACGTTTTCGTTTTTGTGATCAGTGCTCACAATCAAGGGGTTCAACAATGTAACGTCCCGTTGATTTGAGTTTCTAAAACCCAAAGAGGCGCTTGAATTGAGCTCGAAAGTAAAGGACCTATGAGTGGACAACTGTCATGTAAAGGGATCGTTTGCTAATTTCACCTAACTTGAAATACTTTTCTTTGCGCCAGCTAATTCAGAGTAGGCGAAAATTCTCAAACTTGCTGAGTTCCCCAAATTATTGAAGAGCCATACTTTGCGCGATTGCCAACACACCAAAAGAATTAGGAAAACGGGTTTGATAAAAAAGTAGATGAGTATCATGAGCTTGAGCATATATCGCTTGAGTTTTTGGCGTGTGATCATCTTTGGTCCTTGAGCAATGTTCTTTGGCTCATCATCGGTCCCGAAACTAAAAGCGTGGAGTTGTAGGGAGAAGACCTGAACGTTGCGGTCATCAATGAATTTGTATAATTAATGGGGAGTTTCTTCAGAGAACGACGTACCTGATTGAATTTGGTCATGTATGAAGGGTATATGACACGCCGACTTCGTTTATTTCCATTGCAGAAATAGGAGATTCGAGAAACGGGCGGTTATGGGTGTTTTTTTCACTTGAAATATCCATCCTCGTGGAGAATTTTGAATTTGGCTCTTAATGAACTCTGAATTTTGATAGGGTCGCTTTGAAAGTTCTCCCCTGGGGTTGGAAGAATTGGACTTGCTGCGAAATTAGTTGATAGATCGAGATACGTCAGATGCAGATTTCTCTAGATTTGAAAATTCAAAGAAGCTCGATTTGGGGGCCTGTCGTTTAAAACGTATTAGTCATTGTCGATCCCCTCATTCGCTTGAGCAGTTGAAGCCTTGAGGACCAATCAGATCCATCTCTCGACGATGTTGTTTTTCCTCGAACCCTTAAAGTCTTGAGTTTAAGTGACGGAGACTTGAAGCATATGCGCAATCCTTTGATTCCACATCTTCTCAAGGAACTCAACATTTAAGATAATGAAATTGAAAAGCTAAATCTTCCAGGAAATAAGTATGAAGAGCCATTCGAGGTTAAGGTCTTCAAAACTGGTATATCAGAGTCGAGAGCCTATTGGTTTGTAAGAATTAAAAGAGTATTTTCAAAACCCGAAGTTGCGTGGTCTAATATACCCCGTGTTCTGCACCAATTGTATATGGGATAGTGCACCCCTAGAAGAAGTATGTGGTTTGATAGTAGCTTAATAGTAACTTGGGGGTTTTGCCCATGGTGAGTTGTGACTCAAGCAAACTTGCAGCTTTGCGATTTACATCTAACTCGGTTTTGAAGAGGATTGTTGCGTCAAGTTGCGATTTAAAAAGTTTGGATTTTGATTTGCGGCAATTGGTAGAGGAAGTTGACTTATTAAAAAACGAGTTATTTAATCTTTACGAGCAAGTTTGTCATTTGGAGCATTTACGTGTTTTGAATCTTGCTGATAATCAAATCGCCAACGTTGAGTTTGAGTTTTTACAAAATTCACTTGGGGTGTTGGATCTTTCATCGAATAAGTGAAAGGAATTCAGTTTCTTTCCCAGCAGATGGAACCAAACTTAAACTCGTTGATCTATCTGCAAACTGCTTGAAGAACCTCTCGATGGCTTCAATTGGGCATACAGGAAGAACTACACACAACGTATAGTACAGCCTTGATCTCACTGGAAACAAAGACATATCAGAGGGGGATATATCATCATAGAAGTCTGAATTACCACCATCAGTTAATCGTTTATTGCTGAATAGGGTTTCTGTTAAGCATGCATATAAAGACGAGTATCATGCTATCAACGCACTTGATGGAAATTTGATATTTAGAAAGAGGTGTCCTAAAAAACCTGACAACTTTTGGGATCAATTTGCAACCATCGACTGGAACCATGTAGATGGTTGAGATGATGATGAACTGGATTTGGAAGAGAAATCCGATGATGAGGGCTCAGAGATCGTGATGAATCTGCTAAGTTTGAATCTGGAATTGATCACGAAGCATTACCTGAGGAGCAAAATAGGCTCATTAATGAAAGCAGTCGGCAATTAGACGAAGCTCTCTTCGCAAGTACAAAGGCTTACTTTTGTTGAACTTGTGTAACTTGTGTAACTTGTGTTAGAGTTATCAATGGAAGAAATAATCAGGATCATAGTTGAAAGTTCAAGAGAACGTCGCAATGCCAATAGAAACCAAGACGAATATTGGGATGAGTATTCAATTTGAGAAGAGTATAAGAACAATTTATTTTATTATTTATTTAGTATGTATCTATTCACATTGACGTAGTTTGATATCTCTTCCAAAGAATCGATAAGCGTTTCAGAGTGGGCATTTAGGACACTTCTAGACCTTCGGTAACCGTTTTCATAACGTCGAAGGAAATTAAGAGACTTCGTTTTCGATAATCATCATGGGGACGTCGCAGTGTGATGGCTGAGCATGTAATTCGTACAGGTTTTGGGTGTGCCACTATATTCTGTTCGTCTACAACTCCCAAGCCTTGATCTCATCGACATCTCTATCATTCTCTTCCAAGTAGCCAACATCAATGTCGTTTATACTAGCATCATTGCAAAGAATACACTCTTTGCATAACATGTCGTCGATCTCTCGCTTTATCTCTTGCTGGTTTTTATCTTTGTTTTTGACGAAACTTTGATACAATTTTTTGAAATTATAGTTTCCTTTTGACTTGAGATTGTATCGTACCAAACACTCTTTGTGGAATCCATGTTGGCAGTTGTCGAAAAAGATAAACTTTTTTGTTGCTAATAAGTTGTGGCATAGATAACAAGTGGATCCTGGTTTGATCACAGAGTAATGCTCTGACCTCTTTTGTGTCTCGTCTTGAGCTTCTTGTTTCAAAGTGATAAGCAAGGAATGGTTCTCTTGTATCCTCATATTTATATCCTGTAAGCTTCTCTTGTACTCATTAAGTGAGTCAACAATTTCATCTTTGAAATTGTTGATCATGACCGTTTCGGGAAAGAGTGGAAGCAAGTCTTTTAATCCAAGGGGTGAATTCTTTTGTATATACGACAATGTAGCATTCAACTTGTTGGCGGAGTTGTCAATTTCCTCGAGTCCCACTTGCTTACCCTCGCATGTGCGATGAATAAGATGTCTTGCAAATGTTAACCACAAATGTCTTCTTGTGTTGTAGCTCTCCTTTTCCAACTTGTTATTGTCCTCAACTCTGTCGCCATCCTCAGTAATCTCTTCGTATTTGCTTAGCACGAGCTCTCCTAATTCGATAGCGTTGTTGTTTAGTGAGACCTCCAAAGCTTGTTCGAATAATCCCATATCAATGTAGATTAAAACCGCGGGATGTACTTTGTGGTGGAGCAAACACAACCTTTGGATAAAATTTTGGTCGTATGCAGTCTCATGGTTGATGAATTTGATAATAAAGTGGCTAGCGTCCTCGTGATGAGTGATTAGTAGGGACAAATAGTAGTTGTTCCACTGTTTACTCTTGTAGCCCTTGTCGTGTACCTTCATCAAGAGTTTGATGGCAGCATTTCGGTTCAAAGGGAGGTTGTGGTGTTTTTTGCAGTATGATAACACAGCCGGGAGTAGTTTGTCATAATTCAAATCAAACTTGAGCCATGTCTCGATGATCTTGGGATAGTTTAACAAGAAAGTGGTGGAGGTTCCATAAACTTCATCCACATCCCTTGAGTAAAGTTTGATGAGGGCTTTTTCAGCAAGTGGCCAGTTCTTATCTGCCATCTGATGATTTAAAACAAAATGATAATCCTCAATTGTTTCGGCATAAAAAAGAGCTCTCTCTCCGCTCAATATATTGTAAATGGATCGGTCTAGCAGTTTGTGGTTCTTTTTCACAAACTCGTAAAACCGCTCATCATTTGCTCTGATCATCAACTCGATTATCCAAGTAGATAGCACAATCGCTCTAACCTTATTCTTTCTGTTTATGCCAAATTTAACCAACAAGTAATCAATCAACAAACTGACGGCATTCGACAGGTGCAACATTAGGCACACTTTTTCAAATGGTTCCGTCAGTCTCGCTAATATTCCGATACCTTTCTTCTGCAAGTTTACTAGCTCCTTGTTTTTCAGTTCAAGTCCAAAGCCTCCTCTTTGCAAATAGTCATACCCTTGTTTGATCAATACCAAATCTCTTTTGAAAAAATTTTCCTCACTGTCCTCAAGACAATTAAGAGCCTCCTCAAATTTGTTCATCTTGTAGTAATCGTACCAAACTAAACTGCTTTCATTAGAAATGATAATCTCGTAAATGGAGTTTTTTGTGTATATCCAATACGAACTGGCGTCACTTGCGATTCCCTGTATTTGTTCCTCCATGTCCAATATCTTTGATTCCTGGTTAAGTTTGTTGTATATAACGACCTGCTTGTCGTGGTATCCAATTAGATGATGTGGTGTCAAAATTATGTCATCTATTGCATCATTCAATGTGGTAAACTGTATCTCATCATCATTGGTGGCGACTTCATTACCGATGTATATATACTTGTTGTTGCTAGTTGACAACAACCACTTATCACTAATGCCTATGTTCTTCACAACCGGTGGAGTTTTAAACACTTTAGACAATTCTGAAAATGAGGTGTCAAAACAAGACCAGGTGTAGATTGCATCTTTAGCAATAATGTTGATCAATGACTGATTTTCTGTGATTGCAATACCACGTACTTGTGATTCAATGGTGTGTACGTGTTTTAAATGCTGAATATCATTCTTTTTGGTATCATCGTGTGGCTTTATAGCTGCTAGGTATACGTGTCCCGCACTTGTCGCCATTACAACCGTATTTGACGATGTAAAAGCAAGCGTCTCAATGTCCAACCCCTTGAACTTTGGTAGCGACCTGAAAGACTTGTAGGATTTGTACAAGTAGAAGTAATGCTGGTCGATCCTTATAATGAGATTCTGTGCTGTGGAATCCACCCATGTGGCAAAAGACCCACCTTTTTGAGGTATACTGTATTTCATCAACTTTGACGGATTATCCAAGTCTATCTTGTACATAATCTCTCCAACGAATAGAAACATCTGGCTATCAGCCACGAGAAGTTTGTTCAATGCATGGTGCAAGTCAAATTGTAATTGAACTGGCTTGATTTCAAACAGGGGCTTTTGTAAATTGTTGTAAATGGAGATTTGCTGCTGGTCTAAGGAGTGAGCAGTGTACGTGGAGGGAGTGATGGACCCATTCACAGATGGAGCAAGCTTCTCCATACGTCTTGATCCGTTCATTGGATAAAGCAGTTAGTGGTGGTGTCTCCACTGATGTCAAGAAATTTCGAGCTACCAAATTGTGAAGTATGCATAATATACGAAGATCGTTTGTAGTGTAACACGAGAGATGATTGTTTTTCAACTGATTGCTGATGACCTACTCAAATGATATGTTTAGAGGAGCGTGGCGGGCTGTGGCGGGCTATGGTGGGCTAGCAGATTCGATCTTGGCGGTGCTGATCGTTTGAACTGTTAAAGCGTGACCAAAAAAACATGGACGGACCATTGTTGTGCCACAATTTGTTGGAGAGAATAACTATGGGGTGAAGCAAATCCTTCTGTACACAATTCTACTCTCTTGGCATGGCTTCCCCTTGCATCTCTACGCAGCACACGTGGCACAATTCATCACACATCTTCGAGACCTTCGAGACCTGTTCGTTCCCCCTTTTCTTGAATTCTGGGCCAGCGCCTCCAACTCATTTTCAATTTTTGCCTCGAAAAAAAAAAAAATAAACTGCCGAACCTAAGCTTGCTATCAATCAAGCAAAACACCAATATGAACGTATTGAAGTTACAAAAGAAGTATCCTGTATTGGAACAGTCTGATCTTTTCAATATAATTGAAGATTTCAGGGCAATTGACTTGGAAGACAAAGGTTGGGTTGAAAAGAAGGATGTTATCAACAGTGTCAGCAAACAGGGACAATACTCCTATGACGAAACAAGAGAAACATTGAAACACGTTGATGTTGATGCATCGGGTCATGTCGAATTGGATGACTATGTTGCATTGATTGCCAAGTTGAAGGAATCGAAGGGAGAGGGAGTCTCCACTTCACTGGCCCCGCAATTGAACAAAAAGGCAGCTCCACCCATCCCCAGTGCCAATTCAAAAAACAAGACTTACATCGAAGGAAAAACTTCAGGAACTACCCACACAATCAATGACGAGGAGCGTACTGAATTTACCAGACACATCAACTCGGTATTGTCTGGGGATTCTGAAGTTGGAGATAGGTTACCTTTTGATACAGAAACGTTTCAAGTTTTTGATGAGTGCAGAGATGGATTGGTATTGTGTAAATTGATCAACGACTCTGTGCCTGACACTATTGACACAAGAGTTTTGAACTTGCCCAAGGGGAAAAAGCAATTGAACAATTTCCAAATGTCGGAAAATGCAAACATTGTTATCAACTCTGCTAAGGCAATTGGTTGTGTTGTGGTGAATGTTCATTCAGAGGATATAATTGATGGTAAGGAGCATTTGATATTGGGGTTAATTTGGCAAATTATTAGAAGAGGATTGTTGAGTAAAGTTGATATCAAATACCATCCCGAATTGTATCGTTTGTTGGAGGATGACGAAACTTTGGAACAATTTTTAAGACTTCCACCTGAGCAAATCCTTTTACGTTGGTTCAATTATCATTTAAAGAATGCTGGAACCAACAAGCGAGTTTCCAATTTTGGTAAAGACGTTAGTGATGGTGAAGCATACACCTACTTGTTGAATCAATTGAAACCCGATGTTTGTGACTTGTCACCTTTGAAAACTAACGATCTACTTACCCGTGCTGAACAAGTTTTGGACAATGCGGACAAGATTGATTGTCGTAAATACTTGACACCAAAGTCATTATGTTCGGGAAACCCAAAGTTGAACTTGGCATTCGTGGCCAACTTGTTCAATACACACCCTGGTTTGCAACCAATTGAGGAACACGAGAAAGTCGAGATTGAAGAGTTTGATGCTGAAGGTGAACGTGAAGCCAGAGTGTTTACATTGTGGCTTAACTCTTTGGATGTAGATCCCCCAGTTGTATCTTTGTTTGAGGATTTGAAAGATGGATTGATCTTGTTGCAAGCTTTCGACAAGGTATTACCGGGAAGTGTTTCATTCAAACACGTAAACAAAAAACCTGCCAATGGAGAAGTTTCTCGTTTCAAGGCGTTGGAAAATACAAACTATGCGGTCGAAATAGGGAAAGCCAATGGGTTTTCGCTTGTTGGTATAGAAGGATCTGACATTGTTGATGGAAACAGATTGTTGGACTTGGGTCTTGTTTGGCAATTGATGAGAAGAAATATTGTCAATACCTTGGCAGAGTTGGGCAAAGGTGGTCAATTGTCTGATGCAGATATATTGAAATGGGCCAACCTGCAGGTCACTAAAGGCAACAAGTCATCACAAATTAGATCCTTTAAAGATGCCTCTTTGTCAACTGCGGTATTCTTGTTGGATGTATTGAACGGTATGGCACCGGGCTATGTTGATTACGACTTGGTGTATGAAGGGAAAACCGAAGAGGAAAGGTATGCCAATGCCAAGTTGGCAATTTCGATTGCTAGGAAATTGGGTGCTTTAATTTGGTTGGTTCCTGAGGATATAAATGAGGTTAGAAGCAGGTTGATTTTATCCTTTGTAGGAAGTTTGATGGCTGTGGAGAGTAAGTAAAGTAAAGAAATTGTATGTGCGATTGTATAAGCTCCTAATTTTTTTTTTTTTTGTTTTTTTTTTTTATCGCGTAAATCAACTTCAAACAACCAAACCAACCAATGATGAACTTCCTTAGAAAACGGAGGTCCTCTAACTCATCAGAGGACTCGATTGAGGAATCTCAGATCAAAAAGTCACGCAAACCACCAAATACCGCTTTCCGTCAGCAGAGATTGAAAGCGTGGCAGCCATTGCTCACTCCCAAATCAGTGATACCATTTCTTGTTTTGTTGGCTGTGATTTTTGCTCCTTTGGGGATAGCCATCATATATACTACTTATAATGTACAAGAGGTGAATATTGACTATTCGCATTGTGGTGATCAAACAGATAGTTTTACGTCGATTCCTGGAAAGTATACTGGCTTCCACTTTAAACAGAGTACTAAGCCAGAGTTTGAATGGAAAGTGGATGGTTCGCGATGTGTCATTCAGTTTAATGTCCCCGACTTGAAGCCCCCGCTTTACTTGTACTACAAATTGACCAATTTTTACCAAAATCATAGAAAATATGTGGAAAGTTATGACTTGGATCAATTAGCAGGTAAGGCTTTATCAAGTGATGATGTTACAGATAGTTGCAAACCTTTGAAACATAGACAATACAACGGAGAACAGAAACTCATTTATCCATGCGGATTGATTGCAAATTCCTATTTCAACGATACAATTTCATCGCCGGTTTTATTGAATGCACGTAATGGAGAAAATAACCAAACATACACATTCACCGACCAAGACATTTCATGGTCCTCTGATCGCAAACACAAGTTCAAAAAGACAAAGTACAAACCGGAAGATGTTGTGCCTCCACCAAATTGGGACAAGCAGTATCCTGATGGTTACACCGAAGAGAATATGCCGGATCTACTGCAAATGGAGCATCTACAAAACTGGATGCGCACGGCAGCACTACCCAACTTTTATAAGCTTTATGGGAAGAACACTACGTCAACCATGCCGTCAGGTACTTATCAAATTACGGTTGACTTGAACTACCCGGTGGAGATTTTTGGCGGTAGCAAGAGTATTGTCATCACCACTAACTCAATTTTTGGTGGCAGAAATGTCAGTTTGGGTGTGGTATATATCATTGTCGCTGTGGTATCTCTTGTACTAGGTATCGGGTTCTTGTTGCAATTCTTGATCAAACCAAGGCGAGTGGGTCATGACTACTTGCAACAAAACTACCGAGACCAATTGTAGGAGTGAGTAGTTTATTTGTTTTGTTTGTAGAAACGCAGTAAGGAGAAAAAAAAAAAACATGAAAATTGAACGTTGGTTTTTACTTCTGTAAAGGCAAGAAATGAATGTCAATCCACACCTATACAACTCATCACCGCAGGTTACGCAGATGCAATTACTACAACGGCAACAGCTACTACAGGAACAGGGTACTCCGTTGTCTCAGCAGCAGCATTTGACGAATGGGACTGGATTGAGTGCTAACCCAGTGTTACAGCAATTGCAGCTTCAACAGATGCAACAGCAGCAACAACAGCAGCAGCAACAACAGCAGCAACAGCAACAACATCAACAACAACCGATTCCCATAATCAAAGAAGTTTGGTCACACAATCTCGAATACGAGTTTAATAACTTGCGCAAGTTTATCAACGATAAAAGTGCGATAATATACGCCGCCATTCACCAAGAGACGCCCGGTATAGTTGCAAGGGCTATAGGATCCTTTAAAACAAGCACCGATTACCATTTCCAAACGATTAGATGTAACTCTGATTTGTTAAATCTAATACAATTTAGCATCTGTTTTAGTAAAGGTGGTGGGAACCCAGTGATTTGGCAGTTTAATTTTGCATACGATTTGAGCAGGGAGATGTACAGTGAGGAGCATTTAGCCATGTTGGCTCAACAGTCGTCGGTTAACTTTCAAGCACACATGTCTCGTGGAATAAAGCATTTTGAGTTTGCTGAGTTGTTGATTGATAGTGGATTGCTTTTAGATAAGTCAATAAATTGGGTCTCCTACCATGCTGGGTATGATTTGGGCTTTCTTATCAGCATGTTGATGAATGATAGTCTTCCGGTGGATGAGGAAGAGTTTCATTGGTGGTGTGACAAATATTTTCCAAATTTTTTCGATTTGAAATACATTGGTAACCAAGTTTTGGGGTCGGATGAAAAGATGAATAAGCCATCTATCGAGTACTTGGCTGAGGAGTTGCACTTGTTGCCGATTTCACCCAGCATTCGTCAGTTGTTTGGTAATGCGGCTCAACATCCTACATCGACTTTACACGCATACTTATCCATGGAGTGTTTTAAAGAGTTGATGAGACAATCGGTAGACCCAACAAGGTTCAAGGGGTATATATGGGGACTAGCGAAGGAATAGATTAAAAACGTATTCATTGTGTCACGTGCAAGTAAATTTGTCTCTCTCATTTTTTATCTCATCGCGATAATTTTTTCTGTAGCCTAGACCAACCTATTCTACATCAGCAATGGGGACTCAAAAGAAGGAAAAACAAAGGAGAATCAGACAGAATGATACCAAGGACGGTAATCTTCGTGTCAAAGGTGAGAACTTTTACCGCGATGCCAAAAAGGTCAAGAAACTTAGTATGTACAAGCAAGGAAGAGCAGTTCGTAATGCCAAGGGAGACATTATCAAAGCAGCCGATCTTCAGAGCACCGATGTTCCTACCGCAAGGGTTGACCCCAATAGGAAATGGTTTGGGAATACTAGGGTTATAGCGCAGGATGCATTATCGCATTTTAGAGAGGCTATGGGGGATAAGAAAGACGATTCATATCAGGTGCTCTTGAAGAGAAATAAGCTTCCCATGTCTTTACTTGATCAAGACAAAACGGAGAGCCCTACTGCCAAGATTGTTGAGACTGAGTCATTTGCATCTACATTTGGGCCAAAGCAGCAACGTAAAAAGCCAAGAATTGCAGCATCGTCGTTGGAAGATTTAATGACCGCGGCAGAGAATGATTCAACTACTTATGAGGAGAAGATTGAACTTGATCAGACCATGGGATTAATGGGAGACTCGATTTTGGATAAAGATGACTTTACCCAGGAGGCAAAGGAAGCCATCTTTCACAAAGGACAGAGTAAAAGAATCTGGAATGAGTTGTATAAAGTTATTGACTCAAGTGATGTCATTTTGCAAGTTTTAGATGCTAGGAACCCCTTGGGCACCAGATGTGAAAGAATTGAGAAATATATCAAACAAGAATGTCCGCATAAACATCTTGTATTTGTGGTTAACAAGACGGATTTGGTACCCACATGGGTTGCAGTATGTATATCAGAAAAGAGAAATCGCCTTTCAGCAACTTACTAACATCTTTTTTAGGCCGCCTGGATGAAGCACTTGTCTAGTTCATACCCAACGATTGCATTTCATGCATCGATAAAAAACAGTTTTGGGAAGGGATCATTGATCTCGCTACTTCGGCAATTTGCAACCTTGCATAAGGACAGAAAATCAATCAATGTTGGTGTCATTGGGTTCCCAAATACTGGAAAGAGTTCTATAATCAACACCATTGTCGGGAAAAAGGCATGCATTGTAGCTCCAATCCCGGGTGCAACGAAAGTATGGCAATATGTCAAGGTCACTTCATCGATAAATATCATTGATTCTCCAGGAGTCGTACCGTCAGAATCAGGTGACTCCGATGCCGATCTTTTGCTACGTGGTGTAGTTAGAGTTGAAAAAGTCAAGGCCCCAGAACAGTACTTGTCAGAGGTTTTAAAGATTGTTCCTAAAAAGTACATTGCCAGAACCTATGGACTCAAGGAATCAGAATGTGGAGAAAACTTGTTGGAAACACTTGCAGTGAAAAGTGGTCGTTTATTGAAAGGTGGTGAGGCAGATGAAAGTTCTGTGGCCAGAAAGATTATCGAAGATTTTATTCGTGGTAAACTTCCTTGGTTTTTAGAACCGCCACAGGATGAAGAAGTTCGTACTGGTGAGGATAAGAAAGCCGGGTATAAAAAGAGGAAAGCTGAGGATTGATAATTTACTTGTTGTTATTTAGACACCTACCGCTACTTCTAATTCTTTGTAGCGTTGTTTTCACCTCTTGACTGATATCTATCTTGTCCAACTCAGATGTGTCAGAGTTGATGTCAATTGCATTTAACCGTGCTAGCAACTCTTTTTCAAGATTTGTCTGATTGGATTCTAAAATGTTTTCTTCTAGAGCGACATTGTTTATATCTTGTATGTCCTCACTCTTCACCCCAAAGTCATCAGCAGTTGTATCTCCAAGCAAACCCTCATTCATCTTTTCCCAATCTTTTTCTAGTTCGTCTCGTTGTGAATTCTTTGCTTCTAGGTAATCCTTGAATAGTTTTCGTTTAGCCAATGTAGCGTTGATTTTAGCATGCAATTGTTGTTTCAACAACGGGGTGACATTTTCAATTTCAATATCTAGCATAACCGCTTGTTGATTTTCAAATTTTAACCTTACTAAATTAAGAAACCTTTCGATCCAAAGAATTAGTTTGTAGAATATCTTTTCATCGTCGTTGACGTAAACATCACGAATGAAGTTCCAAATCACTTCTTCGTGATTGTCAAGCACCGTTTTAATTCGTTGGTAGATCTCAGTAGAGTTGAGATGATCACTGCGCTGGATCGATGATAGTGTTTTTAACATACCGTTGTTCAAACCTTCAAGAGCAGAAAATGCAATGTGAACCTTTGCTTTGGCAAACACTTTAATCAATGGGGTGTAGAAATAGTCCACTGTGCTCTTGATCAAATTTATGAGCTCTGGCTGCCTCCAAAGCTCTTTAAATAGGAGCTTATCGCGGGTGCGTATTTGAAGGAGCCAATATTGTCTCAAGTTGAGGTATAGTGTTGTGTCCTCTTCCCCTTTGAAAGATGCCACAATGGCATTTAACCTGACATCAGCAGGCGGAGAAATCAAGCTTGTAGACAATGTTGTAAGCACCAAGTTTTCCCCTGGTTCTTGTCTAATCTTTTCCATCTCCTCGTTTGGTAAATTCACATACTTGTCAATCCTCTCCATGTAAAGCTCATACCCAGTTAGTTTCTCTTTCAATGTGTATAATTCTTTTCCGAATCCATTCAAATCCTCATTCAACAACATGATAAGAATCAAGGAAAACAAGTTTCTAGCACCTGTGTTTTTCGAGTCTTCCGCCAATTGTCTGTTCCAAGTGGGTAATCGAGGAATGTTTACAAATAGCAAATCAATAATTCGCGACACCATCTTCATTGGGTTTGTGAATCGTAGGATAGCATAGATTAAGCTATACGGGAACAACCGGTGAAATTTTTTTGTCTTTTTCAATATCGCATATGAGTCATCCTGGCCAAGAAATGTTTGATAGACGATGGCAGCAAGTTGAAGTTTGCACCAATCGTTGAATGTCTTCAAAAGTGGTGAGGCTGCCTTAATGCTCTTGAGAGACCCAATTTCTTTGAATAAACTCATTACAGCGTCATCCTGTGTGGTAATTGATTGCTTAAAATGTTCAAAGTTGTGCGTCAAGTCCTGCATCACTTTTGCAGTTTGGTCGTGAAATTCGATTTGAGTTTTCAAAATATCCATTTCGTGGTTTATTCTATGCTTGTAGTCTGCTTCATCCTCGTGAGTTAGCTTAGTGATATCAGTGGAAAGAAATTCTTCAAATACCGGTGACTCAGCCACCTCCATCTTTTCTGCCAATTGTCGGAGCCAGCTTCTCGTGGCCATTCTATTTGTCTCAATCTTGTTTTCATTATCTTTTGGCTTGTGTGGTAGTTTCGTCTGCAACGTCAGCATGACACCAGGTAGTTCCTTTTTCAAGTCGTGTTCTAATTGGCCTAGTTGGTGATGGCTCTTGCAAATGAAACTAGTTGTGGAATCCTCCCTTCTCACCACTTGGATAATAAAATCATAATGGTGACTTGCTGTAAAAAACCAAGACTGTTCACCTTCAACTCTTCTCAACGCAACAATGTTGATGTATAATCCATTGACAAACTTCATTCGATCATACTGATCCATTCCTACAACTGTTATGTTCTTTTTCTTTTGAAAGTCAAACTTATCCAACTTTGCAGTATCTGAGGCTTTCAAATGGGGTTCAGTGAGGTACGCCATCTCATTGCCTGTAATCAAGACGGAGTTGTAAAATACCAACAATCCACCAAGTAGCTTCCTATTAGCTTGACTTCTCTTTGTCAGTCCGTTTCTCTCATTTGAAGTGCTAAAATTCTTTGAATTGAAGTTTTCCACAAACTGAAATACATCCTGCCAAAACTGTTGCTGTTGTTGTTCAGTATTGTTGGTGATAAAGGGGAATGTGGAGATGTATTCATGAAAAAAGAATGAGAGCAACGGGAGCTTCTCAGGGTCATCAACCGCTCGCATATTCTCCCACATCAACTTCAACTCCTTCTGCAATTGCCTTTCAAGGAGAAACTTCTTGAGGAAGTGGTTTTCTAGGGGATCCATTTGCTGGTGGGAAATAGTGGTGTGGTAAAGTTAAACTTGCTAGGTGATTTCGTATATATGTGATTGAAATTTTCAATGATGCACTTGGTGCGGCTTTGAAATTTTTACACAAAGAGTGTGAGATACGATTGCCGTACAGTAGCCAAAAGGGTCGCTGCAAGATGACAAAAAGAGTTGGATATGCAATTTAGTAGCAAAGGTGGTAGCTGGGTGTTGAGTGAGATACAAACCATTGGTGTGAAGACAAAGATAGTGGCTCAACAACACAATCAGCGTTTGGTTTGTATGTACGCTAACAATAATCCAATAGCCAGCCAAGTCAAGGGTAGTGCTTCGATAAGACGCAAACTATACATTTTACTCAAAATGTACGTCATACTCAGCCTTGTCGCAATGGAACGAATTATTTATCAAGACTTTGTAAATACTACAGTTTGCAGCAATATTGTTAATCTATCTTTACGACTTTCACTGTGAGTTGGGAACGCAATACCAGTTTAATTTTAACTTAGCTACTTTTGCGGCCAACCTATCTCACCTTCGTGGTATCTACCCACTCCTCGTCGTCACCAGATACCACGTGGGATTCAATTTAACTGTTTTAGCCGTTGACTTTAAAATTAGATTTACCCGTCTACGCCAAGAAAATATTGCGAAAAGCAAAAAGAAAATTTTTTTCCATGTACGGAAGCTTTGAACGCTTCCTAGTTGCAATAATATTATATAAGCACCTTGAAGGGCAGAATTTTATTTTTTTTTTTTCCCCTTTTACCTTTCTTTTGAATCACTTCTAACTGCTTTGAACTAGCAAAAAGACTAAAACGCCTTTTTTGCCCCCTCCCCTTACAGCTTTAACCGTTATCCGAGTGAAGCTGCAATTGTAATTTATTGAAAATAAAGTCCCAAGAGTTTGAGAAACAGAGCAACAACCATGAACAGACATTTGGTAAAGAAAATGAAGTTCAAGGCGGTCAAGAACAATATAGGGTGCCCATTGAACAAGTGGTAAGTGAATTTCACACCGATAGTGTCAATGGCTTATCAGCTGGAGAAGCAAAAGCAAGGCTTGGTAAATATGGGGCAAATAACTTGGGAAAGGAAGAGTCTATCTCTTACACTAAGATATTGGCCCATCAAGTGTTCAATGCCATGATTTTGGTGTTGTTTATCAGTATGATTATTGCTCTTGCTATTAGAGATTGGATTTCTGGTGGCGTTATCGGTTTTGTTGTTGGTATCAATATTGTCGTGGGTTTTGTCCAAGAGGTTAAAGCTGAGAAAACAATGGGTTCGTTGCGTACTTTGTCTTCGCCAACTGCTAGAGTTACTAGAGATGGCAATGATGCCACTGTTGCGGCGGAGGAAGTTGTTCCTGGAGACGTTGTTCATGTTAAAGTTGGTGATACCATTCCCGCTGATTTGAGATTGTTTGATTCAATGAATTTGGAAACTGATGAAGCGTTGTTGACGGGTGAATCATTGCCAGTGCAAAAGGATCACACCGTTGTGTATGACGACTATTCGGTGCCGGTGCCTGTTGGTGATCGATTGAACTTGGTTTACTCGTCATCGGTTGTTTCCAAGGGAAGAGGGTCTGGTATTGTTTATGCAACTGGTTTGAATACTGAGATCGGTCAAATTGCGCAATCATTGAGAGGCGATACTGGATTGATCCGTAGAGTGGACAAGTCAAATGGTAAACCTAGAAAGAGAGATTATAGCCGTGCATGTGCCGGAACTATTTACGATATTGTTGGAAATGTTCTTGGAATCACTGTGGGAACACCTTTGCAAAAGAAGCTTTCATGGTTGGCAATTTTCCTTTTCTGGGTAGCTGTTGTGTTTGCTATTGTAGTGATGGGATCGCAAAAGATGGATGTCACCAGGAATGTGGCTATCTACGCCATTTGTGTTGCATTGTCGATGATTCCATCGTCGTTGATTGTTGTGTTGACGATTACGATGGCAATTGGAGCTCAAGTGATGGTGACCAAGCATGTTATTGTGAGAAAGTTGGATTCGTTAGAGGCTTTGGGTGGAATCAACGATATATGTTCCGATAAGACTGGTACTTTGACACAAGGTAAGATGATTGCCAAGAAGGTTTGGTTGCCAAATGTTGGTACTTTGGAAGTGCAAAATTCAAACGAGCCGTACAATCCAACTGAAGGAGATGTGAGGTATGCCCCGTACTCGCCACTTTACGTCAAACAAACGGATGAGGAGATCGACTTTAAGAAACCTTATCCCGATCCGATGCCGCAGAGCATGCATGATTGGTTAATGACTGCTACTTTAGCTAACATAGCAACTGTGAATCAAAGCAAAGATGAAGAGCTGGGTGAATTGGTGTGGAAAGCTCATGGAGATGCTACTGAGATTGCCATTCAGGTGTTTACTACTAGGTTGAATTATGCAAGAGAGTCACTTGTTGATGGGTACGAGCATATCGCTGAGTTTCCATTTGATTCATCGATCAAGAGAATGTCTGCCATCTACAGGGACAAATCAGGTGAGACCAGAGTTTACACTAAAGGTGCTGTTGAGAGAGTTTTGCAGTTGTGTACCACGTGGTATGGAGAAGGCACTGACGATTCACAAGAGTTGAAAAAGTTGACTGACGTCGAGAAGGCAACCATTGAGGAAAACATGGCAGCATTATCATCACAAGGATTGAGGGTTTTGGCTTTTGCTACTAGATCCATTGATGGTGAATGTGATGATCGTGAAAAGGTTGAATCCAACTTGACTTTCCAGGGACTTATTGGTATCTATGATCCCCCAAGAGAAGAAACTGCTGGATCTGTCAAATTGTGTCACAGAGCAGGTATCAATGTTCATATGCTTACTGGTGATCATCCAGGTACTGCTAAAGCCATTGCCCAAGAAGTTGGTATCTTGCCTCGCAATTTATACCACTACTCAGAAGATGTCGTCAAGGTAATGGTCATGACAGCTAATGAGTTTGATGCTTTGTCCGATGACGAGATTGATAACTTACCTGTATTGCCACTTGTTATCGCTCGTTGTGCACCACAAACAAAGGTGCGTATGATTGACGCATTACATAGACGCAAGAGGTTTGTCGCAATGACTGGTGACGGAGTCAATGATTCCCCATCCTTGAAAAAAGCTGATGTTGGTATTGCTATGGGTATGAACGGTTCAGACGTTGCCAAGGATGCTTCCGATATCATTCTCACTGATGATAATTTTGCATCAATTTTGAACGCCATTGAAGAGGGAAGAAGAATGTCATTGAATATCCAAAAGTTTGTGTTGCAATTGTTGGCTGAGAACGTTGCTCAAGCAGTTTACTTGATGGTCGGTTTAGTGTTTATGGATAACGATGGATTTTCAGTTTTCCCACTTGCACCCGTTGAAGTGTTGTGGATTATCGTTGTCACCTCATGTTTCCCAGCCATGGGATTGGGTCAAGAAAAGGCACAATCTGATATCTTGGACTTGCCACCTAGTAACACCATCTTTACCTGGGAGGTAATTATTGACATGTTTGTTTATGGTGTTTGGATGGCTGCTTGTTGTTTGTCCTGCTTTTTGGTCATCTTGTATGGAAAAGGTGACGGTGAGTTGGGCTCCGATTGTAATACTGGATCTGGTGATCAGTGTAAGTTGGTGTTTCAGAGTAGATCAGGAGCATTTGCTGCTTTCACATGGTGTGCATTAATTCTTGCTTGGGAATGTATCCATTTGAGGAATTCTTTGTTTTACATGAGACCAGATTCTGAAAACCCATGGTGGAAACAAACTGCTATTGATTTATGGGATAACCAATTCCTTTTCTGGTCGATTATTTTTGGATTTGGAACTGTGTTTCCGTTGGTGTATATCCCAGTCATTAATGACAAGGTGTTTTTGCATGGACCTATTGGTTACGAATGGGGAGTTGCCATTGCATTCACTGTGGCGTTTTTGATTGGGGCTGAAGTTTGGAAGAAGTGCAAGAGGATATACTTCCGAGCTCAGTCTCGCAAAGGAACCGAGTCAGATACCGGTGATGTGTTTGAGAAGTATGCGTCCTTCAGCAAGGATAACACCTTGGTTTAGAATATTGTTTTTGTTACTTGTTTAGTGGAGGTTTTTAAGGGTTCAAGTCCCTTCGCACCCATGAGGGTTTTCCTACCACGATATATGTTTGTTTTTTATTGTTTTTAATACATTAGAGTTTAGATTGGTAATTCTGTAGATGTTGAGCCGCACAAACGAAGTTGACGAAATATTTTGTATAACTATTTCTCAACAATTACCACCCAGTTCAAATTACTATCATTCTTCACATCCACCGTCAGCGCAACTGCGGCCCATATGCTTGCATTGTCTACAACACTACAACGCACCGTTGTTTTGTGTTAAGTTATGATCAGAAGCAACAACAATGCGACAATACTAGACTTGTATCCTCATGATATATTGCTAATCATCATATCATGGACAGGTGCTGAAAACCTTACACCACTTCTTTCAGATCGGTCATTCTTGAATCAAAACAGAAACCTAAAGCAAGCCATCAATAGAATCATATCAAACAAAGCGAAATTTGAGTATGACAACCGAGTCATAAAACCAGACAAAGTGGATGATTGGGACAACTCAAATGAGACTCACGAGACGGACTTCATGAGCCTGGAGCAGTTTCGGGTATTTGATTGCTATTGTGTGGATGAGTGTATCAATGTGGAAATGATTTTCAATTCAAAAATTGAGCATGCAAGTGATCTAATTGAGCTTCGAGACATGCTCCCCACGCTAAAGTCAAGCACTATTGTCACACTCCATTTGTGTTTGGACTTTAAAAGCTCTCGCCTTGTATTTGTTGATATCACGGAGTTGCTTGGGTTCGCAACTCATTTGAGAGATAGATTGGTTGGCTTTTCCGTAATTGCAGATTCATATAAACCGATGATCAAGGGTAAGGTGGAGTTGAGCTTTTTCAGTAATGCGGAAACTTTAACTTTAGAGGGTTGTGACTTTAAAGGGTCATTTTTGAGCTGTCAGAAACTAAGAAAACTTCGCTTTCTAGCCAAGAATGCGGGGGAGAACTACATTGTTACGTTGCCATCAACTTTGAAAAGCTTAGAGTGTGTTGATGACAAGTATACTCCATTCGGATTACCTTCTATATTGTATAGTCCATATTTCCCGTCATTAGTTGAGTTGTCTGTATGGGTTTATGATGACTTTCCTGAAAAGATGCAGAATGCCGTTCAGCATTTGATCAGCGCAGATACAAAAAAGGTGAGATATGTAGGTGATTTTGGACTGAGCTTTGTTGATCTGCTTAACAAAGCTGCAAAGGAGAAGCAACCAAAATTGGAAGCATTGGATATAGACGATGGTTATTTGTTACAGTTGGAAATATATCCTTCAGATCTGCTTCGGATTTATGACTATGACAATGAATTGTTGCAAGAATCTTTTCAAATTGCTCCCACGTTAAAGAAGTTACTAATGACGGGAGGGGAACGTATAGATTTTTGTGGGCTTTTGATGCGTACTCCTCTTGGCCTAGAGTGTTTGGATTTGAGTTTCAGTGATGGTTTTTGGTCAGAAGAGATTGTCGATTTCGCTAGGCTTGAACGTTTAAAGTGTCTCAAATTGAGAAATACTGGATTGACGGGCATCAGCAACTTCAGTTTCCCCTACTCACTTGAAGTGTTGGATTTGTCTGGCAATAGAATTAAATCGGTTGGAGGTTTCCCATTTCCGAGATCCTTGGTCAGTATTGATTTGAGCTTCAACCAGATAGATGAAATAAATGGGATGCAATTACCCCCAACTTTAAAGAAGCTCAACATCCTGAGAAACCCCATTGATTGTCTTGATTTCGATAAGATCATGCACCACAACATACACAATATTGATACGCTATACGTAGGAGGTCAACAAGAAATGGATTGGAATTGTCGTACTTTACCAAATAGTATACAACATTTGAACTTGCACCATTGTTATTCTTTTGACAGTATCAATCTTGGACCTAACTTGGCTAGCGTTCATTTGGAGTTTTGTGACTTTCCGGGTGTTTGCTACAAGTCATGCACAAATCTAAAATATTTATGTATTACCCAATCCTTGATCGATATCCACCAAATGGATATGCCGCAGTCGCTCGAGGAAATCGAGCTACAGTTGATGGATTTGGGGACGATTCCAACGCAGTTTGGTCAGTTGAGAAACCTACGACATTTGCTGATCATAGATTGTCATATTATATGTGGTTTCGTTAGATTCGATACCTGCTCACTTGAGACTTTGGATTTCTCCTCAAATCGCATGGCGGAAGTACGATTGACATTCCCAGATGGCCTAACTAATTTAAAGCTGATAAACTTGCACCATAATAGTTTAAAATGGATTTCAATGGGCCTTCTAGGTCACAATGAAAAGACTTTTCACAACGGCTTGTACGAGTTGGATGTTTCCGATAACTACCTAAAAGCGGATTGTATTAACGACTTGTTATCGAGTCTACCAAACAATACAAGATGTTTGTGGCTGACGAAGGATTCTTCTCATGCTGAGAATGTATTGTATACTCCTCCTGACGATCTCGGAGAAAAATAAGGGGCATGAGGATCTGACGAGAAGCTATTTGGAGTTGGTTTTGAGGAAATGTTGTGACTCATACTTTATTCACAGTCCACCGCCAAATGTTGCAGATGGTTGAGCTATAACTATGGCGCTAAAATTGGGGCATTAACATCAGGTTTGATTGTTTAGACATTACTATACAGATGATCAATACAAAATCAAATCGCACTTTCAGTCCTCTTTCTTGTCTCAAAAAGTTTGAAACGATTCCAGTTAGTTGCCACTATTAAAAGGCAAAGAGTTCTATTTGGAATGTCCAAGAGTACAATGTAATGGATACAAACATGAAAACATATATTCAATAGTCTATCACTAGGTAATAGATCAATAACCCCACAATGAGGAGCAACTAGGAAAATGTTGTAGTTCAACCTAAACAAGAGAGCTCAAGATAGACTGGACAAAAGCTGTATCCGAATTGTATAGAAAAGCCATATGCGACGGTACAACCCTATCAATATTTCATATATACTTACAATCGAACGATGCCGTATATAATTCTAGGATTCGGAATCTCTATTCTGTGTAGAACCACTTTGTGCCCGTTATTGTATGCTAAGGAATTTTGTATTGCAGGCAGATCATAATGATTGGGTCTTATTGCAGGGCCTTGCTACAATGTGTGTATCCAGTTGACACTGTTTGACAAACAGATCCACTTGATACTTTTGAAACTTGGAATACAACCTATTAGTGGTCTACCAACAGACATATATCGAGACCACTCAGTACCCAAAGTTTCCTGTTCATTGAAATAACTGTTACTGATGGTAATGACAAATTTATTCTTAGATGTAAGTCTACCTTACTAATGTAGACTCATACGCGGAGGCTTATAATCATTGCCTGTAGTAATCTCCATTCTATACTACAACAATACCTTAAACTACCGTCTTGTATCGATCTTCTTTTCTTTCATCCTAAACACGCGTTTCGTGTTTTGTCGCAAATATTTCACGATACAGAAGAATATGAGACTCTCAAGACTCAATAAGTACACCATTCGAGCGGAGAGAGTGATTCCTAAAGAGACCGAGACCGTGTGTTTCTTGCTAGAGGGCACAGTAACTATCATTTGACAGTCTTATCTATGTTCTATAAAACAAGTTACAGATTGTCTGTTCTTTTATATTTTGTAAGGAAATTGTGAGAAATACCCCAAAACCTCAAAACTAACTGCACAAACAATGAATGGGAAGAATGGTGACGAGTGGGTGTGTTATTGGATGACTAAGATATAACAATGGATACACCAACTAGCTCATAGGAGTGTGTGTAGGTGTAGATAGATGGGGTGGGGGTAATTTGATTGAGATCTGGATGCGGATGTTGATTATACTGAGGTCCGGATGTTGATTATACTGAGGTCCGGATGTTGATTATACTGAGGTCCGGATGTTGATTATACTGAGGTCCGGATGTTGATTATACTGAGGTCCGGATGTTGAATATACTGAGGTCCGGATGTTGATTATACTGAGGTCCGGATGTTGAATATACTGAGGTCCGGATGTTGATTATACTGAGGTCCGGATGTTGATTATACTGAGGTCCGGATGTTGATTATACTGAGGTCCGGATGTTGATTATACTGAGGTCCGGATGTTGATTATACTGAGGTCCGGATGTTGATTATACTGAGGTCCGGATGTTGATTATACTGAGGTCCGGATGTTGATTATACTGAGGTCCGGATGTTGATTATACTGAGGTCCGGATGTTGATTATAC